CTGTTGTGATGACTTGGACGCTGAGGGAGAATCTACTGCTAAAAGACTCGGACTGTTAGTGCTGTTGACAAGGTCAATGTTGGTATCGCTGATATCATGCAGACTGTCCACTGCACTAGTATGAGCGATATCGATATCGTTGTTATCGTCAGGTAAAACAGGTGTTACTGGTAAAGGTGAAGAGGAGCTTGTATTTTCGGTTTCACTGTTGCTATTTTCTAATTTAATTCTAATGACAAGAAACTTGGGTTAATGATGTTGTCAATTTTACCTTTTTTTTTCATTGCCCCCTTGTCTAACCTTTTGAATTGGTGATCACTACTGCTGCTGCCTTCGCCTTCACTTGTACTGTCCACAGAGCTAGCTCGACTATAACTATTTTTTGTCATGATGAAGGATGATTATTTCCTATCAGATCGTCTGGAACAGTAATGATACAAATAGAGGGGAGAAGAAGAAAGGGAGAGATGATACTACAGATAAACCGGAAAAAAAAAATTGATGATGAATAAAAAAAAAGACTTGCATTTTTTTTCTTTTTTTTAAAAAAAATCGCAGTTTTTTTCTTTTTTCTTCTCTTCTTCCATGAGAAAATAAGAATAAATTGTGTCAAAAAAAGGAAAAAGTAACATTTTTAAATTTTGAGCTTTTTTCATTGTCAGTGTGTTGTTTGTGGAAGAAGAAGAAGAAGAAAATCACCCTTTCTCTCTCTCTTTGCCTCTTTTTCTTTTTCTCTCTTTACCTTTAAAGATAAAGTAAAAATATATGAATTTTATAAATATTCCTTTTTTTTTTTGTAAATTATAAAAAAGATAAATCGGAATTGTTGTCAATTTTTTTATCAATTCGATTTACTATTTTATAATTGTTGCCAACAAAAATGAAGGAAGGAATGGAACAGAGCCAAAAAAAAGGGTAATCTGAAAAAAATTTATAATTACGTTTTCTCTAATGTCCGTCTTTCTTTGTTGTTGTTGTTGTTGTCTCTTTTTGTGATCTTTTGTTGTGTTCGCTGGAAATTGAGCGTTGTTCGTCTTGTTGCTTGTTGAGAAAACTGAGACTTTGTATGGGCCGGTAAAGATATATGATAATAAGTCTCTATCTAGATAGAAGGTCTATCCAATGTCCTCAATAGGGCACAGAGAAAAAAAAAAAAAAAAAAGAAGGCAAAAGAAAAATGGGAAAATATACAAAAACGAAAAAATAAAAGAAACGGGAAAACGAAAAAAAAAGGGGAAAAAAATAAGCAAATGGGTGATCGAGAGGCTTTGTCTGATTCATCCATTGGCGAATGACATCACCCTCTGCGTTCCGAAATGTTGGGATCAATGCTTGTTTTTGGAATAGTGGAAGAAGGAGAACGGGTGATTCATGAAATACAATTCTGCATGGAATAATAAATTGTACTACACTATACTCTTTTCATTCTTTTACAAATCGAGAAAAAAAGGGACATTCATTTTGTACGATTTCCGTAACTTTTTTTTTTTTTTTTTTTTTTTTGGGGGGGGATTTGTGTGAAATTTTATTGTTTTTCCACAGCGTAAAACAAAACAAAAAAAAAAAAAAGAAAAGGTACGCAATATAGCTCTAACGAATCAGACATAGTATATTTTCAAGGAAATTAAAGCCAAAGAAGAGTGGTTGTTGTTTGCTGGTCATGTAAAAAAATGGTTTAAAAAAAGAAACCCAAAAATAATAGCGGCAATTTTTTTTTAGAATAAAATAGAGGTTTTTGTTTTTTATGGAAAAATATCGATTAATTTTATTTTTCTAGATACTCTATTCATGATAGATCAAGAAAATAAGCTCATTTCTTTTTCATTTGGGGGTTTTTTTTTTAAGATTAAGAAAAAAAAAATAGAAAATGCAGGTTTTTATTCTTTGAGATTCTCTTATCTCGATCCGTTCTCGATTAGAAACATCATATAAAAATAAAGATATAGACTGTATTTCTGTGCCTTTGAAAGACAAAGAAAAAAATATATTTTTTTTTATTCACACAGATAATCTTTAATTTTTTAAAGTGTTGTGCAGTCTGTTTCAAACGTAACAGATGACAAAGGTATTTGAAAACCACTGAATATCGCGTTCTGTTATCGTGATTGAATAGCATCTTGGCCATAAAGATCAAACAAAAAAAAAAAAAAAAAAAGATCGACCTCTGACGCATCTACTTATTTGCGCATGACGAATTCTAGGACATTCTTTTATTCTTCAATTTTGATAGAAGAAGAAACATGCTGAAAAAAAATAAGATCCATACGCAAATGATCATCATTCTCAATTGTGCATCGGAGGAAAGCGGGGGAAATGACAAAATTGACCCCTTGATTTTTCTTTTCCGCTTTACATTGTTTTGTACTATCGGATTCGTTGACATCGATCCCGATAAGGTATAAAAAAGCACTTTTAGTGTTTTCAGACATAGTCTAAATCTATGTAGTACAATGACAACTCTAATTCCACCTCGATCGGACTTTTTTATCTCTTTCCCCAATGTCCTCAGATACAGCAAAAAAAAAAAGAACCACCACTGTATATCGATCAAAGGTTAAACGGCGCCAAAAAGAAACAATGGAGACAATCCTACGCCGTATCACTTTTTTATAAGTTTATTTAACGTATTTGTTTTGAGAATGTCGTTTTTTTGTTGGAGCAAGAATCGTGTGTGTTGGCCTAAATGCTTATTTCCCAAACCTAATCGGGACAGAAGCATGTGCCAATAAGGCAGAAAAGCGAAACAAAAACATAACATTTTTTTCCCTGCAAATTTTTCGTTTCAAACCGAACCTAAACCCAATCGAGCCGACCCGAACCAAATCATACCCAAAGGAGCCTGTAGCATGCAGCCTAGCAGTATTTTTTGTCACTAAGAGAAGAAGAAGGGTTGCTTTCTTTAATATAAACAACTGATGGACAACATTCATCAAGCAGTTAAAGAATTCCATGATTATTCTTCTTCTGAAAAAAATTGTAAAATTTTACCCTACATAGACACAAGAACAGTGGAATTTTCTAGAAGAACAAAATTTGATTCTCTACACGAGCCATCATCGTCTATAAAAGAACATAGAGTGTCCCTTTTTTTGATGATTTATACACAGCATATGCTTCACCTTGACGTGATTACATTGATGTAGCCCTTTGTTTGGCTTTTACAGTGCTTTTTTTTTCAAGCAAAAGACGCCTTGTAAGAACCGCACGTTGATTGGGCTTCATTGCCCATTTCTTTCTCGATGATTCTTAACACCAAATTTTAATTTTAAACCCAGTGGGCACGCAGATATGTATACTATCAAAACTGCCTACGAACTTTGGTAAACCTCTGGCTTTCACTTCAGACGGGAACTATTCAAGTTATAAAACACAGGGATAATTATTGTAATTGTTCAAAAAGCATTGGGAAAGGGTAGCATTCAATAGATCAAAAAAAAATATACACTTTAAAAAAATTGAAAGATCCTAAAGGAGTCTGTCTCCCCATTGGTAGATGAAAAAAAAAAAATTCGAATGCGACTATGAGAATCGAGAATTTCGGCGAAATTGCTAGAAGTTTACCCTTTTTCCCTGCATAAATTACAACTCTTTTTTTTTTTATTTATTTATCCTCAACCTCTCTATTCTAAATGTACTGACCATTGATAAAAATGATTGAATTACCAGAATGTTATCATGTGTTAGGGATTTCTCATACTGCTTCAGAAAAGGAAATCAAAAGAGCATATCATAGAGAAGGTAGGTAGGGTAGCTTTTTTGCTTTTTAACGTCATCCACATCAAGTCTTTAGAGACTGACATCATACAAATAAAGCATTGAAATATCATCCGGATAGAAATCATGATGTATTGTCAAATCAACGATTTCAAAAGATCAACGAGGCATTTGAAACGTTAACGCAGCAAAGAAACACGTGTAATGATGATGATGATGATTCTGACACGCATCAATTTGCGGAAGAGCTATTTAATCAACTCTTTTCGAATGAATTGAAATCATTCGATATTTCCAAGGAAACCAGAACAACCACCAACACCCATACCACTGCTACAACAACAACAACAACAACAATAAAAATGCAAGAGATGGACGTTTTTAGCAATAACAATAGTATTTACAGTAAGAAGGAGCAGGAGGATCCAAGCCATCATTCATCTCTGTTTTTCCATTTCTTTCCTGAATATCAGTCGTGCGCTAACCAACAACAAACGAAACCTTCCAGCCATAAGCGCCCTTTATACAACCATTCTTCCTTCAAAGAAGACGTATACAACCGTCGTTGTACAGCTGCAAAGAAATCAAAACTTACGAAAACCGACACACGACCGAGTCAGAAGGAGATCAACGTCACCTCCCCTGACCCCATTCGCCTTACTCCTCCTCCTCCTCCTCCTCCTACTACTACTACTTCATCAAGTCAACCATCTTATACGCGCTTTGGTGACAATTTATTTACAACGCTCCATTTATCTATGACAGAGGCGCTCTCAGGATTTAAAAAGCAAATACCAAAATTTTGCAGTCATGACCAATATTATCTCATCGAAAACCATCATCGGGTGATACAGTCGGGTCAGATAGACGTCTTTGTCGGTCAAGGTGTACTAAATAAAATAACTGGCACCAAAGGAAATTTGATCGTTCAATACCAAGTACAGTTCTCTGCCGTGTAGAAGTGCGTTGGGATCCTATCCTATATCATAAAAGCTTGAATAGCATCCAAGCTACTCTGCGCGAATCGTCCACCGTACCGTTCATCCATCACAGTTAGACTTGACTACTTTAAGCGAGCGTTAGACAATCCTCTCCACGTTTGCGGTAGGTCCTGTGATGAAAAATCCTCAGCGTTACAGCAGTGGAATGTCTTCCACCCTATACCCCTATCATGACTTGTCATTTTGTGTATAAATCACCTGCTTGTAAATAGACTACATGAACAAAAAATTTTATTCCCTAAAGTTCACATAATCAGACACAACCTCAAGTATCAGTCTTTTATTTTTTCAACTTGGGTTGCAACAGTGATAATAAAAGCAACAGTTATAAATCGCTAATGTTTGTTTTATAGATATTTCATGCTCTCAACCCATGAGAGATAAGCCATTTGATTTTTTTGTATTCAATTGAACTGATTTTCTTTGATGAAAGAAATTGGATCGCTGAGAAATCATACATTATACAATAGGTCGAGGTTACCGTTAGCAGCGGTTAAGGAAACCCGATCTTTCACAGCTGGACTATCCCCATAATAACCTTTCGTGGAGCCCCAAGACCAGTGATTGATATGAAGTTTCTTTGGTTCTGATACTTCCACTATACGTCTGCCTGTAAAACTTGTCAAGCTAAATTGACTCTCAAAATGCGAAGGCTATATGAATTGACAAACCACAGTAAAATACATGGACTAAGTTATTCCGAGGGGAAAAAAAAAAAAAAAAAAGAAAAGCAACTTTTCTTACCAATTGAAGCTTGATAGATCCATTGGCAGTGGATCCTGATAGAGCAACAGACGCAGCCTTTTCCTCCTTACTGGGCGAAATTTCTTCTACTCGTACGTTTGCAACACCATTGGCCGTCGTGAAACTCAAGTCAGCATATAAATTGCGCAAAGTACCACTTATGCGGCCATTGGCTGTTCGAAGATTCGTTCTACCACTTGAAATGCCCTAGTGTTTTATATCAAAATGTAAGAATATCTGTTTGCTATATCTCCATCGTATACACTTTCTCTTGTTACCTTTTCAAATTCAATGTCTCCATTAGCAGTCGAGATATCGAGACTATCTGCAAAATCGAGACCTTCTAAAAATAGCATCTTATTGCTTGCCATCATCAAACGAAGCGACTTTAAGGAGTTACTTTCTGGAACAACCACATCCACATCAATAGAGACACATCCATTTTGAATTTGAAAATTCTCCTCTTGCTTAAAAGAAAAGATAAAAAAAAAAAAAAGAAAAGGTGACCTTTAGCATCTTCTAGTGACTTTGTTGTTTACAGTAAAAAAGTCGTGTATGCCTTTTTTTACATGGATGACAATTTCATAGCGACCGTCCTGAGGATTTTCGTTCTGCTCAATCCAAAAAATATCAGCTAGTTCTGGATCGTTGCCGTTGATCTTTATAGTTACAGTAGTAGTTGCTGCATCATCACTCTTACGCACGGTTGTCTTTCCATTCTGAGGGAGGGGTTTTTTTTATTCATCAAAATATCAAAACCAGAGCGTTTTAACATGTTTTATTTCGAAAGCGCTTTGTTCAAATCACTTACTGCCAATTCAACTTGATAGCCTTTCATGGTCTCTGCTCGTTGCTTGATTTCTAGACGGTTAAATATACTTGCATCAATCGATATGTTTGTATCTCCTTTCAAAGGAAGAGTAAGTTCTCCTTTACAGAGATAGGTTAAATGGGCATCATTCCTATCGTTCGTTAGAGCCACATTGCTATTGAAGCCTAAGTTTGAAAATATATGTTAGGGCGAATAGGAAAAAGTAGAACCATGGTAAAGGCAAGAAAGCAGAATCTGTCATTCTTCACTGAACTACCCGCGCGCGCCCCACGCCCGCCCCCCCCATCTCATATGAACTACGTTACCATTCATGTCGACTATCTGCGTGCAGGCGGAACATAAAAAAGACGAGAAAAAGCCTATTAGTCAATTTGCTTTTAACACTACAAAATGCTCCAAACCCTTTGTGGTATAGGGCTATTCGTTCTCACCTTTTGCTGACTGTCCACATCTTTACCAGAGTCAACATGCTTCTTGTCAATCCATTGAAATGTCCCGTAGAGAGCAGCACAAAGGATAAGCACTTGAAAGAAACGACTTACAAAAGACCGGATGCAAAGTCTTCTTTGACTCGTTCTAACACTGTTATGCTTACAACCTTCTTCTTCATAGCAATGGCAGCCATCTTGATGCGATGGCAATATAGGTCCCTTTTCGTTCATGGAAGACATGCTCGAGTTTTAGCCAGTAATTCCGTTACAATATAAAAAAGTATTTTGTTTGACAAAAGAAAAGATAAAAGAAAACACTCAAATTCAAGTGAGATCAACCCGTTTGATTTATATATTCGTAAAAACGTATGGTATATGTATGGTTTAGCACAAGCATTCTGTGCGACTTATAAGGATTCCACAATTTGGCTTGGGTGCCAAGCGTACAGTCCATCGTAACACGGATACAGAGAATGACGCTTGGGTCTTCACTTGATCACTCCACCAATAGGCTGACTTTTCAAAAGAAGAGAATCCCTTTCCTAAGCGTACTCTTTCTTTGATTTTTGGCCTGTTGTTCCTTTGATAAGCTTTCTGTTTGAACTGTTCCCCTTTTTTTTTATGCAGCCCAACCTGTTTTCGGACTTTGGATTGTTAACAAAGAAATGGGACAACAACTAAGAAAAAAATAGGGTAAAGTGATTGGCCGTTTTCCCAAAAAGGCCAGAGCATTTCCCTTTTTCAGTTTCCCATTTTTTAGAAAGAGAGCACAAACGTCTCTTTTTTTTTCCCCTTCACTCATTTCTCTTTTATTCATGCATTTACCTTCCACTTTATTATGTCTATGCCTAATATGCTCGTCGCTAGCTCAAGCCACAGTGGCGAAAAGTAGTGGTGCGAGCAACATGCTCAATATCAATAAATCAAAAAAACAATGTAGATATACTCCAGAGATCGATATTTTAACAGAGACATGCCCTGTTTATTCCCAAGAAACAATAGATTTTTCAGCCGCTTTGTTCCCTGACCCAGCTGTTATTTCTGTCATCAAAGCAGCCCCATCGTCATCGAACAAAGAGAAAAAGAACTTGAAAAATAGAAAAGAGAAAGCCGACAAGTCAAGGACAACTACTACTACCACCATCATGTTGACATCGTCTCATCCGTCAACCACACCATCGCCGCCATCCACTTCTTCACGGACATCCCATGATTCACAACCGATATCCGCCGACGATCCATTGTTGTCGTCAGCATCATCGCAACATAGCACAACAAGCAACCTACTGAAAACAAACAATGACGCTCCTGATGAGCGCAGGCATAAAGCACACACTCCCACCAACAAGAAACAGCCACCGATCGCCGCGGTGTCTCATACAGACAATAAAGATTCTTTAGACGACAACGACAACGACAACGAGAGTGAACGTAAAAAAAGACATCCTATTGTGTCGTTTGAAGAATGGCAGAAAAAAGTTCTTGAAAACGAAAAAGACAAACGCTCTAAACGACGCACAAGTCCCGTCGTAGCGGATGACGACGGAGCAGTAGTAGGAGGAGTGACAGGTGGACGAGAGGGTCATAGTCGAAGACAACAAATGGTTGACAGTCTTGATGGAGGCTTTGGCGATGATTTCGGTGCCATGTTTGAGGGACTGATAGGCGTTTCGTCTGGAAAGGAGAGGAAAGAACCCAACGTTTATGCCGAAAGAGATTACATCGCACCTAGTCCATCAGGCGATGAACCGCCGCCATCCGATTCGAAAAGCAGCAAAAAGGACAAAAAGCTATTTAACGACGCGCGTGTCAAGTCTTTAAAAGAAAGATTCAATTATGCATCCACTGACTGTGCTGCCACTGTAAGAAAAGCGAATAAACAAGCAAAGGGCGCTCAGTCCATTCTCTATGAATCAAAGGATCAATACCTACTCAACAAATGCTCAGCAGCCAAGTTTGTCATCATCAACCTCTGTGAACAGATTGTCGTGGATACCATTGTCATGGCCAATTTCGAGTTTTTCTCAAGCACATTCAAAGACTTTAAAGTCTATGCCTCCTCCAAATACCCGACAGACGAATGGCATCTGTTGGGCCAATGGCAGGCTAGAAACACACGAGATCTACAAGTGTTCCGAGTGCCAGAAAGTGGGTTTGTGGAATACATCAAGATCGAATTCCTCACACATTACGGCCATGAATATTATTGTCCTCTCAGTTTAGTCAGAGTGCACGGTATGTCGATGATGGAGTACTATACGTTCGTAGAAAGTAGAGACCAAGACCCAGTTTGGGAAGGAGAGCATTTATGGCCAGCTGAAGTACGCGAACAAATCATTCAGCCCCAATTTGATATCACGAATACATCAGAAACGTTTCCTATCAAAAGTGAGCATGATGAAGAGGATGCCAAGATCATCATACCTCCTTTGGCATACGAGTATGAAGATGACACAACAATGGCAGAGTCAGAAACGCAATTGACAGAGGCCGAGAATTTCTTCAGCTCTGTACAAAAGACGACGGACGACTTATCACAAACGTACCGCACACAGAAAAAAGAAAACGTTGTGCCAGCAGAAGGTATCCTTTCCTATGCATCGAATGCAATGGAACCAAGTATCAGTCACTTGCCTTTACTTGACAATAATGAGATGGATAGTTTCGCCATGTCTGAGAATGATGCACTTCAGGCTTCCTCAATCGAAATCCATCCGAGTAAGACGTCGTCAGCACTTTCAATACCCACCCCCAATGACAGTGATGAGCACTCCAATAGAGGCTCTTCATCGATAACAACAACCCTACTTTCTATACCTTCCTTAATATCAATTTCAGATTCGTCCTCCAACACGACACAAATACCGGAACAACGTGCACAGCCTAACGAGAATCAATCAGTAACAACCAATATAGCAGACGCTATTGTGCCCATGACCTCTACCAGCACTACTATACCAGCGGTATCTCAGCAACAGCCAGCAACAGCAACGGCGTCACCATCAGCCATATCTCTTCCTACGAAGCCTAATACGCATTTTAAAGAAGGAAATACACAAGAGTCTATCTATAAAACAATCATGAAAAGGTTAAATCAATTGGAATTGAACATGACTTTATCTCAGCGATATCTGGAGGATCAGAATCAAATATTAAATGATGTTTTTTTGGAGATGGAACGAAAACATCAAGAACAATTGATTATTCTTATCGGTCATCTAAACGAAACAGCAAGCTTTAAAATTGAGAGTATGGTAAGTGTGTATGTGCTTCAAGAGATGTAGTGGGTAGGGGTTGAGGCAGAAGTTAAAAAAAAACAAAAAAAAAACATAGATTTTTGGAAACCAACGTCTTATATTGGGCTTACATGAACATTATATACACACATGTCAATAAATTTAGAAACGGCGCTACGAGCAATGGTATGAGGATTTAAAGGAACAAACAGAAGGTGAATTGAAAGAGATGACAAGCAAAATCAGTCTTTTAACAGATCAGGTAAGGGGGAAAAAATTCTCTCATTAGAAATTTTTGCTTTTGTACTATTTTTTCCTAATGACATTTATACACTGTACAGATTGCTTTCGAAAGAAGAGTATCAGTAACTCAACTTGTTATTATGGTCAGCTTATTTGTTTTTATGGCATTATCCAGAGGAACATTCAGCCCGCTCTCGCCTGTCATGGCTGCTCAACAAGAAGAACGTAAGCGAAGAGAATCAATCGATCTTTCGTCAACAGGCGTGTCTAAAATGGATCCATCAACCCTGACGAAAGAATCAGCTACTACTAAAGAACAGAAACAGCAGTCTAAACAGAGTCAAGGAACTATCAGTGCCAATCTTACAGATGCTTCGACAAAGGAGAATGAAGATAGGCAAAACCAAAAACCGGTCGCCATAGCAACTGGTGTTCCTAAACTGAAAGATGCCCCGCTAAAAAAGCCAACCAACCCTAGACGACATAGTGACAGCCCATATCATTTAATGGCTCGTAAAGCGGATGGTCATAGTAGTAGTAGTAACAGTACGAAAGGAAATGAGTATCATAAGCCTTGCAATAGTAGCAATAGTGCTAGCACAAAATCAACTCGAAAACAGATGAGCTTTGAATCGCTAGGTATAAAAGTACAAGATGATAACGAATTTTTGAAGCAGCTCGATGATGCCTTATTGAAACAGCAACAGCAAGAACGGCTACCAGCAACAGTTATCGAAAAAACGCCTCAAAACAAAGGATCTGAACCAGCAGATGGAAAAGAATCCAACCAACGACAGAAAACACCATTGCTGGACAATGACATAAGTTCAACGGACCTCGAATATAAAATGATAAACTCTAGTCCTAACTCGTTAGAGTAGTGATACTGAACAGTGAAAGATCTCTAGAAATAAAACCATGTCGTAGACGACACGAGATAGCCGCTTTAAACTCCGTTTAATGCACTTTAAAATCAAGTTTCTTTTTTTTTCCTGAAATTGATGTATACATTTCCTGTTAAAACCGCCAATGAATCCTTTAAGTGGTCTTGTTAATTACTCTGATGATGAAAACTCCAGCTCAACGTCTTCCGATGATGAACAACAAGGTATTATTGTAATAAAAATTATTTTTTCGATACAGTAGAGTTAACAGTTCTCTTAAAAACTCTCAAAAGTTTGTCAATCTATAAAAGTAAATGCGATCTAAAGCGGACAATGCCAACATCTTTCTTTTAAGCTTAAAATAACCTCATTTATCCTTAGGAAGCCAGTCAAAATAAAGTTACAGAGGCAACGACAGAAACATCCAAAACGGTAACAGAACCTTTAAACAATCTAACAAACAAACCAGTTGAGCAATCAGCAACAACAGAAGATCTACCAAGATCGGTTGAATCAAAAGATAAAACAGCCTCAGCGCCGCAGAGAATAGAAAGCCGAGTTGGCGATCACAATAGACGATTAATAGCAGCGATAGCACCGAAGCCCATAGAGGGTGTAGATAATTGGGGTATACCCGATGAGACAACTGAGCCTTGCAGTCCAGGCCGCGTTGTAAGCCATTTCGTTTTTCTTCTATTCTGGCCATCGCACAATTTTTCAATACTCACCTTTATTTTTTTCTCTTGTAACAGGAACGGATTGCTCATTTTTTGTCCTTAAAAGCCTCAGGGCACCGACTCAATCATCATCTGCAACGTAATAAAGCATTCCATAACCCGCGTATCTATACCAAACTAGTTGAATTTACAGAAGTCGATGAAATTGGGAGCAATTTTGATAAAAATGATTACGACCCGCATGGGTTTCCTAAAGAAATGTATATTGATGGTATCCTGGAAACGCAAAAAAACCTTGCTGAAGAAAAGGCAATGCAACAACAAAATAGAACTTCTGTAAATTTTGTACCTCCTCAACAGCAACAACCAGCAAAAGCAACAACCAATTTAACAGAACAACAATCAGCAGCCATGGCGCAAGCCATGGAGGCGGCAGCAAGAGTAGCAAGCCGTATTGCGAAACCCCCTCCAGTGAGTACATTACCTACTGCAGCTGTCACTCCTGAGAAAAGAAGGAGCAAATGGGATGATACAGGTAGAAGAGATAAAAGAGGATAAACATCATTTGGTTTTAACAAGCGGAGTCTGCCGTTGTTTTATCAAACCAGCAAACGCGCACTTAATTTTGAGTCATCACAAAACCGAAAGCTCCTTCCTTTTATCCACTTCATAACGATGATTCTCTTCCTCATTACCAAAATTATTGCATTCCGCCTAATAAAATAATGCCTTTTTTAAGAGTAACCAACAGTCGTTTATTACGTGTTAGTGCAGATATCAGGACGAAGATGGTACACTACCGCTTCTACAACACTGGTTGTCTACGAACAACATCTTCTTTACCGAATAAAGTCGGCTTACAATTGTCGAAAGAGCATGGTAAATGTTAAACAAGCTGCTGATAAAATGACAGTGTTAGTGATAAGCTTAATATCTCTCAACAGGAGATCGAAAGAGAAGTACTGATTTGATGAAGCCCAATCATGATAATGATATTCTGCAAGTACCCGGCAGTACATATGGGTAAGCGACTTTTTACCATGCCCCCCTATCGTAAGGATTGAACTTCTAAAAAAGCTTCATATACTGCACGCACAGTGGGCAATATACTGTACATTGGGATCAAAAACCACGATCTGTTCTGATCGTCAAAAAACCTAACGACAAAAAAACAAATCAGGCCTTGCTAGATATAGCCAAGTAAGATAAATGAATTAGTCCAACAGCAACTGTTTGCAAATGATAACGCTGACATCAAAAGCACATAGTTGGCTACATCAAACGTATCCTGATACAAATATCATTGTTGAGCCAGAGGTGGCAGATGAATTTTACAGAGAATTACCATTTGTACATATTATTGAAGAGGATAAGAAAGAAGATTATACACGTGCAGTTGACTTTGCAGTTACTCTAGGGGGAGATGGCACTATGCTTCACTTATCATCACTCTTCCCAAAAGCAGCTCCTCCCGTCATTAGCTTTTCATTAGGCACCTTATGTTTTTTAATGTCATACAGTAACGTTGATAAAAGAAAAAAGAAAAAAAGAGCAAACCAAGCATAGACAGAAGGAAAAGCGATCTCGGTTATTGACGGCATTCTATATTTTACTAGAATTCGAAAACTATCAGCATGTTTTAACAGATATGATCGCGGGAAAAGCGAAACTAATGATGAGAATGAGATTATTTTGCTCTCTACATCAGGAAAACGGCAAAAGAATTGAAGTAGATGGAAAGGAAGTCAGTGATAGACAAGCAATGAATGAAGTTACCTTACACCGTGGACGATCACCCCATTTAACTACAGTTGAGTGTTCAGTAGACGACCAGTTTTTAACACAATGTGTAGCGGATGGCCTTATCGTTTCAACACCCACAGGGTCTACAGCGTATTCTTTATCAGCTGGCGGCCCTATTGTCCACCCAAGTGTTCAAAGCTTGGTTCTGACCCCCATTTGCCCGCGATCCTTGTCCTTTAGAACCGTATTACTACCGTCAAGCTCTAATTTACAACTAAAGGTTAGTATCAAAGCGAAAGGGTTTGGAAAGGAGGAAACGGTAATGTAACAATTTTTTTTGTTGAGGATTATAGATTGGTGAAAAAAGTCGAGGACCCATTGAAATATCTATTGACGGTCATGAGTTTTTCATGTTGAGTAAACGTCAATATATCAAGGTAAAATTTGTACAGTGCGAGGATATACATAAATGCGAGAACAGTTGCTAATTGCAAAATTTTCCTTTTTAAGGTTCGAATGTCAAAGTATCCTATCCCCTGCGTTACGCAAATAGGTGATGGTGTTGGTTGGCAGAAGAATATTAATGAATTGTTGAAGTGGAATCAGACATTTGGTGTGGGGATTTGAGTAGCAATCACCATTAAACACGCTATAAGAGGCATCACCTAGTGCAAGCACTTCTGATCGGATGTACGAGAACTTTAATTGGTACAACAGGTTAACAGTATGATGTTTTTGATGTAGTTGAAATTATTACTGCGCAAGCTTGCGTATTTTAAATCGGTGAAGTCATCCTTAGATATATATTTGAGCTAAAAGAACGATAAAAGAGTCGATAGAAATGAAATCTGTTTATCATTGTTCAATCAAGTTGGATGATTGGCGTTTGACAACCCAGCTATTTAATGCCCGTATTTTTTGCTTTGTAATGGAAAATGCATGTGAGCGCACGGTGATTCATGACACCCACCCCCTCCTGTTACTATTTAAAAAGAGACAGATTAGTGTATGACAGTAGCTAGATTCTTCTCTAACTTCTTCAACGCTATGAGCAAAGTTAAATTGTTTCACAATGACCATCCTGTCAACATCTCATTACCAGCTGCTGGAAATCGTACTGTCTCTTTGATAGATTATATTGCTGAAAATTGTCCTTCTTTGGTAGGACCAAACGCTATTTTCAAATCCACCCCTTATTTACTTAATGGACATTTACAAACAGCTTATGCTGCTTATTATAACCACTATCCAACCGCCAATGAAGTTCAATATGAGAGGTAAAAAAAAGGAAATGTCGACATCCAGGAACATGACAGATCCCGACTGCGGTTAGAAAGCATTGATACGAATTCTACCCCTCTTCTCGACCAATTACATCCCAATAATTAAATAAATTTGTAGAGAGCTTTTAACGACCTCGGATGGAGGTACTATTGCTTTGGATTGGTGTTCTAAAAAGGACGGGCTGGAGAATGATACCACACCAACATTGGTGGTGTTGCATGGTCTCACAGGAGGTAGCCACGAATCATACATTCGAGGCTTATTGGAAGTGGTAAATATGATGAAAACTTATAGTCGCGTAAATTAGCAGTTGTTGGATACATGTTAATAGGAGTGATTCTATATGAACAGTTATGCTATCCGCCTTTTAACTATAGAGCGGTTGTACTCAACAGTCGCGGTTGTGCCAACAGTGAAATTACTAGCCCACAAATGTATAGTGGAGGGTATACCGAAGATCTTCGTGCTGCTTTAATTCATATTCAAAAAAGACTTGGGCCCAAGACACCATTAATCGGCATAGGCTTTTCTTTAGGATCAAATATTTTAGTGAAGGTAAAGCTCATACTTAAATAACCAGCTCCTCATCGTTGCGTCCTAATACATATGTTTCCCTGCGTTTAGTACCTTGGTGAAGAGGGAGATAAAACGCCTTTTAAGGCAGCTATATCGGTGGCGAACCCTTTTGATTTCAGACTGTAAGTGTAGTAACAAAAAGGGCGCAGACATAACAACTGATGCCGATTTTGTCTTTGTGTCTTCAGATCAATGGATCGCCTATGTGAAACTTACATAGGTAGATATGTTTACTCGTCAGTAATGACAAAGAATTTGAAAGCAACAGCGGCCAGGTAATATCTTTGCACAAGAGTACAACAAGATAGTAAAACTCTGCAAGCTAATTATAACAATGTTCATATTAGACACTTGGATATATTGTCGAAGAACGGTACAATCAATCCGACTGAAGTGATGGCAGCAAGAAATATTCGAGAATTTGATAATGCTTGCACACGGAAAATGTTTGGTTATACTACGGTGAATAACTATTATCGCGATGCCAGCTCTTGTCGATTTATTGAGCATGTCAAAATCCCTTTATTATGTATGAATGCTCTGGATGATCCCATCGCTCCAGTTCAAAGTATTCCTTACGATGAAATTAAGGTAAACCCTTACGTAGTGTTAGCTACAACAGATCGAGGTGGACACATTGGTTGGTTTGAAGGCTTCAGGTACCCTACAAGGTGGGTGATCAAGCCGTTAGCAGAGTTTATTGTTGCTATGTTCAAGGTACACAACAAAAGAGAACACATACACTTTTTTACTGAGTCTAAATTTAGAAACGATTTCATTACTTTTTTAGGCGCACGATGTCAAAGAAATAAAACGCACAGACCATAAGCAGGAAATTGACCCTAATTAAATTTAAGTCAGCTTGATATGAAGAGCTTTAGTAATCATATTACTTCAATTATTACTTATTATATGCTCTTACGTTTATATATACCTGTTCTACGTCTTCAATAAATTGCCAAGTCGATAGACTCTCGTTTAATTTTTCCATGAAAACCGATATTGAAACCTAAAAGCTAAGTATTACTATTCTTGGGCAATTGTTGAATCAGCGTTTCTTCATTTTATCGCATTTTATTGCTCAAGTTTTGGATTTATTGACGTTTTTTAACATTGCTAAAAGCAACAAAAGCGGAGAGTCCCCAATTACTATACATGTACGAGAGGCGAGCGAAAAAATAGAAAAAATTTATTAACCATCCTTCTTTTAATTTCTTTTCAGTGAATTGCTGCTAATAGTTCACTTCTTTTTCCTTTTTACCTTCATTACTCTTAAAAGAAGAGTCTTTCTGAGGTAAACTACATGTACAATAACGGACCTCCCCAGCCGCTCCCTCATTTGAGGGATGAAGAGTATGATCAGTATCCTTTAAGTGAGACAAATTTTGTGGAACAACGACCTGTCATACAATCTCCCTTTGTTGATCCCTATCCAGCTGTAGAAGAACATCAACCACCAATGCCTACCTACGATAGCTCACAACCTCTTTTGCAAAATCCTACAATTATGACTCCACCTATGCCGCAACCTTATGGAAATGGCAGTCCGTATTCTGAATCGACGACTTTGCCTATACCTGGAGGTTATGAAAGTCCAATGGGTGGCCGGGCCTCTCCTGGTTTCTATACTGGTGCGCCAAGACGACAGCCTCGGCGCTATAAGACAAGTAAAGTATCAACAAAACATTATCTATGCACTGAAACTCTTAATATTCGCTTTATCTAACAATTTCTTTAATTATACCAAAAAATAATAAAAAACATCAGCCAAAAGGGTTAAGTTGACAAAAGGTAACCTCGTCCTCGACTGTCCTGTGCCATCTCGTTATCTTCAAGCTGTACCGATCAAAGATACCAAAGAATTCACTCATATGCGCTATACAGCTGCTACTTGTGATCCGAAAGATTTTGTCAGAGAAGGCTATACACTCCGTCAGCAATTATTGGGAAGAGAAACAGAGCTATTCATCGTCTTAACCATGTACAACGTAAATAGTTTTCATTGAATACCAATTTTTTAAGCAGAGGAGTAGGTTCTAAAAAAAAATTGCTTTTTCTCCATTAGGAAGATGAAGTATTATTCGCTAGAACAATGCATGGTGTTATGAAGAACATAGCCCATTTATGTACGCGTGATAGATCACGTACTTGGGGACCGGAGGGATGGAAGAAAGTGACGGTCTGTATTGTATCTGATGGTCGTAATAAAATTAATGAGAGAACACTGTCATTATTAGCAACATTGGGTGTATATCAAGATGGTATCGCTAAGAATGTAGTAGGAGATAAGCCTGTGACAGCACATATATATGAGGTATTTCAGATGATATTTCCAGGCTGGAAATGCAAATGGCAAAGACTAATGCATGCTATCTATAAATAGTACACAACTCAGTTATCAGTGGATCCAAAGATGAAGTTCAAGAGCGCAGACAAGGGCATTGTGCCGTGCCAAATACTGTTTTGTTTGAAAGAAAAAAATCAGAAGAAAATCAATTCACATAGATGGTTTTTCCAAGCGTTCGGCCCTCTCATTAAACCGAATGTCTGTGTCCTTATTGATGTTGGTACACGACCTGGTAATACGTCCATTTACCATTTATGGAAGGCATTCGATTTACACTCAAACATTGCTGGGGCTTGTGGTGAGATTAGAACTATGCCTGGCAAGTTCGGCTCCGCACTCATTAATCCACTTGTGGCAGCACAAAACTTCGAATATAAGATGTCTAATATTCTGGACAAACCGCTCGAGTCTGTCTTTGGCTATATCTCTGTCTTGCCTGGTGCCTTTTCAGCATATCGATACGAAGCTCTTTTGAATGATGTGAATGGACATGGACCGTTAGAGAAGTATTTTTTGGGTGAAACACAGCACGGTGGCGATGCAGATATTTTTACAGCAAATATGTATCTAGCCGAAGATCGTATTCTTTGTTACGAGTTAGTGTCAAAAAAGAATGCTGCTTGGAAACTTCATTACGTCAATCGAGCTTATGGAGAAACTGATGTGCCAGAAAAAGTGGATGAGTTTATTTCACAAAGAAGACGATGGCTCAACGGTTCCTTTTTCGCTGGCGTTTACGCTCTTTGGCATTGGCGCAAAGTTTGGTCTTCTGACCACTCTATTATTCGAAAAATATTATTTATGTTTGAAGATTTATACAACACTTATAATCTTGTTTTTTCATGGTTCGCTCTCGGCAACTTCTATCTCACCTTTTTCATATTGACCAAAGCTTTGATTCCCAGCGATGATCCGACCAGTATTAATAATGCGCCATTTTCCTATAACGCCGCTAATATTTTGCATACTGTCTTAAACTATATCTATATCCTTTTAATTGTTATCCAGTTCATTATGGCAATGGGCAATAGACCACAAGGTTCAAGGATTGCTTACACTTTGTGTATGGTTTTCTTTGCTCTACTTATGATCTATATGATGTTCGCTGCGATTTGGATAACGGTGGTTGGTGTTACTACCATTGTGGAAGAATCAAACGGAGACTTCATGGCTATGCTGGGGCAAAGTGCTTTTAGGAATATTATCATATCACTTTGTGCGACTTACGTTATGTATTTCGTCTCCAGTTTCTTGTTCCTTGATCCTTGGCATATGTTCACTAGTTCCTTGCAGTATATACTCTTATCGCCTAGCTACACAAATGTCCTCAATATATACGCTTTCTGTAATACGCACGATGTTTCTTGGGGAACTAAAGGCGACAACACAGTGGCTACGGATCTTGGTGTCGTGAAACCCAAGAAGGATTCCGAAACGGTTGAAGTGGAATTGCCCACAGAACAAAAAGACTTGAATGAAATATATGAAGAGGCATGCTTAGAGATTAGCAAAGAGGCCATACCCGAGAAGCAACACCGTGATCCTAAGACGAAGCAAGAAGATTATTACCGTGCGTTCCGTACCAGATTGGTGGTATCATGGATTGTCTCTAATTTGGTTTTGATCGTTGCCATTACAAACACTTCCATAATCACCACCGGCGACCGTTCAGCAGCTTATTTGGGCTTCGTTCTTTGGTCTGTAGCTGGCTTATCAGCGATTAGATTTGTAGGCTCAACGCTCTATCTTGTCATCAAGATCTTTACGGGGTAATTCGCGTCTGTCAAACGGATTGTTAGAAACTTCGTACTCTTTTGTATATATACTTAGCTAGACTTTTCTTAAGCATACATTATTTATAACAATCTGCAATGTATATATGTACGCTGAGGAAACATTTAATCATAATATAAACCATCATTTAATGCATTTTGACGCCGTGAGTGACATCTTAGTAATTTTAACATTGGCACTTTAGTTAACCACATACAATGAGGAGACCAAAAACGCAAAAATATAACCGCGTATCGTTCGAATAGCGATTGAATTGCGTGGGTACTGGAGAGCGCTTGTTTTCGGAAACGAGATTGTGTATTTACTCCTTTCAGCCATTCCAAAAGTTGAAATAGGGGTTGATTGACAGTTTGCCTGTTCTAATAAATGTTACACTAACAAGCTTTCGAAATAGATCCTTATGTAAAATTGTTGAATAAGAAACTGCATAATTGTTCACTACTGTTTAACGTGGATTAAGTGGCCGTAAGGATCACAGTTTGATTTCATCTGCCTGCTATAACTACAGCAAGTCAGTTAAACCAATGAGTTTATTCACTTGCAAACCTATAACTTCTTTAATTGAGCTGTTACCAGGCCAAGATACGTGTAAGTTCTTAATTTGAAGAATTTCGCCACTATTCACTGTAAGTCTTTCGTATGGAAAACTGTGGAAGCCTCTAAGTTTCTTTCTATTGTTTGGGATTTCTCAAAAGACTAAGTAACACGCAAATCATGCGGTATGCTCATTTTCGTGTTGCATTACACTCCAGTTTTTATTGACAGCAACTTTTAAAATTTTGTGTATATGTCCAGCAAGTATAAAAAAAAGTTAGACTTATTGGGAAACTGCCATTAGGAAGATATTGCTTAATGTAATTGTCTCGCAGCGTCAATCATGGTAGATTCAGCATTTAAGTACTTTAGCTTAAAAGCGTTCAACACTTTGCACTAACTCCTTTTTTGCTCAGAAAAGGGAGCGAACGTTTAATTGCTGGTGTGGAAAATCGAAATAAAGTTTCTTGCATTCTGTCCTGTTCATCTATTTTTTTATTCTTATTTTTTTTTTTTTTTCCTCCTTTTACCAACTCTGTTTAATTCTGTTTGCTCCTCTCATCTCCTTCTTCTTGCTTTAATATTTGAACAATTACTTTGTAAATAACTGTTAACGTACTGTTCAGTTGTATATACAGGGGAATACAATTACAATACAAGAATTTATCGAACGTGATTGGACGAGTACATAGCAGTATTGATCGAAATACGAGTATTTTGATGAGCATTCACTTCCACACAGTGAAATAATGACAATATCCTCACCACAACCACTATATATGTCAAGCAATCACACTAACTCACTGTCTCCACCGGGATCGCCGCCACGATCAGTACCCACATCGATGACATCGCACTTCGTACAGGCGCTACATGACTATTTACCATCGTCAGTAACGACTGAGGAGTCAGCCTCCTGTTTATTCTTCAAAAAGGGCGCAATTATTGAGGTTTTCAATAAAGACGATTCTGGTTGGTGGGATGGTCAGTGTGGGGATGTGAGAGGCTGGTTTCCAAGCAACTATGTAGGCAGAATTGGTGAATTGAAACGACAGAATGCTGACTTTGAAGATAATTATTATAATGAAGACTTAGAGTTATGGCATCATAAAATGAATCAACCTACAACAAACAATACGACTTTTGTGTCACACACAGACTATGGTACAACAAAGGTAACATTAAAAGACCATCATTGTTATCATCACGTTAAATTGAATGGCTTTTAATCACGTTGTAAACCCGCAATATATAACAGTTTGTGCCAACCCAAGGCTACAGAAGCTCTAATAGCAGCTTACGTAGACCGGACAGAGATACATCGAATTCCAACGTATTACCGCTATTTTCAACGAATTCCATGCACTCTCTAATTGGAGACGTATCAAACAGAGTAGCTGATTTAGTAGATGCATGTAACAACCCTTCCGAATCAGATATTCAGCTCTTTGTCTTTCAAGTTGTTGCATCAGTTAGATCTGTACTAACAGAGGCTAATATTGTTAACAAAGAAAGCCCTCTTTTAAACGTATATCCTGATTTATCCAGACAACGAAAAATCGTTCTAAGCGCGCTGAGCAGGCTTGTTCTTAAAGGCAAAGAGTTTCAGCAAATTAATTATATGTCACAGAGTCAAACAGATGAAGATCAAGTATCGTATTTGGCAGACCAGCTTTTGAATGAGATGAATATACTCGAAAACTTATTGTTAGCGTTATCTCGCCAATCATTCACTCTTACAGAAAGCACCGCGGATACTACGCGTCCATCCTCGATGTTTACCTTTGATACACCACGTTCATCCATATCCTCATTTGGCCATAACTCACTAATGTCGGCACATTCGGGAAACATGCGGCCAGTCGTCCCCGAAGCACGCTATTCTACCCATAGCAGTGTATCCATCAAAACCAGGACTACAGTATTTTCTGATAAAGATAGCATTCTGCAAACTGTATTAGACCATCAGACATGTATAGATGAACTAATAGGCTGCCTTGTAATGGCAATAGAGCACTATCTTATTAATAGTCACAGAGCAACAGAGATGCTAGAGACTACCCGAAAAGCCGTTGAAGCTGTCAGAAGTTTCTTATCAGTTGTTGAAAATATATGCTCCAGCCTGAATGAACCAGAATATAGCAAGCAGTTATCAGCCATTCGAGACGATCAGCGTTTAGTAACTGTCATCATCTCAAAAGAAACAGTGTATAGTGCAATTACAAACTTGGTAACTGCCGTGAGAGCATTATCTGCCCCGCAACAGACCAACGAATTTGATAGAGCCAGGTTGAGAAAGGACTATGACAATCTATGTTCGTGCTGTGAGAATGTGATCAAAACAACAAATGAATGTGCAGCATGTATAAGGGTTTGCTTACAGACAGGGAACGAGAACGGTCGAGCACCACATTTAATTACACGCAATATGCAAGATAGACCAACATCTGAATACCAACGACAGGAGTTGAATGCAAATCGAGTTGATACAATTGCAAATCTCGGACGAAAAGCAATTAGCTTACAGGCTATCCAACAGTATCGGGAAGAGCATCCAGAGAATAAAAACCCGCACGAAGAAAGGGGCGAAAAAGGTCATGCAGAACAAGACATTGAAGCTCTTGCAATAGAAACTGTGCCAAAAATCAGTACAAATACAGAAATACCTACGATGAGTAGACTATCATCGTTAGAAGAAGGTGTGCGCAGTTCTTTAGAAACCACAACTTATAATTCTTCAAATCTCAATTATCGATCACTCCCTTCTTCATCTTCTTTACCATCGCCTTCCATATCTACCTCAACAATGGACTCCGTGATATTGCCTGGGAACATCACTACTCAAACAGCATCATCATTAGAAACTATCGTACCTGAGGCTTGTCCTCCACGGAAAAGTAAAATGCGACCTCGGGCTGCCTCCGTGAATAATTCAGTCGAACTTCCTTTTTTAACATCTAAAAACAATTCAAACATAAAGTCATCGGTAACTGCAGCTTTTCCTTTGCCTCCTACTGTCAGTTTACCATCTATACAAGATCTTGGAAGAATGTCTCCGAAAGAAGCGATGCCAAAATTACGCAGACCGAGAGGTGTCAGTGTTTCTTCCTTACGGCCTTCGATGAGTAAGCCTAAAATAGAGCGTATCTCAACTTCAGCCTCATCAGAAAGCCTACCTGAGTCCCTCAACAAAATATCATCATGGATATCACTGAACAACCCTCTGGAGGAGTCGCACAAAAACACGTTCTCGTCTGAAAAAGAAACCTCCACGGTTTCTACGCCTGCGCAACAAATTTCCTTTACAAAGGTAATAGATTTTAATACAAAACAAGTTATTTGTTATTATTTTCCTCCCTCTTAATATTTTATTCTATTTTTGTTATAAAAAACTGTGTAGAGCGAAAACGAGTACAGTTTTCTAAAACAACGTCCATTTAGTGAAGAAGAAATGATACTCAATGCAGATGGAGAAGTTATAGGTGCTACCGTTGAGGCTCTCGTCAGAAAGTTGACGCTTCATGAAAAGTCCCCAGGTAACTCAGCGTCAGCCTCCGTTCTCGTTTGATGAAAGTCATTAACATTTTAGTCAATTTTTTGATAGACCTCATCTTCACAAGGGCTTTCTTCTACAACTTTAGACTATTCACAAATCCTCCCGATTTCGTCAAGCTGCTTCAGGAGAGGTTTGTTTTACGACCACCCAGTGATTCTCAACTATTGACTGATGAACAAATAGCTATATGGACGAACCGTATTCTGATCCCAGTTCGACTCCGTGTATACAATGTCATCAAGACGTGGATGGAAAATTATTTTGACTACGAGCAGGATGCTTGCGTTGAGCATGCATTAACTGATTTCGCTTCGAACGAAATGACCAAAGCTATGCCGGGTCCTGCTAAACGAATGATCGACCTCATCAAAAAAACTGTAAGTTGAATCTACTTGTAAGCTAGAGAAGAGTAAATTCTGATATCTAACATAATGACGTTTCGAAAGTTTTCATCAAAGGGCCAAAGCTGTTCCGGTCATAAACATTCTTACAACGAGAGTCGTGTTGCCATGCAGAAATCGAATTCATTCAACTTACAATCATCCTCTTCAACTTCGAATGGAAGCAATACTTCTCTTTTTGGTAGTCTAACCCTTTTCGATGATCACCATCAAACAGATTCAACAGATAAATACCCATCAACTATTATGAGCAAATCACTGAGGAATACTTTAAGAAAAGCTTTAACCCAAAACATACTGTCTTTGTTACACGTTAACGACATCGAACCATTAGAACTAGCAAGGCAGTTAACATTATTAGAAAGTGATCTTTTTTGCCGTATTCGGCCGAACGAAATGATCGGCCAGGAATTCAAAAAAAAAGTTGGCACTAGCCAAGCTGTTCACGTAAAAGCAATGATCCAAAAAAGTACACAAATCACTAGTTGGGTTTCGGATACCATACTTAATGAAGCTGATACCAAAAAGCGTGCCCAGGTTTTGAAGTACTGGATCAAAGTTGGCGATGTAAGTCGTTCCATTCATTTTATTGGGCATTAAAAAGCCAAATCTAACGTTGAATTGTTTTAATGCGACGACAGGTTTGTCTACAGTTGAACAATTATAATACCCTGATGGCTATCCGGTCAGCATTGGATTCCACAAGCATTGCTAGATTGAAAAAGACTTGGGATTATCTGTCAATCAAATATAAAGCGATGTGGGAGCCTATACATAGAGCCACTGATTCTCAGCGTAATTTTGCTGAATACCGACAACGCCTTAAAAGTACAGTAGCTCCTTGCCTACCTTTTCTTGGAGTGTACTTGACAGATATGACATTTATAGACGATGGGAATTCAGATTATCGTACCTCACCAGGCGGTAAACAGCTGGTGAATTTCGATAAATATGTGAAAATTACAAGGATTCTAAGTGAAATTGACCAATTTCAAATACCTTACAAATTATTTGAAGTGGAAGAAATCCAACGATATCTCCAAAAGACTCTTTCGTCGGTAGAACAAGACGACCAAGTCTTCTACGTAAAAAGTTTGAAACGCGAGCCTAAAGAAGAAGAGGCGTAAAAAAAAAAAATTTATTTATTCTCTATGTCAAAAGGCACATTATCAATCTTTTTATCCTTTACAATTTTGCTCTATTTGCCAACAAATTCATTGTACAGTTTCTATTTCTTCTATTCTCAATGCAGCATCTTTCATAAAAATTCACGTTCTTTATAAAACATCCGCTTATCATCAAGCTTACTTTGATTCTGCTAAGACCAAAACGGCGGATTTAAAAGATAAAAACAGATTGGTGGATCAAATACAAGCACGAGGCAGATCAGAAAATAGTTGTAACCTGGTTTCTGCATCTTGCTGTATGCAGAGTTCTTGGCAAGCCCGCAATCTTGAACAACTGTCTACTTTTCTTTGAAAACATAATATGCCAGGCGTAACTTCTATGCTTTTAAATATTGATAGCGTCCTGAACAAGTTTAGCATGGAAATCAGGCCCCGTACCTCTTTTTAGGAAATATCAGCCCTATTGTTCATTTGATATGATCGGTAACACAGATCCAATTAAACGGTTTCAAAAGATCAGAAAAAGGCAAGCCAAGGGACACCGATCCTCCGACTATCGGAACTTCAGCTGGAGTACAGAAAACAAAAAAAAGAAAAAAAAATTCCTGGAAAATATTGAAATGTTCTATGAACTTTCCTTGAATATACGTACAGAAACATCTACCGCAATTGTAAGAGCTGCAATGACTGGAAACTATATAATTGATGATGATTTAGAAGTAGTAGATGCAACTGTTAGAATTCATCGTACTGATCTAGAAGGAAAATATAAGACAAAGGCCCCTAAGTAACTGTTTTTGCCAGTTACCATTTTAGTTAAATTACCAATGAGAACCAATGCAGTGTGACGAGTTCTACGGGTGGCTTTTCGCTGCGCAACAAAAAAATTTTGTTCTATAAATCAGACCGAACTTTCTGACGTTTTTATTGTTTTTCTTTTTTTTTTTCCCTTTTATCACTAAATAACTTTTATCAAGTGCGTACATAATAGTTAACGTTTGTTTATATTACAACATAAAACTAATATAATACTCTTTATCATAACAGCAATGGGTAAGGAGAAGACTCACGTTAACGTTGTCGTCATTGGTCACGTCGATTCTGTAAGTAGAAGCACCCTTTCACGCTTTCGTTCACATTTCACAATGCTTGGATAACAAGACAATGGACGAAAAAAAAATTTTATATCAAGTTAATTGCTGCGATGGAAAAAGATAACTTACCAATTCATTTCTGTACGTTCAACAGGGTAAATCCACTACTACCGGTCACTTGATTTACAAGTGTGGTGGTATTGATAAGCGTACCATTGAAAAGTTTGAAAAGGAAGCCGCCGAACTCGGTAAGGGTTCCTTCAAGTACGCTTGGGTCCTTGATAAGCTTAAGGCCGAACGTGAACGTGGTATCACCATTGATATTGCTCTCTGGAAGTTCGAAACCCCCAAGTACCACGTTACCGTCATTGACGCTCCTGGTCATCGTGATTTCATCAAGAACATGATTACTGGTACTTCTCAAGCCGATTGTGGTATTCTTATTATCGCTGCCGGTACTGGTGAATTCGAAGCTGGTATCTCCAAGGATGGTCAAACCCGTGAACACGCTCTTCTTGCCTTCACCCTTGGTGTCCGTCAATTGATTGTTGCTATCAACAAGATGGATACTACCAAGTGGTCCGAAGCTCGTTATAACGAAATCGTCAAGGAAGTCTCTTCCTTCATCAAGAAGATCGGTTTCAACCCCAAGTCTGTTCCCTTCGTCCCCATCTCTGGCTGGCACGGTGATAACATGTTGGATGAATCCAACAACATGCCCTGGTTCAAGGGATGGACCAAGGAAACCAAGGCCGGTTCCAAGACCGGTAAGACTCTCCTTGAAGCCATTGATGCTATTGATCCTCCTACTCGTCCCGTTGATAAGCCTCTCCGTCTTCCTCTTCAAGATGTCTACAAGATCGGTGGTATTGGTACTGTCCCCGTCGGTCGTGTCGAAACTGGTGTCATCAAGGCCGGTATGGTTGTCACTTTCGCTCCCGCTAACGTCACCACTGAAGTTAAGTCCGTCGAAATGCATCACGAAACCCTCACTGAAGGTCTTCCCGGTGACAACGTCGGTTTCAACGTCAAGAACGTTTCCGTCAAGGATATCCGTCGTGGTAACGTCTGTTCTGACTCCAAGAATGACCCTGCTAAGGAATCTGGTTCCTTCACCGCTCAAGTCATTATCTTGAACCACCCTGGTCAAATCTCTGCTGGTTACGCTCCTGTCCTCGATTGTCACACTGCTCACATTGCTTGTAAGTTCGCTGAACTCGTCGAAAAGATCGATCGTCGTTCCGGTAAGAAGCTTGAAGATGCTCCCAAGTTCGTCAAGTCCGGTGACTCCGCTATCGTCAAGATGATTCCCTCCAAGCCCATGTGTGTTGAAGCTTACACTGACTATCCTCCTCTTGGTCGTTTCGCTGTCCGTGATATGCGTCAAACCGTCGCTGTCGGTGTCATCAAGGCTGTTGAAAAGGTCGATAAGGCCGGTAAGGTCACCAAGGCCGCTACCAAGGCTGGTAAGAAATAAATTTCCCCACCTTGATCTTGAACTATATTAGCATATATATATTATCTATACAACACATCTGATGTTTATAATGTAAAAAGAAAAGTCCTTTTGTTTACGGGTACTTTTGGTCTAATGAATTTTTTTTTTTTAAAAAAAACATAATAAAAATCCCTTAAAAATAATGTTGGCGCGTTTTTTTTTTTTTTAATTTTTTGTTTATGCAGTTTTATTTGTTTGAAGTTACAACTGATATTATGGTCAGATTGCAGCATTTAATGTACGAAATGATTGAAAAACATACAAATGGAAAGATATGATTTGCAGATATTGCAATTAGGGAACTGAATGCGCTTTTGTTCCTTGACCAACTAAGGAGTGATGAGAATACGGAGGGTATTGGTATTACCCAATCCGCCTCTCCATCCTTGAATAGCAATAATAGGCTCGTTGTGTCCGATTAACCTGATTAGAAAAAAGAAACAGAAAAAAAAAAAAAAAAAAAAAAGTCAGTTCGGAGCCATTTCTTAATTGCAGTTGGTGAGCTTACCCATATTTCATTGCTTGCTCCATGCCTACGATTTAGAAAAGTCTTAGTGAGGTCTCATCAAGACAGATACAAAAGTGCGTTAACAAATGGTATTTACCCCACTTCATTCTCATATCTACATCGTCTTGCCAAGGAGCCAAATCCAATGGACTCAAATAATCAGTGCTGTTAGAGGCACTCAATCTGCTGGCTTCTTTCGAGGAAGCGGTAGGGTAATAAAAAGGGAAGCAACCTCTGTGGAGATGGATTTGACGTGCTGTCGCCGGGTTTCGCGTAATGACAATAATTGGCATAGAGGGCCGATACTTTGAAATCATAGCAGCTGAGGCACCTGATGTCGTCAGGACCAAGATAGCCTTAGCTTCTTGTTCTAGAGCTGCGTTGACAGCAGCGCATGCAATTGTTTCGGTGGTGGTAGTAGGAAGAGGCTGGAGTGTCTGAATCTCGTTAAAGAGTTTCGGATAACAAATGACAGATTCAGCTAGCAAACACGTTTGATGCATTGTACGAACGGCCTCAATAGGATAATTACCCTTAGCCGTTTCGCCTGAAAGCATAACGCAATCGGCGCCATCCAAAACGGCATTAGCAATATCAGAAACTTCTGCACGAGTGGGTCGCGGATTATACTAAAACGATGTAATAGATTCAAAAATTAGCAAGATGGCGCACAGAGCATATTGTACAAAAAACCAAACGTTCAGTATATGAAACTTACTGTCATTGATTCGAGCATCTGCGTCGCACTAGTAGGAAAGTAACATCAATATGACACGTACATAGTATGGAGCATATCTATAATTGTTATTTTACCAAATAACGGGTTTGCCAGCAAGGTTACATTTGGCTATCATCATTTTCTGGGCAATAAAAACACGCTCTAATGGTATTTCAATACCCATATCCTAAACAACGCATCAGGGAAGAAATCAGAAAACGAAAAGTACTCAAGCCATTCTAATATGCAACTTTAGTGATTTTGCTTACACCACGAGCCACCATAACTCCATCCGTCTCTGCTAGAATCTCGTCAAAATTTTCGACGCCTTGATGGTTTTCAATCTTTGATATGATCTTGATATGCTTTCCTTTCTCACCCAATACGTTTCGAATATCCTTTACATCCTGACCGCGTCGAATGAAAGAAGCAAAAATCATATCGACTTTGTTCGTCACTCCAAATTGAAGGTCGGCCTTATCTTTCTCAGAGAGAGCTGGTAAATCGACTGGTGTGCCAGGAAGATTGACACCCTTACGGGAGCACAGTTTACCATCATTCAGGGCTCTGACGCGAACACTGTCTTTTAAAACTTCTATCACTTTGAGTGATAAGGCACCGTCATCAACGTATATCAATTTGTTGGTTTGAATCACTTTTGGTAAATTCTTGTAATCGATATACATGACTTTGTCGTCACATTTCTCTTTAAAATTGTCATCGACGCTAAGCAGGAATTCATGTCCAGCTTTGATAGGTATCTAATAGTGACATAGTAGCATTGTCATAACTTGTTTTTAGTTGATGTTTTTTTAACTGCTGAATAAATCGATCGTTTTACCTCAATATCATCTTTCATTATGCCTGTCCTTATTTCTGGACCCTTTGTATCCAAAGCGATAGCAGTAGGTCGTCCAGGATACACTGTAAAGGAAAAAGTTAAGCCTGCTATTTCAAATACACAAAGTACCTCATGAATGTACGAGCACTTACTTTGTGTACTCTTCCGTGTATTGTCAATGACGGATCGGTGGTACTATATAATTGATTGATTCAATCATTTATTAGCTCTGAGATACACACAGTGTGCCTTTTTGTTCGTTTTGACGCTCTAACAGGTTTATGTACCTCATAAGAGCCATGTGAAAAGTTCATACGAACTACGTTCAATCCAGCATTTCTTAATTGTGTAATCGTCTCTACACTGTTTGTTTTGGGGCCTTTTTTTTTGTTTGTTTGTTTGGAATAGAAAGTTTAATTTGTACCACTACAGTTATCTCTATGCATAATGTTGAATGATCTTACCAATTGTTCCTATAATAGTCGTCTTTCTTGAGGCAGTCGTGTTGATATTGACATTCATTTGAGATAGCCATTGTAATTCACATGTTGTTGCTGCGTTCAGCTGCATTTTAGTCTATTCACCTTTTGTATACAAAAAAGAAAGAAAAGAATCTCGTGACGCGAATTGCTACTTTTTTTTTTTGGGAACTGATAAAAAGCTTGCATGAAAGTAAAACCCTTGTTCTTTAAAAGTAATATTTTTGTCATGATTTTTTTCTCTCCTCAAACATCGTTTATAGACCAACTTTTTCTACGTATGAATGCACGTTGAAAGCTGTCTGCAGTGGAAGGATGCTGCAGAAAATGAAGTGCATGAGTACCTTTATGTATATGCACATATCCAATCCTTGCTTAGGCTTCCTTTTGTGAGGAAAATTTCAAGTGACAGTTTCGCTTTTGGAAAATTCCTTTCGATAGTATTGGACGGATCTTACCTTGTGATAGCGTAATTTAATTAGGCGGTGTATACGACAAAGGATTTTGGTTATCATGGTCCGAAGGTCAATGGCTTCTTCAGAGATTCTACTGAGGTTTTTAATGACACTGTTATGCCGCTGCTGTTGAAACGATCTCAGACGACTTTGACAAGTCCAGATGACATGACAGCGTTCACCCAGCTGGGGAGCCTCTTATCAGGAGAAGAAAAAGGTTACAAATTGACCAACTCTGTAAAGGGCCGACGGGTCCAGTTGAGAGCGTGCATAGTCGCTGATGTAGGCCTTTAAGACCCTACCAGTCTTTTACCTTCTTCTCTTTTATCTGCAGGATACGCAGATATGCTAAGATTGTAACCCTTTGTACCATGAGTCTAAACGATAACATTCAACTTGCCAGATCATTTTGAAAGGGAACCTTCTGTCAGTCATTCTTCAACATTTAAGATTATGTCTGCCATTTTTTAGTTGTGTAAACATCACCGAAAGCAAAAGCATATAGCACTGAAGACGTACGCCACTTATCTCAAATTAAATCATATTCACTGGTTTTAGATGCTGAAAGACATTATTATCCCTGTCATAACTACATATCCCCATTCTTCTGTAAACTCTTTCTTTTTCTGGTAAACGTTTCGAACCATTAAAAGGCAACTTAGTCTTATTGGCATAGCGCCTTGTTTGATGATGTATTCTGCCTTTACTATATGCAGCAGTAAATAAGCGACTCTAGACCTCCCGCAGCTTTAGCTCATATTGTTGTGGCAAGTGCATAACTGAGCTGTACTCATTCTCACTTTTCGTTAAGCATGAATATCCTTTAGATTACTTTCTCTTAGTTTCTCGCCATAATTGTTCATCTTTCAATTTTCACTTTTTAAACAATGTTACTCAGAAAATAAATGAACGAGAAACCTAAAGGCAATAGATGAAGGTTAGAACATTGTATTTTTTTTATTTCCGTATATCTTCTCCTCTGCAAAGGCATATGCATATCCGATCATAATCGTGGGCGAAAAGGGTGCGTTTCAGCAGTATTTCTTCCTGTATTTCAACGTTAATGCTTGCAACGACTATTCTAGAAAGTTCGCTGTATAGTACCATAGACAGTAGATCTTTCTTTGTACTTTCGCAACGGGATGTTAAGCTGAAAGACGTTGACAAAGGCAACATCAATCAAGGCTAGCCAAGCATTACCAGAAACGTACAACGAAAATCGCCGAAGCGTGAGCCATGTCGTCCATTTCCCTCCAGGAAGGGGTGGCGACCTGAAAAGATATTTATGGTGCTAGACAAGGTGCTTTAGAACATCACTTACTATTCCCTTGAGTTCACTTATTTGAATTACTTTTAAAAAACAAAATACAGGACACGTGTCTGAGTTTAAACTGAAAAGTTTATAACTTGTCATATAAAAACTGCAATTGTGTTCCAAGCAAAGGTTGACACAGACATCCAAAAAAAAACTGAAGAATGACAGGTACAGCGATAACGTACAAAACTGTTTTGTGCAGTATTTAACCGAGTTATACATTGTTGGAATATAGATTACGCTGAAGAGCAAGCCAATGAACTAGAAGCTCTTCAATCTATTTATCCTGATGAATTTGAAGGTAATTTTTTCCTTGAAAACAACCACATTCACTGATTTTTTAAGATTGATCCTTTTTTTTTTCCCCTCGACTATTTGTGTGGTATTAGCTATTAGTGAGAAAGAATTCACAATTGCAGTGTATCCTGATGAACAAGACGAAGACCACCCACGTAAGTTCTCACTGGATACAATCGATCCATCACCATAATCTGTCAAGTTACTTGGGTAACGGACATTGACTCACGTTTATATGCTTGATCTACAGGTGGATTATCTCTTCATGTGACATATACACCAAACTATCCCGATGAGCTGCCAGAATATGAGATTGAAACAATAGAAGGCACTATTCCACAGACCTACTATACAAAAATCAAACATTCTGTCAAAAACGCTGTAAGACTACTTCCATTTCAATCAACTTATAAGTTCAGGAATTGGGCGGTCGTTTCTCTGATAAACCATACAATTTATATTCTTCTGTTGCAATTTAGGCCGAAGAATCAGTGGGTATGGCCATGATTTTCACGATGGTAATGGCTATGAAGGAAGAATTAGATAATATCAAATTGGATGCGCAAAGAGCGGAGGAAGAAGAATTGAACGAAAGAAAACGCAAAGAAGAGGAGGCTGAGCAAGCCAAATTCACTGGTACTAAAGTGACAGTAGAGAGCTTTATGGAGTGGAAGAAGAAATTTGATGCTGAAATGTTGGAAAAGGATGCAATTCTAAAAGCACAAAGAGTAAAGGAATTGAAGGGAAAACTGACAGGACGCCAATTGTTCGAACAAGATAAAACACTCGCCTTATCAGATGCGAAGTATATGGAAGAAGGCGATGTGTCCGTGGATGCGTCACAGTTTGATAAAGAGGAGCGTGGCGGTGCATTGGATGATGAGGAAGATGATGAAAATGCTGTCTGGAAGCAACTGAAAAACGAGGATTAAATATTATTGCATACTCCAATGTTTATAATGGATAGCATTTACAATCTCTTTCTTTCACGTTCCTCCTGTCCGCCAAAAAAATAAAAATCTACAAAAAACCAGAAAGATATGACTTGCGTTAAAACAACTATTTTTACTAAAAAATTCTGATAGTGTCAATACACTAAAGTTTCCTTTTTAAGAGTTTGCACCCTTTCATGCAACAAGAAGAATTGAGACTTTATGCTTTTGGTTTTAATGGCTTTAAGCAGATAGATGGCGACAGCACCGCCACTATCATTTCCTCGCCCAAATGTTACGTGGGTATAAGCAAAGTGCTTTATGTAGGATGGGAAACAACCATTCTGATGGATGGTAAGTTCTGCACATGTCGGCTCCATTTCACGTGCTCAGATGTTGACTTGTCTTTCAATAGCTAAACACAATGTACTGATACTCGGCTTCAAACCAGCTTGGTTTTCTCGTTTTGAGTCTGCTTGTGCGAACAGAAAGCTAAAAAGTGTCTTTGGCGACCCAAACAAATTTCTGGGCTTTGTAGACGAATACAACAACCTATCCATCATCACAGAAGCACCAGAAAACAGCGAGATAGATATTCTATCAAATATTGTGAAAGCAGTGTTCTGTCAACATCTTGATACCCTTATACTGCTCGATACGTATGGACAAGTACAGCAGTGCAGATACAATAATATTAAAAACACAATCGAGCCTATTTCTTTTCTCAGCAAGGTTAAGGATCTATGTGCGTCGAAATCTCACGTATTATTCGCAACCTCGTCCAACGATCTTCCAATTTATGGAATGGGGTCGAACCGATTATCACAGTTGGGCATAGATTACCATGAACTGCAAGCCTCTGATACACCTACTTTGATAGAGTATTTTTGTGGACTAAACCTTCCAACAAATAATATTGCGTGTGGGCCGTTTCATTCAGCTGTTGTACGGGGCAATGAGTTATACACATTTGGATGGAGCAAAGATGGTAGACTGGGATGGGGAAGCAACAATGAGAATAACGATGGCGATATTGTATCCTTATCGAGTTTCCTGGATTGTAACGATCAACCCGTCATACTAGATAATGATAACGACAAAGCCAATGATTCCCTATCTATAAAGCAAACAGCGTGCGGAACCAACCATACAGTAGCTATAGACGAAAAGGGTCGAGTTTGGACTTGCGGTAGCAATAAGTATGGCCAGTTGGGTCGTAACGTCATTGGAGACGTTGACAAATATTTCAAAGAATGTAGATTGTTCAATATCAATTCTGAAAAAGCAATAGATTGCTATGCAGGCAACTGGTCGACATTTATTTTGACAAAGGCGTTGAACTAAATGAAGGCCGCCATAATAAACTACAAAAGTTCTTTTCGGAGCTTTTACTTCTTGAGCAATTGCCACCATGCGTGTCACCTCGTTGTAATAGCAGATTCCACGACGTCAACGGCAACTGAGCGCTTGATACCAGAAAAGCTCAACCTGAGCATTTTTTCTAGGATTCTTCTCGGACGTTTTCACATACCATTGTTTGAAAAGGGACATGCTACTTACTTCTTATCGACAGATAACGAGATCTTCACAGTCAGGACCGAACCGTTTTCATTGTCCGATTTCAAATTTTTGGTTTTTTTTTTTTTTTATAATAACGGCTGCTTGTAACTGAACCTTCTTCACTTTCTTCTGTTCGTCCTACGGAATTATTACTAATTGTACCTTTTATCCAAATCAACTAATGCTTGATATCACTCCCAATATCCTGTACAATCAGCTTAAGGGTATGGTTCTGAACTGATATTGTTACTTTTTCATCTATGCTAAAGATGCTCCTCTTTAGAAAATCCCATAAATTGGTTATTGCTTGGTGTAAGTGCACGAATATTGAACATCTTCAGAACTGCAAAAGTATTTGAATTAAGACGCTTGATCTAAAACAAAGCAATCTATCATATAATAGATTTTGTTGTACCTATCAAGATATTTGTTTGCGCCAAATAAATTACCCTATGTGCCTGCCAAACATCCTGAAGTTCTCATTTTCAAAAATTATACACCACTCGAATTGGTGCCTTTTAATGGAGAAAACGGTGCACGTATTTTAATGGGAGTTAATGGATCTGTATATGATGTTACTCAAGGACGCAACTTTTATGGACCAGGTTAGGATAAAAGTCTCACGTTGAGAGAGAGGGAGTCCTAGTGTAGGTTTATGAACACACTATTTATCTCGACGACTTGTAGGAGGACCTTATGAAAATTTTGCTGGACACGACGCATCACGCGGTTTAGCTAAAAACTCATTCGATGAAGAAATGATGGCTGACCCTCACGGACCTATTGACAAACTTGAAGACTTGACAGCGGATGAGTGGGAGAGCTTAAGGGAATGGGTAAGGGGCAAAATAAGACAAAAAATTACGGAAGCATTCATGACGATGGCCGTGATTTGATAACACATTTGCCTGTGCGTCTGCATGCTCTTTTTAATGAATAGGAAAAACTCTTTGCAGGCAAATATCTGCTTGTTGGTAAGCTCGTTGAAAACAAAAGTTCGTAGGCCGCTTCTCTCTGTTGTACATAGGACATATTTCTCTTCAGCATTAAATTCATAACATTTTCCGCATTCCCGTTTTTTACTTTCCGCACGGATTTATTCAATACATTATTATGTATCATGATTTATTAGTATAATTACAAATAGGATAATGTAGCATGTAGGGTTGTATAATAATTGACGTTAAATAGCACCTTCTTTGACTTGCAATTTAAACCAATCTACTGTTTCTTGCACGCCTTGTTTGACCGAGAATTCTGGTTCCCAGCCCAAAAACTTCTTTGCTCGGGAAATATCAGGCTTTCTCTTTTTAGGGTCATCCATAGCTGCTGGTAATATTTTGATATCTACATTCTCGGGTGAAAGAGGAGGTGTCAAAACCATTTCTCGAATCATATCAGCAAAATCGCGAATTGTATATTCCTCTGGATTGCCCAAGTTGACAGGTTCAGAGTAATTTTTGTTCATCAATAAGATAAGCCCATCCACTAAATCATGCACATATTGGAATGATCTCGTTTGTGATCCATCACCGTATAAAGTCAGTGGTTCTCCTCGAATAGCTTGCATTATAAAGTTACTCACTACTCTGCCGTCAGCAGGTGACATTCTAGGGCCTATTGTATCGATAACAGTATGAATACATTTAAAAAAGCTGCCCTACAGACATGTGCATAGCATATGAACGTCATTCAATTCCAATTGAAACTTACCAAAAGTGCTATAACAGTAACGGCAAAAGAGGAAGTATATGGATAAACGGTCAGCATGAATTTTACAGAAGGCATTCCCTTTTCAAAGCCCTATATTTGCTTACTTGAAAATTCGTGCAACGCGCACATCTACATCGTTCTGTCTCATATAAGCATAAGTAAGTGTTTCTGCAATACGTTTGCCTTCGTCATAACAAGCTCTTGGGCCGATGGGATTCACATGACCCCAATAGGTTTCCTTTTGTGGATGTTCTTCAGGGTCACCATACACCTCTATTTTGCTGAAATATTTTAACACATCATTTTTTTTTCTTCCTTTCCGGCATACATAGCTTTATATTACCTGATGTAGAAGTCAATAAAAACCTTGCTTTTGTGCGTTTAGCTAAACCTAACATATTGATTGTTCCCATCACACTTGTTTTAACCGTTTTTGTAGGATTATATTGATAATGAGGTGGGGAAGCTGGACAAGCCAAATGGTAAATCTGTGACACTTCGACCATGAAGGGATCAACCACATCATGGCGCACTAATTCGAAATGAGGATGCCCGATCCAGTGCTGTACGTTTCGTTTTGAGCCTGTAAAAAAATTGTCCAGCACAATGACTTCATGACCCATATACATAAGACGATCGACCAGATGTGAACCTACAAAACCAGCACCTCCGGTGACCAGAATACGTTTACGTTCTGAAGGAGCAAGCTGTTTGACAGGGGGAAAGGAAGTGATGGTTTTGTAGACAACGAGGCCTTCTTCTTGATTGATTTCTCGATCATTTTTGCATTTGGGAAGATACAAGTCTCTTAGATACTTCAAGTCTACGTCAGAGCCTATACTGGCATGCCCCACTCGAGTCACTATTTTTTTATTCCTATGATCGCTGCTATCTGCGGCAGTAGTGCTATTATTTGTGTTTTTGGTATCCATGGATAGCTCATTGTTGTTGTTTGCAGTTATACTTGTTGAGGCCGTATTATCTATATTTTTACAGTTAGTTGATGTTATGGATGATGCCATATCAATGAGAATTCTAAATGAGGTATGTAGGTGTATGTAATATGAAGGAAATGAACTATCAAAAAGAGAAAGCAAGAGGAAAAGGATTGAAATTGTATTTATGTCGAAAAAAGAAAGAGCAGCGTATTATAGACTGGACTTCAGAAAAAAATGAAAAAAAATGAAAAAAAATAATCCAAGATCAAGCAAAAAATAGAAACATATTTTTAACTTTGTTCGAATTATTTTTGGTTGTTTATTTCTATTTGCTCTCCACCACACCAGCCGGGATATACATCACCTGTATATTTGTTGGCAAAAAATAGACGCGTTACAAGCATTTACGATAACGATACATAGAGTACTGTTGGTATAAGTACCAGCACTTGACTCTCAATGGCTTGTTTGTCGGTACGAGGTCAAGAATGCATTCCTGCATAAAGAATTCATTGTCCGAAAATGCACCGAATCCCGATTGGGATATAGTAGGTTGTTATACTGAAAGTGCTTATGATTCTCCTAGATACTTTTTAGATTATGTTCGTTTTAGTTTGAGATGATTTTTTCAATAAGCAACACCTCCCAACTCAGAAGGGCCATATAAAGGCCCCAAAACTACATAAAGGTAAGTTTGTTTTATTTATAGCCCTTTCAAGAAATCATCAACGTTGTTCCAGTTATACACAGACTATAGTAATGGCACACAATGATTCTTCTAATGCTTCTTTGTCTACACCAGTGTAGAGAAGGTGCAAAAGTACCTGTTCACAATGAAAATGAAAAGGGTTGGTCCTGATTTACTCAACTCACAATTCGATAACAATCTGGATAATTTCTGGTAAGCACGTCTGATAGTACAATTATCTAAAATGAGTTTCTCATAAATATGCTCAATTTATTTAAAGTGGGATGGTCTCTCCGATTTTTCAGTAAAGACAGCAATAGAGAACATTGAAAAAAAAAAGCCCCCAGAAAAAACCCGTTTGTAGAGAGAAAAGAAGGTTTTTGCCTTTATCACTATCGTCTCGCTTACATCTAGCAGAAACTTTGTAGATCATACTTCTTTTAGATCATTGTTTGTCACAAGGTTGAGTGATTAGAAGGAGACATCCATTGGAGCAGTAAGGATCCTAGAGCAACATCCAAGGGTGGGGGTTCTTTGACGTGGAATAGATAGTCTAGCTCATATAGTATGTAGCAGAGGATCAGCCATTGGTGTTCCCATCGACGTTTTATCGTAGGTTGTCTAGGCGGATGGTTAGGTAGCTGATTTAGAAGATACGAAAGGGGATCATCTATTTGCTATAGCCTTACCGGAAGCATGGTTCTCAATTTGTAAGTAATGAACTTTGTTAAACGTTGCTCGAAGCTCTCTACAATGGAGTTACTGTAAGAGGTACTCAATTCCTTTGCTGCCTCTGTAAGGCATTGACTATAACCCACGGTCAGCTTGTGTTTTACTTCGATAGTAGGGAACTTGGCCTTGAAGTCTGTATAATACTGCTTTATGTCCTCGGACAATGCTGTTTTTGTAAGTAACTTGCTTGCCCGTTACTAGTTGGCCTACTGAATACCAGAATTGCTGGCAGAATACATCAGGAATGAACCTGTCTTTGTTGGCTTCTTTACTGCCTTTGTTACTGTCTTCTTTGCTTTCTTGTTCCCTTGGCTTCTTTCTTGTCGTCTTTATAGTTGGTTCGAAAGGCAGAAAACGCAAACAGAAATTTGAAATCAAGAAAGAAAAGAAAAAAGCAAAGAAAAAGAAGAACGAAGACCCAGATAAAGACAATGCATGTTGTACCAAATGCAAACAAACAGGACATAAATCGATGCGTTCAGAAGTGGAAGGCTGATAAGTACTCGAATTCCCTAGAAGGGTACCACTGATTGTGTTTGGTGCTGGAATGTTTGGAAAAGATGTGGTCAAGTTGAAAGGGCAAAGATATGGTGTTGTCGGTAAACTTTTGGCAACTCTGAAGAAACGTGAAGCTGAAGGTCAATGGGTTGTTGTGACATCCTCTAAAACCTGCAGCCTCTGTTTCTATGATGATATGCAAATTGTTGATAATCCAGACTCAAGGGTACCGGCGTTCTTCATTGCAAGCAATGTCTAAAGCTATGGCAGAGAGACGTTAACGCCGCTATCAATACGATGACCATCTCTCGAGCAGTTTGGTATGGAGCCGGAAGACCCGACGTTTTCATGCCAGCGAAGAAGAAGAAATTATCGCCGTAATAAAAACGGTTTTCCTTACATTTTGAGGATTCAGATCATTACGGCTTTTTTTTTTTCGTTTCGCACTACTGACAAGTTTTTGAATTTGAATCATTGTTTGAACGGTTTATACTTTCGTCTACAACACAATTGCAACTCGTCTAAAGTAAGAATATTAATCGTCCAATTGTAATTTATCTAAAATATTAGTTAAAATACTGTAGTTATACGGTAAGCTGCATTAATATCTATTAGGGCCATTACTTAATAGTTGGGAGACTGGACTTTAGGGCGCAAACAAAGTAAGGCGGCGATCAAACTAAAATTATGGATTACCTAAGGTTTGTCGCGTTTCAGCTTGACAATTTTTATTTTTGAAAAAGGGGTCTCTCAGTCTGAAAACATACATTGTTATCTGCCGATTATATCATGTATTGTCACTGTGAAGCTGTTTCCATTTCAACAGATCAATTATGTTTCAAAGCTTCTCAAGAAATGCAATAAAAGGAGCTTTCACCTCTGTACCTTGTTTTAAAAAAGAGTGTATTTCAACTATTTTGCGTTTGAGATTCACGCCGTCAGTGTAATTAGTAAATTCTGAAGCTAGCAATCTTATAGACAGTTCATAGTCTGCTTATCAAACGGTTTTTACTGGCCGTATTGACGGCGCTCATTGTTAACGCATTAGAAAGATCTATTTCGAATAAAAAGTTTTATTGAAAGATATTGATTGAAGTATAAATACAAACTTCTGACAGTTTTTTTCTCCCTTTTTTGCTATACACAACCATAAACAGGTTATCTCTTAAATTGCCTTATCCTTGTCTTTGACTATACAGCAGATGTAAGAGGTCATCAGTTTGAAATTTCGATGATGCAAGAATTCCAAGCTTTCACTTACCGAGGGGCGCATCTGATAATGTTGTCCACTCTAAGAATCATTTCCGCAGCTTCAGAAGCAGACAAAAGGACTTGCTTTTTCAATTTAAATGATTCAGTAATACCTAGTTCCTTCACATCAGCTACTTGTCCATTTACCATATCTAAACCAGCTGTTGTCTTGTTTTCGTAATGAGCAGCTCTTAATTGTGATACCAACTCGGAAGAATCAAAGCCAGCATTATCTGCCAAAATAGTAGGCATTTGACGAAGTGCTTTAGAGAAAGCCTCTGCAGCAATAGCACGTTTACCCGCTGTCTTAGCAGCAACTTCATCTACAGCCTTAGACATCAACATCTCAGAGCAGCCACCACCAAGTACTGTACGGGGTTCGCGTACGGTTTGTGAAAGTACAGAAAGAGCATCATGAAGAGATCTTTCAGCTTCATCTAATAATTGTTGTGTAGCACCACGGAGCACGATCGTGCATGCTTCACCAGCAGCCACACCAGAGAATTTGATAAGCTTATCTTCGCCAATCATGATTTCTTCGATTAAATCACAGTGACCCAATTTAACAAGTTCAGGGTGATCGAATGTAGAGGCAATCTCACCACCTGTGACCAAAGCTAATCGTTCAACACCTTCAAAGTCGGCATGTTCAATGGAGGCGATACCAGCATCAGCAAGTAATTGTTCAGGCCAATTATAAATAAGTTGTCGATTGACGAAACAATTGATACCATGGGCTTTAATCTTATCCACCTTTTCCTTCATTTTGTTACGCTCGGCACGTTCGAGTTCAGCAAGCTTACCAGTTGCATCAACGCGAACACGAGCACCAAAAATCTTAATCTTATCTGTATCCATAGCTATTGTAACAGAAGAATAGGTGTTAACAATTCGGAATATCATATCACAGCTTCCTCTGATTATCAACTTACATGTATTAGCAATCAATATGTTGGCATTTTCAATACGTTTTGGGCAGTTAACACCGATCTTTTTATCCAAAATAAAACCTAATATAGAAATTGTTCCTTTAGACATACTATTGCAATTGCTGGATGTTTTCTTGCGTGTGTGTGCTTTTTTCTTTTTCTTTTTTTAAGCATACCTTCATCTAAATAAGAATCCATTAACTTTCCTCCTGGCTTTTTGATAATTTGTATATTTTCAAGATTTGTTGATCCCTTTAAACGAAGAACAGCATCTACGGCTAGTTCAGCAAAATAGTTTTTCTCTTGCGATAATACTTTGGAACTGAGGGTGGTTTTAGCGATATTGATCAAGTCCTGACGGAAAAGTTCTTTATCGGCACTGTGATCTACTGCACTATTTTCTAAAGTTTTGTACGCAGCTGCTGAAGCAAGGCGATAGCCTTCAATGATGGTTTGAGGGTGAATATGTTGATTGACTAAATACTCAGCTTCACGTAAAAGTTCGGCAGCCAAAACGCAAACAGATGTAGTACCGTCACCAACTTCATCGTCTTGCACTTTAGAGATGTTAACGAGGACTTTAGCAGCGGCGTTGTCTAAAGCAATGGATTTCAAGATGGTAGCACCGTCGTTGGTGACCAAGATCTCGCCAGTGCTGGCTGATTGAAGAATTTTGTCCTATGATTGATGAAGCAAGTGTTTTTCAGGAGTTGATCTTTAGAAAGCGTGTTTTCTATCTGATCTTGGTGTAAAATTTACCATGCCCTTAGGTCCTAGTGTACTCTTGACGAGATCACCTACTGCAATGGCACCAATAAATGACGACTAATGCAGTATATAAATCAGTATCACTTCTAGCTATCGCTAACATTCAAATGCCTATTTTACCAAACGAGCGTTTTCGGCCCTTTCTTCGGTTGCTTGATCTTGGAAAATATTGACAGGAGCTAAAGACTATTTTCGCGTTTTATAATTAACATAAGTATCGAAATAACTTAAAGAAACAGTGGGTAAAGGCTATTGATGCTTGATTTTACCATTTCGTGGACTAAAGTGAAAGTGCTATTGAATAAGAAAGAACTCTTTTTTTTTATGAAAAGAAACAAGGAGAAGAAAAATTTAAGGTCGGCGCTGAATTAGAAAAAAATTTCGAAGAAGTTCGCGCTTGCTGTCGATCTAAGCTTCACAAATCCTTCCTGGGAGGGCAAAAAAAGCAGTTAAGAAAGCATGTAAAGCGTTAGAAGTCTTGCTACGTAACTATATCCCCTTCTCTTAATCATCAGTAAGTTACATATAATGATGGTAGTAGACGTAAACTAGAAACCAAAAATGCAACCAATGGATAACGGCATTTGTACCTCTCGCCAGAGTACGGTGAACTAGCTTCAGCACAAATGCTGAAGTCCCCCTTACCGACTCGCAATGATGGTGCTCATGCACACTTGACTCATACTACGCAGCTATAAACTAGCATGTAGCCTTCTCAGTTGAGCTATTTTGTCTCATACAGAAATTTTATTGGCTAGTAGACTGACCTGATAGTGGGGATGTCAAAATTGGAACGGTTTAAATTATTTTTTTTTTTTCCTCATAACAGTGGCTGTAAATCTCGCATCATCTTTTTCTCCTTTTCTCGTCTCTATTTATTTTTATGCAAGAAAACGGCCAGAAATGCATTCAAACCTGACTAATCCACAGTACCAACAAATGCAGCTCATGCAACAACAACAGCGGTTAGCACAAATGATGCAACAAAAACAAGCAGGTGTAGGAGGACAAACCTCTTTGCCAACTTCACAAATGATACCCATCCAAATGCAACAACAACAACATCTTCAACGACGTCCGCCTCCACAACCAGGTCTGATCGATCCATTGGAGTATAGTCGTCAGCAACAGCTGATGCAGTTACAACAGCAGCAGCAGCAGCAGCAGCAGCAATTGCTACGACAAAATATACCACAACCAATGTCGTTGGTACCTCCACCATCGCAAATGCCATCAGCAGCTGCACCTGGAGCAATAGCAATGACAGCGGGAAGCGGAGGAGCATTGCCTTTAACACTTCAACCACAAGTGCCCATGCCATTGACTCCACAACAACAACAACAACCAGTGGCACAAGTAAGTCAGCTACAACAGCAACAGCAACCACAACCACCACCACAACAACAACCGACACAGCAGCAACACATGCTCCCATTCGCAACTGATACCCATGCCATTTTAGCAACAAATACTGTACAAAAGAAAAACATTCATCAATATATACATAGAGACAACCTTTATCAAGGAATGTTAAACTTACAACATAAAAGACATGTGGAATTGTCGCAAGAGAAAAAGAAAGAAATTGAAGTGGCTAGTTTGGAACGAAGAGCACGCGCACAACAGGGACCTACGGTTGTTTACGGACCAGGCTATCGAGGCTATGGAAATGGTACAACTGGTAATATAACCAAAATCAGATACCCCAGAGATAAAAGGCGACGCGTTGGTAAAAGAGAACCTTTCAGATTGTAAGTCGATGCTTATTTGTCCAAACAAATGTAAGAAATCGAGAACATCATTAAGTTAACAAACTGGTATTCTCTGATTTTAATATAGCTCGTTGGATACATTGAAGGAACAAGCAGAGAAGGAGGAAGTCTTAGTGCCCATTCGTATTGAGTTAGAGCATGAACATTACAAGTTACGTGATACTTTTACGTGGAATCTGAATGGTAAAAGGACCTAAATAGAAATCATCGTACAAGTTCTTTGGGTTAATCGACATACATACTTACTCTTTATATATGTATATGTGTTAATAGAATCCTCTATTACACCTGAACAATTCGCAGAAATCATCTGTGAGGACCTAAAATTACCGGCCAACATATTCGCGGACCAAATTGCTAAATCCATCAAAGAGCAATTAGACGATTTTAATTTAAATGCCTCCAGTATGATTAAAGATGATACTACGACTGATGAATGGGATCACTCGAGACAAAGTAGCAGTATGGGGCTAGAGAAGGGTGAAGGGAGCAACGCGCCGTCAGAAATAGCTACTGAGGACAATACTAAACAGCCACAGCAGCCTCAGCAACAAGAATTGGAATTGAGAACCGTTATAAAATTAGATATCACAGTAGGCAACTGGGAGCTTATTGACCAGTTTGAATGGGATATTGTTTGCCCTCGTAACTCGCCTGAAGAGTTCGCTAATAAGCTTGTAGAAGAACTAGGCTTAGGTGGGGAATTTAGGTAAGAAACATTCCATTTCTGTCGATAAAGGGGGTCTTTCTTGCTTATCAAAGACGCGGTGTATCTTTTCATTGTTCAGGACGGCCATCGCTCATTCTATAAGAGAACAGATTCATGTTTATATAAAATCATTGTTACTCGTTGGATTCGAATTCAACAGCTCATGTCCTATCGATGACGAATTGCGACATACCTTCTTACCTTACCTACGACATATTATTCGTAGAAATAATTTGATTGAAAGGTTCACACCTTCGATGATTGAGTTAACCGATGCTGCTATTGACAGAATGGAAAAAGATAGAATGAGAGAAGCAAGGTAAGCGGGGCTACTTTCATTGTACTGTACGACTGCATAGAGATAGAAAAATTTTTGACACAATGCTCATAATGTTATAGACGAAAGAGAAGAGGTATTCCTAGAGCTAGAAGAGGTGTCTTGTTACCTGACAGAGAACCTCAAAAGACACATCGAACTGGTTTTGCGACATCGTTAGAACAAGGTTTAACAGACGAGCAATATCTCCTGAATGCAAATGAAAGTGGTACTGGACATCATAAAAGAAGTGCGGCCTTAAAGGCTAGAATGAATATTGCTGCAGAGGCTGCCAACACAGGTGATGATTTTATAGACAACAGTAGCGCAAATACGCAAGGCTATATATCCTTTAGTCATGGAAACAGAGGCAGCAATGCGGCTGTTCAATTGAATAGGATGTATCATCATCAACAAATACGCTGAAGTATTCAAATACGAGTAACTTGTATTCCCTAAAATAAACTTTTAAAGAAACAATCATCACCAAATAGAGTAAAATGACAAGAATTCCTAATTACACAAAGCTCGTCTTATTTTTTTATCATATCTTTCTTTTGCTTCTTTTATTTTCTTTCCAACGAATTGCTTTAAAACTGTAGCGCTTGGATAAGCCAGTTCAATCAGATAAACCCACACACCCAACTTTCTTAACCTCCTCTTTAGTTGAAATCAGCAAACTGGAATCGTCAAACTTGACTCATCTTGATTCAGCAACTCTTTGTAGTCCTGATGATCCTGTTATACTTTACGTTCATTGTACATTGTCGAAACCAGACCCTCAAATAAAAATTCGAAGAGCAACGACTCCAAGCGGTATACCGCCTGTCATTTTAGGTATTTTCTCGACTATAAACCTGAAAAAAAAAAAAAAAAATTGGTTCAGCTTACCGAATAATTTTATTTTTTTTCAATCCAGTTACAGGAATCAAAAAGGCTGGAAGACCACTGAAAATATTTGATGAGAGGCCCAATACAACTGTCCATATTATTGTATTGGATCTTCGCGGCGGATCCGACGCAAATATACCCGTTATTCAAAACTCAAAGTTTAAAAAAATGCCAGAAGAAATATGGAACAACGTGCAAAAAGTACGAATTGCATTTAAACCAAATCAAAAAACTGACAATCCTATCTTAGCAGTACCTTCCAATTCAGTTGACATATACACCAATATATTACCTAACCAGCCACCCACTATGGCACAAGCTCAGCATGTACAACCAATACAGTCAGCATCACTATTGCCTTTACAAACGCTCACATCGTCCCCGCTAATAACACCACAAGCATTAGTAGGTCCCTATCCCACTCATCCTTATCATTATCAGCCGGGTATTTTCAACAATAACAGTAGTGCGAATAACATAAATCCATTACTCTTCAATAATCCTTCCAACTATCTGAATGTCATGGCAGCTGCCCAGTCCATATTGAACAACGCTGCAGCTTACTATAATTCCATGCTGATACCAACTACTGTAACTCAGCAACAAGCTCAACACCAGCGCATACTCTCACCTCAACCGACGCCAAACACACATCAGCAACTTTTATTATCACCGATGTTACAACCAACAACGCAAACACATCAGATATCACCGTACCATTCACCTCAGGTCACTCATAAACAAATTAAAAGAAAGCCTGTTCAGTTACAGCAACAGCAACCACACCCGCCTCAAATTCTAAGTACACAAATTGATCAACGGCTAAATCGTAAGAAAAACGGACAATACAATGATGGTCTGCACTCTGATCAGAAGAATCAATTTCCTGGGCCCTATCCTTACCAACATGATACCTCGCTGGATAGAAGGATATTGCAGCAGTCTACAAACAAGCCACCGCACAACGGTCCTCCTTCCTCTTTTGATCTTGAACACCTTCAACGACAGCTTCAACAACAGCATATCACGAGAACGGCAAAGAAAAGAGTTCGCTTTGTGGAGCATCCAACGACTTATGTATACGAACAGGAAGAAAGTGAAGACGACAATTACGGAGAAGCCGTTGATGATAACAACGATAGTGAAAATGACAATCACGATATGTATTATTATGATAATCAACATGATGGAGAAGAAGAAGAAGCGTTTGAGTATGAGTACCCGCCATATTACAATAGCAAAGAATATGATTACAATTTGCCTTACAATGATGAAATGCTGTACACAACCACGGATCGAGATAGGCCTGTAAATTTGCAACAGCAGCAACAACAGATGCGGATACGCGATGATTACTCCAATGCATCCAACTATACCAATACACATGACTATACAAACGATTCTGAAGCTATATCACGTTCTACGAATGATGCTGATTATCAGACGCAGCCTTTGTTCAACAATAAAGGCCAAGGTCGCAACGTTGGAGCTATCTATAAAAAGGCCCCTTTCTGGAAACGGAAAAATACGTGAATCGTGGAATAGACACTATTTTAAATGGAATAAAAAGGCTGGCTAATCTACCTGGCTACCTCTAGCATAAATGAATAGCCATGATTCATCATATACCTTGAATCACGTAAATTGACGCGTCAGAAAGATAATCACGTCTTTTCTAAGATATCGCCAGTTTCCCTGCACTTTTCCCCGACAATCAAATTTTTTGTACTTCTGAACACAAACGTACCTTTTCCTCTTCTTTTTTGTTAATGCAAATTGATTGAGATAAAAGGTTATATTCGACAACTTGTTAACAACAAATTAGCCTTGCTCTCTTTCTATTTTGCTCTTTTACCGCTTTCCCGCATTTTTGTATATCATTATTTGTTGCTTCTGGAAATTGTGAAAGGGTCAACATACAATTCTGGACGAGAAATAAATAATATATAGATGAGATATTATAAAGTAAATGATATTCACAACAGAACAAAAAAAAGGTGGAGTAATACTAACATTCAAGTCGCAATAGAGGAATGCTGAAGATGGGCAACCTGACAATGCTGAATCTGACACCCGTTACAGGTCAGCCGTTGCTACATCTCATAGTGACAGGCACAGCAATAGAGCAACATTGAAGGACATGAATTGTCCACCTGATCAGCAAATGGTAATCCTCCTCTCTAACTCTCAACACAGTTCGCTTACTTGAAGTACTTGTTTGTTGACCATTATCCCTCTTCTTACCAACTATTTTAGTTAAATGAATCGAACAAGAAAAGAAATGGTGTCCTGAGCCACAATTATATCGGTAAAGAAAACATCCCTCCGTCGAATGTTTCGCAAATGTATCGATCCATGCATATCAGTGATGATGCTATCGCCCCTCCAGCCGCCACTGAAACCTTCTCAAGTGTTCAGACGGCTGCAGATAAGGAAAACATTATTCAAGCAGCCTCTTCCTTGTCTTTGGGAACAGCAGACAATGTATATGAACAATCTAACGCAGAGGTAATACTTGTTTTTGTTTCGATCTATAAGCATCATCTTATGCTAACATATTTCTGACGTAGCTGGTAGATTTATCCTCTGCTTCTACATCAAAAACGTCCAGTGTCAACTATAATAATCAAGGCCGATTAACAAAGTTATCATCCAGATCATCATCATCAATTTTAGCAGCAGAAGAGAAGCAGCCACTACAATATACTAATAATGCCGGCATTCATACCAACAATCATACGGATGTGGGCATTGAACTCAAAGAACAGCAATCACATCAACATAAACAATATCTGCAAAACAACCCTGTGAAGTTCGCTGAGGACGCAACAGAAGAGGAAAAGCGAGGCATTACTGAATTTTTCAAAGATAACGCAGAACGTTACCCAGCTCTTTTAGAAGATACCATGGATCCTGTCCCTGTCTTACCTATCCTTGTTCCTGAACGCATGAAAATTCGTTTCGTTTTAGACAAGAAAACACAAAAGGTAATGACTGTGAAAGACCTTCCTTGCGATACAACCGATCCAACACGCTATGTCAGCATGAAGGATTTGACACCCGCCTCAGCTTTTCACCCTACTGCTGCTGCTTATAAAGATAATCTTTCCACAGCTACAGCAGATCAACAAAGTGCGTTTAGCAGTTTTCTCATGAGACATGGTCCATCTTACTTTAAGAAGCATCCTGAACAATCTGAATATACCTCGAGTCACAATAACTCAAGATTGCGTAATTCAAACAATGATGAAATATTTGATCCTCATGTTGCTCCTCTTCGGTTCAAGGCCAATCAACAAACAATAGATGCCGACCGTAAGCAAACAGAGCAAGCTCAACGTAAAATGGACTGGGTTAGGAAATCAATGCGCTCCACCTCTGCCTCCTTTACCGATGAACAACAGAAAGACCCTATGATGGTCGCTGAATATGCTGACGAAATATATGAGCATCTCTACGATACTGAAGTGAAGATGCTCCCCGATGCCAATTATCTCAATGTGCAGTCTCCTGAATTCTCTTGGGGTATGCGCTCTATTCTTATTGATTGGGTTATTGAAATTCACTTTTTATTCGGTTTAATGCCTGAAACGTTGTTTCTGGCCGTGAATATCATCGATCGCTTCCTCTCCGTACGACAAATTGCCCTTGGTAAAATGCAATTAGTTGGCCTTACTGCTCTCTTTATCGCTTCTAAATTCGAAGAATTGGCTTCTCCGTTGATAAATGACTACCTGCATATGACAGATAATAACTATAACGAATCACAAATGAAGGAAGCTGAACGGTTCATTCTGGATGCTTTAGATTTTAGACTTTTATACCCTCACCCTCTCAATTTTATTCGTCGTATCTGTTCCAGAGATGATTTCAACGATATCAATGTTCGCACATTGGCCAAGTATTTTGCAGAAATCAGTTGCTTGGATGAAAAGTTGATTGCCGTTCGACCCTCGAAAATTGCGGCAGCATCTGTGTGGCTGGCAAACAAGATGTTAGCGTATGAGAAATGGAAGGGCACCTATCGCGCTCACAGTGGGTACGCGACATCCGAATTGAAAGAAATTGTTGAAATAATGTTGGATTATTTGGCGCGTTCCGATAAACATCCTGCTTTCTTCAATAAATGGAAACAAGAAAACGTCTCGAAAGCTTCACTATTTGTAAAGGAATGGTTAAGGAAATACTATAAGAATTAGAAGTCTTTTCACATAGCTCACTGCCAATCTATTATTTATTACTTGTGCCTACTACTTATAGCCTCATATCATTTAAATTATTTCTCCTCATCACCTCTCAATAAATCATACTACATATCTCATCATATCACATATCACTTTCCATTAAAAAAATAAAACAGACCAATTTCATACATGCATAAGACATTCGTCGTATGTAACAGCAAATAAGCAGCTCATATAGCAAATGACAAAGCTTTTTTAAAATCAATGCCAATGTTCTATCGAGATCAAAAAAGGAAAAGAAAATACATGCAACAAGCGATATGTCGTCTCATCTACCTCGTTCGTCGTATAACTATATTATCAAAATTTGGATATTCGCTTTCGGCTTTTGATAGAAGGGAGTCCGTCAAATGGAGTACTACTTCCACTACTACTGCTGCCACTATAATGTCGACTCGTATGAGTACTTAGATTAGACTGAACCATAGAAACGTCTCCCACTTTTTGTCCATGAGTAAGTTGTTCTTCTTCTTGGGTTAAAGTCAGATCATCGACTGATGAAGCGCAGCCACTATGAAGGGGAGCTATTTGAGAGTCAGAATCGCTCTGACTGTTACCATAAATAGCGTTAGGATTGAATTTACCATCATCCGGTTGATGATGATTCAGTTTTTCTGACAACATTGTATAATAATAACTCTTCTGACACCCTGGACACCCTTCTACAATGATACTGCTAACGAAATCACTATTGCTGTTCTCTCCGCGTCTGCGTTTCTGTACATGTCTCCTTGATAACGAGGACGCTGTTGAGACAAGAATCCCATGTTTTCCACAGCCCAGTTGATAACCAATGAAGAACATCCAATAAACATTCATATTTAAAATAAGTGTGGGCCAGATACCGCCATAAAATGAAGCGAGCGCCATCAATTCACTAGCTCTCCATAACCAATAGAGAAGTGGTAATCCTTTCGATAAAGGCATTTCATTCCAGGGACGTCGACAACGGCGCGGGGTACGATTTGCCAATCTTCTGTTAGTGCTGGTTAAGGATGTTGTAGTTGTTTCATCTACTAAATATTCCTGTTGGAGGCTGTCCCCAGCGGCAGTAACAGTATTCGTAGCATTCGCATCAAAAACTGGTTCTTGTTGTCGAAGCAAAGTAGCACCAGGGCATTGATAATCGACGACCCCTGTTTCGCGCCATGCTAGGATAAGAAAAAACACCAAGACATCAAACACCACTTGTTCGGCAGCTAACATCCAGGTATCACCTATGGGAATCCATTCTTGACCAAACATCATGCCCCATAAATAAAATGTACCATAACGCTCTTCTTCACTATCTCCGGAAGGAATGAATTTAGCACGGAACCAAGGCAAAGTTAAGAGAGCAAGAAGATAAATAAGAGTGGCATGCCAAACGATAGGCTGCTCACAAGCAAAATTAACAAAACGTAAAGACCATATGAGGATGGTTTTTTTGAGATTTGAGTAAAAGGATGGAATAGGAAGTAGTTCAATTGCATGAATGCGTAATAGCAACTGGTGCTGCTGCTTCGTGGGTGCTGAGGGTATCGTAAATAGCTTGGGTATCAATAATAAGAGGAACATTTTGAAGATTGCGAAGAAAGTAATACATTGCAGCTATAATAATGGTAAAGCAGCATTTTTTTGTTCAGTACACAAGTACAACATCCATATAAACGTACCATAACAGATCCGTGAGCATTATTATTGAATTTTTTACCACAGTAATCATTTTTGACTTAATGATGAATTCACCAGAACCACCTTTAATCTTTACCCGATGACCGTCTAACCTAAATATTGTTTCAGAAATGGATGGTGGCAACTGCTGTCCCTCTCTTGGTAACGCTGTCACCTGAATTCTCAATTGATGTGTCTTTTTGTCTGATAGATTGGCTGGGTTCCATGGTACGGTCCAGAGATTGTCACCTGCATATACTGCCTCTTTGTCATGCGGTTCATCATTAATAAAGACCTGCACCTTCAATTCTTCTGGAGGCTGTATACTGAATACTAAGAATCGAATATTTGTGCTGGCACGGATTCGCTCTAACGGTTCTTTAGAAGGAATGGCGAAGCGAGCATCTTTAGGATTAGTGACTAAAATTGAAGGTTGGTGAGGTTGTACAAGTTGAGGCCAGATGATATTGTTGGAAGTATCATCGAAAGGTTGAACAAGGCCTATTGCGTTGACAGGGCCCTTTTTTGGTATCTTATCTAGGGGTAATTGTAAGTCAACGAAAGAGATCAGGTCATGATCAATGGCGACAATTCTGTATAGTGCATGTTCTTTTAGATCACCCAGCTCTAGCTCAAGTGATTTTGAAATAGGATCATAGGACTTGAGAACATCACCAATACCTATATCATAACAATTAGTTCGTTATTATGTTAAAAAGGAAAAGTCCCAGTTTGTTAGTATGGAACGAAGAGGGAGTGCACGACCAAGAATAAGTTTTTTTTATGAGAAAAAGTTGTTACCTGCTATTAACTTATGTAAGTGACCACAAAAGTAAACACTATAATGATAAGCTAGATCCTTAAACGTTTTGCCTGTTTTGGAAGTACCAAAGACCATTGTTGTTGTAGGGTAGTGTGAAAACTGTACAGGTGAGAATGAAGATGAATAAATATTAGAACGCCAAATGACAATCAACAAAGCATTCATATACTGTGAGGACTTGGACTATCATTTACCAAAAATGTATGATTAAAATGTTTTTTTGATATCAATGCCCTTTCAAGCTGATCCATTGTTTTTGATGTTAGATAACCAAAAAAGTTCAATGGCCTCGAAGGTCCTTTTTTGGGACTAAACCATAACCAAAGATATTGAGATAAATAGCTGATTGTTGACGTTAGTAGAATAGTATCAGCAATGGCTTACCAGGCATCGATTGCTACAAATTGGTAATTCCCCATAGGTTGATTGACTTGCCAAGAGTATATTCCTTTGCCTTGCTCCACTAAGCCAGCACTTTTACCATGTGTTCTATAGTAGTTAATACGGGACTTCCACGACGGTAAATCGAAACAATCATGATTGCCGCGGATATCGTACCATCCCATGTCTTCAGGTACTTTTTCTTGAATGGCTTTTTGATAGACTTTCCATTCATCCAAATATTGTTGAGAAGTGATGCGTTTGCTGTCTTTGGCATCTGTGAGATCACCCGTGACAACCACGAATTTTGGTCTACCAAACATGTATCCAAGGACAAATGTCAATGAAACGTGGGTGTATATATCAAAATCACAATCGGGGAATTAGTTACCTGACTACGGGTAAAATAGATTGTATAAAATGCAAAAAATGATAGGTGTGTCCTTTAGGTCTGAACCGAGATAGATGTAAATCTGTAACCTACATACATATTGGCCAGTGTATCAATCCGGTGTTAGTTTTCATCAAGAAGAAACTTTCAGTTCGTCCCTCTTCTTACATGTATGAAATAGAATAAATTATTAGGCTCTGTTCCAAGTGTTATCGAGTCGTTTCTATCACTATTAGCATAAATGTCTGCTATTGGTTGCTGCTGCTGCTGCTGCTGTAGAAGTCGTTTCTTTGCTGAGATCCAGTTACTGTATTCTTCAGGCCGTAATTCTTTTGTCGAAGATAAATATAATTTACATGCTCGCAATGAGCACAGTATGATGATAACCAGCCAAATCACACCAGTTTTATTCAACATATTATAATGCGTTTCGATAATGAAAGCATGTAAAATAAGAAGGTACAGAAATATAGAATAGAAAAGAAGAAAAGGAAGAAAAAGGCTTGGACTTGCTGGCTTGCTCCTTATTATTCTTTTTCTTTAGTTGTCGGATCACTCGGGCGATAATATATCGACTATTCGAGCTCTTTATTTATATATAAAATATAAAAAAAAATGACCGGATGTAGACTTGTTATGAATTTTTATTGTGTGTGATAATGATAGGAAAGCTATTACAGAAAGTTAATATGGAACGAAAGAATGGTGTCATCAACAACAACAATAACTCGATAAAATGAATAACTTCATTTATATCAATTTGAAACGAAACAGCTTACATTTATAATCGTTTGAGCTTAGACTTTTGAGTTTATCCTTTCAGCAACAGGGTGTACAGTCATTTCTTCAAAAGGCAAAGCCGCAGTTTTGAATTTGATGTTATGCAAAAGAGGCATGTGTGTCCGAGATTAATTGATCCAATAAATGGGTAATGAGAGTATTAACATTGCACTGGCGCAAACTTACTCTTTACGCTTCAAAGACGATAAGAGCTCACTGAAGCAGTACGTTTAATACAAAAAATTGCGCAGGAGACGATTAAAAGTATAGAAATAAAAATTAACTTAATCAAATGTTCAAAAGTCTTTTCTTTGTTAAAATTGATTGACGCGCAATATAGACGGCATATCTACATATGGCTTGACCTCCACGTCTGTACAGCTTTGGCTTGTAATTTTAGTTGCGTTGAGTACACACTCACGATGCTTACAATGCTCATATAATGCACAAACTTTATTGGCGTTTCTGAGTGAAGATGCCCATGTTGGAGAATGTGGAAGTGTCTTGTTGTCAAATAGGCCTCTGTAAAGCCCTTCGTGTGTCAATAATCACAAGCACCTAGTAAGAATACAACAATCAAAGCAATTATCTGCATCACGTTGATTACCTCTTTTGAATCAGTAAAACTCGATTCTTGATAATACGTCGACTCTGGGTCTCGGATGACAGTTTAACAGTAGTATTAACCTCCTAAAAGGTATTGCTTTGCCTTTGATACTTCAAATTTTGAATGTTTCTTTATACTTATCCGATGAGCCAGAAAAAGTTTTCCTTTCCAAGGCGATGCAACTTATTGAGACATGAAAGGAGTGCAAATTAGATAGGTGTAATCTGATCTGACATCAAGATATCGAAATATGAAAGTTGTTAGCTAATACTGTATTTTTAGTCAGTCGTTCCGAGGAATTAAATCAACTTCAAATTGTTATACAAATCACAAAGTATGTTGCTGGGGAAGGTGAAGAACATGACTTCAAAGTAGATAAAAGAGGTAGTCGAGATCATGAAGCAAATTGGATACGAAAGCATTTCTGAACATTGCAAACTTGAAGGTTTATAATAAAATGTGTATAGCATGAAGTTGTAAAAGTAGGGTATGATTTCTCCGATAATGAATTACTTATTTTGCTACAACAATGATTAAAGCTAGGACACAAGCAACGATGGTGATGATCAACATAAAACAACACATATTCTTCCTTGCTTTTTTTTGATGTCGATTTGCCACTGTCAATTCTTCAGATGCTTGCTTTGTGTTTTGTGCAATATTCAGGACGTTTCCATAAATACTCTCTAAATAAATATATATAGAATTCATAGAGATTTAGCGTAACTATCCCATCGCTCTTATGATTCATCATAAATGCGTGTACTTACGTATACCGCTTTCTTGTTCATTCACAAGCATACCAAGGTCACGAAATATCTCGTTCAATTCTGTAATACCTTGTTCAATATTTTGTATTTCACCTTCTCGTTCAGAAATCAACGTTTCGTTATATTCAATTTCATTGTCTAAGGCTTCAATTTGAATTCTTCTTTGTGCATCATTCTGTTGTAATAACTGCTGTTGCTCTTGACTCATAATGCCGTCGCTACCCTCTTCATCACTAATCGTAAATAAAATGTCAGTAGTGCATTTTATTACGACCCGAAAATACATGTCCTTATAGTTTACTCTATTTGCGATTGAAGCGCTGCGGTTGTGGCCTTCTTTTTATCAACGTATTCTCTTTGTTTCGACACAGATTCTCTTTGAACTCTCTGGAAATCTGCCAAAACCTTTTGGAAATCTTTTGATAATTTTTGCTGTTCGAGTTTTCTTTGTCTCTAAAATACATAAGTAATGATTAAAATAATTGCAAAGATTTCGTACTATTCTCCGGGAGCATGATTGAGCTTTACATTCTTTTTGGAATCTGTAGTATAATACTGAGAGAATAATTTGATATCTGACGTTGTATCCTTTATTAACTCTCTCGTACTCTCAGTGACATCATGCCTATCAATGCAAAATTGTTGAGTGTCCTTCCTTTTCTTTTTCCTGTTTGTCAATTAGTGCTGTCTTATGCATGACGATCGCTTTACAGTTTGTTCCGAATGTCGGATGAATCTTTTGGTGTCCCCAGAAACCCAACAAGCCGTTCAATACTCGTAATGTTTCCACTGATATGAAATACTTGCTGTGATACTCTTTGCGTCAAGCTTTTGTAGTCACTATCGATTCCATCTATGAAACGAAATCAACAACATTATTAACAAAAATGTGCTTTTAACGTGAGCTTAGTCTACAGAAAGCTTACTTTGTGAATCTCGGGTATTTCTAAAAGAATTGGAAGCACCTAAACCTTGTTCAAGATCGTTAAAGGACATTTCAAACTATTTTACACTTTGTTGGGAAATAAGAAAGAAATGAATAGATATGGAAAAGAAAAAAAAAGGGTAGATAAAAGGAAAATCGACGCATCAGGAACAGACGACTGCTGATTGGATGAAATATGTTCCGAAGCTTGCTCTTTGATGCATGAAAAGCCCCCACTTTCTTTTTTGCAACACAGGTTTTCCACGTTGATACAAAAAATATCCTTTGAGCTTCAGTGTGTGCATTCTAAATGCCCGTTAGTAAAAAAGCATTAATTTTGAGTGTTTATTTGACATTATGATGCAAGAGATGTCTTTGTCTAACCTATAAAATTGTGTCATTCAATTATGACCTCTTCTTGTGTTCCTTTGTTTTTGGCATTTTTATTAATTCATGAATACAGCTTCCGCTAATTGAATAATGCACGACAAACAGCAAAAGTTGATTAGAGGACATCGTCGAGAATCTGTCTTGTTCACTTTGCCAGAATTACAGGATTTGAGGGGTGAGTTGATTAGACAATCTATTTTAAGTGCAAATAAAACAAACTTCGTTGTGAAAACAGTCTGGTATTAATCGGCACCCTCATTTTACTATAACTGAAAAAGCACATCAGCGTACATTCGAAGGTGCTTATTGGAGAACAGCACTGGCTGCCTTCTCTTCCGGTCTACTCATTCTAAAAGTATTCACTCGAGAGTTTTATAAGATTGGTATTACGTTTTTTGTTTTCGGCATCGCCATGCTAGCCATTGCTCTTTGGCGGCGACGAACTTCGTTTGATGTATTTGATCCTACTATACCTTTCAAAACGAGTGGTGATTGGGTTATTCTAACAACACTGGTGACTTTAGCTACGTATATTGTATTACTCGCTCTTTTATGGAATTTGTAGATAAGCCGAAGGGTTCAGCATGGTTTGCAATTAAACAGGCCGAAGAAGTTATTTAATAATTACGCTTCTCAATCAATTTTACTCATACTTAATAGCTCTAGATAGCAATATTCCCCCCCTCTCCCACACACACACACACTTTATTTATAGATTGTAAGCTGAATTTGTTTCTGAAAATAAAGGCATTTGATGCTCTGTATATATTTTCGCAGTTCTCTACTAAGTTCAAGGCTACTCTCGTTTGATTAGAGCAGACTTGTCGATCTTCTGCGCGGTTTTGCCCTGTGAATCAAGATTTTCTGCCATATTATTACGTTGCGGTAGGTAATCCATGTTTGCTTTGTTCGCACAAGCACATGTTAATGAAAACTGAAAGCTATAATTTATCTGTTATTGCCTTGCTGCAGCTGACCCTTGGTGACCGTTCCGACTGTGAAAAGTACTTTGAGATCAAGGGTTACGGCATTACTTACATATCAGACGAGGAAATCCTTCTTTTGCTATATTGTTTCGTAATGATAAAATGCGTAGCACACCATAACAACGTATCTATTTTCCGGTCTTTAAAGAAGAATGGAAAGTATGAAGAAATTGAAATGTGTAATGGCTGATAATTTAGTAAACATGTGCTTGCTTAAATTGTGGGCTTAATTGTTAAACAAACAGAGAACTGTAAGCATCATTGTAAGCATCATTGTAAGCGTGACTATATGTCAATATAACCGCGTGTGTCATCATCACTAAGGTTTTGTGTAGGAATTACAAACGTCTAACATATCAGGAAAAAAAAATTGTTGTTAGAGTTGCCTTTTGGAGTACTCCAAAGCGGATCCAGAATAAGAAATAAGACAATGACTACTAAAGTGTATGAGATTACTTTTCAAATACTGTAAGAAATGAATCAGTAAGTAAAATACATTTCTTCATACAGGATCTTTCTGTTTGGAGATTCTTATACAAACAATAAACTCATGTTTGTGAAAAAGTTACTGATCTCAATCGAAAGTGCTGAAAAACTTACCTTAATGACAGCTTGCAGAAAAAAACACACCAAAACCTGTCTATACAACGTTTAGACATGAAAAGACAATAATAAAGAACAATATAAATAGAGAGACAAAGGAAAGGCCTTACATTTTAATATTGTTTGAATCTATGCTTGAATGCAAAATCTATGAATTCAAGCCTACTGTTCCAGTCTAGTATTCATCATTTCTAGTTTTTCAGAAAAAGTGACTCAATCGTTTATAGGCAATCCTTATTTGCGTCCTTGCAAAACTTTCCAAGGGTGTATAGCAGTTGTCCTAAGCTTTAGAAGGAAACCCGTCTGGGTCGTGTTTGATGGATGTAGATGATTCTTCTTCGTTCCGAGAGCGAATAGAAAGTTATTTCTTTGCTTTTCCAGCAAATATTGTAAGTGCTTACTACAAATCCATCTGACTTTGGGAGCTCTGTAGTTTTAAGTTCACTTAATGTTTCTTTCTATTTCTAAGCTACTATTTCCTATCTATCGAACTTCATAGTAATCGGTCTACTCTTCTATCATTATTACCATAGCTATTCTTATTTGACAAAACCTTCCCTCTCCCTCACAGGTCGTTTTTTAACTGAGTCTCGCAGTTCATTACACGTCGAGTATAGTGCAACGTCGTAAATCTGTTAGTGAATGCTGTAATCAATAATCTATCATTATGACCCACTCTTCTTGTACCAAGGAGAATAACATGTTAGTTTCGGAAGTGAGTTTGAACGTGAGAAGCATACTTTAATCCCTTGAAGCAAGGAGGGAGATAACTATGACAAGACATAAAAAACATGCCTTATCTGCTGTATGTAAATTACGCACATGTATAGCCTTGATGATCATTATGATCACAGTAATAGAGACGATAATGGATACACGAATGTTGTTAAGAAGGAGGATACCAATTTTTAAAATGAAAGTAACCGCTGAATTATGGTGACCGGCAACAACTTATAAAATGAAAAGGAAGATCAATGGCAAATGAACGAACATTTCTGCATACCATCGGCTGTAAATGCCGAACAATATGGAACAAAGTGTATCATGGATGCATGAAAATGATGGAGAAAGCTGACAATCGCGCATGAACTTGCTGCTTACCTCATTTAAAACGATAAGAGGCTCTGAATGAATTCCACTCATGACACCATTGAATAGAGTTGGGGTTTCATGATAATGAGGGAAGACATTTTGGAGCAACGGAACTCAATTTGAAGCAATCTATAGCTGAATATGTGAAGCGTATATGGTTGAAAGATGCCCTGATTGCTGGTTGCTCCTTGGTGTAACATAGAACGGAATAAAATTGTCACCAGTTCCTCATCAACAACAGATACGATTTTCTTGGGAAGAAAGAACAGAAAAGCAGCACCATTGATTATCAAGGCCCACAATAGTGGTAGAGTTTACTCGTTAATGATGGCAATCTTCATCTATCTTGTAAAAGCAATAGCCATGCTGCCAACAACAGCAGTTATACTAGATATCATGCAAACTAGTGACAAATGATCAAAAGGCTATCAATGATACAGAAGAGCAAAGACCGGAAAGAATCAAAGCGGTAACGCTTTGCAAATTTTATTGAATTTCTGCGCTAATATAGCCAAAAGCGAATATGCTGTTGAAGAATTAAGTAATTGAGCTTCTCATATACTCTATCTTTTTTTCTTAGTGCATTCTAGCATTTGCCCTGAAGAGAAAAATTAAATTGAATGTAAAAGCTTTCCTTTGCAAGTATTAGGATTTTGAAAATTACTATTTATATAGCTGAAAATATTTCCCCTGCCTAACAATTCAACATAGGAGAGATGAGTTCAACGGGTATTTGTAGTTATAGAAAGACATTATAATGGGTAATGGCCAAGTGTTAGAGTAGTAGAAGATATAGTAACTCATCATATGCTGAATTAATGTATGTGCAAATATATTTCTGCTGCACTAAGCATCAACTCTAGAATGGGAAAGAAAGCATAACATGCCATTTTTCTTTTGTATTCAGCAGATAGAACGTTTCATACATTAATTTTATGAATTAGAGAGCTACGTATCAAATGGTGGTACGAATGATGTAAAAAGATAATGAAATTGTGTTGACCATCATTTTAAGAAGGTAGCATAACATATAACCTCTTTAAGCGTTGCATGGCTTTATAATGGTCACTGTTGATATGAAGAATAAAGGCATTTATTATCTACTAACTCAATAAAACTTGCTTTATGGCCTTTGAAAGCAGGTTATTTTGAATATGTGCAGGAGAAGCCACGTGGTCAAGTTGGTGTCGCGTGGCCCCGAGTAACCATTGAAGTAAAAGTTGTTGGTTTTTTTTAGGGCATAGATAGCTTAACGAATGAAATCATTGTAACTCTAAACTAAAAAGTCTATCCGTGTGCGTGTGCGTGTGTCTTTTAAGGAGATAAAGAAGACAGGGTGTGTGCGTTTTAAGCCAGATTTGTATGTCACTTTTGAGAATTTTCAATTTTTAAATTATAAAAAGAACTCTTGTTTTTATCGTCTGTCGTACCTTTTCTTCAATCTTGTCACTCATACTTCATCCCTCACCTTATAACAAATTGTCATAAATGTCCCATATACAAACTGAGGTCTTTGCACATCCAATGTCCTCGAACTCATATTCTTATTTAATTACTGAAGAAGACGATGTTGTATTAGAAGAACTTACATCCAGTTTACTAACAACTTCCACTATCAACGAATGGCTACAAAAGAGTCCCCGAGCAAAGGCAACTCTTGTTTTACAGCCCTCCTCTTCTACTCAAACAAGCAATTCAGTGCAAGAAGAAGATTTTTATACAATTCAGGTGCCAGTTTACGCTCTTCGTCGTCGAAATGCTATTGTTGCTGATCTACCAGATGCACCTCTCTATCATCACCAACATTATTATACCACGGCAATCATGAATTAGACCCAATTTTTAGACTGATTACTCTTCACTAACGCATTTTAGACTGTATACATATTATTACGCTCGCATATTCCATATCCTTTGTTTGATGTTACCCCTCCGAATCCCTTCAATACCTTTTCATTTATTCTTACACTCGTCTTGACTAATAAAAGTTGTTATATGAGATCATTGCCTGTCATTTTGAATGTAGACTATTTTAGCAGAGTTTACAATCCAGAAGAAAATATAACATAATAAGTGCTGGGCAGTTATGAGAGTAAATACTACAAATCGACAATAAAAGGTGGCATGTTCGTTTAACCATCTATGCCATTTTGCGCAATCAAATTGCTTCAAATTAGTAGACATATATACTTTCGAATACTTACAGAGCTGGCAAGCGGACCTTTGAAAACAATCATCGTACAGTGACAACCTTAATATCGAGCTTATCTTCGCTGAGCTTTCTTTTGCTTTCATCCTCCTAAGACCCACCTATATTATTTACGAAAGCTTTCACAATTCCTGAATACAACAATAGCTATTTTGAACTGAATCTACATAACTCTTAATTGTATTAAGCGTTGTACTTTAGACCCTTTCAGTACTCCTTCTTTGTCCATTCAAACAGTTCCAAGCAGTTGTGAATCTTTGATAATCAGCTCATTAAAAACATCGATATCCAAAAAGATAATAAAAAACCCCCTCCAACTTAATAAATAAAAATATGTATGACAGGTCAGTCATGATACATTGCGATTTGATTTTCGATGAATATGTATTGGGAGCCCATATCCTTTTTCCTACCTCATCATTCCATCCTATTCAATATTATCGTGGAAAGATATCACGATGTTTGCTCTCAGTAGATGTTTGAGATAGCGAAGTGAATGAGAAAGAATGTGCCGTTCGTCTAACTAAAATACAGAAGCTTCAAGCGTCCTATTAGACGCAGAGCATATTTATTGGAAAAAATTAAGATTGACTCATCAAAGAAAGGTCAAAAGGAGCGGTAAGCCGCATCTATTAAATAGACATTCTTCCAAACTATGGCAGCAATTTTAAATCAGTAGAATTATAAACATTGGCTTGTACATAAACTATTGCACGTGCGTTTACGTAGACACTTGAAGAGCAATGAAAAACCAAGAGAAGCAGAAGCGGAGAGATTGTGACAGCAACAATACGCCAAGACTTCTTTCTGTTGCCAGTCGAAGAGCACCAAGGATAAAACAAAAAGATAAAACGCCGGGAATGATATTGTTAGATGAATCCAGAGGCCTGATTATCCTCTTGTCCTCTCCATCAGTTTTCTTGCCTTTTTTGCATTGTTTATTGCTGCTGTGGTGAAATAACTAATGAAGCCGTCGTCAACCTTGTCGTGAAAACCACCTCTTCAAATATTCAGCTTTTTTTTTGCAAGATTATCAAACCGTAGAAAAGCTATGAAAATAGAAACGACAAAGCTTTCTGATTGTTAGTGCTATGATTGAGCAATAACTTCCTTTAACAAAAGAACACGAAGACGAGGAAGAACATCAGAGAATAATTAAGCGAGATGATATGTTGGTGTAAAGTTAATTGATTTAAGTTGGTTTGATACAGTTGAACCGTAAAGTAATAATAACTATTAAAAGTTGTATATGTTGTGCTATACAATTTCAGTTCTTAAGAAGGTGCACATAGTGGGCGTAAGATGCATAATGAGATTTTATAGCAAACTTTATTAAATCCCTCATCATGAACAGTTATGCAAGTTGGCACAAAACCCTTCACTGAGAGCGTTAAAGTTCACCCCTCAATTTAAATCGATGGCGATAGATAGCACATAGTAAGTGAGGGCTTGGCAACGTATACAGGACAAAAAGTTTACGTCGTCTGAAGTGAATGGGTTTTTAGTGGGCCTACAGAAACCACTGGAGGAAACATACGCGTATTTTTTGTTTAATTAATGAGAAAATGAAGCCATTTCTTTTTCTTTCCTTCTAAAAAACTTCCAGAAAGAATGTTACCGCTGCTGATACTCAGCCTTTTAGCTCAAATCTTTGCTGAATTAAACAATTTCTTTTGGTTCTCCTGTATCTGCCCTTTACGCTCGTTCGCTGTTTCTTTGCCGTTTCTTTCACGACGTTGACATTCAGCGTGACGCTCAACCTATTCTGGTACTTTGGTTTCGCGATTCTCTGCCTTTTGAAAACGTTTCTGCTGATATTAGCACATTGGGCTCTCTTGTTGTATGGCTTTTGCATCCTCTTATGGAAGGAAGGTTCGTCTGCACTCCATACCCTTGTAGCCGGCTGTTCAATGGTGAACGTGAAAGAAACTTGGAAAGACTGTCTTATAATCTGAAGTGTGCTGAAGAAGAAATTCGTTCTCGTGCCCGTGCTTTTGCTTTTGCCAGTGCCAAAGCATTTTATTATGCTGGAAGCAACAGTCGTTATGCTATGCTTACCTGTTCCACTACTTCGGCTGCTGTTCGTCAACGATTTAGTTAGTGTTCGGTTCCGGTTGCTAGTCGTAGTGGTAGTAAACTTGCTGCGGCTGTTGTATCCGCTCTGGTTTCTGCAGTTTCTGAAATATCTATTATGGTTAAACCTAAAGTATTTAATTTGCCTTCAACTTTTGTTGATGGTATGGTCCAAACTTTTATTTCGCTCTGCATTTCATCTAGCTCAACAGTCCCCTATTTTCAAAGTGGTATAACGCCCGGTTTAGTACCCGTTCGCGCTTGCGTATCAGTCATCGTCGCGCTGGTTATTTTAGCAAAGTCTACAGACTTGATTGATGTACTTGTATTGCTTAACATTTAGGTAAGGCGCGCCGTATTCAACGTTGTCAGCAGCGATTTTAGCGATCTGCTCAGGAAGCTATGGATTGGGAGTGCACTTGTGTTTCGTCACCTGCACTTTCAACTGTTTCCATGATTGTTGAAAGAAGAATATCGTTCAAGCTACTTATTGATATATCTACTTCAGTGTCAGGTTCCATTATCGGTAGCTTTTCGGAAAAATCACTCGGTGGTTCAACGAGCACTACAATGGATGAGGATATTTTGATGGTTACAGCTAGTGGTGATTCACAGCCCACCTTTATAGAGGAGGAAATTGTAGTGGAAGGATCTTCTGATTCACCCGCTGACTTGTTTGCTTAGGCGAGTTGTCTCCTCCCTTGAGTTTCACTTTAGCAGGAATATGGTGTCTCAAGCTCAAGATTCAATCCTTGATGGACTACGTTAGCCCTCTTATTTTGTCACCATAGTGGACGACACTGTAATGGCTGCTGCTGCGGACATCGAAAGTAGTTCCATGTCTGTTGATGCTTCTGCTTGTGCTCCCTGTCAAGCCATCACCCCGTTGCACTTGATGTAACGCGGATTTCCGCTGGTTCTGCTGGCTCCTGGGTCAAAGCTAAGAAAGCTTGTTGTAAAGATTTACTATTCAACAGATTATTGCCACAACAACACCACCACGATTATCACCCGCCACCAGAAAAAAAAAGAGAACTATGCAGTAAAGTAGTGTAATTTTGCTATTACGGGTTTTGGGAAGGCATGTACTTTTCGCAGCATGGGGCATATGCATTTTTTGCTATAATTTCACGACTTATTGTTTGCTTTTTTATAGTGAGTTCTTCAACACTTACCATCTGAGGGAAAAAAACAGTTTATTAAAATTTTTCATTTTTTTCGTACATGTGGTTGTTAATCTTACAGAAACTAGCGTCTGATTTTCCAATCAATGAATATCTTGGTGATTAGCTTTTACATCTTTTGAAGTTTAGGGTGTTCGTTTTACTTTCTGGTTTTTTGGATGTCTGTCACCCGCCAAGTTCTTAATTGCTTTACAGACAGTGTCTTGCTCTATGACATCTGAATGCCGGAAAAAAACTATTTGATATGATGTTACTTCTCATTAATTCCTGTGAGTGCTTCTAAAATAAATACGCGAATAACAACTTTAGCATCAACAGCTATATAAAAAATGGTCGATCTATCGTCATGCCAAATGAAAGGGCTATGATGTCTTCTTAATTTCTGCAACTGTATCGACACACTGCTATTATATTTGGTAGGCGAGAATTTCCACGGCGTCTTCTCAGTTCTGTCACTACGGTTCTACTTTTTTATGGCAGATGACAAAGTTTGGCGTAGCTTGAACGAAGAACTTGGCAACAGGTGGTTCTCATTGTCTCCTCCTATACTTCGAGCCTTGCAAATGATTCTTCAACTCGTAATCAGTTTAAGGTGCTTCATCAACCACGGAGATATCGTCGCTCTTACGTTGGCTGGTACTATTAGCAATCTATGTTCATTAGAAACACCTTTCGGATCATTGGGTATCCTAAATTTCGAATTGGTAAGGAAGGCACTTTGGCTTTGTACTTTGGTATTGCATCTTTAATCAAGTTGTCGGTTGGTGTCGAAATGACTTGGCATTTATTCAGTAGAATTTGCTTATTGATGAGCATTCAATGAAAACGGCCTTTTGGTGATGCTTTCTATGGTCATCAGCATGGACTGGATGTGATCTTCAGTAATGAATTGACGACCTGTTGCAGAATATTTACCATCAGCAAGCAAACTGTAAGAACTTCAAGATGTACTCTTTGAAGAATCCATCAAGAGCACGACGTCTGTGGGAACCAGGGAAAACAACTATCTCACGACATCATGTATGGTGGCATGCTTAATATCAGAATCAAATCAAGGGTTATTTCTTAACAGCTATTCGCATTATGGGTGTCTTATTTTCTACGAGGCCTAAGTGGCGGAATACGCAATAATACTTCTTAGTTCATCAAACAGTCAAGCAAAACAAAACCCTCTGAATTTCAAACAAAACAGCAATAAGCGAGAAGATAAGTTGTAGCACAATAGGACATCCATTGAAATGGACTGAAAACTCATATACATGCAAGCTCTGCTGCAACAGGTGTTTTATCATCTTTAAGTTTCTGTCAAACTGTAGGCCTGCTTAGGCTATAATTGTAGGGTCTTCACATTCCCGTCAAGTTTATCAACGCCATTTGGTAAGGAAATGTTACTTTGCTATTTGTTTTTATCGACCAGTAACCTTCCCCCTTCCCCTCTAGGTCGCAGTTAGCCTTATAATGAAAGCAATTTTTTTTGCACAAACTCCAAATATGTGTCAGCTCATTCCTTAACCGATCAAATTTCTCTTAAAGTTCGTTATGCTATTCCTAGTTTTTGTATGTCAAATTACCCTTTCTGGCGGAGGCCGGAGGCCGTAGCCTAGGGTTCAGGTGGCGTATAGCGCATATCGTATGTATAAAGATATTACTCACATGTAAAATCATTCACTAAGATTCTGGTCATAATGAAGCCATCAAATTGCTTTGTCAAAGCTTTATTGCACATATATTGTAAAGCAAATGATTCTCAACATAAGAAGCGAGTCATTTGGTTGGCCTTCTTACGGTCAAATTAACTTTTGTACCAAATTCTCAATCCTCGCAAAGGAAATCGACCATCTGCAAAGATATTTTTAAGGAGAAAATGTAGTGGTAAAAAAAAGAACTACCAACAACCCTTTTACTAAACGGCTTGCAATCAAGAATATCAATACAGAAGATAATAGTAGCGTATCGGCTCTTTTCAATTATAAAATACTTCGTGGGAATACTGTGGTCAAGTTGGTCTCTTAGACAAGAAGTATTTCAAATGCGTTTACTACATAGCAGTATCTGCTGATCATTATAACCGTAATTTAAGTAATGTTTTGATAAATCAAGGTATGCTGATCTTTTTAAATAGTAATATTTGGGAAAATGCCTTAATTCCAACTTTCTAACATGTCATTTCTTCGTCGTAAAACTTCGCGTATCTGCCCATTACTCATAAATTCAACGTCCATTTTCTTCAACGTTGCTTGAATAGAGTCTAACTGAGTCGGGTCTGCTAAAGCTTTCATTAATACATCCCAAGATGGCAAATCTGTCATAATATTGTCATGGGTCGTACTCGCTCTCGGAGAGGGGAAAGGTAGCGTCAATAACAATACGGCTTCCTTCAATCTATTGAGAAAATAAAGGGGAATAAAGATATTAGAAATTGGCTTCCCAATATTGACAACTCATTGTACCTTTTTGTAAAATTTTCAGGTTTGGAGACATAACGTTGACCTATTTTCCACAAGCCTTGTTTTAGATCTGCTTCTAACTGCAATGCACCTGCAGCTGAAAACTGCGTCGTTGTAATAATGTTTTTCCAATACCAATCTTCAATTTCCTTTAAAATTCTACGATAAATATTCAAAAAATATGATTGAGGAAGTACACTGTAAAGATAGTTCCACGTCAACCTTAAATCTTGCAGAGGTCGATATAATTCAGCAGAAATTTCAACCATGCTACCATCATTACCAGAAGAAGAAGGCTGCCACCAGTCATCCCTGATGTTGGAAATAAATAAGTTAATATTTCTTGATGAAGCATGTCTCTACCGTTTCCACATTTATTTACTTTTTGGCGTATTTTTTGGCCTCGATTGTCCACTCTTTCATTGCCATTTTGACGATAATCTTCTCTATCCGCAGATTAAGTTGTTCAAAGGCTGTAATAGCTGCCGAGAATAATCCTTCTTCTTGCTGGGAATGCATCAACTGAGAAAGATGTATCATACAATTATTAGCTTGGTGGCTTAATTCTAGATCTGTGACAAGACTTTGTATCGAATCGGATCCATGCATGATATCATATTGCATTGTGATGAAGAACTAAGCGTTTTTATAAGCTTTAATATTACAAAACTAAGCTAAATTTTCATTTTTTCTGTACCTCTTCATTTGTCCAATCTTTCAAGACTTGGATTATAGATCGGCAACTAGTCCACCACTTATATAATCGATCCAAAGCTGTAACAATCCCACCTGCCTCGTTTGCTGTCATTACCCCTGTTACTGCTTCAGGAAGCGCTCCTGGAACGGGAACTGAACGGATCAGACTGAGCGCTTCAAAAGAATCAATAGCTGCTGATATTCTTTTTTGATATTGCCCGAGCAGATCAAGTTGTATGTCAACAAAGAAATTCAATTTCTGCTCTAAATCGGAGACAAGTTGATATGCATTGGTGACATTTTCTAGCAAGTTAATTAACCTCACAGTGGATCTAGTACGCTTAATGAGCTTTGCTGCTGAGATGTCTTCTTGTGGGCCGGCGGGCTTTTCAAAACTATCTTCGGCATAAATGTCAAATGCTTGTCCATCTAGCATGATTTCATTGTATCTGGTTTGGGCAACTTAGAGTTGTAAAAAGGTCACAATAAGTGAACTGTGAGGTCGTTAATATTTTCTATTACTTGATTTCTTCAGCAACTTACATGCTTTTTCAGCATCGAACCATGAATTGAACCAGTTCGCGTTTTTCAAAATGACGTCGGAAATAAGTGTGTATCCATCAAATGCAAATTCTTCCTGTAGTGATTTATCGAAATGTAACACTTGGTGAATGGTATGACTCAATAAATTCGGTTGGCTTAGCAGCTTAGGCATCGTTTTCTGTAACTTCATATACACATCCTGTAAAAACCCGTGTATAAATTGATCCTTAGCAGCTTTCCTCTTAATTCTTTCCCTTCTTTCTGTTCCCTTTTGAGATCCTTCCAAGTATGTAAAAATTGGCTGAATTGTTGTCATGATGAAGGGTATGTGTGCTGCAATTGTGTTTTTCACATGGGTTAGATACCATTCAGGCTTATCAATGCGGTTGGTTGGTTTGGATGTTGCGAAATGATATCTGAATCGAAGCGATAGTCCTTCTAACATGATCGAAATGGGTAAAGATACTTCATTTTCGTCCTTTGCAGAATTATCTGACTCTTGGATGCCTTCGCAGCTTCTACAAAGAGTCAATAATATGTCAGAAGTTTAATTAACAAAGCAATACACATGTCTACCTTGCACTTACGCGTCTTGAAGAAGTAGGAGATTTTGAAAGGCCCTTTCAAAGCTCTTGATCTTAGATTTCAGCTGTGGGCCATATGGTGGTCTGATTGGTATTGGCCATGATAACCCGTCCAACTGATCTTTAAATTCTTTCGTTAATATATCCGTCAGATCCTCTTGGAGACGAGTTTGTACTTTATGTAAATGCTCGGTTAACTCTCCATATTGTTTCGTTCCATGATCTTGAATGTAACGCTCAAATCTTACAAGCTGTACATACGCCTCTATAGATTTTTCTGGCTCATTTTGAACGTACTCCATAGCCTGAGTGCTATTTACAAAGATTTGAGTAAGACTTATGTTATTGAATTGTAATGGAGTCAAAAATAAAAACATTTTCAAACCTCAGTTCCGAAGCCAGTAGTAAGGCTTTCAAATAGCTTTTGGCAATATCCACTTTTTTCAATTTGTTTTCAAGTGTATTGAGGTGTTCAAACAGATCAATAGCTGACTTATCAATTGCTGTTTCTTCAACAAACTGATCAATATCGTTATCGGTTGCCTCTAACGAGGTACCCAAATCATTAAGCATATCTTTGTTGCATTTAGCATTATTTAAAGACTGCAATATTATAGCTTTTGTTTCAACTTCAAGTTGCTTAAGCTAGAGAAGTTATGCGGATGATGACTGAGTATAACATCTTGAGACACGAAAGCGATTGCAAATATAAATTGCTACCTGCAAATCTAACTGTGTCTGTTTTGTGTGTTGAGCATTTAGTAAGTGAGTAACATTTTCCAAGTTTAAATCTTGCTCAGTCTGTATATTCTCCAGAAGAAACTGGTGTACTTCACTCATAAAGGCCGTCATATTGATGCAGGAAGAGATAAAAACTGAATAAGCAACCATTCATGATGAGAGGTTCTTTTTTACCATCACGCGGAGTTACGAACTATTTGCATATACCGCATAATTTTTTAATGCTTCGAAAGATTTTCTTTGCCATTCAATCGCATAATTACAAATGAACAACCGGATCAAAACAAATTCCAATAAAATAAACACTAAGTTTGAGGGTTATAAACTAAAGCCCTTTCCTAATAAATCGGATATAGTACGAACATCTTTAGCATCAGATAATATTCAAATTTGGAAAAGCACGACTGACCAACAAAGACTAAGTTTCCGAGAGCTTCAAGCGCGAATTAGACAAAGTCAATTGATATACGGTCAACCTCTGGATGAAAACAGAGGAACTGCTTTTTGCATAGATGAGGAATATAACGTACACATGATCATTTACGATAAGGTAACGCTAACGCTCCGTAACTGAGTCTCACCTAATGATTGTAGCGCTTAATCTATTTTATACCTCAGTCAAACAAGCAAACAACCTTCAACCCTCTTCTGCAGTTAATAAAACCAATAAGCACAACTTTACCTAATTTCACAGAGCCTACTGACACGACATTTATCGAACCACAAATACCTTCGGCTATTTCCATTAACCACGAACTTTTATTAGCAACGAATGGATCAGGGCATATCGAGTTGATAGGCATCACTGAGAACAATGGTACTATGGTGGGCGTCATTTTGGGTCGGACAGTTTATCCAGGCGCTGGTACAGAAGGTGTCACGCCCGTTCCATGTGTTTTATTAGATGGTCGTCAAATTACGAATAAGATCATCTTTGTGCTTTACAGCCGTGCAGCTGATACTACTCCAGTTAACACTAATGCCGAAAGAAAAACGCTATTTAATATTGTTACAATGGAAATTACAATACCAACGAAAGCAACACCTCAGTTAGACGATGGCACATTCCAAATTGCAACAAAAGTCTTGAACATACAGAGGGGTACTGAGGTTCCAGTTTATTGTGCTATTACAGCTTCAGGTCAACATTGCATTTTCGGAAGCGAAGTATGTTATGAAAGTGTGAAAATTAACGATGAAGATGCTGCTGAAATGAACAACGAAGATGTAGTAGGAACAACGGCATCTACGGAAGTTGTTGAGCAAAATCAACAGTCCAGAGCTGCCATTACAAAGGAAGTAGATGTCGAACAACCATATCAGTGGTTTCAAGAGGGTCCCGACATTACAATCCACTTTCAGCTACCTTCCAACACACCAAAAAATGCTATTGTATGTAAATTTCTTCCAGATCATCTAAGCTTATTGATCAAGGATACTAGAATATCGTATCCTTATCGTAAGTTGTGGAGTACGATTCGGCCCGATGCCAGTGTTTGGACACTTGACCCAACTTCCAGTATACTCACTCTTAACATTACGAAATACGATGAGGTTACCCGCTGGCCGCAATTCTTCGATCAAGATGATGATGTGCTCGAAACCTTAACACCACATCATTTATCGGATATCAAAGAAAAATTGGCTAAGTTTACGTCTACAACGACAGAAGATGAAGATATGGCAACCACAACGACGAAACAATCCATAAATCCTTCCTCTTTCATTCAGCCAGCACAGCATCCTGCAAGCATGGATATAGATGAGGATATTGATTCCGCAGGTGAATCTATCACTTTTAGCATCTACGACAATCAATCTCGCATTGTAGTAGATAGCTTACATACAGGAGTCTACCGTTGGATTTGTGATTCTTTTCAAAGTAACCAAAGATATGCACTCCCTTCTGTTTGTTTGCAAATGGATGTAGATGGATTAGTATTCAACATATATGAAAATGTGGAAAACCATAAAATTGAACTACAACATGTGGCTACATTTGATGCTTTCGCTTTTGTGCGTGCTTCCAAAAGAGATGCTCGATTTATAAAGCACGATTCTAATTTTTCTTTTAGTTGCGTTATCGAAAGCAGCCGTAATTGTTATATATATTATCACCATGATGATAAGCGAGTCTCTGAAGTTCAAACCTTAGTGGATCTAACCCAAGGCCATGACACAGAGGTTATTGGTGCTCAACTCATACTGGATAGAACGCTAATGATTCTGACAGAGGACGATATTATCGTAATAAATGTTTAAAATGTGCTTTTCTTCTAATCGGATTGACAAAGGAGGATGTAAAGCAATGTTGTTTTTCAATAAAAGCTGAGTATTGACTATTGAATTGCAAACTTTGTTCTAAACTACATGAAGAACGTTACTTCATGGAAAAAATTAGTGTTAAGATCGTACACATACGAATGGTCCAATACCCAACGTTGAAGTAAAAGAATTTGTTCCTAAATTGTGTTTCAAAAACAAAAACAACGTATCGTAAATAGTGGGGATTGTTCAAATGCTGCTTGAATGACAAGGAAATATGTTTATTTATGTACAAGAGAAGATGCGCTTCAAAAAGTGCTAGCGAGAATATTTCGATTTCCTCTGCATAAATTCATAACGATTCGAAGAAAGGAGAAGCGTTCCATATAAAGATAGCCTGTCAAAAGATAAGGCACAACAAATAAGTGGCATGTTAAAGCCGCGAAAAATAAAGTAAAAGCACGGCCCAAGGGTCCACCTCTAAAGAACCTGTCTCCAATACTGATACCAAAGACTTGAACGATAAAGAATAAAAACTGAAGACCGCCTGCCGGTAATGTTGCAGAAGAAGAACCCGTGTAGAGTCGTGGCCCCGATGCAGAGAACAAAAAGAACTCATGCATGAGGCCTGACATAACGAAGACTGACAAAGCTGGTAACCATCGAGGGGGTTTACACTTAAATAAAGTTAACATCGTCCAGCGGATTGGTCTATACCCAAGCCTATAAAATGATTCGTTGTAAAACGTATGCCAACGTCTGCCCCAAAAATCACGTAGAGAATGTGCAGTCCAAGGGGAATTGAATAAAGGCTGCATTGTCAATGTATCCTCAATCCAATCTTTAACTGCTCGAATTCTTTTAACTCGTCTTAAAATTGCTTTTGTTTCGAGAACATTTCTGCTGCTGCTATTCAGATCTCTTAAATCTGTAGCTCCTAATTGCCATCTTTCCAAATATGGCAAACACTTGTAGATTGTAGCGTACATTAACATCAAAGCGTCATACGTCACTTGCAGTTGGATTTGGATATAGACACAGAACAACAAGGATTGGCAGGTACTGATCAGAATCTCTGTATAGGTGATAGCTTGTGAAGAAGCCAGTGACGCCGCTTTGTCCATCTGTCCTGCATATTCGTAAATTTTTGACATGAATGCCGAAAACACACGAATAGGTCGTTGAGCATCATCGTAATTATAGATGAAATCAATTAGATCGAAAATAACTTGATGCTTAATGAAGATCCAAAGGTGACGTGCAAAGTGAATCTCCCTATAATCGAAGCTCGACTTGAAAGCTTTTTGTTGGTCTTTACTGGAATCTTCTGGTAAACGTTGCCTCCATTCTGATAGAGTGTATATAAAGGGCCGCTTCTGTCGCTCTTCCATTGTCATACAAAAAACCCATACACCCATCTTCATCGCCGTTGCCCAAGCCCAAACAGACACACTGATAGAGCAAACGTAAGAGTATTGTCCAGCGTAATAGATCGGAAAAAATAGTCCGGCAAACCATAATAGAGCAAGTATACCATCTTGTATAAGATTTCTTTTCTGAACAGGTAGGGATACAACCGTAAACAGAATACTCGGCGCCAGAACTGTCATCACATATTGCAGCAGACCCAGTGCTGAATGGTGGTAGACCATATTATTGCGTAATATATGTGCCTTGAAAATGTAAGTTGTATTTGTAACACAAACACAAGAAAGGTTATAATTAATTACAGTGAATAATCACTTAGACAGATCCTGCTGTAGGAAGTGTAAATGTGAAGGAAAAGGAAGCAGATGTTACGAGTTAGACAAAAATTACCCTCTAATGCCTTTTGCTAATAGGTTGAGATGGGAGACAAAAAGAAATTGCAACAAGAAAAAAGTCTGCCACTATTGGGTGCTAAACCAAATTTCCACGGAAAAACTTTTAAGTGATTCTTCTCCAATGTTTTTTGTCCATGAAAGGCAAGGCATCGGCGAAGCGGTCTCCTTGATTTCCGCAATTCTTCTCAATTGATGATGTTAAGTACGCACATTGATTCAAACTATCTGTAACGAAGCTATCTTTGCTTTGTGAGATATACTTTATAACTCTCTAACTCTAAGTGTATTAAGCAGATATCGCATCAGCTGATTCATCCATACTTCGTCCGACATGCTGACTAAGAAACCCTAGACGCTTAAGTAATTTCATTATAACCGTCAATTTGTGTGCAAAAGCCAAAAAGGACGTTCAAAGCACTTTTATTTAATTGCGACGAAGAAGCACTAAGATGTCGTGGTATAATCCTTCTACGTTTATGGTATCAAATGAGAACATTTTCTCGATCTAGTTCTTCTGTTGTCCATGGTATCAAGTCAATCATCTCATCCTCTTCAAATTCTCCGTCTTCTTCCTCAATGCTATTCTCCTCTTTAGTCTGTTGCATACTTATCTCCTGCTTATTTTCTCCTTTACTTGAATTTTCTTTCGGTCTTAGACAAGCAAATAAACTATCGGATTTCATTTTTGCTTCGACCGGTTTATCTTTATCGCCTTCAACGACAACAAATGACTTCTGTCGTTGTCGCATATTCCATTGTAAACAGCTCTGTACAGATGAAAACCAATCGTTACTGCAGTCGCTAGCACAATATGTTTTAACAGTATAGGGTGACAATGTAATCTTGACATGATCGCCTTCTATAGAATTGAATAAAGTACTCAACACACTAGTGCAACGCTTGCTTTGAGAAACGTCTTTATATGCCTACTTACGTTTAAGCTCTGTTCTATTCCTTCCATCAAAACTACAAAAAGCTGTATGACGTGATCCAAAAGGTACAACTATACGAATTGTCAGTCTGCTAGGCAACAGCATAGGTCGGAAACTTAGCGTATGTGGGCATATTGGGGTCACTAAGGTACATTGCATATCAGGATGAGTTAACGATCCTCCAGCGGAGAGCTTCGGGGGGAATAAATATTGAATAAGCGTTTATAGCTTAGTTTTTAATGATTAGCGTAAGTGAGAAACTTAAAAGATTTACCGAATATGCTGTAGAGCCAGTAGCAGTAGCAATACATAACCCATCTGCTTGTACAGTTGTTAAATGTCGTTCATCTGCAAATAGCTCCAATAATGAAATGTTGGAGCTAGGTCCACGATCCACTACAATCTCATTTAACACGTGATATGTTTGATCTGGCACAGTCGAGTAACATAGAACTTTATCATCCAAAACGTCCGCAACTTCAGGGTCTCCTTTGGAAGCTTGTTCAAACGCCTTTTTCATCCATGCGGTTTCCATGACCATCCATTCATTTGTTTCTCTATTGCCACTATTTGTTGAAGAATCAGATGAGGGTTTTGTATTCCAGTCGACAACTGGTTTATCCGTCCACACTGTATTTTCATCAGATTTCTTTCGTGATTTCAGTAAGCAATAAGGGTCTTGTCTGTATCGATATACTGTACAGCTTAGTCTTATGCGATTAGTATGATTTAGTTCGCCCCTGAACAATTTATCAAGCTCCTGATGGTAAGATGTTGATGAGAAGGGTGCTAAGAATCCCAGTGAACCCAAGTGGAAAGGCATAATAGGCGGTACTGTTGTTTGAAATATTGTGGATGTAAAAAGAATTGTACCGTCTCCACCAAGCTATTATACCATGCATGTATTAGAGATATAACCTTTATATTGTTTTCGTCGTATATATTGTGGGCATTGTAATCGTTCTTACACTGATAATCAAATCAAAAAGCTCTGGTTGACTATAACAGAGCTTTGGTGTCCAGAATTTTAATTTTGTTTCATAAATAGGGCTCTTACGAACGAGTTTCTCGTAAGCAAATCGTTTTGATACTTTTAAATGAGCATCCACATAACTACATCCGAAATAACATGAGTGAAGAAGTATTCGCGACTGTATTGTGAATTTTAAACTTTACACAGTGAATGGATGCTCCTTTCCAAAACGTGGAGTGGAAATAAGCCACTCAACAAGCTGTCTTGTGAAGGGAACTAACTTATTGTCTTTTGCTTTAGTGATAATGAGTATCGTTTCTTGTTCGGGACTCCCCTCAAACTTTCGTTTTCCCTGCATTGAATCTTTGAACAATAAGCATAAGGAATATTCTCAGCTTTCCAGTTGCATGAAATTCATTGAGGTACCTCCTTTTTCGTCTGCTGACTCCGTAATAGTATCATGTCTTCTTTTGATACCGCTTTTCATATCGTTTGAGAGTTGCTTAAAAGTTGAATGAAATTGGAAGAATTAGTGAGGAAGAAAGAGGGTTTTTTAAATAAAAAATGAGATCAACTATCTGCATCTCAAAAGGTTAATCGGTGACGGGCTTAAAAGCTAGTTACGTGTTTAGCTGTGTTCGAAAGTGATGTTGTATTACAGGCTTTTCGCTACAGATTCTGACAGTATCAAAATTAAATGTGGATCAAAAGAAAGATCAGATCAGACATTTGAACGAATCCTTCGCTCACTTTCACAAGGTTTCTAATTCATTTTATTTTTTGTGACTCGCAATTCAAAAGACTTTCTGGAAAATCCAGTTAGCACAAATAATATATAGATCAATTTGACGCTTTAACAACGCGTTATAAGAAGAAGTTAACCTTTATCACTGAACAGTATGAATAAAAACGAACTTTCCTGTTATCAAGCAATTCGATAGGGAATACGACAGTTGCCCGGCCAATACGTTTCAGAATTTATACAGTAAAAATACATTAGGACGGTAGTCAAGTATTCTGTGCCTCATCCGTCTGCTTTATTATGTATGTAGGAATATTTACAATGATAATTAAATAGTGAGTGTTTCCTAAAGACAAGTAAATAAATAATTTGCTGACAAAATCAACGCGTTTCTTCATCATTAGGTAGGTAGGTAGACTCTGTATCATTATCCGTCGTATTGCTTTCGCTTAATGTGGTCGATTTTGAGCTTGACATTCGCCTATGGCATAGCTGAGAAGCAGCCTGATGAGTGGTATCCAATGAATGTAGATGCTTATGGCTGCTATCGAGTACAGGATCATCTGGAGTCAATATTGTAATAGCTGTATGTCTCTTTGGCTGGTTATGTTCGGTAGTCGCTCCATCTTCGCATCCTTCATCTTTTTTGTTACAAACTGCAATGTCAAAATCTGATAGATCTGCTTCGTCAACAAGGTTGAAAGCAGGGCGGTGGCTGTCTTGAATATTGGCCATTTCTGACTTAGGAATACGTATGACATGGCTTCCCATATCACTGGTTCTTGTGAGAGTCCTCGTAGCGAAAGTACCAACATAAAATAAGGGAATTGTGATTCCATGTACGACTACAGAAGCAAGCACCATAAAATAGATAATTGGCTTTAAAAGATCACGAGCATATACGTGGGGGCTGCTATCTGGGATAGATTCCAGGGCCACAGTGAGATAGAAAATAGCACCAACACCGATGGGGCCAAACCAACCTGTAAAAACAGCTTCTCTCCAGTTATGGATTGCTGGAATAAATTTGTACAGTGCTACAACGATAGGCAATCTTCTAAGGAAAAGTACCAAAATGGCTAAGACAATCAATCTCCAAACCGCTGGCTGCGAAAAGAGTGCCCAGGGCTGAACAAATTAATTAGCAACGATAAATAGCATCTGTAGCACATGATTTATACGTACCATAGTAGCTCCAATATAAACGAAGATACTGAGATTAAGCAAAAGGTCAATAACCTATCAAAATAGACAACTTAAGTAATCCATGTCATTTGACTTATTGTAGGTACCATTGATTTTACCTCAGACAAGTGGGCTTTCTCTGTTTCAACACGGAACCAATCGTTCCAGGTGAAAGAGTTACCTGCAATAAAACAAGCAAACAAGTCATCACTACCCATGAGACCGATAACGCCCATCAAAAATAACTAATTTACGTGTCAGTATAAATGGATTTAAGTGCCCCTAATAGAAACAACTAACAGACTTACCGCTAATGCAACAGCAAAAACAAGGAAGGATTCTTTATCAATGAATTTCCTATAGTAAGTTTCGAAAGAGATATGTCTGAGTTAATGCTATACATAATGTCATTGCATTCCATCATTTACCTTTCAACAGCATATTTCAATAATTTCCGTGCAATAAAACCTGCGATAAAGCCGATAACTATCGCTAATAACACATTATACGCCATAATCCAATAAGCCCATTTGCCTATAGCAGGGCCGACATCCATTTCTAACAAGTAAATAGCCAAAAATAAGAACGGATAGCCTAAGCCATCATTCGCACCACTCTCACAGGATATAATGTGGCGCACATGAGTTGGGACATGCTTTTCGGCAAATTTGCCTTGCACAATTGAGTTGGCCAAAACCTATTCGTTTAAGATCAAATCATGAATAAATGACAGTTACAGTTAATACAGGTATATTCATAAAAATGAGTTTTGCAATTAAATAAAAACTGCAAAATTCTTACAGGATCAGTAGGTGTGAAACAAGCAGAGATCATTAAAGATTCAAGCTATATTACGAGTTAACAGGAACAAATGAGCAAAGATGATAAGTTTCTACTGTGACTGATTTGTACAATATGTTTGATTGTGTACTTACGAAGTTGAGGCCGGGTATCATAGCCCATACCAATAAGCCACTAACGAGCCACATGTATGTCATAACAGGCCCTAGCAATATTAAAATTGAGCGTAGTTCTTTCCTCAAATAAGCTTTCGGTAAAGCTACACCGGCAGCCATGACTTGGATGGCAATGACAACACGACTGAACTCATGACTGATTGTGTCTTCATTACCCCAAGTACTGATATCTACAAATTTGGCGCAAACAGGACCAAAGATAATGCCACATAAAATAGCAATAGCTATTGAATGATAACGTTAGATCAAATTCATTACTAAACAAAAGTAAAAGCTGTATTTTCGACCTACAGGCTTCTGATAAATATAGTCGTTCTTTAATGACCAATGAACATAAACCAAACAGGAGAATAAATCCTCCAAGGATACTGCACACGACCGAGACTGTATCCACCATGAAAATTGTTTAAAATTGTATTGTTCTTCTTTTCTTTAAAGTCGTGATATAATACGTCAGAGCGTTTGTTAACTGGAATTAATGCCGATGAGTATAATATACAAAATCGTAGCTTTCATAGGATGGCAATATATGGAAAAAGAAATAGATTGTAGATCGCGTTAAATGCTCTCTTCCACAAAATCAAAGCTACAGATTATGACAATATATCGTAGTTTATTGTTAGGCTCAAATCTGCCGTTCAAAGTAAGAAGATTTATCGTGTGTCTTACATAAATCAATGAAGTGTTGATAGGTAATTTGAGGCAGAAATGTTCTCTTGTCCTAGGCTGAGCAACAGACAGTTAAAACAACTTCTAAATAGCTACAGTGCTAAAAGTGAAGGAGAAAGAAGAACCAATGTTATATTATTTATTTTTTTTTTTTTTTTTTGCTTCATCATTAAGTAGTTTATATTCTTTAAATATTCTATTCCGCATAGTTAGATAAAAAAAGCTTTACTTTATTAGGAAAATTGTGTTAAATTATGGGATTGCGCTATTTTTGCGTACTCCGCTTGAGTAACCTCTTTGCTGCTTGTCAGTTGGATCTTACGCCAAATCTAAAACTTAACAAACGGAGCATAAAATAGAGGGTCCACAAAAAAGCATATTTAACCGTAAACCAAGTTACATCAAATGTTTACACATTCATATTAAACCTTGGGGGTAGCAGGCACAAGATAGTTAGGGCAGTGTGGAAGATCTACTTACCTTGAAAAAAGCTGCCCGAGAATAATTTCTCTCTTTTGGTTTGTTTGCTACTGCACGCAGTTTTTACTACCGCGGATCCCCGGGAAGAGACTTACCAGCACTTCCTTTGCAAACATTGACCATATGGATGTCAAAGGTTCCATGTGTTTTATGACTATTTGAGCCTGAGCAATCATTAGCTTTTATGTATCTTCTATCTATAGTTGCATAATTCACTTAATCTCAGTTTCAGTGACATAGACAAGAGTCTTTTGAATAACTTCAAAAGAGAATATTAAGAGTTGATCTGACAGCTAGTCACTGTTATTAGCGAATACTGCTGATGCAACAGGCTTTTAGAGTTATTAGACCGTAATACTAAATCATTCATTAGCAAGGTGACAACTGTGACTGTCTTGATGAGTGTGTTGTTATACTACGCTTATATTGCATTGATTGACGAATGCTGCTTTCATCTTTTAGTTGCTCCCCGTTTTACACAATATTGTTAAGAGAACTTATAAATGCGTAATCTCAATAAATACTGTAGGTACTACTCCTGAACCGCTCAGTTGATGAGTAAATCCACTTATCAACATAATCATCCAGCATTTCTGATTAGAAGTGCGAATATAAAGAGCTGGAGTTGCCAATTGTTGCGTAATCTTTTCGCTGCTAAGTATAGAGGCTTTGTAGGCTTCAAATATTTCCATCTGCATTTTTGTCAAATTTTCGCCATAAATTCTATAGGCTATAACTTCAGCAACCCAAATGTAGGATGGTACGGAAGAATGTGTGTACATATCAGACACCGAAACGTTGATTATATGATAAGAAAGTAGCTTTTTTAATGATTTTATAGATTATTTTTGCAAATTATTGATTGATACATTTGTTATTCTTCCCTTAGCGATAGCCTCTACCAGAATGCTGGTGATGATGGTGAGGTGGTAGAGGAGGGGGAGTTGGACGACGGCGACTGATATATAGCTCATGTGATCTTCTGTCAACGTCAGACTCTCGTGGATGCCATCTAGGAGGCGGAGAGCGTAACGAAGATCTGTTGTAATCATAAGCGGGAGGCATTGGAGGGTGTCGTTCTTCAAGTGCTGATGGATAGCGTGAGTATCTGTCAATAGGTCGGCTGTGTCGCGTGGTATGAAATGCTGGATAAGTCGTTGGAGGAATTGAAGGAGGCGGTGGTGGTGATAAAGGTAGCCCGCTATATCTTCTACTGCTAGAATGCCTACTATATTCGCGCTCATAGGGGTGAAATCCTCTAGGTGGTGGAATTGGAGGCATCGAAGGTGATGGAGACAAACGAGACCGGTTACGCAACTCTGTTCTATTGATAGGGTACGCTGCAGGCCTCTGTCTACCATTTGAAGGAGGAGAGGATGGAATTCTGCTACGAGATGGTGATAATTGACTACGTGTTGTAACTTTGATTTTACCATAAGCATCTCTTTCAATCGTCTTGGGTCTACTGAGGTAAGGTTTCCCCTCTGAAGTAGAACTTGAGGCGGCAGGTCTTCCTTCTGGGACAAGTCTTTTTTTCATACTTTTCTCTTCTGCTGTTCCGCTAGTTTTTCTCATATTATCCCCCTTGCTTTCTAAGCGTGATGTTTTAGTAGTTGAAGATAAGCTTCGCATTTGTCTACCATTTCCATCAACATTTTGTTTTGAAATTCCTTCTGCCTTACTTTCCACATCCTTCTCCAAATGCCTTTTATCATAAGTAGGGTTTTTTGAGTTAGTATCTCTGCTTTCATAGCGATCTCTATTATTACTGAGGCTTCGCTTTCTATTATTGTTAACAGAAGGTTTGTTCGGTGAAGATGCAATTTTCCTAGAATTTCTTTCTGGGTCTTCTTCCGCATTGTGTCGTACTCTTCTACTTTCCGCACGCTCATTTTTTGGCGTCTCTAAAAGTATTTCTCTCAAAGTCCATACTGTTTGATTTGTAATTCTGTTGTGGTAGTATGGTTCGCCTTTGTCAGAAATGTATTTGGTCCAAGGTTTTGGGATCTTTTCTTCAGACTTCTCTTCTCCGTTTCCATCCAACTCCATATCTGTTACTTTTGATGTTTCTCTATCAGCATATCGTCCTTCATCATGTGTCTTTAATCTGGTGGTTTCCAATTTCTGCCCTTCATCTGAGTTCGGTGTTGATCTGGCACTGGTTTTCTGCTGACTGTCGAATTGCATCAGATGCTCCTCTTCTTCTTCAATATCTAAAAAAACAACTTGTTCTTTCTTGGCTAATTCCCTTTCTTCCTTCGTTTTTTGTTGGTTATTGGACGAAGAAGATTGAATTTCATCAGCTTGTTGTTGTTCCTTTATCTCCACAACGCTCTCCTGCAATTCTGTCGATGTGGTTTGTTTTTGAAGAGGTTTACTGCTACTGCTATTCGACATTGTTTCTTTCTTACTTTTGCCATTCTCAACAACTCGCACACTTTCGTCTATTTTGGGACGGCTAGAATGACGTCGGTCGCTTTCGATATATCTATAAGGTGCTTTGGGAGGTATCCTGCGACGAGATGGCTCTTTTGTAGAACAATGTGGGAGAGGTGGAGATTGGTACGGTCTATAAGAAAAATTTGAGTAATGAGGTGGTGGTGGACTATACGGTCTAGAGCGCCCATCTCGTCTGTAACGGCTGCCAGCTTCATAGGGTGATCTATCAAAGCTATAAATGCCAGAAGGAGGAGGCGGAGGAAGATATCTGCCTCTAGGTTGGTGGCTGTAAGGTGGCCTCATTATATGCTTTGCTTTTTTTTCGAAAGATGCAAGTGAAAAGAGGGGCTATAACAGCAACCCAAAAATCAGGAAAAAAAAAGTTATGGCTGAGTCGATAATTTTTTCCCCCCTCGTAATGTATTGGTGATGTAGGCCATCTGATTCTCCTTTATTCTTGTGTTCCTCTTCTCTTGTTGTTCCTCGTAGGAAGTAACTGTGAGAATGAGCGAGATACCAGAATATCGTAAGGCACTTTAGATAAATCAAAACAGAGAATCCAAAAAAAAAATTAATGGTATTTGAATGTAAATCAGAATAACGGATTCCAACAAAATCAATTACGTTTCCAATCTTAAATATTTAAAAGAAATATTTCTTCAAGAAAGATGAGATAAAAGGAATTCAAGTCTTTTTAGATATATTTACACTGTATATTTCTTCTAATTGACGGATGCAATAAGTTCAAATTCAAACCAAACTTGCTGAAAAATACACATTTACTATGTACTCTGGTAAACTAATGATCGTATAACCGCACTAATGGTCTTATTATAGTTATTGCAGTTGCTTACCATCGTATATCATGCTGACCCGAAGTCAGATAATGGCACGTCGTTTATTTTCTGTAAGAATAAACCATTTGACGTATTCAACTTCTCAACACTATTCACAAACATCGTGTGTGGATGTCATGAAAGGAAGTGGCTACATAGCCAAGATAACACCTCATAAGGCTGTCCTTCAGCAGCTAACCTTCTGCGAAGTCATTACAATTGCTCCTTCGTATCTCTCAATTTTGCGAACCGAGCATTTTTTATAATATGTATTTTGTCCCTCTTCGCTTCTAAATGTCTCCCTTATAAGTAACCCCATCATTGACGCCGAAGAAATACGCATACTGGCAACGCTGGCATACGAACGGCCAGTAAGAGTGTGAATTAGAGAAGGGGATGGCAGTGATGGTTGTGGCGATTGAATGATTGGGTCACATGTGCTGCATAAGTAGCACGTCCCTAAATTCTGGACCATAGTCCTCAAATAATACCACAAGAAATGCATCACAAACCGTTGCGTATTTCAAACTATTTTATGAGTTGACGAATTGCGGATAGGAGCATTGTCTATTAGCAAGTAAACGAATAATAAGGCCATAGCAAAAAGGTAGATTGTCATTATAGTTTAGAAAACGATGAGATTTATGAAAACAGCAATTGTAATGTTTATTTTACGGGGGGTTTTTTTTATTGGAAAAGGTTCCATTCTTATTTCTTGACACGTCCTGTGAAAGTGAGTCTTTGATCACGTCTACCCTTCTTCTTAATAACCTTATTCAAAGGTATATAGCTGTAAGGATCAGCTTGGCCCTTACGCTTAACATCACCGCCTGCTTTCTACAAGTTTTTTTAAACAGAAAAAACAAAAAATAAGTGTAAGGCACTTTTTCTTTTAGATCATTAAGACAACATGCAAAAATTGATTTACCTTCGATCGGAATTCTTTACCAATCTTCTCAAACTGTTTCTTTGGCCTTTTTTGCTTCTTCGAGGATTGATCTTCGTCATCATCCAATTCCATAGCGTTTTCAGTAGCATCTTTACCCTTCTTAAACTTGATTCTGTTTCTCTTATCACGCACAAAACCATCAGGATTGGTAACATGTTGCATGTAATAATCTTCTTCGGCTTCAGCGACCTCTTCGTCACCACCTTTTTGTGTTGTTGGTTCGTTAATGATGAGACGACCATCATCGCCCTTAGCAAAGGCTTCTTTATTGTTCTTTTTGGCTTTACGTTGAGCAGGTTTTGATGAAGAGATACGGCCTAAAGCAGAACGATCCAAGAAATCAAGTGGCCCTTCTTCGTCATCTTCACGAATGAAAGCATTTGTTGCAGCCTTCAATTTCTTTGTCTTTGCAGTCTTTCGCTCGTTAAGTGCCTTAGCGGCAGCTTTCACTAAGTTGGACGTTTTATCTCCTTCGGCAGCACCCTCTTCGTCTGAATCGTCCTCATCAATATCACTATCTGAACCATACAGTACTTCTTCATAGGCATCCTGGAAAGCACCCTTCTTAGCGGCAGCACGAGCGGATAATTCATCTTCCTCTTCCACATCACTCTCTTCTTGACCAGCCGCAGCAGCATTCTTCTTTCTCTTTGCTCTCAGACGACGTTTCTGGATATTAACGACCAACTTTTTATCTTCCTCTGGCACGAATTCTGCCACTGCATCATAACCAAAACGACGAATCAAGCGTTCAAATAAATGTCGTACCTTCACCTTAAAATGGCTTCTGTGTTGGTGCTGGCATTCAATCAGAGATCGGACAATCTCGCCCACTTGAGGCTGCAACAGGCTGATATCCAAAGTGACAATGCAGACTTTGACGTATCCAATAGCTGCCTTGACAATTTCACGGTTGTTGGACGCAGCCAACATATTGATGGTTTGGAGGAGTTCAGATGCCAATTCATCAGGAATGTCGTCTCTGAATTCAAAAAAGATACGAGAAAGGACACCCACCGTAGCGCTGATCATGTGGGCGGTGGTACCAGCCAAACCTGCCGTGACCATGGTAAAGTATTCGTTGATGGACGCTTCGGCATCAGGAGTAGAGGGATCAAATCCGTCTAATTTGCTTGTCTTCACAATACCTCCTTCTTTCATCTTCTCACCCATAGCTACGAGTGTATCAAAAGCAACCATACGCGTCTTTTCATTGTTGTCCTTGGACGCGATCACCACTTCAGAAAGAACCGCAGGGATGAAATGAAGGTCACTCTTGGGTAAAAGAGCGACCACTGCGTTGATTGTTTTGATACGATCCTTTTTGGCGGAAATCGTACAAGCAGCCGTAGCCTCAAGCAAATGAGCGAGCAAAGCATCCATGTGATTCATAGCCACTTGCCGTCCGTGTGGACAAGCGAAGAGGTGATTAAGGACTTTGTAACCCTTCTTTTGCAAGGTGGCATCTTCTTCTTGATTCAATAATTGCTGTGTCGTACCGTTATAGAGTAATTCTGCGGATTCAGCATCTAAAAAGGGGATCATAATAATGGCCAAGTCCAGCATGGTATGGGACATAGGAGCAGGCTCCGTAGGGTCATTGGAGGCTGTTTCTTTTGTTTCCAATGCTTGAGAAAGCATAGTAAGGACTTTCTTGAACGTAGCGTTGATATCAGCAGCAGGTGTAATAGTAAGATAAGTTTTGATAACATCGGCCATAAAACCACGGAACATAGGGGCAATTTGGCTGAATACATTGAAGAAGACGGCAAGATAATTGACCGCAAATTTACTCATAAACTCCAAATTTTGTTGCGCTTGAGCTCGGGTCAGGCCATAGGCACGCATTAAGTGGACATCGTCTGCTGATGATTTGATGAGAGCTTGGTTCTTTTCAATCAACAATTGTAAAGCTTGAGCAATTGTAGGTCGTAAATCAGGTTGAGTATAAAGCAAAGAACTGAAACGTTCTGCTACTTGATCATTAAAAGCGCGTGTCAAATCAGTCGGTAAATCACAAAAACCGGGAGCAAGGCTCCAAATTTGATTGACCAACGTCTCGTAGACTTTCGCTTGCATTTCCAATTCACGAGCTGCTGCTGCCTCGGCCTTCTGAGCGAGTCTGTCGCCCAAAGGAATTAAAACATTGACAAAATAGCTGAGGGTGGTATTCGTGGTGTAGGTCTTCAATAAGGGAAGTAAGAAAGCACGTCCTACTTGATTTTGCGAATTGTTCTCCAAGTTGAGAGGCAAGACTTGCAAGAAATATTCAGGCCCCATGGTCGAAATGGCCATACCCAAAGTCTTATCCAGCTGTTCTTTGTACGCTTCAGAAGGTGAAAGACGAAGTTCGCCCAATAAAGCTAAACAACCATTCATGAGAGGTGCTGCATAATGATTCAGTTTGTTGAACATAGCTTGTTGAACAGTCATCACGTGGATCCAAGCAGGCTGATAATGAACACCGAGACCATTTTCTAATAATTCAATCATTTCTGTCAGACTGTTTGTTTCACCCGTGCTGGCTTGTTCGATGAGATCATCAGTAATACAATATTCTGTCAATGTGCTGAGACAGCTTGCCAGCTGACGATAACATCCACTTTCTTGCTGAAAGTCGTTAAAGATCAATTTAAAAACCGTAGAGATATCGTTGGCACACTGAGCAGGGCTCATCCTATAAAAGATGATATTTGTCAATAAGCCCCCTGATACTTTAACTTTTTATGTATCAGTTAAAGAAAAAAAAAAAAAAAAAAAAAAAGACATACTTTGCGTAAGCTGGAAAAGCCTTTGCAACGATCAATAACCATGGCGGTAACAGACGCTCATCCACAGCAGCTGGTTTCAATTCACAAATAGCCTACAAAAGTAATAATTAGTAAGACCTCTTCATGCTTTACAACCAAATATTGTCTACAATCAATTTACAAGCAATAAACCAACGAACTTGTCATTATCCATATCTGTTTCCTGTGCGTCGAAAAGCGCCTCAAATACATCAAAGGAAGCTTTGGTGAGGAAGATATTATTGAACTTTGGTAATTGAAGTAAGGATTGACATAGAGTATAAAATTTGTGAGATGGCCAATATGGAACGATCATCTGCAATAAAGCAAGCATTTGTTGAGCAGCGTGTTGATTCGACTTTGAAGCTTCATGCAAAACCCTCAAGATAAAGTCGGCAGTCATGTCGGCAGCAGGGTGTACAGCCACTGGCGGAGGAGGACGTGATAGAATGCTGCGAATAGCATCTTGGGCTCTTTTACGGGCCTAAATAAAACGAAGAGTTGAAGATTCCATTAGAGTTAAATGCAATGCTATACTTATAAGACATATTTATCACCAAATATCACTAACCTTTGGTGAAGCATTGGCACTCAAAATGAGTAATTGCTGATAAGCCTTCTTTGTTAGAGGCATTGACCAATTTGGTCCGTCTTGAGCAGCTAATAATTCTTGAAGACAGCCAATGATAGATCGTACAATAGGTTGTTCATCCTTATGCTCTTCGTAAGTAGGTTCTATAACACCAATAATCTCTGCGAATTTGGAACGAAGCACACTATGAGGAAGACTATAAGAAAAACAATAATATTAGAAAGCTTATCTGGAATTAAGAATACACAAGCATTCATAACATACTAGGGAAAAATTTCATCCAACAAGTAGAGCAAGGCACCTACCAATTCAGCAGAGCCTTTAGATGATTGTAAGGTGGTCATCTATGTGAATAGAAGAAAGCAAAAGGTTAGCTACAACTGTAATTGCTCCTTATGAGAAAGATAAACAAATCATATGTGTACCATAGCACCGAAATATGCAGTAGCATTGAGCTGCTCATTCTGCTCTTTGATAGTCTATTCATAGCAAACATGTTAGTGTACTGTTTGTGAATGATATACTGTGTTTTAGTTTACTTCTTCAACAGCGATCAAAGTTTGTGCATACTATAGATCAAGGAGAAAGAGCGCACGGTGAGACATTTGTTTGCGATCTCCAATAACAAGGCAAATCTAACAGAGCTAACATACTAATTTCTGATTCTCCAACTTCGAGCTGGCTTGTTTCCTAATTCGATCCAATTTTGCCTCCATTATTGTCTGCACAGATCGGTTTTTGTGAAGAATTAACAAGAGAAATCTTTCGATTTATCGTTGATGTAAATTATAACTTTTTTTTTTTTGACATGTCTCAACGTGAAAAAGTTCAACAGTCCGACGGCTGTGGTACGGGGATTAAATCAGCTGAAAAAGTAGAATTTGCAAAAGGGTGCGCTTATACTGTACAAATTTGCAACACTACTTTAGCTGTAAGTGACTGTTGGCTTTGGCAGCAGCAGAAATTCGGTTCTGTAGGACAGCAGTGGAGAGGGTTTTTCCTTTTTTTACCCAGTTGTTATCTTTTTAGTTTCAACTAGTATTCAATACATCTTGTAAAAACGAATAACAAAATGACTGATCCTTTCTCAACTGAATTAAAACCTATATCAACCATTTTGCAAAGTGCACCGCGTACTTCTCAGGTACAAACACAACAACAACAACATAATACCTCAACACTACAACCATTTTCACCAACATCATCTGTTTCGATGCTAAATACACCATCAAAGAGTAATCTGTTATCCTCACACCATCAACAAAATATACCACAGCCAGTGTCTATACCGCAGATTCACAAAGAGCAGCCTCTTCCCCTTCAACAACAGTTTATACCAGCCTCGACACAAGCAACCAGTTCTTCAACACTGCCTGTACAACAGCTTTCAAACTCTGCACTCATTCCACCTATTTCTCAACCACCATCGCAGTCAAAAGTGTATCCTCAAATTTATAACGATCAAGTAGAGCGAGGGAACGATACTTCGCTCGCTTGCCGGTGGGGTGATTGTACGCGAGTTTTTCCTGACCCTTCTTCACTTGCCACGCATTTATCAGAAGATCATGTAGGATGGAAAAAAGGCGGCTATCAATGTGATTGGAACAATTGTTTGAGGCAAGGTGTGAAATGCCATAATCGGTTTTCATTAATGATGCATTTAAGAATTCATACAGGTGAAAAACCGTTTGAGTGTACTACTTGTGGCCAATCGTAAGTGCTGTAGTAAAACTTCTAAAAGGACATAGAGGGGTTTGAAAAAGCGCGCCTTTGTTTCTAAATAGTAATTCATCTTTATGACTATAAATATAGATTTGGTAGGCAAGATGCTCTGACGAGACATAAAAAAGCAGATCATGGTGAAATAGTTGTAATAGAGAATAGTAAAGCGGCAGGTACAGCACCTACTGTACCTACTGTACCTCCTCCAGGCACCATTTTTACTGAAGTCGATCTCAATAATAAGTCAACACCACAAATTATGCCAATGAATATGGCTGTCTCACCGCCAGTATCAAAAGCAGCAGTGAAACAGTCCCCTGTAAAGAGACAGCCTTCTGTCACAGCCGAAAACCACTTGGCGAACAAAAGTACGCCGAAGAAACAGAAATTGCTCAATACGAAAACCAATGCTACTCATAAGGCATTAAGTACTAGTACTACAATGCCTCAAAATGACAAGTATGTTGCGACTCATCCAGCTTCAGATGTAACGCCTCCTTTGCTAGAAGATGAAGAAAAAGTCAGAGGAAAAGAAGGCATTGTTCACGACGATGAGGAAACAGAAGATGAAGATTTTCAACAATTACGTAAAAACAATAGTAAGCAAAAAGCACCATTATCGACGTCCCTCTCAACCTCTACTTCTAATACTATTACTGCGTCATCATCGTTCAACACTATACCCAAATCCTTGAAGAATAAAAACAAATCTTCGAGTAGTAGCAGTAGCAACAATAAACTACTCACTTCTAAGAAAGACTCAGAGTATATCCAATATCGACTGGCTAAAGCGCAATTAGCTTATTTATTGAGAGAAAATTCAATGCTTCAAGATGAATATGAAGTAGTACAGAAGAAGTTAGAAAGATTGAAGACAGAACGAAAAATTCTTTTAGATGCGTTAATTGGACAAACAGAGCCTGCAGCTATGACAAAGAAGAACCACATTAGAAGGACGCATGGTAATCGATCGACACAAACTACACCAGCCATTATTAATGAAGAAGATAAAAGTGATGTTGATGACATCGATTCGGTCGACACGAATGATATTGAAACAATAGTAGATGATGATGAAGAGGCTGATGATGATGACGATGACTCAATTGTGATAGCTGATTGAATAATTATATAAAAGGACTTTACATTATTTTTTTGTAAACAAACATCAGAATAAATAAAAGATAACAAAAACACACAACAATGACTATTAAGCAGTTTCACTATGTGTGCTTGTAAGTATGATAGTACCGTATAATTACTATGTATATATTCTTATCGTTCTCGTTGATGTTGTTGCTGCAGCGGTTGTGGCAGAGGCTCTTGTATTCCTGAAGAAGCTACTATTGGCGATGGTGGTGGCGGAGGCTGATTCAGTTGCGGGAAAGACGCCACTGCATCAACAGGTATGTCCTTACGGAAATCTTGATACGAAGGAGGAGGTGGTGGTAGTAGGTCATCATCGAAAGCTGGTGGTCTGTCGGCAGCATTGTTGTAAGATGGTATATGGATGACTATTTGATGACGATGGGTATTTAAAGAATTGGAAGTGATTCTAGCTAAGCTGTGCTGCATTGCTGCTGCTGCTGCTGCTGCCTCTGCAGCTATATTATGAAGGATCAATATACATATGGAATTGTTTCCAAAGAGAGTTTTTCATTTCTTACCTTCTTGTCTCGCAGCTAACCTTCGCCTCCGAATAGCAAGGTAGAATGCTACGAGTAATAGGACGACACATAATAGCCATAAAACATTGAAGCCCACCGATGTCATAAAAATATATTCCTTGTAGAAGAGAAAAGAGAGGAAATGTGTTTAAAAGTTGTCTCAACTTTTCAAAAATTCCAAGAATGATATAAATTTAAATTTGAGCCTTAGTAAATGGACAGTCTACACAATTTCTATTCTATAGGGATATATCAAACGCAAAACGCTACGAACAGAAGAATTCTTTTATAAAACGATCAACAATAGTCTGCGAAAAGAAAAAAAGAGCCAACTTTTAAAAAGAATGATCCATTTGAGCTTTGCTGCTCTAAAAAAAGAAAAAATAGACGAATCATTTGATCGCTTCTTTCTTTTCTCTTTAAAACTATCACGACACTACTACAGTCCAAAATAGATCGCTCATAAGAAAGAAAAAAAATGTCTTCCCTCGGTGATCAGCTTGCTAAATTCAAGAAAGGAGCTAAAGCTAGTACTGAGATTCATGTTAAACGTGCAGGGCAAGCTTCTGCTCCAAAAGAAAATGCAGCTAGCTCAACATCGGCTGGGATTGCAATGAATACCAAAGCAGCTTTTGAATCTGTTACAGGATCTAAAAAAAGAAAGAGGCCAACCGGTACATACTTTCTCGCCAAACAGTCTGCTCAGTAAGGATTCAGGAGCAGGATCTAACAAAAAGCTTTTCATGATCAACATAGTTTATTCACAGCCTGCCAATACTGGCACTGGTACCCATGCGATGAGCCAACTTTATACGGTCATACAGTTCTTAAAAGTAAGGAGACAAGCAGATGAGCGTTGCTTAACTGCCAATGTGATTTTCACTTGGAATTATATCAAACTGACATGATTGCAGGATAGTGATACGCCACAGTCAGTCGTTAGTATTACATCGCGCACGAAAGTAGACATCAGTAAAATACCTGATATATGGCATAAGTTAACGCACACTGAAAAGATCGAATATGATCCAATCAATCAAACCTTTGAGTATAAAGTAAAGTGCCCTATCAAATTTCTCCATATGATTTCCGTTCAAGCTCGTATAACTCACTACATGGATGTGTATTCGATAGCCTACATATCAAATTAAGAGCAAAGAAGACCTATTGGAATTATTGCTTCAGAAGAGAAATGAAGGAGGCATGGATTATAAAGATTTAAAGGATTCATATTCGAAACTAAGTAGTGCAGTCGAAGAATTAGCGACTGAAGGACAGATTTTGGTGGTTCGAAACAAAGATGGTAACCCACGTGTCTTGTTTTGCAATGATCGTCAATATAATACGCACATGGATCCGGAATTCAAAAAGATGTGGACGGAAATCAAGATTCCTGATGAAACCGATCTACCAAAAGCACTTGAGCAAGCAGGATTGAAGACGATGGAAGTGTTTGAACAGAAAGTTACCTCAGACTCGAAACCGAAGAAAACGAAAACAAGAAATAAGAGAATCAAGATTACAAACACCCATTTGTCGCATATTGACTTGTCAAGAGATTATCTCCCACAAAATAAGAAATAAAAATAACTTGTTTCTGTTCCTCGAGATAATTTAGATCTCTTCCACCCGACTTAAAAACTCAATGGTTTACGTTAATTTCTGAATGCACGCACAATACCGCAGACGCTCTTCAAAATCGATACTCATTCCGCGTGCATTAGGCAATAATGAAAATGTCTGCAATAGCATCAATAGTTATAGCAACGGTGGAAGTACTTTCACAGTTTCCAGTAGCAACTATTTGCCACATCAGCAGTACTACCATCATCCTCATGTACGCAACACAAACTCGACTCTTGCAAGAAGAATGACTGTTCATTTACCAAAAACAATACCCGATACAACGTATTTGTATGGTTACATGCTCTTGATCGCTACATTCATTATGTTTACATCGACACTTTATTCTATTGTCGCAAGTAAATATATGCCAGATACCCATATAAAGGTAGAGCTATGAATGAGAGGGATGGCCTTTTCATAATACTGACCTAATAGCTTCCTAAAGATTTTAGATTGGATCAAATATGATGATTATTATTGTTTGCTAATTCCCATCACGGCTATTGTTTGGATCTATTGGGTTTTGTGGAATTGGATGGGCATGAAGTTTTTCAGACACAACTAGATTTTTTTCTATGATAGAAGGGATTGCTTACGTAATTTTGGTTCTAGATTCTTTTCCTTCACACAAATGCAATGAAATGGATCTCAATTTCAATTTCCTTTTTCTGGTTTTACCTTTATAGTTTTCATTAAAAAAAAGTAATAAGCTGTGTGTTGGAGCGATAACTATGCTTGGCACAACTTCTTCTTCATCTTCTTCTTCTGATTTTTTCGAGGATAACAGACCAAACAATAGCAGTAATCTCACGAAAATGACAATGAATTCGAACAACATACCTGAATTTGTAAAGAAACTGTTTGGGTAGGTATTATTGTGGTCTATGTGCTTTTTCTTTTATTTTATTGTTTTTCAGCGATCAGCTTTTTTGTTGAGATTCTTATGTCACCATTGTTGAAATGACTCACTTAGTATGCTTGAAGAGAACTCTTATCCAGACGTTTTTTCCTGGGGCGTTAATGGAGATACATTTGTTGTCAAAGATACCAATGAGTTCGCTCGTCACATATTACCAAAACATTTTAAGCATTCCAATTTCCAGAGCTTTGTACGTCAGTTGAACAAGTATGATTTTCATAAGTTGAAGTTGCCTGATGAAGCCCAGCGTATTTACGGAGAACAGGTACGGAGTCAAAGGTGCCCTTTTTCATTTATTGTATTATCCAATTAGACTTACGTTGAAGCCATGGGTGTTTAATGGTAGGCTTGGGAATTCCAACACCCCAATTTCAAATATAATCGAAGAGAGTTATTGGAAGGAATTAAGGTATTTATCATTAGAGACTGAATACAAAAGACGTTAAAGCTCAATACCATTGTTTCAATCTTCATCTTCCATTAGAGAAAACCAACAGGAAAACCGGGAAGCTTGTTTTCTTCAGCTTCCTCCAAAGCAGCAGCAGCATCGTCTTATTCTGCACTTACTTCGTCGCTAGAAGAAATAAAGAAGCTTACCAAAAGCCTACAAAAAGAAATCATCGAACTTGACAAATCTCAAAAGAAGATAACTTCCAAATTGGATGTCTTTAATGAAAAGTACAGTGTTATTTTGGGGACTATCAAGTCTTCGGAAAATGATATGCGACATCAAGATAGGCTGATGGAAGATATTCTTGAATATTTCAAGGAGGCTAATCACAACAACGATTCTCAAAATTCAAATGTATATGAAAAAGTGGAAGCAATTCTTCTGAGCTATCAAAATCTATCGTCTGCTTGCGAAAAACAATTAGAGCGTTTTGCTAGTATAGTGTCTTCAAGGACAACAATTGAATTTCCGAATAAACGACAAAAGCAACAACACTATCCTCTCCATAGAAAGCATCACCAACAACAGTTACCATTAGCATCTAAAAATAGTTATATCTCCCCTGATAATTCAATACTTGATCCCACCAACAGTGCTGCAATTGCTGTTAATTCCACTGATGTTCCTACTGTTTCATCAAACGCAACAACTATTTTGCCAAACAGCGAGTTGATTAATGCAAACAATTCCAAATTTGTCCATCCAGCGCCCATGACAGTGAAATCAGACCATCACAGGTATCAGCAACAGCATTCACAAATGAAACCTGTCACCATTGATAAGTGTCATAATGATATAAAAGGCACTGCCTCTGTACATAAAACCATTACCAAAGCAGCCATTAAAGGCACTGCTATCACTCCGACTTCGACTGTGTCTAATGATGCAGCTATACCCGTTATCAACGCTATGAAATCTGCTTCTGTTTCAACTGCGTCAACGTCGTTACCTTCTAATAACAACACCAGTAGCATTAGTCGCAAACGAAAACGTTTGCATGTGGGATGGTCAGTCCCACCTCGTGTTTTACTTGTTGACGATGATTCTCTGTTTCGTCGTCTTTCTACCCGTTTACTCCAGATTGCTGGTTGCACCATCGATGTCGCTGTTGACGGCATGGAGGCTGTTCGTAAATTAGGTGTTGGAAAATATGATCTCGTACTCATGGACATCATGATGCCTAGACTTGACGGGATATCAGCAACGCGCAATATTCGTCAGTACGATACTTGGACGCCAATCATCTCAATGACGTCCAACATTACCGAGCAAGATATTCAACAATACTTTATGAGCGGTATGACAGATGTTTTGCCAAAACCTTTCAATCAAGGTTCATTGGGTACCTTGTTAGAAAGATATTGTGCGCATTTAGTGGTTAGAAGACAGCATCAACAGCAATTGCATTTGCTCCAGCAGAATTATTCACTTGGCAATGCTTATCATCATCAGCAATTACAACTTCTTGATGAAGTTGACAATAACAGCAAGACAGAAGCAAGTGTAAGCAATAATGATGAGGTTATCAACTTAACAGCAACATCTTCAAGCAGAGATGCTAATACTATTGCTGCTGCTTCTGCTGCTCAAGCGTTACTATCCACAGTGCTTTATTCTATTCCTATTATGGGTAATAGTGATGTATCTCTAGATACCTCAGCAACAACAACGCCAATAATTACACCTATAGATAATTCTGCTACCAGTGCTACCGCCGATGACTTAACTGTACTACAAAATGCTGCTGTTACTGCCACTACTATAATACCCCAAGCATCAAACGCGTCGACCGCTTCCTCTGCGACATCAGAATTGTCCAAATCTAGCATACCTACTGCCATCAATGCTATTACCAACGCTACTACTGTTACCGCGCCTTTCTCTCTCGCAACAGGTCAGCAGCAACAATGGCTCGCACATCAAGCTAACCAGCAGAAAAGGTTGAAGTTAGATAGTGCACATTCTAGTTTCTAGTTTATTCTATTATACTATCCATCCTATTTTAAGGAGATAATGAAATCTTCACTGTTTTATTGGATAATAATTCTTTTATTGTACAACCATATAAGTTTATAGAGTCATGCAATTCTTAGATGAGTTAAATGCATAATGAAAGTTGCTATATGATTCGAAGGGAGAAAGGATGGGGAGGGATTATCTTTGCGGTCAAAAAAAAAAAAAAAAAAAAAAAAAAAAAAAAAGACAAAAGACTCTATTCCCTTTCCCCTTTTTCCTTTTTGCTTAATCGCTGCTTTCTTTGTTCTATATATATTTCTGTTCCCTTCTTTCCCAAATCAAGTATTCATATAAAGTTTATCTCATTGGAACGATATTCTAATACTTACCTTTTTTATCAATGCAATCCTATTATAACCAACAACAACACCAGCAGCAACACCAGCAGCAACAGCAACAGTATTTAATGCAATCTACTCGATTACAATCTTATAGCACTCAACCGCTTCAACCAAGACAATATCAACCGCCTGCTTCATTATTGAACACTACTACTACTGCCACTACGACAAATAGTAACAATAGCAACAGCCTACAACAGCAACAACAACAGCAGGATATCGGCCAAACACATGATATGACAGCAACTGCAGGAATAGAAGACGAAGAGGATCCAGATGACGAAGAATTGAATAGCAATAATGCAAACAGTCCCTCTAAAAGATCCGGTCGTCGTAAGATAAAGATTGAATTTATAGAAGACAAGACAAGAAGACATATAACCTTTTCAAAAAGAAAAGCTGGTATCATGAAGAAGGTATAATTCTTTTCTATGCCACGCACACATAACATACATCTGTATACATATTGACTCGTTACATTCATGCATGATATTAGGCTTACGAGCTAAGTACACTTACAGGAACGCAAGTCTTATTGTTAGTGGTGTCTGAAACCGGACTTGTCTATACATTTACTACGCCTAAATTACAACCATTAGTGACTAAACCAGAGGGCAAAAATTTGATTCAATCCTGTTTAAATTCCTTCGAAGAAGAAGATCAACAGCAACATCAACAACAGCAGCAAATCACGAATAATGACAGTAATGATGATGAAAATAGTTACCTTCCTTCAACAGTTGTAGGTTCGACTACATCTCCTTCTATGGTAAGTTTTTTTCTTTTCTTTCTTTTTTGAATGCCTATATTCAAAAGGAAAAAGTTAAAGTATTACACCGTGCACACCTACACGCTATAATACACCCAAACACATACACACACACACAAAAAGTTGCACAGGAAAAAAAAAGATATGATTCCGTGCTTGTATTTCCAATTTGAGATGATGGCTCGGCATATAATGTGTGTGTGAATGCGTGAAATTTTTGAGTGTCTGGATGCATGTGGAGTAATAAGTCTGTGTGTGTTTTGTCTGTCTGCCCTGGACCCCTTTTTCTGATTTCTTTGTTCTTCCTTTTTGACTATCTAGGGAGGTCACCCACCACAGCAGCTTTATCATTGATAAAAAGAAAGCGCAACTTTCAAATCATATAAAAATTGTAGATATCCTACCACTCTCCTTTACTTAGCATAACTTTATTTAGTACAGCTCTTATTCTCCTTTCTCTATTATTATCAACTACTTTTATTTTATGGTTAAAAGAAAATAAAAATATGTTCTCTGATCCAAAAATAATTTATATCTACAATGACTATAAAAGGCTTTCCCAAAATTGTCGCATGGTCTGTATAGCTGCAATGAGGCGCCATGAATTATTGCTATTTTACCGACTGATGGCCCTTTACAGCTGCTTTTGATCGTTTTCGAGTAATTTCAGCAATCAACGTAGCACTATGTAAATTTCACTAAAGAAAGATGTCAATACAAAAGTAGCAATCCTTCGTAAGAATAAATGCGGAGTGTAATTAAAAAAAAAAAAAAGGATCTATTAGATTCAATGCTGTATTATATGCTGCACCCAATATCTAGACTCTACATTGCTCAGAAAGTAGACGAGAATTTTAAACATGCCACAATCAAAATACAGAATGCTTAGAAAGCAACGATTTCAAATTGATTGTAGTGTAAATTCAGTACTTGCTATTCTAACAGAATAGTTTTTTTTCAGGGTCTCATGTTGAGGCTACAACCCAATATTGTACGCTGGGCTTCAATTAACAGTTAATTGATATCGTCTATCTCGCTCAGTAACAGCTTATTTATCTATCGATATTTTGAGCAGCCACGTAAACATAGTATATAGTTTGCAAGTTATCGAGCTGTATCTGGTTAGTGGTACGAGAAAGTACTGTAACGGCCCAACGCTTCTGTTCCGGATTCAGGTAATCACAATTTCAACGGGCAGACAGCTCTTTTCATAATGACCGAAGTTAACAGTATTTCAAGGATACAAGTAATACAATATTCCCTGGTGTATAACCTCTGGAAGCGAGTGTGACTTTTGTCAAATGGTACATAATTGATAATGTTGCTTTATGGGTTATTTTACAAATTGATGACACAGTTGCTACACATAGCTACTAGTGATAACTCTGCTTATACTGGAATGAACATCTTTTGGCAAGGGAAGAGCCCCCTATGATAAGGGTTTTAAATTTGATTTCAATTTTATTCACTAGCGTCGACAAATATATCAACGTGGTATCGTTCTATAATATTGTGTGTGTCATATTTTGATGCAGTTTCCTGAAACTGAGATACCGAGAAAATATACATTATATATACAACAAGCATGGCATAAGCAATGTGGCCTCACCTTCTTCATCACTAATCTGAAGAATTCTTTTAGAAGAAACCCCCCCCCGGAAAACTGCCATTGCAGTTACTTGAATGATGGCTCAAGTTCCTCTCTGCTTCTACTTATCCTAGGTTTTCCCATGATGGTGCTGAGTGTCACAAGCATCGGTTCGTCAATTTTGTATTACTTAGTGTTTGAATACTTTTATCAAGATTATTTAGCTATAGTGAAGACGACTCTGTCCAATACAAACGGCCCTTCAATGACAGTGGTGAGCTCTCAGAAGACAAATCTGTCTCCCAATGAGACTGAATGACCACATAGACTAGGAAGGCGTCAGTTATTTGAACTGCATCTCCTTCCTCTTAGAAGTAAGCTTTGCTACTGCCAGCTGTGGCCTTAACATTTCTAGCAACGGTTTGCTCTGTCCTGACGGCGCTTATAGTTTGTACGTCAATGGAAATAAATGCATGATCCAATAGATGGTCAGGACTTCATTTCCTACCTTTCCATTTTTTGTTATTCTGTAGCGACCGCCAATCTTTCGAATAATGTGGCCTAGGAAGTAAACTACAGAGATTTTCTTTGGAGCTCTCCTTTCAAGTTGTTGTTGACATGCGTACACATTAGATCCATCCAAATTTAATACCGATCCACTAAGTATGAAAGGGCAATGTGAAAACCAGTTTGCAAGGTAGTATTGTCCGGAGTTACACGGTACGTCCCAGGCTCTTATGCGGATATGTTGTGAAGCCCTTTCACCTTCGGTCATCGGCCTATGGTTTTCAATACGACAACCGTATGCTAAGTTTTTATACTTCCTTAACATCTGTTCCGGTAATTGATTAAAGATAAATGCTGTTAGAATATTAACTGAGGTAGCAATTAATAAAATAGAGAAACTGCTGTTGTAATGAGAAGTTTTTGCATGCGAACATCTCCGTCCGCTTCCCTTTTCGAGTTGTTCCTAACCACGTATCTGTAAGAAGCTCATTTCCCATTCATCTTTGCTCTTATATCACAAGACATACCGCTGCACACAACAAATGACTTTATGCGAACTATTCTGCTTCGACCCGCTTAGGATAGAAAAGAAAAATTCAGCTACATCATGTGCCTAAGCCCTAATTTTTGCAATTTTCAACACTGATGAGCTAAACGAAACAGCCCTAATCTATTGATATGTTTTTCAATAATTCCTGGAGATATTGTGCAACTTTCTTGAAACAACTGAATTTAATCGTATATCATACTATTGAATCAGCAAATGAATAACGATGTCAATAACAAAGAGGCGTGGATAAGTAGATACATCTTCATCAGCAGTTGTGTTAGCATTGTATACTGATAAGAGCTTTGAAGATAAACAAATATATCAATAATTCTGCTTGGATATGTTTCCTTGGTTTACATAGTGTCAAAGTTGTTGAGGTCTTGTGACACTAGAAAAAAGAAACTTGTTTGTTTTTTCTTGGTGTTTGAACAACATGACAATGATGGAATTGTGATCAGGTCCACAAAAAATCTATTCTGTCATCCAAGATAAAGCCTACTAGCAAATGGGACGTTTTCGCAACCTTAAAATTAAGAAACTGAATGTTTCGCCACTCACTTTCAGAATTACCACTCAACTCTTTGCCGGTCGAATGATAAAAAGATTACAAGCTTTGATAGAGCGGTGTAAGAGTCTACCAGTAGTTCAACTCTCTTTACCATGGAAAGCAGGTACATTGATGAAACACAACTTTCAGTGCAGCCATGTGCATACAGGAGGAAATGACTTTATGTTATATGGTATTGAATAAAATGAACGAGCAAGCACAAACAGCAGAGTGTTAAATCTAAAGTGACGTATAATAGGAATAGTGATGATATTAAATAGATAGAAGAATAGAATAATATAGGATAAGATAAAATTTAAGAATGTTACTACATGATTATGTTTCGAGATGATTTTAACAAAAAAAAAAAGCTATAGGCTCGCCAGCTTTTTCTTTTTCGCAGCTGAGGAAGCGTGTTTGGCGTTGTGTTTTTTATTTTTTTCTTTTTTTTTCCTTTTTTCGCCGTGGTCACTGTTGTTTGCAAACATCAAATTAAGAGCACCGTAGCTAATACCTTACTTGCTGTTCTTTCATTTCTGGCTTTTGTCGTGTTGTGTCGTTCTTTTGATCGCCTTCTTGAAGAGGATTGACACTGTGCTTATTGTAGAATTGAGGTATTGATAATGTTGGCCATCTGCTGCTTTTGCTATTATAATTATCATTGTCAATATTCGGTTGGATCATATCGGAATGGCGCTGGAAGATCAAGTATTGAAGATACTATTAATACGATTTTTGACTTTGTGGCTAAGTGTTGTTAAAATATAATCAGTGGATTATACCTTTTCTTCAAGGTGTGTTTCATTGTTAGGAGAGATATGAATATAATGTGTTCCTTGTCCTTTAGGAACACGTTGAGCGACACCATTCGAGTCTAAAGTAACTTCGTAGACGGTTTCCTGTAAATTATAGTTGATATACAATTGTTAGCTATCAAAAAATTTGCTAGTTTGCTAAATGAAGTATATTATTACCTTTTCAAAAAAGGAGTGAGACATGCAACAACCCATTTTTTACTCGTTGGTCAAATAGATAACTGTTAAAAATCAGAATACTGAACAGAAGATGTGAGGTGGATGAAAAAAGAAAGATAAATGTAAGAAAGGATGTTGTAACAAGCTATATATAGGTCATGCCATTATGCTTTTTTTTTTTTTTTTTTTTTTTTTTTTTTGAAAAGAGCTTTGAAATTGGGCTTTGTCTGCTTTACTGTAAAACTGTTTGTGTTGGTATTACTGTTACACAAAGAGTAAGTTCTTCGGAAAGAAAGGGCGTCGCTTTTTATACGCTTTTGGTAGGCACGAAGACCATATGCTACATCCAGTCTTTCCAACACTTTGCTGAAGAATGGGATTAATAAAGACATAGATGAGGTTGTATGTTTATCAATAGTCGGGTAAAAACTGCCGTCAGGTCGCAGTATACGTAAGTTTTCATAAATGTGTGGTATCTGAATATATGTACAGTTCATGCTTCCGCTTCCTCATCGCTTGCACTCCATGCATCTAAGTCATCCTAAAAACAGTTATATGAATAACAATTAGAAACCTTAAAAAAAGGCTACGTTTTTTATTATAAGAATGACTATACTTTACTTCCTCGAATTCGTCCAATATTTTCGTGCCCTCTAACGATGGCTCCCAGATTAAAATGTCATTGGCGTTGGAACCACTATAGATTTCTTGAAATGCATGCCTAGTAGCTACCGATGTTACTCTGCCATAAGCACCCTTCAACCTTCTTACCAACTGGCCATCTAATAGTTTGTATAGAAGCACTTGTCGATCATCACTTGGTATATACAACAGCGGAGGCCATACGTCCTGATCTGATATAGCCGCAGTTAAGTAAAAGTAATAACGATTGCGGAATGCTGTCCCGTAATTGACAAAAGTGTTATGCCCTGTAGCTGTGTCCCATAATCGGATCTTTTCATCTAACCCAAGTGACACCAGAAATTGGCCATCTTTTGTCATCACTAAGCCGTTGACTCCTCTGCCATGTGCGAAATTGGTATCAGATAAAGGGTCTCGATCCACTGCAATGGATTATTTAGCGAGATAATTTGAGTAGGGGCTCCTTGAAAATATTATATTTTATTTGTTGAATATCAAGTTGATGTATCCATCTTACCTGCATTGTCCTGATCGAGTGACATTAAACACGATGCTGCTCTTCGGATATCCCAAACACGAATTGTTCGATCATCTCTATTTGCCATAATTGCAAACCAAAAAAATATAACAATATGAATACATCAGCTATACTAAGTTATCAAAAAGTAGGACCAACTCACCCTCCAGAATATAGAATAAATTCTTGCGTCGTGGACCATGTACAGGATAACACAGAGCCAGAATGACCGGTTAAGGTATGCGTAAAGGCGCCATTATTTAAGTCGCACAACCTGACCCTCGGTTCAGCTGCCGCACCTTTATAAATTGAAAGTGAATAACATATTCTGCAGTTGTACGGTACTGACAATTAGACTTTACTAGCTACCAAACAATGCGAAGCTATAGGTGATATTGCCTGACAATTAACTCTTGATTCCAAAGCAAACTCATATTCAGGCTTCATTGTATTGGTATCCCAAACTTTTATGGTTGTATCGTGGCTAGATGTGATGAAGATTCCTGTATCAAAAGGATACCATGACACTGAGGTAACAGCATATTTATGTCGATCCCCTCTAATGAAAAAAAATGCATAGTTTTTGCCTGAACTGTCAATACGAGAAGGGGAAGAGTATATATCACATTTCATTTGAGTATTGTTGACATATGTACCGTTCGCAACTTCCAATGGGTTCATTTCGTTTATTTTCACGGTTTTGAAAGTCGAGATCAAAGACATGGACTTTGCCATCGCCACCGCCTGTCAGAAGACTTACATATGTCACAATCAAAGCACAAAAACGACCGGTAAGTCACTTTACATATGTCGATCATTCATTTTCATTCTAGGTGCTTACTATTTCTGCTCAGTACAATCAACTTGAAGTGCACTGACACCACCTGTTATTCACAATTACAACGATACGTCAATTGTTAGCATCTCTGGCCATGTCATTCAATACCAAAGTTCAATCTCAACTAGTCACCTCTTTGAAAAAGTGCCAACTCTTTTGTTTTACTTAATTCCAGGTTATATGCGCGTTTCGTGATTTCTGCTCGTTTCAGCTGTAAGGGTGCTATAAGTCCATATTCTCTCTTTTTCAAAAAACTATACATATGCAAATAATTGAAGAAAAGACTCAGAACTCTGTAGATCAGAGCGTAGCTAAATTAAAAAGTTTATTACTTTTTTTTTTTTCATGCAAAAATTCCCCGGCCAATAGACTAATGTTACTTTTTAATCGTCTTTGTCCAAATAAACTTCTTTCACTGTAAAGTTATGTGTTTGCCCTTTCTCATCAGCAAGGCCTGACACTAATTGGTAAGATTGATTATTCTCTTTATCTTCACCCACTATTTGCCCATCAACATAACCTGCTTCTACAGTTGCTTCATCTTCTGTTTCTTTAGGCTCAACTTGTTGAGTTGTGGGATAGCCTGTACCGGAGCGTTCTCCTAGCTCTTCCTTCAATATATGTGTTGACAAATAATTCTGTATAGCTGTAAAATACCCAGGTTGCATACAGGTATTATTGTGCATCCCGTTAGGAAATGATGCCCAAACTTTGCCTGCACGTGTCTCGCTCAATTCTTTCAACCTCAACATATGGCTAGGCGGCACCAGTTCATCTTTAGCGCCTGCTAAGAATAAAATCGGCGTATTAACAATGTTCTTGATTGCTTTTTCACTGTACCAATGTTGATGGCATAAAAAGGTGGCATATTTTAGAAATGGCATCACATGGGGTATCACTTTAGGCATACTAAGAAATGTGTTTTCTAGCATTAAACCGCTGAATGAATCTTCATTGCGTGAAACAAGGTCAATAGCTACGGCACCGCCTATAGATTGGCCATAAGCGACTAAAGGGGTGGTTCTTAGAATAGGATGCTCTCTAACATAATCCAACATAGTCTATCAAAATATACATTCCATATAAACAACTTTTGTTTTTTTCTCTCGTATCAAACAAGCTCTTCATCTACCTGTGAGTCGATTTTCAAGCCTTTTTCATTGGGGCTACCGTCACTTTTACCGTAACCTCTGTAAGATAGCATGACTACATTACATTTGTAACGGTTATAAAACTGCTTAGCAATAGGTAAACGATGGCCCTAATTGACACAAGCTGACTTAGTTTGGTTTTTTATGATCATTCTTTCATCGTTTTTGTTACCATATTGCCTGCATTAGCCTATTAGAAGTAGACAAGAAAAAGTACATTCAGCAACCTTTTGATTTATCTACGCCAAGACAGCGGTTTCGCACTATAAAAACCATTTTACATGAAAATAAAGAATGGTCGGTCGTCTCTTTGCCTCATCCTCATTGGGTTGAAGTATTATATAACTTTTGAGATGAACGCCATCTCTTGTTCTTAATGTCTCTTCAATATAGTTCATGCCATAATCACTTGGTACGGCTACCTTTGTGAATCCGAAAAAAATGATAAGGCATTCAGTATGTGTAAGTAACTCCTTTCTATTGACTGAGATTTTAAAAACAGTTTACTTCTTCCCGAGAGCCTTCTGGATAGTTTGCAGGATAGATAAGTTTACATTGACAAGCATATAACAAAATGACGCCTGCAAATCCGGTGACACCTGTTATCGTCATGATATAGCCTAACCAATTGGGTAGATTAAGCTTGAGATCAGGTTCTGTCATTTTAGTTTGTTGGGCTTTAATTGAGGGTCCCTCAAAAAGAAAGATATAAGAGAATCAAGGCAACAAAAGCAAATCATTTAAAGCAACCAAAAAAAAATAAAATAAAAGAGGCATTTTCCTTATTGGGCTCTTCAGGAGTTCAGTTCTTTTTAAAGCTCAATATGCAATGGGGGAACCCAAAATGAGGATTTCTTGGGATCACTTATTTGTGTACTTCCCTGACTGTTCAGAATTCAGGAGTTTATTCGTGTTCACTATATCTCTGATTTATTGTTTAACGATGCTAACAGTAAGCTCATTTTGACCTTCTTCACTCGTGGTTAGTCCTTCTAATTTTTGATATACAACTTGTAGTATGGATTGTTCGTCTGCTTCTGGTTTGACATGTACTTCTACTGTTCCGACACATTTTCCATAGGTTGTTTGCCAGAAATGAACTCTATTAGCTTGAATGATATTAGGCTCTTGAGATAACTATGGCCAAAAATGAAGATGTAAGCATTCTTTTTTTCTTTTTTTTTTTTTTTTTACTAGTCATTTGGACAGCATCATTTCCTACCTCTCTAAGCCTGTTATCTACTCCACTTTGTACACTTCCAGGGGCTGTTTGTAATAGTACCTTGGCTAAGGCTTTTGCTGTTGGATATCCTAAGTAGAACATAACGACTGATTCCATTAAAGCAACCGACTTATCCATAAGAGGTGTCGCAAAGCCAAACAGATACATAATTAAAATCGTAGCACCACAAGACGCAATAGAAAAGGAATAGGTGTTTGACAATAAAACGTGGATAGGATTGCCTCTAGCGCGATTAATGACATTGTAAGCAAATCCATGAACTGTCATAGGTCTTCGTCGCAGGTCTACAGTCAATAAAAGCTACAATGAGATTGTGTGTGCATCGTTAAAACCGATCAAAGTATGAGCTTACAGCGGACGAAATTTTCGTGGTTTTTTAACGCAATACTCGATAGACAAGTCGCAGCAATACCTGCTCCCATAGCGAAAAACATTTGTGGAGTAAGGCCAGAAGAGGAATGATGTCTAGGTATGAAAGAATTGCTTGCTTTAGAAAGTACACACTAATAATCTCTCTCTATCTTTGCTGTTACTTACTGTTCACCTTCATGCGCTTCACCGGCATGATGATCTTGCAATAAGAAATGCTCTAAGGACTCTTTGGTGTTATGCATTGTAGCGAATAATAAATAGATAGTTGTTCCCAATGCAAAAACAATTTCGTATCGGTGTGCTCCATAAGGTCTCTTTGTGTTGGAGATACCGAAATTTGAATTCGTCCTCAAAATGCTGGACACAAAGCAGTTCAGAACACCCAATGCATCAAAAAACATAAGATAGCCGAACCCAATAAGGGCTGTAAACAAGTAATGTATGTGGATTTTAAGAGGGGTTATCTCGGTTGTTCAAAGTTATCAGAGTTGTAATTTTAACTTACATAAACTTTCTCGACTCATTCCTAAGCAATATAACCAAGCACCAATTGAAAAATGGATTAAGAACCACGTGAATATTGTTTTTTGAACAGGAATCAGGTTTGAGAAGATAGTCGACCAAGACGGTAAGGGCTTTGTAAAAACGGGTGTATACGTATGTTTGTGGTCATGCATTGGGTGAGCATGTTTATGTTCATGGTGATCGTGGCTGTGTTTCTGATGATTGTGGTTATGTTCATGGCCAAGATGGTCATAATGGTTGGCATGGTCATGGTGGCCACGGTGGCCATGGTGGTCATGGTGTTCGTGATGGTCATCGTGGGCATAAGTCTCATCGTGGTGAAGGTGATTGCTGTAGTTAATGTTTTCTTTATTATCTACGTGACCATATGCCGTCGGTTGTTGTTGAGCCAATAAATAGTCTGCATTCAGATTAAGCTTCACTTGTGGTGACGACTGATGTAGATGGGGTATCTTATCCTTATCGTGGGTTCTGTGCGAATACAAAGGTGCTGAGGACTGAATAGTGACGCCTCCTTTCGTCTGACTCTCCGGAATAATGGTCATAAAAGCTGCTTTGTTTTTCACTCTTTACCTTTGTTCTTTTATGAATAAAAGCTATATACTGCGAAATATGCTACACTTTTAAACAAGGAGTATATTAAGAGGAACGTACGTTTTTTCAAGAAAAAGAAAGAAAGCTTAATGAAAAATGAGGAACGAGCTGTCGTACCTTGAAAAGGTACATCTAATCGAGGACAAATGAATCACGGAAAGGAACTACAGCTTTTTTACCATCGGCTATTGAATTACTTTTTTTTACGTTCCTTCAACTTTTAGAATTTAGCAGTGCTGACAAGTAAGCCGCTGATCTTATCTCTGATGTCCCCGTTTTGTCTAATAGAAAGCAATAATAATAGTTAACCTTACTGTAACAACAATCTATCGTTGTCAGTACCCGATGGAATGGTAAGTAAATGAGTCTCGATTTTGTTGTCAAAATTTTGTGCGTTTACAATTGTAAGCTACGATTCGCAAATACCTCTTTTGTAGGTCTGTAACGGCTGCCTGGGTAAGGATGTGAATAAAAGTAAAGACGGCTGATGGATCATTGATATACGGTACCAAAAGCTTGCAACACTTGCGGTATTGTATGGCAATACAATGTGAATGCGACAACGAATATGCTTCGTATTACAGATTCCATATGAAATATCAATGGCCGTCCCGAAATACTTTAAGCAGTCGCCGCAACGAAAATGGCGCTGCAGGTTCTTCAGAACCGACGGCTTCTATGCGTTAGGTAATAAGCGTATTTTACCTTATATTTTAGACGATTTACAATTTTTAATGGACAATATACATTTTAATTTTAGATTTATTAAAAAATATTTTTAGAAAAGTCCATAATATTTTGGATATTTGGATACTCATTATTCAGTGATATTCAAGCAGCATTAAGGATGACATACAATCGAACCCAAGAAATGAGTCTCTATTAGTAAGAAAGTCGCCAATAATGGTCTTATTGACGTTATCTTGCAATAGGCCAAATTACACAAAAAGCTTGACAACTTTTCTATTAAATGACGATGTGTTCCGAGACCAACGATATTCGTCGGTGCCTGAGTTCCAAAAAAGGTCAACTTTGAACTGATTGACATCAAACCAATTGATAGGGCTGAGGGCCATAGTATAACAGATACCATAGCGGAACGGGATGGTTATATTATCTGTTGTCAATGTTTTTGTATGCGTTCATGGGTGACTTTCAAAGATAAGCACTATAAAATATATTGCTCTCTTAGAGTCAAATGTTGTCTCTTTCACTTTTATTTCACGTTTTTAAGATACATACTATGACCCATGTTCAAAACAATAATTTATGAAAAGAAAAAGCAAATTTTTGAAAAGAAAAAATCAAGTGCTGTTAATGGTAACTTGCCTTTTGAAAGCCTATCTACCTAATCATATATATATGTATAGATTAATCATCGTGTACTGTTAGATGTAACGTGTATTGATTGCGGTAAAGGGGGTCACTACACCAAACAATACTTTAAATGTGAATTATATGAGCCGGAAACTGCAGATCAAGGTAAGCACCTCATGTGGCTTTAAAAGTTGGTAAATTCATCATTAGTAAGCGACTTCATTGTACCTATAGTTGGTTCGAAAGGCACAAAACGCAAACAGAACTTTGAAATCAGGAAGGAAAAGAAGAAAGCAAGGAAAGAGAATAATGAAGACCCAGATGAAGACAATGCATGTTGTACCAAATGCAAGCAACCAGGACATAAATCGGTGCGTTCTCCTCTGTGTCCTCAACATGTATTATCAAAGGCAGAGGTCTTTCAACATCATTTGGGAAGTAATTACAAGGCGTTTACAAGAAGGCTGCCTCTTGATAACTGTGTTTTTGGTGACTATCGCAACACATTCAAGTCAAAAGTTGTTGAAGCTTGCTCTATTATCCGCAACTTGATTCTTAGAGCCAAGCTCTTTGTGAATTATTACGTCTTGGAAAATGCCACTCTTGCTGAGCCAAAGTGTATTAAATGTATCTTTACACAAAATTTCTGGTACTCTATGATACAGCTAGTGAATGGACAAAGACCAACAAATAGTAGGCTGATATCACAACAATTACTGAGCTCGTTTGATTCTTTTAAAACGACTTACCCTAAGATTGTCTTCCCTGTCAAGCTCTTTCCTGGACTTAGTCAAGCCATTACAGAAGCATGCACCGAAATTGCTACTTCCTATACGAACAGTATAGTGGAAAATTTTGAGGAGAAACTTCTCTATTTTTTGATATATAAAATACAAACGGCATTTGTGGTAAGTTGCAACTCAATATTACTTGGGGTCTTACATGAATTTTAAAAAAAGCTCTCATCTTGCGTAGTGTATGCCTTGGAAGCTTGTCAAAAAGGTCACAAGTGATTTCTGCTATCAAGAGATATGCCAAGGAAAACCTAAATGGCCAACTGATGACTACCTTACCAAAGATATAAAAGCAAAGATCCAAACCTTCTGTGAACCTTGGAAGAAGAAGCTGGGGAAGAAAGTGAACATGAAGACATTATCCGCTGATCCTGGGTCTTTCGTACTCTTTTTGTTATCTTTGAACGCAGAATTTGAGAGCGAACACGATGATCATAAACCATTTGACGTACGACGACGTCCTCTTCCAAAATTGCTATCCTTACTGCCAAAGGTTTCCGTTCAATGGAGGTTCATTACCTTGAGCGTGAACGCTCTGTCTTCTTTTGTGAAACGTTCTTTACCCCGCAATTACCAAAGCCAATTAGAGCTGTTTTTCCATGTCTTTGATTTCAAGAAACTCCGGTACAAAAGGTAAGCATACAGTTAATACGGTATACAGTCGAGTATAATGTATGAGCTTTAACTTCTTGGGCACTTGTAGTATCTCTGAACTAACACCGAATGGTGATAACAAAGAGCTCTTTGGTAATATTGTCAGAACGGATGGGTTTTCAGTTGATTTTCTTTTTTATAAAAGACAACAATCTGGCCATGGTGCCTTGTTCCAAAAATTTGACCTCACTCTTGATGATTTCTCTCTGGATGAAGTTGACAATACTTATTTACCTATTACCCTGGATCCCGGAAGAAAGTCTGTTTTTACTGCTGCTATTGGCCTTGAATATAACAGACAAGTGCGAAGATGCACTACATCTGAATACTATCATATGACAGGGTCGACCCAATACAGTGCCAAGTTAAACAGAAAGAAGGCTGTCACAGGCATAGATCTCATAGAAAGTCAGATACCCTCGCCAAAAACCTCTCGTTTGGAAATATATGAGCTATACACTGCCTATACACTCAATAACCTGGACGCTCTCTTGGATTTTTATGGACCCGAAACTGCAAAGGACCGGTTTTCATTGTACCAAGGAAGGCAAAGAGCACCCGAAACTATGGCCAACATGTTGACTCATGGAACGGCCAAGTACAATCACAAGAAGAGAAGCAAGGCAAGGAAGAGGAAAAGACAGCGGAAGAAGAAGAAGAAAGGAAAGAATGCCAACCAACAGCAGCCAACAAAGTGAGTTTCAATGGAATTACATGTTCATCGTTTGGCTTATGCACTGATTGATAATTTTTAGAAGTGACAAGAAGTGGAAGGCTGATAAGTACTCAGGATTCCCTAGAAGGGTACCACTGATTGTGTTTGGTGCTGGAATGTTTGGAAAAGATGTAGTCAAATTGAAAGGGCAAAGATGTGGTGTTGTCGGTAAACTCTTTGCAACTCTGAAGAAACGTGAAGCTGAAGGTCAATTGATTGTTGTCACAATCGATGAATTTAAAACCTCTAAAACATGCAGCCTCTGTTTCTATGATGATATGCAAATTGTTGATACTCCTGGATTCAAGGGTACCGGCGTTCTTCACTGCAAGCAATGTCTAAAGCTATGGCAGAGAGACATTAACGCTGCTATTAACATGATGACTATATCTCAAGCAGTTTGGTCCGGAGCTGGAAGACCCGATGTTTTTAAGCCAGCGAAGAAGAAAAAAGTATCGCCGTAATAAACACGGTTTTCCTTCATTTTGAGGATTTAGATCATTACAGGTAAGGAATAGTACGGTAATTTTTTCTTGTTTTTTTTTTTTTGTTTCGCAATACTGACAAGTTTTTGGGATTTGATTCATTGTTTGAACGGTTTATATTTTCGTCTACAACACAATTGCAACTCATCTAAAATAAAAATATTAATCGTCCAAAAAAAAATGTATTTCATCTAAAATATTAGTTAAAATACTGTAAGCGTATTCCAAAGTAATCAGACTGACTCTAAATATATAGGCTATTTTGGGAAACATACAATAAAACGATCTTTGTCAAAAAAAAAAAAAAAAAACCGTTAAATGACGTGCCGTAAAGAATGGAACAATGATGAGCAATCATTGCGCCGAACAAAAATTTTGGAAAGTAATCTTCTAAGGCCATCACTTCCGCATATATTGCTTCTTTCGTCTTTATTCGGTTGTCTGTCAAACATTGAACAGATACAATACACTTTTCCTTTACTTAAAACTATCTCTACATATTCAATATTGAGCGATTGACACGACTTCAAAAAAAAAGAATACTCCTTTTTACTTTCTCCCCTTCTTTCGTATCTACTTGACTGAACTAGCCTTGACCACTGTCTTCTGTCAGAATGTCAACCTTTTCGTATGACTATCTTCCTGATGACATTATAATGAAGTTAAAGGCTCTTCAACTTGAATTAGAAGAAGGCGATATCACTCAAAAAGGATATGATAAGAAAAAAAGAAAATTATTGGCATCATTGTCGAATTCTGAAGAAGACAACAGCAATTTCAGTGAACGAAATGTTATCGATGGAGAGAGCGATCGGCTGACTGAGGTTTTATCAACGACAGAAACAGATATTAATGCGACAAATGACGATATTACAATAGATCTAGCGAATGAACCTAGTGCAGCTGATGTTACTGATTTTTTGGACTTTCTACCATCGCCTTCTCATTCGCCAAAGGAATCGCACAGAGAAGCTGGTGCAAATTTAATGGAACAAAGCCATTTTAATATGCAACAGCAACAGAAGGGAACAGAGGGTTATGCTTACTATATGAGTGATAATCATATGCACCAGCAACAGCAACAACATTCTCCTTCTTTCATGAATCGTCAAATACAACCACTTCCGCAACAGCTCCCTTCTCCTCGACCTATTTTGCCTGAGAATTTCCCTCCTGTCTCGATGTACAGCAACAGTAGGCAAATTGTTGATCCTTTGATGGGTCCATCACGATCAGCATTTGTGGGAGGGAATATGTATCCAATTTACCCGCAACCTCAGCCTCGTTCAATTTCTGCGTACAATAGGCCCCCACTTTATTCTCAAAATAATAATGCTCCTTTGAGCCCAGTTTATCGACCACAGCCTACCTCGTCTGTTTATGGATTCCGGCCAGCTCCGCTTACGTTTCCTGGTGGATCAAATTTCATGAGCAACCTACCTCCACCGCCAACACCCACACGTATGATTCCACCATTTGCTCAGCATCATAGAACACCGTCTTTTGAATCGAAACATGAGCACTCACCGATGAATAATACTATGTATCCATCTTTTATGTATCATCAGCAACAGTCAGATATGATCGCTGATACAGAGTCTATGACTGACTGGGGTAACATCTTAAGAAATTATTCAAACTGAGGACACATTAGAGAATATTAATCTGTATTGATCTTACTATAGAAACTTCTTCTGTTTCAGCGGCAGCTATGAAACAGCAAAGCAGCAATAACAGCAGAGAGCCATCTATTACTTCCACACCGGGCAGGATACGACAATCCACAATGTCGCATCAACCCAGTTTTTCCAATTTTGATCCGTATATGACATCAGCAGCAGGTCGAGGTAAAAGTGTGCGACGTTCCCGGCAAATGAGCAGTAATATACGTAGTCGATATCGCGAAAATTACATGGCTACATCATTCAAGGCAGTAGAGCCCGCACCACGCCCTCGGCTTATTTTCAGTGACCCCGTCGATCAAATGTTGCTTGCTGAATTAGCCGGACAGCAAATGTCACCAGTGCCAGGTCGACCTATTCCCTTCAAGCTTCTAGATGCAGATAAAAAGGTGTCATTGACGGATGATTTTTCTAATCTGGCCGAGATTCTACGGTATAGAGCAACCATGAGCTCGGCGCAATTTAGAGAAGCTTTTATACTGGTCGATGAGAAGGGCAAAGAGTCAATGAACGTGAATTGGGAAAAAATCAATGCAAAAGCTGAGAAGATTGCCCGTACCATCAAACAACGAGGGGTCAAATGCGGAGAGCGTGTTGCGCTCATCTATCGCAAATCCGATATCCTTGAATTCATTCCAGCATTATTTGGTTGTTTTTTTGCTGGTGTCACTGCTGTTCCAGTGAATACTACCGACGATCTTTCTGAACTGACCTTCATACTGAATTTGACCAGTATCTATCTAATTTTGACTACGGAGTATAATCATAAAGCATTCATCAAAGAGATGCAAGCCAAGTCCACAGAATTGCCACCCAATATCACTTGGGTTACAACCAACAATCTGGGTCTTTGGTATCCTTCAAAAAAAGAGAAACGTTATCCTCCTGTACCAAAATTGCCTGAGACGGCATATATTGAATTCGTAAAATCCAGCTGTGGCGAATTGAAAGGTGTAACTGTGACACATAAATCATTAATGGAACAGTGCGCTGCTTTTCATGCAAGCACCATGGAGGCGGAAGTTACAGTAAAAGATGAAGAAAACATCGAAGTCAACCCTAAAAGAAGTGCAAAAGGGCCCGAAACCGTAGTAACCTATTTTGAACCTAGACAACAAGTCGGACTGATTCTCTCTGTGCTATATGCCGTTTATGCCGCTAATATCACGATATTTGCTGGCGGGTTTATTATAGATACTCCAGCTGTTTGGATTTATGTATTATCAAAGTATAAAGGTAAATTTCGACAGTTCATCGCCTTTACAGTTTTCGTAAAAATTGTATGTACTGGGTATTTGGTTTACTTATCTTTTCCAATTACGTTCCTAATAGCTACGATGGCTCTAGCAGATTATACATCGCTGATAAACATTACAAAGTATTTCACTCATCACACCAAAGAAGTAAAATCATTCAGTAAAAAAGTTACACCTGATCTTTCATCATTACGCCATCTGATTACTGATACTCATACAATCCATTGTGAAACGAACCAATACATTGCTGATAAACTATTACGACCACTAGGAAATTCAGTTTACCCTATTAACGTCGTTCACCCTATTCTTTCCTTGCCCGAATATGGCGGCAAGATAATTAGTATGCGCGACCATTTAGGCCCAGCCTTTACTGAAGAACATATTCTAACAGAAGAAACGATGATACTCGAGGACGGTCAGCAAGTAACTCGACCTGTCATGAAAACAAAAAAGGTTTTGTCTTCCAGTCAATCGGGAGAAATTTTCTCTTGTGTGCTAGATGCTCAAGCTTTAAAGCAGGACAAAATTACAGTTTTGGCAGCCGGACCCAATATAAAAGTGAGTGAACATGCAACTGATGCCGGCACAGTATGCAAGGGATCTTTCGGTTTTTGTATGCCCAACTCCACCGTTGCCATTGTGGATCCTGAAACTACCACACTGTGTCCTCCTAACAAAGTGGGTGAAGTATGGGTAGATTCATCATCTATTGGCGGTGGATTTTGGGGATTATCAATGCATACTGAAGCTATCTTTCACGCTAAACCAATTGTTGTATCTCCCGATACAATGCAGCCGGAATTGTGTGAAGGCTCCTATTTAAGAACTGGTTTGAACGGGGCAATTATTAGTGGTCGACTGTTTATTCTGGGACCTTATGAAGAGCGTATTCGTCAACAACGACTAGGAGCAGAGTTTGGTGTAGAGGATGTTTTTTATGTTAGTGATCTGGTAAAAACAATTACGAATCGTACGCATATTGAGCATTGGTAAGACTCGCAGTGAAAATGAGTATCTATTGAAAAAAAAAAAAAAAAAAAAAAAAAAAAAAAAAGGCTCGTACTCACGCACTTCAATTACTTGGATTTTTTTTGTAGCACTGTCTTTGACATTTTATTGAAGGAACAGCATTTGCCAGTGATCGTATGTGAAGCAGAAGTGAAAAGTCGCTCTGAATTGGCCAGCATTGCCACACAGATAGATGAAGCACTCATTGAAATTCACGGGTTACGACCCTACATCATATCCTTTGTGAAGCCTAACGGTTTAGCACGTCATTTAATTCATGGGCGTCGCTTTATTCATCCAATCATGACCAAATCATACTTCCTACGAGGCTATCTCACCATGACGCACGTAAAAATGGATGTTGATCGTACTATTTTCAATCTAGCAGAGAATTTGGACACATCTGGCAAGAATTTCTGGACGCTTACGCAAGCTTATGAGACGGCTATTAGAACAGGGATAATTCTCCCTTACCCTCAGCAGCAACATACTAGCATGGAAAAAGTGAGCATTGTCAAAGATGAACGTAGTGGATTCGAGCTTTCTGCTTTCACAAATATCATCGACATCTTAAATCATCGAGCTACGATGTTTCCTGATAATACAGCTTTTACTGTGGCCACTCAATCTGGTACGAATACTACTAATACGAAACCCTATAGCTGGAAGAAATTGAGCTATAAATCAGCAAATGTTGCAACGTTGTTAGCGAAGAAAGGCCTAAAAGCAGGAATCAAAGTTTTGGTCATGGTCCCTTTCAGCATTGATTACGTTTTTTCGGTTTATGCCTGTTTAGCTATGGGAATTGTTCCTGTTCCTTTGGAACCTATCGACATCGAAGTTCAAAAACAGCATCCTCATCGCATCAAAGAGTTTGCAGAAGCATTTGTTGAGATTACGAAAGACCTTGGTATTACTACTATTCTTGTCAATTCTAACAGCGATAATGTTCTGAAGAATAATATCGTCAAATCGGTTATCCGAGAAGCCAGTATCAAGAATCATTATCATATGCCCGAGTCCGTCAATGTGTCAAAAGCACCCAAGCATCATAAGATGCTTGGCAAAGAGAGCGGTTTTATCATTCGCCCTGAATGGGTTAGACGAGACAGAAAATCGCCCACTCTGATTTTAGTGCAGAACACATCGGATGGTCGTCGTTATTACTCTATGCTGGGCCATGAAACAATTTTGCATCAATGTCGAACACAGATTAAGACGTGCCAAATGCGATATCAACGAAGCATTGTTGTAACTGGTTTGGGGACATATGAAGGCCTTGGCTTTCTTCATGCATTATTCTGTGGTGTTTATGTTGGTATATGTTTGAAATCTCATATAACTTAAAAAAAAAAAAAAACATGACATACTCATTACTTTAACACAATATAGGCTGCAATACGACACTTATACCCTCAGCTGATTTCTATATCAACCCGGCTTTCTTCTTCGAGACATTGCAACGTTTCAAGGCGAAAGATGTTTTTGTTACCAACGCTTTGGTCCAGTTTGCAATGAATCGTATGAAAAACTACGCTGAATACAAACATCTCAACTTAAAAGGCGTCCAAAATATTATGCTTGCTTCTGATGATCGTTCACACCCTCATATGTATCAATATATGGCTAATTTCTTCTATAAGCATAAAGCTGAAAAAGGTACTTTTAGTAGTATCTATAGTCATGCGGCTAACCCAATGATTACAACACGCTCGTATATGGTTATGGAGCCTATTACTATTGCTGTTGACACCTATTGGTTACGCCAAGGTGTTATACACGCTAATTTAAATCCTATAGATAGTAGGGATAGTAGCCGTGTCATTGTTCTCAACGATTCCGGTATTGTCCCTAGCAACACAATGGTAGCAATTGTAAATCCAGTTACTCTTACTCTGTGCCCTAACAATGTCATCGGTGAAATATGGGTATCGTCTGACAGTAATGCAAAAAGTTTTTACACTTACTCTTCAGGTGATACAGAACATGCGCAAGTATTCGAAGCGACAATTGCAGGAAGCGATCCGAATATAAAATATCTTAGAACAGGTGATGTAGGCTTTCTCTGGAATATGCGGCGACGTATAGAGAGCCGAAATACAATGCAGCATTCCATGTTTGAAGACGGTCAATGCTTGTACGTTTTAGGCTCTATGAAGGATATCATAACTCGTAATGGCCTCATCTTCTTCCCTATGGACGTCGAACACTGCATTGAAAGATGCGAAAGCACAATAGCTGGAAGGTAGGCTCACGAAATTGATAGATTGCATTCATAATTTTCAATCTGATATGCTGATTATGCTTTTGTTGTCCTCAGCATCATCATCCAAAACGACAATGAAATTGTTGTCATTGCTTCTGTTAAGCTACCTGAAAATGGACGTGAAACTATTAATGAACATGCTCGTGCTGTAGTTTCCTTGATAGTTAATGCTGTTCTCGACAATCATTCGTTCTTAATCGATACAGTTGTTATTGTGCATCCATCAAATTTTCCTCGGTCAAAGTTTGGAGAAAAATTGAGAGGAAAGGCTCGGTTATCATATTCTAGGAAAAAGCTGTAAGTTACAATTTGTAATCTACATTTATCCAATGATTGATCTAACCTCTTTGCTGTGCTTTAGTGCCGCTGTTTATGTTAAACGCATAACAAACCAGCATGAAAGTTTAAGCTTACCACAATGGACTCAATCACAAATTTCAGTTAATGAACAAGTAAATAATGATACATATTCTGTTCAGTCAGGCTTGCCAACAAGCAGATCACTTACGGAGCTGAGTACTCTTGAAGGACAACCATCCATACAACAACATCAGCTAATACGTCAGGATACAATAAACAGTCGAGTATCAAGCTCAAATAATACAGGCTCGTCCGATGTACATTCTCCTATAAATTAAAAGCATACCGCTAATACTTAACACCTACTTATTACTTCGCAACCCTTCAATCTTTTACACATACTTTTAAAATTAATTCCATTGTCTACGCATGTCTGTAATGATGAAACGTAGACTTTCCTTCCTATAATAATACACACTTGTACCTTTTTCTTGTAAACTAAGCCGACTACTGTACATTAAGCAATAAATCACCTTCAAAAAAAAAATGGCTGCCCTTTTTTTTTTTTTTTTTTTTTTTTTTTTCAATGCTTGATTATTTTATTTAGCTTCATATGCTTCTACTTGATGACGATCAAATGGATTTTAATAACTATAATCTGGTACTGATTAAAGTTACCTATTCACTGCAATGTAAATGATGATATCCTGTCTTGCAGAGCTCATTTTCTTCTTTTTTTTTTTTTTTTTTTAGCAAAACGAAGGGTTAAGCAAGCAATTACGCGCACCTCATGTATAAAATGAGGTGAAAAAAAAGTTCTGCTGGTAGCAGGAATCGAACCTGCGTCGACACGGCCACAACGTGATGTACTGCCACTATACTATACCAGCACCCTTTTCTTCCGCTTTTCCATCACTTTTTTTGGGGGATACAGGTATTTTTCGTCACGTGACCATTACCAATACAGTTAAACAGCACATCATTACCACCAAACCTCCAGCAAACGTCGATAACAGACAGCTAGCACCAGAACAACAAGTTCAGCAACCTCCACCAAGCAGTTTGATACTACCCTCGTCCTCATCTGACGACAAAAGTGCAGACGATTTCGCGATTGCGAAAACCCCATCTCTTGAAAAGACATCCCCATTGCCTCGCACCCTCCGCTCTAGCCATAAGCAAAATAAGCGGTTAGATAAAACAACTATCGATCACCCAAATTTAGTTAGCGGTTGCAAACGTCCCTTATCGGAAATCTCAACTCACCTTTTTTCTAACGATACTCTTTTTGCCATGGGAAAAATTACTACCAACCCCATAAAGAAAACCAAACCTACGCCTGGTCCTAGTGCAACCTCCGACCACTCACCCGCTACTCCGCAAATGTCTGCTACCGCCCCATTGAATCAAACTCCGGATTTGGAAGATCCCAATATCTTTGGTATCGCCAACCCTATAGGCGTATCTACTACAATCCCTCTGCCTCTAGATGCACCTATTTATATTGTCGAACTCTTCCAGCTGGTCACCGCACAAACCTCGCGACTTGCTCATCTTGAGACACTCGCCGCTGCCAACACCGCGCTTACCAAGGAAAATGAGGCCCTTAAAAAGCGTATCCAAGAGCTGGAACAGCGCCTCATTAAAACTCCCTCTTCCACTATGGATGATTCACCAATGACAGACGCTCTTCCAAGAGAGCCAGGAGACTTTACATTTACTGTCCCTACTCAAAGCTCCCCAAAGACTGACTCTACGTCTCTCTTTCGTACTGGTCAAGGCTCCACTGCTTCCAAATACGCTACCTGCTCCCCTGCTCCCAGCCCAGCAGATACTTCCAGCGCAACCAAGCAACAGTCTCCCTACCAAGCCGCTGCTTATAAAGGTCTCAGAAACCCTACTGCCCAGCGCAAAATCACCTCGGCCGCCCGCAAAACAGCGGCTCGCTCCTTCCAACCTATCTCAGACAACCAAGGTTTCCAGTATCTCTACCTTCCCTGTCGCCTCAAGGAGAAAATCTCTATCGTGCGAGACAAATTGGCAAAATTGCATATCGCAACGTCACGAATTCTCGATATCCAATTCCCCACAAAGACAATTGTAGGCCTTCTGGTACACAATGATTATGTCCCCACCATCCGCAACCGCCTTGCAAAGGCTAAAATCTCCACGATTGATGAATTTGATCCCTTATCTGGGACTATCCTGCGCCACCCTGAGCTCCTCACCCTCTCTGAAGCTGACAAAAACGCAAAAGCTTCTGAATTCCACACCAAACGCTGCTTACGAGCCCTCGATTACATCCGTAAACCTGTAGCTTTCTCGGTAGCTAAAACCTTTCTTGAAAACCAATGGATAACCCAAGAACACGTAAAGCAACTTCACCAAGGTATCCCCTTTTTTTCTGATCAGAATAAAGGTCAGGCCCCACTACTCGCTCCTTCCCAAATAACCAACGCAGACGCCCCGCAACCCAGTGATTTCGCCACCGAGGACATGGAAATGACCATACCTATCACCAATGACCCTACCAATGCCCCTCTCACCCCTTCAGGTGTCGGTGAACCTGCAACAACTCATTAATGAGTAGTCAAACAATGACTCTCTCTTGCTGGAATGCCAATGGCATTGCCAGACATACAGTTTCCTTATTAACTGATGCACTTTATGATTCTACTTTAATTTTCCTAACAGAAACTTGGTTACTTCCTCCTTATAGATACCCGACCTCTTGGAAACAATATCACACTTATGGCCTCCCAGTACAAGGCGATGGTTTTCGAGGACAACAAGGCATTACATTACTAATCAATCCCAAATGTACCTACCCTGTTATCCATCTTCCATCGTCTTCTCCCTATGTTTTAACCTGTCAAATATCCACCTATCTGATCCACTGTTTATACCTTCCGCCTTCAATGCCCGATGACGAAGCCCTTGACGTACTCCACTCCTTACCCATCAATCCCAACCCCAACCAAACCAACACTATCTTCTGTGGTGATTTTAATGCAAGACATGCCCAATTACTTGGCGATTCAAAATCAACGCAACGTGGCTATGCTTTGGCCCATTGGATTACAGAAACTGGTTTGTGTTGCTGGAATGCTGAGCATACCTATGGACAGCCCACCTATTATTGCTGCCGACGCACCACCTCAGACGGTGGTATCTTCCAGAGTATCATTGATTTGATGCTATCTACGAACAACCTCTTACAGCCCCACCTCACCGTCCGCTCTGATCTTAGCCTTGGATCTGACCACCATCCTATTACTCTCACCTTCCATAATCCCCTTCGCCCTCCACCTAAGCAAAAGCACCCTCGCAGGCTTTGGAACTTGGGTAAACTACTGAAACCTAATTGTTTCTATGTTCAACTCTTTGCTGAAAGGACCACATCCCTCCGATCGCAACTAAGACACCTCTTAGATTGCAATGACCTTCCGCACCCGGCCCTAACTATAAATACAATGGCCGTCGATCTCACCACTATCATCCACTCTTGCCTTGACGACTCTGTAGGTAGTAGAGCACCCAATATTGATCGTCAATCTTGGTTTTGGACCCCCTTCTTATCTCAGCTAGCTTCTCGCAGGGAACAGGCTCGCTATCATTGGCGTACTGAATCCCATCCAACCACCAAACTAGCACTTTATGACGCTTATGTAGATCTAGACACAACCTTCAAACGTGAATGTAAAAAGCGAAAGCGATACACTTGGAAACAATTCTGTGCTCGTTTGTCGACCGGTGACTTTGCGGAAACCATTAAAACTATCAAAGGTATTCGTAAAAGCCGCTCTACCACCCCTCAGTATAATCACCCAGACGGCCCTGCAGCAGCAGCCCTTAATATGTCACGACATTTACGGAATGTGTTTGCAGGTGATCATCTCCCAGAACACCGTCAACCCATTCTATCCAGCTCCACTGGACCCCACCCGTTGACCTTCTCTGATACCGACAGTCTCCATGATTGTCCCTTCACTGCTGATTTGATCTCAACCATGATTCTGAAAAAACTATCTCGAAACAAGGCACCAGGCGCTGACCACATTCGCACTGAAATGTTACTACCTATTGCCAAAGATCTCACTTCTCTCCTCGTCCCTTTATTTAGTTTATGCTGGAAATGGTCAGCCATCCCTACAGCCTGGACCATAGCCCAAATTATACCTATATATAAGAAAGGCAACCCACTGGATCCCGGCAATTTCAGGCCTATTAGCTTAACATCTGTCTTCCGAAAATTACTTGAACTATGTTTGCAAGATCTACTAACTGTTACTGCTCCTCCGTTAGATATAGTCCAAGGTGGCTTCCGTGCAAATCGTAGTGCTTTAGATCAGGCTCTCTGCCTCCATGAGATTTGTGAACAACATGCTAAAGACCATTACAATGAACGTCCCGTCCTCGCATTCCTCGATATAAAATCGGCCTATGACACTGTTGATCGCACCATTATCTGGAGAGCCCTCGAGCTTCATATATCGACCCCACTCTTAGCGCTCCTCCAGAGCCTCTTTGATAATGTTCACATCCAAGTTCTTGTCCAAAACACGCCTGCTCCAACATTTCATCCAGTGACAGGTGTACTCCAAGGTTCCATTCTCTCCCCTTTCCTCTACTCGATTTATATTAACAGCCTCCCGGCATATCTTCGTACTACCCGCTACCCTGTTAATCGTGCCTTTGACAAGCCCACCAAAAGAGAATTTGGAGGCGTCTGGGTCAACTCTCTGTTATATGCTGATGATGTAGTGCTGATAGCTACAGCTGACCTGATGCCACGCTTACTCAAAAAAGCTGAAGAACATTCACACCGCCTAGGGTACCGCTGGAACCCTGCTAAATGCGTGATTGTTAATTCCCCTACTGCCTTTGGTGCTCCTCCGCTGAAACTATATGGTACTGCAATGCCTTGTGCCGATTCATTCGTCTATCTGGGTATCCCTTTCGACATCAACGGAAAAATCGACACAAACCGCCTGCTAAAACGCAACGTGCAAAAAGCATTGACTGTGATGCGTACGAGCCTTCAACCCCTGGGCCTACGCTCACCTTCATTTAGCAAACTAACCGCCACCCGCCTATATAGCCTACTGATTCGTCCAATCATGGAATATGGTCTTGCCATCTCACCACTCCTCGTTAAGCAAGCTCTCCTACTTGATAAAGCTCAAGATCAGTGTCTAAGAATTCTATTCGGTGGTCATGCCAAAAGCTCGACAGCCATCTTCAAACACATGAATAATATTCCAACCATGTCCCAACGCGCTCAAAGACTTATGTTCAGATGATCTGCCGCGTCCATCTTCTTCCCGACACTACTTTACTCACGAAAATTATCCATTCCTGTACCACCGCCAACTATCGCTGGCAGCGTCTTATAGCCTCAAGTTTACTATGGAACAATCTACCTCCCGCTACTAACCTACGAATAGAGGTCTGCCGTAAACCTCAACAACAAGATCAACACTATCTTCAATATCGCCAGACCCACCACACAACCATCCTCACCCGCACAAATCCCCCACCGCCAGTACTACTGTCTGCATGTCGCTCACAGCTAGGAATTGACCCTATCTTATATATCCCCATGTCCATTTTTGATCGAAGTAGACTAATAAGGTGGCGAATGGGTTGGTTACCGGCCCGTCCTGCTGGCTGCACTCGGTGCCATGCCCCCCATGCATCTCGAAGCCATCTCCTCCAATGCCTTTCCGTCTCTGCTCGACTGAATTTGCCACCGACGATTGAGCCTAATCCTTTGGATTACTTTCTCAACACATATCTTCCAACAAAAAAGCCTTCTACCTCACCAGCTGAGCGCACTCATCCTTTGACCGCTCAACACCAACACTTGACTACTTATTGGCCGATTCTATGCCAAATAATGCTTGAAATTGATCAAATATGCCACCCTGACGCTGAATTCACAGGTGCGGCTCTCATCACTAGTGGCATCCCACTCTTGAAATGGTTCATCGTCTGTGATGGCGACCAACAACATGATTCCTCATAAAAAAAAAAAAAAAAAAAAAAAAAAAAATAAAAAAAAAAAAAAAAAAAAAGAGAAAAAAAAAAAAAAAAAAAAACCAAAAAAAACCAAACAAATTGCCACTCAGTCACAATTCGGACCTTAGACTTTCAGGCGGCCAAATGCCCCCTTTCCCGATTTACCTTTTCATGCGTGCAACACAGGCAGCTCCGACAACTTTTCGTGATCTGATGCACTATCTCCAACGCGACCTACAACCTTTTTTACCTACTACCCAGTAGATTTTTTAGCCATATCTCCCCTTTTATATAACTTATAAGTTTTTGACTTTATAGTTTTTTTCTCTTATTTTATATAAGCTTGCTCGAGTGGTATCCTTTTATTGCCCTATAGGGATCCGGTTATATACCACGTTAAATAAAACATACACTTTGTCTATACTATACCAGCACCCTTTTCTTCCGCTTTTCCATCACTTTTTTTGGGGGATACAGGTATTTTTCGTCACGTGACCATTACCAATACAGTTAAACAGCACATCATTACCACCAAACCTCCAGCAAACGTCGATAACAGACAGCTAGCACCAGAACAACAAGTTCAGCAACCTCCACCAAGCAGTTTGATACTACCCTCGTCCTCATCTGACGACAAAAGTGCAGACGATTTCGCGATTGCGAAAACCCCATCTCTTGAAAAGACATCCCCATTGCCTCGCACCCTCCGCTCTAGCCATAAGCAAAATAAGCGGTTAGATAAAACAACTATCGATCACCCAAATTTAGTTAGCGGTTGCAAACGTCCCTTATCGGAAATCTCAACTCACCTTTTTTCTAACGATACTCTTTTTGCCATGGGAAAAATTACTACCAACCCCATAAAGAAAACCAAACCTACGCCTGGTCCTAGTGCAACCTCCGACCACTCACCCGCTACTCCGCAAATGTCTGCTACCGCCCCATTGAATCAAACTCCGGATTTGGAAGATCCCAATATCTTTGGTATCGCCAACCCTATAGGCGTATCTACTACAATCCCTCTGCCTCTAGATGCACCTATTTATATTGTCGAACTCTTCCAGCTGGTCACCGCACAAACCTCGCGACTTGCTCATCTTGAGACACTCGCCGCTGCCAACACCGCGCTTACCAAGGAAAATGAGGCCCTTAAAAAGCGTATCCAAGAGCTGGAACAGCGCCTCATTAAAACTCCCTCTTCCACTATGGATGATTCACCAATGACAGACGCTCTTCCAAGAGAGCCAGGAGACTTTACATTTACTGTCCCTACTCAAAGCTCCCCAAAGACTGACTCTACGTCTCTCTTTCGTACTGGTCAAGGCTCCACTGCTTCCAAATACGCTACCTGCTCCCCTGCTCCCAGCCCAGCAGATACTTCCAGCGCAACCAAGCAACAGTCTCCCTACCAAGCCGCTGCTTATAAAGGTCTCAGAAACCCTACTGCCCAGCGCAAAATCACCTCGGCCGCCCGCAAAACAGCGGCTCGCTCCTTCCAACCTATCTCAGACAACCAAGGTTTCCAGTATCTCTACCTTCCCTGTCGCCTCAAGGAGAAAATCTCTATCGTGCGAGACAAATTGGCAAAATTGCATATCGCAACGTCACGAATTCTCGATATCCAATTCCCCACAAAGACAATTGTAGGCCTTCTGGTACACAATGATTATGTCCCCACCATCCGCAACCGCCTTGCAAAGGCTAAAATCTCCACGATTGATGAATTTGATCCCTTATCTGGGACTATCCTGCGCCACCCTGAGCTCCTCACCCTCTCTGAAGCTGACAAAAACGCAAAAGCTTCTGAATTCCACACCAAACGCTGCCTACGAGCCCTCGATTACATCCGTAAACCTGTAGCTTTCTCGGTAGCTAAAACCTTTCTTGAAAACCAATGGATAACCCAAGAACATGTAAAGCAACTTCACCAAGGTATCCCCTTTTTTTCTGATCAGAATAAAGGTCAGGCCCCACTACTCGCTCCTTCCCAAATAACCAATGCAGACGCTCCTCAACCCAATGATTTCGCCACCGAGGACATGGAAATTGTGGTATTTGACGACTTGTAGAGTTAAATATCACTTAATTAAAAACAGTAAAAAGCTTAACGAGATCAAACTAGTAGGTTTTTATTTTGAATCAAGTCAAGTACCCCCAGAAGAAAAATATCTACTGCAAAAATGTAAATATCTTCTTCATATTGCGGAACCTAGAAACTGACAGCTGAGTTATTCTACTCAAAGAAGACGTACGTCTTCTGAACCGTAAAAGCATAGAATTCTCCCTTGAGGAGATGACGCATCTACCCGGAGCGGGTGGAGTTGTAAACGTATCCATGGCTTGATCTAGTGATCAAGCAACTAACCTATTTTTTATTTCTGGTTTGCAATAGTGTATAATTCATCTTTATCCTTCATAAAGTGAATTATATCTTTAATATTTGTATATCATCTACCCTCAAATACGACAGAGGGATCTATACTACCGTAAGAAAAAAGTCCATCCTTTCCACTCCACCCCGCCCCTTCTCAATCGCGTTGTCCAAGGATCGCTTCCTTACGGCTACACTTTTGCTTTGCTGATAGTCCATTCTTTTCATGTGAGGTTATATACTACTCATTTGCCAGTCTAGAGCTCGATTCTTTTTTTATTTTTATTTTTTTGTTTCAATAGTTTTCGGGGAAGAGTTGACACTTTATTTACAGAGAGGGAAGCAAACAAACATGCATAATAAATAGATTGCTATTATGACGCGAGAGAGAGATGGGAAATATTTCTACAATTATAATACTTTTTTATCGAGTTGTTTGGATCGACCCGCGGCGGCTGCAGTAGCACGTCGAGCTGCTGATTGACGGATGACTTCTTGAATATCGTCTCTGGCCTTTGCTCTGTCTCTTCGACCTTTATCCAATACGACACTTTCTGCCAACAATCCGTGGAAACCGTAATAGACACCGACCAACAGCGAAACAAACATCAAGCCCAAAGTGAATTTGAAGGTAAGCATTTTGAAGCGAATCACGTAGCATGTGATCATTTCTGCCGTCTTGTTGCGTTGAGGAAAGGCTTTGATGACGCCGAAAAGCATGAACGATTCGAATAAATCGACTATCGCGTTCAAGAGAGGGATCCAAGCGCCAGGACGGAAACGCTCGGGTGCCTTCTCATACGCCCATGTACAGATGACAACAAAGGGCACGGTGCGTGCAAGAACGAAAATGACGTCGAAAAATAAATAGTTCAAGTAAGCTTGTCTGCCCTTTTGGCCATAGCTATTGAGTGCTTTGAAAACGCTATCGGCGGTTGTGGGGTTTTGATACTCGAGAATATCCAAAGTAGGTTCTCCGTCTGCGTCATAAGCTAGAGGGTTGACGATCTAACAAGGTCACATTTTTACATCATAGAAGAGACATACTTAGTATCGTGGAGAGAGTTTTTTTTTTTTTTTTTTTTTTTTGTAAACCGGTTCTTCAGTTATTACCACTGAGTATTTATAAAGACGATCTAGAGTGATTTTGGCGATGACAGTTGTAAAGATGAGAATACGAGCATTAAGAAAGGAATTCAAAAGTATTTTTGTAAGCTGAGGAAAGGGATCTAGTCTAAATGACATCTTGGTGAAATGAGTGGAACGAATGCTGAAAAAAATAGAACCCAAAAAAAAAAAAGTTTAATTTGTACGGTAATTTACGAAAATTGAAATGATCCGGCTAAATGATATGGATGACTACGTGACTATGTGAAAATGATTTCAAGTTTTTTAACTTTCTTCTTGATTAGAAGATTGGTACGATGATTGTTGTTCGTTCTTTCCTTTGGCTTCAGTGAACTTCTTTTGCTATCAAGAGGCAACCATCATCATGTTAATATGGACCGAGTACGAAGGGACTGACACATAAAAAGTCAACTTACTCGTTCTTCTCTTAAGCGTTCATTCTTCACTTTAAGTTTCTCTTTACGTGCATCACTCTTATTTCCACCGCCGCCAGCTGTTAATTCAACGTTGATTTGTCTTTTTTTGAAGAATGTATGATGGAAACCTAAAGCTTTCTGTAACATGAATAAAATAAAAAAAAAAAAAAGGTCAAATGGTATTCCTTCCATGCACCCGTCTATTTCAACGTGTGAATTCATAGGACGTACTTTGAGGTCTTTAGCACTCTCAAATTCCATGAAAGCAAAGCCTTTAGGTTTTCCTGTCTTTTTATCGGTTAAGAGTCGCACTGATTTGACATTTCCAGCGGACTCAAAGTGAGCAGCGAGCTCTTCTTTCGTTGTTGTATAGGGTAAATTACCTTTCAGGAAAGAAAGTCGTAAGGATATCATACTGTTTGAGATCCCACGTGCAAAAAGCTTGCTTACCAACAAAAACAATAAATCGGTGCTGATTTCCTCCTTCTTTGGATTGGGTATTCTTTTTATTTTTCTTTCTTGAAGGTTCTTCAGCGGATTCATCTTTGGGTGTATCAATAGGTTGGCCTTCTGCTTTCCGTTTCGTAGTCGTCGTGTTCTGCTGAGAAGCGGTGATGGTAGTTGCTTGTTCCGTTGTTGCCTTTTCTTGTTGTTGTTGTTGTTGTTGTGGTTGTTCTTCTTCAACTGCAGGTGGGTCGTCAGAGGCAGGAACAGCCATGTCCTCAGTGAACTGAGCCTTTTTAGCTCTTTTTTTGAAAGCTTCTGCCTTTTTTTCACGCTTTGTTAATTTCTTTTTTTCTTCTACCATGTTGAGATCGATTGAGAATCAAAGTAGATCTATTTCTTTTTTCTGTTTTAGAAAAAAAAATAAACTGGGCAAAAAAAAAAAAAAAAAAAAAAAAAAAAAACCAACCATCGGCCGTCACACGGGCAAATGATCAAAAAAGCTTTTTTATATATTTTGGGTTACTTCCCCAGTTTTTTTTTTCATTTCTAGTGCTGCATAACGTAAATATTTCTTTTTCCTTTTTTTTTTTTTTTTTTTATTTATTTGACATTCCCGACTTTCCCCTGTCATGTGGAGACGATTAAGCCAGAACTGTTTTCAACGCTTGAAGAACGACTGCCATAGGAGGCAGCAGCTGGTTGTTCAGAATAGTAGATGGTTTACACAGCAAGTGACCGAGACAACAGCGACACCGAAAGCGACCATAAAAGAGACGTACACACCCAGGAAACGCAAGTTTAACGTGAGTACAGCTTTATTGTGTACTATTCCTTTTGTCACATTTTATCTTGGTTGCTGGCAAGTACAAAGACTTCGGTGGAAAGTCAATTTGATTCGAACGTTGGAAGATCGATTATATCAAGCGCCCATTCCTTTACCCAAACGTATAAGGTAAGGCGTCAGTTGGGGGGGGGCACTCACTTATTGCCCTTATCAACACAGAGCAACACAGAGAAACCCACAAAAAAAGGGGGAGGAAAACTCATACGGCCATCCGTTTTCTTTTCTTCTCAAGCCCCGATACTTTAGAGGACTATGAATATCGTAAAGTGTATATGAAAGGTCGATATAGACACGACCAAGAGTTTTTCTTGGGACCACGAACAAGAGGCGACGGTAATGTGGGCTACTTTATCATTACGCCTTTTGAAAGAGATAATGGCACAACCGTGTTGGTGAAGAGAGGATGGGTTTCGCCCGATAAAAGAGACCCGTCGACGAGACCTGATAGTTTAGTAACGGATGAAGTAGAAGTGATCGGCTTGATACGTACAAATGAAGAGGTAAAGTAAAAAAAGCAAAAAATGGATGTGTGTGTGTGGTACTGTGGGTCGCTCACACTCTCTACAGAAAAATAAATTTACACCAGAGAATGATATTGAAGGAAACCAGTGGTATTGGGCCGATGTAGAAACGATAGCCAAGTTGACGAATGCACAACCTATCATGATAGAACGTGTCTCAGGTAACGACGAAAGAGAGGACCCAAAAAATAAAAAAAAAAAAAGCCAGAGAAAACTCATCTCGTTTTACGTCATTGTTTGTTGGATCAGATGTCAAGCCTTCCAGAGAGTATTCATTGATTGAAAGAGGGATTCCAGTGGGTAGAGCGCCTACGGTTGAAGTACGAAATAACCATCTGAATTATCTTATTACGTGGTACTCGCTTTCTTTCGCTACGAGTATCATGTTGTGGCGCGTTTTGAGGAGGCCTCCTGCAAGACCACAAAAGATAAAGCGCTTGTAAATCATGATGTATTTCTTCTATGTAGATGTATATAATGAAGCAGTTCAGATATCGACCGTGCGCATTTTAATTACGTTCGGTAACCGGAAGAAAAAAAATAATAAAATGTATGGATAGACACATTCTACGGGACTAGCCTATGTATAAGCAATAGGCAAAAAACTCTTATCGCAGACGGACACGCGATGAAACAAGGAGTCGTTAGGGCTTTAACCCAGAAGGGGTGCTTCCTTTGAATGTAAGTGTCGTAGAGTTGACGGACGTCTTTTAGAAGTCGACATGGCAATCGCTACTACTATTTATTTGTCAGCAGTACGAGCGTCCTAATAAAGTTAATTTGGTTTCTCATGTCATAGCGGGGATTTGGCTAATAGGCGTGTGCGCGCGCTTTATTGTAGATGCACTTACGTTGGACTTGCGGAAAAAAAAAGGTTTTGCTGCTCCATAGAATAAAAAGAAAAATCGACAAACAACGCATTTCTCTTATAAACATGTACCATTTTTTTCTACAGTCTAGAGAAAAGAAAAATAAATCTTTTTTTTAGTGTAAAGAGAAAAAAAGAGTCTTTTATACGTTGTTAAAAGGCTTTCTATTTTATTTTATTTTTTTGCTTGCTGATTTGAACCGTCCCATTGACAAAAAAGAAAACCTCATCATAAAATTTTTTTTTCTTGCGTTTTGTTTGCTTCCGCGGATCTCAATGACAGACAATGAAAGAGACAGTGAGTGTCATGAGTGAGTGTAATGAGTGACGGTGGCAAAAAAAAGAAAAAAAACTTGTTACGTTGCAACTGCTACGATGGCGAGTTTTTCGTCGAAAGATCAAAAAAAAAAAAAAAAAAAAGACTCTTTACTTTTATTGTATGATATGCTGTAAAGAGAGGGAATAAAGAAATATGTATATGATATGCTTGGAAAGCCAACACTACATGCCGTCTGGAACTACTGATAATGATAATTTACAGAAAATAATTAAGGGTGTTCTATATGTTGTAAAAAAAAAAAAAAGGGACGATTACATTGTGCATATAAAAATAAGGCGTAAAAAGGATAAAGAAAAGAGGGGGACGTTTCTTAATGGAGACGACCGACGGGTAAGGTAAAGTAAGAAGAGTCTTTTGTAAGTAGACCGGAAAGAGCGTTGTACCATGAAGAAAGTGCAGCAAGGATACCGAAAACGCCACCAGCTACAGTTGCTTTCAGACTATGGTTGAATTCGGCTGCTGCTAACATAACAAAGGTGAGGAAAAGGAAGAAAAACAGAGTGACTAGACCGATACTGGAGCGATGTGAAGCGATCAACATAATGCCTGAGAAAATAGCCCATCCCAATAAATAAAGACCAAGCGATTGCTTCAAAATATTGGCATCTGTATAAGCGCCAGTGACATTGAAGCCAGGAATGAAAATACAAGCGTAGGATAGCCAGAAACCGGCGTAGGACGAGAAAGCGGTCGCACCGAATGTATTACCTGTTTTGAACTCCCACATACCGGCACATAACTAGAATGACAGAGAGAGAGAGAGAGAGAGAGAGAGAGAAAGAGGAGTTAAGATTTTGTGTAACAGGAAAAAAAAAAGATCGAGTTCCATTCTTATTCTACCTGAACAAGACCACCATAAAACATAGAGGTACCAACGACCACATTATTAGGACCATCGGCTGGTAAACCAGCACCGGCGTTGTGAAGAGACAAGACAAAGGTACACAGTGCAGTTGCACATAGACCCAGAGGGCCTGGATTGGCAATGGTAGGTGGGGCGTAAAGAGGAATGGGAGGATAAGACGATGATGCTGGGTTGGGGTATTTAGCTTCTATATCATTGGGCCCTTCGTTCTGTTGCTCAAAGCTATGGTTCAAAGTACTATTTTGTGTTGCTGCTTCATCCACTGACATTGTTAGATATGAAAAAGAAGGTAGAAATGATCAAAATCAGGAAAAATCAAAGATGCTTTGAATATAAAAGATTCTCTTTTTTAAAAAATAAAAAAACCAAAACCATCACTGCTTTTTCCATAAAACGTCTTTATATACTTTTTTTTTTCTTTAAAACTCACTGCTTTTCTGTTGGATAAGGGAAAGAAACATACCGCAAATTAGAGTCATTGGGGGTCGTTTCAAAGATTTTTTTTATTTTATTTTTTTTTTTTCTGTGAAAATAGGAATCGCCTGTCAAAGTAGGTTTTTTTCTTTTTTCTGTAAGCCCTTTTGTTTGTTGCATCGATTACTCGATCAAGTCAAAAGTTAGCTGAATTAAATATTGTGTTACACAAACGGGAATAGATTGGGTTAGATCTTGCATTTTTGGCTTATGAAAGAAGACCCTTGGCAAATGCTTCCTCCTTTTCTTTCAAAACTTGTATGAAAGAGATCATTATCCTTCAAGTGAAACTCAGATTGGCCGAGTGGAGTTCATATACGCCGGTCATTGAAAATCATTCATTTGATAACAAAACAACTTGGTTTTTTTTTTTTTTTTTTTTTTTTTTTTTTTTTTTTTGTTCCTTACTGTTGCACACTTGAAGGGTTCTTTTTTTAGGCAAGCATACATCTTTACTGTTATAGAATGAAAAGTAGTAATGATTATGAAACTCTCTCTCGCATCTCTTTTTCTCTTTCTATTTGAAAAAAAGAATTCAGGTTTTCATTATCTCATTTGTTTCGGATCGAGAACGGCAAGAAAAAAAAAAAAAAAAAAGTTTTCGGAATAACTTCTTTCTATGGTAATCATTCAAAGGTGTGTTCCTTTTTGAGCTCACAGAAGTGATATTGTCTCATAACGAAAGAAAAAGCAGCCAAGAAGGGACGCGCATCCTTTGACATAGAGAGGAATAAGAGAGGCTTTAGAACAGGTGTTATTAACACCCCATGAAGAGAGGACACATGGTATTTCTTTATCCTTGAAAGACGTCTTTTAGAAATTGAATCTCTCAGTGTGCGTGAATGTAGAAGGCTTCCTTATAGAAACAATCATGCGTGGGTTGAACGGTGGATGATGATGTTCACTTTCTGATGTCGACTTTTTTTTTTTTTTTTTTTTTTTTTTTCTTGTATTTAAAACTCAAAATGGGGGGTGGGGAGAAGGGGAGAAGAGGAGAAAGAAGGGAAAAAGGGATGGTTTTTTTTTGACCTATACAAATGTTGTTTATACGGGAATAAAACAGGCCTACTTGAACAATCACCAACAGTAGGCGAGAAAACCTTTATCCGAGACCAGACCCTTAAACCCTGATATTTCCTCGTTATCCAATCAACGTTTTCTGTTTTCCTACTTTACACAGGGTTTTTTTCTTGAATCTCTCACCATTCGGGATGTGCGTTCACTTTTTAAAAAAAAGAAGAAAATCAATGGCTTTCAAGAATAGTTGCTATCGTTTCGATAGATAAACAAAAACGTAGGTCATTCAAGTTCTATTGGTGAAGGATATATAGAACGGCTATAGGCTTACTTGGCCTATCTAGCTCATACATAGGGATGTGTTCCCTTTGTAGGATTTTTCTCTTTTTCGCTTACGAAATCCACCGTGGATATACCTTTATCCTTTGGACCCTGTCATCCTTCCCTGTCAATTTGAATTGCAGATCAACAAACGAAAAAGGGTGGTGAGTTGCACAAAAAGGCAAGAGGGAAAAGTCTAAATTTAACAAAAAAAGAAAGGGAAACCACGGTATATTCCGGGATCAAGTGGTTTTGATGTAATATAGATTTCCAAAAAGTGATGGCCCTAGCATTGAAAGTAAGACGACATCCTACAGACGCTAGTTATAAATTCATGGCCATGATTCAATAGAAAAACAAAGACCTTTTGTCAAAAAAAAAAAAAAAAAAAGAGATGAGAATAGGGGTTTTCCAAAGAAAAAAAAAAAAAAATTTCAACAGGGTCCAAAGATGGTTCCAGACATCAATTATATAAGCAAGTAAAAAAAAACTGAAAAAGGAAATAAACCAACCAATGCTTTTTTATTCTGTTCCTGATGTTTCCGAATTGGTTTTTTTTAGAATAATCAACATCCTAAAATGAGGTTTTTAGCATCGACATGCTTCTAGAAATCTCAAGTGATCCATCGCGGATACGGTTCTCATCTATTGCCGATAAAGACAGGAAATCGGATGCGATGATAAGTAACTCTTTGATCAGCTTGCTGCTTGATTTCCTTATATACGGAAAAAAAAAGGCTTTGTTCGATAGATTCATTGTTGTTGAATGACAGATAACGCATCGAAACAACCCAAGATTTTTTGGTAAAGTCATATTCATGACAGAAAGAGAGATCCTTTCTAAAAAAGGGAAATTTATTGCTCTTCTTTTTTTACTTCATTTGCATTCCCCCCTTTCCCCCCCATTAAAGTGATGGATCGACTTTTTACATGGACAAGTGTTTCTTTGTGTTTTTATTGGCACACAAGAGTTTACAAAAATAGGGCTTATCCAGAAGAGCCTACCATTGCTTTTATTTCATCCTCCGACAGCAATGAGGATAGGCTCTTGTCTTTCAACGCAGCTTGCATAATATCTGTATTATATACAGTGGCGACTTTCTCATTGTCGGCCGTCGCCTGGAATTTGTCGCTCGACTTTTGAGGAAGGATAGGAACACAGCCTCCAGGCATGTGTTTGCATTGACATTGACCGCCGAGGAACTCTGGTAGATTCTCTGGATCAATGTACTTTAAAAGCACCGATTGATAGTCACTACCCAAAACATGGATTTTCTCCAACGTCTAAAAACGGAAGACAGAGAGAAGAGTCGTTTAACATGTGATCAAACCCGCAGCTGAAACCCATCATTGTAGGAGAAGTAGTAGTAGTAGTAGTAGTAGTAGTAGTAGTAGTAAGCATCCCCTCTTTAGTAGGATCATCGTGGCTTACCCGAGGATTCAACCAAGGCCGAATGACTTTAAACATGACTACAAAGGCTGACGGCGCATTGACGACGAATAAGCGATGCAACGTCTCTGGGTAATAGTGCTGTACGATATCTGCTATTGCTTTCAGATGGTACATGGCGCTCATATGAAATTCTAGTAGAACGGCAGCATCGTGAGCTCATCTTTTTCTGTCCTTATTTTTCTCGAGGATGGGGGTAGCTAGCTACTTTACGTCTGAGGCTCATATGAGTGCAGTCAAATATAATGGTTTCGCTATGAATCGATTGGCCTGCTTTTTCAGTTGCTTCAGGCATGATGACTCGATTCAAGAATTCATTGGCTGCTACTTGATAATTCGTGATCTCTTCTGACGTGACATGGCTTCCTAAATGTTTGGCATCGTGATATCCCTAGTATGTTGCCGACGATCTTATAGATGAGGCAACCAAAAAACTCGACTCTTTTTTTTTCCACAGAATAGCCGTTCATTCTTACCGTTCTGTCAATCAAAATAGGGTGTCCTTCTTTATCAAATTTGTGAAAGCAGTCTCCGCCTACATAATTAAGAATTCGAATCGTGCTTTCTGATATACCAGGCTGAACAGTAAAATTAGTGTCCTCTATATGCCGATACCCTCTACATGCCATGAGAACAGGCAAACGGTTGTATTTAGTGGCTACGGGCAGATCATCGACTCCCATCTTTGTTCGCCATTCAACCGTATCAAGCAATTGTTGTTTGGCATCGTTCTATAGACAAAAGCCCCACCATGAATTGGATTCATCTCTGTGCCTTTGTTTTGTTTCAAATCAAGAACTTACAAAATTCCATAAATTACCATCCAAACATTGAAGTAGTAACTATAAAAGAATCACACATCAAAAAAAAACCCCCCAACACTCTTTTGATTTCTCAAAAATGATTTCCTAGTTTTTTACATATTCTGGTAAATCTTTGACTACAGTTGGCGGAAGGGTCTGTTTGAATTCGTCTAATAATTGCTGACGTTCTTCTAATGTGGTAGGTACTCCCATAATATATCTTTCGTTATGGGTATGTTTTACATGAATAGATCAAGGAAAGCAAAAAGAAAGAAAGTAAATGAAAAAAATGTCTTTATTTAATAAACAGAAAAATTCTTAAAGTCATCATGTCATTTGAATGAAAAAGAGAAATAGATTGCTGATTGGTCAGCCACCCCGCTTTTTTATTTTTTATTGGCAAGAGTTTTTGCAGAATGAATCACTGTCCATAAAAAAAAAAAATTGCACTATTGTATAGCATATGATTTCATCTCATTATTTGAAAGCAAAAAACGTTATTTGACAAGAAAAAAGAAAGTTTGCGTTCTGTCATTTGCAAAAATGCAAGAAACCGTGTAACCATAAAAGTTGTTTGACAGGATGACAACACAACCATGATTTCATTGCTGGGCTGGAAGATCGACTTGTGTATGCTCTTCGATTCGTTCATACGCCGACATTATGCGTTCGTGGCTTTAAAATTCTCCAGCAATGTAGGAAGAGTCGTGACGGGTCTGACCGCTAAAGTGTTTCCCCAAGATGAGCACAGATAAAGTTGAAATGACAAAAGAAATGAGTTATCACTGAGTGATGAGGCAGAGAATGACAATGAATGTGCTCTCTTGGCCTACAGTCATAGATAGGCGTTACAAGAAAAGACAACATGAGTTTTACCACGTCAAGACAATGAGAGAAACGGAAAAAGATGTATCTTTTTATCGGTCTAGATTGAAATAGTGTAGGGTCGATGTGTGTTCCGTTTATCAGGAAATCTTTTTTGTTTCACTATGGTAGCTTTTTAAATGCCTTTCACTATGCGTCTCGTTCTCGTTTCTCTTTCTGCTTGATTGTGTCCTCACGATCATTCAATGGCTCACCATGAACGAATCCCTTTTGTAGCCATCGTTTCTCAAGCATGCTGTAGTGAAAAAAAAAAGTGAAAGACAGTAAGCAGTAGTATGTACAAGTGATGGAACGTGAATAGAACCATCTGTGCCTGAAAAAAAAAAAAAAAAGTGGTTGCCAAACACGGTGTGTCAATTTAAAGCAGTAGCGTGTTCTTCTTTTTTTTTTTTTTGGTTTTTTTACCGAATCTCAACCCTTTCCAGAATGATATTCGTGCTCATCTTGCATGAATACTTTTTTTTTTTTTTATTGCGAAAAAAAGAGGATGATTACTGTTCACAGTTAGAAGAGGGGAGGCTATTTATAGCCTTCTGAGTCATAAAAATAGTTGACAATAATCATACATTCAGGGTTATTAAAATAGCAGAAAAAATCGTGACGCATGGAAAAAAGCCATGCAAAGAAGGAGGGTCTAATGTCAAGTCGTCGCCATGACTTTTTTTTTTTTTTTTTTTTTTTTAATTTTAGACAGAGACAAAATAGAACTGAAATGGATGAAAAGACGCGACTCGTAGAAAAAGTAGGTGAATGTTTTCTACAAATGACGCCGTCCGGCATACAAGAGTTAATGGATTAAATGTGTGATTTGTTTGAGTTTTGACACATTTGACGTCCATAATTTACTGTTTCTCTTTTTTTTTTCCTTTCTAAATGAATTCCTTGACTTAGTGTGGTCATTGGTAGAAAAAAAAAGTACAAAGCAAAAGAAAAAAAAGACCTGTTGTTGAAGCGGACCCTCTCCGCTTTGTTAGCTGAGATCTGTTTATAGCTTTTTGGGGGTGTTCCAGATTGATTCACATTTTCTGGTTTCTTTTTTTGTTGCTTTTTTGCGCTGATCATAACAAGTAGGAACATATGTTTGTGGCGCTGAGAATGGAATTGAAATAGGCAAAGAAATGCTTTCTTCGGATACGGTATATTGTACTTCCTTGTCCTTTAGTAGCCTTGTTAAAACCAAACAATAGCTTTTTCCCTTTTTTTCTTCATTTTCTGCTCAATGATCAAAGAGTTACTATCATGTCAATGAATGGCTGTTCTTTTTTCCTCAAGGAACAATCCATTTTTCGATTCAATGATAACCATAGATTTGTCCAAAACCAAAAAAAAAAGATGTCAGAACTATTAAAAAATGACCATCGGAGTGATACAAGTGAGTATAAAACGAAACCTATCAAGAAATGCACCACCATTTGGATCCTTAAATATCTGGTTGAAAAAAAAGTTTGTCAAGTGCTAACGTGATATAAAGCTTGATTGGTCTTATAAATGGAATTGCAACTAAGCAGCACGCATACACACACACGTAGGCTTAGAAAGTGAGAAGAAGAGAGATAAACGCATTCTTCCCGCCTATCATTATTAAAAAAAAAAAAAAAAAAAAAAGGCATGGAAAACTCAATTTCTTTTCTCTTCTTTTTTCCTTTTTGCTAGTAGAGTGATTGTCGTATAATTTTCCTCTGTTTTTCCTTTTCCTTTCTGTGCCTTTCTTTTTTCTCTCTTTTTTTTATTTTTTTATATATTTTTTTCGTTACTTAGAATACATTATTTATTACTTTTATATCTTGATTTATCAATGAATCCAATGTCTGACGACGATATGAATGCATTTGCTTGCCCTCAATGTCCAAAAAGTAAGGACCTGTCAAATATTCATGCGAGAAAAAGTACATGTTTGATTCAAGTGATCACCCTTCTTATTCAACAAAACTCATTTCTTTCTTATTGGCCCTTATCACAATCACAATCACAATCAATCACAATCACAATCACAATTATAATCATAATAACCATCATTTCATCATTGGGAAATATAGTATTCGCCACTAGATCAAATTTGTAAGTTTTTTTCCGTTTCCCCGACCCCTCCCCCTTTTTTTCGCGTCAATTTAAAAAAAAATAAATCACATTTTCATTTCGCATAGAAAACGTCATATGGAAAATCCTAATATCCACAATATACCTTATGCACGAAGCAGAGATCAGAAACGATGGAAAGGGCATGCCAAAAAAGTATCTTCCAAAGCAGAGACGACAGAAAGGTAAACTACATCACACTTTCCGAATTTTTACCGTACAACTCACTCAACGTGTCATGTCAAACATAAACATAGAATGCGCAAGTGGAGAGCAGAAAATAAAGACAAAAACAAAAGAAATGATCTGCGTTGCAGAGTGTACAGACTCGCAAGGCAGAGGTTTGGAGAGAATGACTCGGAAGAAAAGCAGCAGTTCATTCGCGACGAAATCAACAGACGGCTGGGTCGACGCATGCTATTAGAACAAAAAAATAACGAAAACAACAGCACCACCAAGCTTATGTACAGCAGCAATGTCAGCATCATCAAACAAGAGTCGATCCATCTGACAGGCACGAAAGAGCTCAACGAATTGCCTTTCTATTGCGCGCCTTTGCACAAGATAGAATTACCTACTATCGACATGAAGGATAGAAGACCCAGTCAATCCAATACAGAACCCTCCGTCTACTCGAATAAAAGCCAATCTACCTCACCTATTGCTGATAAATTTTGGCCGGATGAACGACGGAGACATAGTATGTGCTCTCTCAATTCAAACATCAGTAGCGCTCAGTTCAGCACACCACCACCACCCGCCACCTTCATGCGAAAGACGATTCCCACAAGCACCGCGCCTGTCACACCTATCATAAAGCCTAGGCTGCAACACATGAACTCTCCACATCCCACCGCGGCAGTAACTACCTCTCCTACTACGACGAGGACGACAACGACAACGACAACTACAAATACGAATACGAATGCAAATACGATGACAACTACTCATGCTAACACTATCCCTGTCAACAATGTGTTTGCCGTCCAATCGATTCCTCATCATGGCTTCCAACACGATCCAATGTTTGGAGCCAAGCATAAAAAACTATTCACCTTACCCACGAGCACAGTGACCAACGCCGCTTACCTTCATCGATCTCGAATGCCTGACGTTCCTCTGCCATCCATGCAGACTCTCTTACCTTCCATCACCCCCCTTCCAGCTCCACAAGCGCCCTCCTCACCCTCACCTCCACCGCCTGAACACACCTTGCCATCTCCGTTACCCTTCTATAGACCTCCTGTGAATATATCAGCAACTACCCCACCTTACTCTCTATCCAACGACGTATTCTATTCTCCTTCTTCTCTTTCAAATTAACTTGGAAATTTTCACGTACCCACTAATGACACCTTGTTTGTCCCTCTTGTACATAGGTTAATCTCTCTTTTCAAACATGATGTATTTTTAGAAAATTGCCCGTAAAGTAGTGTATATAACAAATTAAAAAAAAAAAAAGGAAGAATCTTTTCAACAATTAGAGTTTTTTTTTTGTTTCCCCGCTTTTTCTCATAAAAAATAAAACAATGGCGTGGTGTTTGGGCATCATGGATTTTTTTGATCTAGAAAGAAGAGAGACGTGTGTGTAACTTGGCCTATTCTTTTCTTTTTCTGTTTTTTCCTTTTTTTTCTTCCTCCTATTGCGTTTATCAAATCAAAGCAATAACATTTCTTTTTTTTTTTTTTTGCAATGACAGAGTTCGTTGTGTATGAAGATTCACCTCTTGCCGACTACTTACAATGTAAAAAAAAAGAAAGAAAAACAAAAGTCAACATGGAACAAGCCCCATGTCATTTTTGCACATGAGTGACCTATTTCCTTGTTTTCTTTAGCTGTTAACCAAGCAGAGAAACCTGTCAAAATAACAGTACCGCCACCGTCGTCACGACCGCCACTGACAAGGCCTTCCGTCTTGACAAAGACCAGTGATCGAAGCCTTGACATTTCGAAAATGTGGAGAAGATCTCTCTTTTTTGTAAAGTTCAAAGGATAGGTTTTTTGTATGCTATACAACAGAGAATGCCTTTTTTTTCTTTTTCTTTTTAACCAACAATGGTAATTGAACTTAGGACACGTTTTCGATATCATTACCAAGAGCAGAAGAAAATGCTTTTGAAGAGAAATTCAAATATCTGGTGATCAGCTCGCCACTTTTAAGCGAAATGTTGACCATTCAACACCACCATCACCACAAGCGCTCCTTAAGCACAGAGCTGCTCTTTCAGCTTCCTCCTCAAGGCAGAAAGTGGAGGTTAGCAACGAATTTAATCACTCCACTCAGCATTGTCCTCGGTATAGAATACTATGGATTCAAGCCAAAGATCCCCGTAGTGACCTTGTTTTTATCCAGTTCGGTCACAGTTTTCTTTTTGTATAGACATCGAGTAAAGTAACTTTATATCTCGTTTCCACATCCTCATTGAAAAAGAAACTAACGAAAAAAAAAAAAACCCTGTCTCCTTTCAAACATGGCCGTAAAAAACGGGTAATAGCGACGAACCATCATACGCCAATTGTATCAAAATGCCTTGTCCCAATTACAAACGTTCACAGAGCAAAGCGATGTTCTCAACAATAAAATTCAAAAGGTGTTGATTACCATCCAAGAAATTGAATTGGTATCGCGAGGCTATCGACTCTCTACCCCTCTTTCGCCCATATCACGTATTGAACAAAGCAGTGGCCGTCATAAGAAATGCCGTCAACTTCGAAACACGCTTGCCTCCATCCTCAGACGTGCCTTCATTGCTTACGAAGAAGGCGTCATCGATCTCATCGACGTCATCAACAGACAGAATTTATCCACGCTGTATGATATGTACAACGTGCATTCCATTGCTACGTTATCTGCTATGGGAGGAGAGCCCTCTTCGACAGACAAAGAGGAGGAAACGGAACCTTATAGCTTGGATCAATTGAAAAAGTTGGCCCAGTTGATGCATCTAAAACGTCGCGAATGCATGGTTCATCTTTTAGCGCTCAATGGGATGGCAGAAGACGAAATGTATCAACAGAAAAAATACGAGTACGATCGACATGGATGGGCAGTGGTCAATAACGTACTATCAAAGTTGGTGCAAGATACAGAACAATTTGTCAGAGATACCGTGGACGCTTTAGAAGTCGAGTTTCGTAAAGTAGAAGAAAAAAAAAACCCCCCCAAAAAACTCCATGGTTTGTTTACTCTTCGATAGGACTTACCCATGCTTTTCCTCTCCCCTTTCTTTATGGGGCATAGAACGACCATGGAATGGATCACAACCACGTCAAAAGAGTCTGCTTCATAAAATCACTGATACACGTACAAAACAGTTTGTGCATCGTTTATCATCACTTGAGCAACACATTCGTACCATGGAAGCCAAACTCTACTTGTGCAATGATAATGTGCGGCAATTGAGCTCAGGTAACTGGGAAAAAAAAAAAAAAAAAAAAAAGGAAAATTCGTCCCTCGAACGACTGCCATTGAAAGCATCCGCCCCTCCCCATTTCTTATTAGATCCCTCCAATGATGAATGGAAAGAAAAATTACGTCATGACTATCTTTCGATACAACAAGAGTTTCAAATGATGACAGCTGAATGGGATCTCGGCAAAGATACGCTAGAGACCTTCTTGAACCCTCCCGATACTGCGTCACTAGCACCGACGGAAGAAGAAAAAGTGCCACCCAAGGCAACGACGGAAGCTTCTCTAGAAGAGACAGAAGGCAAAGGCATGATTTTGGACGCTGAAGACGTCGCTGATATACTTAACCTACCTCCTGTTGCCAAAGCATCTGTATTTGAAGCCATTGCTGGTGTTGTGGAAAAGAATGGAAAGGAAAGGTCAAAAAAGACAAGGCAAGAAAGAATTGAAGAAATGAGAATGAGACGTGCAAAAGAGGTAAACACGCAAACAAAGGACTGCTTCTATCGTCGAATAAAACACTGAATAGCACATTTGTTTCTCACTACTTATGTAGAGCGAAGAGAGGCTTGCGAATTTTCATTCACAAACCATGGTGCACGAACTGAAAAGTGTTTTACATCGAAGAGTAACAGAATTGGATTTAGCTGACGATGACCACGTTGACAGCACTGTCACCACTCAATGAGCGATCGAGCCAGCGAAGAGCGATCTTACTACTACTACTACTACTACTACTACTACTACTACTACTACTACTATAAATATACCCGCTTCATCAAGTTATTTGTTTCTTTTTGTAAATTTTAATAAAATCAGATTGTACATACACACACTAACAAAATACTTGATGACCGTTTTCAACAACTAAAGGTCATGTAAAGACAAACAATTGAATGAATGATAAAACGACTCAGTGCATGTTCTATCCCATGTCAGGCTTTGATAGAAATAGATATACATTCGCGCCATGGTAACCATTGAACATTAACCTAAAGTCCCCTCAAGAATGTAAGTGTGGTGAGGCGCACAAATGGTTTTCTCGTAAAACGAAAGGAATAGATCCTGTCTCTTAGATACAGTGTGCCATTTCTCAAAGCGCATGCCTATCATCTTTGTCATGTCTCAAAGGAACGCCCCCCACGTCTCGACGTTTTGCAACTTTTCAATGCACTGTGCGGGCAGCTGACAAGTCTTTACTTTTAATTAAAAAAATCCACTGCTTATTTTAATCCATGGGGTGAATAGATAGGATTGTGTCATTCAACCAAGTCGAGGTACATCAACAATATCATCCACATTTATATATATACAGACATTACAAAAAAGAACGAAAAATAGACGAGCGGCTGAGAGCCTTATCGCTTCTTATTACTAGCACGTTTACCTTGACCTAAAATATACAAAAGAAAAAACAACAACGATCAGTTCCTGTTCATCCAACTTTTTGTCTCTCTATTATCCATAGTCATTTGTCAACGTTTCTTTACCCTTCTTAGGTGCGCCCTTTCCTCTTCTCTTTCGTCTATTAATTTCTTCTAAACGCTCCTTTTCATCTAAATCGACGAGTCCCATAGTAGGATACAGAGCCTTGAGATCGCGAAAGTGGAATAATCGTTGTGGGTAATAACTTGTTAACGATGGGCCCAAAAGTCGTCTTCTTAAAATTTTGTTGCCTGTACGGACGGCTGTCGGGTTATATACATTGTTGAATATTTTGCAAGAAAGTTGCGTTAATTGCGCTAGCCGTGATGCAGTTGCGGTTTGACTCATAGCAATGGTTTTGAATTAATGTGTCTAATGGTATAGAAACGTTCAGATGCCAAATAGAAGAATAAGGGTTGAGAAGGGGGTGAACAGGAACCTGGGGAAAAAAGGGCCGGCCTGGCCATTCCCCTCTTTTTGTGACATGCGTTTTTCCTTTTATAGCAATTGCATAAAATGATGTGTATAAGAAAAGATAGTGCTTGGTGAGTTGATAGCGCTTTTTTTTTTTGGTTTGCAACATAGGCAACCTCCTACAGAGGGAGCACAGCTGGAGTCAGTTATTGTGAAAAGCATACGATGTGGCGTTATCCTTCATGTTGTACAGATGGTTCATTAGTCCATCAATATACTCTCGAAACAGCTTTGCAATGTCAGTGATTGCTTTGTTAATGTCAGTTTTCTTGACGCATTCTGCAACAGAGACCTCCATTCTCTTCTTCTAATACAAACCTTGTATCCATTCTAAACCCATATACTGACCTTTCCCTTGACGTATTTTCCTTTTTGACTTTGGTAAAGTATGCATTCTGGCTTACGCCAATGACAGCAAGAACTATGCCTTTGATTGAAAAGCAGCTCAATTATGTAAGACCAAATGAAGCACAAATACTTGCTTTTGTCTGAACCTCTCATTATGCTGACAGTTGACTGTAATTAGTCATGCAGCTTTCAATTTGATACGACTTGCTGTACTTCTGCTTCAACTCGAATCTTTCATCAACAGCACATTTATCATCAGCTAAAAGACTCAATTTCCTGCACAGTTTGGGTTGTATTGCGAATAGTATCGTTAAATACATGTCGTTTCATTGCAAATCTTTTTTTTTTTCTTTGCGTGGGTGTGAGGTCGTCAGAGTTTAAAGCAAACGTCTCGTGGCACTTTATAGCCTTTCTTTTTGTGAGCTGTCCGAGCCAGACACACAAATACGTCCTGTTCGGTTTACTCAACTTGTGTGTCAATGTCTCTTTTCTTTGCGGGCTTGGAAAAGAGTGAAAAGCTAGCCTGTTACCTTTGAGGGTAGATTGTGCGTTGCCTCTTCTTCAAAGGAAAGTGAGGGCCCTTCCTGATACAACTTGTGATCAGGCGTTATCTTCAAACTGGAAGAACGTGCTTCTCCCTGAATCTGGAGGTGATCAGACTCTTCTTTTCTATATGACTTACCATTGTAGTTGTCTAGTTCTTTACTTCAGGTACGTCGTATGTACAGTACGTATCCGTTTTTAGGCATTCTAACGTATAAAAAGACGGTATTTTAACTCAACTCAACACACACTGATTTACGTATGTTTTCTCTCCGCACTTCCTAGAATGGGCATTTTGAAAGTTTTTAAGACAAAGATCTCTTCAATGCCCTTATGAAAAAAGGATCTGCATGCTCATATTTGGAAAAGTATACGATAAAGAGCTTATCTGCTACCACTCTACCCCAATCCACAATTTTAAAACGCCATCTGTTGACCTAGAAAATAACAACGCCCCGCCTCTTATGGCCACTTTTTTTTTTTTTTGTTACGTTAATTTTGAAATGCAGCGTAAATACAGTAATATGGCGATCCCAAAAAATAAAATAAAAAAGTAAAACCAGCCATTTTTGTAACACAGACCATAATATGTAAATAAATTTTATTTGATCAGGGAAGATGCACAGGTATTAAGAACATCTAAACCATCTTTCCAAGTTAGCTAAATTGTAGTTTAATGAAATAAAGAAGCATTAAATACATCAATTAAGAGCAAACTATTCTTAACATAGCAGAAAAGACATGCTTTTTATAAAAAGCAAAAAGTCCCTTTTCTTATCCCGACGATATTTGGGCAACACTTGGCATATGAAAGAGTCTATTTTATCTAATCATAGAAAAAGATAAAAAAAAAAAAAACCAAGAAAACTTCCGCTTCGACCTTCTTCTTCTGCTGTAGATTCTCCTTGTCAACGTTATACACACGACTGCCATCCTAGCCTTCCCCCCGCCTCCTTTCCTTTCACTTTAGTGTGCATCATCTTTCTAATTGCTTGCTCCTAAACGAATTATTTTTTTGCTGAACTTCTCTTTTTTATTCTACTCAACAAAAAAATTTCCAAAAACTGAACGAATGACTATGAAGGATGATAACAACAATATGATTTTAATGAACCACAAGGACGAGACACCATCGATGGCTGTAGTTGAGGAAGGAGAAGTGTCCGTGCATCGCTGTGGCAGTGATAAGATGAGCAACATTAGTCACGAAAATGAAATGCAAGCATCAGTGGATGATAATCCAGTTTTGCCTGTCGATGAAACGAACGAGAGGAACGATAAAGAAGACGAAGAGTCCATAAACATCAGCAAAGTAGAAGACAATACTGATGAGAGAGATAGCATTCCAGTTACCGTCGTAGCCACGATGGACTCTATGTATGACAGAGATATTTCAAAAACAGAGGAACAAAGCTCAAATGGGGATATAGACAAAAACAATACCTCGGTTCATGATGGCGGCGACGACGACGACGACGACGACGACGAGAGGAATGATACCGTAGTGAAGGATACAAAAAGACATAGTAGTCATAATCAACCGCTGACAGCAGAATTATTGGCAGAGCAAAACGAATTATTCTCCAAAAAATCACATTTATTAGAACCCAAACCAAATTCCATCCGAGCATGGGCAGCTGATTTACCAAACGTACCTGATACAGTACAGCCCATATTGACATCTACTCTTATTTTTGAAATGGACTCTTTGACATTAGAGGAAGAGCAAGAAGAAGCGGAAAACGGAACTCAACTAGGTGATGGTCTAGAAGCGGATGCTGCTAAGGAACAACACCCTATTCAGGAAACCAAAGATATTTTTAGTGACACCCAAAAAATTGCCTATGTCGGATTATGCTATTTGACCAGTTTGGAAGTTGTGTACGATTTCGAAGGCAAGGACTTTACATATGCTCGTATGAGTGCAGGGAATTGGCAGCGGAAATTGATGCGCATGCTTTATATGCATATGGACATCTCGGAGGACGAAATTAACATGATTGAATCATTATCAAAGCATGCTATTTTACCGACAGACCTTGTCCATCAATTTACCTCCCAAGGCGAAACAACGGAAGTGGAACTCAATCATTTCAATACTAAGAAACAGCAGCAGCAGCAGCAGCAGCAACAGCAGCACTCGCTCGAACAGGAACAACCACCAACACTTGGCAATGACAATACGAAGGATCCTGCATCTATAAGAGACAATAAAATTATCGTCGATCTACGTTGGACTGTCATGTGTGATCTATTCCTACTCTGCCTCAGTACTGAAAATTACGATGCACGATCCAGAGTCTTCATTGCTCGTGTAGCTTCTCATCTGTCACTCGATTGGTTCCAGGTGATCGGATTTGAGAAACGTATTGCCGAACAACTTTTAGAAGATGCTGCCAATAGTTCATCAGGTTGGGAAACAGAGTCTATTACAACTGTAGCTACCAATATGACGAGCATGACGACGAACACCATGACCATGACAGATATTGCTCCATCAGCTACAGGCACAGCAGCAGCAGCAGTGAGAAATGATGTTGAGAAAAAGGGAAGAAATAAGCAACGAAAAAAGAAGAGAGTGGTCATGATAGGTCTAGCGACAATCGGAGGCGGTTTGATACTGGGCTTAAGCGCGGGTTTGATGGCACCCGTGATTGCTGGCGGGATAGGTGCTATTCTAACCACTATAGGTGTTACGGGCTCAAGTGCCTTCTTGGGTAGCACAACGGGTATTGCCCTCATCACCGGTGGCGCAACTCTTGCTGGCGGACGTAAGTATTGAGTGATTCTTACTACCATAGTACAGTTCCAATCTAATTTCTTACTCTCTCTCCTTTCATGTGTAGGGATGGGAGGTAAAGTATCGAGCAAAACAGTAGTAGATAGGGCGGATACCACGGGTGTTGAAAAATACAGTTTTTTTTTTATTCATGTGCTATTTCTATTATTATTTTCGTAGCTAAGGGTATGAGCAAACGTACAAAGCAAATTCAAACCTTCGAATTTGTTCCTGTCCAAGTAGACGAAAATGTCAACTGTATCATTAGTATTACAGGGTAATGTGAAAGCTTGATACAGAATTTCTTGGCTTATAAGCTGACTTGACGGACAATCCTTTCCCTTATAGTTGGTTACCTAATCAAGAAAAAGATGAATCCTCCCTTCCTTTCAGCACGCTAGACCCTCTCATGGGTGACCATTATCATCTTTACTGGGAGCCCGAAATGCTAGAGGCATTAGGCGGTGCCTTTAAAATCTTTGCCACCGAAGCCGTTACTTTTTCAATCCAACAGGCACTCGCTCACACTATCATGGGTACTCTCCTGGCAGGCCTCGCTTGGCCACTCGCTTTAACCAAACTAGGATACATGGTTGATAATCCTTGGGCTAACGCGTTGGACCGTTCTCGTCAAGCTGGCCTTATTTTAGCTGATACTCTCATGAACCGGAACCTGGGCGCGCGGCCTGTCACTCTCGTGGGTTATTCTTTAGGTGCGCGTGTCATCTTTTTTTGTTTACTTGAATTGGCACGTATGAAAGCCTATGGTTTAGTTGAGAACGTTGCCTTATTCGGCACACCTGTCAGTGCTTCCAAGGCTCAATGGAAGGAATGCACAACGATCGTCTCAGGGCGTTTTATCAATGGATATGCTACAAATGATTGGTTGCTAGGATTCTTGTTTAGAACATCCACCGCTGGATTGGGTAATATTGCAGGATTGAGACCTTTATTGCATATTGAAGGCGACCGTGTACAGAATTTGGACTGCACGGATCTAGTGAATGGTCATTTGACCTATCGAGCTGCTATGCCTAAATTATTAAAACGTGCAGGATTTGTAGTGACTTCAGAGGAACTACCCATCATTGAAAAAGAAAAGTCCAAGTCAGAGGTAAGTAAATAGAGGAGGAAGGAGGGGTCGGGGGGGGGGGGGGTGGTGGTGATATACACCGCTGAACATGAGTAAATAGTGTGCCTGGTTATTTAATTGATATGTATTCCTTTTCTTTTTTTAGGACTCTTCTATCAAGAATAAAAACCAGATGTCAACAACTGCATCCCTAAATAAGAGCGATTCAATGAATTCACTGTCATCGGCAAATATAAACAATTTTGACGAAACCATGCCAGTACGGACGGCCTCTTCATCGACCACAGGCGCTCCTATCACTCCAGGAAACGAGCCGCATTCACCAACACATACCTCTTTGTCGTTACCGTCAGCTCAAAATAATAACAACACCACCACCAACACAATCGATACCACTATTAACAATACCACTGCCATGTCGGAATATGATATTATAGCCGACATTTTGGCTAATGCAACAGCAGCAGCGTCTTCTAAGGCAGGTACTTATAGCTCGCTGTCTTCTGGGAAAGCTTCCATTGCCACTACACCCTCCAATAGTACAGAACAACATTCTCAACAGCAGTCAATGACACGAAGTTCATCTTCCATTTCTATTGCAGCAAAGAAATCTTTCTTTGGTTTACGCTTCAACAAATTAGATCCTACTCTTGATAATATTGCAACCACTACTAAAACGTCTACCAGCATTTTATATAATGATAATAATAATGACATGGAGACTATCTCTTCTACAACTAATACAAACGTTCAACCAACGTCGACAGCTTCTCGGTTCTTTACAGGTGCAGCATCCATATTTAATATTCGAAAGAAGCAAGAAACTGAAGAAGAGAAAGAGCTTCGAGAGGCTGGCGTTCAAGTAAAAGAAATCAAAGGCACTTTAGGTACGCTTGTTGTACCTAAAGAAATAGCAAATCCTATGCCGCAAGTTAGACTTGAAGCACCTCAATTTGCGCGCTTAAACAAATAAGGGGCACCTTTTAACAACTTGCAACCTCATTGCATGTACATTATCATCCTATTTAATACACATCTTCCAATCCTTTCATAACTTTATTTATTCCTTACTGCATTTATATGACAAACATAATGTTGACACGATAACATAAAACGATTTTACGAACGTTCTAAGGTACTAATGTGTTCACCGGGTTTGTCTCCTGATATTCTTTGATGAGTTTAAACGACAAAACTCAGACGACATAAACAGGTTTCAAAAAAAAATGTTATTTAAACAAATACATACATAAAAAAGAAATACATTTGTGAGCACGAAAGATTGTATGGTGGAGTACGTTGAACAGAACACATTTGAAAACTTATCCCAAGCAGGAGAAGCTTACAATAAAACTGTGAGTGAGTAATTTTTACAGCAAAGAAAAAATGCGAGCCTTAAAATGAGAGAAAATGAGATGTCCGACAAGACTCATGAAAGTCACACACAGAAAAAAAAGTGCCTTAATCTGGGCATTTTTTTGACAGCTCCATTTCTCTTTTAATTCCATATTAACAAAGGGATGAGTTCTGTCAAGCTTACTGTTGCCTCCAAGGCTTCTCCTTTCCCTTATGGTAAGTAGAGTGCAGAATTGGAGCATGATAAACCATTCAAAGCTGAGACTTTACTGTCGTGTTATTAACGAATTCTTCTTCTCTATATTTTAGGTGTTCTCGCCATTGCTGCTCAGATCAATACTGTCAAGAAGGATGCTGTCGACATCGAACTTCGTGATGGCAAGAATCTTGAAGGCGCTTCCAAGCCTGTCGCTTCCATCAATTATAACGGGTAATTTTTGAAAGCGTACACACAGCAATTTAAGGCTTATCCATGAAGATGGACATAGTAATGCTAATACCTATATCCGTTCTTTGATTCATTCAATTTTTTGTTGCAGTGAAGCTTACGAAACTACCAACGCTATTGCTAAGCTTTTAGGAAAACTTCATCCCGAAGCTCAATTGTACAACCCTGAAGATGCCATTAGCTCTACTTTGGTCGATAAATGGTTGGATTTTGCCGAAACCAAGTTGGCTTCCAATGATTTCAAAGCTTTAGATGCTGTTTATAAGGAATTGAACAAATATTTGACCTTACGTTCTTATATTGTCGGTTACAATGTCACTATTGCTGATTTTGTTATCTGGGGCACCTTGAGAGCTTCTCCTGTTTTTGCCCGTATTGTCAAGACGAAGCCTGAAAACTTGGGTGCCTACCTTGTGCGTTGGTACGAATATACTGCTTCTCTTGAAGCTGCTGACTTTGCTTTGACTTACGTCCAAAAGCAAGAAAAAGCCAACAAGGTGAGAACAACCTAATGAATTTCTTTTTCTTTTTTTCACATCTCAAGAGTGTGTAAGCAATACTCATTGTCATCGTTCAATGCAAATAAAATAATCGTAGGCTCCCAAGGCTGCTGATCAAGGTAAATTCGAGATTGGTTTGACTGAAGCTGAAATGGGTAAAGTCTGCACTCGTTTCCCCCCTGAACCCTCGGGTTACCTTCATATCGGTCACGCCAAGGCCGCTCTTATGAATCAATATTTTGCTGATACTTATAAGGGCAAGTTGATCATTCGTTTTGATGATACCAATCCAAGCAAGGAAAAGACCGAGTTTGAGGAATCCATCAAAGAAGATCTTGCTTTAATTGGCGTTCCTTCTGATGTTGTTTCTCACACTTCCGACTACTTTGAACAAATGTACGAATTGGCGCTCAAGATGATTAAGGAAGGTAAGGCTTACTGTGACGATACCGATCAAGCCACCATGCGTGAACAGCGTACAAACCGTATCCCCTCCAAGTGTCGTGACAACTCCGTTGAAGAAAATTTGCGCCGTTTCGAAGAAATGACCAAGGGTTCTGAAGAAGGTTTGCAAAACTGTTTGCGTGCCAAGATCGATTATGCTAGTCCCAACGGTACCATGCGTGATCCCGTTATTTACCGTTGTAACTTAACTCCTCATCATTACACCAAGGATAAGTACAAGGTCTACCCCACTTATGATTTTGCTTGTCCTATCGTTGATTCTTTGGAAGGCGTTACTCATGCATTGAGAACCAACGAATACCGTGATCGTAATGCTCAATATTACTGGATGTTGGAAGCTCTTGGCCTTCGTAAGGTGACTATTTGGGATTTCAGTAGAATGAACTTTGTCTATACTTTGTTATCCAAGAGAAAACTTCAATGGTTCGTCGATAATAAGTTTGTCAGTGGATGGGACGATCCTCGTTTCCCTACTGTGCGTGGTATCCGTCGTCGTGGTTTGACCATTGAAGCTCTTAAGCAATATATTTTGATGCAAGGTGCTTCTCAAAATGTCTTGCTTTTGGAATGGGATAAGCTTTGGGCTTTGAACAGAAAGATCATCGATCCCATTGCTCCTCGTTACACTGCTGTTCTTAAGGATGGCGTTGTGGTATGTAACGTCCAAGATGCTCCCCAAGAAGTTAAGGAAGTTCCTCTTCACAAGAAGAACGCTGATCTTGGTAAAAAGAAGACTCACTATGGTCCTCAAGTCTATTTGGATAAAGAAGATGCCGAAAGCCTCGAAGAAGGTGAAGAAATCACTTTGATGGATTGGGGAAATATGTTTGTCCGTAAGATCACCAAAGATGGTCAAGGCCAAATTACTGGAATTGATTTGGAACTTCACCTTGAAGGTGATTTTAAGAAGACTAAGAAGAAGTTGACTTGGTTAGCTAAGGATGAAGATGCTACCGAGATTCTTCTCCTCGATTATGACTATTTGATCACAAAGAAGAAGGTTGAAGATGGTGACGATGTGAAGGACCTTGTCACTCCTGTCAGTGAATTTAAGTTCTCTGCCATTGCTGATGGTAACACTAAGAGTTTGAAGGAAGGTGATATTATTCAATTCGAGCGCAAGGGTTACTTCATCCTTGATGCTCCCGCTACAGCTACCGAACCCGCTCATTTCATTCGTATTCCTGATGGTAAGGCTGCTAACATGGCCTCTAAGGCTGATACTTCTGCTAATAAGAAATAAAGTTATTGCATTAAGATAACCTTTCCCCAAAGGCCGTCGCTAAACTGTACGGTCTTTTAATAAGACTGATGATTTTTACTGATTTTAAGATGCTTCGCGTACTATATATAAAATGGCTTGTTTGAAATTATCTCATTAATTTGATGTTCTGAAGTTGCATTTTGTGTAAAACAACTGCCTAGAACTGCCACTCTATCGAGATTTTTGAACGAGAATAATAAATTACTCACTATTTGGAAAGGAATATGTTTAAACACATCTTTATTGAATAAATGGAAGCCATTGATTCTGAAGAGTTTTTGTCCATTTAGCTTGAGGTTGAGCGAACAAATATATAGAATAAAGCTATGAGCTACACTAAGTATTATTCAGCTGAGCTTGCTGCGAGATTGATGGAAAAGAACCTGTCATAATCATCTAAAAAATGGAGAACAATATGAGATAAATTCAACATAAAGATCTTGTAGGTTGAATAGAACGCTCTTGGAATGTACCGGAGGCACTTATTTTACCTTCTTCACTTAACTGTACATAGGGTAACAGGGATTGAGGAGAAACTCAACGACATCTATCATTTCCAGTTCGCTTACATGCATTGAGCGATGGTAGCTGAGGCTTTGTCCTAAAGTGTATCCTGAAAGATATACAAAAAATTGCGAGAAACGCTTAAGGAGCATATAGAGAATCTTGTCGTATAAGCAACGAAAGAATTTATCACAGCTTAAACATATACCTCAAGTAGGGCAGTAACAGAAGCAGTTTTTCTAATCAATAACTGCAATCCCGTTATTATTCCAAAACGGAAAACTGCATAACGCGAAAAGTATTGATGTTATTCAGAGAGCTATTTTTGCGAACTACCCTCGTTCCACTAATGGTACATTAGCAATAATCAATAATTTCAGGATCTTGTCAGATAGCGTTCTAATGGCTAATCAAAAATCTCGAACGAATGTATTGTTTCTGTAATTGGTTTGGTACAACGGGCTTTCATGCTGAAGTTCCCAGTGAAGAAGAGATTCGAGAACTCATGAAAAGGTCTAATGGAAAATGCGCTATTAGTAATATACCAGGAGTGTGGGCTTCTGATTTTCATGATCAGCGGTGCCCTTTACCAAAAACAGTATTATCGTCATTATCATCATCATCATCATCGTCATCATCATCGTCATCATCGCCAGCAACAATATTAATGATAGCCAAGCCTTATTCTTCATCATGCCCTCCCCAAATCCCTTTTTATTGACTTTTGATCATATCAAACCGAAGTCATTGGGTGGCAGTTGTCGGATCAGTAATGTACAAGTTATCCTATCTTGTTTGAATCAAGTGAAAGGAACTGCCAGCAATAAGGAATTGAGACAGTGGCTAAACAGTTTTCGTAATGGTCTGCAATCACTATTCAACAAATAAAAGATCGCTCCTAACCTGGTTTTTTTTTCTTTTTTTTGGGCCTGTTTGTAATGTTTGGCAATTCAGATTATCTCATTGACAATTGTAGTGAGCCATGATTTTGTGAAAGACAAACATACATGGTTTATAGTCACATAATAAACTAGAAGCTTCTCCTTCAGTCCCTATTCGCGGAAGTAAACGCTTTAACTTAAATACTCCTACTTATTTCGTACATATACTTAGAAATAGTAAAACCTGGTATACATATAATAAAATAACTGACATCTGCTTTGGCTGTAATTATCAAGTTTAAGGAGTTTGCCGCCAAAAATACTCGGAATTAGAAGAAAGATGAGAATTTTGACTGCACAACGTACTATTATGTCAATGATGGTAGTCTTCTTTTTCTTTTTCTTGGCCTAAAAGAAAAATGGTTATGCTTGATTTTCAACTTATTTTATGATCCTAGATATAGAGATGAGCATCCTCAGTTATAATATTATCTTAGCTTGTTGTTACAAAAAAACGCAAATCAAATTCGTTTGCATAAATGTTCAAGCAAAAAGCACGTTTAAGAAGATGAACATTGCCTAAATAATGAGGATGATATTTGTGTAGCATTGCTATCTATTTAGAAAAGAAGATCGACCAACAAATCAAAGCCGGATTTTAGGCTCTAAGTATCCGAATGCAGGTTGATGTAATTGTCATTAGCTTGTAGTAGAATACTAATATGCATGTTGCGTCTTTTATTAGAAAAATGAGCATTTGACTTGCTGTTTATCACGGGAAAGGCTTAATGAAATGGAACAAGATACATAGAGTTCGAAATATATCCCAAAACTTGTTGTATTGCTCTAGACAACTTTTTTTATCCCCAATTATCAGAGAAGACGAGAGGAAAGGTTTCTGAAGGTCGCCTGCTCCGTTCCTTTAAAGTCATTCTTTTCTGTTAGTTCATGTAGGTTGCCTTGTTATGCACAATACTTACACCTGTGCACAATCGTCTGTACATATTTACGGTTTACTCGAAAGACAGTCATAGAGCCATATTGACTAAGCAGTGTTTCATGTCAAAAAGATATATAAGATACATATTTGTTATATAACATTATCTACTGCTTCTGTTGTCACATTAGAGGATTACAGGACCCTTTGGCTTACACTGTGTCACATTTCATGGGTTCATTAGAGTTATTTATTGTACTCAATTAAGCTTTTCTCTCGATCAAAAAAGCGTGAAAGAAGAAATGTTGTACGAGATCAATTTTGTAGAAGTGAACAGAGTTGTGACCTGAATCGGTGAAGGGAAGTCTAGCTCACTAAAAATTAGCAACAAAAGCAATTTCTGCGAATTCTATTATGTGGAAGGCATTTCTCTGTGGAAATAAGAGACATCTTCTGATACTTAAAAGACATTACAGAAAAAGCATTGAACTGTGTTGGTCATATATGCATTACAATGCTAATCATGATAATGTAAACAAATGCTTGTGCAAGTATACCGTGAGATCAAGAGGTAAAGGGACATTAAGCGTGCTGTTGTAACCATGATAGGTAATCCCTTAAAGAAGCAAAAAAGGACTTTTTTTGCGGTGGTACTCATGGTTCGCATCATCACTCATCATATTCATCATACAGTCGCTTTTTGACAGTTATACAATTCTTTCTTCTTTTTCCATTTTTAAAAAGGGGTACGCTACTTTTATATTAACAACATTTCTACAATTACTGTAGATTTGTCACCAGTCAGTATTTACGCGCAAATGACTGTCCTGTTGACAAAAGGTATAAAAAGGACAACATCATCGTTATCTAGACGATATTCTCTTCTTCCCATTTTCAGTTATATACACTTTGAATCTGAATATGTTTACTCGTGCCCTCGGTTTTATCGCCACCGCTGCTCTCCTTGCTTCTTATACAGCTCAAGCTGCTTTCAATCCCTCTGGTCCTAATGTCATGTACTATTGGGGACAAGTGAGTATCAACAAAGCTGGTCTAGTTTTGTATATATCCAGGAACTCGGGATTAACTCTTCTTTACAATATCAGAACTCTGTAGGCGGCGGCTCCAGTCAAGCATCTTTAGCAACCTATTGTAATTCAGGTCAAGTAGACGGTCTTCTTATATCCTTTCTTAATGTATTCAATGTTGGTGGTCAACCCGGTCTCAATCTAGCCAACACTTGTGAAACTACTTTCCCTGGTACTTCTCTGCTTAACTGCCCTGAAATTGGCAATGGTAAAACACAGAGACACTAAAATATACAGTTCCTGACAGAAAGAAAAAAAGCAATACTCATGGCAATCCAATTTTGTTTATAACATAGATATTAAGACTTGCCAATCAAAAGGTGTCAAGATTATTTTATCTCTCGGCGGTGCAGCGGGTTCATATGGTTTCTCAAGTGACGCCGATGGAAAGACATTTGCGCAGACAATATGGGATATGTTCGGTGGTGGATCTGCTCAATACCGTCCTTTCGGCGATGCTCAAATCGATGGTGTTGATCTCGATATCGAAGGTGGTTCGTCTACAGGTTATGCTGTAAGTTGGCGTACAATGTACTACCACCCTTTTCCGTAACTGTCTCAACTAAATCATAAATCGCCATTCTACTATTATTACTAGGCTTTCGTAACTGCTGTCCGTCAAAAGTTTGCTTCTCATTCAGGCTTCTTGGTAGGTGCAGCTCCTCAATGTCCTTTCCCTGATGCTGTTCTTGGTTCCGTCATAGATGCAGTAGGATTCGATTACGTAAACGTTCAGTTTTATAATAATTACTGTTCTGCTACTGGCAATTCTTTCAATTATGATACCTGGGCTAAATGGGCTACAACAACATCCCCCAACAAGAACGTCAGAGTCTATTTCACTGTACCTGGTTCTCAATCAGCTGCTGGCAGTGGCTATACCCCTATCAATACTATCCAGTCTATCGTTCCTCAGCTCGCCTCTCAATATCCTAATACATTCGGTGGCGTTTCTGTTTGGGATGCTGCCCAAGCCTGGAATAATGGTAACTTTGCTTCTACTTTATACACCACGGTGAAGGGTCAAACGTCTGGTGGAGGAGGAGGAACCAATCCTAGCCCTACTATCGCACCAACCGGGACATCGACAACCGCTTCAACTAAACCTACAACCACTGCTACTACTACTACTTCTGCCGGTGGAGCTGTGCCAACAGGTGGATCTTGTGTCTCTGCTGGGGCAGCTTGCTCTTCGGAAGGCAAATATCAATGTACAGCTGGTGGCGCTTATGCAGTTTGTAATCACGGTGAATGGTCTGTTACTGCTTGTCCGTCTGGTACTGAATGCATCTCTACTTCTGACGGTTCTTCCATTTACTGTGGTTATGTTACTGGTAGTGGTAACACATGTACAGCTCCAAGCTCAGCCCAACTCCTCATCAAGACGCTTAACCATGGTGGTGCTGTCCCTAAGGCCTATTCTTTGTCCCAAGTAGAGGCGCAGTTAACCGTCCAATCCGTTACGTCAGAAGGCTTTGAAGCAGTTATTAATGCCCGTCGTACAAATGCGACTCCCTTTTCTAATACTGTTACATTCGAATTTACAGCACCAGCTAATGTCAAGTTCACAAGCGTCGAAAGCGGTACTGTTCGTCAAGTTGGCAATAATGTGCGTATTCAAGCCCAAAATCCTTATAATAAAAGCATGGCTGTTGTTTTGCCTATCAAAGGCACTGTCAATACCGGTGTATTCGTCGCCCCTCTTCCTGCTTCGATGCGTATCAAGTAAAATTCTATAGTACGAATTTTAGATATATATATTCGACTCTTATATAGCTACGTTAAATTATAATTGCTTTTATACCTATCAACTAAAATAGCTTTTTGGCACAAAGTACAATGTTCTATTACCTAATCATTTCATATCAATGGAAAAAATAAAATTCCCCAAAAAAATGACCAAACTGAAAGCTTTTATACATTTTTTGAAAATAAATATGAGACCGAGTCTAAACTACCTATAAGGGTAGGCAATTGATATATTTAAAAGAAAGGCATCATTGGTATATTATCGAAATATGTATGCTATACGATAAGGTGCCTAATGCAAGAATTTCACATCAAATGCAAGTGTTATAATACAGAACTTGAATTGTATATGAGTGAATGGGACAGAAACCCAAACATTACATATATGACACGCACACATATTATATTCATAAACAAGCAGAAATATGTGGTGAGTCTTAATGATGAAGGGGCACCGGTGGTATATTATGCTTGAGCTTATTATTCACTGTTATTAAAGATACTGATTTTAGTACACAATCAAGTTGAGCATAAAACTAACTCAAGTTCTTACCAGCGTTAAGTTGTTGTTGTTGTTGTTGTTGCTGCTGCTGCCGAACTACAGCTGCTGCCATTTGCATAGCATAAGCCTTGTTTGCAGCTATAATATCATTTGTGGGCATCTTCATCACGGCGTGCTGTTGTTGAGTCGTCTTTACGGACAGACAACCCATTCGTTGTTGATGCTTATCACCCATAGTCTCCATGGCATTGATACTATTAGAAGTTGTCGAAGCGGAAGGAGCAGGAGGAGATGGATAGTTAGAAAAAGTATGATTCGTGACTGAAGCCGACCCATCTTGATCTGTTGATAAACGAGAAGTATAAGCGTGCAAAGGAATGGATGAAGATGAATTTGTTACTGGTTGATGCAGTTTGATAGCAGCCGAACGATTATCCTTAGCAGCAAATGTAGCCGTACTTAAACGCACCTGTTTGCTGCTAAAGATACTTGGTGCGGATACGGAAGGGATGGTAAGCAATTTGCGTAGTTCAACCTCAGATAATAGTTGTATGCGCTCCTTCAAGTAAACATTATCCATCTCGTCTACTTCAAAGCTGCAAGTTGCGGAATATTCATTCTCTTTATTACAGTCAGTATCAAAACGGTAGCGATCATATGTAGGTGCTGGTGATTTTTGCGATGGCTTTGTTTTCCCGCCATGGCCAAAGGGTTTAAATCCCATGCGATCAATAAATACACGTCCACATCTACCCACTCTCTTTCGATACCTCGGCCTTTCTTCGTCTTCATTGTCACTCATTGATGACGATAAGGTGCGCAATGGTCGGAAGAAATGGTCGGGTAATGGCAAAGGTAATGGGTGATAAGGGTACTATTTTATTTAAAGGTAAAAAGTTATCAGATAAGCGCATTTTTTAAAAAGAACAAGCCATTTACCTCGGTGACATCAACATAAGGTTCATCCATCTCCTTTTTACGTACAAGTTCGGCCTCAATAGCTTGCTGAGCAGGCGATTTGTCAACTCTTTTTTTGAGTTTATGTAAAGGAATTTTAATTGTAGCACTAGATTTTTTACGGAAGGAAAGAGAAGTGAGTATTTGCGATATAATTCTGGATAGCCATGCATTCTGTCTTATATATGGGATACCTTGTGGAGCTCTCAGTTGTTGTACTCTTACGTTTCTTCCTTGCCAAAGCAAGCAAATCTTCGTCCTCTTTGATACCCAAGCGACGCTGGTAATCCATAATTACGTGCCTCTTATTAAAGACGGCATGTTCTAATGAAAGACTCTCTTTACGGTACTTCTCTCTCTTCAAAACCATTTCTAGCAAACCACGGGCCATTTCCATTTCTGTACGAAGCTTCCTCAAACGTTCCAGCGATTGTTGATCAGATCTTCTTGTCTTACGGACAGGCTTTGTTTCACGACGACGGAAACAGACGTAAGGATTCATTTCATTTTTCGAGGCTTCCTCGGAATTCAGTTGTGGTTGGATCTGCTTTCCACCTCGTTCTTGCCGTCTTGTTCTCCAATGTTCAAAAATATCGGATAGATTTCGAAATGACTTCAAACAGGAATGATCAGGTATATACTCACAAAAAGTTTTATAGTCGGGTATATGAGAAGCATCCTGATAAATACAAACGTTAACTTTTTTTTTTTCTTTCTTTTGTTTTTGTGAATGCCTCTATATTCTTTGCCATAAACAACTCACAAGGTAAAGATGAGGCCATTGTTGGTTGGTGATAGATTCGCACTCCCACATAAATTTCTCAAACATATTTTCTGAGAGTATTTCGCCTGGGTATCGTGTATTGTATTCATGTAGAAAATTCTCATCCTTTTCATCCAAAAAGTAGGAGCAACCCATAGAATCCTCTACTGTCAAAGAGAAACGTAGCAATGACGACGATTCCTTATATTGCTTTTTATATAAGTTATTGTAATCTTCTGTAGGAATAAGCCTTGAGGCATCAGGTGTAGGGATATAGTTCTTAACATTAGCACCTGTAGTAACAGCAGCCTGAGCAGCACTGATAGCAGCTTGCAAATCATGCTAGAATAAAACGTATGAAGTATGAATTTATAAATGATGCATAATGCCCAATGAATTCTTTAAACCTGAAAAAAATTTCATGCGTTTTCTGCAAGAAGGTTGGTGGGATGATGTGGGAAAGGGGAAGACGAAGGGAAGTAATCCATGAAGTGAGGCCACCAACCCAATATGACATAGACAAGAGAACCCATGATATTCAAAAAGATAGATAATTTTACCTCTTCTTCCTCTTCTTTTTCAACACCTGTTTCTATTTGTGGTACAGCTCTTTGAATAATAGAACTGTCGGCAAGCTCAGGAAGCTGAGACTCTTTATAAACTGGGAGTGGGTACTTCGGTGAGAGTTTTTTGACTCGAAATCGAGGGACCATCTGGTTTAACATCATGTCAAATCTCTAATCTCAAAGCACAGAGACTTATTTCGGAACAGTACAAGAAGGAACTTACTCTATTATTGCTTTTTCGTTCAGTTTTCTTAAAGCGCTTCTCTTTAAGAATGTATGTGTACGTTTGTAGTCGGGGGGTGTTCTCGTCGACCTATACTATTTTTTCTTTTTTTTTCTTTTTCGAACGCTGTACGCTTTAAAATTGCATTCTTTACGCCATTTTGGATGACGTAATTAAAAAATGGAGTCATTTTATTGGACTATCAACATCATAGTCAACGAACAATAGTCCATATAATAGAGGTGGTAAATAGTTTTGCGTTCAAAAAGAATAGTAACTCTATGTATAAGGTATAATGACTTTTTGCCATATGCCTCGTTCAGAAAGCTGGGCTCAGTAAAAACTTGATGGATGGTGTTACAAATTCTGAAGGAATCGATCACTAAGTCGACTGCAACTTTGATAGAGACTTCTTGAAATATGCCTTTTAAATGAAGACAGACTAGAAATGGTAGTAGAAAATTCGGACAACAACATGTCTGATGGTCTTTCGATAATGGTGACTCGATACTACAAATCAGTCGATTCGTACGCTTTTTAACTAAATTCGGTTTTGCTCAAGTTTGAACACCGCATCTGATAAAAAGGCATAAGAGTGCTCGAATAACAATGAACGTCCTGCTTCTTTGGTGCATTTCTACACCTGAACAACAACAGACGGTTGATATAACTAGCATGCCTTATCTTTTAATTTGAGGATCGGTGGACATATCTTACGTTCGCGTCGTAGAAAAGTCCAGAAAAAAAAGATGTTTTGTTTCATCTAATTTGTAATCCGATCCAAAAGAGTGCTGCACACAAGTAGTGTCCAGATAAAATTTTAGCCGAGGCTTTTTTTTTTATTAATTTTTAACCATCAAACAAAAAGAAAAAGTTGGGTATTTCTTTTTTTATTCTTTTTGACTCTCCTAACGTCTACTGTCAACATGCCTATCCTCGAAATTTACTCTGCTCAAGCTCCTAAGGATATTCGTGGTTTCACCAAGCGTATGAATGCCACCTTTGCAGAGTTGATTGGCAAGCCTGAAAGCGTAAGTATAGAACAACGTAGAAAAGCTAAAGAGAAAAGGGTCTAATAAAATGTCTTGATAACGGATGTAATTTTCAATAGTTCTGTATGGTCACTTTCTCCAAAGTTGACAGCCTCTTCTTTGCTGGCAGTGATGAACCTGGCTTCCTTGTCAAGGTTGGCTCTATTGGTCATATTGGTAAGTGCTAATTCACGAATATTATTACGCGTAAAGGAGACAACATGGATTAATCAAATTGCCTTGTGTACGCTTAGACAACAACCGTAACGCCAAGTTGACCGCCACTGTCACTGCTGAACTTGAAAAGGAATTGGGTGTCCAAGACAACCGCGGTTACTTCATCTTCACTGATGTTCCTGCCGAAAACATCGGCTTCAAGAAGAACACCTTTGCCAACCTCATGTAAAACAAATTTGACATTTTTAATCATCTATCTTTTCGAAACATCAACTTTGGTCAATATCTTGATAAACATCAATGATAATTTTATGAAATTCAACAATCTCTTCAATTGGTTAACCTATAGAAAGGTTTGTGTATGATTTGAATGAGTGGGAGTATAGATGAGGTAGCAGTAGTCAAAAGGTGACTAAATGCAGCGTTTCACAAAGAGGAATCATACGCAGTCTGTGTTGTTCTAGACGCACGGATAAAACATTTCAAACGCGTATGAAGGCCGTTCAATTGTTAGACTTGTGTAATTCAGGAGTACTTCATCCATTATAGCGGACATCCTGTTCCGCATTGCATTACAATAAGCACCGTCTGAAATTATTGATTGATTTTAATGACCAGCGTCATATAACTAGTCGATTACCAGAACGTCTGGCTTATCAATATTTTGATAAGGTTTAGAATTCGCAGAAGAACAGATTCAAAACAGAAAGAATAAAAGGCCTTTGTGCTGCCATTACTATCCGGTTCACCTTTTGCTACAGGTATATTGACCGAGCTGATATTCTCTCCTGTTTTATAAGGTCGAAATTTAAACTGACAATTGTACAATCAATAAAAAACTAAGCCCTACGTATTTGACTTACGCATGCAGTGAGCGCAAAAACGGAAAGAAGAGGCTATTGCAGTGGTTTGCGTTCCAATAAATCGCCACATTTGCGGTTCTGTGCCTTTTATTACATAAGAATACAAACTAGACCACGTATTCAATATAAAACCTGACATTATAACCAAAAAATCATTGATTGTATTTGTGTATTGATTGTTGTGCACGCCATTCTAGTAATAACGTATTCTTATTGGCTCAGAATTCTAGGAACGAGTATTCTTCTACAAACAAATATTCTGTTATGAACGCCCTCTTTCTTCATGATCCTCAATGTATTATGAGGAGACTCTTTCACTCTTCAGAAATTGTGTGTGGATAGATTATTACTGTTACCACTCATGACAGGGGACGAAGCTGAAATAAGCACAACGGTCAGCAATTTATTGGTGACTCAAGCGTACGCGTAGATAAATATTCACTAACGAAAGTATTTTGATAATAGGATCCAACTCTAGCGATTTATGCAAAAATAAATTGTGATATGGGATCATTAAGATTAGGGAAAATGTTTAGTTGAGGATAAACCAAATTGCTTGTATGAACACCACTGTTTTCAATTTTTTACTGTCTATGTATATATATTATGTTGTCCACTCAGTTCACCTGCGTATTGTATCTCTTCAAGACCTTCCATAAGTTGAACGCTTTGCGACTGTAATTCTGCACAGCAATCAAACTCACAATCTCAATTGCTATACCGATATTTTTCTATAAGTCGCCATTTCGGTTGTTGACAATGGTTCAATGGTTCAAGTAAAATTAGGGGTCTTGACTGATTTGGATAGTAGCATGAAAGATTGAACTATAAAGTATACCATTCGTGACTTGTCAACCAACAATATGAAAATAACCAATTATTCAAGATTTTGGCTGGTTTGATGACTACATCCATTAAAAATGCCAACGCAGTGTACGAAAAGCATCGTTTTCACTCTTCAGTCCCTTCTACTCCTCCCCTCCCGTCACCCTCGACACATCTGAGTTAATGATAAAAATGCTAGAAAAACTTCACGGCAAGCCGCTCATCTGAGAGTGTTTGCGCAATATTGAACAACTAGTCAATGGAAACTACTGTAGCATCAGCTTTTAAGTGGGCGAGAAACAATGCTGTTTGTTTATGCGCAACTGGAATACTTGTCTCGAGTCGTTTAATTTTACTAGAAGACAGCCATATATATCATAGATAACATGTTTTCGATGATACTCTCCTGCAAAAGAAGTTAGTTCTTCACAATCTCTAAGAGATTGATGTCATCTATATCAATTTTGAATTTCATTGATTGCTCTTTACAGTTGGAAAAAAATCCACTGTTGTAAATAATATAAGGATACTTCTTTGAAGTAATTACCATTACAGATAGAAGAAGGGAAAAAATTAGCTTTTGGAAGTGAGCAGTGACATTTAACTTTTTGGCTACCTCCATATAAAGATACTGTGGGGGTATGTACAGTTTTGTTATCTTCGTCCAAGACTCCAAAAGAACAAGATTCTTATAAAGAATCCAAGAATAGATTTTTTCAAGACACAACCTATATAAATAAAAAGAGTCTCAATAATCTAGTGTTCTTCCAAGAACAGTCTTACTCATTTGATCTTGCTTCTATTTTGTATAAAAGAACAATGACATGATAATAAATCATATGGCAGGCTATTCTTTTCACTGTTTAGATAGTAGTTTCAAAGATGATGGAATAACAAAATGTCAAGATCATATTATTTAAACATTGCGAGCTAATTGAGCATGCAAGTTAATGTGTGAACTTGTAAAACCCAATTACCAGCTGTGTAGGTTTTTTATTCTTTTATGCATGCAATGCGAGTTTAGTTAGTGCGCGACGTAGAAATTTTTTTCGTACAACCCGCGCAAAGATTTTTTTTTTTAATTTGTACAAGGAGAAGCTCAAATAAACTATTGCCACTGACTTGCTTCTACCAATCTCTTCTCAATGGGCCGTGCAAATTCTTCAATGTATTGAATTAGACAGTTATTATTCATGTTTAATTTGTGCAACAATTCAATTAGCTTCGTTGTTTATATAAAGGGACCTCCTAGAAACGAGCATCGGCCATACCATATCTTTTTCTTTTTCTACATTACAATCTTTGTAACTCTTTACGGACAAACCTAGTCCCCTTCCCTATCCTTTTTTTTGAAACTTATTCCATTCGCTACTGCTAACAATTATGCGTTTGACCCCTTCCTCTCTTTTAACATTGACCACTATCTTCGGTGCTTCCTTGTTTTTCCCAGTACAAACAGCTCCGGTTAAAGAACTTTCATCTCCCACTGGTTCCGAGATTGAATCCCCTGTAACAGCTGTCAATTATTTGGATGAGACCGCCTCTATTCTTCAGCATCAACACTCCCTCCAGAAACGTTGCCACAAGGCACGTTCTGCCAAGGATGATAAAAAGAGAAAGCATCATCATTCTGATAAACACGAATCTTTTCATAAGAAAGAACACTCAAAAGACAAAGAGATCAGAACTGAAAAGAGTCAACATGAGCAACTCAGAAGACTAGCTTCAAGCTCAAGCAAGAAGAAGAGAACCACTGTCAGAAAGACCACAACCAAGGCACCTAAACGCAAGCCTACCACAACAACAAAGAAGACAACTACGAAGAAGAAGTCTACCACTACTACAAAGAAGACAACTACCAAGAAGACCACTACAAAAAAGACTACAGTCACCACTGCTACAAAGAAATCTTCTTCAGTAGGCTCTTCATCTGCTAGCTATAGTCAATTCTCTGGAGATGGTAAGTCGTCTAAAGATGACTACAAACAAATAAAAAAAAATAAAATATATATATAGTAACGTTTGATATCTTTGGCAGGTACCTATTATACTCCAGGACTAGGTTCTTGTGGTTGGACAAATTCAGACACTGATTTAATTGCAGCTTTGGTAAGTAGACACATAATACATGTACATCTCCCTCCTTTCCTCATTTATAGTCAAATGAGGGAGCACACACAGGTATTGACCAAAAATTACTTCTTTGTAACCTTATTATAGAATGCTCCGCAAATGGCCAACGGTGATAACCCTAACAACAACCCAAACTGCGGCAAATATGCCAACGTTAAAGGGCCCAAAGGCACTGTCAAGGTCAAAATTGTTGACACCTGTCCACCTTGCGTCAAAGGCGATTTGGATTTGAGTCCTGCTGCCTTTGGTAAAATTGCTGACTTTGCCGATGGAAGAGTAGCCATTTCTTGGGATTGGGCTTAGTTACTGAATGCGGTGAATTTCCTTTTTCTGTAAAAATCGTGTACTTTTATACAGTTGTGGCTAGCTTTTTTTGTGTGTACGACTAAACATTCTACTGATGTATTTGACATTTTCCTACTTATTTTTCTTTCGGTCAACTCGAATAAAAAATATCCATACTTTTTTTTTTTTTGTGTGTGTATCAGCTATCCCCTTTTAATTTTGTGAGGCCGCTTATAAAGCAGATTCAATGTTGTCCATTAAGCGCGCTAAATGAACTTTTGTATTCCGTACGAAGTAGTAATAACAGCAACTTTCAGCAGAAACTTGATTTTTGAAGGCTTAAAGCGAAAAAAATACACATAATTGTAAAAAAAGTAGCTTCCGTTTGAAAGCGCTCGATCGGACCGTGTCCAACGACGTCTATTAGCAACTTAAGTTGAGATGTGCTATCAATTTTTGGAGTGATCCACGTACATATCTGTTTTGCTATCACACAACTTTACAAAACGAAGGTTTTCAGCATTTGATCCATCGTCTCATTATGCCTTTTGCTGGTTTTCTTTACATCTAATTGATGGTGCCCGCCACTTTGACCATGCTGCTATAGAGGAAGCGATCTAATTAGACTGGGGGGCCTCATTTGTACCACTGCTGTATCACATATCAATTGAACCATACAATATTTTTCCAGATATTCCATTGCAAAAATTGCTAATAATGAAAAAACTGCCGGATTTGCCAGAATATGCATCTCTGACGATTGCCAAGGAACTGAACGGCTTTCCTCAAAAGTTACAACAATTTAAACGCATTCATATCGTGTTAAATGCTACAAATTACATTGGTTAAAGATACTCAATCAGTCGGCTCATTATCCTTAAGAAACTGAATAAAGCAGTCGTGAGCTGGAAAAAAAACCTGAAATTTCCGTCTTCGAACCCACTCACCCTCCTTAAATATTATTGAATCAGATAGGCAATATGAAAAACGACATGTCGGATCGTAAAAAGCGAAAAATAGAGGAAATAACGTTACCAGGAGAAAGAATGAGAAGCGTTTTTGGGCGTGCTGCATTGTAACCGTGGAGGGTTTGAAACTGAATAGATGTTTTTTAAAGATACGCCCGCTTCTTACGAAAACAAAAAAAAGCTTCGTTACAGTAATTTAAAGATCCGCTGATTACATTCACAGTGAAAAAGAAACAAAAAGGAAAAAGGAAGCAACTATATACAAAGAGTAGGCATATGTGAGGATTGAGATTGAGAGAAGGAAGCCTAACAATAGCATCGGTGTCTCGTCGTTGAGATATTCCTTTCTTCAAAGCAGTAGATGACGGAATAACAGTTTACATTTCCTCCGCACGTGCAGAAAACGCTCAAACTGCAAATTTGGAAACAGTGTCGTATGATACCCTTAAACCCATTGAAAGATGGGATACTGGGCATACCGATCTTTCAATTTCAGTATTGCTATATTTTTTTTTTTCATCGCAATTTTCTTTTGTTCACTTTTCCAAGCTTATACTTGAAACTATCTCAAAAAGTATAGATCAACCCATTGATAACCAGAGTTGAAGCTTTCAATTATGCCTCAAGTTTCACCTCATTTATTTTTTTTTTATCTTAGAGCGCATGGTTTTTTTTTTTTTTTTTTTTTTTTGGTTTTTTTTTTACGTTGTGACTTTGTTCCTTAGCATTCACCGGGCGAAAAAGAAACAACAATAGTCTGTGCTTGAAGTGTAATCCAGCAGCATCACTATCATGTAACCTTTTTTTCCAGTCTGCCTTTTTTTCATTTTATTCTTTCTTTTCGTGCATTTGTTTTACTTATACTAACCTTTTCCCCGAACCATGTCTAAATATATTGGTGCAATTGACCAAGGAACAACCTCAACTAGATTTCTGATTTTTGATCAGGCAGGAAATCATATTACATCCCACCAACTTGAATTTGAGCAGATATATCCGCGTCCAGGGTATAGTAAATGGATATAACGCAGAAGGAAAACTGAAACTGTACTCACTAAAGAGTTGTCTTCAATTAAATAGTTGGATTGAACACGATCCGTACGACCTTTTGGATTCGGTTATTCGTTGTTCAGATGAAGCTGTCAGAAAGTTTGGTATGATGGGTTACAATATTACAGATTTAAAAGGTAGTCTTATTATAACTTGTTGTCGGTTTCTCTGTTCATATAAGGTTGTATTGAATGCTCATTCTGTTCTTTTAACAGCTGTCGGTCTTTGTAATCAACGGGAAACAACTCTAATTTGGGATCGTAAGACTGGCGAACCATTATACAATGCAATCGTTTGGGGTGACACCCGCACAAACTATTTAGTCAAGGAATTGGCAGATAAACAAACAGAAATCAATGTACAAGAGATTTGCGGCTTACCGATCCATAATTATTTTTCAGCTGTCAAAGTAAGATGGTTAATGGACAGAATTCCAAAAGTAAAATATGCAGTCGAACACAAACGAGCTATGTTCGGTACTGTAGATACATGGTTAATCTGGGTAAGTCCACCAACGCGTTTTATTTTATAAATTCCATAAGTATAAAAACACCTTTGATTTTTAATCTCTCTATTCTTTCTGTGCCCATATCTTACAGAATTTGACAGGTGGTATACAAGGAGGAAAGCACATTACAGATGTTACCAATGCTAGCCGCACGATGTTTATGAATTTGAAAACTCGAGAATGGGATAAGCGCCTTTTAGATTTCTTTGGAGTGCCATCACACATTCTACCAAAGATTGTATCATCAGCAGAGAATTACGGCAATATGGTATGGGGGCCTTTAGAAGGTGTCCCTATTATGGGTTGTTTAGGAGATCAACAAGCAGCCCTTGTCGGTCATAAATGTTTCGAAATTGGTGAAGCGAAAAACACATATGGTACTGGTGCTTTCCTACTGATGAATGTAGGCGAGTCGCCCGTCATGTCGAAAAGTGGATTACTATCGACAGTAGGATATCAGTTTGGAAAAGATGGACCTATGTCATACGCATTAGAAGGTTCCATTAGTGTTGCTGGTGCTGCCGTTAAATGGTTGAGGGACAATTTGGAACTGATTAAAACATCAGATGATATTGATGCTTTGGCAGCAAAAGTAAAATCAACAGGCGGCGTTTTCTTTGTTACAGCCTTTTCTGGTCTGTTTTCACCTTATTGGAGAGACGACGCACGCGGAACATTAGTTGGTTTAACACAGTATACGAACAAAAGTCATCTTGCCAGAGCAACCTTGGAGGCAGTTTGTTTCTCAACAAGAGCTATTCTAGAAGCGATGAAGGCAGACGGAGATGTACCATTGAAAATGCTAAAAGCAGACGGCGGTATGTCTAATTCAGATCAATGTATGCAAATTCAAGCGGATGTTTTAGGAATACCAGTGATACGTCCTGGAATGCGTGATACAAGTGCATTGGGTGCAGCTTATGCCGCTGGTTATGCTGCAGGAATTTGGTCGAGTATTGATGATATTAAAAAGGTCTCCGTTGACCGTGAAGATCTTTTTAACGCCAAATGGGATGACGACAGTAAGTTATTCTCTTGAACACTAAATTGCAGAATCTAAAAACGTGAGCACTAAATCCATTTTCTCATAGATCGTGAACGTAAATACAAACAATGGGAAGAAGCGGTTCAAAGGAGTTTTGGCTGGACAGACGTCTACAAACCAGCAGATCGCATTCTTTAAAGCACTTTTTACTTTTTCCTTGTATATCTTACTACCTTTCGATATATATACATATATTTATGTATGATAACTTATTACTAGCCATATTTTAGGTAAACCTTCCATATAACTATATTTCCCCCCCCCTCTTTTTTTTTGCAGCCTGAATTTAGTTTTTTTGTCACATAATGCTTTTTTTATCTTTGCTCTTCTCATGTAACTACTTTATCAATATTAATGCATTTATCATGTTCGCTCTATTGCTTTCTGCTTTATTTAACACCTACTATCGAACTACATCTTCCTTTTAACCCTAGAAGTCGAAAAAGGACCAATTCGTCCAAAGTTAATAATACTCTATTTCAAACAAATTAGAGATGATTAAGTTAATTTTAATCATATAAGATGGCATGATATCAGTTAAATGCTCACAGATATCCAATCCAAGGAATTTGCCCTCCCAACATGTATCCAATGATGAATTCCATTTAGGTATCTTTGTTACCCATAGGCCGAAGCTTTCAAGGCGTATATAGCACCGGTGATTATTAAGAAACAGTGTTTAGTTGATAACATCCAAAAGAACGACAAAGATGTATTGTCTATCTTATCAGTAAGATGTGCAGCAGCCTATAATATTGATCACCTACTACAACAGTAATGGCAGTATAACTAAATTCCGGGCTAATTAAAAGTCAAACCACAAGCTTTAATTGCTCAAATAGTAGAATGCTATTATTACTCCTCTAAAAGACGCATTTTAACACTTACACGCCACGAACGTTAGCTCTGGAGTGTAATGCCTCTTCTAGGTTTTCCGGCAGAATGCTATTGATCTTTTAACTCACCATTAAGGTTGGTCTAGCTAGCTTTAGCTATGCGTACTACAAAATCGAATGCGACAACAATATGTTGTGTTTGAAGTAAACGGAATCTTTCTTTCCTAGTGACTTCCTACTTCCTGAATACCATACCAGATTAGTCTGTGGATTAGCTGAAGCAGCGATATCGAATGGACTATTTTAGTAGAAAAATTATGTTCGCTCTTACTCTTGTCCTTCATATGCGTGACAAAATCGACCTTATTTCGTTTATATTCTTCCTTTAAAATTCTTTATGATTTCTAGCATAGCTAACCTTGGAAAAGTTAAGAATCCTCTCAGCCGTCGTCCTGGAACTAAGCTACGTGAATTTCTTACTTGCACTTCTTCTTTTTACAACGTGGCAGATACGCACAATCGTGCATCGAGGATAGGATTACATAGGCATTAAAGAACTACAAACGAACCTCCATATTGGGATAATTCTCAAAGCAAACGTAAAAAGTAATATGTACAAGTTTATTGTGATAAATTTGATAAAATAATAAAGTTATAATGTTCAAGCTAGAAAACAGTTTCCAAAATCAATTTTGAACCTTGATTAGATTTAGCAGCTTCAGTGATCTCCTTTTTATGTGCCTTCAATTCTTTTTTCACTTCTTTCTTAGTTGATGGCTCTTCGGCTAAAGCAAGGACAACAAAGCTACCAAAGTTCGTAGCAAAATGACTGAGGTTAGGCTTGATGACCTCGAGTAATTTAGAAGCAAATTCTAATGGTTCGACGGCTTTATCATTTTCATCCATGGCGTTGTCTGCCTTGATCATAGCCTTAACGATTCTATTCGCGAAACGATCTTCTATAATGTGATTTTCCTTTTCAATGTTTTCACCTGCCAATGCCAAAATAGCATTGATCGCTTCAGTCTTGTCACCAACAGCATGAAGCATAATTTCTTGCACAACTTGGGATGACAATTTTTCTCTCATGAGAATAGCAGCATCATCTGCAACCATTTTGATCAGTTGCGGTGATGTCGCCTTTAACAATTCTTGGGCTCTGACCTCTGGATCTTTTTTGCTGACTCTGATACTATCGCCTTCCTTCAACATTTTCACCGTCTCAGGAGAAAGGTATTTTGTATTTCGTCCAGCTAAAATATACAAGAAAACACGACGGCCGAACTTATTAGCAAATAATTCTTTGGCATGCTTGCTTAATTCACCAATGACAGCCTTGGCCACTAAAACGGTATCGTCAGTTACATCTAACAATCGAAGCAAAACCAAATAACCATAATCATCACAAGCGATCTTGGTAAGATACGGTTTGAATGCTTTGATAATATTTTTACGATCTTTGGGTGAGGCAATAGACAAACAAATCATCGCCACCTTTGCGCCTTCACGTGTGTGAATCATTTCCTGAAGGGAATCCTTGAGAAGGCTCAACATATCTTCACGCCCTTTGTTGTCGGTTAATGTCATATATTGATATATTGCTTTGTGAACAATACTGTGAACAATAGTGCCTTTATCCATACATCCCTTCAGCATTTCAGCCATGTATCTCAATATTGAGTCTTTCTTTTCCGGAAACTTTTCTAACAGTTCTTCTAATGTCTTGGCGCCTCCACCACTGTTGAACAAAGTCATCTCAGGGCCGTAAAATTCGGACAGCAGTTCATGCTTTTGAGCTGAATTTGCAAATTGTGAATAGAATGTTTCGATGACAGTTGAGGCTTCCTTGTGACGAATCAATTTTCTAACATTGTTTTTGAACTCTGCCAAGATATTATCTCTTTGTTTGTGACTAATGTAAAGACGTAATTTACAAATGTTAGAAAAACTAATGAAGAATGGCAACGTTTAAGTAGAAAATCAACTTACCAGTATTCAATAGCCTTCATGACAATAAATTTACCATACATAGATTTTGACAGTTCAAGATAATGTCCTCTTAATTCTTCTACAATCTGATTCCTTTGCTCGGCATTGCCCTTTTTAAGACAAGTTTGGATAATACGTGAAGCATCATGCTTAAAGATGACCTAGAAAAAGGAAAACATTATCGGTCAATAAAAGAAACAGCCAGAAAGAGTGAAGATAAAAACGTGATATCTACATCTTGAACTTTGCCACCAATTATACCCATCATTTTAGCCATCAAAGCTTTCTGTTCTTCACGTTCAATATCACCGCGTCGAAGCTGTTCCCAAACTTTCTTGGCTTGTGTGATCATTTCATAGTTTTTGTCGTGCGATTTACGCTCATTACGAATGTTCTTTTGTTCTTGACGAGACTCTATAAAAATAACTTATTAGCCCTGCTGCTTTGAACACATGTAGGGATAAAACTTAGAGATCTAACCAGTTTTTGACTTTTTATTGACTTGAGGCTGACTCTCAGCGGGCCTTTTTTCACCAACTGTGGACATTATAGCTTAGAATAATGAAGGGAGGATGTAAGCGGGAAAGCTTTTGGGAAACAACATTTAATTTCTATTTCCCAAATTGCTGCGTTGAACCTGGAGATTCAGCTGTCACTAACAAGCCACTAAAATAACTCAGTTACAGAATTCCGTTCATACAAAAGTGAACAACTTACCGTTCGGACGCACTATTTCAAGCTGTCATAGACCTATTCAATCTATAATCATTTATAACAGCAATGATCTTTGTTGCATAATAGGATGATGGTAGATAAAGAGCATCTCTATTACAGTAGACGTATAGTGTCGTATATCCATTAATTTCCTGCGGCCTTATTGTTGACATAATCCCGTTTTATCTGTGTCCTTGATAGTTTGCAGCAAGATTATATGGCTGCAAAAAATAGAGGATTTGCTGTAAAATATTAACTGTAAAGTTATGTAATAAACTGCTCTCTTTGATGCTGAAGCCTAATTAGCACAATCAACTGGATATACTGACTGTATGCTTAAACTAACAATCAATTTAGTCTTAGCTAAAGTAACACAAAAAGCTTTTTTTATTTCACAAGTATCTTTCATATGCTTTAGCCATGAAGCAATGTGCTGAAGTTCTTCAAGCAGATTCACTAGAATTATATTCTCATGTTTATGCAACTAAATGATAACCCATAGAAAGCAGCTTTATTGAAACGATTCCATCTTAAGCGATTGTCTTTTACAAAATAAGATTAATTATTGCCAACGAAGAAATTGAAATGCTTCGAACCCATTTTTGGTTCTTTTGCATTTCATGCCTCTTACGTATGGTTGCCCTTAAATTACTTTTATGTGCCTATTACTGTCTTTACCCAGTAAAGTTGTCAATGTTCGATCTTTCTTCGTAACGTCTCATACGAATGTCGTAATAAAAGCTGCGGTCAAACTTTCAGATTTCAATATTGGTGTTGGTGCAAGACAATATATCCTATTTCGGTAAATTGAAAATTATATTATTACAGAATGTATAAATGTAATGATTATCAATTCAAGCAGACTTTCTTATCCGGACGCAAAGAGTAAGGCAAAAATTTACGAAGTACAATTTATTTTTTTTTTTTTTTTTTTTTTCTTGATAATAAATAGCAAATATTTGGTACACTCTGGTAGTGAAAAGCTTGGATAGCACTTAAAAAAAAGCATAAACTAATGAGAATTCGAGAAAAGTTAAAACTAAATGGAGACACATTCTAGATTTGGCAAGAAAAGGGTATCAAGAAGAAAAAAGGTAGCTAGAGCAGAGCTGCTGCTTCATGTCTAAGCATCTTGGAACTCACCCCATGTGTTATCCAGCCTTCACAATCTTTCAGAGAGGCTTTCACAGCTACCTTCTCAAGTCCAGGATTAGTATATATCCTTTATCGAAGAAATGCCCATGCACATTAGACTTGATTCTCGAACAAAATTCATTGTAAAGGTTCCAGAAAAATGGAGAAGATTGAGATATATAAGCAATTTAAGCATACTACAATTAATGGTTACTTGAATGACTTGGGATTTTTTAAATACCGTTTGATATACACAGTTAAAACACATCGCCAGTAAAAAATATAACAACAGGGTAAATTGCTGTCTATCTTCTCGCTATAACCAAATAAACTACTTTCCAGCGTCAAAGTCAGCAAACAAGATGAGAGTAGCGCTTTGATCTTCTTTTTTCTTTTGCTAAACACTCTATACCCATCTACTCGACTTCCGATGGAATAAATGCCTTGGCAAGAACAATAAACGAAGGGAGAATGTTGCAGAAACCAAAAAGGAACCACTAGGTGTACGAAGGAATAAAACCTGATGAAATAGTTTGAAAGATATAGATTATGACCAATCGATAAATATCACTTATTTTTACATAAGACTGGTTCTGAAAAGAATGAGTTAACTCTTGAAGAATGTTGACTTAATGAAAGTCTTGTATTCCTCACAATGATTATAGCATTATTGTTTGAATTCGGTGGCTATTTGTGTTCACAAGATACTTTACCTGTAACAGTCCGGTAGAACCTGTCCCAACCGATTTAAAGATTCTTTGTTAGATCTGAATTTCAATTGGCAAAAGAAACGCGTTCTCGACGCGGTATACGGCGGGCTAAGAAATCACACTTTTTTTTATTATTTTGATCGTGTATTCGTCGTTACAATAACTTAAATATAAAAAGCATTGGTTCGCTAAAAGGACATATATAACGAACTCCTCCGTCACATCTCATTTGAAAACCAGAATGCCTCCTAAACCTGAATTTGGTGTCTCTTCGGGAACTGGAGGACGAGGAGGAAGTCGTTTCTCAGGGCCCAGACGATCAACGACACAGTTTCAACGGTATGGGTTACCAAACAATGCCGCAACAGAGGCATCGAATGTAGATCAGCGTTTTGAAGACATAAGCATAATGGACGATCTGCAATTTCGGTTCGGCTTTGATAAATATCATGAGGGCCCTGAAAGATTAGGCTGGTTAATCAATATGCATGAGGTACCTACACAATGACACACAGTCTTGTATATTTTCTTTTCTTTTTAGCTCTCTGAACTGTAAAAATCATGTATCAACTATAATCTGATCAACTTCAACATTTAGACGTTGGTTAAAGATTCAGACTGGGCAGGAGGAAGGTCAGCTGTGGATTACTATTTCATCAATGATAGTGCCCAAACGTTTAAGTCAACTATACTGTTTAGTCCATATTTCTTCATTGGATGCAAAGTAGGGTTTGAAAGACATAACTTAGACTTGACCAACTAAGAATATGATCGCTAAACGTCAGTCTACTATATCATTAATAGCCAGGTACAGAAGATGAGGTCGAAGATTTTTTATTCAGACGTTTCGAAGATACCATCGAGAAAATGACTCGAGTGAAGAAAGAGGATTTGAAACAAGTAAAAAATTGATACAATAGAGGAAATGGAATAAACAGCAAGTCTAGGCAATTAACAGTGAGCTGTTTCATTACTACTAGATCAACCATTTGATTGGTAACAAACGTACCTACATAAAGCTCAGCTTCCGAAATCAAAACGATTTATTTGCTGTAAGAAGAATTCTTCTGCCTGTGGCAAAAAAGAATAAAGGAAAACTTGATGCTGTAGACACATATGCGGAAGTGATAAAGTTAGTCCAACAATTACTCAATTTGCAATGGTTGCGACGGCATCGCTAATATCTTTCTATTAGCACTGCAAACAACATTCACCAAGTTCACTCTAATCTAGCAGCAATGTCAGCTCGGAAGAACCCCGAAGAGATCTTGGAAAATATTGTTGATATTCGTGAATATGATGTTCCATACTATGTCCGTGTAGCAATTGATTTAGGTATATACTAAAGGAAACTTTCTTATGATTAATTGTCCGTTTTCTCTAAGCACAAATATCTGCACAATAGATATCCGTGTGGGTTTATGGTATACAGTAAAAGCGCTTGATGACGGAACAATAGTTCTGACAAGAGAGAAAGATTTGGTCCATCGTCCGGAACCAGTCATTTTAGCTTTCGATATTGAAACAACAAAGTTACCGTTGAAATTTCCAGATGTTACAATCGATTCAATTATGATGATCTCTTATATGATTAATGAAAGGGTACAGATATACAGCACTGTTTGCAGTTCTTGTTTTAAGATATTGATTAAATCGCCTACTTCGTAAATAGGGGTACTTGATCACAAACCGTGATATAGTCAGCCAAGATATCGAAGATTTTGACTACACACCCAAACCAGAGTTCGAGGGCCCTTTTACAATTTTCAATGAAGATAATGAAGAGGCTTTACTGCGGCGATTTTTTGAACACATTCAGGAAGTAAAACCAACTATTTTCGTAACCTATAACGGTGACTTTTTCGATTGGCCGTTCGTAGAAGGAAGAGCAAAAGCAAATGGTATTGATATGTATCAGGAAATTGGTGTTTATAAAGATGATGAGGATGAATACAAATGTAAACATGCATCACATATGGATGCATTCCGTTGGGTGCAGCGTGATTCATACCTACCGCAAGGTAGTCAAAATTTGAAAGAAGTAACAAAGAAAAAACTAGGTTACAACCCTATGGAATTGGATCCAGAAGATATGACCCGATTTGCAAGTGAACAACCACAGACTTTAGCGCAGTACTCTGTATCAGATGCTGTCGCTACATATTATCTGTATATGAAATATGTTCATCCTTTTATTTTCTCCCTTTGCAACATTATTCCATTGGTGCCCGATGAAGTGCTCAGGAAGGGTACAGGTACATTGTGTGAATTATTACTTATGGTAAGATGAATGTGCTAGTCTTAAGTTGAATGATTTCATACTTATTTCATCAAATTTTTAGGTTGAAGCATATCAAGTGGATGTCATTATGCCAAACAAGCATGTTGAAGAAATAAACAAGTTTTATGAAGGTCATTTGTTGGAAAGTGAAACGTACGTTGGTGGGCATGTAGAAGCATTAGAGGCAGGCGTTTTTAGAAGTGATATTGAAAGCGAGTTCGCTATTGATCCAGCCGTTGCACAGCAAGTAAGTCGTTGGATATGCTATCTGTTACATTATATCTTCCTAACGCATGTTAAATAGTTGATCGACCAACTGGATGATGCTCTTAAGTTCACAATCACAGTTGAAGAAAAGAAAAATCTAGAGGACGTGACAAATTATGATGAGGTTAAAGCACAAATTCAAAAGCAACTAGAGGATCTAAGAGACAACAAACGTCGAAAAGAAAAACCACTTATTTACCATCTTGATGTTGCTGCAATGTACCCTAATATCATTCTAACAAATCGTTTACAACCTGATGCTATGGTTGATGAATCTCACTGTGCTATTTATGATCACAGTGTGGACAACAAAGGCTGTGATCGCAGAATGAAGTGGATGTGGCGTGTGGAATACTTTCCTGCAACAAAAAGTGAATATCGTACAATTGAAAATCAACTACAACAGGAAACCTTTCCTTCAAAATACCCAGGTGGCCCTCGACGTATTTGGAATTCACTGACAGCAACGGAAAAGTCGTCCCTATTGCGTTCTCGTTTAACAGAATTCTGTAAGAAGGTTTACAAAAAAGCCAAAGAAACAAAAACAATAGAACGTGAATCTATTGTGTGTCAGCGAGAGAACCCGTTCTATATCGAAACTGTACGAGCTTTCCGTGATCGTAGATATCAATATAAGGGCCTACATAAACAATGGAAAGCGGAACTTGACAAAGCAGTAAAAGAGGGATCAGCGACCAAGATAAACCACGCAAAGAATATGATTGTTCTGTATGATTCATTGCAACTCGCTCACAAATGTATTCTTAACTCTTTCTATGGTTATGTCATGAGAAAAGGTGCACGTTGGCATTCTTTGGAAATGGCTGGAATTGTGTGTCATACCGGTTCTAATATCATTCAAATGGCTCGTCAACTGGTAGAGGGTGTAGGTCGTCCACTCGAATTGGATACGGATGGTATTTGGTGTATTCTACCAGGATCATTTCCAGAAAACTACACAATCACCATGAAAAATGGGAAGAAATTTCGCATTCAATATCCGTGCACTATGTTGAATCACTTGGTTCATGCAAGGTTCACTAACGATCAATATCAAAGACTTGTAAATCCTGAAACGTTCGAATATTCGGTTAGCAAAGAGAACAGTATTTTCTTCGAAATCGATGGCCCTTACCGCGCAATGATTTTGCCCTCATCAACCGAAGAAGATAAACTACTAAAGAAGCGGTATGCTGTTTTTGATGAGGACGGATCGCTTGCCGAATTGAAAGGTTTTGAAATCAAACGTCGTGGTGAACTGAAGTTGATCAAAATCTTTCAAGAGGAGATTTTTAAAGTGTTCTTGGAAGGTTATACATTAGAAGAGTGTTATTCTGCTGTAGCTCGTGTCGCAGATCGTTGGCTTGACGTCTTATATAGTAAAGCTGTGAACTTACAAGACGAAGAATTATTCGAGCTTATTTCGGAAAATCGAAGTATGAGTAAGGCGCTTGAAGATTATGAAGGCCAAAAGTCCACGTCAATCAGTACTGCCCGACGTCTCGCAGAATTTTTGGGTGATCAAATGGTGAAAGATAAGGGCTTAGCTTGTAAATTCGTTATTTCAGCTCGTCCTGCGGGTTTACCAGTTTCCGAACGCGCCATTCCAATTGCTATTTTCCAGGCTGAATCCAGTGTGAAGAAGCATTATTTGAGAAAATGGCTTCATGATAACTCCTTACAGACTTTTGACATCAGAGACATTCTAGACTGGAACTACTACCTTGAACGTTTTGGTTCTGTAATTCAAAAACTGATTACAATTCCCGCTGCTATGCAGAAGGTGCGAAATCCTGTCCCTAGAGTCCAGCATCCTGAATGGCTTTTCAAACGTATTGCAGCTTTAGACGATAAGTTTAAACAACGTCGAATTACAGACTCTTTCAAAGCTACCGATAAACCTTTAGTAGACGCTATGGACATAGATAATATTGAAAACATCAACCCCAATGATCCTCCTCCTCCCAACGTTAACGTCTCAGGTATCAAGCGAAAGCTAAGCATGATAGACATCGACGCACCTTTGCCCGAAGAAGATCGTTCAGAGAATATGCCTGATTGGAATATTGATTACTCTTCTTGGTTGGCTTTTCAGAAGCGTAAATGGAAGAGGCAGCGTGTAATTCGTGACCATAAGCGACAATTTGGTGAGACGCCAAAGAATGTACCAAATGGAACGCAAAGTGCTGTTGGTTATTTCAGAAAACAAACAGGCTCTCTGGTGACAAGTGTTTGGCAAGTAATTCAAATCATGGAAACAGACATTCCTGGTGAATATCGTATGTGGGTTCTAGTTCAAGACCAAATGTTCAACATTCGCCTGACAGTACCTAGAACTTTTTACATAAACAGCAAAGAGGCTGAACCTGAAGCAGTGCAGAATCAAAGTCCAAATTGTCAAATGATCAAATGCTCGCGAACATTACCTCGCTCACATCCTGTACATAATTTATACCTAATGTCTATGCCTGAGACAATATATCGCAATGAGATCAGAAAGTTTGCTAATATTTTCAATCATCCAACAACTGAAGGTGTCTATGAAACTCAGGTTCCACTCCTCGTTCGTGCTATTTTACAGCTTGGTACTAGTTGTCAATATGTAAGACGTAAAGATGCGCCGACTCGCCGGCTAGAAGATCAGTTCGTACTAGACGAATTATCTCAACGGCCTGAGTTAGTTAACCAATATATGTGCAATCCAAAACTTTTCGGTTATATTTATTTATATCACTCTCAAATTGGTAACCGACATTTCTTCACATTGATGGGTGGTTCAATACCCACCGGGCAAGTGTTCATCGTAGGATTATCAAAAAGCAACCAGCAAGTACCGAACATTTCCCGGATTTACAAAGAAAGATACCAGGAGCTTTACGGAGAAGAAGGTCCATTAAGCTCTACCGTTGACATACCTAGATCTGCAAACTTCGAGATAAATTATTGCTCCTCAGAGACGGACGCTTATAAAGTTATCAACAAGACCCTTTCAAAATATTTAGACGACAAACGCGGTAAAACTATTTTAACACTTTGCTCGCCGCGCTCCACCTCTTCTTTGATCCAAAAAATGCGAATTTTGAATATGTTACCATTCGTCAGGCTTCCATATACGCAAGCCAACAATACTTTCGATGCTCTTAATTGGATTCAACCTGTCATTCATCGTATGCTTACCTATTATTTGGAACTTGGTGGTTGGATTGACGAAAAGATATCACAGGCTCAATATGCAAATATTCCATTCTGTAATATACCAAATGATCCTTATTTATTCATGTCAGATATAATGTTTGCAAGAAAATTGATGCAAAATGATATGGTCTTATGGTGGTCTGCCAGTCCGATGCCTGATCTCGGTGGACGTGAAGAGGATGAGTCTTTGGCTGTAACAAGTGAGCTTGTCAACACAGAGCTTAATGAACCTGGGGCTTATGAAACTATATGTATGGAGATGGATATAGGTCGCCTTTGTTTAAATACATTAATAGAAGTAAATGTCATTAATGAGATTGAAGGCATGGCGAGCGGTTTCGCAGGCTTTGACAGTTCAAATCACACAGTTGAGGATTATGCTAGTGGCGCAGTGAACACAATGATGGCCTTCGGGGATGGTATGATTTCAAACAAAACCTTTTCTATGCTACGTTCTGTTATTCAATCGTGGGTGCACCAATCGTCTGACGAAAAACTGGAGCAATTTGCGAAACAAATGACTGGAAATCTTCATCGATGGCTACTTAGCCATAACTCACATATGTATGATCCCTCTCTGTACGGATTAGTACATGGTATGATGAAAAAAGTGTTTTTACAATTAGTTGCCGAATTGAAACGTCTTGGAGCTACCATTATTTTTGCCAACTTCCATAAAATTGTGCTTACTACCGACAAAGAGACGCTAAACGCTGCGAGAAGTTATTTTGAATATCTACAAAAAACGGTTAAGCAAAAGCAAGTCTTCGAAATGTTAGAATTGAAGCCGACCGCATACTGGAATGTTCTACTATGGATGGATGAGAAAAACTACGCTGGCATGAAAATTGATGGCAATGAGTTGAATGAGAGTCAGGCGGAAGCTGTTGTCGTAAAAAAGTGGAATATCGAAGACTACTTGCCAATTGCAGCTCGCGAATGGTTCAGTAGACATACCTGTGGATATGTTCACAAATTATTTACAGTTAAGCAGGCAAATCCACTTGATATTGCAAAGCAGATGAAAGAAAATGACAATTCTCCTGACGTTCGTGAACAAACTTTACGAAAGTACATAAGGGATAACTTATGCCGTAAAATCCTTCGTAAAGCACATACTTTACGCCAACTTCAGGACGAGCATAATGTTCATTTCAATCCTGATATGGTATTTCCGCAATTAGCAGGTTCGCATCTTCCGATGGATAATGTCCCACTCGAATATGTTAAATCAGTCTGTGCAGTTTTAAGTCTTGACAAAAGAGTTGAGCATACTGTCCTTTTGGTAAAACGGCAGGCCCTTCAACTTATAGGCAATATTAGTGATTTCGATCCTCAAGCACAATTCAAGAACCCTTGCCAATATTACAAGCTGGCAGAAGTCATTTGTTCCTTCTGTAATTATACGATTGATATGGACTTCTGTAGGGATAAGGAGTTGATGCCTATTGACGGGCAGGTACAGCCTTGGAAATGTAGTGGATGTCAATCAGAATATGATAAACGTCTGCTAGAAGATAGGATGATTACACAAATTCAAACTTGGTTTACAGCAAATGCTCTTCAAGACTTAAAATGTTCACGTTGTCGTACGATCAAGATGGAGAATCTACTAAAACAATGCGCTCGTTGTGCCAGTGAATATGAGAAAACAATAAGCTCAGCAGAACTGGAACGAAAAGTGAGAATTTTCGAAAATATTGCACGAGAGCAGCAACTCAACCATTTATTGGAAGTTATTGTAGCTTATAAGCTGACATCTAAACCCTTCTAAATGTAATAAAAGCATTCTACAGTATTTTAACTAATATTTTAGATGAAAATACATTTTTTTTTGGACGATTAATATTTTCATTTTAGATGAGTTGCAATTGTGTTGTAGACGAAAATATAAACCGTTCAAACAATGAATCAAATCCCAAAAACTTGTCAGTATTGCGAAACAAAAAAAAAAAACAAGAAAAAAATACCGTACTATTCCTTACCTGTAATGATCTAAATCCTCAAAATGAAGGAAAACCGTGTTTATTACGGCGATACTTTTTTCTTCTTCGCTGGCTTAAAAACATCGGGTCTTCCAGCTCCGGACCAAACTGCTTGAGATATAGTCATCATGTTAATAGCAGCGTTAATGTCTCTCTGCCATAGCTTTAGACATTGCTTGCAGTGAAGAACGCCGGTACCCTTGAATCCAGGAGTATCAACAATTTGCATATCATCATAGAAACAGAGGCTGCATGTTTTAGAGGTTTTAAATTCATCGATTGTGACAACAATCAATTGACCTTCAGCTTCACGTTTCTTCAGAGTTGCAAAAAGTTTACCAACAACACCGCATCTTTGCCCTTTCAGCTTGACTACATCTTTGCCAAACATTCCAGCACCAAACACAATCAGTGGCACCCTTCTAGGGGATTCCAAATACTTATCAGCCTTCCACTTCTTGGCACTTCTAAAAAGTATTAATGAATGGATAAGCTAAACGATGAACATGTAATTCCATTGAAACTCACTTTGTTGGCTGCTGTTGGTTGGCATTCTTTCCTTTCTTCTTCTTCTTCCGCTGTCTTTTCCTCTTCCTTGCCTTGCTTCTCTTCTTGTGATTGTACTTGGCCGTTCCATGAGTCAACATGTTGGCCATTGTTTCCGGTGCTCTTTGTGTACCTTGGTACAACATAAACCGGTCCTTTGCAGTTTCGGATCCATAAAAAGCCAAGAGAGCGTCCAGGTTATTGAGTGTATAAGCAGTGTATAGCTCATATATTTCCAAACGAGAGGTTTTTGGCGAGGGTATCTGACTTTCTATGAGATCTATGCCTGTAACGGCCTTCTTTCTGTTTAACTTGGTACTGTATTGGGTCGACCCTGTCATATGATAGTATTCAGATGTAGTGCATCTTCGCACTTGTCTGTTATATTCAAGGCCAATAGCAGCAGTAAAAACAGACTTTCTTCCGGGATCCAGGGTAATAGGTAAATAAGTATTGTCAACTTCATCCAGAGAAAAATCATCAAGAGTGAGGTCAAATTTTTGGAACAAGGCACCATGGCCAGATTGTTGTCTTTTATAAAAAAGAAAATCAACTGAAAACCCATCCGTTCTGACAATATTACCAAAGAGCTCTTTGTTATCACCATTCGGTGTTAGTTCAGAGATACTACAAGTGCCCAAGAAGTTAAAGCTCATACATTATACTCGACTGTATACCGTATTAACTGTATGCTTACCTTTTGTACCGGAGTTTCTTGAAATCAAAGACATGGAAAAACAGCTCTAATTGGCTTTGGTAATTGCGGGGTAAAGGACGTTTCACAAAAGAAGACAGAGCGTTCACGCTCAAGGTAATGAACCTCCATTGAACGGAAACCTTTGGCAGTAAGGACAGCAATTTTGGAAGAGGACGTCGTCGTACGTCAAATGGTTTATGATCATCGTGTTCCCTCTCAAATTCTGCGTTCAAAGATAACAAAAAGGGTACGAAAGACCCAGGATCAGCAGATAATGTCTTCATGTTCACTTTCTTCCCCAGCTTCTTTTTCCAAGGTTCACAAAAGGTTTGGATCTTTGCTTTTATATCTTTGGTAAGATAGTCATCAGTTGGCCATTTAGGTTCTCCTTGGCATATCTCTTGATAGCAGAAATCACTTGTGACTTTTTTTACAAGCTTCCAAGGCATACACTACGCAAGGTGAGAGCTTTTTTTTTAAAATTCATGTAAGACCCAAATAATATTGAGTTGCAACTTACCACAAATGCTGTTTGTATTTTATATATCAAAAAATAGAGAAGTTTCTCCTCAAAATTTTCCACTATACTGTTCGTATAGGAAGTAGCAATTTCGGTGCATGCTTCTGTAATGGCTTGACTAAGTCCAGGAAAGAGCTTGATAGGGAAGACAATCTTAGGGTAAGTCGTTTTAAAAGAATCAAACGAGCTCAGTAATTGTTGTGATATCAGCCTACTATTTGTTGGTCTCTGTCCATTCACTAGCTGTATCACAGAGTACCAGAAATTTTGTGTAAAGATACATTTAATACACTTTGGCTCAGCAAGAGTGGCATTTTCCAAGACGTAATAATTCACAAAGAGCTTGGCTCTAAGAACCAAGTTGCGGATAACAGAACAAGCTTCAACAACTTTTGACTTGAATGTGTTGCGATAGTCACCAAAAACACAGTTATCAAGAGGCAACCTTCTTGTAAACGCCTTGTAATTACTTCCCAAATGATGTTGAAAGACCTCTGCCTTTGATAATACATGTTGAGGACACAGAGGAGAACGCACCGATTTATGTCCTGGTTGCTTGCATTTGGTACAGCACGCATTGTCTTCATCTGGGTCTTCATTCTTCTCTGTTCTTGCTTTTTTCTTTTCTTTCTTGATCTCAAAGTTTTGTTTGCGTTTTCTGCCTTTCGAACCAACTATAGGTACAATGAAGTCGCTTACTAATGATGAATTTACCAACTTTTAAAGCCATTATGAGGTGCTTACCTTGATCTGCAGTTTCCGGCTCATATAATTCACATTTAAAGTATTGTTTGGTGTAGTGACCCCCTTTACCGCAATCAATACACGTTACATCTAACAGTACACGATGATTAATCTATACATATATATATGATTAGGTAGATAGGCTTTCAAAAGGCAAGTTACCATTAACAGCACTTGATTTTTTCTTTTCAAAAATTTGCTTTTTCTTTTCATAAATTATTGTTTTGAACATGGGTCATAGTATGTATCTTAAAAACGTGAAATAAAAGTGAAAGAGACAACATTTGACTCTAAGAAAGCAATATATTTTATAGTGCTTATCTTTGAAAGTCACCCATGAACGCATACAAAAACATTGACAACAGTTAATATAACCATCCCATTCCGCTATGGTATCTGTTATACTATGGCCCTCAGCCCTCTATCTATGGTTTGATGTCAATCAATTCAAAGTTAACCTTTTTTGGAATTCTTGTCCAAAAAAGGTACCAACGAATATCTGGTTGGGGTCTCGGAACACATCGTCATTTACTAAAAAAGTTGTCAAGCTTTTTGTAGTTTGTCCTATTGCAAGGTAACATCAATAAAACCATTATTGGCGACTTTCTTACTGATAGAGACTAATTTCTAGGGTTCGATTCTATGTCATCCTTAATGCTGCTTGAATATCACTGAATAATGAGTATCCAAATCCAAAATATTATGGACTTTTCTAAAAATATTTTTTAATAAATCTAAAATTAAAATGTATATTGTCCATTAAAAATTGTAAATCGTCTAAAATATAAGGTAAAATACTGTATTAAAATTTTTTTTGACCGTCGGGTAGAGTTTGCCCAGCGAACTATAAAAAAATTAAGTCCTTTTAATGCGTTTGTTACCTCACTTGCTTAATCTATTATACCCTACATTTTGCATTACACGATGAGTTCGTCACCCTCTTTGAAGATAAAATTAAAACTAACAGCACCCAAACCTCCTGTTTCCCAACCGCCGTCGCCAACAGCACCGACAACAACTTCCACGTCCAAAAAGGTGAATCATAGAGAAGACGATTCATCAATTCAAGAGAGCCCTCGTAAACGCAACAGACCAAACAGTGGAAATCGTAATAGAAGGCCAAAAGTTGAACAAACATCCACACCTGACACGTAAGCATCTCTTTCTAACAAAATTATATAAGTTGTATTGATTATATTGTTCTTCTTTCACAATAGGCCGTTAACAGTAGATGAGGAGACAAACGAAGAAGGTACCCTTTTAAATTGTCTTGAGGAGTAACCTTTTAATAACAATTATGCGAACGTAAATTTAGCTTCCAATAACAATAATAATGTTGATAACAAAGGCAGTGGAAGCCTCAATAGTAGCAGTAACAGAAGAGGGGGAGGAGCAGCAGTTAATCAAGGCGGAATGGGTAACTCTGTAGCAACACTAAAGGATATCATGAAGTACAAAGACGTTAAAGTTAGAAAATGGGAAAAGAAGCCATTAGTGTTTTATACATTAGAAGGGTTCGAAGTGAACGTTTCTAGCTGGCAGTCCAGTAAGACCTTGCATATTCTATAATCATCTGAAGCTACCACGTAGTCTAACAATATCCATTTACTTCAGATGAAAAGATGGCAATTAATGATCACACTACAGAACCTATTACAGTTGCTGAAATTGATCAATTGTTCTCATCCACAACAGGCGAAAAGGATTTCCGACCGTTCTTATGTACTCAGCCTGGTTGTTCCAAATCCTTCACTTCATTTGATCAGTTACAAACTCACGAAACTAATATGCACGGAACAAAGAAACTTGTCTGCGGTATAGATGGTTGTCATAAGAGTTTTGTTACGCCAGGTCAATTAACAAAACATCGAAAAATGGTGCATTTTCGCGCCGCAAGAAAGGCTAAATTGGCAGCGGCAGCGGCAGCAGCAGCAGATTCAAATAGTACTAACGGTGGTGACAATGACAATATTGACAAGGAAGACGACATAGGTACTCCAACGACTATAGGAAATGGTGGTGACAATGAGAGTTTAGATATTTCCAACACTCCATCTTAAAACAATATATTTTCATGGCAGCTTTGAATGTTCAGTACAATTTTGTTACCATATTCGATAATGATCATGATGGGATAATAGCAATAAAACTTCGTTAAAATTGCTGTTTGTAATCATTATTACCCTTAAGTGAATTTTCGCATTTTTGAGACAACGCAATCTATTTCATAACTGAGGTTACCATTAAGTATAAGATCTATCAGTGCAGAATTAGGATTGTAACAATGCTTATGAGTAAATAACATGAATTACGTAGCATTAACGCTACTATAAGACATAGTTGATTTTCGATAACTACATAAGATTGCAATGGCAGTAGCCCTAGTGATCTATATGAATATTGTATACTAATTTTTTTTTATATTTTGCAATGAGATGAGCTTCAAAACGTCTTTGAAAAGATTTTTCAGAGAAGCTTTTCGAATAGATTGCTCGACAATATGGCCTTCAATCTTTTTTTATTATTGATTTTAGGCCGATTATATAGTTAAAGAGCAATTCCAATAATATATGACTTTGGCTCTACTTACCGCCCTCTTACTTGGCGAGTTTTCAAGTCTATTGAGTACTTTCTCAGCAAAGTTGATATTTTCTAGAAGGACACAGGAAAGTATAACCAAATGACTTGCTTTGTTGGATAGACCATATAATAGCTGCCTTTGATAAATATAAATACTTTTACTTCAAGATTGAATTCGTTGGATTTTGATTAGCACTATGAAGTTGATTATCCGCCTGATTTTTCAGTTCTCCAATTTTCCAAATCCTTTAATTCGTCTTCTTCTCGAACCTTGTACATAAACCTTCCTATATAACCTATTCATTATAATTCTTATATGTATATATTCACCACGTGTATGTTTAGTTTAAGTGTTTTCAAGCATAGCCTTTAGCACATACGCAAAAATTTTCGACTGATCCGACACTGTTTACCACTTCTAAGAGTTTACTAATAGGCAAAGTTAACACTTAGACTCACATATTTATTTCAAACAATCACAGCAAAATGGCAGGCAGACATCAATGTAAGTTATGCTAACTTTAATTTAAACGCTAACAAGATTTTTGACTCACTTTCACATTACACAATTGATTTAGCCCAGTATGCGCGTTATACGACAGCTCCTTCTAATCAGTCATACCCAAGCACCGGAGGAAGCAGTAACAATCTGACTGTTCCTTTCCAAACGCAAAGTACAAATACACCCTATCATAATCAAACATCTCCATACCATAATCAGCCATCTGCACATTCACCTTTTACAAATACAACCTCACCAAGTTATCATCAACATAATCATTCCTCGAATGCACCTCATGCGAAGTATAATAGCAATAACGCTACTGCACACTTAAGGAAATATACTCTCCAGCCTCCTTTCAGAAAATTGCCTCTGAGTAAAACAATGCCTGCATTAGGCTATCCAGATATGTTTCCACAACGTCCTGGACAGGTAGAAGACATCTTAACAGAAGCAAATGTCCGACACGGTTTTATAGACAAGGCTATAGTATCAGTAAGTTCACTGAATGGGAAAAGAAGTAACATAAAATGCTTTCAATTGTTTTGTCGGTACCAATTTTTGCTCACTTCGTCTGCATTTTATTAGAACGAACATACATGCGCTCATGATATTGTTTACGGAAAATTGCAGGATGATCATAAACTACTTGACGAACTAGGGAGTTTCATGGTAAACGTTTTACAGCGGCAAAGTAAAGCTGGCTATATCACAGGGTAAACAAAAGCAAGAAGAGGTGTATCGGATAATACATTGTAGCTTACCAACTATTCGTTTGTTTCGATCAGACCTTCCTCATTTAAACCACCCGCTAGAACAACATTGATCGATTCTAAAAGAGAGCAATGGATGCAAGAGTTAGCAAGTGGCATAACGCCTCTTAGGAAACTAGCGCGCAATGTACCTCACGGTTTTAAAGGAGAAAAGCTGCTGGAAACATTGGCAGCAAAGCAGGTACCATTTTCACGAGCTACATGGTATATAAAATTAGTTGGTTTATCTGAGATGGTATGTCTATATTCTGCTCGTTATGACAAGAGGAAAATGAGATGATTTTAATTTATCCAATAATTTCTAGAGTCAACGTAATGCTAGCAATGCAGCGAGCTCGTTAGGCCCCCAACCTATCCAGTGGACTTTGACAGTAACTACCCACCTTAAGAAACAATTAAATGACCTATTACCTCCACAATCCCAACCTGCAAGTACAGCACCTAGCCCTCATTCCAATTCAAGCAATTTGGGGCGTGGCAATGCTTACAGCAAGAATCATCATGAACATGATAATCGAACAAAAGTGTGGACAACACCTGAAAATCGAACTCGATTTGAACAAAGATGGTCATATAGCGTGAAACTTACCCGCTGGCAGTACTTTGAAGGGTTATTAGACCAACGTACCTTCTTGAAATGGTCATTAGATAGCTTAGCAGCGAGCAGTACGCATGAAATCATGTGGCTAATTTTGACAGGCATTATACGGGATTACGTTGATGAGTATAAACGAAATAGGACTCTAACAAAACTGCTGATAGAGGCTCTAATCAAGTCTTACAGCGCGCTTATGCAAACAATGAATCACAACGAATCCATAACTAGTGAAACAAAAATGAAATCCAGGCTAAAAAGAGATATAGAAACCCTACTGCAATCACTATTCGTATCGACGCCAGATATGTTTGTGATACCCAGATTATATCAACAACATAGAAAGTTGTTTGACAAATTATTAGGGCAAGAAGCCGGTATGAAACTTTATACAATATTGCCTGATGTTTGTCGTGTAATGAGAGAGTATTGGCTAATGGTGAAAGCAAGAAACGAAGTATTTTGCGAGAACCTAGGAGGAGAAATTCAATGCCAATCAAAGCGTACTTTGCAGGAAATCAAATTACAAAAGTTAGGAGCAGAAGCCGCAGATAAACCTATATCTTCTGATTCCGAATTGGGCGCATTGCCTCTTGAGGAAAAAACCATTTATGTTCTTGATGTCATTGCGCACGATATTGATAGCCTAATAGGGTTACGGATTGATGGCTCAGATAGCTGGATAGTTACTTCAGGATATTCACTTATTACAGCTACAAAATTGATCTTCGGCAATAGAACAACGCGATTACAAAGCCAGACTATAAACAAAATTGTCAGTGTCATGTGTCGATGGGCAACAAAAGAGTCAAAGTACAATGATTGGAAAGTTTATCTTATTACTTCGATCTTAATCCATTGGAGGGATGCATCGCAGAGTAGATGTATTAAAGATATGTTGCAAAACGCTTTTATTCAATTTTTAGATGATGACACTGTTGCAAGAAGTGAATCTGTCGCGGAAGACGGTAAATTTGCAGTTACAAAACTTGCGGTAAATTGTAGTACTAACTTTTCTGTTTTATTTTCGGTAGGCTTTTCAGGGGAGGCAAAGAATGCACCTATTTTGTTCTTATATGATGTTCTTACTAGATCACAGTTATTTTCATACCAAAAGTATCTATTGAGACTTATTGCCAGAGGAGATTTGGAGCCAAAGCACCGTAAGGATCCACGGATACAGCAATGCATTCAATATCTATCAACGTTACCTATTCAAAGCCCTGCACCACCTTATGTCATCAATCAACGAAGGGTGGCACTTTACGGGACTAAGAATGATATTATAGATACTGCGGAAACTAAAACTCTCAATGACCTAAAACGCCTCACAATCTTAGCCATTACAGGACAGGAGCCCAATGATGTGGGTTATTTGTTCGGTTCTGATGCTAAGGAAATGACTCATCCCACTCCAACCGATACTGCACAATCGTATTATCTGTCTTTTAACGATGATGTTATGCAGCAAATTGAACTTAACTTATCGTGTGCATCGCGATACATGATATTGCAATTTATAAGTGACTGGTTGCTTGCAAATGTCAAAAAATTTGTGGTGAAGAATGTTCAGTAAGGACTAAAAGTCTGAAAGCATCAGATTCCTTGTTTTTTTAAACATACTTCTGTATTTTTTATAGAATTGGTGAGGATAACTGGAGAGTGATGACTTCACCCGGCTCTAGTCTTTTAAATACCAGGCAATTTGTCACTATCGTTCGAATTTTAGAGTATGCTCAAGATTATTCAAGCATCATTGATTTCGCTTTGTGGACTTTGGAGAAAACGAACGATTCAACTTTATACCCTTATATACTTGATTGCTTCCGTACATACTCTGTTTATTGGAAATTAATGTTGAATGGACGTAAAATTGCAAATGCCGTTTGGCAGAAGGTAAGTGAAATAGCATCTTTATAACGTAAAGGTTAATGCACCATTCAGTTGTCCTAAAGGAAAAAATTAGCATTCTAGTCTTGCCACAAGAAATATGCAGGAACGTAGTATTATGATGTATATCATCCAATTAATTCAGGAAGGCTATACAATGGAAGAAAATGCGACTTTACAATTAAAGCAAGATCTACAAATAAAAGCTCCTAAGAGAGGACGTTATAATACCAATATCTCCATCAGAGAGGAAATACTTCAGTTATCGAAAAATCCAGCATCAGAAAAGGTTCAGCTAGCTTCCGAAACATTAAGTATACCATCTCGAAAAGCAGCTGGCTGGCTCGGTGAAATCATACAAGAAGTAGGGAGTATTCTACACATGACGTTCAAAGAAAAGCAACTATCTGAAAGCATCAGAAACATTTATGATAACCAAGTTCATCAACAATACGGCCAATTTCTTCCTGCTCCTCTATTGGATTTTCATCGTCAGATCAGAGCTTTTGCTTTGGTAGTCAGGAACATTGCCGATAAAACAACTTTTACAGGTCAAGCAGATGATATAATTATCAATTGGTTCCAGACCAGCGAAATTAGTTTAGAAAATATGAATCAGCCCTTCTCATGGATACCTCTTTTCATCGCACTTTTGGTTTCTCACAATGTGGTAAATTTAAAAGCAATTCTGCAACAGTTGGTTCTACCTTGGTTTGAACAGGCAGCTCGAGAAATCCAGCAAAATTACGACGCTGAGGAAAATAGACTTTTCACATTCTGTCAAAATCTTATTGATATTATCCGCTTATTAGTCGTACAAACCAGGAATTATACTAATGAGGAACAACAACAACAGCAGCGGCAGCAGCAACAGGAGATTGCAGGTACACCGATAATCATGCTTTGGCAACTACGAGTCGAAGAGTTTTTTAGATTGCAGCACTATCGACAGTTCCAGCTTGCTTGTGATCTCAACCATATCGAACCTATGTTCGGATTACTGGAACGGCTTGTCATGATTGCCACTAACCTTCCGCTTAGTTCTCGTCTTCTGCAGAGCTTAGTGATACTGCGTGCTGATCTTTTACAGATTTGTTGGTTCAGACAAGCATGTCTTCGAGATTTAAACGGGGTCTATCAACGATTTGCTGCTCATGAAGCAGAGGCAACTACCGAAAAACGCATGAAAAAGAAAATGTTGGCGATTGTAGAAGAGCTTATAGGAGAGAATTATATCGCAAGCACCAATAATTATGTCAATCATCAAAGCAATTTAATAGCTTCTGAAACATCGCCTGACTTTTTAGAAAAACTGCAACGCGTGTTTATGAATGTGGGCCAGTGGAATGAAGCACAGTGCCGAGTACAAATGAATTTACTGCTTGATAATATATCGCTATCGGATGGTCAGAACCAGAACCCCAACAATCCTCATATTCTAAGCGATGAAACATCTTTAATGGGTATTACTATGGAAGGATCAGCGTCTTCAGCAACAGCACCATCATTCAACAAAGACCTGCAGTCGTTTGTGTACTTCTTTTATGATGTTGTCCTGTCTGAGGAAAGTAATACCATTAGCGCTGACAATAGCAACTCTAACCCAACACTGGCAGTCTCAAGAGAGTCTAACTCAGGAGGGTCTCAACGACGTTTTCAATTTCTCAAAAATTTGATACATGAATTGCGAGAACCGGTTTTGAACGAACTCTTAAACTATGGATGTCGTATGTTAGAAGGAGATCCGAACCAGCTGTTTCCCACAAATATTACACTACTGCTACAGGAAGCAACAGAATTTTCGGAAAGCTCTCAATTTGATTCTGAGAAATTTTCTTACCGTTGTAATGCATTCTTCAAAATATTTCAGCGAATGTTAGCAGCTTCACATATATGGACCATAGATCGAAAAATTGAGTTTGTTAAGTCTATATTTGCTCAGATAAATCGTTATAAGTCAGCCTCGGCCATTTTCATCGTGATGCAGAAAGCAAATGCATGCTATGCCGATGCTGTATTGGCTCTTACTAACGCTAAGAATGACGTGGTAAGTTATGTATACGTAATGAATCGTCATCATGATTAACTTACCCTATATATGCTAGGATGTTGCTCTAACTCTACTTCTAACGGATGGAATATCCGCAGCATCTTGTGGTGAGGAGGCAACAGGCTACTCAAGACTCTCATTGGAAGATATAAGAACCAGCTTATTTATGCGTTTGCGGTTAGTAGTCCCATTTGCTTCCCTGATTTGGGAGCATCCGAGGGAAAACGAGTGTAATATCCTCGAATGGATCAGAGCCCTCATGACACTTTTGGGTAACCCTGTGATACATGGCAACGGTAGTCAGGAACAATTTTTTGAATTTACCTTGGACTTTGTTTCACTGCTGATTGATGAAGTTCCTAAAGAGCTGAAAAAGGCTAGCCTACAATTACTGAACTCTATGCACAGTGACTTTACGTCTATTCCTATCATGTTTCATAGTCGCGTGAAACGGATTATGCCTTTCTTAACTCACAATATGTATTTAGCCAGTACAAAACTATCCTCTTCTATTTTGGGCATTGCTTCAACGAACAATCCTCAGCAGCAGCAACAGCATTTGGAAACCTGTTTAGAGCAAAGTAAACCATGGGAATGGCTCGAAGATTACGTGGGTGATCCCCCTCATGATAATGATGCACCTATAAACCTTGCATTATTTAACGCGAAAAAGATTAAAAATACAGATAGCAGTACTTACACTCGTTGGTTCAAATATGGATTCAACTGTCAACAACTGCCTAATACTGATGAAAGAGTTGGTCATATTGTCACTCAGGAAACAGAAAAAATAAAACACCAAAAGCCACCACTATCGACATCATCAGTTGAGGATGAAGTCAATGGAGACCCTTATGTTAAACAAGAAGATAATTCATGTAATAACTTTGATACTACTAATGTCACTCTTACGAACCATGAAGACATTAACAGCTTAACCAAAAATGCAACGTCTGAAATTCCGCAAAAGAGAAAGGTTGAAATGGAGGAAGGTGAACTTCCTTAGCGCAGAATATCAAATAATTGTATTATTCATTTGCTTTTGTATTGTATTGGTAATCAAATCACCAAGTTTTAAATTGAGATACGAAATTTAATATAACAATAAAGAGCGTAGTATATATGTATTTAAAGAGACTCAAAATGAAAAGCATATGAACAAACAAGGGAAGTGAAAGAAGGGTTGCAGTTAGTATGTTCCATGAATATTCAACAAAATTAGTCAGCCATATCCATCGCATGCCACTGAAACAATGAAGTAATATTATTGAAAAAGATGAAGAAGAAGGTTACGAGAAATCAAATGAGTCTTTGGAGAAAGCTGTATTTCTGGCAAAGGGTGAACATCAGACACCAAAGTCTAATCCTCGTATCTTGTACGGATGAGGCCGTATTGAGCATTCATCATAAAAAACTATGGCAGAAGAATTGTTCCAGAAGTTTACTAAAAGCAAAGTACGTAATTAAAGCATAAAAATGTAGCAATAACAGGTTCTAAATTAAAACTGAAAGAGTTAGCCCAGAAGTGATGGTAACAGAGGAAGTCTTTGAAGGATAATGCCTGAAGTGCAGAAAGGGAAGAGAAGGCGTCCGTAAACAGAAGGGAAAGCACTCTCGCGTTAGAATGATGATGGTAGTACTCAGTCGTATAATGCCTTTTATGTAGCGGCTTCGACACTAACAGAAAGCCCTGCTTTGAAAGGATATGTACTGATGACCAGTGCCAATGAAAAAAAAGTTATTGTACAACGAAAGCAGATAGCGATAGTTTGTTTAACATCTCATTTGACGAAAACATCTCTCCGGTCTGGCACTCAAACTTTGGTGCTGATTATTGGCATTTACGTGTCTTCTCGCAGTCTCAATAAAATGGCATTTTTACCTTGCATTGATGAGTTGTAATTTTCTTGGTTGTTGATACAAGACAGTTGTCCTTTTTGTGAAAATGACTATCTGCAAAAGAAATAAACACGACACTGAGTGATTATAGAAGAGAGCTTCTCATAAATTGATATCTATAAGCTTTCGGCTTCCTTTGTCATTGTCCAATTTTCAGTTGACTTTAATATGAGTTCTGAAATGATGGTTTATTTTTAGCGCATCTAGCATCCAGCCTCATCCTGAATTTGTTAGTGATGTTGGTGTAACAGCATCCAACAGCAAAAGCCACGATCTTACGGTTGAGAAAAATCAAACTAACTCATTCTTGTTTTGTTTATTTTGTTCTCATACTCATTGAACCTCAAACATTGTCCTTTCATAATCTTCTTCTTCCATGGCTAAAAAATACACAGAAAAAGTCTGTTGTTGCATACCAACTCGATTAGGTGTGTTTATGATGTCTTTAATGATATTTGTAAAGTAAAATAGAGAGTTATATTGGTCCATAATTACTTGATTCTATATGTTAACTTTTATTCTGCAGGCTATCTACCTGGCTGTTACGACCTTGCTGTTCGTATATAGAAATAGTATGGAGCCAAAGAAAAGCCTCTTTACAACTACGTTTGCCAATAAAACCTAATATCTTTCCTCAATAGCCTTGAAAATATGGTCCACTCTTGAACAGAATGTTGATACGCCATTGACAGAATCCGCATTCAACGGTATATTTTATACGTTTGTAAGCTTGTTCATCATATATATGCTAGTATCTATATTTGGGATGATATCCATTATTAAGGTGAGTGATGCTTCAAAGGAAACAACAAAGTGCTGACACACATATCCTACATATCTAACATAACGGCATATTAAATTTGTGTATAGCAACAAAGGAAAATGGTACGCATATATCACATATTGAATTGGTTTTTCGTTTTGTTACTGTTGACGATTACAGTGGCATGCTGGATATACTTCAAAGTCAACCAAGATACTTATATAAACGATTGCCAAGATCTTCGCAATATGAATGCCAACAGTACCCTAAACCCAATCTATACTCCCATTCAAGTTCCAGGGAAAATGATTATTGCTGGGGGTACAGATAAAAATTATTGCATTGATTTGATAAGGCGTCTGGTAATTGGCTCTGGTATATGCGTGTTTGCTTGTAATTTTATACAGGTAAGAAAACAAAGAAGACCCAAACAGCCACAATTGAGCGATACCTTGTTGAGCTAATGTCTCTGCCAACATTTTTACAGCTGTATTGGGCAAGATCAATCGGTGTTTATGCGACATATTTAAAAAGACATTTTCAACACAAGAGATTACAAGTGGAAGATGATGATGACTATGAGGACCTTGTATCTGCGAAACGTGACTACAAGTAAAACAAAGTTACATGAAATACACTCTGATAACGAATTAGCCATAATTGCGCAGTCGATTAACGTCAACAGATGTGAAAACTGTCAATTTTATTCTGAGTACAACGAATCAGTCCTCAAAATGATCTGAAGATACGCACAAAAAGAAGCGTTTGATGATGCGTCAAAATGGAACAAGAATCTAATTAGCACGAGCAGCACTAAGGACCTCATTAGCGAAATCGTTTTCCTTTTTCTCAATACCCTCTCCAACTTCCCAACGAATAAAGTCGACGATTTCACTCCCATCTGACGCCTGAGCAACATATTCAGCTACAGTGAGATTGGGGTTCATCAGGAACTTTTGGTTGTTGAGCACATGTGTTTCTTCAAATTCTTCAGGATTTGTGTTGCTTTGACGTTCTTCTTCCGGTATATCTGTTGCATTTAAATAAGAGGGGTTAAGCCCTACCACTTGGCGAGCAATTTGCCTTGCTGTTTTTGATAAGGTCGCAGTAGCAGTTTCATCGAGCTCTGATAAAGCCACTTTTTTGGGTTGCAGGACAGCAATACCTCCGATTTTGCCAGAGGTGGCGTCACCTCCATGTACGTAACAAGCCGACGCCCCTTCAGTGACAATGGCAGCACGACGCAAGCTGATTTTTTCACCCAATTTCCCAATTGTTTCGACTATTGTTTCTTCTACTGTCTTAGCAAAATCATTCGATAAGTTTTCTTCGTTTGGGTGAGGCATTAATGGTTCTTTGAGTAAAACATCTATAGGAATTGATTTGATGAATTTGTTGCTATTGGCAACGGGCTTATCATGCATAAATAGAGAGGTGGCAGCAATTCTTGATGCTAAATTGTTAAATACTTCATTTCTAGAGACAAAGTCAGTCTCACAGTTCAGCTATCAAATATATGGATGGTAAATGATAGCTGAAACTTTGATAGATTAATCAGTTTGATTATACCTCGATAATTGTACTTTTGCTTTTAAACCCATTGGACACGGGCACTTCAACTGAGGCAGTTGCAATTAAGCCTTCTCCAGCTGTTCTTCCAGCAACTTTTTGGGCTTTTTTCGCACCAGAAATTTGCGCGTCTGCAGACAACCAAGCTAAAGCCTTTGCATAATCGTTATTATTCTTGACAAGGGCTTCTTTCGCTTTGCTCATAGAAACTTCAGTTTCTTTACGCAGTTCCTTGAGTAACTTCAAATTTGGTTTTACTTCGGTTGTATAGCATCTAACGAAACTGCGCGGAATGTTGCGAATGAGCCCCAATCTGTTCAACATATTGCTTTCTAGAGAAGGTATAAGGAACTGTCAAAATTGAAGTAAATCCAACAGGGGCATAATTTTGTGGAGATTTCCCTTTTCCGACTTTTTGGTTCAAGTTCAGAAGATTTTAGCGTCAGAAGCAGCTCCTTAGGAGTGGCTTAGAAGTACCAAATTTTTTCAGTGTTGATTTTCTGACCAGTTTACTTGACTCCTTCTCTTTCACCCATACTTCGATCTCCGTAAGCACTAGATGAGCAATGATGCTCCATATCACTTAGCCACTTAGCATTAAGACTCACAGTAAACTTTTATTCTACAGTAGTGAAAATGGCCCCTGTTAAGTCCAAGAAGAACGCCGAGTCTATCAACTCCCGTATCCAACTTGTCATGAAGTCTGGCAAGTACACCCTTGGTTACAAGTCAACTTTGAAGTCTATTCGTCAAGGCAAGGGTATGTATTTTTTCCATTTATTGTTGCAGAATAGAGATTGCAGTGGGTCAACTTTTGCGATTATGCCGATTTTGGTGTGCATTACTTTACGTTGATCTTACTGTTGATTTTGAGGAAAGGATTTTGTACTTATACTTCTCGTTCGTATCCTTTTAGCCAAGTTGATCATCATTGCTGGTAACTGCCCTCCTCTTCGCAAGTCCGAGATCGAATACTACGCTATGTTGTCTAAGACTGGTGTCCACCACTACAACGGTAACAACATTGATTTGGGTACCGCTTGTGGTAAGCTTTTCCGTTGCAGCGTTCTCTCCATCACTGATGCTGGTGACTCTGATATCTTGACTGCTCAATAAATGCTATGAAGAATTGCAGATAAATTCTACGTACATTGTATCAGTTCGATTTGAAGAATAAAATTTTTTTTCAACATCATGTATATGTTATACATTAGCAGACTAGCAGATAGAGTGTGCTAAAAACTATATTTATTTTATTACTACCCAATTGCTTGGTAAAGAGAGAATTACATTCTATCAAAAACATTGGTTAAAAATCTTAGTCAGGGAGATAATCTCTGCTCTAATTCTTCTTTTGAGCTTATTGGCAAGCCACAAGTGAAGTTTTCACAGATGTAAGCAGCTACTTTCTGACCAGTTTGAGATTCTTGAGCAGCTATCTGCTGGATTATCTCGTTCTTTTTAGCGAGGAAGCCGTTTGGTCGAACGAATGCGATTAGTTTGTTTGGCAGGAAATACTGAAATACGGTACTCCTGAATAATTGCAGAGTATGATTTTCTATATCTCCAGCCAAAACAATCTTTGTAGAAGAAAAGAGAAGTTAGTGACTAATTGTGCGAAGGGTTTCAACGCATTTTCAAACATTCTGTATTAAAATGCTAGTATACCTCTTTTACACCCTTCGATAACAGCATGAAAGAAGCAACTAAGGCAGGGACGGTGAAGGGAAACTTTTTTAAAGTGTGATTAAACGATTTTGCGGTTGCCTCTGCCTTCTTAGCATACTGTCTATTGTTCAGAAGGACTGAAAGACGAACCAAATTTCTGAGCGAAACTGAATTGCTATGGAAAGAATTTAATACGTCGTTAGTACCTTTCTAAGATTCAGGCTTAAGAGCTAAAAAGTACATACGCTGATGGTTCAGCACCGTCTTGTTCTAAAAATTCGGTGAGATTATGGTTATCAATATTAGTCCCGTTGTACTTTAAGGTGTGTTTATGCGTAAATTTGCATCTACCTTCTTTCATATTGATCAGTACGGCCTTATCTTTCGAAGTATTGAAATATCCTCCTCCTTCAGTATCGAAAAATAGCTCATCTTGCTTTTCTTGAAGAATGGAAGCCCATTCCAGCCATCGCTCCTCAAAAGTGGCTTCATAGAGATCAATCAAAGCTTGGATTAAAAAGCAATAATCATCAATGAATCCATCAATATTCGAAGGACCATTGCAGTAGTTTCTTAATAATGTTTGCGATGAGGATATATAGAGCTCGTTATGAATAAATTCAGCAGTTTCGACAGCTAAAGCAAGAATCGTGGGATCTTGAAGGGCTTCATACGCTTGAACCAAGCCTGATATTGTTAGCCCGTTCCACGCAGTCAAGATCTACAGATTTTATATACGTACATCATAAACTATATATCAAACACATAATAGCCAACAAAAGAGGATAAATGCAAAATTACCTTCTCATCCCTATGAGGTTTGGGACGCCTAGTCGCTCGATATTGCCATAATTTCTGCTTACAGGATGTCAGGATTTCGTTGACTCTTGAAACATCCAAACCGGTCTTTTTAGCTGTTTCCTCACTGGTTTTAGCTTGAAAGAGGACATTCTAAAGGAAAAGAGCGATTTAAGGTATGTTTTTGATAATCACTGTGAAAGATAACGAACCTTGTGCTTAAGCTCGTTATGAGGGTCTTTTCGTGGATCAACATTGCCATTTTCTTCGCAACCGAATTGAGTACTAAAGACTTCAGCATCGTCTTCTCCTAGAAGATAACGTATTTCTGACATTTCCCAAACGCAAAAAGCGCCTTCTTTCTTTCTAGTATCATTTGCAGTAGGGAAAGAATCAGCGTCTTCAGCACAATAGAAGGCGCCCTTACCATGACGTAAATCGCGCGATAGGTATAAAATTATATCCTTGACTACAGTAGCGTAAAGCTTTTCTCTGGTCAATTGAAAAGCGATTGAATAAAGAGAAAGTAACTGTGCTTGATCATATAGCATTTTCTCAAAATGTGGAACATGCCACTTCTTATCAGTACTGTATCTGTGGAAGCCACTACCAACATGATCTTTTACAATTAAAGTAAGTCTCAAACACACGAAAATATTATAATCAAACTTGAGATCTACTGTACCATGTATGCCACCAGCAGCGATCTTCCTTAACGTAAAGAGTGCCATGTCTAATGCTTTTTGAGCATCTTCTTTCTTTTCAGACAACCTATGATTATAAGCGTAATACTCGAAGAGGAACTGAAGCTGCACAGGTGTGGGAAACTTTGGTGCAGAGCCGAAACCGCCATTGATGCCATCGAAAGTTTGCCTGAAATGATCGAACGTATCTGCAGCTACGGTATCCGGTTCCACGTCAGTTGCCGAACTGCTGGGCATAGCCTATATTTGTAGAGGCATTATTGCTCAACAGGTGATATAGGAAGATAATCAATTTGCACATGAAACGATGACTACCTGAACGTATGATTTGAGTTGTTTTGTCATATCCTCTCCACTCAACTTGATCTTTTCAGAGTCTGCTTGCCACAGTTGAGCAATACGGTTCAGCAGTGTCTTAAAACCAGGCCTACCGTATTTATCTTCCGGTGGAAGATAAGTTGCACCAAAGAAGGGATGCAGGTCAGGGGTGAGGAAGACTGACATTGGCCATCCACCGCCACCAGTAGTAAGTTGAACAAAAGTCATATAAAGTTTATCTATGCCTGGATTTTCCTCCCTAATTGCATAATAGAATATCAGCGATATATCAATTGCCCCTTGCTAAACGTTTACTGAATTACAAACCTGTCAACTATGAGTATAGAAAAGAAAGAAATGCTATCAGTATTAAATGAAATACATTGATTAGCTTCTTTCCTTCTAACCTTTGATGTTAATGTAGTATTTATTCATGACTTCAGCGACATCTTCTTTTTCAAACGACTCATGCTCCATAACATGGCACCAGCTATAGTTGCAGACCACAAGCGGTTACAGACAAAAGTCATTCATTTGGTTTATACATTTTAAAAAAAAAGCACTTACTGGCAGGTACTGTATCCGACGCTTAGAAAAATAGGCTTGTCCTCAGTTTTAGCCTTTTTGAAAGCTTCTTCACCCCAGGGATACCAATCAACCTTTGTTTTATTAATGATTCCTGTTAGAAAGCTATTCTTTCATGCTTTTTTCAATGTTATTCGTACTCACAGGATTATGGGCTGTGAATGCAGCCAAACAAATTTCAAATGAGAAAAAGCGGGGTAGTTACCCAAATTGGTTAAAACGTTCTTCTACAATTTTTAATTTTTCTTTTTTTGACCTACCATGTTGCTAAATGCGTTATAACATATTTAAGAGATAAAGGTTACTTTCTATGGGGTCAAAACTCATAGGGATAACAATGAATGAGTGTTTTACCAAAAGGTAAGGGCTTTTTTCGTGAATAAGACGATTTGTCATTTTTGACATTGCAGACAAGTTGAAATGCCAAAAAAAAAGCGCAAACAAAGAAATCGCTCCCGGAGTTTCATAAATGATGAAGAAGGAATGACCTCATCTGGTATTGATGATAGCACATACTAAAAAGTAACTTTACAAACTAATTATTGAGATGAAGTTTATTCTGTGGTAGAAAACAACGTAGAGTATATGGAGAATATTAGATAGAGTTTTTAGTGGATATTAAGAATTAGGATATAAACATAAGTGTATAATGGCTATCGTAGAAGCTCAATGGTGGGTGTGTTAGGCAGCATAACGCTACTTTTTACTCTGTTGAGCTTTCGATACGGAAGCTGCTGCTGCTTTCTTGTTTCCGAACAGTTTTGGCAATGACAATTTTTTATGCATTCCCCGAATGGTGAAACTTCGCTCTTTAGAAGGAGGTTTAGTAGAATTGGTCAATGTGTCGGAATAATCAGTGTTTCTGTCGGTTAAAGTGGCTGAAGTGGTTTGAGATGGGACAGAGGTGCTTTTAGTCATCGTTGGACTGGTGGAAACACTGCTATTATACTTACGCCCAGATCTAGGAGTGTATGTTATTAAATCACGTTCGCCAATTTTGACATAGGAGGGATACGAATTGTCTTGAGGTTGAGGACTTTCTAATTGAAGTTGTTGCACTTGTTGCGGCGATGCAGGGTTTTTACTGTGAGAGCGAAAGCTCGATATACTCGCCTTTTTGCTGACCGTAGCCAATTTGCTCTCATTTTGGCCGTTATTGTCGTCAGTTTCCCAGTCGAGTATGGCTGAACTGTTCTTATAGAACTCTGTCATCAATAGTGCGTCTGCCTCAACTTTCTCATTGGCGAAAGGTTCTTCTACCACAAAGCACTCGGTGACAGCCTCCATCAACGGCTCCGTTGAGCTATGATCAAGGTCATCTCCATGAAACCAACTTTTCCAATTAAATTTATTGTTGGTATTACAGCCATCTGTGTCGGTGCTGCTATTTCCTGCTGATACAGTGGAGTCATACTTTGTAGAGAGATCTTTCCAAGGAAGAGCCTGATGTAATTTTTCATAATAAGTGTCGTAGCTACGAGTGAGTCCTTGAGAGCCGGGTTTGCGAATGTTATTGCTGTTAAAAGACATATTAGGCGTTGATCTTGACGGTATCAGCCATCTGAAGTAATTTGATTTTGATGACGTGGTGCTCGTGCTTTTACTACTGCTTAAAGGGTGTGTTGAATCTACTTCCGTTTGAATCTTACTTTCGCCATTAAATACCTTGCTTTCCCTGTTATAGTCATGCCCTATGAATTGAATATATCTATTAACCTCTTCAGGTGTCATAATCCCTTCGTCATGCAGAGTTAATATCTCTTCCGTCGAACCGTTCAGGTGTTTCATCAAAGCGGAATGGCGTAATTCGTCACCATCTAACCCTTCTACACCACCCGAGTCAGCAATAGATAATCGTTCTTTGATTAACCTTTCAAGAGTTGATGTTGAATCTGACATCTCAAAACTTGTAATAAGTTGTGAGTCATCGAGTGCTTGCAGTATCTCTCGTCGTGTTTCAAGAGAGCGCCGCATTGATTTAAGGCTGATGATTTTCATCGTATGAGCTGCCTGTCTTACGGAGATTCTTTGTTGAGAACTCCATGCTTGGGCACATTGGAGCATCTGCTTGGATTCTAGCCATTGTTGGTCGAGATAATGGTCCATCAATCTGAGCCAAGCGAGCCGGATAAAATCTTTATTTTGTTGGGAAGGCGCCTTATTTCTTATTTGATTCTTCCAAGCTTCGGCTAGCTTTTTGTATTCTTTTTCGATGGATGGATCATTTGGGTCAAGGAGCGTATGTATATTTTGTGTGCACTGGTTATTGTTTGGTATACACTGGGTCATAGTATTGATAGATTTGTAAAGGAATGTGTTCAAGAGAGATAAAGGAACGTGTATTTGGACACCTACTCAAATGTTAACTAAATGAAAAAAGGTAAAATATCATTAAGCTTCATTGGATCAATATAACTGTCAATTCCATAGGGGCCGTCATTCCACTCTAGTTATTCTTCGTTTATTCTGGAGCCCCTTTCATTAAACCTTGATTTTACATTCAAAAAAACGTACCAATATAAGGTAAATGACTTTAAACTGTTAGTGATATCCCTTTATTCATTTAATCTTGTAATGTTACGTATCGCTCATGGAATTCTTCATACAAATGTATGATTGTGGATAGAGTTAAACCATTAATTACAACTTTAAAAATCTCTAAGATGCCAAAGTATGCAGATTTTATAAGGACTGACTAAGTATAAAGATTAGCCTAGTAACTTTAAGGACCAAAAGGTCTTTGTGCGATATTGAAAAATCACCACATGCGTATTTCATACTTGAACATGATTCAATAAAAAAGTCAAGGGACCTAAAAACCAAAGATTTCCAGTAAAGAGCTTGATTTTTATTATTACGCTTGCATCTGCTTTTTTCGTTCTTACTATGTCATTTTCAAGAGATAAGTAAACGAATTCTAAGAATGACACTATTCACAGTGCTTCTTTAATATATACACTGTCTATTTCTTTATAACCTAAATTTATCTTACTTCTGCAGGTTAGATTTTAGTAACTGTTTAATTATTGTTTTCTGGAATTTGTCTGTAGTAACAGTAGTGAGCTTACAATTGGTAATGTATGTAGTGAGCAATGTGAACTTTCAATGTTGAATACTCATTTTCAATATGCGAACCTACAGACTCACTGCTAGCATCCAAATGGCCGACCAATCTTTATACATTAATGTAAGGTGTAGCTCTCCATTTTGCTGCATTTACTGTTCACCAATCAAGCTCCTTGAGCACTTCATACATGCGGCTCTAAACACTCTGTAATTACATACATCTCTTTTCTTGTCTTTATGCTTCGTGAGGTCATAAAAACAGGTCGAAAGTCTTATCTTTGCTAAATTGGGAAGGCAAGTTTGTGTACAGATGAGATAGGCTTGTTTAAGACTAAATTTATTGGTATATTAAGAATGATACTGAACGTCCGAATTTTAGAGTTGAAACCAGCGTTGTAACATAGAACAAAAACTAGAAGTACAAAGAACTATATAGCACAGAAGAAAAACTGAAGTCGAAAAAGTAACGGGAGAAAGGAATTGATTCTACAGAGAGAAGGGGTACAGTATATATGAAGGCTTTTTTTTTTCTTTTTTTTTTCTTTTGGGAAGGTGGGGGGAGTGTAATGTTTGCGGTTATGGTTTATAATATGCTTTATGCGAAATGAGAAATGATAATGTACAGTTTGATAAAAATACAATATGGGCGCTCTTGTTTTACAAAGAAAAAGATTGGCTTTAAGGTGATATAGGTATTTGGTCGTACAGTTGAGTAATAAGCCGGCCAGACAAAGCACACGCATTATCTTTGTTGTTTGCAGGGTATAATTGTGTATTTGATAAGATTTTCATAACCTAATCGAGCATATAATCATTGTACATTGTTAGTCACAATATCTAACGTAAGTTTCCGCCACTTGATCTAGTCTATACCTCATTCTTTGTCAGATATTGAAGGCGTACGCGGGTCTCACTTGAAGAAGGAAGGTCTGCCATTATATCATCGCTGATTTGATCCATTTTCCAATTTTGGAAGACGTGATATGCAGCAGCCATTGCAATGCCTTTGTCACTGAATTATATAATGGTGTGTTAATATAAAAATAAAGCGACAGGATACTTTTAAAAACATTCTTTTACCTAATATTAGTGTCTTGAGATTGATATACCCGGAAATGGTAGTCTTTGAATACTTCAGCTGAATATATTGTAGAATGAGAGCCACGCTTAGCTGGAGTAAGTGCTTGAGGATATTCAAGCTCAACCCCAGGTGATGGATAGTCTGTAAATGCCACTGATCCTGGCGGCGTAACTATTATACTACTTGCTGAAGAGGCTGTGGATGAATAGGAAGGTCTTTTTGTTAAGGCTAGAATTTCTGAGATTGGTACAGTAAGATCTAGTTGCCCTTCAGGAACGAAGAGCCAGCGCTGAGTTTCGTTATCGATAGATTGAAAGGGAAATAAAACCAGTTTTTGAGTGCCATCATGGGCAAACTGGATATCCAAAACCCATTCATTGCTGGATGAAGAAAATATGTAAGAACCAGGAAGTGACCTGCCGTAGATGTCGGTAGCATCTTGACGAACGCCCCAAAGTTGATTATGTGCTTCTGCTAACGGTTTGGCGCTGTACAGACAAATTTCGGTGTCTTCAACCAATCTTAATTTACCTAAGCATAACAAAAGTAGCCGATAAGCTATGTTAGTCAAATACTAACCAATTAGCAATCGGTTTCTGATGTGTCTGTTTTACCTTTACGAATATCAAGTACTAAATTGGTTGCTTTATTGTACAGAAATTGATCTTTCCAGCACCAGAGTTGTGTATCAGACAGTGTCGGTACAGTAACAATCACTTGCGAACGTAATGCTGTTTCTGGATCGTTTGTGCTTGCTGCAATAACGTTTCCACTTTTTACAGATCGAATAAAAAACCATTCCGTTGACATTATGATGTTGTCTCGATTTGAGGGTAGTCCAGGGGGGGAAGGTGAAGGTGATGTTAAAGGAAGTACAAAAAGAAAGCTTTTAAACAATAAGCAGCCAACTATTTTAGCAAGGAAAAAAGTTGAAGGCTTTTATATGTTATTGCAAGTTGAAAAAAAAGGTACTATAAATGGCAATTTTGAGCAGGTCGTTACATTGTAGGAAAAAGGGTCAAAGTACACAATGGTAGTTCGATAATTTTGTTTGGTTAACTGTTACACTCAGACCTTCCTTGATCAATAGAATCTTTAATACCAAACCTTCAACTGGGCGCCCCTCCCATACTCACTCCAGGCAGTTGATTGGCCCAGCATATTTTTGTCCTCTTTTGCCCGATAAATAGAAACCCTTTGCATGAATTAACTATATTTCAGGTTTTCAGAAGCCCTTCGTTTGAGGAACTATGGGGTATTTTATTTCGAGATTATTTAAAGCGCTTATCCTGTTCGTTACTCATTCAAGGCTTCCACAAAAGGCTCTGTCAGACTCGATAGTTCATCACTAAATCTTACAAATAAACCTTAATTTGCATTTTTATACAGATACAATAAACATTAACCATTTGATATAGTAAATCAGTTAATTTTTTCTAGTTTTTTTCTTTTTTTTTTTTTTTTTTTTTACTTTTACCTGTGTTGGCAGATGGCTCTGTTATTAAAGTGATGATTAGTGGGCTTTTATCTGATTGAATTAACTGGTACTGATCGTAAACGCTGACAATTTTCTTATTCTGTGCAAGTCCCAATTTTGAAGCCTTTGGAGTTTTTTTATAGAGCGTACGAAAATTAATATTATTGGTTCCCTCGTTATAAGGTGACCTTATGATACAAGTCCATTTGCAAGTAAGTTTAATAAGTGAAGTAATAAAGTTTTCATACTTGCCTGGTTATTGGCTACCGCAAACATTGTTGAAATAGTGGGGTCAATAAGACTCTCGATTGCTTCGTTTGCAATGCCTATACAAAAAAGCTGTCATTAGAATTACAGATGTTCGCGTTATGACTATGCTTTGATGTTACTTTTCAATATTACAACACCGTCTCTATCAGTAACGACGGCTGCTAAAAGTCCGTTGCAGAAATATTGATGGCACGCTTCGTCAAACTTTTCATTCATTCTTTAAATCAGGCCTTCGTGAGAAGTGTAAACTGTTTAATCCCAAGAAAATGAAAAATCCCAAAATCTGTCATGCGGGCAACTCGAATTTTATACTCCGGAAGATAGAGGGCATAAACATTTGTAGACTAACGTCTTCAGGTTGAATCAAATTAATAGTGTATTACAGTATTAAGTCTGCCTAAAGAGCTTGTTTAAGTATGCATTGTGTATTTTGTCAATGATCCAACTACTATTGATACGATGACCCTAGAATTTTTTCTTAGCAGAGGAGGCGTAAAAAGGCGAAAGATCTACCATAATTTCCGTTTTTGGTATTAACAAGGTGCGGTTTTCTTTCCAGGTTGACTCACTTTTACGAAAGCCGCAATGTATGATCTTCTTTGGCATAAATTTCGTATGAATCCTTTCGCAATTGTAATTATCAAGTACATTTAGTATTTGATTGTTATAGACAAATGTGACCAACTGCAAATTGGTAAAGACTTTCATCATGTTAAAGGCAGTTTATCAAATTTTTTCTGTGATTAAACTCAACTAAACCTCTACACCATCGTATCACCACGACACAAACACGAATACACACACATACATTAATCAGCTTGTATCCTGGAATGCAATAGCTTAATTATGCGCCTTCTATAATCCTAAAATCTGGATCATATGAGTACTAAAATTATGTTGCAGAATTTTTCAGAAATAAGGCTATACTAAGTGGTGTGACTTTTTTTTTAGTCGACGTTGTTTTACTTTTATAATAGACATAGTCCATCATGATACTTGGAAAAGCCCATAACATCTCGTTGAGACATAAAATAGTGTGATTTAACTTCGATGATTGTTATACATATGCTGATGTCATCTCAATTCTGTCAAGCGGATATGGTACTACTTCGCACATAGCACCTTATTTCAACTATGGAAATTGATATGGTCCAACCGCATAACGAGACATTCTAGACAGTAGAAAGTGCATTATCTAAAAATTTCTTTCTCTACCTCTTGAGAAGCAGTATATAAGTTCGTCCAGTTTGATTCAGATTGTCATTTACGACCGCACAATATCCTCACTTTATTCAAAAGTACGAATCTTGCATTTATATGGCAAACGTTTGTAATTTTAGACTTTCAGGTTCGCCATCATCAGTAACACGGAGATGCGGGTGTATGAATTTCCAAAACAGTAAATGATATCCTTTTTTTGTAGAAAAAAAAAATAGGGCGATGCGCTGTACGTTTTTGGAAATAATTTGTATTTTTAGAAAAAGGCATACATGCACAGCAACTTTCATCTGTAAACTTTGGATATGGAATTATACCAAATGGACCTAGATTTCATTGATCCCTTTCAATATTAAATTGCAAAGCGTATGTTCTAACTGTAAAATAAAGGTGTATAGCCCTTTTTCAACCTGTTTATTCAATACAGTGGTCATTACAAGCGCACCACAAGCCTTTTAAAAGGTGTGTTTTGTGATCTACAGAGTATCTAAGGATTCCATTTACAAGGAAATATTGGATAGCTCTCATGGTTGTTGTAGTAAGGCAGAAAGCCAATGGAACCAATCTTGCCTTTTCTTACGAGTTCAACAAAAGTGTACTTTACCCTGATCATAATGAAAGCCGATCATAACGTAGAGCAAAAGTTGGTATCGCATATTATTGCTCGGTAACCTACGCGTACCGTTCTTGCGACAAGGAAAATTGTCATAAGATCACAATCTTTCCCAACATTGCATACATATAAATTTGATGACTGGCTTTTAGAACAGACTGCTATGTCCTGAAACAGTCCTATTATGCCAACGAGCAAGCTATCCACAACGCTAGACAGCACCTACAAGTGAGACCCAATCGGAAGGGGCATTGCTCGCATACCTACAAGCATTCTTTTCCGGCATCCGAATATACATTGTATGATAGGCTGAATTTTAAACTATAGCCTTTCGCTACCGCGTCTTTCATCAATATGTTTCTGATTCATTAAAGTAGTTCATGAGTCAGCCTCTGGGAAGAGCCGGAATAACTGGATAAGATTTTGATTTATTAACGTTGGCAGCAATATCACACGAAGAAATTTTATGATTACAAAAAAGATCGACTTATATTTTTTCAACTGTACCTTTTTTTATTTCTTACCTCTTCCCATTCTCCTTTTTGCAGTTCAATACCATACCTTTTTCTTTCTTACAATTTTTTTTTATCGTTGATGACCAAAATACATCGGTTATCCCATATCAACAACAGACCAAGTAGCACCTCTCCTACCGGTTCAGACAATTCACCCACTGACAATCTTCTGTCCACGAGAACACAGAAATCAATATCGAAATCGAGGAGATCATCTCTCAGCGATATAGGCAATGATAAGCCATCAACTGCCACCTCTTCGCGACGTGCTAGCTTAGTGGCTGCCGCAGCTATCAATATTACAAAGATAGTTGGTTCTCAGACATGTAGCCCCAACAATATTTTATTAGAAACTGATGATGATATTACTAATATATACCAATCCTACAAAACAAAAATGAAACGATCTTCGCGTAAACTTGATTCCTTTTTCGGAGAAATTACACCAATTGATGTTTGTATTAGCGAGATCAGGAAAGAAGGTGTAAAGGCTATGTTGGAATCAAAGGTACCACTATGTTACTTTCTGCATTTCTTGCTGAGCGAATATAGCTCCGAAAACTTGGTGAGTTGATAGTTACGATTGTTTGAGCTCGTGATAGTCACTAACCTAGAGTGCTACTGTTCAGTTCTTTTACTTAGAAGTGGAACAGTATGAAACTATGCAGTTTTTAACAATAGCGGAGCAAAAGGCATTAGCACAGCAAATATTTGACCAGTATGTTTCAGACGATGCCGATTTTGAAATCAACCTTGAAGACAAAGTGAAGCGTGCTATCGGTAAGAGGATGAAGATTATCTCTTGTTCTCCATTCTTGAAAGAAGATGCAGCTCACTCTCATAACAATAACCAGAGAGCTACTTTGAATGCACTTTTTTCAGACGCAAAAGCATCCATCTATATTTTACTAGAATCGAGTTTTACGCGGTTTCTACAATCCAGAAACTACAAAGACATGTTAACATACTGCGGTGACTACACGATCCATTACAGTGAAAGCGTCATTCGTAAATCAATTCAGTACATGGTTAATTATCTCAAAGAACAGAAAATTACCTTTAAAGAGCAACAGCATGTTCAGCAATGTGAAATAAACAAAAGGTACATTCACATTATTGAAGACGCAACAAAAAGATTTATCAAATTATTCTTTGGTCCTGAATATTTAACGAAAATAGTATTCAACAAGCTCCAATGAGTAATGTTTATGTAATTGTAGCTTGTTTCAACGAATGAGACAAATTTATTGTAAATTAGAAAAGATACCCTCTCCAAATTGTAAATAGTAATGCTACACTTTTCCCTCGAATAAATATTGCAGTCCTGTGCTGAGTCTGTTGGAGTTTATTTTGAAAATTATGCGATTGGTTACGTTAAATATGTAATGTAGTGTACTGAATAAAATGTTGGTTTTGAAGGGGCTGAAGTTACGAGCTCTGATGCCAAGCTAAGCGATCATGATCACCCAATTTCCTAAGTCAGCATAATGGTATTAGTAAGCTTGCCTCTTTCTGAAAGAAGTTTTCTTTTTACCTTGGTTTGAAGAAATGCCAACCCAAGAAGATAACACCCAAAAGTGTACAAACACAGCCCATAACAATCCATGATAGGCCCATAAAAGGATTCCTATCTCCCAAAAAAGAAGTACCTGTAACGACTATAGACTTAGTGCCTCCATAAGCTGTAATATCATAATCTAATGAAAGAACAAAAATCAGAATCGCCACCTCAGACAATTGCCCTTGTTTCCTTAGAACTTACTTAGAGTAACGTTCACTTCGTACGTTCCTGCTTCAAGTGTTCCTTCTCTTAATGCTGAGTATAATTTTCTAAAGGTGGGATACCAACTTGTTCTCATCCAGACTTGGAAATGCTCATCTTCTTGTGGTTTGAATATATTTTCGGCTGTATATCCGTTGGGGTATTTTTTTTGCCAATTGGGAGGAGGGACTAAATCAGCAGGATTCATTTGTGTGGTAGCCAGCCTTTTTTTATCTGATGGCCATGCAATGCCTTCGCTACTAAAACCCATTTTTGCACTTGTTGTGCTTCCTGGTGGGTTGATAAATGTCACTTCAAATGTGTCTAATAAAAGGAAATTGGAATTAGTTCGTCTACTCGGATGTACCTCAAACAAAACTACTTTGATCTATACTTATGTACCATTAAACATTGAGTTCGCAATCAGTCCGCAAGGATAGTATATCTTATTGTTCGCATCTACTCCTAGTGGGGAACAAGAGCTAGCTGCATCTGCTTGTGTGATCACATCACCGTGTAACTGATTGTAGCTTAAACTCTTGACATATTTACGATGATTTTGATAAAAGTTTGTTAATTTGTAATATAAAAATATGGGTGTCTTCAATTGGATTGGGACGCTGAATCGAATGAGGCAGTGGCCTGCTTCTCCTTCTACAGTACTTGGTTCAAACCTATAAGTAGGCGCATATAATTCTAAAGTAGAGACTATGAGTTACTTGTCAAGCATCACTTTCGTAAACAACACTATAACATACGCCCGCTTCCTTCATCAGTAAATTTGTATGAATAAAGGTGTGTATCAAGTGAAACAGCTGTTGAATTGGCATGCATGCAGTTGGTATAATCGATAACAATCTCATTAACCTAACACATGATCAAGGAAATAACAAAAATCAGTCTGCAGTTGTTCTAGTTATTTTCATCTTGTACTGTCGCTGTACGTTACTGTATCGCTTTCATACAAAAAAACACCACCTAATGGAGCAAAGATGATGCCCGCAACAAATAGTGTGGGTAGTACAGTTTTGGGTGTTAGTAATGGTTGCCAAGCTTTTAAGCGCTGCTGCTTGAAGGCAGTATCTAGAATAAGAAAAGTTCAATGGAAATCCCAATGTAAGTGTTGTCAACTAAGTAGAATCTTACTGGCAGGTCTTCGATTCCTTTCCTCGATCGACATCTATGAAATGTTTAGTATAAAAAAGACCGAAAAGTGGGCCAAACCAAATTGAATTAATTTAAAAGAGATTCTGAGTAATTTATTGGAGCTACCACAACGAGAGCTTCACTTTCAATAACCGTTCATAACTCCTTTTTATGCCTTATTTGATCTTTTTTCGTAGAAATAGTCTTTGTCTTTGTATTTTTAAACAGTTAAAAGCCTATTCATTGATACAGCTTACAGTTACAATATAGAAGGGCGGCCAATAGCTTTTTGGGTGCAGGCTAACCTTGATATTTTTTTTACATTGATCTGTTGTCACTTCCAAAACTCAGCAGCGAAAAATCGTGTTTTGCTATTTTCTGACTGCCTCTATTCTATTCATGCCCTTCATCACGTTTCATGATAATCACGAAAAATTGTTCCAAAGGTATTCTATTTTGGACAATTGCTCTCGACTTTCATTTTTGGTTCAAACATGAAGTTTGGCGAGTGGTTGAGACCATTTTCGTAACTTTAGAGCCAACCAACAAAATTAGTTGCACCAGGCAAAAAAGAAAGAAGAAACCACATGAAGCACCTTATAAGCTTCATAGAAGCACATCCTACCACTGTTCTCGAGGATATTAAAATGAACTCCTGCAAGCAATTCAGTAATTTGAGCATTCCTGCAGATAAAAAAAACTTTCTACTGTCATTGTAAGCGAAAGAGTGTTTGCGCATCAATGAAATAAGGTCTTAAAGTGCGTTTTAGATCTCAACAAGAACCATGTCTATAAGGGATTTCTTTTAGAATTTTACTCTTTTTCTGGAACTGGTCCGGGTGAACATCCGTTTGCGGATCACCCCTATATCTGATGCTTGTTGTATTTGGATGTGATGATGAAGCCTAAACGTTGAAGCCGAATAATGACGCCACAGGTTACTGTTGGCCAACGGCACTATATTCTCACACAATTTTCCTGAATTGTGCGATATTCTTTTCTAAAAAACATACGACACTGTCTAAAAAAGTGCGACATTTTAATTTTTTTTTGCTTGCGACATCATTTTGGCAAAAGGTGTACTTTCAGGTCGTAGCTTATAAATTGTCTTACCTTTCCCCGAACGTCAACTTGCCTCTTTATTCCTATATGTATACCCTTTCTTTCAAAAAGTATAGTTTATGTTAGAATATATTCCTGGAAAACTCTTTGTTATCGTTGTAGTGTCACTTATAGCATTCATTGCTTATTCGTCACAGTTGTTCCTATTCCTACCAGCCTACGGCTGGTGGAATTCAACCAGCTTAATGAAGTTGTTTCCTCTCAACATCCTCGTCATCATGATCTTCTACAACTATTATCTAGCAGTAATAACTGATCCCGGTAAAGTTCCTATTGATTGGGTAAATTGCTCAAACGAAAATGACAAACTCCTTGAGTCATTCATTCTTTCTTTCTTTGATTAAATAAAGTTCTGATTTTTCTTTCCGTTTCTTTATTCTCAGGAACCACCCACTTCTTTGATGATAGCAAAAGAAATACCATCAGAAGGTATCACTGGACCTCGTTATTGTAAATCATGCAAACGGTATAAGCCCCCAAGAAGCCATCATTGTCGCTACTGTCGCCGCTGTGTACTGAGAATGGATCATCATTGTCCATGGATAAATAATTGTGTGGGTCACGATAACTATGGCCATTTTATTAGATTTATCGTTTTTGCGAATTTAGCATGTACATACATTATTTGTTTATTGGTTGGCAGAGTACGATATATTATGAATGCCATACGACATTTTCAGGTAACGAGAAATGGAAAGTTGGAAATACGTAGCCTTTGCAACAAGAAGATTTGATGATGTTTGCATTCATAGTTTGATGCTGAACCAACCACTATTCAAATCGTTTTCATGGTTTTAAATTTTGTCCTCTCTTTTACTGTCCTATTCTGCGTTGGAATCTTGACCTGCTATCAACTTTATTGCTTGTCTCGAAATCAAAGTAATATAGAAGCACACGAAAGGAGCAAAGTGGAGAAACTTGTGCAAAGGGGAAAAATACCGCCTATCCGATACCCTTTTGATGTAGGATTCTACAAAAATATTTGTGAAGTTCTTGGTCCTCAACCATTATTATGGTTGTGGCCCCAAAAAGCACAAGGTGACGGACTGACGTATCCAGTTATTCCTGGCACAGATCCTCGCACACCATATTACTGGCCACCGCGTGATCCTGATGATTTGCGACCGTCTATTTTCTCGTCGAAATATAAGCATCAGCAAGAGCGAAACAGACGTTTTAGGGAAGAACATCCCGAAGCGTCTGTGGAAGAGATGGAAGCTAACGAGTTGAAGAATGCAGTAAATGAAGACGATTATTACTACGATTCGGGTAGTTTCATTTCCGACAGCGAAGCAGAGTATTCTGTAAATGACGAAGAAGAGGGTATGCGGCATTTAATCAACGATAGACTGTACGATTTGGCTGGTACATATTTGGACCCACAACCAACAGAGCGACAGCAACCACTGTATTATAATAGACGCAATAGCAACAAACAGATAACAACTTTCGATGATGACGATAGTGATGATGACGGTAGTGATAGTATGCCATTACATACACTAGCTTCGAGAAGGAAGACTTCCACGCCTAAAAATGATTGAAAAAACAATCAAGACATTGTAGGACAGACAGTGCTAATAAATTATCAATTTGGAGCTGTATTTGGCAAGCATGTGCCAGAAATGTCAAATATGGTCTCTGTAAGAGTACAAATCTTCAAGCAATTCATCGAGAGTAATAAAGCTGAGACAATTGCAGTAGATCGTTGATTACCTATTGTTGACTTACCCTTTTGAATCCCAATGATAGAGGTCTTCTTGATTGAACAAACTCCTCTCTTCTCTCCCCGTTCTTTTTCAGTCAACGGCGAAGAAATAAATGGTAAATCGAAAGTTCTATAATTTTTCCTTGAGAAGCTTGGCTTATTCTACAATTATATAATTTGATACATAAAGACTCATGCAAGACCAGTTTTACATTGAGACCCGAAAGATGTGTGAGCTTTGCCTGTGTAAGGTGAAGCCGGAGGAAACTCCGGTGGAGGCTCTTAGCGGTCCTGACGTGCAAATTGATAGTCAAACTTGAGTTTAGGGGCAAAAGGCTAATTAAACCATCCAGTAACTGGTTCCTGCCGAAGCTTCCCCCAGGGTAGCAGAAACTCGGATGCAACGAAAGATGTTCATTCATCTAGATAGCTTATGCCTACTGCAGAAATGCTTTTCAACCCACAGGAACGTGTCATTATATCAACGATTCGTCAATCAAGACGAATCATGTTTTCACGACACTATATATCCTGTCGTAAAAGGACTCTCGACAGAAAAAACGATGAAGTGAAACAATCTTGAGGGCGGTTGTGTCAGGATTAGTGCTTCTGGTAGTAAGTAACATACTAAGTTTAGATACAGAAAATAACTCTTAATCCCTTCTTGAAGAAATTCAATGACCTTGCAAAAAAAAGTCTAGTGAGTGCGTCCTCCTTTTTATACAATTATCTTCCATTCATCTTTGAACAGTAGTTCTGTTAGGAACTGAATTTTATAAGTCTGAAAGTCCTACAAACAAATCCTAGTATAAGCATAGCTGAAGTATTCGAATCCTTTTCACTAACTTATCAATCTTGAAAAGGAAAAAATCTTCTAAAATCTGGACCATTTTAGTCAAAACGTGATTTTTTTTCAATTTTTTTTTTCTTTGTGCGCCTCATTGAATTCCGCAAACAAATAGGCTTGTCTCCAGGTAAATTAGCACAGAGACGACGATCAGGAACCCAAAAAATATTTGAAATGAGACATTAATGTGGGTGAGTTCTAGACCCCCAAAACCACAAAGTAAACCTCCTCTGATACGAATATCAAACCAAAAAATGTCAGACCGACGATATCGTTTCCTGTCAGTTTTATTATAAAAAGGAAGCCTTTTTCTTTTCTTCTGTGTTCTTACCATCTTTCTTTTTCAAATGCATTATTCATATACCACCCCTCAAGATATGGACGCAAGAATGAGACGCAATTCTTCAGCTTCACTCTTTCTATCGACAGAAGGAAGAACAAAACCATCGCTTGCCCGTCAAGCTAGTAGAGGGGATGATACCAACAATAGTGAAACAACAGAAGGATCTTCTCATTTCAGACGACTCTTACAGTTCATTTATCCATCACAAAAAAGAAGATGTTCTTTTTCATCCTTCATAAGACCCACGGTTAAACAGCAAAGACAACGACAAGAAGACGATAATGACAGTCTTGTAACAATTGATGATCAAGATGATATATTGGGTGTTTCTGACAGCGAAGACTCCATAGAAATAAAAGAGAATGATGCTAAGCATACGTATTACCGCAGCCCAATTTCCTTCAACGTACAGCGTCGACGATCAAACGAAGAACTGGATAAAGTAGACTTCATATTAAGAAAACGGTCATCCCACAACCGACGAGCAATGTATTTACCGAACGATCCTATTATGAATGCGAGCGATGGACCCAAAGATGAATGGCATGCCTGGAGGCTCTACTGCAGCACGTATCAAAAATTATTGCTTCATCAAACTTCGATACCACTTTCAAAACATCTTCTTTTGAAAAAAATGCTGGTCACTCTACAGCAAAAGAATTTGGATCTTTTCAGTAGAAGTATACAAGGACCTTCAACAAAGGAATCTATTTTTGATATAGTCAAATATGACTGTAATGTAGAAGAAGAAAAGCAAGAAGAGGATAGCTGTAGTGATGATGACAGCGATGTTGATAGTGACAATGATGATGACGAAGCATTAGAAGATGATGATCTTCCTCTAGACAGACTCTTATACCAACAGGCGAATCAAATTTCAAAACCATTAGAATATACCGAACATCGTGCTGGAAACGATGATTATGATATCAAGAAGGCTTTGTATAGCCATTCCCCATCCATCCTTCTATCAAATATAGTTGTACAACCACATCCCGTTTGCAAGCCAAACAAATCCAATCGAAAATCCATTTTACAAATCCCAATACATTCCTCATGTTATCAGCATAAGCATAATTATTGTCACAGGTCAGCACCTGTTGTACGGTTTATTTAATCATCGCTCCCCTTGTTTCCCTTTGTAAAGGACTTTTTAATAAAAACTAGAATGAAATCATCTTGATGAACACGTGCTTTTGCCACTCTCCTCGTGATATAAATTATTCCTTTACAGCGAGTATCGAAAGCATTAAACCATAGAAATACTTCGAAGTGTAATTAAAAAAGCTCAAGAGGTAGTATTATTTTCTGTGCTTGGAGTATGCGGCTGCTGTTGCTGCTGTTGTTGCTGGTGTGATGGAGAAGTAGCACCACTGCTTCTATTTGTGTTTGGAAAAGGTGGTGTATTGGTTGTATACAAAAACATGGGCGTATTAGCATTAGGATTGGGTGGTACTACCGGCTGTGGCTGGTGAATTAGTGAAGTTGGTGGCGGTGGTTGTTGAAACATTGGTGGTGCATAAACACCTGCATGAAACTGTTGTTGTGAATGAAATTGTGGAGGCAATCGATTGTATCCTTGGTGATGATGAGAACTGTTGTTGCTACCAGCAATAGCTATAGATTGTTGTTGTTGTTGTAGCGATGAAGAAAATTGTTGTTGTTCTGGATCACCACTGTTCGTACTATATGGCGTTGCCCATAGGGGTATATCACCATAGTGGCTCATGGGCATTCCATATGGATCTAAATAGATGCCGCCTGCTGTGTAGATATTGCTGTAGTTTGATTGATTGAAGTTATTGTTACGACGATAGCCCCCACTAAGCATAATGTTTTTTAAATTAACCAAAATTATTCCAATATCTGACGAGGCTGGTCTTTAGAGCTTACCTTGCTTGATTTCGGTGATATGGTGCTCTAGGATCACCTTTCACCGGAGTTCCATCAGGGCCAGTGACGTTTGATGCCTGCATGCCCTTTGGTCCTTGAATCAAATCAAATTCGACCTGCAGTTATTCAGTCAGCAACTGATCCAGTACTATAAAAAAATAACATTTTCTGCCTACCTCCTCACCCTGCAGACAAATATCAGAGCATAGCATTTGCAAAGTTGCATTAATTTTCAAAATTAGAAAAGATAATGGCAGAATTGATAAAAAATACAGATAACCTTTATTACCTCTGCCAGGCTTTTGAACCCACCGTTGTTATAGATAGCCGTGTGATGAACAAACACCTCTAAAAACACAGATTTTGAGTATTGCTTCTGCAGCTCTCGATCGAGATCTCAATTTCGTAATTACCTTCATTCTCATTTCCTTCCGTCGGTCTATCAGGTATTATAAAACCGAATCCTTTCACTGAATTAAAAAATTTGACATGACCTTTGTGTCGAATATTGTCTATAGTAGTAGCTGACATGCTCTATTATACTAGTTTTTTTAGGCGTATGACTTGAAAAAAGAAAGAGTAGAGTTGGCTTTATAAGTATATCTACTAATGTAAGTTGAGAGGGAAAGGGAAAAGACGGTGATTCTTCAAGCTTGTTTAACTTTGCTTGAGGAAATAAAAAAAAAAATAGTGAAACCAACGAACCAAATTCGTCGAATTCATTCATGCAATTCACATAAACGGAAAAAAAAAATAAATAAAGTATAAGTGCACCCACATTGTAATTGTTCTTTTTGGGAGTGGAGAATTTTATGAATGCTGCTTCTGCACAATGATTAGACCTGTAAGAAGGGAGCAATCCTTTCAGTTACATGTGACTGCTTAAAAATCAAATCATCCAGTGTATGCCAAGCGGGAGTGATTTTTGACTGGAAACAAGAAAAGCCTCAAAACCGTTATGATGGCAATCATTTCAAATCTTTATTGTACGCAAAGTTCTCTTTTGAAAAAGGACACCAATTCATTCAATGGAACAGTAGTTTTATGGCTCTCCTTGAACTGAATACGTTCTTTTATCTCCAATTGTCCATCTTGGAGTGCTTTGGGGCCGACAATGACCGTGTATGGATACCCAATAAGTTCAGCATCTGTCATTTTTTCACCAAATCCAATATTTCGATCATCAATCATGATATCGTTCTCATGCATCAAGACTGAATCTTTTAGTTGATCATACACCTTATCAGCAAAGTCGTTCAACTCTGGCTTACGAGAGTTTGTTGTCACAATACAAAATTTGAAGGGTGCTATAGCTTGAGGCCACACGATACCTTTGCTATCAGCACGAATTTCAGCTATAGCTGCCAGCAATCGAGAGATACCAATACCGTAACAACCCATTTCAACGGGCAATTTTTCGTTTTTATCGTTTGCGTAAGTACAATTTAGCGCAGATGAATATTTTGTACCCAAGTAAAATGTATGTCCACATTCAATCGCTTTCACACAGGAAAGTTCATTATTACTGTTTTCACACTCGCGAGAAACACAATGATCGCCTTCTTTCGCTAACCTGTAATGATCAGGCTGATGTATCGTTATATCTGCTGAATTAGTTATTTCTTCCGGTAACTGAATACTGACCGCTGTATCTAAAAATAGATGTTGTAGGTTGCTGATTTCTTTTGGTAGTTCGTTTGTGATATGTATGTCAAGTACTGCATTGTTGTCTATTTTTTGCTGTTTTCTTAAATATGTATTTAGAGATGCTTGTACTTTAAGTGTATTTGCCTCTCGTCCGAATGGTGTCAAAACAGCTGCTAATCCTTTTACATGGCTGTTATCATTCTGCCCTTTAATTTTTCGATTTGATAGCACTCTCCATTCTAATAGAGTTGCTTGTACTCTACTTCCGATCCTTAACCATTTTAACATATCATTATTATTCCAATGCTCCTCTGTCATTACACCCTCTCTATTAGGATTGTATTTCCCAACTGCTAACTCCTCATTTGCTGTATACCCGCATTTTTGGCATGTTAATAACGTGTCTTCACCAATATTCGAAAGCAAATGGTACTCATGTGATTTGGATCCGCCAATGTTTCCGCTGTCCGCTTCGGCTACGACGAACGGCACACCTATACGGTTGAATATATTCTGATAAGCTTGTCCCGCTTGTTCGTAAGTAATATAGGCCTCTTCCTGCGTAGCATCAAATGAATATAGATCTTTCATGATGAATTCGCGTCCTCTCAATAAACCTGCTCTAGGTCTAAGTTCGTCACGGTATTTACGTCCAATTTGATAAAGCCGTATAGGTAACTGTTTGATTGTCCTTAGATCGTTTGCTATAAGTTGCGTAATCTCTTCTTCATGAGTAGGTGCCAGGAGCATATCTGATTCTTTTCTATCTTTGAAGCGGAAGAACTGTACCGCCAATCTATGATGTTAGTAAATGATTAAGGTTTACATATCTGCGAAAGCTGCTTTGTACCTCTCCTATGACTCCATTCCATCGACCTGTTTTTTTCCAGTTATCCGGGTTGAGGAGTGTCGGCAAGGATAATTTTTGACACCCAATTGCCTGCATTTCTGCATCTATAATACGCTCAATCTTTTCGATGGTTCGTAAACCAAACGGAAGCAGCGAATAAATGCCTGCACCGCTCTAAAAACCACACAAAGGTCAGTATGCATTTCTTCCCAGACCTCTTGCTTCTATTTTGAAGTCGCAAACCCACCTGTCGAATAAATCCACCTTTCAATAACAATGCATGGCTTTTCAAATCTGTGCTTGAAGCACTTTTGTCTTTTGTTATTGGAATAAATGATTGTGACAATCTATTTCTGAACTAAACTTCAAAAGAAAGAAGGGGAGCCAATTTTCAGTTTGATACTTTAGGCTGCTTTTTTTTCGTGTAATCATAGCTTTAGCCAAAATTCTTTACACATTGAGAATATTGTCTTGTAAGCTGTTTTGTTGACGAATGTCCGAAATGAAGTTTTGGCATTGACTTAATAGATAGGGAAACGGTCTACCCCTGGGATGTTCATTATCCTGAAAAAAGGTTTATAGCTGAAGTTCAATTCTTCACCAGGCTGCTGTGTTGTAGAGACAATCGTGTTGTAAAGTGCCCTTCAATCAGAGGAATAGCAAGTCCTTTGCAAATACTCAACAAGCGTGAGGATACTTTTTGTTGTAACATCATGGGTAATATTATTATTATTTAACAATCTTATTGCACCTATAAAAAGGCCATGGAACCGTCCTCTTTTTTATGGTATAAAAGAAAAGATGTCTTTAATGATTTTTAGTAACGGTTGAGTTTAATATATCGAATTTTAGAGAGCTCTGCTATGCTGTAGCAAATACGTGAACGGCGAATCTTACTGTTCAACACTAGCAGCAATGTCGCACTATTTTCGTAACTGGCAATGAGCGCGAAATAGCGATCATATACATTTACTACAGTAGAAGGTCAAAGTATGTATTAAGAAATAATATTCGGAATTTGAAAGGAAATGGCTGCAAAAAATATAATAGATCTTCCTGCCAAAGTAGAGAGGACAAACTCGCTGCATTTGCTCGTGTATTAAGCAGGATCCCACATCAATTCAACATTGTCTTTCCCAAATAGGAACTGAAGTTTTAACATTGTAAGAAGACTCTCTTTGTTTGCAAAGATGTGTACTAATGCTTTACCTGGGTTTTTCAATTTCGTGTATTCTATATGGATTTCGCAAGTGGTGAACATATTTTCATTCAAAAGACTGTACGACTGTCCACTACATAAATCATAGCAAAAACTTTTCGTAAAGTCAACAAGCATTTTTTGACGGTGAGAGAAACTTTATTTCAAGTACAATTCTTCAATAAATAAGGGTATCCGATGTATAAATATTTTTCGCTCTAAGACAAACTCAAAGAACGAATGTGATTTTGAATAACACGAGTTTCCAAGCACTAGTTGATTTCTGTTAAAAACGAGGATATAGTTTAGATTCGAAGAAACGTTCTTCCTCGAAGGATATCTTTGAGCTCCTCGGCTTCATCTGCTTCAAACAAATCTTCAAGAAAATCAACACCTGGCAGATCATCAATAAACACGCTAAGTGAAACACCATGGCTTCCTAAAGTCGCTATGGCCTCTTTGATGTACGGTACATGCATGTGCTGCAGTAGCGGTAAGAGATATTCGTTGTATAAGCTGCTCCATTTTTTGATACTGAGGCATAAAAACAATGACATGACGTAAATAACCTTCCGTTCATTGGGGATGTCTAGCGAAACACAAAAGTATGTGTAAGTTTACAGAATTGATACCTCGTCTATCACATCTATTCTTTTACCTGACTTGAGAAAGTCAACAGCTGTATCTTCTTGTTGTTTCAAGTTGGGCTGTTCAACCCAGTCAAACTTCTTAGCCATTTTTTTGTAAATAGGTTCCTGTTGGAAACAAATGTTTAGATTCTGCTGTTAAAAGAAAGAAATTACAGTTGATAATTGAACCTACATCTGCTTTAGCAATCGTACAACAGATACAGTGTTGGAAAGTGACATACAGAAAATCGTCCGCATAACCTTGGAACGCATCATACCAGATATAGGCAATATTCACCAAACTTCCGCTTACTTTTTTATCTGTAGGCGAACGAAGAATTTCAATCATAACATGAAGCAATGAGTTGACATCGTTTGTAACTTTGCAGCAAGCGATATACAGGCGATAATAACGGCTAATAGTATTATATAATCAAGCATGATTAGTATAGCTGTTAAGGCAGGCATTCTATGAACAAAATTTTTTTGAGGAATTACAATAATAAGTTGGTTTGGGCGGCGTTCTTTTGAGCAACGGCCAAATCCCTAAGCTCCGTCGCTAGTTTTCTCTTGAATCCTTCAACGGCATTGACCTAAAGAGTTGAAACGAAGAAAAAGAGGACCGGTATTCAGAAAGGCACAAAAGAAAGAGCCAAAATATTATAGTACTTACATCGGCTTTTGACATTAAAGCCACAGCAACAATAGCCGTTTTTTCTGAATTAGCAAGGACAGTAGGCAGCGTTATCGTGAGATCACCGACATTAGTAGTCTTAGCAATATCGAATGCCTTATTAGAAAGGATAGCGCTTGATTTGGCCTTTTTGTACAATGCTGAAACATCAGTGTAAAAAGTTTCAAATGCTTCTTTCAGTTCGTCGTTATTTGGTAATGTTCCGTTTTTGAGGTAATTATTGACAATATCAGGCCAACTTAGCGATACTTTCTGCTTCTTGTTGAGTGTCTCAGCGGAAATGGAAGACGTAGTGTCAGAGGCATCGGTGAGCTGAACAGATGTGCTATTACCATTATCACCCTGATTTTCAATGGAACCAGTGGACTGTCGCTTAGTGCCAATGGTAGGCATTACCACAGAAGAAGCTGAAGACGATGTTTCCTCTGTAGATACAACAGGAGCCTGATAATTAAACGAGGGTTGATACTTTATCAATTTTGATGGATTTCGTGCATTGACAAATCGCTGAAGTTTGGTGGGCTTCTTTGTTGGTTTTTTCAATGGCTTATCTTGGCTAATACGAAGTTGTTCTTGCTGACACTGTTGTGAAAGCTGCAATGCTGCTTTCTGTGTATCTGAGAGTCCAGAGACTTCTGTCGATAGATGGATTAACTGTGATTTCGTTGACTGTGCTGATTGTGTTGGTTGCGGTATTCTCTGCTTTACTGGTTGTACTGGTTGCTTCTCCACTTGCTGCCTCGCTTGATTTGCCTCCTGTAATGTTTTAACTGTCGGTTGTTGCGTTAACTGTTGTGATAGTTGCTCGAATGGTATTTGTTGCTCGCGCTGTTCTTGCAAGGACATTGCTGTTACGGGAGATCTTGGCTTGTTTAGCACTGAATTAATTCGGTTATTTACGAGAGAAAAGCATTTTTGGAAGTCAAGGCAGCATTGCTTCAACTCGATAATTTCATTTTCGTATGCTGTACATTGTTTTTTAAGTTCTTTCACCTCAAGATTGTGATAAGTAGAGGGTTCTTGGGAAGCTTGTTCTATCTGTACGTTTTTGAGAGCAGAGATTTCTGCGTCTTTCTTTCGGCATTCTTCCTCTAAATTCATGATCTCTGTTCGTTTAGTATTGCAATTACTTTTCTCCTCAACTGGGTCGTGATTAAGGGACTCTGAATCATTACTGATACTGTCGGTCATATGACAAGCACTACAACGCTTGATCGCACTTTTCATTTCTTTCTCGTAATCTTTACATTGTTCTTCCAATTTCCTAATGGTCTGCTCATCGGCTTGAGAGCGTTCTTTGAGGGTAATCAACTCTAGTTCCAACGTCTGACAGCGTTCTTTCAATATGTTTACTTCTTGCACATGGGCTTCGCAACGCTCTGTTGAAAGGGCCTCTTCTTTCTCGCGATTTCTGCAATTTTCTTTCCACATCTCTGCTTCCTTTTGATATGCTTCACACTGCTCCTTTAGGGCTCCAAGTTCCTTTTCGTAGGCATCGCAACGCTCTGTAGAAAGAGCCTCTTCTTTCTCGCGATTTCTGCAATTTTCTTTCCACATCTCTGCTTCCTTTTGATATGCTTCACACTGCTCCTTTAGGGCTCCAAGTTCCTTTTCGTAGGCATCGCAACGCTCTTTCAATTCCTCACGTACATCTTCAGCTTCATTCAAGTCCATTTCATGTTTCATGTTTGCATCAATCAGCTCCTCATTTTCTTCTGTTAGCTGCTTAATTCTTTCTTTCAATTCCTCAAGTTGAGCAGCGGAAGCGGTAACATTATCAACGACTGTAGCTGAGGGAGAGGAGGCGCCAGATGAACATAAATTTTGAAAATGAGCACATTGGGCTTCAGCTTGCTTCAAATTGATCTGAAAAAAGATAAGAAAGGTCATAAAAAACGTCAGTCTATTCTCTTCCATACGTAAAATAATGAAATTGCTGGAAGCTTACTGCTTGTTGTTGAATGGTTTTTTCCATGTCGGCAAGTTTTTCTTTCAAGGTAATGGTTTCTGCTTTAGCCAGTTGCTGGCCTAATTGTTTCTTTAATGACGAGTTTTCTTTTTTCAAAGTATCGTTTTCTACAACAGTTTGGGCTTGAATTTTATTGGAGTTTTCCAGCTTTTTTTCCAATTGTATTTGAACCTTCATTGACGCCTCAGCTTTCTTATGGAGTTCAATGATTAAGTTATTTTTCTTATCAAGATCTAATAATTTTATTTTTTTTCAGGATAAGATGGATCAGAGTATATTCATAGATCGTAATAGAGTTTTTATAGCCTTACCTTCCTTGAGGTTGGCCATGAGAGCTAGGATTCTTTCTCCTTCCAACGTTCTTTGATCAGTATTAGCAACCGTATCGGTTTCATCGGTATTAACTTCCCCTAGAGCTGTAATGAAAGCCGCGGCAGGATTATTACTGACAGAAGAAGTGGTTTGAATAGTGTCGGCAATGGCAAAAGAAGCAGTAGTAGTATTAAAGTTGTCTTGTTGTTGAGAAACTGCTAGTTGAGATGTGGGTTGCGGTGTTAAAGGTGTATTTCCAAACAGAGGGGTTGAGTCACCGTCACTTTCGCTGAACTGGGCTAGTACTTCAGCTAATTCATCCGCATTGACACTCATTATTTCATTTTGCCTGGGATCCCCAGGAGGAAATATGGGTGTATTCAAAATCTCATCGATTGATTGCTGTTGATCACTAGATCGATCTGCTCGAGTAGATCCCGCTGAGTTATTATTCATATAGACTGCTGATAAATAACGAAGGATGTGTAAAAGTTTCACAACACGTTTTCTGTTGTGTCTGGTATAACAATCTATTAGTAATAGTCTGGGTATGTGTGCAGTAAAGAGAAGAGTAGATGGATTTGAGGCGTTCAAATATTCCAAGAAAAAATAAAAAATGAAGACGCGATCAAAGGTCGAATAATTTATTTGGTTTAACTGCAGCAGACAGCCTGCCAGCATTAATATTTTCAAAGCCACCCTTCCAGTACAAGTTTTTTTCGCAGCAACAGACGGAACTCTTTGACGCTTAGTTTAATTATGAAACTATCTTATTTAGATAAAAGCTAATATATGTTATTGCTCGACCATTCTCTAAAATCTGATCCAGCATATAGCAAGAGAGCTGAGAATACATATGCGAAATGGCAGCAAGAGAGGTTTACAGTGCTATAATCAACAGGAGGTGTAACCCCATATGCCTTTAACACAAATGCTCGAAAGTCCGATTACATTATACAAAAAAAAAAAATCATGAAATTAAATACCGTTAGTAAAGAATTTTATTCCACATTAAACTTGTAAATAAACAATATAAATCAATGCAATAACTAATGTTTGTACGTAAAAGTGACATGAGAGTGTTGTTTTTTTTTTGCAGATTCAGTCTGATTTTTTTTTCAATTTTGCTAGTATTTGAGTCCTTCATTCTTTCTAAATTCTGTTCGAGAGTATTGAGACGCTTCATGATGTTATCGTATTTTTCATCAACGCTACTGCAATGTTCTTCTATTTTTGATTGCAATTTATTCAGAGACTCCAGAATCTATTGCCATTCGCCCGTGAATAAGCTACAACTTAAAAGAAACTAAGTAATACCGTACTTACGTAGCCAGTCAGAGCGTCAGTGGTTTTAGAAGATGTTTTGGAAACGATCGTCTTGCTGTTCCTGTAAGCTCATCTCGGAAGGAGGAGACCTGTTAGCATACTTTTAAACAAGGATTTTTATTACTGACATTTTTAAGCCCAATGGACACGAGATATTAAAGCTTATCTAAATTGCCCAGGGCAGCTCGATTTTTTGAGAATAGAGCGATGCATAGTGTCGGTCAGGGTGCCGTGGTGGGCGAAAAAGCATACTATCTAAGTGGTGGGGGAGGGGGAAGGGGCTAAACTAATCATTATAATTGGTAGGCTAAGACTTTGGGCGCGGTTCGGGATCTTGCTTATTTAAGCCTGGGCGGGCACCACAATTATTCATAACTTGTTTAAACACTAAAATCTTATTAAAGGGCAGAAGCAACAACTTATTGCGGTGGTCGACATTGATGAATATTTTACGTCGCAGGTAATTAACATTTCCCTTATGCTGTGCAATATATGCCGTATTTATATGAGCCGTTTTTCTACATTCCTTACTTATACATGCACAATCAAATATTAGGTCTGCAACAACTGTTTACTCAAAAATGTGGAAAGCGTAAAGATCGGTGCTGGTTCACGTTGTTACAGTACAAAAGTTTGTAAACACTGCCAAATACTTTGGCAACGTGATATAAATGCTTCAAAGAATATGATGACTATTGCCAAGACCCTCACAGTTTACTCCCACAGAATTGCCGTAGCGAAGACGGTGCTGTCGGTTCCTCGAACCAGGCGGCTTAAAGATACTTACTCGTTTAGGTGAGTTCGTCTTGTGAAATTTCTCAATGTACGTTTCTGAAGCTTTTATTAACTGCTGCTTGACGTTAGTACATACTCAAACAGGGTAGGTCGCACATTTGGCATTGAGCATTGTGACAGAAAAGGTATGATCCCAAAAACTACATTTCATCTAAAATAATTTTTTTAATTAGTCTGAATTTTAATTGTAAGATAATCTCAATTTAATAGCCATTTCGTGCGAAAGTCAAGCGAAAAAACAGTATGCTAACGGGTGGGGCCTAGCCCCCGGTGGAGGTAGTTAGCACCTTGGCTTTCCAAACCAACGATTGTTGGACGCCGCTGATATTTTTTCAGCTTCGATCCCTTTCTCTCTGCTTCCTAGGGTTTTCTAATGCCGCTATCAAGGTGGTTCTCGGTCGGTGTTGCTGTTTAAACAAGTGATGAATAATTGTGGTGCCCGCCCAGGCTTAAATAAACAAGATCCCGAACCGCGCCCAAAGTCTTAGCCTACCAATTATAATGATTAGTTTAGCCCCTTCCCCCTCCCCCACCACTTAGATAGTATGCTTTTTCGCCCACCACGGCACCCTGACCGACACTATGCATCGCTCTATTCTCAAAAAATCGAGCTGCCCTGGGCAATTTAGATAAGCTTTAATATCTCGTGTCCATTGGGCTTAAAAATGTCAGTAATAAAAATCCTTGTTTAAACGTAGTTGATTGAATGGAGACTGCCAAGCAGACCAATACCTTCACTACAAGAATTGAGAAAAATCTTCTCTGTACCTCGAGAACTCTCCGAACTCTATAATTACATGTTAGCAATCGGCTCGATCCTGCCATGTATACTGTGGTCTGCAAAGGGCGTTTGAGCGAGATCGACCTTCAACGACTTTTCCAGCAACTTTTGGAAGATCTTCATTTGGCGTTGATTCCCACAATTTTGGCCAGCTCAGAAGGCATGATAACATTCAGAAAGCCGAAAACAACATTCTCTCTTTGAGCCCATGGCATGCATAATGATAACTTTTACGAACTTGATAGAAATGTTAATTGAATTACTGAGAGCTCTAATACTCATTGATATATGCTATTAGGATTTCACCATTCTTCTCTCTTTTTACCTTCCTAGTTTTCTTGTTGAATAATCTCAACCTGCTCTTCTACGCATTATCCATGCGTAGTAGTGAATTGACTTCTACTAAACCTTCCGTAAGTATAAAGCGGCTAAAGTAAATCAAACGCACGAAAAATTAAGCCTTAGTAGTCTAACGGCTACTCCTCCATGGGCCCGGCGACTAGTTAAGTTCGTTTTCTTCGCTAGATACACGGGGAAAATTCATTAAAAAACTTCAGTGCAATTTACAATTATAGCATCTTCCATGTTACAGCCCCTTTCAAATTACATACACTATTTTGCTAATATTGATATAGGTAGCTAACTGCTTTACACATTGAATAAAGAAACATATAGCTTCTCCAATCACAAGCATAATCCTTTCAATCCTACCCTTCCTCACCATAAATGACAATTCGCAAGTTGTTTAGCCTATTTAATAGAGGAAGATCTCTAAATTTAGTAGGATGTTAGCCACTGAATTACATGCATATCATGCATTCTAAAGGAAAATCCATCTAATTTACACGATTATCATTCAACATTCCCCAAGTTCTATTTATTGACTCGACAAAATCAAAAATAAAAGCTCCTTTATTATGCTTAAAGAAACCAGTCAACCGCAAGTTTAAGTGTCCTATGATTTAGAGCCAAGCACATCACGCATTATAATAATTGTAGATTTAGGCTTTTGCATTGCTGCCAATAAAAACAATCAGCTCCGATTGATCCCAGAAGCATTCTCAATGTGTCCTTTCCCAGCCGTTCTCAAAATTTGGTTACTCGATACTAAAACTGAACGTGATAGATGTATCTGGTCGCGTTTGGGTTAACTTCCAGATAATAGCAAACTTACTGTCCTCGTCACTATCATTTTATGTCTTGATATTGATCGACATCTATCTCCCTGTCCAGATTCGGTACTCTCATCCTATACGCTCAACTGCCAATTCGTTTCCATATCTCTGCTTTACTTTGGGATTATTCCTCACCGTTTACCGCATATTACTGATTTCGATTACTTCAACAACAGAAGAACCTCCCTGTGCTCGGTCAACAATGCTACAAATGCCAGCCACAATCTCAATTTCAGGTTTTGGTTTTAACCTTGGTTCCAAAGGAGGGATGTTTAGCTCTACCGCAGATTAGTTTGCAATCTCGTGCTCATTCGGTTGGGTTTTTGAAAGCTATCTGTATAAATACTCCGAGTTCTACAGATTTTCTTTTTCTATGTTGCATAAGATGGTTTTTTTTTTATTAATTCATGCCATCACGTAAACTTCAACGAGATTCATTGTCTCCACGATGTTTTGCACTGAAGTCTTTAAGTGAGCTGCGGGAATGGAAGGCAACACCTGAAGACATTTACAATATTCCAAACATTGCTTTGCAACCACGCAGGCAGATAGCGCAACGTCCAAAGTTGTTGATAATACATGATATGGCAGGAGGATATACTGAGGACAAATATATACAGGGGAATAACTATCAAGAAATCTATAATTTCCAGCACTGGCATCTCGTTGATTGCTTCGTATAGTGAGTTTCACAGTTAGACTACTACCATACTTTCTCTACAGCGTAAAGACGCTTCATGTTATTGTTTGCCTTTGTGTTTAGTTTCGCTCATGAACGTGTTTGTATACCACCAGTCAACTGGTCTAACATCTGCCATAGAAACGGCGTGCCTTGTTTAGGAACCTTCATAATTGAAGGAAAGAACCTGATGCATGAAATGGAAACACTGCTTAGCGGAAACCCTTTGGAGGACGATAATAATGCCGATCCTTTAGAGATATGAAATCCATTTTATGCAGATAAGCTAGGTATAAATGGGCGGACCTGTTCAGCCTATATTCACGCATAAATTTTTGTAACAAATCAGTTTTATTGCCATCAAAAGTCACTGTCGCCAAACACTATGGATTCGAAGGTTGGTTGATTAATATTGAGACTGAGTTCCTTCCCTTTCCTACAAGCAAACAGTATAAGGCTCAGCAACTATCGAAGTAAGAGATCATCAACTTTATTTTTATCATTATAAAAGTAGATTGCTTTACTAACCAATAACTAAGGTTCTTATGTTATTTGACAAAGAAAATACACGCGGAGATTCCCAACTCAACCATTATTTGGTATGATAGTTTGACAGCCACTGGTGAAATAGACCGGCAGAACCAGTTGACCGATAGCAATATGCTTTTTTTCTTGAATGCGGATGGAATTTTCTTCAATAACCAGTGGAAAAAGGATTATCCTGAAAAGACACATAAATTAGCAGAACAACATGGAAAAACAGGCATCAGTGCATATTTTGGTACCGACGTTTGGGGAAGAGGTATATACGCTGACGGCGGGTTCAATTCTTATAGAGCGATCAAAGTGGCAAATGCTGCAAAGACATCGTCAGCTTTATTTGGAATTGCATGGTCTTACGAATATTTCAATAAGATAGCCTTTGAAAAGATGGACAAGCTATTATGGTACGGAGGCATGGCCGAAGAATATCCTCCAATCCTATCACCCAAACCAGAATTTGCAGAGCTTGATATCGAAAACTGTGACGAAGGGTAGCTCGAGCATTTGATTTTTATATGAACCACGCGGTAAATGCTTTAGCAAAATTCACTTTTCCGTGTATTTAGGGAGGAGGACTCGTTAGATGGTCATGCAAAAGGGATAGCAGATATTGTTCCCAGTCATGTTACAGCTGGACAAAATTGGTTTACAACGAACTTTGATAGAGGTTTTGGTGAAAAAATTTTTTATCGAGGAAGAGTAAGTCTATTTTGTATTTTTAATTCATACATCCCATACTAATGATTTATGTCAATGTAGGAACTTTTACAGCAGCCGTGGTCTCATCTCTCACATCAATCTATATTACCCAACCTTAATTATCGAGAACTCGATATATATCCGGAGGATAGCAATATAGCTATAGAATGCTGTTTAAAGGGCGAGTATGGCGCGTTCAACGGGGGTACGGTACTTGCTTTTACAGGCCAACGATTAGTGCATCAGGAATCGAATGATACAGAACTTGTAGTGAACTTGCCGATCTACAAGTTCGAAATGAATATGGATCAAGGATGTACTATACGTTATGTATGCAAGATCTTGAATATGTTCGATGTGAGGGTCAATTTGAATGGATATTTCATGCTGAAAAGCAGGAGTTATGAAGAAGCTCAAGAGTTCTTTAGGAAGTGGCAGAATACAGATACGCTTGAGAATGAAGAAGGTTTTACAGCTAATGTTCGGATAGCATCAAGACCAGACGAGTGTACGTGTATGGTATTCGATATTTTTGAGGAGAGAATAGGTGACTGGATGTTAAAAACTGTCCGTGTTCCTACTGTTTCGAGACACTGTAGCTTGACATTAAAAAAAGATTGATGTATGCTTGAATATCAATACTGCCGACTTTGTCGATAACAAACCTCACATAATTGCAAGTATTGGCCAAATTAACATTATTCCAATCATTACAAATGCTCTCACTGTTAACACCAGAATCTTATCTAATTTCTTCTGGGAAGACCTACACCTTCAACAATCTAAAGGAAGGGACTGCCTTGAAAAGACATTGGAGAAGCCACAATTTTACCGATTTTTTGGAACTTTAACTTGGACCGATCGATCAAAAACCACGACGCCAGCTTGGAAAGAAACCGATTTTTACATAATATATCATGTAGTTGATGGAGATCATGAAAAACGTCAGTTTCTTGGGACAGCGTTTTGTCAGAAATATCGCATAACCGGCCTTGATATTACTGATATTACTAAAACTCACTTAATAGCAGTAGAAGCAATTGACAGAATGGGCGTAGTATCTGCTACGAATTTCATCGAGATTACTTTGAAGAGCCGGAATAAACATAGAGCAGCATGAGTTTGGAGTTTATGTAGCTATAACGTAATTTACCTTTTAAAAAACCATACACACATTTCGAAAATCTATTGTAAAAAAAAATGAGCTTAAACTACCACAAATTTCACTCAGCCAATCAGTTGGTTGAGGGAAATTAATGCAAATTGCATAGTTTTTTTTTTTTCATCTTTCTTTTGAACACCATAATGGATAAGCAAACACCAACAACACAGCAACAGCATCACAATACATCTGATGTTGACGATTCGCCGCCACCAGCTTACGAAGAAGCACCTGCTTTTAACCCAAATTATCCAGCGCAGAGCTCGTCTATCGCATACCCATCGCCACACTTCAATTCACATTACAATGTTCATTCACCTCCCCACACCTCCGACATGAATAACAATATTCGAGTTGCAAGTCCTCAACAACAGTTGTATCCGCAGGCACCTCCGTCTGGCCCGGTTTCCCATGTACAGTATCAGCGACATAACTATCATCCACAACAGCAGCAATACCATACCTATCAAGCCATTGAAATACCCTATCCTGTTGGTTATAGCAATCAGCAAGCACTACTAAGGCTTAGAGAGGAAAACCGTAGGTTTCCACTCGCAGCATTACTATTTCTGTTTGGATGGTAAGATATTACGATATGATCATTATGTATATGTCAGGGAATGAAGTAAAGGCTTAGCAATCATTATTTCACAAACTAGGTTCTGTCCACCCTTATGGATAATTGGTGCCTGTTGTTGTGCTGGAAGTAACAATTCCTATGAAGCTTTCTGGGGAAAAGTCAATTTTACTATGGCGATGATACTTATTATATCCTCTATTGTTTATTCAGCGTTTGCCATGTCAGAGTATAATATAATAGGATAACTGAAATACAACGACATGATTACTTGTTTATTCACGTAAATAAATTACTCTTTCCTAATGTCTTTACAATGTTACTTCTCAAGAAATTTCCATATATTCGGCTCTACTTTCTCGACTTTCAACTTCGGCGAATATTGCCTTGAAATCTTCCTTGAGAGGTCCTTCCTTGATATCTTCTACGAGCTGTTCAAAGCGTGGAGAAACGTTTTCATCTGACAATTGGTTTAATATCATAATACAACGAAGTGCACCGCGGATCAGCTCTTGATTCTTTTCTACTTCCTGTTTAACGGCATTGCTTCTCATTTTGAATTCAAGCGTTGATTTGAGGGGAGTAACAAATTCATCCAAACCTATTTGCATGGAAATAGCAAATGCTAAGTTGGAGCTGTACGCCAATATTCTACAAGAGGGAACTTACTCTGTGAAACCGCAGCGGGTGCTTGTTTGCTTAAACGAGTAAGCATGAGATAGGCAAGCATTTTTATATCATGTTGATCATTTAATCCACCCTTCACATGCTCCAAAAAGCCAAAAATATCGATCTTATCGAAGCAGGTAGTGAGAAGTGTGTACATACATTCAAAAGCAGCCTATAATCATCGGGACGAAATGTTCAAAAACTTGTTTCTGCTAAATTCTAAAGTGTTTAGCAAAGCTTACCTTTCTTATTTCAAGACCATCATCCACTTGATGTTTGAAGGGTCCCATTTCAACTGTATGGATTAGTTCTTGCTTCACAGTGGTTTCAGCATATAAAAGGGGAATAAGTTGATCGAGTACGCCTCTTGCTAGATAAGGCTTACGATGTATAGCTGAATTGATAGTAAGCAAAGTAAGTCTACGTACATTCTATAAGATGCCATAACGGAAAAATGGATAGGTTAATGATTCGTAACGAAGCAAGGAAAATTCCGATGGGGCAGCGTAGTGTCTGTTGATCTTAACTCACCAAGTCTGAATCTTGCATAAGTGTCAAAAATCTGACCATAATAGGTCTTAAATATTCATCATAGTCATTGGAAGGGTCAACAACCGCATACTTGATAGCCGTAGCGACAATAGCCCGTGTTTGAGCAGACTCAGATGAGAGTCTTTCTTCTAACTGAGGCAAGAACTTGCTGGGCTCTGTCAAAGCAAGTTTACCTAGACATTCAGCTACAACGGTACGCGTACCTTCTTCTTGATTGTTTTCACTGCTTTCGAGCAGAAGTGACCAAATTTCATCAGCCACAGCACTGAGAGATTGATCCTTATTTTCACGCTTATATCTGGTAATGACTTCTTTTAAGGCGTGCAGTAATAGGTAACGTCTCTTGCGGTCGTGTTTGATTTGTTCTACTATGGAAGGTAGATAGTTGCTGATATTACCGACACAGATATTACCCAAAGCGAACGCAGCCGCAAACTTGACTTCTTCTGACTGTGACGAGAACAAAGCGGTAATTTCGTCGTCAATATCAGCAAAGCTGGACAAATCTCTATATGTTCCCATGTTGAGGAAAGAAGATGTGAGAAAATAAAGTATCAAGAGATATTTTCCCAATCAACTTACGTTCTGCGACCAATTTCTCCTATAATCAATAAGCTGAGGTACTTAACAGAATCGTTTGCAGTAGGAGATTGAAGATAAGATTTGAACTCTTTGACTGTATGCATGCAGTTGTCGTTATTAGTAATCGCGGCAAGAACTGCTACACATTGGGCTACGGTGGATGAAGCTTGCTTATTAGACACAGCCGCGACACCACCGGCGGAGATGCCAGAAGCGGCCTTGAATGTCAAAAGTGGATCCACAAGGGCCTTCACTAAATCGTGATAATCAGTTGGATTGGCCTTGGCTAATGAAGCCAACATGTGTAGTAAACTGTCAAGTGCAGCACCCTGGAGAAGAGGAGAACCAATAAGCTGTATGATGTGAGGAACAATGGACTTATTGACCTCACTAACAGAAGTGGGCACTGTGGTAAGGATAGATTCAACCGCCTTCATCGTGAGAGGGAATAAATGAAGATCAGCATCGGACACCAAAGGTTTCAATTCTGTCAGCAACGCAGAAATACTGTTTGCTGGTATATCATCTCCAAATCTACCCATTGCCGAAAAATAATTTTAAATTGATTGATTGCTCTTCCCTTCACATCTCAATAAAAACTTACTTCTGAATCAAGATAGACAAACATTCCAAACTTGCAATACGCAAAGGTCGATTGTTTTTCCTCAACAGTAACGTAATTTCGTCTACGGCTGTAAGCACACATTGCTTCATGTCCTCACCCACAGCAACCGGGCTTTGACAAATTTGCGCGAGTGTTTTAATACTGATAACACGTGTTACTTCATTTCTAATCCTATCCAGAAGGCCATTCCAAGCTTCCTTTTGCTTTGCTCCGAGACTATCGCCTAATTGGCTCAGAATTGTGCCCAGGCACATGATGGAACGTTCCTTGACTTCTTGATCAGCATCGCTTGTATTCAAGATATTGATCGTGGCATCGTAAATTCCATTAATATATTCTATATTTTCCTTGTCAATGGATGAAATACGATATTCACCGCCTTTTTCGCGCTGAATCGGGCGAATCGCCTTTATGATTTCCATACAAACCAAAAAGGCTTCGGAAACAATTTTGTAGAATTTATCAGAAAGTGCATTGATGACTGAAGGTGACAAATGCTGAATGGCTTTGTTTATGTCGTACGTTGCATGGACGTGGAAAAATGAACGAAGGAATGCAAGGACTTCAATCTTCAAGTTGGTGGATGATTGTTGCTGATCCGCATTGGCAGTCGATAAAGATGATTCGATGGCAGGATAGAATAGTTCAATCTGATCGGTCAAACCACCATGCAAAACATTTATCAGTTCACGTAATAGATGAAAGCTAACTTGGCGGGTTTGTAAGGACTTTGCATCGGACTGCTTTGCTAAAGCGCGACACAGTTTAGCGACCTGCGATTGCAACAACTGTCTGGGGCCGTCTGTTACATCCATAGCTCCGCTGCTAACAGGACAGGGTGGAAGATTATTAAGCTCGTCGCTAAACACACCGAAACTGCTTTGTTTTGCGTAATCAGTATTCTCTCCAGAATAGACAACTGTTTGTCTCAAAAGAGTGATGAAGGTTTGTAGAATGTCGACACGAACAGATTCTTCACGTTCTTTGAAACGATTAATCAACACCGGAGCGATATTTTCATATAAGTCTTGTAGCCTATCAGGACGAGTAGCAATAATGGCAGCTAATACTTTCGCAGCTGATCTACGCACTTTCCAGGACATATCATCGTCGTCGTCTTCGTAGTCGCTAATAAGTAAATTACAGTTAATAGGTTGAACTCTGAACGACTGATGTATTCTGGAGGTCGCCCTTACATTATTTCATCGTCCTCAAACTCATCATCGTCATCTTCTACCTCAACGCCCATATCTTCATCCTATGCCCCAAAGAGAAGACATATAATGTTAGTTGATATATATTAATTCCGCAGCATTTTTTCAAAATACCCCATCTTCATCTTCAACAAAATTGGGATCGTATTTGATATATTCCAACGCCAAGGACTGGATCGTTGGGATGTGAGGAGCAACTTCGGTAGGACATTTGAGTATAAACTGTTCAAGGGTTTGCAAACAGTATTCACGCAATTCGTCGTCTTCGTCGGCTTCGGGTATGAATGCAATAATAATAGGTATGATTTCTGACATATGCTCGCCTATACGAGCAGCATTATAACGACTATTTTAACAGATTAATATCCGCCTACTCTATATTGTGGGTTACATTTCGCCAAAAGCTCGTTCATAAAAAATACCTGATGACACCGGCACACTGAACCAATGTTCGAGTAACATCTTTTGAAGCACTGTTACTTCTCAAGCCGTCCAATAAAAATGAATATATTTGTTTAAAGACATTATCGTCGACATGAATTGCCAAATAACCGATGGCTGTAGTGGCTCTTTTACGTACAGCAGCCCGGTTGTATGAGAGTAATGGTAGTAGGACTTTTTGGATCTCGATCTGCTGTTTTGTTGATAATTGACCTCCAAACCTCACGAGTATTTCAGATAAAATGTCTAAGGTATCCATTTGCGTATCATAAGGAATGTCAGTCTATTTGTGTGGTTGTTTATCAGAGAATTGTCAGCCTGGGGGAATGGAAGTACTTGTCAGTAAAAAATTGGTAAATTCTTACTTTTTGAATTGATTCCAAAAGATTAGGGATAATGTGAGCACATAATATGTAGCTTTTGCCAATATCGACTTCTATTACAACAGTCTTCAAGCCTTTAACAAGCAAATTATCATGAGTGACGCTTCTCTTAGATTTGTAAAATGTCCCAAGGGGGGCTATATTTACCAACACTAGCAATTTCACGCAGCTCGTCTCTCTTTTGTTGTGCGATATATTCATTTAATCGGTCAATAATGTATATCAAGTTTTCTTCTTTGATTTGTTTGACAAGGGGGCCAAGACTATGTTTTGATAACATGAAAATATAAATGTTATTCACCATAAGCATTCGAGACCACTGTTGTCGGTCACTTTATTATACAAGCTGAAAACTCTGTTTATCAAAAAATAGGTTTACCATTTGACAGCCAAATTTTGAACTTCTCCATTTTTATCGTCCATGAGTTGCATCACTGCTTTCACTACTCTCATTTCGACGACAGGCTCCATTTGAAATGACTCCTTCTGTAGCTCGCTCATTAAATCGTTCACTGCCATGTAACGAAAATCTCTATCTTCGTTAATCATCTATGTCGTTTGTAAAATGAACAAATCAGTCGTTGCGTTGAATCCAGTAAGCACGAGATGGTTGTATGAACATTGGAAAGTAGCATACCTTCTCCAATAAATTGGCGACTAAGTACGCGTTTGTTCCTTGCATAGACATAGTACTAGAATTTTTTTAGCTTTGTTTTGCAGGTTTAAAGGCTGTTTTTTTGAAAATTATAGAATCCTTTGGCTCTTTTATTTTCTATTTATTTATTTTTTTAAAGGGCGGATGTTACTTGTTTTGAAGAGTAAACGAAAAGAAGCATAGCCTTAAGATGGGATGATGTGGACAACGAATTTAATGCAATTCTCTGTTACTGTTTCTTTTTTAAGTTTCGCTCTCAGTGGCATGATTTTTCTCCAATTCGTTAGAATTGAATGGTTAACGCAGAATATTCAATTAGGTACAGAGATAAGCGACAATTGAAGATACATCAGATAGAGTATAGTCTAAAGCGAACGATACATTCGAGTTTACATTTCTACTGAGTCAAATCAAGTAGCCAGTAGAAAAATCATCAGACAGTTATACGAATGAATGCTGAAGTTGAGGTTTGGAGCAGTATGGTTATTGAATCCACAAGAGCAGTATTTGCATCATTAAATTGCTACTTTTCATCAGCACTCAAATTACGACCATCTGATACTGTTGCTTTTTTAGCTTTTGCGTACACAGAGGAGGGATTCACCTAGTTTATCGGTAAAAGTGTCCATTTGTTTCATTTGCGGCAATAATTGTACCAATAGCGCAATATAACGAATACTAGCGGTACGTCGAGCTTTTTAAATGTTTCGACGAAGCGAATTCTTAATGTTTAAGCAATATTGGAAACGAAGGTGGGGGTACAAGAGAGTATTAAGAGAAGAACCGAACCTCATAAGTATAGCACGATGTATTTTTCGCACAATTATGATGAAGAATTATTCATTTGCTTTATGATGATTTTTCAATCTTCTTTGCTTTGTTCTTATTCTTTCTTTTCAAGGCAACTGAAGACATATTACAGCATAATAACACAACACTACATCGAAAAGACAATGAAGAGCTATAAGAACCTTGTCTTTTTGCCTTTGTTTTTTGCGATATTGTCTCTTGTGACCGTGACAACTCATGAACATACTCTTACGTTTTATCAAAGAATAAGGCTGATGTTATTCATGTTCTTCATCAACCTGCCTTCCCCCCCAAGAATACATTAATTTCAGGCTCTCGAGACGGATGAAAGAAGATTTGAATGATCTCACATTTATTTATTGCAATTTCGAATTGTATGGTAGTAAGGATATATGACAGTAACACATCAGTGGTAACCTAAGGGTATATGTAGACAAAGTCTTCAAAAAATGAAAGCAAGCACGACTATGCCTAATGTATAATGACAACATTCATTCTATAGGTTATCAATGTTATTATAGGAGCCAGCATGTGCAACATCCAAGGATCTTCTTTGTTTGATGGCTTTACTAACAATGCTATCAAACATGAAATTGTTGTAAGGGAATACCACACCATCTCCTGCTCCACGCTTCAAAGGAACTATGCATATAGCCAGAAACACAATGAGATAGAGGCTTAGAGGCCATATTTTTGAAGAAGTATAGTTCTTACCAAACCACAATAACGGATTTGAACCCATGACAGAGTTCCAATTCTCTAACTTGGATCGTTTATACAAGTTGTCCTCTGGACGTACATTTATCACTTCATAATTCTGCCCTGTATAATCAAAGTCTACTCTAATTTCTACTGGTCTATCAGCGACATGTTCAATAGTCGTTTGATTATTGATTATATAAAAGCCATGAACAATGGCGAAAGCTGTAAGTGTTAGTCCAAAAATGAACGCTCTGCGATGATTCAAATGCAACAACGCAACTGTTAGCATCATCGACTGCAATAAACGCCCATTTCATATTGAACTTACAGAATGACAAGAACAAGCCATTGAGGATCAAGATCTGCTTCCAAATCCTGTATACCTTGAATAACAATGGGTAAGGACGATCCAAGCCCCCATAACGCATAAACAGCTGTGTACATGACGAATAAGAAGAAGAATTTATAATTCTTGAATCCAACGCAGCCACCAATCCAAGGACAATGATGGTCCATCTTTAAAATACAGGCGTTACATTCTCTGCAATGATGTGTTCTTTCGGGTTTGTAACATTCACACATGTGACAATATCTTGGCTGGCCATCCTGTCGACAGGTGGACACCACAGGCATAATTTGGTCTTTGGTAGGAGAACTGATATCAGCAGAACGACGAAACATGGACATCGTTGTAGGGTCGAATCCTTTGAGTGAGTAATAATATTTCGGTAAGAGAGATGTATTGTGTTGAGGGTGCGGTTGTTGATAGCTCTCCTCCGTAATAGAAAGTCTATCGTAATTCTAAAGATAGGGTAGCAGTTTAGTCTCGTGGTAATGGCTATTCATGTGTTCTTTCCCCTTACCGTCAAAGGTTTTCCTGGAGAGCTGAGTAACACTCGTGTATAACATATCAGCGTCAGAATCCAGAATATACTACTGATGATGATGAAACATACTGGGATCGTCGTCAATATGTTTGCTTCATCTCTACCTAACTATGTCTATTTGACTTACTAGCCTCTGCTGTAGTGGAAGCTTTAGAGTCTGTATACAACAGATAGGCTGGAGAGAGAGAGAAAAAGAAGGGTCATAACATTATATAATGATCAACCTTGCCGCATTTCATCCAAATATAGCATACATACTACAAATTCGAAATATGTAAACATACCACGTATATCCTATTAAACCGTACACCACAAACGGCAAGATGTATCCAGCCGCTCTACTGGCTGTTGTTGAATAACGGTCAGGCATTTAGGTAGAAGATATCAAGTAAAATATATATATAAAAGAAAAAGGGAAAAATCGAAAAGGCATTCATTATAGCCAATCTGAGAAAATAATCCGAGTCAAAATCATGACGACATTCTGTGATCTTTTTATACACTTTTGCAGGGAAATTTGATTTTCTTTTTTGGTACGAGACACCCAACGACCCTATGGTCATTATAGAGGTCTTATTTTCAAAAAGTGACTAGAGTTGAAAAGACAAATGTAGGTGGCCAGTTTTTAGTTCTCTATTTTAACGAGTATGATTGACAAATGTAACCACGTGAGGATGTTTGACAATCCACCTCCTACCAACAAAGGCAGTTTACAGACGCCTAATGGATGATATTGGGATGGGTATCGTCACCGTTCAGTGACGTTCGTATTATAGCAGGAGGGAAAATGGGGGAGGTTACGGACTTTAAAAGAATCGCCGCAAAGTAACAACAATGCTGCAGGAGGGAAAAAACTAAGGGGTTATTGATTCAAAGGCCTGAATATAAAAAAGGGGAGACAGGACTGAAGCAACCACCTTTCTTTTCTTTTTCCAATCAAACCTATTGACAACACCAAAATCCTTCTGCAAATCCTGTACAATCGCTGCTCGTCAGGTATGCGTTAGAAGCGCATCTTAAGAGATGTGGAAACTTTTGTCCTTGAGCTAAAGTTCAAGGCAGAATGGAACGAAGAGCTCCACGTTTTGTAAAAGACGGGAGCAAGAGTAAGTCAAAACAGCTTTTTTTTTTTCAATGATGATTGCTAATAGTCCAATATTTAGGTGTGCATTCGTGCACTTTCAAGATGATATACTTGCTTCGGTGCGTTATCACGGCGCCACGATCGATGGTGAGAGGGTGAGAATCTCACCATGGGTCGTCCATGGCCAGCCAGTGCACTATGCACAACGCCCACTTTCAGTCGCCCGTTCCCAACCGGTGCCGTTGGTCTTGCCCGACCGTGAGGTCGACCTCTTCGAGGATTTTTCACCTTCACCATCACCCTCACCCTCCCCGTCTGTCTCCACCGTTTCTCCTCCTCCTCCTCCTCCTCCTCCTCCTTCTTCTCCTCCTTCTCCGCGCCAACAACAACGGCTGTCTTCTCTTCAGCAGCAGCAGCAGCACCATGCCTTCAACGGCATGATAAGAAAAAATCTCCAAGAGATTGATGGCATGGTGCTTGCCTATCGAGAAGAGATCGAAAAGCTGCTGGAGAGAAGGCAGCGTTTGGAGGAGCTGCTCCTACAGTAGTTTTTCTCTTCTTTCGTCTCATAAATATACCCTGTGATGTCTTTCATCATTACCTAGGCCAAATATACACAATAAATGACCTAAACTACTTTACACGTATTCTCCCATACACCGCTCATCACGTCTCAGTCATGCACTTTTTCTAAATAAATGACACTTTCCAAAAGATAGAAAAGAGATCCAAATCCTTATTCGACATTAAGACAATCGATACATCTTTGTTACAGTCTCATTACTTGACTTGGTCCACTAGAATCTTCAAGATGAATAAAGGTTTACAAACTGGTTTCTCTTTTGGTTTTTATTCCTTTGTTCTCATCATTAGACTCCTTTTTTTTTTTTTTTTTTTTCTTCATTTGTAAATAGATACTTTGTGTATCGTGTTTCTTTTTGTTACATTCTTTATCATTGAATGATAGCAAGGAAGATGGCGATAGTATCATAAAAATGGAGATGATCATCCAAGTCAATTATGTAAAGTTTGAATGTATAAGCTGTAACGCTTTGTGTTGGTATTTTATCTAACAAACACAGTGAATAGAAGCACAAAGTCCTCATGAACATCATCATCCGCCACTTCCTTTGCTCGAATTGATTTTCTTAGCTCTTTCAGTTGCTCCTTGGTTTGTGTTGACTCGTTCACCTTTTCCATGGCGTCCAAAATTTTCTTTGAAAACGCTGCAGCCTTTTGACTTTTAGACCAGAAATGTGCCGTGTCGAAAGCTTACACGTAAAAAAAAAAAAAAAAAAAAAAAAAAAAACCAAAAAATACAGAAAACGTGTCAGTGATGATGACATGCATGGGCGCCCTCCTCTCCTGTTATGTGGCTTTTTAAGCCTACCTTCTTCGGCTTCCATTACATATTGCAGTATTTTACTTAATCGAGACTTTTTCAAGGGTCTCTCCTTTGCCATGGTTAATGCAAACAATACTTTTGCATACGCTAGATTCACTTCTGCTATCAAAGTTCTGTCTTGGGTCAATACTACTTTGGAAAAAATGCGCTCCAGCGAATTTTTGGCTTGTCGAAGATTGCGTTTCTTTTGAGATCGAGTGAATATACCAGCAAGCTTGATGGTGGCCCAATAATAAACAAGAACAAAGGAGCTTTGTTTTGCATTTTCCAAAGCGGCGATGAGGGCATGTTTAGCGCGTTCAAATTGATGTAGTCTCTAGAAAAAAGATAAAAAAGAAGGCGGTTAACTGACATTTTGTTTACGGTGACAGTAAAAAAAGAGGGGGATAAGGGAAACAGAGTATGCCTATATACCAAGTAAATAGCGGCTGCGTAAACCAAACGCTTGCAATGAGTAACATAATCACCTCGATTTGTTATGTACTCCAGACGTTTCAGTTGTTCGAGAGCTTTATCAAATTCGTTCTCTACTGTATACTGTCTCACAAGATCAAAGAAGCTCTCACTACTCTGATCACCCGTGTCCTTAGAACCGTGCTCTGTAGAAAGAGCGTCGTTTGTACTTGGTTTGTCGTAACACCAAAAAACGGCACTAAGTAGAGTAAAGGCATGATAAAAAGGCACGAGCGACGATCCCCGCTGTTACAAACAAAAAGTTCTTTTTACCTTTCCAATTCTTTTTGCTCGCTTGTACATACTTTGGTATGCTTGTATTCGGATAATCGGCCACTCGTCTCTATAAATTTTTCAGCAAACTTGTCCATGACAGCACGCGATTCAGATATACCTTTTTGATATCTCAACTTTTTTTTTTTTTTTTTTTTTTTTTTTTTTTTTTGGTTTGGAAAAAGTCAACATTTCGTTTTCTTCCTTTTTTTTTTTTTATCTGAAGGATTACCTTCCTGGCTCTCATCAAAACCGTGGCTCGAATATCATTCAGTGCGTCCAGTTCTTGAGATTTCTCTGCCAACTGCAGATAAGTTTCTGACAATACCTCGTTACCTAGAGAGCATGCGACATACACACATGGAAAGAAAAAGCAGAATTTCAAAATGAGCGTGCTTTGGTCCTCCAATCTAGGGGACGCTTCTCCACGGCTTACCATATTGCATCCAAAGTGCAGTCGCGAGTAAAGCTTGCGAACGTTGTGTATATTCTAACGCATACATGAAAGAATGAATCATGCTTGCATACCAAAGTCTAAATACATGATCCATAGATCTCTGACATAAAGAGAGAGAGAGAGAGAGAGAGAGAGAGAGGGTTAGGCAATGGATGCTTGGGTCGATGGATCCATTTATCCAACTTTATACTTTCATGTTCACGCTTACCGTTCTCCTTAGTTTTGTAACTTTGGTCAAAGCTTTAAGATAAAGTAGATAATTGTCAGTACAATTCGGATTTTGTTCAGTTGTGCTCGTATTCAGACAAAGTTCAGCCCAGCTATGAACATGTAGAGAAACCGTTAGAAACAATGTATTATCGAGCGTCCTACGGGATGATGCGTATTTACTGTATCACTTCTTGCATAAAGACATCGTCGTTTTGTCGCGATTGACACAGGTTCATTAGATACTGGGGGGGGTGGATGGGAAATAAAAAAAAAAAAAAAATAGGAGCGTAGTATGTGAGTGAGAACGAGTGAGAAAAGAGTGATATCTATTTGGTATATAGAGTTTTACCATTTTGGCATCCTTGAAACGGTCAAATTTGTACTCCAAGATGGCACGACCCATCAAATCATAGGGAGGATCTGAAGAAAAAGTCTTGACTTTTGAAAATAGTCTGAAGAAGGGCCCATGCGTGGAGGTTTCGTCAAGGTTAGTGTGAGATGAGAGGTGATGATAAGGGGGTTGGGGAACATTGTGTGTTAGGGTGAACTTACACATGGTCATCTTCTGTTCGGTCGCTTTTTACGATGGATTTGTTGTGATGTTCTATCGCTCGATCATAGTCACGGAAGCGTGCATAGTTCAAGGAGAACACTGTATGGATTTCTGGCATAGAAGGCAACTCTTTCTCCAGCCGTACTAGAAATCGATGGAGCTCATCGGCTGGAATGGCGCACTCGTCAGTTTTGTCCAAGTGATCTGCTTGGTAAAGTAAGAATGTTTTGACGTTATAATCTGATATCCAGCCTCCAGAAAAAGGAATATCATAGAATCTCTGCTCGTCCGCCTGGCTTTGTTCTAGCAAACGGTCTCCTTCGTAGTGTAGTAGATATTCGTTATAGGCCGTTTGTATATCGTTCAGATAGTTCCTGCCCAAATCGCTGGAAGAGCGTATATATTCAAGTCGACACTTTCTGAGAAATAAACCATATACACTGCCACTGTCGAGCACGATATGATCCGCTTCACAGTTATGTTTCTAAAAAAAAAAGTCCAAAGCAAAAGAGGGATGGTGGGGGGGGGGAAAGATAACCCAGGCGTTGGTTTTGATATCATGGTAATGACATGTTTATCCAATTTTTTTACTTTACATCATCATTGCTGTCAATATAGTTACCAAGCTCTAGAGGACGGGAAATAGGACATGGATGAATACAGTTGAAGCACGATCTTTTCTCCTATGGACATATTTACCCGTTAAGAAGAGATCCAATTGATATGGGTTGTCAAGAGTGTTTAACTTTAAATTGAATTTTCCGTAGGGAGGGGTCAGTGAACGCGGCCAATGGACAAGCTTCATGGGAGGACAAAGGCACGTACCTCACTACTAAGATCATGGAGGAATTCTTCCACGATCAACTCATCAGCTTCACCCGCCTTGACACGCATTTTGTAAAATAGTTGCTTCAAAGAAAGTTCTGTACAGGTTTGTTGAATTTTTGATTCGTCCTAACGTTTCGGTTGTTTGCGAAGGGAATGTTCAACAACAGAGGACGAGTGTCCATGGACAAAATCTGGATTGAGGAACAACTTACCACGATGCATTGCAAGGTGAATTGAACCAAGAAAGGAATCAATCGTGGATCGACATTGAATTTACAGAAGCGTCTTACTAGAACCAGCAATACAATTCTGAAGGGCGTAAGGAACTTTACGTGAAGCATAAAAGGATCATGGAACAAGCAAGGAAAGGAAATAAAGAGGGGAAGCAAAAGACACGTTCATGCATTTTTTTTATTTTTTTTCTTTGTCCGATATTTCGAAAAAGCACTCCTAAAAACACGTGTTTTCATAGAAAAGTAGTTTAATCATTCGCAACTTGAATGGAAAGTGTCAACTTTAACTATCTGATGTATTCAACCACCATCTATCTTTTTTAATAAGGGTGTACAAATATATATTTCAACAAGTGGTTTTACGACGACATACAATTTATAGGATATAGAATAGGTAAAGTGATTAGTGATAGAGTATACAGTTATAAATAATAGAGAGATTCAATGACGCAACTAAAGGGAGGATATACAAAAAAAAAAGGGGAGGGGGAGGGGGAGGATCAAACGTAGTTTTGCATGCACATTCTTTAAACGGAACAAGCAGGGCACTTTCCGTCAGTTGCAGCGGATTTGGGTATCAAGCCATGCTTCTGGCATTTATAGTAGCAACGGGTACAGTACTCATCAAAGCCTTTTACTAAGGACCGATTACAACCAGAACAACTGACTCTACAGTTATCACAGGACCAGCTATCGTCATTGGAGAGAATGATACCACAACTACAGCGCGTCTCCATATCCAATTCATCATCCTCATCCTCTTCTTCTTCTTCTTCTTCTGCTTCCGTGACTTCCTCTGTATCATCACACAGAGAAGCGTCATGATTCATGTTGTAGATATTAGGCAAAGACTGATACAGAGCAGACAGCAGATTTCTGTCTTTGCTGGTGAAGCACGAAAATAGTTGATCTGGCGATGGCCAGTGGGCACACAACTTTTCAGTCATACTACGCTGTCCGACTTGTTTTTGAACGTAAAAGTTGTAATAAAAGGACAAAAGCGAGTAGTATAAGAAATGTGTCATGATGTTGAAAGAAGAAGGTATGGCTTGCTGATCCCTTTTAAAGACAAGGTTTTTCCACCTTTTTTATAGTTTTGACATAGAAAGTCAGACAGTGCCCTGATTTTTGACACCTTTTTAACATAAAGTATTTTTTGTCATGTTTCCACTCCCGATCAGAAACCGTTGTTTCTATGCACGTCGTTCGCTTTTCCCTCTGATCTTTTTTTATTGTTTCACTCGATTTTAAAGAGATTTTCAATTGAATTTGAAAAAAAAGAAAAAAAAAAGATATCCTCATCTTACATTGGGAAAAGAGAGTGACTGAGAGAAGAAAAGAGCAAATAGATGCCCTTTTACGGATGTGTTGACACCTATGCCAGATAGGAGACAACCTGATGAAAACTGGCTGTCTTGATGCTAGAAAGAGGTCTTGTACATTTTTTGATGAAAAAAAAGTATTTTTACTCTCTCAGGGGAACATCGCGAGACGTTACCGGATAATCTAAAAACTTCTATCCTGCCCCACTTAAACCCCTCTTCCTTTTTTCTCTAATTTCAGTTATAGACGTTATTAACAAAATAGAGATGACTCAGTTTGAAAAAGATAACCACTATCTTTGCTGTAAAAAAAAAATAAAAAATAAAATAAAATAAACCAGCAAACATACAGATGCAAGAAAGTCCAGTCACGTTTTTCCTTTAGGAAAACAAAGAAAAAAAAGAAAAACCCTTGGAAAGGAAAAAAGCTAAGCAAATGTCTATCCATGTAGTTTATGATCATCGTCCTTTGTTTCGACAGAGATAAGGCATCTCTGGTATAGGGCACGCGATGCGTCTGTTGTTGCTCTGCTTTAAGGTAGGTTTGAAGGTTGTACAGAAAATAAAGTAGGACATGAAAATAGGAACTGCATGCTAGGCACGCACAGACGTATAAACGAATTATTTCTGTGCAAGATAACCAAATTGACTAAATTTTTTTTTTTTTTTTTTTAATTTTTTAAACCTACATTTTATGCATACACAGTTTTATATTTTATCTGAAATTGAGTTGAAAGAATTCAATTGGAGAAAAAAAAAATAAAAAGATTGTTGTTAAAAGCAAAAAGTTTAAAATTTTGGGATCCATATTTGTACATATTATATATGGAAAAGTCTGTCCATGCAAGGGATAAATTGAGACGCACAGCTTTTCAAGAAGGAGATCCTTTTTTTTGGCTGGTTATCAAAAGCGGGAAACGGATTTCCTTTTGCTTTTGCCAATCCAACCACGCTTTTATTGGATTACTAAAAGGAAAAACCAAGACAAAAAAAAAAAAAAAATCAAATATAATGGGTAGAAAAAAGATAGTATGAGGGGGGAAAGACCGTGCTTTGTGAATGAAAAAAAAAAAAAAAAAGAGTCCATACTCGTCTATGGAAAAGCAGCCTTGAATCCGTTGAATAAACAAGTGTTACCCTGCAAAATTCAAAAAGTATGACTTTTTGTGCAATTAAGCTTTTGCTGATAAAAAAGAGGAGGCGGGGTGTGCTCTCTCTCATCGAGCCATGCATCCATTCATTCACATGAAACGACATTGGGCGTCATTGGTATTTTTCCGTTCAGTACCCGGCTTTGTAGACAGACCGCACACTGAGGATAGTCTCGTCCACTGCCAGCAAAGGCCCAATGTTTCGTAAACGTACTGTGCACATCCGTGGTAGGAAGGAGGATACAAAAAGTTCATTCAACCTACCAGACACACACGCAGGCATGCACGCACACAAGCAACACAAGCATGCATGGATGCATGCATGCATGCATGCACATCTGGAAAGAATTGTCCAGTGAAGAAATGAATTTGTAACAATAGCAAGTTCATCACAGACATCCAAGTGTAACCCACGCATCAAAATCGAGTTTGGCACCTTGTCTTTTTTTTTTATATTGATTACACAAACTTGAAGGAGAGCTTGGGTTTCTATTGTCCCCCTCCTCTCCTCTCCCCGTAAATGACATGCGTTCAACACGCGATATAGGATCATCGACCTGAAGCGGAGTTATAAACTTGAAGGGATAAAAAAAAAGTTTATTTTATCGTTCCTCTATAAAAAGAGGAGAGCCCCAAAGAGACAGTTTTCTCTAGACAGTGTTCTACTACAACCATGTTTGATATCGATTTTCCTCCTGCTTCAACCACATCCAAGCTTTCAGCCTGTCCAACTGAAAAGATACCACAGACCACCGATTGGATTTATCAAGATTTCTTGTCGACCGTCCTTACTGGAGACCATGCAACAGCCACTCTCTTGCCTCCTTTCACCCGTCTGTTTCCGCATGAACAGTCCAACTTGCCTTACTATAAAGAACAAGTATTGGAACAGCAACATAGCTTATTCAAGCACTTGCACCACTACCGAGACAATGAGGAGGAGGAGGAGGAAGAAGAGGAGGAGGATCATTTTACGGTGAGCAGTATCCATTCCGATGACGACACAGATCTTGACGCGTCTGATAGTGAAGATCCCTCCGAAACGACAGGCCGCCGTCCGACGTCCGTTTGGGATGATGACTCCATACTAGAGGAGACGATACCGCCTGTCCTTATTGAATCCAACATTTCTTCCTCCGCTTCCAGCTCAACCTGTACTTTCACTTCAACAACTTCAACAACAACAACGAAAGAGGGACCCTCGACAGTCCATGGAAAGGTCCTCCCAGATAAAAACGACCATGTATTATGCACCACCCATGTAACGAAAAGAAAGTCAAACTCCTCTCTCCATTCCTTTAAATCCATGATGAATGACGTGTTGTTTCCTCGTCATAAGAAATCAAAAACAAGCCATCCCGTCGTCGTCGTCGCCGCAGCCGCCTCCTCCTCGCCAGTGACGCAAGAACATCCACCCTATGCCCTTAAGAAAAAATCAGCGCCCATGGCAAAGACAATGTCGCGAAAACTGTTTTACTATCTAAAGCATCATCGTGCCTGAGTCCCCCCCCCCTCTTGACAGTCATCTTTCCTTTTTTCATATACCATCATTGTAGTTTACTACATTCATTATGTACAACCCTCTACATCACTTTTTTAATCTCTATTTATGACCAACATCATGGACTTTCTGGAAAAGTTTCATTTTTTACATTTTTCATCATCCCATGCGACGCTCATGTCATGTCGTAATAAAACTCGATTGTTTTTTGATATGGCATCTGACTTTTTAAGGAAATTTTTTATCTTTTTTAAAAAACAAACAGTTGTATGTTCTGCAGTGAAATGAGGGAAATTAAAAAAGAAGCCCCCTTTCAACCCCGATCTTATAAGTAGACAACATTCCAGAAACTGGGGACTTGCCTCAGTGAAAAGAGGAGCCATTTCTTTTCTTTTTCTTTTTTTTTGGGTAAGGGGTAATTGTATGATTCGATTTGGGTGAGGAGAAAAAGCGCCCCTGTTCCTTCTTTTATGTGCAATTCAGATAAAATAAAAGGGTGATTATGATCATGAGGAGGATGAGTATGATGATTATACGTATGCCAGTTAAATTTGTCGTAAAAAAGAAATGAAATATTAAATAGAGTGGATAGGGAGGGTATGAAATAAAGATGGTTTCTTTTTTTTTTTATGAAAATCCGATAAAAAGATCTTTATAAGGGTCTTTGGCGTCGTATGGATTCGAGTCTGGATCAAAGCTTTCTGGATACTTTTCAAAATTACTTGTATCTCCTGGATGAGGATAGTGAGGTATAATAGGCGCGCGTACGTTCTTTTCCAATAATCCTATCCAATCCACTCCTCTAAACCATTTGTGTCGCTTCACATCTTCTGAACCGCCCTAAAGGAATACTACATGAGTCGACTCTCTCTCTCTCTCTCGGGTGCGTTTCGGCGGGGGGGGTGGCTTACCTTTAAATTCCCTAACCGTTTTGTTCTGTCACTCACTAAAAGACGTTTCAGCAGATCTTTGGCTAATGGATCGAAATGCGCTGTAAACTGTACTTTTCCCATTAAAATCTTTTCATAAATGCCAAACGAATTGTCGTCAAAGAAAGGAGGATATCTTTTTATACATGACAGCCAAGAGGTGAATTAAAAAAAAAAACAAAAAAACGCATTTTTGTCCTTGTTGCTTTGAGTTTTCTGTTGTGAGCTTACCCTGCCAACATTTCAAAGATAAGTATACCCAACGCCCACCAATCCACTGCTTTACCATGGCCTTTGCTTTGTATGATCTCAGGAGCAAGATATTCTGGCGTACCACATAAAGTCCACGTTCTAAAAAGAAGAAGGATGTGAGAGCCATTAGGATAAGAGAGAGATTTAAAAAAATGTTGTTAAAACGCCCCCCCCCCCTTACCTATCCACTACTTTTTTTGCAAAGCCAAAATCAGTGATCTTGATATGACCTTGATAATCAATAAGTAAATTTTCAGGTTTCAAATCACGATAAATGATATCCTTTGAATGCAAATATTCAATCGCCAGGACTATTTCCGATGCATAGAATCTTGTCATATCATTTGTAAACCTTCCTGCTTTTCTTAAATGAGTAAATAACTCGCCGCCTACCACATATTCAAGTAGCATATACAAATGGGTGCTGTCCTGAAAGGTACAGAAACTAATTTTTTTTTTTTTTTTTTTGTCATTGTGTTAGCATGAACACGTCTGAACAAAGCCACAACCCCCACCTCCGCATTCTATCATCATCAAAACCTTACAGATCCACAATGAATGGAAATCGAACAGAGGCCAAGATTTGCTTTTCTGACAACAAATGCTCTACTTGCTTCAATCTCACTACTTCAGACTTTTTCAGCACTTTCATGGCATAGTATTTGTTGGACGGTATGAATCTTGAGAGATACACTCTACCAAAAGTGCCCGTACCTAAGGTAGGGTGGTGAAGAAAGGGAGAGGAGAATACAAAAAAAAGATCAAAAAAAAGGGGGGGGCAACAGTGAACGACTCGTACTTTTATATATATATATATATATATATATATATTTTTTTTTAATTCTATTTACCCAAGGTGTCTTGTAATTCGAAATCTTTGACAGTAAAACTAGGTCTTTCCACATAGACAGGTGGTTTATGATGGTAGTAATGTAATTTTGCTTGTTGTTGCTGTTGATAAGGTGTTGGCATCATGATGGGTAGAGGTAAATTGGCCAAAGGATGATTGGATGGAAAAGGTGAAGTGGGTGTAGTATGTGTCGTTGTAGCATGATTCATGTCGATACAAGGTGCCTTTTTAAGATAAGGGTTGGTATTTTTAGTGTTGAGATGCATTGTTCCTGTAGCAGCAGCTGTTGTGTTTCTGGATAGAGTAGTCGTCAGCAAATCCTTTTTCATACTCGTCCTTTTAGCACTGCTCAGAGTAGTAGGATGATGATGATGATGAGGATGAGGGTGAAGCAAAGTGGTAGAAGGAGCCGTCGTAGTCGTCGTAGTCGTACTCGTTGGTGTCGTTGTCAATGTGGCTGTGGCTGTTCTTTCCATTTTGCTGTCAGCTATGTAGAGTAGAGTATATGTATATATGGATGTGATAAGGAATAGAAAAAAAAAAAAGCAATTTTTTTTTCTTTTTTTTTGTTTTTTCTTTTTTATCGAAATGCAAATATCTCGGTCTCCTTTATTTTTGAAAAAAAGAAAAAGAAAAACAGAAGGAAAAAAAAATAAAAAAAAGGGGGGAGGGGAATAGAGCAGGAATAATAGACAAGTTATGGTGTGAACAACACTAAATCACTATAAAAAAAATTAATTGATGTAAAAAAAAAAAAAAAAAAAAAAAAAAAAAAAAAAAAAAAAAAAGCTAAATTTTTTGTGATACAATGTTACTTTTTTTTTTCTTTTTTTTTTTTTTGCTTTTACCATCTGTCCTTATTGTACAATTTGTACATGGATACAGAACATGGTCTCGTTTTGCTTTTTATCCATTCCGTTGATTCAGGGTGATATACAAAGGAGAGATAGGAATTCTTGTACAAAAACTCATCTTGTCATTGAACCGACGACCCTCCCCTCCCCACTATGTCATCTCGATGATCATGATGATTGTTTGCATTGCAGCAATAAAAAACACGGGCAATGGCCCTCATTTTACTGTGGAAACCGATGACGCGTTTTTATACATACATATTCACTATGATTGATTTCAATAGATTTAGCATTAAAAATTTAAAAGTCCCCCACCCGCTTCCTGTGTGCATTATATTTTTTTTGTGGGGATGAAACTGCATGAAATAATAACTCATGTCAGCTGACACCGGTCATTGGCCATTTTTTTAACCTTTCTCGTTAAAAACTATCAAAATAAATTATGCCAGCTTTTAAACCATCCAATGCAATACAACAAAAAACCAGCTTTCTTTTTTTCATTGTTTCCAGCATTAGTCACCTGCTCGTCATTCCACACATCAGTCACCACTCTGAAAGAAAAGGTAATTCTCGCTACTCCATGGACCCATGGCCACCATGGCAAGAAAACAGATGGTCAAAAGTGATGGATGTGCTTATTCCATTCTGACAAATGAATAGTAAAACGTCCCCCCCCACGTGAAATCAAGATTGAAGAGAAAGAAAAAGCATCATTAAAGAAAGCAGTCCATGGATCCGACATTTGATATGAAGCGAATAGAAAAAGAAATCTATGCAATACAAAAGGCAGCCACCCTATCTTCTCCAGAGGACAAGAGGAGTAGTTGTCAGGATGTAACAGCCATACCACCGGCTCCTCCTCCTCCTCTTCCGCCTTTGATGGATGAAGACGATCCTTTCAATAAATTTTGGGGAATGATTGAACCCATGATGGAAAAGCTACCTGTCATTGACGACAACACCTTGAACCAAAACAATCCTATCCATTATGATACAACGCTGAATGATAGCGTCACTGAGCATATCAAAAGAGAAATGGCAGACATAGCGGATGGCTTCTTTTCCAATCCTGACCCACAGAAACAACTTGAGTCCAAGAACGACGACGATGGACAGCATAAAAAGAGCCCAAAAGAGGAGAATGAAGCGTTAAAAGAGCAAATGTCAATCATTAAAAATCAAATACGAGACTTGGAAAAGGTAAGAAAGACAAAAAAAAGGATGCAGGCACGGGTATCATTGAAAATAAAGAAAAAACCCCCTTCCCCCACTCAAAACCCACGATTCCCAGAAATCAGTGGATAGCACCGTGTTGAAAAGTAGTATTGTTCAATTCAAAAATGATATTCAAAAACAAGCCCTTCGCATTCTTCAAGAAAATCAAGAAACAGCTGCCATGAGCATGACACGTTCTGCCTCTGCCACTTCGCCTACGCACAACATCAGAAATACACGTCCTCCTCCTCATGGGAATAGCCATCTCGTGACTGCCACCACAGCGGCTGGAGGAGGAGCAAGCACGGCCGAGATTGTCAATCGCATCAAGGAATTAGAGGACATGAACCGAACACTCAGATTACAAAACAAGAAACAAGAGCATCTCATGGCAAAGTATAAAGAAAGATGGGAAAAGCTAAAGGAAGGAGCAAGAAAGCGACACCCCTCACAACCATTGCAGCCACAACAGTCGCAGCCACAGTCACAGCAGCCATCGTAGTGCGCAGTGAGCCTTCACTGTCAACCCATGGCGAAAATGATACCTTCTTTTCAGGACAAGAAAGATCTAGACTTATCTAGTAGACTACGACTTGAACTTTATATCTTCCTTCTATTTTTAGAACTCTGTAAGAAAAGTAATATTAAACTTTTCTGATCATGATAGTTTCAGAGAAATGAGGCAGGGATAAACTTAGATGAGACGCCACAGACGCGACGACGTGAGCGCGTATTGTGACAGCAGAGAGAAAAGCACGGCCATCATCAGAGTCAATGACATTCGTCTCGTCAGTCCAGCTTGAGTACTTCTTTCCCAAATCTTCGAGAGTAAGTCGTCACATCAAGAGGAAAGAGGTGCATGTTCAACTTTTATTGTTCAAACCTATTGTCTTTCAAGCTATATTCAAGCTCTCCTTTCATAACATTGGGGTTGGGAACTGCGTTTTTGTTAGGAAAAGCTTGCAAAATCCAGGCACCACTTTTTATGTTTAAAACCTGGTTTTTTTTTTCTGCACAACCAAAAAAGGCAAGACAGTTTTCCGATCATTGGAGAAAGAGCAGAGGGGTGTTGGGTCGACAAAAAAAAAAAAAAAAAAAAAAAAAAAAAAAGGGAATCCATCAGAATAGAATTCCGACATTGGTTTGTTTGTTTGCATTTTGTCAGCATTTGACTGTCGATGATTGGCGCGTCATCCTAACCGTGTGCGTATTAGAAAATAACAACCCTACCGAAATATGTATTCTCTAACAATATATCTTTGTTTCCACGTACATTTGAATATACAACAGCATTTTATTCCAAACTCAGTTAAACAAAAATTGACAAAACAGCAAGCAAATATAAAATAAAACGTTGTGTCTATGGCTCATTCCAAGCAACACCTATTTATAGTATCTCATCATATTTTTAGAGCAAACCCCTTGGTTATCATACTCTGTCTAATTAAACAAGATGAAATCTGAATCATGTCCTTTGCTGCTTTCTATGATTGCTTTCATATCTAAAAAATGCACTTTGAGAGTCGCGGGTTTCGAACTGGGTTCGTGTTCATTTGACTCAAAATTCATCGAAAGAAGAAGAAGCACAGGGGACGACATCACAGAACAAGTTCTCTTGGGAAGATTCCCCACCCCCAAAGATGCATTTTTTTTAATAGGCGATACATAGTAGTTATAGAAACAAACAAGTGATTCGCCCAGTTGAACTGACACACATCTATTTTTGACATGGAGATAGTCTACACTTGAACTACGTTTCTTTTTCCCTCATTTGAATTGCAAAATGTGTCTATGTATCATCCATTGAACAGATGCTGTATGCTCATGGCTAGGTTGATCCGAACGTGAGCGTCTGATCGATAAAAAGAACAGCGTAGAACCCTTATAGAATAATGATGTTTGGTTTAACCTCCTTTTGCTCAACCAGGAGGACTGTGTGTGACTGAATGTAAAATCTTGTAAAATAAAAAAAAAACCAGGAAAAACTATATTTATCCAACCCTGTGGCGCCTACCAATGTCAACCATTTTTTTGACTGGATCGGCCCTTGATATCTGTAGGGTGTATAGGTAGGCACTTTATCCTGAAAGGGGACATTTGAATCAGTGTAGCCAATGATCATCTTTACTGCGCGTTGTCTGCTGTTCTGGGAACTCCCAACCCAATCTGTATATCAGCCGTGTTGCTAAACCTATAAGAGAGCAGACGCTATTCTGTACATAGGTTTCAAGCTGATTCTTTACGTCGCTTTTCCTCTTTTCCTCTAAATTTCTACTACCCCTCCTCTGGTTCATCCATGAAGCCAATCTTACTCTTTACTGTTGCTCTTTTCCTTTCTTACTGCTCGCTCACCCTCGCGGCTCCCTTTGAAAAGAAGAACGCGTTAAGTCTTTTATTGGAGAAATGCCATGAATCTGCTAAACTTACACAGTACTGGATACCCAAGGAAGGCGAATACGATTTAGGCAGCAACGGCCAACCAATCAAGTTGACAGGCGCCAAAGTCAAGGCGCTTAAAACAAACGAGGGTAAGCTCATCGCCAAGGTAGCGCCCAACACCTACACCGCGTTCCAAATGGAAGGCAGCGGGCTACTTCAAGACGGTCGCTTGATCAACTTGGCTGAACACAAGAACGCTTTCATGGTGCTCGATCGTTCCAAGACGCCCTTCGGTATCGGCCCCCATGGTCAATCGTTGGTTCCGTGGATCAGTGTTGCCGCGAACGATATTGACATTGGCACCCATTTGTACATTAAGCAACTGGACGGCGTCACCTTACCAAATGGTTTAAAGCACAATGGTTGTGTTCGCGTGGACGATGAAGGTTGGAGTTTCAACGGCTGCCATATCGACTTTTTTGTTTTACAATACAAGGCCTTTGAAGAATTAGTCGATATTTTGCCCGAAACAGTATCCGTCGTCGAAAAACAGTGTACCCTCAAGGATTATGTCAACGACAAAGTCTTGGCTTGGGCCGAGCTATAAAAGACTGTCCCTTATGTCTCTGTTTTGTCAATTTTCAAAAGAGTAATCATAGATTCATTATCTGTTATCTTTTACCTCTATTCTTCATCATCATGATCAATTCACTCCATTTTTACCTTTAGCATCTACTGCCATGTATCCTCTTTCCTATATACGTATACTCAGTAATCCTCCTTGTAACATAGTATCTATCTTTCATATCTCCCGCAACAAGAAAAAAGATTTTGTATTTTTATTATTCAATCATTACTATTTCTTTGCGTCCTTATTAAATTATAATAAATTATTCATCATGTAGGGGTGGATGAAAGATCTAACTTTTATCGGATGGACTTGTGAAATCACCAAAAAAGATACAAAACCCCCCCCTCCCTCCCAAACAAAGAATGCGTGGTCGCGCTTCATAACTATTTATTGATAGCCAGCTTGGTTGTCTACTCTGTATTTGAGAGGATAAGGTGTACCATCAGGATTGAATACTTCAAAAAAATGGTTACTCAGGTATCCAGATCCTTGAAAGTTGATCCAACCACCGCCAGGCATAGAGATGACCAAGGGATCATAATCCGCCTTACCATACCACTTTCGTACCTGGTAAAAAGGGGTCAACGAGGGAAACAGTTACTCTTTTCTGCCATTTTGATCATAACCGACAATCTGTACAAAAATACCTACCACTAATTGGATCTCTTCATCTTTGTTTTGGCTTCGGACACAATCCGGGTTGGTGTATGCACAGCAAGCCTTTTCGCCTTGATTCAGGTGATAATTGGCGAAACGTCTAACCATAGTTTGTACGTTAACATAGAAAAAAAACAAAAACAAACAAAGGATAAAGTCCCTTCATCACTAGATAAACTTACTTGAAATAATTTGGACCAGCATTCAACGGAGCTTGTCGAACCCATAGATAAGTTTTTCTACCATCAGGTCCATCCCCAATATTGTTGTAGATACAGAACGCAAAAGTAGACGACGCGAAGAAAGTAGTGACGAACAGGATGAAAATGGCAGCAACCTTCATTTCTATTATTTTTTTGTCGTTAGGTTTTTTTACAAAGGATGGTAACGGGGAAGGCAGTGATTAAGGAAAGAGGATACTGTTGCTTCTAAAGGTTTGTTGTTGATATTGATAAAGCGGACGAGAAATGGAATTGGTCTTTATATATACCTGAGAAGCCTTCACTTTCTTTGTCCTCGTTGCTGCCACGAGTCATCGTTATTTTGGTTGTCCTCGATAATGAATTGAGTTGTGAACATTTGTTTGTTTCCAACCCACGTCAAGGATGAAAAAACTTGGCTGTTTATTAAGAGAAGGTGGGAGACAAGTCGTGATGTATGATCAGAACAAAAGGCAAAAGTAATAACCATGCATTCAACTCACGAATTTGGCCAATGAAATTGCAGGATTCAAACAAAAAGAAAACAAAACTCCTGAACTTGTAAGCAAGATGAACGCAGAAAAACACGTTCAAATTCAGTTGAATAGCAAGTTAACTTACAAAATGATCGTTGCGAACCACATCTTATTTGTGTGTAAAGCAACCCAATTGACTCTTTCTTCATTCTTCACAGCAGTGTTTGTTTTGCACCCCTCCACACCTGCCCACCCACCCCTCCCCCAATCACGTTATTCTAGAATTATTTTTCCGTGTTGTTTAAAAACTGCTTTCCGACTCTGACGCTAATATGACGAGTGCCAATGTTTCTAAACGTCAGACGCGCATTTGTAAATAAAACAATATTCAGGCACATTATTAAAATTGTTAAACATATTAGCTATGCGTTTATTAAAGAATGGCTATCCATCAGTTTTTTTCTTTTCAAGCTTTCTCCCCTTTAAAGATTGAAAACATGAATTATGACATTATGGAGTACAAAGACTCTCATTTAGGTTGGGTTTTTCTATTTTTTTTATTTTTTTTTTTTAGGTATTGACGGGTAAGAACGGACGAATAGGGAGAACCAATTTGCCCTTCTGTTTTGCTTTGAAGCTCCTCGCTCGTAAGCGACTTTTTGGTTTTTTTCTACAAGCCAATGAGCAGATAACAGTTAAATGCAAGATACGTGGGTTAGTTGCACACTGCAGTCGCTTCTACTCATTGAACATACTCATCATTGCGGCGCGGAGACGAATACATTCCTCGGAAAAAGACTCGTATTTATTTGAGATGATTAGCGTAAAGTTCAAGACGATATAGAGACAACAAGGAAAATAAGATAGTGGCAGCAACAATATTAAAGAAGAAGAACATAAAATGAATAAAATTAACTGGGGGGGGCGTATTAAGTGTGCGTAAAGTCGAATGAGTGTTCATCGACAGGACGCTGTATCTAATCTCTTATAGTCAAGTTCTTGGGTCCAGTATAATTGTACTTTTCTCTCCAAAGGTCAGACACCTTACGGGCATGACCCAAATCAGTACCGCTCAACACTTCCAAGTTCGACAGACCACCATCCTCTTTGTGTTGAGCCAGCTCTTGGTTTTGAGTCAGTTCAATAAACATATGTAACCAAGACATAGCGTTCCACACCGTGAAATATTCTTCGGTTACCAATTTCCGTGCGTTTTCGCTCATTTCAGCGCGTAGTTGAGGTTCTTTGAAAAGTCTATAGAGGCAATCAGCTACCTGTTCTACCTCGCCGATGGGTACCAAAAAGCCATCCTTATTGCGGCGGATCTGTAAGGGGATACCGCCTGCTTCGTAAGCAACGACGGGAATTCCCTTGAAGAGGGCCTCTGTTACCTTGACTTCGAAACCTTCACGGTGAGATAATTGAAGAGCCACATAAGCACCTCGCAAAATCATATTCAACAATTGATCGGATGCCGGAAGTCGAACGGCAATGACGTCGCTGGCAATCGTGGCAAACTTGGGAGATTCCAGCATGTCCATGACTTGTTCAAAGATAACAGTGCCATCAGGGTCATCAATACTGCCATGGCCGCAAACGACGAGCTGAGGTATGCGAGCATCGCTAAATTCACTGTCCATCTTCAGACGCAAAAGACGGTAGGCTTCAAGCACGTCTGGAATACCTTTTGAGGGATCGAAACGAGCGACTTGCACAATGTACGGTCTTAGCCAGTCTACCTCGTTGACGCCCAAATCCATACAGATACGGTTGAAGACGGATTGATAATAAGTGATACACCAGTCTGTCAATGGCTTGTTGAGACCATCCAAAGGATCCGTGGAAGCTGGTAATAACACAGTATTACGGGTAGGAACCGCAGGCGGGATGAACCCTTGGATAGGATGAGCAACAAAGAGGTCAGCGTGTTTGATAAATTGCCACAAGAAACTAAAGGGGGGGGGAGGGAAAGTTCATTAGCCCTTCCGCTCTTCATGGTAACTTGCCTGCAGACAAAAGTATCAACCCCAGCAACTCACTTACTTCCAAGTATTCGCAGTAGAGCCTTCAGGCTCGTTTTCAATCAAATCAGCTCTAATTTCGATATGAGATCTAAAGATGATTCTAGTATTGGGCGCATGTTTACGGATATGAGGAATAATACCACAAACTAAAAGAAACAGTATACAAGAGTCAGTGACAGCAAACCTTCCCTTTTTGTTTTCTGTATCACTTTACCTTGCGGATCATCAATGACAATAACATCAGAGTTCTTGATAGGACCATTCGGATCTAGCCAGAATCGGTTGGCATTTTCGTTAGACCAGTCAATAAAGGTCTGTTTATCTTCTTCTGTCAAGCGAACATCAGCAGGAGCAACACCTTGAAGAACGTTATGGAATTTTCTCTTTGTAATATCAAAGACTTCGGGCTTTGGTCTGGCCACATACCCTATTTGTTAAGTGGGTTTTAGAATAGAATAAGCAAAGTTAGAGTTAAAAAAGGTATCTGGCCAATAACCAATACGGCCTCGGGAAAAAGTATTTTTCCAAAAGACTTACAGTGGACATCTACACCATTCAAATGAAGAAATCGGAGAAGAGCATGACGCATCAAGGCCACTATGAAAAAAAAAAAAAAAAATTAGCCAAGAAGTCTATGGTGAATGTTCAAGTTACAACTCTTTACCTCCGCCTCCTTGGGGAGTTGAGTTGAAAAATGAAACTTTTAATTTCTTTCCCTTGAAGGTCTTGACCATTTCCTGGAAAACATCCCACGTCTCTTTACATACAGTTTCCTCATAATCAATGAGGCTGACCATACGAATGATATGGTTGAAATCGACTAAAGGGGAATGCGACATGAGTACAATTAGCGCCTGGATTCTTTGATAGAGCTCTTCTTTTTGATTCGTTTTATCTTACCTTCAACCTATAGTTTAGGTTGTTTCAATAAGCAATGTGATATCATCAAACAGAAAGATAAGCGTCAATTTAAAAACTGTGCAACGAACCCAAGTGAAGGCTACAAACGTACCTCATGTCTGTATCCTACGGAAATACGAGGAAGATTGCCAGGATATTTAGGACTCAACCTAGAGGAGTGAGCTTCATGAGTATAGGATCTGTTTCTCATTCATTTTGCCGCTCAGCTTCTTGCTGTTTCCTTTAATCACTACATCAAGTAGAATACTTTACCACATGACGGCTTTTCTGACAGCAGCGCTTGCGCGTTCATCGGGTGAACTGCCATGAGTCATAACACGGAAAGGAATAGCGTCCAATTCGCGCCAATAATCCGACATAGTAGAAATTTCTTCAATGTCAATAAATCCTTCTTGGCCTTTGATAAACTCGCTTGCAATATCATAAGAGCAAGCGACTAGTTGGACTTTATAGTTTTGTGCCATCGCAAAGAGTTGAACAACACCATGAAGCTTGGTAAAGGCTTCAATAATAATCTCTTTGGCGGATTTGGAAGCCTCGTGGCGTTTCAGAGGACCTTCGTAGTAATCAGTACAATACATACCGTCATTGACGGAAAGAGCGTAGTAACTAGTGCGGTCTTCACGTATTTCAATGTCGATACCAAGATAAACGGGAAGAGGAACGTGAGCCGTCGAGAAGCGACGCGAAGTACGTCTGCACGGAGCTCTAGTAGGGTTAGGAGGCATGATAGATAGCTTATTGTTCTAATAATATGTATTTAAAAGGTTATAAAAAAGATAAAAAAGGAAGCGAGAAAATTCAAAGTATATAACACATACTGTCAAAAAAAAAAGGCTTGTGCTTTTTTATACTGTATATGATGTAATGGATCGGGACGACAGCTGCCATTATAAAACAGAAAATTGGCATAATCTGCATGAATTTTTGTTTGGCGGAAATCCAATTTACAAAAAGGCTCCACACCACCCCCCCACCACATGAATTCTAAGAAGGTCATCATTGAAAGGAAAAGAATAGATAGAAAATGGAAAAATATAGTGACAAAAAAAGCACTAGCTTTTTCGATCATCCCCCCATCTTCTTTCTTCCATCTATTTTTGCAAATTGTCATTGCATCCTTCTGTTTTATTGTCAATTACCCTTCTTTATTTTCTATCGCATACAAAACACTTTATGGGCGCTATACAGTCATCACAAAACAGCAAGCCGAAACGACCCCTTTCAAGAAGCTCCTTCCGCAACCAACCAAGCAATCATGAGCCACTATTCACGTCCATCACCAATGAATATGACGGAGAAGGAAAGAAGCCGCCAAAGTCACGGGAAAACCAAGAGCGGCAGAGGCCGTCCCTTCTCAATAAGAAATTGATGACGAGAAGGAAAACAAAAGACATAACGGCAGAGTATGATAGTGTCAGCAAAAGACCAGCAGCAACATATTCATCTGTATCACCCATACTTTCAACGGACGATGATGTTGAACATAAAATAAATTACAACAGGGATATCATTGAGTTTCATGGTAGAAGTTATCCAGCTAGGGGTAAACACAAGTATATTCTACCCATTGACGACCAAGAACAAGATAGGCTTATACAAGTTGTAAGTATAGCAGTAGTAACAATCGAATTATTATCAGAAGATTAATGCCTTCTTTACTACTCCCATTCATGTTTGACAACTATGACCGTTTCTTCGAAAAAGCATTTTCTGTATAAATATCTTTTCGATACCAATTTCTTAGCACCCGTAAAGGATTTATTATCTGTCAATTTATCTATATCCTCGTCGCTTTCTTCGCGCAGAGGAACGTTAACAGACTTGCATTTACGACGTTGCTCTACTGGCAGTAGAAAAAGTCCAGAGCAACAATATATCATCAACAGTGGTGACATTTGCATTAACCACAGATACAATTTTATGATGCTTGACCAGCAACAACAGCACCAGCAACAAAAAAAAGATCCGATGATAGATCCTCTAGATATTAGCCTGCCAAACCTGGATTGGTATTCTGATACGTCACCCAAAGTATTGGATATTGCTTGTGGCAATGGCATTTGGATAATGGAAATGGCTACAGATTTCCCAGACAGTCAATTTTTCGGTATTGATATCAATACAAACTACCCAAAAACAATTAAACCGCCAAACACCAACTTTCTACAATGGGACATACTCAATTCAAAAGGTGTTCCCTTCCCGAATGAATATTTTGATTACATCTTTATGCGACAGGTATATACATGCTTTTCTGCAGAGGATTGGAAAACCGTGATGATGGAAGTAAAGCGATTGTTGAAACCAGGCGGTTACGTCGAGTTTCGTGATCTCGATCCGATAATACACAATCAGGGGCCTTTCACCTCCGAAATATTGAAAAGCTGTAAGCTATATAAACACAATGTCTCGCTGCAAAGAATAATAGTGCTGAGCGGGAAATATCCTATTCTATCTATGTAGTTCCAAGATTGATGAAGGAGAATTATGGAGTTGACGTTCGCTGGGCAAAGAACATGCTTGATACATTATATGATGTAGGCAATATGACGGATGTGCATCAACAAGTCATCCCTCTTCGCTTTGGAGCGTTGCCCGCCTCAGATCCCGTAGGACACATGATTTTGAGGTCGCTGAGACTAGGGCTGGAAAACTATAGGCTCTTTTACGAAAAGCATCAAGACCTACGAAAAGACGTCGACTTTGACATCGCGATTGACACTATGTTGCAAGAGGCCGTTGATTACGATTCTTATATGGAGTATGTTTGTTGCTGGGCGAGAAAGCCACTGTTCGAAACGATCGATATTGCACAAACAAATGTCAGAAGATACTCAAGTGGACTCCTTATTCTCAATAACATTCACAATCACTCTCACGATGTCAACAAAATGATTTTGCAGGATTTGAATAACAAAGACGGCGACAATTCTCATGATGGCGATATTATACATGAAGAGAATGTAACTGATATAAATCAATTTGTCGAAGGCTTTTATGAGGATTAGCTCCACAGTGTAAAAACATTTACCTCTAGATCATCTTTGTACATATATTAAATGATACCACACACTTAATTTATTTTACACCAAAATATATATCCCCTTTTTTGACTAATTTATACATTATCAGTTCACTGTTATCCATTGCAAAGTACTTCTATAGAGTAGTTTTATTGAGTCACAACGTCAAGTCCTCAATTGTCTATAAGTATACGCAAATCCTTATCGTATTCGGACGGGTTCGAAACGGCCCCAAAAAAGGCCAGATCTCTTTTTTATTGTTTTTGTATCTATTCTTAAAGATCATGAACAAAATCCACATGTAACAAATGATACAAGTTGTTGCCAAAAAGACTTCTTTCTCAATGTAGTTTGCTCAGCAAAATCAGTTTGTTGTAAATTACGATGGTCATGTGTCGGAGCAGCAGTAGTTGCAGCAGCGGCAGGTGGTTGAGTGCGATTGTATTGACTATGGTTATTCATCGTCGCTTCGTGTCGAAGGGGTTGTTGATGGGAAGGTTGTTGTTGTGCTGCTGTGGTAGGATTACGCGTAGCTCTCGCTGTTTGTTGTTTTTGTGACTGATGGTGACCTATAGAACGTCGTGTTTTATCTGCTATTAGTCCCTTTCCATTATTCAGTAGCATCCAATCATAAACCCCGTCGTCGCGTTCACCATGGTTTTTCAAGACTTTTGTAAACAGATCTCGTAAAAAGTCATAGTCTGGTGTCTCTTCGAACCCTAGCTTTCTAACATATTGAAGGTAGATACCAAACTCCTCTATAAAAAGCCGTTAGGAAACTGCAACATTGAAAAAGGCGGGAGCAGCACGTTTCGCATTTGATTTACCTGGAAATCCTGCACATAGATCTTTTATAGATGTGGTCTGCTTTTTTTCACCAATCTTTTCATACTTCTGCTTATTTGTTGCTGCTTTGAGCCCTTGCCATGGTAAAGACCCTCTTAGAAAATACATGAATACGTGGCCTAAAGATTCTAAATCGTCCCGTCTTGATTGTTCTCTGCCTAGATGTGTATTGATACTCATGTATCTCGCCGTGCCTGACAAACTTTTTCGCTCACGGTAAGGAATATGCTGCTTTGTCTTGGGGTCTCTGTATTGTTTCGCCATGCCAAAATCGATCATATACACAGTATTGGCTTCCGAAGTAGTCTGTTTTCCAATTAAGAAATTATCGGGTTTTATATCACGGTAAATGAGGTTATGTTCATGCACGCTTTGGACTCTAGTAATCTAAAGAGGAAGAAAAGAAAAAGAGAAAGAATAGGACTCGATAAATAACTTGTCCAGCTGAAGCCCAGCATCCCCTTGTAGTTCCCATTACCATATTCCTTGCCAATGTGGCGACTGTTTTAATACTGAATTTTCTTGAGCAAGTATCAAAGAGGTCCTCTAAACTGGGTCCCAAGAGATCAATGACTAAAATATTATGTAAGCCTTCCTGACCAAAGTAATAAGCATTTGGTATACCAGCTATATACATAATATATAAATTCAAGAAGAGGAAAATTAGATCTTGTACTAGCAATTTGTCCAAATGAGATAATTCACCCATGCTATATGACAACTTACGGGTTCCTGATAGAATTTTGTAAGTTCTATATTCATCTCTTAATTGAGGTGCATCTGATTTGCGAGGTTCGAATTTTATAGCCACTTGCTGGTTATTCAATAAATTGGTGCCTACAGTATTTGTCCGAGTTCAGTTATATTCGTCTTTGTAACGGTTATACCATAATATATTTTTAATAATTCTACCTTCATATATAATACCGAAACTTCCCTCGCCTAGTTTACGACCAACCTTATAATGAACACCTACGACATTACTGCCATTGCTGTTGCCGGTAGTTGAGTGAGAATTGGTTGTTGCCATGATTTACGAACGAAGTAAGTAAATATTTAATTTAATGTATGTCTTGTTTAAGAATAAAGAACTGAAAAGAAAAAGAACAGTGTGCGCTGTATTACAAAATGGTATATGTATAAATATTAAGAAAGGTGCTTATTATTAGTTGAATAGAACGAACGCATCCACAGACGCATCCACAAAGACAAAAGGACTAAAGAACAAAGAATAGTATATATGTAATGTAAAAGGAAAAAGCTGAATAAAAGAAGGTTTAAAAATAAAACAATGGAGTTTTCAAAGAATACAAATTTTCAAAATTAAAAAAAAAAAAAATCGAGGCCGTGAAAGCAAGTAACATTTTCGTGTGTACGTCTTTTCTTTATTCACTACTTTTTTCCATTGTGGTCTTTGATGTTTCAATAAACTACGACAATGGGGGCATTTTTGATGTACGTAATGCACTTGAAAACGTTAACTTTATGCACACACAATACAACAATTCGCATTCTTCGATATTTTTTTTTTTTTTTTTTTTTTTCCGAGCTTTTGGACTTTTTTATAGATTTTTCACGTTGTTTTTTTTTTGAATGTTTTAAAAAAAGGCACAGGTCCTTTCGCCAGTTTAATCAGAGTCGATCCTTTTTCTTTCTCTACAAATATGGAAACTTGGATCTAAGTAAACTTTGTGACAAAGTAATTCATGCCTTAAACGCGCTTAGATGTTGAATCCTTCGTTTTTCAGTACAGTATGTAAGCTCTTTTATTCTGCCAACGGATTAAAAATAGATTTTGTAGTTCAGGCTTAGACCCTCGACCATGTAAAACCTGTAAGTCTGAAAACAAATTAGGCATTTGTAACAGCGAGTCTTACGGGAGAGCTTCTTTGTGCAGCCTTAACCATTCGTCCATTGTCAATGTATTCAACAACAGGTCAGATACTTATTCAATCTAACCTTCTGATTTTTTAACAGATACGTTTATTGCATTCTGGCCATTGAAAAAGGTCTATAAATAGACAATTTCATATGTACACGTTAAAGATGCTTTTCTCATTGACACTGACAGCTGCGAATCTGTTGTATCCCCGCGTTTCCTTTGCATTTGGTAAAGGCGGCATAAAACCATTCTGATGTTGGCCGATTATATTTATATACCATAACTGGGTTAAGATGGGATCTCATTTTTTAGAAAATTCTGTATAAAAAATGACTCAAACGGTTAAATGGACTTGCAACCCGGATAATTGTCTGTCCTCTTCCTCTGACCCTCCCTTTCTGACTGTGTCCCCTTACGCTGCCGTGGCTTTTAATTGTGTGGATGACCATCATGCAAAAGATTTTCATATGCAGGCTAAGGGCTCTCTGTTTGATTGTCAGATTGTCGTAGTGGTCTTAGAGTTTTACTCCAGTGATTTTGTGCTAGTGAAGAAATGTGTTAGCGTAATAATAAGGCTTGTTGGCGCCAAACGGTGGATGAAAAGGAATAAGAAAAGGTCGATAATAGTAGTGAGCGTTTGCTTATTTATGCTATGTCTCTACTATCCTTATGAGTATGTCTTTAAAGACTTTAATCAGAAATGCAATGGTATAGCTAATGTAAGCTTTGGTTTAATTCTTTAAAAATACACAGGCAAAATTGCATATTTACAAGTCAACCTTTGCAACTTCATACAAGTAAGCACCTAATAATTGAGTACCCTTGATATAGTTTGATCTGTCCAACTTTTCATTAATGGAGTGAGCACCCTATCAAATAAGAAAAAGTATGAGTCTAGAATCCCTTTTACTCATCGCTATGCGAGGAAAAAACAAGAGCTGTGCAACTTACATCATCACCACGGCCCATAGGTAACAAAAGAACATTCTTGTTGAGAGCATCTTGGAAGGAAAGGGTGACGGGAATGGAACCACCTTCACGGGTTAAGTCAGGCTTGACCTTGTAAACAGTTTCAACAGCCTTTGCAGCAGCAACTATTTTTTCAATGACGAACAATTATACACGTAAGTATACTTTCCTTGCTTTTATTAAACTGGCAGCATCACCATCTCTTCAGCTCTAAGCTTCCTCTTCCCTCATCTCTGTGTTCAAAATGGCTAAACTTACCATAATTGGGATGTTCAGGGCTAGAAAGCCAGTAGTTTCCGTCATGAGTGCAGTAAACGTCAATTTCATTCTTGGATCCCAACTTAGCAAATTCATCCTTACAGTATTTAACAACTAATTCGGAGATCTTCTTGGGTTCCATATCAGGGACAGTACGGATAGAGAATTTACCAGTAACACATGCAGGAATGACAGTCTTGTCACCGGGATTGTAGAAAGCACCTTCAATACCGTGCAAAGAAAGAGAAGGATTTCTCCAACGGCACTGAAGAGTCTTACGAACGGAGTCGTGAATGTTGGTCTTGTTACCAATGGCATCATGAAGTTCTTCAATCTTAAAGTCCAAATTATCATATGTCTTTTCCTCCTCGGCTAAAATTTTGTAAACGCTTCGGCATCAATATCACAAATATTTTCAGACCACATAAATAAACCTTCTACTAAATCTACTTACGAGAAACTTCACGAACTTCGTCATAAATACCAGGAACAAGGATTTTACCATTAGGGTCTACAAGCTTGCTCATAACACTGATAAGATCTGTCATAGGTTCGTGAACAGTGCCACCGAAGACACCAGAGTGAAGGTCAGCACGCTATTACATATCGCCGATTGATAGAAAGATAAGAGTATTAGATTGACATGATAACCTTAATGGCATTTATATCCATATCCTAACTTTTTTTCTTTTTGTTATACGACTACTTACAGGACCCTTGATCTTCATGTGGTAATAAGAGACACCACGAAGACCATATGTCAAGCAAGGTTTGGTGGTACCAAGCCAGTAGTTATCGGAGATACAAACAGCATCAACATCCTTGAAGTACTTGGAAGCTTCATCATAAATAAGAGCATCCAAACCTTCTGAACCAGATTCTTCCATACCTTCGAGACAGAATTTGAGATTTACGGGCAACTCAAGACCAAGAGACTTGTGGGCTTCGACAACATTAATCCAACCGAGAACAGGACCCTTATCATCAGACGAACCACGACCAACCAAACGGTCTTGATCATCCTCTACTAATTCAAAAGGACTAGTGTTCCAACCATCTTCAATAAGGGCCTAGTTTATGTATAAATTTAATAATGTTAAGACCTTGCTTACTCATTTTAACGGCTTTTTTCTATTCTATCGTCCTCATTATCCCTTTCTCTGTTCCTTTCATATATATCCATATCCGTTCTAATTCATTCTAAAACACTTACAGGTTGAACGTCATAATGACCGTAAACGAGGATAGTCTTCTTTGAGGGGTCATTGCCGACAGTAGCTAAAACAATAGGAGGCAAATCCAATTCTTGGCCGTGCCAGTTTTGCTTACCAAGGTCACGAGTTTCGACAGAAGCACCAAGGGCTTTGAGCTCAGCAACGAGGAATTCTGACATACGGAAAACTTCAGGACGATAAGCAGGGTCGCCACTCACGCTAATGATATAGTATGTATTGAAAACATTGTTAATGATAATGCTTTCTGACTAATGACAACTGCTTGTGAAGCACAAACGTTTTTGGCTTTATGTCAAATGTACTTTTCTTCCTTTTATATTTACCTAGGAATAGCAACGGCTTTACGAAGTCTTTCAATAAAGTCTCGTTCATGCTTTTCAACGTATTCTAAGAATTGCTCCATTTTTCAAATTCAAGAAGGATTCAAATAAAGAACAAAAAAAACAAAAGAAAAAAAAAAAAAAAGAAAGCCTGATACTACGTTTTCTGAGTATTTAGTGCTGTGTGACAGGTCCACAGACAATGGAGTTTTAATCCAACGACAACAGCAGCGAATTTCTCGCAATTTCACGCATTTGCTGTGCAAGCGTGCGAAAAAAAAAAGTCAGGCCAAGGTGATAGTCACACGGTAAAAGGCGCTCAATGGCAGCTCTTCTATGTTAATTTGGTTATCATGGAATGATCACAAGCGTATAGTTTGTGGTAGGCAAAACCGATCATTTGCCGGAACCTCAATAGTGATCTATTAAGTGATGATTATCTCATACGTAATACAATTCTACAATCTTTATCCTTGCTGGGTTTATTTCTACATTCTATAACCTCGGATTGTCTTCTCGGAGCACTCCGATGTAAAGATTTATCCGTTAGGATAGAAGGCACCGATTTGTTAGATCACTAATTTTCGTTTGCAAAAGGGCATGATGAGCCATTTATTGTGTATAATAAAATCTGTGTCTGTTCATGCGTTGTGCATATATATATATATATATTATTATTATTGTATATAATGAATAAAAAGAATTTGTTGATTTAATAAGAGAAATCGTTGGTCCCTTTACTGGTATCCTGTGCTGCCAAAGCCGCCATGGCCACGTTCTGATTCTTCCAAGGACTATAAATGAACAGCCAAATATTAAATACTCGTTCCTATTATAGGCAGAATTGTTTGTCTTACCTCTACTTCAACAACTTCGGGCGTGGATATCTTTTCTATGATCAACTGAGCAATTCTATCACCACGTTTCACTGGATTCGAGAGAAATAAACCAGTGAGATCAAAAGTTTGAAAATTCTCTTTCCTGCATTTAACCTACTGTCTTACCTTGATAATCGATATCGCTGAAGTTGAATAACAACACGCCAAGCGGTCCACGATAATCAGCATCAATAACACCGGCGCCAGTATCCAAATGATGTTTGGAGGCTAAGCCGGAACGGGGAGCAACGCGACCATAATGTCCCATAGGAATGGCAAGAGATATGTCTGTAGCTACTATAGTTTTACCTTTAGCAGGTATGGTAATGTCATGTGCACTATAGGTTTTTATTCATGATTATCTGTCAGTAAAATAACGAAATAACTTTTGCTTGTCAAACAAGATCAGTTTACACATCGTAATGACGAGATCTTACCAATAGAGATCGTAACCAGCAGCAGCAGCAGAGCCTCTTGTAGGAAGTTTAGCATGCTCTGATAGGCGTTTGATTAATAATTGACAAGGTGCGTTAGCAGTAGCAGCCATGTTTATATCGCAATGATGAATTAGCAGGTAGAAAGAAGCTATATCAAGAAAAAGAAACGGGTTTCCAGAAATGACTGATCCGAAATACGAAACGCATTCCGTGACTTAGTTGAATTTGATTTTTTCGCGTTGCTCTTTTCCCCCCCCCCAGAAGTAGGCTATCATAGCTGGCCTTTGGCATGAAGAACAGTACAGTGCCATTTTTAAAATATGGATTAAAGACAAGAAATTGAAGTTTTCGTAAGTATTTTATTTAATATATATTAAAAGATGTTTGCTTGACAATAAAATAGAGCTTCAGTTTTGCTGCAGTGCCGTTATGGATGTTCCCCTCAGGTACGGTCTTGATGCTTATACTTCGTCTTAAGGTTAGCAACTTCCCTATCCAGGACTCGCTTCTGAGCTTGTGCCCTTCTAGCAATTTCTTCAACACGTATCAAATTATTTTCAGTAAGTTGAGACTTGGGAATTTCGTCACTAATTTCATTGATTAAACCCAAGATGGTGCCGAGTTGGTTAGGCAACCTGTTACGTAATAGAAATGAAATGAATCAAAAAATTTAGCGTATTGCGAAGGGTAAAATACAGAATAAAAACTTGAAACTGTTGGCGAAATAGATGTTTTGATAACGTACCAGGTAACAATAGGAGAGCCTCCAGTAGCAACTGGATGAGTCGTATGCTTGATAATGTACTCCTTCGTAAAATTCCAGTGTCTATTACGGAAGGCGCGGTTTTGGTCGACAATGGACAAGTAAATAGCAGCAGAATTAGGATCCTGAAGGGCGAAATGCTTAACACCAATTTTTCTGGCTTTGGCTTGAACATATTCCAAGAATTCACGGTGATTAGGAGGTCGATAAGATCTGAAATCACGTAATACTTCAGTCAAAGGATTTTCAGGCATAATCTCAGTGATTTGCAACAAATTGTCAACCAAAGGGATCATTGAATCATTAGCGCCTGATTCACCACGGTGAACAACCGGTTCATCGCTAACGCCTTCATAAATAACACCATCAGGGAACATAGGCTATACAATGATAAAAAAAATGATTGGTATATGGTAATTACCACACGGAATGTCATGAATCATATTACCTGATTCTTTGTACCCATAATGAAGGTTCTGAATTTGAGATAGTCTTCAGGCATGCTGCGTGACCACATCATCTCCATCTCCCGGTTAATACATTCATAAGTTTCATTCAAGCCTAACATTTGAGTGTCAAATTTGGTACGATCACCTGCTTCAACGGCTTCCAAAATGCCTCTAGTGAACTGGACGAGCTTGGGAGAATAAGAGACCATAGTAACATGGTTCAAGACGAAGCCTTTCCTATTTTTGGACAATAACAAGAAATCGTTAACAGCGTTAATAACGCTACATTACAAGAGGAAGAATGGCGCACTTACTCAGATTCACTACCAGCAAAAGCACGGATGAGAGCCAGATTATCGTAAGTAAGTCCCCCAGCGGGTTGCAACTTCTTGTAATTATACAACCTATTCAAGATAATGCAACATATTAGTGACAAATATAGGAAAGGGTATTTTTATTCGAACTTACGCGTAACTCAATGCACTATAGACAAAAACAGTTGGAAAAAAAAGAGAAAGGTCAGATTTCTATAAATACTGCAATATTGTGTTAAAAGCTAACAAGCACTCACTATTCCATGAAAGGCTTGCTTTGAATTTTCTCTGCCACCTTATGCAAGGGAACAGCAATATTCTTTGGCAACACTTTTCTTCCATGGCCATAATCTTTCGCAGCACGGTAAAGTATGTCGCAAGGTTCGAGCAAATAAGCAGAAGCAGCAAAAGTGTAATCGCGAAACAAGGCTGTTAAAACGAGAACAGAGATTTATTCACAAAAATGAATGTATATCTTAGTAACCAGATCTCTGAAAGAAAATGATAATGTAAAGTCAATAATCACATATTCTTCTTCACCTGACAATAAACGTTGATCAGTAATTGAATCGACATCATAAAGAGGAAGCTCGTCACGAACAGCATCACCAAACTGGCCACTGGCCAGTAAGCCAGGAGTACCATCCGCACGTCGTAAAGGCATACGTTGCAACAAAGATTCCAAATGCTTGAAGCAGTCAGGCAACTGGGATAAAGGGTCTACGCGGGGAAGAAAACCATTTTCAGTGCCCACCGTAAACATTGGTTGATTAGCTTGTTCATTAAGAGGATTGTCATTAAGTAAAGCAAAAGTTCTTTTAAATTGAAGTACAGGAGGGGTATATTGTTTTCTTATCAAAAGAGAACTTGAAGTAGTAATGTTAAGTTGTGCAGCAGCAGTTGATAGGCGTCCAGATCTCCGCAGTGTAATCATTTTACTAAGTTAGAATGTTTTAGAAAAAACAACAAGTATGAGGAGGAAAGAAATATTCAGACTTTTATAGCTTTATTCATCCTGTCTCGCTGTTGATGAATGGATGATGTATTTACGCGCTTGATCTGAGTCGTCCCCCAGGCCCCGAGATTTTCGTATGAACAAGTTTTTCTCACGAACAGCATTATGCCATACATATCGTTTACTGAATCAGAATCAACTACTAGGGTTTATTGGTTATACGAAGGAGCAATTCGGAGGAGATGCCTACAGCTAAAGATGATTAAACACAGTCAAGCAGTTGTGTTTTCCGGTCCCTATCTCGAAAAATTTCTGTGTATTGTACACAAAAGCGTTCAAAAATTTTTGTATATTGAACTCAAAATAGCATCTATGAAGGTATAATTTTTACCACGCTTTCTTATGCAGCAATGAACCTAGAAATCGAGTCTCCTGCTTTTGTATAAGAATCAAAAGAAGCATAAATGCTGTGGGAATCGGGCAGCCAATCATATTCATTACCTTGGTTATCCCTGGATTGTGAAACCTGACTTTCCATGCAAAGAGTGTTTTGCGTTTTTTCGTAAAAGAAACTGGATAGAAACGTCTACGCTTGAGTAAGTAATAGCGCCTACAAGGTTTTCTTCGATTCTTAAAACGTTACAACTATAGCGAGACTGTACTTGGTCACCTAAAGTAAATCCAAACTCTCCCTGCAGACATCAACTCCAAACTTTTGGAGCGTTCAGCACACCATGGCAGTCATCTGATGCGGCCTTTTGACTGTTTCGCTGATATGGGAAGAGTTTATCTTTTTCTTTCCTTTTTTGAGGTGATTCTTCCCATACATGATCTCGACGTTTGTCTAACAGTTTCAATAAGTTTAACTGGTGCGTAAGCCGCACATTTAGTTCAGTAGCTGTTCTATGCTACGATCACAGGGCTTTTGTTCAATTGAGTACCAAATCAGCTTCATCCACAAAAAAAAAACTTCTTTAAGAATCGCTATGTGCCTCTTAAACATGCTCGCAATGCAGCTCAATTGTTCAAAGAGCACATCTCATGTTGAAAGGCCTTTCAAAAATAAAAAAGACCACGTTGCAGTAATGTGCTTCGTAAACTATTGTAAGATTGGTCATGGTTTAACCTTAAGACAAGGAGCAGAACCCTCCCCGTACCGCATTTATGTTCACATTACAGAAGTGCGAATATGAATGTTACATGTTTGTAAAGGTGCTTCTTCGGCGTTACACCTTTTCTCGGTGTGAATTAGAAAGAACTGTTATTATACTGTTATACTTATGTTTTAGGGATAAATTCACTGTCTATTGGAAATGCCACACTCATTTAAGGCCTAAGCACAGTAAATTCTTCAGGATGTAATCTATGATGAACATATAATTTTGTGCTCGTCATATAGCTTTGTATTGGGTATCTCTTTTATCTTCATTAATGCTCATAGTGATGTTAGTTCGATAACACTCTCATTCATCAATATATCTTCCCCAGACTGCTGAACCTATCGTATTAGCAAAAAGTGTAAGCAAATATTATCAAGTTTCATCTTAAAGCTGTTATCAATTGGTATAGATCATATAGAGTCCTAAATTACATAATCCGTTCTTTAAAATATAGATGATACAACTTTTGGGCAAAGAAAAGTTTCTCTATCTTGTATTAAGCGTAAAGTCGTACACACTTCAACCATATTATGTACCAAACAAACAAAAATAATTCGAATTCGAGAAGATTTTAATCAGTATACTCAAACACGAAACACGCTACACGGTCAAGCGTCTTGATATCTTTAGCTAGTTATATTCGCGTCCTCAAAATCAGATCCATAGCACGATATTCTATTCATAATGTAGGGATTTTGTTTGTAGCAGAAATATAAAACTTGAAGAAATCTGGAGGAGAACGTTTAATGAAATTGTTAGCTTTTAACATAATATAAGTAAAAGGGATTGATTGATTTGAGTTTGGTGGACCGAAATAAGTATTTTAGGAACTGGAGTGATTACGCTTTATGAACACGTATCAAATAGAGAAAGGAAGTACCTGCTGTGTAAGTGCACCCTTACGCGATCTCCATTCGCATTTTACCAATTTAAAACAAGCCAGTAATATCTCAAACCCAGAGATTCATCTGATACGCAATTGGCATTTTTCCAAAAAAAACTTCATCAGTCACTATCCAAATTTTAGTATTCTCGAATGCTACTGTAGTAGTTACCCAATAATCGTCGTAAAACCTTGAGACACGTGTAGAAATGCCAGAGTTTGCGACATTATACCAGAGTACAGAATAATATGGCTCCTACCCTTCCGATTCCTATTGACCGACTCGCTCAAATCCAAAATATACGCACTCCGTTTGCCTGACGGTTTGAAATTCCGCAGATTTTTTTTTGATTTTCTAAACCTTTCTCATTGTTTGCTTTCCTTTTGTATGATTGCTTTGAGACGCGCTTCTTCTCTTCCTGAATCCTCACTTAATGACATCAATAGAAAAAACACCTGAGTACGAAAAGTTTATTGCTGACTTGAAAGCTTTTCATGACAGAAAGGGGTACTGCCTTATACGGTTCTCATATATTAGATCTACATTGAAACTCATCTATTCTTTAATGCAATCTATTCAAACAGTACAACTTTACAGGTCGAACCCGTATTAGGTGGCAAAAAGTTAGACCTGTTACGAATTTATAAAACAGTAATGGCAGCAGGCGGTTATGAACAGGTAAATAGAGCATCCAGATCAGCAACACATTTTCTACCTTAAATTCTTGAGCTGATCAGTTTTAACTCTAACCTGTATAGGTTACGCTGAATCGTGGATGGAAACAAGTTGGTGATCCTTTTAACTTTCCAGCAACTTGTACAAATAGTGCTTATATTTTGAAAGCTGTATACACAAAATATTTGGTAAGGAGCTTTAGATACTCTTATTAACTCGAGTTATGGTTTTTGATACTTACTGCAATTCGACGCAATCACCACTTTTGTTTAATAATTGTATAATTTAGTTGGGTTGGGAAGAAGAGATGCACTGGAAACGACCATGGAATCCGCCTGCGGATCTATTAGCGAATCAGCCAAAAACTGCATCCCCAAAAACGATACAGCCACATCGAGACATACCTAGCCGACATACAGGCACAGCATTCATTCAACCCATCAGTAGACCACCACAAAACTTTCCACCTTTGCCACAACATTTACAACATCAGCAACAACAACCATTTTTAACACAAGGTAGCTGGGTACAGAAACATTCACTATTTCAAAGGAAGCTTGCGTTTACTAATATTAGCGGTTACTTGTAGTGCCAGTTTTTAGGGATCAAGAATTCAAAACACGTATATTATTATCGCTTCAATCAAGCTTACCAAACGAAATTGATTGGTCATTCAACACTTTAATTAAATTCTCATATGCAGCCGAATACTTTAGCTTAGACTTTATACCAATGCTGATTGATCTTCTATTGGATTTTACAGTGGAATTCTTTCAACGCGATGTTGAAAGTATGAATAATAGCAGTAGTACTACCACCAACAGTAACGATGACGACCGTATCAGCAATAATGACAATAGAGATGGCAGCATGACAGACGTATTCTGCAGTAAAGCTCAACAAGAAACTTATGAAAGAGTATTGCAAGTATTCCACATCCTACGAAACTTCAGTTTTGTGGAAATGAATATTCGCCGCTTAGCAATGCACGAGCGACTTGTCTCGTTCTTAATGAAAGGCGTCAATTTACCACCAGACTCACAGTATGGCGAGTTAAGCCGGCATTGTTTGGACATATTAGAGAATATTGCACCACAAGTAATATTATCAGGCCGCAACGACCCCTATTTAAAGACGATGTTCCGTTTATTGTTCAGTAATGATCGTGCGTTTATTTTGGGTGCCATTCGCGCCTTAACAAGAGTAGCCGTCACGGAAACAAATGAGCGTGTTTTGAGTTTTGCAGATGCGGATGTGATAGGGCGTATGTCCCAATTCTTAATGATTGACGACGAAGAGTTAGAAGCAGCAACTTTGGAATATTTATATCAGTATTCCAGCTTGAGGGGCAATTTTTCAACACAGCTATTAAAGTGTTATCCGGGAAATTTGATTGGATTATTGACAGGTTTTCTATCATACAAGTCATCATTGGCACCAGCCGCTCCAACGCCCAACGGTACTATACATGGTATACCCGCTGCACAAAATATCAAACATTTAGTGCCTACAGAATTACAGCAGCCTCCTAGTATTCCTGATTTGACCAATTACGCTAACCTTGACGAGCCTTATAGATGTTTAGGATGGTAAAATATGCAATAGTCATTGGATTGGTTCTATCTTATAAACTATTTACCTAATTCTTTTACTTTCAATCCATCAGGTTAAAAAATCAGTTATTGAATGGCACAGATCAAGATACTATTGTATTCAAAGAGCTATTCCAAGGATATCAAAGGCTGTTTGGTGCAGAAAAACCGTTAGGATTAAAAGAATTCTATACAGTACTGAAGATTGCGTTCCCTCAACCTCCTCATGTCGAACAGATCTTCAATGGCCCACAGCCATTAGACACAGTACTTCATAATGTGAAATACTCCCCCACTAGGAGAAGAGAGGGTAAGATATACCATAAGGACAATGGCAAAAGTTATATTGTGACAAGACACTTACAGCTCCTTTTTATTTGTTTGACGGCTCAGGCCCAGAGTGTCATTGGAACGGTTGCACTGCCAGTTTTGAAACTCCTGTAGAACTACATAAGCATATTCTCGAACATATCAAAGACAAAGATCGTTGTCAATGGATGAATTGTTCTAAGCGTTTTACGGAGCACTCAAAATCACAAGTCATTCAACATCTTCGAACTCATTTTGCAGGCAAAATTAAGAAACAAACATCAATGAAGAGAAAGTTCCTTGTGCCCAAAACGCCCGTTGATGATTCAGAAGTGTCTGGTATTCCCTTAACATCCGCTTTATTGTTAAGGAATTTGGCAAGATATAAGCAACATCACATACACTATTTACCTTACGAAAGTGAATTAATATTATTAGCAATGCAAAGACCCAAAATATCGAAATATGTCCTTACCGTGTTGGGAGAATTGCAAGCCCATACCAACTAGTCTCGTAACGATAAAACACTTTGTCGCTCTTCACAATAAAATATAATATCATTCTTTAAGAGTAATATCTCGAGCTATTTAATTAAGTTTTTATGTCGTATAATAGTATAGAATGTTTTGTACAGCTATTGCACAAGCGCCACTGTGGCTCTTTGATCATAATAGCGCTATTCTTATTAATCTGGTAAGATGTATTGAAACGCCACAGAATTTAATGTTCATCATTACAGCTTATTTGTGATAGAATAAGGAATATGAGAATTTTTTTTTACAATAAAATAACGTGTTTGTAGTAGATATACAATACTAAGCAGGTTTAAGAGCCCCAGTTCTTTGTATGCAATTTCAAAATGAAAGTTTCCAGTGCAGAGTTGTACGCGCCCTTTACAGCACCAGCAATCTGATCGTAAGCATTGGACAGTAGTTACGCCTATTACCAGAAGAGTTTTGTGTACGTAAGCGAGGAACTATTTAAATGATATGTCACTTCTTTTATCTCAAAAGGTCTATTATTCATGTAAAACCGTCATATAAGCAAAGCCGCGTTTTCATGTGTAGAGTGTTCATTTTTTTAAGGAGAAGGATGGAAAAAATGTTCATTGAATTAGTTATTACTATGATTTTCTTTCTTTGAAAGAACCAATCAATACGGTATTAATCTGGATTGCATTCAACTGCAGAAATAAAAAGGAAGGGGCTTCTTGAAATCTGCAGAACTGAAGAAGAAGGAACAAGCCATTACTGATATTGCTGTATAAGTAGGCATAAAGGAACTGTGCATGCACCAGAATAGCAACAGATTGGTGAAGCGGGTGTTGAAAGAGCACAAATGAAATTTATGCAAGTTGTAGAAACACAGCAGAAATCCGTGTTGTCTGTTACTCTTCCACAAGAGACTACTTTCTCCTATTCTGAAAGCTTGCATGAAGCAGTTCTTGAACAGTATGATTGTATTAAACTGGATCTTGCAGCATTTTTGACAAAGCTTTGAAAATTATTTGGTATGAAATGAAACTGAGTTTGGCAAATTTTTGAAAAGTGTAAGTGGCAGCTTCTTGTCAAGATATTAGTCTATGAGTAAGCATCTCAAGAAAAAGCTCACAGCTCCGGCCTTTCCAGGCATGTGAAGGATCTTGGGTGCCGCCTCCATACTACTTGCATCTATATATATGAAAATTACAAGCTAAGCATACGTTGTGTCTTTATACTAGTGTTAAAATACATAGCTAAAGTGAACAATTAGATTTATGACCTTTGGTTGGCTTAAACCTAGCTTACTCAGTAAGAGTTTCACCTACTTCCATTCCAAAGGAAGAATGAGCTCGTCACCTTTGACTGACACTAAACGCAATCAAGCAGCTTGAATGTTTGGCTGCTCTGGAAATCAATTCACTTACAGTTCTTACGAAAAAGAAACTGACAAAAGAGAATTATGAACAGTTCCGTCACGTCACCTTCATTGATGATTCCCATTAGACTTTGAGAACCGTCCTCACTATCAGAAATACGCTGTCATCGTTCAATGCGCTAAGAACAAAAAATCGTTCTCTTTAGAAAAAAATAAAAAATAAAGGCTTACGTAACCGATGATTGTTTATATAAAGAAATAGACTCATATTATAATACTAATGTCTTTTTCTATTGATGAAAGACTGTCTAAAAGAAACTGAGTAGAGTAACTAGTTGATTCGTACTATTCAAAGAAGAGCTTCGATAACTACCAAACTTGTGTTATAAAGCGAAATTATGCGGCCAGCATCACCTGCATTCTTAGACCTTGCTCATACTGCACTCTTTCTGTCAGATCCATATGAATGAGAGCTGCACTCAAAATAGATCAAGTCACGAAAATTTTCAGTTTTGTATTGTGGAAAACCTGATTTGTCTAAATATTTCCTGTAAATCTGAGTGGTTTCTCTTTCAGTGTATAACGTATTTGAAAGACCAACTTTAAAGCAATATAGAAAAGCGATAAAGCAACGAGCTCTGATAACAGATTTCCTTAAAGAACTTGTATCTACTGCATATCTAAATTCAAAGAATAACAATCAATTTTACCCCTTATTCTTTTAAAAAAAGAGAGAAAGGAAAAATAACAGCTTTTTCTCCCAAATATCTTATGCCTGAAATTTTTAATATTAAACAAGACGATATTAAAAAAAGAAAAGCTGAAGTATGTCTTTTGACAAAGAAAGAGAATCAGCTATAAACAATACTGGCTATTCAACATTACAAACTCACTTACAACAACAGTTTTTTAACGCTAATAATCCATCGCAAAATAACTCCAGCGGCTCGTCTCCATCTTTCAATCAACAATTCCATACGATGCCTCTTTATTCTAACGTGAATGGTTACAATCGGTATACGCAACAACAGCAACAACAGCAAGCTCAACAGTCACAACAAGGCCAAGCTCAACAGTCGCAGCAACACTCTCAGCAAAAGAACAACACTAGTAACACTACAACTACTGCAGCAGCTACAGCAGGCAACGGTCTAACCATGTTAGTCGATGCCAATGCTACCAGTGCAGCAGCTACCAATTCAATTCACGCTTCTCGACAGCTTACGTATGCCCAGAATTCACGCCAGTCGTCTTCCCCTCATCATCACGCACGTACGGCTGCTGCTATGGCTCGTTCAGCCCCCATTTCTTCAGCTGTCACCATCAGTGATCCGAATAATCCAAACAAAGTCTTTCATAGGATGGGAAACAGCAACAATGCTAATAATAACGGCAGCAATACGACTACTAATAATGATTCTGGAAAGCAGCAACTTACGTGGACCACATTAGATATCGGTGGTATGGGGTTAAAGCAAGTGTCTTCTGCGCTTTTTTCTTACACTTTCTTGACTGTTCTTTATCTGAACCACAACAATCTGACATACTTGACGCGAGATATTGCAAAACTGAGCAACCTCAAGATTTTAGATTGTTCAGGCAACAGGTTAACAACTTTACCACCAGAATTAGGAATGTTGATCAATTTGAGAGATCTTTTACTATTTGATAATAATATCACAACGCTACCACCCGAAATGGGTACGCTTTTTCAACTGGAGATGTTAGGATTAGAAGGAAATCCTATTTTACCAGATATTAAGAATATTTTAATGAAAGAAGGAACACATGCCTTGATCATGTCTTTACGAGAAAACGCACCAGGTATTGTTTTTTTTTTGTTTGTTTTTTCAATGAAAAAGACTTTATTCCGCGATGAACGAAATTTAACTGAACGGTTAACTTGGTAATACAATTTTAGTGGGTATGCCGCCACCTCAACGAGAATGGATCACAATTGAAGCTGACACAAGCGAAGACGATAATGGTAAGGCTTTTTGTTAGACGTATATTCATCGCATTTTTGTGATTTTACTCAATATGCTCTTGAATGTCGAAATCATAGATAAATTTACAGTTTTATGTTATAACATCCTATGCCAGAAATACGCGACAGTACAGGCCTATGGTTATACGCCTTCTTGGGCTTTAAATTGGGATTACCGTAAAGAATTGATTGTCTCAGAAGTACTTGGTTACGATGCAGATATAGTATGTCTTCAGGAAGTAGCAGTGAAGCATTACGACGGCGAAATAGGAGATATTTTCAAGGAACGCGGGGATTATGATGGCGTATTCTTCCCTAAATCCCGTATAAAGTTTGCTACTGCAGAAGAAGAAAAGCGCGAAGTAGATGGCTGCGCCGTCTTTTACAAAGCTTCAAAGTAAGTCGTGAACAGCTAAAGATTGTCAATTAAATTCTGTTTTTCCTAACAAATTATCCTTCCCATGTAACCCACCCATCTATAGGTATAATCTCATCGAACATCACTTACTGGAATACAGTCAAAAAGCGCTTCAACGAAATGATTTTAAACATAGTGAAGCTATTTACAACCGTGTAATGACAAGAGATAATATTGCTGTCATGGTCGTACTGGAAAATAAGGTGACATTGAACCGAGTGCTGGTGGTCAATTCGCATATCTTTTGGGATCCTGCTTATGCTGATGTTAAACTGGTACAAGTGGGTATGATGATGGAAGGTATCGAGGCCTTTGCTTCCAAGCACTTATCTCCTCCAGCTTCCTCACCAAACGGTTTAAAGTATTCCTCTCCTGCTGCTTTACCGACAGTGATTTGTGGTGATTTTAACTCTGTACCTCAGTCTGGTGTATACGAATTTCTCTCCAGGAGCTCTCTTCCACCGAACCATCGCGAATTTGGGCAGCATGCTTATGGTGCTTATACTTCAGAGGGTATGACTCATAACATGTCGCTGAAGAGTTGTTATAGCCATATTGGTGAGTTGGATATAACAAATTATACACCCGGTTACAAAGGCACTTTGGACTATATTTGGTATACCAGTAATACATTAGACGTTATTTCTTTGTTGGGCGGAATCAGTCAAGATTATCTTGATAAAGTAGTTGGATTTCCAAATGCACATTTCCCTTCTGAGTAAGTGAAACTGGATTTCTTTTGAACGGAATAGAAAAGTCTCATTAACGCGTTCTTGGCTTCTTCTTGTAGTCATATTCCTTTGATGGCTGAAATAAAAATCAAACCCCCACGCCGAGAAAAGACAGAAGAACCCAATTTTGGCTTCACTACTTCTAAAAGGTAGATTGCAAATCCACAGCAACTTTGAAATGAAATTAAATATAACCCGAATATCCCTCGCCCTTCCCACCTCTTATCTCGTTTTTTGGATCATGATTTTTCCTTTCTAATTTTAACCGTTTAAAATATTCGAATGTACATTTCTCCATTACACTTTCTGTGCCTCTTCACTTTTTATCATTTGCCCGTTCTTTTGTTCGCATTGAAGACCCTTCCTTCCTTTGAATCCAAGTAAAGTAAAGTGAACTTACACACAATACACACTGCACAATACACATTAGTACAACACATATTTGGTTGCCTTTTTTATTCTGTACTTCCTGATTTGATCCAGTTTTGATGGATTCGAGCAAGCTCAGGTATAATTTTACTTTCAATTTCTACATCCGTGTCCAATTCTTCCTTTGTTAGTGTTATCACCTTTTCTGTATGTTGTGTAATGAATGTTACCGTTTGTCTACGTGTTTTTAGCATGTTACCAATCACTACCTGGTGCCCGTAACGTTCAAGAGCTGCACGTGCTTTGGGTACCAAGAGATTGGTGTCTGTCTCCAATTTGAAGGACACGATCAATCCTTTCGCTGCCCAATTACTAACAAGCGGTTTTAAGAATTTGGGGACTTGATCCAAGGTCAACGTAAGCCCTCCATCGCGCGATTGGATTTTGTGTTCAACCATCTTTGAAGAAGGAATAAAAAAATCACTGACAGCAGCAGCTAGGTAATACATGGCCTTTTCTTGTAAGCGTGCAAGAATCTTTGCTCCCGATTGTAATTTAAACAAATACTGAGGTAAAGTAACAAATTCTAATAGTAACAGACGATTCTCTTGTTTCGCTTTTTCATATCGTAAGAGTACTTGGTGCATTTTTTCAACGTATTCTGGTCGGACTACGTGACGCAAATGTTCAGCTTTAGCTTCGATCTATTTTTGGGTCGTTGAATGACAATAATATACCTTCAACTGAGCCTTCCTCTGTAGGTCTCATGTAATCCAAAAACCCGCGTTGAGAAGGAATGAAGTGTCGATGATAGGGCTGAATGCTGTTTGTTCTGTGCATGAAGACAACTGCATAACCAGCTTCTAGAAAATATTCAGCAGAAGTTGCGCCTCTGTTACCGTTACTAAAGTTATCAATAAATCGAACTGTTTGATTTTCCAGAGGAACGGTAGTTCCACCACTCTATTATATGACGGAGTAACGGCATGTTCACTTTTAGTTGAATAAAACTTTAGTATTGCTCATGAGAAAAATGCGATCAACTCTACAGTAATGAGCACAACATTGTTATTCTTTGCTTTATGATAATCCACAAACGCGTTTAACTTTTCTTCAAACTCTGGTAAATCCGCAGGCGCTTTATTGACTTCAAAGTAGACATCAGGATCTATAACGCCCTGACCATTATCAAGAATAGGTGTTTCGCCTTTAGTTGAAATGGCTGCATTCATGGTTGTCATTACTTTGGAAGCTATTGTAACAACGAAGCTTGACGTTTAGCAAATCTTTGCTTCATATACATTTTCGCCACTCTTGCTGAGTTTTGTTACAGAGCCCTTCGCGAGCGATCAGCGTTCCTATTGGTTGAAGACAGAAGCTCAGGGTCGAGTCAACAAACATTTCTGTTTGAAATTCAGAGATGACAAATAAGATCATCATTTTATTTTTAAGACTTTTTCGTTTCGCTTCTATCACAACTTGGGGTGAACCACACTATACTTCATGAGCGATTCGATAGCAACGACGGAAACTTCATTTGAAACTGTGGCTCAAGAAAAGCTACAGCAGCATCAACAACACATTATTGTGAAGACAGGCTTACAAAAACAGCATACTTCCTCCTCGTTCGAAAAAATCATTTCTGCTTGTACAGGAGCCGTTATCACCATGTCATTCAGTAAAGATCGGTCCACATCATAACTCACACTGAGTGTCAGAAATTTACTGATAAGCAATTGGAAATTTATTATTTCTTTTGGACCAATAGTGAATCCTTTGGACATTGTGAAGACTCGCTTACAAGAAGCAACCAAAAAAAATAGTATGAATGAATATAAAGGAACCATTGTAAAGCAAATTTGCGTCATAGCATCAAAGAAAGCATACATGTGCGGCTGAATCATTGATAAATAGAATGCCTGCCTTTTTTTAATTCCTTCTAGGACGCCTTGGGCAAAATTTTCAGAAATGAAGGCATATTTGCATTATGGAGAGGATTAGTACCTGGATTAATTATGGCATTACCATCAACTGCCATTTATTTTGTTGGATATGATTATATTAAAGATCATACAAGAGACCGCTTTACAAACACAGTATTTGATACTTATTCACCTTTGTGGGCCGGCGGATTAGCGCGGAGTAAGAGAGAATGATACAGATAGCAATTATGTCATAGACTCGTTAATGTCCGCTTTTCCTTGAAATAGCTATGGCAGCTTTGGTCGTGTCTCCTCTAGAATTATTTAGAACCAGGATGCAATCAGTGGATGGAATCAATGGGTTTTCAAGTGTTTGGAATGGAGTGCAGAAAATGGTGCAAACAGAAGGACCTCAAGCCTTATGGCGAGGTCTACTACCAACGATGCTGCGTGATGTGCCATTCTCAGCCGTTTATTGGATGGGCTACGAAGATATTAAACAAAGGCTCGAAAAGCACAGTGAACATAATGATATGTCACGGTTTCAAACATCGTTTATTGCTGGAGCATCTTCTGGCATGTTTGCTGCTGTGGTAACAACACCATTTGACGTGGTGAAGACACAACGTCAAGTGAGTTCTGATGCAAAAGAGGCAAGGCTAAATTACATCTTGAAGAATATCTGGCAAAAGGATGGGTTTAACGGATATTTCAGAGGCGTAGTGCCGAGAGTTGCAAAAGTGGCACCAGCATGTGCTATTATGATTTCCAGTTACGAAATGGGAAAGCAATTTTTCGCCACTAGGCGTGTCAACAATAGTCAAGCATAATTTTATGTTTTTTGTCGCATACCCTTTATGATAGAATTAATATTGTAAATAATTAGGCTAATAATAGAATATGTAATATATATTATGTACAAAATGTAAATTATTATGGAAGAAAGAAAAAATTTGTGGTATCATAAGTCGAAAAAGGTTCATTCTCATCCAGCATGCTCCAATTCTGATCTAGAGAATTTACATTAAAATCTTCCCATATGTGTAATTGAGAGGAAGCAGTATTTAGATTTTCAGAAGGAATAGTGTTAAGTGTACTATCATTTGTTTCATTTAAAAAGAGATGTGGTGATGCTTCTGAATGCTGTGAATAATTATAACTACGTAGACTGAATAGCTCTTCATCTTCGTTGTTATTCATACTATTATCATTCATAGAAGTAGAAGTTGCTAATGGCGGTTTTGCTGACGTATTATTATCGTCTCTTAATGGTGTTGTAAATAGTAGATCTTGCAAATGGTTGAATGGATCAGTATCCGTTTGAGGCGTACTAGCTATAGCCGTCAAAAAGGAATCGTTATTATGGCTCAAAGTACTACTGAGTATTTGACTGTTGGGGCTTTGCTGACTATTCTCATCCGTTTGTTGTAATAAACAATGTAATAAGTTTTTTTCTACACTACTATCATCCTCATGTTCGGTTGGCACATTTTGTAGTTCGATGAATTCAGAGTTCCCCCAATTTTGACATTTATCCCATTGTATCAAATTCATATTCTCATCAATTTCTTCGTTAATGTTAGGGGTAGTGATTGATGTTCCTGAAGTAACTGTATAACTGGGACCCTCTTCTTCTGAATTCACGCTGAACGTTGCTGCTTCTGCTACTAAATCCCCTGGTGTTGTTGGTGAAATGGCTGATTGTTCAACAATTCCAGGAGGAGGTTCGTCGTCCTTTGTCATACTTTTGTCAGTGGCAGCACCGACAGTATTATCTGCATTGTTATGGGTATTAATGGCATTTGTTGAGGTGGCGATAGGGTGCTTCGAGTATTTACATCTTTCCAAGTGATAGGCTAATCCGTTTCGATTTTTATATTTCTTATGACAGGGTTCGCAAATAAATACCATCGAACCATCAGGTTGTTTCACAGGCAGAATGTCTGCGGCCGCTGATCTTTTCTTTGGTGTCGTCACCTTCTTGCTGCTGCCAGCTTTAGCAGTAGGTGGATAATTATGGCAAGCCGTTGTTATCTTTTTGTTGGTATTGTTACCTTGAGGTGTTTTTTGTAGAAGTCCTAGCGTTGAAATTGTGTCACTGTAAGGACTTGTTAAAACTTCTAGTAAAGCATTTGATGTGATTGTTTCCGTATTATCAATTGAATGCCGTTTTTGTTGCTGCTGTTGCTGTTTGTTTGCGTAATAGCGATGAAATAGATTATTGCCATTACCGATCCTAACTGCTGTTGATGATTCATTCTGTTTTCCAAAGAGTCTATGTGGAAAAAACCTTTGCTCTTTCAAGGGCAAGATAGGTTTGTCTTCTTCTGGTAATTCTAATTGCTGATTGAGCATCAACTTATATTTGGCATGACTTAAACGAACTTTCAATATTTGACTCAGTAATTTGATATTGTCGTAACTAAGATCATTCGATGAACCATCTTGTTCTTGTTGCTTGGGCCATAAATGTGTGCAGGTTTGGTATAAGGTGGGCGATACATGCTGCTGTCGAGGTTTTTTATGACGTCGATTGGTTAATTTATCTAAATTTATTTGTTGTTGTTGTTGTTGCTGTGCAGAATCAGGAGTAAGTATTCTTTTTCTACCACGGTTGCTCTTCTTCGCAGCAAGGATATTCTCCTGTGGTTTATCCAAATGATGAATAGCATAGAATTTGTCTTTAATATCTTGAGGAATGAAAAATCGTTTAGTTGTCTGACCATTCATGTCAGCCTTAGTAACATTCGTTTGGATAGTTTGAAATATATCTTGCTGTTCTTGATTCATAGTAGACTTATTAGCATTGGTTATTTGTTGTTGAGGTCGGAATGAATCGATTTTATTCTCGATGGAGGACAGGGCTGTAATAAGTTTCCTACTTTGACCAAAATAGGACAAGATTAGTGAAATGTGCAAGATGAAAGGAAAAGGTTAGATGTTCATTTACGTAGTTGAAGGCGATGACTGTTGCTGGTTCATTCCAAGCCGTGAACCCATTTACAATAAGAGATTAAGGAATGGTATATGAGAGAACAAATAAAAGAGATAAAAGAACAAAAGAAAATTAGTCAATTTAGGATGAAAAAAGATGAGCACAAGAATTTCGTCAGAAAGCAGCAAATAGAAAAATTTGATGGTGTTGGCATTGACGGGTATGAACAACTTAAAAGAAAAAAAAAAAAAAAAAAGGGCCCAAAAAAAGACATACTCAACTTTTGTAGCAATTGGTTATTTTTGAAGACATTTTTATAGTTGCAACTATCACATACTTTTCAACCATTCTTTATCGTTAATCTGTCAAAGAATATACTGCATTTTCAACGTCCATTCTTTGACACGAAATATCACGTTCTCGGAACGCGTATAATAACTCGACCCTTTCATGCATTTCATTTGGTTTGCCTCAAAAAGCAAACGCCGCTGCTTCCCCTTTTTACACTCAGTTGACTACAGCAATTTAGCGTTTGGATTTAAACAAAGCTGCCATATGAATGGACAGTACAAACCAGATTTTTGAGACGTCTGAATTGGCATTTGAAGACTGAACTACACTAAAATGGAGACGTTAGCTGTAAAAATCGAGCCAGTTTCGTTTTAGCAATAACAGGAAAAGGACAAAGATGTTGTATTTCCAAATCGAAGCGCTTTTTTGCTGCATTGCCATCGCGGTTCCATTGTATCTTACAAGTTTTGCAAACAAGAATACTGCAGCCACAGTCGGTGTCAAATGCTTCTAATGTGTCTGAGCGATCAAATAGATTCTTTTTAACCTGATTTTTATGCTTTTTTTAACAAATCTATTTTACCGTTTTTTGTATATGGAAAGGGCTAAAAGTTACAAAAAATACAAAATACGTAAAGGAAGAGAGCTTTTACCCGCTTAAAGGAACTCTTCATTATAAAATATTTTGTCAATAAAAACGCAAGAAAAGTGTTGCTGAAAGCACGTTCTAAGCATTGTAAATCACCTTTTTGATTATCTATTTTGTATAGGAAAGAAATGTGAGTAAACTGAAAAATTAAAATTTTCTCTGCCTAAAAAAAATTAGAAGTTTGTCTAAATCTTTAAACCAAGAACCTGAATTTTATTTAATTTGAGCTCCTTAAATTCTTTGTTGATAATTCACTGTAGTAAGTCCTCCAATCACGAAACTGTTGATGCATTCAAACGATGAAAAGAAATGGGAATTTAATGTTCCAAAATTTTACGACTTTCTCAATTCTTCCTCACAGAAGAAGTCGTTGGAGAGCTGGTTCTGTAAGTTTCGTGAACAAAAGTTGTGCAATCGTGCTTCTTGCTTAGTCTGTAAATTCTGATTCATTGATCGTTCGACTTGAAGGTGAACAGAATATATCAGGACCATCTTATCCTGGAACAAGTGATAACCAAAAAAAGAAAAAGAAGAGACCTCTGAGGAAGAACAAGTTTTTTGCTACGTCGATTGAACAAACTACGATGCCTAGGCATCAACAACAGCAGTCACCCTCTCCAAGAACAGCCATTCAGCAACGATCAACGAATGTATTTGATCGATTATCAAGAACGAGTACGATATCTTCTTCTCATAAAAGGTCTATTGCACGACCACAATTGCAATCTCCTAGAAGCACAACCTCAAACACTTTTTATAAACGTGTTCAAGAGCCGACACCACTGGACAAGAAAAGGATAAATACAACATTACAACTTAACCTCGAGGGAATGGATGAGGCAGAGAGCGTAGAGGAACGAATTGCACGATTAAAAAATTCTATTTCAAGTGCGACTGCTAGTACTACTACAATATCTGCAGGTGCCACATTTAATGGTAATAGTAAGTCAACAGCTCTAGTTCCCAAAAGCCGCTTTTATAAGTTTTCTGCAGGTGACGAGACTGAGAAGACAAGCATTAAGCATACGCCAAGCAGGGCAACTCAACCTGTTGAGCTACTGTCACCACCATCACAAGCACCACGAGTAGAAAATCGAACTTCCTCAATATCTAACCTAGTGAAATCACCATCAATACTATCTGCACAAAACAAAACCGTAGCAATAGATGCGGTTCCAGAAACAATTCGCTCATCTACGCTATCAACATCAACACAAAGGCCATTAATCGGAAGAGAACAAAAAACCGATTTGCAACGACCAAACAAATCGAATCAATTACTCCATCAAGCTCATAGCCCTATGAACTATAAAGACAGATCAATAGTATCCGAAGGGGAAGAGGAAGAAGAGACGACCATACAGCTACAGCAAAGATGGTTCAAGAATCAACAATTATTATTGGAAAAGAAAAATAAAGAGAATGAAAAGCAAACGTCTCATGAAGGACAAATTGAAGCTGATGAAGAAATGATGGGAAGAAGAATCTCTTTACATTATCGACCGGCAGAAGAACGAAAAAGAAAAGAACCTTATGGAGATAATAGCACTAATGAAATGGTGATTAGTAGTAAAGACAGTAATCATGGTTCGCTTTCAGGGGCAGCCAACAAGAGACAACGAAGGTTGTCATTAACACAACAATTGGCGGATTTAAGGGAACCATTCATGAATACAAGCACAACATCAAAAGAAGAAGCAACGAGTAAGAAAATTACAGCAGATGAGAGTAGACAAATGCCCGATTTGAACAGCTATGCAGAGGATTCAGATCATCAACAACAGTCATTGCCTGTTACTTCGGAAGGCATAGAAGAAAGATTCGGATCTACAGCAACAACAGAATTCTCTTCGCACTTTCCATCGAACCATAATTTGTTTCAGCTTGATAATCGTGAAGAGCAAGAGACGGATGACATAAGGGAAATTACAGAGTCACTGAAGCAGCTAGAAGAACAGAAAAAGCGCTTATTTAAACAATTAGAAGAAAAGAGATTATCCAAGAAACTGAACGAATGTAGTAGAGATTTAACAGTTTACAAGCAGTCTGAAAGCCTTAGAAGGCCATCTACAGCTTCGTCAGTAAACGAGATCAGACGTTTTGAACAATTTGATACAGAGATTGAAGACGACAAAAAGGATAAGCCAGAAGAAATATTGCGACCACTAGAAATTCAAAACAGAAAGCATGCAATTAGACAACCTGAAAGGAACAAATACACGCTCAACTATCCAAAACAAAAACCGATATTAACGACATTCGAATCACCAGATACAATAAAAAACATTGCAGAGCATTCTCAAGTGGTTAGAAGAGCTTCCCAAAGGATGTCGATTGAGAACAAAATAGATGAATCATGGCATAAGCAGTCAGATGACTATAGGCTACTCTCACGAATCAATGCACAGCCACTGAATAGTTCAGAAAAGCCAGAAACACAAATAAGGAACACCAAAAAAATTCAACCGTCTGAACATCTGAAAGCATGGAGACAGTCATTGCTATTCGATAACCATAATGTATCTCACAATGTACGTACATTGCCTGTAAAATCTATCCAAGACAAATCAAAGAAGTCATTAGCTCCCTCATCATATCGAATATTAGAAAAGTACCAGCGGCCACGTCTGTATCCTTTACAGCTAGAGCCACCGCCAACATCACCTTCTCGATCACAATCAAATGTGGCATTAAGACAAGCACAGATTAATACAAGACAGCCATTCAGACAAAAAGCCCGTGAAGATGCAATGGAAAGGTTAGAAAATTACTATCATGACGTTTACGAGGCTGAATTACAAAAGATTCAAGAGGGATTCGATGAAGCCGACAAGATACACTCTTCATTCGAAGAGAAGTTGAGAAAGATCAAGGATAGTCTGAGGCACTCTGATGCATTTGAAGATGAATATGAAGCGAAACATTTGAAAAAGGACGAACGGTCGCGGAATCAACAAGCTATTGTGATGCTCAACTCACCATCATTCAATCATTCTGAAAAAGAAAAGATGCCAGTATACGAACGACAACCCTCATATATTGAAGACAACCAGCACGAGAATGAAGAGTATACACAGGTAGAAGACAAGAAGAAAGATAAACAGAAAGAAGACACAGAAGCAATTAGAGTGATTGACAATTCAAATTTCTTAAAAACTTCCGAATCTACCGTCTTATCACTACAGTCCTCTTATCATACAGCCATGACAGAGTTGGAAGAGACATTGAAGCATCAAGAAGAGATTAGAAAAACAAAAGAAGAGGAAAAGCTACGACAGCAACAGCAAAATTTGACCACAAACAAAGAAAACAGCAGCAAAGGCGTAACTGCCGTAGCATCTAAAGCGTTTAATATTATCACTAACTTTCCTACAAATGAGACCACTGCTTCAGCTTTTGAAAAGCGGAGGCTTCAGGAACAGGATGTATCAATAAAACCTGTGATAGATGAGCATATCATGAAAGCACGTAAAGTACTTGAAGAGTTACAAATCAAGAAAGAACAATGGAAAAGAAGAGAATCTATCAAACTATTAAGCTACGAAGAATGGCAACAGCAGCAACAGGAAAATGAAGCAAATGCAGATAGCTTTCATAAAAATGTCATTGGCTCCAATGCCCTGTCGAACTCGAACAGTTCAATTTTCAGTAATGTCAGTAATGAAAAATGGAAGATATCAAAAGCGGCATTATCACGAAATTCTAATGGCATACCCGCAACTGTTTCATACTTACCGTTTACACCAACTATACCCAAAAGTCCTAGTTTTCGGAAATAAATTTTAAGATCCTTTTATGACCTTAGTGAGACCTAAATTTGAGGCGGTGAAGTATAATTGTGGTATAGGCGAGGCACATAAGCAGAAGCAGAAGAGTCCGAGTAAACAATAAGCCATAACTCGAGATAAAGAGGGGTGTATTTGGTATATTTGATTAATACACTGCAAATTTACTAGTTGGTACCTGACTAATTTATAATCACATAGATGTTATAGAAGTATTGTTAAGGAAAAAGGATAAACAGAACTTATCAATTCTTCGACAAAAGGTCGTCTGAGAATTTTGATCTTTTCTTTATAATAAGACCGTTGATGCAGTGTCAAGTCGACCAAAAATCGCTCATATTCAAGTTATTCTATCACAGGCATGGCAATGAATATTGCAATAATGGTTGACTTTTTTCTTTTGGCTCTTCAAATCCGATGAGTAAAGCATGCCAATCTGTGGACCTCAATTGGATTCAGACATATAAATGGTCCAGTGAAATTCTGTGCAAAAAACAAACTCAGAGGTTGGCTCCCTTTGCTGTCGTTCCTTTTCTTGCTCTTTTTTTTTTCTTCGATTGTCTCTCCAACATGGCTGACGTACAGATTCCCAAAAAACCTGTCAAGGCATTAAAACTTCGTCTTCAAAATGTTAAAAAGCATTTAGATCCTATTTTATCTAGACCGTTGAACGAAACTTATTCAAAATTAAGTCTTACCGAAAGGTATGAATTAGAAGTGCTTCTATCCTACAGTTTAAATACACTTTATTACAGTAAGCCTTTCTTTGTTAGATCTTGTGCACTTTGATAGTTAAAAAGTGATAAGATTAATGAATTTTGACTTGATAATAGTTTACTTACGAACTAAAGGTTCCGATCCACAAAATCATGCTGTAATGACGGAACTGGTAAGGTTGAACATTAAGCAGCCATTAATCATGATCTGCATCTGATCTGTGTCTGATCTGCGTATAAATATCTTCTCTTCTCTTTAGAAACGGGTACAAAGCTATGTCCTAAAACTACAGAAATTGCAAGGAAAAGGACCTAAACGTAAATAGGATAGTTTATGTTGACTCCTAGTGTTCTTCTTGTCTGACGTTCTCTCCTTATTCAACGTAGCTTCCATGACACTTGATAAAGATGCAGCCGCCAGATTCATCAAAGCCAGTCTGGCAAATAACGATGAGTAATCAGAATTAAACTATAGTATACTCATCAACTTCGACACACAATTTCTTAAAGTAATACTTAGCAGCAATAGTTGTTAAGCGGCCATCATTAAAACACAAAAATTCTGGATCATGCAGAAATTGATGATTTCAGTAAACCATATAACCACTTCAGCATCATTAATGGAAAGATAAATAAATTATTATCAAATTGTTTAATTACCAATACAGGGTATTTCACTTTATGATCAAATCATATTTTTGATCGATCAAGTATTATATAATGTTTCTTCATGCTTTTTCTTTGACTTTACAGTACCAGGCTTTGTTTGAGCATCGGGATGAACAGCCAATTCATGTGGTACCTTTGATATACTCGATTTGGCCAACATTTGCCGAAGATCGTACATAACCTCTGAATCCTTATTCGATAAGAAAGTAATAGCCACACCCGATTTACCAGCACGACCAGTACGACCGATACGATGAGTGTAGTCTTCAATTGACTTGGCCATATCATAATTGACCACAAGAGACACATCCTTGACGTCAATACCACGGCCAGCAACATCTGTAGCGACCAATATATCGGCTGTTCCATTTTTGAGTTGAGCCAAGGCATACTCTCTCTGATCCTGTGATTTACGACCATGGAGTGTAACAGCGTGGAAACCGGCTCTGTTGACAGTCTTGGATAGCATATCCACATCTTTTCTTTGATTGACAAATACAATGATAGGCGGCGTAAATTTGCCAGAATTGAGAATTTCCATAAGACGGTTCCTATTAATTGTAAAAAAAAAAAGTATAATGTCTATTAGTTTATATAATAGATGAATGGCAGAAATGAAAACTTACGTTTTCTTGGCTTCATCGTTAACCATTTCGACACGTTGTTCGACGGTCTCTACAGCTTGACCAGCTTGACCAATCGTCACGACGGCTTCCTTACGGAGATATTTCTTTGCTAAACGTTCAACAGCTGGAGGCATTGTTGCTGAAAACATGATGGTTTGTCTGTACTTTTGTCCCTGAGGAAGGTCCACCTGCATTCCACCCTCCTCTTCATCGTCATCGGGTTTTTTGTTGGTGACAGGCAAAGCATCCAAGATATCGTTCACATCTGCTTCCATACCCATGTCAATCATACGATCAGCTTCATCCATGACGACATAGGCACATTGATTCAAAACAATAATTCTCCTATCCAAACAATCCTTTAAACGACCTGGAGTAGCAATGACAATTTCAGCACCATTACGTAGGTTAAACGATTGCTCTTGAATGGCATGCTAATGAAAATATCGTGCATGAAAAACAATAATTAGTAAGCTTCTTATTTTTTACAATGACTATGATCTACAAAACCCGATATGAATACTTACACCACCCACAATAGATACACATCTGAAACCCATAGGTGTAGCAAACTTGAGTGTTTCTTGCTCAATTTGCTGGGCTAATTCACGAGTAGGCGCCATGATTAACGCGTAAGGACCTTCTGCCATATTTTCTTCGGTCATTTTGGGTAGATCAGAAATATACACCAACAATGGAATAACAAAGGAAGCAGTTTTACCGGAACCCGTCTCTGCAATACCAATAATATCTCTGTTCTGCAAACCTATAGGGATAGCCTGTCTTTGGATAGGGGTGGGCTCCTTATATCCAACTTGATCAATAATTTTACGGATCTTATCTGACAGGTTAGACTCATCCCAGGAACGAATAGGATGAGGAATGTTACCACCCTTCGTGGAGATGTTAAAGTCTTCTTTGAAAATACGCCAATCTCTCTCTCTCATTTGCTCTAATGGCTTTTCGCTCCAGTGTCTATCGTCCCATTTAATCTTGGCTTCCTTATTCATGGCCATTTCCTTCAAACGACTATTAAAGAAGAGAACAATCAGCTTTTCCATTCGGAAGTTGACGGTATTGATTTCAGCTCCACTGTACCTAGCTCTTTCAACTTCTTCGGCCGTTCTACGTTCTTTTAATAATCGATCGTAGAATTCAGACTGCTGTTTCTTTTGTTCCTTGGGGTCAATACCCGCAATATGTCCACGACCAAACATTTGTGCATTGTGTTTATTAGCATATAAAGGATTGAAATCATGGGAAGTATCTTCTCCTGCATCCCAATCAAACACAAATTTACGCTCATTCATTCGACGAATTTTTCTCTTTTTGCGCTCACCACCAAAATAGCGTTCCTTTTTTTTAAAAGAAAAAAAAGGTCTGTTAGTCTCCATCAGCACTAAGATTTGGCAAAAAAAAAAAAGCCTCTACACTTACTCTAATGGCTTGCTTTTCTTTCTCGGTCAAGACGCTTCCATCCTCCGGTTCTTCTTCAACGTCTCTCTTTTTGCTGGATTCTTGGTACCTGTCTGATCTACCACTACGTCTGTCACGATCGTATCGAGAAGTAGAATAGTCATAGTTCCTTCTATTTTCATCTTCGGCTGCAAAATCAAACTTCTGTCGAGCCTTTCTTTCCTCCTCTTGTCTTTTTCTTTGCTCCTCTACTTCTTTTTGACGCTTTTCCAACGCTAGTTTTGCCCGTTCTTCTTTCGTCAAGAATTTTGGCTATCAGAATTCAGAAAAAGATAATGATATGAGAATCAAGATATAATTTCAGAGCAAGATTTAATAACTGAACAATACCTTCTCTGTTGATTTCTTCTCTTCTTCTTTTTTCTGAATCAGTTCTTCAATAGAAATAGGCACTCTTTTCTTTTTAGTTGTTTCTGTTACATTCGTTGAAGGTTGATCATGCTCTGTTTTATTCTCTTGATATTCCCCTTCTTCTTCATCGTCTCTACGTTTTTGCCTGTTTGAATCATCTTCTCGGCGTCTTACTTCTCGGTCCTCATGACTGTCCCTTCTTGACTGGCTTTCTCTATAATATTCGTTACGTCGTCTACTGCTACTGCTCTCACCATCGGCTCGTCTAACATAATCTCTTTCTCGATGGCTATTGTAATCGCGGTTATATTCACGACCGCTCTGTCGACTGTAGTTATCAGTGCGGTTTCTTCTGTTAGTAGGCGAGCGATTGCGGTGATATGAACTCGACATTTAGCTTCCCAATCTGTTTGGTACAGTATAAATAGTAGCTGAAAGAAAAAAGACAAAATGGACAAGCATAAAAATGTAAAATCTGCAAACTTTGCGGTAGCTGAATTCCATTCCGCTGTTGCTGTTGCTGCTCTTCTACAAAAATTACTGCTCGGGCATTAATCGTTCAAAGGTCAGATGCTTCTCCTATCATTTTTCAAATATGTGGTAAGAGAAAAAGGAATAAACTCTCAATGACTAACATAAGGTACGTTATAATGTAAAAAGTTAATAAGGAATGGATAAAGCATAGCTACAAGATGAAACTCAATGTTAAATGGCAAGTCACGAAGGGTATGCATAATTTGTTCTTGAGACTTCACTCACCTAGAACGTAACATTGAATCTTAAGGACAAGCTCTGTGCCGTTCAGAATGGCCTATAAAAGATATCAACTCTATATAAAACGTCAGAAAGCATGTGGTCTTTATGAGTCAAAACCATGAGCAAATCTGATCTACAAAGTAGAAAAACGATGTCATCTGATAAACGCGTATTTTACAAATGATGTCGATTGTGTTTAAAGTTAGTTGATGTTATGATGCTGTTGCAGACTCAATTGCAGCATAGAAAAAGTAGAAAACTCACCTTTTTTATTTTTACTCTGTTTTCGGCCTCAAATGAAAAGACAATCGTACCTCACCAAGCTCAAACAGACACTTCAAAGATTCGAGGTTGGCTAGAAAAGAAACTTACTGATCCTTTTATGTGGTATATTTGGCATAAACATACATTAAGCTATCCTAAGAACAGTACTACTAGTTCAGTAAAAAGAAACTGCCTCTTCTTCGGAATAGTCGAAATCGCGAAAAAGATTCTGTACACTGCATCCCTCGCTCCCTAGACACAATGGTTCCTCTCACAAAAACAATTATAGCTTTATGGCAACGCTAATTTTGGCAACGATGAGAGGCAGATGGTTGTCCTGTCAAATTGGTTAAGAAAGACCAATACAATTGCAATTCGAAGCAGTGCGGATATAACTCGTTGATAAATATCTCCACGACCAAATTTGCAATAACTGTAATGGTCAGCTACGAAGTCTTACTACTGCAAAATTAAAATAAGGGTACGTTTTGTATTACAGTTTTGAAGCTGGCACTTTAATATAGTTGGCTATTGGGGCGTTAATGTTTTAAACAGCATCTTCGATATCTTCATATCAACTTCATGGATCGAAAATGAAGAACATTATATTGAACTAGAGGAAGTAGAATCTTGGAATGTGTAACTGATAAGAGTCTTTTGCACGTTCTTTCTGTTTCAGTTGCATGATTACCTTTATTAAATGCTCACTGCCGATTCTTAACGTAAAAATCCTTTCAACCTGAAATTCTTCACACAATTACGGTACGATCTGTTGATACACTTTCAACGTTGTCCAAACTAAATCCATTTGTTGTCCTTAAGTGCAACTCTAAAAATATCCTAAAAGGTTGGTTAAGCAGTCGGACTTTTAACCGAATAAACCGTTATAGCCATAAATGATCACTGGTCAACTTCCATGGTAAGATAGTAAAAAAGGCTGTGTAATGAAAAAACCGGATCTATGATACAATCAGTCAGTTCAACTGTACAACTCTGTAGGATGTCAAATGACTCATCTGCTCGAGGCCCTTTTTCTTCAAAATAAAAGCTATAAAAGGTTTAATTCTCGTTGCTACCACAACGTTAAAGGCTTTGAGCCTGTTTGTTCTGACTGCGTTTCTGCTCGCTTATTTTTCTCGTTGATAAATCAAGAGCAAATTATGTCATTAGTGACACACACTGTTTCCAAAGATATTTTGTCTGCTCCTGCAGAACAACAACAAATTGAAAATGAAGAAAAGAGCAACGGCAGTATTGACAACACTGAATTGGGTTTAGACACTAGCCAACAATCATACAATATAAAAAAAAGACAACAACAATCAAATAAACGACGTCAATTTGTAAGAATACTGCTCGAGCTTTTCAAGAAGTACTACTTTCTAGTAGGACTAGGTATTAGCATTGGAATCGCTTGGGCAGCTCCACAATTAGGTATGGCACATGGCCTTATTCAAGCTCAATATACAATCAAATGGGGCGCTGTTATCATTATCTTCTTGCTGTCAGGTCTAGGATTAGATGTTGGTGTTATGTGGAAAACCATTTTACGATGGCGTTTACATTTGACTGTCCAACTTATCAATTTTATCTTATTGCCTTTTGTGATGTATGGTATTGTAAGATTTTTCATCAGCGTTCACGCTAATTTGGATATGTCGGTTTATAAAGGGTGGATGATAGCTTTGTCGACCAGTACAACTGTATCTTCAAATTCAGTCATGACACGCAGTGCTAATGGAAATGATGCCGCAGGTAAACCAAAAAACCGACATTAAGATAATCATCAATAAAAAGCCATATGCTAAAAGTTTTAGTTATCTAGCTATTTTGAATGCTGCCTTAGGAAACTTGCTAGGCATTTTTGTATCTCCAGCTCTGATGACAGGTATAAATAACAATATACATCTCAATAAATTAATGAGTTTTATCACAGCATATGTAATGAGTTTTCTTGTTATTAATATAACACCAATAGCGTTTCAAAACGACCCAATTGTCTTTGAACCCGGTACAGATAGAGGCAATCCTGATTATATTAATGTTCTAAAAACCCTGGGATGTACAGTCTTGGCACCTCTCGTGGTGGGCCAAGTCATACGGTACTTTTTCCCCACTAAAGTGAAGTATTTGGCGGCCAGATGCAAATTCTCGATCATCAACACTTTGGCACTCTTGCTTCTGATATTCTCTACTTTCTGCGATGGAGTGGCGTCAGATGCTTTCCATAAATTGAGTGGTGTGGATATCGTCGCTATTATTTTTGTGGATATTTTTATGTATTTGTTTGGATGTGCAGTGTCCTTGTTTATTGCGCGTTTACCATGGCCTTCCAACTATTCAGATACCCCAAAATGGGTAAAAAAGTTGCGTTTTCCAAAAAAAGATGCAATTGCTATTATGGTAAGATCTACGTATTTAAATGCTTTCAACCAGGATCTGAGTAATCATTATTCCATAGTATTGTGGCGCAACTAAAACAGTGTCCATGGGTATCCCTCTTATAAACGTACTCTATTCAGAAAGCAGCTATGGTGTTGTTGGTGTTCTATCGCTTCCCTTACTAATGTATCATATCTGTCAGTAAGTGATCATATTTGTAGATCTGGGGCAATATTGCACTTTCCGCTCATCCATAATTCATATTCATTATTGAAAACAGGTTATTTATTGGAAACATACAGGTTTCATTCTTAAAAAGATGGGCTGATAATAACCCGGATGAGAATGATGTGAGCAACAACACGAACATACCCATAGAGAGAGCAATAGAAACAATTCCGATCTCTATCGTAAGACACAGAGGGAATCAACAAGTATTATCTTAACAGCTTTTTGCTCTGTATCATTTTATTCGAAGCTGCCATCACAACATAAGGGCCAGCCTTAAATATATATGTATTTATTTTTGTTTTGAGAAAATCTCATCGTTATTGTATGAATGGGTATAGATGGGTCTATGAAGTCTAATACCGAGAAATACATGCGGGTCATCAATGGTTCGATGATTCTGTGATAATACTTGTAATGTCTGCAAAGGCTTGCTGGGGGATTGGAATAGACGAGGGAAACAATGTAAAAGGAAGGCTGCCGTCACTGCTATTTTGAATGAAGGGGCTTATAGTAGGTTCGGGTACAGTGTAAGAAAAATGTTGCTGCAATTGTGAAGGATGTTGGTTGTTAAGATTTCCATTACTCGTCGCTGAATGCTGCTGTTGTTGATAAATGGATAGGCTGTTATGTTGAAAGGAAATCGACGGTACCAAAATGGCAGCTCCTGCATCTGTTACAAGTGTTTGTTCGAAAGCCATGGGGGTTTGAGGAATAGATAACGATAATACATTGTGCTGTTGCCGTTGTTGTACAGTAGTAGGCTTCTGTAGAGCGGTAGTAAGTGGGAAGTGTAACAAAGATTTTCGAGGTGACGGTGGATGTGTGGATGGGTTAGCGGGGATCTCTATGGATTGCTGTTGTAGAGTGCTTCGTGGTAATGTTTGGAACGGCTGTGATCGTCGTCGTTGTTGTTGTTGTTGCTGTAGCAATGCTTGTTGAGTGATCGATACATCATCATTATTATTCTTTGAGTCCATAAGTGCGGTTTCATGCAGTCGCTCATGTTTCTTTAAAGATCGCAAGTGATAATAAGCTTTTCCACAATCTCTATAACGGCACATATAGGGTTTTACAGTGGAGTGAGTTTTAATATGAGTCGTTAGTGAATCTGGTCGAGAAAACTTCTTTTCACAATCTTATAAAATCATATGCATGTTCAGGATCATAGAACAAAAAATAGGAGTGGATATAAGCTAACGGCTAATTTCTTCAGGTAAATTTTACTTCTTACTTGGTTTTGGACAAACAAATGGTCTCTCACCCGTATGTATCCGAAGGTGATTCAGCATTTTATGTCGTTTAGTAAAAGGTTTATCGTTTCGGGCACAATTCTCCCATTCGCAACGGTAAGTTGGCTAAAATACCATGACGAAGAATTAAGTCTTAGTTGATAAAATAAGCAATCACTGTCTATTTAACTTACCTTTCCACCACCTACATGAGCTTCCGCAAGATGAGTGATTAGGTCTTGCAATAGATCAAACTTCTCGCCACATTCATACCAAAGACAAGTTTTGGCAATACTACTGTTTTCCTTAGTTGTCACGCTAGAGTTAGGTGGATCCTCTTCTTCCTCTTCTATGCCAACATAAATTGCATGTACTGATATTGAAGAATCCGACATATTATCATCTTCTGAGTTATGATTAAGAGCAACCGTGTTATTTCTCAGTGACAGTAACTTTCTTTCATTTTCAAGCTTTACTAACCGAGCTATAAGCTCTTCTCGAGACATGTCTTTGAACTTCCCAGCATCAACTGTATCTTTTTGAGGTTGCAAATCTTGCTGAAACTTATTCAGTTTGTTGAAGTTGATCTTAGGTTTCCTTTTTTCCGTTGTTATCGTTAAAACATTCTTGCCAATTTCACTCTGGCTATTTGTTTTGTCTAATTTATTCTTCTGCTGTAATTCTTTGATATCGTTGAGCCGTAGATTATGAGGAGGCATTTTGTTACTATTACCATTTATATCAAATTGTTCATAGTCTCTGTCTTTTTCAGTATGAGCCATTGCCATTACAGTGTTACCATCAATATTCACAATATCCTATAAAGATATCGTAAAAAGGCATTTTTAAGAAATGCTCTCTAAAAGAGCTTTTGTATCCTTTTTTGCACATAATCTTATTTACGTTTTGAGAATGCTGTTGTTGTAACCTAAAATTTGATTGCTGGTAGAAGATATAATTATCTGGCTGCTGTTGTTGTTCTTGCTGCTGTTGCTGCTGTTGCTGCTGTTCCAACATTGAACAAGGAGGGTTGGGTATGAACCTGTTTCTGATGTGTGCTGGATCGTTCTTCAAATTAGGAAAAGAGTATTTGATCTGATAGGCATTATCGTCAAATGTCGGTTTTGTAACAGACGATGCCTTTTTTTTATCTGCTGTCGTCTGATACACCATGATTTTTTCTTCCGTTTCTTTGCTGGTTTGAATCCCACTATTGCGGTTATGAATTCTTTAAACGATAACAGTCGTGACAATATTAAAGCCTTTATTTTTGAATGAAATTGTATTAGCAGCAAAGAAAATTGTTAAAATGGTTCGGTCGAATAAAGAAAGAAAGAATTGGCTGAAGGTCTGAAGTACACATTTATTCTTTCTTACATGATCATACAAGAAACACCTCGAGGCCAATCATGTAAGCATAAACAGCTGCCCTAGTCACAGAACATTGAACGCCAGCTACCACTGCCTTAAACCTTATGTAACATAGAATTATCACGCAAAATTTTACTAACGAAGTATACAGCCCATTTTAATAGTGTTCAATTTAAAATGATGTGTGCGAGCATAGTATAAGTGTTTGAAAATGATACTAGCCCGTCTAAATCCTTTTCCAAGCAAGAACGACGACTTTACGATGATTATGCACTAAAGTAAAGTAAAAGCATTCTTGTAATAGAGTTAATAGGGCTTTTTACATGATAAAGTTTCGCATTTCAGTAATTTTATCAAATGCATCCAACTATTCCTTTTAAAAACGAATAGAAGAGAAGTTTGGATTTTGGTCTTATCTAGCCTGCTATGGTTTCTTCATTGTAACTATGTATAATATTAAGCGATGATGATACTCACAACAATTTGTACGTATTGGGATCAGCTGAAATGTGCGTAACGGTGGTGGTTGAGGATGATTGTATATCCAATGGTTCTGATTGCTCATACTTGAAACCATTGGAGGTACCACTGGCTGTGTATCCGTTCAAATAGTGCCTGGTCAGGTAATGCTGTCTTTAATTTGTTCATCTCCTCTAGTTCCTTGCTGTACAGCGCCGACCAGACTCACTTTCGCTCGCTTTCACGTAGGTCTACGTTTTAATTTTTCTGATTCTTTCTCACTGTCCTCCTAACTGTCAATCTCTAGTCCCCATTTTCATTTTATACTATCCCAATTTGTAAATTATTGACTGATAATAAAAAGTACGTGATTTCATACAAAAGAAAAAAAGAGTTCTGATTGCTCCTGTTGACCTTAAAGGGAAATTTTCAGGAACGCCGCAAAGCACCGCCATCGATTTAAACGCGATTTCCGAAAAGGCTAAATTTCGCTTTCCATTCTTGAACTTTCTGTTTTTACATAAAAAAGGAACTGCGCTTTTCTTTGTTATACCCGAAACGTTCTTTTTTTGTGTAGTAGCTATAGTTTGGTGACAACACTCTTCACTTCCTCCAGTTTTCTATATCATATGATTGCTAAGACGGGAGTTATTGTTCCTCAGTTACCAACAAGAGTAAGAAAGGCGAAAACACCAGTTTCAACTCATGACCATAGCAGTAGTAACGATGACGACGATTTTCAGCCTGATCAATCACCACGATTAAGCCGAAAAAGTAAACCGTTCAGTAACATCAATGATAGCAGTGAGAGTGATGCTGACTATATAGACAAGGGATCAGTTGGTACTTCGCCTCTTCCATTACCACAACCTATCCAGCGAGAAGAGTCGGTTATCGTTGGCTCTAGTGATAGTAGCGACGAAGAGTATGAGGAACAAGATACAAAAGGAAATCTGACAGGACTGTCATCATCTCCTGTTCGTAAAAGAGTCGCTGAAAGCAGGAGTAGTAGCGTCAATAGTGATAACAATGAAAGTCAGAACCATATTGTCAGTCCTATCCGTGCGCCTCATGTAATAAAGCAACTTACCAAGAAACGACCAAAGGAGGACATAGAAAGCGATAGCGATTATGATCTCTCGAACGAAGAGGACGAATATGATGATGATTATGCCAACAATATGAAGAAGAAACAGAACATCCAACATCCAAATAAAAAGTTGAGGACGCAGACTAGAAGCATATCTTTGAATACTCGATCGGGGAAGTCGCTTGAAACTGCTGTTAGTAATAGCGCTTTTAAACAGAAGTTTAAATTCTTACCCAATCCCAATCGAATCGACAAAAATTTTGATGCCAGGTCTATTATCTGTAAGAAATTTAAAGTACCTTCTATGATGAGTAAACCAGACAAAGATGGCAAATCAACACCTTACCGATATGAAAGCAACTCAACTTTTGGAGAAGTGAAAACCTTAGGCCTTCGCAAAAGACAGGCACTAAGAGCTTTATATGATCATACTGCTGAAGATGCCATTGTTCTCTGGGATCCTGATAATCAACCAGTCCAGGAAGAGATCAAAATTACAACTGATAAACCGAGGAAGAAAGGCAAGAGTTTAGCAGAAATCTTAGGACTAAAGAAAGAGGAGAAAAAGCTTGTTCACGTCGTAGTAGATCCTGCTCTTAGCCGAGTTCTTCGCCCTCATCAAGTGGAAGGTGTGAAGTTTCTTTATAATTGTACAACTGGAAAGGTTCTGTCGGATGCTATGGGATGCATTATGGCAGATGAGATGGGTTTGGGCAAAACACTTCAATGCATTACCTTGACCTGGACTTTACTTCAGCAATCAGAAGTGCTCGGTAAGCCAACAGTTCAAAAAGCAATTATCACCTGCCCTTCAAGTCTTGTAAAAAATTGGGCAAACGAATTTGGTAAGCTTTTTTTTTGTAGATGCATATCGACCGTAGTATGCAATTCGATTGATTGTGTCCATCTTTTTCCAATCTGTATTAGTAAAATGGCTAGGTCCAACTCGTGTTCAACCCTTGACGGTCGATGTTGGTGGAAGTAAAGAAAAGATTACTGCTGTTAAAAGATGGGGTGCTAGTCAAGGGAAAAACTCTATTCTGATAATTTCATACGAAAGTTTGAGAGCTTATACAAAGTATTTAAAGAAGACCCCTATTGGTCTGTTACTATGTGATGAGGGTCATCGTTTAAAAAACAGAGGTAGCCATTTATTTTACGGACAGTTTTCAGTAACTATGCTTTATACTAATGTTATTCTTTTTTGCAGAATCCAAGTTGTTCCAAGAGTTAAATAGCTTAAATGTTAGCCGAAGAGTTATTTTATCCGGCACGCCTATCCAAAATGATCTGAGTGAATACTACGCTCTGCTCGACTTTGCAAATCCCGGTCTACTTGGTACACCCAGTGAATTTAGAAGAAACTACGAGATTCCCATTTTGAGAGGGCGAGATGCTGACGCTACGGAAAAAGAACGAGAAGTGAGTGATGAAAAAGTAGCTGAGTTCTGGAATATAGTGTCCAAATTTACTATCCGCAGAACAAATGATATTTTGACAAAATACTGTAAGTTGAGGAAGGGAAGAAAAATCGATAAATGTCTTGTTAATGCGTGTATTTCGATGTAAAATAGTGCCCACGAAATATGAGCATGTGGTATTCTGTAAGCTGGCACCTTTGCAAGAAGCATTATACAACGTTTTTCTGAATTCTTCTGAAATCAAGACATTATTACGAGGTCAAGGTTGTCAGGCATTAAAGGTATTACTTAACACGAGAAAAATTTGTTAGATTGAAGCATTTTTAACCAAAATCCATTTCTTAGAATATCACTTTGTTGAAGAAGCTATGCAATCATCCAAACTTATTGAATCTCCCAGATGATTTGGAGGGCAGTGAATCTGTATTGCCCGACGGTTATTTGAGTAAAGGGAGTAAGATCGACCCTAGCTTTTCCGGAAAATTCATGGTTCTTGCTCGTATGCTTGCGAAGATCAAGAAAGAAACGAAGGATAAGATTGTACTTATCAGTAACTATACGCAAACATTGGACCTATTTGAAGCTTATTGTAAACAATCACAATATGGCGTGTTACGTTTGGATGGTTCGATGAATATTACGAAAAGACAAAAATTAGTGGATCAGTTTAACGATCCAGAAGGCAGTGAATTTGTCTTTCTTTTGAGTAGTAAAGCAGGTGGCTGTGGTTTGAACTTGATTGGTGCCAACCGACTTGTCTTGTTCGATCCTGATTGGAATCCAGCAGCGGATCAACAAGCGTTAGCAAGAGTTTGGAGAGATGGTCAAAAGAAAGATTGTTTCATTTATCGTTTCATTGCGACTGGTACGATTGAAGAGAAGATTTTCCAACGTCAATCACACAAGCAGTCTCTTTCCAATTGTGTTGTGGATGAAGCAGATATGGAAAGACATTTCTCTGTAGCAGACATGCGTCGTCTATTCACTCTTCATACCAAGAGCGATAGTGAAACTCATGATACATTCAAATGTAAGCGTTGTATTCAAGGCAAACAGCATACAGCTGCTGAGCAGATGAATTATGGCGATTCGAGCACGTAAGTTGAACAATTAAAGAAAACATATTTAGCAAAAAAGATGATACTGATTTTAACTTAATTGATAGATGGAATCATTATGACAAAGACTTATTACGAATACCTGATCCAGTTTTAATGGCTGAAGCGCACAAGGGCATTGTATCTTATGTCTTCCAGTATATTTCGCATATTAAATAATGCTCCCTGTATATATAGTTGTATCCCACATAGCATAACATTCTTATTTATTCTAACAATTCATAGCTTTTTACAAAATACTTAGCACCATACATGCAAAAATATCATTCACTCCTATTGTAGACAAATGATATCTATACCTAGTCACATTAATAAACAGATATAATTGTACTCTTCGCTATTAAAATACAATTTTGATCTCAAAAATGAGCATCGCTCTTATTCTCATTTCCGTCGGTTAAGCGGTGCATTCGATTGCATACATTTCAACTTTGCCTCATGTGCAATAATAAGATAAGGTGACAAAAATAGGGCTTAAGGATAATTTTATGCAGAGCTACTTCACATAAGAATTGAAAAAAAAAACCTTACGAAGTATCTTTTACTCATGCTGTCTAAGGCTATAAGGCATTTCACTATAATAGAATTGTATAAGTACTTATAGTATTTATTGGCTCAACTACCAGAACATAGTAGGTCAACGTACTACTCCCTCTTCGTGAATTAAAGCATGGTTGGAGATTAAAGGCTCAATCATTCTTTATTAATATAACAACTGTTTATGCATTCATAAACGCCTTCATTAATGTCTTTTTCTAGTAATAATATCCATTAACATTTCCACACTACCTGAGCAACATGGTTGGTGGCCGATAGATATTCCATTATAGATGCAGCTGCGTAATCACCAGGACAGCACGTTACAAATTAGTTCGCTGTAGGGGTAGATGAGTAATTAACCACTTAATCGGGAGGCTACCCTTTCACGGAAGCCTCTGGTTCACTGAGTATTATCAGACCATAATACGTCAATATCAGTTATAGATTCCCATATATCTGTAGAAAGCAAATACAAACAACTCTTTATTCATAGCAGTAGGTTTCTTTTCCTTGAATTTGATTTCATTAAGCTTTTGTGTTCATTATCTCTTGTGCTATTCTTTTTTTTTTTATTGTGAATTTTGACGGATGCCACAACATGTTTTTACTACACATATTTACGATTATGTTTAACATAGATTTATAATATGGTAAAGATATGATCATTTATAATGGAAGTATATTAGTTTTCTACTGAGCATCTGCTTCGACCTCTGCAAAGAGACACCATTTTGATTGATTACAGAAACAAGGCTATAAACCTTCCTTTCATAGAACAACATACTACATCATTCAAAGACAAGAATAAGTATTTAATAGGTCGAAGGAATTGGCCATGTTGCTTCAGGTTCTTTTTGATAGCGTTCAAAATTGTCTTTAAAATAAGTCCAGCTTGAAACGTTTTTCTTGTTGGGATCATAGTTATCAGCAAAAGCATATGTCTTCATAGTCTGGTTAATCTCATCTGCCAGTAGTGGATCAAGATCCTTAACAGTAGAGCCTTCAGGAAGTTTATAACCTGTACAATGATAGACTAAATATCCGTCTTGACCGCCCATTTTCATGAAGGGTGCAAATTTAGATATGCGTGTCCAATTGACTTCTACATTTTGGATTGTATTTTCATCGTCTAAATCTTCCGTATTGCATTTGAAAGTGAAGAACTCACCGGCTGAAAAACCGCTTCAATCAACTGTCTGATGTGACAAAAGGTGAAAGAAGTGAATTATTTACCTTCGTACATCTTATTAGCGTCGTAATTATCGAATCGGTGGTCTTCTATAGCTAAAGGATTGGGATAAAACAATGGTATCTGGAAGAGAAAAATTGTTCATACTCCACAAACTCGCGAGCAATGAAGCTTTTCTACGATTATACAATATTATTGTTACCTCAGTTACAATAGCGGTTGTTTTACTGAACTTATTATGACGGGCATCAAGTGAGATAAAGGTTGGTAATTCCATCTGTACAGGATCATTTGCAATATGAACCACTAGCCGTTAAGAATAGGCAAGAATCCGCTCGTGTCAATTCTTGAAGAAGGGCGCCTAAAGTGAAGATTTTTCTATTGTTTACCTGGTAAATTCTTCTCTCCTGTCCACAAATTATCCCAGGTGTTTAACTTTACTCCGGTTTGGGGGTCAAGGTAGTAAGTCAACTCCTTGCCACTTACTTTTAATTTACCCTGTTCGATTTTGGCTCGGGAAACGTTCATGCCAATGCAGCGAAATATCTTTTTAGGTGCTTGTCCCGGAATGAATGCGCTAATAAACACTATTAGTTTAATACTGAAGTACTTCTTTTTGTTATTCTTCTAGCCTTATTTGTTGTATATGAGCGTACAAAATAGATCCTTCCCATTGAAAAAAGGTATCTGCATCAGGACTTGCCGAGTACCTCAATTTTAAAAGAGTACTGCCATCATATTCTAAATTATATTAGATACTGCTTTGTAAGAAAAAATATTGATCATTTTAATTTATAACCCTCTTACTTTTAGTCATAGTTGGGAGTAGGTTTGCGAAATTGAATAAATGTAGCAAATTTCGGAAGAAAAAAAAGGGATTGGACTTTTCGCACTTGATCAGGACATGCAGTTACAAGACTCTCGCATAATTGTCGGGATACAAAATATTAAACACGCGTGCTGATACCAAAACGGAAACTGGGTTTGCTAAAAGTCTTTTGTTAATATGTTTTTATCACGAATTACAAATTTTGAAGAGACAAGGAGCACCGAAATTTGCCCGGGGCAGATTTTAATGTTTATATACGTTGATATATAGCTAAAAAATACTTAAGGGGATCAAGTATAGAAAGAGTGTTTAAACAGTTGTGGTTATGGAGAACTGGGGACCAAGCATAGTAGCAGGGGAAAGGGGGAAAATGGAATGGTAACCAGAACAAAATGAATACAGAAGCTAGTAGTGCAGTAATAAAATCACACATGCTTCGAGAGCGAACTTCTCTGAGGATGCTTTTCATCTCTTTGTTGGTTGTCCACTTAAATGACAATTTTGGATCATGCCACTGCAGGGTCATTAACTTATATCTATTCCTTACACACCTTACAAACGTGTGACACATCTTGATATTTTTAAGTATTTGGAAATATCGTTTACGTTGTCATTTTGATAGCATCTCTTCTTCCCCAGGTATATACATTATAACTGTTCTCTACAAATGTTTCAATGTCCATGCTTCTTCTCCTATTTCTTTATTGCCATAAATCATATATAATCCTTTTGTTTGTTTGATGACCGTTTCCTATCAATTTTTGTGAATTAAATATAAAAAAAAAAAATCCTTAAGTGTAGTTGCTGTCCTCATGGGGACTGGGATAGGCTCCCAAACTACTATTCAGCCCACTGCCTATATTACCCTTTGCGCACTCTCACTAATGCGCACGTCATTGAATCTTATAAAATACAAAACCGACTGCAAGTTTCGACAACCGTCGCTGACCCCATTTTTCACTTGGTGAATTAGCTTCCCACTCGACCCATAAAAGCAGCGTGTCATTGCACCAGCCAACTGGAATTCTCTTGGCCAATTGTCCAAATGCTACTTTATCAGGTCGATTACCTTCAGCACAAGAAAATGCCTCGTACCCCATCAAAAACATTAGGGCAGCTCTTACTAGATTGGCTTTATGCGTCCACAACCACCAAGACTTGGTAGTCCCCTTATCTCATAGTTAGCTTCATGACACTCTGCCTTTTTTCGCTTGTCCCTTCATGTAGTATTAATTCCCATTCAATATCTACTAGATCTGCCCTGGCAATTTCAGATAAGTAGTTTATCTGTGTGCTCATTGGGTTTTAACTATTTTGTCAATAAAACATTATTTATTACAGTGCTTGATTTGGGTTACTCTTTTCTATTAGTTAGTTTGTGATCACCATCTTCAGATGTTGAATCAATATTGGATTCTAAAAAAAAAACAAAAAAAAAAAAAAAAAACAAAAAAACAAGTAAGCCCATACTCTTTTTTTCCTTCGTCTTCTTGAAACAACTTGTTTTTTGTACCTTTTTTATCAAATAGATCGTCTAAATCATCATCGGCATTACCGTCGCTAATATCAGAGATGGTATACGGTTTACCTTTATTTAGTGAATCACCTTCGGCTATTACCAGGATGGGCGGTTAGTTAATATTCGACAACGCTCTCCAGTCCGTTTTATGTACCTTTTGCACTTCCTATAGTAGATTCCGTTGTTTTTGACGTTACTGCTGCTGCATTGGCTGATTTATCTGTTGTACCTACATCTGATTGATTGTTAGAGCATATTTATCGCCTTTTAATATTCATTACTTTCAACTTTAACTGTAGACCGTACTTTGGGGAGCTGTTTGAGAGTTGTTGGACGCATGTGCAACCGCATCTTTGCGAGCCAACTGCCTAGCGAAATCTTCATCAGATAGAAGTTGTTCTGCAGGAGTCGAGGTCTTGGCTTGTGGTTGTATATCCTCTTCTCTTCCTATATTGTAAGACACAGCTTTCAGTGTGCTATCATCTTTATTAATGAAGGTATATAAATATACGTACCATCCCATTCATATAAGTTCACTGATTCTCTTTGAGCATTTTGGGCTAATGGTTGTTGTCGAGGTTGTCTTTCGTCATTTGATAAACTCAAATTACCCATTCTAGCCTCCAAGCTACTCCCCCTAAATGGCTGTTGTTGTTGCTGCTGCTCTGGATGCGGTTGGTCAGAAGATCCAGCCATAAACTGGTTATAAAAGTTCGTGATTTTATTCTTGGCAGCTATAAAATTAGTAACTGAGTGAATATTTCTTCCAAAATGTATATCCAATTCAACAGCCCACTATTCCCTTTCTTATTTTACCTGTACCAAATTCCATCACTTTCTCTTTCAGCATGGGCAAATCCTCTAAATCATATCATCGTTACACGCATTAAAAATTTGGCGATTATGACTTCATTGAGTCGTCCTACAAAACTGTTTTTGTTACCTTGCAGATTGAATAGAGGCTGCTGCTGTTCCTGTTCTTCTTGACGCTGTTGTTGTTGGAGCTGCGCCTGCCTCTGTGCATTGACTTGCTGTTTATACTGTGCAGTACTTTCTCGCGCCAACTGTTTTGCGTACTCTTCGTCTTGGCGCAACCGCTCCAAGTTTTCTGTCTCTTGTGGGTCGGGTTTATAAGAAGGATCTGACATGCCCAGCAAAACATCAAACGCAGCATTCACATTGCCGCCTTGACTGTTCAAGATGGTTTCAATTATGTCAAGTTCGAGATTAGGAAAAGCATCTTTCAGAGTTCTTAAATCGCCGGTGAGTTGGAGAGGTTGATTATCGGTTTCTTGCAATGCTGTTGTTGCTCTACTGCTTCTGTTATTGTTAGCAGTACCTACAGTTGAATTATCGGCATTTCCCCCGGTAGTCCTGGTGACGGAAGGTTGGTTGGCCTCTACTGGTGTGGGCGTTGTAAGAGGAAGTTCCTCTTCCTCAATAAGTGTATTTTCGCCTTCATCGTTCAAATTTTTATCCATAAGATCATCGACGAGCTTGGTTTGGGGTTCTGACATGACGTATGGGATATGCAGCAAAGTATAAAAAGTGAGCAAGAAAAAACAAAAGAGGAACGATTGTCCTTTCCACATTCCAAAGCGTACATCAATCTAAAATTTACCGCAAAAATGCCTGTTTGACATCTCCGCTATCTTTTTGCCTGTGGTGCACTTGCATGAAATAAATTGACGAGTTTCGGGGAATAAGTTTCCGAATTTCCATCAATAACAGAAATGCATTCTGGATTTTAGCAGGCAAGGCCTTCCAGTGGTTTTTCGATAGTCTGTAACGTCCATTTTTGCACTTTGCTTGGCAGTGGTATCTCTAAAAAAAGGTTTCACTGGTTATCATAGTAGTATTATCCATTTTTGATGAAAACAATGATATCTCTTTGTATCCCAGCGCTTGTATAAATGCGAGACAAAACCTTCGATGTCTCTATTGTAACAGGCTTTTGTTACTTTTTTTTTCTGATAAAATGTCTTCCTGCAGCAGTCGATTACGCTTGTCGTATCTAACAATGTAAACAACGTTCACGCATTGGTAGAGTATGCTTGCTTTCTGTAAGATATTGTATATCCTTTAATCCAAAAAAAAACAACCAAAAACTTCAATATACGTGTTTGAACAATAAAACATAGATAATGGTAGTTCCAAAAGTCTTACGAGCATCATTTTTGTGTAATTTTTTTCAAACTACCAAGAGAAACAGGAGTAGAATCTAGTAAATGGAATGGTGGCAGGCAACTTGCACACTTATCACAGAAGTAAACTGGTCGTTCTAAGAAATTTTGTACTTACCGGTTGTTAGCTTTCCTAAAGCAGCATAAAGTAGATGAACTGATTTATTAAATCGTACACAAAAACTGTTTATTAGTTTCCATCTCGAAGAAAAGCCATGAAGTTTGTTGTCGTATACAATAAATCAACAATACTTAAATGCAGCTACACTGTGCATTTGGAAGTTTTTATTGTAATTGCTGGAGACCGCCAATACATATACAGTGCCTAAGAAGGCATTAAACTACTATAAACACCGCAATAGCCTCCAATTTTGTTGCATTAAATGAGCTATCAGGAGACTCATTATGTCTTGCAACAATTCAATGTAGAAAATGTCAAAAAGAGCATTAAACAGAAAAGAAGAGAAAAAAAAAAAATTGTTAAAGTAATTGTAGGCTTTATTGAAAAAAAGAACAACGTCTTATAAATAGCCATCTGAATGTTTGTGGAAGCACACTATATAAATTATGTCTGTAATTATTGCTTATTTATATAAGTTTTTTGTTCGGTTCGAATTATCATCATCTATATATCGAAAACAAATGCAATGGTACAAGCATAGATATTTTCGCAATCACTTACATCAGCAGAATACCACCTCATATGAAAAGGTCGTCATCTTCTCTTCGCCTTGATACTAGCTGCACGTCATTCGCAATCTCCATCAGATATAACCAAGCCTCTGCTTGCGATCAAGGCGGGGAGAGGAAAAGAGGTAGGTCGACCTCCTTTAGGGTTTGAAGGGAAATCTTCAATCAACAATGATGCCCGCTGCCGCGGCAATCGATATTCATGGAAGGTCTTCTTTTTCAAACAAGAGCACTGCTGTCTGCAGAACACTAAATAAACATTATTTTTGAACCGTTATTGTCCAACGACGGTAATCGGGACTTGTTAGTCGCTAATGTTACATCCCCTCGCTTCTCCTAATGTCTGAGAAGACGCTTTCCCAAAGATCCTCCCTCCCATTGTTACCATTCCTGTTAATTTGCCAGGAGAGCTGCCCTTCTATCGCACCAGCAGCAACAACCTACTTTGATGATGAAGTTGCTGTGCTGGTAGCGAAGCCTTCGAAGAAAGGATGCTCCAATGCTTGCTTGGCTGTGATTCTTTTAGCAGGGTCGTAAGTGAGCAAGCACTAAATAATAAGGTCATGCTAAAATTAATACATTTTTCAATATAGAAAGACCATAATCACACAGTTTACTTACTTGGAGCAAATCGGCTGCTGATTCAGGCAGCTCTCCGAAGATTGAGTTAGGACAACTCAACAGGTAAGCTTCCAAATTGTTCGAATTGTTGGCTATGTAGACGGACAAAAAGCTATTTAGAAAAGAAGGGGACTTTCGCATTCCATGTAAGCTCTGTGCAGACTTACGAGGGAGATCGTTATCGAAATACTTGAAAGAGGACACACCAGGCCAGTCGGCTTCCGATGGTGTGCCCTTCAAGCTGTACATCTGGGAAAGCGTCTCGTCTTCTGTTTCTCCTATAAGTATTATGGTATTTAACGTTAAAAAAAAGAACCCTCAAATCATCATCGTCGCTGTATTCAATTTACCTGAGAACAGATGGTCCATGATAATCATAAATGCCATGATGCATCCGGCATTCCACATATCAACTGCAGTCGTGTGCTGTGGAGTGCCGAGGAGAAGCTCGGGTGCCCGATACCAGAGGGTGCCAACCTGAAATTCCAACAAAAAAAAAAAAAAAAAAGGTAAAAAATCAGTTAAGTAAAAAAATTCGACGTACGCATTTTCAATCTACGAATGGGTTTACTTTACTTGGTATGATTCTTTGACACCCTCAAACTCCTCGACGGTAGCGGCTAACCCAAAGTCAGTAATTTTTAGGTTGCCACTATCATCAAGGAGCAGGTTTTCGGGCTTCAAGTCCCTGTGAAGGATGCCGTTGTCATGGCAATATTGGAGGCCAGACAACAGCTGCCACATAAAGGACTAAAAAAAAAAAAAAAAAAAAAAAAAGAAAGACAACTTCAGTATGCTTCATAATTTGATAGAAAATGCTTGAAATCAACCAAACACACCTGTATGTGATCAGCAGACAGTCCTTTACGGTCATACTGCATGAGATAAGAGAGTAAATCAAATCTCATGCAGTCCATAACAATGTTGGCAGCATTTTTTTCTTCGTAGCTGTCAAGCACTCTATCAGAATAAGAAAGAAAGAATGAGCAAAAATTTTCGTGTCTCGACCGTTTTCTCTTTCGAAAGGATTACTTACTTCACCACATTGTCATGGTGAAGTCGCTTCATCAAAGCAACTTCACCCAACTGCCACTGACGCCAACTGTCGTCGTCGGACAGTTGCATTTCCTTGATGGCAACTTTTGCCGAGGTGGGTATGTGCTCGGCTTCATACACCACCCCGAAGCTGCCTTCACCGATCTTGGCAATCTTTCGGTAGCGAGAAGAATTACCACCGTCCTCCTCGCCATCGCCTCGCTTTCTCTTGCTGCCGCCCGTAGTAACAGAAGAACTATGTTCAAAGCGAAAAGAGTGTGATGAGAAGCACGTACAGAGATATACTTGGTTTCATTCAATCAAAATGCCAGTTACTTACAGTTCTACTGCTGAAGCGTATGCAGAACGAAGTCGCTTCACAACGCGGCCTTCCTTTTCAGCAAAGTATGACTATAAAATTATAAAACGATATCAGTAACAAAATCATCTTTCCTTGTGCGATTTTCTATGCTAAATGGTTATTATTACCTGATAGGAATAAGTAGCTGGGTACTTTCTTTTCAAAGTACCAGCAGAAGAAGAGGTAGAAGAAGTGGTACCATCCAAACCAGCAGAAGAAGAAACAGAAGCAGTAGAACTAGCCGAACCAGCAGTGGTACTAGCCGAACCAGCAGAAGAAGAAACAGAAGCAGTGGTACTAGCCGAACCAGCAGAGCATAAGTCATTAACTAAAAAAAAAAAAAAAAGAAAAATAAAGTGAGCTATTTTTGAACGACTTATAGAATGATGTAAACTTTTAATTCGCGTCAAATATTGTGCTATTTACCTGGTTGACGCAAAAAAGAAGAAATAGCTACATCCGAAGATGAGCGAACCACATCAGCAGAGCATAAGTCATTAACTATGAAAAAGGAGCAGTATTTAATGAAATATACATATGTTTCTCCGAGAGCAGCAGGACCTTACCTGAAGGGAGAGAAGAAACAGCAACATCCGAAGATGAGCGAACCACATCAGCAGAGCATAAGTCATTAACTAAATACAAACAACACAGAATAACGCGTCAAGTACATATTACAAATACACTCATGCACTATGTTAGTTGTACTCATTTCGTACCTGAAGGGTTGAAAGTCATGCGATCGACAACAGCAGAGCTTACGTCATGAACTACCAAAGAGAAAATGTAGATTGAAAGCGGATATTACGCGTTGAGCTGTTACTGCTTGTTGCACCTACACATTTAGATATGGTTTTACCTGAAGGGATGCAGAGAGCGCGAGAAGAGGCAGAAGAAGAGCTTTGGTTTGCTTGATAAGACATGCTAAAAAATGCATAACGAGAAAGAGCAGAGAAGTTTGGGTTTGTGATTGTTTTCAATAGAAGAAAAGTTCAAATCAACCACAAGTACCTGAAATAGCGGATTGAGTAAATGAATATACTATAAGGAAGAAAGAAAAGAGAAAGGAAAAGCAGAATAACAAAATTTCATACCTTTATATAGCTCTGGGGACGTAGGATGAATGGTCTATAGATTTGTTTATTTTGTTTTTAAATTAGCATGGGGGTTCTAATGGACTATAGTGCACTTATTATGTATCACCTGAAAAAAAGTCTCTTCATCCTACTGTTCAGTGTTCAACAAAAGGCGTATTTTGCTCATTCATGTGAAAAATAGGGGGTTTGTTGGCTTACTCTAATAAAAGCCAAATCTAGGCCATGTACATAAGCATTAGTGTAACCTCGTAATTTGTGAAAGAGATAACATCTCAATGATATCAAGTAAATGGACGGTATTCAGCAAGGTTTTTTTTTTTTGATCATCTTTGATAGCAAAAAACTTTACCTCTTGGGTCAATTTTAAAATGCTACTTTGTTTGCTGTTCACTGTTGTTGTTGATGTCTTTTCGTCCTCTTGCTTGATGAGTTGATCCCCCAGCGCACGTTAAATGCTAAGTAATAAATAACACTTTAACCTGACTGTACGTGTTGTAGCAGGAGAAATAGTGACTGTGGCACATTATTTCTTTTACTATCGTGATTTAAGATACAATGAAGCAAAAGAGAAAATGAACTAGGATTACAAAGGCTATTAAGCCTTCTCATGCTGTCGCGGTCTCAGGAATTCAGCAATTTTACAGTAATAGAAGGCTTTCATATGTTCATTCTCCTGCTATCTGCAACCCTCATGTGCGCTATCGAAAGGGGAGTCTCTTTTTATTTCTGTTCATGAAGAAAAATGAAAGACTAAGTTGCTTCATCCGTTGAGTGAAGCGCGGCCTTTCAAAGGAACCATTTGAGCTTGTCGATTCAGGTCACTGCTATCCCTTTTTTACGGCGCTATCATTGTCATTTAACAAACAAGCAATTTTATTAAGCTTCTCATCACTTTGGCAGTCGGCTTGGGTGAATACAATGAGTCCATGGTACGAAAGATTCAATAGCGTTGAGAGGCGAAGATTAGCAAGTGTCGCTGAGTGGTCTCTGTATACTTATTGTAATAGAGATAGCGAAAAAAAAAAAAAAAAAAAAAAAAAAATTTATGTGCAATCTCGCCTTTTTTTTTGCTATGGCTCGCTATGCTACTTATTTTCCTAAAGAGATTGACAAGCTTGTAGCCCTTCTTTCTCAAAAGTTTGTAAAATTGTTGATTTCCTCGCATTGTCGACAGAAGTGTTTACATGAGGATTGAATTCTCAGAATATCCAAGATAAGATTTTTGACTCTCTTCAGTTGATACTGAAATGAGCGGATCTACTTTTCATATCTGATTTGTTGCCATTATCAAAAATTAGTATGTCAAATTCTACAATTGGGAAGGGTTTATTGATAATGTATAAATAGTACGATTGACAACGACGTATGTCAGATAATTTTTCCTTCTGAACCAGCATTCAATTTCTTTTTCTGTCAGCAGTTTTGCTATTGATTAGGATTTTTAATGTATGCTAAGCGTAGTATTGTAGCGTCTAGCCTTTGTCCGCAGTTTGCACCTCTATCACAAAAATAGATTGAGTTTCTAAGGGAAAGTGGACATTTGCGCCATGATCCAAATATGGTAATCTTCAGGGTCCAAGAAACTGAAACATTTACAAAAAGGGTTTCCTAATAAGCTGATGAGTCGAAAGGCAAATCTTTCGAAAATGACGGGTTGAAAAAAGGAAATGAACATTTTGCCGCCAACAGGATGTGACAGTTCCGATGTATAAGATACAGCTGCTTGTCAAAATTAGCTCATGCTGATAAGGTAGTTTCAATAGAGCAGTAGGCCTACGTTTATTTCAGGTGTCGAGACGCTGATACGACCATTTGATGCATACTGAAGGAGAAGGGCAGTGTTTATATTCTGACCTCCTTTTCTTTCGCAATAAAATAAAAAAAGTAAGCAGGCTTAGAATAGTTTGACCTTTATGATGTGTCCTCCCATCGACCGTTTGAAGCAAGCAGTTAACAAAGAGTAACAAGTGATGGTTGCTCTACAAGTGCGTAAAGTCTATGTATACGTGAAAAGAAAGAAAAACATCCGTATGCGGTATTGTCGACAGTGACGGTTACATTAGAAAACACATCATCCAACAAGCCAAATAGGCAGGTGCAAAAGAGGGCCTTCAAAGAAAGCCCATTCTCAGTATTTTGTTATGTGACAAAGCAATGTGGGCTTTTCCCTCACCACAGTTTCTAACGTCTGCCCCCGTGGCTCTTTTTATCGGTTGAATTCCAGAAGAAACTCCTCCAAACAAGCTGAAAATCATTTTTCCTTTAGGTCACACAGAAACCTCACACGATTGCTATCCACAAAAACGTTAGAAAAAGGGGATTTTTTTCGGATTTTATGCCCTGATGAACTTGTTTCTACGTTTAAAAGGACGCCATTGAACGAATCAGAATGCATGCAGACCGCCATAGAAAAAAGGAAAAAGGCATGTACAGTTTTTGAAACTTGGCGTAATTTAGCTAATACCGCCTTATTCTTAGTGGAAAGGATGAGAGGGTCCATTCAAACAGGGTTCAGTTTTCAGTAGAAGCTAGTGAGCCGGTAACTTTGATTGAAAAAAATGGAAAAAATCGTAATAGAAAAAAAAAAAAAAAGTCCCGCTGAAAAGCATTTTAGTCAAAAAAAAGGGTCCTATTTTTATTTATGTAATCAAATAAACCAATCACCTCCCTGATTATGAAATCATTGCGTTTCAAATGAAAAAAATTTTTTTTTGCGTTTCCTCTATCCGAGACCCTCTTTTTTGAAATTTGTTATGTAATGATCGCTCATCCGTTTGTCTACAGAGAGTTAGTTCTATTTTTTCTTTTCATTACTTTCCCTCATCAATACATGTCAGCCTCCAAGAAACAGCCTATCAATAAAAAGTGATACGTCAAGAAAGGAAAGCAAAAATTCCCTTTGTTAGCTATGTCAAAAGACATACTGTTGCAAAATAGTGTCGTTATTTATATTTTTGTGTGCATATTAGACCCTGAACGAAAGAATGGATTTACCTTTTCCAACGCAAAAGTCCGCTTCCCCGTGCCCACCCAGAAACAAGGATAAACTGCTATTTAATTGGTCATATGGTCTGTCTCATATATTCAAGTGTCGAAACTCGGGTAATGAAAAATCAAGCTATAAAATATGTAAACTTTTTCCCTATCCTCAGGCCTGTTTTCTCTTTTTTCTTTTTTTTTTTTTGGATTTTTCTTCCTTATCTTTTTATATATATTTCTATACTACTACAATGAGATTGGTTATTCGTGACGATTATGATGAAGTAACTGAATATGTTGGTAAGTTCAATTGAACTTTATGTAAGCTTGTAAAAGAAAGCGTGAAACGATTGCTGACTGTTTCTCTTGTCGATGATTAGCTAACTACATCAAGGAGCGTGTCAAGCAATTCAACCCTACTGCTGAACGTCCTTTCGTCATCGGTCTTCCCACCGGTTCTTCTCCCGTCAGCGTTTACAAGCGTCTTGTCGAATTATACAAGGCTGGTGAAATCAGTTTCGAACACATCGTTACCTTCAACATGGACGAATACGTTGGTTTGCCTCGTGACCATCCCGAATCTTATCACACTTTCATGTGGAAGAACCTCTTCATGCACGTCAACATCAAGCCTGAAAACGTCCACATCTTAGATGGTAATGCTCCTGATTTGGATGAAGAATGCAAGAAGTACGAAGCTGAAATTGCTCGTGTTGGTGGTATTGAACTCTTCTTGGGCGGTATCGGTCCTGATGGTCACATTGCCTTCAATGAACCCGGATCCTCTTTGACCTCTCGTACCCGTGTCAAGACCTTGGCTTATGAAACCATCATTGCTAATGCTCGTTTCTTCGATGGTGATGTTACCAAGGTTCCCAAGCTTGCTTTGACTGTTGGTGTTGCGTAAGTTTCATTTCTTTTTTTTTTCCCTTTCCTTTCTACATGGAAAGGGAGGGGGGTGGCAGAATAGAAAATATGGGTATTTGGGAAAAAAAAATTCCAAAAGAGAAATTTGGGCATTGACGTGACTCTTATTTTCTTTCAACTTATATAGTACTGTCATGGATGCTCGTGAAGTCCTTGTCATCATCACTGGTGCCCACAAGGTAAAAAGATGGATTACCAATGACTTGATATGGATCAGATTATGTAACCAACGCATGACTTACACAAACAAACCTTTTTTTTTTCTATTACCCATTTCTAATAGGCTATTGCTTTGGCTAACTGTATCGAAGGCGGTGTTAACCACATGTGGACCGTCTCTGCTATCCAAATGCACCCTAAGGGTTTGATTGTGTGTGACGAAGATGCTACCCTCGAATTGCACGTTAAGGTACCTATCGCTAAGACAGTTTGCCTTGTGTTGCTTTCATAGTCATAGTGAAAAGCTTACCTAACTTTTTCTTTCTTTTTTTCTTTTTTGTCAGACTGTCAAGTACTTCAAGTCCATTGAACACGTTCACCAAAGCTTGATTGGTCCCGAAAACTTGTCCCTTCAAGGTGGTGTCAAGCAACTCAAGAAGGTCACTGGTAGCTCCAGATCCCAAACTCCTTTGAACGGTCCTTATGATGAATAAGCGGGTCGCTTCAAACCAAACCATTTCCTTACTCATCTTTCATTTTTTATAATGTCTTTTTTTTACCTCTTTTTGTTACATATGCTGTAGTTTCATATTTTTCCCTTACCGCTCTTTTTTTTTGATACAAGATAAACCCATTTTTCCGAACCCTGTCATAGTATTGTTTTTGTAAAGCTTTACAAAAAAAAATAAACCTTATGTATTTATATTTAGCAAACACATGGTTCTTTTCTCTGTACTATAGACAAAAAGGTTCTCATGGAGGTCCAAAGTCCCTTGTGTAAACGCAAAAGGGTGCTTGCGTTACACACTTTCAAAAAATGCATCCACTGAACGAGATAAGGGAATGTTTCTTTTGGGGGGTTTTCTTTTTTTTTTTTCAAACTCAAAAACAGGCAAGGCTGTATTTTTCTCATGGACTAAGATCAGCCGATGTTGATTGGACTAAACTTACACATAAGCGAGATACAAAAAAAAAAGTTCAGGGTCTCATCAGGGAAACAGCGTGCATCTACAGTGATACAGAAAAAGCAACCAGGCCATACAATACCTCTCTACTAAACTGTATGTGTATATATGTGTGTATGTGCGTGGGTGCTCGTCTCTATTTTCTTTCCTTTCTTTTAGCTTTTTTTTGCAGTAAGCTTTCTCTGTTTCTCTCTCTCTCTCTCTTTCTCTCTCTCTCTCTCGCCTACTGGAATAGTCATCCCGCAGAATCAAACACTGACCCAATAATACTGTAGAGGATGGAGAGTATCAGAAAGGAATTTGCACTAGATCAACCAACGTTCAAGGCCATTGTCGATGGTTTCAAATCAGAATATGCAATGGGCTTAAATACAGCATCTGCTTCAGGTCTAGCCACCATGATCCCATCCTACGTCACAGCCTTACCCACCGGTGATGAAAAGGGCACTTACCTTGCATTGGATTTGGGCGGAAGTACGCTTCGTGTATGTGCCGTTGAGCTGTTGGGTAACAACCCTCCATCCAACCCACAGCAGCAAGAAGCAGCCATCAGCAACGACAGTGATAGACGACAGGCTAAGAGAAGTAACGTCAAAGTGACAGAATTAAAACGACACATTGCACCCAACGATCCTCTACGTACCAGTGGAGCAGTAGCCTTCTTTGACTGGATTGTAGATGCTATTGACGAGTTACTGACAATGATATCAGCAGCAGCTTCATCCACTTCAGAGCCCTTATCGTTAGGTGTTTGCTGGAGTTTTCCAATAGAGTATAGTTTGATGAAAATCGATAATTGCCTTTTCGTCCATTTCAATACGTAAAACTTTCATTCTCACCCTTCTTGTCCATCCTCCTATTCTGGAGGGGGCGGTTTTTTTTTATTATCAAAACATCTATAGTCAAACGTCCATATCCACGGGTAAGATACTGCGGATGGGAAAGGGCTTCACTATTGATGGGATTGAAGGACTTGATCTGTTTACTTTATTTCAGGAAGCATTCGAACGCAAGGTAAAAAAAAACAAAAAAACATCTACAACGTGACATTTTTCCCTTTTTTGAAAGAACAGGAAACCCACTGGCTTTTTCAATGGAATGCCCTTTTTTTGTTCTACAGGGTCTTCGAGTGCAAGTCAGAGCATTGTTGAATGATACAGTGGGTACGCTGGTAGCACACGCTTACACAAACCCAAGCACTCGAATTGGATTTATTTACGGTACTGGTGTCAATGCAGCCTATCCTGAAAAGGTATCCCGCATCGTCAAATTACAGCAGCAACAGAAGGCTCATACACAGCCATCACAACAGATGATGCTTGTGAACACTGAAATCGATATCTTTGGAAGCGAAGATTACTTGCCCTTGAATCGGTATGATAAGATGTTGGATGCTCAGCATTCTCAGCCCAAGTTTCAGCTGTATGAAAAGATGATGTCTGGTGGTTGTATGGGTGAACTCGTCAGGTTGGCTGCGTTAGATTTAATCGACAAAAATCTATTGTTCAATGGCTATCGTCCTCAAGAGTTTGCTATTCCGATGGAATTCGATACTTCAGTACTCAGTCTGATCGAAAGGTAAGAAGGATCAAGTATTTTTCTTCACAAAAAGACAATGAACGAACCTACTTTTTCTTTGCCTCTCTTCTTCACTATGGAGACAGTTTCATGAACGAGACTTTGGAGGTTCGATTGCAGCATTTCAATCCATTGTTTCATTTTACCGAGGCCTACGTACCCTCTGAAAATGACCTCCGCTTGCTGACAGACCTGTGTCAAATCGTATCTAACCGTGCAGCTAGATTAGCTGCCGCTGCTGTCGCCTCCCTTATCGAGCAGCAACAAGAAGACCTGTTGGGTCCCCGAACTGACCAGAAACCTATTGTTATCGGTGTCAATGGCTCTACCTACGAAAAGTATCCAACAATGCATGATCGAATCCACCAGGCTTTGACGGAATGGTTTGGTGAGGAAATAGGGCAAAGAATCCAACTTGAAGTAGCCACGGATGGTGGAAGTATTGGTGGTGCTTTAATAGCTATGCTGGCCGAGAAGGAGGAGAAGCTACGTCAACGAATAGATAAGAAACAGTAAGTCATTTATTTCTAGTTGCTTCATGGAACATTCTTCCGCAAAGTTTTGGCTTAACGCGTACATGATGAATGATCTAGGAGCGTTGTCGTCATAGCTTCAACTAATAAAGAAGAGGGTTCAAGCAACAAAGGTGCATCAAAATCAAAAGGAGAGAAAGAGCGATCTATAAGTCAATCCTTGTTCACATGTTTCTTCGGATGGCTCACCCTGTTCAAAAGAACAAAAGCCTCATCTACAGAGCCGATGACTGCTGCCCCGCAGGAAGGTGCCTTCACTTCTGATTCAAAAAGTGAAGAAGCAAGATGCTGAAGAAAAAAAAAAAAAATACAACAGTTGGGAAAGAAGTAACGCTCTAGAAATCACACTTTATCGATATTTGCTGAATAAAATAGGCAATGATTTGAATGAAAAAGTAACGTTGCAATTTTACTGCTTCGTTTGTATTCTTAATGTTATAACCAAGACGTGTAAACGTTGACAAAACTGTAACGCGCTCTTATCTTTCGATGCAGAATGCTGATTGCTTGTTTTGCTTGTTGGTTTTTTTCCTATTTTTTTATTTATTGTGTTTGGTGGAATAGGCTCATTCAACCTTCTTTCAGGTATAAAATAAGGAGGAGGGCTGTTTAAAATTCAATCATTGCAGTCAAACACAAATGATCGCTGCCAAAGTTTTTATTAGGAAGAGAAGGTTGGAGCGACTCTTCTTTTGGTAAAGACAGGATACTTTGGATGATTATATCCGATGCCATGTCGTAAAACAGATAATCAAGACACCCTTTATAGACAGGTGCATAATTTGTATATTTGGGTTCACCATTCAGTCCTTCATCAGCCAGGCTCAACGCGCCATGCGAACTGTTATACATACTTTTCCATGCCATAGGCCTGTACTTCTCTAGCAAGACATCTATCGAATCAAGCTTTGTCTTGTCTATGTCCTCTGGTATAGCGCTGTAGGATTCCTGGAGTTCTTTATATTGTTCCTCCGTAAGCTGACGGTTGAGTAAAATGGCATGAGCTGGTTCGTCCGGTGTCGTATTGAAATCGCCAAATAAGAAAGGTATCCACTTCCTATCTTTATTCACGTTGCTGCTATCGTTACTTATCCGATCATAAAACTCCAATAATGTGTTGGAATAAATAATGGATTGCCTTGCTCGTTCATATCCAGCGATCGGCCTCCAATATAAATGTGTATTGCCTACAATGAACCCAATCGGGTCATTCTTGTATTGTAGTGCAATGAGCTGGGCGATATTTCCTGTTCCGTATGACGGTAAAGATAGATGGTCCGTTCCGTAGTCAATTGTTTCGTAATCTACCATCTTGAATACGTGTTCCTTGAAGGCTATGGCGCATCCATGTTTTTTTGTGGGGTGATGACAGTATTCCACGTTGTATCCCATCTGAATCAGCTCTTGTTGGTAAAAAGTGTCATAGTTGTCCAACTCTTGAAGTGCAAGAATATCAGGACTGTATAGACGGATTTCATCGATGATCATTTTTCGCCGAGGTTTCTACAGTGATAGTGTGAAATCGGTTGAGAAGGATCGGCTGGTGCTAGATGAAGGAGTCTAAAGATATACTAGAAGCCTTTCGTATTTACCCATTTAATAACATTCTCTTTGTCTGAAAATAGTTCTCTTTTGATTAACAGTTGTGCCAGCACCTAAAGGCAGAAGCATCCATGAGCATCTTGGGAATGAACAGGGTCAAAGGCCTTATCCCTTACTTACATTGAACGTCATGACGCAGATCTTCCGTGATCTTTTGTGAGACTCCGGCTCAAGCTTCGTAGGTACATCAACGAATTCACGTCGAAGGACTTTTGGCTCTACCTGCTGTGTGTGTTTTTGTTGTCCCTGTGTGCTTTTCAGTTTCTGTTCTGCTTTCTTAAGCTTCTTCAATCTTCGAAGCTCTTCAATGTTGGCTGGAATTTTTGACATTGGGTGATCTGAACGGGTGTGGCAGCGGAAAGATCAAATTGTAAACCGCCGCAGAAAAATGGCCAGAAATCATTAAACAGTAAAAAAAAGTCGCAGGAAAGAGGAAAGTTTTCCCTCTTGCCCAAACTCAAAACTACTTCCCTCTCCAAGCAAGCAAAACGCCCAATGTTGAAAAATAAAATCTTCGTCACAAGCAGACCTAATGGCAGCACTTTAAGACTTGTCAAAGGTTGAAATTGCTCTTTCACTATTCTCCATCTGAACGCACAGTTTTTTTTTGTTTTTTTTTGAGAAACTGACATAGCACATTGCGCAACTTTTAGACATTTTCAAACATACGAAAAATGACTTTCCTGAAAAGCTTGTTAGTAACAGATTAGCAGAAACAAACGGCGAGATAGTAGGTGTAAAAATTCCCTACGACATAAGCACCAAATATTATAATGCAAAAGTCGACTTCTGGCTAGATGAAATAGATCCGAAAGTCGAAAAGGAGACGATAAAAGCCTATTGTGAGGAAAATGAAGCGCTTAGCAAAGTGATCGATGCCTTTGTTTTTATCTTTGAGAAGGATAAGGTACCCCGCTTTGAGAGACACACAAATGCTGGCTGGTTTTTTTAATGATCTCTCTTATGCTTGTCCGCTTTCAGGTCGATACCTTTGATACTGTAAAGGAATGGGTACCATTTATTGAACAAGCTCGACCAGAGATTCGCGTATGCATCGGCACCACGTCGGAAATACCATTGAGTGGTAAACAGTATGCTGAGATCATCGATTGGTGCACCGCCCATCAATTTGATTTTGTTGATATGGATGAGAAATCAGATATACCAATGGATAAAGTAGGCGTAGACTTAGTCGTGGATATTCTTCAAACCAATTTTTGGGAAGGTCGGAAAGACCGTGATGGCGAGAGTGCTGAAGGAGTAGATGGTATAGATATAAGCGGTTTAGCGGGTGTTCTCGGAAGTCTAAGTATGGCGAGCGAGCAGACGGACACTACTTCAGATGATGCGTTGGGAGAACTCAATGAAGACAACAATGATTTTGGTAAAAGACCACTTATTCAAAGCCCCTCATCAAGGTAGTCCATCTGCATTTACTAATAATCTCTTTCTAATCGAAAAGAAATGCCATCATCAAAAGACATTGATGATATGAGAAAGAAATTATGGACAAGTATGGAGGAGGAAGATGGATTGGAGAAAACATTTAAGCTCATGCAGGCAATGCGAGGTAAAAAATTCATAGATCAGGGTTGTAAAGGAACAGAGTTAACGCATTTTTCCATAGAACAAGGAAAACAGATGACTGATGATGAGAGACGTAAAATGGCTGCTACGGTTGCGTTGGCGTTCAGCTCACAATTGTCTATGGAATAAACTTCCAGTCTTCGGTTACTGCAATTCAATTTGAACAGCATTTTCGTACACTTTTCTTGTAAATATCTTCTTCACACATAAAGCGCCTACCCTGGAGGGGGCACTTGTCCTTAAACGATAAAATAAATACTTACATACAACATCAAAACAGTGAATAATTGATTACCAACAATAAACTTAGTCGCAAATTCTGGAAACCGATAGAATGCAAAGTACGATAAGCTATAGCCTGATTTCGGTTCAACTTCTTTCCCAAGTTCGTCTTCTATACAGAAGTGACAGTTGTCAATTTTTAATCGTAGTATGAGTGTTTAGACATCTACAATTGCAACAAGCTATATTAACATGATGGTATATTATTTTTTATTGCTGATGAAATAATGTAGGAAAAAGGAATACAGCACATTGGTAAACCACGTATTAAAACAAGACCATATGTATTGAATCAACAGAGAAAACGACATGAGATTTCGATAGGATTATCAATTGTTTAAGGGCCAATCTGAACTATCTTGCCATAGTTAAAGACATGAATATCGAATAAAGGGACACGTATACACTCTTTTCAAATCAATATTACCAGTTTTAAATCAAACCTTTTGGACTTGAAAGGTAGTATGCAATTAGCTCAAGAATTGAAATTGTAAGCTACGCCGAATGGTCGCGTGGAAACACTTTTGTCAAATGACGAGCGATTTGCTTAAGTGTTATAATCGGCAACTGTGGTTGATTAAATGACCATATAGTTAGATACCCTCGTGTTCTCCAGAAATAGAAAGTTCGTTTATGCCGGTAAATCTGACTAACTTGAATTCAGGCGTTGATATAAAGCATTTATTTTGCAATTCATTTTGTATCAGATACGATAATATATGTAAACTAGAGTAGCTGTGTACGGGCACTATGTAAGTTTTCGAGTATTGTATTTTCCAGCTTAATGAATAAGTCAGATTATTTAGATTTCAAAGACCTCTTAGAATCACCTTTCAAAACGAACCTTTGCAAAAAAGCAGATTCTTTTCTTTTTTGGAACCAAGCGTTTCTAAATTTAGACGAATTTTCTTACTCAATTTTAGAAAAAAAACACAGTCCTTCAGTGGTTATATATTTCACCAATTTCGAATAAAGCAGTATCAAAAGCTTGTGCCTGATCTACAAATATCGATTGAATAAACGCACTATCGCTTTTGCTTATTACTGTTGTTTTGACTTTTTCACTGTAAAGGTCGTGGATTATGTTGCTGATAATGCTTTGGCTTTGAACCAATGGGAACTTGATCTCATAATTCTTCCCATTTAACGACTCTTTCGCAAAGAGTCGTACTTTTACGTTATAAAAATTTCGATAGCGTTTACAGATCGTGGTACCTTCTAGTTTACGTTCTCTGCAATTACCATAATAGTCAAAATTAAAATTAACATGCTTAGAGTTCTCAAAAGGCTGCTGAAATACAGATTTCTTTTATTTACGTTTAGACAAACTCCTGATGTTTTTCAGACAGAGTAAAGATTTACAATGCTTAAGCCGTGTCTTACAATAACAGTTTTCTTGCGTTTTCATTGTCAAAATTATATACCATAATGAAAGAGATTCTTTTACACGGGAAAAAGATCAAAAAAAGATCCCTTCTTTTCCTTAGTTCGCATCTTTTGTAAGTTTTAGCCCTTTTCAGTTTCATCATACAGAAAATTAGATGTGTTAAAGAAACGCATAGGAATCATGTTAAAAAGAACCCATTTGGTCGTTCAAATACATTAGAAGCATTTGACAGCAGTATTTTGTTTGCAAAACTCGTAAGATACTATGGAACCGCGATGTCAATACAGCAAAAACAGCACTTCTATTTGGAGATACAACTTCTTCATCTTTTTCCTATTATCGCCAGAACAAAACTGGCTCGATTTTTACAGGTAAACGTCTCCATTTCGGTGTAGTTCGGCCTTCAAACTCCAACTCAAACGTCTCAAAAATTTGGTTCGTTCCGTCGAGTTTTTATTTATATCGCAGCTTTGTCTTGACTCGAAGACTGTAGACGAGAGGACTTCCATAATTGAATGGCCGATAAATAGAAGTAAAACCTCGTCCTTTTCTATCTGGTTGTGCTTTTCCTTCGTTTCCTTTTCGTTCATTTACTTTGCAATCAATATGTCAAGATTGGCAAAGCTTTGGGCATTTTTGTGTGTGTATTTGTTGCCCGTTTTGTCAATTAATGCAGGTAGATCGCATAACCAAACTCCACAGCTTTTTTGGTGATACTAACATGTAATTCTGTGTACCAGATCTTGTAAGACCATGTAAGCGCTGTAACAAAGTATATCAACTACTTAAGCAATAGTACAGGAATTTCTAAAAAAAAAACCGTCTACGGTGCATAGCCTATCAATTACGAAGGCGACAGATGCTGACTCTGAGTTCTCTAGTACCCACAGCAACACCAACGATGACAGCACCAGAGTCTTCAATTTTGACTGCCTTACCTACGAATACCATACCAACTTCTTCGTTGATACGTTCTGATTCCCCATTATTGTCTCCAACCGACTCAGCAACATCAGACAATCAGGAATACAATAGTGGCTACCCAGACAATAAAGAACCCTTTTCAAATCTTCCAACGTCCGCCAGTTTTGGCAATACTATTTATGCAGGTGCTGTCACTTTCGAAACACCCAAGAAAAGCAAAAGCATGTACCCACTTTACCCAATTCAATCCAACGCCAATGTTACCTTTAAGTGGGGATATACAGCATTACGTGTGAGACCTGTTAATCTAACGTTGGATGCTGTGGGACCCAACTCTGTAACTTACACTATAGCAAACTTGAACGGATCAGCTACAGAAGCAACATGGAATTTAGCATCTGTGCCAACAGAAACACCTTTGATGATGGGATACTATAAAGTACAGCTTTATGATCAACGTGGCTTGTCAGTAAATTATTCCCCAGGTTGGATGATCCCATGCACAACACTTTCTATCGGTCTTTATTCAGTAGATACATACGATCCTTTCACCACTTTGAGTAAGTTAAAAATCCTTAGTATATCATATAGTATAGTTCAAAGGCTAACAGTGGCGTTATAGATAATTACTGCCCTTTATGCTTCTATAATGCTGGTACTTCCATTCGTGGCGCGCTTGGGCCTATTCTCGCAACTTTAGGTGTCGCACTGCTAACATCTGTAATCATATTGATCAACATATTTAATTGATTTTGAAATTGTTATTCTATTTTTATTATTATTCCTTTTTTTTTTTTTTTTTTTTAGTCCACATAATTGATTTGAGAACTTTAGACAGACAGGATACTAATGTTCTTACCAGTTTTTCACCGTTTCTCGCAACTTGGACAATTTTTTTTTCATTTCATTACTGTAACTTTGGTCAACCCAACAAATAGTTTGTATAACTTGTTAAAACGTAATAAATGCATTATACGTACATATTGAAGCATCATAAATGCTGTAAAGGAAAAGGTTTTTGAGAATGTGTTACGATCAATAAGTTTGAGTTCAAGCATATAGGATTGTGCCCAACTCCATTTGGCAATGATGTTGTTAGTCGTACATTAGATGAAAAGTTTTATTGTTCTTAAAACTGCACGGAATGTGGAACTATGTTGAAATGAACAAAATCAAAAGGAAATAAGAGGATATCAGTTAGTACACAGGCATTAAGCTATATATGGGGTAGGCGGTAAATAGTATGTTGGCGTAGGCATCTTTGGAATCCAGTATCAATATATAACAAAACCTTTCTCGTTACATAACGACAACGATACCACTACTATCACGCGGAGACAGCGCTACGTTAATTCATTCACTCATAATTTCAGCATACCCTTTTCCCTTCTTGAGTGGTTTTACTTTTTAGTAAGAGGCGAAAGTGCTTGGCAAGACCGTCAAGAAGAGAATCATTAACAATCCCCTACGTCGTTTTTATCCAATTTCACGTTCGGCAAACGTATAACAGAAAATATTTGTTTGCATGGATCAACATGGCATTGTTCTGAACCCGAAGCTCTCTCTTTTCTATTAATCATTAATCACTATCCATAAATTACAAGCTCATGCATCTCATAACAGACGTCTTAACTAATTTTGATAGTTCAAGAATACGGCCAGATCATTGTTAAAGCACCTGTATTTGCACCCGTATTAAGTTTTAGTCACTATGTATGCTACGTTGATTACATCTTTATCTGTTAGGACGCTTTTTCAAATGCTCTTCTCTTTTATTAACACTTATTAGCACATTTAATGAATCATTCCGTGCTCTAATACTTGAAACGTTTAATCATCTACTGAGAGTCAATAATTTCTGCTGTGCTCAGTGTAGTACCAGCAATTTTCAAAAATTAAGGAAAAGAAGACTATACTTAACTGGCCGATATCGCAGCAGTTCTTATGAGCAAATAGTTTCTGGTCGATTGAACAATGATAATAAAGAGTGTCTGCGATTCTCATCTGCAATAAAATAAGAGTTGACTTTGATGGTTGAAAAAAGCTGGTACGGGCACATCAGATTGATCTGGCCTAGAATCACGGGTGAAAAGCCAGTCTAGATTCTTTAAAAGAGGCATAGCTTTGATTTCAGTATCCAATGTCTACAAGTGACAAATTATACTAAGGATCTGTTTATCGAGATGACTATACACTAGCTAGTCGATCATACGCCTTTATTTTTTGCTCTGTTGGCGTACTCTTTTTAAGGGATGCGTATCTCCATTCGAACAATTGGACAGATAACTTTGAAGAAACATACAAGTCATTAGCTGGCGAAATACTGTTTTTAAATTTGTAAGGTTGCAGCTATATTTATAGTTTAACAGATCTAAGCGACAATTTACATGATATAGAGTGTGTCTAGAAAGCACTGGAATTGTTCACTTTTGGCGCATATCTTGTATACAACTTCAGAAATCAATGTGCCTATTTTTAGTCCGCAAGAAGTTAACGAGCGCATAAATGCATCGCTATAGGGTAATACGTAACATTAAACTTCCCCACACTTAGCGTAACGTATGCAGACGTTGTCACATGCAGTAACTGGAGTTGCAAAAGCATTGCACTTACCGAATTCGGAGTACATATGAACAATACTGAGTAAATGTATCCTTTATGCTTACAAAAGGCAACAAATAAGGAATTAGGACGTTTCAAAAAAAATAAAATAATAATGATACTAATATCTTGTAGCATATCTGTGAGTCACGTTGCCAAAGCGAAGAAGATCGCTTATTCGCGTTCACTTATGCACGCAAACGCTTGAGCGAACATTAAGCGATATTGCTTCATTCGCCAATGATATACCGTTTCTTTTGAATAACTTTACGCCAGTCTCTACATCACTAACTACGTATAAAATATGAAACAGTAAGCATAATAGTTAAAACAGGTTTTGAACGCTTCATGCTCAAAGAAAAAAAAGTTACCTTGTATCACTCAGAAATCATCAAGTCTACAGAAAAGTTAAGATTAAGATTGTAAATACAAGTTTCTGCTTGATTATTCTTCTCACCCTCCCATCAACTTTAATAGATGCACACAACCAAAGGAAACAGCCTTCAAGCCTTTGCTTTTCTTCTGCTTTTCTTCTCATTTGTCTTTCTTTGATTTTTGAACTTTCGTTTCCTATTATTAGCCGCTGCCACATTGAGTCAACTTTGCTCTACTATTTTGAGATATTCTTATGGAGTTAAACTTGTGTTTATTTTGTGAAAAGAGACTTTCGGATGATGTAAGAAAACAACGATCTATTTTGCCTTCAACCAGTTATATGTGGATGCTAATGCGTACTTATGGCTGAAATATTATTCAGAATGTTCCGTTCTGTTCCATTTCTTGTCAATCAAAAGAAGCCTCAAAGAATATGGAGCATCCTTACTACGCTTTTCTACAACAGCCCAATGTGAAGCAGTCATCTTTAGTCATGCACAGTCCTTCTCGCCAAAAGTCATACAGTCTAAACAATAATGCAGCCATCTATCAATTATTCTACCATCGAAGCCCTTCGTTATCCTATTCAATGAGCACATCTACTGCTTCTACAACTGCTGGTAGTGTTCATGGTTCTTTGGACAGCATTCATAATAAAAGACTAAGGAAAGTGTCCTCTCCTTCTTCAACGTCGACAACTTCCCTTTCATCTCTATCAACAGCATCACGACCTCCACCTTATTTTTTAAAGCAATCCCTATCATCAACAAATGCATCAGTCTTATCTTTTTCCTCATCTGACAACGCTTCTTTTCTCTCAACATCTTGTCGTTCATGCGAAGAAGAAGTAGCAGGAAATATCTGTCCTCCCCTCCGCTCCACACGTACTACGCAGAAGATTGCATTCTATTATTAACCAAATGGTTCCTTCTCACACTAACGCACACACATTCGTTTCGTCTAATTCTTTTTTACTTTTTTACGCATGCACCGCTTTAACCTGATCAGTTTTCATCTACTATTGATAATCTTGTTGTCTTTTCCTTTCTTTAAAGTTGCTTATCGTATAATAACATACGCTCTTTTATATGCACACTGTATATAGAAATTATATATAATATGAAGATAACATTTATGCTTAATATAGTCTCATGTCGTTAATATTTGATATGTCTACAATTGACAAAAAAAAAAGGCTCAAAATATTATCAACTTTTTACATTCAAATCCTTTCTCCCGTTCCTGATAATTTTTCTTTTGCCGCATAAATCTCCAGCTGTTTCGTCTGTGTCGATTCCTCAAAATTGGTTGCATAAATCGATTTGGAAAAAAAGAAACTTCTCCAAAGCTCTTTTTTTCATACCTTGAGTTTATTCCTTGTAAAAGACAATGCAAGCAGCGGAAAGCGCAAACCCGTCAATGTCAGCCAAAGATGGCTCGAATAATGCTCTCCATTCAGCAAATGCTCCTCCAAAGAAAGCAAACATTACCGCATCTCCTGGTAATTTGAATTTCTCAAAGTACAGTTCATAGCCATTCCCTTATTGACGGTGTTCTACTTTGTCAATAAAAAGTATAGTTTCAAACGAGGCAACAGCAGTCTCCAACGCTAAAGCAACTACATCTGTCACTGCCCCCAGTACCTCACTGGGAAATACAAGTAACTTGACAACTACTGGTAACGGCGTTCCCGTTACAACGGTGAGCGAAGCAGCAACAAACGCTGAGACTGACGATGAGGCCATTCGAAATCAAAAGCTTGTCGAGGAATTTCAGTATCTGTTAGAGAAAAGTCAAAGTCTATTCAGTGGGTTGAGGTATATCTTACTAATTTGCACAGCGATTTGGGTATCTGAAGATTAAATAAGCGGGTATACTCTTCTTTATTCTTCTCACAGAGATCTTCCTCCAACAGGAAGCCATAGACAATGGAGACCTGTAAGTATCAATGGCTATTTTAACTCTAAAGTAAATGTCATCAAGGTGTTCATCTATTCTTTTAGTATTTTGAGAAAACTTTTGAAGTTTACACAAAGGTTTGTTGGGAGAATGGAGCTGAAAAAAGTAGAATAAAAAAAGCCTACGACTGACAAAAAGAAGGATTGATGTAGCTCTGGAAGTTTCAACAGACTCATCGTTCTATCTTGGAGAATAAAAGCAACTATGGCTTGAAACGATGGGAAGTAGGTGAAATAGCAAGTAAAATCGGTCAACTATATTATCATTACTAGTAAGCGAATGAAAAACTCTACTTATTCGCGATCGAAAGGGTCAGACGTGAACTCATTCGATATATTCCAATAGTTTGAGAACAAGCGAGACAAATTATCTTCATGAGGCATATGTATTTTATGAGGCCATTCATGAAAGACAGTATTTTAAGGATATATTGGAAGTGAAAAAGTAAGGTTAAAAAAAAAAGCTATAGAACACATCATCTGTCAGTTCGCTTATATACTCTTTTGATACTATAGCTCCGCGTTGATGGTGAAGAAAATGAGATATTACGCTCGGTTCATCATTGTATGCTTTTTATTGAATAAGGATGAGAATGTTCGTCAATTGATTGCCGAATTGGAAGGGTTAATAGAGGAATATGCAAAATGCTTCAAACCTCCAGATGCCAAGGAATGGCAACTGGTTTTGGAAGAAATAGTTACGTTTACAGAAGCAGAAAAAAAGTTAGTACCTATCAACCTTGATAGAACTCCAGGGAAAATAGAGCATCGCCTACCAGCTGTTATCCCTGAGCGGAATATTGGCGCTGGTATACCAAAGCTGAAATTGCAAGAGGCTATTTTAGTAGGGAATTACGATAAACAGCTCAAATTTTCAGAATTAACGTTGGATATGTACCGAATGCTTCAATCTCTTGAGAGAGAACCGTCTACCTCACACCCTTCCGTTGCTGCTACTACCAGTAAAGTAGATGCTGCTTCGTCTAATAAAAAAGATACAACCACAAGTAGCAAAGAGGATGCGTTTAATACATCTACCGCAAAAGCAGCTTTTTCCAGTAGCAATGCAGTCAATGTTTCTAATGCTGCTGAAAAATCTGTACGAAGATCGAATCCCCATAAATATCTTCTCTATCGACCTTCACTTAGTCAGTTGATGGTTTACATCTCCACAGCATTTAAAGACACCAATGATAACTCTGCTTTATTCTTATACTTGTCAGCGGATGGTTATTCAAATGATACAGAACAAGTGATACCAGGCTATAGAGGTGGTGTGCTTACAAGTGCCCGTACAATAAATAAGGGATCTACGGCCTCAGAGCGAACAGTAGCCAATAATCCAACGTCGAATCAGCCTTCCACAACAACGGGTGGCATAGGAACTGCATCTTCTTCAACAACAACAACAACCAATAATAACAACAGTACTTCAGCTGCTGGCTCCAACTCGAACGCTACCTCTTCTGTAATTACAAATAACAACACTTCTGCTCAAAATAATAATGTGGGTGGCAGTACTTCCACCAGTAACAGTATTAATAACACAGCAGCAACAGCAGGGACAACGGCAACCGCAATAGGCTCTGGACGAAACATGGAACACTCGATCCATCCTCCATCTGCGCATTGCTTACATCCAGCGGATTTAATCCCCTTTACCAGAAAGCCTCTTTTCTTAATTGTCGATAGTGAGAAAAGTACTCAATTTAGAAATATGCCTAACGTGTTTGATCAACCTGTCATGTGTCTCATGTCACCCGTTGAGTATCCTTCATCTGTTCAGGATAAATGCGAAATAGGTAGCTTGTTTACCTTATTCTTGCACACGCCTGTATTAGGATTTTGTTCTATATCTGATATTGGTAACCTGGACCAGCAGAAATGGGACGAGTGTGTTAGGAAAATATCTGCTATGGAAAAGACGATTGGCGACCAACTCCTTGTCGACAGCAATGTTGGTTAGTAGTAGTCAAATCAATTATCACATGTGGGTGCGAAATGAAACTTCTAAAGAAAACTCTTTGCTTGAATTTCATATAGATACGAATATCAAGAGATTTATGTCAGATGATTTTTTATATTATTTTATTGTAAGGTTTGTCCTCTGCGGTATCTTTCTCAGATATCATTCATCATTCAAAGATGAAAAGGTAAATATTATGTTTGAAGCACGTCTTATCTTTTGAAATGAGCTAAAACGTTTTTTCACCGTTGTTTCCGATTGTCTGATCAGTCGTTCCCTTCATCATTGCCGCATTTGCCCGAGACTATCTATGTGTCGACCGATATAGTGACGATGCTTGCAGAGTTAACGGCCATTGCGGATGTTGGAACTTATTTCAGTCTTCCGACTTACGCCACTGTATCAGTTACCGCCAATGTTTCCTCGACATCGCCTCCTCCGGCTCCGGCCTCTGTTTCCAGCAATACGAATAACAACACGGGAGGAAGTGTGGGCATGCCATCATCACCACCTCTAAACGCAGCAGCTCCTACTGATTTTTAGCTTACGCGAACATGAAAAGACAAATAAAGAAAAAAAAATGAATGCAGTAGAAAGACATGTATTTGATCATTCCCTTTATTGTTAGTAAACTTAAATAAACTGAGACTAAACGTATGCTAAACATCAAAATATTTAGCTTTATAAATATCTAATGACATTCACTGTGTATATAAATATCAATAACGTAAACAAGACAATTGAATTGTAGTATGTGAGGTACTTTGCGGACCTAATATTGGTATGGCAAGAAAAAAAAAAAAAAAGTATAACAAAGGGGGTATTGTGATAGATAAAAGAGTGCAAGACGGAAATAGATAGCTGCTTAGAGCCTAATCTTCTTGACAAATGGCTGGGAGCGAATAATCCTCAACACGTTGTTCAATCCAACCTTTTCGTTCAAGTTTGGCGCCTGGTCCAAGGCCACGTTTAGCAAATGCACGGTAGATATCACAATGGTACTGGCCACCTGTTAATTGTCTTTCTGCTTCCAAGATAGCATCACGAGCCGAGGTGAAGGTAGGATTGCATGGTTGCAATTTCATGCCATCAATAACGAGTTGAACAGCTAGTGTGTTACCATAGGATGTAATATGTGTGCGTACTTTATTGAGATCGTCTTCATCCATTGCCGTCTTATATGTGTCTTCAGGTACGGGTGGGAACCATTCAGGTGTGAAGCCTAATCTATCCACCAGATTCCAATAGACTTCATAGAGCATTTCTGCCCAAACTTCACCCTTAGCGTGGACGCCCCAGTAGTCGAAGCGATCCATGATACGATAGGTGCTAGGATTGGTGACGTTGGAAGTAGAGTATTTGTATTTACGAATTCCTTCACCGCCGTTAGCATAATTGCCCATGCCAAAGTCAATATCGCGAGTATAGTCTTTACGCATACGAATAACAGTAGCAATAAAGTCTCCCCAACCTTCACCCATGCCACCTGCTTCGCCCCATCCAAGACAATTCGAGTTCTTTGGCCCACCCGTAAGGCGAATGGAGACACCATGGGTGTATTCATGAATAACAATACCACTTTCAAAATCACCATCGCGCATAGGTTTGGTTTGATCCCAAATATACATACGCATCTTGCCATGCTTGCCATCAGGAGGAGTGGCAAAGTTTGCATTATTACGGCCTGTTACATGGGTGTGGACAAATTTTGGTTTGAGCCAAACTGATACTTGTTATTTGTTTCATTGCCAAGTCTCTCTTTCTCTCTCTCTCTCTTTCCTCTCTTACCTGAACCATCTTGAGCATTGGCAATAACAGCATCGCCAGCACCATCGTCATTCGTTCGACCACGTCCAAGGTTATCTTGCTGAAAATTACCTGCTTTTTCATCAAATCCATAGCGATGAAAGAAATCATGTGCTGTATTGCACCAATAAAAGAGATTTGTCACAGCAGCGTCTTCATAGTCGATAGGTTCTTCTTTCTCAAAATCGGCAACATAGTCAAAAACAACATCACCGGTTGCTTCGTCCACATGGCCAGCGGGACGATAGTTCTTCTGCCATTCATTTCCGCCATCCGGATTGGTATGAGTATAGGCATTATTACCAATGGTTACATTGAAGGTTTTCGCGCCTTTGGCTAGGAGACCCTGAGCATGCCAGCCATCAGGACTTGCCCATGTATCATGGGGATTTTTCAGGAGTTGTTGTAAAGTTTCATTAGGATCGTTATAGCCAAAGGGAATCACATTATACGAAGCTGATGCGCTGGATACCCAATCATTCAAAGCTACGATGGTACCATCGTATGCATTCACATGACCGTTGTACCAATTATCATGCAGCTCGTATTGCAAATCCCACACCAATTGCAGGTCTCCATTTTCAGTTTGAATATAAGCTTGACGCACCTCAACAGGCGACTGAGCAAAAGGTACATTCTCGTATTGGAAAGAAATAGGATGGCCGTTGTCTTCATCCTGGTGGCTTCTTTTAAGAGTATTGATCATCACGAAATTCTCGGGCATGACGGAATCCAAAACTGTAGGATCGGGAAGCGAGTCCTTGACAAAGGCCATAAGAGATAAGACAGCTTCTGTGGGATGAATGACTTCTTTCTCTTGATTCACAATGTTGTAAACAATTTCATCACTGTTATAGCGAAGGGTGTTCTCCATTCGCTGTTGTGCATTGTTTATTTGCTGCTCCAAAAATAGATTCTGTGGAGCAAATACCACTTGAGCGAATGGATTTGAAACAATTGTACGCAATCCCTTTTTGAACTTCTGTATTATTTATTTTTGTGATTTTCATTGCATTCCGTCATAGATCGAAAAAAGAAAAAAGATAACAAAGGGTGTCAGAGGGTTATACATGTTCTTGTTATCGGACGATGAAACGACGAATAAGTCTGGTAAAATGAGTGATACTAACCTTAAATAGTGTGGTGGGCTTATCATGATAGGCTGTTGGATCCATTACTTTTTCAACATTGATGACACCTTTTGCAAAGGAATTACCATACGATATAACATTGCCAAAGCGATCGACATTGATATTGATGTCACCGTTTAACACCTCCAATCCATTGACCTTTTGACGTAGATAAACATGAGTCACACCGTTTAAATCCGTTTTGTAGGAGCTCTGAACAGTGAAATCACTGGATGTCAATTCTGATTCAGCAAATGCGATAGCAATATCCTCCGGTAGATCAGTTATAGTGAAAGCACTGTAATCGGTTTGGCGTTGACGATGATTCAGAGTAGCATAATCTCGAAACGGTACTTCTGGACCGAAACTACGGGAGAGTCCCTTATGGTATTCTTTACGGGCCAAATTCCCTTGATTGACAGCTGCACCTTGAGCAGATGGAACAGCCGTATTGAATAATAACAATAGCACTGCAGAAGTGATGAAATATTTCATATTATAAAGCCAGTATGTCTAAGATAAAGGAACAGTTTCAATTAAAAGAAGAAGAAGAAGAAACTAAAATAAAAAAAGATAGTTCGGATCGACTTAGATACGAAAAAAAAAAGCCGATTTCCCTGACTTCAAACAAAAAAGCTTTTGGATCAATTAAAAGGCTTTATTTCTGTTATCGACACACATGACGATCACCTTAGATACTTCTTAGTAAATTACTTAATTCGCGTGATGTTTACAAAAAAATAGGGCCCGGGTAAACAATGAAAAAAGGTACAGTGAGCTCATCAGAAGGACGGAAAACAGGGACAAATTGACTTTTTCGCAATAATGCGAACCTTCGTTTTTTTGTTTCCCCAAATCGTTCATATTGCTTCTTGACCCCATGACTGCCACAGCACTGATAGAGCCTTGAACAGAGCAGTTGTGTGAACAAGATGATCTAAACATTAGCTTAAAATAGAGCACAAACTATGCATAATATGAGCGATTTCTTTTTTGTACATCATGTTAAGTTTCGTGGGTTCAAGTTTAGTTTGATTTGTTACTCTACTCAGGTACAGAGTTTCCACCAATAAGAGTTCATCAAGTTCATCTGTTCTTTTCCCCCTAAAAATGTTCCAAAATCTTTTGAACTTTTTGATTCAAACTGTAGATGACGGAAAAAACAGCAACAGAGGCATCCAACGATTTCTTTTTAGAGTTTAGAACAAGACGAAAAGGTATACGTCACAACGACATTATGCTCTTAACTCACTATACTTACACTCCTGTGCCTTTCCTGCAGCTATTGATGACGAGATTTCGCAATCTGCAGATTTGCATAAAAACAATCTAACGCAACATTTTACCAGTATTCTAAAGCAAATAAATGATCTCGAGAAAGATTTAACAAAAGCAACAGAATATATACCCTCTTACGATGAACGGCAATTCTCGCTGGTAAGCTTATTTGATCGCCCAATAACAGTAGGACGGCTTTAACTCTAACGCTTTCTGTGTCTTTTCGCATTTTTTTTTTATTATACAGCAATTGAAAGAATTGAGTGATAGATTAGAAACAACCAAAACAGCACTGACACCAAAACCAAAGTTTTCGTTCAAATCGCGTAAAAAAATGACGACTGGGGATAACGACAAGACGACAACTACAGTCTCTATACCATCAAAAACAATGGTACCTGAAGGGGATCAAGTTTTGACAGATGCAACCGTATTTATTAAAGATAAAGCAGAGCAAGTCATATGTATAAAGGACCACTTACAAAGAGATAAAGAACGAAAAAGTATGGATATTCTTTTATCTGGTCTCAACAACTGTATTATTGATTTGGAAGACGAATTGGTGCAGATATCAGCCATCCATGTCAAAAACCTACATCGGTGTCTGCTGTATTGTGGCAATATTCAAGGTTCAATACTTATTTACGGTTTAACAGATTCAATAGTGTATGCAGGCTGTCATCAGGTAAGATAAATCCGGAGAAAAGCGATAACTGAGGACTATTTTTTTTTGTTAGGCTGATAGTTTATTTCACTCATAGTTGCGAATCCATGAAGCTCACAAAGTGGATATGGTACTGCATGTCACTAGTCGTCCGATTATAGAGGATTCAGATGGAATTCAAGTAGGCTGTTGGAATTTAGAGACGAATCAACAAAATCTGTATGATAAAGTAGAAGACTTTAATTGGTTGAAAAAGCAGGCATCTCCAAATTGGCGATTGATGGATTGTGATAGACGGAAACTTTTAGCTGATTTAAACGAAACAAAGCATGACAAGGAAAAGCTGTTGACGGTGTTACAGGAGTTATTACCTAAAGGCTCAACAGGAGAGGTACATAGTCCATGAAGAATAAACATGCTTGCCATCTCCACCCTCAAAAAAGTCAACACTAGCTAAAGAGATTTGCTTCCTATTGCAAAGATCATTAGTTCTAACGCATTGTATATAGTAAAGTTCAAAATGAAGTCTGCGTGTTACTTGATTTGCCCGTAAGGATTCAATAAACTGCTTGGAAAGATCTTTGGATTTTGACAAATCAAGTTTCGAGAAATCTACTGTACTCGGAACTCTACAATTCGATAATTGATTGAATATCTCTCCATTTATAATGGATACATCAGAGGGTTCTATTTTGTTTACTGCTCACTGAAATCAAATGACAAAGACTTTTGCTCATGTCTTTGCAGTCCCCTCAATTTTAAAAGATTTGAGACAGTCAATTTAACCATTGTTGTTGTTTCTATAATGCTGTTATCTGTTTTGGGCTTCATACAGATGGAAGTAATAAGACTTTCTCTGATAGCGTCTATTTTTATACATATTGATTCCTTTAAAGAAGAACCAGACTCATGTAGTAATTTCTGCAAAGATAGCATGTGAGTATATTCGTTCAGTTGGCCCAAGGATATTTTGATTTTGACAGAAAATGATCGGCTTCTTGTGTATTAAAAGACTGCTATTGCTGACTTCCCATTGAATATTGGCGTTAAAGAAAACAAACTCTTGGCAGGATTGATTTCCTTTCGTATTCATTATCTTGCGAATTAGAGCAGCTGTGCTGATTGTTAAAATAAGCAAATATTCACCAGACACCGCATTGAATCAAGTGCTTGCAAATCAGGGACCAGTTGGTCTTCAGGAACAGGATCTACTGTAATTGCGTCATCACAGCCAGCCCATATGAGTTTTGCTTGCTTGCACACACCATTCAAGATTGTAGGGTTCTCGTTTTTATGAGCGATCACAGGTTGCGATAGCTTATGCAGGTGACTCAAGTCTCTCCAGAAGTAAATCTAGTGTCTTGTGCGTTTGGAAGACGCAGATTCGTGAGTTTATCCCACATTGTAGAATACACAATAAAATTTGGATAATTCTGTCTCCTAGGTAAGCGTTTAGCCATGCGAAGGCTCTCACAGAAAATCTGGTATTAAATTGTTTCTTTTATTACTGCAAATGACGACGGGGCTGATAACGTTTGTAGACAAAGTCATCGGCAATTGGCCCTGGTAATACGACTACAACCCTAGAGTTGCACCACTTAGGTAAGTGCATGATTTCGAATGCGACGGTTTTGTTTGCTTTATATCAGTATATGGACAGCTTATAGGTTGCCCGAACCTAGCCTTTCATGCTGTTTCATTATTTTGTTTGTTTCTTCAGCCAGTTAGGATCCTTACGAAACGATTTTCTGAAGACACAAAAGGAAAAAAGGCGAAAATCAAAGAATTAAAAGATAAATACATCATAACAAAAAAGAAAGGAAGACTAATCTCTTTGTCTTAAATATTAGGTTGAAAAGACCTTATCAGATTGCAAATTATCTCGAGCCAATGAGAAGCAAGCTTAGCATTTGGATATACATCTTTTGACAGTTGTTGAAAATACATGTATGCATGCAGCTTTTGACAGTTTAATTTCACCTTGAAAAGACTTGACTATTTAAGAATTGATCTACAGATTTATGCTTGTCGAATATTCTTGTTTCATATTTTCCCTTAAAATTGCAGCTGGAAGAAATTGTTTTCCATTTATTTCTAGTTGTTAATGTTACCCAAGGTTTGTAATTGCCGATTTTTAGATCAGATAACCTAAAATATCAATATAAAGTAAACCTATACATCATTGCCTTCATATGGACTTAGCTAAGATTTCCCGGCCTCCTTATTATTTGCTGTCAATGATAGAGTAGCAAAGTTCGAAATTTGCCCTTATTCCTCCTGTTACCGGAAAGAAAAAGCTCAATAACGGTATCTCTGCGCTAAGAAAAGAAGGGCCGAATAGATTCTGCGGATCCGTTAAAGCCGGATTCAGGAAATCAGTAAACATTTTTATGCCGAAACCTTTGACTAGTTGTATACGACACGTGGGGTTAGAAAGTTAAAGTTAAAGGGGAGCTTCCCTTTTTGCCTTATTTTTTAGCCAAAAATATCACTCCCTCGCTCTCCCCTTAATTTTGAAATCCTACAAAGTTATTTTTTTTTTTGAATTTTTTTTATTTTATTTTATACCTCTTTCACTGTATCATTACCATTGTCTTTCTATATCTTATGCTAAAATATTCATGAGTAATGTATTCGACAATATATGTTAACTGCAAACTTGTTAAATGTAGACTCGAAACTAACATTTATTTAAAGACAATCTATCAGAAAGTTTACATTATAGTTTAGGGCAGTATGCGGCCCTTAGTCAAGCTCAAATATTCAACCCTTCCTCATCAATACACCCCCCGTCGTCACAGCATACTCTAGGCTCTCCGGCTGTATGCCATCATCATCATCATCATCAACAACAACAAACTCAGCAGTTGATGCACAGAGATCATATAACCAATTCTAATGCCTCGCCTCATCTCATGCAAGATCCCAATGCAGCGGCCATAGCAGCTGCAACAGTTGGGACTCCAACACCGTTCCACCTATCTACAGCTTCTGGCTATCAGCCATACCAGTTTACTCTACGGATGCCACCGCAGCGAACACACTCTTCATCAACAGCCATGTCCAACTCTCCACCTATAACACACCAACAACAGCAACAGTCCGTTACAAATACTACCACTACTACCACTGCTTCCGTAACTTCACCAGCTTCTTCGATTAACACTACTATGACAAATACTTCGTCCATTTCACCAATTATACCAATGACGCCTTCCACTACTCGTGATATGACAGCCACAGCTGCATCCTCTACTCCTATTCATACTACTACTACTACTAGTAGTAGTATTACTAATACCAGTACTAAAACTAATATTACCGATATGAATAATGTATTACCAGCACATCAGCAACAGCCTTTTCTCCAGAATTCTATGATGCCAAAACGGACTGCACCCTCACACATAGCAGTTCCAACTCTTCAAAACCAACCTGACCAATTTAACAACAATAACCGTAGCAACGACGCTAATAGTGAACCTCTTGTGAGGGTCACTAGACCACCGAATGCTTATTTACTTTTCAACAAAGAAATACGAAAACTTCTTAAAGAACAAAACCCTACCTTAAAAGTGGCCGAGATCAGTAAACAGATTGGAACTCGTTGGAAGAATTTGCCTCAGTCTGAAAAAGACAAATATATCAAACAAGCAAGCCATCTAAAAGAGGAACAAAAACTATTACATCCTAACTCCATGTATATTCGTAGATCAAGAGCAGAGTTAGTGAAAGCTGGGTATCACTTCAACCGCATTCCAAAATCCAACAATAACCGATACAGTTCTTATAATAATAATAATGCAATAGCAAATGCGCGAAAAATGAAAAGAAAGCCCCATCAGGGCGGCAGTACGAACACTATCCACAATGATAGCAAACGAGGCACAGGAAAGAAGTACATGGGCAATTCTACCTCAGCGGCGACACAAGGTCATGAATCTGGGCTTGTTCAAGAAGGAACGACAATACCTCCGCCCCCTAAGCATCCTTTGTCAGCCTATATGTGGTATCTGACAGAAGTTCGACCAGAAACAATGCGCAACTACCCAGGTTCGAACGTAGGACAGATTAGCAAGCTTTGTGCCGACCGATGGCATCGTATGTCAGAAGAAGCAAAATTACCATGGAAGACAAAAGCTCAGATAGATAAAGAACGATATGCGAGAGAGATGCAGATTTATGCTATCCAACACGATCACACGTTAGGAAGAGGGACGAGATTGAAATATCGTTCAGCAGCAGCAGTAGCAACAGCCGCTCAAGCACAACATCAAATGCAACATCATTTACAATCACGGTCTCTACAAGTACAAGCTACAACGGCAGCACTGCCAGCACAACAACACATCATGACAATCAATGGCCTTATGGCAGAAAACGGTACTGTTACAGCTACAACAAAGTCACATCGAAGCAATAACAATGTCATTGATCCCTCCTCTTTGTTTTATAATACCACAAATTCATCTCATCCCACGACGACTGATTCTTCAATTCCTATAGCTTCTAATACCGATACAGCAGTAACACCCCTTCTAAAAACAACATTACCCATTATACAACAACAGCATACCCTAAATCCGAATGCCTTATCACAGCAACAGTCCAACCAATCTCCATCTGATACTCAACATTCATTCAATATACATTAGGAAACCCCCGTATACCACACGCACTTTTTGTATCTTCCATTTACATTTACAATCATATCCATCTAATACTTTTCATTTTGTGTAATTTAGTTCATATCTTTATTCCATACATATTATCTTTTTATTCGACAATCAATAAAGATACTCTTTATTTCTTTCTGCTTTACAAAATTAGAATGCAAAGGATATAGACAATAAAACTAACCCATGCTATATCTTTTATGGTATAAACAAATACTTTGACACTGTAGAAAAAGCTTGATGTTGCTGGGGAAAATGATGTTGAAATATGCGATGCGGATGCTGATGCTAATGATGAATTTTTTTCTTGATGCTGATATTCGCTTGTGCGACCATGGAATAAAGGCTTATCATAAGTGCTGTTAGACTGCAGTACTGAAGAAGAAGACGACATAAAAGGTGGGTAAAACGTCCTGTAAATGGGTAATGACATGTTATCTGCAACGAAATAGTTGCGTCTAAATCTTTTTCGGTTGAACACAAAGCTCCAAATAATCAAAATGAATAGAGTGATGATCAACAAATAAGCATAATTGATAAAGATATCAACCTGGTTCGGTAACCAGCATAAGTGAGTTGTTAATTGCTTAGCTGTAGTTGGTGCTAATGTCTCGTTCTTCACCATATTCAAAGTGACGAATCCGGGATATTTTAGTCCTTGAGCCATACTAAATGTCGGGACTGTAAACTCTACACTTCGGTTATAGCCATTGTGGATTATTTTGCAGTAGTCATGATCATCTCCTGAAAAGATCAGCACAGGATCGATTTCCTTTAATAAATAATCGGACATTTCTTCAGTGAGTAGATTTTGATATTGATAACCACGTCCTTGTCTAATCGTTTTATCCTTAGATTGTCGGTAAGGACCACATTCATCTGTTCTGAAGAGTGGAACGTGGGTCAATAAGATTTTGTTCTTGTCTTTAAGCACAGACTGTTGTCGAAGAACTTCTTCTGCCTCTTGTCTAATCGAGGGATCATCAGAGCCGAGTGATATAGTATCGAGCACAATGAAGGTATATCCGTATTTTTGGAATATATACGATGTCGGTCCAAAATATTGACTAAAACGCTTGATCCAATGTTCCTCTATGCCACTTCCAAATCCGATGTCATGATTTCCGACCATATAATGTACGTCCACAGAGCTATCTTGAGGGAAAATTGTATGAAATCGTTCAACTTCGAGTTTATATCTAAGATCAAATGTTTTTCATTGGTTTATAAATCGAATTTGATATAATCTGGATTTTGTCTCTTATCTGTAGCATACGTTTCATCGTTCCAATCTCGACCATTATCCATCAGATCGCCCATCATAACAATGTCGGTCGGTTGGAGAGCACTTTTAATATGTTTATAATTTCGCTTCATATATATTGAGCTGTAAAATTTAGTCAGTTGCATGATGATCCATGGCCGGTTGTAAGAGTGGTCATCTGTAATCTGTGGGTCACCAATGAAGATGAAACGTCCTTTTGTAACTGCTTGCTCGTAGCGTTGTCGAATGGCGCACTGATGAGCAGCAAATTTATATATGAAAAACTCGTTGTATAGTAAAAATAATGCCCATATGACTCGTAATGTATTTACAAAGTATATGGGCTTACAGATAAATTTCATCTCGTTTCCTCGTTCTTATAATCCTACTTCTCTACTGGTTTGTGTTACAAAATGGGGATTAAAAAGATGGTGCATGTAAAATAAACGGATATTTTTTTTGTATTATTGGGGAAATCAATGAAGGTTTCAGTTTTTGATTGCAGAACAATTTAAGAAACAAGTATTAATTCAACGTGCATTATGCGTTATCAAAATCCCGATGGAGACTGAAATAAAGTGGCTATAGGAGCTCTAGTGAAGAAACTCACAAAGCTATCTTTAAATTTTAGATAGTGTAGTATACACCGTGGTTTGATTAAGATATCAATCATAAGAATTACAGACATTTGAATTCCATTTATCATTTTCCGCTTTCTTTCTCTAAACATCGTCAAACGCTGATCAAGTTAATATGCACCACTGGTATGGTTAGCCAAGTGATTAAATAGCAAGTAATCTACACATTCATCACGTTAATCGTCCTTGCTATTACTATTCAACAGTAACACTTGAAACATACCGCTATTCTGGTTGCATTCCATCTCAACTAGGTTATTGAATATACTTATCCATTGAGTTTTACGAACACTTCCTTTCAAATAATAGCGGAGTGATACGGCGCACATTGTTGCAATTCACTTCGGCTATTTTCCAATCTCTAAATTCCAACAGACAGCGAGAAATCGTAGTGACAAAGAGCATAGGCAAATCAAAAAGCAACTAAACGCCTAATTGCTACGAAGCGAATTTGCTATACTGACATGTCAACTTGAGTGAAATTTGTGAAACATAACTTTCTTCAAAACACTAGTTGGAAAAAAATCATGAAAAAGGATATAAAGAATCGTAAGAAGAAAATGTGTGATATTTCGTTGAGATGTGCATGCAAAATATACACAGAGATAATCGCTCCTCTAATGCTTTACGTAATGAAATGACTGTTACGAAAATCATAGCATTTGATTCACAACCCCTAACAGCATATTTATAGCATTCTGGCCGTCTTTAAATCCTCGGCAGGTAATATACAAAGAAAGGTATATTGTTCTCGTTCTATAAGCATGTTACTGAACCTGAATTTCATGAAAAAAAATACCGCCTTCAATCCCAGGCAGCAGATGATGGCAAGGTTCTGCACCTGCTTAAAATGTGAAAAAACGCAATTTTTTCCCACCTTTTCTATAAACTTTATTATAGTGCAAAAATGAGCCGAATCTTTTTTAAACAACTAAGCTTGATTGAAAGACGCTCAATACAGTCAGTCATTACGAGAAGAGCTCTCACTCAACCAGCAGTCGCAATACGATCTCGCAATATAAATATGGCTTCAGCCAGTAGACGACTAACTCAAACAAAAAATTGGCTATCACCGAACAACAGCAACAATCTGAGAAAGGTACAAACACGATTTCGACGTGGAAAGAATAGTGAAAGAAAATAGTAAATATTAAACAAGGAAGTAATTAAACTGTAGATGGCAACAAATGCACAGAGCTCAATCTCTGGCCTAGAAGCCACTCAAGTATGGCACCGAAACAAAGAATTCGACAGTGATTTTACATTCCGTACGATTTAACCTGAATCTGTTTCTGAAATTACTAGGCAGAAGTACAAACCAAGAGCAACCTAGCTGCGCGTCATCTTATTTTAAATCGTCCAAAGAAGTTAAACGCGCTGAACCTCACAATGGTTCGTTCGCTTTTACCGCAACTTCAAGTAAGGAGATCAGCTTGAAAACTTACATCGCACGTTTGTTGCATTTTAACGTTTTTCTCTCTTCTTCAGTCTTGGGAAAAGTCTGATTTAGCCAAGGTTATAATACTAAAGAGCTCTGGTGGCAAAGGCTTTTGTGCAGGGGGTGACGTTAAAAGTAAGGAAAGCTTTTATTTTGCTGATATTTTTTACCCCACATTTTTAACCATAGTCTGAATTTAATGTTCCAATCAATAGCTGTTGTTGATTTAGCGGAAGCTGGTGATCCCACTGCTACCAAGTTTTTCGAAGAAGAATATCAATTAGACCATTTAATTGCTACTCTTGATACCCCTTATATCGCTCTTATGGATGGTATAACCAGTAAGTTAACATAGTTTTCTTCAATTGGAAAGTATTGGCTCAGAAAACTGATCTTTAACAACTTTACAGTGGGTGGTGGTGTAGGCTTATCTGTCCATGCCCCTTTCCGTGTGGCTACAGAAAACACCTTGTTTGCTATGCCTGAAACCGCCATTGGCTTCTTGCCTGAAGTCGGAGGATCTTTCTTCTTATCAAGATTAGACGGCCAATTGGGTGTTTACCTTGGTTTGACTGGTAAACGCCTTAAGGGCACAGACGTTTTATATGCTGGTATTGCTACCCACTATATACCCTCATCTCGTCTTCACGCTCTCGAATCACGCTTGGCCGAATTAGATAATGCAAATCACGATATCGTCAATGCAGCTCTTGAAGAATTCTCAGGTGAACTGCAAGATGAACCTCGCTTCAGTCTTTCCGGCGAAAAGCGTCGTATCATTGACCGTTGTTTCAAATACGACACAGTTGATGAAATTATTGCTGCTCTCGAAAAGGAAACACATCTGCCTGAATTTGTTGAAGAGACGTTGGGTTTATTGAAAAAGATGTCACCTACATCTCTTAAGGTTACTTTACAGCAAATCCGCAATGGTGCTACTTTGAGTTTAGGACAATGCTTCAAGATGGAATACCATTTAGTACAAAAGTTTTTGAAGGGTCATGACTTTAAGGAAGGTGTTACAGCCACCTTGGTCACCAAATCTAAACCTAACTGGGATCCTAAAGACTTATCTGCCGTCAACGATGCTAAGATTAAAGCAGACTATTTTGATAGTCCTTCGCCTTTACGTTTGGATTTATTGACAAACCGTGATTACAAGAAGTACCCTCATCGCAAATATATGTTACCAGCCGAAGAAGATATTAGACGCGTGGTAACAGGCGAGGCACCTGATGTTGGAAATTTTGCCATGACCCGTGAGGAAGTGGTCGATTACTTTTTGCGCGATCGTCAAGGTAAACAAGGTGTGAGAGAAAAGGTGCTGGAGGTCCTGAATAGAAAGACAGTTGAAAATAAGCGAGACGATAATAAGACTGTCAAATGGATATATTAAATTGCAAATCAAGATTAAAGAGTAAATAAAGAAGATCCATTAAGAAGTGATATGTATTTATAGATAACAAAAACAAAGATGATAATATCTTTGACAGAATGCATGTTTAAATGGAGGATGACGATGGCTTAACACTAGGTCAACAATGCTGCAGTTCCTTAATTTTACTTTTGCTATGTCTTATTTACAATCTCTTGTACCATTTCCAGAATATCCTTCGGCTCATATCCTAATAAACGTGCAGCTCCAATCAAAGCACTCAAACTCTTCATGAATAAGCCTCTACCTGCTTCCTTATTTCTTAACAGCTTTTCTTCTTCTTCCCCGTACTGGTGGCTGGGAGTGTGAGTACCAGACTCAGGATAAGCGCCAGGTACTATTTTCTTGTGCGCGGTGAAATTGCTGATGTCTTCTTCGTGCTGTTGGTCTTCTTCAACTGATGGAGATGAGCTTATGCTTAAATCATCCATGCCTGATCTAAGGCGGGTCACTGCTTTCGGTAAAGGATTGATCTGAGTCATGGGTTGCACGAGCGGCCTATTACGCTGCTGATGAGGAAGCGATGTTTGTAGCATATGAGTTAATTCAGATAAAGCGGCTGTATGAGCATCCATCAGATTGGGCACACTTGGTACAGTGAACAAAGGGTTGTAGGACTGATCGTACTCCTCATTCAATTCCTCCTGACTGATTGATTGCATAATTCTACCTGAATGTGATCTTTCCTGCTCTCCAGGTCCAGGCGTTAGTGTCCCCGGATTTTTACTCCATCTTGTGTAATATTCATCTTCTTCTGAATCGTCTTCTAACTCTTTCAAATCGGCACTTAGAGGATGTTGCTTATTCTTGCAAGTCTTTTGTTTGGGTGAAGATGCATCATCTGAAGACCAATCACCCCAGTAATCCTCCGGTGCTTCTTTGCTACCACCTTTCATACTCTGATGGTTTGTAGATATCAATTTTTTTTAGCATTTGGGAGCTGTTTGAGTGATCCCAGTTTCTTTTGTACGTAGACTTACATCTGGTGTTCCTGCGGTAAAAACTTTTTTATTTCTAGTTACTTTTGTCAAAAACACTCTTTCAGCATCCTCAATAGTCCTCGACCAGTTTCCAAAAACATCAATCCATTCATCTTTGGTGAGTTCTTTGGTGTTATGATACTTTATATCTGAAATATCTCCACTACCGTCTTCTAATAATAGCACGACAACAAAGTGTTGTGTATCCTTGTCGGCAAATTCGATGATAGCATGTAAGGTATCCGCGTCCATACGTTTGTAGTAAACTGGCCTTTGATATAACTCTTCAGCAGCGGCATCTCCCTTTGCTGCCCAGAGTGTTTCAATCATGGCAGGGCAATTGTCATCTTGCCATTGCACGACATTATCCCACTCCTTATAATCAGTAGTACCTTGGTTGTTACTTGAAGAAGGTCCAAGAATATGCACACGCTGACGTAAAAGTTGGGATGAAATAGGCAACAGCTTTAAATACTGATGCTGTTGACGGTAGTCGAGCGCAGTGTATGCAATGGATCGAACAATGTTTTCATTGGCGTAATCATCAATCGCCTCCATCTTTATAACTATATCAACAAGAAGAGAGAGCTGCGAAAACAACGAAAATTTCTGAGAATTCTCAATCGTTGGCTTTGAAATTCTAAACATCATGCGCGAATAGTAAATGAGTGCTATTAAACTCGTACGAGCAGGTACTTTTTTTTTATTTGATTTACATATACACTATGCTTATAAGAATTAATAAGATTAGCTAGACTATTATATGGGATGTATATAAGTATTAGATTATCGTATTGGCTGATAAATATTTCTAAATCTTTCCTTGAATAAGTTCACGAATAAGGCATCCACCATACATACGGAAGGTATGGAAAAGAGAAATGAAGTCAACAGTGGAAAAAATCATATCAGATAAACCAAAGTGCAACATAGTAGGGATCCAACCACGAGCGTATTCAAGAGCCCATGCATGCTCAGGAATCTTATAATGTTGGGCTTGGCCTCTAGCCAAAAGATGCATTTCACCAGGCTTATAAACGGTTCTCTTGAGATCGCCAGGATTAGCAGCCCATTGTTCGCCTTCAAGAATAATAAAGTAATCATCACAGAGGTAACGGCCAGTATGTCCTTCTGTGCCAACAGGTGTACCGAAAATAATGACATATTCTGTAATTGAAGCGTGCAAGATCCACATAGTACCCATAGCACCGCCTGCATTGTTGAATACCCAATCTTGTTTAACTGAGATGTGGCCAGGATATTTCTTTTCTAAGTCATAAGCGACATTTTGAATCATCAAATTGGTATCATTTTTGTAGAGTTCAATGTTCTTCTGGGCGATTTCTTGAAGGACGTTCTGATCAAAAATAAAGAAACGTTCTCTATTACGATCTAATCCCACAAATATAGCGGCTAATAGAGTGAAAATAGTCAATATCTTGACAAGGCAACTGGCGGCCATAATGATGAATCCAAAGTGCTCCTGAGCTGAAGGAAAGAAGGAAAAGTTTAAAGAAAGCAATCAGAAAATTTTTATGAATGAGGAAGTTTAGCGGAGTTGTAACTGCTGACGATAGCACCTGCAAGTGCATCCGTACCCCTTTTTCATAAATGTTACTGAGTCTCAATTCAGTGGATAATAAGCTTCTTCAGGAAAACTTTGAGCCTACTGTTTAACAGAAACTTACGGATTGTATTGTTACTGTACTTGTCCAATGTCATTATGCCAAAATTGGTTTCCGTCCTTTTATGACTAATATATGGTAATCACAACGGAATCCTTAGAATATCATAAATATGTTACGAGGAGGAGGGGGAAAATTTATCCAATTAATGCAGTGTTCTTATTGTTTTAAGGTATATTAATCGTCATCCTCCATCAAAGCATCCTGTTCAATAATACTATTCAGGTCTTGTCGAATCCTATTGGCCTCCTCCTCCTTTGTTTGCTTTATATGTTTGGCTTGCTTCTTTAGCCCTTCCTCTAATTTAACTTTTTCTGCAGCCTTATCTTGTCTTTGCAACACACTGTTCGTAACGTCAAATGCCCACTGTGCAGCTTCTTCAAGAGAAATAACCTCTGTAGGAAAAACGCGGTCGTAACGCAAAGTACCTGTAGCTATATCGGCCTCTTGGCTAAAGGATTCCTCTTTCAGTGAGTTAATTATTTTGTCTGCTTCTTCATCCTCGTCATCTTTGTATTGGATTGATTCTGTGCGACTATCAGCCAGCCCCACATTAACGGTCTTAACAGCAGAAGAAGCTGTATCACTGTTACGTACATCCACATCAACCGTAACAAAAGGTGACGATGTGAAATTTAGACAATCGATATTGAGGCCAGAAGCTTCATATCGTAGTCGACGCCAAATGGTATTTCCATAGGTTAACCCAGACAATCGGTTATAATTGACATAAGATAATACTACGATGAAGAACACAATAGAACGGAGAGCAAAATTGGATAAACGGAAGGTGCAAGCCTCGAAAATGATAGCCGTTAAGCCAATACCGCAATATACGACGCCGGAAATGTCGGACATAATAAGTGAATAGAGTGGTAAAGTTTTCACGAGGAGAATGTGAACCAGTAGAGCAGGATAGAAAAATGAAACTGATTTTGTGTAATGTTCATCCAGTAGCGAATCGTTGCCTTTTGAACGAGAAAGTTTTGTTTAGATCTGCATTGGCCACCTTGATTTTTCTCCGAAAAACAACAATGCTGAGTTTACCTGTAGAGTGTATCCGTGGAAATAAATGTGTGAGTGTAACTTGACAGTGACTGAAGATAGCATTAAAGCTGAAGTAAGACACATATGTTGGCATAGATAACAGAATGATGCGCTGTACAACTGTATTAAGAATGAAGTACACAGCATGACCATATAATTCATTCCAGAACTTCAATCCATCACTCTTGAAAAGCCATTGGCTGGGAACGTCTTCCTGACGATGTTGGGACTTAGGAGCCTCGGTAGCGGACGTGCCAGTTTGTAAATGATTATATACCGCATGCCACATCAAATTGTGAACTTTTTTAAATTTTTCAGACAATGAGATATCCTGATAACTGATGTAGTCTGTACTTTCCGCTATGAATGTAAAACAAATGTCAGTATGATGGAACACCCATATTTGGCATATAAATTGTCATCATACACTTTTTGTTGTTAGCTATTTCCACTATCCAAGCTGGTATATTGTTAGCACGGGTAGACATGCATCTAACTTCTTTTTGGTTCCCGCCGGAAATGTACCATGTATCATGGGAAATCTGAATGCAACCACGAAGATGTTGAAGACGGAATTTTTGATTCAGAGCTTTCCATGTTAGTTTCGGCTTGTTGTCCTCTATTAAATTTCGAAGAGTGCAATAATCGTTCTTGTCTATAATAAATCTATCTCCATATGCAGTATTTGGTATTACGAAAATATCCGTATCGATATCCCGTCCTTCTTTTTTCTGACACAATTGTCTTTGTAAACAACACTTACTTTACTTCACTGTGTCCATTTTCACCAGTTAATTGCGGGCGCACGTCGTGAAAATAGAGCTTAGGACTTGAAGCGAAGTGCTCTAAACGAACTTGATCACCATCACAAACATACTCAATAGATTGCGAGGAGTTCCATCTTCGGTTTGCTTCGTGTACTGTCCAGAGATGATTGATGTCAGAGTATGGATACACTGTTACTTCTTGCTCTATTCAATGAACGAGCAACAGACAGTCAGACTCAATTTTAACGACGTGTTGAACTTTATATATTATTTACGAGTACTGTCTTCAGTAGTTGCTCTGTTATGCAATGGAAGATATCCACCAACTGGATCAACATGTCGAATAAGAATTTGTGAACCGTATGCAATATCTGTAATACATCCAACAGAGTGCCATAGCCTAAATATGTGAGTAACTTAAGCAATTTGTCAAGCAATCAGTTCTTCATGTATACACACCTGTCTGGCTAGGTCCGCTGAACGAATGCTTTAGTTGTGGGCTTAGTAACAAATCATGGTCACTTGCATTCCCAAGAACATTAAAATAGATCTTGAAAATAGCACCGTATACAATGGCAGGGAGGAAACCAATCATGAAAGCTTTTATGCAAAAGTGTTTGACGACATGCTCCACATTATTTCGCCGGTCGCAAAGCTTTTGCCAAGTATCTGTAAGATGAGCCACCCATATTACACCCAAAGCAAATATACCTGTCCATTTCGTACTGAAATGGCACAAATTAGTTAAGGAAGGTTTCAAGACAAAGAAACATACAAGTTGTTGGATCTACCTAATCCCACAGCCGAGACATAGTCCAGCAAAAATAGGCCATAGGAGAGAGCTGATATTGACAAATGTGTCAATTAGCATATCATTACATTAGCAGCTTGATGATAAGCCGCATTTTACTTGTTACCTTTGATTAGTGTATGTATAACTCTTCGTCCAGAAAAAAAAAGCTAACACACCAAAAATCGCAGTGTAATTATCAGGCGTTACATATCTCGATTGTGCAATCATTCCATTTTCTTTCAATCGAAGAGACGTATGAGCAGAGTTTAGAATAAGTAATCCAACCAATTTTTGGTTTTACCAAATAATATTAATGAGGCTGCTAACGTAGCCGTTGTACGAGAATGATTCATGTTACGGAGGGTTAAATAACAGAGAGGAACCGTGGATGACCCTAAAATGGCTGATGCAGTTCGCAATGTAATTAGAGGGATTTCTGAAGAGGACCTTGTCGAATGAAATTGAAAAACGTTAAATAAAGCAAACATCACACAGGGTAAAGTCTTCAGTAACTTACTGCCGAGCATATAACAAGTCTTCTGTTCCTTGAAAACCTGTTAAACTAGCCAATGTAGGTAAAAGAAGGCCAGCCAACGGTAGGAACCTTCCAATAAATAATTTTCTGGATATGTACCCATTAATTTGTCTTGTCATTTCTAATTCAACATCTGTTATTGAAGCTGGTAGTCCGAGGTTTAAGATAAACAAGTATAGGCTTAATCCTGTCAATAATGTTAGAGATAATCTCTCTTCGAACGTGTTTGTCAGGCGCGTTACTTTTGGCAAAGTAATTGCGTTTTCCCGATCACTGTTGCATACAGCTTTGTTATGGTTATTCAGAGTAAGCTCTTTATATGGCCTTTCAAATAGTTTCATTGTCTCAGTAGCTGATTTTATTTGGCTACAAGTAACAATTGACGAAAGAAGGGAAGCCAAGCGAAAGGATGAGGACAGGGATAAGAATGTTTAAATTTTGAAATATTTGAATAAAGTTTGTAATGATGCATATTCTGTCCTTTTACTGTACATGAGAGAGAACTATAAACGCATTTTATTGAGACCCACCACATGATTTTTAAGTCACCGTTCAGTTCATATTGAATATGAAGAAATTCAAAATCTGTGCCTTAGAATGTTACAGAAAAGGAAAGGAAAAAGGTTTGGGGGAAAACGCCAGATTTGACGGAGTTAAGTGTAAAGGACATTCATTTGGTAAAAACCAGGAAATTGGCAAAGCTCCTTCGCTTAACTAAAGTTTAGCCTTGAGCTGAGCCTTCCAAACTGTCAAGGTAATATAGATAAGGTTATACAATGCGTCCTCGTTTGCGTATAATAGCTTGTAAGTGAAGTCGATTCGAAATAGCAAGGAAGCTGAGTAAATACGAAGCACATAGATTGCTAAAGTACTATTTGAAACACTTCATTTCATTGTACGAACTGTAACAAATATATCTATAACAGCTTGTTTAATACTAACTATTTTTGTAAGAAGAGAGCAAGCACTCTTCTACCGTCATTCATGAAAAGAACGTTTATTCTTCCTGAACTATTGCTTTTTATGTACTTTTTTTTTCACGTCACAAAATCCGCTTTACATTTTGGGGATTTGAAGTTCTGGGATATATGTTGAGGTGTGTAGCGGCTGTCTTCTACTTAATACTTTTTAGGGTTTTTGACTAATTTAGTTACTCCAATCTCAGTTATATCTATTATTCGATAAATAGTATTCAGAACGACTTTAACAATGTCCACAGTTACAAGAAGAAGAGTCGGGGGACAGAGCAGTAATTCAGAAGATGAACATCATACCAGCACAGAACCTGTGAGGAATAGTCCGATCCCAGATAAAAAAATTGCTTACGACCCTCGAGATATAGATGAAAGCAAATCGACACCTAAATTAACACTAATGGAAGAAGTTTTACTACTTGGTCTTAAAGATAAACAAGTAAATTAGCATTTCATCCATCTTTTTCTCTTGACATTTTCATCTGCTGCTGGAAGAAGCTCATGCCTACGTATTATACTTGGAAATGGTTATACTCTTTGTTAGGGATATCTCTCGTTCTGGAATGATAGTATCAGCTACGCACTACGCGGTTGCATTGTGATTGAATTAGCTTTGAGAGGCAGAATTGCCATGGTCAGAGATGCTAATCGCCGAAGATATCCGCTTGCAGATAGATATATTGAGGTAGTCAACGAAAATTTGACAGGTGAAGTTCTTTTGGACGAAGCATTGAAGATGATGAAGACAAGTGAGAAGATGAGTGTTTCCACTTGGATTGATTTAATGAGTGGTAAAATTTGACGCATTGTCCTTACAGTTTATATGATCCAATGTGCTTAAGTATGACATATATTTTTCCTTTCATTTCACAGGCGAGACCTGGAATGTGATGAAGATTGGATATCAACTTAAACAAGTTCGAGAACGTTTAGCTAAAGGGCTAGTTGATAAAGGTGTGCTTCGAACAGAAAAGCGCAACTTTTTGTTATTTGATATGGCCACACATCCTGTAGCAGATCCTGCCGTAAAAGAAGAGATTATTAAAAGAGTATGCACCATGTTGGTAACCCGTGTATCTCCAGCAGCTGTTGATGCCCAATCAGATGTACCTCACGCCTATGTTAGAACAGTCAGTATGATTTGCTCAGCGTACGCTGCTAATGTTTTAGAAAATGCGTTACTGTATCTTCAGCCTGACCTCAGAGAACAAGCATTCAACAAAGTCGATGAATTAATGAACGATTATTCATCATGGCCGTTTACAGGAAGTAATAGTAAGGTTGAAATACCCTCCGGGACAGAACTTTCTTTGGAAGTTGTAGCTGGTGTCATCAATGTCCTGGCAAAGATGGATGCAATCGTAAGTTATTCGAAGATGTGGGGTTTTAAGCGATTTAGCATATCTAACTTTTTTTTTTCTTTTGTATTTTGCAAAAAATTTAGTTGTAAACTAGACTTCTGCTTCTCTCCAACTCTTTATCATAATATCTCTATTCACAACAACAAGCACATTGTCATATATACACTTAAATCGCGCTCTAAAAGACAATATGTGTCGTATTATATGGACTTGAACCCTTCCATTTTTATTTTTTTTTTGGTTTTTTACAGTTCAGACACAATCTAACAATACATACTCTGCATTAATTTAGATATTATTACGGGTTATAAATGTGTAGTTTCGCAAACAATATATATATACTTAGTTTATTGTGGCCGTTCTAGTGATGATGAATATTCATTGTGAATTGTTCACTATAAGAAACCATGGCCTTACTGACTCCAACTTTGTTGGGAGCATTAAAAATCAATTCATGCGAGAAGTAAAAAAACTTGAGAAGTCACTTGAATTTGGATAGGATTAAAAAAAAAAAACTTTGATCTCCACAGCTGAGTAAGATTTTTTTCTTTTACACTTACATTGATATAGACAGTAGTAATATGGGCGCGCCTGCAGCTAACGGACCAACAGCGTTTTCTGATGATGGAAGAGCTGTTATTGAAAGACAACTCCATACTCACAGTGAAAAGCATGACGATATTTCTGAACTCTACGAACTCGAGCGTACAGTCGCTGCTATAAAGGATGGTGCTTACAAACGTATCGCCTTACAGTTTCCCGACGAACTACTAGCAGACTCTGCTGCTGTCTCTGAGGAATTAGCTAAACGAACTGGACAAAATGTATTTGTTCTAGCTGACACTTCTTACGGTAGTTGTTGTGTTGATGAGGTAGCTGCTGATCATGTCAGTGCAGATCTTATTGTCCATTATGGTAGATCTTGCTTGAGCCCGTAAGTGTGTGTATTAAAGCACTCAGCATTGAAGAAAAAAAAAGTCTTACACCAGGATTGGGATCAATATATCGATAGTACTTCACGTATCCCCGTTCTCTACGTTTTTATGCAACAACGACTTGATATAGATCATTGTAAGGACGAATTTGCAAAGCTCTTTCCCGATAAGGATCAAGCTGTCATTGTTATGTGTGACGTGGAGTATTCATACGCAGTAGAAGATTTGACTGCTCAACTGTCAAAAGAATATAAGCATATTATCCCAACTGTTATTCAAACTGAAAACAATTTACAATGCACTCTACCAAGAAATCGGACGGAAGGTGATGATGAAGAAGAGCAACAAAAAAATGCTTCAGCTGACAATGATGAACCTGTGTATACTTACGGTGCTGAGATACAGAATTTGGCACCCATTGAATTTGCTGATATTGAGCATCTTAACTCACAAAAGAAAAAGGGAGGCCGTTATTTTGTTTTACCAGAAAACGTCCCTATTGAAGATTGTTCTATCTTTTTCATTGGTAAAGAAAGCTTGACGTTGACAAATATAATGATGGTGCATAATCAGTGTCCTGTATGTATGATGCACAATGCTTCTAAAAACTTTCTTATTTACGGCGACTAACAGTTTATACTCTTTTCCAAACAAAAAGGTTTACACGTACAATCCAAAGACAAAAGAAGCCAGAAAAGAATCTGTCCAGGTGAATAGGATGCTCATGAGAAGGTAAAATAAGCAAGATGTGTGCATACAAGATACTGTTTCAATTGTCAATTGACACCCTCCCCCACCTCTTGTATGCCATTGTTGTTATAGATATTTCTTAGTTCAGAAGGCGAAAGATGCTAATACGTTTGGTATTGTTGTTGGTACCCTTGGTGTTGGTAGGTGTTGCCTGTTGTATTGTTGCAATATTTTTTCTGTTTTTACTGAATGAGTCCTTTGTGAATTTGCAGCCTCATATCTCAATATCATTGAACACGTAAAGAAAGTGATTAAAGCAGCAGGCCGCAAGTCATACTTTTTTGTTATGGGCAAACTGAATATAGAAAAGATGGCCAATTTTATGGAAATCGACTGTTTCGTTCTAGTAGCTTGTCCTGAAAATAGTTTAGTTGACTCAAAGGTACGGCGAACAGGATTAGTAATGGTATGAATGACGAAGGACACCCTCAAATTGATTCCTGTATCTTCTTTTTTTTTTGTAGGAATTTTATCGCCCGATTGTCACACCTTTCGAATTGGAGCTTGCTCTGATAAGGTACGAAATCAACCCAACGATTGCTGTTGCAATATGAATCTTAACTTTTTTAAATTCTATTTCGAGCAGAGGCAAGGAATGGACTGGCGATTACGAAACGGATTTCTCCAAGCTTCTTCCACAGTTACGAACAGATGACTTTACCTATGATGAAGTATAAAACGGTTCCATTCGGACTATATTATGAATGTGTTGGCTTCAGTTTTTTTTGATTAACCATCAATATGCTTGTCCTTAGGAACGTGAATATGATGGATCTAGCGATGAAGAAGCCCATTTCTCTATGGTGACTGGTCAGTACATATCAAGGCCATTAAGCTATGCTTTGAGACATAAAGAAACTGGTAAAGTTGAAGGTTTTTTCAGTGGATGCTACCAAAACTACGACCATTCTATAGATTAACACTACTTGCATTAGACTCTTCCGGAGAAGCCCTTACTAGTAAACTTACTGATTTGACCCTGAGAAACAAGGAAACAAGTATTTCTGTTTTATTGAACAGTACAGCAGGTGAGTAAAAGCACACGACCCTCAACAAAGTGTTTTTTTTTTGTGAGGCTAACATACTGTATTCTCTTTGTAGGTGAATACTTGAAAAATAGAACATTTAGGGGTCTGGAGCCTCATATCGGCGAGGATGAAGCAGCAGCGGTACAGGAAGGTCGCTCAGGCATTGCCCGTGGTTATGTTAATGAGAAGAAGACTGAAGAAAATCCAAAATAAATTGTATATAAGACTTCAACATTAGTAGTCCCGTATTATAGTTACATAATTTATTTGTCAAGTCGAAATTATCTTTGATTTTTGATGCTTTATATGTACATAGTTCATCAATAAGTTTTATGATGGAAGAGCTTTGAGCTCATGCTTTCTATTTCTACAAAACAGATAGTACCATGATCATACATCATTGATTTTATGGAACAATGAGTAATAAAAGATTTTACACAATTTTTTTCATTTTGGAGTAAAGAAACCAATGTATTTACTGTAAAATTCGTCAACACTCTATCGCTATGCAAGGTCTACCGATCATTGTGCCTGCAGCACTTCCTTTTTTATTCATTCTCTCTGCTGATTCATTTAAAGAGTTAAAAAAAAAAGCTCAGAATGCGTATGATCTGAGCCGTGTAAAATTACGATCCATCTGCGCAGTCAGTGTATGATGTCTGAAACGTGCAAAGTACCGATAGGAATAAAGTTGCTGCTGTGGTTTCCCATCTGAGATGTTTGCAAGTATGAAGGATGACACACTTTTTTTTTTTTTTTTTTTTTTTTACAGTTGCAGTAAGAAAAATTTCAAAGCAAAATATGCATAATGCATATGTGTCCAGATGGATAAGATTTGCACAACCTCACATTTCACACACTACGTTTAATTACAAGATGCAAATGTAAGAACGTGATAGTGAAGTGGTTTAATTGGAAACAGTGTTTAGTATAATATAGCAAATGTATATGGATAAGGATAATAGTCTTTTCTTGTTTGTACGCAAACAAAGAAAGATGATATGGAGTGGGTAAAGGAGAAACAGAAAAAGACATATATATATATGTATATATAGATATTTATATAGGATCATACTACATTTTCACTTCCTTTGGTACTTTATAATAGTTATTGTTCGAAGCCGTTGTAAATGAGAAGGTTCGGTGTCTTGGGAGGAAGATCTTTGAGTGCGTTTCTTGTGCTTAACTCGAGGATTTGTTTCTTGATATCTTGGGGTTTTGTATCTTCAGGTGCCATGGATAAAAGATACGCAGCCAAACCTGCAACATGAGGAGAAGCCATGGATGTACCGGAAATAGTGTTGGTAGCATGATCATTGGTATTCCAAACAGATTCAATATTCAAACCAGGAGCAAAGACATCGACACACTCACCATAGTTGGAGAAATAAGCTCTTTCATCGAAAATGGTACTAGCACCGACGGTGATAGCCTTTTGGGCACGAGCAGGAGAATAGTTACAGGCATCCTTATTATCGTTACCAGCTGCTACGGCAAAGACAAGACCGGCTTCGACAGCGCCATTGACAGTGGCATCCAAAGAGGGTGATTTACCACCACCCAAACTCATATTAGCGGCTGATCCCTTGAACTTCTTGCCATTCTTTTGAGCTTGCGCCTTTTCTTTAAGGTATTCACCTGTTGCCCAATCTACGCCTTTAACGACATCTGACATACTACCACTGCCGTTGGATGATAAAACCTTGACGGCAACAGGGATAGCTTTCTTTGCCACACCGTATTTCTTACCAGCAATGGTACCTGCACAATGAGAACTACATAGGGAAAAAGAAAACGAGGCAAATAGGGATGTTTTTAGCGACACAAGACGATAGAAAGATGTCTTCGTTTCAGCCTTTGATTTAGGTTTTTCTTTTTTTATAAAAGTGAAAGGGGAAGGGGGGAGGAAAACTTTCTTTGATAGCTTTACCCGTGACCATTGCCATCGACGTCCTCATCATTCTTTGGTATCGTTTTGCCCCAAATTGCTCTTCCTTCAAAATCAACATGCTTGACATTAATACCCGTATCAATGACGTAAACCTTCACACCTTCACCAGCGGAACTTTTATCATAGTTGTATTTGTTAAAGTTACGTAAAGAGAGCCGGTCACGAGTAGAGATACGGGCCAAACCCCAAGGAGCGCCTCGTTGCAATTCACTGGCATAGACAACAGAATCTTCTTCTACGTAGGCGACTTCATCGGACTGACGAATGGCCTCCAACACCTTTTGATCGAATTTACCGGAATAACCCTTGAAATTGGGCATATCGTAGACATGGTTGATGCCTATATCTTCTGTCTCTGACAGATAATCCGCTCTGTTAAAGGATTGACCTGCTGCTAACGCACTAATCCATTCAGCGTGGTCGCCGATTTGGGTTGCTGATAAGCTTTCTTTTAACACAACAATGTAAGAACCCCGGACGGCTTCTGTTTCAATGGGTGTATAAAGGGGAGCCACTGACTCGCCTTCGGAAAATGAAGTAGGGTTCATCATAGGAACAGCAGAGGCATAACCTGCCATGAGCAAAGCAGTGGTCAGAATGGAGAATCTCATAATGTCGAAAGTTATAAGGCGCAAAAAAAAAAAAAAAAAAAAAAAAATAATAAAAAAGTAAAAGAAACAAAAACAAAAAAAGGAAAGAAAAACCCAAAAGAAGCGGCTTTAATGAGTTTTCCAAACTGTACTCACAAACAAATTTTATGCTAATTTCAAAACCCACACACACACACATAAAGAGTAACTCTTTCTAACTGTGTAAAAACAATAATGAAAACCAATCAAAAACCAAATTGACGTCATTTTTAACAGGTTTATCTTTACACTTTTCTGAAAGATCAACTGATCACACTCTAGCTGTTTTCACTATTCTCAGCTATATAGATCATGTTAGAACGACGATTTCTTCTCTTGTAGTCTTCTTCTTTTCGTATTCAACATTTGCTGCCCTGTTCTTGTTATACGTTTCAGTATTTCAGTTTCATTCTGCGCGATGTCACTGTTTAAAAGAACTTTTCTTAGCAGTTTCGGCCGTTTTTCGTTCACATTGAGTCTTTGTTTAACCAAATGTTGTGTGGCAATCGTTGCTTGAGGCGTGCAAAATAACTCTTCTTTCAATTTTTGATACTGGTTGGCCAAAGTCAGAAATTCATTTTTAAGTCTGCTGCTGTCATCAAAGCAATAATGCAACTTCAAAAAAGGAAGAAAAAGAAAATTTCCAAGTCAGTTTACTAGAAACCCGTTTCGCGTGCAAAAAAAAAAAAGTTCTTTCAACATCATTACTGGGTCATTTTCGATCAATTTTCGTTTAAAGTCTCGTAGTTGGTGCTTAAGACTAGAAAAAAGAAAGTCGTTGATATTGTTAATACACCTTTGCAGTAGAAAAAGAAACACGCCTTTGGACTAAGCCAACACAATTTTCAAGCAAATAGAAGCAAATGAAAAAACTCACTTCATCGATTTTTCAAATTCAACTGTTACTTTCAAATGATGCGTTTCTGGTTCTTGCTCGGCGACATAGCAAAAGGCCTCCATATCTCGCAATTTTTCAAATATTAATGCGGCTTCCGGATGCTTTTCTTTGAGAATAGATTCATAGTAGAATTGAAATAAGGCATTGTATATGTCTGTTTAAAAGAGAAAATATTCAGTTCTTTGCATTCGCATTGCTTCAGGGTAGATGACAGCCTTACCTTTTGTGACACGAATTTTCATCTTGCCCCATACAGAAGGCTGTGAAATATACAGAAAATACAATGAGAATAGCACTGCACATTTTACTGACGGCAATGGACTGGAAAAGTGATCTACGCCAAATCAAAAGATGTGAATCAAATTCCTTTAAAACTTTCAAACAGAGAGGTTGCTCGTACCCAAAAAGCTAGTGAAAAAAGCATTCAAATAACTTTCTCGAAATTCTCTTTTCAAACAAGCAAAATGGACATAGTTGAAATGAAGTTCATTCCATAGATCGTCAAAATCGCTAAAGCTTTGGTTCGGTTTCTATATATACTTTGAAGTTAGTTGAACAAAAGATTATTGACCGATCCATTTTTACAAAAGGGTCATGTACACTAATAAAGTGGTATAGCAGGTACTCGACATCGTCTTCAATGGCTTGACGATCGATCCCCACATTCTTGGCGACGCGGACTAAATTAGCCACCGTGTTGGAAGTTGATGGAAATACGCGGTTTTTGGGTTTGGGGCCTTTTCGATTCATTTTTAAATTAACAGATACGAATTGTGTGGGTGGAAGCCTGAAATCTTTTCTTTTTCTTTTTTTTTTTTTTTCTCTTTTTTTTTTAACTGATCTATGATGGTTGTTGAGAGGCGATAATGGTTTGAAATAATTGGTGGAAAAACTGCAGACTTTCTCATCTGATACAATAGGGAAAGCTTTTTTTTCAATACGTGTTCATCATGATCAATGTTACCTTCATTAAAGAAGTTCTTTTTTTTTTTTTTTTGTCCTTTTAAGGAACTAATTGTCACCATAGCAACCCATAACAATGAGAACTGTCTGACATTCAATGTGTGGAGGGCCATGCTGGATAGAAAGATCCCTTTATTTCGTATTGAAAATGTCTGTAATGCATTTGTTGATTTCTTATCGTTGTTGTTTGGCTCATTTTGTAGACCCGCAATTTTATTCTTTCAAAGAAATTGGGTTATTTCATTTTTATTTTTATTTTTAAACTTTTCTCTTTTTCCCTTCAAGAATAAATTCACAAATGTCAATTATACATGGACTTGTAGCTCATGATACGACCATTGTTGCAGAGTATAAAATAGACGAGACGATCGATAATACAGCAGGTAACCATTGACAAAGGCAACACGACTGTTCTTCCACTGTCAGGAAGGGTCTCTATGTGTATGTGTGTGAGTGTAACACGCTATCTATTCTGCATGTATAGTCGTACAAGCGATCCTTGAAAAGATACCACCCAACAACTCCAAGCTAACTTATGCCTATGACAGGTATAAAAAAAACCAAGCCAACCCACCATTTGACCTTGAAAGGGTGCACTGACGAAATAACCTATTTCTTTTTGGATAGATACCTCTTTCATTACATTTCAGAGGGTGGCATTACTTATTTGTGTATGGCAGATGAGTCCTTTGGTCGGCGTACACCTTTTATTTTCTTGGAGAACATGCAATCGAGGCTTTTATCCAACTATTCACAATCACAGATTTTGGATGCACCACCTTATGGATTACATAGTTTTGGGAACATGATTGAAGAGTTGCTGGGTTACTACAACACACATCAGGAAACGGATAAGCTAAAGCGAGTACAGGGAGAGATTCATCAAGTAAAGGATGTCATGAGTCACAATATTGAACGCGTGCTGGAGAGAGGCGAAAGAATAGACATTTTGGTGGATAGAACAGATAATTTAAATCAACAGGCATTTGCTTTTAAAAAAAGAAGTACTCTGTTAAAGGTAAAAAAAAAAAAAACCATCATTTGAGCAGGCAGAAGAGCTCTTCTACAAGCTTTAACAATTTTTGTGCTTTGTCACCTCTAGCGCACGATGTGGTGGAAGAATACGAAAATAGTCATGTTGATTACTGTCACTTGTGTCGTAAGTTATTCATTGATCCACACTCAAACTGACCAAGAGACGCTGTCTTCTAACGACTCTTATAATTTTGCAAAAGATCATTTTTCTTTTCATTACCGTATTTATCTATGGCAAATCATCGTCTTCAAAGGAATAAAACAGGAGCTGACCCAAGACTTTATTTCTTTCAAAAGCAAGGACAAAAAGTCTTGAAGGAAAGGTTTAAAACGCGAATGACAGTATATGATATTAAAACACACGAATGTCTATTATACGTTGATTAAATGTTTGAAAAGAAGAAATAGCTATATACAGTAGAATAAGGATACCGTGCCAAAATTTCCACCCCCCCCCTTTTTTTTTGAGTGGTTTCAATTAACAGAAGATTTCTTGGCAGCAATAGCAGCAAGTGATTTTAAAGTAAATACAATGGTATGAGCCAATTGGTCACGAAGACCAATCGAGCTTGCTAGTAAAAGCGCTTGTTGAATACAGTCTTTAGAAGTATTCAATGTCAATAATAATGGTATCATGTCTAAAAACCCATGATTAGCAGCATACAAGAAAGATGGATTATAACCACTACTGCATGTAGTAGAGAGAGTATGAGTGCTGGTGGCGGTGGGATCTACTTTGCCTGATGTCACCAATTCTCGTACCATATCAATTTTGCGTTGCTGAACCGCCTTGAGAAGACTTTTAGCTGATACTTTGCACCCTCGCTTGATCAATAAACGTAACATTTCGATACGGTTCCATTCAATCGCTAAATCGATCAAGTCTGGCCTCGTCAGAGGGAGTGATGGAGGCTGTTTCTTTGTCTTTTTTAGCTCGTTGATGGCAGGTGAGCTTTCAATCGTTTCGACGATGCTACAGTGACCATCGTAATCCAACAATAATTGTAGTGTGCTTGTAAGTCCAGTAACAATAGCCATTTCAATTGCACTGCGCTGATCTAGTTTATTCGGTGTCCAAAGTAAGTCTAATTGTTCAGGATTGTTCCTACAAATCTCTTGTGCTCTTTCATTTGTATTTTGAAGGTGACCTTGAAAGTTGTTGTTGCTGTTGTTGTTGTAGCATGATTTCAAAAGAAGTGAGACACATTGTTGATATCCGAAAAGAACAGCTGTGTGGATGGGTAATCGACCTGTATCACAAGCAAATAGATCCACACGCGCTCCTGCCGCCAGTAACAACCTAAGGCATTCCACCTGGTTTGCTTGAACAGCCATATGGACAGGTGTTAATCCTTGGTGGTCGTCAGTCGTCGCGTTAATATCAACCTCTGGGTGAGCCAATAGTAGTGTCACCCCTTCTGAAAACCCTACAGAACACGCCTCATGCAGAGCCGTTGTCTTTCGTGGGCCTGATCGTAAATTGATATCCAAGTGAGCATTGGTGAGCAGACGCTTAACTGCTTCCGTCGATTGTCCGAGACAAGCCCAGTTCAAAAGGGAGCGCTTTAATTGAGCATCGCATAGATTCGGTGTGCTGTGCCGTTGACTCAAATACATGTCCAAACAATGTAAATCAACTTTTTGCTTTTTATTGGTATTGATGATGTTGTTCATTCTGGTGTCCACCGTATCGACCGTTGTGTTTTGGGTATCTTTCATGGTGTCTGCAAAGGTGATAGAGTAAGAACGCTTCCTGTTATTATCCGTAGGATAATGGGGTAGAATCGCATCTTTTTTCGGGAAATAATCAATAGGTGATGTAGGTGGAGTCGGTAAAGCCTGTAGAGTCGCTGGCTCTAACGTACTGGTGTTATAATTTTGCACTTCATTACGCGTGCCAAAATAAACTGTAGAGGATGCGGAGGGTGTATCTTGCTGTTTTTGTGTCGTATTCATGGCTTGCATTTTTGTTAAATTGAGGTGTTTGGTCTAATCAATAAGAAAAGAAAAAGAAAAAGAATAGAAGAAAGGGCGAATATTTCTACACACTTTCTCACTATTGCCTTTGCTCCAGTATAAATAGGTTTTGTCTGAATGTTGAAAAAAGAAAAACCACTTCTTCTTGGCAAGCGTGTACGAATTAAACAAGATGACCGAATTAAAAAATAAAGCAAAAAGATCGACAGCTGGCAACAACAACACGGCAATATTTAAACTCAGAAGCAGATTGGATCCTTGGCAAAATTAAAAAAAAGAGGGTCAGCATATTCAAATCATTGGAAGCACTGTCATTTCGATAGCATTCATTTCTTGGCAAGGTCCAATTCCATGGCAAAATAGACCAAGCTGTATTTCGTTCTATTTGAAAATGGAATAGACTTCTACAGCAAATTAATCATTTAGACCTCCAACGGAAAAGGCTATTAAAGTAGGACGTTTGTGATTTTTGGTTGGTTTCTTTTTTTGTATATTACATAGTAGCAGGCATTCTTGTGCATGGTGTTACAAGTAAAAACATTGTTCGAACTTTTTTTTTTCACAGTGATGAGTCTCCTAATGCTTACCATATAGGTTCTTGATCTTCAGGAACAGGTCACTTTAGGCAAAAAAACTGCAACCGTCCTTGACTTGCGGCAATTAAGAAAGTCAAAAGGTTTACTATAGGAATTGAATAGGAGTACTATTTGTGGTATCTTTCTTATTATGAGGGGTTCACTATCAAATTCGGCTTATTGCATAATGATCACACAGATCTTGTATATCACTGTCAGCTCCTACCTTGGCCCCTGCCAAGACAACCCCCTTCTCTTGGTGAGCCGGCCAATCTGTCCGGGTCAATTTGAAGGAGCAACCGCTTTCCCGTCCCAATATATACTTTACAGAGTACGAGAAAGATCAGTCCTTCTATAACTCAAAAGCAAAAACAAACAAAGATGAAAAAGACGTGAATATGAATATAAGTTATGGTCCGCTATAGAAGATTCTCCATGTCTGTATCAGGACCATCTACTTTTGAATTAAATACAATTTGTGGATTGATGAAGGGTTTTCTGCACGTTTTCTTCAAATTTTTTTTTTCTGCTAGTGATAAAGGTGAATTTGTTATTTCGAACATTGTACAATGACTGTCAATTCAATGGTGTTGCATTTACAGAAGCCCACGGCATAGCATGCAGGATTATGGAATCATAATGCCAGTCAGTCATATCTTATTTTATTTTATTTTTTTTGGGACAACAGCTAAAAATGTCAAGCAAATGTTGAGTGAACAAAAGAAGAAAGAGAAATCACAAATCCCAAAATTGGTCGTAGACACGCAAATTACGAATTTTTCGGTAAATTATTAAAGAGTCAAATGCTGCGTGTTATGCGTAACGCTTTAAAAAATGAAAGGTTAATGAAGTCGACTAAATTACAAAAGAACTAAGAAATACACTTCTGAAATAAAACAGAATGATTAATCAGACTATGCTTTCTGCAGAGTGTCGGAAGACATGCTGTCGTGTTTGATAGGGTGGACTGCCGACTACACTTGTACTGAATGTGAAAGAAATAGGGGGAAACTATCCACTGACAAGATTTTCTTATCCTAAAAGTAAGTCACACCTACATATATATATGTATGTATCATATACACAGAGATATAGATTGACACACTATAATTATGAAAGCACCATGGTAGTGTTAATCATGGTTATCTGTATCAGTATCAGCCCATTCTTTCGCAAAAAGATGAATGGAGTTTGGAAACTTTCCATTGTACACATATCAAAAATTCTATCCTAAGTTTGTATAAAAAATTGAGATTTTTGATGAAAAATGTTTCATTTTCAGGCGTTTAAAGATAGAAAAAAAAAAGTTTAGAGTTTGATTATTCTTTTCTGTCTGTAAAGGGCATACGTCCTATTAGCGCATTTGTTTTCTTTTTGCTTAGCTTTGTTAGTGATGTTTGAGATTAGCACAAGTTCCTTTATCACAGTATACCAGTCTCAGTATAAACGGCCCATTTGCTTTTAGGATCTATTGATCATCTCATGACTCAATAGGACGAAACATCTCCTTTGACGTCAAGTATTGATTAGTCTTGATATGGTGGTGGTGGCCAATGCAAATGTACAGGTCGCTTTAGACGGCCACCAAAAATTTTCTTTTTTACTTTTTGGACAGGTTGACTAAATTTGGAAAATGAAACCTTATCAATTTTGTAAAAAAACACTCATTATTCGCCTGAGTGTCAATTGGAAGGCAATCGCAAATATCTATTGCAGCGCTTGTCATTTAACCGAGCAAAACTGACACTTGGAATTACCAAAAAAAAAAAAAAAAAAAAAAGCGAATAAATATGATTAAGTAAGGTATCCATGACTCTATTTGTATATTTTCTTTTTCTTTTTTTTTTTTTTTTTCTTTTCCTGATTTACAATCAACTTATTTAAAAAATTGTATGCTGTGAGATGTGTACAATATCTATTCCAGCAGTTGGTACACCTATACCCCATCATCACACAGCATCTATATTGACACAGAGTAGCACAGAACTCTTGATGAAATATATGCCAGCACCAGTGTGTCGCTGTTCAAAGCCTGAAAAGAGCAAAGAATCGTCAAAGAATCAAACCACATCAAGCACCTGCAGTAACAGCAAGGAACAGTCAACAGCAATGCCATATATCGAGAAAACAATGCCAAACAAACGGACGTTAGGTATAGATCCCTCTATATAAAGACAAGAGTTACATAATTTGTATTTCAACAAAACCGTTTTAATCAGGTCATATTCAATTACTCCTTTAGATATTGCTGCTCAATCACAAATAAACATGACACCCTATTCCTCTCCTTCAGTATCACCCAAGCCTATCTACACGCATAAATTACCAGACAACTTTTTCACATCAAACTCACCGCCTGCACCCATCTCACCTATTTCCATTTTTGCCTCTAAAACCAATTCGCCTGTATCTTCACCCAATCTTCATCCAGCGTCTCTAAGGAACAGTTTAATAGACTCTCTAGATAGCTTAACCATTACCCCTATCAACGAAACTTGTCCATCGTCAACAACTGCAGCTACCCCACACAGCGTCAACTGCTCATCACCATTATCAAATGACAATAACGCTACTCAAACTGAAAAGCCATACCATCGCAGTACATCAAGGAAACGTCTCTCTTTAGACGACTTTTGCATCAAACAAACAGTCGGCACAGGTTCATCCGCCCGTGTTCATCTCGCTAAAAGCAAAATCAACGGGAAATACTATGCAGTGAAAGCAATTAATAAGAAGGATCTTGTCTCGAGAAGACAAGTTGAACACGTACAAAACGAAAGAGAAATTTTAGGATCCGTCTCTCATCCATTTTTGGTAAGACTTTGGGGAACCTTCCAAACCGAGAGTCATGTATTCTTTGTGATGGATTATGTTCCTGGTGGTGAAGTCTTTCGGAAACTCCGTAAGAAGAAGGTGAGTTTGTTTTTTTCAGTAGTAAATATTATGTCTTTTTTTCAATGGAAGTAAGGAAGAAAATTGTTGGCTGACTTTATTTCTCCCTCCCCCAATCAGAAATTTACAGAAGATGAGGCAAAGTTTTACGCTGCTGAAGTTACTCTTGCCATCGAATATTTGCATAGTTTAGACATTGCTTACAGAGATTTGAAACCTGAAAATATACTTATCGATGCTCGTGGCCATGTCAAGATTACTGATTTCGGTTTTGCAAAGAGAGTAACTGATTTAACATGGACTGTATGTGGTACACCTGATTATTTAGCGCCGGAAATTATCCGTTCACAAGGCTATACTAAGGCAGTAGATTGGTGGAGCCTTGGTATTCTGATCTATGAAATGCTTACAGGGTAATTATACTAAAAAATAAAAAAATAGAACTAAAAGCCCATCCATGGATACTCATCTTTTCTTGTTGAAACGCGGAATAGACATCCACCATTTACAGCAAAAAATCCTGTAGATCAATATCAGAAAATTTTGCTTGGCGAAATAAGTTGGCCAGAGAATATCCTTATTAGTGATGAAGCCAAGGACCTAATACAAAATCTGTTACGCGTAAAGGCTACTGACCGGATTGGTAACCTGAAAAATGGCAGCCAAGATATAAAGAATCACCCTTGGTTTAAATGTTACGATTTCGCAGACGTCTTAGCACGCAAAATTACTCCACCGCATATCCCTGATATCAAGTACGATGGTGATACCCATTGCTTCGACTATTATGAAGAACTTCAATTACCTTACCATATGATGACAACGACAGAACCCTATTGTACGCATTTTGCCAATTTTTAGAGAGAAAAAATTCAATTCTATCTAGACGTTCCTACCACTACTGTAAATACTTTTTTTTTTTCAATATCTCCACAATTTATTTTGCATTTCTCTACTTTTAACAACCCTATTCTATATGATAATGATACATTTGTCCATTAACATGCACTATATAAATATTTATTCACTGGATATGAATTCAACTCTACACCTCCCCGCTCCCCCCTTTTTTTTTGGGTCTATTTCTTGTCACGTGAGGAAACATTCATATATTTCGACCCCCTTGGAAAATGAGTGTGTCCCGATTTTTTGTTCCTTGACGTTCCAACAAAGAGGAAAAGCCACTTTCCTCAGGCCCGCTGAAAGAAGCGAACTGGCTAATTTTCAATTTTCAATTTCCTACGCTGAGAGAAAGGCGTCTTATTCATCATTTGGAACGTACGTGTGTGTGTGTGGAAAAAGGCACCGAAAAATTTGAGATCAACTTCTTTTTCTTTAAATTGAGTGAAGTTCGCAACGTATTTTCTTTTGGCCCTTCTTCTTCTTCAATCTAAAAGCTAATGTATCAAAGAGACCAAAACAGCACTCTATTCTTGGGTGGTGAGCGTACCACTGGTCAAGATGTTCGTTCAAGCAATGGTAAATAGATACTAGCAGATTTGACGCGTTTATTCATATTCTTTAAGTACAGATCAACTCATGTCTTTTTCGTCATCTTGCTTTGTAAAATCGAACAATAGTACTTGCAGCCGCTTCCATCGCTAACATTGTCAAGAGTTCTCTTGGTCCTGTTGGTTTGGATAAGATGTTAGTCGACGAAATTGGTGTAAGTTCTTTTTTCCCCTTTTCCCAGACATTTACAGGAGCTTCAGAGAACTAAAAAAGATTCGACTCACTCACTCATGGCCAATAATAGGATGTCACTATTACTAATGATGGTGCCACTATTCTCCAATTACTCGAAGTAGAACATCCAGCCGGCAAAGTCTTAGTCGAACTTGCTCAACAACAAGACCGTGAAGTGGGTGACGGTACCACTTCTGTTGTCATCATTGCAGCTGAACTATTGAAGCGCGCCAACGAACTTGTGAAGAACAGAATTCATCCCACCACTATTATCACAGGTTATCGATTAGCATCTAAAGAAGCTTGTCGTTTCATTGCCAACGAAATGTCTATCAAGGTAGATACTCTTGGCAAAGAATGTCTCATTAACGCTGCCAAAACTTCCATGAGCTCAAAGATCATTGGAGCGTAAGTTGGGTTTTTTTTTTCTGCTTCTTTTTGTGCATAGAGTTGCGAAACAACATAAAATGTGTATGTTATTAACTTATATTCTCATTCTTGGATAAACATTCATAAATACAGTGATTCCAACTTCTTTGCCAATTTAGCTGTCGAAGCAATGCTGGCTGTTAAAACAACAAATATCCGTGGCGAAAACAAATACCCTGTCAAAGCAGTAAACATTTTAAAAGCACATGGTAAATCTGGCCTTGAGTCTCAGTTTGTGCGTGGCTATGCGCTCAACTGCACTGTTGCTTCACAAGCAATGAAGAAGCAGATCAAGAATGCAAAGATTGCTTGTTTGGACATGAATTTACAGAAAACACGTATGAATCTCGGCGTCAATATTGTTATTGATGATCCCGATAAATTGGAAGATATCCGTAAGAGAGAAATCGACATCACAACTGAACGTATCAAAAAGATTCTGGATACGGGCGCCAATGTCATTTTAACAACGAAGGGTATTGATGATTTATGTCTTAAATTATTCGTCGAAGCTGGTGCTATGGCCGTTCGTCGTTGTAAGAAAGAGGATCTGAAACGAATTGCTAAAGCCACAGGAGCCACATTGATCTCCTCCTTGGCTAATTTGGAAGGCGAGGAAACCTTTGAAGCCGGTTATCTCGGTCAAGCCGAAGAAGTTGTTCAAGAACGCATTTCTGACGATGAATGTATCTTGATAAAGGGAACTAAAATTCAAAACTCTGCCTCTGTTATTCTGCGTGGTGCCAATGATTATATGTTGGATGAAATGGAACGTTCTTTACATGACTCACTTTGCGTCGTTAAAAGAACTCTCGAAAGTAACAGCGTAGTGCCTGGTGGTGGTGCTGTTGAGTCAGCCTTAAGTATATATCTCGAGAATTTTGCTACAAGTTTAGGATCACGTGAACAGTTGGCTATTGCCGAGTTCGCCAATGCCTTGCTTGTTATTCCCAAAACCCTTGCTGTCAATGCTGCGAAGGATTCAACTGAATTGGTTGCCAAACTACGTGCTTATCATAATACAGCTCTTAACGCGGATGCTGATGATCGTAAACGTGCACTCAAGTGGTATGGTCTTGAACTGATCAATGGTAGTGTCCGTGATAATGTCAAGCACGGTGTATTAGAACCAACCATGTCCAAGATAAAATCCTTGAAGAGTGCTGTTGAAGCTGCTATTGCTATTTTAAGAATTGACGATTTCATCAAGGTGGCTCCTGAGCCAAAGGGTAACCCTGAGGATGATGGTCATGGTCATTAAAATCACTTATGTTAAAAAACACACGCCAAAATGAAAAAAAAAAGAAGAAAAAAACATAGAAATAAAAAAAGAGGAAATCCATTCTTTTTGTTTGTAAGAACAATCCATTTTTACATTTTAACCACTACTCAATAAAGCTATCCATACAATTTGTATTTACGTGTACAGGGTATATATTTATTACACTTTTACTTTTTCTTTGTCGCTCTACCCTTCGAAAAGGGTTTTCTAAGAGAAATACTGCAGTTCGATGCCAACGGTTTTGACAGGATTGATATTTTTCAAATCTGCTGTTAACCCTAGACTAAACAGGATGTTTTTAAATCTGCCTTCCCACATAAAAGCTAGTCCCTTCATAAAACCCCATCTAGCTTTTAATAATCCTTCCAGTTTCTCTGTTCTATCGGCCGACAGTGTAATCACGCCTTCATCGATTTCTGTTTCTATTGACGGTGATTTCGTTTTCGTACGGTACTCAAAACCAAATGCTAGATCACTTTCGTAAGAATATATGTTGAAATCAAACCTCGAGCACATTACTGTCTGATCCGATACTTTAGCAGCATAACTTGTTGACATATGACCAACAATTGGATTAAGGGTATAGGTAAAGTCAACGGGTGAGGTTTTTGATGTAGGCAGTGTACGATATCTGATGCCCGTGGATACTAATGAATATTGATTAGTGGAAATTCTTTCGAGCGAGAGATGTCGATAGATAATGGCTCCCTAGACACAAAACTTACATCCTGCACTTTTATCTAAAATGCCGTAATACATCTCTGTACCTATCGACCATTGACCTGTAGAAGTCGGTTGTTTTCCAAAATTGTATAGAGCTCTTAGACCCATAAGCCCATCATCCGTTGTATATGATCCTTCCGAGCACCAGCTGCCCGTGTCATACTGGAGTTGTAATGCCACTTGCGGAGCTACATATGCTCTGGCACTATTGACTGCCGTTATCGAATACTGCATGTTTTCTGAAATTCGTTTCACATACATTGCTTCTAGTCTGGCACCAGGAAAATACATTCGTCCGTACAACAAGTAGTCAGGGTTCACTGAACAAAAAAAAAAGTAAGTAAATGGAATATCAGTTTATCAACCATCAGAACCAAAACAGCAAATCTTTTATCAAAAGAAGAGGTTTCCCCTCACCTCGATAATCTGCTTTGTCAGTCGCTTCTTTTGGTTCTCTAACAACTATTTTAAAGCGATCGATTAAGTCTTGAAAATCTACAGTTGCACTTGTGCCAATATCAAGTGGCCTTGATGTGTACAGGTAACCGATGCTTCCATTTAGTGAAGGCAAGACGTTGAGTGTGTATGATGGTTTGAACTGTGGCGTCGGTAGCTTTGATATGACAAGTGAAAGGCCCCGGGGTGTATGGAAGTCAAGTAGAGCTCGAGACCATGAGCACAGATTAGAATACTGATTTTCCTCATTCCAGTTTGAAGAACGGTAGAACCTCTTCAAACAATATTCCATGAAATCGTTCATTACGCATTTGTTGGTAAAACCGTTAACCACAAAAGAAATAGGGGAAATTTTCAGGTGCTGCTGGAATTTGAAGATATGCGTCGCCTGACTGGATGTCTGTGTTTAAATTAATGACAGACCATCGACTAACAGAAAAGGTTAAAAAAAAAAAAGAAGCATGCAACAAAAATCTATATGGCCCTCTGTTGCTAAGACATTGCAGATATTCGTTTACTTACCGAGTTTTAATCAAGAGAGCATAGGGAGAACACTCTAGTGCATGAAAATAAAAGTATAAAGCTAGCAATAAAATGCCAACAAATTTTTATTCGAACAGACAATGACAGAGTTTATACGAAGAATCGAAGAGAGAGATAGAGAGAAAAGGAAAAAAAAAAGAAAATCTAAATCATATTAATAGGTATGCTTTAAAGGTATTATGTAGGATATCAGTTATCGGATTCGTCTAATTCTTTTAAATAAGCTAATAATCGCCTTTTATGAATGATTCCAAGGTATCTACCGTTTGGATGCGTAACGCATACATATCTTGCACCCAACTTAACAAACATATCCATTAACAATGTCATTGAAGCATTGTGATTGATAGTAACCGGCGCCTGTTAGGATATCAAAACATTATATGAGTACAAGCAGCCTCTACTAGATCATTTAAGGCAGGGGAAAAGAGTAAAACAATAATATTCTTCTTACATGATCAACATATTGCGAGAAATCATTCAATGCTAGTCGGGGAAATGCTGTTTCTATGACGCTTTGATTATCCACATTTTCAGGAAAGGCTTCTAGGAGACCTCTTATAGGCGTTTTAAGGTCCCGATTAATGAATGAGCTGGTAAAGGTTGCAGTTGAACTCGCTCGTTGTCGTCTGAAGTAACAGGGCACCTGATCAATTTCAATATTTGTCATGGACATTCCTAATGCTTTTTCTATCTGTTCCACCACATGGCTCACTTCACTAGTAGCAATATACCCTTCCAATACGTCACCCTCACTTAGAATGGGGAAACCGCCATCTTCAGCGTATCCCATAGCCCCTATAATGGCTAACTTATGTTTGAGTTTACTGATGGTGATAGGTTCATCAGCATTAATGATAGGGAGGTACTCTGTAACATCCATCAATGTCATAGTGTGAATATATTCGCGTCGAGATTCGAGGTATGGATATCCTTTAAGTTCGATTAAGAGATCATATATTCCTTCCACGAACATGGCGTCTGCAGTCCATTTGGCAACCTATAGCAACAACAGAAGTTTTGTCAATACTTTCTCTTTTAATGAAGTGAATGGTATGAATGATCTCTTTTTTTTTTCTATTTAATTCAATTACCATCACAGAAATCATAATAGGCTACAATACATAAAATTTGTGCAAAGATTATGGTTAATGGCAATCCTATCTGTATTGTTGAATAATAAATAATGATTCACTTACCAAAGCATATGTAAGAGAATATGTTAATTCAAACATAATAACAACCAATGATACTACAGTCAAACGTTTCAGGCGACAAAATAGGTAAGATTGTTTTCCAATAACCCATCGAATCAAGTATATGAAACCTACTCGTTGTCCTTGTGACTCCTGCTAAACCAGCAGCTGCCCCTACAATTGCATATACTCCAGGTATAATGCACTCTCCACGTGTTGCAAAATCCTCAGCGCATGCAGCAAACGGCCAAGCACTTGGGTACGTTAAAGTTAAATACTGCATGACGAGACCAATGATTCTGCCTGTAACAGCACCGATGATAAGGCTGGGTAAAAATATACCTCCAGGGACGGCGCAACCAAATGTAATCATGGTGAGCCCCATTTTGATAACAAGAGTTGTGATTAAAAGATATAAAAGACGGGGTATCTCCGCAACAGTTTGACTATAGAGTATGATCTATTGAGTAAGAGTCGAATTTCTTGTTGCAAAAGAAACAAATAAAAATGAAAATTACGCGCATAACCCATTGTTATCATCTGTTGGTGTGCATTCTGCGAACAGTTTTGCAGCAAATTCGCTTAATCCCATTCTAAATGATAGAGGAGATAAGTATACTTCCATACAACAACCCTTCTTTGTTGCTAAGCAGTGTGCGATTTACCTTGAAAATGGATTCCAAAAACTGATAGCAGCTGTAAAGATCATAATCAGTAGAACTTCTGTTATAGGATACTTCCCTATAACAGTTGATTTTCGTAAGTGCTGGTATTTAATGTTAAAGTACGTTACGAAGGCACCAAAAAACCCCTGGAAATGTTACGCACAGCTCGTGTTAGAATAGTGAACTTAAAATATTATGGATAAATAGTTGATGCTTACTGCAAAGGCTCCGCATATAATTAAAGGCACCAATTCGAATAAGTGGTAATCTTTGTCGTATGAAACCTGAAATAACACAATTTTTCCTGTACCAAAGGGGTCGGAAATCTGTCAAACGAATTGATAAACTCTTTAGCCTGTCTATTCGGATTACGGCTCTTGTTGCTTAGTTTCTTAACATACCTTCAGAACGATGGCAGCAACCATAGCACAACAATAACTTCTTATCATTGTCTTCATGGGAAAATAATAGCTCACTTCTTCCAAACTAAAAAGAACGCCTCCAATAGGAGCTCCAAATGCAACAGCAACACCTGCAGCTGAAGCAGCGGATAAAATTTCACGCCTTTTACCTACAGTTGTTCATATGCTTACATCAGAACAGCCGAAATTGTTCCATTATCAATCAACTTACTGAGATATACTTCATTTACTCTCATTTTTATTGTATTTTGGAAAAAGACGACACGCAATATTTCCTGCAGAACAAGCTAGATGAACAAACGGCCCTTCTTTGCCCGTGTTTAGCCCAGCAGAAGTAGAGAAAATCTGCCAAGAAAAAGAATATGTTAGTTAACACATATGTATATATTTGTTTAAGTTTTTTAGCTTATGGCAAAAAAAACGAAAAAAAAAACCATCCATTTCTCCTTATACATACCATTCCAACACTTTTGACAATCAATGTTTTGATACCCAAGAAACCTTTGATGACAAAACCTCCTAAAATGACCTTGACTTCTGGTATGCCAGATCCCGCACTATAATATGCTACTTTGGTCTCGTACTTTGGGGGCTCCAAAGGCTCGTCTTTGGTGCTAAGTAGTGAATCAATGGTATCATCTATCCGACTATTTTCGTACGGAATAGAAGCCATAGATGGTGATTTTGAGAATGCCATGGACGATGAGGTTGTCCGTACTCTCATCTTCTCACCAGTGTATTTAACCATTAATGCTGCAATTAGTGAAAATAATAGCTAAATTATCTGTGAGACATACGTTTTCACGCTCTACTACTGTACAACGAAGCAATAGCTGAATACGTACGCCGAATAAAGTGTACATTCCCATAGATGTGTAATAACTAACTGCTTCACTTTCGACGCCAAATACCTCTGGCCATGTTCTCCATGATTCACATGCGCCTTCTATATAATGATGTTATCGATCAGCTTATTAAGTATTACCGAAACCTTCAAAATTTTCTCACCTTCGGTTCCCCAGCAACAGAAATTGCTATTTAACCGCCAATTAGTTGTACAATATCCTTGCTTGAGATCAGACATCCACTCTTGGACGACATCTATAAACCATGCTATTGCTGCAACGACAGCGCCAATAATCGTAACTAAGATCCATGCCTGCGCTGCATCGCTTATTTTCAGTAGTCGACCTTTCAAACCAGACGTATCATGAAGTTTCCTTTTCCGCACTCCTTCTTTAATTCTATCGTGTATCCAATCTAATAGTTCCCAAAATGAAATTAAAAAAAATAAAATAAAAAAATGCAGCCTCTTAATGACATTGCTCAAATCGACGATACAATTTCTAGCTTACTTTATTACTTTAATTTCTAAGCTTATATTACCTATCGTTGAATAAGACTCACTCCAGACTCTTAGACCAGTATTTTCTTTGATTAGGTCGTGTCCATCTTCATCATAAGAGCCTGTTCGTTTGTTAAAAATTCTGAATCTACTGTGTAATGTATTCTCATTATGCGAATTGAAATTTGTTGTACTAGAGAACAAGACACTGGGCTCTCTATAAGGTGAAGGCATAAGTAGAGATGCATCGTCATTGAGACTATTAATACTGGTGTATGTATTGTTTTCCCGTAATTGTGCTCGTCTATCTAATAACGAGGATCTTTCGCTTTGATTGGCATTGCTGTTACTCATTTGTAATATAAGATATGGCCTCACTTCAAATGAGATAATCTGATGTCTCTCAAATGAACAATAATAATTTGATTCAAAAAATTAATTTATATGTAGAAAAAAAAGAAAGGTTCAAGAAAAAAAGGGAAAGGAAGTTATAGAAACAATTGTTCGCTTGATTATCTTTAAGTTGTCACGGGGCAACCAGTAGGTTACTGGCAAGCACATTTAAATGATATAAGTGCTCATTTTAAACACAGCAGAAAGTTCACAATAAAGAGATAATGGATCAAGTGTAACCCAAGCTTCACTATTCAGAATAGGAAAATTTATAAAAACCTGCACCCCTTTTTTTTATTATTTTCGAACCCATCAACTTCTTTGCACCTATTGTTTCACGACGTCTGTGCGAGTAAGAATCATCGTCATTATTTGCAAAATCAGTGAGAAACTGTTCTAATACCAACTTGACTGATCTATTGTTGTGTTTACGTGAGGATCCTTAACCCCTGGAAACTGTGAGACAATTTATATGATAAAGCATTTTAAACGCTCAAATACGCGTTATTGCATCCGTTTTTATGACTGTTACACTCAGAAGCATGTTGACAAATTATGTGAAAAAAAAAAAGTTTCATCACCAATTCCAAAAATTTGGTTTTGGATACTGACAAATGCTAGCACTGAGTTGATTACATCACCATAGGAACCTACTTGTTTCATGATCTCAACATCGAACATTATCGAACTTAGATGTTTGAAACATGGGGTAATAGACGTCAGCCGTCCTTCCAATATTTACACTCTATTAAAGCGTTCTGTTCAATTAAGATACATTTTTATATTGCACTACTTCGCACTAATTATGTGTAGATAAGTAAGAAATGGTGGAGCAAATGAAGCGGGAGCGTAATAGCTATATGAACCACATTATATTTGATCAATCACTGAGTTTTCTTAGAGTTTCAGTCTTACAAAAACATCACCTTAGTTATCCCCATTTTATATTACTGAGTTACGCGATAGATCATATTTCAACCGTCTCTGCAGGACTACATATAGCCGAAGTCTATTAGATTTCGCTGTCTGGAATTCTATGGTAAATTTAAAGAAAAGAACGATAGTTATAAATGAAAGCGGCAACTCCCGATGCAAAGTGATCAAATAAAAAGAAAACATAGGCCAAGATGAAGGCTGTTGTCTATTTCTGAATCAATATCATTTGTAAAAAGTATCGGCAAAACTATAATTTTATGGACCTGCTGCGGAATGCACTCGCATGTCCTTAGAAGACTTAGACCAAAAACCAGCTGCGGGAGGTATAAAGTCCTGTATATGGATCAATTTTTACTGTATTACAGGCATCCAACAAATTTAATCGTACAGGAAGTTTTCGGGGTTTAGGAAATGACAGGCCGCAGCAAACCGCTCTTAACCGTTTTTGTACATGATCTTGATCTACCGTTTCAACCCAAAAGAAAGTAAAAAGAACAGTTACAAAAAAAAAGTTTGCTAGAGCCTTTTCCTTTCACTTCATTGCCTTATCAATTGATGGACCGTCTTGATATAAGTGCCCTTTTATCAGGCATTTTAGCGCTTATCATTTGTTCAAGTGCTGTGATTTTGGCAGTACAACGTTCACATTTACATAGATCGCAATCAACAGATTCAGCACCTCTCCGGTTCGATCACAAACGAGATCTATCAGCTCCTCACAATGACGATACCCATCGCTTGACGCGAATTACTTTTGGCACCATAATACTCTCCGCTTTAGCCGCTCTAACGTTTTATAAAGTTGTTAACAGTCAAGAACCGAGCAATTGGACTGTTATTGCTGTTGCTTGTACTCAATTTATCGCTTGGTTGTATACAACTGTTTTAGTCCTAGTGTCACGGCGCTATTGTCTCCCGAATGACTGGGGTTGGACTTTAAATGTTCATCTGTTTATAATCTATATTGTCTTCTGGTCTATTGCGGCGCAAGACTTATACGAAGCTTATGTCAATAGTCCGTCAGAATCATGGATCCATATGCTTCCAAATATTTTGTCCGTTTTGATTGGAACTGATCTCGTTTATACAACCGCTACAACAGAACGTGGTCCACCTTTCGTCGATGACGCGGGGAAGCAAGTGGCTGGTATTAATGTTGCATCTATTTTTTCGTATTTTTATTATCAATGGGTCACACCTTTGATCGACTTAGCCTATAAGAAAAAATCGTTAAATGACGATGATTTGCCTACGCTTCCTCCAGAGTTCCGTGGTCATAACTTGTATTATATCTTCGGCGCAACAAGAGGCAAAAGTCTGATGAAACGCATTATATTAGTCAAGAAAAATGCTTTTATCATTCAGTTCATTTTGGCTATTTTTACTTCATTGGCATATTATGCTCCTGCATTTTTCGTCAATCAATTATTACAATTGATTGAGAAAATGAACGGCGTGAAAGACAGCGAATCTCTTAGGAAAGGCTTTGTCATTGTAGCTTTCTTAGGAATTACTATCTTTACTTTGGGTTTAATGGTTGGACAACTGTGGTACTATGGTAAGACATGAAATTATGCTCCTTACAATCGTTTATCCTTATTGAAGCTTCTGTTATATGATCAAAGCCTCTTCATGTGTAGAGGTGCCTATTAGGGCTATGTTGAACATCGAAATTTATCGTAAAACATTACGCCGCAGAGATCTGGCCGTAGAATCGCCCAAGGTAGAAGAGGATGGGAAAGATGACAAGAAAAATGAAAACAAAGAAGAGCAGTCTGTTCAGAATAAAGACGATGTCAGCTCAACAACGGGTACTATCGTAAACTTGATGAGTACAGATTCGAAACGTGTGTCAGAATTCAGTGTTTGGTGGTTTTCTCTAATAGCTGCTCCCACCGAATTGACGGTTGGTATCTACTATTTGTACAAATTACTTGGTAAATCCTGCTTTTTGGGTTTATTGGTGATGATTATTGTTTTGCCCTTAAATCATTACAATGCAAAGATGTTTGCACGAACTCAAGACAAATTAATGGAAGCTCGCGATAAACGTATTGCGCTGATGAATGAAGTTTTGCAAGGCATCCGCCAAATTAAGTTTTTTGCTTGGGAGAACAATTGGGAGAAACGGATCATGGAAGCTAGAAAACTCGAATTACATCATATTGGCATTACTTATCTCTCAGAAGTTTTGTTTACTTTCTTGTGGCAAGGCTCACCTATTCTCGTCACTCTGATTTCCTTCTGGTCGTTCACCAAGATTGAAGGACGTGATTTGACCGCACCCATCGCCTTCACAGCCATTACTGTTTTCAATGAATTAAGATTCGCATTGAATGTATTGCCTGAATGCATGATCTGGGGTTATCAAGCATTGATTAGTGTTAGACGTATTGAAACTTACCTTACTGAGGTCGAAATTGATCCTCCTAATCCTGAAGATAATATGCTCCGACAGAGCAACAGCAGTGATTCAATCACCATCGCTTTCGAAAACGCTACAGTAGGCTGGAGTAAAGAAAGCTATTCTGATGACCCAACAGTTAACAATGCCACCATGTCCAGTAGTTTCGTTTTGAAAGATTTGAATATTGAATTCCCCAATGGACAGCTCAGTTTGATCAGTGGATCAACTGGTTCGGGGAAGACATTGCTGATGCTAAGTTTGTTGGGTGAAGCTATCATTATTGAAGGAAAAGTTCGCTGTCCTCGTCAACCTATCACAGATACAGTTTATGAAGATTTTGATACGCTAAAAGATGTGGACTCTAAAAATTGGCTACTGCCGTATGCTGTTGCGTATGTGTCACAAGTTGCTTGGCTACAAAATGCGTCCATTCGCGACAATATCCTGTTTGGACTGCCTTACATCGAATCTCGTTACAAACAAACAATCTACGCTTGTGCGTTGAATAAGGATCTATCAATTTTAGAAGATGGGGATTTAACGGAAATTGGCGAAAAAGGTATCACATTATCTGGTGGTCAAAAAGCTCGTGTGTCATTAGCCCGTGCGGTCTACTCTCGGGCCCAGAACGTGCTTATGGATGATGTTTTGAGTGCGGTTGATGGTAAGTTTAAAAAAATGCTATTGCCTATGGTTAAGTTTCCTTGAAATAACCTTTGGTTCAACATCTCTAAAGCGCATACTGCCAAACATTTGTATGAGAAATGCTTGCTGGGTCCCTTAATGAAAGACCGTACGCGTATCTTGATCACTCACCATGTGAGTCTTTGCTTGAAGGGTTGCAGTTATATTGTTCATATTGATAATGGACGTGCCAGTTTCGTTGGAGCCCCTAATGTCTTACAACGCTCTGAAGGCTTTGCCTCTATTGTTGATGAAAATGAAGAAGATACTATAGAAGAAGAGGAATCTGCAGCAGAAGAACAGAGTGTGGAAGGAACATTAGCCTTAGATTCCAACGAAGCAAATCTAAGTGATAACGCAACTAAAAAGCCACGTGCGTTGATTGAAGATGAGACAAAAGCTACTGGTATGGTCAAATTGCGTCTTTATAGTATGTACATACGTATGGTGGGTAGCCCAATCTTCTGGTTTATTATGGCAGCATTAGTGTTGGGTTCTCGTGGCTTAGACATTACTGAAAGCTGGTGGATCAAAAAGTGGTCCAACTCTTACACAAGTCAAGTAGCCGATAATGATCTGGCTAGCTTCCAACAGCATCAAACGATCGTTCCCTCCACCAAACCCATGTATGCCTTTCCGATGATAATATCTTCCACTTCTGACACGCTCAACAACAGTGATATTGTCACTGAATCGAGTACTATAATATCTACTACAGCGTCCGTTGATTTGAACTATTATCTCAGTATTTATTGTTTGATTACTCTCAGCAATATCATCGTTGGTAGTGCTCGTTTTGCAGTGCTCTTTTGGGGTGTTCTGGCCGCGAATAGATCACTTTATGCAGAGCTTTTGCACCGCGTGTTTCGTGCACCCCTCAGGTTTTTTGATACCACACCTGTTGGCCGTATCCTTAACCGTTTCTCCAAGGACTTCGAAACCATCGACTCAAGTATACCCAATGATCTCATGAATTTTGTCATTCAATGGGTTATTATCATTTCCAGTATGTTTACTGTCGGCTCCGTCTTACCCATTTTCCTACTTCCTATGGTGGTTGTAGCTGCTGTCAATATTTGGTTGGGTGTTAAGTTTGTATCAGCATCCCGTGAACTCAAACGTATGGATTCAGTTACTCGTTCACCCCTATTCAGCAATTTCACCGAAACAATCATTGGTATTTCTACAATTCGCGCCTACGGTGCAACACGTAGATTTTTACGTGAAATGTTGGGTTACATTGATATCAATGCCCGGCCTTATTATTACGCATGGATTGTAAATCGTTGGATCAGTATTCGATATGCATTTACTGGTGCTGTGATAAACTGCTTTACATGTACTATCATCCTATTGAGTGTCAGTGAAACGATGAATGCTTCCCTTGCTGGATTCTGTCTTAGCTTTGTATTACTTTTTACAGATCAGGTAAGTTGAGAATATTAAACGAATGACCGGCAGAGAGAACGCATGGGTTAATGAATGTCTGTATAATAGATGTTCTGGGGTATCCGTCGTTATACTAGTCTTGAGATGAGTTTCAACGCAGTTGAACGAGTCGTCGAGTTCATGGAGATGGATCAAGAAGCACCGTCTATTACTGAATTAAGACCACCCGCCGAAGTAAGTTTAATAATGTGTGATGTGTCCTCTCAATTATTGGGTTTATTGAATTTCATATTCATAACTTTTAGTGGCCGAGTAAAGGTGCAGTCGAAGTAAAGGATTTAGAGGTCAGATATGCTGCTGATCTGGAGCCAGTTTTGAGAGGCATTTCATTCAATATCAAACCGCAAGAAAAAGTTGGTGTTGTTGGTAGAACCGGCAGCGGTAAATCAACTCTTGCTTTGTCCTTCTTCAGGTTTGTAGAAGCTTCACGAGGATCAATAACTATTGACGGTATCAATATCAAAGATCTTGGAACAGAAGATCTACGATCCAATTTGACTATTATCCCTCAGGATCCAACCTTATTCTCGGGTTCACTACGTTCCAATTTGGATCCATTTGATCAATTTTCAGATGAAGAAATTTTCGTAGCGCTACGACGTGTACATTTATTACCTACCAAAATGGCTACTGTTGCCTCTGAAACAGCAGACGCATCAGAACCTTCAGTCGATACCCTTGTTTCTGATTCAACCTTGGATGAAGTTAATGTTAATGTCTTCCAGGATTTAAGTACAGCTGTAACAGAAGGTGGTAAGAACTTCTCCCAAGGTCAAAGGCAATTGCTTTGTTTAGCTCGTGCTATTTTGAAACGTAGCCGTATTGTTATTATGGATGAAGCCACAGCCAGCGTAGATTTTGATACGGATAAAGCGATTCAGAAAACCATATCTACAGAGTTTGCGTCTGCTACCATTTTGTGTATTGCTCATCGTCTACATACTGTAATTGAATACGACCGTATATTAGTGCTGGACAAAGGAGAGATCGTCGAATTCGACAACCCGTTGACCTTGTTAGAAAACTCAGAATCTGCATTCTATAAGATGTGCCGTAACTCTGGAGAATTTGAAAGTTTACTCGCCTTGTGTAAAGTCAAACATGAATTAGTCGATGTATCTAGCTCTTAAAAGTAAAACTATTTGTTTATAGTAGTAATCTAATTCCCAATATTATCGAAGCGTTAATAACTTTGAGATAAAAATTATACATACGTTTATTAAAGGCACTATATGGAGTACAATTGTTACAAACTGCCCAGAATAAGATATTGGCATGAAAACGCTAAGTAATTATTCAGTATTTTCGAAATGAGCTGTTTCATAGTTTATAGTCTTCATTCTACAGTTTCAATAAGGTGGATAGCCATTAGCTGTCGGTGGTCGGAAGCCGGCTGGTAGAGGCATAGGCATACCATTCATGGGCGGATGAGGATGATGTTGTGGAGGATAGAATCCCTGCTGTTGAAGTGGCTGAGGGGCTAATGGTAACTGTGGGTAAGAGTGATGTTGCTGCATTGACGGGCCCTGAAAGCCTCCTGGATTAATAGGTGGTTGTGGTGGATAACCCGCTACAGCGGCGGGAGGATAAGATTGTCTTACTGCGTAGAAATATCAGTGTTATAAACATGCTTTCCATAAAAAACTCTAAATTTTGTGAAAAATAGACACTTACGATTTGCTGGCCTTGCAGCAAGAGATGGTACTGGATTATATGGTGCTGATAATAATGGCTGAGGAGCAGAAGTCATTGGAGAGACTATTTGAGCAGTACCGGCGGATGGATGATGTTGTTGTTGAATGGGTGGTTGCGGTAGAGGCCGTTGCTGATGCGTCGGTGGTGGTCTGTGCTGTTGCTGTTGCGAATGAGGAAGTGGGCGCATTTGATTGGGTGCTGTATGTCTAATACTATTATATTGTGATAATGGCCTTTGCATAGGCTGTTGCTGAGGTATATGTGGTAGCCCTGCTTGATGATGTTCAATAGGTCGCGGTGGAAGAGGCGCATGCTGAAGTTGATGCTGTAGTGGAGGATACACATGTTGAGAAGAATACGCATGCTGAGGAGGATACTGTGGTCTACTACTAGGTGGATAATTTGCTGGTTGTTGATATCTCACCTGCTGCTGAGGCCTTGAAGCATTCACCTATGGTGATTGGTCAGAACGTACGATTACGATAGAATAAAAAGGTCATATTACTTACAGCAGAATAGAAGGTCAATTCTAAATATATCACGCCTGCACCTGGTTTTCCCCGGAAACTCAGTGGGAAGTATCCATCATGCTCTTTCTCTTTGAGCACTTTACGTAAATCAACCAACCCTTCTGCCATCAAATTGCTGGGACTGGTAGTTTTATCAAAAAGTTGAATGTGAAGTTCATGCTGCCCAATTGATATAGGAATATTTACCTAGAGCATCATGTCAGTAAGTATAGTCAACGTAGTCAATCAGCAAATGTTATACCTGATCGTCCCATATAGGGTATAATCCCCCTCCATAATCGGTTTTTGTTCGTTTTATTATATCGCCAACTCTAAAGACACAAAATGGATCTTGTTTTTTTGCTGCCTAACATGCGAGAACTTAAACACTTAATACATGTAAGACTTTCTTCGGTAAAATCAAGATAAGTTTCTTACTCTGTGCTGCAGCTTTTCCTAAAGTGTAAGAAAAGCCATAAATATGTGACAATACAAATTGTAAAATTGGTCAGCTAAACTTACAGCTTTCAGCGCAACAACGACTAATTCACCTGCAATAGGTGGCGATGGATGTGACATTCAACTTTCGTAAATGTAGAAAGAGTTTTAACGAACAAGGAAATAGAAACAAAAAGGAATTAGATTCTATGAAACTGAAAGAATTTCTTAACTTTATCGAGAAATAAAGTTTTCTCCGCCTGGGGCTTCATTTTGTTTGTTTGTGAACGGCTCAGTATCTGATCAATTTTTACTTCAGTTAGATGAACATGCAATTGATTAGTCAGCGGTCAGATAATGACACGAAACATTGTCGAAGCATAAGTTGATATTATATTTTGTAGCAGCAACGAATATTGTGGTCAACACTTTTGCTGTTGATCATGTTGAATTCTGATCGCGGTAAAAGTACTCCGATAAAAGCAAATGTATGGTAAGACTAATAATTATATACAGTTTATTAACTTTAGATTTGGTCAACACACACAAAATTTTTAGACGATAAGGAAATTAAGTTTAAGCGGATGTAAGATAATAGTAGACCGTTAAGAAATGTTAGACAGTTTGCACAATACTAGAAAGTATAAGGTTTTGTTCTTTTTACCTGTAAAAATCAAACTGGATTCGTTCCAGCGATGTTGAAGGTAGGGGGAGTCTTATATTTCTAGTCGCGTAAACTCTTTCGGTCTTCCCAACTTCTTCCAAATGGTACTACTGATCTTCATCATATTCTTGGCAGCATTGACGTCTCGATTCCACAGTATATGGCATGTCTTACAAACAAGTATACTGCAGGTCTTAACGCCTTTCAACCTCTCCAAAGTATCGTTCGAACAGCACGAGCATATTCTCGACGTCTTGTATTCATCAATTTCAAGTACTACCAAGTCTCCGCTTGCTTCACGTCGCTTGAGTGCACGCCACAAAACACCCACCGCTCCACATCGGTGACCCTTGAATGCGACATTGTCTTTAGCGAACATACCATTGCCAAATACAATGAGAGGCACTTTTTTGACATCACCGATATTGAAGGGTTGGGGCCTCCATTTGGCATTTGATGCACTATTACAAAAAACATGTTACTTTCTATAAGTTGTTGATGATGATTGCTTATGAACTTTACCTATCTTTCTTCTCCAATTCCACTTTAACTTTTGATGTCCCTTCTTCTATACTCTTTTTCTCTGGTGCTCCCTTCTTCTTCTTTTTTCGTCTTTTCTGAGAAGCCGCCTTGCCATTGTTCTTCTTCTTTGAACCCTTCTTTTCTTTTTCTTCTCTCTTCTTCAATCTGAGATCCTCGTTATACTTTGTACTGCCATTAACTAGCATATTTACCATTTTGTCTGCTGCACGTTTCCGTCCTTGGTATAAATGAAATCGATCTTTGGCAGTGTCATCACCGTAGAAAGAAAACAAGACTTCCAAGTGCTGTAGGATGTATGCTGCATAACAGTGATATTGGGCTTTGGAGCCTGTCTTGACAGTTGGCATATCACTTTCGATGCCCTTGATTTTGTCTGCTTTCTTCTGTTCCAGCCTTGCTGAATACCTGGTGCTACCAGTTATGTGATAGTACTCTTTGGTAGAGCATCTTCGCACTTGGTGCTTTTCATCATCCAGCCCGATCGCTGCTGTGAAGACGTCTTTTCTCCCGGGATCAATGAAGCAGGGCCTGTAACCAGCTTCGACTTCGGCATAATCAAAATCTTCCAAAGTCAACCGATGGTCTTCGATGGTCTTCTCTTCTTTTGCTTTCCCTTTCTTACTGAAAAGAAAATCGACAGTGAAGCCATCCGAGCGGACGATATTACGGAATAGGGTCTCTTGGCTTGTCCTAAGGTCATTTAAACTATTGTCACAAAAAATGAAATTCAGTAAATACCAATGACAACATTTCTGCCAAATTTTTTTTTTCTTTTTTTACCTATCAAATCCCATCTTCTTAAAGCTGAACACTTGATAAAACTTTTCGAGTTGATTTGTATAGCCTTTCGGAGGTGTACCGGGAAACATGAATGGGAGGAGCGAGTTGATGCTTATGGAGATGAAACGCCAATGGAGCGAAGGTAGGGGGAAAGGGAAGAAGCGCTTGGGTAACGGTAATCTACGGACATCGTAAGCTGCATGTTCGTCATGTTCCTTTTCATACGAGGATAGGATGTGCCATAATGCTTTGGTAAACTTGGCGGGATCGGATGATAAGGAAAGCAGCGTAACCTTTTCCGTTATAAGTTTCTCAAAGCTTTTGCATAGCATCTCTATCTTGCTTTTGTCTTCTTTACTAAGCATGATTCTATCAGGCCAGTTGGGTTCGCCTTTGCAAATTACTTGGTAGCAGTATGCTTTTGATATTTCCACTGCGTCGGCCTTCTTCATGCTCTGATTATAATAAAGCAAATACAAATGGTTAGAAACTAAGAAATCGAAATTATAGTAGTGATAACAATACGAACAACAAACATGTTTTGCAGCTTATAGGTTAGATATTTAAGCACTCGTTGTTCAAAAAGCTCAACAATAGAGTTAGTATACGAAACGCTTATATCCTTGGCGGCTTCTGTGAGACAGTGGCTGTAACCTTTAGTGAAGCTCTGACTGATTACTATTGTCGGATGCTTTTCCTTAAAGTCATCAAAGTAATTTTTGATGTCGTCGTTCAGCGCCTTCTTGTGAGTAACCTTTTTGCCCGTAACGAGTTGTCCAACAGAATACCAAAATTGCTGTGTGAAGACTTCTGAAGGAATGGCATTCTTATTATGCACGAGATAGGCATTAACAAATAGCTGGCAGCGAAACACTATAGCTCTGATGTCCTTGCAGCAGGAGATGACCTTTTCCTTGAACTTTTCACGAAACTGTGGTAAAACGGCACTGTCGATAGGAAGCTTCCTCGCAAAAACAGTAGAATCATGGCCAAGGACAGATGAAATGGCCTCGTCCTTTGATTGTATGTGATTAGGACAAAGAGGCGAACGAGGAGAAGCATGGTCGTCATTCCCACAACTGGAACACTCTACAGCCTGTGATGCTGTTCTCTTCTTTTTCACTGCTTTCTTCTCTGCTTTAACACTGGCGCTCTGTTTTCTCTTCTTATTGCGAGTCCCAACTATATGTGGAAGAGATGGTCTATTACTTGGCTTGTGTGGCTAAAGGCAGGTCGAGGCTCAACTTACCATCATCGGCGGATATAGCTTTATGGTACTTGCATCCTGGGTAATTTTTATTAAAGTGACCCAAATCATTACAGTCCTTACATTTGGTATGCTCTGAAAGTGTACAATAAGGTTACTAATGTCTCAAACTACACACTGTATAGTGATATGCCATTACCGGACGGATTTTCCTTCTTGGTATGATTTTCTTTCACTGAATTGATTTTATCTATGATGATTGTCTTGTACATGTGTGTAGAAAATAACGTTGGTTTGAAGGTAATGAAGTGAAAGAAAAGAAGAAGAGAAGAAAATAATTGAAAAAGGTGAAAGATAAGAATGATCACTAAATTTTGGCAACATAACATTTCGTTTAACAACATTTATAATAACAGTATGATTTACGCGTTTAATGTCACATTTAAAAATACACAGATATTGAAAAATTTGATCCGATACGTTTAAAGAGAGGTTTTTATTGACAAAATAATTTCTTTAAAACACAGTGGGCACCATGTTATATAAAATTGCCCGGGGCAGATCCGACTGTTTATAAAAGTATCTAAAAAGCCCTTTAAGATCAAGGGTAAAAACGAGTTTGTCACAAGGTTGAGTGATTAGAAGGAGACATCCATTGGAGCAGTAAAGATCCTAGAGCAACATTCAAGGGTGGGGGTTCTTTGACGTGGATTAGGTAGTCTAGCTCATATAGTATGTAGCAGAGGATCGGCCATTGGTGTTCCCATTGACGTTTTATCGTAGGTTGGCTAGGCGGATGGTTAGGTAGCTGATTTAGAAGATACGAAATGGGATCATCTATTTGCTGTGGTTGCTGCAAACGCGAGTGCATATTCAGGCATTGGATTTGAGTGTGTCTTTGTTAACAATGCTGAAGGGTGCCGGATGCAGTATCAGTCTTTTAGGTTTCATAAGAGACGATTTCGAAAATTTTGTGGACGAAGTCGGTACCATAATTGGGACGTTTCTTTTTTTTAGTGGACTATAGACTTTTGGATTTTAGACGAAGTAGGATTTTATTGTAGATCTTTTTACATTTTAGGCGTCAATATTAATTCTGAAAGCATATGTGAAAATAACATTATCGTTCATCGTAGCCCTACTTCCTTCTGTAAACATCTCTCCCAGAAACTCTCAGCGTGCCTTACCCATCCAAGACAATCATCGGGCGTAACTGTTTTGATTGCTTCGCTGATACGTGGAGAGAGCTCATCACCTTTTTGAAGAGGATTCCTTCTGATGCCTGTTTTGATTTTTGCCCAGCATTCTTCAGTTGGGTTCAAAAATGGTGAGTAAGGGGTCATGAATAGCGGATTGTAGCCGCGTTTGTTGATAGTATCGACAACGAATTGCGCATGGTGGATCCTGCAATTATCCATTACGATAAAATAGCCTTTCATGTCCAGTCTGTCCAACGTATCCATTACAACTTCCATGAATTTCACGTAATGATAAGCAGTGGTTCCTTTAATTGGCTTTTTTGGAAGTTCTTGAGTGTCAGCCTTTCTCTTCTTTGAACTGAACTGTGGTTGATATTGCTGTTCGACCTTAATAGCATCACTTATGCTCAAAGGCTGCTCCTTCGAAAAATCAATGATGCCGCGAGCGCAGATACAGCCAATTAAACTAAGGTTTGCTCCTTTTTGAGTCATGACTTTAACAGTAGCATAAGTACCACGCTTAGACCACGCACGGCTTCTCATTAGTTGCGTATTGATGCCTGCTTCATCCACAAAATCACAATTTTCTTGAAAGTCAACACCAGCAGCTTTCCATTGACTAACAATACTAAAACGAAGTTCGATTGTCCTAGGCGCATCTCTTTCTGAAGTATACTTGTTTGCTCTTTTTAAAGATAGTGAACACTTAGTGGTCATATGCTCCCGGAGACTGGGTATCGAGATACTCAAACCTTCAAATTTGGCACAGAGCTCCTGTCTTGCAGCTTCAATTGTTGTCGAAGGTCTCGCATTAAATAATGCTATAAGAAACTCAGTATGTTCTGCAAAAAGCTTCTTTGGTCGAGCGATGCCGGTTCTTGGCTTGCTACCAGGAAGGACTGTACCATCACTAGCATTCCACTGATCTAAAAACTTATAAGCGGTGGACCTCGGGATGCCACACTCAACCGCAGCTTTGGAAACTGTAAGCCCAGCCTCTTGGATTAAGTGAATCAACCGTCTAATGCTGTGCTCACTATATTGCTTGCGATTCTTGGACTTATCCGTTAATGCGACAGTGCTGAATTCTGTTGTTATTATTCAACAGTTTCTTCCATTTTCGCATCATCGACTACAGGGCACCGCTGCATTTCATTATAGTCGACGATCTTCTCAATTTGCCCAAAAGTAACAGCAATTTCATCCAAGTCCATAGCAAAAGTATTTTCGGAAAGCATAGGCTCACTTGCAGGATTATAATTTATGTAATCCATGTTGCAGGGATGTGTTTATTTTAAAGCAAAAGAAATCTACTCAAAATATTTCGTCTACCATAAAAGCCCAGTTCGTCTAAAATCAAAAATCTATAATCCACTAAAAAAAAAGAAACGTTCCAACTAAGGTACCGACTTCGTCCACAAAATTTTCGAAATCGTCTCTTATGGAACCTAAAATATTGTAATTCATGATCCCTCTTACAGTTGAATCTTTGTACTGTTCTCTATGCCGCATTAGATCAAGTCTGTGGACGGGTCACCCAACCACATGTCATAAACTTGGAATCCTTCTGGACCGTCGAAACGCAACAAACGTTTGATCAAAGAGAATACTACTATCGGAAATGGCGCCGGGCTACTGGACTGAACAAACTTGACTACTGGATCAAACATCAGCAAGCCAAGGCCAAACTTCGTCGTCTCTATCGAAGTCGTCGACAGGAAACATGGCAACAGTTCTGTTATCAGATGAGTCATGAAGAGTATACCAAAGCAATTGCACGTTTTAGTAAAATCCGTAAGAAGCGAAATCTATCCCCTTCGTTCTCTACCCCAGAAGGTCCACAAGCTGCAGCTGATCTCATGGCGTCTCATATGCAAGGCACGTATTCGGGTCAATACCCTCCATCACCGTATCAACGCGAATTACCACCAGTTGACCCCACGCAAGCGTTCACTTTAAACGAGTTCTTCATATCTGAGGATACCATTGTGGATGCGATCAAAAGCCTCCCCCGTAAGAAAGCTCCCGGGGTGGATGATATCAAAATCGAAATGCTGCAACCAGTCAGCGACCGAATAGCACCCTTTCTATTAAATCTCTTCCAATTAACCTGGAAATGGTCCTATACGCCTAAGTCATGGCGCATTGCCCAAACAATTCCGATTTATAAGAAAGGCCCCCCAACAGATCCAGGTAACTACCGTCCAATTAGTCTTACATCTATTTTTCGCAAAATTTTAGAGCGATGCATCCAAAATTACCTTTTGGCCAATAGTCCCCCACTCGATATTGCGCACGGTGGATTCCGTATTGCCCGTAGCTCCTTAGACCAAGCTCTTTGTTTAGCAGAAATCTGCAATATTTTGAAACGCCAGCACAAGATCGAACCAGTTCTAGCTTTCCTCGATATCAAATCAGCGTACGATACGGTTGACCGTAACGTCATATGGACAGTGCTTCGTCCCCATATTCCAGAACCGCTCCTTGCCCTACTTCAAAACATGTTTGACGATGTCAGCATTGAAGTCCTCCAGAACAATGCCAAGTCAGAACCTTTCAGTCCTACTACTGGTGTTCTTCAAGGATCCATACTATCCCCTATACTCTATTCATATTACATTAACGAACTACTTTCACTGCTCCGTCCAAGCCCACTGGATCTTTCCTTGCCTGTTCCGGAATTGATTCTTAATATCAACTGTTTACTATATGCCGACGATGTCGTCTTGATTACTGATAAAGATCATCTTCGGACCCTGTTGCAACAATGTGAAGCTCATAGTCTTCGGCTAGGTTATCGTTGGCATCCGAATAAATGTGTTATCCTAGACAGATCAACGCACCCTATAGATTACCAGCTTTATGGAGTTCCTCTACAACGTCAGCTCACTTTTCCGTATCTAGGGATACCTTTTCAACCAGGTGGTAGTATAGATATAAATGAACTAGCACGTACTAACACTTTTAAGGCCCTTACTACGATGAATCAATTAGCAGCAATCGGTGTCAATCCTGGTGGATTCGAAAAACTGCTCTCACTACGGTTATATGCCCAATTAGTCCGCGCAAAGATGGAATACGGACTGGCCATTAGCCCCCTAACTGCGAAGCAATATAAACAATTCGAAGATACCCAGAACAAGTGTATTCGACGAATCTTTGGTGGATCCAGTAGATCGTCTGCCCGACTTATGCTCCACCTTGCCAATCTGCCCACCATGAAAGAACGCTCCTTCGTCCTACAAGCTAAGTTCCTATTACGTTCTACCTCACTGCCTACTGATACTTTAATCTCGATACTACTCCCATATATAGGCCAGCAACAAAGTAAATCGTTATATTGCAAGCTTGCTCGTTCTCCGATCTGGCAAGACTACACTTCTTCTCCGCTCAATCAACGATCTGAATCAGCTGCTCTGAGACGCTGTATTGCTAACTTCCGTACTAGCCTCCTTCACATCCAACAATCGAACAGCCCTAACTCCAAACTGATCTCTCAATGCCATTCTCGATTAATGATCGATCCGATCCTTTATATTCCAATGTCAACTAATGAACGCAGCCGATGTATCCGATGGCGTTTGGGTTGGCTTCCTGGAGGCCACCGAACCTATTGCCTTAAACATCCCTCGTCATTACTTACAAAGTTCCACGCTATCTCCTGTTTAAACATGCACCACCGCCACGACTCCCCACATCAGTCTGTGATCCCATATCCGATGTCCTTAACCGTCTTCCCACACATCCGATCTACAACCCATCCGAAATACAAAACTGGCATTTCCTATGGCCAGCACTTTGTCACATTTTGTTTGAACTCGACTACTTACACCACTCTCAAGAGCCGCCTACAACTCCTCGGTTAGGGCACCTATTGCTCGACTGGTTACCCTCTTCCCCTCCCACAATCCTTTAGTACATAATCCTTTTTACCCTTGAGCCCTAAGGGGTTTTTAGTTTCTTTTAAGCCTTTGGAGCTGCCCCGGGCAATTTAGATAAGCTTAATATCTCGTGTCCATTGGGCTTTAAAAAACTAATATTATGTAATAAAATCTCTGTTTAAACGTAATACATAATTTTATCCTTGACATCGACTTCATTATTCTCTATTTCTTCTGTGCTGTCCAGAATGCACAATCGTATACGTAATTCAGCATGCCATCAGGGTTTGATGTGTACGTGGTTGAGATCATCTTTTCCTTTTCGAACTCAAATCCGATATCCTGAGCTACTTTCTTTACTGACTCCAGGCTCAATTCGATTGACGAGTCACCAGAGCTGGAATCTTCAAAATGATAAAGTAGAGGTCCTAGCCACAATAAACAATATTAATATATCGAACTCTCGTCCAAATTTGTATACTAGCGACGATTCATTTCCCTCGTCGTTTCTTTCAGAAGATCATTTACCTATATTGATCCACTTGCCATTGGGTTTTAAAGCTTTATGTATGACTTCCATGTATTCAATGATATTCTTTGCTGTGTCCATAAAAAAGCATGTCACAATGACGTCCCACGCTCCAATGTTGCTGTCCTGTATATAGATCTCTGTAAAATCGCCTGCCACCATTGAAAAGTCGACAGTAGAGGGTAAATCGGCAGGCACAACATCAGGTATCTTAATGGGTGTTAATTGTTTTTGATCCGACTTGATGTTGGAAAATGAGTGGATGAAAGGATATATTTCATATTGCTCTTGTTCTCTCACTCTTCAAGCGTATAGAAAGAATAGGGGTCAGTGGGTATTAAGTACAAAATACGTAATCGATCACTTTCTGTTACCTATTTAAAATGAAGTGTGATGCGAACAACTGCCATAGTGAATATTAGCAAATGCATAGTTAATAAAACTCGTGTACTGTTTTTTAAATTACCATGAAGTAAGAAAATTCATTGCCTAAATTAACATCAATAGGAATGGGTTTAGGTACTCTGATTAATGCTTGTATGATGAGTTGTAAGATTGGTTACCTTGGCAGCTAAAGCCTGATCTTGCAATATCAAAAGCCAATCTGCCCAAGCCTGCTCCTGGTACTAAAACACGAACATCACCTCTATTCAATCATTATTAGTACGAAACTCCATTTTTGTTTTCCACTTTTTCACAATTATACCTTTTCTCCGTTGGAAGATCTTTATACAGTGTATTCAATTCTTCAATGATAGGATCATAGGTTGCTTTACGTTCAGCTTCTCCCTAATTTGTACATAGAAAGGCTTAAAACCTTTGTTCTGACCCACATAATTTGTGATGCGTACTGTTTCCATCTTACTATTTTTGCCCAGTCTCTAACAAACTGTTTCAATGTACTTCGTACTTTATCCATATCCATTGGCGAAACAGGAGGCTTTTGATGGCTTTGCTGATGGCTCTATTTTCAACCATAAAAACCCGTATTATAAAATAGTCGATATACCAACTGCATTGTTTTCAGAAATGATGTGAATACCTTTAACTTTTCTTGCTGTTGTGCTAAGGGCGCGTCTAAAAACATGCTGGAGCTTTTAACGATATCTCTTATGAAATCCATATTTTTCTCGATGCATAGGTCTACTTGTTGAAGTTTCTCCAAATAATCCGGAATAAGCTTTTTGTGATGTTCAGGAAGTGCATAGTAGTCGCGTCTTCGACGATGGTTATGGTTAAGAGCATGGCGCTTATAGTAAGCAAATGCAGTAATGATCTTTAACAAATGAAATTGCTCTGACTCAACAGGATTTTCAGCTGTCTCCTCATGCACGTGGTGATTACTGTGGCTGTGGCTCATTTATTTTTGAAAGAGTGACTAACGGAAAGAGGATTAATAAATACACGGTATTTCTGTGTCAAATTTGTAAAGATGGTTCGAAGGGTCCGAAGTCCCGTTCCAACTTCGATAGGTGTAGCACAACAAAACCTAAAATGATTTGATAAAAGCCACCCCAGTTCTGATCAATGCTTCTTAACACTGCGGCAACAATGAAATATGAAACGTGTATGGATGAGTATATGCAGAAACCCGGAAAAATCGTTCAGGCATATGCAATTTCATTATTCACAGATAAGAGAAGAGAATAAAGAAAAGTTTAAAATTGCACGTACGTTATCATGTATTAAAAAAATCATGCCATAAAAGTGCAATGTTGAAAATGCTGTACAAAGGTATAAGGGCAAGAATGTATGTACTCGCCTAGATATTCGTTATTTTGCAATAAAGCACTATCTCATATGTTCAAAGAAACATAAGGAACGGATGCGACGCCGTATCAGAAGATGTCTGATTTTGTGTTCGACATGTAACTAACCTGCTCAGTCAAAAAAGTACAAAACAAGAAATGAGGTTTTCATTGGGTAAAGTTAAGGATCTCTGAGGATAAGGCGTTTGTTTTCCTTTTTGCTCTGAAGAGGCTGACTCCGCAATGGTCCACATGATTTACAAGGCTTACCTACACAACTATATATAAAAAGACGCTTTCACTTTTTCTCCCTTCTTTCTTCTGTCTCTTTGACATCACATTTTCATAAGCACACTTTCCCCGGAATACAGATATGTCTATGCTCAACGTCTGCACAACTGATTCAGTTAACAGACGAAATAAACCTCAGAGAGAAAACCATCGACAGCTTTCTCCTTGGACATCAACAGATAGTATAACTTCTTACTATAGTTTTCCTTTAACAACTTCAAAAGGTTCTTCAATCGAGGCACTATTTTCTCGAATACTAGATGTTCTTATATTTACTTCAGCAATTGCCATTACAGCCTATACATATGTTACAGGTGCATTAATACACCAACAAACCCCGAAAGCAATAACAAACTCACCTTCTTCGACATCCACTTTTCAAAATACTTCCATCTATGGTCGCCACAGCGATGGTAGTAGCAGTGGTAGTAGTATTGGTCAACATCACCGAAAGAATAAGTCAAACCATTTGTCACATAGTCACTGCCAGCATCATCAATATCATCATCACGAACACCAACATACACATCCTCATGCTTTCGATCCTAATCACCACAGCCTTTCGGGCTCGTATCAGCAATTTAATGTTTACCCCGTGACAATAAATGAAACAAAAAAGAAAAGAACTCAAGCATGGGCAGAAAATCAATTCATAGTACATCCGATAGCCTCCTCAAGTTCGTTTAGATCCCTATCACTATCGCAACCAAGCGTCAAAAGAGAGAGAAATGCGAATCTTACATCCAATTTGAAGGTGAAATGTTTCTCTCATAAATCTATGAGTAGGTAACTTTATAACTCACTCAAACTTTAAAATTTTAGGTGCGACCGCTTCCTACTACCTCTTCTTCACTCACAAGTGATAGAGAAAAAGCTAAAATAAACTATGAAGAACGAAAACGACGAACACGATCGCTGCCTGTTACAAAGTTTGAGAAAGAAGATGAATTATTAAGCAAAGTACAATCACTCATTCAGCAAGGTCAAGAAGCCTTAATATCTTGAATTAGCTTTTGATATAACTGTGTGATTATAGCACATACATATGAAATGGATATGGGTGAAAGGTGCACAAAAACCTTCAATAAGAATCGTTTCCAGGTACATAAATAGATTAGTATGTAAAAATATAGTGTTGAATAAAAATGTATATCCATTACTCGTGCCAATATCCCGGCTTTTTATATATTGCACATCATGCAGTTGTACATAAAAAATAATCACTAGAAGTCTGGTAAAGTTTAACAGATCACCACTCTATGCCATTTAATACTGTGCTGTATATAATTCTATCATTGATCTATGCTCATAACCTGAGATACAAACAGTGATATATTTTACCAAAATTGTAACATGTCATAAACATGATTTCACAAAATCAGCCGTGAAAAAAGAAATTTTGTAACTACAACTAGACCAAATTTGTTCCATGATTTACCTATTGCAGGCAATCTAGAATGTCTTTCTCAGAAGAGGCTCAAATAACCAACCGAATGCTCCAAGTGTATTATGTGTTTATCATGTATCAGTACATGGTTCGTTCCTTTTGCAAACATTCAATTTTTTAACCCTTAATAAGAATCTATATATTTTTTGGCCGCAAGATTAGGTAATCACGATATTTTATAGAGCAGATGAGAAGATTCGATTAACGTTGAACATCTCCTAAAATCCTGTCACTCCACACCACAGCAAAGTGACTGAACTAATGTGTGCTGTCTATTGAAAATGAGTATTTGTTGATGGTAACCATGACTTTCTTAATTACGTAACCGCCTCTCAAGGTTATGTATCTTCAAAAAAGATGTCTATGGCTTTCTTAAAATTAAAAAAGTGCGTAAAATACGGCTGATGATCTTACATCTCTGAGCTTTGACGCTAAATTATCCTCTGAGAAGAAAATAAACAAATGTTAGCATCAATGTAGACTAATCACAGGGTTCAATGGTTATATGCAAGAAGCTCTAGTTAAATGCTATAGAACAATTATACGGAAAAGTTTAGTTTCGGTTGGATTGTATTTTCTCTCCATAAACAGTTGACTAAAGTCCAGACGAAGGCGTTATAGTCATACTGATTAACAGATACATCTCTGATTGATGGTCCGCGACAAGAAATTAATTCTCATAGGTGTAAGAAAAACTTAAAAGGGACCTTTTAACACGTTTATAAAGATGAGCAATATAAACCTGCGGTCATGTAACAACTATGAGGAGTAAGTTTTTCTATTTATTTTATTTATTTGTATTTTATTTATTTATTTTTTTTTCATTAAGATCTGCTTCCATTTGACTTTGTCGAAATCCCCAACTTAATATGGACTATTGACGGGGTTCAACTACGCGAAAGTGGAAAGCTTACTTGCCCTCTGAAAAGCTGTTTTCATGACGAACGATGCTGAAGATACTGAATATCAATCAAGATGCAACAGGAGAAACGTCTATCGAATTATTGTATCATTTAGAGAGTCTTTCTATTATCCCTATATCGTCCAAGGAAGAAAAGGGTGCAACGCTAACACAGGCTGTGGACGGGCCTGATTTAGGCCAAGTACCACTTCCAAATACGATATGATCATCAATCAGGAATAAACCATCATAGGTCGTTCAGTTCAATTCTTTAAGCGAAATAGACACCTACACAAGATTTACTAATAGTATTGATATTAGTATCATACTGGCATTCAGCCGTTATATTTAGTATATGACCATTTATTCTGTACGGCGTTGGCACTATAAAGCTTCCCAAGTTGCTGTAAAAATTAAAATTGAAAATGGTATGGCTTAAATTCAGTAAAGAATGGAAAGCTAGTAGGAGGAAAAATAATTCCAAGTGATAACTTAGCCTTTGAAGTTGAAGGTAAAACAATATCAAGATTACAGAAGAACGCCCTATACACAAAAAAAAAAATGTAATTGCATTAAAGGATGCTTCTCTCTTCAATTCTCAAGGATTTATATATTGATCAATCCTCTAAGCCGATGTTGTGGTTTTATAACACAATAAAACACCCTTTCCTTGAATTCTAAGCCAACAAGGATGTGTTTATCAATATAATGCTGCATAGGCAGTACAGAATGATGTGTGCAACTTACAATACCAACGCTATTGTGATTCTTTGATCATAAGGCATTCCCTTTTACTGAAGATGTTGTCTAGTTCGTATTTATACATAAGAAATATGGAAATACCACATACTGCTAGTATCGTTGTATGGGTGTCCACGTATGAGCTTAAATCCTGTTACCCATGAATATACAGCAAACGGCTAAGATTATTAAAATAAGGAATCAGAAACAAGAATGAGACTAAATGTAGCAGCGCTTAAATCACAAATAGAGCAAAGAACAATGAATGTACCGCAAATGATAAGTGCGTGCGTAATATTGTACAAGTTAATATGATCATTATGCTCTCAAAATAAGGGTTTAATCAATGTGTGAAGACGCTTAGATCTCGCTTTCTTTCCTTTTTTATACGAAAAAGATGAACAACGAACTTGCTTTCTACCCGCATGCTATGGCCGCATGGGTCACCAATTTTGAGTAGAACACGCCTTTACCACCAAAAAATTAGGTGCTGCAAGAAAAAACACGTGTTCTAAATTTGGAAAATTTTCCACGTCTCTCTTTTTCCAACTTCTTTCCTTCTTTCTCACTTTTTTTTAATTATGCCTTTCCTGTTAAAGTTTATATCCACTATACGGCACGAGTCTCTTTTGGAAGTAAGCTTCTTATATACAAGATAACGCAGCATTACATTTCAACTAAAGTACTTTATGATAGTCTATGGATGATGTCGAGAAACTTGACGTTATAAGAATAGGTCCTCCTTTTGAAAATATAGGGAATCAAATGAAAAAATACTACCAACATGTTGTCGCCATAAACAGTAGTAATACGACAGATTTCACCGGTGTAAAAAAGGGGGTTAGTCCAGGAGACATGATTGATTTTGTTGGACCCAATTATATTGTAGCAGATGACATTAAGGCATCCATATTAGCTCATATGACATTGGCTTCACCACCGGCATTATCAGTAAATACGGCTAGTACTGATCCAGCAGAAGAGACTGATTACGCACAACAGCACCATGGTTATGATATGCATGTCTTATATCTACATCAATCTACCAGACGAAATTTTGGTACGACTAGGATGTTACTTGAGCTTCAGAACAAGGAATCGAGGTTTCATTTACTACGAATAGACAAGAATACAATTGATATTCAACAAGAAATTATTGACAGATTGGAAGCATGGCTTGAACTCCATATGCAATATCGAGTTTTATGGGTAATTTGCGATAATTTTAGCAGCAAAACCAGCACCAATGTTAGCAGTAGCAGCCTTTCGCTTACTCAGCAATTCAGTATCATCGACAGAAGCAACAGCAATCCCAAAAGTGATTCATTTTACTTCGAAGAATTGAAACGTCTTCAAAAGAAGTGGGGCTTCGTAGTAGTATTGAATTCAGCACATAGTCAACAAGAGATTAACATTGATTTTAGGTTTCAATTTCTGTCAGAGCGGGAATTACAGATGATATGGCCAGTGCATATGGATAAATTCAAGTTGATCGCTGACGAAAATGGAATTAGTGTAGAGTAGATAATGCCACAGGATGCGAAGCACGACATCTGTAAATGTAAACTAGTGCCTTATGTAGTTGTAGCAGCAGCATCAGTCGTTATAAGGATAATGGCGACGCACATACTCGCATTCAAAAAAGCTTCATTTTGTACCGCCTCAATTGTGTTGCGCGCGTGTGCTTCACTTGTTTGCTGCTTCAATGGAAATCTTAACACATTTAAGTTGATATGTTGTATCACCTATTGAATGTTTTTGTCTCCATTTCCTTTGTCGTCAAAGTTGTACACAGGAAAAATTTCGTTAATTTGGGAGTTCATATTTAAATACGAATTGTTCTTTTCCCTATTTTTGCCTGGCTCTCTGGTGAAGATTGAATGAAATAAATCTGTTCATATATACCCTTTATATTAATTTAAACATCTATTCAAGCATTTATACTGTAATATCTATTTCTACCATTACTATGCCTTCATCAACATTGCCACCGACTTGCTGGGCCTTAAAAGACTATAATTCTCTGCGAATAGCAGTCGTCGAATCCTCCATAGAAATATCTAGACATGATGCATGCACTGTAAGAAGCACTACAGTAATCTACCTGTATTGAATAAGATAATTAAAACCTATTATAGGTCTTTCACATTATATTGGAAAACGAAACACATCACTTTTCTTTGATCCGATATATTCAGGATTTTCATGAATTAGATAATTTAGTAAGTTATATACTTTTATATCAGATTGACGCCATTAAAGTGTAACTTGGAAGAATAACATAACAGAAATTTATCGTTCTCAGATATACCAGCATTTTCCCAAACACCATATTCCTTTACCAAAACTTTATAGTTACGGCTATAATAGCAACAGCCTCAAAACGTCATCATCATCGTCATCATCACGAACATCTTCATCTATTCTGTCCTCACTTTTCTTTAAGAAATCCAAAAAGAAAACCAAACTTATCAGCAACAAAAAGAAAAAGTCAAACTCAGTATTACTACAGAACTACCTATCACAATCACTTCGTCGCAATATCGGTAAATCATCCATTTTCCGTGACTTTTTGTCTGCTCAAAGAGATGAAGATACTGTTATTTCAAAGTTATCTGTACGTCAACTTGTTGCACAGCATCAGCCTACTTTGGCCACCACTGCTAGTACTGTTACCAACGCTGTTATTAACGCTGTGATCGAAGAGCACCAGGAGCCAGAAATTGCAACTCCACCTTCGACTATCTGTTCCAATCGATCCATTGCCGATGTAAGGAATCTATATATCAATCATCAAGCAACTAGAACTATATCCCTTGATCAACACTGTAACGATATTTCAGAGGCGTTCAGTCAAAATGCTGATGACATTAGCATCCGCTATGATAGTGGATTATCAGCTTCATGCTCATCCTCCAAATACTCGAAGGAGACAACAGAAGTCAAGGAAGAGGAAATGGAGTTCATTGAACAGATAGAAAATCTTCCAGTTTCCAATGAATTATCAAATCCTCATACGATCAAGGATTATCAACTCATTCAAGTTCTAGGTAAAGGCGCTACTGGGAAAGTTATCTTGGTGAAGCATCATAAAACGCAGCGTCTATTTGCTCTCAAAGCCATCACAAAAGCCTGGAGTATCACAAAGCGAGAAGTTGAGCACGTTCGAACAGAACGTAATATTTTAGCTTCATTAGCCTCCATTCGTCATCCATTCTTAATTCGGTTATTTAGTGCTTTTCAAGACCAACAAAATCTATATTTGGTGCTTGACTACCATGCCGGAGCTGATTTGGCGACTTTACTACAAAGATATATATGCTTTCCACCTGAACAATGTAGGCTATACGCAGCAGAGATTGTTACCGGATTACAAGAATTGCACCGACACTGTATTCTTTATAGGTAAAAAAAAATGGACTAGTAATTTAGCTTATACGATTGCTAATGTTCTTCTTGTAAATCCACAGGGATCTTAAACCGGAAAATGTACTACTAGCCAAAGATGGTCATATTGTCTTGACGGATTTCGGATTGTCCAAAATGTTCTCGCCTGCTCCCACTGATGCATCTTTCTGTCCGCGATATGATCACCGTACAACCACTTTCTGTGGAACACCTGAATATTTAGCGCCCGAAATCATCTTACAACAAGAAGGTGAAGAAGGTTATTCTTATGCCGCGGATTTTTGGAGCTTGGGCACTATGCTTTATGAAATGCTCTTAGGAACGACCCCCTTCGCAGCAGACACGCCTGAAGAAATGTACGATCGCGTTTTATACGATGATTTGACGTTTCCTCGAGGGTTTAAGGATGTTGAGGCTATGGATTTGATCGCAGGTTTGTTGGAAAGAAATCCTGTGCAACGGTTGGGAGCGGGTCTTTCAAATGATAGGAAAGATGGTGTTTTTGAACTAAGAACACATCCTTATTTTGCAAACCATTTGGATTGGAAAGAAGTTTACGCAAAAAGGATTCAACCCATCTATGTCCCATCTCAAACACATGAGTTAGATTTCAGCCATTTTGATCAGGAATTCTTGGATATGTCTACGCAAATTATTGATGATGAAGATAACAATGCACATCAACGAAATTTTTATTGGTTACCTGATAGCTCAGCTAAATTGTTTGAAGAATCGTTCCAAGGCTATTCCTATATATGTCCTGATCAGGCTTCCGTTTTATCGTTCAAATCAGAAGTATCCTACTTTAGTGAGGACTATCAATTGAAATATGATCCTCAACCCGAAGGCCAAGAGGAATTTGTAGAATATGACAGCAATTTAGTAGATGAGGAGGAAGAGGAGCAATACTTTAGAAAGAATAATATCATCAACTGCTATCACGGTAGGGAAACACGTTTCTCTTCCGCCTTGTCCTCTTCTTCCTTCATGGGAAAAGACTTTTATTACTACTCCTATACTCAAAATCGCCATATTAAACAGTACAACAGCAACAGTTCAACCCCTTTTAATTCAGTCCATGTTTCATCTGCCTCCACAACTACCACTGCAAGTATCGACTCAACATCTTCAGCCGTTACAAATCATAAAAATGATATATTTCAAAATAACAAAACCCTTCGTCATCAACGCTCCATGATCCTCAACCCTTCTAACTTCAGTTATATGCATCACCAAAATAATATCATTCAGAACTCACTTGTCTCATCTGACGAACCATTTGCATGGAGGTCGTAAAGGTTCAGCATTTATTCTTCGAACAATCTTACAAAACTCTGGAAAAAGTACATATACCTTCACTATTTCTATACGAATTATTCATTCTACATGTAACTTTTATTATACCATGTCATTCATATGCTAAAAAAATCAGAAACTGTATGAAGCATTTTATAACTTGCCTGCTTTTGCCTACTTTAACTTTCTCTGAGACCTCGAAAATAAAGAAATGATTCGATTTATTGTTATTCAGTACCTTTTTGCTTTGCAACTGTAACGCTAAGCATGACTACATCAATAAATATATATTGGTATATAGTATGGAAGGACAAGAAGTGTTTCCTTTATTGTTCAAGTTCTTCCTCCACTGATCTCAATTGCTTTTCTTTTTATTTTCTAAGAACGGTTGTTTCCAAATCTGCTGCAGCCGCTTAACCTTCTGCTCACCGAAGCCGGGACACATGGCCAGCTGTTCAGGCCTCGCCCTTGCTATACCTTTTAACGATCCAAACGTAGACAATAACGTCAACACATCCGTCTTATTCACACTTTTGACTTGTGTTAAACACCCTGTCATTTTAGGTAAATATTCTTCTTCCACCTTTTCTCGAATCCAGTCAGGTGCTTTATGTTCAAAATACTTGTACGTCTCCAGATACCGACCAGCTTCTTCCAAACTCCAAGCCAAAATTAATGTCCAGTTATCAAGGACAGCCATACGGTTGATCTCACGTAGAGCATCGTGATAATCCTCAGTATCAACGAGGACTAAGAGGACACGACCAACATAGAGTTGGCGTACTTTTTCAAGGCATGTGTCAAGATAGGTAGGATACAGACGGTGGTAACGTAAGCTGAGGTATAGTACACCAGTCGTTTGGCCAACAACGTAGTCTACTTTGATAATGTCTGAAAACTCATAAGGGACGTTGACAATGTGGTGCAAGACTGGATTTTTTCGTTGGGATGGGTTGACTAATATAGTATTGCCGAATGACGAAGTAACTCGACGAGCAGCTGCTGTTGAAGAGGCAGTAGGAGCGTTGACAGAGTTCGAAGAAGAAGATGAAGGTGTGGGTGAAGGAGAGTAAGCTGTATGCTTACGGAAAGGTGAGAGTCCGTCTTTATTTTTGTTTTCATAAGTAAGTGTAGTATTTACAGAGGCTCCAGTATTTATTCCGACCTCTTTGTTGATGTTCTTTTCAGAAAAACTGGATATATTGGTCGTTGAAGCTGTTGAAGTAGCCGTAGAGGTAATGGTAGTATCTGTACTTGTAGCAATAAGCTGATCGTTATTTGGCCGATTTCGTTTCGATTTGAAAAAAGAAGGTATTCCCTGAGACGTTCTTTTCTTTTGCACGGCTTCAATAGAGGGAACAGAAAGTACATGTCGATTTGTGGATGGAGGTACTGATGACGATGAATCTGAATGATCTGACATTATGAAATTTATGCAAGAGCTGCGAAAATGAGAATCGGGAAGTTCCACAAAAGTAAATAACCCCATCTGAGATAATGAAAATTCAGGTTGCTTAACCCTACTTCTGACATCGCTTGAACCGATCCATTGAATCTTACTATAACTACAGATCTATTTAACTCTTCGTTCCTTTCTTTCAAATATATCTGGGCCTTCCACTTGAATGTTAACCGCTTCAGCAGCAAACTCTTTGTGTGTTGGATTTACTCTAACTTATATTGTTGGATTTTACCTTTTTAAGGTACCAAACGGATCACGACGAAACGATCCACCCGTCATTAGGGCTAGAATTAAAGCTGTTACTGTTGCTTCTATTATATCCGCTTTGATTGTTTGGTACTTCAATACAACTCAATATAATGTCTGGACGTTATTAGGTGTTTTACCTCAGCAACCAGTATTACATTTGCTGTCTGTTGTAAGTAGGCCACTTCTATTGACTGGCCTCTTATTTCTGGGACCTATATCCATGATGTTCTTCGAAGAAGAATTACCTTTCCAAAAGCATTTTGTGTTTAGAAGAGATATAGTGGATATTTTCACATCTTTGCAAGGTCAGCGCAATTATGTAGTGGTAAAATCTAGTTTGGAATGACAATAGATGCAATTCATACGCGGAAAAAGTGATTAATTGCTAACGTTATCGTTTCAATGAACAGGGTCCTTTGACAGAAGAATTTGTATTTAGAGCATGCGTCATAGCAATTCTTTTTCAAGCTCACTATTCAAAAAAATACTTAATTTTTGCCTCCCCTTTGTATTTTGGCCTAGGTGAGAATAGACACCATAATGGTAGACCTCAGTCTCTTGTATACTCATAGTCGGGTTTTTGTTACTCTTTCCATGTATAGCTCATTTGCATCATACTTGGGAAAACTATAATGCTTTCGGTAGAAACAGCAGGGCATTGAAAAGAGCAATATTCGTTTCCTTATTTCAGTTCACTTATACGACTATCTTTGGATGGTATGCAAGCTTCTTATTCATTCGAACCAATCACGTATTACCACCTATACTGTGTCATTCCTTTTGTAATATAATGGGAGTTCCTGATATCAATTCAGTTCAGCATAATCCAGCTTTACAGAAACATAAACGGATTGTTTACAGTTGCTTTTGGGTAGGCTTAATTGCATTTATTTGTATGTTGTATCCATTAACAACAGTGAGTAATGAATCTATTTACTGGTAAAAGATTCAGCTTTGCCCTATTTTTTGTTATTATCATCATCTCTACTAGTTTTTTCCTTTATCAACTCGATCATCTTTTTCGTACTTTTTCCAACTAAATGTAAAGCATCACCATTTTGCACTGTTGTCCAAAAACGAGCAAAGAATTTTTGTTGTGTACCATCTTTCCATGAATCCAAGTATTTTTGTGCAAATGTTTGTAGAGGTGTGAGAATTTTAATAACGTTGTTCGTAACATACTCTCCAGAATGATGAATCTCTTCGCCAAGATTAATAGTAAAGTAATCAGGAGACGTCTTGCTCTGAATATTGTCTACAGATTTGAAGTATTAACAATTGTGTACTTAAAACTGAAATAAATTGAAAAAAATTAGTTTGTTAAGTTACCAGAATATATATGTTCTTCGCACCGTTTGGCAGTTTTCGCTACTGTTATGAAGGTACCATCAAAAGGTCTTAAAAATGATGATATAGGTGATGATGATGCGGTTGTATCCGTATCTGTAAGTGCAGATATTGTAGGTATTGATGTGGCTTTACTATTTGAAGCTGGTGTTGACGCTGTTGATGATAATGAAGATGACATGACTTCTTTGTTGAATTTCAAGAAGCAAACCATGCTACATTGCTTGGAACGTGTTAATACATCCTGTAGGTCATTGTAAGAAGCTGCTTCTCCTTGATTCGCTTCTTTTTGTTGTGATTTAGCAATTGTCGTTGCGAATAATATACATCTTTCTTTGAATATATTCTGATCTTTCTTGTTTAGTGCTCTGTCAAATATTGTAAAAGAGAGATTTGTCTTTTGATTGCTATTTTTCTGAGAAGAAGTTTGTGATGAATTCTGTGAAGCGGTTTCATTTGCTTTATCGTCTATTTTACTGTTCACATTGTCTATAAAGAAAAAAAAAATTGTTATACATATTGCTACGTGAGTATTTAAATACTGAGAACTGTTCTTCCAGGTTAATGATCAAACATTAAATCCGTACGCACCTTCGTTTTCGCCACTAACATCATCATCATTGTTATTATTCTTAATCATGTTATTAATATCACTAGATTGATCTAAGGACGCTGTATTATTTGCTGCTGTTGCTGTTGTTGCTGCTGTTTCCGCTAAGGGCGCCTCTTCTGACCACCAAGGTGATAATAAACTAGAAGAATCTTCGGATGACTTCAGAACAGGTGGAGGAGGTGGTGGTGTGGATAACATAGCTTGTGGCGGTAATATTCCTGGTGGTCGTAATTCTCTAGGATCAACCGCCTCTCCATCTTTTGTCTTTTCAGCTATATCTTGTGAATGCCGCTCTTGATATTCTTGCATCTGTTTTTGCTGTCTTTCTTCTATTTCTTTGCTCAGTTCTAATAAGGCTGCTACTCCAGGATCACTTGAAATACGATGATCTTGAGTATTATTACCATTATCTGTATTATTACCAGCGTTGTGTGTGTCTTTATTGTTATTTGGCGATTCCAGAGTCATATTGTGCAATCGATTAAGAGAATAAATAGAATATTAGAAACGTTGTAAGGTGGTATATTTCAAAGAGGGAAAATAAATAATGGCTTAAAAGAAAGAAGAAAAGAAAAAGGAAGCTGAAATGGTTTGAATTACGACAGCCAGTTGTTTTTGGCACTAAACTAAAATGCAAAAGTCTGTTTAAGCTTTTCAATATGCAGAATTACATAGTCACGTGATAATTTGCCAATCACAGGCAGTGACGTAGGTGTCCAATCACATTGAAGCAACTCGACAATAGACAATCAACGATGAGCCGTTGGACAAGAGCTTTCTTGTTCCGTTTTATTCATATTGGAGGGACAATGCTAAAGCGCCCAACAATCAGAGCAATGTTTCTGCACATCATATTTTTATGAATGTTGCTTGTCTGGTGCTTGTGATGAACTAGCATTGCTTCAATCCTCAGTTCTAACAAATGATATTTATGTATGATGCGACTGCTTGTTCCCAACTCTCAATGATGAGCTCCTGCCATTAAAAGATAACAATCTTTCACTTGAAATCTAAAGTGACTCAGGACTTATATCTTACAAGAGCTTTGTTATAATTTATATGTAGGTAGTGGTAAAGCTTATGAAATTGAGCACGGCAATAAAATACAAACCAAAACACAACAAAGAAGTATTTTTCTTTACAATATTTCAAATTCCGATTGAGGAAGAAAGATCAAGTCGTTTGGTTTGAGTTCGATGTCGACTATGTATGCGTTTCCTTTCACTTGTCGCTTGATTTCGAATAAAAACGATTTTGACTTTATACCAAAAGGTTGATTTTTAAAGTGGTCTTTTTTTTAATTACATTTTACAGACATTCAGAATGGATATGGATGGACAAGGACATATTGTTGGTGGAAATAGAGTGGAGCCTATGCATGTTACAAGAGCTGTTTGCTATCGAAACATAAGTTCTCGTACCCAGCTTGTAATGAATAAAGCTTTGAAAAAAGACCGTCTAGTCCTGTTATACTTCTAACTGCGGATGAGGGGAAAATAAAGATATTGGTATGGAGTCATGCAGTAAGCGACGTTATACAGCCTACTTTGAATCTCGTAGCTTTATTTGAAACATCATAACAACTGAGCTGTCCATTAAGCAAGCACAATGTAGCCTGCAGAAAGAAATAGCGAAAAAAAGATTCAGCAAAGGTACGTTGTTCCACTAGAAGCTGCGTTTTTCTGATATACCAGCCTTTTATATCAATTTGAAACGAGGTATGGCTTGGTCAACGATAGGAACACCTGCAATAGTTACAGTAGTCACCTCCGAAGCGAAAGCAAGATCGATTTTAGGTGCCATATCAACCATTAGCTTAATTAAAAAGAGAAAGCTTGGACGCGTATGCTAGTCACTAATTTTAGGTTCAGGTGCTTCATGTGTAAATCATTTGTATTGAAGGCTTTTGACTTGTGATAAATTGTACGTAATTTTTTAATATAGATAGACCGAGGTAAAATATATTCTGTACCTGGTTATAAGTCTTCAAGTATTGTAGTGTTATCTCACCAAACACGTCAGCTTGCTCTGTACTCTTTCTTTTTCCAAAAGGGGAGGGTTAGCTTATTGCTCTTTGTTTGATTAATGACGATTATTTGGTTAACTGGTCAGCTTTGCATTCTACACTCTGTCTCTAATATTCCTATTCAAAGACTCTTGACGTCTTGTTTGTAGCACCTGAATAAAACAATAAATACAACTCATAAAATTGAGAAATAGCTTCTATGAAACGTTTTTATCATCAAACATACAAAGTTTTGAAAAAGAAGACTCGAAGATTTCCTGCCCCTTGTACTCTTTAATGGCTATTGCGTTGTTCATGCGCATATATTTTATATTTTCCTTAAATGAAAAAATGAGGAAGGATAAGAAACTCGGTATGTTTTTTGCAAATTCTTTTTGTCTATTTTGGTTGAGAGATGCCGGTTCTTGGTCTGGTACAGAGAAAGACTGTATTATCACTGGCATTTCACTGATTTATGAATCCATAAGCGGTGGTCGATTGGAATGTTACACTTAGCCGCAGCTTTGGTAAGCCCAGTCTTTAAGATCAAATGCTTACGCTTTTAAGTCTTATCCATTATTGCAACAACTCTCACTAGTTTCTTCCTCTTTCGAACTATCGATTACATGGCGTTGTTGAACATAGAATATTATTTGATTTATATATGCCATTTTAAGAAAATAAATTCTCTTCTCTTACTAAAAATAACTCTCGACTATTTCATTTCATAATACAGCTTTACGTCAAAAAGGGATAAAAATAGGATCTAAGCTGAGTTAATAGGCCTAGATTGCCATGTGGTTGTTTTACCAACAGCAAAATGCAGTCTTTGGCAGCCATTTGTAGACTGTTTATCAGTGCCCCTTTAGAAACCGGTCTACTATCAAATCGTTTGCATTTAAGTTCGTTACATCCCTCAATTTATAATTGTCTCATACCATTTGTATGTGGAAACACTAACTGTATAAATGGTTCCCGTAAAGTAAAACTATCCGGAGCAGCATTTATTTGGACTTGCATGCACAACTGCGCGTAGAATTCTATGTGGTGGACGGATCAATAGCCGTCAAACACGGTTGAAACGGCATCTCTTCCGTTCCATCATTTTAACATAAGAAGCTGGTTTTGACCAATGCTTAGTAATGTAGCAGACGCGTTCTATATCAAAAATTCATTCTCTGACTTATATATATATGACCTATAAAAATACCTTTTTTCGGTATATGCATGAATTTCTAAAGCCGTTGTCAACCTTTTGTTGTTTCAATTTTCCTTCGGCTCTATAAAACAGAAAAAAAAAAAGCCAAACTTTTTTGCACAACAAAAATAAGAAGTGTGTTCTGTCGTTTGTCTGAAGGTTTTGTTGTATCATTCAACAAAGACAAAAGATGGCCAAAAACAAAAGGGTTCAATTTCAAAGAAATCTTACTTAATGACTTGACTGCAATTGGACGAAAAGGTACAGAAAGCAATCATAACTCTGTCCTCCTATTTTGCAGCTGTATGCCCATTTTCCCTTTCGTCCGAAAGCGGAAAGTTAAACCTGATTTTCTCTAAAATGTTTGATTTGGGGAAGAAAATGCGTGTGTGCGCGCGAATGTGTGTAGTGTGTGTGCGCTTTAAGTATGTTATATTTTGTTGTGTGGTAGTTCTTTTTTCTATTTTTTTTTTTATTTTTTTTTTTGTTCTTAAAAAATTCCAGTTTCTCTCTTTTTCTCATATTTTTTCCTTCTTCTCTCTTATATTAGCACAATATCTTTATCTAGTTCTCTTTGTCTGTTATTCTCTATTTTCTGTCTTTTGCCCTTTCTTTGACATTTGGTGCGTCAGTATTACACAATCATTAAAAGCATCCACCCGCATAAGTTTATAAAGAAATGTCTACTACGGCTGACACCCTAAATAACAAGTCTGAAAACCTCGACATCATTGAAGAATCCTCAAATGAATCAATTGAATCAGCTCCATCGCCAAATGTACATAAAGATAACACCCTTGGGAATTATAGCGGAAAAGACACTTTAGACGAGAATAATTTAACTTTGCGTGCACTTGTAACAACCAAAGAAGCAGGTGTCATCATTGGAAAAGGTGAATTTTTCGAACCAGTCTTACTGACAATTGTTATCTATCATTCTTACTTACTTTCTAAGCGTTTCATATATCTAGGCGGTAAAAATGTTGCTGAAATGAGAGAATTGACAGGTGTAAAAGCAGGTGTGTCGAAGGTGGTCCAAGGCGTACCTGACCGTGTTCTGACTGTCAGTGGTACTTTAGAAGGTGTTGCTCAAGCATATGGCTATATTGCCCAAACTTTACTAGATAATCCTATTACGCCTTTATCAGTAATGCAACAACATCAACATCAACAATCAAATGCAACAACAGTAACAACTGTGCGTTTACTAATATCCCATAATTTGATGGGAACCGTGATTGGACGTCAAGGTGCAAAAATAAAGCATATCCAAGATACCACTGGTGTCCGTATGATGGCTTCAAAAACACTACTATCGCAGAGCACTGAACGTGTCGTGGAAGTCAAAGGCACTGTGGATGCTATTCATAAAGCCATAGCAGAAATCGGGTATTGTTTGATTGAAGATAAAGATAGATCTTACGGCACAATTCTGTATAATCCAACAAAAGCACTCATTGTGGCTAACCAAACAGCGGCAGCGGCAACTGGAAGCGGAGGAGTGGCTGGTGGAGCTGGATTAGGGACAAGTATCGGCACATCAGCATTGCCTCATCATCTTTCAAACAATAATAGCAAGAGTAGTCATTATCATCATCACAGTCATAATAATCATCATTACCATTCTCATCATCAGCCTCAGCACTCTTCCAATAATTATTCATATAATGCAAATCCTGCTGCTGCACCAGTGACGGCAATCCCAACATTGCCCCCACAAGCTTTGCAGCAATCACCACATATAACAATGAATCACTCCATGATGCCTGGTAGCACCGGTGTGGGTTATTTCAGTAATAATAATAACAACAACACATCCATATTACCCACAGCAACGGTTCCTCCACAACCTTATCAGCAAGCGCCATATCCATCTTTCCCTCAGTCGCCACACCAGCATAATGCCTTTTTCACTACTACTTCTGCAAATACTCCTCATAATAATCATATTAATACTAATCCTCACAACAATCATAACGGAAATAGTAATAGCAGCAATGATATCAATAACGACACCAACATCCGCACCCAAAATATCTCTATTCCTTCAGATATGGTGGGTTGTATCATTGGCAAAGGTGGCTCGAAGATTTCTGAAATACGTAAATTATCAGGTTCCAGGATATCTATCGCCAAAGCTCCGCATGATGACACAGGCGAACGCATGTTCACCATTCAAGGCACAACCGAAGCTAATGAAAGAGCTCTTTATCTACTTTATGGTCAATTAGAAGCTGAGAAAGAACGACGATTACGTGGTGTTCAGCAACAAAAAAGAGAAGAATCAAGTCCAGCAGTAGAAGTGCAAGGCCAGCAAGAAAAGGACAAAGATAAGGAAGCTGCTGCAGCACCTTCAACAACAGATCATCTTGGTTAAAGCACTATTCCATTTTCTTATTTTGAATCTATCTATAATCTTATTATATATACACATGTACACACACAACCTCGCTTTCTATCTTTACTAGACTTAGAAAAGCACGTATTAAACACTTTTGAACACGCGCTCTCTAAAAATCGCATTTACAATTCGTATTTTGAACAGGTATATGATATACAAAAATAAAAAAATATATGAATATAGAGAATCAGACTCAACAAAAATATAGCTTAGTGATTCAGTATATTTGCTGCTGTTGAATATACTTTGAGTAGAGATGATATAGAGGTAATTTTTACCTAATCGCAGAATCCATTGATTGGTAAACAAGAAAGGTACCTACAATAAGGGCACTCCTAAACATGTAATTGAGCTGACTATTACACAGACATCTCAACTTATTTTAAGTTACCTCATCTATTTTGCTTGTTTCAAAATGGTGTATCAATATACCAAGCAATAATCCATATAAGCACAAACTGAGCAGTTGTGTGAAGTATACAATCAATCGCCGAGGAAAGCTCAAATTTTGTCTCGAAGTGTTGATGCTCTCATCGCTGTTGCTGTTGTGCGTATCTGTTGATTTACTTAGAAGGTCCAGTGCTTCATCTAAAGGGTCAGCCTTTTCGATACTGTTATTACTCCCATTACTTGTTTTTAGTGTTGTCACGCCATTATTACTTTCAGTACCCGTGTATATGCTATTGCCGCCTTCTGCAGTTTGACCATTGTTGTATATATGGTTTGTGGTAAATTGAAAACATGGTGGCATCAAGGAATAAGATAAAAGTATGCCTGATGTCAATCCTCCCAGATGTGAAAAATTGTCTACGCTGAACATATGTGTAAATTAAAAGACGGTTTAGCTAACCCATCGATCAGTGTAAAGAATTGGCTAAGTTTTATTACCCAGGTAGCAATCCAATGATAAAACTAAATGCTGTACCGAGCAATAATTGGATAAGATACCGTAGAGGCTGTTCTAATCGTTTCCAATTTGCAACAAGGTCGATATACAAGAATCCGATAAATCCAAATAATGAGCTACTACAACCCAAAAAAGCTTTTAAAAGCAATCTTTTAAGTACAAAATAATAATTTTGACCTATCCTCAATGAATATTTATGATCTACTTACGCGTAGTAGGAGGCGCAAAATTGGCTCCTAGAGCATGTCCAAATATGCCCGAACCGAAAAATAGTACTAAAAACGACAACAGTTTGTGAATACGTTGGACTTTGATAGTATTTTTCTCGTATTCCGGACTTCTTATTCTTACTAGAAAACCTTAAGCAGTTGACCACCCTTTCTACTTGTCTTCCTAGTAACAGCAAGAACGCCATATTAATTATCAAGTGTATAAGCCCTGTATGGATAAAGAGCGGTGAAACCAAACGATAAGTTTGATCGGGTATATTGTCTTCGTGAAAAGATGTCATGCCGCAAATCGTTGAAAGGGAACAACTTGAATTCAGTAACCTAGGATCTGCCAAATCCACGACGGGATCAAGTAATAATAAAGATTGACCTGGTGATGAAGTAGTCAGAGTATCATTGTTATCGCCTAGGATTGCTTTATTTTCCGCTGATAATAAGCTATTACTAGCTTTCTTATTTGGTATAATATCATCATCGTCCACGGCAATGTCCTTAATGGCAAACGTATGTAAACACACATAACGTTCATCAGCTGGCATTGATTCTACTGGTCGCATACAAGGAGGAAATCTCGCCCCTACTTGTATCATGATTTCAATAGAGGGCCCTAGCATGTAGTTAAATGGCTCTAACTCAAAAAATTCACCAGTTGTTTGCTTGCTCAGCAAGATTTCACCTGAGAAAATGATAAGGGAGAACGAAACCATAAGATAAGTGAACATTGGCCAGTGTCCTTTTTTTTTCTTCTGGCTATTATCCTTGCTGCCATCATCGTTAAATTTGCTAGTAAAAGGGCCCCAATATTTAGAGGAGAATAGCCAATGACGGTACCATTTCTTCCTTTTTTTGCAGTTGTTGCTGGCTAATTTTTGATGCCTGCTGTAGTGACTATTATGACTACTCTTACTACTGCTGCTGTTATGACTACTTTCATTGTGATTATCAACAATTTCTATTATATTACTATGGATGCTAGCAGTATGTTCATTATGCTGTGCTGCCGCTGGTTGCGTGTTAGGTAAAGGTGAAAGACTTTTGCCGACATCCTTAAAAGAAAACGAAGAGGAGGCGGAAGATGGGAAAGCCGAAATAAGCGTCGAATCCGTGGGTATAACTGGTGCTCTATTATTGATATCTTTCTTTGTTGATACTGCCGCTACCGTTGCTGTACTACTTAGAAGATCGTCAAAGGGTATCATGAGAGTGGAAGATGAAGTGAAATAGTCATCTTGTTGTTGTTGTTGTTGTTGTTGTGATAAGACTTTTTTATTGAATCGAACATGACTCAATTTTCGAGAATGTCTTGTTGACAGACGGCTTGTGATGGGCGTAAAAAAGGTAGTGGATATGCCATTACTGCTTGGTGTTAGGTTAGCTACACTAGAGTTAGCCGTAGTAGCAAGGGAAGTGCCAGTAGTAGGAACAATGGTATGAATAGCTTTCGTTGTATACAGTAGATCATTTGTGTTACTACTGTTGGACGTGAATGATTTATGACTGGTGGATGGAGATCCCTTTGATGGAGTATTATTGCCCGAGGGTGTATAAAGTGGATACATTAATGATGGAAATGCTATGAGTTGTAGAAAAACACATATACAATGAATCCCTATCCTATCTATTTGAGAGACTAAAGAAGAAAGAGAAAGGGAAAAGGGCAGAATTAAGGAGAATATAAGCTGAAAAATATGAAAAAAAAACCAAAACGACACTAACTTTATGGTGATAATGACTGAGCATGGGCTGCAACCCGTTTTGATATATTTTTATGCATGTTTATAATAGCATAAGCCCGAACAATATGCTTTCTGCATTAGAAACAAGGGGAGAAGGAACAGGCGAAGATTGCTCAATTCACAACACGCATAATTTCGTGCCATCTTTTAAATTTGAGTGCGGTTATATGAGTTGACCTACTTTATAAAGTATAGGTGCGTCAAAAAATTTCAATAAATGACTAATGAATACTTACAATACATTAATTCAACAGTGGAATAGAGAATAGAAGAAAGTCATGTAAAAATAGTAACAGAAACTGTGATGATCCCTTTTATTTTCGCTAAACTTATTCAATTTTCCAAAACAGTACCAATATGAACCACGATATCCAATAATGGCTCAAGTATTGGAGAAGACGGTCTGCATACATCCAATCCATATTATTCGTTACAGCAGCAATGAAAGGTATAACGACATTTCCTTTGCAATTAGCGTAAACACTTATCCAATGTTATTGCTGTACATCATGCAGTTACCCCTATTTGCGGAAGGTATATACCACAACATAAAACGATATTCTGGTTTTCTTGACATTTGCTGTACACAATCCAGCGTACCGGCTCTGTAAATGGATAACAAATCAAGACGCATCGCCATACATATAAAAGACACAGGGTACATTTACATATATTTGTGAAATGGCCTAGACTCTTGCTCGGTTTCAAAACACAGGCTAGTATCCAAGAACCTTTTTATTATAGGCTTCAATGAAAGCCATAAAACTACCATTTAAACTAAAGTTTTCTTTTCTGCACGTACGTCACAGACATTTTGAATTCTACCTTCACGAAAGGAGCAGAAAACGAGGTATTTTGATTGAATTTATTGCCAAACTTTAAAACGAATAAGATAGAAACAAATTTACTGAAGCCTTAGTGGAAACTATTGGGGTTTCACGGAACTTCATCGGCAAGAACAAAACAAAAGATGATTAGTGGGATATATATTTCTCTCTCTTTTAAAGGAACAAGAAGCGAAATGCAGAATGTGTATAAGATAAAGATATGGATTCAACAGGTTTAGACGCCACTATTTCTGAGTTTGTGGCTACCGCGCGCGAAACTGATAGGAATTAACTTGTTCAATTGCACACGAGCAAGTACTTGTAAATCTGTTGCTGCTAGAACCAAAAGGAAAGATGTAGACCTTGCTGCATCCATTACAATGCTAATTAAAACGCCTGCATCTTCTTGCACGGAATACTTATCCTCTCCTGGTTTGACAGGTTGAGGAATGAAGTGTGCTTCACTAGGATAGCAATATGGTTCGGACCAACTTGCCACTACAGATTGTTTATGAATGTCCTTGTTATAAGAAATGGATTGGATGAGCTTTTGTTAGCTTATTCAGCCGAGCAAAGGAATTTAGTGACTCTATACATCTTGCAATACTATATACTTACAATTTTGACAATGCTATCCCAGATTCTACCTTCTTTGATGGAGTTTTCAGGAGTGAAACCGAGGCCGTAAATAAAGGAATACGACCTCATCTTATAATAAGGATTCACTTGGGGTAGTTCCAATGTCGTATCTATCAGTTCCTCAAATCCGATCACTGGCATCCAAGCATGCCATCCACTATTGCCGATACTATTGGCTCCATCTTCCGATGACGAGGTAGAAGAACGGGACTGTCTGCCTGTCACATAGTTCAAAACAGAACTGATACGGGAAGTAATGCTAGTTGCCGACGGAATAAATGAATTGTTGGCAAGATAAGTAGCATGTGCGTCCATATCAGGTCGATTCAGCGTATACCGACGCACTTGTGAAAAGGCCAATTGTCCCATCTTTTCGGGATGACGTAAATTATCGGTCGACAGTTGATGGGCAATTTGATCGTTCTCATAACAGACGATATCGACCATTACATTGCCTTGCATATCTTCAAAAGCATTGACATGATTAAGAGAGAATGAAGCGGGAGCTCTATAACAGGCAATCACAGCTTTTTCCTTACGAGAAATGACATAGAATAAAGTGGGCTCAGAAGAATAAAAATTGAATGAGTCGAGAACACTTTCAGACCATGCGAATTTGACAGCGCCAGTATTGGCTAACATAGGGTGAATAACCATAATGATGTAATTGAGTGTTAAGGCAAAGTTGTTGACCCAACCAGTGGGAGCGTCCCAAATGGTCGCAATGATATTTCCTTTGGGCTCTTGTTCCGTAACTGAGAAGAAGTGGTATTTGGTGGACCTGTACCCTATCTCCATGGTAAAGTTGATGTATTCACCGCTTTCTGGGTCGTATTGACCATTTGGACAGGAACTGTAGCCCTTGAAGTTAGGATTGATTTCATTCCAGGTTTGAATACGTGAGGGTTTAAGATCGAAAGGGTCCAATTCAAGAACCTAATTTAAGGGTATATAGGTGAGACTATGATGAGACACACATATCCGCAACTCAACTATCTTGTCTTACATGATTAGCAAAGTTTTGGCAGAATAGTCTACCATCCACACCAGGCAACTGAGTAAGAATACGTTGACCACAGGGAACGCGATCAGCTTTCAATCTTTTACCAGTGTCCATGAATTTGATCAGCACAGTTTGGTTAGAATCTGTTTTGAACAAACCACCAGGATAGTTAGGCGCAAATCCATGGTGGTCACGGATCTTTTCAATCAAGCGTTTGTTTGGTAAACGATGGCGATAAGTAACTGAATTTCTTTCACCGTTAAAATCAAAACGATTTACTAAAGGAATTCTATTTTAAGAGGAACATGCATTAATACTAAATTGACAGCATTCACTCTACTGTCTATAAAGAGCCTTAAACGTTACGCATCAAACCAATGACCAAATGTGAATGTAGCTGTCGCACTCTGTAATACACCGTCCACTTCAATTTTGCGAGTGTATCTTACATCGTAGGTACCGGGACCGACTGTATAATGCTCACCGACTAACCATTCTGGCAATTGGCCCTCAACTACTAAATCAACAACCTCGTTCGAGTCGCCAGTATTATAGAAACCCTATTCATATCCCATGTTAGTAAAGAATCAATCGTCAGAATGCTGTTCAGCAACGATCGAGATGAAAAGGAATGTGGGGTCACTGTGCTGTTGAAATCTACCTTGGCATGAGAAACGTCAGAATCGACTGGTTGTTCAATTACAGGAGTAGCTGTGTTAACAGCACTGTTAGCTACATCGCTTACGACTGATTGTGTCTCGTGAGATTCTTGTTGTGATGGTAAAGCCGTAGTTGTGTCATTTTGCTCGTTTATCAATAAAGCCTCATTGGTATCACTCGTACTGTCATCAACAAGTTGAGCTGTCATACTAGAAGTTTCAAGAGGGTGATTATCGGCTACAACTTCTGGCATTTTTACTGATTATTTATTATGATATCAACTTTTGTTCCCTTCCCTTACTGCTTGAATAAATTAGTAGGGATAGAAACAAGAAAAATAGAAGAACAAGATGATTACAAGAATGAATATGTCTCAGTTGTTTGATTGAAAAGTCCGCCTGCCATTATTGATTAACCCTTATAAAGACTATGTGTTTAACTCACTTTGACATTCTACTTTCCTAAATAATCTTCACAGCATAGAGTCAGAATATTCAATCTGTAAATTTTGAGACTCTTTCGAAGCCCAATGTCAGAGCGCAATAATACGTGTACAATTAAACAACAATGCGGCTTAATGAGATGCAAAGAATTATGAGTTGAAGTGGATAGCTCTTTTCCGTGACAGTATCCCTTCACCCAAAAATGTTCTAACACTATGAATCAGACAAGAAGTGACGTAGGATACGAAGATCGCGTTCGAAATGTCTCACAGAATGACGCGCTGTCAGTTTATGCTTACTGATTATCAAGCATTTTGTCGTATTCAGTCTTTTCTTCTTCAGAGACCTCGCAAAAACCTACTGACACTCCTGTAATCCTTGCCTCTCATTCTTCGTAACCCTCCACCGAGGAAGATTATTGACTGTATTATACTGAGTATGCATTGATGAGTACCATAAGTAAATTTTGGAGTGCATTTATTAAATATACTATCTTGGTTTCTTTCATCTTCAGTCATGGCTTAAGTGACTGATGCCACTTGTCTCATTTCAACGTTCCTGTGTTTGCACATACACATCGCTTATTTATTGCAATACCTATTCGTGTGTTAAAAACCTGAGTCCTTTAGTAGATGTAGTCAGAACAATATTCGAACATGAGCAAAGCGATTTTCCCTTTTTCAAAAGTCTTGTACGAGTTTTCGTGTAGTTAGATAATGAAATGTGTTCTTTACGAAGAACTATAATAAGCAAGTGAGATATGATACCAAGACTAGAATGTTTATACAAAACCATTTCAATAAACTCAAGGTATATAACGATAATACAAAAACTTGCTTCTTTATTTTCTTTTGGGCGAGTCTATCAATTCTAAAAAGCTTTCTTTTAGCTTCGTCAATTTCAAGAAAATTTCATTGACTACTGACAGGGTCAACTACGTGAAAGTAGAAAGCCGTCTGACCCCTAACCCCCCCAGAACCCAATAAGATCTTCTGTTTGCATCCCTTTCAGAATGTTTTACTCAGGCAGAAGAGATCCCTCAGAACCCAACACTACTTCCGAACCCACTCCCTTTCACTAGCGTTACTCAGGCGGAAGCAGCGACCCTTTGATCCGTATTTCTATTTGCAACATCTGAGGCATACTTGCATACATCCTCAAATATAGAAATCGGGTTCTGATCAACTCCCTTACCTTCCCAGAGTAGGCAAGAACGGAAGTGACCCCCGCTGAAAGCATACGCTTAAACTGAACCGCACCAGCGCCGGGCAGGACATTGATCACCGTTGTCATCTCAAGCAAATCGGACCAAGCCAGATACGATTTACAGCGAAGAACAGGCACAACATTAAGCGTGACTTACAGATCTACAGACAAACGTATCCAGATCGACAGTAATAGTGACAGTTCGTATACACATAACATCTAGACTCGAGACAACCGCTAGCCCCGGCGCTTCCGTCTATCTGCCAAAAAATCACCTGCTTAACCCGAAGGAAGAGAAAACTATGACAGACCAATTGGGACCCAAATTGTGCATTACATGTATACTAACAAATCGTACCCTCAGGGTCCTCCCCCAATATATCGAAGTATATTGAGCTACTGAAGGGCGCTATACAACATCCAGTGGCGGAATGGTGCGACAGACCCTCCTAGATGTGCATAGAAGCTTCACCCTAATACGGCTATGTTACGATCCGGGAACCCCGCCAAACTACCATCCCCGAATTTACGCGGAATTCTGAAGAGAAGTAAAGGGCATAGACAGATCAAAGATGATCGGTCACTATTACGACTACGAGGCAATGCCTATATTAAGGGAGGCGGGACTTCAACTTGCAAGAGATTCGATCGCAGGATAAGAAACAGTTTTTTGAATTAGTTTTAAGTAGAAGTAAGCAAAATAAAGAAGAAGAAAAAAAGTGGGAGGGAAGAAAAAACTGAACGTGTAGCTGATCTGATTGACGGTACTGAAGTATTGCTGAACAATCTGCTGCGACACTGGAGTAATGACCGATTGGATTGCTATCAAAAGGCTGTGGATTGGCTTTCTAGAGATGAGGTTGCTGAGTACTGAATAATGAAGAAAGAGAAAAGGGAAAAAGGGGGGGGGAAGTGCAAAAAAAAGCTTTGTTTATATATTTGGCGTACAGAAAACAACATTCCTTCAAGGGGCGAGATTGTAGAAAGCAAGGAGACAGCGTCTGCTGACGTAGGAAAGCACATCTGTGGGAATATAATAACTTTTCGTTTTTTCTGGAAATGAGTTAATTGCTCAACCATTTTACGTGCATCTTTATACTGTGAATGACTATGTAATGTATAGTCAATCTTCTAAGATAGAACGGTTTTACAAGACCTACTACTATTCTCAGCGAATATAATAAGCATGTTCATATTTAAAGCTTCTTTTTGACGTGCCTGACTGTTTATCTCAAGTTGAACCTGCTTGTAAATGCTCCTTAGCGTGAGCAGGTTTAAAAACAGACTTGGTACAGATTACAAACACTAGCAGTTGTATCTTCCAAAACTCTTCTGTTCATGAAATTTGTTGAACAATATATAAAATAAGCAAGTTGATGGTTTTGAGATTCATATTTAAAAAAAAAACAACAACAAGCTTTTGGAACAGATGCAATCTATCGCCCTTGCTACTTCAATAAGTCGTTAACAATGCTTTGACTATTATCAACCAAGGTGTATCTGCAACTTTACTACCAAAAGAATCTTCTTTTTTGTCACAAAATGATTTCTACTAAGGATAAGGATCGGTTGAAAACTGACAAGTCATTAGACTAAGTCGTACTATCTATATAAAACAAACGGCAGCACATTGAACTGCTTTTCATTGACCCTATCAATTGCCAGTTTTCCAAAGTAACTTTGATCGGAACACAAAAGGTGGGGCGAGATACAAAAACTTTTGCATTTTCGGAAAGTTTTATTTCCTTTTTCCAAAATTCTGCTCAATGTCAAAGAAACAGCCATTAGAAGGATTGACAGTTAGAATTTTCGACCCTCCATCTTCCGAAGATCGCTCAAAGCAACAACCCACTAACAGGGGCAGTCGTGGGTACCGAGAATACACTGAGCAGATAGGTAAAAATGCATATGTTATAAGTACCAATGAAAGGATACCAGTGCATTTACAAACACTTTTGCAGGCTCAGACAAGTTAAAGTACAGTGTTCATAAGTGGAACAAAGATGACACTCAAGCGAAAAAGCCTTCAACGAACACAGAAGGCTTGAGGAAGTCAACAAAGAATTGGGACGCACTACCTGAAGTAAAAGTACAAGATTTATCACTTGTGAGTAGACTGGATTCAGATAAAGCAAGCATCAGGTCAGAACGTGAAAAAGCAACGGGAAGAGATATTTGAGTAAAAAGAGACGGAAAAAAAAAAAGGAAGATCACTTTAATATTGATATTCAAAATAAACTTATTCTCTAATGATGTCGAATAGTTTAAAAAATGTTTCGCTACAATATGAATTGTATGATCATATAAAAGAGAAGGTAGCTTATTCATTCGAAAGCCATTGCATTATTTTAATTATTGATGATTTGTTCGTTGTCCAAGGTAGCCCATATAAACGATGATGAGACTGTACTAGAAGATGACGATAGGAAAAAGAAATGGGATCCAGTGGTGGACTTATTGCGAAAGCTCCGAGAGGGTATTTATTCATCACATTGGAGCGATGGAGATTATCCATTTGCTATAAAGGGTTCGTGCCAGCTATTACTACAATGTGTGAATTTCTGAATGCATTAAAGTTTCTTACTGGCCTTTCTTACAGTATACGAATTGTCAGCAGATTGCTCTATCAAAGCTGAAAGATATGAGGAGCTATATAAAATCTTAAATGGGCTGACGAACGATTTATACAAAAAGAAAAAGGTAATACCAAGAACAACTTGGAACTGTATTATTGTTGTTGCTCATACTCGATTCATGTAGGAGTCTAAAAAGGAATACTATATCGCCTTGGATATCATCTACCATTGCTGTTACCATCAAAACCTTACAGTAGCTTTGGAAAGGACTTTACAACTATCACAGACGACGAATGAGGGTCGCTTTGGCAGACAGTTACTGAAGGCAGTAACAATGCATAATACGCTGGCTTATTTTCGATTATACCACCACAATCCTTATTTGACCTTCAAAATTTTAATGAAGAACCATAATGATTTTATGTGCAAGAAAGCACTTCAAATTATGAGAAAATCGTACTTATCCAGTCCTATTGCATGGATTGGGCAATGGATAGGTGAACATGACGGCAATACTATCATCAAAAAAATGGATCGCTTGATACAACCCACTTGTATTAAAACAATTGACTATGATAGACAAACAATCCATTTTATTAAAAATTTCAAATAAAATGTGCCATCCCTATTGATTGCTTATAGGCCACCATTGATCAGAATGAGGACGGTTGAACATAGGATAGGGCAGTTCCTTTGACATTCAGTAGTGTTGAAAAGTTCGCTCCTCGTCTATTGTTCCTGGAAAGAAAAGTACTGAATTCAACAGTCATGAAAAGCAGTCCAACGTTTGAAAATGCACGGTTATTAGGTTTCTTATGAAAAAGAAATCATTTGCTGTTCAAACTCTTTTGACAGTGAAATCAGGCCAGTGAATCAGTATGAGGCAGCAATTCAATAAGAATGGAGGCTTCAAAAAGCATAAGCCAACACCTGGCTCTACTTTACCAGCCGCTATGCAAGAAGAACTCAATGAACAAGGTATTATAAGCTGTTTAGGTTACTTTTTTACAAGTATAAATTTCGAACATATTTCCTGCTTTTAGAAAAGGACGATCGTAAGTTCGCTAAACGTTTTACTGTCAAGATCGCCAATCGTAAAGAATTAAGAAAGCAAAAAAGACAAGAGAAAGGCAAAAGAAATGCAAGCTATCATCAACGGAAACGACCTTTTGAAGACAATAGAAATCAAAATAATGATCGTAATAAGCGTCAAAAGAAAGAAGCAACAACTACAACAACAGCTGCTGCAGCTGCAACGACACAATCAAATAAACAATCAGATACCCACAACAAGAAGCAAAAGAAAGAGTTGATAAAAAAGAATAGCAAAAAAGAAAAGTCTTCTGCCGAAGCAATGAATCGACTATCAAAGACAAATCCCGGCCTCTATCAACTCTTGAAATCAGATAATCTTTTGGAAAATAGCACTCATTCAGGACAGGATGTTGTGGATGACGAAGACTTTGCCAATGACGATCGCGAAATTGCTTATTTCGAAAAGAAGCTAGGATTAAATAAGAAAAAAACCAAGAAGCTTGGTAAAGATTTTGAGGACGACGGCTTATTAGACGTCTTAGGCAATATTGCGGGGGATGATGCAGAGGGTGAAAGTGCTGTTGATGATGAAGAGTATCTTAGAAATAAGAGACAAAAGGCTCTGGAAAAGCAAAATGCTTCAAAGATGGAAAAACAAGCCGAGACTGTAAATTAAAAAGATGATTTGTTTGCACAGCAACATAGATTTTAATTGTATCCTTTACCTTATTCACACGCTACGATAGGCTGTTGATGATATATTTGAAGGATTAGAGAGTGGCGATGATGATGAAGATATAGAAATGAGTTCGGAATCAGAGAATGAAGATTCAAAAACAACGAGCGAAGATGAAGAAAGCAATATGGAAGAAGCAAGTGAAGAAGAAGAAATCAGCGAAACAGATGAAGAAGCAGTACTTATTGACGAAGACGAAGTTGATAGTGATGAAGCAGCGATAAATGAGGAACTAGACGATATTTCCGATGAGGATAACATTGCGAAGGAGAACGAAGAAAAGTCAGTAGATTCCGCAGAGACAACAAAAAAGCAGCTTCTAGCAAAATATGTCCCTCCACATTTGCGAAAAGCAGCAAGCGGAAAATCAGAAACACAACTACGATTGCAAAAGCAGTTGCAAGGTCAACTCAACAGATTGAGTGAAAGTAATGTGGAAAGTATCCTGTTGGAGATTGAAAAATGCTATGGCTCTTATCCTCGACATGGTAAAGTAGTAGACTTATTTTTGAAGCATCTTTTCCAGTAACCTTCTGTTGCTCATCGTTCTATATATCCTATACAGATGTTACGTCCACATTGACTGATATTATTCTCACCTCTATTTCGCAAAAGACAAATCTATTGGATTCTTTTGTTATCACTTACGCTACAATCGTCGCTAGTCTTTATCGCTTGATTGGTATTGAATTTGGTAAGCAATGGGTCTTTTCATGTTTGATCAGACGAAGAAATATGTGTTACTCATTTAAAGCCTACGTTACCTTTTTTTTAAATTACTAATGCAAATAGCTGCACACTTTGTACAAACTTTAATCGAATCCTTTGAAAGGGAATACAGCTCATGGAAAGAATCCAATGATTCAGGGAATATAAATGAAGAAGAGGGTCCTTCAGGTGCGCGACAATCCAGGAATCTTCTGACACTGACTTTAGAATTGTACAATTTTGAGGTTCTATCTTGTGTTATCATCTATGACTTGGTCCGCCTGTTTATTAGTAACCTTGACGAGAGCAGCGTTGAATTGTTACTCAAAACGATTCGAAGTATGTATATCACCAAAGCTTTATGTAATGCAGGAAAACTGATCGTACTTAATTTGAATAGCTGCTGGTCCTCAAATGCGTAACGATGACCCTGCGTCCCTGAAACAAATCATTGAGGAGATACAAAAGGAAACAGCCAAACGTGATCCCAAGAATATCTCGTAAGTGGGAAAAGAAAAAGAAAGAGGGATTTACCTCGAGCACATTGCATGAGTTGCTTATCATCAAACTCTGTCTGTATTGTAGTACTCGTCACAAATTCATGCTTGAAACGATTAATAATATCAAGAATAACAAGATCAGACAAGGCCAAGTCGCAGGTGGACAAGGTGATAAAGAGATGGTCCAAAAGATGAAAAAATTCTTGAACGGCCTCGCGAAAAAACGTTCTGTACGTAGTACAGAAGCTTTACGTGTTAGCTTGGATGATATCCATAACGTGGAAACCAAAGGTAAATGGTGGTTAGTCGGTGCCTCTTGGAAAGATAATCTGGTCGGTACAGAGAGCAAATACACCTCCTCAAGCAAAGTACCTGAAGATTTGAAGAAAGACCGATCTTTACAAGAAGCTTTGCTAAAACTTGCCAGAAAGCAAGGTATGAATACAGACATCCGTAGAACTATTTTTGTTACCATCATGAGCGCAGAGGTAAATGAAAGCATAGTGTTGTTCATTGTGTTCTATTCTGTAAAAATGTTATTCATCGATATATTTTTGTTTTTAGGATTATTTGGACGCCTTTGAGAAACTAATGAAGTTGGGATTAAGTGAAGTACAACAACGTGAAATTTGCCGCGTTATGTTACAGTGCACAGGAAATGTAAGGATTTATGTAAAACGATGTTACAAAGAAACCCTTCATGCAATTTGAAACCTTAACATATCTTTGGTTCTCTCTTTTTTTTTTTGTTTTTGTTCATTAGGAAAAGACGTTCAACCCATACTATATGCTTGTGAGCAGGCGACTTTGTGAAGTGGATCATTCTTTCAAAATTACATTCCAATATTGTCTTTGGGACTTTTTACGTGAATGCGGCGAGACTGAAGTGGGTGGCCTAGAACGTACAACAGCTGAAAACCATGTCGACGATGATAATGCTAAACAAATTCGTTTAAGCAGACTAGCAAACCTAGCAAAATTTTATGCAGCTCTTATTGCAGAAGGCGCGCTAACTTTGGCTGTATTGAAGAGTGTTAATTTCATGTCTGTGCGACGTAACGGTCGTATCTTTTTGGAAATTCTCTTTGCTCATCTATTTCTGCAGTTACATGCAAGTGGAGCTCAAGCAGTTGCCAACGTTTTTGGTAAAATCCTGGATTCTCGTACATTAGCACAAGGGTGTAATTTCTTTATAGCAGAATCTGTTGTTAATGCCAAACACACAGGATTGAATGAAAACGAGTTAGAAAAGGTTCTGTGGGGTTGTAAGATAGCTAGAGAGATTCTTAGCAGTAGTAGTCGATAGTAGACATGCATCTTTTTTAATGAATTAAAAGCCCTACCCTTTCTCAAAAAAAGAAAAATGTCATCAGCTTATGTAAGTTTATTATTTCGTATGATCGCTAATGTGATACGTTACTTAGAACTCGATTGAACTACTTAATATCAAGGTTCTGTCACTACAGTAAGGGTTTTTATCCTTTCTTGGGCTATATTGCAATAGTTGAATTTTCTTTTTTTTTTTTTTTTGAAAATTTGTTCAAAGCTGTAACCACTATTAAGTAAGCTTGTTGAGAAATTCCCAAATTTCCTATAAAGAGCCTTTACACGATTATACAGAACTTTTTCTTCTTATTTCTCTTCGCTAGCTCTTCTTTCATTATTCAACCTTTATATAATTGACAACAATTGGTTTGTAATCCGAAACGATGAGAAGCATAGTATTGACTACTTTAGCTGCTACATTTGCAGGCCTTGCAGCTGCTTATAATGTAAGGACATGTATTCTTCAATAGTCGAGAAATGCCAATTACTATATAAACTCACATACGTTTTACTTATTAGAACGAATGCAATAACAATATTGTGGAATGTAAGTAAAAGTAACAAGTCCATCGCTATAAGGAGATTTACTGATATTCTATGTTCCGTCAGATTGGGGACAAAACTCTTACGGTGCTGCTAATGGCAATGATCCTTCAGGATGGCAACAGCCGCTCAGGTTCTATTGCAATGATGACACAGTCGACGTTTTACCTATTGCTTTCTTGACAACCTTTTTCGGCAAAAATGGTGAGCCTGAAATCAACTTGGCAAATGTAAGAATTGACGGTCCTCTCTATTTGAATTCTACTTCCTGGACAAACTATCGTTGTTACTGACTCGAGCCTTAGTATTGTAATAGTGTGGATAACGCTACCTTTCCTGGCAGCAACTTGGCAAATTGTCAAAACTTGTCGAGTGATATTGAATATTGTCAAAGTAAAGGCAAGTTGGTCACTATTTCATTGGGTGGCGCTACTGGCGGTGTTGGTTTCCAATCGGATGCTCAAGCGTCTTCATTTGCTGATACCCTGTGGAATTTATTCTTTGGCGGTAAATCTAACACACGTCCCTTTGGTGACGCTATTCTGGATGGCATTGATCTCGATATTGAAGGTGGTGGACCCAACCGTAAGTAACACTGTCAACGCTTTATTGGAACCAGATCTGACCTCAAATTCCCCCTTTTTTTTATTTTTTGGACCTGTTACCCCTGAATCGGCAATGAAACAAACAAAATCAAGATTATGTAACCTTCCTTAACAAGCTAAACGGTTACTTTAAATCGGCGTCCAAGAAATATTACGTAACAGCCGCTCCTCAATGTGTTTATCCTGATGCCAACCTACAAACGACGTTGAACGGCTATCCCTTCGACGCTGTTTATGTACAATTCTGTAAAGTATTAGCTCTCATGAAAAACAAAAAGCACTTATATGACGAGGAGTGATCCTATACTAATGTTTCGTATGTATACATAAATGCTGTATTAGATAACAATCCCTGTGGTCTTCAAAATTATAATTCTGCCTCTCAGTGGAATTTCGGTATTTGGGACCTTTGGGCTCGTACAGTTTCTCCTAACCCTAATGTCAAAATCTACATCGGTGCCCCTGCTAGTTCTTCTGCTGCGGGCGGAGGATACGTAGATGCTGCTACTTTGTCAAAAATTGCCGTCAACACTCGTAACAGTTTCCCTAGCTTTGGTGGTGTTATGTTCTGGGGTAAGAACTCAGTAAAATGATGTAGTAAAAATGGGGAGAATTAACGCATATGCTCTTGTACGCTCTTGTAGATGCCTCTCAAGCCTATAAGAACAATCGAATTGATAATACAGTAAAATCTGCTCTTGCTTCTGGAAAGCGATGTGACGGAGGCTTTACCTATCCTGCTTGTACTGCACCTGCTTACTCTGCTGGCACTATGTATCCTGGCGGTACAACTGTTTCTTACAAGTAAAGTATATTGCGTTAACAGGTCCACCTTTTCTTTTATTTGCCGCTGATACCTAACTCCCTTTTCCCTTTTCTTTTTTATAGTGGGTAACTATTTTAAATGCTTTTTAACCAACAAGTCATCAATAGGCAATGGATGACTAACTATTTAAACTTTTATATTTTCGATCCCTTACAGCTATATGTGGACTGTAAGTATAACCTGTCAGGGGCATTGCTTTAAGAATTAAACTTGACTCTCACCATTTGCATTCCGTTTGATAGGCTAAATGGTACGCATCTTCAGCACCCTCCAATAATGTCAACAGTGACTGGTCTCCTAGTATGTATCTCTTTTAATACAGGCAACCCGCTTTGGCAAATGACTAATTGACAACATTCTATTCGAAACCTACAGTCAGTGCTTGTTCTGGTTCAGGAGGCTCCGGCCCTACCACTACCACCAGTGCTAGCAAGACTACTACTACTACTACCAGTACTACCACTACCAGATCGTCTATTACTACCACTACCACAAAGACATCCACGACAACCACATCTGCTACTCCTACTACTACTTCTACAGGCGGTAACTGTGCAGGTGTGAGTGCTTGGTCTTCCTCTAACATCTATACAAATGGTAATAGGGTAACTTATCAAGGAAGTCTCTGGCAAGCCAAATGGTGGACTCAGAACGATGTTCCTGGCGGTCTTGCTGATGTTTGGACTAATTTAGGATCTTGTTCATCCTCCCTCAAGCGTAGACGCAGCAAGAGGAGTTTGAGGCGTTCATTCTAGAAATAAGGCTTCCATATCTATAGTTCTTTTTTTATGAAACTGTTAGATAATATCCATTTTATTAGCAACTCTATCTTTCTTTGCACAAACTTTTATCATTTTTTTCTATGAATCGTTTTTGCTTACACTACGATATTTATACATAAACTGATCGTTCAATCGAATGCAGACATAAAATCTGTCCCAATTTATCTGGCATGTTCAAAATTCAGGCATCGCTTTTGAAACCTGAGGGACATCACCCGCGGACATTAGAACGCGAAAAAAGATCGACGCTGAGCTCTAATACAGAAGCAACAGCAATGAAAAATTTATGCAATCCGTGGTTATCTAGATAGAAAGAGTGTGAGGCAAATCTCTTGTTTCCTTAGAATAGAGACGTATAGGTTTTCCGACAAAGAGTAGCTGTATATACGTTGTTTTATTCGTTGATTGTGCACCGCAATCTTTGAAATAGAAAGACAGGGACGGGAAAAATGTTGATCATTTTTCTAAAGCCGCCCAGATGTCATCATCGTCACATTGCAAACAATTCTATATTTGGTACTGATGGCATCCAAACTATACATTGTTTGTGGTAGAAAAAAACAAAAGAAAAAAGAAATCGACATTATTTATTATTGAATGATTATCAAGAGGATGTATAAATAAAACAAAAAATAAAGAAGAAGAACAAGTTAAAAAAAGGCTCATGAAATGTTATATCGAAAGTTTTCCTTTTTTCTCAGTGCAGTGTATATCTATGTATGCGTGATGGTCTATTGTACAGAGGTATGATGCTGCTGTGTTTCAGAAGCCTTCTCATCACAACCTTTCCCTTTCTATGACATACTTTCAACTTTATAAGTTGCTTGGACTTTCTACTAGTTGGCCAAGGATATGCACTATGTCTTCACTATGCTCGACACAGTATTTGGCTAATGTAATTTTCGATAGTGGTCCGACTGAAATACTGAAAGCATTTTCGTCTTCCTTAAGCACTTGAAACATATCTTCATCTGTCTGATCGTCTCCCGCACACATCACAAAGTCTATCGCTGGCTGTTGTTGTTTGATACGTTTGACAACCTCACCCTTATTCACTAACAAGGATCTTACTTCCAAATTCATTTTGCCAATCAAAATATCTACACCTGGAATTTGCAGTAATTCTTCATGGCATAGTTTAGATTGTTTTTCACTAAAAAAAAATGCAAGTATTTTTAAAACACAAACAACGATATGCACAACTATGAACATGCGTGTGCAGCAAAGTAAACCACGTGTGTCTTCTTACGCTTCAATGGTATCAAGTGCATTGCGGTAATGCCAAGTTATAGAAGATTTCTTCTGTTCAACAACAGTGCCTGGGTTCGCCTGGGTATATTTTTGAAAAATCTGCAAGGCGATATTTTTCCATGACATATCTGCATCCTTCAACATGTCAACCCAATCATTTAATCCCGCCTGTTTCATGAAAGAACCGTGTTCCGCACTCAGCCCTAAACGAGGAATTTTCCCAAGCCAAGTGTCTAAAAATCTCTGATCTCTGCCGGAAATGACCCAAACGGTGTTGGAGGGATCCTTACACAGTTGTGAAAGATATTGCAGTAACGTTGGTGTAGGTTGAGCATCTTCAGGATTTCGAACAATGGGTGTTAGCGTGCCCTATAATAGATGACAAATTTTTGTGAGTGAGAAAAGAAGACTGAGATGGGTTGACGCAATGTATAAAATGATGGCTACTTTACATCGTAATCGAATAAGAAGAGTCGGTTTTTCGCATTTTTGTATACACTAAGCAACGCTGGTGTACTGAGTGGTTGCGTTGTCTTCCAAACCATATAATTGATAATTTATAGGTGAATTTGCGAAAAGTAAAAAAAAAAAAGTGAAGAGCAAAAGAGAGAGAGAGTGAGTCAAAGAAGAAAAAGTCAGATAGAAGTTCAGCAAGTAGTGGAAAGGAAGAGGATCGTCGTAAAATCTACCAAATTAAACAAGTCCTTCCCCTCCATGTCACTGTTGTCTATTTTCCGTCGATGACATTGTTACTTACGAGTACGTTGTTCAATACTTTGGCCACTCCAGCATAATCAAGAATATCCACCCTGATCTGCTTTCTTCCTTCTTCTTGTAAAGAAGGAGTAGAAGAGCAAATGGTATTGTAGGACGAGATCAACGTAGGGGTATCGAAGAGCTGCGTATCAGCTGATACTATCGAATCTTTGCTCAAAGCGATTTTCAAGGCAGCCAAAGACGCCAATGTGTCTCGTGTTTCTTTATCCAAACAGTAATAAAAATAGACACTGCTGTGATGATTATTCAAGGTCACAGGCGTTTTGGTGAAAAAAATCAGAGCTGTTTGGCCAACCCACTCAGGGAATTGTAACAAAAATTCATCATAAACTGAAAGAACATTTTGTACAATTGCTGTGTCACTGTCATAGCAAACAATGAGTCGTTTAGCAAAAAAGTTATCTTTTGTTGGACCGATGTTGCTGTTCAATTGTTGTTGTGGCTGTGCCGTGATGATAGAAGTAGGGGACATGGGAGCTATAAAGTATAAAAAACGAAGAGCAACAGGAAGAAAAACAGTTGCTAGAGGACTCTATTTCTTTTTTCATTTGTATTTTTGGCTGAATGTTGTGAAGACAAAAAATGCTGTGATATCATTTCTTTAAGAATGATGCTTTTGCTGAGAAAGGAATGATCCAGACGGAGACAAAAAAATATGACATTCTTGGCCTCGCCATACATAAAGTTGTAGCGCATTACATGAAAAGCAAAGCACTTAGCATACTGACCTGTTGAAGTCAGCTTCGTCGGTGTTCGTTTTTGATTAGATTATTCCTGAAATGGTAGCTATTTTCAATTCGCACAGATAACTGTATCGAACTCTCTAACCAGCAATTGGCCAAATGTACACTTTACTAAATACTTTTGCTGGCATAATCAAATATTACAGAAACTCACGCTAGTTGTACGCAGCTCTATATTACTCTTTGCTACATGGAAATGGAACAAGAGGTTATATCCTTCCGTGTCGCTCCTTTATCTCCTATCTTCCCTCGCCTTTAACCACCTTGTGTAAGCAATGATTAATATACGGTATTTTTGTGACTCTATTATTGTTATCGCTTTATTGCATGAGTAAAGCCGGTATTACCATTGGGGTCTCCGAAGGTCTTCCTTGTTGCTGCTCACTGCATAGCCCCACGAGATCAAACACCTTTCAAAAATCTTTATCAAAAGTATATCTAAAACTTGTGAACTTACTAAAACAAATATACTCATCGATATGATAAAGTAACTGTAAGGAAAATTGGCACAAAGCAACATGCTGATCCCCAGGAACCAATGATTGCATATGCTACTGTGTTTGTTTGTTTTTTCCACGTCATTGCAAACACTGAATGATCCTGAGTTTTCTAACAGTACAGTCTTGAATTTATAATCTTCGTTCATGTTTCAGCTATAGTCCTTGTAATAGCTTAAAAGGGTTCATGTCATGACAGTATCAAAACGAACGGAACATTTCACTCTGTCTCCGGAATTTCATGGTTCACCAAGCACAAACAACTGCTGAGCATTTGATAAAGACGACATCAATACATGATAGTAGCTTAGTAGTACTACCTATTCTTACAGTTACAAAAGCAGTCCATAGTAGAGGCTTAAAGCATTCTTTACTTTCCTACTTCTCAAGTAGTTCCCTCTCAGCATACCGCACAGTCTTCTAGCTGTAATTTAGAAGTTACCCCTTATTTATGCTGTTCTTATAGCAAAAAGCTCATTTGTCATATTATTTTCGCTTTTATCATTTAGTTGAAACTATTTCCAAGTATTCAGAATTAGCAAAACAATGTTGGTTTTTATTCCGAACCTTCAAAAAGTAACTGGAATCATTTACGTTAATTGAATCAATATAGTAATTGATTACAATTGATATTTATTTACAAAGCAAAAACTCTCGTGTTGAAGTGCTTCGTAAACAAGAGTTTAATAAGCATTTCAAGAAAACGCTAGGCACAAAAACTTGTTACAAAACTTCTCTACCCCGAACTTTGTGCATATGAAGCGGCTGACTGTTGACTATTAGTGGTATATTTTCTCATAACTAACAGATATAACATTTATACGTTAGTTTTACCACTACCACATGTTTGACTTCAAGCTCTTTTAGCATGATTCAAAATTGCTTCCAACGGATAGCTCGCTACTTAACTAGGCGTTAACACGGTTAGCACATTTGACAAAAGAACATTCCAATAGCCATCCGCTTTTGGGCTTGCTAGAATAGGGTAGCAACATCAATAGCCCAAACACAAAAACAAGAGGTCATGCAAACTCGGTATCTCTTTGCAAAAACCAAGATTGTGTAAAAGCTGACTCTTAGCATTAAGCTGTTGTTATCAATTCTTTGAAGGTGACTAACAACGGTAACACCTGTATACAGCGGGCACATCACTCGATGTCTATCAAAAATAGAGTCCTAGTGATGAGGAAAATGTGCAACAGATCATTACTGAAAAAAAAAGAAGTCTTCAGGAAGGACACTACTAAGCCTAAAAACCAGCCACCTATAAAAGTAGCTAGCTTCTACATAAACATCCTTTGTAATTGAGTATTCGCATGGGATTGAAATTTATTCTTCCCGTAGATTTTCCTACTATATCATAAATTTACGTAGGGATCAATATTCGAAGTATGTGCTCTCTAATCTATTCATACGTTTATTAGAAACCGCAGCCAGAGAACTTTCCCGAATTACCACTAAAAAGTATACTTCTTACATCATACGATCAAAGTAGAAACCAAGTGTCTCTGTGGCACAGTCAGTCTCATTTTATGATTAAGGTATAAGACTATGACGGAATTTGAATTTCTTGTGCGGAGTGTAAACAGGGATGGTACAATTAAGTCTGTTCGACAAAAATGAAGGAAAAAGATTTCCTTTACAGATCTACAACATCGCTGTACCTAGATTTTAGAATGCCTGCCATTACTCCAGCAGAGCTTTCAAAACTCCAAAAGAATACTAAAAATATCAGAAATATTTGTATTTTGGCCCATGTTGACCATGGCAAAACAACATTATCCGATTCACTTTTAGCAACCAATGGTATCATTTCTTCAAAAATGGCAGGCAAAGTCAGATATCTCGATTCTCGAGAAGACGAACAAGAAAGAGGAATTACAATGGAATCGAGTGCGATCAGTTTATATTTCAAACTTGTCAGAACCATCAGTAATAGTGAAGGTTAGAGAGAATCTCAAAGTGTTTCTTTTTGTTCGTCCTTTTTTTTTGGAAATTTTTTTGACAGTTCGACCTTTTTCTGTTCGTTTTGCATTAATTTCATGTCCAAAAGAACCGCAGCAAAAAACAATTGAAAGTCAATATCTCATCAATCTAATTGACTCGCCCGGTCACGTTGACTTTTCTACAGAGGTTTCTACGGCCTCACGTTTATGCGATGGTGGTCTTGTACTAATAGATGTGGTAGAAGGCGTTTGTACGCAGGTAAACAGCGACAACAATTTTGACAAAAAAAAAGTTGGATTGCAATTCATGTGTTTATTGTCTTTGAAATGCAATGATAATAGACTATCTCTGTGTTGCGTCAAGCATGGGTCGATAAAGTGAAGCCAATTTTAGTATTTAACAAAATGGATAGACTGATAGTGGAGTTACAAATGACGCCGCATGAAGCTTATATTCATATCAACAAGATCCTAGAACAAGTAAATGCAGTGATGGCTACGTTTTTCACAGGCGATCTAATGGAAGATGAAGCACGAAAGTTGACAGCAGCAGCTAAGGAGAGAAAAGAGGAAGAGGAAGACGAAGTATTTGACACTAATAAAGTCTATGACTGGAGCATGGAGGAACGCGATGATTCTCACATTTATTTTGATCCGGCCAAAGGAAATGTTATTTTTGCAAGTGCAGTGGATGGCTGGGCTTTCAGGTACACACATATGATGAATAGGCCAGTACATTCTATATCAACTAAAATACCGTGTTTTGTAGGGTGCAACAATTTGCTTCTATTTACGCAAAAAAACTAGGCTTCAAAGAGCAGGTTCTACAGAAATGCTTGTGGGGTGAATATTATTTCGACCCAAAAAACAAGCGAGTCATTCCACCAAAACTATTGAAAGGAAGAAATCTAAAACCAATGTTTGTTCAGTTTGTTCTTGAAAATATATGGGCTGTCTATGGCAGTGTCGTTGTTCAACCGTAAGACAATGTGTACTGATTTAAAGTCATTTATAGCTTTTCATCTGACTATGTTACTGTCATTCCGTTATTATCAATAGGGACCGTGAACGCGTCGAAAAGATTGTTAATGCATTAAATATCAAAGTTTTACCAAGAGATTTACGCTCTCGTGATCCTCAAATTCTCCTTAGCGCTATCTTTTCACAATGGCTGCCTTTGTCCACTTGTATATTGTTAGCTATCATTGGGCAACTACCACCACCCATAGACGCTCAAGCTCAGCGAATCTCGAAAATGTTGCATCCAAACGTCCAGCAAAACGACAACGAACCAATAGAGCCTACCAATGAAGTAGAAAGGGCCCTCTACGCTTGTGATGCATCTGAATCAGCTCCAGCTGTAGCCTATGTCAGCAAAATGTTTGCCGTTCCCGTTGCTCTTCTACCGGAGAATCGTCGTACGCAAATGACCGTTGAAGAATTACGAGAAAGGGGTAGACAACAACGTGCATTAAGAGCTGCTCGTGCACAGCTCGAGCAGTCAGGTGAAGGGATTCCATTAGACCAATTAAATAAACTACAACTGGAAGAAGAAGAAGCAGAATTAAGTCATGCAGAAGGTGAACAAGAAAAGGACCTTACAGGTGAACGCTTGATTGGTTTCGCTCGTCTTTATAGCGGTACAATTCGTGTGGGGCAAAAATTGTATGTGATGGGACCAAAGTATGATCCCGAGCATCCTAATGAGCACGTCTCAGAGATTACAGTCAAGAATTTGTATTTGATAATGGGACGTGATTTGGAAGCTTTGGATCAAGTAAGTGCTGGTAATGTATTCGGTATTGGTGGGCTAGAAGGCCATATTTTAAAAAACGGTACTTTGGCCAGCACGTTGGAAAATGTGCGTAACATGGCTGGCGTTAAAATGGACACAGCTCCCATTGTTCGTGTTGCTTTGGAGCCTGAGGATCCTACAGAAATGGATAAGCTTGTGGAAGGCCTTCGTCTTCTGAACCAAGCTGATCCTTGTGTTGAAGTCTTACTTCAAGAAACTGGCGAACATGTCATTCTAACAGCTGGTGAACTGCATCTTGAAAGATGCCTACGTGATTTGAAGGAGCGTTTTGCCAAAATTGACATTCACGTGTCTGACCCTATTGTGCCCTTCAGAGAAAGTATTGTACGGGGCGAACTTCCGATAAATAAAGAAAAGGAAGGAATCATGGTGCCGCGAGGTTTGTCTGAGATAAAGTTGAGTTCAAAGTTTTTGACTCTCAAGATTCAAGCCGTTCCCTTACCTGCTCGCGTAACTGAGTTCTTATTGAAGCACACAGCTTCTATTAAGGTCATTGTGGATGAAAAATTGGCCAAAAAGTCACAAAAGCCTGACGAAATGGAAGATACAATGCATCATCAACAATCAGAAGCCCCTGTCAGCATGAATCAACTCTTATCTCCCAAAGAATTAGAAAATGCATTACGAGAAGAATTTGCTCAAGCAAGAAAAGAAGGTGGTCCCTTTGCTCATTATTGGGAAGAGAACATTGTGGATCAAATTTGGGCGTTTGGTCCTCGACGTGTTGGTTCTAATATGTTAATTAATCGCATTCCTGGATACGTTCGAAAGCCATTCTTTCAGGTTGATTCTAATAGAAATTTAGAGTTCTATCCAGAGCATGCAGATGAAGTTATTAAGGTTACAGAGGAACAGCAGGCTAGTGAATTGTCCATTTTGGATATTGATTTCAACATTCAAACAGGGTTCCAGTTGTCAACGTTGGCAGGTCCCTTGTGCGCAGAACCAATGACGGGTGTCTGCTATATTGTTCAAGGCGTTGAGTTTCACCCTGAAGAATTCTTTACGCAAAATGGAGAATCCGTTGATGGTAATGTTGTTTAATTTATGATTTTTAGCATATCATCTCCAAATGTACACGATGTGCTCAATTTATACGATATGTATAGTTCGATCAAGACTCCACATTATTCAAGGACAAGTAATCGCCGCAGCTAAAGAAGCGTATAGACAAGGATTTTTGGATTGGTCCCCTCGCCTGTTGTTGGCCATGTATGCTTGCGACATTCAAGCTTCTGCGGAGGTTTTGGGTCGTGTGTACGGTGTAATTTCAAAGAGAAAGGGTAAAATTGTTTCAGAAGACTTGAAAGAAGGTACCTCCTTCTGGCATATCAAAGCATCGTTGCCTGTTATTGAAAGCTTTGGATTTTCTGATGGTAAATTTAAATTTGTTCTTTTTTTCTGAAAGATATAATTAGTAAACACTTTTATTTTTAATTCATCTTAGAAATTCGAAAGAGAACATCTGGTGCAGCTAGTCCTCAGCTTGTCTTTAGCGGATTTGACATGCTGGATGAAGATCCCTTCTGGGTACCAACAACCGAAGAAGAATTAGAAGACTTGGGTGAAAAAGCTGATAAAGAAAACTTGGCGAAGAAATATATGGATACAGTGAGAAAGAGAAAGGTAGAGAAGCCAAATACATACATGCAAAGTAAACATGCTAATTCTCTTCGACGCTATTCTCTAGGGTATGTTTGTAGAGAAGAAACTGGTTGAACATGCTGAAAAGCAAAGGACGCTCAAGAAGAATTAAGCCTAATATTAAAAATAATGAAGAATTTTGAACAATGCATGTGCCTCTTCCTATTAGACATGTTGTCCTCAATTTTGTTACTATCTTTTTGGTTCGATTCAGTACTTCACAGACCTTATGGAAAGCAATGAGACAATTTCAATAGGATGACAGTTGTCATATTGTTTCCGGGAAATTGTATAACTATGATAGGCTAAGGTTCCGTACCTAAGTGACCTCCGTTTGAGATTAAAGATTGCGAATCTTTGGATTGTTTGATTCAACTTTGTGTACATTGCTTTTCAGTATTTTCGTGTTTCCTAATTAATGGCTTATACCAGTATCCTTCTGTGTGTTTACTTTTCTTGGTGCGGATCTAATAATTCAAATGATTTTGATGTTGCAGAGACACGCTTTAAATTCATGGATCAAATGATAAACAATTGCATCTAATTTCAATACTTCTCAAACGAATTTGTCATAGAATAATATGATGAAAACACCAGGAAAAGTCAGTTGAGATGTACCTTTCTGCTGCATCAATTCTACTGTAATTTGCCATAATCAAACGGTTACTGGATAACTCGATGAGACCTCTATCCAGGTGAAGAAAAAGTGTCAAATACGATCAGAAACTCTTTTTTTTAATTCGTTACCGATAATACCCGCATACAAGCACCTTATTATAGTAATTATGGTAACTCTTTGTTTTTGTTTTGAATGTGGTTATTATACCTTCCAGATCAATAACAAGCTTTTCTAAGTCCTCCTGAAGTGAGAATAGTTCATTTTCTTGCTTTTCGCAATACTCACTTATACGAGTCTTCAAATGAACGGGTCAACTTGTTCAATGTAATCCATAGCATCATTTCCTTGCTCAACGACCATTCCGCCTTGGCTGTCTTCATAATATGAACGAGTAGTCATCATATCTGTAACAAAAGAAAGCGGAATTCTGAGGACTAAAGGAAAAAAGGTTTGAATGACCGAAACAGCAGCAAACGGCCATCAGCTGCTTTAAGTACAGTATACTAGAGTGATGGAAGAGAACATAATCAAGCAGGCAACAAGATCGCCAATCCAGGAGCGTCGTTCAAAAACCCAGTTCAGCCTAGGCTATTGATAGTATGAAATTGTACATGGTTATAAGAATATGGTAACCTTTTTGTCCGTGTACTACGTGTGAAATGTCAAATGAAGTATTGTCATAGTGATAGTTAACTAAACTTGTTCGAGCTGTTCAATCACTATACATCACATAAGTAACATTTTGAGCAATATTAAACTAAAGAGTTAATTTGAACCACAATAAGAGTGTACTATTGATATGTGCCCTGTCAAACATTCCAAAATGTCATGTATACCACTAGGTATGATGACTTTTTAATCATTTGGCTTACTTCTTATTTAAGGTGATGACTTTTGTAATTATATATAACATGTTTAGAAACGTCGCAAGCAAGGACCTTTTCTGCAATCAAATGAATCGAGTATGGGCCTACTACCTCCAGTAATTTGTTAAGGCAAATTCAATTGAATAACCAGCTATAAACACTGAGATAAGCTATGTACATTTTTTATAACTGCCAGTCAATAAAAAAGTAGCAAGTACCCCTAACAATCAAAATTGCGAGAAATATATTGATATGGAAGGTAAAGAATTAGGAAAGTAAAATCACGAAAAGAAAGTAGTTAGTAAGCTCAAAGATTCCCTATGTCCTATTCACATTGGCAGCTTCAAGAGCTTTGAGACATCGTGATTGAAGCTCATACGTTCGTAAGACAAGTTAATCTCAAAATTTGCATTACCGTAAGTTTTGGGAAACAATACAAAAAATTGTATAAAGAGCCCAGCAATTCATACCATTTACCTAGTGTATTTAAAATACGCAAAGAGAATAACTGTGAATTTGAGACTGTCTTATGTACATGTTTACTACAATATCTTACTTATTGCATGACGAAAGACGACACTACATAAACAGTTTTCTTGGTCCCAAGGTTTCTTTATGCTTAATACACAAACATCATGTTTGGAAACCTAACCTCGCTGTGGAAAAAGAAAAAAATAGAAATGAAATTGTAAAGCACAAAGTCCTAGGAAACAATCAAAAGAAAGCACATGACTATTTAAAGATAAAAGTGGCCTACAATAATTTATTTACTAAGGATAGTAAAGAAATTAGAAGAAAAGCGAGAAAAAAGAAAGATAAGCAAAACATATTGGTACTATCACCGAAAGTTATTGAAATACCTAATGCTATAATTAGTACTTACAACGAATATTTTCATACATTTGCACGCGTGTTCTAGGTTGTCTCAATGTAAGCAATCTGAAAAGTATGAATAAAAGATTACATATCTTGGGTTTGAGTTTTTCTTTTTTTTTCTCATTTCGAAACACTGGAACGATATATTGTCCTTAAATAATGTAGATAGTGTTCAGCTCCATACTCACACGGACTTCCATAATATAGTATAATTGCTAGCTGTAAAGCAACCTGTCTTCCATTGCAATCAGTCGTTCTTAATGCTATTTGGAAGTTGCGGTTGAATTAAAGAATAATAAACAGAGAGAGGTCGCTTGTCAGTTGAAAGTAATTCGAGTTTCCATAAAATCTAGAAAAGAATCGTTTGCTGGCGAGGCGAGTCTCTGAAACTAAGTTTCTAGAATACATTCCATTACTTTTCAAACAGTAATAAACACATCGTTAGCAAGTTACCCTATATCCCAAGCAACTGCAGTTATGCAAAATTGAAAACTGCAAGTACAACCCGATACGCTATAAAACTTAGCACTGTTCAATACATTGCAAGATCTTGACGACTTTACAAACGACAAGATCCTTCTTGAGTTTCCAAATTTTGGATTTCAGTCGCCGGATTAAAATTTTACAGAAGAGGTAGGACTCTTCATTGATGTTCAGATTTAAAGTCGTTATGATTCACTCAAATGACCAACTTAAACATTCTTAATTCCCCAGTTTTGATTTAATGGCAAATATACCCCTTCATCTATTGCTATTACTTCACTTTTCTTTTGCAGTCAGATGTCAGTTGATTCGTAAACTGTCGCTTATCAACTGTTCCTGGCCTTGCCCTGACGAGAGCGACATGTGCGTGATAACAAAAGCTGGAGGGAACTGTCAACAACAAACAGATAACGATTGGTTACTAACAACGAGGAGGAAAGCGCCTGTCTACACAGGGCCTACAGTAACCATATACTTACAGCCTTGTCTGCCAGCTCCGTTTCCAGAACTACCGCCTTTCAAAGAAAATATGACTTTAAAGCAAGGACAATCAGTTATTGATTGGCCGTCAGGAACAATTCATCGACCGTTGGATCAATATCTTGGAAATTGTGGGCACGGTTTATATTGCTCTTTTACGGGTGTTGATAGTAATTCTCCTGTGTGTCGACAACGATTCGATCACGGTGCATTCTGTGTATCATCGAATCAATGCTTATCTTCATACTGCCATGACAACATCTGCCATCCAAAAACAGACATTATTTCAAAAGATAACAGAACTACTGATACTATGTCAGATAATCAGGATAGCAGTTATTCTGCTCCTGAGACGTCTAGAAAAACTGTAATCATTTTGGGATCGATATTTGGAGCTGTGGGCGTTCTCGCTTGTGCTGCTATATGTTATTTGTTATACCGGTGTCATTATCGTCAAAAACAAGTAACTACTAATAATGAAATTTCTATTCCAATTCAAAAACTTAGTGTAGTTAGTAGCAACAATATTGTTTCCCAGTCCACACTCAAAGAAGAACAATTTGTAACTGATTTCTTGCATGAGGACACGCAATTGCAGCATAGTGTATCCAATAACACAGCTGTTTCAACTAATACCTTAACATACTTTACCCCTAATGGACATCAACCAAAAAAGCCACCAGTGTAGTAAGCTACAATGCTTACCACAATTTATAAGAACCTAAACCATCGATTATACATCAAGTATTTATTCTTTCAATATTTCCATAACACTAGTCATTGATGTTGGCCGTTACTTGCAAATAAATGTACAAGACAATGATATATATCCTTTGCCACAACAGATGTGAAAAAGTACATTCACTTTAAAAGCCAATAGACCTTAGAAAATTGTTTCTCATATTGCTACATATTTCTCGTAATCATTGTTTTTGAAGCAGCCATATATAGCTTTAGCATACGAAAAGCCTAGTTGCATAATACAATGTTTATTGAATTTTCCAGAATTTGGAACTCAGGAAAATGTGATTGCTAGAATTCATAGGATTAACTTGAGGTTGCTCGTTTTTGCAATATAAAGACGTATTGCGCAACAAAAAAGCTGAAACAAGGTATTTATTTCGTATCTTTTCTAACAGCTGATGTCACAGCAAGAATAAGTACAATAGACAAGTAGCCCAAGAAAAACTAAAGGCCAAGAGAATATACCAGGTAACTGGCGTTGTAAAGATTGAGGGTTTTAAATAAACACTATCCAACGTACATAATATGTTTAGCACATTAATTACGAGCAATGCTCATTAATTTATCATTAGTCTTTAATTCATCTTGACGTTTTATGCTCTACAAGCATTTTATGAAATGTGTTTTGCTGAAACCGCCGGGTGTGCAGTCTTCCACCATTTATTTTGCTCATACTTTAGCGTAATTTATCAGTTTGGTAGACCTTGCACACAGATTTACTTAGTGAAAAGAAGAGAGTGGCAATGGGGAAAATAATTAGCTAGGGTTAAGGTTAACTCTAACGCTCATAAATTATTCTATACTTGAAACTCTTAGCTTTGATTTGATTTTAAGCTGCTAAAACTGGCCAGTGATAACAATCAAGCCTCGGAAACTTGATAGCTCTGTATACTAATAGTTGATCAGATACAATAAATCGTGCAATTTGGCGCTTTAGTTCGTTCCTATCTTGCAAATATTATAATCATTGATGAAATGGTATCTGAAGCAACAAACTGGTCAATTTCATCTGTAACGGTTTGCGCCAATACCCGATATTCTGTAATGGAGCTCGAAAAGCATTGAGTCACATATACAAGGTAATCGAAATATTCTTCCTACTCTGGTTACTGTAAGTTCAATCATGAGCAATACATTTGAAAGAGGGAATGTTCCTTGTTAAGTAACAATTTTTTATGTAATAATTTATCATCGGTAACTAGGCGAAATACTCATGTTGACAAAGTTGATTTGGCAGCACGCAACTTATTAGAAGCAAGCAAACAACTGATGAGCCCTTGCAATAATCAAGCATCAGTTTCATATGCAGAGTTCTGAAATAATAATGCTCTTGAAGGTGAAGATATTGCAGACCTGATACTAGATAAGAAAAGCTGCAGAACAAAATAAATGACGAGATAAGTATTTTGATTATAGAGTCCAATGCACAGATGCCAAGTACAATGATGTTACGTTGATAACAAAGAAAATGTTAACTCAATAGAACAACACAATGCATATAATTGAGTTGCCCAAACTTTCAACTTATCAAAACGTTAGTTGATACCTTCTCTACCGTCCTTAGTTTTTATGCTTTATTTTCTCAACCGTTGGTATCAAAGATAAAATCATGGATGGACAACCATAAATAGTAAACTGATCAAGGTCTAAAGATTGGCCTCTTTATGGAAGATTAGGGAATACATGGAAAAGCATACAAATCGATAACAAACAGTCAGATAGTGATAAAAGCTGTATGTATTACAAATATCAATCAATCAGTCTCAATTACGACTTTCTATGCTGGTTTGAATGCTTGGTAGAACTAATAATTACAATGTGAGGAAATGAATAAGGAAATAGTGTATGCATGATAATTTTGGAAAATCAGATAAAACGGAATAAAAACTCAGTTCGTTTAAAAGATAAAGCAGCTACTTGAATCCATTTTTTTCGAATACAGCTTGGAGTTCTTTCTCAAATTCCAGTAGTGGCTTTCTAACAGGTTCGGGGCACATCACGTTATAACTTCGAACTCTTAAATTAATGCGATTCACCTCTTTGCTAAAATAAGGCTTTTCCAATTGCTCAAATTGCTTGAATAGTGAATCTTTACTTAAAGTTGCATTACTACGGTCCTTGACTTCGTTCGCGCAGCGCTTCAGGGCGGAATTTAACTGCGATCGTAGGCTAGAAACTTCTGTATCCACTTCCTGCTGCATTATCACCCAAGGAGGTGCAGCTCCATTTCGCTGAATTATACGATTCAAAAAGTATTCTGTTCTGTCGACAAAAGGATTATTGATCAGTGGATCTTCTTTCAGAGGCTTCCCTCTGCCTGGTAGATTGTCAAATTCACCCTTTGCTCTCGCTGCTCTAATTCTAGCATCTGACAATACGCCCAATTCTTCTATACTTCTAGGCCGTTCTTCGAGGTCCCAATCGTCCCAATCAATATCTTTTTTGTTCTGTGACTTTGCAACATTATCTTTAACTATGTTTCGTTCTTCGTCCATGGGGTATTTTTTTGATATGGCATAATCAAACGCTGTTTCTTTCGCATTGTACAGCCTGCTTTGTCTAAGTTCGCTCTGCTTCTGCTCTCGCTGAATCTTCTTCAGTTGAGCACTCTTTTCTTCTTTTTGTGGTTCTGTGTCTGGCACATAGCTGGATTGAGGTCGCGGTAAATTTCTTCGCGCAGCACCTTCTACTCTCAACGTTCTAGGATATTTATCAATCAACATACGAAGAACCGAATGCTTCACAGGCTCCTCACCATCCCAAGGTTTGTCATCTGGCGGATGGTCTGTTTTCTTTGCTTTTCCCTTCTCTTCTGCTTCTTCTTCTTCTGAGGCTTGTAATAAATTACGACTGGTAGTTGAATAATTGTTGCGACGGACATTTGTAAGAGCCATTGGTATAATACGACTTATGGCAGCAATCGAGATTATTTTGACCGTACATGATAAACCAGTGTTGCAAACTGTACGAAGCATTTTCTATAAAATTACAAGTGTCAAATAGGAAAACAGAAAAAAAAAAAAAAGCAGAAACGAAATGATGAATTTGTATTCGTGTTCCTTTAAATCAGAAAAATGGGATCTTTACGGATTCTAATTTGACACAAAGACTGTGCACTCAGCCCGAGATTTTTTCTAATATTGGAAGCCCGAATGAATCTCAGGTACTCATAAAGTCGTTTGCCATTTTTTGTATCTGGACCCTGAATTACCATCATGAGCAGGTGGGCCAAAATGAAAGCTGAGGAACAAAAAGGTCAAATGATCCGCTACAATCGTTAATGTGGGGGGAGGGTGTGGGTGCATTTTATTTTTGTTTATTGCTACAGAGACAGTATAGCTATCTAAGATATCAGCAATGGCCTCGTCACCAGCAGCTGTCTCTCCTTTAGCTTCTCCTCTCAGAGATGATATCAATAAACGATGGTTTCATTTTGCAAACTTTTTGCATAAAGATATCATGCCAAATTCGATTCAGGCACCCTATGAAACCGTAACAGCACGGCCATTCAAACCAAAAAAGCAAAAAGCTAAAGAAGTTACTTCTGTTGGAGGTACAACTGCAATTGCTCGAACGTTAATGATGCAGAGTTTATATTTGTTTTATCGAACACCTATAAAAGTAAGAGAATTGGAACTGAATGTGAGATGGAGCTGACAGATCTTAACTTTTGCAAAAACTCCAAGCTTTTCCGACCGCTGAGGGTAGATTATCTTGTCATGGCAAGAGCCTTAATGCCGATCGACACAGCTTCAGTAAAACGCTTCTCTTTCAGATACACTTCCATCGGTATGATAACACACGCTGTTAAAACAAAAGGTGTAAGTATCCGATAGAAATAAGTTTGACTGATATACTAAAGCAATTGAGGTGAAATAATTGATTCCTGTATAAATAACGTTTTGTAGTGGACTTTTATCCCGCGACATATACTCCCGCCATTGATAGCAAATACACTTATAGGAACTGTCTTATATACAACTTACATTGCAACTCTACCTATTTTTCATCCACCCAGTGCTTATCAGTTACATAGACCCTTTCCTCCACCACCCTATACTTCAGTTTTTCTGGCTGGTAAAGTGTAATCGATTAATCGTACCGCTAGCATATGTTCTGACTAAAGATTTTACAATTTTAAGGTTGCATTGCAGGTGCTGCACAGTCTGTTATCGCGACACCACTCGATTCATTGAAAGTTCGTTTCGAAGTCAGTGATCTCTTGGAAGGAAAGCATAAATCGATGTATCAATTTGCAAAATCAACTTTGAAAGAGCTGGGACTGGCGAGTGCATATCGTGGCTTTACCCTCACATTAGCTAGAGTAGGTATTTTACCATAGCTAAAAGAATGGATCAGAACATAGTTATATACTGAACATATTTCTTTCCCCGATTAGGATTCTTTATCATGCGGATTATTTTTTGCGACCTTTGAGTGGGTGAAGCAACAAGGTTATTATTATTTCCTTGACGAAATGTACGGTTTACAGGTGAATTCAAGGAGTACATTACAAAAAATTGAATCGAACTGGAATGACGACGAGGAAGAAGACGATGACAATGAGACAAAGATCACGGCCGGGCCTCGCAAGAAACGCGAAAAACCACCACTTATGCTAGAACCTCTATTTGTTATCCTCGCCGGTGCGACAGCTGCAGTTGTAAGATTGACATCTATTTGAAGATTTTTCCTTACGATTCGGGTTCTGATGCATTTTTTATATTAGGCATATCAAATCATCGATCACCCTTTGTCAAAGATCCACAGCATCTTTTATATTGAAGAAGGTCAGTCTGAATTTGCAAATAAATCAGCTAAGGAGTCTGTAAACAGTTTGTACAAAAGAACCTGGGAACAATGTAAGGCGCAAGTGAAATTAAATGGTGCTAGTTGGCACAGATTCTTGTATCAAGATTTTGCAAGTACTGTACTCAGAGTTGTACCTGCAACAAGTATAGGGTTCTTGGTCTTTGAACTAGTCAAGCGCGAAATTGATTTTAGAGCTATTGAGCTTGATTTTAGCTCTCTGTAGTTATAGACAACCCTGTGTATTTTTATTGTTTCCGCAAACCTATTTATTCATTACTAAGTATTACCGTTAATGACAAATACCCCCAAGATAAATAATAACTTTGCTTTTGTTAGTTACTATTTGACAATTTAACTACTAGTCCTCATTTCTTATGCATACTCTTCCAGTTACCCACAAACGACGTACCTGATTCTGTGCCAATGCTGTCTGCTGAAAGGTTTTTCCGTGTTATTTAGCCAGTATCGAGCTGTCCCTTCAGCTGCAGTCGAAAAATGAAAAGTAAAAAAAAAAATCACTCAAAAATGTTGTTGCTTCGTCCTGCTATAAATCACCAGTTGATAACACAAGCTGCTTTGAGGTTATTTTCTAAATGAGTTCGCATGGACGGAACAATTCAACGACACAGATTGAAGAGGAATTAGCTCAAATAAAGCGGTATGAAGACTTCACTACAACTGGTAAACTTTCCTTTCTTTCAGTACACAACAAAAAAGCATAGAAGAAGAAAAATTAGGGAAACAGGAGCTTTTGCATAAAATTCTTAAGACAACTTTCCTTCAACAAATTCACCTTTGTAGATTGGGTGAAAGATGCCATCCTAGAGAGATATAGACAATCTGCTGTTTACAATTCGCATGCTAACGATAAATCCTGGCGTGGTTGGTGGCAGCTCACGTTTGAAAACTTTGAATCTTGGCTCGTCGTTCTGCTGATCGGTAAGGCTTTGTACTGATGTATTTTCTCGACTTTCTCTTTTCTCAAAAATTATGTACACATATACAACATAATTAGGCTCAGGGATTGGACTGTTATCAGCTTTGATTGCAATTGTTACAGATTGGCTGTCAGATATAAAGAAAGGATATTGTTCAACAGCATGGTGGTTGAATGAAAAGTTCTGTTGTTGGGAAATGGAAGATAGTAAGCCAAGGTTTTATAGAATGAAGTAGTATTCATCTTGGCATAATTGACCATGTTACAAAGATAGCGGTAGTTGTGCTGATTGGACGTCTTGGAGTGAATTTGTACATCTTGGACCGGAAGTTTATGTAGTAAAATGGTTCTTTTACATATTATGGGCTGTAAGTTGAAGAAAAAGAAAGAAAGTTGTGAATACTTATTCTAAATTGAGACACTATAGACATTGTTTGCAACAACTTGCGCTTATTTAGTGAAAAAGTTTGCACCGTATGCTGCTGGATCTGGTATTTCAGAGATCAAATGCATTATTGGTATGTAAACTAATCTTAGTTCAGTAGCCAGCCAGCTAACGCTTGCTATGCTTATTAGGTGGATTTGTAATGAAAGGCTTTTTGGGCGTCGAAACCCTTATTATGAAAAGTATTGGCTTGGTAAGATCAAACAAGAAGAATATAGGTGAGAGTATGAAGTTTAATTAGCTTCAATTTTTAGACAATGTCGGTAGCATCAAATTTGTCTATAGGAAAAGAAGGGCCATCAGTACATATGGCTTGTTGTGTTGGCAACGTTATAGCGCGATGTTTTAAGAAGTTCAAGACGAGCAGAGGTATATTTATATAGTAAATCTTGAGAGGAAGGGTAGGTCACTTTCTAACGTTGAAAGATCAATAACTTTTTACAATAGCCGAAATGAGAGAAATCTTAACAGCTTCTAGTGCAGCTGGTGTTGCTGTAGCTTTCGGTTCGCCAATTGGAGGCGTAATATTTGCATTAGAAGAGATGAGCAATCATTTTCCTAATAGAACCATGTGGAAAAGCTTTTTCTGTGCCATGATAGCTACAATTGTTCTTCAAGCCATGAATCCCTTCCGAACAGGGAAGCTCGTCATGTTCCAAGTCAGTTACGACAGAGAATGGCATTTCTTTGAATACTTATTTGTTGTGTTCATTGGCCTTTTTGGGGTAAGTGGCATTTTTTTTAGTCAATTTTCCTAGAAAGTAATGGACTTATGGTAATTTGACATCCTAGGGATTGTACGGAGCATTCGTTATCAAATATAACTTATTAGTAGTTCAATTCAGAAAGAAATACTTAAAGAACTACCCGGTCGTTGAAGCTGCTGTTCTGGCATTCATAACAGCCATTTTAGCCTATCCTAATGTATTTCTTCGAACGGATATGACCGAAATAATGGGTATTTTGTTCAGAGAATGTGAAGGTGTCGGAACAGACAACTATTACGGTTTATGCGAGTAAGTGTAAAGGTTTGCCAGTATGAACAATTAAAACAACCATACTTATTTAGATGCTTTCCGATATTACAAACTATCGTATAGAACTGGAGAAACAAAACGAATGGTTGTTTTACTTTTAATTGCTACTATACTTCGTTGTTTTGGTACTATTGTGTCGTACGGCGCGAGAGTACCCTGTGGCATCTTCGTTCCTTCCATGGCTATTGGTGCAACATTTGGTAGAATGGTTGGTCTACTCGTCAAGTCATGGCATCAGTAGGTTGAAAGGATGCAATAAATTATGTTGAGGAACATTAACTCATTAGTTATTATAGGGCTGATCCGGAATTCTTTTTATTTGCCTCTTGTCGTCCTGATATGCCAGTAAGAATGTTAACAATCTTTTCATAATGAACCAAGCATCTCACTTTGTTCAATTATAGTGTATCACCCCCGGTACTTATGCGTTTTTGGGTGCAGCAGCGGCTTTATGGTAAGTCTACAGATCAAATATAAATGCAAAGACGTGAAAGTTGACATTAGACAATTTTACAAAATATAGTGGTGTTATGAGAATAACAGGTAAAATTTCAACTTTGTAAAATATGACCAAAGAGTATCTTTTCAAACGAAAAGTGAAACAAATCTTCTATACCTATCAATCAATAGTGTCCGTTGTCGTTATTATGTTCGAATTGACAGGTCAAATTACCTATATCTTACCTACTATGGTATGTTTCAAGTATGATGATGTTGCTACGAATCATAAGTTGTTAACGTGAATTTTAAACCCGTAATAGATTGCGTTGATGGTCACTCGTGCCGTAGGAGATTGGTTTGGAACTGGCGGTATTGCTGACCGTGCAATTCAGTTGAACGGATATCCCATACTGGGTGACGAAGAAAAGGTGTATAACGTGCCAGGTAAGAATAATAAAAATAGAAAAGATTTCGTTACTGGCTTGTTCCACAAAGAGAAACTTGTATATTAAACTAATATTTTTACTGACGTGAAGTATCTCATGTCATGCAAGACGATATGACTGTTATGACAGCAGCAGGGATGACATTTGGTGATATTGAGAACATTTTAGAAAACACAAACTTCCAAGGTTTTCCAGTAGTTGATGACTCGAAAAATATGGTATTGATTGGATATATTGGCCGCTCTGAATTGAGCTACTTGATTGGTAAGGAAGTAATAGGATACAAGGCATTGACAGAAGATAGTAATCTGACGTATCATCTGGACGATCTAGAGAAAGCAAAACTAAACAAAAATGCCCATGACAATACTGTATGTCGATTCACGCCGGATAGCGATGAAACAGAAATTTTAGCAGATATCGAATTGACAGATGATGAGGATAACAGTAAACCTAATAACGAAAATAATGATGAGAGTACGACAGGAGAGCACATTCTTAAGGGCTCTTCAGAAGTTATCGATTTTGGTGCATATATGGATCAAACACCTATCACAGTCCATCCCAAATTATACCTCGAAACAGTGATAGACATGTTCAAACAACTAGGCCCAAGAGTTGTATTGTTAGTGGAACGGGGGAAACTTAAAGGTCTCGTGACAGTAAAAGATGTACTCAAATACACTGCCAAAATGGAAAGAATAGAATCACCCAACTCTATTCCCAATCTACGAGAATGCGGCTTGCTTCTTGATAAAGTGTCTTCGTGTTTACGACGTAGACGACGTTCAACAACAGATGGTGCTTATACACAGTTGCATAATAGAAGCTCGTATGATTTAGAGGATGACGTTGAAGCAGAGATACATGAATTAGATGGCAGAATCTAATCGCATACAGAGCATTATAGTCATGAACTCCACATCCATTTACAATTTCGTTGGAATTCTAGGATATTTCATGAGTCCACGAGAATTATATCCAAACATTTATTCAATTGGCATCGTTCCTGAAAAAAAGAAAACCGACTCCTAAAAATAGAGTTTTTTTAATTTTGATTCGGACTTTCATACTGTTTGCTTCAGACGAACAGAATAATGATTTTGGAAATAGCATAGATACTTTTAAGATTGTGGTAATTTAGTTTGAGATGAATTTTTTAGAATTTGAACTCAGGGCATTATAAAAACGGAGGGGTGACGAGGAAACAAGAGCAATAACCAGCGCGCTTAACTATCCTGTGTAATATATTAAATATACTATAACATCAAAAAACTAGCTGAGAAGCAAAGATACGCCACTGTCTGTATATAGCAATGATTTTTCAGAACTTTGGTGTAAGTTGATAAGAGCCATCACTTATCGAGTCAGTTGATCGTGATGTTGTCAATGAAGCAATTTTTTGACAACAAAAAAAAAAGGAACGCGATATACAATAGAACACACAGCGTTCTTTCTTTCTTTTAAATAGAAGTGGAAAGGCAAACAACGCCTCCCAGTTCAGAACGACCCTTATAAAGGCCCAAGCTGCACATAGGTAAGACTATCTTATTATGACTCTATCAAGTCATCTACGTTGCTCCAGTTACCCACACACTAAAACCAATGGCATACAATGATTCTTCGAGTGCTTCTTCGTCTAAGCCAGTGTTGTCAAAAAAGGTGTAAAAAAAGAAGCTCTCCAAGAATTCAAAGCTGATAATAAAACAACGAAAATGATTACGTATCCGTCCTGTAAGCAAGCCATACATGTATGGCCTACAAGCAATCTGTGTCCGAACAAGAAGGCAAAAGTACCTATTGATGGTGAAAATGAAAAGGTGGAAATCTGCTCCATCAATGAATATATGACTAGATGTAATAAATGCAAGCATTCGACATTTGGAGAATGTAACGACAGCGACGTTAAAGCGAAGAGTACATGCTGTATGGCAGTATAAAACTGTAATACAATTTGGAATCGCGACGTCAATGCTGCCAAAAACATCTCTCTAAGGAGACCTACATGTGTGATTGGTATTACTCCTTCACACATCCTTACAGTGTAAGTTGTAATATATTCATAAAGTATAACCAAAGGTCGAATGCTTACTGTTTCGACCTTATTTACTAAACTCACAATTCGATAACAATTTGGGTAATTTTTGGTAAGTACGTCTGAATTTATAATAAAAGTTATCTAAAATGTGTATATATTTTTTCTCATAAATATACTCGATTTTTTCAAAGTTGCTAAGAGGTATTTCCGATTTTAATCGAAAAAAACTGTGAAATTAAATACAAAAAAAAAACTGTAGAGAAGAAATCTCACTACCCCACATAAGAGGAGCTTTAAATAAATAATAAGTTACAGAACAAGTATAAACATGGCTTTTCTTCTTTTTAATATTTTGTCATTTACCATCTAAGATGTTTTGGAAAAAGAAAGATAAAAGTGAAGCTTCAAAGAATCCTTTTGAAACTGATAGTCCATCTAACACAGCGGCATCCACTTATTCACCAGCCCCGGCATATACTTCACAACCACAACAAGACTACTCTTCTGCTAATGGTCGTTATGGTCGTTACAATGATGCGGACGAAAATAATCAAAGAAATGCTCTTTTCGATGGTAGAAACAACTATGAGAATAGTACAAACAGACAAGTTAGGTATGGCTCAAAAGAAACTGACAGTTTCGGTAGAAGTAACCTATTCGGTAATGGCAACGAGGAGGAAGAGAATGATGAAGCTGTTCAGGTGGCTGGTATCAAACAGCAAATTAGAAATGTAAAGCAAGATTCTTTAGCAAGCACGAGAGCAGCGCTTCAAAAACTGAATGAAACAGAAGCAACAGCTTCCACAACAATGAACATGCTTGGTCAACAATCCTGTAAGTTAATTAACGTCTGCCATTCCAAATATTCTATGTGTAACTGTCCTTATTCTTTTTTTTTTCTACTTTTGCTTTATTAGCCCAAATTGCCAATGTGAATCGTCATTTAGATCTCTCGAAGGCTTATTCTGATAGAGCGGCAAACCAAGCTGATGAATTGAAACAACTGAACCGATCTATCTTTATACCCGTTGTATCAAATCCTTTTAGAAAGAAAGAAAAACAGAGAAGAGAGCTGGAAGCTAAACAAAGAGATTATGCTGAGCATATGGCGGAAAGAGACCAAATTCGTCAGTTTGAATATGAGTCCAATGCAAGAATACAAGAAACAGCAAGATTGAATAACAATATGACGAGAGCCGAACGCAGAGGTCGATCCGAGGCTGATCGAAGACGGTATCAATTTGAAGAGGATTCTGAAGATGATGCCATTGAGGACGAGATAGATAGCAACTTAGATCTGATTTCAGGAGCTACAAGCAGATTGAAGAATATGGCTCTTACAATGAATACAGAACTGGATCGCCAAAATCTGGAATTGAACAAAACTCTCGGCAAAGTAGATCCATTGACTCAGAAGTTAGTAGCAACGACTGATAAACTGAATAGAACCAGATAATCATTCTGCACTCATCCACTGGTGTTTAATTAGGTTAAAAGTATAATCGAGACCGATTTTATAAACTGACATATAATATACTAAGTACTTTTGTAAGGACGAGAGGGTAGTTCATCCATAGACGGTCTGTGTTTTGAGAGTATATCAAGTGTAGTCGTGGAATTGATACAAGTTGTTGCTATACATTATGCAGCATGTCATTTAAACTTACTGAAATTCTTCAGACTATCTGCTGCTTTGTTCCTATAAATGTGACCGACCATAATTTTTTTATCTGAGAATATAGTTCATGCGTTCCTGTGCCTTTCACTGATATGATTCGCTCGTCGCACCCTTTAAGTCAGCTGTATATAATTCTGCGATAAATGGGAAACCAGGATTTTCATAGGCTCTTTGGAAGAAACCGGGCTTTTTAATGGAGGACGTAGATGTACTTGAACAGGTCATTCAGCAGCGTAAATCTACTGTAACTGATAACTCAAAAGGTAGTCATAGTGGTTATGATACGGGATTACATATTACATGCATTAAACTTTGTCTTATAACAGTCATTGTTGTCTTCAAGAGTATCGGCAATGCACCGATCTTAAAGAATAATATTTTTAAAATCTCGGCTTCTTACAAATTCGAGTTCATCATTCAGTTCCTTCGTAAACAGCTCAAATATCAAGGCTCAGATCCACTGGTAATTGCAAATGTTTAGTAATTCTGAAATCTTTTTGTTAATTTTCTTTTCTTTTCAACCAGTTCCTTTATATTAACAGTGCCTTTTCGCCTTCACCAGATGAAACAATAGCTAATATACACAAGGTTTGATTTCTATATAATATTGTTACTTGATAAACGGAAAGCATTAACATACAAGTTTAATTAGTGTTTCAACACGAACGGACATTTGATAATAAACTATTGTACAACTGCTGCTTGGGGTTAAGAAAAAGAAAAGAAAGCTTCAAATTTAATCGTTGAGAGACTATCATAAAAAGTTAAACGATGAAGAATGGTATGTAATATATTATAAACTAATTAGATAATGCAGAAAAGTGTACAAATGGTATCAGAGTATAGTATGGGTTATTGTTTTAAGTGTAAGCTACGTCCACTACGATTGACAGTGATGAGGTAAAGGAGGCAGTGGTTGATTTGGTGGAGCTGTTAAAGGCGGAGTAACCACTCTAACCATTTGAGTAGACAGCGTTGGGTCTTTCATTAAGAAGCCATGACCATCCTGTTTGTTTAGTTTCTGTAATAGCTCTTCTCGCTCATTCAACAGTTGAGATAGCAACTCTCTTTTGTTTTCTAATTCAATTTTCTGTAAATCAACATGTTCCTTCAATAGTTCGTCCGATGTACAAGTTGATGCTAACTTTTTCTCCAATTTTGTGATCAACTCGTCCTGCTTTTTTATGACTTTTTTCAAACAATTTGTTTCCAAACGTTGCTTTTCCAAAGCTGTAACGTAGTTTGTTAGGGTCATTTGCAGTCCTTTGTCGTATTGCAGAAGTTGATCGTTGAGTACGCTTATTTCCTCCCGCTGCTGCTCCTCTGATGTGATATTCTCTTTTTCTACGTCTTTTTCTTGGTAGTATTTTTGCGCTTCATCTTCAAATAATTGTAGTTCGTCACTCGCATTATCGTCACTATCAACGCCGTAGTTATCGTCTGTATCGTTCGACTTCAATTGCTCGTAAATACCTAGAAAATCATTCAAACTATAATGCTGATAGTTTTTCTTGACATTATCTACCGATTCTCCAGTAATGATATTATCCTTCGCTGTATCACATTTATGCTGCTGCTCTTTTAAAGACTGATACTTGACTAATTCACTCTCGTAATAGTCTCTTTCTTCGGAAACCTGTTCCAATTTTGTAGCTAAATACTCTACACGAATCTGGTAATCCCGTACTTTTGTTACATCTGACGCATATTCTTCAACTTTCGACTGTAATGTTTTTATATATCGTTCTGCTTCAGTATTACGTTCAACTAGCTCCTCTACCAAGTTTAGTAGCTCGTCTGCCACTTTGTCGAATGAGGATAGAGTTTGAGTATTATTATCACTGCTTGTTGATCGCTGATTCTGCCGTGGCGTCCTTAAGGAAGTCGCTTGAGATGGAATCACTGGTATAGATGGCTTCAACACACTTGTTGTTATTGGTGGCTCCGATTTAAAAGATGATGTAAATGAACGGTCAGAAGGAGAAGGAGATGTTTGTCGTTGTTGACTGAATTTATCAAGTAGTGAATTGAAATTATTGGTTTCTTTTTGAGCATGACATCCTTTTATAATAGTAGCTGTCGGTGATGGAGTAGGCGATGGCGGTTTTATTCTCTCGTTGTTGTTTAGCTGTGCAATGATTTGTTGAACACTCATATTTTATTTCAAATTGTTAACATTACAGAAGAGAAAAGAAAAAGGAGGAGGAGAATTAATTTTAAAACGCTTTAATCTTTTCGATGTACCCTTACATATCCAAAAGAGGAAACTGCCATGTTGTATACTATTCTTGTGCCTGGATCATGAAGATCAAATGAAGGAGTTCAGCCAATTGGGAGAAAAGGTCATTCATCTTCCGAATATGTCAAGGCAACACAGGCATAAGAAACACATTTTTAAGTGTTAGCATTTAAATGTAAAACACTATGTAAAATAATCTTTTCTCTTTATTTCAAATAACTTATGACTTTATAGACTTGCTGTAGCTTTTCAAAAATGAATAACTATAAACTATCAGATACAGAGGATAGTAAGGCGCTCAGCACGCTTATAGGTGTTCTTATTTCAGCAGGCGGCAATGTAATTACAGTGAAAGTCTGATTGCTACTTTGACAAGCAAATATACTGACATTCTCATTTGTATAGGTTCTTATCTCTTTTGCTTTGAATGTTCAAAAGAGAGCAGTATGTCTTCATATGGTTTTACTAATATTTATTATGTAAATTTTGCTATACTTATAATGCATCATCTTTTCTTTTCGATGACAGCATAACAACATTCAAGAAAAGCAACAATATTACCCAAAAATAGACAATCAACCGCAATGGATTGCTTCTTACAACGATTTTCTTCCCGATGATGGATATTCCTCGCCACGAAACTCTTTTGAAACTCACCCAAGCTCATTTGCGGAAGGAAATAGTGAACGGCAACAAAAATTCAGTATGCCGTTTTCTCGTGAAGAACAAAAAGCGACCAACTCAGAGTATTTAAAGTCCAGGTTGTGGTGGTTGGGCATACTACTGATGGTATTGGGTGAAGCGGGTAATTTTATTGGTAAGCATAGTATAGGTCAGACGCACAAAATAACAAAGTATTGAACTCATCTTTTATGGACCAATATCACTTCAGCATATGGGTTTGCTCCAGCTTCCACAATTGCACCGCTTGGTACAACAACGTTGGTCGCTAATGTGATTATCGCACCTGTGATGCTTAAAGAAGTTTTCCGCAGGAGGGATTTATTGGGAGTTATTTTGGCTGTATCGGGAGCTGCTATTGTAGTCCTCAGCTCTAAAGCAGAAGAAGTATCTGTAAAGGCCAAATTACATTTTTGTCTCTGTGATTTACACTACAATGGTATAATTAACGTATTCTTAATTCCGTAGTTATCACCTGAGCTTATTATGCAATCTATTAGGCAAAGCCAATCCATAGTCTATTTTGTCTTTAGTATCATCGTGCTTATCATCTTGACAATACTATCTCCTGTTTATGGTTCGTCTAGCATTTTTATTGATTTGGGCCTTGTCGCTGTATATGGTAAGCTTGATACACTGATGTTCCGATGTTCAGCACACTGCCAGGTTGTTTGACTCCTTTACACATTGTATATGCACGAATACATAGGTGGTTATACTGTTCTCTCCACAAAAAGCGTAGCCTCTTTATTGAGCTTGACATTCTGGAAAATGTTCACGTAGGTTGCAACCTAGAAAATGACATGTAGAATAGTTAACTGATTATACAATTACTAGATTTCCTGTGTCGTATTTTCTCATTTTCATATTGATAGTTACGGCAATTTTACAAATCAAATACTTAAACAAAGCTTTGCAGCAGTTTGATTCAACAGAAGTCATCCCCACTCAGTTTGTCCTGTTTACCATTTCAGCTATTCTTGGTAGTGCTGTTCTTTATCACGATTTCGATAACATGGAGTTTGACCAGCTGTTACAGTTTATGCTTGGTTGCATTATAGAGTTTTTGGGTGTTTATCTTATCACCTCAAAACGTGCCAAGTATAACACTCACGATATGTCAGAGGAAGCAGTTCATGCTGATAGCGGTGCATGCATTTCGCTCAACGATGATACGGATGAGGTAATCAGCTACTGTGAACACAGTGAAATACTACCCAATGACCAATCTTCTATCTTAAGTGCAACAAGTCAACTTCAAGTTAACGATTACAAAAGTTTGAATAGAAAGAGAAGTTCAGTTCAGGTTTTGACTGCCTCTGCTGTTCAGCCCGTTTTACGGAACTCTTCCTCGTTCGAAATATGGCGAGACTCACCAGAAAGTAAATCTCATATACCCAATAGCAATACAACCCCATCACATTCAGGGCACCGGAGAAATAGTTCATCCATCTTCAGAGGTATATCCATGGCATCGCAACTGGTAGACCGGAATGAAGAAACTACTGAATCAATAATTCAATTGCCTATATCATCTTCGCCAACAATTATACCAAATTATTTAATCAACTTCAACAAATTAAATGACAAAACGCTAAACAACATTTTGCAAGGTTTTGCTACAACCTTTTCTTCAGTGAGTACTTCTCAAGACCGCCGTAGCAGCTTATTACCACAACATAATGACACTAATGAAACAGCAAAAATAAATTTATCAGTTTGTACTTCAGCAACTCCTATTCAACAGAACAAAAATAGAGCCGTTATGGATGAAGCTTCAGATCGTGAATTAATGCCCATACATAATTTGAATACCAGCAGTGTTAATGGTAACAATAAACTTCCAAGGAGCAGAAAGCTAATTGATATTGAAGAAGATATGACCGAAGACGAAACGACAACAATTATTTAGATTTCTTTTAACAATATTCGTGGCGAAAACTTCAAAAATATATTAAATTTATTAGTACAAAAGTTGTTTAATGGTAGTAAATCTTCGACCATGTTCCTCCTCGATAAGCAGTCTAGCTCGTATATCTACTTTATTCAGTTCTCTTTTTCTTGCTCTTATGCTCTTCTGCAATGTTCTCGGGAAGATCTAGGAATTTTCGTAAACCGAAGATGGTGTAAAGATCAGGGAGTTTATCTGTCTTACATGTTTCGGTCTCGTTGATTTGCTTAAGGACTTCCGCATCGTTCTTTTCCACGAATTTACCATCTTCGGAAATGATAACTGTCATAAGTAAATCCCCATCCAAAGCGGCCCACAGTTTTCCTTCTAAATCAAAAGCAATATCCAAAATAGGGGAAGAAAGAACTACAGTTTGTTTGAATAAGAACTGCTGATTGTGATCGTTCCATTGGAGAATAATAACAGCAGGCGATTTCGCAAAGACAACAGCACACATTTTACTTTTGCTGTCAAATACAATATTATTCACAATAGCATCTTCTGAATTGGCGTCAGTAGTTGGGGGCTTATATGCTAAAATGTGCTGCTTCAAATCAATGCTGCTGATCTCAGTTCCTTTCAAATAATCCCATATACGAACTGTGCAATCACCGCCTGAGGAGACTAGGATATTTTCATTCCAAGGTAAGATTTCGATACGAGTAACAACACTAATATGGATAAAGCTTAGAGTCAATTACTGACAATGAAATGAGAGCTAGCAAATTAAGTAACGTACTCTGTATGTCCCAAACAGAATGATTCAATGTTGTAACCATTGGGATACCGACTAACACGGATATGCTCATCACGATCAGAAGTAATAACATATTTCTCGTCCGGAGTTAGCAGCTATAATTACAGACAAAATAGCTGCGTGAGTATTGTAATAACAAATGCATCGGTTCATTTGCGATCCTACCATATCAGTGACCATAGAAACGTGTCCAACGATAGGGTTTAACTTCTCTTCTCCATCTACATGGTCTTTCATAGGGTGGCTAATCATATAATGTCAATTAAAACCAAGACATGTACAAACCTGGACTTAGGAGTCACCTACCAATAGACATCTCCAAATTTATCAGCGGCCATGATTTTTGTTGAATTTTTATCGAAATCAAGGGCATTGATACGCTTATATGCCGGTCTAATGTTTGCCCAAACAAAAGCAAGTTGCTAAGTTATATTTCAACGGATATAGTTGAAAAGCGCATCTCCTATCCGATACATAATCTTACCTCTTTAGCTTCAAAGACCAGTCAGTCGTATCCCAAACGCAGATTTCTTTATTTTCGCCAGAGGTAGCAAGCATACTACCGTTATTATTGAATACCATACTACGGTAATAGTCACTCACATTATCGATTTGGATAGCTTCTTTAGGGTATGACTTCAATATGTCACCTGTACTGATGTAAGATCAGCGATCGATCGATTTATTTCCATTTCTGTTCTCTCGTAAGCTAAAGCAGTATATGTATACTTACACTGAGTTGACAACCAGAAAGTGATGTCCATTAGCAATGGCTAATTCTGATTTTGAGGGACTATGCACAAGCTTCGTGAATGGTAGACGGTTTGTCATTATTATAACGTGTAAACTATGCAATACGGCAATAGAAAATTGTGAATTTTTGATTTTTTCTCTTCTGCGCTGCTGCTGCTGGTGGCTTCCTGTGCAAGAAGTCCGGCATTTTTGCGGAGTTAGTATACAGATTGCAACAAGCGTTTCCAGAATGGGGCGGGCAAATGGCTATTGTGTAGCAAAGAAGCACAGAGTTGACAAGCTCCTCTTTCATCATCGCATTGTAAGTGTAGCCATCATGAAGGATACTTGAGAATTGAAAGCAACTATCATTATTGTAGATAAACGAATGTCAGCAGATTTAGGCAAATGGATGAATGCACTTTAATCATTTCAGTAAAAGATGGATGCGCCGATTATGATGGATAGACGTAGAAACAACGACCTTTCAAAACTGACAACGATGGCGCAATTTTCACTTTCACACAGCACCATTGCTTTTGAAACCAACAAACCAAGCCAACAATTTTAACTTTGTTTTTGAACTTTTATCTGCTTTCAGTTCTCTCGTTCTTTCTATAAGTCAACGATTGCTTTTCTCAAATCGTTTGCTAACTTCGATCGCTCTTTTCGTATAATACAAGGTACAATCATGCTTGTTTCTAAGCAAAACAGAAAGGTTATCTACGAAGCTCTCTTCAAGGGTAAATTTGTCACAACATGCGATAGAGTTATTACAATAAGTTGCAGCAGGAAGCTAATTGAGATCTTAATTATATTAGATGGTGCCCTCGTTGCTCCTAAGGATTACAACCTTCCCAAGCATCCTGATCTCGATGTTCCCAACCTCGAAGTTATCAAGATTATGCAATCTTTGACCTCTAAGGGTTGTGTCAAGACTCAATTCTCTTGGCAATGGTACTACTATACCCTTACTGATGAGGGTATCGATTACCTCCGTGAATGTAAGTGCTATGCTTTTTTATTGACATGAAACGTAGGCAAACAATGCTTTTATATTTCGTACTAACAAATGTTTCCTATACCGAAAATTTGTGTCCACATAGATCTTCACTTGCCCCAAGAAATTGTTCCTGCTACTTTGAAGAAGACTGCTCGTCCCGCCGCTCCTCGTCGTTGTAAGTATAATTTTACAATTTCGATTCTTATGCCTTATAACTCAACTAATAATTTATTGTAATAGTCGGTGGTGAAGGTCGTGAAAACCGTGGTCCCCGTGGTGACCGTGGTGACTACCGTCGTAAGGAAGGCGCTGATGGTGATTTCAAGCCTGAATTCCGTGGTGGTCTTGGTAAGTTGCGCAACTTCATTCCTTATCTAGCATTTAGTTAATAATCCGCTTATTTTCTTACTTTAGGCCGTGGTAACCGTGAATAAATAACTTGATTGTCCATATTTAACGTTGTTTATATCTCTATAATATCAATAAAGCAAGATCAGGAATAATGGTCTAGATTAAGCAGATTATTGATGGCAATGTAGATAAAATGGCTGGATTATTGTGTTTCTCTGTTTCAAATCAAAACTAAGTAGTGAGATACTAAGTGCAGTGACGATAGACGTATGAAGAGCTGCTGTACGGAAAAAAAAACAGTGAGTAGTGGTTGGTTTTTGCCGAAAAGGTCATTACGATTTGTTGTGCAATTACTGAACGCAGATAACCAGAAGTATAGTTGTTTCATTAGTTGGTCAGTGAAAGTTTCCACTCGCATGCTGATTTCTGCGGTTCAAGCAGTCCTTTACTGATGGAAAAAAAGTACAGTGACATAAGGGAAGATATATGAATGAAGACGAAAGGTGATGCTAATATAGTAGATATTTACTGATTTGAAAACCACTGTACATTATGTTGCGGTTGGGATTATTGCTATGTAATGACTTTGAGGTTATAGTGGTTAATGCTTTTCTCTGGACTCAATAATGCAGTATGTTAGCGCTAGAGAATTAATCATCGAAGAACTTATAGCGTTCACCTCATTGAAAAGACTTCATAGGTAACGTTCTAAGATGTGAGTTCTCTTGTTCAGCTTGACGAAGGAGGTCTTCATTCCATATTTTGTTTATACCAAGCGGCTATTGACTAAAATAGAGTAAGCACACGATGATCATACCTATATGCTGGCAAAATGTTTCTTCCATATCACATTGTTGAGGTCAATGTACATAAAACTATTCGTAAACGCATATTAAGCAGTATAAAGGGAACGTTAAATAATATCTAAAATTTCTGAGTATATTTTACTTGATTTCCAAAGAAATTTAGAAAATTTTCAATTCTGTTTTTCTCTCCTTTGCCTGGCCCCTTGTTATGGATCTTTTCCGCTACTACCACAACACGTCAAAGTCTTATGTCAATTTCGTTATTTCTTAGACGATCACTTTTGAAGCCACCTTACCGCTTACAATTTTTGCCAGTAGATAGGTTTTCAAAGTTAAAGAAGGACTCATTTTCACCTCTCAGCTCTTTTTCAGTAACAACTCTCTCTGCAAGTATTACCGCTACTAAATCTAAATCTGTCAATGTTAAAATACTTTCAACAGGAGCCTTAGATATTAGACATTCTTATCAATTACGTCTCTATTCCAACGCAAAGCTATCACAACGTTGTTTACCTCAGACGTGTCTGTTCAACGCAAGTCACCAAAAACAGTTTCATTCAGCGTCTTTGCTCTATAAAGCTGTCAACAAGCATGGTGCTTCTCAAACGCCCACAAAAGAGGAGCTTCTTCACCATACACAAGGATTCTTTAAACGATTAGAAATTCGTATCAAATACCTGCTGATGCGGCAAAATCGGCCCTGGACTATGGACGATTTTACAGCTATCTTTTCTTGGTTTTTCTTGAGCGGAACAGTCTGGATTTTAGCTGGGACTACTAGTTTTGTTAGTATTGGATTGTTTTTGGCAAATTCGTTACAATTTCAAGGTAAAGCGAATTATCAGATGCTGGAGTAATATATACAGAGCTTATTTGTTCTTTTCCACTCACGCCTATTTCTGTGCAATAGAATGGATGGCCAATCGTATTACACAATACCTTACATCTGAAACAGGAGCCACTGTTCAGTTTGAATCTGTCACTATTCCATGGAGTGGAGGTAAAATTCAATTCAACAATGTTCGAGTATCACGTATGCCTCGCTCAGAAATAAGAAAATTTGAAAAGCATGCTGCTGCAGCGTTAGCAACAACATCAACATCAATGACAGACACAACCTTTGCGCATGATATTGATACTGATCCAATGACCGATAGCAGTTCTGATAGAAATATCGACCATATGGATGCTTCAGATCCTTTAGCTGGTGTAGAATTCGATGAAGATGAAAAAAATAATGAAGTCCTCAAAAATTGGATGTGGTTTGATCTAATGATCGACAAAGTTGAAGTCAAATTAAGCTTTATGCGGTGGATGGATGGTAAAGGTTTGGTGCAAAGTGCTGAACTGCAAGGCGTACGTGGCGTTGTTGACCGACGTCATGTCAGATGGGATCCTGACGTGCCTTATGACCCCGTGGCCGCTCGACACAAGTATACCCCTGGTGATTTTGAGTTAGAAAAATTCATTATTGAGGATTTGCTAGTAACTGTATACCAACCGAATGGATTTCGACCATACCCAGTCTCAATATTCAACGCACAATTGGACAGGTTTAGAAAACAATGGTTGTTCTATGATATACTTTGTGCCACTTCGATTGTTGGCTCTTTTGATAAATGCCTGTTCAGTGTACATTCACCACAACTGGAAAAAAGTGTATTAGAACAATCTGGACATATTGATTCATCTAAAAAGGGGTTCCGTAGTCATGATATCTATCATTACTTCCATAATAAGAAGCCTGACCCTAAAGGTGTGCTTGTAGGCGGAGAATCCAAACGATTTGGTGTTCTTACAGATGACGATATGAGAAAGCAAGGCTATAAAAGAAAAGTAAATAATCCTATGTGTTTCTTCGAGCTTCGAAGGCCAACTGATGCTGATTCATTTATTCTCTATATAGTCTCGCTTAAGAATTGATGGAGTGAATATTGATCATATCAACCGAGGTGTCGATGGTCCACCTGGATGGATCACTTCAGGAACAGTTGATGTCACTGCAGACATCTACATTCCTCAAGAAGCGGCGGAAGCAGATTCAACTGAACTTTTAAGGAAACTTGTATATGAACTAACAGATGGTATCGAGCTTCCGCAACCTCTTATATTTGGAGCAGGCAGACATTCTGACGTTTTGATTGTTGGGGACAATAAACATCACGAAGACGAACATGATGAAAAAGACAAATTATCGGAGCAGCAAGAACAACGAATGAAAAAAGCTACCAACTCCATCGTCATGAATGACAAGAACACTGAAAATGATGTAGGAGAAGAGAATACAAATGCGAAAAAATTTGTGATGGATATGGATTTCCGATTCAAAGACACGAAAGCCTCTGTTCCACTGAAAACGCCAGAACTCAGTTACATCAGTAATGCAATGGTGCGGCCTATTGTAGGATACATTTCCCGGAACAAAACGATCGTTCCTATCAAAATACGTATCGTTATGGATCTGAGCAATTTTGATGGTGCTTGGACACTTTATGACTCGACCCTAGGGCAAAGGATGGCAGAAAAACTAGGCCAGGGTTTCGTTGATTTGACATTAGACCAACAAGAGAGGAACAAGAGGTTAAAACGTATCGGCTTTTGGAGTATGAAAGAAATGTCAAGAAATTTATTAAGCGTTCATGAAGTATTGAAGGGAACGTCCCGTGGCTTTTGGAGTTACTTAGGAACAGCAAATTAACCAGGCCTCTAACGTAATTTAAGACTATAATATATACCCCTATACCGTTTCCTTCAAGAATACTACTGTATATATCTAAAAACAATTGATCCTATTTATTCTTTCTCTTCCCTTTTTACGATGTTTTTTCTTTACCCTTCTTAGATGCCACCATTACAAAAGTATTTGCCTATTTAATTTAATTTTAGATAGTTGATCAAATATAAAGAGAAATTCAAGCTTACTTACACGGTATAGATCCATCTCAATAGTTTTTAAAGGTATAACATGCCGCCAATGATTATTATTGTGATCTGCTGGTATCCAATCGACGTTTTCATCTGTTACTACGTTTGTAGTCATAGTCGTGATTGGATAACCTCCGTCTGTTGTTTCAATGGATAAAGAAAATGTCTTTTCTTTTAAACTTTTTGCAATGGATTGGTATGTAGACGTTCTGATCAAGTTAGAACGTAAATAGTGTTGCAAATCCGCTGCTGTATATATCGACTCACTGTCTAAGATGTCACGAACTGACGCATCATCAGCTTGGTCATCTTGTAAGACGGAATTGACCTGAAATACAAATTTTTCGAGCGGTCTCATATCTAACTGTTCGTATACTGTCATGGAAATATATCTGATTTGTCCCTATATGAGCTTAAAGTTGAGCACTGATTATCAAATTTCATTACCCATTATTGTGTATACCTTTGCTAATAATGGGTAGCATGACTGTACAAATTCTGAAATATAGCTTTGAACACCTGGATGCGTAGCAATATACACAGGTACCTGAAATTTTTTTTGCCTTTGGAAAATCTCTATAGGATACACCTCACATTGGTAAAGTATCTGATGCAACCATGTTTCTACTAATCGGTAAGAGAATGAAAATGTACGATTTATTTACATCACTATCGTTAATGAACTTTGAAATGGCTCATCAAGCATTTCAAATGGTGTGGCAATAACCTACAAAACTCCAGAGTCAAATGGAGGATGTCTATAAAATAGCAGCAAAAGTTGCCTTTAGTCCCTCAAATCATGCATAAAATAATGTCTCTTGCCCAACCTCTCCTTATAGCTTTATGAGAATCCATTAAACGATTAAGAACCTGAAAATGCGATCAACGTCTGATCGAAATTATGAATAACAGCTATACAAAATTCTAACAGGTTTTGAAAGATTTATGCAGCTACGCTTTTATTAAATCTTAATAAAAAGAATTATGGCTCAACTTTGACTACCACTGAATCGACTGTCTGAAGATAACTGTTCTTCCGTCTAACTGCTAGCAACAGAGAAGTTCCTTTAGCAGCAGGTGTGCTTATTGCTTCAGGAGGAACTATGAAGGGAAAGTTTTGAATTTCATTCAGTGAACCATGGGCCAAAGAACCGGTTTTGTTGAAAAAGAATATATCAACTGTTTGATCCTTGGTTTGCGGTTTAAAAGTCTGTTTAAATTGACAATTAACAAAAAAATCATCGGAATAAAAGTGACGGCAAAGTATTACATCCTTACCACATTGACATATTCACCAACACGCCAAGTTGTGTTCGGTCTAGGATATACAATCTCTAAATAACAGCAAATTTATTATTGTTGTGCTATGAATCGGTAATTGTAGTGCTTACAGCTTTACCTCCTTGGCTCTTTTTTTCATTATCAAATGGCTGCTGTGGCTGCTCGATGAAATTATAATACTTTTTGGCAATCTCAAAATCATCTATTCCGGCCGGAATGACGGATGATTCTATTATAATGAAGAGGCTTAAACAAAAAGTAAGCAATGAACTCAAATAAACTGATCTCATTTTTGATTGAGAATATTAACAGAATCTACAAAGTACGCTATGTTATCTTTTATATTGCATTATTGTGTTATAGCTGCATAAAAAAATAGAATTTATTCAACAACGGCTGCTGTAACTGGTTGCTCAAACTGCTCCAATGAGTCTCCTTTTTACAATTCGTATCCTACAAGTACAAAATTGGTTGGATCATGATGATAAATGGAAGGGTGTACAAGCTCAAAACCGAGATACATAAAAGCACGTAAAATGGTATTCAAGCCATTAACGCTGCTTTTGTAATTACGTTTATCGATACAAACGACTAAACCACTACAGCCTGTCTTTTCCTCAGCCAGCTCAATCAAGTGTGTAATACTATTGTAAACATTACGTTAATTGTAATACGAATAAAAATTGTTTATAAACCAAAGAAATTTAAAAAATACCTTGACTGGAAATCGGCAGTTGGCCAATCAAATACATTATAACTGCCCCTAGTGGTAGTATTGTTGCTTTCCTTCATCAATAAGGGTACACTAAGAAATACAATAGTTTCATAGATAAATGCTTCACAAGACAATAACAAAGCAGTATTTTGATTGGAGGAAACAGCAGTGGTAGTGGAAGTAGGAATGGTAGTTGATTTTATGTTTAATATTTCTGTTACTTGATTGTCAAATAAGCTATCTGTACCAAACACTTTGGTAATGATATCATTGGGTCCTAAGGGAGTGCATTAGTAGTAGTTAGAAAAAAGATTATCAACAAGATATATTGTACCTTTATGCCGGTCATGTACTGTGACCAGATCCACGGCTTTTTCAGCAACAATGACAGGGTAGTTTTCAATATTTTTACTAAATTCAATGTTACTTAGGGTAGTAGTAGTAGCAGTGGTTGTAGTTGCGGCTGACATGAGTTTTAGGGGTATAAATTCATTCTGATGACTTTTATTTGTCGTTGAAGTTGATGACGTTGACGTGGTCGGTTTTGGTTTTGGAGTTGTTAAAGTTGAAGTTGCAATGATCATTATTATTATTTTTTTCTTTCGTAGCTTTGGAAAGAATGGTGCTTGAAGCGTAAAGAAGAATGACGGTGTGTTTATCCAGTTCTGCTACTCTCTCTTTATCTTATTAGGTGTTTTACTATTTGGTACAGGTTAGGGAAGGGGGTTCATGTTGTTTCACAAAGAAATTCTACGCTCTAAATACCTTTGATAAAAACACCTAATCCTAAAAAATAAACTAGAAGTAGAAAAGGGGAAGGGTTTCAAAGGTTTTTTATAAGGTTGTGTTGGTAAGAAAAGAAAGACAGAAAAAGGCTGTTTGAATGTATAATAAATCGCTCGCTTTATATCAAGTTTGAAACTTCTTGACAAAACTTTGTTTCTTGCGTAAAAATGAATAAACAATAGAAACAGAGGAAAGAAAGAAAAGAGCGAATAAAGGAAAAGTCGAGCCATAAAAAATCATACTGGTTGTGCAGCAGGAGTTCAAATCTATCTGCTGCTTGCAACTCCTCATTGTGATTCAGGAGTAAATAGAAACTTTTGAAACTCTTTCTTCCTTCTATATTTGTAACTTTGAAAATGTTACAAACTCTTAATTCCGTAAAGTCTTTTCATATTAGGCGCTACGTTTTACATACTTGGCTTATGCAAATCTCAATATCCATATCTCATGTCCACGACTTGATGAACAACTTTAAAAACCTACAATTGCAATATAAATGTGAATTGCTCTTATTGTTAAAAAGCGATAAATTGAATCCAGAGAGATACATATCATCAAATTGTTCGTTATCTTTTCTGAGTAAAGTGTTTATATTTGGCTGTAACTATACCTGACATTAGATAATGTCATCATATCATTACTTTGAGCAGACGATAAAAAGAATGGTATGATATCAATTACAGTCAGTAAAAGACTTACAATGTATGGTAGTCCCATGAAGCAAACATTTATGAGCAGTTCTGTCAATGTCTTTATTTAACAGGCACCTGACATTCTAGCCATGAATTTACCACCTCATCAAGCTGTACCAATCGGTTACAAGCTTTGTCATTGATAAACAATAAAATAGCCTTTCTTTATCGAAAACGACATTGTTCATATCAATCATTGTGAGTAAGACATTTTGTCACTTTCGTTCATATCAGTCAACATTAAGGTGCTGCGCTTTTTTGGTTGCAAAAAAGAGAACATGTTTCTCCTATCCTCCCTTTATCTCGGTGAATCCTCTCCCAACCCCACCTCGACAGTTACTGCATGGTGTTTTATGCAACATGACAAACACCAACCGACCATGATATCGACGGTACGGTGAGCATTACACCAGGCATCATTACAGCTCATGATGCACATATAGAAGATTCGGTCAAACCACTACTAAATGAGTAAGTATTACATTTCACTTTCTGAAATGTAAAAGAAAGCAATTGTTGACTAACTATTATTGAGCAAGTACTAAACTTTGTACCACTAAAATGGATAAACAATCTCGTTGCAACCTATCAGGAAGTGCTTAATTTATCTCTTTCATCAATCATAAGTATTTATTCTATCCTGTTTACGTTATACTCGCTTTATTCTTTCCTACACAACACTGGTACAATGGGCATATCAATGTTGTTGCAGAATGCTCAGATCCTCATCATCAGCTACTTGTAAAGAAGATGCTTCTGATGCGCTCCTATGTCTATTATGCTGCTGTGGGTGGTGATGATTAATCGTTGCGCTCAATAATAGCTTATTTATCATACTTGTAGCAGTGGTGTTAGCGGTGGGGTTACTTTGACTTCTACGTCTGCGAAACGTGTGAGCATCCTGCTTATCTTCATCTCTTTTGTTATCCTCCAATAATATCTGTGGAAATTGAAACGGTGGTAATTGAGGAATATCTTTATCTTCTTCGCTTTGCGCACTATGCAAAGAACTAACATTACTACTACCACTACTGACACTACCGCTGACGTTGCTACTATTAGGACTATGACTATTGCTATAATCGCTGATATTAGTACTGGTACTATCTGAGATGACATTTTTATTTGTGTTGTTGGTGGTTTTTTGAGATGTAAATAGTGAATTCGAGACTGCCCTATTGGTGTTATTATTACTGCTTATCGCTGGCAATGTATTGTTAGAATTTTGTTGTTTAGAGAGTACAGAGTATAGATGACTATTTCGAGATGTTGGACTCGAAGAAGGTGGTAGTAAAGGTAAGGACATTTTCCTTCGTGAAGAATTCAATTGCTGAGTTGTCAATAATTCTGCTTCCAAACAGTCTCTATAGCATTCCAATCTCTGTAAATCTAGTCTCTTTTGTTTTATCCTTTTCCCTAAGGTATCAGCATAGTGAATGATTCGGTCTTTTGTGGACTTTTGATTGGGAACCAGCACCATCAAGTTACGTCGAAGTTGTAGTTCGCGGTCCAGTAATTTCACCTGCTCTCTGATACGCCGTGACAATTCTTCTATCTTTTCCTTGGCCATATCTTCCTTACCATCGTTAGATCTGATTTTAATACCGGTTGTTTTTAAAGTAGCGGCATAATTAATTTTCAACATCCAATCATCCATATCTTTATCATTTTCCGCTTTAAATAAGAATTGCTGTCCGTCACCAGTGATTAATCTAAATACATGAGGATACTTTGTATATTCTTCATCATAAATACAAATAGCGTAAGATAGTGATATAATCTGTACAGGTCGCAAATTAGGTGTGGCTGTACTGCTTAACATGGTTGATATATTGGTCATAGTTGTAGTAGTGGATGATAATGATAATGTAGGAGATGAGGGTATATTGTCGCTATTTTCGATCGTTGTGGCTGTATTTGTTGCTTTTGAAATAGAAGGGTAACTGTTATTTCTTCTAGGAGGTATATTAACATCACCATTATCATTACTACTGCTGCTTTGGCTCTTTAACCATTCTTGAAATGAGGTTACGTCTGAGAAAAAGATGATTTGACTTCCACTTAAAATAACGCCAAATGATCTCCAACTTCTCGCTGTTGCTCTTTTACCGCCCTGTATCAAATCGTATTTTCTCTCTAAAATAGCTGCCTTTGTTACTCTTATAGTGTATGTGTTACTATTGCTGCTGCTGCTATTATGGGGATAGTGGTAGTGTTTGCTTTTGACACCTGATAGACATAGTGTTTTCGCTTTTAAAATAGCGAAATGTAGTTCCATAATGGGAATTGGCTTCAATGATCGTTTATAACTGAAGCTGTTCTCGGCAGGCATTAATCGTTCTAATTTTTGACCAAGATCGTTCAACATAGCATTGTTCAGCTACATATCAATAAAAGTCAGGGGTTAAGTTGTCAGTGTTGCCAAATAGTTACGTTTCAAGATATTAGTATGCTGGTAGCTTACAGATAGACTGCTATTGTTATGATGATTACAAAGCGATGTCACCGAATTGTTAGTATCCGCCGAACTATCAGTGTAACTACTACTGCTGCTGCTGCCCTTGAATCTTGCAAACCATGAATTAGATCGTTCTTGTCTCATTGCTGTTGTCAAATGGTGATTCATATCATTGGCAGCATTATTAACTGTATTTAATGCAGAATCAGCATAGGTGAATTCTGAACTAACAATGTTATCATACATAATCTAAAATCCAATTAAAAGCTTAGTAAGAGTCCAAAGCGAGAATAAGCTCAGTGAAGTGGTTTCATATTACCCACTTACATCTAGTATTTCTGACGGGACACATTCTCCACCTTCAACTATTTTTGTTCTCATTATAAATGTTTCTTTAGTCATCTTCTGTTTAACGTTCTTATTATGTGCATCAGTATGCAACAACAGTAAAGAAAAGGCGACTGCATAAGCAACATCTATTCATAGCTTATCAGTCATACCAAAAAAAAAAGAAACCCACATGATCGGGGTATATGATTTGCGCAATACTGAGACTTTCATACCTGGATTATCTACCAGCATGGGATTACAATCATAATATCTTTTCGAAAAACTTTCCATGGCTCTATCAATTTGCTGTGACTCTTTGGGCAATATGACTTTGGAGAGCAACTTTCTTAAAGCTATATCGATAGCATCTCCACTAAAATCGAATTGCTGCACTTGTTTTGCAAAACTCTTGTCATCAATTGCTATTGTTTTATTGTTACCATCGCTAGGACCCGCCATGCGCTATATTGTTAGTTAAGTTTGTAACTATGAAAAAGTGAAAGGGTATGGTGCTGAAAGGTTCGATTCGTCTGTCAGGTACTTGGGCTGATGTCGAGATGAGAGTAAGTCAGTTGAATGGCCTAAAGGTGTCGTAGAGAGAATACGAAGTGTATTTGCAAAAGGGGTGCAAAATAATAGGGAATATGATAATAAAGAAATGGTATATGTATTTACAAATCTTATTTACAAGTAACAATTATTGCTGCTGAAGAAAAGGGAAAAAGGAGGAAAAAGAAAGCATCATTTTCATTTTCCTGCTAAAATTGATAAAAAGGAAACTGAATTGGAATTTGACGGTCGCCTTGTTTTTCTTTCCTTGCTTTTTTAATTCTGGTAAGAGACGCCTCTTACAAATTAAAACTTTTTGAAATCAAACGTCTGCCATGGAAAATAAATACACTGATCCGACTGGTGCCTTGGCAGAAAGCACCATGCGCATCAAAGATCTGCATCAAGTTGAAAGAGTAAATCTGACATGATCAACATAAAGAGCTGTATTTGGTTTACATAGTAATAACGCAAGCTTTAGAAACTAGTGTTATTGATCGAAACGGCGTCAGAAGCTATTTCCATATTATGTGAAGAAGCCTCGAAAGACAAAGATACAGATCAGTTTATTAGAGAACGCACTCTAGCCTTTCGCGATCTAGCTTCGAAATATTTTTCGCTTGTCAATGTACGTATATTATACAGATAGGTAGATAGGATGAAACTGAATTTGTTGCTTTACGTTTACTTATTTACGTCTCGTTGTGTTGTATTAGGATATTCAATTTTCATTAAGAAGCCACACAAACTACCTTGCCAAAGAAGCTAGTATGACATCGTCCACACCAAACAAAACAATTCCTTTCAAGACATCCATTATGAGTGAACAAAAAGAATTGGAAGTATGGACGGATGCTGTAGGAACGTTGCAGCAGCGTATAGCAGAAATTAAAAAGATTGCCACACAGCAGCAGGAGGAGCAGTGACAACTTCTTTTATTCATCTTGTAAGAATTTGTAATTTTGTAATTCATCTGGCAGATATTTTTGATCGACTGGTTCAGCATAGTCAGGGTTATATTTATAGCCTTCGCCATAGCCCAAGTTCTAAGTTAATGTTATGTTGATAATTCAGAGAATATGTGTAAACAGTATACCCACCACTATAACATGCAATAAATCATTCCACTTTACCTTCATTAATCTTGTTGGGGCATTTCGAATATGCATTGGTACTGGATAAGCAGGCTTTTCTTTGATGGTCTGTTTGACCAGTTTATATGCTTTGTAACTTCGAACACTCTTTTTGGTTTCAGCAAGATGAACAACCAAGTGAGCCAGAATAGTATCACATTCTGGCATCCCGATTTTTTCACAAGCATGATACGCAGCCATGGCCTTTTACAAAATCAAATAACAGAAATCATGGTAAGTTTATAACTTGTAAGATTTTCTTTAAAAGTATTCTATAAATTTTACCAGTGGTAAGGCAGAGTTGTCTGCTAATCCAATATCTTCACTTGCGCATCTTACTAATCTTCGAGCAATATAAAGTGGGTCTTCACCTGCTTCTAACATTCTACCGAGCCAGTACAGTGCTGCGTTTGCATCGCTACGAAAGGATAAGAGAAACCACAAAAGGATAAGATAAATGACAAACTGGGCAGATATTTCCTAAATGGATTTACCTTCCACGGATACTCTTGTGTAATGCACTTATAATGTCATAGTGCTGATCCCCATTCCGATCATAGAGCAAATGTGTCTTTTGAAATGCGCCTATACAGTGTACGTAACCATAGATTAAAAGATTACGCTTCAATAAAATTGCCTTATTATATGGGGTATATCTTACCCTTCACTGTGTCAATGGTTAATGGGTGCGCTCTAGATGGTAATAAGCTGAGTGCTATTTCTAATGTATTTAAAGCTGTTCGAGCATCTCCATCACTATAGACAGCCAATTGTGTTATTGCTTCATTATCTGGATCGGTATCGGGAGCAGTAGTAGCGTCTTCATTTTCGTTCTCCTTCGCAATAGTGTCATCATCAGCTGGAGAATCCTTTCGCCACTTTCTTATTGCTCTTGTTAATATAAGTTGAATTTGACTTTGATCTAATCTTTTCATTACAAATACTTTACACCGTGATAATAGTGCCGAATTGACCTTAAAGCTAGTTTATTGCGTCAATTCGTATTCTACATTTCAATTAATTTGATACTGGATTTTACCTTGGGTTTTCTGTCGTGGCACCTATTAGATGAATTGTACCTTGCTCGACATAGGGTAGAAAAAGGTCCTGTTGTGCTTTCGTAAATCGATGTATTTCGTCAATAAAAATGATTGTTTTCTGCCCTGTTAACTTCAGATGACCTCTCGCTTCATCAAAAGATTTTTTCACATCAGCAGCGCCGTGAGAAGTCGCACTAAGCTCTATAAATCGACTTTTGGACATTTTCGAGATGATGCGAGCAATGGTAGTCTTTCCACAGCCTGGTGGTCCCCAAAGAACCATAGATGGGATGCAATCACTATCAATCAATTTTCTCAGAATACCTTCAGAGCCCAAGAGTTCTTCTTGACCTACAAATTCATCCAATCGCATGGGGCGTACTAGAACGATAATTGATTCAGTCAATCATTCCAAACAACAAAGGCAACTAGCTGTTAACATTTTTAACATTTACCTTTAGCGGCTAATGGCATGGCTTCGTAAGTAGGATCCAACTTTTTCTTTTTTTTTAGAGGAACTGCCAAAGTCTGATCATTCGAGGCGGAAGTGCTTGTTCTTTTTAAAGATGTAGTAGAACTGTCGCCGTCGCTTAGCATTGAGACTTGATAACTCTTATGGTTTTGTACTCGATTTCTAGGTGCAAATAAAGGAGCCATTCGAGTGGGAGACTTGGAACCATGATGTGTAGAAGTGGTAGTATCGGCCGTAGTAATATTGTCATTATTACTGTTATTTACTGTTGTAGTCGAGCGAACAGGGGAAGACGTAGCTGTCCTAAATAAAGGAGCTATCTTTGACGAGGTTGCTGTCACTTGCGAATTAGATTCTGAATCTGTATTTGTAATAGTAGCGCTTGCAGTGTGGACGGGGGGACAATTAGCATCGATGTGAGCATTGATCTTCGTGCTGTCAATCATTTGTCCACATATTGGGCATTGTACTATTTTAATGAAGGACTAAAATTCAGTACAAATGATTGAATTCTCTTGTTTAAAGTAGGTTTGCTTTGCCTTCATTCGCCATTATTAGATTTTGACAGTGCTTAGTTGAGTGATTATAGTTGCATTTAGCAGCTTGCTCTTTATGCAATTTACCTTGAATTATTTGAATTTTTCAGGTCCGAATTTTTAATAATGATGGTGCGCGTTTTTTTTTTTTTTTTCCAACTGCGTGAGCGCTACTAGTCCGCGAACAATACAGCACTCGATGAGCTGTCAAATCAGAGAACAAGTAAAAATATATCTCCAATCAAGCAAATTGGCTACCATAAGATGGCGTTCATTTTTACCCACTGAGGGAGTGCACTATATCTGTGGTTTTAAATATTGTCCCACTAAAAATAGCTCAAATTTACGTTCTTTATTGAAAAACATTAAATAGAAGAAGCTTATAGTCTTCGAACGTATAGAAGCGTAACATTTTGGAGCATCTTTCTCAAAATTCTTTGACGCGAAATGAGAATCATCAAGGTAATTCGTGCGACAAATTACAAATAAAGTGAGCTTAAGAAAAGTTTAACTGTAAGCTCAAGCTCAAATTTGCCCTAAAATGGATAAATCTGTTTTCAAATGTGAATTCAATGCCCCTTTGACAGGCCCTTTAAGATTAATACTATTAAAATAATTTTGTTTGCAGAGCTGTACTTTGATTTTTCATCTTAAAACCACCGAATTGGAATTCAAAAAAAAAAAAGGTTTAACAAGATGAAATTTTCTGCATCCGGATCATGAAACAAAATTACAGTGGCACAACTCGGGCAACAGTAACAGGTCAGTAAATCTTAATGGTTACACTATTACCCCCAGCCTTTCGATTCATAAACAAATCAAACCATTCTAAAGTTGCCCGAATGCATTTGATTATTTCACATGTGAACCATTGTTTTCTGTATATATGAGTTAATGCATCAACAAAGGAACCGACAAATCATAGCAAAAATGTGAGAACCGTTTGAAACGGTATGTAATTACTTATTGGGAACAGGAGATTTAAGTTACCATAACGGATTCAGTTTTCAAGGCATGATTTGCTAGCCAGCAATAAGTGGATAACTATCTGTGAAATAAGAAACAATGCGAAAAAACGAAAACTGTCATCGGATGGTTTGTTATTAAGCACAAATGCGGTAAGTTTGCCAAAAGGAAATAATAGTATTCAAGCAATAGTTTGAGTTTCGCTTGAATAATATATGACATCCAGCTAGTGACCGTAAATGCTGTTGTTATATGTAAAATGATGGTTTTGAACAGACTGCTGGTATGTTGAATGTGCTACACGTATTTAACATTATTACAAATGATGGTTACATTGATTATGTCAAGCCGATAACTTAATTGCCTGTAATGGAACGAAGTAATGTAAAGGTTTTTTTCATGAGTACAAGAACCAAGTCATTGTCAAAACAAATGCGGGAATCCTTTGGCATCTACTTTTGAAGTGTATATCTTTTTCAATATAAGCTATGCACAGTTTCGTTCAATGATTGTTCCCTATTGCGAGGGGTGAGTTAAGAAAAAAAAAGAAAGCTTTCATTCCCTAAATAAGGCACATTCATGGGTTTTCTAGCATAGAAAATCTCGACTTTTTACCCTGATAAGGTCATGTTTTCGCACGATAAGTTTTTAAACAGAATCGATCATTGATTTGTCAGAACAAATCCTGGGAAGCAAGTTGCGCCAGCGGACTTTATGTATACTAACCTAACCCCTCTCATTTGCTTATGGTGCAATGACTAGGGCTCCCTTTGGCAGTTTATTTGATATACAAGCAGACTTTTGATTGAAAAACACTGCTCTATTGTTATTCAAGTGTCCGTATAGTAAACTAAGATACCTAAACACTTGTATATCACTCATTGTTATTAGGCTGGCACATGTAGAATAATTTTCTGTAAAATATGCGACAAGGCATGTTGCAGAAAATTTAAAGAATATGAGTGGCCCGCTTGCTTGAAATTTGTTTACTTTTTTTTATACTTGCTGGTCTGAGGCTAGTAATGACAAATTGACTTCTACATCTTCATTACTACTCGTCCAACTTACCTTTCCACTAAAACAGCAACCGGTGGGAGTTAACCTTCAGCTGGTGTGTTTTTGACTTTTATGTATCTGACCATCATCCTTCCAATAAAAAAAAAATAAATATAAATACCAATGGGTTTGTTTTAGCAAAGTATAGCTTCTCTTTTTTTTTTTTTTTTTTATCCAGTAATTTATACACTTACACTTAACTGCTCATCATGTCTACTAACAAGGAAATGAAAACCGCTACTGCTTCTACGCTCAATCAGCATGTTCATCCTTTTGATCAACTTACTGGTGATGAAATCATTCAAACGGCTGCTATTGTGCGTCAGGCCAAACCTGAAGTCGATCTGGTGTTTAACACCATCACTCTCAAGGAACCCAACAAGCAAGTCATGCTTTCTTATCTTGGTTGGGATACCTCCAAGCCCCGTATTACCAAGGTTGAACGTGAAGCTCTCGTTGTCATTTTAGAGAAGGTTACCATGAAGTGTTACGAAGCTATTGTTTCTTTGACCCACAATACACTCAAGTCTTGGACATACATGCCTGATGTCCAACCTATGTTGACTATGGACGATATGTTTGAAGTCGAAGAGCTTGTCTTGAAGGACGAAAAGGTTATTCAAGAATGCCGTGAACTTGGTATTACTGATATGTCTTGCGTTTTCAATGATCCTTGGGCTATTGCTCGCCACGTCAGTCATCCTGGTCGTGAAAAGCGTTTAATGCAAGCTCTTATGTATATGCGTACTTGTGAGGAAGATAATCAATACGCTCACCCATTGGATTTCGTTCCTATTATCGGTAAGTAGAGTTTATGAAAGCATCATTTTCAGAGAGAAATTGATGCTGGGATTCGTCGTTTTTTTGTGGAAAGGGGGAAACATGATTTGGTGTACTAAAACCAGTTGAACTTATTATTCAGATTTGGGCTTAAAGAAGGTTATTGCTATCGAACGAATTAAGCCTAGAGATTCCAAGTACAGTCGTCCTACTATTCCACTTCAACAGCACAACTTTTTACCTGAATTTGTCGGTGAAGAAAATTATCGTAAGGACGTCAAGCCTATTATCATTCAACAACCTCAAGGCGTTTCTTTCACTGTGAAGGGTAATGAAATTGACTGGCAAAAGTGGAATTTGCGTATCTCTATGAACTATCGTGAAGGTCTCGTTCTTCACAACATCAGTTATCAGGATGGCCCTGAAAAGCGTCCTCTTTTCTACCGTATTTCTCTTTCTGAAATGGTTGTTCCTTATGCTGATACCAACACTCCCCATCATCGTAAACATGCTTTTGATGTCGGTGAATACGGCCTTGGTCTTTGCACCAACAGTCTTCAACTTGGATGTGATTGTTTAGGTTCAATCTATTACTTTGATGCTGTCTTCAACGACCATAATGGTCAACCAGTTGAAATTCCTAGCGCCGTCTGTATGCACGAAGAAGATTATGGTATTTTGATGAAGCACACTGATTACCGTAACGGTCGTGCTCACACTATCCGTTCCAGAAGATTGGTTATTTCTCAAATTGTCACTGTTGCCAACTACGATTACGGTCTTTACTACTATTTCTATCAAGACGGTACCTTTGAATATGAAGTTAAGGCTACTGGTGAGCTTAATACTCATGTTTTGGCTGAAGATGAGTCAGCCGCCGGCATGGGTACCATTGTCGCTCCTCAAATCAACGCTCAATATCACCAACATTTCTTCACCATGCGTATCGACCCTATGATCGACGGTCAAAACAACTCTGTTCAACAAGTAGATACCTATACCTTACCCTATCCTACTGGCCATCCCAAGAACCCCTTTGGTAACGGTTTTACCTCTGATTACACAATTTTAAAAGACACCAAGGAAGGTCAACAAAATGCTTGTTATGAAACTCAACGTTTCTGGAAGATCGTCAATACAGACCGTATTCACCCTTACAGTAAAACTCCTGTCGGTTGGAAGATCTCCTCTGGTCACACCGCACCTTTCTTCGCAAAGGACGACTCACTTGTTGCTGAACGCGCTGGTTTCGCTAAGAAGACATTGTGGGTCACTCCTTATGATGAGAATCAAATGTTTGCTGGTGGTTTCTACTGTAATCAATCCGGCGGCGATGATACGGTTGAAGTCTGGGCTAACCGTGAAGTCCAAGATATTCAACAAAAAGATATTGTTCTTTGGTACACTTTCGGTATTACTCATTTACCCAGAGTTGAAGATTTCCCTATTATGCCTGTCGAATACTGTGGTTTCACTATTAAGCCTTGTAATTTCTTCATCGCTAATCCTGCTCTTGACGTTCCTCCTACAAATAAGAAGATTAATCACTCCGTTCTTGCTCACGAAAACTCATCTAAAGGTGAAGGTCCCAAGTCCTGTTGTTCCACCAAGCTTTAAGTAAACCATCATATCCCCCCTCCCCTGAGCAGTTCATATTTTTTTAATTCTTGCTAATACCATACTATACAAATCACAATTCACAAAACATTACACACAAACATTCTTATTTATCTATATGTATTGTCTAACCATTGCACCGCAACCTTTTTTTGTAAATGCCTCCTTTTTTGTAGGATTTTTTTTTTTTACCCCATATTTTTGAATAAAAGTTTATCTGCATAATAATCGCGGAGTGTATAATACTGCCAACCAAACGATAAAAAAGCAGTTTCAATTCAAGTGCTTATTTACCAGATTCGTTTTGCCCCTTTTTCTTTTCTGATTTCGATGGAGGAGGACGTAATTCGTAGAATTTACCTTCTAACTAATGAACTAACTTCTCAACAACATAATAACCAGCAACTTGCAAATGAGCTTACTTCACAGTTACTAGAACTAAAAGTAAAAAAAGACAGAACGTCTTGAATGACAACTATATAGTCAAAGCAACTGTATTTATTATGCCCTTTATTTTAGACAAAAGCTTCAACCAAACCATCGAATGAAGGTAATTAATATAAGAAGAAGCGAAAAAGCTACTTTGGCCAAAAGCTTAATTGAGCAGAAACAGATTTTGCAGTTACAACAACAGCTTTCATACCACCGGGACAGAGAGAAGAAATAATTGATACCCTAAAATCGAGATTGGCAGACATTGTAAAGGAAAAAAAGAACTTGGAATCTACGAATCGTCAGCTGCAACAAGAGAATGAGGAATTGCAATCCGTTGTCAAAGATTATGAAGCTAGTCTAGAAACCATCACGGATAAATTTCGGATACATACAGTAAGCATTGAATATGTAAAATATTATTTCTGATAACAAAACATATATCTGATTAACATATGGAATTTAGAACGCTGTCGTAGACGGGCAATTACAGCAGAAAAAAGAATATGAAGCTCTATTAAACGCTGAGAAGGTATGTAAATATATGCTTTTGTGCACGGAGGGTTTGTTGCTTTGTAGCTGACACCCATGTTTTCATACGGTTTGTTTAGAACGTAACGGCAGCATTGTTTTCTGAAAACGTTACTTTGCAAACACAACTTCATAAATTGAGCAAATTGTTACGGGAACTATATGAAAGTGATGAATCAGTTGGATTTAAGGAAGAGAGATTGGCACAGCTAGCGAAGGAGAACGAGGATTTGCGAGCCATACTAGGGACTGCAAAATTACCTGAAAGCACAGAAAAACTTAAAGAGAAATCATCGCCTGTTCTGCCTGTTACAAAGACAGATGTAATAGCCGACTTTTTTAACGATGATTCTTAGCTTAAGCTTGACTACCATTCGTACATACCCAACATGATAAAGAGATATATTTTTCATTAAGAAGTACAGTTGAAGCCTGAGACTGAGTTTAGAGTTTGTTGTTGCTGCTTTTAATTTCGCCATGAACGCCCAGCTCATTGTTGCTCCTCACTTTACTTTTTCGACTTCACAACCATGTATTGTATGCGTTACTTTGTGCCTTTACTTTTATTACCCTTTCCTGATGCTCCACCTATTTTTGTTATCCTTTTTCTTCTATCATTCTATCTGCATCAAAAACCTTGGTAACATCAAGTTTGAAAAGTCTGGTCACTTTAATTAGTCAATCTTGAGAATTAATTTTATCCTTTGTACATTAGCATTTATTGTACTTTACTTTTAATCGCCCTTTTCTCTTCGACATGCTACTGGGGTCAAGGTCGCTGTTGGATAGACCTACAAAATAACGGCTTGTTCGAAGTTAGAGAAAACTCCAATGCAACTTTTGGGCAAGGAGAAGGCTGGTGGAATTGGAATATAACGTTACCCATCAATTAATACAGCAATTCAAGCGAAATTCAGAGACACACTCACAATACAAAAGCAACAGCTGTTTTATAGTAAATCATATAAGCACGCCCTTAGACATTCAGTCAAAAGTAGCAATCATACCCTAATATTAGCACTCTGTGAAATTCAAGTGGAATACATAATTTGTATCTATACCGTTCTACATTCTTGGTTATTTGTTGAGTTGCACATTAAATTGAAAATAAGGCCAAATGATATGGTATCCTCCGGGAGGTGAAACTAAATTGGAATTGTCTTTCATACCATTAAGAACGATAGTTCATCACTTGTTGGGCAAATTTCGTAGATATCAGTGGTTATGATAAATAACGATTTCTACTTCCAGAGTGCAGTAGTAGATGAATAGTGCCAGATTTTGAGCTTTCCTCGATTTTGTTGCCTGGCATGAGTTTGTTAAGTTCGTCGTTTTCGACCTCCTTCTTTACTACTGCTGTTGAGTCCTGAAGAGGGCAAGTCAACGTAAGCCTTAATGATGCGCACGCGAATAGTTAAATTTCGCTTATAATTCAAGCACATAAAAGAACAATAAAAACCCTTCCATTTAAGCAAAACATTTTCATAGCGAACGTGCATTTCTCATTAAAACTTATCGGCAAGAAAACGTTTATTATTTCCAAAATGGATTTCTTTATCAAGTAGAATATATGCCCCAGCCATCTCCAAAGCCTTCACAATTCCTGTTAGGGTATCCTTTCGGGGTGCCACACCATTTTTCATATAATAATCTGGCAGCATTCTTGCCAGCAATCGTCTGCGTTTCCATTGTCTACAGAGCAAAGAAAAATAAATACATGTAGAGCAGCAATAGCAGTTAGTTCGTTGGTATTTTTCACCAAATACCAAAAAGAATTTTTGAAAAGACGGTTAGTCTCAAAGCTTACTGATATAAAATTCTCGAAGGCCCCTGTATATATGATATTAGACGAGAATATTAAGTCGTCGTAATTGTCAGGTCCGATCTTGAAAGAGGGGAAAGGCCTGTGAACATCAATGGGTCTTAACTTGGGGAAGGCATGCCATCCTTTGTGATAAGTCCAGCTTCGGTTAAAGAACAACTCATCAAGAAATTCCTCTTCTAACAACTTTGGTGAAAATATCTTGATGACACTTTCTCCATTATCCAAAAATCGATGTACTGAAATAGTGTAGAAAGGTGCGCTAGCATTTTCAAAATGATTCACTATAATGAAAGTATAGAAATGCAGTTGCCTTATTAATGCCGCTTTTACGGAATCCTCGCTCATATAGGCAAGCATCTAGTCTATAAATCATTAACTCACCTAAAGGTACACCGGTTGTGATGACAAATGTAGGCATCTTATCCATAGTACGTCCAAAATATGAAGGATTAGGATGCCCCGCCACAAGCGTTACATGCACAGGATGGTAGTGGCGCTGCTCTGATTGAGTGGGAAAGGAGAATTGAATACCTGAAAACAGGATAGGCGTAGCAAGCACAACCTCGTCGAATACTTCTGATGATCCATCAGCAGTCTCAACTAAATAGCGAGAAACACTATTGCCTTCAAAATCAATTTCCGTGAAATTGCTAATGGCTGTGACCTTGGTTTGTAATCGTAGGCTGGCCTGAGATCGATGAGCAAACTCTTCAAATATTCTGTAGTTACCTCCTTCAACGGCCCAAGTACCGTGCCCAGCCTCCATTGAGACCTATATTCGAGTGAAGGTGTTAATCACACTTTAGAGATTTGTGGACTGACAAACTTATTGTTGGATATTACCATAACTGCTAGAGCGTGTAAAGCATTCAAATCTTGACAATAATTACCACGAGTAGCTGTTTGTAATATTTCTTGTGAAAACCTTTCATTGATGCCTAATTCTTTCAGATAGCTCTCTGCCGTCATGTTAAGCAAATTTTTAAAGTTCAGTTTGTCTACAATCTGATTGATGTCCTGAAATCCTTCACTTGCATCGTATATCTCCATGAACTTTTTAACAACCTCTTTCTGTTTACTTTGAAACTGCCAACATGAGTTTAAATAGAAATAAAACAGCCAGTAAGTATATGCACGTCGATATATAGTCTATCTTATACGATCTAGCATCAGTACCTTTAATGGAGTCAATCCATACCGCCATAACGCTTTTAGATTATCCCAATAACTTCCAGTCTCCTCATACAGGAATTGTTTGCCGTCCCATACACCTAAATCTGGTCTACCATCGCTGCTAATGCTAACATTTTCATCATTATCATTTTCAATTGAAGTTATGGTCGCTAAAGTCAATCCAAATTCTTTAGTTGCTTTCATCAAGTGGGTATTGGCCTCTACGAAGATAGAGGCGCCCAATTCAATCATCCCTAAAGATTGGTTTCCCTTGATAGGCACCGCCGTACTACGACCGCCCAAATAATCATTTCGATCAAAAATAGTAATAGACACTTGGTGTCGGTCGGTAGGGAATGCATTCCTTAAGAAAAAGGCTGTTGAGGTTCCAGCGGCACCGCCACCTTTATATATATAACACAGGGGAAGAAATATAGCCGTTCTTTTAAGTGTTAACTCTATCACAGAGCTAGGTATATATCGAGGAATTGCTGGGTTTCCTGCTGCTATTGTATCTCTAAAACATACCTATTATGGCTACAGATTTGGTAATGACTTTGTCATCGCGATGAAGGACATGCTGTTCAAAACTACTTTCAGCTCTGACACTGTTACTCAAGTAAAGTAGCGAAAGACAATACAACACTTGTATTTTCATAGTTCTATTGACAGTTGAAGAGAGAAAAAGAAGAGGGTATGTAAAGTGTTTACTTTTTAAATAAAGGTGAGAGGAGAGGTTTCATGCATAACTTTAAACTATAATTAAGCATAAATAATCTAAGCACCAACTTTAGACAGTGCTAAATCCATCTAAATAGACAAAAGCATAAATCAGCCCAATTTCAGTGAATCAGCAATTTTTTTTTTTTTTTTTTTTGCAACTGTTAAGTCCTTTTACCTTCTAGCCCATTCAAAGCTTGGATTACAAATGACATAATATTAGCCGTCAATTGCATAGTAAATCCTCTATATAGACCATGAATTCCCCAGGCACTTGTCGTTTTAACAACGTGTTGCTTTTTTTTGTTTTTGAAATCCTTCCTGTTATCACAATCGCTCTCTGATGAGTTCGACGAGCAAGATGCCGAAGTTGAGATACCATCCATCCAGCGATTTGGCACTTTTTGTTTCCTCTTATGTTTCGCTTTAAGAGGTCCGGCCATATTGCTATTACTTCGTTTCTTATTACGGGTGCCCTCTTCCTTCAATATTCTATATAAAGCTTCCAGTACGCCATTATACGGTTGAGGTCTGATTGCCACTGTTGTCTTCAATCGTTCTCGTGGCAACTGGCATTGAAGCCTTTTACGGATTGTTTCTAAAGGTAGCATAACAATCAGTCCTACAGTTGATATTGCAAGATCTGCAACGCTGTACAAAAGTGGGGAATCTGCTGGTGATACTTTAAGCATCCTTGATACTAACAACGGTGTACTGCAGGAAATCAATGGTGTAAGGGTATGGTGAAAGATAGTGGGAATCAGATTCTTGGAATAAAGATAAACGCCAGTAATGCCGCCCTCTTCCTTGAAAAGATCACGTAAAGCATGGAACAGGCCATTGTACTTCTTGCAAGATGGTGCAGCAGACTGGACGATTAATCGGGTTTTGACAATTTCAAGAGGGCTGAGAAGAAGACCCACGATGATGTGAGATACAACCAACGTGGCTATATTAGGTGTGACATTGTCCAATTGTAAAAGAGGGATGGTATCGTCATAAAGACCGAACATATCATTCAGTGTACTTTCAAGTGCAGATCTAAGTAACGTTTTCGAAATTTCATATATCCATGTCACCGTTTGCCCTGCAAGAAAAAGAAAGAGAGAGCCCAATGAGTACGATAGAACAATATTATCTGTGATTTTGATGTACCTTTAAAGAGAGAGGTCCAGCCCTCTGTTGGTTGTCGGACGATCGAAGTGAGTATCTGCAGTACACCCCCTCCTTTCAGAGGTGCCATTTGATAAATAGGCCGGTTTTCTGCATCGTATACGCTCACAGGTGAGTTGTCTATCCTATGACGGGCTGAATCTAATGAAGTTCTTTGCCCATTTTGTGGTCTACTGTAAAAATCGCCGTCTTCTTCAGAATCACTATTTAAGTCAATGTGCGACAACTTTGGAAAAATACATAGCTTTTAGTCATGCAAACAGTTCATTACAAGCGTTAAAGATATTTTTTTTGCTTCGTATAAATACTTTACTGATCCAGAAAACTGTGAGTTCGACGTAAAATACTGATGAGATAAACCTAACACCTCCACATCTTCATGCGGGGCATATTGGACTTGAAGTAACGTTGTCCCAACATCGAAAGGACTCGTTAACATTGTCGTAAAATATTTCAAAAGTGCAAAGCTAGTATAGTGAGTAGTTATGTTTTTTAATTGTGCATGTTGGTTTATCTCATCAACAATAACAGTGTCAGCATTGGTAGAAGAAATGCAAGTATAGTTGTGATGATGATTGCCTGGAATATAATACGGTCGGTGAGGGTTAACTTTTGTCGAGGACGACATTTTTTAAAATGACAAATATGAAAGTTTTATTTCGGCGCAAAGAAATAAATACATATACACAATGAAAAAGTAAATATCCAATATCCAATTATTAATTTAAATATATTTACAATAGCATGAGCTTCTGGTAACTGACATTTCCGATTTTTTTTTTGTTCCTGCTGCCCCTCCCCTTGTAAATCCGACATATTATTTTGTAACAAACGTTATTTTTAGGAACTTACCTTAACATATACAAGATGCGAAAAGTTGATGAAATGGCATAAAGCAGTCGCGCGCGATTTTTTACGTTCATGTTGCATCCATTCCTTCCTGCTGTAATTACAAGATGCACTGTAGTTTATCCCACAAATTTACAAAAACAACTGATGGTTGTGCAGAAGATGTAGTGAGCATCGTAGGTGAAAGCAGCGAAAGAAAGCATACGCAAAATGATGAATGTTTAAATGTATGAGTGCGAGTAGTTGCGTCTTCGCATGGCTATTGGGCGATAATACCAAATAAAAAATGTAAAGACGTGGTTTTTTTTTTTTCCTTTTTGTCTTTTGCCCAGTGCTTATATGGATTGACTTTGCGGTATTGCGGTGCAAGCAGTTACTGGTTTATACAGAAACAAAGCAAAGTGAACTGTAGTGAACTGGACAACGACAGAGTTTAATAATGAGAATGTAATGTATATTTTTTAAAATTGTTGGATAATGATTTGAGTGCGAGTTTGTGATTGGAGAGCAGCAGCAAAGTGATCTTTTTACTTAAAACTGAAACAAATGTAGTGGGCTTTTTTTTTGCGTATTGCGTGATATTGATTTTTTTGTAGCTTTATACTGTTTTAACCTGATTAAATTCTTCTTTTTTTCGTTTCTTCTAATAAGGTGAACGAGTACGAGGGGGATAAGGATCATATCTTGGTGGTGGAGGACGACGGTCATAACGGTCATAGCGATCATAGCGATCATAGCGATCAAAACGGTCATACCGATCTCTGTCATAACGATCGTAACGATCATATCTGGGAGGATCATAGCGATCCATATATCTGTCATAATAACGATCATATCTGGGCTCACCACGAGGGGGTCTGTGATCTCTTCTGTCTCTGGCTATTCAAGTTGATGATAAAGATTAAATTAGAATCAGTTGCAACAGTTTGTCGAATTCTTCTTCTCTGTCAATTGATTACTTACGTCCTCCTCTCTTAGGTGGGCCGAAATAACGACCAGGAGTGGGGGTTCTGGGTCTGGATCGCTTGGCCTTCTCGACGGTAACTATACGACCATCAATCTCGGTACCACTAACACCCTGCATGGCTCTATCAGCTTCATCAGGGTTAGCCATACGAATAAAACCGAAACCACGAGATTCACGAGTATGAGGATCCACCATAATTTCAGCTTTGATAACCTAGAATAAAGAATTGGAAGTCGTACAATGAAAAAACTATCCTCAAAAGTGCGCATCCTTTACTTGCATCCTTTCCGCCACCCCTGAAATGAGAGCCATCAACTTACACCTCCATATTTGGAAAAGACCTCTTCTAAATCAGCACCGTTGGTTCTAATAGATAGACCAGTAATGAACAAATTGTCACCAGGGTTCAAATCTTCTTCTTCTGGCCTGTGTTTGAGTAGTAGTAGTAGTAGGATTGTAATGTGTGATTAATTGAGCAAGAAATTATAACTTTTGTCGGCTTTTTTTTTCAAAACAGAAGGAAATTTTTTGGGTGGTGGGCGAGTATGAAACTGAATATTGAATGTATGTGTATGTGTATGTGTGTACATGTGCTAACTGTAGTATGTATAGTGTATATACGTTTAAAATTGGAGCTGAGCTTACTTTATATCTCTGGAGCGAGAACGACTTCTGTATCTATGGTTGCTACGATCACGTCCAGGAGAGCGAGATCTGGAACGACTGCGGGAGCGACGGCCTCTTTCATCTGATACGCGTTGGTCAACTGTATTGTCGTAATCTGAGTAATTAGATGAGACGAAGCATAGAGCCTATTTTGAGTTCTGAAGTCCGAGTAAAGATATAATGTTACCTGTATTGTCAATTTCACTCATCGTTATTGTTGAAAGTTAGTGGAAAAGATAAGAGAAAAAGGAAAAAGTGCTCGAGAGAAGGGAGCTAATTATTTTAGGGAGAATGTGATGGAAGGAAAAATTTTGCGCAACTCGGAGTTAAAATAGAGTATTCCACGTCATCATTCATTGGGTAGATAAGTTCATGTAATAAAAACTGGTCGAAAGCAAAGCTTTGAGAGCTCTTCATTACCTTATTGATGCCCTTATCAGAAAAGAACTTGTTATAGATGTGGGATAGATGTGGGATTTTTGATGCGAAAAGTTTTCAGTATAAAAATATGTTTTAATTATAACTTACTTTGCTGCAGGAGATACCAATTTGCTCAGCTTTCACTTTGAAGCCCGAGTATTTATTGAATTGATTGTGTAACTTTAATAGCTTGTTTTGAAAAAGCATCGTTGTCCGCTTGAATGCATGATATATCGGAAGTTACAAGTTTGAAGCAGGTGCTTCTACTGCACAGTTCGTGCGATTAAAAAGGGCAAATTTCAAAAGAATCATATGCGCGTAAAATATTAGCTTATTCAGCGCTTTAAATATGTTACTGAGTTTACATAAAGTGTCCGTCAAAGGATTCACTAACACCAAACAGCAGCGTTGAGCTTTTCAAAAGCTACTTTTTTTAAATAATTCAAACATAACTAATATGAGCATTACACACAGGCTTTATATCAAAACTGGTCAAGCAAGAATAAACATTCTCACTCTTGGGACTAAACCAAATTTTACGTATTAATAGTGAAGGGTAGGAGACAATATGGGAAATATAAGAGATTGACAAAAGATATGAAGCTATTTCCTTCGATGTACTTTATGATGAACATAACTGGTTCCTTCGAACGCATTCGAGCGTTACCTGCAATGAATTAGTAACTATCAAGCAATTGAATAATAAACTCTGAACTTTGGGTAAACAATACAAGTAAAATATGTTCTCCAAGCAAGATGAAATTTTATGTTAACCTCTGCAAACAACTTTAAGACAATCCCAAAAGGTATTATCTATATGCATTATAGCTTTTTGTTATTCATTATATAATAGCTACTGGTTAATAAATGCAGTGATAGTGTCCATAAAGGCGGGAACACTTGTGCATTCAACATACCTTGAATAATTTCGTACAGCAATATCATCGAAACAAGCACCATCAGCTCAATGTATATAATCAGTATATTTCTGCAAAATTGATATATGCTCAAAAGGCGCGAAAGGAAGGTTTTGACAAGTGTAGAAATCCTTTGAGTCTAAGGGGCCCCTTTTAAACTGTCTGTTTTATGGAGAATCACTTCTCTTTATAGTGCAATTACAATGTAAAAGAGAACAGGAAAAAAGTAGCAATGCTTGAAGACTTGAATTCCCAAGTTTATTCCTATTTGACAAATACTGTGAATAGCAATACCTCAAAGGGCACTTTCCGTTTATTTGAAGGTTCTGGACGATATTTTAGAGCAGGTAGCTATCTAATATACACTGTTTTGCAACGTAGATAAAGACAATTTACATCAAGGCATCTCCTAGTGTATACGCATAAGAAACAATATCCACGATATAAGACAAACACTAAATGATTATATAGTATTCGCCATAACATCTAACTAAAGATGTCGTTTAAAAACTCAAAGCAGTTGCGTTTCTAGATGGAATTATAGAAATATCCAAACTGTTTAATATGTTTAAGAAGTCAAGAACAGGAATTTACAAGCTGATCATTACGAGCAAGAAGCCCTGACTAGCGTTGCCACTTGGTGCTTTGGTTATGTTGCTTTCATGAAAGCACCAGTTACTATGAGGGTAAAAGGTAGAGTGCTTAGTTGGTACTAAATGGTCGCAAATGATGAATCTTAGTACAGAAATAATATAATTTTGACGTTTTCGATGAGAAACCCTTATTAATTTTTATTATAAAATATCTTTTTAGATTATCATCACTTCTAACTTGTGGTATCAAACCTATTCTTTTGTAAACCAAAACTAAACCATAATTAAATATGGTAGGAAGGCTACTGGATGCAATGATGAAGAAGATTGCACGTCGCAGCGCTAAAACCATGATTAGGTGATATGATCTTGTTTGGCTATGATTCTCTTTGAACCCAAATAAAGGAATGATAATACTAATTTTGTTGATGAATCTGTTAGGCGTACGTGGAAATGCTTAATATAAGAAATAGTATAAGTGAAGTAATTCATTTGATTGAATAGTAACAAGACTAGCTTTGCTTTGGTAATGGTTTCTCGTAAACAATCTCATTCAAAAAGATTATATTCAGGAACTAGGTACTCTATCAGTTTCGTCATTGTAATTCACAAATCGTTTCCAATTCTTCTTTGTTGTTTCCGCCGTTTGCTTGAGTGTCCATCCTTTTGCATAAGCGACAATTTTTGAAATTTCCATCATGCAGATATCTAGACCATCAGGTTTATTGATATCCGACTCAATTAGAAGTCGATCATCAGGTACCGCTTTAATTAGCTCCAGTAACTTTTTAGCAGGTGTATGTCGCGCATTGATGCATACTGAGAACGACACATATACTTCAAATCCCTTCAGTTCTAAAAACTGTTTTACAGTAGCAGGCGCTCCTCCGAAAGAATGCAGGCAAAGTCTTAAGGTATTAGGGATAGGTTTGCCTTCCTGTTTCAATTTTCGTAGTTGTCGATTACTGAATTGATTGGATTGAGCTTTGAGATGATCAAATAAATGACCTTGTCCTTGCACACAATGAACGCTTATACTGCGATCAAGCTTTCGTGCTAATTGACATTGTATATTAAAAATAGCAAGTTGGTGGTCTATTGTCGTTTGAACATTGGTCGGTTTAACGTTATGCCATTCAATAGCACCACCTGGTAATAATCGAGCAGATCTATCAACACCCACCTCGCCAACCAAGGCATTTGGATGATCTAATAAATGTTGACGTAAATTACTATACCAGGTGTTGTAAGGAACTGGATCAGGTAGGGCATCTATCATTTCGTCCAGTTCTCGTTCATGAGGTGAAGCTAAGATATGCTTGTAAAAGTCTCGTGGTGTATTATAGTTTGCATCATCAGTATTTCCCGTAACAAAGTGGGAGAACCATGGGTGGATACCTATAATACGTTTTCAATCAATCGTCTTCAAAGCGTCATGAAAAGAGCTGTTCAGTTATAATATGTTAAGGATGGTCACTTTACCAAAACTAGGTATACATTTTGTCTGACTTTTGCCGTTAAGGCAATCAGTCGCTACCTTTGCAACAGTATCCCAATCATCTTGTCGAACGCCCATAAGCGTAACAAAACCCGTTTTGAGTTGAGCTATTTTTAACAGGTTTTTAACATCGTCATGAGGGTGACAATGAGCATCACATAATTCGGGGAAAAGAGATGGGTCGAATTCCTCGTCTGTTTTAGGAATTTTATGTTGGAACTCTTCGTTCTCTTGCGAGCTTAGCTGACACATAACAGTAATGTAGTTGGTTTTTTTAGGGCGAAAGGCTTGTATATGAAGGTCGTTGAAAAGTCGTCCAATTCATGCTGTCTTCGGGCAAACGGAGCTGCAATTGTTGATGAATGATCCAATCGGACACATTTGAGCCTTATTGAATACAGTACTTGCAGGTTCAATCTCTTTTTTCAGTAACCCAACCCGTCGCATTTGCATTTTAGACGTAGTAAAGACTTTGTTTACCATGTCTGATGCAAAATATTTCCAACGAGGTATGTTTTTTTGGCTTGTTCAACTCAAAGATGAAGCTATTGACGTTTAGATCTATTTTGTATTAGGCAAAATTCAAGAGCTTCGTGCCGAGCTCATGTCTGAGAAAAGAGACCAAAAGCATCAGAGAAAAAAGACAGTAATGAAGAAAATCGTTGCCAACATGACTATGGGAAATGATATGTCACCTTTATTTCCTGATATACTGAATGTGATGCAAGTACCAGTGTTGGAAATCAAGAAGATGGTATACCTTTATATCATCAACTATGCAAGAACAAAGCCTGATATGGCCGTCATGGCTATTTCTATGTTTATTAAGGTAAAAACAAGTGCCCACATTTGCGTGCTATAAGTGAAAAATGGGTACCTTAACTGTCTTGTAGGATGTTGAGGATCACAATCCGTTGATTCGAGCCTTGGCTATACGTACTATGGGTTATATTCAAGTAGAGAAAATTATAGATGTTTTGGTTGATCCGCTTCGACACTGCTTAAGAGACAAAGATCCTTATGTTAGAAAGACAGCTGCTACCTGCGTTGCCAAGCTATATATGTATGATCGTGTTTTAGTGGAAAGCGAGCACTTTGTTGATATGCTCAGAGATCTATTGAGTGATCCCAATCCTACTGTAAGTGTTCTCTGAACGGTTTTATTTTTATTTTGGCGCGGTATATTTGGTATATATACATTGCTATTAACGACGGATTGACCGGTACTTAAGGTCGTTGCAAATGCAGTTGCTGCACTGACAGAGATTTCAGAACGCTCTGACAATATACAATTAAGGTTAAACCACTCTATTGCCAGTAAACTTATATCAGCCTTGGGTGAATGTTCAGAGTAAATGATCGCACATCTCAACATGGAAAAAATGGTCGAGCTTTAACATTGATATTCGCGGCTATTAAATAGATGGGGGCAGACGTATATTCTTGAAGCACTCATGTACTATATCCCTCAAGAATCCGAGGATGCAGAGGTGCTTGCTGAACGTATATCACCTCGCTTACAACACGCTAATTCCGCCGTGGTTTTGAGCGCAACCAAAGTGATTTTGTATTTTATGAACTATATTAAGAATGAAGAAGAGATCAGTCAGCTCTGTCGTAGATTGGGACCACCATTAGGTAAAAGAAATGACAAAGCCTTTTGTAACAGGAGAAAAAGAAAACAAAAAAGAAATTGGTTAGATCCATTAATTATTTCAATCTTTGATGTATACCAGTAACCTTGCTTGCATCTGGCTATGAGGTGCAATATGTTGCTTTGCGAAATATTCAACTCATAATTCAGCGCTGGCCCGAGATTCTGAAAAACGACATTAAGGTTTTCTTTTGTAAATATGACGATCCTATTTGTGTTAAACTAGGCAAATTGGAAATTATCTTTAGATTGGCAAACGAAAGGAATGTTGATATAGTGTTAAATGAACTGAAAGAGTAAGTCTTTTTTTTTTAAAAAAAAAACTAACTGGTAATGTGCACGATTTTAAATTATTGTTGATTTCTTTAATAGATATGCTACGGAAGTTGATGTGGACTTTATAAGAAAGTCGGTTAGAGCCATCGGTCGTCTAGCCGTCAAGATTGAATCTGCTGCCGACAAATGTATTTCTGCTTTGCTAGAGTTGATACAAACCAAAGTAAACTACGTTGTTCAAGAAGCCATTATTGTCATCCGTGTAAGTAAAGGGAAAAAGAGAGTATGGAAGGACTTTGAGCTCTATCGTGCTTACAAAGCCAACTTGAACCATATAGGATATTTTCCGAAAATACCCTAACCAATATGAAAGTATTTTATCAACCTTATGTGAAAACTTGGATGACCTTGATGAGCCTGAGGCAAAGGCATCCATGATATGGATCATAGGACAATATGCTGATAGAATTGAAAATGCGGATCAGTTGTTGGACGACTTTTTGTATACTTTTTTGGAAGAGCCTTATGAGGTATATTTTCATTGAAAGACCAATCATGCTAAGTGAAGCCAGCAGCGACTTATTCCAATGGAATGTTCTTTTCATAACAGGTACAACTTGCTTTATTGACTGCTACTGTCAAATTGTTCGTACAAAGACCTACAGTGGGACAAGAACTCGTTCCTAAAGTGCTCAAATGGGCAACTGAAGAAGTGGATAATCCCGATTTGCGCGATAGAGGTTATATATATTGGCGTTTATTGTCTACAGATCCTGCAGTCGCCAAGGCTGTGGTGCTATCTGATAAGCCAGCTATCACTACTGAGAGCGATAATTTGGATCCTACATTCCTGGATGAACTACTACTTCATATCGGTTCTTTGGCTTCGATTTATCATAAGAGTCCTACTACCTTCATTAGCCGTTATAAAGCTCGTTATTTATTGCCTTCTCCAGCATTACAGTCCAGAAAAAATAACCAGAAGCAATCTTTACAACAAAAGCAATTAGAAGCTCAACAGCAAGAACAGCAGCAACACCTATTACAGTTCCAGCAACAGCAACAGCAACAGCAACAACAGATGCCACAAGAAACATTGAATACGCCTTTTAACGATTGGAGTTATAATGCAGCAGCTGGTAACTCTATGCTAGTGACGTCGCAGAATACGAGCAATCCTTATTCTACAGATCTTTTACAATAGTTGTATCATTAGAGATCAACTACAAGGTTTTACATTTCCTTAAAAACTCCAGAATGGATTGCTTGCCACTATATCCCCTCTATATAAGCTGATTTAAATGAGGCAAAAGTATCTATCAACATGGCTGCCCTCTTTTTCATCTTTTTATCTCACTTCATGTTGTAGATTGTTTTCAAATTCGAAATGAAATAGCTTCTTTTTTGATCTTCCAGTTTATCGTCTTTTACAATAATTTTCAATGCTTAGTAAATGAGACATAAGTGAGAAAACGGTGGATGAGATTAAGTCTAAAAAAAATCTAAGGATATTTGACGTATTGATCTTTAGCCATATAAAGCCAAACGAGAGAAGTAACTGAAAAGAGTACAATCTTTAGTCAAGAGATCCAAAACGATAGGACGCAGCACAAATTTGAGCTTTTTATTACCTGCAACTACCATAGGTGACATGAAAGGTCCATTCAATTTACATCCACGGAAAACAAGCAACTCAGCGACATAGTGAGACAAAGCAATGACATATGTCCAAATACCAAGATCATACATGCTAGAAAGAATGCGGAGAGGATTCGGGAAGGAGTGTGGTTGTGTGGCATTTAAATATGGAATGTTTAGCTGACAATTGATTCATAGTGTCGTTCTATGTTTGGCGTGCGTTGTTACTTACAATTTATGTTGAAGGTGGAAAGCAGCGTAAATACGAATCATACTCACAGACCAAGTCCAGGTAGCAAAAAGACGGCCACTTAATGGAGTCACTGGAAAGCATTTTTGCAAATGGAATAAGTAAAAACCAACCAAACCGGCAGATGTGGCTATTTTCTATCTATTTAGGCTTCCCGTTTTACTTTACCTTCTTCAGGCTTATTAGCATAGACGCGCTTTGTTAGAGAACTGGTACAGAAGTTTTGAATGGAATTGAAGATGCCTAAGCTTGAAGTGAACAAAAGCCAGCGGGGAAGATAGCCGGCGGGAAGAGTAGAGAATATTTCAGAAAATTGTGTGAGATAGGCGTCCATTCTATTCTGCCAGTTCTTTATGAATGTATTAATGGAAAAAAACTTCAAAAAAAAAACAAAAGGAAAGGAATGAGAAATCCGGACGGTGTAAAGGAAGGTAGTTCTCGCACGGGAGTCACGCCATTAAAGTGTTTGCTGAGTGGTAAATATTTCAAGCGGGATGAGTGGATGGTTTTTTTTTTTTATATATTATTTGCTGCATGAAGGTCCATGGTGTGGAAGAAATATCGTCCAACTCTTGACTAAGAACACGATAAAGTCTTTGCTACAACAGGAGAGCTTTAGAAAAGTCTGATTTAGACGGAAAACCAATAAACACAATAAGAGCATTGAAAAAGATAGAACATGGCAAATACCAATGCTACCACACTTCCGTGCAGTAGTCTACTGATTCATGTTAGACGAACATTGGCGTTTCCAAGGTGTCATTTAAATGTTTTCAACATGCAATGTTGGTAAGGTAGCATACTTGAGCGTAGAAAGATTTTTGATTGAATGGAAGGCAACCCATTTTAGAACGTCGCGAGTTTTAGTTGATATCGACATTTGAATAACTTTTCCAAAGACGCAAAAATGATGAAAGGATAAAGACATCAGGAAAAAGAGAAATGTATACAAGTTTTAACAAGGTAGAATGACAAGATGTTACTCAAGCTGAATATGTTCCTTGGATAAGATTGCAAGTCTGTAAAGTTCATTGACAAGCAAAGTTGGCGGACGTTTACGGTAGTTAAGATGAATAGATCATTATAGACTGGAGATCAGAAAAAATCCCGTTCCTTGAATTCCGAACCAATAAAAATGCCATGCTGCACAAATATACCATATAAATGGCATCTTGCAGCTAGATTCTTTGACATACAGGTAGCGAAGGTGTTTGTCAACCAAAATTCTCGTTATGGTAAGCCATAATGGAATACCTCAAACACCTCAATTTTTGCGCGCGTGTACTCTCTTTCATCATCAAATATCAATACTTCACTCTGCAGTAAGTGAAACTTGCATACCTTGAAACCTACAAAGTCTCTTCCAATTGCATTTACCAATGACCCTACGTTGGTCATTGATCAACAGATGAACTGTTGATATCATGTAAACGAACATAGAAACTATTTTTTTTGTTTTGTTTTGTTCTCTTTCTTCATTGGAGGAAGCCTAGGAATGGAAATAGAACTTTTTTTTTGCCCTTCTTCTCCAAATCTGGCAATCCACGGATTTTGCTCTACAACGAACCATCTTTTTTTTTTTTTTTTTGATTGGAAAATAACAGAAAGGCCAAAAGAAAAAAAAAATTTTTTTTCCTTCTTCTTTTTCACAATTTGACATTTCAACTTAAACAACTTGAACGATGGGAAACGTAAAGTAGTCATGTTTTATCATATGGCTTGTTGAACAGTTTAGATTAACGACATACAAAATTCAATCAACAGGGTGCTAAAGCTCAGCAAAAGCGTGAACGTAACGCTAAGAATCAAAAAGCATCTGCTTCTTCTCAGTTAAAGGCTGTAAGTTTTTCAATACATCCTATAAGGGTGTCGAAGGATATATATGTTTTATACGTATTAAATTTTTTGTATTGACGCTATGTTGCTGACGACAGAACAATGCTGCTAAAAACATTATTTGCAAGACTTGTTTCCAAACATTCCTGTGTACCTCTCGTGAAAAAGCGTAAGTTTTAGATGCTGTAACATAGCTCTCTGTGAAAATGAGGATTAGAAAGGCATTTGCTGACAGGCCTCGTTAAAAAATAGTTTATCTGAACATGCTGAGAATAAGCACAACAAGGCCATCAAAGAGTGCTTCCCAGGTATAGTATTGCAACTGTTCCTGAAATCGATTATGTAATGCGTTGTCAAAATAGGGTTGTTGATTCTAACCTGTCAAACTTTTTTTCTTATCCATTAGACTGGGCTCCTCCATCATAAACTGCAATATCCCGTTCATTCAAATTCTTTCATCTACTCATCTCTTTCACTTATTTACCATTTTAGAATAATGCCAACAAAGAAAACTGTATCAACAAAAAACATCTGTCCTAGATTATTAACACCTTTTTTTTTTTTTTTTTTCTGAATCTGAGTAAAAGAGTATGGACTTTTGGTCATATGTCGACATGGTTATTCTTTTCTTATCATTGTTCATTTATAAAAAGTCTGTAAATGTAAATGGGACTGAGCACGAAGGGTACTGTTAGCTTTGAAGAGGTCAAAGCTGACAAAGGATTATATGGCAACTCTTTTATATAAATAATATATTGACTTAATTTAATGAAAAGGAAAAAAAAAAAAGGAAAGGATAAACCTGACCATAAAAACTCTATTATCACTTTATTAAAAAGTGAAAGACAAGGAGAAACTATAGTAAAGCCATAACAGCAGCAGCAGCAGCAGCAATGATACCAACACTAAAGGCGCTTGTAGCAGTGAGAGAGGCTTGAGAAGTACTTACATTAGCATTCGCCTTGTTATTAGTAGTAGTAGTAGTAGTAGTAGAGGAGGAGGAGGAGGAGGGGGAGGCGGCGGCGGCGGCGGCGGCGACATCAGCCTTTGCATCAGCAGTAGTGTTAGCTGGAGGTAGTGTAGAAGGAACAGCAGCCGATGCAGCAGGAGCTGTCGTGTTAGCAGTAGTAGCACCAGCAGGCGTCGTGCTTTCTTTATAAAGTGGTACTTTATTACAAGCGCCAGCAGGAACAAGGGTATAGGCTTCTTTGAGCTTGGGTAAAATGCGAATAGCTACATCGACGGTCGTTTTATAGAGATCGTGTTCAAGAGAAACGCCGCCTACGGTGGCAGTAGCAGCTGCATTGACCCATTGGGTAACGTTGCTATCGATCCAGGATGCTTGGAAGGTCTCTGGAGCGGAGGCATAAGCCCAGTCGTTGGTATCATGGTTCCAAATGATGGGGTAGAAACCAAGAGCGGCAGCGACGTCACGGACACGATTGTCGATATCACCATAAGGAGGACGGAAATAACGAGGGGAAACACCGGTGGCTTCCTTGATAGCCAACTCGTTCCATTTGAGCTCGGCAACGATTTGTTCGTTCGTGAGCGTTGTCATGTAAGTGTGAGACCAGGTGTGCATGGCAATTTCGTGGCCGGCTTCATAAGCTCTTTTGGCGTAGTCGGGGAACTTGACGACCTGACCACCGACCATGAAGAAAGTGGCCTTCACGCCCACTTTATCTAAATAATCGTATAGAGCAGGACTAAATTCAGAAGGTCCGTCGTCGTAGGTGAGAGCCCATTGTCCTTTGGGACATTGGTACAGATCTTTGTCACCAAAGCAGCCAGTAAAAGTCCAATCACAATAAGGGTCACCTTGTTCCAAAGGTTGAGGACCTACATTGTTGGTTTTTTTTTTTTTTTCAAAGTAATAAGGGGTGGGGGCGAGAGGGAGAGGAGTGCGTTAAAAGAAGGAAAGGAAACTGCAAAAATCTGCATTCTATTTTTTTAGCATGCTGCCATCGTTTTTACCTGCACCATTGTTTTTATAAACGGGAGCTTTGGTGATAGTTACGTTTTTAATTAATTCAAGCCATTCGGGCTTAGCAGTGGGCACGACAAAGGGTGCAGGGTAAGTCTCTTTCAATTGAAAGTTGGATGTCGGAGTGGATTGCCTCTTTTCAAAACTGTGTGCACCAGCATGAGCATTGACTGCAGTTAAGGCAATAGAAGCAAGAATGAAGAGTTGGTTGATCATTTGTTATTAGAGTTGAGATGGCTATGAAATAAGGGAGATAGTAATGGGAGCAGGAACGAGTAAAATTTTACAAGTCTATAAAAATACAAAGGAACGAAGAGCAATACAGTAAAGAGAAAGAAGGAAGAAGAAGAGAAAGAAGAAGAAAAGGTGAGGATGCCGTTGAAGTATTTACTTGGTGCTTCATATCCATTTTCTTTTGAATGGCCTTTGTTTTAATTTGGAATGAAGTTCCACAAAATGAATTCCAGGAACAATCGTTTGGTATAAGTGTGTGTAGCTGCAAACTTAGACAGAGGGACGAAATGTCCTTCATTCAAACAGCCAAGACGGTCAGTACCCTTTACTTACAACAGTAGTAGAAGGCTATATAGAGTTACGTGTGTTACAAGATGATTTATTTTTACATTTTACATTGCATGCATGCGTACGAAGTCTTTGCTTCAGACTCCCATTTTGTGTGCAAAAAAAAAAAAAAAAAAAAAAAAAAAAAAAAAAAAAAAAAAACTGCTTACAAGGTTGCAAATATATCTTTCCTGATATTCCTACAAATCCATTCTGTTACTCAAATAACATTAAAAAGAGTGTGCTTACTTGTCATTTGCGTAAAGAAGTGGAGAGAGAATGAGAGCGACTGAGTGCGTAAGTGACGAGAGAGGGTGCGAGTGGAGTTGTTTCTTTTTATAGTAGCATCTCGATGCTAGGATGATTGGGCTGTGCAATGTTTAAAAAAGAGGGCCTTTTCCTGTCGAGGACGATTTCCTTTCTTTCTCGTGCAAAAATCCAAAAATAGTGGTTGTCTTTTAACTTGCTGTTTACCTGGTTTTTTTCGGTTTTCGTTGGGCCAGAGAGAGAGGAGGAGATAACAGCGCGTTTGTTCTACCACAAGAAAACGTCATAGGGTAGAATCTAAAGTCATGATGCAATAAACTTTTGATTGGAACTTGTTCAGTTCGATTCACTCGAGGCGATTACATAGTCGTCAGCAGCTACACTTAGTATAAATAATATGTCCATTCCGACTATTGAAAAAGATTAACATAATGCCAAAAGAACAAACGGACTTTGCTAGGTTGACTTGAACAAGCCCAAAGTTGGCCTCAATCTATATCATAAGACAGATTATGTTTGCAATTGCTATGCAAGAATGACTTTTTTTTTTTTCCTTTTCATTGAGGTCAAAAAGTAAGATAATACTGTTCTTAATATCCAAAAAAAGCAGAGGGTAAGTCAACCGTGGATCGCTCTTTATGGGAGCCTTTCATTTACTAAAGTGAGACCTTATTGCTATTTGCATCCTCTCCAATCACTTGTTCTGTAGAGAACTCATTCACACTTATGAACAGCTGTATAAGAAGATGCATCTGTGGGGATTCCTATTTGGTTAAAAGAGTTTCAATACGTGCTTTAGCTTCAAGACTTTAGAGGGTTTATGGAAAGGTCAAGGGTATCAATGGTACGGGAGAGTAAAAACAAAACAAAATCAAAACCAAACACCATGAGCGTCAAACTATACTATCAAAGCACAATGGAGGGCGACTCTTTTCTTTTTTTTTTTTTTAATGGTAGAATGCGCCTTGACTTCTAGCCCAAAAGAAATAGAAGTTAACCCGATGAACTTCCATAAAAGTAGAAATATAAAGCTGTTGGAGGGCCTGGAAACGTCACGTACCAGAGCACTTGAAAAAATCCGGGGCTCATCGTTCTAAATCCCGTAATTTTTACATTTATTCCCGCCAACTTGACCCACATCCCATTCTTCTTTTTTTTTTTCTCCACACTTTTCGTTTATTGTCCTTGTCCTCTCTATCTTTATTTTTAGTATGATGCTTCGAATTCGTCAACGTCTCTTATTGAACCAACAACTGACAAAAGGTAAAAAAGAACAAAAACATCATTTCTGGACTGTTCGATGCAAAACACACACGAACATACACACACACACACACACGCATCACGTATTTCTTTTCGTGCGCATAAATAAATTCATCCAACTCAACTTCTCTTTTGATTCTATTGTTCCGTCACTCTGTGATTAGGTTTTCATACGTCAGCTCAATGTGCAGCGATTACACGATTCAATTTACCTGCGATGAGCCCGACCATGACAGAGGGCACCATTCATCAATGGAAGTTCAAAGAAGGAGAATCTTTCTCAGCAGGCGATGTATTATTAGAACTTGAAACAGACAAAGCACAAATTGATGTTGAAGCCCCTGAAGATGGTGTATTGGCCAAGATTGTGGTAAGGCCTGTAGAAAAAATAAAGTGTAAAAAATGAGCGTTGTATTGAAAAATGTATGACTTTTTTCTCCACAAAAAAAAAAAAAAACCAAAAATCAACGGAACTCAAACTCAGCTTCCTGATGGTGGTAAAGCAGCAGTGAATAGTTTAATTGCTCTTATCGCTGAGGAAGGAGACGATATTTCTAATGTTCAAGTACCTGAAGAAGGGCCTGCTTCTTCCTCTGTCAGTCAAGAGAAAACGACACAACAAGTAGAAGAGCCTGAAAAGAAAAAAGCAGGTAAAAAAAAAGATCCAGAGCTTGTTCATCTATCGTTCGTTCGTTCGTTCTCCACAATTATCTGAGACTGATTTCTTTTTTTGCGGAAATGGGGGATCAGCTCCAACGGTATCACCTATATCCCATGATGATGTAGATACAAGCAAACTCAAAAAGCCATTATCTCCTGCCGTATTGAGCTTAGTTTTGAAACATGGTATTAAAGATGTCGGCAGTATTGAACCTTCTGGTTATGGAGGTCGTCTCTTGAAGGGCGATGTATTGGCTCATCTTGGACTTATTCAACCCAAGCCTGCACCCAAACCCAAGTTGAGCATTGCACCACCAAGGGATCAAATTGTATTTGCCAAGGTAAGAAAAAGGGGGAGGGGGGGGGTAGAAGAGGAGGAATCGTAGTAACAGGGTCAACTCAATCCGTCACTTGATGGTATGATAGAACGCACAACAGCAACAACAACAACAACAACAGGAGGAGGTCGCTCAAAAGAAACAGATCCCTCCCAGCTTCATTACCAAGCAATTATCTTTAGATAAGGTCTTTGATTTACACCAATCTTTAAATGGTACGATTTCTGTGTAGGATAAAAGAGGGAATGAATGAATGAAGGAGAAGGGAGGCTAATAATGATCGAGTCCATTTTTTAAAATTAGAGCAAAAGAAGATTCAAAAGACAACAGTCAACGATGTCATTGCCAAAGCTGCCGAACGCGCTTTGCAAGAGATCCAACCTTCAGCCAAGGGCGGTATTCGTTTCAAACAACCTGTCGTCTATCGTGAATCCAGCCATGCGACAGAAAAGAAATACAAGGGTGGTGAATTCAAGTAAAGTAATATTGAAACTATTTTCAGGACAGGACGCAGCTCACAATGTCTCTCTTTTTTTTTTCTTTTTTTTTTTTTCCACAATGAAGGGTGTTCAACTTGGCAGAAGCACAGTATGATTTCATCACGGATTCTTATGAAAACGGCAAGCCTTATGTATTGCAAGTGGAACCTGTTGGCTCAGCAGCTTCCTCTTCAACAAGCCGAAAAGAGCATGATGATATGGTAGATTTTATCCATTATTTGGGAGATAGCCAGCGTGAGGCTTCTCGCCATCACACTTCCTCTGCAGCAACCCAGTTGTTCGATATCAAATTAGATGGGAAAGTGCCTGGAAAGATTTTGAACGACGCCAAGGCCAAAGTCTTCCTTGACCGTGTGGAATATTACGTTCACCATCCTGGAGAGCTTTATTAAACGTATAGTACCCCCTCCCCCCCCCTATTTAATACATGATAAAGCGTTAGATTCATATAAACTGGTCAAGTTTTGGTTTTAAAGCAAGCCATTATAACTGTAATATATCCTCTCCCTTCCCTTTCCCCCTGTCAGTAGCTCCATGAGTTTGCAGGTTGCTTATCGTCTTTTTTTTTTTTTTCTTTAAACTTGTGTTATAATTTTTGAGAGAGAGTGTGAGGGAGTGAGGGAGCATGGAAAAATAGCTTTAGAGATAGAGCAGGACACGTAAAATGGTGTTTTTCGCTTTTCCTCCAATGCATGCAGTCGGCAATGTCATTGGTCAGGCTCAAGGCTCATGGCTCAAGAGACAGAATAAGAACGGCAAAGATTTTCAACAGAGACAATTCAAGCTTATTATTTTTTTAAACAGAGTCATTGCAGCTTAATAAACAACTTGATATTTTTTTTTTCCTGAAAATAATGAGGGGTCTGGATTAAAAAAAAAAAAACCGAACAGACGCCAAAAAGGACCAGTTTGAATGATTCCATTATTCAAGAAAAGACTATTTATCCGTTTGCATCAAGTAAAGAAAACGGATCTTTTGTTCTCCATGACCAGCCCAGAAAGGAACGACAATGATTTCCAAAGAGCAAAGGGAGTTTCCATATTTCGCAGTGAGGGTTCAAAAAAAAAAACTAATAAACGCTAAAGAAACATTCGACTTTCTTTTTTTTTTCTAGTATCGGAAAGGAGAAAAGTACATCCTTTGAATTTCATTGGAGGAGGGGGCCGTCGTAAGTAGGCTAAATCGATGGTTCATCATAGCTTAAAAGGATAAACAAGGAACCATAACCATTCTTTGTTTCAAAAATTGTAAAACCACTCTGGAGAGGAGGAGAGAGCATGACTTGATGGACGCCTCGGGATGGCTCCAAGTCTTTTTAGTACAAAAGTAGGCTTTATTGAATTCATCGTTAGCCAACGGGTAATCCTCCGTTTTTGTAAGTTTCTGGATTATCTGATCAAGCAAATGTTTTTCTTACTTGATCTGGAAATGAAAACGCGATTCTACTAATGCTGGGCTCGTGTCCTCTTTATTGCTGAGCATTGCCAAGAACCGTCCACCGAACTACATCCAACTAAATCATTGTTTCCTGGAAACGTTTCGAAAAGAAAAAAAGCAAAGGGAGGAAAAAAAAGAAAAGGCTCCCTTTGTCAGAGCCCGACAAACGACACTAAATCAACGTCATTTGCATCTCATCCCCTACCGCTGCCTTTTCGTGAATAGAGTTGAAGTCGTGAAAAAACGTGAGGGGTATTCTTGCTAAAAAAAGATAGTGTCATGGTTTTCAGGAAATGGGTAGTATAGATACAACAATTCTTCAGTCATCATTTACGTACAACCACCCATCACTAATTACGGAAGCGTCTTTTTAAAAATAAAGGCCAAGAAAAAAAAAAGAGGCGTAGTTCAAACAAAAAGTGTTCAAAAAGATACGTGTGCACATACACACACACACATACACACACACACACACACCTTTTTTGTAGGTCAGCTGGAATTTAAGTTTGATATTGTGTGGATTAGCCGCTCTTTATAAGTCCTGTAAATATGCAAATGAAATGTTTAGGTTTGACAAATAGCAATAAAAGTATGAACGTAATGTGGCAAAAAAAAAAAGAAAAAAAAAGGTGTTACAATGGCTGTCGCATCCAGATTTCGTACGTGCAATCTCAGTGTTTAATTTGCAAACAATAACATAAAATTTACAACACAAACACACAAACACACAAACACACATAGACACACGAATCATAATGAAACGATAGACTGTATTTTGCTCATCGAACGTTGCTTTAAATGGTTAGGATCAATGATCAAAAATGAAAATAAAAAAAAAACTCTTTTATCTTGATATTTCCTTTTTAGGCCCCATGTTCCCTCTTTTATCTCAAAAAAAAAAAAAAAAAGATTTTCCATATTCCAAGATGACTAAACAGTAGAGAATGACCTTCAAACATCGCCCCCCTCCCATCTCCTTACATATGCATCTCATATCATTTACAAAATAGATCGTACAAACATAGAGTAAAAAAAGGTCTCTATTCTCGTCTATCTATTTATCTTGGTTATTTTTGTTTGAAATACTCTGTGTATATCAGACACGTGTGTTGTACATTCTGAAGAGACGAAAATAATCAAGAAAGGGCCAATAGAAGAGGAGGCATTTCTTTTCTCTTGGCTTCTTTTTTGCACAATTAGGATGTTTTCTCCCATCCAATGTTGTTATTCGAAGCATGCTTATTAATAAGCATCTCATAAACAATATTGAAAGATAAATTGGATATGCTGCTGTACACACCCAAAAAAAAAAAAAATAATAATGAAATAAATAAACCAGAGACCCGTCAATTAAAAAAAAAAAAGAAAGTGTGGATGGAAGGAGATGAAACCTTGATAATTTCATGTGTCTCTGTAATACCTGCAGTAGTGAAATCTTGGTTTTTTGTTTTGCATTTGTTTTGCGCCCCATCTCTTCACCCCCTCTCCCTTTATACCATCATATTACCTATATAACCTTATGTAATATGCAGTGCATGTATTGCAAAATGCACGAAAAATGTATAAATATTTTGGGGTCAATAAATATAAGGAGATCCTCTGAATCCTCTTTTCTTTAGAATAAAGAAAGAGAGAGAGAGAGAGAGTGTGTGTGTGTGTGTGTCTGTTTACATAGCCAACTCTAATAATAATAATACTCTAATACATACACAAGCCCGCATGGTCATCGATGCATTTAAAATGCACATATAATTTAGATGCTATGGAATGCTCCAGCCTAAAAAGAATCCATGTCTTTTTTGTGTGACCAGGCTTTGTACAGAGGATAAAATAAAGTTTATTAATGGGCTTGTTTGGCCGAAAAAAAAAAAAAAAAAAAGAGACTTGTTTAGACACTATTGGATGCAGCCCAGTTGTTAAAAAAGCAGTAAAAGACTGTGGATGGAGCTGGAACGTTTTTTTTTTCTGGTCCCAAAACCAAGGAGTTTTAATCTCGAATCAAATAAAAAAAGGGGTGGAAATTTGAAGAGGGGAGGGTCATTTCAACGTAAAGAAAAGGAAGAACCAAAAAAGAAAAAAGAAAATGTTGTCAAAATTCTTTTGGGGGATGAAAAAAAAGAATTAGAATTTGGGGGGAGGGGGGGAGCGCAAAAAGGGTTGCCCGAAAAAAAAAATCCCTTTTTTTTTTGCTTTGATTGTTACACAAACTGCTGCTGCAATAAATAAATTTTGCTTTTTTTCCGTTCTGACCGACCCCCTTTTTTAAACGGGACATGACACACATAACACCAAAAAAAAAAAAAATTTTTTTTTTTTTCTTTTTATGCCAGAAAAGAAAACCAAGTTTAGTTTAAGTCTCCGCATTTCTGTGGCATTTTTTTGGAAATGAAGATCATTTCCAGATTTCAAATCATGGTAATGTTATAAATACCAGTATGATTTTCTAAAGACACGGTAACTTTTTTTTTTTTTTTTTTTTTTTTTTTTTTTTTCTTTTTCCTTGTTTTTTGCCTTTTTTCTTTTGAAGGTTAACAATCCAAAAAAAAAAAATGACAGTATCTACTACTTATGCCTTCTCCTCTTCTTTACCGAAAACACCCATATCAACTACTATGACAACACCAGCGTGTTTTAGCTCGATCTTGTCCGTCACCAGCACCTCACAATTGGCAGAATTTTGTGCAATGATCGTACCGTGTATTTGGGCAAGATCGTTCAAGCAAAAGTCATTGTTAAGTCCTAAACGCCATGCAGCCTTCAAACTCTACGTGCAAAAAGTCTTGAAAGCAACGCAAATATCCTGTACCTGTTTATTACTCGCCCTTTATTATGTTCAAAAATTAAGAGCAGCGTATCCTTCTATACACGCCTCGATTGGATCAGAAGTGCGGCTCTTCACCACCGCGTTAGTGTTGGCCAATAAATTTCTCGATGACAATACATTTACCAATAAAACTTGGTCAGAAGTGTCTAGCATTCCCATCAACGAATTAAACATTATGGAAATGGAATTCTTGTCTGCATTACAGTATAACATTCATGTCTCTTCCTCTACTTATTTTGCTTGGACTTCTCAATGTCAATTATGGTGGACGAGTCACTTAATGCAACCCACAATGCAGACGGGTTCTGTGCCACCACAAGTACTTGTATTACCTCCTCATCATCATTACCCTCCTTACCCATCGCAACAACAACAACAACAACAACAACAACAACCAGCCACATCATTGAAACGTTCTTTTGAAGCATCTTTCTCGTCTGATACTATAGACAAAAGTGATGCAAAGAAACGTCATGTCGATACAAGCTATTATCCTTATCCCACACCACCTTTACCACCTCTTTGCAAACCGATTCTGAGCTGGTCCTCAACCACACTCTTAACGGGCAATATCACTCCTACCACTACTACCACAATGAATACTTACCACCAACAAACGATTCCCGCTACTATCACCGATCATCAGGTGTTCATGCCAACGCCTCAATCTTACAATACGATTCATCCCGATATATTCTATAATTCATTATCTTCAGCCATCATCACGCCTTCTACCATTTATACAACACAGTAAATAGTTTTTTTCTCTTTCTTTAGATTTTTTTTTATTTTTAATTCTCCGGCCTATACTCAGTACATGACATGAAGCATGTTACAGTACATGTACATATATACTACATATCAACCACTTATTTATTTTTATTCATAGTACATAGTTTTCATGAAAAAAAAAGAAAAAAGAAAAAGAAACCACATTCTCCCTTCATTTTTTTTTAATTTTTTTCTGTAAATAAAATCGATCTTCTTGTCTTCTTTTTCTCTCCCTCATTCAACTTGTAAAGAAGGGAAAATTCTTAACCAACGAAGGCCCTTTGTTGTTTATCCGTGTTGTTCTCAACTTTGCTCGGTTTTGCTGTGTTGATCAGCGGGGTTGCATTTTCCTACTCTATGATTTTCCAGGAAAAAGAGACATGGTCGTATCCATCATGCCCTTACACAAATGGACGCGCATTTTTGGTGTTGTAACCATTTCTTTCCATCTTTCTAAACAGCCTATTCTTAGGTTATCGTGATGCAGTCAATGACTCAGCTGATGGGGTTCAATTTATCAGTCGTCGGTGTTCCATGATGGGGTTAGATATATCGATCCATCTATCTCTTGTTGCGCTAGTCTGTACAACAGCCGCACATATGAAATAAACAACAACAACAATGAGAACCTCATGTACGTAGTCTATTACCTGTGTATGGGTTACAAGCCTGTCTTTGAGATAGAAAGATGGAGTATACAGTTTTAAACTCTAAAAAAATCACACACAAAAAAATAAAAAAATAGGGCCTTCTTTTTTAAAAACACAAAATGCAACAAAAATGATGCTATGTGAGGCGTTCACCCACCCAAAAAAAAAAATTTTTTTATTCATCAGAAAAAAGACGTTATGATTACATTATGTATTCTCTTTTCTCATCACTTCCTTTTTCCCCCTCCCCAAAAAAAGAAAAAGCCTCAAGTATGGAACAACAACATGCTTTGCACTGCAGGAACCTTTTTTTTTTTTTATTTTTTCTTAGTTCCATCCGTAAATTATTTATTTTTTTTTGTGTGGCATTGGATGCAAAGAAAAGTCTCCCTTTTTCCTTTCTTTTTTAGCCGAGCCTTTTTTCCTTATTTGCCCTAATTTTTTTTCTTTTTTTTTTTTTTTTTTTTGTTTGTCGCCAAAACGAATCGAACCGAGATGTCGGACAGAAATAATAAAAAAGAAATTAGGTGATGACGTTAAGGAGGAGGAGAAGGATACACACACATACAAAAAAAAAAAAATTCTTTATTTTCCAGCACTACTGTGTGTAAATTTTTCATTGGATTTTCAAACATTCCCTCCCTTGATAAAAAAAATAAGTAATCGGATTCCCGCCAAAAAAAAAAGAAAATCTATCAGACAAATCACATTTTTGTGCTTAGTTTTGCAGTCTACCAAAGGGGTGACGAATGTCATTCAAATCACAAAGAAAAGCTGATTTTTTTCTTTTTAACCAATCGTTTTTTTGAAAAATAAAAAATTCCACTAAAAAAAGTCCTCATTTTCTACTTATTAACAGAAAAATGCCTTTATTTAGGCTTGTAACGGAAGAGAGGGGTTCTTTGTCCTTCGTTCGCAGCCGTACCAATGACTGGACTCTTACTTCATTGACGGTGTCTGTATCTCTATCTCTATCTGTAGTATCTGTGTCTGTGTTTGTGTTTGTGTTGACGGGAAAATAAACATGGCTACCACTATAAACACGCACTGGTTATGGAATGATCTAAAATGTCTACAAGATTTCAGGAGGCGAAAAAAGAGGGGAAACCTGTAAATTAAAAAAAAAAAACTACTGCCATTCTCATTCGAGGGACTTTTCCCTCCGTCGCTTTTTTTACCGTGTTGCTTTCATTCAAAGGTGTTTGTCACCATAGCACAGTGTTTTATTCGTCCGTTTTAGACGACTTGCAATATTTATTGGGGGCAACTTGCATTTTAATTTTAAACTTTTTACAATTTTATAAGAACCATTGCGTATAACTTTAGACGATTGAATCACCCGTTCATACGGCCATGTTCTTTCTGTAAGTATTTTTCGCAGAGTGTTTCTGCATGCCTAGTCTAACCCACGTCATCATCAGGCATCATTGTCTCGTACGCTTCCTGAATTTGAAGCGATAATTCATAACCCATCTGCAACGAATGGCGTTGGATATTACTTTTAATCCTTGGTCAGCATTCTCAATAAAGTTCAAAAATGACGCGTAGGAAGGCATGAATAGAAGCTTGTAGCCACGCTTATGGATACCCTCTACAGCAAATTTACAATAGTAAATTCTACAATTGTCCATGACTATAAAAAATCCTTCTATATCGCGTTTATCCAGTAGGTCTCTTCATTTTCTAGCGATAATTCAGTCTCCAGTCTGTAGCGCATGTAAGCCATGCAAGAAGTTTTAATGGAACAGTTATGAGTTCGAATGGTGCTTGCTTGCTGCCTTACGCAGCAAAGGTATCATCATAGCGTCGAATCGAATTTCCAATGTCTTGCATACTTTAAACGTGACATTAAACGCGTAAATCATCTTGTTATCATACATGTTATTCAACGAAAGCTTATGTTGCCAAATTTAAAAATCATATTTATGTTTCAACTTCCTCAACACCCTTCTTCTTTTCTTATTTTTCCTCTTTATTACCTCTTGCTCAGTACTACCCCTCTACACGCATGTAGAAGAGTATCATCCTAAATAAAATCAATTTGGTGAAACAAAAAGTACACCAAGAAGGAAAATCCCCGTTCGGTAAAGGCAAACCACAATACAATGTGTTGTTTGGGACATTATTAACCTTGTTGTGCACTTATTCAGACCCTACCAAATGTAAAGACTGTCATGAAATGGGTCACTTCAATAAAAGCTACCCCGAATGTAAATATCATAAAGCTGTATCCCGCTGACGATGGTAGGGTCGAGCATCGGCCTGCTTTTGGTCACACAAGCCGAGTAACAGACCGTATCCTACTCGTAGCCCATACTATGGCTTCCAATGACAAGAGAAGAAAGAAGTCGATGTCTTCGTTGGCGACTTGGTTGGTTACCTAGTGGTAACACCACCTACTGCATCCGGCACCCTTCAGCATTGTTAACAAAGACACACTCAATCCAATGCCTGCATATGCACTCGCGTTTGCAGCAACCACAGCAAATAGAAGATCCCCTTTCGTATCTTCTAAATCAGCTACCTAACCACCCGCCAAGACAACCTACGATAAAACGTCAATGGGAACACCAATGGCCGATCCTCTGCTACATACTATATGAGCTAGACTATCTATTCCACGTCAAAGAACCCCCTCCCTTGGATGTTGCTCTAGGATCTTTACTGCTCCAATGGATGTCTCCTCATAATCACTCAACCTTGTGATAACCTCGTTTTTACCCTTGATCTTGAAGGGCTTTTTAGATACTTTATAAACAGTCGGATCTGCCCCGGGCAATTTTATATAACATTGTACCCACTGGGTTTTAAAGAAAATATTTTGTCAATAAAAACCTCTCTTCAAACGTATCCTACTCGTAGTTGGGAGTTGCCATAAGAAGCGAAAACAGAGCGCCAGTGTGAAAGCAGAGAAAAAGGGCAGTGAAGAAGGCTAGAGACGAAGAAAGCGGGTAAAATCAAGGGCATCGAAAGCGATATGCCAACTGCCAACTGCCAAGACAGGCTCCAAAGCCCAATATCACTGTTATGCAGCATACTTCCTACAGCACTTGAAAGAAGTTGGGAAGGCCGAAAGAGTTTACGCGACTAAAAATATAAGACTCCCCCTACCTTCAACATCGCTGGAACGAATCCAATTTGATTTTTACATGTAAAAAGAACAAAAGCTTGTACTTTCTACTGTTGTGCAAAAAACTGTCTAGCATTTACTCTTAACGGTCTACTATTATATTGAATTCGTTTCAACATAGTCTATTTATCGTCTAAAATTATGTTTTGTGTTGTCCAAATCTAAAGTCAATAAACTGTAGCAATATTGAAAATGCCATGTCGATCTAGAACGTCCTCTTTTTTTTTTTTCTTTTTCTTTTTCCCTAGTAATAGGTTGACCGTGTGTTGGAGGGGTCAATGCAAAAGAAGGTATCAATGCAGCAAAAAGCATACCAACGCATTTCTCTTTAAATCAATTGTTTGCAGCTCTCACTTTGGGCCGCCTGCTTTGAAATTGTGACCGCCCTTTGCTCAAAGGCGTGACGGCATTTCCATTGGAACAGAAAATGAAAAAGCCTTTTTTTTTTTAATTGTGTGTTTGACAGCATAATAGCATTCCAAGTGGAATAGTAACAGCATTTTAAACATCATGGCAACGTAAAGTCTTGAAACTAGTTTTTTTTTTTCCCCAACAAAAAGCCTTTTTTTTTTCTCAAACAAAATTATAATGATAAAAATTTGTAGTCTACCAGAAGGATTTAAAGAAGCTCTTTCCAAATTTGACTCGCCATTTGACAAAGAATCAGTAGTGGACGATGACAAAGAACTTTGGTTGATTCGTATCCCAGACAATGTAAAGCTATTTTAATCGAGTATGCACCAACAGACACTGAACATGTAATTAAAATGCATATCCTCATCACTATTATAGTTGACAGAAGAAGACGTGGCCAACATGGCCATTCACTTGCCTGCAGACACAACAAAAGCTTCAAAAAAACCACTGTGTCAATTTCAAAAATCCAGCAATAAATATGCTTTGTATACAGTGCCAACAGAAGATACCGCATCAGACATGCCAAAAGAAGATGAAGCAGCATCCAACGAAGAAACGCAGGATTTAGGTATCAGTGGTCATGAAATGCTATCCTTTGATTGTTTACTACCCTCTAGAGAAGAGAATGGCAGATTCGTATTTGGTATAGAGACCCATATCCAAGCCATCCATAGTGTCTCATCAAAACTAACCTCGTTGAATGATCTATTGTCTATAGCGCCCAAGACATTTGATAAATACCTCATTTTGAATCAAGAAGTAGACATTCCTGATACAACCATCTTGGCTCAGTCTATTCTCGAAAAACCTGTTTACAAGAGAGAACAACCTGAAGGACTCAAGATGAGATATAAACCCTATGGATATTACTCAGGTGAGTCCTCCCCCTTTATTATTCTTACTGCAAACAAAAAAAAAAATGAGAACGGTCTGTTGATTAAAAAAAATGGGTATTTTGTTGAAAAAAGGTGAGCCAATCACAGCAGCTGATAAAATGGAGACAAGTGATAATGAAGAGCCTAAATCAGAAGAAACAACAGAGGCAGGCCAAAAGAGACAAATAGACGAAGAACAACCCAATGATAAAGCAGCCAAGAAAGCAAAGAAAGAGAAAAAGGACAAAAAAGACAAAAAGAAGAAGGATAAGAAAGAAAAGAAATAAAAACTGTACCTGCGACAATCGAGCATTGCCAAGTGCTCAATCATGCATTTTTCTTTTTTTTTTAATGAAATGGGCTGTTTTTTGTGTACGTCATCTCCTGCTTTCATTGGATAAAGTAAAAACGCAGTTTCGTTGAGCAGAAAAAAGAAAATCAAAGAACTTTCTTTCCGCGCGTCCTTTTTTTTTATATTTTTCTCTTTTGTTCCCTTCCAACTATAATTTATTTGTAAGACCAACATGCCCACCACCATCGAAGTGAATGTCAAGTCATCGAGTCAAAAATATGTGATATCGATAGAAAACGATAAAACCATTCTTGATTTGAAAAATGAGATTGCTAAGAAAACCGAAGTTCCTGCAGAAAATCAACGTCTTATCTTTTCAGGGCGTATCTTGAAAGACCCCGCTACTTTAGAAGAAAGCAATATAGCCAATGGACATACTGTTCACATGGTGAAATCAGGTGGTACTACCAATAAAAGTAAGCATATTGAAAGAGAAAGCCTCTTGCTGGAGAGCGTCCCTCCCAACCCTTCAGCTTTTGACCATGGCCTCATCTCACACTTTCTCATTTAGCCAATGCTTCGACTTCAAGTAATAACAACGCAAGCAGCACAAACACTACCGCCTCCAGTGCACCACCTTCTTCGCAACCTCAGCAACCTACAACACAGCAAGCACCCAATCCTAATCCTTTTGCCGGTTTTGCAGGTATGCCGAACGACTCTCAATCAAACCCTTACAACATGTTTGGTGCCGGATTCGGTGCAGGTGCTATGGGCAACAGCTTTGGCAGCATGATGGATCCCAACATGATGAATCAAATGCTACAAAATCCCATGTTTGCTCAATACATGTCGAGTGTTTTACAAAACCCAGGTGTTTTGGATTCCATCATTCAGACCAATCCTCAATTAGCGGGTATGGGGCCCGAAATCCGTGCCATGATGCAAACACCCGAGTTTAGACAGATGCTATCCAATCCTGACATGATCCGTCAAATGGCCACCATGGCAGGTGCAATGCAAAACATGGGCATGGGAGGAGGTATGCCAGGAGCAGGAGCAGGAGCATTCAATCCATTCGCAGCTATGGCACAAACACAAACACAAACCCCCTCTTCACCCAATACAACACAGACATCATCTACTCCACAGCAACCACAACAGCAGCAGAACCCTTTTGCTAGCTTCGGTAACGTACCTCCTGTCGATCCTCAATTACAACAAAGAATGGCCGCTTTATTTGGCATGGGAGCAGGAGGAGCTGCTGCTCCCGCATCACCAGCGGATACACGTCCACCTGAAGAACGTTTCCAAGTGCAATTACAACAATTAAATGATATGGGTTTCTGGGAGGCTGCCAAAAATATTAGAGCTTTACAAGCAACTGGAGGCAATGTGGAAGCCGCTATTGACCTTTTACTCAGTGGCAATCTTTAGAAAAAAAAAAAAAAAACCATTTCTCAAAGAATAAACCTCTCTGCCCTCCCCACCATAGCACCTACATGTATAGTCCGTTTTTTTTTCTTTCCGCCTCCCACCCTCTTTCTTCAAAGTTTACAAACATAACTATACTTTCTTAATATACTATAGCTAAATAGCTTGCTATTTTTCTTTTTTTTTTTCGTTTTTTAATTCTTTTTTTCCTCATTAACTCGTTCTAAATAAATTGACCAACAAGTTTCTGAAGTGTGTAAATGCCTTTTCAACTTCCTGTGATATTTCGCCATGATAATCTGATCTTGAAGGAGGCAATGGAGGAGATACATCGTTAGGTGCAGCAGTGAATGAAGCCATGCCATCAGCGTTGGCCGTGGTCATCGTAGCAGACGTATCCAAAGCAGAAGCCGAGCTAGAGTGATCAGAAACGTACGGTGATGACTGCTGCTGCTGCTGCTGCTGCTGTTGTTGTTGTTGTTGTTGTTGTTGTTGCTGTTGCTGTTGCTGTTGAGCTGCCGGTGACAGTTTCATATGACTACTACTTTTGACAGCCGTGGATTGATAAATATCAGGTCGACTCGGCAGTATAAACTCGATATTGCGGATGCCTCCTCGACCCGACATACTTTCTGCTCTGTCCAACAATCCATCATTTCCTTTACTACTCCTTGAGTTCTCAATCAAAAAGCCCTTGACACATTTCATGATCGCTTCACCACGTTTATACAACATGTCATTGACCGTCTGACTACTGCTATTGCTGCCGCAGGTCAACAGGCCAAGATCATGTGGCGCGTGTTCTATCCATCGATCGGGTAGTAATAAAAGTGGTATCGAAAGAGATGAAATATCGAAATGAGACGCCATTTTCAGAATATGTCTGAAACCAAGGAGAAGCGGATGATGATGACGGTTGGACGACAAGTCCAGAGCGGTGAAGGAAGCAGAGGATGTGTCCATGATGAGATGAAAAACAATTTGCGTGGTGGGCAAGTTGGAGTGCTTCGTGATAAAGAAACTGCCTTCTTGTAGTAATTCATCCTGTTTGAAATCCTGTTCAATGAGCGTCAGTTGTGCTTCCATGTTGGGAAAGTGGAATTCAGTCGACTGCTGACAACGCTCAAATAACGCCTTGTTGTTTCCCTTTCCGCTTTTGTAATGTCTCCAACCGTCTCCTTTGTCTTCGGTCACCACTGTCTCATGGGTCGTACCCTTCTTTTGATGATGTCTCCTTTTACCAGCCAATTCGTTCAGTTCGACAATGACAATGGCTGCTGATAAATGATGGTGCCTGGTATTGTAGAGCTTTGTCGCTGTTTCTGCGCGATACGCCATTTCTCTCGTTCGATCGTATATCACCGGGTTGAATAGTTCGTTGCTATCTTGCACGAGAAGCCGTAAATTATAGTTCGATTTAATCTGTGCTGTACCCATCATGACACTAAACGATTCTACCAGTAAAGGTAGCCCCGTTGTTTGCTGCTGCTGTTGTTGTTGTTGTTGTTGCATCGATGACGCGATTCCTCCATGATGCGGCACACCGTCGCTGCTGCCTTGTGCATGATCAATACCGAAATTCTCCATCGCCTTCCCTAACCAACCACCCAATTTACGAACAGAACTGAGATTTGTGTTTTCCAAAGCTTGCTTTTGCTGGTGCAAGAAAGAAAGAGGATTCCAACCTTTTTGCTGTTGTTGTTGTTGCTGGTGCTGGTGCTGCTGTTGCTGTTGATACTGGTGTTGTTGATGAGACGTGCCATTTTGTTGTTTATTCCCTCCACCCAACAGGCTTGAAAATGTCGGCGTGGTAGCAAATCGCTGCAGAGAATGACGCCTCGTATTCATGCTAGAATGTGTGCTATTGTTACTCGCTGTAAGACTCGATGTGGATGCCGCTCCTGTTGCTGTTCCCTTCAATTGATGAATATTAGGACGCGGCACTTGACTGAGCGAATGGGATCGTCGATAAGGTGTGCTGGAGCTAGCAGGCGGTCTGGCCATTTGCGAAAAATGTTGTTGATGTTGTAATTGCTGCTGTTGTAACTTTCGTTCTGCCATAAACGCGTCCACTCGTTCGGGATTTTCTAATAGTAAAGCAATCGCTGATTCCATATGCTGATTCGCTAGGATGTAGGCAATTTCTGCTTGTTCCCTTACAAAGCCCATCTCTTGTATGTTTTTGACCGCTTCTTTCGCAGCTGGATCTTCCTCCAAGTAGCTGTTGTCGCTCAAAGACGTCGTGCGAACAAGGCTAGCTAATTCGTTCGGCGCAGGCGAAGTAGACAATAAAGAGGAAGCAGATTTGTTATATCCCGAAGAACTACCCAAACTCGCTAAAGAATTTGTTCTGCGTCGTCGTCCTTTAGGCTGCTGTTGTTGTTGGCCATTGTTTTTACGAGATGTCAAGGAGACGGATGTTTGACTTTCACTTTTCAGACTACCCTCGCCTGTCATCGCTGTTCTGTTGTTGTCTGCTTCCTCGTCCTCTTCTCCTTCCTCCAGTTGCCCCACACGGTTCGCTGCGGCAATCACCATCTCATTTCCGTCCAGTTTAGTAGCTGCTGCTGCCGATAGAAGATGATGAGGACTACTACGAGGACTCTCCGCCAGTTTTTTGCCCTCGCCTCCTTCTTTGCTTACTTTTTCAGCTGCTGCCTCCGCTTCTGCTAGCACGGACAGACGAGATTGATATTCCTTGTAAAGCTCAATGACAAATTCTCGATATTCTTGCCGTTGGATCTGTTGCGCTTGTATTATCTCTGATTGCCATGTTGCTTGAAATATTTCCATCTCCTCTACTTGTCGAGCAAAAATCGCCGTTAAACTGTTATTGCCCACACCATTCGCACTACTGCTGTTTCTGCTGTTCGTAGTATGTGTGCTCGTCAAAGAAGAAGTAGACGATGCCGTAAGTTGGTGGTTAGTCTCTTGATGGCTGAATGAATGGCTAGATGCAGACTCAATTTCTTGTGCCTGTCTGATGAAAAAAAAATAAAAATATAACGATTCAATAGGCTATGTAAACGCACGCGTCCCCTTGGAGCATTCCATTCTTTTACCTCGCTTGAATATTGACGAGTTCTTGATCACTTGCTGTCAATAACTCTTGTATAGCTATAGCGTAACTTTGTTCTAATTCAAGCAATGTGTCGAAGATGCTAGATATCGGACAGTGTATTAAAGTATGATATGCTCGAGGGAAAATGTCCTATTAAAAAAGTTGGAAACAATCATTTTTTAATTGGGTTTTCCCTGGGTAGCCCGACAACGTAGTTTTTGCATAAGCTGTTCAATGATATCAAAAAACAAGGACGACTTACTTCTTCAGGTTTTTTGTTATATTGAAGGGTATGTAACTGGTATGCTGACATGAAGGAATTGCGCAGGCTTTGCTTGTATTGATCACGACTGTCTTTTTTGCTTTGTTTTGCGTGTTGTTGTGTTGACAGAGATGACGATGAACAACTCTCGTCACGTAAGACAGACAAGATTAGAGAATGTACAGTGGTCGTTAAATAAGGTGGTATGTTGTAAGTTTGCACAAGATGGTAAACCAAATCTTTCACGTTTTGCCCTTTTTTGATATGTACATCGAATTGCTTGTTATTGAGAGCTGGCAAGGTAATAGAGGCGTGAAATGACGTTGTGGCGTGCATAATACGAAGTGTATCTTTACAAAGTAATAGTTTAACTTATTTAACAGAAAATGGGAATAAATACAAATGTGCTTTTATGCTGGTATTTGTGGGCAAAAGGAAAGAAGAAACCCAAAAAATGCCCTATTGTATAATAATGCAAGTTTCTCTATGAATGAACAATTATGAACAGTTGCAAAAAAGAAAGAGCTGAGGTCAATGTGGGGGTACAACCAAGAAAAATCTCTTAATCGGAGCTACAAACTTCATTTATGTAATGAGTTTTATGAACATGAATTCCGGACAGCAAAAGCGTTTAAGCGCTAAAGTGAGATCACACCATAGCTTTTACTGACTAATCTTGGAAAAATTCATTAAGATAGCTCTACATGCGTCAAAGACCTCTTTGAGGCGGTCATTCTCAGAAACAGTAAGTGTTTTGGTAATCCTTCTGAGAATTTGAAACATTGGTTATCTGCTTTTCATCATAAAAACTGTCCCCTAATTATTGCCAATCTAATCATTCTTTTTTGACGCAAAAAATCAAGTGAATAGCATGAATTGCTGGTCAAATGATGCGCGGTAGCTATACAGATTGTACCCGAGTACGAAACCTTTTTGTTATGACTGTGTGAAGGGAGATGCATGGGAGTTTCAACCAACTTGTAGCGTTTTTGGGATCGAAGAAAAGCTTCCAACATGGAACAAATAGGAGAAGGATATCGTTACCAAGTGTATATAATGTATGCTTCACCCTGCTTGCTTGACCGTCTACAATAATGCCCCTCCCTTTTCTTTCTCAGATGCCCACAAGGCAAGTGATGGTCATGATGATTGGCCCTTAATTGGGAGAATCGGTATCATCTTCAATCTAAAACCGCGGCCTTTTTTGACTGTCATTTCAGAGATTTTCTCCCTCCGCAGCATCTGTCCAAAAAGTATAAAAAGGCATCGAAAACGCAGAAAAGGATGAGATCTTTATCCTCTCAGGCCTTTTGGCTAAGATCAAGTGTAGTATCTGTTCTTTATAGTTTAACAACTATAATGAGGAACATAGTTCCTCACGTTGTTAATCTAATTTTTTCCTCCTGGAAACCTGGGCTCTGGCTTGCTATCTCGGGTTTCCGCAGGTGTCCTTTGCCTTACACTACCCGCAAAGTGACGCCGACCCTCCTATTCTTTCTTATATTCTTGAAAAAAAAATGAAAAAGAAAAATCTGGCTTTTAAACGAAACAGTGTGCTTTTTAGCCAAGCAGATAGCGTCATCGCTGTTGTTTGGTTTATTATAGAATCTGTACGTTGCTCTATAAAATAGTGTTAAGATTCATAGTCTATGGCTAATATGTAATTGCTGAAGCAAAAAGGGTATTATAAGTGACTACTATTCCGGATCAACATGCCTAAAAGGACAAGGGGATCTCCTGCATCCCCTTTTTGTGTTATAGAAATGGCACATAGGACGAGCATTCTTGCTAGCATGGCCTCTGTGGCTAACACCGCGGCTTCCACGAGTGCTAGTGCTACTAATAGAACTATCATGGCTGCTGGTACTAGTACGGCAAGTATATGGTTTATAGTTATTGCCGGTACGAGAGCTATAGTCCCCTTTGTCTGCATCATTCATATCCTCCGCATCATTTGATGGAACCTGTTGTAGAATTGATTGTTCTGGTTGCGCTTGCTGTTCAATGAATTGGACAGCTTCAATGTCGGTTAGATCCTGCTTTTGCTTGGCACAATGGCATAGTTCTTTGAATGTTGCAAGAAGCCTAGAATAAATGTCGAGTATAAGATGGCACATCTAAAACGTCACAATAAAGTATGCTACTCACTCTGGATTACTGTTAATGATTTTCTCTATTTGATCGAGTTCATTGATTGCTTTGTTCGCATTATCAGAAAGTGCAGTTGTTGGCGTGTTCAGGGTATCTGTATTTGGATCTACTAAAGCTGGCATTTGAGCGGCAGGACCTTTGTCCGCCAAATGATGACTGTTTTCGTCCTTTACGTTTATTGTATTGTTAGATTCAATGGTAGGAATTGCACTAATATCTTGTAAAGGAATAATAGGCACTGCTGGTGAATTATTGTCAACAGCATTATCGTCTTTGTCTGGTTCTTTTGGAGTCATCGGTAAGAATCTCGTATCATCGAGATAAGCAGCTTGCAAAGTCGTCGCCTCTCTATTTCTTTGTGCAATTGCTTCAGGTGAGTCAACTCGCCCTCGTAAAACAATATTAGGGTTGCTCAATTTCAATTTGGGAGGCCTGTGCCAAGCATTCGTTTCATTCCGTTCATCACTATTCGATTTAGATTGATTCTCTTTTTCTTTGCTTAGCTATTAGCATATTGATTGGTTTGTTAAAGAGGTTTTTGAATTTTTGACCTGTTAGCTTATGCGCAGATACATGATACGTTCATAATAAATAGGTCTCAAATCATATTATACCATAGTTTGCCATTCTGAAGGATGCCTATCAAAGAGTCTCACGTCAGTCAAGTCGTCTTTAAATCGAACCCTTTTTGCAGGAGGGATTTGATCATCATCCTCTATAATTGATTGAAAGGAGACACAATTATTACTAATTCTTTGAATAGAAAACTTTTCATCGATTTCGTTTTTTCACTTACTTGAACGCTTTCTTTGAAGTCCACCATTGAGATCAGTTTCTCCGAGCTGCACCCTAGGCGTTTTTGTTACGTTATCAATGCTACTGGTATGGCTGACAGTTGAATACGCAGCAGTACGGTTTGGTATAAGTGATGGTCCACTACTCCAGGTTGCAGCTGTTGAGCCATCATTGTTGATGAACATTGGGGGTTCTTTAGATATGGCGAGATCAACAGGACTATTCGCTTTCGTGCTGTTGCTATTGTAGGGTATATTGCTTTTAACGGCAAAATTCTCTACAAAAACATTGAGGTTGAACAAGAAGAAAGAGGGGTTTTAAAATGCTAGATGTGCAACGATCTAAAAATAAGTCCAGGATATTTACGGGTATCATTATTGGTCGCTGCATTATTGACAGAACTATTAGAATCGCTGGGCGAAGTCGCTACATCATTGTTATCATTACTGCCTCTACTGCTGCCAGTATTATACAACTTTGTCCAATGCTCAATGACATGTTCAGTCATATCTTTCAGTAGATTATCATCGTTCCTTGTAGCAACCTTTTTCGCTCTACCTACTGCCTTTCCGAGTGCATTCTTCACTAGAATGAGCTTGTGAAAAGGAATACGTGCCAGAGCCTGTTAAAAGAGAGAAGCTGGCGTTAGACTAAATTTAAAGACTGATCTATCGGCGTGCAATATACGTTACTTGAAGAATAAGTAATGCCTGTCTATTGTCTCTATTACTTAGTTGTTGCTCAAGCGCAGTTTTTAGCAACTCCCCCACCTTCAATGAGTTCCCAAGTCTACTCTTAAGGGTCAGTGTGCCGTTCATAAAGCCGTCCAGTAACATGTACTTACAATTCAAGTAATGGCGGATCTTGTATTTCTGCCATAATCCTGATCACTTCTCCGTCAATATTGTTTAAAGGCGTATTCTCGATGAGTGTCAAGAGATTTTGCTGCCACGACATTATCTTCCTATAAGACGCTTCAAACTTGGGATAGAGGAAAACAGAGACATTTTTTTATGTTAGGAATAGCGTCGCTTCGGTTTCGTGCTATTTGTATATGGTTTTGTTTATCATATCATTTATGCAAATGCAATCAAAGCTTTGCTCTTTTTTTTTTTTTTTCTTTTTTTTTATGGGGTGGCGGCTGCAAATGATCCTGTGCCTGTCTTTTCCATTGCCCTCCATTTATTGCTCCTATGCAGTGATCATTGCTTTGAACTTTACGCGTACAAGATTTACTGGACATGGATCAGGGCTTTTGTGTTCATTTACTGCTTTCGTAACGTGAAGACCGTCACTTTTTTTTTTTTTTTTTTTTGGCCTTGTATTTAATTTTCAGCGCATTAATTGAATTTTCTTCAATTACACATGACATCCTTTTTTTTTCGCCAGCTTTCAAGTAAATTGCGTAAATTTACATGCAGAGCTCTATTTTCAGACTTTGTTATTAACTAGTTTAGAAACTGTCATGGCCTGTAATAGCTCCTTCATCCTTTAAACTCTAAACATACAAATGAATAGAAAGGCTGGTGCAGCGGAATAGGATAAATTCCTTGCATAGTTACACAGATTATACAATAAAGCCTATACAAGTCGTATGATATACATCAACACAATGATAAAGAAAGATAGGTTGTTAATGCGTGCATAATACGCCCGCACAGGAGCAATATCTGAAGAATCGCTTGCAGGATCAGTGGCAGCCTTTTCTCTTTGAATCGCAAATGATGATGATAAAATGAAAATCAATGGATATTCTTTAGTTTTTACCCAATTTTGATATATGTGAACAGAGCGTTTGAGCTCCTTTTGCTGTTGTTAGTTGTTGTGCTGTCTAAAGCAAGAATATAGGTTCGAGGAAGGAAAAGAAAAAAAAAAAAAAAAGAAAACTTGAAAGAAATCCCAGCATTTTATCATTGAAAATTTCTGTTCCTTGACCATTAAAAACGAAGACAGTCCGCTTTTTTGTTGTTAAAACAATGAAAGCTTCTTCAAATCAAGAAAAGCACACAAGTGAGTCACTTAAATATGTTATCATATACGTGTTTATTTCGACAGGATTCAAGCTTTCAATAATTGGTGACTCGGATCCTTTTCAATGACGTTCTAACTTTACATTGATGAAACTGTTGGCTTTTTCTTCTTTTCAGCTTCTTCTTCCTTTTCCTTCTCAATTTCTGCCGTAACATTCTCAACTTCATCCAGATCCAAGAACTATATAAAAGCAAGGTATTAAAAACTCCACTCACTTCATCACATTTATAAAACTTCTAGATTATCATATACTCTACCTTAACCTTTCCATCTGATGTCATTACGGCAATTTCGATATTCTTTGCGCCTGTCTGAACCACTTCCAATAATGATTTGATCGTCAATTTGATTGTTTCCTTTTCTTCCATATCCTCATGGTAATTCTTTTCCAAAAATTCACGAACTGTCTTTGAGCTTCGACCGATAGCGTTTGCTTTCCATTCCGTGTACACACCGGAGGGTTCTGTCATATATAATTTTGGCGCTTGATAATCGAAACCGACAATAAGCGTAGAAATACCAAATGGACGAACACCACCACTTTGAGTATATCTCTATTATAAAGTTATGATTTTTATATCAAAGAGATCAATAGGTGTATTCTTCCTTTTCCAGCATACTGATTTCCGCTCCTTTAAATATATATGTATAACAACTCAATCCTTACTTGTTGGACTCCGGCAATGTAACGTGTGATATATTCTACAGAAGCTGGGTCTTCAACTGTTAAACGTTGACTTTGACATTCAAGTCTAGCCTTATTGACCAGCACGCGAGCATCCGCAGTTAAACCTGCAAAGGCCATACACAGGTGATCGTCGAGCATACAAATCTTACGCACAGTTCTAGGATCTTGTAATTTTAAAGCTGATTTCTTTTCAACGCCAAGAACGACAACATTCTTTCCACGAACACCCACCTAAATTAGTTAGTGGGATGAAATATACGTATTAGTACAAATGTCATCGTTTGCGCTTTGTTGTAGGTTGTCATATCTTTATGCAATACTTTACGGCACAGGTACCCTTTCTAACGGCTTCTGAGGCATATTCTACTTGAAACAAGTGACCGTCAGGAGAAAATACTGTCAAAGCGCGATCGTATCCAGACATTATTTAATGATGATGGAGAGTATGTATGAAATGGTTGGATTAAATGTGAGAAAAGGAGCAATAAGTAACTTTGAACTTTTTCCTTTCGGCGGCAAAAAGATACGTATTCAAGATCCACTCTTTAAATACACGCGTCTACGGACGTCATCAGTCTCTACCACTCAAAGGCGGTTCTTTAAATTTCAAGCTACTTTTCCTTTATTCAAGTCAAAAAGACTTCCAAAGAGAAAAAAGAGCCAACATCAAGCATTATGTTACAAGGAAAAAAAGAAACAACCAAACCTTTATATGTTATTAGAAACAGGCTCCATCCTTATATTTAGTAGAGCTTTCCCAAAACAAATCATAAATTATAGTAAAATGTTGATAATGCCTAAGAATGTCTAATCTGTATCAAATGTGCAAGTCGTGCCGTAGGTCTTTCCTCGAATAACAGCTTCTACTTTTAATTCCACTTCACCAAAATACATCTTGATGGTCAAGTCAACCTTTTCACCTTCAGCAACACCTGTTAATGCGGGCATAGGGATAGTAAAGTTAGCAACTTTGTGCACACCCGGACTTGTTGTATAAATAGGTTGTTCTTCGGTATCAGCTGCGTAAAGTGTACACGTTGTATGATGAGGGTAATAAGCAAAAAAGTCTTTACTGACGCAGTTATCAATATCTATAACATGATGCTTCAAGAGTAAGATAAAACAAAAACACTAAAACCCACCAATATCATGGCACGAATTCTTATCTTTGAGCCTTACCTAAAGGTTGTCCTCGCTTTACATAAACTGAAAATTTATTATCGCATCTTACACTTCCATCCGCACGAATGATCTTATAACTTGGTGGATCCACGCCTTCTTCAAATGTGGTTGTAGTATCAATACCATACCAATATCGAGGAATACGCGTTGTTACGACACGAGGATTCAAACCAAAGTAAACAGCGCCACGCACGACAGCCAGCTCACAACGGGGAGGTACAGCAACTAAGCCAACACGTGATCCAAATTCCTGCTGCACTCTTTCAAATAAATAATTGGAAGAACCGAAGCCACCCACTAGAAAGATCGCTTGTAATCGCTGAGCTTTTTGTAATTGTTCTTCACAAAGATTGATCACCTCGCGAATAACAGGTTCAAATACTTCCTTTTTCAATTCTGCGGCTGTTAAACAAAGCATACCATCTTCTAAACCAATGGCAGGGTTGTTCAGGGAGGCAAGATTCATGGAAGCAGGTAATGTAATGAATTGATCCTCTACTCCGTCAAACTGGGGTTTAATCAAATCGACAAAGGTATCCATCATAGTTTCAAAAGCAGAAGCGGGTATGGAGGATAAGTATTCTTTGAATTTTCTCTTGAGCAGCTTTCGCATACGACGGTCTAAAAAGACGGAACCACAGGATTGCCCATGTCCTTTGGTGCATTCGCGTAATTTTCTACCACTTCTCTCATCGATTTCAAAAACGATCAAATCCACAGTTCCGCCTGGAGTGTAACATACATATCAGTCCCTTTATCCTGTCCTAAGTATAATTGCCATTTCGCTTTTACCTCCTGCATCGCAAATCATAAATCTATCGTTATGCTTCAAGTTGAATTGCTCACATTTCTTTTCACAATAAAGTGCTGCTGCCTCAGGTTCTGAAATTAACATGAGTCTATCACGGTGATCATCTTCATTGATGAGGCCTGCCATGATGGCCGCTTCACGCATTGTACTCTTTGCCTTATCAGACCACATGGCCGGTACAGTCAAACACTATCGTTGGTACAGTGTCAAGGTTAACGGAGCAATTCCACTTTGACGCACAAGCCCATGAAAAACTTACATATCTGAATTGGTGTTGTCCATAATTCTTTGCAAAGCCCTTTTTCAATTCAGTTACAACGTGCTCATGAAAAGCACGTAAATAATCAGAAATGGCTTCCACAATAGTCAGCCCATTCGGTAGTGGCGGTAAATCTTTGGCGATATTTTCGTCCAAATAGAGTTTATATTGCTTCAATAGAACTGAATTGCGAGCAGTAGGTCTTTGCATTTCTAAACGCGCAGCATTTCCCCATTGTGTCATATCTTTTGTGTTTCCTTGATAAAAGTTCAGTGTTGGTGTCTTTATCGGAATACAAAGGAAAATGATATAACTCGTTTTAGCTATCGTAGCTTGTTCGATCATCATTCAATATCTTTCAATAACAAGCTATTATACCTTTGGATAAACGTTATTGTTTTGCTTTGGCCAGCGGACAACGTCAACAACTTCGTCATTCTGAATGAAAGCATAGGAACAGCCCGAGAATGTCGTGCCTGTAAAAAGAAAGGAAAAAAATTATCATTTTTCATCGTTCAGTCTCTATAAATTTCTGTAATAAAATGCTTCTAAGGTACTTTACCAAAATCAATACCAATGACGACGGGATAATCGTTAATGTGAAAAGGTTTAGATTGTGCCATTGTATCCTGTCTTTAAAAATAAAAAGAAACAAAAACAAAAAGCCAAATTTAAGAAAAAAAAAAAAAGGGGGAGGGCGAAAGTGAAAAGTTATACAGTGGTTGGCGACCTGTGCAACGAAATTCAGTATCTTACCTGAATAAAAAGACATTTCTGAGTTTTTACTGGACGATCTGAGTGTCAATTAGAGATTAATTTGAAAGCCATAGATTAGAGGCTCAAACTTAGCAACCACACAATGATAGTGTATGTTCACGTTAAAAAAGACTAACACCAACTACGTACTAACTGTTAAGTCAATAATCACAAACATTGTATAATATGCCAAATTGTGAGAAGTTTTTAAAGGTAGAATGACAAAAATTGTTGAGAGCCTACAGACACAGCCGGCTACGCTTTGTGTAAAAGAAAAGCAAATAAAAGGCTGGAATGCAGTGCAGGTCAGATTACAGAAATTGCTCAGTGCTTAGAAGAGTCTAGAAGTGTTACAGAAGCTGCCTTGTTTATAGGGATTTCCGCGCTGCTTTACCTAAGAATTAGTAAAGCAGTCCAACGACAACGAGGGCATTGTAACTTACTAATGGTACGTAAACAATCTTCTTCTGCTAGGGTTAGATTACCAGTGTATGATTACTGGTTCAGAAGACAAAAAGTATTAAACTCGATTATACGTTTCAGCAATGTCGTTTGAAATCTGTCTCCATCATTAAAATAAAAGGTTTTTTTTAAAATTCAGTTGGGTGCCTGCTAGTTATCTCTGGTGAGTGTTTTTGTAGTCGCCTGAATCGCTCAATATCCTCACGCAAGCTGAACCGGTATATGCCCTTTGAGAACTTTTCTTTTCTTTTCTTTCCTTGCTTCGTCTTAAACACAGCAGTAGTAGGCATAAAAAGAGTTCTATATCTAAGTGTCCTGTATTGTATACTACTATCTGATAGGCTGAATGTGGGTTTCTTTTTGCTTCTAGAATATGGAATAGCACATACCAAATCTATAAATGAACTCTTTTCTAAATATTGAAGACGTTGAATAAAAAGAAATTAAAAATACTTACTTTGACCCACCCGTCCAGTTCATTAGAGGCAAATTATTCGAAATAAAAAGAAAAAGAAAAAATGTCTGTTTAAACTTAATGTTCCTATAACCAACAGAGAAACAAGAGTGTACGACTCCTGAATATACAAAAAAAAATAAAACCAAAAAAAAAACCCACCCATAAAAAACAGGGTCCTTTCTAATTCTTGATGTTATGCACTAATAATTCTTCAATGATTCCCATCTCTTTTCTTTTCTTTGACCCTTTTAATCTCTTATTGTTCTATGCCTAGTATGAGTAATCTGAGCCACACTTATCTTAACCGTAATAATACAGTAACTATGCAACAGCATCAAAGATCATTTATGAAGCGTCCGACAACTCCTACTCCACAAGAGCAGCAACCGCAACAGCCAACAAAGATTTTACAGCCATTAAATGACGCTTACGATAATCAACAGCAACAACAACAGCAGCAGCATCATCAGCGGAATAACAGTATTAGTAGCATCTTCCTGACCAAACTATCATCTAATACGGCTATGATGAGGAAAGCAACGATTACAAGATTATCAGCAAGTAAGTGTATTACTATTTATATATCTATCCCTTTCAATACTTTTAACTTTTCTCGTCTCTTTCGCTCGCTCCACCCCCCCCCCTTCTCGCCTTAAAGAAACGCATCTAACAAGTACGCTATCTTTATCACGAAAGAAGAGGAAGGATAATTATACTAAAAGCAGCCTTGATAATAATCAGACTGGCAACAAGCTGACTATACATGCATATTCGCCTCAACCAGCAACTTCTTCCTCTTCTACTCACAATAACAATAATATATTTCATCCTGCATATTTATCAAATCTTGCTCATGAATTTAAGGAGCAAATCATAATTAGCACCAAAATAAAAGACAGCATTGAATATCATGATGCATTTGATGGCAAAGATGCCGTGGTATGAAATAAGAAAAAGTGAAAATTTTGCATAAAGTGTATAATTAGGTTCTCAACAACTTCTCTTTTGATTGTTAATTTTAGACAAAGCTGACAGCCATCATAAAAACTACGGATCGACATTTGGCTTTATTAGTTGGACGTGCTCTACATCAACAGAAATTTTTTCATGATGTTCGTTATGAACAAACGCTCAAAGACTCTGCAGAAGAACTGTATCAATACAATTCTATTACAACTGCAACGGACGAACCATCATCATCGAAATCGTCCTCCACGGCAGCAGAACAACAGTTATTACCCAGTGGTATATTCACGCCTCTGACGGATTGCTATTCTCCCAGTTGTACATCCGAAAATAAATGCTATAGTCCACGATGCCCCAAAAAACTGACAAAGTATAGTATGCAGGTTCGTTATAGAATGTGTGAGCGTCGTGAAAAGAAAAAGTTCCTATAAGAAAGTCTCTATTAGAGTTATCTAACTCACCTTCTACAAATGCTTTTACTTTTTTCAATAGCAAAAACAACTCTCATTTTTTTCGGACGAAAATGTAAGTTAGACAATATTTATTGCAACACCGCATACCAATCTCCCTTTGTGTTTCACCAACTTCTTATTGGCACCTTATTAGAAAGATAGACTATGGATAAACACGATACCAAAGTCCCTCCTTGAGAAGTTATCGTCGAGGGAAATCAAGCGGCAAGAGATTATTTTCGAGCTTATATATACCGAAGAAGACTTTGTTAATGATTTAGCATATATAGAATCGGTAAAAAAAAGCATTCAAACTGTTGTCTAAGTGAATCAAAAGTTGAATCAAAACGGCACGCACTAAAAGAAGTTTAATCGGCTTAGCATTGGATTCAACCTATACTCCATCCGCAGTCAATAAAGGATGATACGAGTGGAATATCGATTTATCGAAAAGAAGCATTTGTTCGTGATATTTTCTGGAATATTCCCCATATTAGGAAGAGCAATCATTTGTTCCTTAAAGATCTGTTCGACCTCCAGTCTGAGCACCAACTGATTCCACATATTAGCGATATCTTTTTGAAGCATATTGAGCAGTTAGGCATGCTGGAGCCGTTTGTAGAGTATGGGTCCCATCAGTTTATCAGTCAGTACTTGTTTGAACAAGAAAAAGCCACCAATCCCACTTTTACGAAACATGTCAGAGTAAGCATCAACAACAATACAACCTCTACAATAACTCTTTCGAGCGATGATTAACAGATATTTTGTCTCCTCCTTATAAACAATAGATGATAGAAAGGGATCCAATTTCAAGAAAACTCGAATTAAACGGATATCTAACCAAACCCACTACACGTCTCGGCCGATATAATCTATTTTTGAAAGAAGTTTGGAAACATACAACAAAAGAGGAGAACCCTGTCGATTATCAAAAAATACCGAACGTCATAAGCCTCATCCATCAATTTTTACAACGTGTCAATGAAGCTTCTGGACGAGCGGAAAAGAAATACAGTCTAGAAATGCTCCAAAAAAAGTTGAGCTTTCATACTCCAGCATCAGAAGTGGTAAGTTTCGAGCAGGGTGTAACAACTCATCAGTTGAAAAAAGAATGGAAAGCTTTTTGTATTTATCACAAAAAACATACAGAATACCACTTCATACTGATTGTACTATTGTGATCAAATTGGTTTGTAGAGATCATTGGATCTATTGTCAGACGAGCGTGAAATTATTATGAAAGGAACACTGAAAAAGACCAGCGCAGCTGCGTCTGATAAACGAACAGGTCTATTTGTCTGTGTGTTGGACCATTATTTACTCATGTTGAAGCCTAAATTCTTGGATCGCATGGAAGTCTATAAATTATTTAAGAAGGTATACACACTTTAACAGATGAACAAAGAAAGCAATTACGTTTCCGAAAGCTCTGCTATTAACTAATATACTGTATTTGTGCAGCCTATACCGTTAGTACTCTTGTCCATTTCCACAGCGGTGCCTGACCAACCATTACTATCACGGAGGAATAGTACATCTTTCTTAAACCGACGGTCGAGTACTGTGTCTATTAGCAGTACACACTCCTTAGATACAGCTATTGCAAGTACAATTTCTTCTTCTTTGTTAATCACACCGCCTTCCTCATCTCTATCCACGACCACTACATCAAGCAGCAAATACAATTCGCCTCCCCTCACCGACCTTCATCCTCATCCTCATCCTCATCATTTGCAAATGCAGCAGCCACCGCAGCCGCCTCTAGGATATCCAATTCACTTTACTCATTTGGGAAAACACGGATCGACCACCACACTATATGCTTCAACTGCTTCTTGTCAAAAGACATGGATCGACACTATAGAGACGTATCGGCATTCTATGTTGGACCCCAAAAGGGTGTTCCAGATGTCTACTTTTTTAACATTCAATTATAATAATAGCCCAACAGCTGCTAAAGTGAACTGTGCAATCCAATATAGGTCTATCATGTTTTTGGGCTGTGATGACGGTGTTTTTATGTATAATCCCTCCAAAAGCAGTAGAAACAGCAACAGCATGATCATACCTCTAGCAGCCACAAATACAACAATCATGAATAATATGAGCGTCATTTCTTCAGAACGGATAGGTAAAGGATACAATATTGTTATTCATAGTGAAGGCCCCAAATCCATGACACCTTCTATTACCATGACACCAATCCATAACTGTGATGCAGAAAAACCTGAAAATGATATAAGCTCATTTTCGAGCCCTACAACGCCGACTGTTTCTACTGATTACAAAGCGAAAAAGACATGCGATTCAGGCCATACCGTTAGCAACGAGTATGAGAACATAGTAGACCTACATCTCATGAATATTCTACCTACGGATCGAAAAGTCATTCAAATCGATATCATAGAGGAATTGCAACTTATGCTGGTATTATTGGAGAATCGTCTCATTTACAGCTTGCCTTTTGTAGAAAGAGATCTATCGTCACTTACACAGCAATATGATCAGAGAATGCTACAACAATTAGATCAAAATGTGTCTTTTTTCAAAGCGGGGAAAATCAACGAGCAAATCTATGTGTGTCTCGTAAAAAATAATACGATGTCATCTATTATACGAACTTTGGAGCCATCCTCTTTATCATCCTTACCCATAGCGTCGTCACAGAATAATACTCACAAATTGAGCAATAGCTCCAACAATACCAATACAGACATAACAACAATGCTGATGTTGGAACAGAATTATCAAAACAATCCTGCTACTTCACCTATACCAACCAAAAATAGCCAGCATCATCATTATCATCATCATCAGCGTCATCATCACAGCCATTCAAGCTATAGTATGCTGGATAATGCTGCTTCTCTGATCAACAAAAAAACAAAGAGCTTGCTTTTACATAAAAAATCAAGCACAGACGTTGGATTGCGTATGCATAAAGATCTTTACAAACCAGAGGAAACCACCTCGATTCAATTCTTCAAAAATTTTATTTGTGTCGCTAGTGCAAAAGGTATGCATATGGTGAATATCGCTACGACAGAAGTACAAAGTAAGTTTAACGAATCTAAGCCGATGAAAGGGAAAGGATAAAGAGAATGCTGTTTTAAATGACTAAAAAAACCCTCCTTCTTCTCCTCTTCTCTTTGTCTTTCTTTCTATCCCCCCTATGTTGATCCGAATGAACTACTAAAAGGTGTACTTGATCCACTAGATGAACATCATCAATTCATTCGTCATAGAGAAAACACTGCTTCCCCGCTTCTGAAGCCTATAGCATTGTTACGGCTAGATTCGTATGGAGATGATGTACAAAGATATGGAAAATCACACTTTCTATTATGTTATAATGAATTTGCGTTCTATATCGATAAGAAGGGAAGACGTGTCAGACCCGATTGGATGATCTCATGGGAAGGACAACCTGTTTCTTTTGCGTTCCAAGCTCCCTACGTGGTGGCGTTTGACCTCACTTTCATAGAGATACGACACATAGAGACAGGTGATCTAAAACAAGTGATTATAGGTCAAAACATACGCTTTCTGTTCCAGTCAACAACCGAGAATAGAATTTATTTTGTAATGGAAGACCCAAAAACAGGATTCGAGCATATACACTATATACAATTGATTTAAGACACCACTGTTGATAACTCATATAAAGTATGCTTACTTTGACTACGCTTATGATCCTATACTTTTTTTTTTCCCTAGCAATATTTACTGCGTGCCATACAATAATAATATCGCCATTTATTACTAGTTGTAATTTACTGTTTCAATATCGATTATAGTGATTAACGTCTCTTTATTTGATTATCCAGCGCCCTTCTTTGTTGGCCAAGCCATGAAGTAGGCTGACGCTTATTTACATTCACCATGTTATTATTATTATTGCTTAGCATATCCTTGTTCACTTTTCTTGACATGTCGTACCAAGCAGATATCATCAATTGTTGCTCACGACGAGCCTGACTTCGCGTCTCATGAAGAAGCTTCTTCAACTTGTTGTTTTCTTCGTCACGTAAGTGGATCTCTTCTTTCAAGGATTCAACAGCCTCAGCATAATGATTACTACTGCTTTTCTCGCGTTCGTTTTCTTTCATCAATTTATCTTGCTTTTGTATAAAGTCTTGGGCTTTTCTGAGCTTGCCTTGTAAAGCAGTCATGTCTTCCTTCACCTTGATCAGCTGTTGTTGCAACTGAGCATATTGCTGCTTAAAGAAGGGCTCATCTTCTTTCGCTTCAATAGCGGCCAATGTTGCCTTCATCTCACTGTTCAATCTTTCCTTTTCCAAAAGCAAGTCCTTTTGTTCAATACTCTGGCCCTGCAATAAATCTTTTTCCAGCAACAACTTGTTGATATCGTGTAGTTGTTTGCGAGCCTGTTCTTCCAACAATCGAGATTTCGTTTCCATCTCATCGTACTTGGAACGGATGTCGTTGATGCCGTCGTTGTCTTTGTCATTTTCTGCAAAGTATCGGCCGTCAGCAATCTTTTTCTCCAATCTTGTCATGGACTCTGTAAGTGATTTGACTTCCTTTTCAAGATCGACGATACGTAGACGTAAGGATAGCGTGCTTTCGGATTGGTCCAAGAGAGCATCTGGTATACCCTCGCGAATACGAGCCATGTCGCTTTGTAGAATGTCACGTTCTTTAGATACTTCAATGTACTCCTTTTCAAACTTGGTTTTGAGGCGATTGGCATCGTCTAACAAATGTTGGAGGACAAGCACCTTTTGACTGTTACCTCCAGCATTAGCTGCTTCCTGCAACGTCTTTACTTGACGTTCTAATCGTCTCTTTGTCATTTTACTAAGGAGAAGAAGGTGAGAGGGAGGAGAAGTTGAGCAAACTTCTTCAAAGATAATCTAATCAACTTTTGAAACTTACAGTTCAGCAACATTGGATTCTTTCAAATTGTCTTCTAATGAATCATTCAAATTATCGATATCCATATCATCCGCATCCTCATTGGTTTCTCTTTGAGATACAGAAGTATCTACGCCTACCACTAGATTTTATTTGAACATGTTCAATAGGGGTTGTTCAGAAAGAGGTAATGGATCGACACTACTTACTTCTGAGCTGAGCTTCTTGTAAGTCTTCTTCTAATGCTTGAATACGATCTGTATCACGCGCTTTATCCGCTTCCAACGATTCCACTTTTTTCGTATACTGGGCCAACTGATAATCCAGCCTGTTCTTTTCTCTTATCAGCTCATTGTTCTTTGTTTCTAATTCAGCTACTTGATTCTTATAGGAATCCATCAAAGTTTTGAATGCCAAAATACTACGATATTCTTCTTCCAATTTAGAGTTATGTTCCATCAAATTATGGTTGGTTTCTTCCAAATGCTTGACTTGTCTCCTCAGATCGGCGTTATCTTCCAACTTTTTCTTGTACTTTTCAATCACATTTTCGGCTTTTTGGAGTTTTTCGTTCGTGTGTCGGTACTCATCCAACTGATCTTTGTATTTGGCAGCTAAATCTGCATGTTTTGCGAGTTCTTCTGTTTTCCGTGTCAAATCCTTTATCTGCGTCGCTTGATCTTCTAAACGTCTTTCTTGTTCCTGGCGTGTGTCTTCACTTCTTTGTCTAACATCATTTCAGCCCCCCAAGTGAGTTAAGCAAGTAGGCAAAAAAAAAAAAAAAAAGGACCACGATCTCTGATGCATGCTACTTACAAGTCTTGTTTTAAATGATCTATTTCAGTTCTCATAATAAAATCTGCTTTGCCCGTTTCATTTGCTCTTGCTACTGCATTATCCATATCTCTTAACCTTGCCTGCAGGTCTTGTCTTTCAGCCTCCAATCTGTCATATTTCGCCAGCAGTTCAGAGTGGTCATCAATCAACTGTTTATTGTGGACTTCTAATTGTTCTTTTTCCTTTGTGATTCTGACGAGTTCCGTTCGATAAGCACTATTATTGTGAGGATAGAGATCGTCCACAGCGTACATGCTGGGGTTGGAAGCGGTGGCTGTCATTGGCGTGCCTGGTGGACCCAGGGCTGTAGCGGCGGAGGTAGTGGTCGGCGATAATACATGGATAGAAGTAACTGTATGATTTTGGTCATCAAGGAATGCCTGTTGTTGGGTATAATAAGGGCCATAGGTGGTATTGATGTCACGTTGAGGTGGGTAGTCTGTCCCTGAAGAAGCAGCGGGTACCGCGGCCGAAGTGGCCGAAGGACCGTCTTGCTCCCCACTCAGCGCTCCATTCGCGTCTTTGTATCTCATGGTATCATCGATAAAATTCATCAAGTGCTGCTGACTGATTTTATTGAGCTTTGTGATGCGATTGATGTACTCACTGGCGTTGGCGCTAAAGACGGCAATAATGAGAATATATTTGCATAGTTGTAATATTTCACGAGGATTACTATCTTTGGCAATCGCCGTTAAATTAACTTCTGGTAGTCGTGAAAAGGTCCAATCCAAATTCTCTTCGTAATATCGAGAAATCAGTTTATAAAGCTTTTTCAAGTTATTGATTTTAAGCACCCAATTATCACCCACATCAGCCGAGCGAATAAGCTTGAACCATTTTTGGTCACTGAGAAAAAAAAATGAAAAGAATGTTAAAAGAAAAAAGCAAGAAACGTAACAGTATTGGGGGGGAGGGCATCTCTCTTTTATTTATGTTTACATGTCGGAAACAACTTCAAACAGGATGATGCCATCTGACAAATCTTGAACTTGGGTTATTGGATGTGAAATGGAGTCGATGGTATTGATCTATTTTGGCGACATATGAGAGACCATTTTCTTTTTGTGATTACGTAGAATCGTGTTAATTTACCCATTCTACTATCGCTGCTTCCGGACTGCCATCCACTTCTTCTATTCTCAACATTGACAAATCAAAAACTTGGAAGTAGGAGGAGACTAGGAAGGAAAAGAAAAAGAGAGTCTGAACAGCAGTAAAAGAGGGGAACCGAAGAGAAAGTCAAAAGCGTTTTAGGCAAAAAAAAACCTGCTTTCGGTCGCTCTTTTAAAAGTTTAAATGTTAAATTGGTTGAACGGTAATTTACGTTCTTTCGATCCAGAGAGAACGCTGCATGCACCGTTTCCGGTCACTTTTACAGTATGTGAGAATAACAAGAGCCATTCGCTTTGTTCATCAAAACCAAGTTATCAGCGAAGGATTGGGTGTAAGTTAAATCCAGAAATTAGAGTGTTCATCGGGCGTTAGAGACGTTTTACTCCCCTCCCCACATTTCTTTAGTTTTACTGCCATCCATGATTTAGGATTTTTAGCTCAAAGTTACGCCGAACGATATGCATCGCTTCTAAATTAAAAGTAAATATATGCCCATGGCAAAGCAGAAATACCTAATATGACAACAGGTTATTCCCATGTTTTCCTGTTATCGTGAATGTCGTGTGTGTGTTTGTGTGTGTTTGTTCGTGTGCCTGTATCGCTCGATCTATAAAAACTGCACCATGTCATTGGCGGTTCTCTTTCACTTTTTTTTCTTTTTTTTTTCCGGTCTTTGCCTTGGTCTTTGCCTTTTTTTATTATCGTGATTTATAACGTTATTATACAGAATTTGTTTCGAGATAAATGTACCAAAGTAAATAGCAATTAAATAGTATGGCTTTTTGTGCCTGTGTAGTCCTCGATGCTCTTTTAATTAAACCCTTCGACACTCCATATAGGTTTCTGTAGGATCCATTGGTAACGCACAAAAGAAACCTAATTTTTGCATTTGAGAAAACATTTGGGTATCTAGCATCAAAAAGAGAACATGTTACATCGTTTGTCTATGTCATCTATTCAAGGATACCACTGTACGGCACGCAACATGGCGCGTAACGCACTCTATCTCCTCCCTTCATTATGTCAACTTACATTCTAGATTCAGCTTCACACAGTCTCTTTGTCCATTTAAACCTTCACGGCAAAGTGTTTGTTCCTTTTGATCGATGGTATAACTACTTCCTGGAGCTTTACTGACAAATTGATCAATACGTTCAAGTTCTTTCAAGTCCTTCATGTCAATATTCTCGTTTTCATTGTTATTCATGGATGACATGATCTAAAAGAAATGCATGGTCAACTAGGAGTGATCCATATAGATAGAACAATGGTGAAATCAAATTTGCCTTACAATAAATGCTGGTTCTAAGTAAAATATTTTATTTCAAAAAAGAAAAAAAAAAAAAAAAAAAAGGAATATTGTACAGAAAATGAAAGAAATAGTTCCAACCCCGGACCCCTCTGTCCATTACGTCATAATTCTCAACTCCATCTGAATTTTATTCAAGCTTTTTCAAATCGAAGAAAATCCACTTGAATTTCAACGTTCTTTTTTTTGTGAAATTTATACATCATGGGCACATCGAACTAAAATAGACAATAAGGGATTTAAGACAAGGAGACACTTGGAGCTTTTTTTTTTTCCTTCTTTTTTTTTTTCAGATACTCACCTTCATCGCAGCGACCACTTCTACAGTGACACCCCATTCTTTCGCCTTCTTTTCTATATGCTGATCAACCCATTGTATGAATATGCTTTTTGTAAAGACAACATCAGTGCATTTCTACGCTATAACAGACATCTTACCTCTCTCGTCGATGTTTTATGCAGAGAGTAGACGGAAGTAGTGGCTACGTCTATAGCCTTTTTTAACAGTAACATATCGATTCCCTTGTTATTCTTTGTTCCAAATGGCGGGTTCATAATGACCGTATCTATTTTCCCTTTCAATCCTTCTAAATTGGCTGTACATAGATCGACATTGACATAATCCACTTCGACTTCAAATTCGTTGCAATTCTGTAGAGCAATCTTGATGGCATCTGGATCAATGTCGAATCCGGCCACAGATCCTGCGCCTAATATATTGGCTGCTATACCTAAAATACCGCATCCACTACCAAAATCTGCTATTGCTCTGTCTTCAATGTCGTTATAGACGGTATCGGCTGTATAAAGCATTCGAGCTGCTAAATGAGGTGTCGTAGGATATTGCTCATACTGGATCTTGGGCTCCTCTTTTGAAATGGAGACGGTTAGAAAAGCATCCCTATAGAGACACGCCTGCGCATTGCATCTTGTAGACACTTACCAAACACTTGACAGTCTTGCAAGATGCTTTCTAATTCCTTTAATTTCATTGCTGTAAACTGATCATTGAGAGATGTCGCTTTTTTTTTTCCAAAAAGCAATAAAAAGCACCCCCAAAAACGAAAGGGTACAAAAAGCAGTAAAAACAAAAAAAATTCAAATGACGACGACCTTGGGCAAATTAAGGTTGAAAAAGAAGTGTGAGGTACACATTTATTTGACATGCTACATTTCAAGTTTTTTGACGCTGACCATGTGCGTTACACGAATTATTTTGGGGTTTCCTCAAACTTCTCTTACGTGAACCACACTTGATCTAGAAACAACTCGTATGTCACTTTAGGAGTCATTGGGCTTTATTCCCCTCAACATCCGCTTGACTCCTTGGGTCTTTACCGTGATGAGCTTGAGCGGATGCGTTGGTAGACCCATCTTGTTATCACAGAGACCCTCACGCACCCTCCCCCACAGACAATGAAAATGAGTCTGTATCGACAACTTGGCCGTTTCATTCATTCTCATGGCAAAAGAAATCGAGAGGGTCATCCTGTTGCTTCTGATACACTAAGTGTTCCTATTTCTCTACGCCTTTTGTTACGTAATCAGTGCTATCAAACTGGACAAAATCAAAACAACTGTCCAAAGCCGACCACATACAGTCATTTAGGCAACAATAAAAGACAAGCGTAAAAAGCGGGGGGGGACATCTTTGGGGGAGGGGTCCGTGATGAAATGATATTACTTTATGAGTTTCTTTCTGCATAGGACAATGAATGAACATTTTTGACAGAATCGGGACTGACTGAGATCTACTTGATACATTCGCTTGTTGTTTGGAAAAGGGTGAATAAAGTTGACACTGTGCTACCCGCATGAAGCAAGCGACTTTTTTTTTCGTTTCATGCATTCCTTTCCACAAGTTGTCAACTTGACATAATACAACCTGTTTTAGGAAGGAGGTTAAAAAATGTACATTGACGACAAAACAATGAATAAGAGCTGTCAATACCGGCGACACATGGGTGTTGTTCCATAGACAAATGGTTTGCCCGCGCTTTAGAACTCGCTATTTGAATCAATTCATGAAAACACGGACATACAGTTATTTTTTTCGTACTTGTCAAGAACATGTCTACGGACTAGCAGTGTCATCGCCTCTGAACAGCAGAAATCTCATGAAACATCGCGTAACGCGCGTAAGAAGCGTATGTATACGCTCTCCTATTCTTTTGCCCCCCCCCCCAATTTAAATAATGAAAGCTTCTTTTTAACATGATGTCGAATGCATGGTAACACAAGATAATTGCTGTTAATGGGTGGTTGTAAGAAAAAGGAAACCATCATATTTTTTATTTTGGTTATTTTAATTAACAGGAATGTTTGCCAAAAAAAGGGAAAATTTTCATCTATTTTTTCAAATCAATCAAAAAAATAGTAGAATATGAGAGTGGTTTTTTTGGTTATTTTGTCTATGGATGAACAATGCAAATGATAATCATTGGGGAAAAGAGAACTTTTGAGGATGAAACAAAAATGTTGTCAATGTTGTTGAAATTATATAAATAGATGTGGATTGTTGTCAAATGAAAGGGTGACTTGAATGTTGTCAAGATGTTGCTATAATTGTTTTTTTATCCAATGGAAGTTTGATATGACGAGTTGCTTTCAATTTGGTAAACCAATTCAAAAAAGCATGGATGGGGTGAATAGAGAAACTTTGTACTTGTAAAATTCAAAACGATGAGATGGAGGGCATGAGATTAACGCTTGACAGGAGCAGGATAAGGTCTAGGAAGAGCAGGCTTGGAAGGTCTATCTGGTGGCATGTTTTTTTGTTTTTTTTTTTTGAATGAGAAAGAGGAAAGGCCTTGAGATGCTTGTTGATATGGAGTTAGAGAAAGAGAAGCTCTATTAAAATGCTAGTTGTTTTGATATGTATAACTTTTTGATGGATGGATCTAAACCGAGAAATTCGGGCTTCTTTTTATATGTTTTTCGGGAATCCATAAAGTGGAGTCTTCCCTCGTTAGGACAGGTTGTAGCACTTTTTTTGAGTTTTGAAGTCTTGTACCACACACATCATAAAGAAGCTGAATGGGGGGAGGGGGGAAAATAAACATGGTGAAAATGTTGTCTGCTCATCTTGATCGTCTGTTCAATAAGAATTTAATCACATTTATTACTTGCTTGTTCTACCAAAATAATTAAAGCTCCCTTAGAACATCCCATGAAGCATTCTCAAAATGAACAACCTACTCTACTGCATTCTCCCTGCCAAACATCTTTCAAAAAGGTTCGCAGTGCACTCCTTTTTCAAGAACAATCAGCATCTCTATCATAACAGAAAACAAGCCTTTTTTTTGCAATTAAAATAAAGATGCCATCATAACGACAAAAAGAGCAAAAACGGAAAAATATGTTGAAAATGGTGTAACTCTGTTCAGAAAAGACGTTGTGCTGATGATTTGCACGTAAATGCAAAGCATGGTATTCCATGACAACTTGTCAAGCTTAACTTTCTTTTTTTTTTTTTTTTTTTTTGTTGTTATTCTGTCCAATAGTATATGACTCCCTTTTCTTTCCATTCTTTCAACGTGGCATGGATCATTGGCAATTGACATCCAGGTACATCAGATTCATTCTCTTGGGTGTCTTTGTGCAATAGGCGTCTACTGGATCACGGTACGGGGCAACATGTGTGCTTTTTCTTTTTCACTTTAACGGGGTTTACCGCGGACTTTAGTGACAGATAGAATGTGATCTGCAGCTTTACTACCCTTTCGACGCTCCCCCCCACCCCCCAAGTGTCAATAGGATGAGAGAATACACAGCGCCTTTGTTATCTCCGCCTTCCGCTTTCCCCGACGATATATCCTTATACGACGTGAATGTATGGAAACGGATCAAAAACATGCACCATCCGCAGCCTGCTGATTTTGCCCTCCACGAACTCTCTAAATTAGTTTAGTGTAACAACGATCCTTCTGATGTGAAGGCCTCCATCTGATGAGATTGTAATACAATGCGTTATTAAGGTTAACTTCCGAATAGCAGCAGCAGCAGCAGCAGAAGCAGCAGAAGCAGCAGTAGCAGCGGCAACATGGCCATCACACACTCTCAAACATCGTACATGATGTACCTTATGGCTGTTGTGTAGACTCCCAAAGTTTATATACGCCTCAAGTGACTGCATGCTTTTCATATTAAAGACTGCGCTGTTTCATTATTACTTTTTCTGAAATCTCATGTTTGCTTCCCCCCGCCTTTCCCGTAACCTACACACCCCTCATCTGAGTCAAATTCAAGCATTTCAGCGAGGTCTCAATTCTACATTTATGCAAATGATGAATGATGACATAGATTCGATGGAGAAAGAGAGAGCGAAAAAATAAAATAAATTGCGCTTTATTTCAAATAACAAGCAAAATTAAATAGACAAAGAAAATATATATTTACATAATATGAAAAGGAATAGGACAAAAATGCTTTTTCAATACAAACATTTTTTTTTTTTTTTTGTAAGAGAGTCAAATAGGACATGCAAACATAGGGCAAAAGAAGTCTTTTTTTTTTTTTTTTTTTTTTTTTTGTTTTGTTTTTCTGTTATATGTATATGTTGTGCATGAAGAGAAGAATGAAAATGCGAAAAAAGCGGTAATAAAGAGGTTCCTTTAATCCACTTCTTCGACAGTAGGACCCTCATTGCCACCACCAGGGGCGCCACCGGGCATACCACCTCCAGGCATACCGCCCATACCAGGCATGCCACCAGCACCAGCACCTTCTTGTTGATAAAGCTTCATCATGATAGGATTGGCAATTTCCTCTAATTCCTTCTGACGAGATTCGTACTCTTCCTTAGAGGCTTCTTGAGAGTTATCTAACCAATCAATGGCTTCCTTAACAGCATTGTCCAACTTTTCTTTGTCACCAGCATCCAACTTGCTGGACACCTTTTCTTCTTGAAGCGTATTACGCAAGTTATAGGCATAAGATTCGAGACCGTTCTTGGCGGTAATACGAGCAGCAGCAGCTTCGTCTTCGGCCTTGTATTTTTCAGCATCATTGACCATACGCTCAATGTCTTCTTTGGAAAGACGACCCTTATCGTTGGTAATGGTGATCTTGTTGGACTTACCCGTGGTCTTGTCCAGGGCAGAGACGTTCAGAATACCGTTGGCATCGACATCAAAGGTGACTTCAATCTGAGGCACACCACGAGGAGCAGGGGGAATGCCGGTCAATTCGAACTTGCCAAGCAAGTTGTTGTCTTTGGTACGAGCACGTTCACCTTCGTAGACTTGAATAAGCACGCCGGGTTGGTTATCGGCATACGTAGAGAAAATCTCGGACTTCTTGGTCGGCACGGTGGTGTTACGCTTGATCAAAGGCGTCATGACACCACCGGCTGTCTCAATACCGAGAGAGAGAGGAGCGACATCCAGAAGCAAGAGAGAGTCGGTCTTATCAGAAGTGTTACCTGTCAAGATAGCCGCTTGGACAGCAGCACCATACGCAACAGCTTCATCGGGATTGATCGATTTGTTGGGCTCCTTACCGTTGAAGAAGTCAGAGACCATCTTTTGAATCTTGGGAATACGGGTGGAACCACCGACAAGGACAATGTCGTGCACTTGGGCCTTGTCAATCTTGGAATCACGGAGGACCTTTTCAACAGGCTCCATCGTGTTACGGAAAAGATCTTGGTTCAGTTCTTCGAAACGGGCACGCGTCAAAGAAGTATAGAAATCCACGCCTTCGAAGAGGGAATCGATTTCGATCGTCGTTTGAGTAGCTGAAGACAAGGTACGCTTCGCACGTTCACAAGCTGTACGGAGACGACGGACCGCACGCGCATTGCCGGAAATGTCCTTCTTGAACTTGCGTTTGAATTCTTGCATAAAGTGGTTCACGAGACGGTTATCGAAATCTTCACCACCCAAGTGGGTATCACCCGCTGTCGCCTTGACTTCGAAAATACCATCTTCAATGGTCAACAAGGACACATCAAAAGTACCACCGCCCAAGTCAAAGATCAACACGTTGGTCTCGCCCTTAGAGCCTTTGTCTAAACCGTACGCAATGGCGGCGGCAGTAGGTTCGTTGATGATACGGAGAACATTCAAACCAGCAATAGCACCGGCATCCTTGGTCGCTTGACGTTGCGAATCGTTGAAATAAGCAGGAACTGTAATGACGGCTGAATCCACCGTACCACCCAAGTAAGCTTCAGACGTTTCCTTCATCTTGGCGAGCACCATGGATGAGATTTCTTCCGGTGTGAAAATCTTGGTTTCACCCTTGTATTCGACTTGAATTTGAGGCTTGTCGTCCTTATTGATCACCTTGAAAGACCAATGCTTCATATCAGCTTGGATTTCAGCATCGTTGAAACGACGACCGATCATACGTTTGGCGTCAAACACAGTGTTATGAGGATTCATCTACAGATGGATGAGGAAAAAAAAAAAATATCTTTTTTTAGTACCCCACCTTCATCTTTTTGTGACGACTCTACTACTCCAGTTGTTAACAGAAGAGATGACTTACAGCTACTTGATTCTTAGCGGCATCACCAATAAGACGTTCGCTATCTGTGAAGGCGACATAGGAAGGAGTTGTACGGTTACCTTGGTCGTTGGCAATAATTTCGACACGGTCGTTTTGCCAAACACCAACACAAGAGTAGGTAGTACCCAAATCAATACCAACTGCGTTCTTGGACATTTCAAATAATGATGATTGATAGCTTTTAAGACGGAAAATACAACAATCAAAATTGAATACAAGAAAAAAAAATAAAAATAAAAAGGGAAACACGAATCTTTTATTTTTGTAATCTTTTTAAATACTCTTTCTTTTTTTTAAAAAAGTAATTGCGCTTTTTTTGGTTTTTTGTGTGATGAACTTTGCATGAAATTTCTAGAGGCTTCCCCGTCATTAGACTGGACAGATTCGATATCCGCTAAAAGATATTGTTTAAAATGGAAAGCATTTTGACCTCCGATCATCAGCTAAACGTCATTTCTTTCAACAAAAAAAAACAAACCACAGAAACTCCGATGAACGGGTAAGGGTCATTTTAGCCAAATACAGTATTTTTTCGAAATTGCACCCTCGAGTGTTTCCTAAAAAAAAAATTCCGTGCAGAAAGTTCGTGCATTCTATTTAATCTATAACCTCTCTTTAAAATATGAGTTCTTTCATTCACAATGATGGTTACGGAAACATGACTAATGAGAACGGAGATGAGGTTGTTGTCTACCAAATGAAGGGTTGATGACTATATTCTATTTCGCTTTTACACTCATCCAATTTTCGCAGTAATTAAAGTTCGCTTCAGGATGCAGTCTGTCTAGAAAGATATACTACCAAGATAATGACTATCTCGTCATCTACCTCGTCGTCTACCTTGTACCTGAACAAGCAATATGTATATTATTTTGCGAGGAATACAACGAGGATAATGTCAAAAAATTAACTAAAAAAGTTGATGATTTTGCCAATGGTGAAATCTGTTATATAAAAGATCCAACAAATCCAATTATATGCTCCCTCAAAACCTTGAAAGCTAACTCAAAGTATCATCAGTACCCTACAACACTAACTAAAAAAAGTTGGACTAAAAGCAGTACACAGAGTTCTTAAACGAAGAATTGAACATGTTTCTTTTTGATTTAAATTAGACTCATCATTTCCTTGTTATCAGGGGAACTCACTTAAACGATATCTTTACTTTGGAATAGAAGAGTAATTATGTAATTCTGAGTATGAGACTATGATCATGGATACTCAATGATTAAAAAAAAAAAGTCTGCTTCGATCTTTGCCCAAAGCCAGTTCTGCATTGGAGTTGTTGTATCTTCTGTGGGATCATTCAGTAGCTCGTTCCTATCAAATGGAGCTATTTTATTATTATGTGGAAGGTTGTCTACAACAATCTTCTCTATAGTTGCATTGTTGCTATTAAGTTTCTTTAGTTGATTATTTTCATTGAATTATATTTTTCAAGTTTACCTCAAGAAGGTTACAAGATCTTTTATATTTGTCGTAAGGCCAGCAAAAGTAAGTAATTTATGTGCCTTACCTATATACTTCTCCTTTAGTACATAGAATGGGCGGACGGATGTGATTACTCCTTCGATAGCCTTTCTTCTTTTGGTTGTAACTTGCATTAAATCAAATGTCTTTTGTTGAACACCATTTTCCAAAGCCAATAGGAGTTTTTGTCTGGAAGTAAATATGAATATTTCCAAACATAAGTCAGAACATCATTCATAGAACAGACAAGGTTTTCATACACCTCATCATTGTGTGGATGAACAGGAGCAAAAACAGTATTGATAAATTGTACAAGTCCTGCATGGTTATCTAAGAAAAAATCGACGTTTACTAAAATATCTTATTTGTACAAATAGTTTATTACTTACTGTCACGTTTTGACCTCTAGTTCATATAACAATCTGAGAAACAATCCAGATTTACTGCCTTTACCAGTTATAGTGTACTGGAACACATGAGATTCCAGGCACGACAAATAAGACTTCAACAGGCATATTTCAACCTGATTGGTAATCTAGACAACTCGCAGTGGTATTGTACAATTCATTATTAACAGGAGCAATACTACTCGATTGTCAATACTACTTTCTTGATTCCACTATAAGCTCAGTTCTACTTTGCATTCATATAAAAGATTATATAAATACTGAACCAAAATAACATTATCCAAGAACTATTGTTCGGTCTCCCTGACTCACTCAGTCTTTATCTTAAAAACTTTTCAAGTAATAACTCTGATATCTAAGCATATTACACTTACTGATAAGTTGCTGTTCTTCTTTTTCAGGTATATTGATGTTAGATACCTCTTTCTCGGATTGATACTTATGGTATTTATATGGATTTTGGTTGATGGTTCTTTTACTTGGGATAATTGGATTTGCTGGATCTTCTATATAACAGATTTCACCATTGGCAAAATCATCAACTTCTTTAGTCAATTTTTGACATTATCCTCGTTGTATTCCTCGCAAAAAAACATACATATTGCTTGTTCTCTCGTAATGACGTTCATGCTTAAAAAAATAGCGCTTAAGGTAAATCGAAAGAGAAGAAAACAGTAACCAAGGTACAAGGTAGACGACGAGGTAGACTGTGATATTTGCGGTTGTTTTACGCTTAGTGAACGCGACTTATAATTTGATATAAACTGTAAGGTGAAATGAGTCTCCTTGAGTCCTTTTATTATACATTGAAAATCAGAGAGTGGAGCGTTCCAGCAAACTGAATGTTTGTATTAAAAAAAAAAAGTCCTCGTTCCTTAATTTCTCAACCAGTAATAATGCAGCATTATATATGCGCATCTTTAGAAATACAAGATGACATGTACAAGTGTTATTATGACTCTATCATAATAACGAGTCAAATGCTTGAAGAGGTGTCTAATTCGTCTTTATATACTATGGGAGGTATGGAAATACCACATAGACGACGAGGTAGACGACGAGGGTAGATTGAGTTCACGTCATATAACGCGGAGTTTGGGGCTGGACCTGATTTCGCAGTCATCTGAAAAGCGTCAAGTCAATATTTTCACTAATTGTAGGGTCTGCTGCTGCTGTTGCTGTTGCTGTTGCTGTTGCTGTTGAGATATTAGTAGGGATAGAGGAGGGTCCGAGATTCATATCAGCGTATTTCCTTTTCATTGCGCGGTTTTGTGATTGTAAATTCTTGATGGCTTTGGCAACTGTTTCGGATGATGAATTTTGGTCAATAAGTTCCAATATTTTGCTATGTTCGTGATCTTGGGTATCCAGTACTTGTGCCAAAATATCGGTAATATGCTGATCTCCAAGACGATTTTGATGAAAATGTGACACCAAAGTGTACAAATATTGCATAGTTGGATCATCTTGGTAAAGTGAACAATTTTTTGAAGTTCCCAGCTGGTCAGAAATAAAGTAAGAGCAATGAATGGATTCAAAGGCATGGTATCAGTACATAAATTGGAACCTATTGTTCTAATCATATGTACTGATACCTTATCTGATTCTGTTGCCAAAGAAGTAAAGACCAGCGATATCCCTGCTTGCTATGACTTCCCTTCTACCGGTTGGGCTTGTAATTGCCTGATTGTATGTAAAAGACGCGTCCTAGAGTATGTCTATTAAAAGCTTCAAGACTGTAATTTATGACTCTCTTCATAAACAAACTGTTAACCGTATGTTGAATTTCTATGATTATTGGGGGAAGGTTCAATACTGATGACTTTGCTTCTAGGACAACATCTGAGCGAGTGCCATTATTCCACTCAGGATTCCCTACTAGGTAATCGTTTTGTGTATTTGACAGAGTAGTTGTAATAATGTTGATGATTTTAGGATCGTGGATGATGGCTTTCGACATTAAATCTGTTTACGGCGATACTTTCTTCTTCTTCGCTGGCTTGAAAACGTCGGGTCTTCCCGCTCCATACCAAACTGCTGGAGATATGGCCATCCTGTTGATAGCGGCGTTAATGTCTCTCTGCCATAGCTTCAGACATTGCTTGCAATGAAGAACGCCGGTACCCTTAAATCCAGGAGTATCAACAATTTACATATCATCATAGAAACAGAGGCTGCATGTTTTTGAGGTTTTGAATTCATCGATTGTGACAACAATCAATTGACCTTCAGCCTCACGTTTCTTCAGAGTTGTAAAAAGTTTACCGACAACACCACATCTTTGCCAAACATACCAGCACCAAACACAATCAGTGGCACCCTTCTAGGGAATTCCAAGTATTTATCAGCCTTCCACTTCTTGGCACTTCAAAAAATTATCAATCAGCGGATAAGCTAAACGATGAACATGTAATTCATTGAAACTCACTTTGTTGGCTGCTGTTGGTTGACATTCTTTCCTTTCTTTTTCTTCTTCCGCTGGTTCTTTCTCTTCTTTGTCTTGCTTCTCTTCTTGCGATTGTATTTAGATGTCCCATGCGTCAACATGTTGGCCATAGTTTCCGGTGTTGCCTTCCTTGGTACAACGTAATCCGTGTGATATTTGTGGTTGTTTTATGCTTAGTGAACGCGACTTATAATTTGATATAAACTGTAAGGTGAAATGAGTCTCCTTGAGTTCTTTTATTATACACTAAAAATCAGAGAGGGAAGCGTTCATAGCGAATTGGATGTTTGTATTGACAACAAAAGAAAGAAGGAAAGGAAAGAGATACAAAAAAAAGGAGCTAAATACTCGTTGTTAACCAGTAGAAATGCAGCATTATGTATGCGTATGTCTTTAGAGTACAAGATGACGTGTACAACTGTTATTATGATTCTATGATCATAATAACGAGTCAAATGCTTGAAAGAGTGTCTAATTCGTCTTTATATATTATAGGAGGTATGGAAATACCACAATATTGTGTGCTTTACTAGAGACGGATGGGGGATGAAAAGGAATACAATGGAGTATTATTCAAAAGAATGACGTCCAGATAGCCCAATGGATACTGAAGCAGACGGTGAAAAATTGAGCTTGTTCAGACGAAGGTAGTGATGGTGGCGGGTGTAATCTTAGGGCGGCAGAGATGCTTTAGGATCAAAGCAGAAGGACGGGAAATATACCGCGAGGCCTTCTTGCCATATCTGCCAGCGTAGAGGGCAACTGGTTATGAAATGATCAGACGTGTCGGTATCATGATTACAAAGTCTGCAGGTAGCCGATGAAACTACCCCCCTCACGGCTTGTAAAACTGATAAGCATGGTAATTTTTTCAAAATAGTGCGACAGCCTAGGCCACGAGCCGGAAGAAGCAAAGGAGGGGACCAGAACAGAATGAACAATGCAAAAAGAAATCGGTTTGAGATAGCTTTTTGTAAACAGTATGAATTTTCCTAATAAAAAGTCCAAAGAGTCTGAATCTGAAGCGAAAGTACATTAAACTAAGAGCTGTGTTTAAATTTTCTGCGCCAAAAAAAATAAAATAGGTCTTTTCAATCTTAAGGTTGTGGCAGGTTGAAATAGTTCCCTATCACCGAGAATATCCTATCAGATAGGTCGATGCTTGGTCAGCCCTTCCCTTTTGTAGCTTGACATAATGAACAAGACGATAGACAGCATCTCTTTTCTTATGCTTCATGACTGTATAAAAGCCTTTAATTTTTGCCTCGTAGAGAAAAGCCTTAAACTTGTTACTGCATTTGTTTGTTGCCCGCCACCCAATTGACTTTTTTTTTAATGCAAGAGAAAACACTTTACTGAACAAAGAAAAAAAACTTGGTTGCTATTTTCAATTTTTTTTTTTTTTTTTTTTTTTTTTTTCAAAAAATTTAGTATTTTTCAATTAATGGATACCAGTGTAGAAGAAGATAATTTCTATGGTAAATAAGAAAGAAAATCTTTATAAAGAAAGCCCTTTCAAAATGGTGCTTGGATGAAACTCTTTGCTGAAGCATTAATGATCATGCCTGTTTTTGTTGTATTATTTGGTCCTTTTTTAATTTTCCTTTTTGGTCTCTATTTTATTGAACGGTAAAAGACTCAAACCAAGACGATGATTCACAATCGTCCAGTGGAAGTTCATTACAGACATGGATCAGTTGGTTTTGCTCCTTATCAGGGCACGAATATTACGTCGAGGTTCCTGAAGATTACATAGATGATGAATTCAACTTACAGGGCTTATCGACTATTGTACCTTATTATACACAAGCCCTAGAGACCATATTAGACTTAGAATGTGATGAATTATTTGGCGAGAATGAGGAAGAAGACGAAGCAGACGTTGAAGGAGAGAGAGAAGAAGAAAGGCAACAATCACACAATCACAATAATCAACCTATCAGTACCACCGCCATTGCTACTACAAGCAATAAACACCATCAAGAAGAGGACGATTTTTGGAAGGAAGAGGACAAAACACCCAAAAGACTGAAATCAAAAGACCCACGAGTGATAGAACCGTACGCCTTCATGCTGTATGGTTTGATCCATCAACGATATTTACTGAGTAGAGAAGGGCTACGAGTGATGGCTGAAAGATATTCCAATTGTCAATTTGGCACATGTCCGCGATATCTATGCTATGATTCACCTGTGTTACCCGTCGGCAGATATGATGAAACCGGACGTGAAAGTGTTTATTTGTATTGTCCAAGATGTTTAGACATTTATAACCCACCAAGCTCAATCTATCGCTGTGTTGACGGTAATTTTTTTTTTTTTTTTTTTTTTTTTTTTGTTTTTGGCATTAGAAAGGCAGAAAGTCATATCTGACAGGAACAAAACTTTTTCGTTCCAATACTTGCTTTCTGATATACAAAACTAACAGGTGCACATTTCGGATCAACTTATTGCCATTTACTATTCCTAACATACCCTGAGCTGGTGCCAGATCCAAATCCAGTAATATACGAACCGCGTATTTTTGGCTTTAGAGTTAGCCCCAAGTCATTGACAGGCCCACGTAATCAATGGTTGAGGTTACGGTTAATAAAATTTGAGGGAAACAACCCTGACGAAACAGATGATGTAGAACAAGACGAAAAAGTAGACGCAAACGAACTTGACGAGGAAGTGCTTGCTCTTTGGAATGAGGTGAGTCAATAAAAAAAAAAGGGATCTTTTTCAAATACATTACAGTTAAATAATATATGCTAACATGGCCCGACGCAAATTGATCATTTCATTAGGAACAACACTCGATCGCTCACAATAACATATTGCCAGAGTTGGTACAGCAAACAGAAAATTTGCGCATCAGTTAATCTGCTTGGTGTTATTTATTCAGTGCGTTGAACAATCGTTTCTACATTTTCCGCTAAACTAATATAATAATGATAATAGTAATAGTAATAGTAGTAAAAAGCAATTTATTTTCGGTCACTTTAAATGATGTGCTGTCCTGTTCCCTTTAATGTTTGGCAATAACTCAAATCTCTATACTTTGTGTTTGTGGCCCTTTTTGGTTTTCAAGATATCATGCATCATTTGTTGTGAAGTTCATAATATTATTATCAAAGTAATAAATCAACTAGCGAAATAAATTAGAACCAGTCTCTGACAGCCATATGTCTAAATGAAGATTGCAAAGAAGCGTTTATGAATCACTATCTCTGCTGATGTTGAGAATGATGATAACTTGGTTGTTGATAGTAATAGCTGGCTGACGGACAGCATCAACGGTTTTGTAGCTTCCGATTCCAGGCTATTAAAGCTTGACAAAATTCTTTTGGTCCATATACTATGAGTTCATTATAGGACGGCAACAGCGACAATTATGTAAAATGGGCCACGACTGAGGTACTGTAAAAAGTTTTATTATGGGAGTTATACGTCTCCGATAAAAAGATCTTATTCATCGATAAGAAGGTAGAGGGGTGTAATACATCGTTTTACTCCTGGATCTGTCTACACATGGGTATTTCGTATATCATTAGCTCTTACTATTTGAGCATTTGCCTTTGCTCCACACCTCGATGAGAGACAGATCTCCTTGCATTTCTTTCATTAGAAAATTTGTTTGGTATGAAGCATTACAAGTTTTTGCTCGCTCTCTCTCTCTTTGTAAATAGTTTCCCAACCTCTGTGGTGTTGGACTTGGACGATCTTTCTCATTTGAGAAGACTAGGTGCACCCGTTGAGTTCCACCTAGACATTCGAGTTACCGGGTGTTGTTACTCTATGCCGTCTACTCTACCGTCGTCACTCAAAGGATAACTTTTCACTCTACAGCTGTTTCGTATACTTATCTCAAAGTTACCTCCTTCTATTTATTCCAAGTATGATTCTAAAGTTAAATAAATCCTCATCCATCTAGACTCGATAAACAGTCCTCTTCATCATCATTACATTGATGACATATAAATTTCTACTGTCTTTTCAAATAAAATAAAAAGAAACTTCAATTTTGAATGAGTTATATTCGCTCTTCGCTTTTTTTTTTGGGAGGTGGGGGAGGGGGAGGTTCGTCTTTTCCTACAACTTTTTAAGCTTTCAATACACGAATAGATAGTTTACTTTATTTGGATGACCAAAGACGGCCTATAAGGTTGCGCATCCAGGAGCATAAAGTAAAAAGTATTACAATTGTTCAGTAGAAATCAACGCATCATGCCCGTCTTTTCAAGCTGTTAGTCGAAACTCTATATTATATATGTCTAACAGAAACAATGTCCACCGGCCGCTACTTATTTCTATTCCCCCCATTTATGTCAAACAATAAGCCAACTACCAAGTCCCAGTAAATTCTAAATAACCCCCATTATGATCCACATTGCCAACACGCAACCATTTACAAAAAAACTGTGAATAGATGTAGTCAATGCAAGAGTTTCTGCTATACAAGTATGCTTCCTCGATTTATTTCCAATCGCTTTTCTTTGATGTGCACGTCCACATTAAATAAATACATACATAAACTATATCAAAGTCAAGCTAGGGTGAATTGAGTGAATGCATTGCTGGGAAGGGGAGGTGAATGAATTTATTCTTCGTCATCTTCAGCGGCTTCGTCATCACCACCAGCAGAAGCAGCTCTCTTTCTCTTGACACGACCAGCACGACCACCACCATAGGGAGAGGTCAAGGCGAAATCGATGTGCTTTTGAGAGTCCAAACGAACAATGAAAGAGGGGACGTTGACGATTTGCTTACCAACACGAATGTGACGTTGACGGATCAAAACACGAGCGTGGTGGATAGACTTGGCAAGACCCAACTTGAAGACTTGGGTTTGAAGACGACGTTCCAAGAAATCTTCAATCTTGAGAGCCAAAACGTAATCGAGCTTCATGCGAGATTCATCAAGGACACCAATACGGACAAGACGACGAATCAAGGCATTACCTTCAAAGAGACGACGGGGATCCTTTTCATCCAACTTGAGCAATTCACGAGCAGCACGACGGATCTTGGAAAGAGTCAAACCGACTCTCCAGATTTCCTTCTTGTTCTTGAGACCGAATTCACCAATGAGCTTGAGTTCTTGGTCAAGACGAGCAGATTCGAAGGGACGTCTAGGGACAGTAGATGTCTTGCTGTAGTTTCTTTGGGTACCAGCCATTGTGACAATGAAAGAGAAGGAAAGAAAAAAAAAAAAAAAATTTAACTTTGGGCTAGGCACCACATTTCATCGCGCTTTGAGGCTTTCCCTTTGGGCTTTGCCCAATGAGGGCAAACAAATCGGATGGCTTATCGTGACTTGGGAATTTCCGAGAAACAAAATTTTTTCTCCCAACCCGCTCCATGAAGATTTTCCGAGCGCCACGATAGGTTCAGAGAAGGAAAAGTGCGGCGATGTGCAAGGTGTCTCTATAGTGCGAGAGAGCGGCAAGAAAGGGGCGAAGGGGAGAGGGAAAAGGGCCAGAAGCGGTGGAAACGCAAAAAAAAAAGTTTTTCCCCCTTTGAATTTGCAAGTCTTCTTCCTCTTTCTTATTGTACACAGTTTGACAGGTAAACTATGAGATTTCAATAAGCAATTTGTTTTACTCGTATAATAGTGGAAAAAAAGAGCAAAAACCATGACCGTCGAAAAGCAAAGAAAAACAATTCGAAAATAGTCGATGATGCGTAGAACGAGAGCGAGAAAAATTTTTTTCCTACAAGCCCACAAGTACTAATCCACCATCTCTATTTTCTTCTTTTGTTATCATCGTTTCACTTTACGGCTATCAATCAATTTTAATAACAGAATGCCTCACTCCTTTGGTCGTAAGTATTGTTTTTCTGTTGTCGTTGGGACATGTGGCAATTGACCGTTGGGTTGTTCCGTTGACTAAAAAAAACCCGTTTGTGTTCTTCCTTTAATCTACAGTCCGTGCTCGTACTCGTCACATGTTCTCTCGTAACTTCAGAGAACATGGTGTCATTGCCCTCTCTACTTACTTGAAGACCTACAAGGTCGGTGATATCGTTGATATCAAGGCTAACGCTGCTGTTCAAAAGGGTATGCCTCACAAGTTCTACCACGGGTAAGTCATTTTGTTCTTTTGGACCCTATCAAATCATTGGAGAGACGAGTGGAGCTTTTTGTTTTGCGGCCATGATTCATGAGTCAATTTATTTACATTGGCCCTTCTTCATTCTCTTAATAACAGTCGTACTGGTGTCATTTTCAATGTCACCAAGAGCTCCGTTGGTGTCCTTGTCCATAAGAAGGTTGGTAACCGTTATATGGAAAAGCGTGTCAACGTCCGTATTGAACACGTCAAGCACTCCAAGTGTCGTCAAGAATTCTTGGACCGTGTCAAGGCCAACGCTCAAAAGAAGAAGGAAGCCAAGGAAGCCGGTGGTAAGTCAAAAGAAAAGAGGAGGAGGAGGTCCCTCAGTATGTTTTAGAGTCGATTCTGATGTTGTCTTTTATTATGTATATCTCTATTTTTAGTTTCCTTCAACTTGAAGAGAATTCCTGCTCAACCTCGTGACGCTCGTCATGTCTCCACCAAGAACAATGTTCCTCAAACCATTGCTCCTGTCGCTTATGAAACTCTTTTGTAAAGCAAATGGAAGAAGAAGAGTTCTTTTTTTGTTTTATGTAAATTATAGTCTTCGCTTTTCCTTTTGAACTATTATTAAAATGATATTATGGTGATGAGAAAGTCTCTCTGCATTTCCACATCCTTGTTTTTGTGTACTTACTCTATTACGGACAGCAGCTTATTAGTCGTGGGGTTGAAGCTCAATTTGGGGTGGGCAATGGCTCAATGATCGCAATGTTCAGTTTTAAACCCCTCCCCTGAAGTAAATGTGCCTGACATTAGCATTGCTTTAAATCTTTATCTTCGTTGGGTAACTTACCCCCTTGTCTTTTTGGTTTTTTTTCTCTCTTGAATCGCCATGTCTCTGTGTCATCGTCTTGTTAAACAGCACTCCACCTTTTCGTCTCCAACACGGAAAGGTATTTCCTTATGCAATATCAGAACTTCAGCTATCCATCCGGCTCCGTTCCCAAGCTTCAGCACAGCAACAGTTAATAAGTGTTTGCAACGTCCAAGTAGGATCCTGTTTCGACAGCGTTATTCGCCTACAGCCCCCGAACTTCCCCTACAAAGGCTTGCTGTTCGAAACTTCTCTTACAGTGTGATGCGATATACTGCTCAACATACGAAACAGACTGCAACTGTTTCTGCGGAGCAAGGCAACGAACCTGTCGTCCATAAGACGGGCGGTCGGATCAGCCAATTTATTCAGCATTCTAAAGAGCTCGTTCGTTTTTATAAAGATGGATTGAAGCAAATATGGTCAAATTATCAATTAACAAAAGAAATTCGAGGAAAGCTTGAGAAGGACGGTATGGATAGTTTGACGCGACAGGAGTTTCAGTTGTTAAGACGTTCGCAGAAAGACATGATCAAGTTGATCCCCTTTGGATTCATCTTTATGATATTACCAGAATCAGTAATGTGTTCATTCTTTTGTTTTCTTATAACAGTCTATCCTCTAAGTGTTTTGGATGGGGTTTTTTTTTCTTTTTTTTGTTGATCCCCAATCCCTTTTCATTTTTTGAAACGGTTTAGATTCCTCTGTTTGTCATTTTTGTCCCAGGAATGATTCCCAGTACTTGTTTAAAAGAGAATCAAATTGTAAGTGGCTGTATGAACACATAGTACAGCAAGGAAACAAAGATAAACCCATCCTTATTTTTTATTTTATTTTTTGCGCAGAGAAAGCAACGTGAAAAACTGGACGAAAAACGACAGCAAATTACCAAGTATACCTTGATGTCTTCAAAAAAAATTGAAGCAGTAAGTGATTGTTCTATTGAACATGGAGAAGAATTGAGTTGCTTTCCAACACTCTCCTACTGTTCCTAACTTTATCTATGTGTATCGTTTTATCAGATTAAGCCTGAAGACTTTTTATCCAAGGATAAATTTCGAAAACTTGCCATTCATTATGGACACGAATTCGATCTACAATATATTATGAGGAAGAATCTCTCAGCGTATTGCAGGTAAGGGAGACTCGACGGCACAGTCATTTTTTATCATATGAATTGGTTTTCATCATGACTCTATACAATGCACCAGGTTCATGGGGCTCTCAGATTTCGGCCCAGCTCCCATGTTGAGAAAAAGGCTTGCCAAACACATGAATTATTTAGACCAAGACGATAGATTCCTCATCAAAGAAAATAGTGTAGACACCTTAAGTCCAAAAGAACTTTGTCAGGCAGTAGAAGAACGTGGTATGAGGTCCATAGACGACGACGAAGAAAACATGAGACGTGGTCTAAAGTATTGGTTGAGCCTCTCACAGCCAACAAACCCTAAGCAAACCAAGATACCACCAGGATTACTTGTTTTTAGCAGAGTATTTCTGCTGAATGCAACATATAAATAACTCAGTCGCATAACACCACCCCCATATGGTTAGAATGTATGCTGTGCTAAACTTGGTCTCGAAATGTGTTGGAACAAATTCCTGTGGGCATTCGTGTAAATAATAGAATAGAACAAATAGACCTTTTTTTTTTTTTTCTCCTCGTAAATAGCGCGTACCTGGCTTTTTTTTCTTTTTTTTTTGCTTATTTTCTTTTTTAATTTATTTTCGAGATTGTTGGCTGTGCAAGTCTCAGAATGAGCGATGTCAAAGATGAAATAGAGAAAAAGATGAATGAGGTATGATAGTAAGGTATACACTTTAGCTCAACGGTTTTACTTATAAGGTCTTTATGTGGTTGAACAGGGAAGAATTGTCCAACAATTATTAGATGAGGCAGAAACCACACTCGAAAGATTACCATTCGAAAGTCCAAGTCGATTATTTAGAATATTAGCCAAAGGTAAGCCAATGTAGTTTTGTTGACGCACGGTTCAAGTCATTCATTCACATGGATATACTTTGCTTTTAGCTCCCCTACCGCCTTCACAATTTGAACGAGACTGGAAGGAACAGAAACGAAAACGGAAAGAGCAAGAACGAGAGGGACTTCAGCCCGTCCATGATATACCCACAGCATTAGTGTCAAGCACAAACGTCAACGCTGAGACGAGTACCTCTTATACCCATGTACACAAAACATCCACCATGACGAATTCTGTCGTCGAACCCAAATCAAAACGGCCACGATTCACTAACGAGCAGATGGAACGAGCACTAGCGAGAGAACCCATTAGGGTCAATTTCTTTCCTCGATATGAACGTAAAAGCAAATATGATCTAGACGATACCCTGTCACAAATTAGTTACCATTCGACGAAAAGTTATCGTCGATTTGATGATGATTTTTACAGTACATCAAGTGCCTCCCTTCCTTCAATAAAAAGTCGAAAAAGCAACCTCCATGCACAGCAGAAAGAAAAGCAAGAGCCAGTACAGCAAAAGAAAGAAAAAGAACCTCCGCGTGAGGTTGCAGTTGAAAAAAAAGTGGAGAATTTGGATGATGATGATGCTCTATCCTTGAATACCCAACAGATGCTTTTAGAAGAGGATCTACACAGCCCTCTTATTGAGCGTCCAATAGATGAACCGTTGATACAGCAACAGCCAACAGTAGTAGTGGAAGAAGAAGAAGAAGAAGAAGACAAGGCAGCCAAGATGAAAGTGCAAGAAGAGCAAGGGAAAGATGAGACGGAAGAACCCTCGATGGATGCTTCCAATGACAATGATTACTTTGATGGAGGAGCCGATTTCGATTTGTTGTCGCCGCCCAGTTCAGCCTTACGTTCACCACTACCGAATCAACCGTCCTTAACAGCCTCTGATTCAACACAGCAGCAACAACAACAACAACAGGAACAAGAAGAGTTGCAAGAAGGAATACAAAAATTGAGGACAGGACCTAGAGTGATACCAGGAGATACAATAGTAAGAAGGTTGATGAGAGAACGTGCTTCTGAGAGTAAAGATTTGATCCCCATTGCCAAAACCAAAAAACTTTTTGAAAGTTATATCGGCATGGACAAGCATGTGGGAGGGCCAGCGGCTCATTATAGTAGAATGTAAGTCAGAATGAGCTCACTTTTTGAACTTGTCGGTTTTTGCGATGTTTATGCTGTCTCTTTCATTTTACCTATAGTACGAGTCTTTACTTTGATACCATCTGCCATACTTTGAAACGATACAAAGAGAACCAGGACGAAGATCAAGATACTGTTACAGAAAAAGACGTCATTTTCCTCATGCAACAGCAAGGTCTCATCAATGAAAAAACGTCCTTTGAATCCTTGATACACAAATTACCAAGAGAATATTCAGAACTCGTATCTCAGTCAGCATTAGCCTACAATGAATTATACCCTCCATCTTTAGTATCTGATTATGGATCTGTTACGAGTGAAGGTGCCAGCAGTAGTAGCAGCAGTAATCGTCGTGGCGCTAGAAGTAGGAATAGTGACAGTGGCTATATTGACGATAGTGATTCAAACTATATATCAGAGAATGGGGTAGATGAGGATGATTAAATAAAATGATATATTGATGTTTATTGAATGATTATAGTCTAATCTATGTACAAAATGAGGGGTGATGAGGGTGGGGATGGGGGGGGGAAGTGGGGGATCCTAAGTAGTGGTAAAGTGTTGGTAAAAAGGGACGTATCTATATATATATATAATATATATAGATTTACATAAGTTAGAGATAGATCATGATAATGACAGCAAATTTTTTAGCTTTTTGAATGAAGATGACATTTTGCCAAACTTTCGGTTTCTTCTGCTTTTATCATTGCTACTGCTATTACTGCTACTATAAAATGAAGAAAACGATGTCGTTGACGGTACTGATGAGGATGAGAAAAAATGATTACTGTTATTGGGATCAGAGGATGACGTATAGAGTAAAGTGGTATCATGAGACATATTATTACTGTGGTGAAGATGATGATGATTCTGCATAGAAGAAAATGTATCTCTAAATTTTTGTTTAAAGCTGAAATGATGCTCATTATTATTATTATTACAAGATATTATATTGTCATCACATAATTCAATAGCAAATGGTGACTCATCCCATCGTTTGTGTTTTACAGTATGGGTAGTAGCTCCATTCATTGCAGTGGTGGTGGAGTTGGTAGTAGTACAAGTAGGTGTAGACGTGGTAGGTGTAGTAGGCGCACTCGGTGTGAAGCAATTGTTGTTGGCTATGATGTTTAGGCTGGATACCGAAGATGAACATAAAGAAGGTATAAACGAGTCATTACTATGTCTGTTCTTAGTATCAGCAAGCATATTATAATTAATTAAGGGGACTAGTTAGAAAAGAAAGAAAAGAGAGAAAAGCTTATTTTTGACAGATTTTTAATATGTATTTTTTTCTGCAAAAAAAAAAAAAAAAAAAAAAAAAAAAAAAAAAAGTTACACTACGCACAAAAGGGGAAAAGGAACTTAAAAGGAGCTTTTTGTTGGTGCGTTTGTGGAGAGTTTTTTTTTTTTTTTTTCGTGAGTGAGTAAGTGGGTTAAGCGGAGTAACTGCTTTTTTTTTTTCTGCTTGTTGAACCTTTTCATCAGCCAAAAAAAAAAAAAAAAGGCACTGGAAAACGGAAATTAGAAAGGCAAAAAGTTAGTGTAGATACTAATACCAAGTGGCAACTGACCCTTACTGCTTTTCACGGCTTTTTTTTTAAATAGAAATACTTGTGCATTTCAGTCGTCTTATCTAAGCAAGAAAAAAGGGTTTTTGGCCTTTGTGGTACTTTTCTTTTCCAAATAGAAAGAACCTTGTCTTTTATTTGTTATAAAAAATTTGTTTGTTTCAAAGTAATTTTATTCTGCATTGTTGGCAAAAAATACTACGCACATAGAAAAGAGGTGCGTCAATGACGAATACATTGTAACACAAACAAGCTAAAAAAATTGAAAGGTATCACGGTCGCTGTCAAACGGAAAGGTATTCCAGGGAACTCATACCCTTTTATACATAATTCGCAGGTCGAAATGCCAAGAAAAACCATTATCATTATTTGTCGGTTACCTCCTTTGGATGAACACAAGCTTTGATCTCATTTACGTGTCATCATCTTACATCTTAAGCTTTACCCGTCCATTTGACCGCGCTTTTCAGTATCGTAAAAGCCCAAAAACTTCTTTTTTTATCAAGGTTTTCGTATATTTAAAGCAAAAAAACTGTAACTCAGCTTGTTTGCTTTTTTGCTTTTTGCCCAAAATCGTTTAGAAGTGGGAAAAGAAGAATCTATAATTTCCAAACCGATATATTTTCATTCATACACTTTTTTTTTTTTTTAATTCGCCACTTGAATTGAACAGCAAAAACAACAACAACTACTGCATCTGAGAGATATTATAAGAGGTATAAAGAAACGGACTTTTACTTCTAAAGTGCAATGAAATTAAAAACCCAACTTTACCATGTTGAGCTATTATGTCCCCCACACATAAATCTGTTAGCAGTCAAATTTATCGACAAAGATTATCTTTTCCGTTCAAAAAAGATATACGTCATTTGTGAATGGAGCATGCTAGAGATAGGTTTGAAAAGGGGAATGGCCTGATAATTTTTTTGCTTGCTTACATTTCTTCGCTTAATTGGTCCGGAAATTCAGCAAATGGATGTGTTTGTTTTTACCATAGTTGGATTATTTGAGTGGTATCGTAGTATTGCTAAGAGCTTATGAAAGCTATAATTAATTTTTTTTTTTTTTTCCTCGGGAAAAATAATAAAAGAGGTGATTCGGAACGTAAGGTACATGTGCAGTTGTTTCATGATAAGATGGATATTGCGGTTCGGAAAGAACGTGAAGGTATCCGTTCTCAAGAAATCAACTTGTTACGGTTCTGATGGCGACGATGATAATCCATAATAGCGATACCAGAAGCGCCAAGGAAGGCTGTTCAGAATCCAAATAGAAATAATGCAGGTTTTTTTAGGCGCTCTCTTACGGACATGTTGACTCCCGGACTGAAAAAATCATCGTACCCTTCAACACCCTTTCGAAACCGCAACTGATACATTTCAAAACTATGTTAATGGAAGAACACTATGTTGTACATTTCTGTCGAAAGACGTAAACATAATAAATTGTCGTAATATACTCCTTTCATCCACGGAGTATACAGATAAAGTTGGCGTATGCAATTCTAGTAATATATATTTTTTGTCTGTTTAAGCTGAAATACTACACCCAACTCAATCTCTTGCCGTTAGCTTGAATGGTGTGTATATGCGCCTATTGTTACTCATGGAATAACTGCTGATCTCACAGAAATTTTGGTCGATGTGTTCTCTAAGAAAGTGCTATATGGAAATACCCACCGTTGGTTGACAGCTTAAGGGTTCTTGTAAATTGGATACGCTTGCCTTTGTGCTCATGTTGTTTTGCTAGTCATCTGTGCATTCAATTGCAGCTATGCTTCAGGTTCGTGCTGGAATGATAGATGCTGTAAATTTATGAGTGAAAACAAAAGAAATGTTATAGTACTTGTCATAGGTCATCATGGATGCGACGGACAAATAGGACCATCATTTTACCGGCCTCTCCGTACCCGTATGATAACCATTGAATGAACCAACCGCTACTACACGCTTCTATAAAGATAGGAGGTTGAATGGTCTCCTTGTTTGTCCCTTTTCCCCCCCCCCCAGCCTATCTGAAGAAAACTGAATCCATCTCTATTCATAAGCGGACTTTTTAGTTAAATCATACACTTGTTGCTCGCGACATTGTACATAATCAAAACGAGCACAACTGCCTTGTTAGGAGAGAACTAAGAATACCAATGATAACAACTCGTTTCGAGTTTGATAAACATACTTTACTATTGTACAGAATATGAATTTATGATATCAAATGCTATTAACCACAGTAACTATTTTAAAAGTTAGGCAGCTATGAAATAGAGTCGAATCAACTGATACTAAACAATATATATCGATCTGAATATATTGTTCTTATAGAGCGAAAAATTGCTCACCATGCTTTTCACTCCTTTTGTTTCTGCTGAACCATATACGCGCATCATAGATCCAATCATTCCATTCTCTCCACAAGGAGCGTTTAGCAAACATGATGAATACGCAAATACCGATGGAGCTGACCAAAGCTTCAGCGACAATAATCAGCGCGAAAGGTGGTATATGCTGACTAAGGACTTCATGACATTTATTTTGTCCATTGCCTGGTATAAGCATGCATTCCAGCCAATCGAGCGTTAATGTAGGATTATGCTCTAATTCTGTCATACGGCTCATCTGAGTCATATAAAACAGCTAAAGAAGAAAGAATATAAATGCCCATGGTTGAAATAATTAGTTTTTAAAAGGCTTCCTTCGCCCCCACCCCCCCCCCTTCCGTAAATTTACTCTATCTCTTACCCAATAAAACAATACGGATGTGATAGACACAACAGCTAATAATAATGCTCTCCATTGAATTTTAACAGCCACAACGACATGTCTTCTGCCTACACCTGGCGTTTTTTCTGCTATTGCGCCTATAGCAGCATTCCTACTACTATGGTTCGATAAAGACTGGGTCATTTCAGTCTCTAACCCTTCTTTAACCGCCATGCGAGCAATGCAAAAGAAAGTAGCAATATGCACGATGAAGCTTGGACAGATTAGCGCTGCTAACGGATAAAAAAACAGTGGAAAGATATACTCCATGGAGACCAGACACAAGTTGGCAAATTCAAATTTGATCGCATGGAGACCGATGGCCGTAGCCATCATTACAGTAGGTACACCCCAGCAAATCATATAAAGTAGGTAATACCGATTGCTAAAGAAATTAGAGCCCCACACAGTATGCACGTGTAAGTTGACAATAAGAGCAGCACACCATAAAACGGATGCAAAAGATCCAAAAATCAGTAGAGCACCTTGAGCAGCGCATAATGAGTTGTTGCCTATTTCTCCCAGAGATATATTGTTGGCTGCACATTGGAGTCTTTTTGGATTACCGAGAGCGAAGAAGACAACAAAACTAAAGATAAAAACTGCAATAGAAAAGTTCAATATCAAGAGGGAAGGGTGTCTATAAGAAAGAGCATACATAGAGTGTGAGTTGTTTGGCAAAGCAAAATTGCTCTTCAATGGGATGAAGACGTATACCTTCTTTTATCAGGCAAGATTAAATAGCTAACAGTCAAGAACAGAGCCAATATGGCGGAAATAAACCGAATGATGTCTGTGACTAAGAAGCCATTCTGTGCCCAAAACTTTTTGTAAAACTATAAATCATATAGCCTCGTGAGTATAGAAAAAAAAAATACTATTGTACCTATCTCATATCAGGCTTACTAGGTTCTGTGCAGGACATGGAATACAGCAACCAAACCGACAATACTTTGCATCGAGTGTCTTATTCGTGCCTTTCGCCGCTAATGGATCAGCGATGAATGGGGAGGGGCATTCCGATATCACAAAACCTTCAGGTACAGCAGTAAGATTCAACAGGCCACTCATGCTCTGACCATCAGTCACTATAGAAGAATATCGAAAGGGTAAAATCAACATGACGTTGGTTTTTTCTTTTTTTTTTTTTTTTACATAAACAGATCAAATCAGTAATACATTGAAGGTGAGTGAGTTTTACGTTTGGATGGAATGAGGTTGCACATATCATCTGTTTGCAGACCAAGTCCTGTCATAACTGACACTTCAGTTGAGCAATCGGGTAAAAGACGAGAGTACCCGGTCATTTGGAAAAGACTCGCACATGCTTTTTGTACGGTTTGACAAGTAGACATACATGCTGTATAGATGTTGATAGCTAGTATATCATGAGAAGAAAAGGCGGGGTAAAAATCAGTAAAAGATACACTTGAATCTCCACATCAAAAAGACGAGAGATAGGTATTATCAAATCAAAAGGCTCTTTCATTACTTTTCGTAGAATTGTCGGTTGCACATTTGGGATACAGCTTGGAACATTGATATCTACTATAGGCATCAAAACAAACTGGGCTAACCGCTCCAAGTAAAGTCCCTAATTCTGTGAACGGTTGTAGCTGAGATTCTATGTTACCGATTGTAATATTGGTTGGTACAAAGGTGTCATAATTCACATAATTCTAAATGAAACAAAATAGGAAAGCAGGACAGTAATATAAGAAATAAAAGTGAGCAAACATAGTTAGATAGAACTGATGATAGGGTTTTTCTTGCGCTTCGATGCTGATATTTACAGAACATGCCAGGTTTCTCGGATAGGTAATGCATGTGCCTGAAACTGTCGCTATTAAAAGGATTTAAACGAAAAACAGCGATGAATAGGTAGGAAGAGCGTACGAGTCTCTTTTTCTGTGGGGATTTTGGAATGCTTATTACCCGCTTGATTGACTGGTATAGAAGATAATATGAATGTAGTTGTGATTGCTCTTATGATGATCAATATAATTCCCATTGACTGTAAGCGTTATTGTCGGCAGAATGGTTAATTTCTTATTTGAAAACCGGGTATTATCCTTTTTTTTAAAAAAACTTGGTTCGTAAATCGAGAAATGAATGAATGATGAAGTCTGCTTCAGTTTAAGGAGCGTGCGTCTTCGTTATTGTCTGATGGGTTTATAAAGATGACAAAAAGAAAAACGAAAAGCAGGAAGAAAAATAAAAAAAAAGACGAACAATTAGAGATATCTTGCTTTGAAAGAAAAGAAAGTAGAACAGAATGAGCATATGCTCTTCACATAAAAAGAGTTAGAAAGACAAATTCAATGGTGTATATAGCATAGAAGAGTTTAAATTTTACGAGTAGTACAATCAAAACTTTGTTGAACTTTTTCTTTTTTTTGTTTGGTCTTTTTGTGATCTGCTTTAGGCTTATTGTGTAGCTTCTAACGGTAAATCCGAGTCCCAAGAAGCGGATATATCTATTGGAGGAATATCAATTTTATCAGATACGAGATTGACGCCTTCCACTACTTTAGCTTCTTGTTCACGACCTAAATAGTTGTTGAACACTTCTTTGACCTTATAGAACCCTTCGACGTATAATGGTTTACGAGTATTGTAACTCTCGTAGTCAATATGGTACCTGTAGTAACAAAGGTCATAAAATGATTTATATCAGCACAGTGAACAAAGGGATAGAAAGGAAAAAGTCAAAAATGCGAGAGTGTAGCTTATTTTTCTATGCTACAAGAAAATGAACACAAAAAGCAAAAAAGGTTTTCTAAAAAGCATACTTGATGACTTACGATGCACAGTCAAAGTCCCACGTCGATCGCCACTTTGCCTTTTCACAAAGAGATTGAGTCCAAGGCTCACCATAAGTGATGGGTATGAAGTATCTATAGACATGAATGACGCCGAGAATGAAAACGCCTGCAGCCACCAGCCGTTTACGATTAACCAATCTGATGGTCAATAAGTCAAAACCAACACTAAAGAGAAGGATGGAGAAGTAGAGTGCAGGCATATAATGATGCAGAAAGAGCTGTCGCCCCATCAGGAAAAAGGGGAAGTAATGGAAAAACCAACCAGCAAAGAAGAAGCCAGCTGATTCATCGTAGAATTTCTTCAAGTCTATTTAAGATTTGTTTTTGTGTGTCAGTGCGCAACGTATCAATAAAAGGAAATGTCCAATGTTTATTATGCATAAACTCTATGGTTATGCTGTTTCGTTGTTTGTTTGTTAGTAATTGATGTTTTATATATACACTACCTCCAAATTGCTTTTTGATCCCTCTCTTTTCGAGTATAATAAAGGCTCCTTTGAGAATAATATAGACAAGGACAGATATAGAGGCGCACCAGAACACCAACGGATTTCCCAAAAGATAGATATGAAGCTTATCCTTAGACCAAAAGTTGATACCCCGACGCAACAATGGCCAAGACTATATCAGGAAGGAAAACCAGAAATAGGATGAGTAACGTTTATTACTATTCCATCTTTTAAAAGAACAACAATGTACAATGCGAGCAAATTACCTCTGGTCTTGAGTCATAAGGATGAGAAGAAGTCAAACCCTTGTTCGTATTCCACATAACCTTGTTCAACTCTAAAAATTTGCCCAAGAAGCCTAATCTGTTATACGATACTTTCTCTGTATCTTCAGGCACTGTATTTCCGTAAAAATTGTCAGATTGTGTCTTAAATTTTAACGATGTGCAGTTACAGACTTACATAATGGGTTTTCGGTATTCTCAACATACCAAACAGTCTTCTTAATTTTTCCATTTTTGATACAGGTCACTTCTTGTTGGCCAAAGCCCCATTCAGGCAATTTTACGTTATGTGAGAACAATGAACAGCGTTGCAAAACATGAACAAGCGCAAACTTTGTATGAATGGTTCGTAATCGCTGAGATGACTCAGGATCTGCTTTGTCCCCTTCAATAATCTCTACTCTCCATTGATCATTGCTATCTCCCGTAAAATTGGGAAATCCTCCATACGCACTATATCAAGTTACATGGATACAATTGTAAATACTGACAAATCTTCAGACGATCATAACGACACAAAGAGAGTCTTACCTCACTTCGTAATGATAGTCTAGATCAGTGATTGGAGGCCGCATATCGTGTGAATGTAGACGCATTTCAGAATCAGCGTGTTTTAATGTAATGATATCACCATCCTTAACATATTCAATTCCTTCAGGGTCTGCATCGTTTACTTTGTGAATAGTCCACCAATTATTGTTGTCTCGATGAGGATACAATGTAACTTGTTGCTCTATAAAGTTACGAAAATTTGAGTAATAGGTGTGATTGATCGATCAGAACAAAACGTACTTACGTTTACTCCCGCTTATATATCTATGAGGGTGAGAATGAAGATAGCCACCAGTAGTTGCGACATGTCTAATATATACCCTGGATCCATAAGCTATGTCTAATCCCAAAGTGAGTTGCGGATCTGGCATTGTACAAAACAATAGAGAAAAGAAAAAAGTTACCAATAGGAGAAGTTACACTTGCGTGGCCATCTAATGTTTGCTGGAATTCAGGTGACATAAATCCATCGCCCTCACCACTGTTAGGCAAAGAGTGAAAATGAATCTGGAACATGAGCATATAGATAGAAATGGGCACAAAAATCAATGCTACTGCCCGAGCACCAAAATGCTTCAAAAACACAATCTACATTCAATAGACATGTATTTAAAACTTCCGCCATCATTGTTGTGTTATTCGTTTTACTCTGAATTTGTTGTTTACCATAGGTGTTCGCGTATCTCCCCAAATTTCCCATAAACCCTTGACAGTTGAGCTACCGATCGTTGCAATGGTGAATAATCCGACCCATTTACAGCTCACTGTTAAACCTAAACCAACACCAGTGAGCATTAGCCAAACATACCACCAGAATTGAAAAGGTCTATTGAATTTTAAGGGCAATTTTCAAAATGTCAGACGAAAAAAGTCCAAACTGTACTTCAAATACATCGTAGCGTACTTGTTCTTTTGATTGTGAAAGTTGATCCACATCAAAATTGTCGCAGCAGTGAAGAATAGAAGTGGTGGATCAAGTAAAATTAGTCTATTGTTGGTGATAAGCCCATTTTCTACTCGTTTTGCAATGCACATGGTCAGTGAGTTGGTATGACAATGTTTTCGGTTGGCAACTTAGTGAAATCCACATACCATAACAGATCATCAAAGCAGCGACTAATCCTGCAGCAATGGAATGACCAGCACCACGAACTGTGAGGTAAGCTATAGGTACTACCAATAAGCCCATCAAAGCACAAAATCCTCTCATAAACACATAAGGGACATTATCTGCAGTATAGTCTCTTTAAAGAATGTTGATTGAAAGAATACACAAAATTGATGGCTTTATCATGATTCTTACTTTCCAATATCCTTGAAATCAAAACCATCCAAGCCTGCTAATTTACCAACCAATGCTATCATCATTTTCGCCAACTGACAACAAGCACATGGGCAGAAAATAAATAAATAGTATTAATGATTGTCAGTGCTCAATTTGTATCAAGTCAACTTTAGATTATATCTTACAGGTGGATGGACATCCATAAAAAAACGTGTTTTGATGTATTTCGTCGCAAACCCGCCAAAATGAACCTCGTCAAAACTGTAAGGACAATAATATCCCATTAGTTACGCGTATCAGTAGATACAGTAAAAGTGGAAGAGTAGATTGAATCAACTATTGATAAAAGGACTACTTACACGACCGAAGGCGGTTGATGTAGTTTGTACATACGAATATAGGCCGCCCATATTGTCAAAAACAGTACAATATACCAATCTCGCTTACGAGACAACTGCTTTGAAGCCGCTTTCCTCCATTTTAACTTGTCTGACTTATGATGGGTCGCTAAGTCTAAGTCGAAATCCTCGGAATCGCTGTGGAGCTTGTTGTTGCGTGAATAGCCACTGTTTCTTTTACGAAAGGTATCAGAGTTATTGGCTAATCCCGAAGTATAGCCGACGTCCTCCATTGGAACGGGTATATGATCGTGTTGCTGTTGCGGTGGTGTTACGGTTGAGCCGATATTTTTATAATACAGTGAGTCAAGTCTTTCAGGCACAGAAGCAAAATTCTGTGGAATGTTATCTAATGACATCGATTGTTTTCGAAATCACACATAGAAAGGAAGTGCAAAAAAGAAGGAGAAAATAAATGAATTACAGGAATGTTAAATTAGGCAACCAGCAGATTTGACCCCAATTTTTATTGAAATGGACACAGAAACAGTAAACACCCTGAAAAGGGTCAATGCTGCGATCCTAAGCAGGTTAGAAATTGGCCGAAAAAAAAGCGACGGAGCATCCGAAAACCAAGTAAAATCCCATGGCTCGCGAGGCATCTGTGCTGGGTCCAAATCCATGCCGTAGCATATAAACAACAAAGATTGAATATTAATATATGGATACAATGTCATAACGTTCTGTTGTTGGGAAAGATGCTTTTTGGGCATGAACGAAGGAAACTTCCATTGTCGGCCAAAATGGTCTAACTTGAGTGGATATGGTTCAATTATCGAAATTCATGGATAAACAGTTGAAGAACAAACTCTGTTAGTTCCCCCACATTTTTTCAGCGTCAGTTGAGGATTATTCTTCCTCAATAGAATGACGCAAGCTAACCATTAACCCATGCTAGAGTTTGAATAATTGGCTAAGGAAATAACTTCTAACACTAACGGCCTGTTTGGACAAGTTGGTTCGATTCAACAAGCTGACTTTAACTGCTTCTTATGTAATCAAAATTGTTCCTCCTCTACGCTTCCAAACACATATAGTTGAATAAAGCTAGCGCAAACCTTATTCTCTCTCCCACTTTTGTAATCTTACTTTGAGGTTTTACCAGCTATATCAGCCATGCTAAAGTGGGGAATCCTAGGAACCGGCAATATTGCTCACACTTTCGCCACAGCTCTCCAAGTGAGCCAGAAATGCGAACTTGTGGCTGTGGGTAGTCGTTCAAAAGAAAGCGCAGAAAAGTTTGCCAAGGAATTCAATTTAAAGCATAGTTTTGGCAGTTACGCTGAGCTACTCACTTTCGAACATGTTGACATTGTCTACATTTCAACACCTCATCCTCAACATTATGAACTGGCGTTGTTGGCAGCGAGAGCTGGCAAGCATATGCTTATCGAAAAGCCTATGGCTATGAATGAAGTTCAAGTCCGCAAAATACTGGGCGTCGCTCACAAATATAAAGTTTTCGTTATGGAAGCTTACATGTACCGCTGCCATCCTCAAACAGCCAAGGTCGTGGAACTCATAAAGTCTGACGCTCTTGGACAGGTAAAATTCATACGGGCCAGCTTTTCTTTCGATGGGAGACCCCTAGGCCCTTCTTCAAGGTTATGGAGGAAGGAACTAGGAGGGGGGGCTATTATGGACATTGGTGGCTGTGAGTACTCTTATGCCAGATTGTAAATGAGAGATTGTCTTTAATTTTTTTTTTCTTTTTTTTTGGGTACTTCAAAAATTATTATTTTACAGATCCTTTGTCTTTTGCTCGATTGATTGCTGAAATAACGCAAATAAGAGACGCCTCTACAACTGCCGAACTCATCAAAGTGAAAGCAACAGGATACATTCAACCGGAAAGTCAGGTTGATGAATGGTCGAATGCAGCACTTGAATTTAATAATAATATCACCGCCCAATTGTTCGCTGGCATATTTTCTGATACTGATAGTAGTGTAGAAGTCCTTGGGAGTAAAGGTTCTTTGAAGATACTGAACCTTTGGCGACCTGACCTACCTCAATTAGGGCCTGTACAAATAGAGTATACTGAATACGGAAAAAAGAAGCAAATAATCCCCATCGAATTGGATGAAACGAATCTGTTTGTTTATGAAGCGGACGCTGTCGCGGAGGCCGTAATAAGAGGACAAAGACAGTGCAAATTTATGACTTGGCGGGACTCCTTGGAACAAGTCCGGGCTATGGATGCTTGGCGAAAAGAGATAGGCTTGCAATATAAAGAAGATACAGAGTTTGTCGATACTCAAGACGAATACTTTTGAACAAATACAATCATACTATCTGTAAGACTTACGCGCACAGGCATTTTTTTTTTTTGTATTTGAAAGCTTTTTGAATGGGATGTTCACTGATATGGAGAGTGGCGTTTCAATGTAGTGTTACGATCTGCATAAAAAATTTATACCGCTTGAAAATTAAAGTTTGCATTCTTTTTTCTTTTGTTCTTTGACACGACTATAAAATGGCTTGGGGTGGTAATGACGGTGCCATAGATCGATGGGTTAAGCAACTTCAGGAGAACGATCCAAAGTTGAAATCACTACATATTCTCAGTTTTAGGCGAGTCAGTGCAGCCGATCTTGGTCGAATTTTTAACGCGATCGGCACCAACACAGTTTTAGAAGAGTTATACATTTCTGGCCATGCTCTCAATGTAACAGTGATGGATCAACTTAGTGAAGCATTAACTATTAATGAAACTCTTCATACACTGAATCTCGGCACGTCCACTTTTGGTAGCGACATTGATGTTTTCGGTCTATTTTGTGAAGGTTTAGCAGCGAACGAAGGACTTCGAAAGCTCGATTTAGAAAATAAAGGGTTGTTATGCAATAAACAAGACAAATATAGAGCAATATATCTATTTGCTGAGGCTCTTGCGAAAAACAAGCATTTAGAGGAATTGAATTTGACCAGAAATGAACTCGATGACCGTGCAATGGAGATTCTTGCGCCCGCCTTGACAGGTCTTCTCAGAATCAATTTGGGCATCAATAACATTCAAAAGCTAGGCGCAAAAGCCATTGCTGAGCAAATTCTAGTACCTTCAAGCAAAGTTGAAGAGATGGAACTATCTGAAAATCCATTATTAGAGGGAGCCAGCCTGATCGCTGCAGCATTAGGCAATGCAACAAAACTACGAGTGCTGAAATTAGTTGATGTTGTTTCTGATCAGTCAGACTTCACTGCTTTAACGCCACCAGCTCTAGGAAATTCTACAAAATTGGAGGATGACGATGCAGAGAAGAACAATAAAAAGGCTGATGAGAAACGGATAAAGTATGGTTCAGCTTTAGCAAGTGCAATTGGACAATCCTTAATCAAGAATAAAACCGTAACTCATTTGTGGTTGGACAACAACGCCATTGATTCCAGAGCGCTTCAAAGCATAACTGACAATCTTTTAGAAAGTAATGTCATTGAGTTGAAACTTCGTCAAAATCTGCTCAATGATGAGGCGGCGTGTTCACTAGCTAGTGCTGCTTCTCATAGGTTAAAGCATTTGGAGCTAGGTGAAAACAGTATAGGTCCTAAGGGTTTTGGTATGCTCATGGACAGTCAACTCAACTATCTAGGCTTGTTTAATAATGCGGTTGGAGGATTTGGTGCTGACCCTGCTAATGTACCCGAGCTCTTAACAAGCCGTATCCAACGTTTAGACATTGGGTGTAACAAAATTACGCATGAAGATGTTGCAGCAATAGCAGATTTATTATTAAAGCAAGGTGTACCAGAATTAAAGGTCTTGGAAATGGGTGGTAATGTGCAGGATACCGAATATGAGCAATGGGAAGAAACAATAGCACGTATTTTAGCGCAACGTGAAGATTTAGATATAATTTGGAAACGTCGACCGGATCAAATAGACAGTACGAAACCCCCTGTTTTGTAAAAAGTACGTTCGTCCAACATACGGTAAAGTGATAGCAGAAAAATAGTCGAAACGGCAATCCTTCAGTAATAATCCGATGTGCTTGCTTATAATATCTCTTTTTAAATGCAAAGTAATAAATGATTCCAATATCCAAGCACTGCCTTTTTTATTTCGATGCTGTATTGCTTTAGGTTCTATCGTATTACTTATTGTTTTATACGTTTAATTTTTGGAGCGAGTGTGCTTTGAAGGCTTTTTATAATGAGAAAGGAAGTATAAACAGATGGTCAACCGCGAGGAAGCAATGTGGAACTTTTGGTTTTCTATGCTAAAAGATCAAAACTTTTTGACACTGTTACTTTTGCCGCTCTTGCTGAGTCTCGTATTGTTTATACAGCTTACCATCATTCATATACTGCCGATTATTTGTAAAATGTAGAATCAAAGCCGGAGTATAGATGAAATAATAACGCAAGATAGAACGGCTCACACTGCTTTTGCCTCTGATGAAGGTGCGGAAGGTGAGGAAGGTGGCGATGACCAACTAGTTTGTTTTGATGCTGTCACAACGATAAAAGCAATCAAGCCTACGATAAACAGTATTCCACCTATTAATGTTACTTTATGGTTCATAACTGAAAACGTTGACAATTCAAATTTGCGTGTATTTATACCAAACATGAAGAACAATCGAACCTTATGGATGAGAAATTGTATTGTCCCTTAAACAAAGGTGACCGAATAGAGTATCCATTCAATCCTCTGGTTAGAAAAAAATCTACAATGAAAGCAATAGGCAAGATTTACAGGACACAGGATAGATGTCTGTTCGAAGTTGTATCATTCTCATGGAAAAAGCCTAGCTTTGCTCGATTATAATTTCAGGTCCGGTTTATGCATGCCTGATGAATATTGGCCAAATAATGAGCGACTCTGCTTTGTTTATCTAATATCTAACCACCATAGCAACCGGTTCGCATGTACTGTGTATAATAATCTTAAAATTAACTGATTGCTTCTATATATTTGAGACGAAGACTCTTCCCTTGGTTCTCCTTTTTTTTGACGCTAATTCACCTTTCATTCTTGTAAATGGATTTTTCCCCAGCAGAACATGTGTTTGGATATATACAGATCCTTACAATTGTCTATCTTAACTTCATTATCCCAGTCGTGATTTTTATAGACAATAATTAAATATTAGCCATATGGGTTACTGTCACAGCACCCGTTTGAGCCCAATTCAGCATGCTTAGAGATGCCTTTACAAAATTTACCACTGATTCGGCATTCGGCATTCTTAATTGAACTAGGTTGAAGTTCATCCTCACAGTCATAGCGGAACTATTTTCATAAACCAAAAAGGAAAGTTTACAGGTTTCATCATGCGTAATCATCGGTCAAATAAGGCAATAGGGTTGAACCTTCTTTTCAATAGGGAAACACGTCATACACTTCGTCAAAAGTATAAAATAGAAACATAAATACGGCACTTACTTAATGAAACATTTCTTTGCGCATAGTATCTTTCCGCAAAATTCCCTAAATTACAAAACTCTCATATCATGTCTAATAATGGTGAAAAAAAGAACGTAAACTACGTTGGCAATGCATACTCCAAATTTAGGCCTACCTATTCTTATGAAATATACTCTCTTATTTATGAAACTCATAACGCGAACCAAGGAGAGTATAACTTAGCCATTGACGTTGGTTGTGGCACTGGTCAGGTGACTACCATACTTGCTGAAAAGTTCAAGCAAGTTCACGGTATTGACACATTAGAAGAGCAAATTAATAACGCGATTCGACGAAGTAACATAACCTACAAAGTTGGGCCTGCCGAGAATTTATCTCAATTTGCTGATAACTCAGTCGATTTGATTACTGTTGGTACTGCTTTCCACTGGTTTGACCATGAAAAATTCTTGCAGGAAGCCAAACGCGTATTGAAAAAAGATGGCAAGGGCACATTGGCAATATTTGGCTATTATTATCCTCGAATAAAGAACGAGCCTGAAGCTGATAATCTCTTAAAGGGATTTACTAAAGACGTATATGATCCCGTTGCGAATGAGAATATTCGTTATATAAAAAATATGTATCGTGATATAAAGTATCCATTCAAAAACCAAGTTTGGTATATCACACCAACATCTGAAGATGTTACAAGAATCAGCCGTCCTACACGTGGTCCACTGATGGAAGCTTCCATGACAATGGAGAATTTCAAACACTACATGAAGACATCTTCTGCATATTCAAACTACATTGAAGAGAACAAAGACAAAGATGACCCTGCTGATAAGTTGGTCAGAGACTTGATGGAAACGATGAACATCACTGACTATAATCATGTAATTCAACTTGAATGGCCGACTGTGCTGGTCTTATTGAATTAAATTATAGAAATAGTTGCATATAATGCATGCTTTCCAACGAGTCAGATTGTCAGATCTGCTTAATGAAAGACAATAAGTTTTATCTGAAAGCAAGAATTTTTTTGTCAAATTGACCCAACATTCCATGGACATGAGATTGGGTCTTCTTATATTGAAAGATGATGAATTGATATTGTAGGATAACCAAAAGAGCGATGGAGTAATGTTGTACCTTGCATACAACACAGGTTTTGGGAGAGCGGGAAATGTGTTAAAACAATTAATTTTTAATATAACGAGAGTGTAACAATTGGTGCACTGGATAATGGATGGATAGAATCATCAATAGGCCTAAAACAGCCTTCTACAAAACAAGAGATGAGTGAAATTGCTGTCTTTACCTTTAATAAAAACCAGATTAAGAGCAATGATGTATTGAATAAGATGAGCCACTTCTTTCCTTGGAATAGAATAATTTGCGTATGATTTACTTTATGCTTAGCTGCGTGATCATTAACCATCAATCCTTTTACATTAAATAATGTTCTAAATTTATCACCCATAATTTAGCTTACATGAATAAGGCAGAAGCTGATGAAAAACCTCAAATATAAGAATCAAAGGTTTCTGTTATTATCATTAAGTGCTACATCATATTAACTACAGAACAAAATTCAGTATCAGCTACTTAATCTGCTGAACATTAGCTACATTACTCGCTTATTGCTGTGGTTTTATCTCCAATTGAAAGACTATATAGCTCAGCAGTATGAACAGCAGTTATTATCAGGTTTGAGTTATTCGTCGAATTGTACTATAAGAACAGATAGGAAGAATAACACAAGAGATAATAAATACGAAAGCTTAATGACACACCACCGTTTTCATTTCTCTCTCCAGAACAAACGAAAGGGATAGAAAAGAAAATTGAAACTATTGATATTGATAAAAAGCTATTGTTTTTTGCTGTTTGCGAATTATATCAGAATCTATAGCTGACACAGGTGGATTACAGTCAGAAACTACTTAGTTGGTCAGAGGTTCCATAAAAGAATAGATATCCCTTTGCGTGGATTACGCGTCTACCTCAGAGCAAAATGAGATGTAATGTGTTATCATTCTGGCAGCTTCAGAGTGATCATGCAGCTGTATCTATAATTCAATGTTCATCGGACACCAGTTGAGCAGCTCAAATATTATGAAAATGTGGGTGGTAGCTAGTAAGGAATGTTTGTGTGACGTTGTGGGTGATTTACTCATGCAGTATATTACCGTCGCATCTCAAGTACGACAGAGCGGACACGACTATCTCCAATTCAAATAGAATTGTACTTAAAGACAGATAATAGCAGATCCTCACAGTAATTAGCTCGCAATGCGATATTGTCATATCACTTAAGCTTATAAGCATATTTGAGCAGTACATTATTTGATCTAATTTGATACCATCAGAGATTTTTCTATGGGCAACCCATCTGTAATTGCAAGAACTTAGTTTCAAACGGTGTTCGAATAGCCGCTTTTGAAGATGGCGCGTCAGTATTGGGGTTTGGCTTGTCCGTATCAGTTCGCCAGTGTTTTTCTCTTATTGGTAAAATTATTAGAGCGATATACGTGAATTATCGAAGAACTTGTCATAGGTGATAGAGTAGAAAGCTTAAGGAAAAGTCTTTCCATTTCCTTATCATATCTGCGCGAACTTTATTATTAAACTTCGTGTCTTCGGTGATTGACCAATTATAGAAGATTTCTGGATGTTTATCTATACGAATACTGTAAAAGATGAAAATAACCCTTTTTTGCAATTTTTTTTTTCTCCACCGTATTTTTCCCAGAACGCCTTATTACTTTTTATGCTGTGTACACGTTACATAAAAAGATTGAAGAAAAACTTCACTATACAAGAGGTATAAAGTAAGCTTATACCACGTTTAAGAGTTGGATGATAACGATCTTGAAGATTTCAGGGAGTCTAGGTGATTTAGGCACACTTTTGCCAATTATGATGTCCCTGTCGTTGAGCGGACAGATCAATTTGACAAGTACTCTATGGTTTACCGGCATATGGAACATTTTTTCGGGTTTGATGTTTCAGGTACCTGTTTGCGTTCAACCTATGAAAGGTACATCCATACGCATTTGACATCCTTGCCAGAAGTCGAGAAATCAAAACTAAAAAAGTACTTGAATTCACACTGGATAATGATAATGATTGAAAAGCAATTGCTGCTGTTGTTATGACAAAAAATATGGATATTCAGGAGAACATGTCTGCTGGTTTGGGTGAGTGATTCAATCAATTCATCCAGTCAAGATTAATCTTACTCTTCTAACTGATGTCAAAAGCCGTCGCAATGTTCGTTTTTTTCTTAGGTATAACACGAACGGTTTATCTTGTAGGATCATATACGCCGCCTGCTATTGTGAAAGGTACACAGCATTTTTTTCTAAACATTAAGATTCATGTCATTTAAGATTTTAAGTGAAACGCCACATGACGAATTGACATAATTGATTTATTCTCATGCCTTTCAATAAGGACTACAGCTGGGCACCGCTATACAACTCATACTAAAGGCTCAGAAAATGGTTCCGACGTTGGGATGGGCAGTAGATAGATCAAACTGGTCCGACAATAATGTATGGGTTCTTCTATCCTTCATATTTGTCGTTGCGTGTTATCGTACAAGGATTCCCTCTGCTTTAATCTTATTCTTCATTGGTTTGATCTTTGCTCTTGTGTATATGTACGCGACTGCTGCTGGGAAAAATCTGCCGCGACCCTCGGTCATAGGCGGGCATTATCCAGATAGTATCATTATTCCTTCGCCAGAGCAATTCAAAAATGGTTTACTTAATGCGGGGCTTGGCCAACTTCCATTGACACTGTTGAATTCTGTCATTGCTTTAAGTGCTTTAATTGAAGAGTTATTCCCCAAAAAACACGCTAATTCATCCAACATAGCTATGAGTGTAGGTGTCATGAATTTAATTGGTTGCTGGTTCGGGGCCATGCCTGTGTGTCATGGTTCCGGTGGTTTAGCAGGACAATATCGCTTTGGTGCTCGATCAGAAGTATCTGTTGTTTTCCTAGGACTGTGCAAACTCATTCTAGGTATTTTGTTTGGTGCTTCTTTGGTAGGGCTTCTGGAAGCATTCCCCAAATCTATTTTAGCAGTGATGTTATTTATTTCAGGTGTTGAATTAGGTTGTGCTGCGAAATCTGTGAGTGACATCCATGAAGATGAATTTCGGAAAAGGGAAGACTTTGTAGTGATGCTGTTGACAACTGGGTCCTTAGTAGCTTATTCCAATGATGGTATCGGTTTCTGTACGGGTTTAGTATCTGCAGCACTTTTATCAATACAGAGGTTAGGATTGAAAACTTGGTTTCGAAACGTAACCAACAGTATCAAGTCCATACCCTACGTCTGGACACACCAAACATTCAAGCCCCTTGAAATACCCATTGCACAACGAATGGAAACTTCTGAAGAAGGTATATCTGTTGCATCCAATCATAAGCAAACTTTATATGGCTCTCAACCATCTGAGCCCTCAAATCAGTCACTTTCTTCTATCAATATATCAAATACACAAACATTTACGAAAAAATAAGTTTTAATTAATGTTCTTCTAATGCAATTACAACTTTATACAAGGATATGTTTGGCTGATACATGTACAGAAGTTAATAAAATTGTCGCTCATCTTATTAACTTAAAGCAAAGGAAAAAATTGCTTCCATATCCTCGATAGTCCTTGGTAAGATAGAATCTGGGTTCTCATAGCCATTCTTCGGGTCTTTCACTGCTTCATTGATTTCAATGTATGTATCGAATAACTTACGAATGGCGATGGACTGCACTTGCTGACAATGTTGCGTGGAGGAAAGTTTTTCAAGACGAGTTGAAATATCAGCACCAATTAGGACGAGGAATGAGTCAAATTTACCCATTGCATCTGTGATAGACTTAACATCCATGCGAGGTAAAGAAGATAGTGGTACCTAAAATTGATCAAACTGTTAAGTCTATGTCCATTAATAACATAACGCTTTACAAAACTCACATCAGATTTCTTATTAGTGATTGTTTCTTTGATCTCAGTAAGTCCAGCTTGCTTTAACAAATCATTATACTACGTCATAAGTGCAAAGTAAAATCAATTTTCTCTTCTTTTGCAAAACATGTATTGGCCAAACCATTACCTCCTCAATAGCAATTTCGTTTAATAAGTCTGTCATTCGTTGGTTAATGCTTTCTCTTTTTTTCTCGGTAAACTCGTATGGATATAGTACGCTCTTTTTTTTTTTTTTAAAGAGGGGATTCGTCATTAAAAAGTTTTTGTAAGAGCGCTCTTCAAACACACATACCTGGATATGGAATAAGCAGTTAAGCATGTAGATTTCTTGGTCACTTTTGCTAAATTTAGCTACAGACAGCTCGCATGTGTTCAGTAAAGGTTCTATAATGGCATCCAGAGTTTCTGCAAAATTAAACTCTGGGAATCCTTCGGTAGTATTTGTTGTGACGATAAGCGATGAATCGTAGGATGCTAATATTTCTTTCTAAAGGATCAAAATAATCACCTAGCAATTTAGTGAGTTTCATTATTGTATTGACAGAAGCAGTTCTTACCAATTGTACTGTCATTTCTCTTATGGTCGGTGCTACTGCTAAGTTTCTATTTGGGGGCTGTAAGAAAAGTGTAAGTACCACGACTTTCAAAATTTGCCTGTTTATAAATACTTGCCTCAGCTGATTGCATCAGTCTATCGGCTTGTGCATTGATCGTCTTAAAAAAGTATTTGTATGCCAACTCTGTCATCCTTTAGTGAAACATATCAGTTAACCCCCCAGTCTTCTTTATTATTTCTAAAAGCGACTTACTCATAAAGAACTCTTTCCAAAGTGGCATTCTTTCTCATCAGTTTGCTCAGAGTAATGGTATAAAACTGAATCAAATTGGCCATCTTATACGATGTAATTGCTCCTGGTTGCAAAACTAGAACTTGTTCCATGCGTGATTTCAGTGGTCGACAAGTTCCTTCCATAGCGCAATCAACTAAGTCCATTATGGCATCAGCTATTTTTAATGTTGTCTCCGTCATTTCTTCATTTTTGCTTTCATTTCTCGTGAGTAGAGTCTCTAACATCTCTTTTTCGGAGGCGCAGGCTTGATGAATCCAAGCAAGCATATCACCAACATATCTTAATGGATCAGGAGCTTGCAATTCAATAGGTCTCGGTGTACCTCCAGGGCCGCCTCTCGTTAATGCGTTCATAAAAGCACGAGCCACAGAATCATGTCTGGCTGATGCAATTTCATCAAGGATGGTTCTATAGCATTTCATTGGAAAAAGGTTAGAATGGCAAGGGGAAATCATGAATTTTCCCCATTGATACTTACTGAAATAATACGGGCCTTAACATAAGAGCTCTCAGAGCCTTAGGCAGTAGTGATGTAACATCTATACTATCGCCACTGAAAGCTTTTCTGCTCTCATACTGTGTCCACTTGTATAGTCTATCATATGCGTTTTCCTGACATTGGGACAATGATTGCATAATATCACGCCTAAAATCATTCATCAGAACCTTATTAGACTAAAAAAGCAACAAATTTACCCTACCCTGCTGTTTGATTTTTCGTTGTCAAAAGTAGCTGACAGTCAGTATGTATTTGTTGTAGATGCTCCAGTGCGTCAAAAAAGCTGGCGTCGATAGGCTCAGAAGAGCTATTGAGTGTTTTGACTTCCTGCTCACTCAACGTAAACTTTTGTAGGAATGTATCTGCTACATGGATCTGTGTGGTGTATGAAGCACTGTATGTTGATTAGGCCGGATAAGACTTTTGAAATGATAATGTACAGTACTGAACGATTTTGAATAATTACCTGCGTTCTTGCATGTTATATGATTGCTCAATCATATTCGCTGTTTGCAACTCTACTTTTTGAAGCCGTTTTTTCATTTCTTTGCAGTCGTTCTCCATCTGTCCCACATGCGTTTCTAGATACTCGAAGGACTTTTGGTTTCGTCCAAATAAAATATCACGTCAATAAAATCGCATAGGTTAGTTCTTCTAATTACAATAAACTCGAACTTCTGTTCAGACAGATTTTTTCACCTTAATCACGTTCTCAAAAGCGCATAGAAATCTCCTATTTGTGTTGACCTCTTTGGTCTCAAGAGTTCCTCGTAAATTATGTCGAAGGCTCGTCTCATCTAGATCGGGTATATTTGATAGCGAAGTCAATGCTGATTTTATTTTTGTATCTTCTGACGCTGATAAGTAGAGTATTTTGCTAAGTTTAGCTGCCAATAGTTTGTTTGGCTTATTAGAGATAGACAAAGAAGGTGGTGACTCTGGGGTCGTTGACGAATGTAGTGCTTTTGTCTCCATCAAGTGGCATGAAATTAAAAGAGCTGCTGCTCATCAATATAAGAAATCGAGTTCCCCTCTGTAAATGGCGCGAATTTTTAAGTCCGTGATTTTCTCGCGCATTTTTCAAACGCATTCGTGGTGTGCCTTTGGTTCCTTTTTTGGCTTTCTTTTACATTCGTTGTATGTCAAAAAAAAAGACAACAAAATAGCTGTCAATGTCTCGAAGGATGAGTGATCTATCATCAGATTTATTATCTGATTTACGGGATTTTGAGAAATGCACTGAAAGACTTGCTTCAAACGTACGGCAGACAGTATTAGAGCCTTTCCGAGTAGATCCATTACAGCCTGAATCACTGCGAAGACCACCGCCAAGTCCTGCAGAATTTCGGCAAATGGCTACAAAGCTGGGACCGTTAGCACTCAAAATTGCAAAGCAAAGCATAAAAAGTCTGGATACCTTACAAAAATCAGGAACAAGCAGTAATATAGCAGTCGTGGTAAAATGTCTAATTGACTGTACTTTATCCTCTTTGTCAAGCTTACGACATATGAATGGCATTGTCCCACTACAAGCATATGAAATAGAAAAAATCACAGCAAGCTTGATCAGCAGAATGGTTGATTTCAAAGAGGTACTGTGGTTGATAGTCTTTATTTATTATGTTGACACACCTAGATCGAATATTGATAAAAAAGCACTACTTCTTAATTTATAAGTATGATAGAGCCCTCGAAGAAATCCGCAAATTTCGCATAATTTTGGCGGACGTAGTCCAAGTTAGATTATGTTGTAACAGCTCACAACAAGAGATCGATTTAAATGTTGATACACAGAAAAACAACCCAAAGATCATCTTCAATAAATATCAAGAACTTTTCAGTTTTCCATTGGATTCAACGAGCAGAGATCACACAACTATTTTATTGGTACTATCATTTCAAATGAATGCATTACGCTGTTGGTGTCAAATGCACAATGGTGCTTTAAAAAAAGTATGATATACTCTACAGAATTATTCATCTCTATAAACTTGTACTGATACAATCCTTGACATTAGTTCTTAGCAGACATACTGAATAAACCAGGCAATTATTATGATTGGTGTGAGCATTTACACAGCACTAAGCCCGAGGAAGCAAAAAAATACCTGAACTGGTTATACCGTCTCTTAAACAAGGTAGCAGATGACCTTGCTTCTACAAGTAAGATACAAAAATTGTAAGGAAAGATTCAACTGAACGTTAGTAACATTGATTGCTATATTACAGAGGAGAATGCTCTCCCCGCCTACGACATTCAAGCGCTCGCTCTGAAGGTGTCATCTTTATCCGGCGCTGAGGAACCTAGACGGATAATGGAACGTATGGTTGGCATAGGCGTACAGTATGAAAAACAATGTGAGAAGGCGGCAAAGCAACGTAAGTAATTAAAACTAACCATACTCACCTCTCTGTCAACAGAGGCTAACTAGCTCTTTATAGCCAACTATTTACATTTGCAGCAATTTTATTTGGACTACTTGGAAAAAGCGCAACCGGATTTGAAAAACCTTTCTGAAATGGATTTTTACTTTGTGTTGTGTGATTACGCTGCTTACGTATCCAGAAAGGGTCAAGATTATGAAGGCACCTTCAGCGCCTACAAATACATGAGTTGCACTCTGCAAAACATCGTCAACAGCGATAGTGTGGATAACTATTATTATGCTGCATATGCTGCAAATGCTAAGATAGCTCTTGGATCAGCTCAATTGAATAAAATGCTTGCTAACAGCACCTGTAAGTTATATTATTCTTTGATAAATTCTTATAGAAGAGAACTAATAAGAATATAACCACTCTATAGTTCTTGATCTTCCATTTACTTTAATCCTCTTAAAAGAAGTGATTGAGTATTTACAATCTGTCGAAAATCTTCTGCAAGCCAGACCTACCCATACACATCATACTGAGCATGCGCTATATTACCTTTGTCAATCTATTGATGCATTCAGCCGAAGCTGTAAACATTTGGTCAAAACAGCAACGGAGACAAAACGTGAAATGAATAATGATCCATTCAAAACACCACCACGATTGGATACGAATGATTTCGATATATGGACGGATGTACTTAATCAGACTAAACAAACATTAAAACAATGCACGTTGATAATGGCTGCTGGCATTAATCTTGCTAAAACGAAACAGGCTACAGCAAAGCGTGCCATAACAATCAGTCAATCTTACGTTGAAACTATGATTTTACTTTCCCAAATGCAATTCAAGGTTCATGATAACAGCACTTACAAACAAGCCTACGAGTATCTAATCAAAGCAGAGAAGATGTGTAGTGATACATTATATCATCAAGGCTTTGGTTATCTCGCAAGTGCTTATTATAATCTAGGCAAAATGATGATCCAAGCTAATAAGCACTCCGAAGCAACTTCAGCTCTTAAAAACTCTATTCAATTGCTGGAAAGAGATGTCAATCGTGCTAATACAACGAGTGGTAAACTACATCTATGTAAACGATACGAGCTTTATGGTGTCTGCTGCCAAGCTGCAAGAAGAATGGACGAAGCCATTCATGCGTACCGCACTGCTATGCAGAGAATTCCAACAGCTGCTCTCAAATCATTCGCCAGCAAACATGATACTACATCTCCTTCAACTAGAATGACTGAAGAGGGATTTTTAACCAACATTATTGAGAAGTATTTGGCAGTATCAGTGGCCGATCCAACGGCCCAAAGTAATGTTCAAATTGTAGCCGATAATTTCCCCTCTATGTCTGATTTTCCTATCATCCAACAATGTTTTATACTTGAAAGTGAATTGAAAGTTTGCGGTAAACTGTCATCAAAGATGGATTTACTTAGTCATCAGCAAGTTATTATTGATAGATTATTGAAGATGTATGACAGACGAACTTACCCTATTCGCAGAGCAAGGTAACCCTGGTTTCACTCGTAGAATATATTGTATTCTAGCTAAAAGTGATTTACTCGAATCAGGATACTCTTAGATAACGTATCCATTGAACGAAAAAAGGCTTTCAACAGAAATGAAAATGTCAAGCAAGCGTTGGCTTGCGCATTGGATGCTGTGGAACTTTTGAAGAATAGCGAGGTTAGTAAAGAAAGCTTTTACTATTAAAAAGAAGTGCTCTGACCAATTCTTTATATAAAATAGAAATCTTCTGGTGACGATACGAAATTATTGAAATACAAAGATTATTATATGGGTTTCGCTTATTCTTTGATCGCCATTAATAAAAATGATTTGAAAGAAGAGATAGAGCCGAATATTTTTGATCTCTGTATTCGACCGTGGACGAAGTTGCTGAAAGATCTACACACAGTTTTCGACGCTAAACAAAATACGCCGACTAAACTACAAGAGGCTCGCGATAAAATTGATGATGTGGACCAGTTCTATGCTCATGTAAAGATCCTTTCTAATTTTTTCGGCCTTCATGGCGACACCCTGCATCAAATAGCAGCAATGAACCTCTTATTGAAACTCAATAATGGATTGAAACCTGACACCCACTCTATATCAGGTAACTTGAATTTCTGCTCATCCTTCTTCTTCTTCTGAATACTTAGTAACGTTGTTTTAAATTTAGAATCTGTCTTAATTGCTGCGGACATTGCCAAACTGTATCTACAATTAGGTTATACAGGCAAGGCATATGAGGAATTTCAAAAAATTGGCGAAGTCGTTCAGAAATTTGACTGTATAACTATCGCGAAAGTTCAATATTTGATAAACTTTGCACAATATTACATCACTATGGATGATCCTGAAAACAGGTAAATATCACTTTCAAAAATATCATTAAAAAACTGTTGTTAATAGCTTTGATTTTTATTTTTTTTTGCTCTATTTTGTAAGCATCGACATGTACAATGAGGCAAAGAAAATTTGGCAGTTAGATTTCTGCGAAGACGTCAGAACCTCACTTACTACCCTAAAAGCTTATTTAACGCAGAAGATGCTTTTTGCAGACATTTATTCTACCATCTCCATGTATCATAGCACTTTTGATAAACTTGATATAGCTATAGAAGCCGCCACAACCTCTCTTCGTTTACTGCATGCAGGCATGAAGGGACTGGAGAAATCATTCAAAGAGAACGGGCATAATACTTTAGAGGATGAGTCATTCATTGAGACGGACCCTAAAACAGCAAAGGTTGTGCTTCGTGAGTGTCAATGGGCTGTAGCGCACAAAATCAGTTCATGCTGTAAAATTTTGGTGAATCTCTATATCCGAAAAGGCTCGTGGGTAGAAATTGAATACCTTATTGGTGAAATTCGATCGTTAGCAGACAAGACAAGATCAAAAAGCATACTTTTCCATGATCACCTCATTGCAAGTGATTTTTATCTACGCTACGGTGATAACGAAAAGGCCAGCGAGGAGTTTAACCTTGCTCGTCAATTACAACCAAAGGAGAAGACTTACGGCTTAGATATGGTTCTTTTAAAAATTTCTGAAGCAAATTTGGCTATTGCTAAAGAACGATATGAGGAAGCCACCACCCTCAACGAAGGGATTGAAGCATCCATCAGTAATTTGTTGTCAATTGCGTACCTCACTAGCCTCGAGGATATAACCAATGCAGGCGGGACGAATACGAAAGCCCAGCATTACCGTGAGTATATTTTTATTGAGAACCGAATTTGATAAAAAGATGGGAATTTTACATTTTTTTCTTCATACAACTTATAGCTTTGGATGCACAGTCAAGTATACCATTGCAAAGGCTATTAAACCAAAACTCGATGAGAACTGGTAAGCGAATTTTAACCATTCAATGCAAAGGTATGATGCTTATAGTTCTACAATAGCTATGGTTCAGCTAAAAACGGGTCAAGTTGAAAAAAGTCTTCAGATATTGGATCAATTGATAGCTAAATATGAGGAATCAAGTAACGTAATTAGTAACGAGGTGAGTAATCTTTCTATTCTACAGAGGGCTGACAATGCTATTTAAACCAACCAAACGTAATAGAATTACTGCTGACACAAAAATTATTTACGCAAACAAATATAGGTCGAGTTGATGGCCCTTATTGCTCATGCAAGACTTTTACAAGGTCAACAAAAATTATCTTCCGCCCCTCACTCACGACTATTTGGGGGAGAGGCTTCATCTTTACCTGCTTTCAAAACACAACAGAGAAAGGTGCTTATGGGTCGAAGAACTGACGCAGAATGTGATTCAAAAGCTATCACTGATAATTTTAGTGAGGTCGCGGATGATGCTGTTTCAGCGTTGGAAACAGGGCACAAAACGGAGCGTGCTGCATTGGTTCATAATCTGAGCTATGAAGCTGGTCTAGCTACCTTTTTAAAAAGCCAATTGGCAAAAGATGATCAATCAATTGGGGCCACCAAGAGCTCTTATTATTTATGTAAGTATCACTTATAAGTATTTCTATCGTGCTTGCTTGAAGGGACTGACCCTTCCCGCGTTTCATTTTATAAGCAATGGGTAACGCTGTCAGCATGCGCCGTGATATTCAAGCCTGTTTGAAAGTGAAGACAAATCGATTCATAATGTATCGAAATTCGAAGATCACCAATGAATGGCCATCCATTGAAGAAGAAGATGATGATGAAGAGCAAAAGACTACTTTCCTTTCATTGAAGAGGACTACAAATCCAGAATGGCTACAGAAACATCTTAGGGATGTTTCCGACAAGTATTGCAATGAATATATGTTGGATGCTCACCAGTTTCAGGATGAGTTCATTGACATACTCCCTTCTAATTGGACCGTATGCTCTCTCACTTTCGATCCAGAAAGCGAGTTGTTATTCGCGATGCAACTGAGAGCTTCAGAGTCACCACTTATATTCAAGCTTCCTTTAAACCGTGCCAAAACGCGTACAGGCTCCAAACATTCATATACCCCATATAACTATGCTCTCTCAGAATTAAAACAGATAATTCAAGAGAGCGATGATACCATTTTCAACAGTCATAATAAAGATATGACTGATCCGAATGTAATTGCAGCATGGTGGGATACGCGAAAGAAGCTTGATAGTAGATTGAAAGACTTACTACGCAATATGGAAGAACATTGGTTTAGCGGGTTCAAAGTAATGATGGTACAACTGATTCGGAATGACTTTCGCTGAAGCTGATCAAACCTTTTCTATAATCATCGTAGGGATTACTGAGCGGGCGTGCGCAAGAATCTGAATCAGAATTGATAAGCTTTCAACAAAATTTTATAAAGTCTGCGCACAATATCGTGAAGGAGCGTTTAAAACCTCAAAAGAAAATTGAATATAGCTTGAACTTCTGTAGAATGGTTCTCCGTCTCGGCAGCCAACCAGTTGCTCAAGATCTTGAGGACATTGCCTTCTTCATCTTGTCTACTTATGAAGTTCCTGATGAATTGATTGATCGTAAAATCCTAGAGAAGGTAATCATGCCAAAAAAAAAAACAATTTGATGTATAGTGCCAAAAAATGATATTTACCATCATAACCTGTATCTGAAAATAGTTAACAAAGGAAGTGAAGACCCACATTGCACAATATTATGAAATGTGTCGCAGGCAAGATATTGATGCCACTAAAAATAGACCCGGAGAGCATGTTATACTTATATTAGACAAGCATCTTCAAATGCTGCCCATCGAATCAATGCCAATACTTCGTCCACAGCCTGCGTCTCGCTTACCTTCTCTTTCTCTCTTACGTGACCGCATCCTATTCACATATGCTAATAATTCTCAAGAAGCATATGCTGATTTCGGGGTCATCAAGCCGAAAGAATGGAAGGATCATACAGTATCCAAGAAGGATGCGTTTTACGTACTTAATCCAGCCGGTGATTTGCAAGAAACACAAAAAAGGCTTGATCCTTTATTGAAAAGGTATTCCTTTACTACACAGTCTTTTCTGTCCAACCTATATGCCAAATTACTAATTCTTTATTTTCTTTCCTATGCAACCAGCGTGCCTCAATGGGATGGTGTCACGCAAAAATCACCATCAGAAATAGAGTGTATAAATGCTTTACGAACGAAAGACATTTATATGTATTTCGGCCATGGTGCAGGACAATCCTATTTACGTGGAAACATGGTAAAGCAACTTCCAATTTGTTCAACTTCGTTATTGATGGGATGTAGTAGCGGTCTACTTAAATCGAATGGTGAATTTGACCCATACGGATACGTGTTAAATTATCTAGTAGCCGGAAGGTAAGCCTCCTCCTCCCCCCTTCCCCGCAAGAAAAAACAAACAGTAGTTGCTAATACTAATTGCCTGTACTCTAGTCCTGCGGTTGTTGCTAATCTTTGGGATGTTACAGACAGAAGCATTGATCGCTTAACATTTTATATGCTATCTGCTTGGGGTTTAACAACAGGAAAGAGCAGCGGGAAGTCACTTACTGAAGCTGTTACTGAGGGAAGAGATCACTCTGGATTAACCTATTTAATTGGCGCTGCGCCTGTCGTGTATGGTATTCCTGTATATGTGAAGGCTGATTACAATTAGACGTTTATTCATTATAGTGAATATCCTATACTAGAATAGTATAAGCTTACACTAGTTTGGCAAGCTGGGAACATTCTATTTCTTTGTTTACGAACAATAAAGAATTCTTTTTTAAGATATCAAGAACTAAGATAATTTAGTTTTACATAGGCCAAGCTACTGTAACTCAAAATGGAGAAATACGATTTTAATTAATTTGACATTTAAAAAAAAAAAAAAAAAAAGTCTGACACTAAGTTGTAAAGTGCAAAAAATCAACAAAATTGTCGTTTAGCATATCACCAAGAAATCCGCTACCAGGTCGCTCCAGAACGGTACGGCTGTGGTGGCAACTGTGGGTTACCAGCTATACTATTGGTTGCATTTTGTTGAGACGGATGAGTTACTTTAGGAAGTGGTGGTCGGTTATTGTTAGGAGGGTTTAGGTACGGTAATCTCTGTTGCGGTGGTGGCATTGATCCTGTATAATGCACAAGCGGCGCTTGTGGACGGAAATGAGGATGGGAAGGAGGTTGCTGTTGAGACTGTAAATATTGGTTCTGTGCTGTGGAAGATGACTGTTGCGAAGCAGGTTGCTGTTGTTGGTAGTTTTGTTGAAGTGGCTGAGCCTGCCTAAATTGTTGTGATTGACTTGCCTGTTGAACGTTGTGGGCGAAAGGCTGCGACAGCTGTTGAGGTAATGGTTGAGTCATCTGTGCCTGCGACACAATTTGTGGCTGGCCGTGGAGGAGTTCTTTTTGCTTCGAGGCTGCTTGAGATGGAGTTGAATTTACAGATGGTTCTGGTGATAAAGTTGCTAAATCTTTAACAGAAGAGTTTTCTGTTGTCTTCTCGGCATTCTTTGATACGGATGTGTCGAATGATGCTATTAGGGAATATAAGGCTGTTAGTGGAAACCATTTTATTAAAAAAAAAATAGATTATATAATACCTAGTTCGGCAGCAGTCAATGAGCGTGATTTCTTTGTTTCTTCTCGGTTTACAGACGATGGCGTTTTCTCAAGAGTTTGTTGTACATCTTGTTGCGTCTCCTTACTATCATTGAAATGTTTTAAAATTTTATTCAACGTCTTTTGGACTTCCTTCAACGAATCTTCGATGCCCAGGGGAGCTTCATCTTGCTGATCAATGGTCGATTTGTCATAGACAGTTACTTTGAGTAAATTACTTATGGAGATTGCGTGTGTGATATCGGCATCATCTTAAAAAGAGTTATAAAGGGGATCAAGGCAAAAAACACGTTTGCGTATTTTAAGTACAATACAGAAAAGAAAAGCAATAATTTTAAGAACACAGCTGCTAAAGTTATACATCGAAAATGCATGAAAAAGTGTACCTGACAAGTTTATCAGATCTCCCTCTGAATTTGAAAGACAGAAAATAAAAATAGATATTAGTACCAGTGATTCATGCAAATATTCATAAAATGGGTTAATGGCCTTAACTATTTTCATACCATCATCCGTGTACTTGAGAACTATATCATCAGATGGCTTAATTTTACCCTTGAAAACACGGTTCATCATTATGCACAATCTTGTGTAAAACGAGAATAAGTTTAACCACTGTACAAGTCGAGATTTACAATTACAAATGTGTTTCCATCTTTACTCATCGTAAGTTGGTGTTTGGTTGATAGGTATGCGACGAATATCGGCACCATATCGACCTATGATTAGTCATTGTATATTATAAATATGGCCTAATTAATGAGTTGTATATGCCAAAATTGCGTACATTTTACTATGATATCGCCAGTTACAATTTTGCGTAAGTTGGTATAATCAGTCATTGATAATGTTGTGAGCCTTTCCTAAGAAATAGAAAAGAATGCGAAAATTCTATTCGAGAAAGGACTCACGAAAATAATCCAACTTTCAGTCACATTCTGAAAATATGAACTTTTTGAAGTTTCTTTTAGAAAAAAGCGGACAATGTACCGAATTGAGAGTTTAAAAAATTGTATAAATCACACATATGTAGGCGTAACTCACCCCCATGTTTCACTTAACGCTTTTAACCTTCTATTTAGTGATTGCCGAATAAAAAAATTTAAATAGGCACAAAAAAGATTTCAATTTTGTTTCTTTTTGCTAAATCCTGGTCAACTATTTGAAGAGTAGCAGAAAGGAGAACCATCACAAAATACAAAGGAAGGGCCGTCTTGGATTTTATTATGTCTTATCAACATGATAATATTCCGCCACCACTTGGGCTTATTCGACCTAGTCGTTCCAACGTTGAATACAGACTAAGTACGCTTTAACATAGTGAAGATGTTTGGATCCATATTAATGCTTATTCTTGGTATGTAGCTGTTGTACAGAACCCTATCAGAGCCAGATGCTGTGGATTCGGCGAAAAAGACAGGCGGTTAATTGATCCACCACCTATCGTCCAATTGACAGCTTCGAGAGATGGAGAAGACTTGGAGTTGACACCTGCAGATACAAAGTTATTCGTAGTTCATTGTTCCTTGTATTCAGCTGATTCAAACGAGGAAAGAAATCTAGTTTGCCAACCCTTCAAAAGCATCGCACTTGATGATAATATAAATGCACAGAATGAAGATGAAGAATCAAATACCACATATCAACCGCAGTCATTGTCCTCACGGCAACGACAAGCTTCATCAGTATATACCGACAGCAATAATAATTTTATTAGCAGTAGTTATAGCAACAGCTATGGTGCCTCAGAACCTCAGCCTGTACGAAATCTCATTGGATCAGTAGTTTCCAGTGCTTACTGCTTGTACAATTTAGAAAATGAAAAAGGCGTGTATTCAATATTCAGTGACCTTTCAGTAAGAACAGAAGGAACTTATACGCTGCGATTTATATTTTTCGATTTAGCGGCTGGGTAATCAACCATTGTTTTGCTACAGTTATGAGATAGCGTTATATTATTGAAATCTGGATCAATTGATAACGATTTTATCGTCTAATTGATTCAGGGAGCCAATGACAATGAGCACACGAGTTCAAGCCGAAACATTTTCAAAACCGTTTGTGGTTTATACCCCCAAAAATGTAAGATGATTCGAGCTGCCACACATATGCCAGGAAAAGAATGGCTATAAAAAATTTGAAGAGTCAAGAAATATCGTAATTTGTAAAAGCACAGGAATAGCTCATGACCATTTTTCTCTTTTTATCATTCCAGTTTCAGGGAATGACAGGTATAAAAAAGCAAACAGCTGTTCTGTTTTGAACGTGTCATCTGATCTATTTCGTTCATTATCAGCTACTACCGAGTTATCAAAGTGCTTTTCGCGTCAAGGAGTGAAGATCGTTACAAGAAAACACAACAACAATAATACTGACAAGAAAAAGCACAATTTATAGATTAATTTTGCGTTCAAAACATTTTCTTAAGTTGGTTTTTTTTTTTTTTTTTTTTTTTTGTTGGTTTCTCGTGAATAAAAGCCAAACTTTTTATAGAGTGCTTAGTTATTCGAGACTGACAATAATAGGTGGTTAGGGTGATTCTCGTACGATTTTGACATCTCCAAGTTCAGTCATAAGCGTACCAAGCTTAGAGAGCTATACATAACTGTCAGCAAAACACAGTCACTAACAAATGTTCAACAAAGTTATTCCGAAAGAAAAGCGAAAAAGGAATATTTTATACATTTATGGTAATTTGATTTTTGGTTTTCTATCAAATGATTACAACATAACAGAGTTTTTTAATGATACATTGGAGTTCTTCTCCAATCCTTGAGGATGTACATCTGATTCATAATGCTCATGATTTAGTGTTGTTATAAAAATTTCTCCATAATAGGCTAATATAGCCAAAAATGAGTCATAATAAGCTTAATCCGGCTTGATAAGCTTTGTCTTACTATGACGATATTGTTCTTATAACGCATTTATATCAAAGAGTTACGCGTTAGCATGATTTACGTTCCTTAACAGATGAGGGTTTTCCTCGATTTTCAGACTCCATAACAGGTATACTATCTTCATCGAAATGTTGGCTGCTTCAGCGAACTTTGTTTCTTAACACGAGTACTCGCTTTGACGTATATTTTAAAGAAATGACGTCATTAATGAAAGAATTGGTACAAATGTGCCTGGCGGAAGGAAGCAGTAACTGAATTCTATCTACATTACCAAATTGAATTGCTGAGTCCTGTAATTCTTTTATTCGTGTTTCTAGCAGGAAGATCCCTTATTCAGCATTTATGGTTCGTGATCCAAACAGTCTTATCCTAGCTTCCTTATAAAAGATCGTTGTTTGATTCTTCCGACACTGTTTTCATAAACTCCTTAAAAACCCCTATTGAGTTGTTATTCTTCATCTGGTTTTCTTGCAAAATGTTATATTTTGCGTTTACGTAAGGGCGCAAACACTTTAATAACTATTCCTTCTCAAACAATAATTATCAATGAGCTTTTGCACTGTTCCGATTTGAACCAAGACAGAAAGTCTGCTTTTACTCTTGCCGAAGAGGCAAACAAACTCTTTGATAAGTGTGATAATTCGAACTGAGCTGTTGCTGACATCACGTATTAGTATCTTGTTTTAAATCTATTAACCCGGAGAAGATTTGCCTTGAAAAGATACTTCCGCAATGCGCAAGTGGCTCGGTCTCGCATCTTTTTTAGGATAGTATAATGGTAATCTACAAAGAATGGTGTGGGAAGAGCGAAGAAGCGAGGATCATTATTCAGGATGTAGTTGACAAGCGTCTATTTCCCAGAACAACAATATTGATGTATTTGCATAAAGAACGATGATAAATCACTCACGATGTTTCAAGACGTATTCAAGTAAACTTTGACTTCTAATATGGTGTGAAAAGAACTTGAGTTGATTTTCATTTGAAGTTGACTACCTTATGTGAGAACTGAACAGGTTATCTTTATGGGGTATCTTTCACTTAAGTTACATACACTACGATTGGTAGATGGACTCTTAAGTTATATTGATTAAACTGCTGAGACATAGTAAGTCATTGTACTGCTTTTTTGATGTTAAAGTAGAGCATGGTTGGAGGGGGATTTAAGACTCAATCGCTGCAAATTAAGAACACTGTGTGCGAATATCTCCTGTTAACTAATAGCTATAATAATTGACAATATCTAAATACATAACTGGTAGCCATATTCATTGGATTATAGATCAAGCTGCATGATCGCTCTAGACTTACCACGATAACACATTAGGATTTAAGTTGCTCTGGGTAGATGAGTAAATTATTCCTGCTACGGAAACCCTGATTCACCAACTGTTTTCTGAACATTATAGATTTCGGTAGATTTTGCTTTCAGTGGAAACAGACATAAATCTCTTCTACCAGCAGCACTTTTTGTAAGTTTGCTTTCAAGGAATTTATGACGGTGGTTTGATTTCGTTAAGCTTTCGTGCTAATGTTTTTACTATTACTTTTATCAACAATTTCAACGAATATCACACTATTACTTTAAGGTAGATAAAGTAGACGAGAAAATCAGAACCAGGTAATAAAACACCAATTTCAATGGATTAAATTGGCTTCATTTGAATGTTCAAAACCGCATCGACGCGTTTTGCGTATAGTGAGCTTTTAATTTGAAATCTGAATTGTGAGTTTAAGTGCCCCTTTTTGCTGGGAAGTCGATCGGAGCCGTGTTTATATGATATGATGGTGGTCTGCCTAACGACTACCAAAATGAGAAAACTAACTGCATTACGATAGCAGAATTAGTTACGTATTGTCTTATTTGAAGAGAATCTAAACGCTATCTGGTACAAACGTAACCTTTAACGAACGTAGATATTAGAGCTTTAGATTGATGAGTTCTGCCGACTCAAGATTGCATAGTACGTTCAGCGTTTTATCATCTTGAATGGTAGTTCTAAGAATTTTAATTTTGCATTTATCATGACAGTTTTTTAAACCGAAGCGCTGTGTGGACATAAAGCTCTCAGAGGTCGCACTCGTACGACATTTATCAAGTGAAGATTGTACTTTGGCATTTGAAATAGGGCTATACCATTTCGTTGACATATTAACGCTGGAAAGTGGGCAACATTAGAAATGATGATGCCATTATTCTCTAATTTATGTTAGGCATGGATGAGAATTGAAATAGTACTAGACAGTGGGCTAAACAAACAACAGAGCGGTGTTGCTCAAATAGAATTACCTTAGGGAAGGTTACTAAATTTATCAATGACATTTTGAATAGTTACAACGATACATACACCCGTATAAATGTAAGCTTCTCTCTATTAATAATAGCAAAATGGCTATGAGATGTTATATGTAAAGATATTTCTTTATTGGGCATTAATAATAGTTTGAATAAAAGCTACTGTAATAACATTATTGGCGGCCATGATGACCTACTGCAATGACGCTAACTTTACCTCAACACAAAACTACTTCCGTTTCATACTTTCATCAATTCTCAATAAATTGCATCGACCGCATTCCACTCATCCCCGGGAAATTTACAGACCAAACTCGTAATGTCACCTCCTATTTCCAAATTGTATATACCCTGAAGCAGTACAGAACAGCTGCTCAAATTTTCAATATCTTTTCTTTCATTATTCGTCGAAAAAGCTTAGAGAAAAGTACACACTTCAAAGCATTATAATATAACAAACAACTGTTAAATGGGAATTGTTGACAAACTGCGAACACAATATGCTTTGCATCAAGTTCATAAATACACTAAGAGGCGCAACTCTCAGACAGACTTTGAGCCAAAATCAAAGGATTATTACAAGGTGCACTATAGTGATGGTGTCTATTTAAATATGGAAGCAAACTATAATGATAATGGTTATTCAACTATTTTGGCATCCAGGCGATCCTCTTCCTCTTCTTCTTCATCAAAACGCTCCATTTTTATCTTCATATCTACTCTTTTAAGAAAGAGAAGTGTTATTAGTAGAAGTAATGGTCATCAGATGTCAACAGCTCAGAGAACGATTGAACCTCAATGTCATAAACTTTAGATAAATAATCTTGAAGAAGGAGGATTTGCAACTTCTCAACTTCTCATAAAAGCTTGCAGTAAATACGTTCCATAATAATAATGATAAATTGTATAGTTTTTTAATACAGATGAATAAATATTTCACGATTGACATCTCAACAAATCATTAAAAGGGGGGAAAACCTATTTCAGCGGCGAACCTAGTTTGATACGTACACTCCTCATTTTCTTATCAGTGATGGTCTTTTATACAGCATTTAAACGCTTACCAAATCTATACAGCTTTTATAATTCAAAACACGCTGATTCTTTTGTGTCACTGATCCCGGTAGTCAGAGCTAGTGATTTGCTGTAACCAGTTACATTTATTATGCTATAGCAAGACAGTGGTAATGGCTATTTGGTGATATGCACAATCATGGCAACAGGATTTTCTTTTAAGAGGGGTTAAAAAGGAGTAGTACACTCAGATAAACATTATTGGTAGTTGTGTGGAAAAAGCAAATTTTTTGGTTATACTTCGTTCAGAAGGAACTGCTCGAAAAAAAAGTATTTTTAATTATATAAACGTCATTTGCCTATAACAACAAAAAGACAGAAAGAGTCAGCATTCAAGATTGAATCAGTTTTTTAAGGGAGAAACTGAAATATAGATCAAAGAATCTTCAGAAGTACAAATATGGCGATGCATTTAATTCTGAATGCAACCCTTATAGGATTATCGCTCCTTTAAACTCAACAGTAAGTATCAGAATGTGATACTATTCCATAATTCTGTATAGGGTTGTTAGCCACAATGGCCTATTGGTCCCGCAGGTTACGGATAAATCTACAGAAAACCTACCAAAAGTATCACCTTTACATTGTTGTTCGAGCGAAAAACTATACCTTACCATATGATGTGCCTATAACACGTGAGCTATCATTGCTTTTTATCTCTTTTGTATGTATGACTTGCGTTTTCTTTAAACACCGTACATCTTGAACTCATGCTTTCTTTGTCAATTTTTTTTTTTTTTTGACTTTGAGGGAATAGCAATGTCCGATTTAAAGCAGGGCATATGAAGATGTCTGTTCAAATAGACGTTAAAGAATTAAAGAAATGATGATCAGTAATTGAAGTTATTCAGTTTTCATCCACCGATTAAATTTTGCATATGTATTACTCTTTCATTTCTCGTGTATAGCAGAACATACGCTCTATCTTCACGCCTTTCTGCGTCGTATACGGAAAAGAAGCAGATATCAGATCTGAATTTCTTGTCATATTCGGTAATAGCATGAGGTCCTGCAAAAGGGCATAGATGTGGCACGAAGAAGTAGCTAAAGAAGCCATGCCAAAATCGGCTACCGTACGTGTCATTGCTGTGTTTAGCCTTTCTTCAGTAAATTGAAAATAGTAACGAAGACTTGCTTGAGCTACTTCAAAAAACATTTTTACAGGTATCTACCACTTTCGAAAATGCTCACTGCAGAGTTGAATTATTTTGAAGGATGGTGAGCGATGCGAAGGAGTCAATTGTGTCAGTTGAATGAAAAGCATTGTGGATAGCAGCTGGCATGTCATTTATAGCTTTTGGTAGAGCAAGCAGTAGTGAAAAACAGTTTAATACAGTAGAAGAGTGGGTATCATCCTTAAAGCGCGTCTCTAACGGTAGTCAACTAGCTTCATCTGTTTGGTTATTGCTATCCTTACAGAAACTAAGAAAAATTTAGTGCAACATTATTAAAATAGTGCAAATGCTCTTTTGCATTCTCGTAACAGCATTACAATTCATTAGTCATCAGTAGGCGTGTAGATAGTTAAAGGTGAGAGTTTGACATTTAATTCATTTATTTGAAGGCGTTTTCATTTTCAAATAAATCCATGTTCTGAGCATATACTATTCTTGCAAAAAAGCGCCATAGAAATAAAAATTGTAATTCATCAAAAAATTGCAATGTTACAATTTAAGAAAATATGCAACTATGCCCAAAATGGGTCGTCGATCGTCTCTGAATTTTCAACGCATCATCACATTTGCGGACAACCATAAAGTAAACTCAAAAGTGCAGGCGTTTGTAAATGTATCTATATATTGCTATATATTATCAGACTGTAATATACACACATGAAATGAATATGATAATTATGGCTTTCATTGATTTACACACATTGCCATTGTACAAATTAAGTAGTTTCTTCATTAAATCAAAGGTTAATCCTTTCGGAATTGAAATACCGCTTAAAGAAGCAGTGCCTTAATTTCATATTTCTTTGATTTCAATACTTATTTGAATTTTATTATCTTCATTTATGCCCTTCTTTTCGTAACTGTCTTTTTTTTTTTTGGCAATATAGACCTATAATCATAATTATAAAAAGAAGAATAAAAAATATAGTTATTTAAACTAGCTCTTTGTTTTTCTTCTTCTTCCTTAATTGTCTTGTTTTGTTCTAAACCTTTCTTCACTCTTGATCCCTTTTCTCACTTCCCTTCATCATTCGTAACATCGCGTACATCCGTTCACAATTAAAAATGAAAGCTAGAATTATCACAATTGGCGAATACCAAATGTCTTCCTCAAGCCCCTTTTGTTTGTATCAATTACCCTCACCTCTCGTTACTCCCCCAAGGTCCCTTTCTCAAGATCAAAGACAAGAGCATTATTTTAACTATTTCTGCCTGGAAGACCTATTCAATATTTACACATTACATGCAATTCACAATGATTTAGCTCAATGTTTCCAGCAGTTTCCCGGTTTTTTCTTTAAGGATAGTTCAGGCAGATCTTACATAAAGACGCAGCTCATGGCTGATATTGCCTTGAAGCATAACTTATGTGCACTGTCTGATTTATGTCTGCTGGATGGAGAAGAGATATTGAGCGGCAGCGCAGCTCCATTGTTAAAGAACACCTTTGTCCGATTAAATTCTGCGCCAATTTTGACTACAATTGAATCATTCGAGCCGAAGCCACTCAGTGGCCGTGAATGGTTCTTCAAAGCTAATGATATCAATAGACGTAATGAATGTCACTTTCCTATCAAGTCAGAACCATTTTCTCCTACTTTACCTCTACCCAAAGCCGCTGCTACTGTTTCTGTTATCTCACCGTCGAACTCTCCACAAAGGTAAATTTTAATTCTCCTACCAAAAAAAAAAATGTATACAAGAGGATTGAGGAATGAATGTATCACATCAACATTATACAGAGTCGATCCAAAAATTTATTGTACACCATTAAAAAATTAAGTCGAAAGGACAGTAACTCATATTTCGTTCATAACTGTTTAAAATCTAGATCTTTACACTTATCATCTGAGTGTTCCATCTCTTCACTGAATAATGAAAATCGATCAATGGATCATTTATCGCCTCCACCATTTACGCAATTTACAGAAAGTAACAAGTCAAGCATCAGGTTACCTAAACCTTCCCAACTTTTAATGAAACGTCTCACTCCGAGAAGCGGTTATAAAAAGAATTTGACCATTTCAACACCATCTTACCACAAGGAGCCATCATCTACAACAGCATACAAATCAAAGGCTTACTATCATATCCAAACTGCCCCTTTAAGACGTTCAACCTACCCTCCAATCAATAACACACTTCATCAACAGCAACAACATAAGATCTACAAGAGATCTTCCAAAGTCATCCCTACGCTGAAGTATCGTCATGACACTGATATACCTCATCTTCCTGCTTCTGCTACAGCCCGGCCTATTGCCACTTCAGCTGCGGCAAGAATGAATGAAGCAGAAGATCATAATACCAACAATACGATTACCACTTATAACAACGTTGTCAGATTCCCTAGTCCACCTATCGTTCCATCTCAACAGCCGGCTTGGAACCAATATCGTCAATCAAGAAAGCAATATTCACAGCAACAACAACAACAGCAACATACTAAAAAAAGAGTTCCCAAAAACCTTACCGCTTCTTCCTTGCTTACTTCACAACAAAACCTTACCGCAAAACAGAAATTTTTACAACCCTTTGAATATCTCTATGATCAAATTGAGCAAACACGTCATTTAAAGACTACTCTTGATGATCAAATCCGCCGTTCCTCTACTTTGCTGCAGACACTTCAAACTTCCAGTACAGTTATGATTGAGCCTTTGATTCATCAGAAAGTAAGCCAACACATGTTGGATTCTAGATTTGAGCAACGTTTACGTGAATGCCATGATCGCATCTCTCACTTGGAATGCCGTTTCAATAAGCTGAAGGATAAAGATCAGGATAAAGATCAGGATGAAGATGGCATTGCTCTTGACCAGAATACAACTACCGCAAAAGAGGAGGAAGAAGTACAAAAACCCTTAATCATGGAGCTCTTGAGAAGAATCGAACACTTAGAAGACAAATACCATCGTCAACAATAATAGCGTCACCTTACAATTCATTTACTTTACATATTCTCACACTTACCAAACCGAAATTTGTACAAATTCTCTATACACACATTACAGAACGCGAATTTGAGGCAAAGTGAACACGGCCTTCGTTTTACAACAAATATATTTCTTTGTTTTTCTATAATTCTTTGATTTCTATAGTTTCAATTTGATATATTGCTATATATTATACAATGATACCCTTCTCAATATGATAAATCTAAAATCATAACTTGTTCAATGTTACATGTCTTATTGTTCATGTTGCTAAAAATAACAACCAATTTTGTACACATGTCACTCAGAGACCTTGACTGTATTCAGGTACTATCCCGATCACACATCGTTAAACGCAATAAATGAAAACCCGACCATTCATATCCCTACCAATGCAGTTTATCCGACATAATGAAAGAATTAAAAATGATGATCTTCAACGGCGAACACTACAGCAGCTTTCAAAATTACGATTCAAAAACAAAGGAATAACTCCCTGTTATAAAAAAACGGTAGGATAAAATCTATTAGCGTTGCAGACACGAACTCAGACACTAAAAGACCTCAATCGAAGAAATTTGTGAGAATAAATACTGATGGCAAAAGTTAAGGACGAAGGAAGCTAAATTGCAATTTTAAATGAAGCGTTCATCTATTGACTTGATTTTCAATAAAAAAGAATAATAAAGCTTAGTACAAAAGTGCATACCAACATAGTGTCTTTAAGAGAAAATAAGTTCTGTAAACAATAAAGGACGTTTCGTATCTTCTTATTACACTCAAAGAGGTAAGTTTAGTTACGCAGCGTACAGCTAAACTGTTTGACAGTAAAATGGGTATGTAAGATTGTGGGTAAGTCATCAACAAATGGCAGCAACTCTGCTAGGGCCTTTTCTTCTTACTAAGCCTGACAGAAACATTCGAAACAAAGAGTCCTCTGTGAGCAATGGCATGTGGCTCACTCGCCTACTCAGCCAAATTCTCCTTTTTTCATCAAGATTCCAAAAGCTATGATTTGCAAGCCGAACACTGCATGCTGGGGAGCCGATATTCTCATTTACAAACGTGCAACGTGTAAAACTTATCGTTTGAAACTGTTAAGTACTACCAAAGAGGTGAAACGACTACTATTATAATACTTTTGCTTATTCATAAGATCGCTTTGCGTTGAGTTTGCTTCGCTTGCTTAACTCAAATAGTCGTAATTCTCAATATCAAAAATTTAATTCTTAATGTTTTTTATCAATCTTTCGCACAGTTATTTCAGCAACTCTTTCCGATCATAATGTCTGTAAATAAAGCTGTTAGGCTTTACACATAAATAGTATTTACTCTCGAATCATGGGTATCTACTCGACCAAATCTTCCATGAAGTACAATTAGAGCATGTGTATAGTCAACGACGTACATCTAATCTTTCATCAATGGTCGAGAAAACTGTTTTATGTGTTACATAACGATTTTTTGAAAACTCGAGCAGTGCATCTGAGAATGTACACCTTGCTTACAGACTCAATTACCGTTTAACCTTCCATAACAACCGCAGAGAAAAATAATATTTTGTATAACCGAAGAAATATTATATTGCATCTTTAATTGCTTGTTAAAAAGCATTCTTTGCATCATAAAGAATTTGAAATAGTGACTGCAAGTTCAACTTTTCCGCCTTGAGTACGGTAATTGAAAAAGTAAAAAGTAGGCTTATTCATCACAACCTTGAAACCTTGTAAAGCAATATAGCTGAGCTTCAGTATACTTTACATTTCGAAAGATGAAATTGTATTTACAAAAAGGAAGAAAGCAGTGAGACAATGAGCTCAAGTACAAACTGATAGTCGGCGCAACGTGTTAAGGCTTGATTATAATTTTCTGATTAGTAAATCTGTCGACGAGGAAAATTATGAGCATTAACAGTAGTTGGCCAAGAACGTTTGATCATTATAAAAATAGCTTAATTATCAAAAAAAAAAAGCTAAAATTTTTGATTGCCCCTTTTTGAGTAAATCTTTCGTTTTTCTTTCACTCCCGTTTAACTTTTGTTTCAACCTTTGAATTAATAGCAATGACAACAGGACCGTTACCACCAGGTAAGCAGAGTTGCAACAATTGTCTAATGAAAGGTCGTTTGAATTTACATGACTTTCTTCGCAATATATTTTAAAGGATGGGAAGAAAAATACACGCCTGAAGGTCGACCGTAAGTGAAAGTCAGTTGTGAGATCCATAAATGCTTGATCTAATATTATACTTATCTTGTTTTTGTTAAAGATACTATGTGGATCATAATACCAGAACAACGCATTGGGACAGACCCGCACCGCCTCCTGCAGCACCTCCTGCTTATGGTGGTGGTTACTCTCCTTATCCGCCACCTCCTCAACAACAACAACAACATTATCCCGGCAACGCTTACCCTCCACAACCATCTTATGGTGGCCCGTATGGCCCTAGTCCACAACAAACTTATGGTAACTACCCACCACAACAACAGTCAGGCTATCCTACCCCACAAGCTCAATCCTACTATGGCGGAAGTGGCGGCAGCCCATACCCTCCTGCTCCAAATTCTGCTAACCAACAGCGTGGATATCAGCAACAGCAATATCCTCCTCCTGTTCAGCAGCAAACATACCCAGGTGCTGCTGTGGGTGCTCCGCCACCTCTTCCCAACAATAAACCTCAGCATGGTGGCATATCATCCGGCATGAAAATGGCCGGTGCTGCTGCTGCTGGTATGGTAGGGGGTTTGGCTCTAGGGAGCTTCATTAATCACGAGGAACAGCAAAATGATAGAATTGAACGTCTTGAAGAGGAAAATCGAGAACTTCAGCGTGGTAAAGTTTCCATACGCACACAATGAATACTTACGGCAAGTGTATACAGAGTGAATTACTAAAGTTGATAAAAATTGCGACAATAGAGCAAAACTACTATAATAGTGCACCTACTCCTGCACCAGCACCACCTATGGACTATAACAATGTCAGTGGTGGTGGATATGGTAGTTATGCACCTCCACCTAACGATGGGCCGGACACTCAAACAACCATTATCCGAGAAGACGGTGGATGGTTTGGTGCAGATAAGGAAACAGTAATTACTACAGGTTAGCATATAGTTTACAGAGTTTTTGTCGTGGAAATTATCCAGCTCTATATTGACACATTGCGTTGTCAATACTAGATCAATACGGAGATACTACCATCATTGAAAGGAAGGATGGCTGGTTTGATGATGATGTGAAAGGTAAAATACAATATTGTATACGAATAATGAGAAGAAGCCATGTATACTAAATTACCTTTTGCTGATTTATTACAATTTCAAACAGTTACTAACATTGATGCTGATGGAACAACTACTTACGTAAATATTGCAAGTTGAACACATTCGAAAGTCAGTGGTTAACTAATTCAATCTTTTAAAAATAGGAGGAGTACGATCAAGATAATAGTGGCTTTTTTGACTAGTAGTTACTAGCAGCAATAGGTATCTGTAATTCCATTGTAAAAGTATACACCACGCTGTTTTATATCCCTTCCAAGATCATTCAAGAACCCAAAGATATTTATTGATGTTTGGAAAGCTTTTGTAATTAAACGCCCATCAATAAACTCAGAATCTTCTAGATAAGTAAATCGTGCAACATGAAAGAATTAAATCACGTTCCTTATGCTTTCAGCACGGCGCATTATTTTTGTGTAAAGCCTCAATGGAGTACAAGCAAGTTGGCACGTTTCTATTCATATAAAGTTTGAATGCACACAGTATCCGTGTAAGCTGGCACGCAATTAAATTGATTATTCTGTGCAAAAGAAATGAATATAGGAATGGGAAAACTTTATTCAAACAAGAAATGGGATGAGGTATACAATTAAGACATATAAAAAGCAAAAAAAAAAAAAAAAATATTATAATAAACGTTAGAGTAAGATAATTAGTTTGAAGTGAAAGGAGAAAACTACATAGTAGTAGAAGCAGTACTACTGTACAAACACTTTATGTTCGGTAGCTGCTTTCAAAGCTGAGATTTGATTTTTGAGTTCACTAATATCTATGTCTGAAGTCTTCTTGAATGTATTATTCTTAGAAACCATTCTTAATTTAGCGACATCATCACGCTGTTGTAACAACTCTTCTTTTAGACGCATCAATTCCTTATCTTGAGTTTTAATCTTGTTGAGCGAGTTATAATATTCTTGTTGAAGTGTTTCACGCTGTTTCCTTAATGCAGACCAGCGATCCTGAGTATCATCATTCTGTTGCTGCTGATTGGCTGGTTTGCCAATAGTATTCTCAATGTCTTTTGCTTTTTGATCTAAGCGCTCGTATTTTTCAATCCATGTACGAACTTGATTCTCTAGTTCAATAGCCTTTAGCTTGAGACGCGATTTTTCTTCGCGTTGTTGTGTGAGGTTTTGGATTAGATTGACGACGCGGGATTCTAATTTGTACGAGGCTTCCTTTAAATGGCTAACAGATCTAGCTTCCGCACGGAGAACCGCTAATTGACGACGAGCTTGACGTTGTCGAATACAAGTTTGTACGTGAATGATATAGTTTCGTTTCATTTGGTATTGTTTGCGAGCTAGCCATCCTCTAGCAATCTTCTGAATAAGAGTAGCTGCGTAGTCGCGTTTTATTTCTGCATATTTTCTTCTAGCCAATAAACCACGTGCGACTATTTGAAGTCAAAGATAAATGTCAGCTCTCTTTTCAGAGTTCCAAAGATTTTTTAAATCGTTTACCTGATTGTATCTTGATAACAGCTTCTCTAGTCTTTACAAACTTGTTTCTGGCGACGTGCCTCCTCCAGTTAGTTTGAATGGTAATAGCAGCCTTTTCTCTACGCAGACGTTCCATCTCACCAACGGCTATTCTTCGACGAGCAATGCTTTGCAACATGACAATAGCCTTTTGAGCTCTTGTGTAATGCAAGCGTGCAAGGAAGCGACGGCTATTCTTTTGAACTGTAAGAGCAGCCGCATTCAACTTGTCATTTCTTAGTTTTTCCATATAAGCAAGCTGTTCATCGGTAAAGTTATTTCTGTAAGATTAAAAATTGCAAAGTAATCAATTTCTTGAGTCTAATCTTACCTGTCCCGCACGGAAGAAAATCTTGGTAAGGCCAATCTGATACTTATCTGGATTGTTAATAGTTGCATTTAATATTTTTGAACAGATAGACTTGACATCAGGGTTGGATTGAGGATTTCTTGAAGCAAAATCAATCAATAAATAATATCTAGAGAAGTTCATGGTAGAAGCAGAAATACATCAGACGCGAATTAACCTTTTGGAGCAACCACAATATTTATTTACCTGTCTACAAATTCAGCATATGTCCATCGAGTAGGATAACCTGCACAACTGATGCGAATCGTTTCTAAAACTCCGCAAGCACGCAATTGAGCCAATACATTGTTTGGTTCAAAGACCCATTCAACTTTGGCTTCGTTTGGCTTAATACAACGAATATAGTGGACATTTGTTTCCCCAATGGTATCCATCAAATTGATCAATGACAACTAGAAAACAGGATAGGTAATAAAAATGAAATATAGTGAATGGGGGTCTATGTTGACCATATAATAAAACTCATTACCTTGAAAATAGAACCTAATGTAGGCTTCTTTGTTTGACTCATACTCTTTCTTGGTGTTTGCTCCAGCTAAACATGAAAAAATGTTAACATAGTGTTCATTGCCGATAATTCTTATACCGCCTATGCCAAATGGACTTACAGTAGGAGTAGATGGTGGGCTGACAGGCTGTACCATATTTGCCAAGAACTGAGATTTGGAGGCTTGAAGCAGACTTAAAAGTTCTTCCGGAACAGTATCTTTGTTTTTATCCAAAAAGCCTTCTGCCTCATATTGTACATCGTGAGCATAATGAGCGACGACAAAAGCATTGTTGGAAAATCGTGGTTTCTTGAAATAGTCTTGGTATTGAGGGGTGGCTCCAAAATTTTGGTAAAGCTTATTACAAAAGCCTTGATCAGTACCAGATGGTAAACGGGATTCTTCATCCAGGAGTGACAAGACACCCATCTTTGCTTCTATCATTTCTATACATTTCTGATTATCACTGAAAGCAATAAACTTCCAATCAATCTCTTCTCTGACGTATTCTTCTTGTTCTAATTTGAAAACATGTTGGTTGAACTAATAAAGAAAGGCTAAATTAGGTATTGCACACATGGTTTTGTGAAATCTCCTATTGACTTTACTTGTTGTTGCAGTTTCTCATTTGCATAGTTGATACAAAACTGTTCGAAAGAGTTCTTCTTGAAATGTTCAAAACCGTAAATATCAAGCACACCAATGAAACTCGCTACTTGGTCAATCTGAGAACACGATAAACTCTCGTTGATATTCTTCACCAACCATTCAAACAAGTTGGCGTATATGTATTTAGCAACTGAGTCGCGTACAACGTGAGCTTGTGTAGGAGACAAATTGGACACGATCTTCTCCGAACGAGTGATGATTTGTTTCCTCACAATCCATTTTTTGAACTCGGATGCGTCCAAGCCTAAAAGCTCGGTAGCCTTCGCCAAAGAAGGGTCTCCCTCTGGCACTGTAGCATCATTTCTGCCACCGATTTCAATGTTGCCCAAATGCAGAAGGGCCGCTAAAAGCTTGAAAATTTCAGTTTGTGTTTCTGGATCAATACCGATAGTGTTTAAAGCTGAACGAGTTTCTCCAAATTCGTGAGCATCATCCACAGAAGGAATGACACCTGTTCCGCTTTGATTTAAATAATGAAAATCAGACCAAGGCTTCAGCGCCAATTCTTGCTTTTCAGTTTCTGTTGCACCTGCACAGAGCTAGTGATGTGTACATTTGTAAGTTTTCGTTGTGTTCATTTAGATGCATTCCTCTGGGTATGATTTCCTTTACCTGATAAAAAATATGGTAGTTTCTTTCGGTTTCGGGTTGGAAGATGAGACGAGATCTTTCCAATAAGTAGGTTCTGATTTTTGCACCGACGATATTTCGTTGCTTGTCGAATTGAATTTCTATGTATTTACCGAATCTCGAAGAGTTATCGTTACGTGTAGTTTTAGCGTTACCAAAGGCTTCCATGATGGGATTGGTGGCTAAGATTTGTTTTTCCACTTCCGTCATACTGTCTCCTTTTGCCTGTTTGCTGGTGATCTCTTTATCATCGGCTGTTGCAAAGTAGCGCATAATATACTTTGCACTGACAGTTTTACCAGCACCACTATTTTTAATCTCGGTTAGATTGCTGCTGGATGGTGGCTCACGCATTTCGTTTCATTTATTTACCTTTCACCAGAAACAATGATGGTTTGATTTTCGTTATCGCGGATCATGCATCTATATGCATCTTCAGCAATGGCGAATAAATGAGGTTCAAGGTCCTCTCTTTTACTTCCAGAATATTTTTGAATAATTTCAGGTTCGTATAAGGGAACACGAGCGAATGGATTTGTGGCGATCAAGACAATCCCAGAATAAGTATAAATTTTCTTGTCTTCATATCTATTTTTGATTGTGTGTAATACTACGATTATTTTAAACAAGTTAGGAGACAAAAGTGCTCAATTATGTGTTATATAGGAGCTCCCTCCAACAAAAACATGTTGTTGTGGTATTTTTTTTATCTGCTGAACCTCTGGAGGAATTTGTCAGGAGCTCCCCTCTTTTTTTTTTTTTTTTTTTTTTTTTTTTTTTTTGTATGTTTTACCGGAAGGTTCATTTAAATAACTTAGACTTGTCAAATCATCTGTATCCTCCATATTAGGAGGGTTTCTAAGCGGAGGTAGTTCGACTTTATTTGATACAATATCGGCCAAAGGTGCATCAAAAACATATTCCTATCAACGTGTCCAAAAAAAAAAGGACGAGATCAGCTTTTTGTTTTAGTAACGACAGCTGATGAACACTACCTTTTCTGAATTGCTGTCGTCTTGAAAAACGATCTTCACTGAATCGTTTGTTTGTTCTTTTGATTTAACTGAGGCTGAGACCCAACCGAGCTCCTCATCGGGGAACCAAGCTTTGATGCCCTCTGAGTAGATCTCTAACAGTTCTACGTTGTTTCCAGACATATGAAAATGATTGCTATAGAAAATGTTGATGGTATTTCAAAGGAAGAAAAGGGAGACAAATGAATGTGGAAGGATAGTGATAGTTAGTCTTGCAAATCGAATAAAAAAGAAGAAAAAGAGGAAGAAGAAAAAGGAACACAAAACAGCAAGTATAGAAGATAGTAAAAAGGAGAAGCATTCAGAAACTTTGTTCCAACATACAAATTAGGCACACAAAGCAAGGTTTGGGCATTTTGGAGATTGCTGAGTTTTCTTGCTCGATTTCATTTGTTCAATAAAATGCCAATTTATTTGATTTTTTAAGGGCTTTAGACGCTAGTGAATACAAAGCTTGGCTAACAAGTAACGGCTTTCTAAAAACTACTCTCCACAACATAAGAAGCGGATAAAGTTGAGTAAGTTTATGGAAAACAGATGGACTATCAATTTTAAGCTTTTTTCTTTGAGCCGAAATTATCCAATATCTCTCCTTGTTGAGACGGGAAGAGGGCGTGAATCTCACAAAATTAGGGCCAACTCTTTTACATCCCGCAGAAGAAAGTGCTACTCAAGACTACGGGCCGTCAAATAAAAATGTGTAAATGCTGGAAGTACTTCAAAAGTACATACATGACTTTTTTATGAATTTCTTTATTCAATAAAGATCCAAAGCATTCCATCTACAAGCGATTGTAATAAAGCTTCAAGAAGAACTTTGCATAAGTGAGAAATTCGCATAGTTCGTAATACTACAATTAAATGGAAAATGGAAAGCATATACATAATTTACATACTGTGAATAGAAATAAATAGGGAAAGTGATATTAAAATAGATACATAAGAAATGTAAAACATTACAAAAGAGTGCGATCATCAATTTACAGCTGTAGTCTCTTTTACTAACAATGTAGGAGAGGAGATATTTCTATTGTTATTTGTATCGTGTGGCGAAGACACTGTTGTTGTGGTAGTAGAGGTGGTAGCTTCATGATGAGGAATGGCGTTCGTAAATGATGCTGTGGTAGTTGAACGCTCACTACTGTTATATTCAAAACGTCGACTATCTTCGGTATTACCATAGGTATACATAGGCATCTTATATTGATGATGTGTGGATTGTTGCTGAGGTGGACGCCATTCATACGGATAACCAGTTGTATAATGATCAGGCATAGATGCAGAGCTGAAAAAGAAAATAAGTTAGCAAAAATACATCTTAAACTTGATAAACCAAGGTGTTTATATTACCTTTGGGCCATTCCCGTTTGGTGAGTATAGCCAGGATGATAATGACCTTGTGAATGAGAAGAGTGTGGCTGAGGATAGTAGTGGGCTGGCTGTTGAGGAGGTTGATGATGAAGGTATGGTGAATCTTGCTGAGAATGCTGTTGGTGGTCCATTGAATTTGTTGTGGTAGTAGTGGTACTTTGATTAGATGTCATTCTCATTCGGCCGTGGTGTTGATAATGACGAGGCTGAACTTGCTGAGCTTGCTGTCTTTGCCAATAGTATGGGTCTGATAGCTGATTGTCTTTCATGGATGGGTGGTATTCACCGGGTGTGCCAGATGGTTGACCGTTGTGAGGCGTAGAATAAGTGGCTTCGGAGGAAGTATTCGACTGCACGCGCTCATGAAGACCAGCGTCACCAGAATAGTAATGACCTTGTTGTATAGAGGCGGTAGAGTTCAAAGGGTAAGGACTGGAATGTGTCATAGACGGTAGTACGGTGGGTGGATAATTATGTCCGTAATGAGAAGGACCGGCTGCATTGTAAGGTGGGTATTCATAGGGCATATATTCGCTGGATGGAAACATGTGCGGGTGAGCGCTTTGAGTACCGTAAGCCGTGTTATGTGTAGTGTTGGTAGTAGCTGTGGTATTGGTATCATTGTTGGTATTGTTCATTGGGTTGGTATTGCGTTGATAAGGATTAGCAGCTATCGGATGGTTGTAGTGTATAGAATTAGAAATGGGTCCCCCGAGACTAGCGCTACTGACAAAATGATGTGCTCGTGATTGTCTTCGAGGAGCACTCACGCGACCTCCTGTGGAGTCCGTTTCGGCATAATGACCAGGACTTCTACCACGAACAACTAAGGGTGCTGATTGGGCAGAGGCCACTGTAATAATATTCTCATTACGAAGCTTGGCTAGAAGTTCAATAGTAATAACGTAATATTGTTGGGCTGCTCGTCTTTTACCATTGTTGGCGGTAGCAGTTTTAAATTGGAGACGTTCGAAAGTAACGATAGATTGACTTGAACCGACAGCACTGAAGCCTAAATTGCCACCGGGACGGATAAGCCGTGGCATGGGAGTGGTTTGCGGACCCTTATCGCGTTTTGGTGTATGTTGAATAAGCGGAACAGGTTTATCACAATCGGATAATTTGGCCCTAACACCAAGCATAAAGTATTGAATTTCTTCCAACTGTCCATGTTGGTCGTCTTTTGCCAAACAGGGTAAATCTTGTCCGTCATAGAGCATCCCAATGCCGTCTAACGAGAATGAACCGCTTACTTGAAAATAGTTTCTACGGTAGCAAGTCCAGTCATTATCAGCTAAAAAAAATCCACGGTCAATTTTTGTATATAGTTGAACACCGATTCTAGTTTTTAATGGTTAGTGGATTAGTTGTTTGATTTACGACACTAGATTAGTATACAATGAGTGCACGTTTGAAAATACTTACATGGTATGTCTATCTAAAGCATAGATATTTTGATTATAGCTTGTAGAACTGAAGGAAGGGCATGTTTCATTGATGAAAACATTACTTTGGTCGCTAGGAACGCCTGCTGAGTAACGGGATGTTCCTGGTGTAACTAAGGCGTTATATCTTTGAGATTCCGGGGGTGAGGAAGTGTAGGCACTGTTACTATTATTACTATTTTCAATATCATCGTGATTTGATTGGAATTCTTCAATGTGATTTCTTGGGGAACTGGATGGTTGAGGTGTTACTGGTTGTGACATACTAGGTCTATTTGAACATAAAGAGGAGATTAGATCAAGAATAGTGGAATAGTCAGGCTTCGGATTTGAATATACCTTTGCGGTGATGGTTGTGATTCAGTTACAGAAGTTAAAGTGGGGTTGTTATTGATATTTGGAGTTGAAGGTGTTGGCACAAAAGCCTGAGAGTCTTGTTGTTGTTGATAAGTTTCTATCTGATAATGGCTAATAAGGTCAAGCAGAGAGGAAGAATCAAAGAAAATGTGTTATTATTGAAATAGAATCTTATCAGAAAGAAGAAAATAGAAAGAAAGAAATTTGGATCTTGAAATTTTTCAGCCGTTTTTTCCCTTCCTTTTTAGACATCTTCCGTTGATTCTTGATTTCCATACTGCAAAGGGAAACGGCTCTCAAGATCGTTATGTCTTGCTCATTAAACATAATAGATAGTCTTTCTCTCAAAAACTATTACGTTATTTGTGATTTCTAAACCGAAAATAGATAATTCTGCGACATTTTTCTTTCTTTCTATTTTCCCTTTTTGAGCAAATAGAATAGGTTACTTTATGACGAAACATACGGTATTTTTTGATTTCCTTGTTTCATTTGGTCATTTAAATTGTGATCCAAGTTTTCGTATTGCTGCTGCTGTTGCTGCACTGTTTGAGAGTTCATGTCCTTTTATTCTAACTGAAGAAAAGTAGAGAAAGTATGAGCAAGAAGAGGAAGAAGAAGAAGAAGAAGAAGGGGAGGAAAGACAGGAAAAGTGGACTAGAGGACTCAAAAATAAACAAGTTAAGTGTAGGCGGATGTTTTACTACAGATTAGATCAACAAATGCCTGGGCATTGCTAAGATACTAATAGTATATCTTTATTTAAGTGCCTTGCATCCAATAGCGGCATTCTCTATAATCGATTCTATTTCGGAGATGATTTCTATTCATAATGCTAAGTTTAAAATGCACCAATTATGTAGTTGTTGGCCAATGGAAGTAAGAGCTAACCAGAGAACATCACACGTATGTAATAGAGAGTTCCATAATACATTCGTCTTTCGTTCTGCCCTGAAAAATGTCAGTTTTTTTTTTTTTTTGTTTCATAATTCGATTAATGATCTTTTTTAACGTGTGTAATCGTTAAGTCTTGTGCATCTGGTAACACATTTGACATTTCTTTCAATGGATCTTCAAACTTGCCACTTCCTTGTTGTTACTCAAAGCAAAGATGTGTATGTTACTGCTCCGAGAAAACCCTTTTTTTTTATTTTACAAACAGTACATACTTTTGCAGGGGTCCACAAAAATTTTTTATACCGTGTATACAGCCAGATGGGCATTATTTTTACTTTGATCTAGCCAATCTGTTAAGCTGCCAATAGCAATCTTATTGGGTGCAATGTTACACCAGCTAGAATCTCTTATTTTTAGAACGCTGTGTTTTCTCAACGGAAGACGTGTGTAAAGATGGCATATGACGGCTGCAGATAGCTAATAAGCAATTTTTTGTAAAGCTCAATTTTTCGATGTTAGATCATGAAACGTATACTGTTACCCCACTTCTGATAAATCTGAATCATTTCACGTCACAAGCTACCCCAGAATTCAGATTTTTAATTGAGTCAAATGTTCCTTGTCAAACATCGCTTCGGGTATTATAAAGGCCGAAATCCGGTGGTATTTGCAAAAAAACAAACGTTACACGATAACCTGAATTTGGGTGAGTTTATTAAACTAGCATGACAAACACAAGAATGGTATGCCCTTGTTCAATGGTTGATCTTGTTCTGAAAGAGTACCTGAATCTTACAACGCACTTTAAGCAATCAGATGGAAACCAAAGAACCAAACAGGGGTTCTGTTTTGCCTCCCGTTTGCCAATGAGTTTGGTTTCCTTTTAAATTGGAGCTCGACCATAATACTAAGAACTGCACACTCAATCAATGGCTTCTTAACAATTAGCGCAGAATGTCAAACCATGAGCATATTTTGGTTAAAGTCAAGCCAAAGTGCCGTTACAATAGTAGATTTTCCGACATATTAAAAAACCTACTACTTCAGAAGACTATTCAACATGATAGCCTATTAGAGCATCGAGGTGATCCCAAAATTTACGGTGAGCGGCAGCGAAACTTATTAGATTGCCGCCCAGCGGTTGCTGCATTATTCGATGTCCCTGGTTTCCCTCTCCCAAACTACATTAATGCTAAATAAGCTCGATAACCACCACGGGATATTATGATTAAACGTCCACCAATGTTTAGAGCACTACAAACTCAAAGCGTGAGGCGATACTTGCAACTAAGCTATCAAACATTCACAAGCAATGTAAGGCGACCGGCACTTGCACGACTCATGTCCAATGCCACGACCACTGATGATGCTGACATTCATCGTATTTCCCCTCAACTCGATATGGACTATTTGGCCAACCATACCAAAGACATTGCTAAGAATATGCAACTCCGTAACTATGACACCGAGAGTATTTATCGTGTCAAAGAACTTTATACCGAACGAGCTCACCTTCGTTCACAAGTGGAACAACTGAACGAAGAACGCGATCGTGTCAATAAACTTATTCGCACAGCCTCCTCGAAAGCTGAGCGCTCGAACTACATAACACAAGCAAAAGAATGGAAAGATCAAATTCGTCAAATCGAAGAAAATCTTACACGTATCGAAAACGAACTGATAACCCAAGCACTTCAAGTGCCCAACAATACCCACCCGGACGTACCTTTGGGAGCCGAGGAAAATGCCAAGGTTATTAAAATCATTGGTGACAAGCGTACTTCAACTGCACCGCTTTTGGATCATGTTGCTATTGCCAATCAATTGGATATGGTAGATTTTGAACAAGCTTCTTTCATTTCAGGCTCAAAATTTTATTACTTGAAAAACTATGGTGTCTGGCTAGAGTTTGCTTTAATTCAGTATGCCATGCAAAAAGCTGCAGCCAAAGGCTTTTCGCCTGTCTTGGCCCCCGATATTGTACGTACATCTGTTGCCTATGGCTGTGGATTCCAGCCCCGTAAAAAAGAAGCCTCTCAGATCTACGACGTAACCACAGCTAGTATGGCGGATACACCATCAGCGCCAAAGATGTGTTTAGTTGGAACAGCTGAAATTCCTTTAGCAGGTTTATCGGCACGCACTCTTCTTAATGAGGAGGAACTCCCAAAACGGATCGTTGGGTTTAGTCATGCATTTAGAGCAGAGGCAGGACATGGATCAGCAGAAGAAAGAGGGCTTTATCGTGTCCACCAATTTTCCAAGGTGGAGCTATTTGTCGTCACGACACCGGAGCAAAGTGAAGCGATGTTGGATGAAATGAAGGCGTTGCAGGAAGAAATGTTTACAGACTTGGGTCTTTGTTTTAGAATACTGGATATGCCCACAGAAGAACTAGGTGCGAGCGCATATAGAAAATACGATATGGAGGCCTGGATGCCAGGGAAAAATGGATGGGGAGAGGTAAGAAAAAAAGAAAGAGCCAGTCATGGGCAATGTGGCAAGAGATGAAATGATCTATAAAGATGCTTACACGAAATGCTTCACTCATTTTAGATATCATCGACTTCTAATTGCACGGATTATCAAACACGCCGGTTAGACATTCGATACTTATCAAAAAGATTTAAGGAAGAGGTTGGCATAAAGGATGTACGTGTACCTTGGAGCATTAAAGAAAAGTATGTGCATTATTGCCATACATTGAACGGGACCGCCATGGCGGTGCCGCGAATCATTATAGCACTTTTAGAAACACATCAGAATTCTGACGGCACCGTCAATATTCCAGAACCGCTTCGAAAATGGATTCCTGGTGAACCTAAAATTATAAAATAATGGATCTAACCAGGTACATTCGAACAATAAAGATTTAATAGATATGGATAAAAGCCGAACAGAGTTTTATATTGTGAGCCTGTAACTGTTACTAGCCAAGAAGTGATAAATACTAGATGCGAATAGGTGTAATCAGAGTGGGGGTATTTGGGTAATTATACTTTACAAAATGAGACGTATTTGGGGGAATTGGCATTCTCAAGATTCGATACAAAGCAATCATCAAAACACAATGTAAGCATGCTACTAACTGCCAAACAGTATTGTTACGACTTATTTCGCCTGTTCCCGCTGAAGCGGTTTGTCTTGTTGTTGCTTCATCTTTTGAAGTTTTTGTTGTTGAATGAGTCTTTCTTTTGATTTACGTTGTCTTAATGTAGCAGCCTTGACTTCGTCTTGATGCCATCTGTGGAGACTGATAGCTGTTGTCATTACCACTACCAAAATAGATCCTAATAATGTATAAAATCCAGGTATATTCTTGAATAAAACAATATCAAATATGAAAGCGTATAGAAAATCAGAAACACGAAGCAAGATCACTATTTGGAAAGTTTTTAGAAACTAACAGAACCGTATTTTCTAGATTATTTGCTGTTGGTATACTTTACCTGGACCTCTTGGTGCTTTTTTCAGGCTACAATCATTTTGAAAGCATTTAACGATCGATGATCACTATTAATTTTTTTTTTCTTTTTTTGTTGGTTGCTTACCCAAGGTTAATCAGGTACTGTCCAATAAAAGCAAATATGCCAACCAAGATGAGCAGACCGGCTTCTCTTGTGTCTTTAGGCAAAAATAATCTCTCGACTGAAAATAAATGAAGAGGAATACCTATACAAAGTGATACCAGGCCGAAGTAAACAACATGGACCATGATATGTGTTCTTTGGCTGATTTTGCTGACAGTGATATATGCTGTCGCTGACATTACTGCCGCTAATAAAGCTGATACAACTGCAAAGAAATGATCATAATCTTGTTCTTCTTCAGTTACAATGTTCCGAAATAGAAAATTAGGCTTCGACACAAAGAATAGACCAGTAAAGCATATAATGGAGTAAAATGCATCGAGAAACGAGAAGCTCCCGTTCATAACTGCACAACTGAACATGGCCTTAAATACTGGGCCTAAAAAGAAGATAGCTATTATTCACGAGAAGAGAGTAAAAATGTCAGAGGGTGTTTTCTTTGCAGGAAAGATATTGGTTTTATTAGGTCTACCCGTTGCATCTATCAGTGATAGTTTAGTCAAGCTGTAAAAAAAGAAGAACAAGGCTATAGAACTCGCTACCGCTCTACAGAAGAGCCAACGACGAACACCTTTTTGACCAAAAGGATTCACTTGTACCACACAGCATCCAACCAAGCCAAGTAGAAGCTGTACGGCAGCTCGAGCAACTACTATATCCACGGAGGACCATTCTGTACCGATCCATTTAACAATAACAGATACACAAGCAAATAATAATGAAGAAAGACTGAGCAAAATTAGACTTCGTATTTGGGCTTCTCTTGTCTGTTCATCGGTGCTCAGGGTAAAGCATGACGCAATTTTAAATGAGTCGTCTCGATGTCGAGAGCCTCCTGCTAATTGCTGCTCTTGCGAAATGAGTGGTGTAGATTCGTTGACAATGATAACGCTCGATGGTACAGGGTGAACCAGTAAGTTGCGTTCTTCGCTTTCTACTGTTACGGCATGATTGGTATTTTTCGACGAATGACTGGCAGCTGTCATATACGGCTTACAATATTTGAAAAGATCAAAGTAAAAAAAAAGTGCATAATCGAGCTCGGAACAAAAATGATGTCAAGTTTTTATAAAGGAAAAAAATCCAGTATTTTGGTATGTCTATCACTTTTCGCGACAGCAGTGTCACCTAGACTTTTTAAGACTTCCTAATGGCACAAAGAGCTATAAAATAATGGTCAAGACAAAAATAAAAAGTCCCTCAAAATGAATGCTGTAGATATAATGAACTTATTAGGGCATCCATCCTACCCAATTGAAGAAAAAACCATATTCATTCTGCTCTTACAGTAACTTGAAAAGAAAAGATGTTCGTTGCTTCTTTATCGACAGTTTTCCTACCAATGCTGAATCCATTACGGAAGACACATACTCAGTTGCGGAAATGAGAAGCGTTCTACTGCTGTGTTAATTGTTACTCTTAGCACATTCATGACAGATCAGCAAGACTTTGGATACGTAAATTGCTTCACTTGAACCATTGGACTTTACAGCTTAAGCAGAGCAGTTATGTACACCTTTTGCCAAAATGATGTCGCAAAAAAAAAAGTTAATAAGTGTCGCGCTTTTAGAAAAAAGAATGTTGTATATATAATTGTTTATTAAATAGGATGGCCTGCAAGACAGTCATCGAAACGTCTAGTGGAATAGCGCGCAAACCCTTCAAAAGATGACTGGGCAACTTGGTTGCTAGCGTCTGCAAATTATTTGAGGAATAGTATCTTTTTTGAGTATAAACTCTCTTTTTACACTACTCTTAACAACAGACCAAAATTGTTCTATTGGGTTGAGTTCTGGAGAGTAAGGTGGCAAGTAAATGCACTTGTAGGCACGCTCTTTGATCATCTCGCCAATTATTTTACCTGTATGTATGGGCGCATTATCCATGATCAGATAATGTCCCTTCATTTCAGGAAATTTGTCCATCTCAGCAAGAACGTCTTTAATAAAATTGACATAGTGATTGGTAAGCTGATTTTAATCAAGCCTTTAGCAGAAATGGCACCCAAGATGGAAATTGAATTGGCTCTAGCCGTAAGTACTTTGACTTTGGTAGCCTTTTGGTGCCCAGCCTTGGGTTCTTCTCAGGTTTGCATTAAACCCTGATTCATCGATAAAAACACTGTTACTTATATAGTCAACGCCCATAGAAAGAAACACTCCAGCAAGAATCCAAGCGAGAACTCATTGTGGTAGTAACTATTAGCTATTGAAGAAGAAAAAAGCTCATAACTCAGATCATCCGATATCTTTATACATGAGATAGGACATGAACCCGACTGAGGATAATGACGTAGGGATCAGCATACCTTCAAAATAGTGAACTTTACCGAATGCATCTCTAGGTTGAAGTGCGACTGTGGCGTTGAATCTTGCAAGACGGGCGATACCACAACATACGGGCAAGTTGGATCGATAATGTCAAATATTTAATCAACATAAATAAACTTCTCAAGTGAATTGAGTTAGATTTTCTTCTTTTGTAGAATAATATCAACGTATCTTTAACTCTTGATGAGTTAATTCAAGTGATCATATAAAATGATATTTCAACCCAACAATATAAATACTCATTAAATAAATTATTATAAATTGATCTTAATCTCAAGATTCATAAATATAAAGGGTTCTTAAATAACCGTCTTTCTTTTTTTTTATTTAATCTTAACTGTGTCCTATAACAAGGGCTCCAATCGTGCCTTGCAGGCGGTCAAGAAGTCAGCATCAGAGTAGTTGTAAATCTTATCAATTGGAATTATGGTGGACTAAATTAAGTAGCGAGACTATAAAAAGATATTGAATTGTCTTTATTTCGAGTTAACGTTTGGGTCTCTTTTATATCTTTTGGAATAAGTAATTTGTTTGGGGAGAAGGCATGTCTAAGACCTTGTAAATAAATATGGACAGATAGGAAAATACATGTAATGTTGTTTAAGTGAATAATTACATATATTTGGCCTAGGTAATTATAGAGGACATCACAGTAGTTGACACAAAGAGTTTGGCAGACACTGTTTCAATCGGGCACTGGGGCGGGATGGGTCTATCTGTGGTATTTCCATACCTCCTATAATATATAAAGACAAATTAGACACACTTTCAAGCATTTGACTCGTTATTATGATCATAGAATATAATAACACTTGTACACGTCATCTTGTATTTCTAAATATGCGCATATGTAATGCTGCATTATTACTGGTTGAGAAATTCAGGTACAAGTATTTAACTCCTTTTTTTTTAATGTTTCTCTTTCCTTTCCTTCTTTCTTTTGTTGTCAATACAAACAGCCAATTCGCTATGAACGCTTCCCTCTCTGATTTTCAGTGTATAATAAAAGGACTAAAGGAGACTCATTTCACCTTACAGTTTATATCAAAGTTATAAGTCGCGTTCACTAAACATAAAACAACTACAAATATCACATGTGGATCCCCTTCTTGACTCTCTTTTGAGTAATCTCGAAAATGGCGTCCATTTACGATGGTAAATAGACGATTGTTGCTATTAAATTGCTTCTCATTATTGATTTTTTGTAACAGGACAAACTTAAATGACACCGAACAAGGCTCGGAAAGACCTGATAGCGTTATTTCTGTCATTATGCAGTCCAATTGGGGTAAGAGCTTGGGGTACGGAGAAGCAAAGATTGCAGAGCCCACCGACAACAAGTTCATGCATGCCTGGGACTTGTGCCGCCTTGGGCATTTTTCTAAGGAAACGATAAATACCGTCAACATTAAGTCCTCCATCTCTTTCCAATTAAAAGGTAGCTTAAGCTGATTAGTAGCAACTGCCGTTCTGATTAATAGCAACTGCCGTTATCTAACCTTATTGAAAACAGGCCATAGCATCACTGTATACACGACCATACTGAGTGCAGACGGGATTTATACCATGCTTGAACTTACTCGTATACAAATTCCGCAATCCGTGGAGAGCTTGGAACTGCTTACAACTCAATCGACACTCAAACAATTGCTACAGGTGGCATACGTGTTTGAAAAAATCAGACAACAAAAGAAAGAGGAGACAAAAGAATTCTTTCTCATGAAGCGATATGGACCCGGATTGGTTCAGCTTCGGGAATTAATATCAGACAAAAAAGACAGAAAACGACCTTGTACATTGCGCTTTTAAACATCCTCTCCTTGACACTCTTTTTTTTTTGTTATTATACCAGTCTCTATGCCATTTTTTCCCAATAAATTTCTACTTATTTGACCACTGTGTTTCCTCAATGTAAGACGTGTTGTACTCCTATAGTTATTTGAATTATTATCGAAAATAAACATTAAAGATTCAGTTCTCAATACAAATCTCCTCCCCACTAGTCTTACACTCAATTCTCAAATTATGTATATTTAAGTGACATCTTCGTACGGTACATCACCACGATTGGAACAGAAATTGATGTTTGTTGTGTATTGTAGAATATTTCTGGTTATATTAGTATCGATAATAAAAAAATGTTGTGCACTCTACTATTTTTATATGTCTTTTCTTTTTCCTTAGTTAATTTCAATTGGCATTCCACTAGATGTTTTGATGACTGCCTTGCAGGCCATCCTATTTACTAAACAATTATATATACGACATCTTTTTTTTAAAAAGTGCGACACTTAATAACTTTATTTTTTGCGACATCATTTTGGCAAAAGGTGTAATGTTCAATCTGTTGAATACAGAGTTCCATATGAATAATATATCAACTTGTTTCTGTTGTTTGTAAACCTTGGGAATGGGTGCTGGTTTGAAGACAAAACAACACCCTATTTTTTATATATAGTATTACAATAGTACAAATATTGAGCAGCTTTACAAAAAAAAAATGTATTCATGTCAATCTCCATCGACACTACGACTGCCTACCACTTCATAACGTCAGGATGAGTTTTAAAGACATTGTAATCTTCTAAATTAAAGAATGATAGCTCGGTTTCGTTATCTAATTGAACAAAGGGCAACTTAGAAACACGGTTAGGAGAGCAATAAGTTTAACAGAGGCAGACTTTACCAATGCCTTGCCAGGCAAGTACGGCGTTATCGTCTGTTAAAAGTAAATGATCGTCGTCTTCAACGTTAATGATTAAATTCATAGTCTAAACATCAATCCATTGTTAGCCACGAAAACAGAAGAGTTATTGTGCTTTCATCATGATGTTCGAAGCAACCTTATGACCGTGAGCAACGGTATAAATCTTGAGAGTATCTATTTATTAAACGAATAAGGCTTAGTCGATATGAACCCCCTTCATCAGTCAATTTTTTAATTGGCAATTTTTACCAAACTTCACGTTGAGATAAGGCTTCCAACCTGGTTGTGTATGGATTTCTATGATAGTTCTCAATCAGATTTTTGAGCGTTCAAAGAATAAGACAAGGCGACTCTACTCTATACACTACTTTCTAAAGCAATCTTCTTCAAGTCACCAACTGTGATTGTTTCCAAATTGACATGCTGAAGTACAAGATTTTTACATGTACGATATTCAAAATTTTTAATACAACGAATGGTTAAAGTGGCATCAGAGGCGGGTTTAGCAAGATTGGTAAGATCGTTGACTTCAGCCATTTCAATAGTGGTATATGATTGTTAAAAATGGTAAGGTTGGATTTTTTTTCTTTTTTCCCAAGTATTCTAGAAAAGCAAAGAAAGCGACAAGTCGAGTCGGAGTGTACTATTTTCTAAAAACAGACATGTTCAATCCATAATGGTTTAGCATGAAAATGTTGACAGTCGGAAACGTATATAGTCCATTACAGCGTAAAAAAACTGTGAAAAAACAAAATAGGGTTAGAGGCAAAGCATCCTGTATAGGCAGAACTATTGACATTGACTACTTTGGATTTGACAATCAAATAAAGGGCGGCTGTTATTGGATAACCATCAAACGAAAGAGATAAGTGTTTTAAGCTAGCCATGCTATACAGACGAACAATGAAACATTTACTTTAAAAAGAGCCAGAAGACGTTTTGATACTGCATAAAATAGATCATGGGTCATCAGTAAAACTCTCAGGGCACTCGTCTGTGATAGTGGTATGGTGTTGCTGAGACGTTCCATTGGGCAATACGTAAGCCCTTCAAGTCAATTTGCTGTAGAGTCAAATTACAGTGATAACCACTTCTGTCTTTGTGAACCCACATGAGAAAGCGTCAATCATTTGTGAGTAAATTCACTTTCTTTATCCTTAATTATTCACGATCAGGGGATGCACACGTTCGAAGCGCGTTCCATTAAATATCACGAAAATTGGAATTTATATATTTTTTTTTTTCTTTTTCAAAAATTGCCCCTTTTTTTCCCTGCTCTTATCACTTTTTCCCCATATCTTTGGCTTTACCTCCTTTCAAACTCTTTATACACCCTTGAATAACAGTATAGAAAGACAAACTATTATTGATGTCCTATTCGCCACGAAATTCACTAGGATTTAGCTCACAAGCACTCAAAGAAAGTCCTTCACGATTAAATAGGTTTAGTGAACGATATCAAGCCTTAACTGAGTCACCCGCTCGAGATAATACAGAATCGTTCAGCATTATCCATCGTAGCCCACTGAAACCTACTTATAATGCAGAACATAAAGTCTATGAAAAGGAAAAGTATTTGGCGTACGAATTACAAAATGAGGATCGCGGCAACTGGAGAGAAGGAGACATTGTCAACGACAAGCCATTGAACGTAGGCGAAGAAGTTGAAATGACTGACATCAAGAAGAGTCCCAATCGTCAAGTGAAGAAAAGACTACTCAAGCAACGAGAGAAACGACAAACGCAACAAAAGCAAGTAGTGGAACAGTATCCTGAAGAGACTACTCAACAAGATACGCAGCCTGTAGAAACGGAAGCAAGTTCTCCTCTCCTAACAGAGCAAGTACATCCATTGAACGATGAGCTAACAATGAAACAGTCAGAGAAAAAGACTCAACCGACTCAACCGACTCAACCGCCAGAACAAGAAAGCAAATTGCCAAAAGTTACTGCTAAACATAGTAACATACCACGATACATGCGTTCAACAGTCTCTTTTCATGAAAAAGGCAACGGAAATAAAGGAACTCAAAACCGTGATAGTCTTTTGAAAAGTCGCACAAAGGGTGGAATAACTGTAAGACGACTTCTTGAAAAAACTACTAGGTGGTTCAAATGTATTACCAATGCTCATCAAGTCTTTTTATTATAGAAACGAGTAGGTACTTCAAATGTACCACGCTTCAAGTCCACAACCAAGATCAACGCCACCAAGGAAATAAAGAATGAAATGGCACCTGGAGAAGCGTTCGTTTCCATGGCTGCAAGGATAAAGTTATTTGAAAGAGACTTAGGAAACCATTCTAGCAAACTCAATCCCATTGTAAGCCCCCCCTCCAAATTCAAAGTTGCAAACTACTAATACAGTGATTGAACATCCCTAACTTGTAATGGGTTTTTTTGAATTACATTTCAGGTACCGAAGAGACCAGTTTCACGAGCTAACAATAAGCAAAGCAGCAGCACCGCTAATTCACCTCAAAGCTCTCAAAGTAAGGAGTCCAACGCTTCATCTTCTTCTATACCACGCTATCTCCGACAAACTTCATCCTCTTTAAGCAAAATGAACACACCAAAGACGATATCCAAGGAAGTGAAGGTAATTGATTCGTTCCTTAGTATTTGTTTGAATCTTCAATATATGCAATAGGATTTTGATATGACTCTATAGCAACAATCTTCTTATCATTCAAGCAAACTCGCGGATAAAAACAATCCGAACGAAGGGTCCAAAGAGAGAGTGATCCTATGGAGGAATAGGGTTAAGCAAGCTTCACTGGAACAGCATCGTAACAAACAAAAAAGTAAAATCAACAGGGAATTAAAAAGAAAGGTAGCATCCCTATGATTGGCCAGGAAAATGGTAGCTGTAGCTTATTCTTTAACTTGTGTTCTCCTTTCAAATATAGGGTCAAAATACCACCACTGATAGCTTACAATATATTAAGAAACAAAATACAAACAACTAATAACATTTCCTTTCAGACTTGCTCAATATACTTTAATTGATTCTTGATAGAGCATTAGCTAAAATTTATAAATAAAAACAGCACTGTAAAAAAAATCGGTTTTAATGTAAACAATTTGTGGCGAACTTTCCCCAAAGACAAACGGTCACGTCTGAATTTGGCACACTCGTTTTGCATTTTTTTCCTTTTTGACACCTCAAGTTTTTTTATTCCATCCAACCTTTCCTTCAACTCAGAAAGAAAAAGTTCAATGGTATATAGACATATATACAATGCCTGTTTTACAGAAGAGATGCCCTAATGCTCTTTCTTTTATACAATATAGGCCAATTATATTTTGTTCGAAACAGCCTCAGGCTACACTCTTTTTGAGCGTTTGCAATCAGAAGAAATTGGTTCCAAGTTGGAATCAGTTCAAAAGTCAATTGCTGATCTTCCCAAATTCAGCAAAATGCTCAAGCTTAAGTCTTTCCAACCTTTCAAAAGTGCTGCTGATGCTTTAGAAAATGCCAACGATGTTTCTGAAGGTAATTCATTTGTACAAACTGAAAGTTCGCTTGACAGTGTGCGCTAAATACGTACGTAACGTATGCTTCCGTGTTTTGTAGGTATCGTCAACCCTTCTTTGAAAGCCTTCTTAGAAATGAACCTTCCTAAGGCTGATAAGAAATCCAAGGTTTGTCTTGGTGTCACTGAAAAGAATTTGGCGGGTGCTCTCAAGTCTGAGTTGAACATTGAATGCGCTTCTGACGAAATGGTCCAAGAGCTTATTCGCGGTATTCGTTTGTGGGCTGAAAAGTTACTTGGTCAACTCAAGACCGGCGACTTGGAAAAGGCCCAACTTGGTCTTGGCCACAGTTATTCTCGTGCCAAGGTCAAGTTCAATGTCAACCGTGCTGATAACATGATTATCCAAGCTATTGCTTTATTAGATCAAATGGATAAAGATGTGAACACTTTTGCCATGAGAGTGAAAGAATGGTACTCTTGGCACTTTCCTGAAATGGTCAAGATTGTCAACGACAATTACAAATACGCTAAGCTTGTCAAGATTGTTAAGAATAAATCTGACATTTCTGAAAAGGATTTGGAAACTATGGCTGATATGTTAGATGGCGATGAAGCTATGGCTCAACAAATTTTGGATGCAGCTCGTGCCTCGATGGGTACAGATATCTCACCTATCGATATGATCAACATTCAGAACTTTGCCGATCGTGTTATTTCACTCGCTGAATACCGTCAAAAACTCCACAGCTATTTAGTCACCAAGATGAACTATGTTGCTCCTAACTTAGCCGCTTTAGTGGGCGAAGTGGTCGGTGCCCGTTTGATTTCTCAAGCTGGTTCCTTAACAAACTTATCCAAATATCCTGCCTCCACCTTACAAATCCTCGGTGCCGAGAAGGCTTTGTTCAGAGCATTGAAGACGAAGGGAAATACACCAAAGTACGGTTTGATCTACCATTCCTCCTTCATTGGACGTGCTGGTCAAAAGAACAAGGGTCGTATCTCCCGTTATCTAGCAAATAAGTGTACTATTGCCGCTCGTATCGATTGTTTCTCTGATGCTCCTACAGACAAGTTCGGTCAAGCCATGAGAAAGCAAGTTGAACAAAGACTCGAATTCTTCGATAGTGGTGCTCGTCCTGAAAAGAATATCGATGTTATGAAGAAGGTCATTGAGGAATTAGATTTAGATGATGACGAAGAAGAAGCTGAAGCTCCTGCTGCTACTGCCGGTACAAAGAGAGCAGCTACTGAAGATGACGTAGAAGAAAAGCCTGCTAAGAAGGCCAAGAAAGAAAAGAAGGAGAAGAAGGAGAAGAAGAGCAAGGAAGAGAAGAAGGAGAAGAAGGAAAAGAAAGAGAAAAAGGATAAGAAGAGCAAGAAAGAGAAAGTGTAAATTGTAAAGAAACCCAAGTATATAATTATTGTAATATTTTTTTTTCTATTCATCACCAAGTGTATTTTGAAATTATATGTCTTTTTTCAAACTATAAATAAACTTATTCATTCGTTTCTAAAAGTAAAAAATATCTCTCTCCACTAAAAGATGCTTTTGCTTTTTAAGGCTGTAGAATGGCAGTCTATGTAAAACTACTGTAGTTACAGTACCTTTGCATTTGGACTGGACGAACAAAGCTGGTTTGTCTGACCAATGGCCCTGAAAGCTTTAGTACAGTGAGAGTACTAATGCAATATATCGTTGGTTTTGAACATGTAATAAGGGATCTATTTATCTGCCATAATGTGACTTTAAGAGCACTACATGGTGGGTCATCCTACAAAATAGAAGGCACGGTTATTGATTGAGTCGCTGGATAGGCTTTTTTAATGCACGGCTTGGTGGGCCATTCACCTGATGAAACTCACTAAGCCACAGTTCAATTTCCATTACAAGTAATCACTTTTTTTTTTAAAAGAAAGCAATTTTTATCGCGCGGTAGTAGTCACCCAGAAGTAAATAGCCCTTCCCTCACATCCCCTTTTCTTCGTAATACCGTTTTTTACTCAGTTGAAAGATGCCTAGTGTTGACTGGAAGAATCTCCCCGAAAACGAAGAAGATATCAACTTTGACGATATTTATGAGAAGCATAAAGTTGTTTCTGACAGTGACTTTGACCATATCGTTGTAGTTGATGGCGCACCCATCGTTGACGAAGCAAAGGAGGAAAAATTGGTTGCTGTCCTCACCAAATTATTTACAAAAGGTGCTGGTGAGATCAAAGAAAACGGCTTTTGGATGCCCATGACTACCAATGAGGAAGGAAAGAAGACTAGCTTAGGGTATGGACACATTTTACACCCATTAGTTCAACCATTCAAAGAACCCTTTCACTGATGTTTATTTGCCTTTCGTTATTTCTTTAGTTACCTCTTCATTGAATTTAAATCAGCTGAATCAGCACATGCCGCCGTTAAAAATTTGGATGGCCATAAACTCAGTAAAACGGTAACACTCTCTGTCAACAAATTCACCGATGTCGAGAAATACACAGACATGAATGAACAATATGTTGAACCTGAAATCGAGCCTTACACACCTAAAGAACATTTGAAGAGTTACTTGATGGATCCTCAAGCACGCGATCAATTTGTCATGTACAAAGGAGACGATGTTTCCATTTTCTGGAACAGAAAGACTGAATCTCCTGAACATGTTTATTCCAGAACTGTAAGATATTTATGACGACAGCACAATATGTTACAGGACATACGTAAATAATTGACCTTTCTGCTCACTATTTTTTTACCAAAATAGAACTGGACCGAGACTTATGTACAATGGTCCCCTAAAGGTTCATATCTCGCTACATTCCATACACAGGGCATTGCACTCTGGGGTGGTCCTTCTTGGAACAAGATTGTTCGTTTTGTTCACCCGGGTGTCAAGTTGATCGATTTCTCTCCTAATGAGCGCTATCTTGTCACTTGGTCTAATGAACCTATTTCATTAGCGAGATTGCCTGAAACCGGCCATCCTTATTCAGATTATGACGAAGGTAATCAAGTTGTTGTTTGGGATATCAAAACGGGTGATTTGCTCCGTAGTTTCCCTCTCGTACAAACTTCAGAAGAACAAAAGACCGTTCGCTGGCCAATGTTCAAATGGTCTGCTTCTGAAAAATATTTTGCTCGTGTTGTGCCTGGCCAGCAATTATCTGTTTACGAAGCTCCCTCTATGGGTTTGGTCGGAAAGAAGTCTATCAAGAGTCCTGGTATCGTCGACTTTGAATGGTCTCCTGCAAAGTCTGGCGCTTCTGACGTAAAGGTTCCAAACAAGGAAGATATTTTGGCTTATTGGACTCCTGAAATTGGTAACCAACCTGCTCGTGTTGTCATGATGTCCATTCCCTCGAAAGAAATTCTTGCTACCAAGAACTTGTTCAACGTCTCCGAATGTAAGTTATATTGGCAAAATCTTGGCCAATTCTTGGCTGTCAAGGTGGATCGTTATACCAAGACCAAGAAGTCTACTTTCGCCAACATTGAAATTTTCCGTGTCAACCAAAAGAATATTCCTGTTGAAACCATTGAAATGAAGGATCCTATGATTGCCTTTGCCTGGGAACCTTATGGCACCCGTTTCGCTTGTATTACTACCAATGACCCCAACTTTGGTACAGCTCCTGCCAACGGTCAAGCAGCTGTTACCCTCAAGACCGATGTCCAATTCTTCTATCTCGATGATTCTAAGAAGGCCAATGCAGGCTTCAAATTGATGATGTCGATACCTAAGAAGACTTCTAACTATCTCTTCTGGTCTCCCAGAGGTCACCATATTGTCTTGGCCACACTACGTTCCTCCTCAGTTTCTGATCTCGAATTTTACGATATTGATTTCGAACCTCTCAGCAGCGATAAAAAGAACAAAAAGGTTGGCTCTACTATTCAGCTTTTGGCCACACAAGAACACTACGGCGTCAGCGACGTAGAGTGGGATCCTACGGGTCGTTACGTTGTTACAGCTGCCAGTATGTGGCGTCAATCTTCTGCTGATCATGGCTTCTGTATTTGGGATTTCAAGGGTCAACTCTTATTCAAGCAAAATATCGAAAACTTCAAGCAGCTCTTATGGCGTCCTCGTCCTCCTAGCCTCTTATCTCAAGAGGAAAAGAAAAAGATCAAGAAGAACCTCCGTCAATACTCTAAACAATTCGAAGAGGAGGATCTTGCCATGGGTGATGCTAACGCCGCTAAACTCCGTGCTGAGCGTAGAAAGGCCGTTGAAGAATGGTATGCATGGAGAAAGGCAACTGAGCGTCAATTGGAGGAAGAACGTAAGGCTATGGGTAAGGAACTTCAAACAACCGATGAAGGCAAATCTGAAGTGGTCGAAGAATGGGTTGAAGAAGTTATTGAAGAACATGAAGAGATCGTTGGATAAGAGTTTTTGTAGTATACTTTATATTTTTCTGTTTTTTATATTTTTCACCCATTTCCCATTTAGTAATAAAACCATTTGCAACCTTAAGCAACAAGATAGACATTGTATAAAAAGAAAAAAAAAAAAATATACTTTTTAAAAAGAATTTTATTCAAAAGGGCTTTCTAACAAAAATCAACATAAAACAAAAAATTTGTTTTAATGAACATTTTTAAATATATCTGGTACAGAGGGGAAGCATTAAAGAAGAATGAAAAGAAACTCTAATTTAAAGAATCTTGAAAACTAAAAAATTTAACGACGTTGAGAGTAAACGTGAGCGAAAGCACGAGTAGAAGCACGCTTCAACTTGGATTGAGCAGCCTTCATATCGTCAGCCTTGGCTTCATCAGCGTTAATTTCCAAAAGTTCCATGGCTTCAGCAAGAGCAGTTTCAATGGCTTCACGGTCACCACGACGGAGCTTCATGTTGACATTAGGATCGGAGATGTTGTTTTCAACTTGGTAGACATAAGCTTCGAGGTCTTGCTTGGCTTGAACAACAGCTTCACGAGCCTTATCAGCGTCAGCGTTCTTTTCGGCATCTTGAACCATACGTTCAATATCAGCAGCAGAAAGACGGGTAGAGTTGGAGATGGTAACATCAGCCTTACGACCAGTGGTCTTATCTTGAGCAGTAACCTTCAAGATACCGTTGGCATCAAGATCGAAGGTACAGAGAAGTTCAGGAGTACCACGAGGAGCGGGGATAAGACCAGAGAGAGAGAATTCACCGAGAAGGTTGTTTTCCTTGGTCATCAAACGTTCACCTTCGTAGACAGGGAAAGTGACAGTGGTTTGGTTATCAGCAGCAGTGGTGAAAACCTTGGACTTTTGACAAGGGATAGGAGAGTTACGGGGAACAACAACGGCCATGATACCACCTTGCATTTCAACACCAAGAGAAAGAGGAACGACATCCAAAAGAAGGAGATCTTGGGTCTTTTCGTTACCAGCTTGGTTAGTGAGGACAGCAGCTTGGACAGCAGCACCGTAGGCAACAGCTTCATCAGGGTTGATGGACTTGTTCAATTCCTTACCATCGAAAAGATCTTGGAGAAGAGATTGAATCTTGGGGATACGAGTAGAACCACCAACGAGGACAATTTCGTCAACCTTCTTCTTGTCAATCTTAGCATCCTTGAGGACACGTTCAACAGGTTCGACAGTACCTTGGAAAGCAACAGAGTTGATTTCTTCGAATTTAGCACGAGTGATGTTGGATTGGAAATCAACACCATCGAAGAGGGAGTCAACTTCAACAGTGGTTTGAGTCAAAGAAGACAAGGTACGCTTAGCACGTTCGGAAGCAGTACGGAGACGACGGAGAGCACGAGCATCACCGGTGATATCCTTCTTGTGCTTACGCTTGATTTCTTGAACAAAGTGGTTGACAAGAGTGTTATCGAAATCTTCACCACCCAAATGAGTGTTACCAGCGGTGGCCTTAACAGCGAAGACACCACCAGAGATGGTCAAGAGAGAGACATCGAAGGTACCACCACCCAAATCGTAAATGAGGACGTTACGTTCCTTCTTGTCATTGGCATCCAAACCGTAAGCAATGGCTAAGGTGATGAATAATATTATTAATACGCTATGTTTTGTAAAAACCCTGCTTTCGTTTCCAAATTTACTTACCGGCAGCAGTAGGTTCGTTGATGATACGGAGAACATCAAGACCAGCAATAGTACCGGCATCCTTAGTAGCTTGACGTTGACCTAAAATTCGATATATCCATAAATAACAAATCCTTTCCAAACATTTCTAATCTGTTAAAAAAAAAAACTTACTGTCGTTGAAGTAAGCGGGAACAGTAACAACGGCCTTGGAGACCTTCTTGCCGAGCTTAGCTTCAGCGATTTCCTTCATCTTGATGAGGACCATGGAGGAAATTTCTGAAAAATGTAAAAATAAGGTCAATACGATTTTAAGCTAAGTAAAGCAGACTAATTTTCCATTTAACTAACCTTGAGGAGAGTAGGTCTTAGTTTCACCTTCAAATTCGACTTGAACGAAGGGGTTTTCGTTCTTTTCGATGATAGTGAAGGGCCAGTTCTTCATGTCTTCCTTGACCTCGGGATCATCGAAACGACGACCAATGAGACGCTTAGCATCGAAAACGGTGTTCTTGGGGTTCATAGCAGCTTGATTCTTAGCAGCATCACCGACAAGACGTTCGTTATCGGAGAAAGCGACATAGGAAGGAGTGGTACGGTTACCTTGTTCGTTGGCAATGATTTCAACACGTTCGGATTCCCAAACACCAACACAGGAGTAGCTATGTAAAACGAAATGGCAAAATAATACGGAGGTCAGTGTCGGGCTACTTCTGTAGATATTGGAAATAAGCTGTTGTTGTATGTGGATATTTACGTTGTACCCAAGTCAATACCAATGGCACCCTCGTATTCAGCAGACATATTTAAATATGGAAGAAGGAAAAAGGAAGGATCAACAATATTCCAGGCTCAGAATCGAATTAGTTAGATTTCTGAAAATTTTTTTGACTTGGCTCGAAGACTGCTTTTGAATTTTGAAAAAAAGCGGTGGCTTGTGATGGACAAACTATGTGCGCCTGATCCATCACTACACTCAATAGAACCTATTGGTGATGTCTAGTCGCGTGATGCTTCGCTCTTAAGGCCGCTCTACTTAAACGTGATTTTAATATCAAGAATTCAAATGCATTTTGATATGTACCGAACGGCGAGATAAGTGCCTGCTTTTCTAATATTCTTATTACAGCCCCTTGCTGCTCCGTCAGTACCGTTATAATTATCGTACCTTGCTATCAAGCCTTGATAGTCAGTACCTTTCGATTTAAAGTGCATTCTGAGAAGTTACGCTTGTGAAGTCTTTTTGACATAGTAGAACCGTCATTTATACAAAGCTAGATGAAGACCATAGCTATTGTCAACGATATATAGTGCTCGACAATATTCACACCTTCGGACGTGGTAAAACAGTTAGCAGCCACTGCTAGAAAGGTAGTTGATGCCCAGTAGCATTTGTCACTTCATTAGAAAGCACATATATCTTGCAACCGGTGTTTTATGAAGTTGTTTGGGCGCTGTATTGACTTTTAATGTAATCCATTCGCGTAGAATAGGTAAAAATACAGCAGCACTTAGTGGATTCTGAGCATGTAATTCGATTTAGAGCGTATTCATTGGCTATATCACCCATTTTTTATCAGTATGTATTATATTTTATAAGCACAGGAAGTATAACTTTTAAAGAAAAAAGAGGATTTCTTTTCATTTTTATTAATCATTACAGATATGAAAAGAAAGGTATAAAAAGGGGAAAATGAAATGTACATGAATTAAATATTATTAGGAAAAAATCAGTGTGTAATCATTATGTTCTCTTCAAGACGGCTTAACATTGAATTGAGATTATGTGTAAATTGTATTTGAAGAATGTACTTTTGTGTGTGCTTATAGCATGCCAGAATCTCGTAAGGCATTTTGCAGTAGAGTTTCCTTGACTGCGGCGAAGACGAACCGAATCTATTGAGTGAGAAAGAATAGAAATAGGTTAACAATGTGTCCTTTTCCTTTTAAAGGTTAAGCACCCTCATGCGAGCACGTTACATTAGAAGTGTCCGTTGCTTGTGTAAGACTATTTTTATAATTCAGTGGAAGTTAGAAAATAGAAAAAATCTTATCATAAAAAGCTTAAACTTACTGTGGATAAATGTTCAACTTATTTCTATTGCACTGTAGAAATCTCCAAAGAATATACTTGGCTGCTTTGTTGGCATCGCTACCTCCACCATAATCTGGAAAGTAATTTTCAAGTGGGGAGGATGTTATTTTGGCTTTGAATAGATCCACTTTGTTCAAGAATAGCATTATCGAAGAATGGATAAACCATCTACTATTTACAATTGATTCAAATAGTGCTAAGCTTTCTAACATACGATTCTACATATACAAATTAATGTTACTATTTTTGTTACTCTTTCTTTCGCTAGCGTCATGTAGATCATCGCAAACCTGGTTCGATTCTTCTAATAGGACTTGATCATATTCACTCAGGGCTACACAGAATATAATTGACGTTACTGCATCAAAGCAGTGAATCCATTTTTTTCTTTCGGACCGTTGTCCACCCACATCAAACATACTATGTAAGGGTTCAGTTAGCATGAATTATTCCAATTTCTGGACCGGTTAATCGGCACATAGGCGTTTCCTTACTGTATATTCAGTCCTCCCAATTGGAACTGTATCTCTGTAATGCCCGTTGTCTTTAGTCTCGCCCGCAAGACATCTTGTTCATTAGGTACATAACTTGCCTGACCAATTCTATCTAAATTCTCGAAAAAGCTATAAGGCATTGTTAATATTGAGTATTTTAAAACTAGGTAAACATTCAAACAGTGATTTTTTATCGCTAGTTACTATGGCGCTGAATCCATTAGATAAAATGCTGGTTCCCTTTTTTTCAAGCAAGAAATAACAACGGGGTCTTTCCATAATAGTTTAGATAATGCAACAATTTCAGGGCTAATTTGACTTTTAGGGTTTCCGGATACTCTGTATGATAAGATTCGATCTACGTTTTCCTAGTGTTGATGAAAATTACATTACTATTCTCTGTATGTCGTACATGAATGTGGTAAGCTAGGAATTAATCCAAACTTACATTCAATTCGGCTGTCTCAAACGGTATTTCTTCATCCATCAAAGCTTGCACGATAGTTTGAACACATTCCATTACGTTACGATAAACTGTCGCACGCCAGGTGAACAATTCATCAGCAGAGTAACCGTTAAGGTTTATAATTTTCATCTGCTTTAGAATGGTTGATTTGCCCGACTCGCCACTCCCTAACGCATGTACTTATTAGATGAGCTCGCTACAAAGATAACCGATGAAAAGGTTTGTTACCTAGTAATAAAACTTTGCATTGCTTTTCGCGGTTGCCTTTTTCTTTTTCGATAAGTCTGTCAATTTCATTGCTGCGTTTACTTTCGTGATTTTCTTCTTCCGACGAGTGACATAGACCCATTACTTGTTGTTATGTGCAGTTGACCGAGGTGGTTGTTAAGGCTTAGTTAATGCTTAGTCAGTGCCTGAATGAGTCGTTCCTCAGTCTATTTAAAGATGTGGTGTTCTGCTAATTCAAATCTCTTAATGTTGAAAATGTAGGGTTTTATGCTGGTATATTGCTTCGATGCTTTTTATCTGGCCAACAAAAAACTCTGCTCGTCACTGAAGGTAGACACGGGTTTTACTGTATTGTATTCTTTTTCACTTCTTTATTAATGGAATTTGGATAATAAGAAAAAGAGAAAGAAAAGAACAATTTTGTCTGCCTCAGAAAATCATTAAAAATGCCGGTGATTAGCAGATATGTGGTTTTTTTTTTTTCAAAAAACGACACAACAGTTCTGAGATAGTGTTTTTCGCGCTGACATTTTATAAAATATTCGTTAAGTTACACATCGAATCATTTGGTAATTCTACTGACTTAACCAAAAAGGATTTGACATAAATTATATCTCAAAGATGGGTAACATTGGAGATCTCCATTAAATATACGCCTGTCTTCGGCTGTGGCTTGAGCCCTCTGTCTAGTTTTACCGAGGCAAAATCCAGCGGGCTTATACGCTTGAAGATAAAAAATGTAAAACCTGACCCTTTTTTTTTTATTTTATTTTTTTTATTTTTGATCTGTTCCTATATTCGCATATTATTGCCTGCAAGCTACATAAAAAAAATGTCTTAGTTTCATTTTGGGCATCTTTGTTTCAAAATTACATTTCTACCCATAATGATGTTATCATCCAATCCTCCTGCACATATGAAAACAAAGAGGCAATTGAAGATATGGGAAAAACAGCAGAAGGAAAATGCAGCTAAACGCTTTAACAAAGCATTACATACAAATCAGTCTCCTTTTCGATATGCTGAACGAACATATAAATCTCGACTCTTGTCCAAAGACGACTTGGATGCAATTGTTCATTTTACTGACATTGAGACGTTGAATTCCAAGGAAACACAAGAAATTTTGGTTCGTGTGCAACTGAAGCATGACCTTAGAGAATTGAGCTCCTTGTTTGGATGTTCTTCAGCAAAATGGAAGAAACGACATCTGGATGCTTTTGTCATGAAAAACGTGCCGGGCTTAATAATCATCCCTAATCCGTTCACATCATCTGCTCAACGATCCATCATTAAAAGTTGCTTACGCGACTATGCTAAGCCTCCCCACAAATCTAATTTGGATGGACATTATCATGTGCCTGCTGAAGGTATTTGGCCTCGTTTTGAAAAAGAAGCAAAGGGGCTACTCAAGCCAGGCGATCCCGATTACTATATCCCTATGAAAGTAGAAACTGAAGAAGAAAATGGTATGTATCCAACAGATATTGCCAATGATGACGATGCAGCCTCGACAGTGAGCAGCATGTATTCTGTAACTACCAGTTCAGTACGACCTTTACCTCCCAGCGTCTTACTAAAAAAACAAAGGTGGGTTACATTGGGCTATCAATATCACTGGGGAACAAAAAAGTATAATTTAGACGAACCTATACCTGTACCTGAGAAAATTGCCGAATTGATGAAAGCAGTGGCGACAGCAACCGAAAATGTTGGATATGACGAGGCTGACGCAGCATTGCCTTGGAAGAATAAATACATGGGCAAAGACTTTATACCAGAGGCAGGTATTATAAATTACTATCAACTGCAATCGACGCTAATGTGTCATCAAGATTCGAGCGAAATCAATATGGAAGCTCCCTTAATATCGCTCAGTTTGGGTCATTCATGTATATATTTAATCGGTGGAAATACCAGAGATACAAAGCCGATCCCTTTAAGATTAAATAGTGGGGATATTCTTGTTATGACAGCTGTAGCAAGAAAAGCTTATCATGGTAAATAAGTGAGTCTAAAAAATGGTATATAATTGACTCTTGTAAACTGAAAGCTTCCACTCTTTAAATATTGATGTAGGTGTTCCTCGAATCTTGGAAGGTACACTTCCTGATTATCTAAAGGCGGACAGTGACTATGACGACTTCCCTGACTGGAAATTATTTGGTGACTATATGAGCACAACCAGGATCAACCTTAACATTAGGCAAGTCTTTTATAAGAATAAGGATGATGGAAAAGATTCTGCTAAGTAAACAGAGGTGAAATACATACAGTAACCATACATTACTATGCACAAATTAGAAAGAAAAGAATTTTAGACATACAAAAAATTGGGCCTCTTATTTACGTCACACCCCGCACTCGATTTTGCTCGATTCTTGTCTGTAATTGAAGAAAAATCCCCTGTATAATAAAAACTCCACTTTCTTTTTTCTTTCTGGTGCCTTTCCATTTTAATTTATTTCTTTCATCACATCTCCCCACTTTTTCAACCTAGAGTTTACATTAAAATGCCTGCAGCTAGAGCCAGTGGTATCACTCGTACAATTTATAATACTATCTTCAAGAGAAACTCTGTGTTTGTTACTACCATCTTCGTTGGTGCTATTGGATTCACCATGGGTTTTGATACAATTACTACCAAAGTTTGGGATGATATCAACCGAGGCGTAAGTTTATACAGTTATATAACTGTATTGAAGAAAAACCGAAAAAGTAAAATAGGCTCAAATGTGTTCCTTTTTTATGTTGTTACCAAATTTATAGAAACAATGGAAGGATATTAAAGACAAGTACGAACAATAACTGAATATTATACACTCTTGAATCCACGACTTTTTACCACAATAATTCAACAACTGTTTAATATAAAACTCTATCTACACTAATTACAGCGTATGTGAAAAATTGATTTACACAGCTCACAAACAAGAATAAATGAGACAAAGATATGGATAATTTGTGATATACCTATGTATATAAGAAAAAGCACCAGAAAAAGCTTAATGTTTATTGTTCGATAAGCTACTCAAGATATTCTGAGTAATCGAACGATAGTAATTTGCATAAGAACTTTCAGGTTGAGAAATGACTATTGGTTTGCCAGCATCAGATAACGTACAAATGTCTGTGTGAAGAGGAACCTCACCTAACAAAGGGACACTAAAATCCTTCGCCATACGTGCCGCACCGTCATTACCAAATATATGTGATTCGTGTTGACAGTTAGGGCAGATGAAAAGAGACATGTTCTGCACCATACCGAGAATCTGCGACAAAGAAACATTCAGTTTAGAAAGTAATATTGCTTCCCAATTAGCAATTTGAGACTTACAGGAACATCAACTTTCTTAAACATGTTGACACCTTTGATCGCATCAACTAAGGCTATGTCTTGAGGTGTTGAAACAATGACAGCACCTATTGTTCAGAGAAAAAATCGATGCCTTAATTATTCATTTTATGGCTTTACTTGAGGGAATGTTTTTTGTCATACCATTGACTACCACTTGCTGACTGATTGTAAGTTGAACATCACCAGTTCCTGGTGGCATATCAATGACTAGTAAGTCAAGCGGACCCCACTCAACTTGATGTAGCAATTGTTGAAGTGCTTTCATCACCATTAAACCTCTCCAAACAACGGGAGCATCTTCTCCTACAAGGAATCCCATGGACATACATTTGACACCGTAATTGGTCAAAGGGACCAAGCGATCACCTACAAAAGCTCAATGAATGAGGTGTCGTAATGCACAATAAATATTGTTAAGTTACCCTTTTCTGTAAGATCAGGCTCTCCTTTAAGATTCATCAACTTTGGTATGGATGGTCCAAATATATCAGCATCCAAAATGCCTACTTTCTGTCTAAAGGCTGCGGCTGCTAATGCTATGTTTACTGTATTACAAATCCAACGGTTTTTGTTTTAATTGTAATTCACCCTTTCAAAGAAAATCATTTTCATATACCAGCTGTTGTAGATTTGCCAACGCCGCCTTTTCCAGAAGCTACAACAATAACATTTTTAACGTTGTGTATAGGCATTTTCTTTGGTAAACCTCTTTGTGCTCGAGGAATAGTTGGTGCTGGCTTATGACGAGGTAACCCCTGAAGCAAATAAGAAATTAACAATCTCTGAAATGACATGGATGTCTAACAACTTCATCAAATTACCAAAGGGTTTTCGTGCAGTGACACTCGACCTGACGTAAAGGCCCTTTTGAAAATAATAGACATTTCACTACAGATCTAGACAACGATGGGCCGCTCGAAGGATGTTGCGATTAATGATATCTCTAAAAAGTGCGGGGTTGGCGTTCAACTTATGTAATCACGGATTACCTTTTTTATGCCGCTTTCAGCATTGCTTTTTTTTGTTTCTCTTATTTATTTGAATATTCAACACAGATCAATTCTAGTGTTTATTTAGCCCACTCCGCAATGTAGGAGAAGTGAAGGAACTCCTGCTGCTCAATGCGTGTTAGATTTGAATCAATGGGAGTCAATGCTGGCACTTCGTTTGTAAATTCTTCATCAAAGTTGGACGTATCTAAACGTCCTGTAACAGAAGGATAAAATGGAGGGGGTACACGTTTAGCAAGCATATCATCCCAATTCACACCGCGGAAAAATGGATGTTGTTTGATGGAAAGAGAGTCCTCGGGGCCTCCACCTAATCGACGTGTAGGATCGCGTTGTAACAATTGCTGACAGATTGAAATAGAGTCACTTGACATATTGATAGGATAAAGGATATCATCTTCTAAAATGGCGTCGAAAATTTCATCCTCGTCTTCACCGCGGAAGGGAGACTGACCAAGGAGCATTTCATAAATAAGAACACCATAAGCCCACCAATCAACAGCACGGCCATATTTTTGCTCACGCAATATTTCTGGAGCCATGAATTCTGGAGTGCCGCAGAATGTACCGGTTGTGTTGCCATACCCCATATTCTCCTTACATAAACCGTAATCTGCTATTTTAATATGACCATCCAAACCCAGCATTATGTTATCAAGCTTAAGATCGCGATAAATGATGTTTTGACTGTGGAAGTACTCCAAGGCGAGGAGCACCTCACAAGCATAGAATTTAGCTCTTCTTTCTGAGAATTGTCCTCTTTGAATATGCCACATTAAATCACCACCTTCGATATACTCCATTGTGAAATAGACTCTAGTCTCTGTTTGAAACGTAGAATGAAGATTGATCAAGAATGGATGACGGGCGTGATTAGCTGCTTGGAATACTCGTTTTTCAGAACGAACACTTTATGGCATACAATGAGAGAATTCAGTTATAATGGGTTGTCGTTTTCCTCTAATATATTCTTCAACATACCTTTCGATTTCATCATTATCAATAATGAATCTTTTTTTTAGCATCTTGATTGCATAAAGCTTTTTATCATACTTGTCCTCCGCTAGCATAACTTTACCAAAATTTCCTTTACCTAAAACTGCTAAGAAGGTAAAATTGTCTAAAGCAACTTTTCGATTGAAATTATTTTGAAGAAGAGGTCTACCGAGTTGCTGCTGTTGTAAAAGGCTTGGATGTTTCTGCAATTGATGTCCAGGAGGGGGCATTCCCATGATCATGTTGTTATAATTGTTATTATAATGAGGTTGATGACCGGGTGGAAAAGGTATCGGTTGTTGCATAGGCGATGGAGCTGGCCGCTGCTGGTTCAAAGCGGAAGCATAGTTAGGATTGATGATGGGTGCTGATTGTTGCGGAGGTCTTCCAAGCATCATTGGATGATGGGGATAAGGCAATTGTTGCTGATGCTGGTGAGCATTTAATGAAGGAAGTGGTCTGTTTTGATATTGCTGTTGTACAGTTTGAGGATGGGGAGGAGTGTGCACCTGCTGTTGTTGGTAATAATGTGGGTTTGGTGGAGCCCCGAACCTTGGATTAGAAAGATGTTGGGGTGAGTAAAATTGTTGTCCATGAGTAGGGAGGATTGGTGGTGGACGGTGCTGGTGTGGTGATGCAGGGAGGTGATGTTGTTGTTGTTGCTGAGTATAGACATTGATTGTAGATATACTTGATGGGCTTTGCGGTTGTGATTGGTAGTGCATTGGAGATGGAGACTGCTGTAAATGCTGCTGTGGGGAAGTAGGAGAGACTTGGTATGCCGGCGATTGAGGCTGCTGGCGCTGAGATATGCCAGTTACGATAGCATTAGGCCCTGCATTGTACATATCGGCGGGTACTTGAGCTGTAGTGTTAACAGGTGTGTTATAATTCAATGAGTCTTTTGTACTTGTCGGATGCGATGGTAACGTCAAGTTTGCCAAAAGCTGTGTGCTTAATCTATCGTCTATATCATTGGGTACTTCGTCTGATTCATGAGAAGGCACAGGTAATGGCGCATCTTCTTTATCCATGGCGGTATTATCACTATCATCGTGTTTTGAGTTGTGTTGGCTTTTTGTTTCATCAGTTTTTCTTCTAGCTGCAGCCTTGATTTCAGCAAGCATTTGATTAGCCATTTCCATGTTAAGACCGCAAAAATCAGGTACATAATGCTCACAACGTCTATGTGCAGTAATGTCACATTCGGAACACTTTTTCGCTCCGCGGGATCCCAGGGGTAGGATATAACCACAGTGGCAGCACCAATTGGCACCGATATTGGTGATAGGTTCAAAACGGTGAGGGATCTTATGGTTAAGCTTATCTTCGTCAGAAACCTAATGGACGTTCATACATCACAGCATTTGTTAGACTACTTTAATACGCTGACTTATTCTATATAATGCCACAACTTACATTATCCTTAGAGTTGACCATACACTTAGTTACCACCTTGCTAGAACACCTCTTATGACATGTGTATTCACAATCCTCACATTGAAAGCCACTGTTGACGAAGAATTCTTCGCAGAGACCGCACTTCATTACATTGTAGAAACGCTTCTCCACAAATTGATGACCGTTTACTTCGACTACTTCTTCACGACGTTGACGTACAGCACCTGCACGACCTAGCTTATCCATTGGACGTCTATTGCCCTCTGAGCGGACAAAATTAAGTCTGAGCGCTAACTTTCCGACAGGCTCAACATCGAACCAGGCTTCGATACCATTTTCATTTTGATCCGCTTGCACTGGAACAGCTGGCTCAGCGTTTTCCGTTTCCGTAGTAACCAAGCCTTCATTCACATCACGATGCACTTTTTGCGCCTCTTCCGCTGGCATCCATTGAGGTTGTAGCTTACGCTTACGAAGTCCTTCTGTGATATCGGTAATTTTCAGCCAAAAGAAACCAATTGGTAATGATTTTTCCGTGGACTGATCATAAATACTAATCTCTATTTCCGAAGCTTTATTGACATGTGTTTCACAGAGTTCACTCCATTTATCATTACGCGCTTGTCTTGAACGATAGGCGATTTGATTGTCCACTTTTACTATGACGACAGTACTTGGAGACTTAATCATACGAGTTGGTGCATGCGCTAATTCCATGGCTTCCAAAATCTGCAATTGAAGTTTGCCAGTAACAGGCCTGCGATAACCAGGAGGCAATCGGGCTGAGGGAAGTGTTTCCAATTCTATATATTGTACGTAAAAGAAATGCACGTTGTGTATAGCACTTGAGTACGTTTTCCTCCCCTATATATTTTGGGCATTCTAAACAAAAAGCTTCTTTGTCTATGGATGATTCTACTTACCATATTCATCTTCGTCCCCACCTTCACCGATGTATAAGCTTTTGTACTTCCGTAATGCAGAATTCAATAATGTTAATTTTTCTTGGCTTTCAAACATCTTATCCTGCAGCTCAGTGCGATTTCTTCGATCAGCAGAAGGGTTGCGTTCCATCACTTCGAACATTCCTTTGATACCCTTCAATACTGTCTTCTCTACATCCAGCTTATATTCCAGTTCGTGTAGTTTTAGAGACACCTTTGGTTTATTGTACGGAGTTTCTGACATAAGCAAATCTTTGAAAGCGAATCAGTTTAACTATTGATGGTCATATCAATGTCGTTTATATGTGTATATATTGTCACCTATGTTTTACCTAAGTTTGAATATTTCTTTTTGCCCATTTTGGCTTGTATCGCAGCGGTGGTATTTGTTGCCGTTCCTCCATTTATACCTGGTGGCATGGAGCTTGACCTTGGTGGGTTTTCTGATTTTTGTTGTGCCTGCTCAGCTGTACTACTAGTGTACCCCTTTTCTTCTGATGAACTTAGTTGCTGCTTAGCTTCTAATCTATGCAATTCCTCTGTAAAATAGTCGATATACTTTTGGTATTCCTTGATCTGGGTATCGCAGTCAGATATAACATTCTTATCCTTTAAAAGGGGGCGCATTTGAATGAACTTATCTCGCATAGTACGACTATGCTCGATTTTGGCTTCTAATTCAGATATCTGTATAATATTTCTCTTTTAATACTTTTGTGCTCAATCCTTTTGAAAGAAGAAATTTTTTTTTTCTTCTTATCAGTTTTATAGTATTAGATTACCGTCATTATTGTATGCGGAATAGTTTGAATATAGTGTTTGCTTTCTTTTTTTTTGATGAAAACTATCAGTCGCTCTCGTTGCTGTACTTAACCAAGAAATCAGCTCGTTCTGCAGGCGTCAATTATCCTACAAATTTTTGAGTGTGTGTCCTTTTCCTCGCTATAATGGTAGAAGTATATCAATAAGTCAGAGTTAAATAGACGGGAGGAGTTTCTGTTTATTAAAACTCTCCTGGTATATAGAATATATATACAGTTTCTTTTGTTCATATTTACACAAGTGGCCTACAGAACTTGTTGGTATAAGTATTTAAGGAATAAAAGGCTTTCTCTTTAAACGAAAAGAAAGGTAGGTATATTAAATCTAGTATAGTCTAAATTTCAGAGTACAATAAAAGAGGAAAGATGGGTAATAAGGTTGATTGGTACCTTTTAACTGCAATTTAAATCAGAATTTTATATGTGGTACCACCTGAAAAAAAAAAGACAAACTTGAGGCGATCCCTTACAGGGTTTCATCACCTTTCTTCCTCTTATTAAACCATAACAGTACATCTTTTGTTTCCTCAAAAATCATAAATGTTACTGCATTAGCTGGCCCAACTTTCACAAGAGAAGGTGCGAGGCCCTTATATAAACTTCGAAAACCCTCTTGTTTGATGACTATACGGAACGAACACCACAGAGATCGACTCTTCACGTTCGTCACAACGTGATTATTATCCATTCCTTCCATTTGCATCCGTCTTCGAATCAAATCGAAAGGATACACTATTGTTTTACTGACCAGGCCGGAGGCTGCACCACTTATCATGTCATGTGTGGGCTTGTAACTTGCATTTACAATTTGCTCGTCCTGAATTTTTCGTTCGAATGTTAGTTACTGTCAACCATCACAGCGAAACGGCTTTTAATATAATATACATTACTCTGAGTCTTTTAAATGCTTTTGCTGATAGATCGTACGTTGAAAACAATAAACCCATATAAGGCATTATCTGAACTATGGCTGGCCATAAGCCTCTATAAAATCCTTTGAAGCCTTCTAGTTTGTATATATTTATCATGGCTCGTGCGACGGTCACGTTGTGCTTTTTCGTTATAATTGAATATTTAAATTACTCCATTCGGTTGAACTGATGGATTGCTATTAATTGTTAGGTACTAACCTTCTGTTGCTGTTGTGCAGCAAACCTGGTCCTTAGCAAATCAAAAGGATATGTAGCGGATGTTGCAGCGCAACCAGCTAACATACCGCTACCGAAGGTTTTCAATGTATGTGGTACTCTTTGATTTTTGTCTACTGTTTCAATAAATTGTTCAAGTTGTTTGTAAGCCCAAAATTCAACTGCACTGTAGGACAGGTACAAATATTCTGCTGGCATGTTTCCTTTATACAATCCCTGATTAAACGTAAAACAGTTCAAGCAATTTATGTAGATCTCTACCCCGCAAAACCAAATATCATCTTACCCTGATCCCTTCTTCCTTTAGAATAGTTCGAAAAGCTTGTGTTATGTTGGAATACTTTACATTTGCTACATTTGGCCCATCTTTTCTAAAACCAAAATGAGTTCGATGTGTTTGAAGTTGCATTCGAATCTTCACGACATCTAAAGGTGCAATGACAGCTCTTTCGTATTCATGCATAAGTGTTGGGGACTGTTTATTTCTGAACAAGAGCGTAGGGTAAGTAGCCCACAAACCTTGAAACAACTCCGGCTACTGCACCACAAAATGCTAGCTCACTACTTGAGAGATCAGCATCGGTTACATAAGACGGCATTCTATTCTCTTGTTGTGTCTGTTATAGTGTTTTGAGAAAAAAAGAAATATTCCGTTTACTGTTTTCAACAATGAATGTACTGTACAAACTATCTGAATTTTAAAAGAAGAAATGTGGGGGGGGCAGAAACTTTAAAGCTCTTCCATAAAAGTGACCCACAGGGAGCAAAAGTTCAAAACGTACTGAAGCACTTCAACATTTTACCGCGCTTGGCTCCTGTTCGTAGACGGGCTCTTTTTATCCGTGTTCTAAGTTGCCCGAATAGGCTATTTTCTACTATGCCTTCAGCGGACTACGAATTACATACCTAGTGCGGGCACCTTCGCTTAAAAGATTAAGGTTGAATTTCAAATGAGGAAGTAAGCAAAGCTGTGATCCCTGAAAAACTAGAAAGATCTGTATTAAATTGAGAGACAAATTAGATAGATGACGTAGAACAATTGTGTGTCGTAAAACTATAAGTATCATTATTCTTTATTCAATTTATAGTATTTGGATAGATCATTCTAGGTCATTCAAACGCAGCGATGACAGCTTGATATCTGTTATATAGCAAATTGAGAAGAGAAGATCCTCGATATGAAGACAGTTCTACATTCATTCAGTCATTGCTCAATATTATCCTTACTTTTTCCTCATTCTCTCATGATTTATTCTTTCAAAAAGCTTTTCGCACTGCGTGCACTACGAACATAAAATACCGATTCTGCTAACCAACCCAGGGACAATATCCAACAGAATACTTCTGAAACTCGAAACATTGTACAAGCTTTGTCCATGCCAGTAACCCAAGGAAAAGCTACAGGATTATTAAATATTACTTTCCATTGCATATAATTTGTCCACAAACAATCCATAGCTGATCCATCAGCCATCACATCAGCACCCGGCAATACTGGCAGCAGCGCGGCTAGCAACACAGCTGCTGTAAAGATAAATATAGTGCTCCGCAAAATTTTCGATGGCAACCAAGCTTTATAATTAGGACTAAGATCAGAAGCCAAAATAATGCTGTAAAGGACAGACGATACTGTAGTTATAAGCATATAGACGTAGGTTGCTGGGTATGCAAACGTTGCGAAACTACCTATACACCACGAAGAATTCTGAATTAGCTAGCCAGTTTGAGCTGTATGTTAATCATGACTTCTTCTCGCTTGTTTTTCAGATAACATCTGTTTCAAACTGTTCACTTTAAACTCACCAAAACCGGCCGCTGATGCTCCATTATCAATAAATGATCTGATAGCGGTGCTTACCCCGACAAGAAGACCAAACAAAACTAAGCCTATTGTTGCATTCCAAATATGAAGGAGCTGAATTGTATGAATCGACTTCATGATAAAGGAGCGTAGAAAGTATGAAGAAAATGAGGAAAGTCAATTGAAGGAGTTAGCAGACACCAGACGATCCCCTTTTCACCAACAGGAATCAATTGTGTTACTATCAATTTGTAACTAACACGCATCGTGATTTCGCAGGAGAATCTGATCCCAAAAGGGGACAACGACATCTTCCAAATCATCTCAGCTGCAGTCAAGATTCTCGAACCTGAAACCTCCCTTCTCGACTATGACAGTTTTGATAACCTGATTAATTAGATAATTAAAAGTAAATATTATGAGATCAACCGGGAAGTTTTGCAGCTCTCTTCTTTTCTTTCTTTTCCAAATCACTACCGTGTATTTTTTTATTTTTTTTTTTGAAAAAGTTTTCATCTTTGCCCTTTTCCGACATGTCGCTTGTAACAGATAACAACCACTCTGAGGAAGTAAAAATCATGCGCAAGCTTCATGGCAACCTTGTGCTTGAAGAGTCTGGATTCTTTTCAAAAATCACTCAAAAGGATTCACAATTGAACAAGAACGCCGCTGAATCATACTACAGCAATTGGAAGGATGCCGGTCGCTTAGAAGACAATGAAAAGGATGTTGAACAAAGACGATATGAAGCACAAAATATGACCAACTCTTTCTACGATTTGGTAACTGATTTTTACGAATATGGTTGGGGGCAATCATTCCATTTTGCAAAACTGTATAAAGGTAACCTACGCTTCATAGTTGTGTGTGCATACTGTAGCTAAAATTGCTTTGAATCTGTGGGTGCTATTAGGAGACTCTTTCAGAGAGAACATCAATAGACATGAAGCATATTTGGCCTTGAAGCTTGGACTCAAGAAAGGCATGCGTGTTCTTGTGAGTAGTCTTACTGAATGTGAAACGTTGAATAGTGCTACTGTTATTTATCCTATCCATTGTAAATGCTGCTTTTATTTTTATAGGATACTGGCTGTGGTGTTGGTAAGTGAGACTGATAAAATGGATAAATTATACTCATTGTGAGAAAAACTGACTCTATTACTTCAATATGCATGCAGGCGGTCCTTTGAGAGAAGTGGTTAAGGCTTCCAATGGAGCTCACGTCACGGGTCTAAACAATAACGCATACCAAATTCAGAGATGCGAAGCCTACTCAAAGAAGTATGGATTATCCGAATATACTAGTTTCGTTAAAGGCGATTTCACCAAAATGCCTATTGCTGATCAAACATTCGACGCCGTTTTCTCTGTTGAGGCTACAGTTCATGCACCACGCTTAGAACAGGTCTATGGTGAGATTTTCCGCGTTTTAAAACCAGGGGGAAGATTTGCCTGTTATGAATGGTGCACAACAGATATGTACGATGAATCTGATATGTCGATGAAGAAAGTGGTACACGCCATTGAAAAAGGCAATTCTATCTCCAAATTGTACACTATTTCAGAATGTTTACAAGCCTTGAAGTCAGTGGGATTCAACGTCATAGAATCAGAAGATATGGGTGTCGTTGATGATGCTACAAACCCATGGTATAATTCCTTAAAAGCACCAGATAAAGGGTTACGTGGATTCTTGAGATCACCCTCAGGTCGTGCATATACTAATACACTCTTAACATTCCTTGACAAATTCAAACTGGTGCCACCTGGTGTATTGGCCACTTCACAATTGCTTAATGGTGCTGCCGACAACTTGGTTGCAGGCGGTGAAATGGGAATTTTCACTCCTATGTTCTTCTTCCTCGTAGAAAAGCCTATGGACGCCTAAACTGCTTCTACTTGAAATTAACCGACATTTAACCGAGTACATCTGTTCATGAAACAATTCGATATTATAATAAGATATATAAACTCTTCATAAAAAAAATAAATAAAAAGACCGCTTGTACGCAGCATTTCAGAGTCGTTTTTTGCGTACCTAAATTTTTTATCTGAAACCACGAGATAAGCTTAAGCTGAAGTGAAGTAGTGGCTTACTTAAATTATGCGGATGGCTGCTTTTCTTCGTACATCGCATTGATGAACCAATATTAAAATTTTTATTTTATTTTTTTTTCCATACTCCACTCTAAAAGGAAAACATTTGCTTTTTGACGTTTTTGTTTCCCCTCTCTTTCACTCTCTCACTTTTTTACAAAAAGAAGAATAAAAATGGGTTCCAACAAGGTCACCAAGAAGGATAATAAGAATGCTAAGAAAGATAAGGTTACCAAGAAGGTAGTCAAGAAGGAAGAAACCCCCGAAACAAGCTCCAGCAGCTCTGAATCGTCCTCCTCCTCCTCTGAGTCTTCCTCTGAAGAAGAGGAAGAAGAGACAGAAACTAAGTCAGAAGATAAGGAAAAAGAGTCTGAAAGTTCATCAAGCAGCAGCGAAGAATCCGAGAGCTCTGACGAAGAAGAAGAAAAAGAAGAAGAAGAAAAGGCTGATGAGAACTCAGCCAGTGAATCCAGCTCGAGCTCTTCCGAAGAAGACTCTTCTGAAGCCTCCGACAGCTCTTCAGAGGAAGAGGAAGAGAAGTCAATGGAAGTTGACGAAACAGAGAACAAGAATAATAAGAGAAAGGCTGATACGTCTGATGACGATAATGAAAACCCTGCTAAGGCTGCCAAGACTGAAGAAAAATTCACCGTTTGGTGTGGTGGTCTCAACTGGGAAGCCACTGTTGAGCAAATTAAGGAACATTTCGCTCAATGCGGTGAAATTGTTGACGTTAGACTTAGAATGGACAATGCTACTGGCAAAAACAAAGGCTTCTGTCATGTTGATTTTGCTACTAAAGAAGGTCAAGAAGCTGCTCTCGCTTTATCCAATACCGAATTCTTAGGTCGTACCATTCGTTTAGATAGCGCCGATGGCAACAATCGTCAGCGTACAAAGAAAGATGAAAACTATGGACCTAGAACCAATAAGGTTTTCTGCGCCAATCTCAACCGTGATTTTGATGAAGAATCCCACCGTAATTCACTCAATGAACATTTTGGCAAGTTCGGTAAGATTGTCGATATCAGAATTCCCTATGACAGAGAAAGTGGTGCTATGAAGGGTATCGCTTATATTGAATTCGAAAACCCCGATCAAGCTGAAGCTGCTGTGACTGGAATGAACGGTGTTGAGGTCAACGGTCGCCCTCTTCGTACTGATTACTCTGGTTCCAATGATCGTGATCGTGTTAATCAACGTGGCGGTCGCGGTGGACCCCGTGGTGGTCGTGGCGGATTCCGTGGTGGTCGCGGTGGTGGACGTGGTGGTTTCCGTGGCGGACGTGGTGGTTTCCGTGGACGTGATTAGTGGGCTCGCTCACAAAAAATTCTACATGAATAATCATTAATCTACATTTCCAAACTTTTATTCTATGTATTACCTTGTTAAACTTTAGACCTTTTGGTTCGTCATATTGTAAATATATATCTAGATGAATTTTATTTTCCATACTTTTCTTGTTATTCAATAAATAAGCTTACTGTATATCCTATACAAAAATAACTAGTGGCATTTGTAATTACTACCTAACAGAGCAATAAATAAGGAATGTTTACAGCCGCAAGAAAGCCGTTGTTGGCTAGTTTTTTTATTACTGAGTTATCCCTGCGGTATCACCAATGCCAACGCTATAACCTCTTGAACAGCGATCATGAGAGTATTTTCTGAGTGATAAAAAGAGAACGTCCATTTTGTAGACAAACATTTTCCAAGTTCAGTAAGTGACATCTTCGCATCACACTACAGCTGTTCAGCCTTTTATTGCATTCTATAATCATTTAAAAGGATTCTCAGACCTCGCTGTGGTAATCGAGACGACGCAACACCATCATGGGCCGTCTGCCGTAAAAATAATACACCAGACATATCAGGTGTAGAAGCCCTTTTACGTATAATTCGGTGGCGATAATGGCTTGTATTTACATTCGCTGTTGCTCTGGTATCCGATGCCTCTGTTACTTTATTCTCGCAACCATATATGACACCGATATCTTCATTCTTACTGCTTCCAATGAGGCTACTTTCCCCTTCTGCTAAAGTAGCAGTGCTGCTTCTCTGTCTTTTATGTTTTAATGAGTGTATTGTTTCCTGAGCTTGTTCCAACATTTCCATATATTCACGAATCCTGTCAGCAATAATATCAGCACTCCCTTGCCGCTTTTTCTGATGATTAGCAATAGCAATCATTTTTCCTTTCAATCGGTTCGTTTCATGGACGACCTAGTAAAGCATTGCTGTCTCATCAGCTGAAGAATCTCAAACTTGTTGTTGCAGCAAAAATATAAGCAAACACTTACTGTGGATAAATTTGAAAAGATGCGTTGCATCGTGCGAGTTGCGTATTTGTCCGCTTTCTTTTGTTTTTGCAGAGATTTCTCCAACAAGATTTGTAGGTTAACACTCACTTCCTGAGTAACTGTTAAGCCTTCTTCCACCTTGACTATAATGACGGTATCATCAGCAGCTGTTTGAGATGTAATATAAAGCTGCATTACTTACGAACTCTATTCTTTGAATGTTTCTATACGATACAGGTCGATTACAAACGCAAATAAAAAAAAAGTCAAAATCATACAGAATTTTCATGCAAAATGACAGCAAAGTAAACACTACCAGATCAAGCTCCATGCTAATCATTTGACGTTCCAGTATACTCATATCTCCCTTAAACTGACTTATGCCTTCCCTAATCTGCTCAATTTCTTTCAAAAATTGAATTCTCTCATGTATAGATACATAATAGCAGTCAATAAGAGATGCATCTGTCTCCTGTGTGTGCTGATAGTTCAAAGGTGTTGATGAGGAAGTAAGGAACTCTGTCTATATTAAAAGAAAGAGGGAGGAGTTTATACATTTGTGACCCATATGCCCTCTATAGAGGAAAACAGTCTCTTTGTACCTGTCCATAGGGGTCGTCATCAGTGATCTTTTCTAGGTCTTCAACATACGGAAACTTTTCAGATAAACCGTCATCTACTGAAGTAGATGAATCTGAAAAAAATGATAGAGTGGACGGATTTTCGTAAGGAATGGTGTCTAGTAATGTTTGATGAAGTTAGCATCACTCTCAGTTCTTATAAGGATAGAAGCTTTTCAAACCTTCCAAGTAGTCTTCTTTTCCCTTTGCAGTTGTGTTCCAATCATTGAAACAGTCTGTATTATAGTAATCAACGTCAAATTTTAACTTTGCAAGGTAATAAAAGGAAGTAAGTCGCGCCTACTCCATATTGAAAGCAAGGGATCATGTACAGCACTTTGTGGGTTGTACCTTTGCATTTTTCTCGACATTCATTTAGCGTATCATGAATTCGTAATGGAATCGACTTTTTGGTGTAAATAAAGGAGAGAGAAAAGTAAAGCATAACAAAACAGAAACTTTTCCCCATTTTATTCAAATATACTCGAGTCTGCGTCACCCAACAACGTCAATCATATCAGTTGCTAATAATCATTTGTTATGCATTAACACTGAAAAAGGGGAGTAGAAAAATTAGTATACTTATGAGGACTTTGGTTTGTATGTATTGCTGCCAAATAGAAATTGAAACCCGGCCATTCTTCATGCATGAAAAGAAGCGCTGTAAGGTATTTTTAAACACATACAGCAGCTTTGAGGCGTTCGAGAATATCTAATTTGAACAAGCCATGACGATTCTATTTTGTAATAGTGTCTGTGATGATTGCCTGCTTCTCACTTAAAAAGTGCTTATTACTGCATTGCCGACTCGTTTAATGTCACCTCATAAAAATTTGCCACAAGATAACATGACCGTCGCATTGTCATACCTTGTCCATGAAGTTGCCCAAACGCAATTACATTACTATTCTATGGCACGCTGTAAGAAAGCCTCTGAAATGTAGGAGCTGTCGATATCTTCAGAAAATGAATTCACTGTAGTCAGTAGGGTGCTTCAATGGCAAGCTTAATGTAGTTACGGGTCTTCCATTCGCTCAAAGATCAGGGCATTGTCGAAAGGAGACGGTCGGCGGGAGCTCAACCAAAAATTCATTTCGACTGGGCTATCTTTTTTGTGTTTTAAGGGGGAAGGTGACACCCCTTTCCCCTCATTTTCTGTGCTAATCAATGTCGAACAGAACAATTATTTTACGTTTGCATAAAGTTGCCATTTCTCGAACTAGGCCTGCTATTGCTCGTCATAGACGGTCGTATGTGACTCGCTCAAAGAAAACAGTGACAACCTCTATGGGAGGCATTTTTGAGCCCTTCTTAGACAACAAGATGTAAGTGACAAAAGCTTGAGATGCCTTTGATGGAGAAGCTGATCAACGATTGCCATTGAAATCAACTTTGCCATTTCAACACTTAACCAAAACTCATAGTGATAGAACCCACAAGGAGGAAGAAAAGCCTTTAAATCCCAGAGAACTACTGTCAAAAGTAAACATAAACGGTAACAGCAAAGAAGATATTGGATGCAAAAGGAACATGGTAAAAGGGACGGTAGTCTGATCTTTTTTTGGACCTTTAGATATCCTTCCTGATGAAGGTTTGTTGAGATTATCGATACAACATAAACAAACAACTTTAACTGTTGAAAAGCAAAAGGAAATAGCAGCTATTTTATTAGATAATATCAAGCATGATAAGACGGATGATGACAAGATTTTGAAATGTAAGAGTCTCATAAAAATAGTGTAATATGCGTACTCGGTACTCTTTTAGCTTACCGAACAGAATTCGAATTAGTGGCGAATAAAGATATCGCCGAACTTACAGCGTTTGGAAACATATTATTACGAAGTTCCAAATGTAAGCTAATCAATGGTGAAAAACATAAGCCTGCTCAGAGATAATAATTTACTGACCATGGGTGCGAAAAAAAAACCCAAAAAAAACATGCAACAGTCGGTGCGCCGCTAGCATTTGAACTTTATAAACTTGCTATGCGAAAAGGAGATGATAGAGGAGCTTTTAGTTATGCCAATATGGTTTATCGTGGATACCGCGGCACACCGAAAAACGAAGAAAAAGGAATCCAGATTATGTCCCAACTTGCTCAAAAAGGCCATCCTTATGCTCAAATGAACTTGGCCGCTATCATTATGAGAACGCAACCCGATCGCGTTGAAGCAGCCATCAAACTCTACGAATTAGCCGGTCGAGCTGGACTTGACCAAGCATATACAGAGTTAGGCCGTATGTTTCGGCTAGGTTACGGTGTCCATCAGGACCATAGCAAAGCAATTGATTATTTTCAAAAAGGTGCACAGATGGGCAATCCCCAATGCCACTTTATGTTGGGTGTGTATTGGTCGTCTGGTTTAATAGCAAATACAAAAGAACCAGACCAAAAAAAAGCATTCAAACACTTTCAAAAGGCAGCTATGAAGGGAATGGCCGAAGCGCAGTATAACGTGGGTCTCCGCTATTTAAAAGGGCATGGCGTTGAGCAGAATAGCTTTAATGCGGTGGAGTTTTTTCGTATGGCGGCATTGCAAGGTTTCCAATTAGCCCAAGTCAATCTGGCGGGTATGTATGCTGAAGGAAGAGGTGTTAAGCCGGACTTGGAAGAGTCTAAAACATGGCTAGCCAAAGCAGCAGCGATAGGTGGTCCAATCGGCAAAGATGCTCAGAAAAGGATAGAAGAAATTGATCGTATACAAGGCAAGAAAGATGATAGCAAATGTACTATTATGTAATTCATCATCCGTTTTGTGAATAAAGGTCGATCGTTATCTTATATTCGAAAAAAGTTACGTTGGTATATCTTCTACAATTGCATCCAACGTCATCTATAAAGACGACCTGACTGTATCTACTAATCCTACCGCTGCCCTTATGATACGATGATGAACGGAAATGCGTCCAATAAAAATATCTTAGCAAGTCTGTAATAAACTCTTAACAATTGGAACACACAAACACCAGTCCGCCATTTACATATATTGGTTTCTACAGCTATTTACCACAAATCTAGCTCTAAAACCCTTACATCTTTTATTGCAGGTTTGATATTTTCGCATGCATAATTCTAATCAGTCAAAGCAACACATTCAATTTCAACAGCAACATCCAAAGGGAGACGAGCAACTTGAACAGCCGAACGAGCAGGTTGATGAGTAGGGAAAAACTATGGTTATCACAAACACAGATCGCGGTTAAACATATCATCAACAACCGTAGTCGGATCAAAAAAGGAAAAAGGAAAATAGTTACGGTAGCATAAACTTCATTCATAGCAGCAAAGTCATTCATGTCTCTAAGGAAGACAGTGGTTTTGACAACCTTATCAAGGCTGGAACCAGCGGCCTTCAAGACCTCAGTGAGGTTCAAAAAGACCTGCTTCGTTTGTTCCTTAATTTCACCTTCAACTACTTTACCTATTACAACGCAATATGGTTAGCGTACTACATCATTATCATCCTCCATTGATTTCCCTTCCACTATCCCGAAGGTCAAAATGAGAATTTCTCGTCTGAGCGATTACCATTATCTTACCTGTAGCAGGGTTTAAGGCAACTTGACCTGAGGTGTAAACGAAACCGTTTGCTTTGATAGCTTGAGCTATATGTTTAGATCAACAATTCAGTCAAAAAGCAGTTTCAGATTATCAGTCATCCACGCGCATTTGTTTGATTTGGGAATTTCGTTTCATTTTTTTTTTTTTTTTCTAAGCCGGTTTTTACCATAAGGACCAACAGCGGCAGGAGCGGAATCAGTGTCTATAACGATTAACATTACGGCATTAACTCTACTGTACTATCATGCTTATTTAGCTCTAAATGACTTACGAACGCGAGCTAACGACATTGTCGGAATGAAGAAAGTAGTTGAAGACTGAGGCAAATGTAGAAAGAGCTAAGGGAAAAAATTAACGTCTTTCAAAGTATTGCGTCCTGAACTGATGGCTCATTTTCATTGGGTCGGGGAACAATTTTTTTCAGATTGCGTGATAAGCTCGTTTTGTAGATTATCATAAACATTGGGCAGTTACGAGAGAGCGAAAGGCAATTGCTGGTCGTGCTTTCACAAGTTATTAGAATAACTAGGGCTAGGTCGCTAGTTGGAACTCAAGGTAAAGACATCAAAAACAAGAATATGAGCGTTATCATGGATCTACCATACTTCATTTGATAAATGAAGCTTCTTATTGAACATGCTGGAAGAGAAAGGGTTGCCAGTGAGTGTAACTGAAGCCCAATGACAATAAGGCGACCCATGGAGGATGATGCTATTATCATTGATGAAAATCCAACACCAGATGGTATAACAACTGCAGCTCTTCATCAAATGTATCCATGGACTCCTTGATCTATGGATATAAAGTTGTTAGTTTGCAAGATATGGATATGATGGATAATGCTAGCATTCTTCAACCGATGATAGTGGTTCGTAACATAAAGGCTAATGACTATATAGCTAAACCATCTGAGCAGCTTTGCTTTCTGGTGACAAGTGATATATATGAGGCGGCATTGCCCAACGAAAAAGAATATCTTTAGAATTGAGGAAGTTTCTGATGATGCTCGTTTTAGCTATTTTTACTATATTTGGCACTATTTTGAATGACATTGCAAAAAGCTTTTATTTGCAACTGCAAAATGTTATAGAAAGTAGAATAGTTCAGTTGGACACTGTACGATAGTATGCTTTGGAATAAAGCTTGTATTGTCTTTTTTATTCATCCTTATATTCACATGACGTCTTCAGTTACTATCTGATTGAAACTTGCTTTTTTGAAACTACTGTAATTTAGGTTTTGATTTAGACTTTTTTTGTGAAAAAAAATTGGGATTTGTTCAATAGATTTAATTAGATAATTCAAGTGATTGCTTTCCAACTATTTGATTTTAAGAATTCGGAGATGTCCAGTTCTTTCTGCAAGCATCACTCTCTTTAGCATGCCTGAAAGTTTTGTAGTCATTCGTACGTTTCTGAACAATGTCATACTATTCGATTGATATAGGAACAGGCTGCTTTTGCTTTCAAGTAGTCGTCGTGTGATCTTACAAAACTTCTCACTGTACGTTTCTGCAGTTTTATTAAATGCTGCCTGTAATTCCTACCATACTCAAGCAAAGTGAGTATTCTGTGCCCCGTTACAGTATAATTACCTTTAGAATGCACATTTGGCATGGAGCATTTTGACAAAAAAAATATAATCCCAAAAAATCATGCCTATCATCCAAAATTTTTCAAAATTCAATCTATATTTGGACTTTTAAAAATGTCTCAATTCATTAACCGTTACTCTTCGAAAATCAAGCGAAAAAAAAATAGTAATTGTCCGCTTTCTGAAATGTGGTGTGATTTTTCTAGGTCCGACACATTGGATTTCTAATTATAAAAAAGTGAGAAATAGAGGAACATTTTTTATTTGTTTCTCATCAATTTTTCACTATTATCATTCGAAAGAACATATGTTTTCAAGAATATTCTCTGGTATCAGAAGCGCATTAAACGCACCTAATGCACCAAGGTCTGCTCAACAGCAGAGTGGTCGGCTATCCCTCGAGGATTCGTCTGAAGAGCTTGTAACTCGAGCTACGAAACCTATTCAAATTGTACCTGGAACCGCATCATATCTTCAACAAGACAGTTTAATAGTAGCGCCACTCTTTGGTCTCTCCAACAATAGTACAGACGATTTCATGCAAAAAGATCTGATCACCAATTCACTCTATTGATACACTTGGATCAGCTTGTTTGTATAGCAGTAACCTTAGATATACCCGCCTTCATGTCAACCCGGTCATCACCCAAAGATTCATCTACTATTTATTCCTCCCATTTTTTTGCTTTGTCATCTTTTGTTCTGTACTACTCTTTTTTTTTCTTTTTTCTTTCATCCTGCAAACTTTGTTTTTCCAAATCAGAAATCTCTTTTTTACGCCCATTGAAATAACCAATAAAAGAAACCCCGTTTCCATCGTTTCAAACATTATTTAGGCAGATAGATATGCGCAAAAGGATTCATGCTTTGAGGTAATAAGCCTAAGAGTTTTTGTTTCTCCAACATCATGCATGCCAAGAGAAAAAGGGGGAGTGGAGAATCCATTGATTTGTATCTATCATGGCAGCCAACAGAAGAGTCATCATACATAAAGCTTAAAGTTCGAGTGGGTAGCATTTTCAAATCATCCATCGTATGTTATGTAACTCTATCATTGCGAATGTTAACTCATGTTGTCTGAAAGGGAAGGGATTAGCTTTGACGCAACATTCTAGTTAGCGTTTCAGACTCTAAAAGGAAAAGCCCGTGTGTTAAAGATGATTATGAGTAGGATGATAGAGGGGTATAAATCACTTTATTTTGCCTTATTCCTATAGTAAAAGTATTTGAAATAGTGGTAGTGGGGGTGATACGCTTGGTTGGGTTATCATGATGGAATAAAAAATATAAGTTATAATTATTGTAGGGATTTGTTTATGCTATCTACAGTTGGAACGATGCGATAAAGGGGAGCTTCTATTTACAACAATCTATAACGGGCAGGTCTATCCTTTGGGTATATATATGGTATACATCTGTATGTATATATCGTCTATACTTGAAGTAGTCTGTCGGTTGTCTGCACTTTCCTGCTGTACAGTGCATACTGAGTAAAGATGGTGAAATCAAACATCAGGGTACCCGCACTTCCAATAATATAAGGAACCGCTTCCAGCAAAGTAGCACGTGTAGCGTGAGGGTTGGTAAATATACTAAGAACATAGGTCAAATTACCCATAGCAGCAAAGAAAAAAAGCGCCATGGATAATCCTTCGACCGATCGACGACGGAAATTACGATAGATTTGCGGTAATCGAGAAGAAAGATAAAGAAAGGTGCATAACCAAGCGAAGAATCGACCAACCCAGATGGTATTGTTGTTATCAGCAATGAGGTTGCTTAGAACGCTGCTATCGTCAGTGATGCCGTTGCTACTGGCCATCATCATCTCATCGGTGTGATTACTAGAGAATAACGATGTAGGTGAAGATAGTGCGAAAGTAGAGTAGAAACAAAACACAAGCATCATCGTGGCATACTTCTTATGCTGAGGGGATGAAGCTAGCAAGGAAGATTGCTCGTTCATAAGCTTGGGATTGGTGCCAGCAGCTGTGATATTTGTAGAGTCTGCTCTTTCATGCTGCTGCTCTAGTTGGCGAGTGGCATCCTTTGTATTTGTGCGCTTGATGCCATCGTCTCCGTCGATCCAGCGTCGAAGACGGTTATCAGCGTATTTGACATAGTACAACCATTGTAAGCATAATACCGTATCGATGATGATAAAATAAACGGATAAGATAGTTTGGAATAACAGTTGGCCTGTGATAATACAGCCGATGAAGTTAGCAACATCACCCACGAGCCAGACTGTGAGAAACTCGAAGCTTAATCCTTCAGCATCGCGAATTCTGTAATTCTTTATCACTTGACTAAGAACAAAAAAAAAAAAAAAGATTTTATGATAAGTATGATGTATGCAATTTATTTGAGCAAAAAGTATTCAACCAATCACACAGCTCCCCCCCCCCCTTTTCCCCTATTTTTACTGCTTGAGGATAGTTCTTCAGAGTAAGAGTAGTTTACTTACGGCATTTGAGCATTTAACCAACAGAAAATAGACAAGTAGCCTAACAGCAAACTCAAAGAATCGTGCCAGCCGTATACACAATCACCAAAGAGGGTCTATATTTGGAAATCTCATTAGTTTTTCTTTCTTTCCTTTAGCATAAACTAATAATTTTCTAATTTGAATCACAGATAGGCTATCTACTACTTTACATAAATCCAGCTTATAGCAGTTGATCCGTCATTGAGAATAGGACAGGTTGTTTGCATTATAATGTGATTATGGGTATTTTGATCAATGTAAGAGTAAGATGCACTTGAAGTCGTATTAATGGGAACGAAAAATAAGAAAGCCGTATCGCAATGCATTTCCCCCCTTTTCTTTATATAAAGAAAATATGTCGGCTATTCAAAGTAACTGTGATCTGTGAGGAGACAACGAAATACCAAGCTCTGAACAGCATCTGATCAGTATTTCTTTTTAAGGAAGGTCGATGTTGATGGAGAAGAATGCCTGCCTGCCTGCCTGCCTGTCCTCTGTCCTTAATGTAGTACTTACTATGGACAAGCCATTGGCTCGTGATAAGAAAGCCATTTGTTTTATGTTTTATGAGTGCAATGCCTGTGTTTTTACTTTATTATTGTTTTCGTTACGTTATAGGTATCTACATACATTACGTAAAAAAAAAAATATATATATATAGCGTTTACCTTGTCTTGGTATTACATCTTTGAAAATCACTTCAATGCAATCTATGTATCGCCTACAAAGCCACTATCAACGGATAAGTATAAATTGATCATTTGTTATTGAATAGGGTCTTGGGAACAAATCACTCAAAACCAAGCATATCATTTTCAACGAGAAAAGCTGTGTTACTTTAGTAGCATTTGACACAAATGGCAGTTTTCAATAGATCTTTTGGATTTTGAGTTATTAAGTGTAACCATTTTGAGATTATTTTTTTTTTCTTGTAGTTTTTAACGAAACCAAAAGTTTATATGGCAAGATCTAATTCATACGATAAGCATAATGATACAAATACCTCATCTCACGCCAACGCATGTCATTATGCCTTTGGAGATTTGCACCTACGGAACGTCCAGGAATTGTTCTGGTTATTGTGCTATAGCCGAAATGAATGACGTCGATGGAAGAGCTCTCATTGACTTTCTATATACTATTGAAAATGCTTTTTTGAATATTCTTCTCCACTCATCTCACGAATCATACAAGTTTATGCAAAGGCAGATCAACAGTAGCTTCTCTCAGGTCAAGTTTTGATCTCTGCCATGTCACACAAACCTTGGTCTACCGACATTTCCTTATCACCAAGTTTTCATCTCACACTGCTTGTTCCAACTTTTCTTTCAATTTGTTCTATGAGAATTGAGAGAAAATGGTCCTTCTTAAACGACGGTCAACGTTTGTCTCTTTCACCTCTCTTCTTTCGGTCGAGTATGCCAAAGTTGTCCGTAGCTGTCTTTTCAAGAGTCACCGTTATTCATTCTCTACAAAGCCAACAACAACAACAACAACAACAGTAGTCAACAGGCCTCCTAAGTATGATCTCACCAGCGATACAGCCACGCAACCGACAGACGAAATGTTTGACATAATGAAAGCTGCAAGTCGTGGTGATGATGTGTTTGAGGTGAGCCCACCTACCCTACGTGTAGCATGTGATGTCAACGTCATCATCTTTCACTTTCTCTACGGGATGTTAAACAATGCATACTCTCTCTTTGGCTCACGTCATGCTTAGGATGACACTTCGGTCAGAGAACTCGAATTCTACGTAGCCAAGCTACTTGGAAAAGAAGCCGCTTTGTTTTGTGCAAGTGGCACCATGACCAACCAGCTCGGCCTTCGTCTTTTATTAACACAGCCGCCCCATTCGGTATTGTGTGATGCTCGATCTCACGTTTATCTGTACGAATGCGGCGGCATTGCTTACCACTCTCAAGCCAGTGTATCGCCCGTCATGCCAAAAAATAACCATCATTTAACCGTCAACGATATTGCCTCCAATTTACTCACGGATCCATCGCACATGCCCGTTACCAAGGTCATCTCGTTAGAAAACACTCTCAATGGCACCATCATGCCTTTAAATGAAATAAAACGTATCTATGCATTTGCTCAGCAACACCAGTTAAAATTGCACCTGGATGGCGCTCGTTTATGGAATGCTAGCCAGGAAACCGGCATTCCATTGCATGAATATGGACAGTACTTTGATACCATTTCCCTTTGCTTGTCCAAGGGTGTGGGAGCCCCGATAGGGTCGATCTTGGTCAGTTCGAAAGCAAACATCGCTCGAGCTCGTCATTTACGAAAAATGTTGGGTGGGGGCTGGCGGCAAGCAGGTTGCTTAGCGAGTGCAGCCCTTCATTGTATACAACATGTAGTTCCTACCATGAAAGAGACGCATCAATTGACAAGAAGGTTAGCGAACGTTCTTGTAAAGCAATTAGGGATGCAGCTGAGCGTCCCCTGTGAGACAAACATGATATGGCTGAATGCATCAGGGACGACGTCTACAGCAGATTCGTCTTCCGTTTGTATCACACTGGACGAACTAGCCCGGGAATTGGAGAAGAAAAGTATTCGTATTCCTAACTGCGGCGACAATACGACTGAAACCAGGTTGGTCTTACATTATCAAATTACTCAATCAGTAGTAGACGCAATTGTTCAAGCAACGTCAGACCTAATGGAAAGAAAGAAGGTTGAACTTTTGAATGTCAGTGCCCTTAGCAATGTCTCAGATTCTCGTTCTCGGCACTCATCGGCTCCTCAACAGCCACCACTAACATTGTACGCCCATCCCTACCTTGTTCGAGACGCCTATTCCTCAAGGAACCAAAAGGACGATGAAACCTTTACCCAAAAGTAACAGGACCACCCCCGCCCCCTTCTCCACGAAGAGACTTTACAAACATTGAAACATTAGTACTCAGAAGCAGTGGTTACGAGCAACTTCTATTTTATTTTTGAAGGCCGACAAATAAATAAATAAGTAGTAATAATTGAATAAGTAGAGATAGTAAGAGACTATGTACAGGATATGAGGTTTGAAAGGAATTCCAATCAGAGGGGATATCATAAAGCAGTGGAATAGGCTGAACAGCACGAATGTCAGCGTTAAAAGGAAACAACAACAAGCAGCCATATCATTAAGCGACTGGCTGTGATCCACATTTAAGGGTGTCATCAAAGGAGCAATAATCTTCGTGGCAAAAGATAGAGACATCGACACCGCAATTGGGACAGAAAGTATAGAGAACGTGAGCAGCAGAAGAAGCAGAAGGACTGTCTGATTTGATTTTGTTCTTGGGCGTCCAAAAGTAGCTGTTATCGAAGAATGAAGAGACTGAAGAAGAGTCGATGGAGGTGGAAGAGACGGAAGAAGTTCTTGAACACATGCGATCCATAGCTTAAGTTTGTTTGTATGTGAATGCGTATAAATGTGGCGTGGTTTGATAATGCAGAAGACGGTTTATTGAATAATGCGGGTATAAATGCCAACTTTGAAGAAAAAGAAAAAGTGTCAAGAATTGACTGTGTTATTGGTAATATGGAAAAAGATGCTTAAAGTAGTATTGTAACAGAAGTGTTTACTATGAAAAGTTAATGAATCCAAAAAAATGGAAAAACACCGTATTCTGCTGTATTTATATTATTTTTCTTTTTTGCCATGCCATGGAAAAGTTAGGCATTCTCGTTACTCTGCTGTCATGCTGATTTTGGCATGCGGGGAAGTAGCCGAATGCTCGAATTGGATAAATTTTCAAATTAACCAATCAGCAGCGCATGCTTCCGTACGGAAGTCAAAACTATTCGCGAAACCATTTATTTATCATTTCTTCCACGTTGAATATTCTTTGATCTTAAACAATAAAGAGACGAAAAAGAAAATTTTCAGTACCAAAAATTTATGAAGAAGACATCACAGACATTCTTCTTTTGCTGTAATGCCCTCCATGCGTCGTTTTTTATGTATTATCATGGATGAAAAAGTGCGTCTAACGCTCAGTTACTTCTTATTCAAATGCATCGTGTTTGAAAACCGCGATTTTATAGCGCCAAGAGATGTACATCTTTGTGTTGGCTCTGGGTTATGAGAATTGTTTACAAGGTGAATCCAATTTTATTTTAGCACTAGCATGGGCAATATAACAAAGTGAAACAACTTTTTAGAGCTGTTTTAGATGTGTAAGTATTACATAGCAGAAAAGAGACTTTGTTTGTTTGCAATCCTTTTGAAGAAAACTTTATCAGTAACTGTAAAAGAAAATACCAGTTTTACAGGCCTTACATGCTTGGATTTATGATCAAATGCAAGTACTCAAAAGAAAGAAGAAGGAATAAGTCCATTGAAATGTTATGAAGAGTAAATGAGGCATTTCGATTTGATTTCGACTTTTGTTGGTAATGCCTGGATCTGATCAGTGATTAGTTGTCAAGGTCAAAGACCCAGAACCCCTCATTTTCGTTTAATTTTTTTTTTTTTTGATTCAGTTCCAAAATAGGAAAAATGAAAAAAGAAGACACCGCCTTTTCTGAACCCCGTTCAGGGCTTCAGTTTCACTTACTAATCATGGACGTGAGTTTTGATTGGTATATACATTACACAAAAGTTTGTATTAAAAAAGGTTGCCTGACAGCGAAATGAGAATTTTGGAAGACGCGTCAATTTTTTGCAGTTTTGACATTCAGCGTGTTTTTTCGGGGTGGTTTTTTTTTTTCAGTGTATTGTGTACCTTTAACTTTATCGCCTATCTCTCCCTCTATAACTTTTTGTAATTTTGCACCACAGTTCTATTTTTCCACAGACTCTTATCTTTTTTTTTTTTTTTGTTTGTTGCTGCATATCAGTTCTTATGTTGGCTAGGTCTTCTATTACTAAAAAAAGGGAACATGACCAGGAACTGAAAAGTCGATGCATCAGCATTTACCGAACACTTAAACAACGCTCTTTCGGCAGGGCTGTGAAAAGTAATGACGTCTTTCAATTGAAATTTCAAAGGGTTCTTCAAGCTCGATTCGCCTTTATGTTCCATCGTACTTACCTTTACCATCACTGTGTTTATTACATAAACCAATGTTATAGTTCCTTCGCGTCCTATATTACCGTATTTCAAAAATTCAAACAAAATGATATTTCAGTTTGTATTCCCTGACAGAGATCTGTGCACTCCATTTGCTTGTGATTATGCCCACCGAGCCATGGACGGTAACTTATTGGCCGTTGGCGATGAAGAAGGTCGGGTCTCGCTCATCAGAACGGACAAATCCAACGAACGACCCAACCTGGCATTCCATCAGTCATTCTATTGCCATCGACATGTCGTGACAGATGTTAAGTGGAGTCGTGACGATTCCATGCTGTTAACAGTCGCAAATGATAGACTAGCAAGACTGTGGGATACACAAACTTGTAGTATATTGGCTGAATTCCATGGACACCAAGACTTTGTAAAGTCAGTGAATTGGCACCCTATTGATCAACGTACGTAAAGAATCATTTTTTTTTCTGTTTTTTTGTACCTCTGACTACAAATGGACTTGGTTATAAAATTATTTCTTCTCTATTTTTAGATGTTTTTGTCACTACTGCTAAAGATGGGTCTTTTAGAGTGTGGGATACCCGGTACAATAGAAAGATATCAGAAACGACTGGTATGACTGAAACTGTACTATCTGGATTTAAAGCTCTGTCTAATTACTAATAATGATACATACTCTATGCAATAGATGATGCCAGCAAACTCATTCAATATGAGCCGGTGAAAGTAGTTGAAAATGCACATATACCTAAAGACAAAAAACCAACCAAAAAAAATGAAAAATCATCCCATATCCGTTCAGTCACAAGTGCATTGTTCTTGCCTTATGACACGCAAAAAGTCATTTCAAGTGGATGCACGGATGGTACCATCAAATTATGGGATATCCGATTCGGACGAACAGCGAGTGTACTAGAATCAGCGACATTTATCAGTCCTAGTGGGAAATTAATAGGCATTACGGATATGAAGTTGGACAAAGCTGGTACTCGACTATTCTGTTCTTGCATGGATAGCAATATTAATATGTTTTACATCAACAATTTGAAAGAGCCAGCCAGGCAATTTTCGGACCCAAACTTCAGAGTCGGTAGCTTTGACGTCAGGATTTCTTTATCGCCAGATGAAGAGTATCTACTGTCAGGTTCAATAGATAGTAGTGCTTACGTGTGGCAAACAGAGCATTGCAAAGAGAAACCATACGTGTATGAAGGTCATCAAGACAAAGTAACGAGTGTTTGTTGGAATAAGCGCACTGTTGACCAGGTATTTTACAAGATCAATATCAATATTGTTAAACTGTCATAAAAACTTATGCATTTATTTGTCATCTGGTAGTTTGCAACTTGTTCTGAGGATTTCACAACAAGAATTTGGAAAATGGAAATAGAATAGCCACAACCTCTGATCTTATTTTGTACACATTTATCATCCATCTTAAATTATTCACATAACATATATACATTTACATATATATATATATATACCCTGACGCTCTTTTCAGTATAAATATCAACATTTTTGACAATGTGTCAATGATGCTTAACGATTTCGAAGAATATACAGTCTTGTTCTCCTCAACATGACAGCTTTAGTCATAACGAAATCTTCTCTTGTGCTGATGGCTTGCTGAATCTCTCCAATCAGTTTTGCTCACTTTTTCATTATCAAGTGTTCTCAAGAGTTTGCCGACAAGGTCTTGATCTATTCTGCTTTTTTTTTTTATATGCACTTCCATTATACTCATCAGACAGGACGCTTCTTGGTCTTTGAGTATGTCTCAATGATTTCGAAAAGATCCAATATGATATTTGAATTTGTTCTTTTATTACGCATACTTTGCTTTGATCTGATGATATTTAGTGATGCTGAAAGGAAAGATTAAATCACAGATTCAAAAATGGTCTTTGCGCATACAGAGCGTAGTCATTCTTAATAGCTATATAACAAGCTAGATTCTTTAAAAAGCCATTGTTTATGGTGGTCTCTCGAGACTTCTAATCGCGCATTCGTATATACAAGTAAATTTTATGGCAGCAATTCTTGTCTCTCAGTATACTGCCGTTTCCTTATCACGAAGCGGTTTAAGGCTTATAGCCGGTGATTGTAATATATAAATGAAACGCTATGTTAGTGTATTTTATAAGTGAAGAGCTACTTGTAATCAATCATTTTCCAATGCTTTATTATCCCCCTTTAATCATTATATAATTCATATCGGCTGAATACATCTGCACTGGTTTACCGTAGAATTCTCCTTCAGATTCGCTCCCCTCCCAAGCAGTCATGATTATTGATGCTTATAGTTTATGTCTCAGTGTTCTCATCGTCCCTGCACACAACTTTATGAAAAAGCGCAGAATCATTTATTAGCTAGATGCGGTAATGAGGATGATTGAGGTAGTAAATATGCGATACGATGTTATTCTATATCATGTTGTAGCTATTGTTTATTTCTACCTCCCCTAACAAATGAACAGTATTAAAAATTACACATCGAAACCCCATTTCTATGTATATATTATGTATTGTCAAATGTAGTAGTTGCTTTGGGTAACACATTGTCCAAGTATAGACGATATAACCATCAAGTTTCGCATAATCTAATTAATTGTCTGCCGTAGATGCTTTTTCTTCTGCTGGCAAATCTTCCTTCAATGTCGGCTTGTCAGTGTTGATAGCTTCGATTTCAGTTACAGCGCCATTGGCTTTATCGTTAGAATCGTTATTTTGAATGGCTTCATCTGTTGTGTTATCTTTTTCCATTGCTTCATCTTCTAACTTGTCTTTGTTGATTTGGATGACTGAACTATCTAGGTTATCTTGCTCATTTCCAGTCACAATGTCATCCTGAGGAACGTCGACATCTGTTTTGTCTTCTACAAATTCTTCTTCGACTCGTTCCACATGCTCAAAATCATTACTTTCCGGAGTGCGAGCTCCTTCATCCACTACAAGCTGTATTTTATCATCACCGTTACGAGGCTCCTCTTCACTTTGTTGTTGTTCTTCCTTAGCATCACCCTCATTGTTGTCTTTAGATTCTGTCACTTTGTCGTTCTTCTCCGCTAGCATTTCTACTGCATTTTCCAATTCTTTTGCTAGAGCTTCCTTAGCCAAACGTTCCTCCTCTTCTTCTTCACGTTGTCGTCGTCGGGCTTCCTCTTGTGCTACTTTTGCTTGCTCCTCTTCTGCTTCCCTTTCCTTTTTCTTTCTAGCCTCTTCCTTTTCAAGTGCAAGACGTTCAGCTTCTTTCTCCTTTTCTAATTGTGCCGCCTTTTCTTTTCTTATTTCTTCCCTTGCTGTGGCCGCCTCTTTAAGTTGAGCGTTGACGATATCTAATCGACGGAACAAGCTTTCAATAGACTCTATAATGGTGCGTTTTCTATTTCTGACGTTCGCTGCTAAGCGCTCTTCATGCTCATTGGGTTTTATTGTAGGATCGTCACCTATGATAAGGACTAAAGGTCGAATGGCGTCTAATCGTTCCATGAGTCGTAACAAGAGCTCATTACTATGAGCGAGCGTATATTCTTTGTGCTTGAACGCTTTGTCGTCTTCGTTATGAATCGTGTTTTTGTCTACAGTGATAGAACGCATCGTTTTCTCCACGGACTCGGCTTCGGTTTTTATCTGCTCAAGAGTTCGTAAAGCAGCACGCTCAGCCTTCTTGCCCGCTTTTCTGCGTTTGACCTTCTTATCATCCTCAACGATATAATAGGCAACGCCTGAACAAAAAACTGCTAGAGAAAGTGCTGCTGCCCCGTATATCCATGCTGAGCGGCCATTCTTAGGATGGTGGTCCATGCTATCTATCGTAAGTCAGAGTGAGGGGTAAAAAATAAAAAAAAAAGTGCAAGGGTCTTCATGCCACCACACCAGTAAAAGGAACAAAAAAGATTGCGGAGGGACAAGCTAAAAATAGGCCTAAACGGGAATTGCAGAAAAAATTGGATTTTTGTTTTCTGCCTGCCTGATCCTCTTGCATCAAGAAAGGCGAACGTTACTATCTTGTATCCAGTGCTAAACTGACTAAGTTTAGCAGTAAATGATTGTTTCAAACAACTGATGAAAACGTCAGAAGAAGTATCCATTAACTCATGGTCGAAAAGTGCATCTCGAACTTTGTTCACTAGAGGTAACACAAATTCAGATTTCTTTTCTCATCTAGATAAACTTAATTAGCTTACAATGACCTGAGATAAAGTGGGCTACAATGGTTCTTGGCTGTTTTCCAATCCCCAAGTAAAACTTCCTTGCGTCAGCATTCGAAAGGAGATTGCGTTTATACAATCAAAATGATGCCATAAAGCTTTTGTTGGACGCGTCGTCTACTAAGGCGCTTTATTCAGTTTTATCAGCATTCGTCATTAAAACCAATGCGTCACTTCCACAACTATTTTCGGGAAAGTTTATGGCATTGAACCTTGATTCAATGATCAAGAGTATCCTGAGCAATCCTGGTACGATTAGATGGCCTCTCTACTACCAGGATTCTATAAGATCTTCAAAACTATCCATTATATCGCTTGTAGTAACTTTGTAGTAGCCTATACATTTTATTGCTCTCTATGATCTAACTCCTCAACATCAATATCACTAGTAAAAGGGACATTGATCACAGCGGCATCGAGACGGCATTTTGTTTTTATATGGCGAGGTGTTGTTGATTTCATAACTGATCATTATTGTCCCTTTCATTGATTTGGTAGGTTGCCGTTGAAACGGTGGAGGAAGAGTCAAGATGACTTTGGCTCGATCGTATGAATAGGAACAAAGATGATACAGTGGTTATGCTGAATTTCACAGCATTGTACAATGTAATGCACGGCATGCTGAACAGGCTTCGGATACATATCTGTCTTCTTAAGATAGAAAAGGGGAATAGGAATGGCAATTTGCTTTAACGATAAACTTTCCAAGCAATTTTAACGTACATATTTAGCCAGCGATTCAGCACATCTATGATAGCAACCAAAATAGTTACATTCCTACCCTTGCTGTATAAGGGAACAATCATAAGCTCTATAATCCAGTTAATTGTGTAAAGACCTACGCTGCCGCGAAAGTTTGTCTAATCATAGTTTGCTCGATTCACATCCTATCTGAACTTTTCTTTTCTTGAAGGATGAATTTTTGCTATTTTATTTCTATAGGTAAAATATACCATTTAATGGGCGGCATATCTAGGCTTTTTCTAGCACAACGTACTGATCGATAAGAAATTCTATTAGCAATGGCATACTCTTCGCTCAGAATTTTCCCTTTTTAAAGCGTGCACTACAATGAGTAAAAATGATGCATAAAAGCAGTAGCTGGTCTATATGCTGCAACAGGTAAGTACACCAAGTCAAACTTGCATCTTTTCACCTTTACAATGACGAATGAGGAGCAAACAACTAATGACAGGTATTTTATATGCTTATTGATGAAGGCAAAAATACAACAGAACATATCAAAGGGAACAGAAGGCGTAAAAGAAGTTACCGAAATTCAAATAGCCGCACAAGAGCAAAGTATGCAGAGAAGAAAGCAGCAATAAACAAAGCTTTGTGAAAATACTGAGTGAGACGTTAAGGAATGGAACAGAAGCAAATCGAAGTAGCGAAAGTTTCTACAGAGACAAAGGTACTTGCTGGTAGCTCTTGGAAACGTGGCCGAGCTCAGCAGTTTAATAGAGGTCTTTCCTACGCATGTTTAGTTTTTCTCATATATGCTTAGGTTTACAACACCTATACGATCATAGATATGAATGATATCAAAATTTCTAAAGGATCCTTATTCTACATTACCAAGATGTGATATTTGAGGCAAGTAATAGAGAGAAGTTGCCATAGAATCTCGTATCTATTATTCTGGAACTGTTATTCGCCCTGATTCACAGCTGATTAAATGCCAAATCTATTTCTATTAAATTTTCACGATTTTACGAAAAAGATACAGCAAAAAATGTGCAGTGGTGGAAACTTTATAGTCAGCAGAGATTGAAAAAAGTTGTTTATTGTCGTGGTATAGAACAATGGAAAAAAAAAAGATCTACAGACACTATTTACATATAATCATAACCTGCACCACTTCTTGCTTTGACGTGCTTTTTACCTTTCTTGTGCTTTTTAGATTTTACACCATCATCAGCGCCCAAATTAGCCTGGACCATAGCTAAACGTTCTTTTCTACTCATAGGCAGGGGTGTACCATCGTCAGCTAGTAACCGTTGATGAGGGAACATGGTCACCCTACCGCCTGTCATAGCACCTGCTGTTGCTGCTATCTTTTTACTGCTACCACTGATATGAGGCCTTGATAAATGCTTTTGAAAGAAGGCTTTATCGACAGCATCCGTCTTAGATCCAGCTTGTGTTTGAGTGCCATCCGAAGGCGCAACGTAATTTAATGCAGTTGCTGGCACTCTTGTGGTGGGAGCTAGTTTTTTCACAGTTTTCAATGCTTCTTGATGTGTTTCTCTGTTGAAATCGTCCGGATCCTCACCAGGAGGAGGATGACAGAATAATAATTTACCCTAAAGAGGTGAAGCGATGTTGAGCATCTCGGCCAAATAACTAACACTTACAGTCTAAATACTTACATTCACATAATCTTTAAGAATATATCTGGCAGCACGCGCCTCGTCCGGTGTACCTTGACTTGAACGGAAGTAACCTCTTGCTATAGCGTATGTTGAACAAAGTTCAGCGCTGGTTGGAATACCAGTACCGCCATCTTCAATAGGTACTGTACGTATACGGATACCATAGGTATTTTCGAGGACTTCTTTAGGAATACGTTTTGCAACTAAGCTACAAGGGCCCGAATGCTCGCGCAATTGGTCAATAGGTAAAACACCATTACAAACTTGATCTGCTTTGGTGGTAGAGAAAGTAGGGAAAACCAAACCGGGGCAATCACAGAGTACAAGTGAAGAAGTCAAATGAATGGTTTGGAAATGCTTTGTTTTACCAGGCGTTGATGATACAGAGACACGCTTTTCACCGATGAGAGCGTTAATGGTACTGGATTTACCAACGTTAGGATAACCGACTAGACCAATGGTTATTCTTCCATTTGACTCACCATTTTCGTCTACAGATTATTTTTTTCCCCGTAACGATCAGTGTTAGTACACATAAATAAAGATCACTCCTTTTTACTATATCAATTCAATCTACCTTTCTCAATAGGCGTCTTTTCAATTAAAAGATCCAATAAATCAGTGGTAGTTCTGATGCGAGTACGTTCGTCTTCATTTTCATCAACTGATAATTTTGATAAATCCGCCCCAATTTCCTTCACATTATTTCCCTTGGTATCTGCTGTATCTTCTCCTTCATCCTCTTCTTCTTCCTCGCTATCCTCTTCATCTTCAATGGTCTGGCTTTTAGCCTTTTTCAAGGCAGCTTCCATCTCTTTCCGTTGTTGCTCTTCTTGCTCCTCTTGCATCTTTTTCGCCGCCAAAGCTGCTGAGAAGAAAGTATACTTGATACCACGTTCATCAAAATAATCTGCCCATTTTTTTCGTTGTTCTATATTCAGAAAATCAGCTTTATTGATCAACAACAGATTCTCCTTCTCTGCATCTACTTCTTTCACGTATTTCTCTAAATCGGCAGATCGGAAAAGTAAAGGATTACGAGCGTCGACAATCTGCACAACTAACTGTGAACGTTCAATGACACGCCACAGCTGTCGCCATACTTCCAAATTTTTTTCAAAGGGAGTAAGTAAAAGCCCTTCTTCGTCTTCTAAGGCGGCCATACTGCGACGCCAATCCAAAAATGCTTCACGTTCGTTGCGCTGCACTTGCTCTGCTGTCATGGCTTTTTCCCAGTGAGGTCTACGAGGGATAGATAATCGATCAACATTGGCTTCTTGCTTTTGTATACGTGCTTTTTCTTCTTGCTCGGACGGCAAGAATGGATTCTGATAATCGTTTTGAACGACTTTAACATTGAGACGTTCTATATCATGTATTGATGGGATGCATAATTCGAAAGTTATCATCATTACATTCCTCAAAAACAAAAGGTGTGCCTGCTTCTATATCTTTCGTTTCTCTTACCAGCCGTGAAGTCTGTTCCAGCAAGTGCTGCAGTGCTCAAGAAGGCATCCAAATCATTTTCTTGAGTAATACTTTGCATTTTGACCCATTTAGGTTCATTGCTTATATCAGTTGTATGCTACGCAAAAGAAAAAGAGAATCTTTTGTTGGCTCCTTGAACAATCCAATGAAAAATGTAAAGTACTTTTGTTTATATTTATTTACAAGTTTGCCTTCATCAATTCCAATAGCCTTTTGGCCTTGAAAACGAGATTTAATGACGGCTCTGCCAAGAGAACTAGTTTGCTTCTTTTTAGGTGGCATATTCTATAATACTTTTATACAAAGGGAATTAAATAAAAAAAGATTAAAAAAAGAGAGACAAAAAGGGAAAATTCAAGCAACCAGAAAATGCTCCATTTCGCAATTGAACGAGCGGTAAGTAAAAACCGTCGTTAAAAAGCCACTGCAGATCATAAAGATTAGCTAAGCATTTGATTACTGCGTAACACTTCCAATCGAGATGCCTTATACAATAAACATTAATAAAAATAGTACTTTTATTGGTTTATATATAAGAGGTTGAATTAAGACAATCAATAAATAGAGTTGATGAATTCCCTAACATGAGTATGTATATCTACATGCCAAATAATGTAGTTGTATGATAAGTTAGTTGTTGCTTCTGCCATCTGGCATTGTTTAATATCTTTCGTGTTTAATATTATTTATCTTTTGACAATTGTTGATGTGGAATATGCTCATATATTTCATCGATGCTACGTTTTCTCTGATGTTGTTGCTGATTATCCACTTCCTCAATATCATCAATATTATCTGGCTGTGCAATTTCAGGAAACGCTTGCAACATTCCTGTTTCGGCCATACCAGTTGCTGTTGTGATAGAGGATTTTCTGCTACTGATATTATCAGAGGCCTTTGCGCTATCGGGATTGGATGGCGCACTTTCTTTCTTGATAGAATTGTTCTTCACCACAAAAGAAATAATGCAAGCTACTGCAGACATGGCGAGCATAATATACCAATTAAGTTTGAGAGCATCGACGAAGCAGTGTATAGCGAAGTCAAAATATTCAGCAGGTAAGCCATGTTGTACAAATTCTTGGTTAGAGAGCACTTGTTGAACCAACGGTGGAGGAAGTCTCTGAGGCAAAGTTTTAGCAAGTGTAGAGTTAAGAACAGCGGAAGAGATTGCAACACCTAACGCGCCACCTAAAAGACGACTAAAATTGGCTAGACCAGTAACTATAGCGATATCTTTGTTGTCGACAGCGGCTTGAATAGCAATGATGGAAGAAGAGAACATGAATCCAAGACCAGCACCAGCAATGACGGTCGTTCCATAAATTTCAGAGAAATTGGTGGTTTCGTCATAAAGAGCGAATAAACCAGTGGCTAAGGTCAGCAAGGTAAGACCCAGAGGCATCAAAGGCTTATAAATACCAAACTTGGAAATAAAGATACCAGAGCCAGTAGAAAAGCATGAAATCAACATTTGCATTGGAAACAAACGAATGCCTGACCACATGGCTGTATCTGCGCGGACAATCTGAAAATAGACGGGCAAGTAATAAACTACACTAAAGAAGGTTATACCGAAGAACCAATTGGATGCTAAAACGCCAGATACAGAACGATTACGGAACAGTCGAAGAGGCATCAAAGGCTCAGGGACCTTATGTTCTACCCAAATGAATACGCCAATAAGAACCACGACCAGTACTAAAGGAACAACAACGCCAGGATGATTCCACGGGAAAGTTTGACCACCAAAATTCATGGCTAACAAAAATAGTGTAGCAGCGCTAAGAACCAGGATAGTTCCGATGTAATCAATACGCTTTAATTTCGAACGGAGACTGCCTTTAGGAACAGGTAACTTTAAGCAAAAGAGGATGACAGCTAAAGCTACTGCACCAATAGGCAAACTGGAGAACAGATGTACAATTAGCAAATAGCTCGGTATGACAAAAGTCATTGTATGCTACTATCTTACTTGATATAAAAGTTCCAACGCCAAGTTACGTAATCGGTGAAGCTTCCCTATTGTATGTCGGATCGACAAATGGTTACATTAATACAAACACATATCGCTCGGTCACTTCTGAAAAACGGAAAACAGAACTTACACCAATCAGAGGACCAAAAACACTAGCTAATGCAAAGACTGCATTAACCAAACTATAATTTTGTCAGAACGAACGGTTATACACGAATTAGCTGATCTTGTATACAGTATTATAATCAAATTCTAATTTTACCCTTGGTAATTGCCTCTCTTTTCCAAAGGAACAATATCAGCAACGATAATGAAGACCTACACAAGTTCGTTGAGATAAAGATGAATGAAGTATTGAAGCCAACTTTACTATCCTTACCATTGAGAAAATGCCTGCTCCTCCAATACCAGCAATTGCTCTACAAATAATCAACCAGATCATATTCTAAATTTTATACGTTTATTAGTTTTCTTCTTTTTGATTTGTTTAGCCTATTGAAATCATCAACTTACTTTAGCAACAGCACATAGTAAAGACCCTATCAAGAAGACTACAATACCAAAAATCAACACCCACTTTCTACCAAAAATATCAGAGAGTCTGGCAAACATGGGCTCTAATAATCAGCAAAATAGAGAAAATAAAAAGCGTCAATATAAAGAGTGTGGAAAATCGTGGTTGCGGAAATCAATCACGTACGAAATGCATCAAATGTCAAAATATATGCTGTAGCAACCCAAGCAACAATGCTTGTTGCATTAAAATCAGATCCAATTCGAGGTAAGCAAGTTGCGACAATCGTACTATTTAGATGAATCAAGATACATCAAGTAGAGAACACTGTTATTATATATCTCTTTTTCTATAAAAAAAAACAACGTTGAACAAACTATTCTTTACCCATCAAGTGCAGACAAAAACAAAGCAAGTTGCAAACCAAAAAATGTGAGAAAAATACTCTGCTTTTTCTCTCCTTCTTCTATACTTTCATTCGCTGTACTTGATATTGTTGGTTGTTTGGATATCGGTAATTGATCGTTTTGCTGTTGTTGCTGTTGCAGTGCATAGCTTGAATTTTCTACTTTGTGCGAAGTCTCGTCGGCACGACCGACAGCATTCTGAGGGGTTTGAAATTCTCCATTAGCAGTATGAATGGACGTATTATTCAATATAGGCACAGCTGAAGGTCTCCGTCTGATGAGATTTTCTTCAATCGACTGCATACTATCATTGTTGTTATCACTCGACTTTGTTCGTGTCTTGTCAAAACTGGACATTCTATTCGTAAAGCGCGAATTGCTCGTAGTTTATGTATTACAAAATCAATTTAAGGAATGAATTAAAAAAAATAAAGAGTATGGAAGTAAAAACGCAGGTATAATGGGAGAAATGAAAAAAAGTGTAAAACGGATACATCTTTTATGTTATGTCGCGCTTTCTTTTTCATTTCTGATTCAAGCAGCAGCAAGCATTGGAATGTTTCAGAAAAAATTTTACTTTCCTTAGCGGGGATGGGAGGGATGATGGGAGAGAAGGAACATCCATGGAAAACGAGATCATTGATCCAGTCCAACTCTTCAAATACTGTAAGTGTCAACTTCATCGCACCAACGAACACTTTTTTTAATAAAAGCTGTTTGTAACGTAAATTTGCCCATTTTATGAATATAATAAATCGCCATTAAGATGCGTCCTTTTTGTATTGAAACCCGGATTTTATGTCATTACATAATCTAAAGTTTTGCCTTATTCTTTTCTTGTTGCATTTTCTGTTCTGCTGCAGCGGCGTCCCGCAAAACTCTGCGAAGAATTTTACCTGAAGCACTCTTTGGTATGGCATCGATAAAGCGGACGCTTCTCAATTGCTTATAGTAAACAACTTGCTCTGTTATAAACCTCATAATGGCGCGTGCCGTTTCTTCGGATGGTGATATTCCTGGCTTAACTACGATATATGCTCGAGGTAGCTCTGTGGCTTGCTCATGATCGTAAATGCCGATAACTGCACAGTCCGCTACAAGAGGAGAGCTTAACTAATAATTACCAAACCAAAAAAAACTGAGTGTTAGCGTACACAAAAAAGGCTATTTATGCTATCGTCAAGTCCTTCCAGATCACTGAACTGTTGCTTATTACACCAAGCTACTGTACAATAAACATAGCTTACCAAAAGAGCTTCCAATTCAGCAGGCGGGACCTAAAGATGGAGACAACAATAACAAAAGGGATAATAATGCTAAATTTAGAAATTTGTAAGCCCCAGCAAAAGTTTCATATTGAAGGAGATTATACCTGGAATCCTTTGTATTTGATCAACTCTTTGATACGGTCCACTATATAGAAATGACCATGCATATCTTGATAAGCAACATCGCCTGTGTGGAAATAACCATCTTTGTCTATACAGTCCGCTGTAGCCTTGGGATTATTGAGATAGCCCTAATCATTAGTAATAGCTTCATTAGTAATAGCTCGACTTACAACACTATGCTTCCAGTTCAATACAAAGTTTAATGCTATACCTTCATGACATTAGGGCCTTTCAGCCATACTTCACCTCGTTCACCTTGCCGAACCTCTATAACATGTTGAATATGAGCTTTCTGTATAGCTAATTGGTCACAGGTACTATTGTGCTTACCTTTTCCATTTTCGTCAACAATTTTAGCTGTCATATTAGGTAATAATATACCAGTGGAGCCTATTTTTTTGTAATACATAATTGCATTGGATGTGTTAGAGAGCGTTGCATTTCGGAACGGGTTGTATCTTTATACATACCATCAATCACATTATCAGTCGGTTCAACAATGGAAACTGGAGAGGTTTCTGTCAACCCATATCCTTGTTTAAATACTGTATCAGGTAGTCTCTTTCGCACTTGCTTCGACAGATCTGCGCCTAGAGGAGCAGCTCCCGAAACCACTATTTTAAGGCTAGACAAGTCGTATTGATCAATGACAGGTTCTTTCGCCAACAAAAGAATGACAGGAGGAACAAGGCACGTGTAAGTAATTTTTGCCTGTTGAACAATTTGACAGAAGGTTATCAGATCGAATTTGGGTACAACATAAAGAGGCATGCCAATATAAAAAGCTACATGCAGACAAATAGCAAGAGCAAAAATATGATAAAAAGGCAAAACACCCAACATTCGATCTTTAGCTCCCTTGATAAATTGCTGCTCAATGGAGTAATATTGTAAGACATTGGATACTATGTTTGAATGCCTGCAGTGGTTATATAGACGAATAATGTTATTGACTTTATTACTTGACTGCTAAGTTGCAACGTTATAATTTTCAACTTACGTTGTCATTACACCTTTACTTGTGCCTGGAATTAAAAAAAGCAAAAAAGGAAAAGAAATCAGAAAGTGCAGTAATGACTTTATGGTTTCTACATGGTTAGACTGTAAGCCAAAATACCTGTTGTGCCAGATGAGAAACAGAGGTAAGCAACGGTTTCTTTGGCTTCCTTTGAAGTTAGATGAACTGGTCCTTCACATCGAGTATGCGAAAGGAAAACCTGTGAATAGGGGTGGATGCCATTGACAATATGCTTCCCGAAAACAAATATGTGTGATCGTGGAAGGTTGACGCTATCAGCTGCTTCCAAAGCTGACTCCAAGCATGCGGTATGAGTAATCAGTACTTTGGCCTTTGTCATTTCCAGCTGGTAAGCAAGTTCTTTAGGCGTATACGCAGGATTGGCGGGTGATGTAGATCCACCTTAACAGAGAAAAAGGAAACACCATCTTCTATTAATGACAGATTGCTAGTTCAATTTTAAATGATATATCAACTTAGTACCTGCAGCGACAGCTCCTAACAAAGGCACTGAATAGTCAAACTAAAAAGCGGTAGAAAAGTTAACTTTAGCTTACTTACAACTACGAACACTGTATGATTCGCTACGCCTTTCAGCATATGCTTGCATACGTGAACCGCTAAACACATATCAAATCATCGCTTACTTGATTTGGTGAATAGATAGCCAAGACATCACCACGTTTGAAATTAAATCTCTCTCTTAGACAAGTAGCAAAACGCAAAATAGAGTCTTTAGCCTGCGCAAAAGTTAAGCTTTCACCCGTAATGGCATCAAGTAATATCTTTTTATCGCTGTGGATGTTGAAAGGGTTACTAAACAAGAATTCAATAACACTACATTCAGGTATTTGAATCAGAGGAAGTTTTGACTCGATCACCATTATATTCGGACTGATGTTTCCTCAACAAATAAAAGTAAGAGGAGGAGAAGTAGAGGCAAAACTTCATGTGAGAATGCAGCTTATTGTAAGAATAATTTGGTTTTCCCCTTGTACTACGCTCAAAGTCTAAAAAACAATCACAAAAACTGTCTATGCTTTGCCAATGGAGCAAGAAGTCAGTAAGAAGAGCAAAGACTCTCGAAATCATCCTAAGGGTAGAATAACACATGCACTAACTCTTCTATTCTTTACAATGACAGAAACAAAAATCAGTTTCCGCTGTAAATGATAATTGTATTTATTCTTGAATGAAGCATAATTTAGCCATTAAGAGCTCATTCTTCGTAAATGGCCAATCATATTGGACATTTTGCATTGAAGTACAGTTTCAGATGCAGAGGATCAACTATCCACTTTTAGCTTCAGTGTTTAGTCAGATCATGCGAAAACTGGTGGTAATATTCAGTGCAACAGGTAACAAAGAATTATAAGAACCCAAGCTTAGCAAGAAACCATTTTATTTTTTAAGTTATTGTCTTCATGTACCGTACAGACGGAATCTTTGAGATCACTGCTATGGCAGTAACTGAAATAGAAATAGGGTGCAGGTAGGATATTTAGGCTTGGCAATTTTCTGAGAAACGGAAGATTATTCGAAATTAAAAATAGCAGCAGAGGTTGCAAATCAGTTTAGCCTTTTCCTTTTTGTTCTCGAACATAAAAGTATTATCTTTCTTTCTTACTTTCTGTAAAGATTCGAAACCACCAATTTTATATACCTGTATAGAATTGAAGGCTTGAAAGATATGGAGTATCTACAACAACAGCAGCAACAGCAACAACAATTTAAATGTCAATGGCAAAACTGTGCAAAGCTCTTTACAGATCCCGAGCAGCTTTACAACCATTTAACTAATGACCATGTGGGTAGAAAATCAACTGGCAATTTATGCTTAACCTGCCACTGGGCAGATTGCCAGGTATCTGTAGTCAAAAGAGATCATATCACAAGCCATCTTAGAGTTCATGTGCCGTTGAAGCCTCACCATTGTAGTGTAAGTCTTTTTTATCAAGTTGTTTCAGTCTTGATAATAGAAATCGTTCATGTTCTAAACACTTTGTTTCTCAATTTTCAGTTCTGTGATAAGTCTTTCAAACGTCCTCAGGACCTGAAAAAGCATGTAAGAATTCATGCGGATGATCCACCATCAACAGTTAAATCGAATAACCTCACAGAAAAGCAGCAACTGCATCAACCTTTAACACCACCGAGACAATCACTATCACCGAACCCAACATTGTTCCTTCAGTCAACAATGCCCATCTCTCCAGCTTTAAGTGCAAATGCTTACCCAGACGGTAAATCGAAGGGCAAAGTAATTTTTGTAGAACAAAACATAGCTAATATTTTTAATTTAGACGGCTCTAAGCAATTGCAGCCACAGTCTGTGCAACAACTGCATCCTAACTCTAGTATGAAGAATGCATTTGGTGCTGTTTCCCCTATTTCAGACTATTATGAAAGTTTCAATAGTGGTGCTAGCTCTCAGTCATCAATCAAACAAGAACCTGCAAGCCCGTATTCACAACCACAGGACCCCTTTATCAGCAATTTAATGTTCATAGATGAAGCAAATCAGCAGTTGAAGACAGACTATAATGCAGGTAACAAAGAAAACAGAAATTATATCATGTCCGGCATCTACTTTACTTAATTTCTACTTATTTCATGCCAGATATGATCAACCAACTAGACATGTTTCAAACTTTGATTGATAGCGGTTCTATCAATCCTAACTCGTTAAACATTAGCAATGAAGACCAGCTGAATAATTTCAATCTTTGGCTCGCACAATTAACGGAAAATATCAATACGCAGCAAGAACAAATGATGCCGCAATCCCAACTTCAAGAGCCTCAACATCTTTACCAGCCATTGCAACAACAGCCTCAGCCACAGCCGCAAATGTTTATGGAGACACAAGCAACAACCATGCCACCGCTGTCAAATACCTACAGTTACACGGACATGCTCTTGCAATTCAATCCGATGAATAATGTCACTCCCGATCCTGTATATCCTAGTCAAGTCAATGAGGACTTATATGTTCGATCTCAACCTATAATTGACTATACTTCCGCTTCGCCTATACCACATACTACCACTGTTCCTACTGTTGCACCGCAAATACCATCTCAAATTGATTATAATAACAGCTATAACTATGCTACCGTTGCATCAACGGCGACCATGGATTATCCTTCGACGAATACTAATTCAATGCCAACAACTATGATGAGTGGATTAAGGCAGCATTACACAAGTATACCTGATATTATGGATAGCAACAGCTATTTCATTCCTGAAATCAGAACCAGTCAAAAGCTTGGCAGCTCCGAAGATGACGTCAAATATAAGACAAGCGACAGCACTCCCGACGATGAAACAACTACAACAAACACTGCTAAGGCTACTGCTTCAGGAACGACAAATAAGGGAGATAAAGAAACCATTACTGAAAATAAGAAACAGCAGTCACCTTCTGCCAAGAAATCTTCTATTAATAAGGATATCTTAGATCTTTTAGTGAGCGATATATCAGAATTATCGATAGGTGGTAACGGTAAGAAGACCAATGCTAACAAGGATGATACAGTAGAGTCACTTTACCCAATTGCAGAAAACACATACACACATACTGAGGAGATTAGCAGTGATGCAGTTGCTCACACGCCACAGAAACGAGTCAAGAGCAGTGCAATAAATAAAAACAAAATAGAGAAGCATCAACAGCTATTGAAACAGCTGAGTGATTGGGTCAATAAGAACTATCGCAGTAATCAAAATAATTCTACTACAGCAACTTCATCGCCATCCTCCGTCAAAGTAAAATAAAGTAAACAAATAACTTCAATAAATATACAATGATCATGATGCATCGGTATTTTTTCTTTATTAATGTAAAATTCTTCGACAATGTTGCTTTCTCTAAGTCGTCTTTTTGTTGTGATTGACATAACCAATACCCATACATGTCATGATAATGGTATCGTTGGATGAGTCAGGTTCGATTTTAAATGAGACACCAAAAAATGCTTTAATATCGCGCAGAAATTGAATGCTGAATAGAAGGTTCAGGTTAGCCTACAGAGTCAGTTTCTTTTGAAGCTTGTGTTATCTAACTTTGTGCAAATACTTACGTAAATGCGGTCAAATCGCCCACTCTGATCTTTCCAACATCTTCCGGTGATAATATCATCAATAACAAATTCAACCATTGACTTGTTGTATCAATACATCCACCTTTACGTATTTCGTTTAACAATAATTTAGATGCCATAATACCAACGTCTTCCGGTGTCTGGCCTGGTTCTGCTGCTTTTTCTGCTGACAATAATACTTCTGTATTAGATTCTGCTACTAATGATAAAGCAAAACCCGGCGATCTGCGATAAATACATATCAGTAATTTGTTTCTATTATCCTGCCTCTGTTCAAATTACCCTCAACAACTTACTTTCCACTCTCTGCTCCTTTATAAACGTCTGTATATATATAAATATCTGGTATATATCGATTCAGTAGTGAACGTGCCGACTCGACCAGTCGATTAGCTGTTTGTGGTGACACTCTTGTACAATAAGCAATACCACGTATACGCTTGATACGTCCTTCATCTATAAATTGTATTGGCTTCAATTGTCGAATAGGTACACATGAAAACGTAACTTCACCACCACCTAATGGTGGGGCCCCTCTTTTTGTAATCTTCAATTCCAAATTCGTATCCACGCCAAATCGTTTTAATTGTGGTAATAAGACTGTACGTATAATATCAACCTGAATCAATAAGGGTTATTGAAAAAAACATCAGTGAATATAACTGCTAGCTGATTATTCCGCAATGTAACTGTAGCGTGTATTTATATCGACTTCAACTTACAGATGGATCAATATGGTCTGTTGTAATACCTTCCAATGTCAAAACGAAAGGCTTCTTGGAAAAAGGCGCAAGTGCAATCATTGGTTCCAAGTAATAACTTATACTTCTATCTGTGCCACAATCATGTTCTATGCGGCCACCTTCGATGGCTCCAGGTCTGTAGAGTAAGGAAGTACCTGTTTAAAGTGTAATTTAGACAAACAATTGAACATGAAGAGTGTTTGCAGCTGCCCGGAATGTAATTACCTGTGTAATTGATTTCTATAACTGAACCGTTGGTAACCTTTTCTAATAGTTCGAGAAACTTCATTTCAAAATCTAAACAATTCGAACAATTTATGTTTAGCGTCTAATCCACGTTGCACTAAAGCTGTCTTCCAACCAGATCGATCTACCTCTTAAACCTGGATTTTCGTCATGGGATCTTATCTTCTCAATTCTAACTGCTTTTCCACTCAGCGTAGCCAGTACAAGTCTTTGACGAAGGTAATTGTAACCTTCAAACTTTAGTAATTTACTCATATTGTATAGAAATTTTATGTTTTAAAAAGAAGGTTTGATTATGCTTCATACTTCGATCAAAAAATCGAAGCAACTCAGTAGAAAAAGATGGTCACTATTTATTGCGAGCATGAAAGTGGCTTGGTCGGCTTTGCAGGACAATATAGACTATATGTTAAAGCAGCAATGTACAGTTATACTGATGAGATACGCTGTTAATTGAGGTAGGAAGTCTGTCCTCTATTAAGTATTACAACAATGGTCATTATTAAAGGACTCTGCACATTAACATCTACTGATAGAGACTACAAAGATAGTTCGACCCTATCTAAACTTAATACTCTTTGAAACTGGTATCATAGATTGAGAATGGCTCATATTTCTTACTCTTCCTGACAGAATATGCTAACTATAATGAGATTTTGGAGACACATCGTTTATAGAGGAACTAGCCTCCTTTGATGCTGTAAAAGCGAGCTCACTGTTTATAGAATAAAATCGGCCAATCAAACTTCCAATTTATACGTCACTCAGACCCAAAGTGCGCTTTTGGTATTCTGTCAATGGCCGTTTTTTTACCTTTTCTTTTCTATTCACGACAGTAACTCGTCTATTTGAGCACACATAAATCATAATGACCATTGGCGTTCCTATCAAACTTCTTCACGAAGCACAAGGCCATATTATTACCTTAGAATTAAAAACAGGTCAACTCTATCGTGGCAAATTGATCGAAGGTAAAACATGACTTACTTTTTGTTCAACTCATTAAAAGCTTGACAATTAACCATCTAATTTTATTTTTTTGTTGGTATTGAAATGAATTCATTGTCAATTACTTGAATATTTTATTTGCTCACTATATTGACGTTATGCGCTAATATAGCTGAAGATAATATGAACTGCCAATTGAAAGATATTACAGTAACCGCACGCGATGGTCAAGTTTCACAATTAGATCAAGTTTATATTCGTGGATCACACGTTCGATTCTTTATTGTTCCCGACATGCTAAAGAACGCTCCTATGTTCAAAGGTATTGGTCCAGGTGGTCTTAAAGGAAGAGGAATTGGTTTGGGCAGAGGAAGAGCAACAGTTGCCCGTGCCCAACAAGGTATTTTCGTACACCAGAACACTACAGTAAAACACTTCTCAATACTTATTTGCTCTATTCTTTTTCATTTAAAAAATAGCAAGAGGAAGAGGCCGTGGTTTTAGAGGACGCGCTTAAACAGAGTTATATTGTACATATGGTTATTAATAAACGTAGGAAAATTGGGAAAAGTTTTATCGAATCGACTATTACAAATTGGTGCTTAGAATGCTTGCTACAACGATCCATGTTATTATTTGACAAGTTTTCATAGTCTTTTCTATCTCATTTTTTGTTCCATTGCAAACACCAGCATATACAATAAACTACGCATGCTACTATGATATTCCAAAAAGTCAACAAACGCAAAAAAAAAAAAGTCAATGAACTCCATCAACAATGATAAGATGAATGTACATTGCAAGAATTTATAGACAATATTCTGAATTTACTACGATAAACCCAGACGCCATTTATAAATAGGTTGGCATTTTTTGTTAAAGCAAAGGAATATTTTGTCTTAATAAATAATTTAAAGGTATACATGGGGTTAAGAATAGTAGGTATTATGTACAATTTCGCTTTTTGAAGTAGGCATTAAGTTGTGGTAGGAGCAATTGTGCTGGTTCTTTTAATCAGCGAATCCCCTCTTAGGCTATTTTTGTTGTTCAAAAATGCTATAGCATTATCTTCTATCAACTCTCCATAGGCAATTAAATCACCCAATCGACAACCTGATGCAGCTTCATCCAAAGCGGTGACACTGGCTCCATTTAAAAGTAGGAATTCCGCCATAGGGTACGACTTTTGATCTTCAAAGTCTATTAATGCTAAATGCAACGGGTATCTTACAAAGAAAGTATCGATATCTATACCTTCAGGAGCGTCAAGTGGGATAGAAGGATAAGGAACGCTGATAGTACCTTTGACATTACCATCTGCATCGAAGGACGGTAAAGTGATGAAAGAGGGCTGCTTTTTGTTAGAAGGGCTTAGCAAAGAAATAGGAGAATGTGTACTGTAACATGAAGCTGGGAAAGGTTTGTTAACGTCAGCACCTATGGCAATGGCATACATAGCCAAAGAAATATCATCGTCTGCTATGGCATCGTAAAGTATTTCCATCGGGTCTATGCTTTCTGTTTGCGTAACGAAAGCTTTAGTCACATATTTTAGTTGTATGTATGCCAATTTAGTATCCCTGGAAGAGGTAGGCATAGGTTTTTGTGCAACTGTATTGACTTCTGCTTCTGTAGTCGTGTTTTGGAATAGCTCAGCTTCCCAGATTTCGTTTGATTTGGCATTTCCCAAGGATAGCATTAATTGAGTAATTTCCGGTGTGAACGATAAGGTGTCAAGTGTAAGTGACCTCACTTTAGATATGTGAGTACCTAGACTTCTGTGGATACCTGAACATTCTATAGACGAATCAGGTTATTGAAGGTTTCTTCCTTTTTCTCTTTTTCAATCCTGAATCGTAAGATGCTAACTTACCAATGCATAATAATATTCCTAAGTTTATGGAACACCATTTGGGGTCTTTAGCGGAACAATCAGCACATTCATGGTTTGATGGATCTTCCTGTAACAGTTCTAATAATTTATTTTGTTCTTTGCTACTTCTGTCCGAAACTCGTTGAGAATTAACAACAGCCAACGATTTGGACTTGTACATTGAAGAATCCAATGACAAAGCCTCATTCTGATCGAATAAACAAGCCAGAGGAGGAGCTGATGAAGGAGAAGCAGGATATTGAGAATTAGGATATTGATAAACGACCCTTCTTTTCGTACTGCTGCTATCGCTGCGCTTTTTTAGATATTTCTTCTTCGCTGCTGCTAAACCGCTGAGAGCGCCACTGAAAGAAGCAGTTTGTTTCCACGACTTCTTCGACGTTTCATTAAGCCGTTCAAAATAGGCTGAAGTGCCTGACGTCTCATTTAATAAGCTGTTGATGGCATTGTTAATTGTGGCTATCCAGCTTTGTAATTCTTCTTCCGAGGTTGCCTGATACAGCCGCTTGAATTTAGGAGTGATCACTTCAAAGCAAAAACGCCGTTCCACATTCCTATTTTTGCGAACAGTGGCGAACCTGAGATCAATGGGTTCTAAATGTGTTTCCAAATGCTTTTTCCACTTGGAATGTTCATGTAATTGACCACCGCTTACTACGCACCAATACCTTTTTGCGTAAGAGGATGATGAAGAGAAGAAGTTCAGAATAAATATGGTAAAAGATAAAACGGTTAGCTCTAGGTGTAGAATAGAATCGATGAAGTGAGCTTACAAAAAGCACTTGCACTATACATACTTATGCCATGTAACATTTTCGATCGAGGAGTTGACGTTATTTTTAATATTTTTGATAGGCTTCGACGTGGCGAAGAGAAAACCTTCTTTTTTTCGACCCGCTGAATTAAGCAATGAATGATCTTGTTGCTCCAAGTCGCGTATACCTTTGAATTTATCGCTTTGGCTTTGTTTCGAACTGTCGATGTTATTACTGCTACTGTCAACAATACTATTTGTTGATGTATTATAATCAGCGAAGAAAGGCTGTCCAGTTTGCGTTATTTCTGGTGAAGTAGGTGAAGATGCTGAGGCAAGACCATCATCTACTTTGGGAAAGGCTAAAACTGTCATTGAACTCAGAGGTGGAGAGATAGACCTCATGAAGGACTTTCTCTTTGGCTCTTGTTTATTGATACCACTACTATTCGAAGTGTCACTGGCGTTATTGTTACTGAAATTCTTGGAAGTTAAAGCTTTCCTGATTTCGTCTCGTTCTTGATTCAATAATTTCTGCTCTTTGGAGGCTTCGGCTATCATACGGGCAAGGGTTTCTAAACCTTTTTTGTGAGGCTCTAATATTTTTCCAACGGACTGAAAATAGGAATATTGTTTTTCATGATGGTTTAATAGGTGATAGAGTATTTCTTGTTCTTTTTTGCCTCCATGCAAATCTCGCAGAAATGAATAGTATTCAAAGCGCACCAGATCAAACTCGCTCTTCTTCAAATTGAATTCAAATTCAGCTCTTTTGTTCCTTTTTTGCCTTAAACTTTTACTAGTAGTTGCTATAGTTGTATGGTATGTCATGCCGTTGGCACTATTTTGCTGAGCTGTAGAAACACTATTTTTAGTAGTCGATAAGCTTCCAGAAGGAAGTGGGGCTGATGTAGGTGCATCGTTGATAGCCTTTTTGCTAAGATACTTTGCCAAAGCTGAATAATAGTCTTTGCTAACTTCTTCGAATCGTTTACGCTTGGTATCGACCGACTTGATATCCATTTCATATAACTTTTGCAGTGGATCAATCAGAATATTCTGCATACAGATATACAATCGCTCTTGCTGTTCATGTAATTTTTCCCATGTAAAGTCCAGATAGTGAGTGAATAACGGCTCAGTAAATGGAGCCTCTCGTAATGCCTCAATAAATAATCGATCTTGTTCTAAAAGGTGATATTTGGTGTCTGACAAAGCTTGGGCGGCTTTTAAGATACGCTTTAAATGACCTTTTAGAGTGTTGGTTTTTCCTTCATGCTCTTTTATGGTAGCTCGAAATAATGGACCATCTTCTAGATCAATATCGAAGCTGTTCCTGCGCGATGCTATTGAAGGTTGTTGGTGAGTCCTAGTGGTTTGTTTGTTTTCTTTAATAGCAGGAGTAATGGTCAGTATAGAGTTATCTACTGGCTGAGTCATTGCAGAGACTGTATTTTGATATTTAGTAACTGATGTTATCTGAAAATTTAAACCAATAGTGGAATGATCTGTGAAAGAGAAGGATACAGAGGGGAAAGGGGATAGAAAAAAAGAAAAACATTTATCTTAATTTGATCTTTGTCAGTGAAATTCAAACTCCATATTTGGATTTGCCCCGCTTTTGGCAGATGGTATTTTGGGCAGCAGAAAGCAAAAGGTCGAGTTGACTAACGAAATTTAACAAACGAATCTTATACTGCTAATTTACAATGAGTTCTGCCTCACCTGTTATTATTATTACCGGCGCCTCGAAAGGTATTGGTAAAGCTGCTACTATAGCTGCTTTGGAAAAATTCAACGCTAGAGTGGTTGCGATTGCACGAAGTGGAGATTTGCTCAATGAACTCCATGAACACGTGTCTAAGGTACTGAATAAGGGTGACCAACTCGAACTTGTTGCTGGTGATGCTACCAATAAAGATATCGTCCAAAAAGCAGTTGACACAGCTGTTCAAAAATGGGGCCGCCTTGACTCTGTCATTGCTAACGCTGGGTAACGGGCAAAACTGCAACTAAACTGAGCTTTTTCAGGAAACAAATCTTACTCAATTTGATACCCTTACAATGCATTCTTTAGTGTTCTTGAGCCAGTGGCTACAGTTGCAGAGAGTTCTATTGAGGATTGGAAAAAGCTTTTCGATGTCAACTTCTTTTCAGTTATTCTATTAGCCCAAATTGCTCTACCCCACTTGCGTAAGGCCGACAACGGTTCCATTGTTATTGTTTCTTCAGGAGCTGCCTTGAAAGGTTATAGAGGTTGGGGTGCCTATGGATCGTAAATACCTCAATGCACATTGTTTCATATTAAAATGACAAGCAATCACGGTCAAGTGTTTTTAACTTTGTGCTTATTTCCTAGGTCTAAAGCCGCCATTAACCACTTGACAAATACTTTGGGCGTAGAAGAGCCCAATGTCACAACGGTTGCATTAAGACCTGGTGTTGTCGACACGGGAATGCAAGATACCATTCGTGCTGTTGGTGCAGAAGCAATGAAAGATGACCATGCCAAGTTTGTCGACCTTCATCGTGAGGGCAAATTAATTGACCCCAAGACGCCTGGTCATATTTTGAGTGCTTTGGCCTGCAATCCTCCTAAAGAACTTTCTGGTCGCTTCTTCAGTTGGGATGACAATGAAATGAAGCCTTATCAGCCCTCTGTTTAACTTTCTAGATGATACATTTTTGTTCCTTTAAATTATTAAAGTGTATTTTGTTCTCTTGGCTGTTACTATTTCCGACACAAATGGAGCTATTATAACTACTGCTTGATGCTTATTACGTTATGAAAAGATATAAATTATAAGTTTATTTTGGTTTCAATTTTGTACATTTATCGGCTTTGGACCAAATCATCAATCTTCATGATCATCATGACAGTTTCAGCAGACAACTCGAGTGCACTCGAAGTGACCAATAATGGCTGAATGACATTCTCTTCTAGAATATTTGTGATGGTTCCTTTCTTGACATTGATACCGGCCGTCTTTTCGCCAAGGGCATGCTTGTTTCTTAATTCAGTAACAATAGCAATAGGATTTAAACCAGCATTTTCGGCCAAGGTAGTGGGGATAACCTCCAGAGCTTCAGCAAAGGCTTGGAAACAGTATTGTTCCATGCCCGTCAGCGTCTTTGCGTAGTCCATTAATTTCTGAGAGATTTCGATTTCAGGGGCACCGCCGCCAGCAATCAAGAACTTCTTCTTGACCAAACAGCGGACGACACAAAGAGCATCGTGAAGAGAACGGTGGGATTCTTCAAGGACAAGGGAGTTAGCGCCACGGCAAATGACAGAAACTGTTTTTCCACTGTGCTTCATGCCGGTAGCTTTCACAATACGAGCACCTGCGCTTTCGGTCTCTTCAATCAAATCTGCATAGCCCAATTTATCGTCTGTGAATGAATCGATATCGGCTACTGGTTTACATCCAAGCGACTTTGCAATAAATTCAATTTCATCACGTTCAATATCCTTCACCACCATAATCTTCAACTTTGACAAGAAGTGAAGCGCTAAATCATTGACAGCGTCACGTAGAATAGATTTTTGAATCAAAAGAACATTGCATCCTGACTTTTTGATCTTTTTACAAATGTTCAATAAATATTGACGTTCTTCCTTGAGAATCTTATCCATTTGACGGTAGTCGTTTACGACAATTTGATTTTCCATGTCTGGCTTGGGAGGGGAGATTTGGAATTGAATCAAACCAATCTTTGCTTTTTCCATACGAACAGGTCCATTAGCAGAACGAATGACTGTTTGATTCAAAACAAGACCATCTATTAACTCGGTATCATCGATGGTACCGCCCACCTTCTTGACGATACGAATATCATTCAAATTGACGTTATTAGCAATAGCTGGATCAATGACACGGGTAACAGCATCGACAGCAATGGGGGCCAATAGAGTAGAATATTGAGATACAATTTTAGAATTGAGTGAGGTGGAAGCTGCTCTTAACAATGATTCACGATCGCTCAAATCGACGGGTGTTGCCATGTCAGTTAAGAATTCAACCGATTTTGCAGCAGCTTTTTTGAATGATTCAGCAATAGTAGTAGGGTGAATGCCTTTGTTGAGCAATTTCTCAGCTGCTGTTAAGAGTGAACTACATAACACGACAACGGATGTGGTACCGTCGCCAGCTTCAACATCTTGTGCAGCAGATAAATCGACAAGCTAAAAAGCAAAGGTAGGAGAGGTGGGGAAAGAGTGGTTAACCAAAGGTTTCAAAGCATCGTTTCGTGCAGACACTTTTTATTTTTATTTTTTTTTACCATTTTAGCAGCAGGATGAAGAACAGCCATATGCTTGAGAATAGTAGCACCGTCATTGGTGATAACAACCTCACCATTGCCGGTTTGAATCTACGTTAAGCCAAGGGATATATGCATCAGTCCATCAACACGTCTTTAGTATACTCTTTATCAGTCCTGTTTTACCATTTTATCCATTCCTCTAGGACCTAAAGATGTACGGATCGCATCACCCACGGCTACAATCAAATGGATTACATTAACACAAGACGCGAGATTTTCAGATAAAGTCTAAATAGCTGTACCTTTGGCAGCAGTAATATTTGATAAGCGAACTTCCATAGGTTTTTCCTTGTCTTGGAATTTTCCACCGCCGGTCTTGCTAGGTGCTGCTGCTGCAGATTTTGCTACGGTTGCCATAATGGATTACAGAAAAGTGGATTCAAGAGAATGGTAAAGAAAAAAGGGGTCAGAACCCACTTTTTTTTCTTTTCTTTTTTTTTTCTGAACCAGAATAGGCGGAAATGAAAGCCCTCGGGGAGGCGTGTGTCAAAAAAAATTTACTCGTCGAATCCGACAGAAGCTTTTATAATGTAGGATGTAAAAGGAGCCTTTCTTGATAGGCTTCCCCCAAGTTGATTTTCTATGCTTTACCATGCTTATCCGGGTAAAAGAGCTAATGTAGACACATTTCTCAATGCTTTATTTATTCTGCAGTAATAAAGAAGCGTTTCGGTGGCTCAAACATAGAAGAATCCAATACGGCAGTGTCATCGAGTCACGAGTCACTCAGATAGACGTACTGTCATTTGAAAGGGCTCTATTCGTCAAAGGCAGAAATACAGGATGGACGTGCGTTCAAGTCGAGCTTAGAGAAAAGATGATTACCATCCTATCGGTCTCGCGCATCGATGATCATCTCTATGAAAACAAAGGTTCGTTTATTGAACTGTCTTATGAAAATTTCAATATCTTGAAAGAAATATCCTGTTGAGTTCATTCAAGTGGCAGACGGAGATGGCTGCAATACAGTACACATTGCTCCATGCTTGCTTTTGAAAACAAACGTACAATAGGTGCAAGTGACTTTGGAAGCTCCAGCCTCAGCCCTTTGAGCAGTTCTTCAAATAATGGCGTTTCTATTCTCGAAAGGGACTTTTTTGCAATTTTACAGAAACATCATGGATGGCTGGTTTTGGTTTTTCTGGAACTATCATGTCTCTTTAGTGCGAACGGAGATGCGCCCATCCTTATTTCTTTTCCTTTTTCCGTCCTGGATGGTCTTCATCGAATATAACTCTACTAGTGCAATGTGGGAAGGTATGCTACTGCTGCATGTAGCCTACTTCAGGCGGGGGTGGAGAGAGTGGATAATCTTTAATCACTCTAACCATTTGTAGTGTTCTAGATGACCGTTTTACACTATGTTATACAGAAAAGTGACAGTAAAAACAATCCACCCTTTTGAAAAAAAAGAAATTCAAACGTATGATAAAAAGATCGTTTGCGGCTTCTCTTGTTGTTCATTATTCTACTTGTTGACAATAAAAGCAGAGTCATCTTATAGCACGCGTTGTTACTAGGCCATCCAAAGAGAAGGATAGCACTCTATGTACGACTTTAGGACGACTTTGTGCCTCGCGTCTTCGTAGTGCATCTTTGCCCTGCTACGGTTTGCAGACATTTGAACTATCTGCAAGCACACCATGAGTGGATAGGTCGCTTCATTCAAATAGGTCATGCTCAACAGATCAGTGGCGCAAGAATGGGTTTTCTTTCATGTCAACAGTACCAAGTGCTTTCGTTTCGCACAAAGTAGACTGTCCCTTCCTCGGCCTACTTTTGAGCAGATCAGGTCTTTTTTTTTTCCAAAAAGGGAAGGAGCCATTTTTTTTTTTTTTTGCAAAGTGACGGGCTTTTTTTATGAAGAATTTCCAAAAAATAAAAAAAATTGAGCATTGGGAGATCTACTGGATCTTGTAAAGTCATTTTAACTAAAACTTTTTTTTGACTCCAAAAGAAACCACTATGGTAGCCAACGTCCCTAAAGCCAAGGCAAGTGGAGGATCAGCCCTAAAACGACTTAAAAAATCTTTGAACGCAGCAGGCGTCATTGGACAACATTCAAAAGCCAGTCGATCTAAAAAAGATCGTAAGAAGGGCATTCCTAAAGAATCTGGAATAAAGAACGATGCCGATAAAAAACTGGAAAAGATTCGTGGTGAATTCAACCCATTTGAACAAAAACATCAGAAAACCAAGTTTGAGATTCTTGGTCGAAAAATGAAAGGTACCTCTGGCAAACCTACTTTGAGTAAACAAATCGGTGAAGAAAACGTAAGGCTATCCGCCCTTTTTTTTTTTTTTTTTTTTTTTCTTCTCTGCTCATGTAATGTGGAAAAAGATGAACTAAGTTGATTGGGCTTTTGATTTAGCGTAAGAAAACATTATTGGTCGAATTGAAGAATAAGAATCGACGTGGTGGTATTATTGATAAACGTTTTGGTGAAAGTAATCCTCACTTGACACCTGAAGAAAAAATGCTGGAAAGATTTACAAGGGAAAGACAGAAAACGTCAAAAACGTCCATGTTCAATTTAGACGACGATGACGAAGATTTCAATTTGACCCATTATGGTCAATCGTTGTCTACGATGGATGACTTTGATGATGCTGGCCTTGGGCTCAGCGATGACGAAGAGGATGGCAGGAAGCAAATGGATGCCAACATTGTGTCACAACTCCACTTTGGTGGTTTCGATGATGAGCGATCAACGGAAGAAAGCGAACGACATAAATCAAAGAATGAGGTGATGAAAGAAATTATCGCCAAAAGTAAGATGCATAAATTGGAACGTCAGCAGGCCAAACAGGAAGACGAGGCATTACGTGAAGATTTGGATGAGGAGTTGAATGATATCAGAGGATTGTTAGAGACGAAAGCGACAGCTCCTCGTAAGCCCTTGCCTTCGCAAAGTGCGCTCTTTAAGCGAGCTGAAGCTGAAGGAGAAGAAGACAAAGAGAAGAGTAAGCTTGATCAATCTTTGGAGGAATATTCTGAATATGATGTTGCTTTGCGTGAACTTGCTCTTGAAAGACGTGCGTATGCTACGGACCGCACAAAGACAGAGGAAGAAATTGCACTCGAGGAAAAAGAAAAACTTGAAAAGGCCGAACGTGCCAGACAGCGACGTATGGAGGGTCTTGATTCTGATGACGAAGAAAATGATATCAGTAAGGTGGAAAGAGAATTTGAAATGGACCTGGATGAAGAAGAGGAAGAAGGTGACGAAGACGAAGACGAAGAAGAAGAGGAGGAGGACGAAGAAGAGGAGGAGGAGGACGAAGACGAGTCTGACATTGAAGATTTATATGAAGATGAGGAGATAGAGAAAGAGAAGGTGATGAGAGAAGCGCCGGGCGATGCTATGGAGGAGGAGGAGGATGCCGACATGAATGAATTTGGTGCAGATGGTACTGTGAAGGCAAAGAAAATTTCCAAACCAAAGTCGACGCCGTCATCAGGAAAACAGGAAATTCCCTACACTTTCGAATGCCCTACGACTCATGACGAGTTTTTGACAGTGTTGGAAGGATTAGAAGTAAAGGACTGCATCGTTGTCACCAAGCGTATCCGTGTCTTATACCATATCAAGCTTGCACCTGAAAACAAAGACAAATTATCAGCCTTTTTGGGAGTGCTCATCGATCATTTGAGTTACCTTGCATCGACAGTGTCACCTTTACCATCAGCCGTGCTCGATAAGCTAGCTGTTCATATCTTTGACATGGCTCAACAGCTGCCGGAAGCAAGCGCTACCCTATTTTCGGAGAAATTAAAGAAAATGCAAGCTGAACTAGTGAAAAGGATGAAACATGCAGGCTCCTGTTCTTGGCCTGATATTGGAGACATAACCTTATTACGATGTTTAGGACAAGTTTTCTCGACCTCTGATTTGAGTCATCCGATGGCTACACCAGCCATGCTATTTATGTGTCAGTCGTTATCCCAGTGTCGTCTTGAAACCAATTTGGATATGGGTCGAGGTTTGTTTTTAACCTTAATCACTTTTGAAGTAAGTCTTTTTTTTGGGGGGGGGGGTTTAACCCTTTCTTTTTCTCTTGATTTTTCTGTGCTCATGTGGGTTTGCCTCCCTTTCTTTACCTACTGTTTAGTATCAATCTGTTTCCAAAAGGTTTTTGCCTGAAGCGTTAAACTTTTTGAACCGATGCTTCATTTTACTGTCACCCAAAGAGGTCTTTGCAGAGTCTGTTCCTGGGTATTTCCCGATGCCGACTATGCCTGTAACGGAAGGAAAAATAGATTTTTCCATCAAGGACACCACTGGCAAAGGTTTGGAGACGGTTCCTACCATTCAAATGGAAAAGCTAAGGACCGAAGCGGATAGTTCAGAAGCCAATTCTGAAACCATGAGATTATCGTTGTTCCAAGGTACACTTCGCATGTTTGAACGTTACCTCAAATTATATGCAGCTACTCCAGCCTTTGTTGAAGTCTTTGAAGATTCCTTGAATATCCTCAAAAGGTTGAATCAAGTAACATGGCACTCAGATATACAGGTAAGACATCTGCCTATCTTGTGGAGGAAGGGTGCGGGGGGGGAAGGCGCGCGGAAATAGATGAGATGCTTATTACATATGACGTGATACCCTATAGACATTATTGAGCAAGTTATCACAGCAATTGGAGAATCAAATCAGATTCGGTAAAGAAAAACGTACAAAGACACCTCTACGTCTTCAAAGCCATCGACCTATTCCTATTGCTCAACACTTGCCCAAATTTGAATTGGGCTATTCTATGGACCGTCATTATGATCCTGATCGTGAAAGAGCTCAACTCAAGAAACTGGAAGCCCAAGTCAAGAAAGAAAAGAAGGGTGCTCTACGTGAATTGCGTAAAGACAATATGTTTATTGCTCGTGAACGTGCCAAGGAACGTAAGCAAAAGGATGCCGAATATAACAAGATGGTCAAGGGTGTCATGTCACTACTCGAAGGCGAACAATCGGAGAAGAACAAGTTGGAACGAGAAAAGGGCAAAAAATAGAAAGGACTCTCCCTCCTACTCTTTCCAAACTCCTTTTTTTTTTTTTTTTGTCCTATTTAGATACTATATACCTCTCTCTCTCTTTTCAGTTTAGAAGACAAAACCATTCCTCGGTCTACGGAAGCTGTATAATAATAAACTTGTTTATAATGAATGTGTATTCATTCAAATGAAGAAGCACATGGAAGGTTTTTCCTTTATGCAAAACATGCGTTTTGCAATGGTATTCATCCAGAATGGCATGGATTGTTCTTGGAGTTTATCCTTGTTCCATGAGTTTCTATAAACGCAACTGTAAAATGGAGCTCAGCGGAAGTTATTTTACAAACTTTTTAGGCAATACGATACGCTTTAGAAAAGTAGTCAATTTATTTCTGGTATTCTGCAATAAATAGAAGCAAACGTCTTTTACAAAAAACATCGTTATGTAGTATTTTGCAGCGTCTTTTTTTAAAAAAAAAGTCGAGAGCGACCCTCTTTGTGATTTGTTTCTTTTTCCTTTCTCAATAATGGACTGTTTCCTTCCCCGTTGATAATGGGTTTTGGATCTGAGTGTGTCTGCAGATCTTTTTTTCTTTTTTTTTCTTTTTTTTATTTCGGCGCCCTGCAGTAGGCTAAATGCGCAAAATGAAACGAAAAACGCGCTTGGAGTAAAAAACTGAAAAAGAATGACACGATGAAAAAGACATTGTCAGCTTATTCAGTTTCCTTAAAAGATGTAAGAATAAGTTTGGTTTTTTGTTGGTTTTTTTTTTTCTTCAAATGAGTGGCAAAAAAAGCCCATTGGATGAACCACGGATAACCCCTATCTTGAACAGCCCGTCTGCTTAACCCAGGCACGCGGGAGTCTCTCGAATGTGCGATGAATCTATATAAAAAAAGATTGCAGTTGTTTGATATTGGAGATAAGCATGGGGTTGATAGATTTTGTAGCAGATAACAGTTTCAGAGTCAAAGGAACAGGGACAGCGTGTGTATCTCTCTTTTTGAATGGAAAAAAAAAAGGAAAAACCCAAAATTGGGGATTCATGGGGGTCAAAGATTTACGGGGAGGTTGTTTTTTTGGTTCCACGGCAAATACGAGAAAAAAACCTACAGCTATGCTTTTTGGATAAAGCTTTTTCTTGGAATTTTTTTAAAAAAAAATCGAGATATTTGGTATGTTTGTTATATCTCTTATCAAGACTTTCAAAGGTCTTTTTGCTATCTGGCCTTACTAAGCTAACTACTGTTAAACGCGTTTTTGCATGTTAGTTTTTCAAGTGGATGCAAAAAGTATAAAGTGTTTCAAAAGATAGCTCTTATAATTTTCCTGTTTAAGGCGTGCAGCTGGGTAACACTTTTGTTTGTTTCTTCTTTTTTTTTTTGGCAAGTGGAGGAGAGAATAAATGCAGATGATAGATTTAAAACAACATTTTCCTGTTGCTTTTAAAAAATACATCAGCTAGCATGAGTAGCTATCCAATATGATCATGAGGAACAAAAATGGTGTCTATGACTATTTTTTGTAGACAGAATAGGGTCCCCACCACACACAAAAAAAAAAATGGCCTCAGAAATCTGCTTTTTACCGTTTTAGGCAAAAATCCGAATCGCGTTATAAGTTCGATTTTTTCAAAAGTGGAATAATCAAAGAATTACGATTTGTAAATCCAGGCAAGATTTCCTAAAATAACAGCTATGACAAAAACCGAATTTTCTGCATTTGTACAAACCAGAAACGAAATGATGTCAACTGATTAAATGCCTCAATGATGCTATTTTTTAAGTAGATGTAGTATGATAATAAAATATAAAAAAAAGCCAAATTGGACTTTATTCTATCCATTTTCTGCATTCTATTTCATATGCAACAACTATTATTTCTTACTAAGCTGAATCATACAGCCCAAGCACTGTAGAAAATGATCATCAGTTCTTTACTGAGGACCTAGAACATCTATGTAAAGCCACATTCCCTGTTCTCTCTTGCACTTTTCACCAACAGTAGACTCATTTAAACCTCCTATCAACAGCTGTCAAAATGTTTCTAAACACTGAATTTTCTTTACTTTTTTTTTTTTTTTTTTCCATGTCTCTCTTATTGTATGGCAAACTCCCCGCTTATGGTTTATAGGTTTCATTTCGCACTCATCCACTTTTTTCAATGTTCCCCTAGCATTTCCAAGTGGAGAGAAAGATTCAAAAGGGATGATGTATGAGTTGGATGAGTAGAATTCACGACAAATTTCAACCATTGCAAAAAATAGTGACTGATGGCTTTCTAATTTTCTTAATTGTCCTGAATTTACAAGGAGCTTAGATTCAGCTTAGATTGAATAAAGATTGATTATAATAGAAAAGGATATGTCTTACCTAACTGTCGGTTTTGGTTTTACCTTTTATGGAAAGTTGTCAAATATGAAAAAGGACCCACTTTTTCGTATTTTTTAAAACTTGTTTGTCGTCATCTAAAACACAGCTTAAAACAAAAATTTCCTGCGAATGGTTCCGATAAAAGAAAAAAAAAAAAAAAAGGTTCATGCGAAAAGAGGGCGAGGGAGGAACCATTTTCTATTGGCTGATGACTAAGAAGGGGAGATCAAGGTTCATTCTACAAACTGTTTACTTCTTCCTTTGAAGGTCTGTGGAGAATCCATCAAGTATAGAATTTTCGGTTATCAAACCACCAAACCGTTCTTTTCCATGGAGAAATCAAATCGTTTGTTCTTTTTTTTTTTTTTTGTCTGTAAGGACGTTGTTGTTCAATGAACAGAGATGAGGTGGGCAGGTTCATCCGGTTATCAGTGGGTTACTGTGGTCATTTATCTACTACTCACAACAATCTGAGTTTCGTTTTGATAATGAGCAAAGTAAAAAAAGTATCAAGGGAAGGGGTGTCGTTGATTCTCAGCGTTAGTTACTCCACTTTTAGTTTAAACAAGACATTTTGATTGGGTAGAAGAATTTGAGTTTTTTTTTTTATAAATAGTTTCCTCCCTTTTGGGTGAGAAAAGAGAGAGAGAGAGAGAGAGAGAGAGAGAGAGAGAGAAAGACGCACCAGGCCGTTGTTTCTTTGTTAGGCTTATCTACGGATGGCGTCTGTTGGCGGCAATACTCTTTCTGTCATTAAAAATCATCCTTCCCTCAATTGTAACGCGTTACACGACGATGTGGAGAAGCGATGCAGTGAGATCATACTATCGTCTCGGCTTAAAATATCCAAAATCTAGCTCAACAGCAAAAATAGGGCCCAAGTATCACAAATTACATCATAAGGCTTCAGAGCATTGACCCTTTTGGATGATAAAGAAAATTAAGATCGAAAAAATAAGAAATAAAAAAAAAAACTTTCGTCAAAAAAGAAACATAACAGTAAAGCCCGCTACATATTTTCCCCCAAATCGACTGATGGGCGACAAACAACAAAAGAACAAAAAAAAAAAAAAAGTATAAATACTTTACTTTTTTTTTTTTTTTTTTTTGTTCTTTTCCCAGTTTTTTGTATTGATTCCTATTTTATCAATTTTTTGAAAGAAAAAACCCAACACCTTTCTTTTTCTTAACAAGACATTTTTTTAATTCGTTTTTTTTTTTTTTTGTTTGTTTGTTTTATTTTTTGTATTTTATTTTTTTTGGACTTTACGATTTGCATAATGATGGCCGAAGGTAGTTTTCTTTCACTTGGAGGGTCATTGTTTCAGGAAACGTTCATTGACAACAATTCCCCTTTTTTATAGAAAAGAATATGGTTCCCTTGGCAACGCCTACGCGGTTTTTGATTGAGAATGGTGAATGGAATCTTACTCCAGGACTCAGTATTCAGCCTGAAATGAATCCTTTTGACTGCAGTTTGAACGATTTAAAGCATAGCGATAATCACGTTGTGACAGAAAAATGGTCCTCAACGCAAAGTAATTCAACAGCCAGTCCCATTTTGTACGATGCCGAACCTCTCGACACAAAAACCATGCACGCCACTACCACTCATACTACTACTACTACTACTACTACTCATGCTAATACTAGTACTACTCATATCATGAATGATAAGAATATGAATCATCATCCTTCTCATCCTCCTCATTTTTTAACATCACCACCTATCCCACCTATGTCTCTAAGTCAAAGTCCCAGCAGTACAAGTACTTCTTTTAGTATAAGCGAACCCCACGATGAACAACAACAACAACAACATTATATCTACTCTTCTTCTTCTTCTCAACCACACGAGCAGCCTATCCAAGAAACCATGCGTCGTAGTTCGAGAATTCAAACAAGACCTCAACCTGTTTACAATAACAGTCAACAACAACAACAACAACAACAAGACATCGACAAGAAAGAGGAATATCCTTCACAACAAAGAAAACCTTCCACCAGTGGACGCAAACGAAGAATTGTATTTGAAGGTGAAGACGCCGAAGATCGTCGAAAGAAGTTTTTGGAACGCAACCGTATAGCTGCTTACAAATGCCGTCAAAAGAAGAAGAATTGGATGCAAGAACTAGAACAAAAGGCAGAAATTCAAAATATGCAAAATGAAACACTTCGCACTCTTGTCGGTCAATTGAAAGAAGAAAGCATGTATCTGAAGAATCTGCTGCTAACACACGGCAATTGTGATTGTGAATCAGTACAAGCTTACCTACGAAAGACCTCCATGGAAATCACAAATAGTACTTCTCCTTTATTGAACAGTACGAACCACAACCCATATGCTCTCAGACGTGAATCCATGTATTCAACAGCTTCATACCCCACCAACATCAGCTCCAATACCAGTTATCCTGCTTCTGGATTAACACCTTTTCTCAATACAGTGATAAATAAGCCTCCAATGACTGAAGCTGATTATTTCTCGCATTCACATCATCATCACGGGAAAACAAACGACATTGAAGCCTAATTTATTGACGCATTCTTTTTTCATATCCCCCACACAATTTTCCGCTTTCCTTTACATTGTATTTATTCTGCTCTATTCTATAATACATTATGTTTTCTTCATTTTTACCTATGATGCTTTTTTCTTTGACTCGAGTGAATTTCATCCCCTTTTTTTTTTAGAGTAAGTTTTTTGTTTTCAAAGTCAACCTATACAAAATATCCCCCCCCTTCTGTAAAACGCGTGCTTTTTTATGATTTACCAAAAAAAAAAAAAAAAAAAAAAAACCTTTTCTATCTGTTGTTATCTTCTTTTATGCCCTTCGCTTTTTGTGATGTTTTTGCTATTTAGAATCAAGATACGAAATTGAGTTTTTTTTTTTTAAAAAAAAAAAAAGAAAACAAAGTGTTCCTCTGGCAAATACGTGGCACATGTGAATTAGAATAGAAAAGAAAATTGACGTGCTTACGTGTCATCAAATACCTCATATTCTACCTTAATGCCATTAAACTTGCGGTTTCTTTATGATTCTAAAATGTTCTTGAAAAGAAACAAAAAGAACTTTTTGACTGTATGACATAATAAAAAAAAAAATCTCAAAGCACGAAACGGGAAATCTCAAATATTCATCATCGAGCCAATCATCTCCATTTTATCTGCAGATAAAAGAGGACGGTAGGGTGATTAATTTTTTTTGTGGGTTGACGAATAGAAATTATGTAATTCCATCATCATTTGTAAGTCAGTCATCGTAGGGTGGTGCCTTTGCAAAATGAAAAAGTCATAGTAGTTGCCCATGTTAAACTCTTGCCGTACACTATGACTGCTATTATGACTACTCCTACTACTACTATGACCATCCAAGCTATTATAAAAACGATTAGCTTTTTTACTTTTGTGATGGTGGTGTGTTCTATTGTTGGTTTAAGAATAAACTGATTTGATATTGTTCGATAAGTAGCGGTGAGATTTCTAAACTTGTTTCCCACCATGAGCCAAGTTGAGCAAAAAGATAGGGAATAATCAATAATCTATGGTTCGCAGTGTATAAAGCGATCGTCCATGTACAGTATGATGTCAGTTAAAGAAAAAAACGACCGTCTATATGTCGGCGTTCATCAAGCGAGTGGGCAGAATATCTCTTCTCCCTTTTTATTCAATGTATAAGAATAGTGATAAATTTCATTCCGATCATCTTTGTAATGAATCTCTGAAAGACTCCTCTTTCTGTGATGACTCTCGTCTTTCAAAAATGACGTTATTCTCAAAAATTCCCAATTCCTATTTCCCTGAATTTCACAAAACTTATCTTGAAGTACCTTTTCTTGAACTACCTTTTCTTGAACTACCTTTCTTTTTCTTTTTTTTTTCCTCTTTGAAGCATAAATATACACATTAAGACAAATCCAACATTGATTCAGCGAAAAAAATAGACACTGTATCATCTTGTAGTACCTATTATGGACAATCTCTTATCTTTTGTAAAGAAAAAGCTCAGAACATAACCTTTCGCACACACAGAGTCTCTTGGAGTCTTGATATTCTTCTCATACCCGCATTGATGTAGTCATTTTGCTCGCCTTATGGATACATACTAGCAGAGCAAAAGAGTGTAAGGTAGATGAAGGGGGTGGGGGTAAATCGCATAGAGATAAGTAGGAATACATCATAACATCTTGCCTTTTTTTTTTTTTGCTGCTTTCTTCAAAAGGCTAATTATTCCTAGAACTGATGGTTACAGCTTGGGAAATCTCGGAGGGTACGTATGACCGATACCTAATCACAACATAGTTGGTGTTTCTGTCGTAAGCCTGTCCAGTCTTGCGTTTTTTCTTTGCCGTCTTTTTTAAAAACTACATCCGTTTGAATGAAAACAAGTTTTATCAAGGGTCTTGTCTCATGTCTTCAACTGTCTTTGCTTAGAGAGACTTATAGGCATTCAATTTATGCCTGTCAATTGTCAAGACAAAAGAATTGCTTTTTTCATTTGCCAAACCTCGTGTGACCAAAATCCGACCAAATAGCAACGAATAAAAGCTTGTGCTAGGTCATGTGAGCAACTCTCGAGATTTTTTTTTTTTTTTTTTTTCCTCCTGTGCAAACGCTTATATTTGGGATGCGTGAAGCCTTTTTCTTTCGTCAATCCACACGAGTCCAAGGATGAAAGTAAAAAGCAGCTACGGTTTACTATTGCTTGGCACCCTCATCCCTTTGAATGATGCATTTCATGTGCACCAAATCGATAAACGTCAACAAAAGGATGCCATCGCTACGCCAGAAATCCCTCCTTTAAGGCCATTGCCTTGGGGTGACGTTAACTTTTTACATACAACGGATTCACATGGTAAATAAGAATAAAAACCCAATCATCCAGATACCAAACAATGGATCATGACTACGGTCGAGGCTGATCTATCCGTCTATTTTTTAATCTGGCTGATGGCGTGGATCTCTCATAGGATGGCTAGAGGTGAAAAATAAAAAAAAAGAGAACAGCTCCCTTTGATACTGTTGGCTCACAACACAGCTTTTATAGGGTCATGTATCTCAAGGCTCCTATAATGGTGATTTGGGTGATTTCTACTCCTTCACTGTGAGTCTTGATCAGAAATGTCACATTGCATAAAATGAATACCACAAAACTCACAAAGATATGCATGTATCCAGGTGAGAATGAAAGAAAAGGCCAAGAAAATGAAGAAAGACCTGTTCATCGTGGATACTGGCGACACCCATGATGGCAATGGTTTAAGTGATATCACGTCTCCAAGAGGACTACTCTCTCAGCCATTGTTGACGCAAATACCGTACGATTTACTTACCATTGGTAAGCAAACCAAAAGACCCCTACATGTGTACTCTACATGCAAAACTGCAAACTAACATCACCCCCTTGTTGATTCCATCAAGGAAATCATGAACTTTATGGTAAGTCACAAATGCACACTTCAAGAATTCTTGATCTGCAATATTGACAGTAAACAAATTACCGTCACCCCACAGTCGATGACATTACAAATGATACACTCCGAAACTTCATACCCCATTGGAAAGATAAATACCTTGCTGCTAACGTCTACGTTAAAGATGCGAATACTAACGTCACTGTGCCTATCACGTAAATACCAACCAAGGGAGAGAAAGAAAAAAAAAAGCGAATACAAACTTCACTTTTTCTAATATTCATCTCTTAAAAAAAGCAAAAACAAGTATACTTACTTTGAAGGCAAGTATGGCACACGCGTTTTAGCCTATGGCTTCCTTTTCAATTTCCAGAAAAATGGAAAAATGTCAGTGATTAAAAGCGTAGAAGACGAGATCAAGCAGCCATGGTTCCAGAAATCTCTAGTGAAACACAAGCCAGATATCATTGTTCTGATCGGTCACATGGGTTTACATTCCAGCGAGTTCGCCAGCTTGATTAAAGAAATTCGTGCTCATTATCCAACAATACCCATTACTGTTTTCGGTGGCCACACGTGAGTTCATTCACAAACATTGACTTTTCCAAAGAAAAAATAAAAACAATGTGCTCATCTTGACCTCTTTTTTTTTACAAGCCATATACGGGATGCTGCCATTTACGATCCTTGGGCCGCAGGTATACAATCAGGAAGATATTTGGAAACCATTGGTTTCTTCTCACTTAAATATGATAAGAAGGTAAACAAAAGCGGGCAACACACATTTATTTTCTTGCCCGAGCCTTACGCCCTTTTTACCCTATTTTCATAGACCTCAAAACATGACCACCACCACCCTAGAAATGTCACCTTTGCAAGACGCTACCTTGATCAAAACAGATATACCTATATTCATCACTCTGTAGACGGAAAGGAAAAAAAGTTTGATACCAAAGAAGGCAAAAAAATTACCGAAAAGATTCAACAGCTCCGAAAAGAGTACGATTTATCGATCCAGCTCGGCTGTGCACCACAAGATTACAAGATGTCCGCTGTGCCACCCGATGATCCTTCTAGCGTATTTTATCTACTCACCAGAGAGGTTCTGCCTAAAGTAGTGACCGAACCTCAAGCAAAGAATCCTGCGTACTTTTTGGCCAACTCGGGCAGTGTACGATATGATATCGACAAAGGTCCATTTTTGATCGGAAACATGTATCAACTATCGCCTTTTGAGGACTACTTCTACGCTATACAAAACGTGCCTTACGATGTCGTTGATAAAGTGCTGCCTCTGTTGAATAAGGAAGGAGAGAAAATGATGAAGAGAAACATCCAATGGCTCAAAGACCAGTCCACTGCTGATGATGCAGACGAAATTACTTCTTTGGACAGACGTACTCCCATTACTCCCGGATATGTTACCGTAGATGACTTTGGTACAGATGGCGATGATACAGAACACATACCCGTCGATACTTATACTATTCCAGCCTTTATTGGATCCGAAATTCCTAAAAATGACACCGGCTTCGTAGACATTGTTTATTTTGATTTTATTGATAATCAGTTGAAGGCTCTTTTACAAAGTCTTACCGGCCAAACCTGGACGACCAATAAGCGGTATGGAGACCCAAAGATTACTAGTAGTACCATTTGGATCCACTTTGCTGAGCAATATTGGAATACTACTGGTAGCTGCTTCTAAATAAAAGCTTTATTGCCTCCATTTTTGACGAATGATGCCCATTATAACACTGCAATCCTTTTTCTTTTGTAACATTCTGGCTTTTTGTGTATATAATGTTCAGAGATCATCATTTTGCAGACTCTTGACCCAATGTCCAAAAACGGGAAGGGAGGCGGATAATTCGGCTCGGTTGATTCAAAATCGGTCCCTGATTACATATGAAAATTTTCGGAAACCGAAATCAGGGACAATTTTATTCGCTTTTGCTACAGTATTTTCGGCTTTAATTTAGACTTTTTTGTACACAAAATTGAATATTTTAATTAATTTAATTCAGAAATTTTAATCATTATTTTCGGACCAAGTTACTTTTTACATTTGGACACTTGTAGTCAACATCCAAGGCCCGCCTCTTTTTGCATGCATTTGTTGCAGTAAGTTTCGTTGTTTGATCAGCCCAGAAGAATGACCTACATTCTCCTTAGCTGCCATTTGAACTGATAGTCCAGTTGTATTCTACGTAAATGACTCACAATCCTGTATTCTCATTGACTGCTCAGCATCTCTCTTGATCTAAAATTGTACCACTTTAGTGTCATGTTTCCCTTAAAGAAAGCAATAACAATAGGTGATTGTATAAATTAAGTTAAACGCCTGTTTCTTGTCAGTAACTGATGAAGTAATAAGTAAACGTGTCTTGATTTGGTGTCAAAATTTAGCGCGTCCAAAGAAATCTGTCTAGATTGTTTTGTCAAAACTTCTTTGTTGTCCAAATAACATTCTAACAAAAAGTTTCAGTTTCGTTAATACCTTTTCCTCTTTTTTATAGAATCTCGTTATTTTCTTTAGAGAATTATCAAAGAAGAGTTAACAGTGGTTCATCAGGTAGATTAAAATAAGATATCATTACGAGCTACTCACAACGACTGTACTGTACATATTTTGTTTGTAACTGAGTGTTTATATCTTTCGAGTAGCTTTTTTATCATGCTGTCAAGAGAAGCAAAAGTTTACCTTGAAGCAAAGTTGAAGAAAAAGCAGCAAGAAAATAAAGAAAGTCAGTTCATTATTGCTGTATTTTGTTTACTATTCGTTTAAGTACTCAAACAGAATCGTTGAACCATTAATTTCTAGAAACATGTTTTGATTGCGGACGGGAAGGACATGCTCATAAGGGCTCATACTTGTGTCCAGAATGTAATGATAACAGGTAGCTGAAAAAGTAATATTTCCTGTTCATTTTCACTGATATTCTGTTCATATACTTTTCTAGCCAAGAAACAAAAGTCCGGAAAAGACGAATACGAAACAAAGCAAGCTAAAGAGAAGGGCAAAAAGAGAAGGCTAGAAGCGAAAAATGCATCGCCATCGAATACTGTCATATGCCAGCACTGTGATCTAAGTGGTCACTTAACCAAAGCTTCCTTTGCTTAACAACAACATATCACTACTAAAGCGGAGCTCCCTCGAACAAACTATTCAGATAGGTATGACCTTGACGCTCGGAAGCTGCCCTTGTAACCTACGTTACGCGTTTAGGTGAGTTCATCTTGAAGTTTCTCACTGTACATCTCTGAGGTTTTATTAACTGCTGCTTGACATTACTACATACTCAAACAAGGGAGGTATTCTGTGCCAACTGCCCTGTTTGAGTAATAGTAGTTCGCACATTTGGCATTGAGCATTTAAGAAAAGGTATAATCCCAAAAACTATACTTTTCATCCAAAATAATTTTAAATTAGTCTGAATTTTAATTGTAATATAGTCTCAATTTAATAGCCATTTCGTGCGAAAGTCAAGCGAAAAAACAGTACTGCTCAACAAACAAAGCTTTCCTCTTGAATCTCAGGCATCCGAGGTTTATACTTTTCAGGAAGTGATCAAAAAGGGTTTCCTCGCTTTTTCTTATTTTCATTCCCCTTTCCTCCTCTGATATTCATTCTCTCTAGAAAAAAGCCGATAGAAAATGACGACAGAGGAACCAGAACTACCATTATCCAAAAAGCAAACCACAACCACAACTACGACTACAACTACAACCACAACTACAAAAACTTCAGCAAATACACCCTATACCAAGCTGCGCAATGCCGCTCAGCAAAACACAAAATGGAGACAGTCTAGTACAGGTGTGCACATTCGACTCAGCGTCATGATCATCGGCGTCATTATAGCGGTTGCATGCTTTTATGGCTCCACCGCTCCTCTAAAATCAATCATGTCCTTCAAAGCACAACGTATTCATTTTGATCTTTTTAGACAGTCTAAGGAGATAGTGGGACTGACCAGCATTCCTCTTTTTTTTTTTTTTTTTTTTTTTTGTCTCGATTGGATAGGCTCTTCTTGTCAACGCTATGCCCTCATGGTCGACGCTGGATCGACTGGATCCCGTATTCACGTTTACCGTTTTCACCAATGCAGTGACCATGAACCAGTGACGTTAGAAGATGAGGAACTTTTCGCACAAACCATACCCGGGCTTTCTGCATACCCTGATCACCCTGAGAAAGCAGCTGAATCTTTAGACGTATTATTAAACGATGCTGTTAAAGTTGTGCCTGAACACCTGCAAAGAAAAACACCGATCGCTGTCAAGGCTACAGCAGGTCTACGTTTATTAGGTCAAGAAAAGAGTGAAAATATTCTCAAAGCAGTTCGGCATCGTCTGGAAACCAAATACCCGTTTCCTATTGTAGGTGGCGAAGATGGCGTTGCCATCATGGATGGCCGCGACGAAGGTGTCTTTGCTTGGATTACCGTCAATTTCTTACTCGGCCATTTCGATCGTTCAGATACGCACACAGCTGCCATTTTGGATCTGGGCGGTGGATCCACTCAGATTGTTTTTGAACCGGATCGTCTTCCGGACGGTCGTTTGCCAGAGTTACCTGACAACGATTTCAAATACGTACTCAAGCATGAAGGACGAGAGTACGTCTTGTATCAACATTCTTATTTGGGCTATGGTTTAATGGAAGCCCGCAAACGCATGCATCAACAAATTCTGAGCCACTTACCGGAGGATGTCTCGCAGGAAGAAAGAGACGAGATTTTTCATGCATGTTTGCCGCAAGGTTTGACGTGGAAATATTCAAAGTTAGCTGAGCCTATCCACTTCAAGGGGTTGGGAGCCTATGACGATTGTTTGGGCATCGCCGACTTGATCTTGAACAAAGAAAAGGAATGTGAGCTTGCCCCTTGCTCTTTCAATGGTATCTACCAGCCACGTTTTGGTGAAAGCTTCACGCAAGGACCTATCTATGTTTTCTCCTATTTCTACGATCGTACGCAACCTTTGGGTCTGCCGGCTTCCTTCCGTCTACCTGAATTAGCCGCACTGACAGAATCCATCTGTAATGGAGAGTTTTTGGAAAATGTGACGGATATTGCCTTGAGAGATGAAATTCTGGATCGTCCTGAATGGTGCTTAGATTTATCCTTTATTTATCGCTTACTCTCGTTTGGTTATGAAATCCCTCATACTAGAGAAATCACCGTTGCAAAGAAGATCAATGGCGTCGAGACCGGTTGGTGTTTGGGTGCTGCTATCGCTATTCTGGGCGATAACTCATTGAAGGAAGAAGCCCACTAACTCTGTATCTTTTTATTATGCTGCATACCATGACAATTGTATTTATCCATCTCTCTTTCTTTAACATCTCAATAAAGTATTGTACAAAGTTTATTTCTTATTTTTATGTCATGTTGTCATTACTTTATCAATTAAAGTCATTTTAAGAGCTACGTGGGTCTGTATCAAAAGGGAAAATTACAAAACCCATCCTGGCGGAGAGAAGCAATAAACCATATCTGATTCCTTTAGTATCAATGAGGGTACAGGGTTGGCATAAACAAACGGCAACTCATTCCCTAATTTCTCATCTGGCGCACGATACAAACCGATAGCCAGCACTTCATACTGTGTCAGTAGGGTTTTGAACAGTACGGAATAATTTTGCCCAACAAATTCACATGGTAGGGGAACGCTTGTCAGATGCGGCGCTAATCGTGCGGCTGTCGTTGCTGTTGTAATACCTGGTGTATTGGATAATAAATAAGCTGCTGAGCCGTCATACAGAGGACCGGGCATACCACATAACGTCTTGATAATGGAAACAATGTCAGGCTTGTAATATGTCTGACTCAAAAGCACATTGCTGATCAGGCTATCAGCAATCACATCACCCGCTGCGTACGCAGGCGTGTAAAAGACGTCTATTTCCTCCGCAACATCCTTTCCTTGGAGTAAATGCATAAACCTTATATTGCTCTTTTCGACTATTTCAGCGCAAAAAAAAATAAAATAAATAAAAAAGGAATGCCGTTAGATTTCCAAAGGAATACCGTAAGATAGATTTTACATCTGTGTCCGGGAGTAAACCACTATTTACACAAATTGACAATCGTATAGGCATCTTTGGGTCTTTCCTGTAATAAAAGATCCAGAATATGGCTGGCCATCCTATAAAAATATGACAAAAGGTTATTCTAACAGAGGAAAAGGGGTATCGAAACATTTTTTTTTTTTTTTTTTGGCTACGATCAAGTTACACTGCGGGACCATCTGAATTGCGTGCATATTGATCGAGACACTCTTTTTCACTAGAAAATGTTGTAGTAGGTTAAAACCCATTGATAATATCAGGAACAAAACGAATACTGTTTTTACCTCATAATTACAATTTGCTTTGCTTTCTTTGCTCCTGCTCGAAGAAGATCATCTGGATGTCTACAGTTTCCCTAAATTTGTAGACAGGGAAATAAAACGAACCTATGTCAAGCCTCTCTTTTATGCATGTATGCCATTTTTCTGTATAGTCTACCTCCATAAAATATACTTTAGGAAAGGTATTGATCAGCGAGAAAATTTTCGCCGAAGGTCGACTGGAACAGAGAATCACAATATCCTGCAAATCTTCTGCTTTTATATTAGGCGATCGTAAGTTGTATATAAACTTGAACATATTGATGAACTCGCGGTGCAAACAGACAAGTACGTGGTTTTCAATGCCCTCTGTCGTCTGAATGGTGATGTCCTCGAGCTTTGCGGGCTCTTTAGCATCGAGTAGATAACATAATGGCAAAGATGTATCTTTATCGGCCCGAGAATGGGTTGAACAATCACTCGAAATGGGCTGCTCGGTAGGAAAAGACTGTCCAATACGTTTGATTAAAGCACGGCTACCCGTTAATAAGGCATGTCGTTCTGAAGGTAGCTCTGAGATGGAAAATGATTGATTGAGGCAGACGCTGTTGACACTATGCTTTCGTGTTTTATAGTGACGCGACGTACTTCGGCTGCTGGCGCAAGGTGAAGATGTCGGCTGACGATTAAAGGTCTTTGCCAGAAAATCTAAGGTTGATTGCTTTAACGGCATGATACCATTCATCATTGCTGTTGAGAGGTACTGATAACATGGTGGCTGATCGGCCATAGCAGTACGATGTCCATTTTTTCGATGAGTATCCCTTATCAATGTTGGCTGAACCTACACATATTGGAAATGATATATACAAATAAATATCTATCTCGCCTTGTTCGCCCTCGATTGAACAATATCTTACCAAAAAGTCGAGACCAACTATATCGCTTGGTCCTTCCGCAATGTATACACATTCATCGGTTGGTTTGATTTCGTAAAAATTGCTAGGATTAAGCAATATTTCAAAGTCGTTTCTTTCTTTCATAAAGGTTTTGACAGCGAATAAAATCACTTGTGCTTCTTCAAATAAGAACTGAATAGTATGGTATAGAACGCAAAAAATGGTTGAGAACAGGACTTGGTTCTTTGTCTTTCTAACCAAGATAGGGAAATCAACAAAAGCGAATTATCTTACCAAAGCTGCTTGTCCAAAGGTAAGTCCCTGTATGCATTTGGGTGCTCTCCTGGTATAAATCTCATTGCAAGACCCATCATCTAGATTTTCACAGGGCGCCTGTCAATTCCAAGCCTGACACTAAGTTTATGTAACGCATGAAAAAGCTTACCGAATTGAGCTTGCCAGCCTTCGTCGTATTGATTGATGGGCTCTCGTTGGTGAAGCAGATTAGTAAGCAGTGTGGATGCACCACGACATCGGCAGTTCATCGCCAAAAGATATTGCTTGAATTCGCGAACACATATAATTTCTTTTGCCACCTTCTGGTAGATAGCTGTACTTGGTGAAAGATTATAAGTATAGATAGGGACTTGGTGGCTTACTGTATGGCAGTATAAAGACCATAACCGAACAGTATTCCTTTCATCTTCTTTCGACGGATCAGACGCATTCTGATCTAGATGCGAAAATAAAAGATATCACGGTTCACTTAAATCAAGCTTTTATGGAGCTTTCTAAAGAAGGTTTCTTGCACATGCATACCTGAAATAGTGAAAATAGCTTCTGCGTACCTTGCTTGCTATCAATCAACATACGAGAGTTTTTGTTAATAATCATTTCGCTTTCCGAAGGCTTTCTACCATTGTATCTAGTGTGTTGCCTATATGCAATACGTACTACGCGTAACAACGTTTTTTCATCCTAACGTACATAATATATTGGTAAAGAGAAAAGGTAAAGTGAGCTAGTAAACCAAGCTGGATTTGAACCAAATAATATCGTTACAAGCACGGATCCATGAAGGAATTGCACTCTATGTCCCCAGATCGAGTTTCTTTCCAGGGCCTTTAATTGCTCCGTTGGTCTGTTGATATCTAGAAATACAACGCTCAAGTGACACTGTGTGCTTTCCTACAGGAATTGTTATTAGATGGGGAGCAGTTGGTTTTGTTAATGCAAGAAGGACAATTGAATAAATTCTTCCATATAACAGTTTACTGCGTTCAAAAACCCGTCTAGGAGCTCAATGGCTTGATCGGGTGTAAATGAGCCAACAATAAGAATGAAAGGCGCGGTATTACGGCTTACGTGCCCCTCACCCTCTAAATATTCAGAAACGAGTTCAGATAGATCTAGTTCCTTAGTTGTCTAACCTTTGATTGTAAATGAAAAAGATTGCTCCATCACTTACCTTTACGCTTCCCGAGCGTATCAACAACATCGGTTACCAGTCCAGGTAATACGGAAACAGTCATAATGATCAAAAGCATCATGACAATGCGACTTTGCGGTGTACTGGGAGATATGTCTAGTTTTGATAAGTGAATTAGTTGTAGAAGCTCTCTTCACTTTGTAGATTATGTTTGATGCCTATGGCACATAGTGCGCTAGTGAGCCATAGACAATAAATGTATTGAAACGACATAATTATACCTCCATATCCAACCGTCGAGAGAGTAACCATGACGACATAAACAGATTCCAAAATGGTGTAGTTCTGCTCTCCAAATGTTACCTCACAATATTGAAATGCACATGTTCCGTTATATACCAAAACAATCAAAGTAGATACGAGATGGATTAATTTCGTCCTAAGTGGATCAACAGGTTTATCTTTGATATAACAATTAAAGTGAGCTGTTACGTCCTATACCAAACAAGGCAATGTAACGGGCTTTCCCATTAATTTGTTATAGCTTACCTTCTATTTGTAGATTAATTTTTATCTTCATTGCGCTTTTTATTCTGAGTAACAATACCCAGCTTCTAATGAAATACGGAACTATGATAAAGCATCATTAGCTTATCATAATCAAGCTTATCATAATTAATCATTGTATTCGCATTTTTGGAAAAAAAAAGCTACCATAAAGATATCTCCCGTTCGGAATGTAGGTCGATAGAAGAAAAGGTACAGTTGTCGTCAATTCCATGAAACCGCGGAAGCTAAACAGCACAGGTAACCAATGCTTGGATATAAGGAGCCCTTTAGGTTAGATTAGCACTGAGCCTATGGTAGCACCTGATCTGAAGTATCTTTTCTGTTCTTACGTATTGCAAAGGAAGACAAGTCCCAATAAGAGAAGATGCAACATGCTAGCCTGAAATAGGAAATATTGACAGATCAATGCACATACTTTTTAAAAATGCCATAAATAAAATGAAATATCTCTATTGCTGCAATCACCATAAATTGTACGATCGCCATTTGTACAGCCAGTTCGGCTCAAGATCGACGTCGAACTCTTGTTTCATCTCAATAAAATATGAAAGACAGAAAAAAAGATCTACTAATAGGTCTAGATTGACCTGTTGATGGTTTTTTTTTTTGGAGGCGCAGAAATGTAATGTAATCAATGTCAACATGCGTAAACATCAAATATGTATCAGTATACTCCGTAAGATATCTTACAAACAAAACAATCGTATTCTTTGCAAATAGTATGTTTTTGATAAACAGAATGACTGGACTGTGATGATAATATTCTAAAATTCGGTTTTTTATCGACTTTTTCTGAACATTATCCCTGAGAGGAAGGATATATAGTTAGAGCCGTTTTTGGTGCTTATATAAGTTGGAGGAAGGATTTTCTTTACCGAGCCTTTTTTCGTTCATTTCTATAATTTGCACGCACAGTGCTGAAGTTAATCTGTTGCTGCCGCATAAAAAGATGATCCCAAGAGTTAGTGCATGGGATGGACTCGATCACTTCTTTTGCGCTAACATATCAATAGAACATTACATGTTGCACATTAAAATTGCCTGCTTAAAATACGAGAACAATCAACCACACGCATACCTTGGATCAAGGGCAGGTAGAACCAAATTCGCTCCTCTGGTACGTTCGTCATCATCAGAGTTTTCGGCACTACTATGCAATAAGGACGATAACCTGCTCGTTGACATTCTCGGTCTGCAGCATTGTCGTTTTTCTAAACGTCGTTTTTTCCTTCTTTTAATGCTACTATTACTTCCATTGCTATGATTGTTGTTGTCATTATTGTAACTATTTTCGATATCTTCAATTTCCTCACTAGTTTCCTTTGAAGAAGAAGGCTCCTCGCTGGAAACCTTTGATAGAGCCCCATATTCGGAGATGGTAGGTATATTGACGAACAAACTACTTTCTTCATCTTGATTTTGTTTTTTTGCCCTGACGTTTAACATTGTATGATTGTATATCCTCTATACGGCAAATAACATTAATTTGGATACCCAGAATTGAAGCAAGATAAGAGAATGCAGAAAAGGAGTAATAAGAAGGAAATGGAATTAAAAGAAATTGAGAAATAAAATGCCTGTAAAATTTCTTTGGTTGAAGCAGAAAAGAAGAGCTGCATTTGTGTACACCAAAAATGAGAAATATATGATTTCATTAATGTAGATTTTGTACCTACAATTGCGCGGATCACTGTTACAAAAATCAAATCGCATATGTTGAGTTATTTTAGCCTTCCTCCAATCAGCTTTCCCTTGCTAGTAGATTCATTTAACATCCATCGTGAAGCCAACTTCTCAACTGACCATAATTCATCACCAGTCTCAACGTAACAATTTACTAAACGGCAACGCTGAAAACAATCACTAAATTCATTCCAACGATGATAGCAGTCTTTGCCTATCATCATCCATGACAATATGATGTCCACACAAATTAACGACAAATAATTTGGAAAATACAAGGTTTACTTTGACAAAGCAAAATCGCGTTCATTTATGATAAACGAGACCATAATCAACCATATAATATGTACAAAGATATCTTTCAAAGTTTTGATTTATTGGAATGAGAATTTACAGTTTGAAATAATTTATTCCTCATCGTTGGCAGCAGGCTTCTTTTCATCACCAGTAGCACGAGCTGAACATAATCAGAATGACATTAATATCATATACATTCATCAATTAGTCAATCATGTAGAAAGAGAACACTTACTGTAGATAATTTGAGCGTGGTGGCGAGAAACAGGCTTGATCAAACCTTGGGATTCAAGTTCACGAATAGCAAGACGGGCCAAAGAACCGTTCAACTTAAGACGATCAACCAAAACAGATTGAGAGATAAGCTTGTAGGTGGGAACTTCCTTCATCATACGTTCGTAAGTGGGCTTATCGAGCATAACGATGTTGTTGGCCTTGTCCTTAACCTTCTTAGCGGACCACTTCTTCTTGGCCTTCTTTCCACCAGAGCTGGAGCTAGGCTTACCGGCAACGTCCTTTTTAGCCTATAAAATGGTTTGTTTAAAGAGTAAATGACTGATTAACAAAATCTGTTTGATCAGAATTTTCGAATTTGGTGTAGGGTCCACGATGAAAAATGTCAGGTTAATGTCGAAATTTGCAAAATCGTTCACACAGAATCTGTAATATTGTAAGAGTTTATCGTCCATCCATGTAAATAGTGATGGATTGAGTTTTTACTGAGTCGATACTGTCTCATGTTGTCTACTACAATCCATCGATTCTAAGATCCATCCATTGTTTACAATGCTTAAGCAGTGGGTCGTCTTTAAACATAGTATATCCGTCCAACATCCATTGCTATTTACTCCATAACGACTGTGGATAGATGGTCTTTGAGGTGATTTACTGCTGCCTACTGACATCTTTGATCCATGAACCCTTCACTATGAATTATGTGATACGCACCATATTGGATTAGAGGAGGAACAAAAACATTGGCAGCTTTCCTCTTCTTATTGTAATGCTGCAGTGCGGAGCCGGCTCTTTCAAAAAAAAAATAAAAACTCTCTTCCGGGGCGCTCAAATGTCGGACTCGTCCAATAATCAATTTAGCGTAGTAGGCAAATACTGTCCGCTTTATCTAAGTATTTACTGTGTTTTCAACAAGCACTAATGTCTCCGTTGTTGCACGCTATAAGGATTCTCTAAATTGCTTAACATTACAAATGATGTGAATTTTTCTTTTACTTTATTCATGACATTTTCAAATGTGAACAATTTTATAATAGAGTGTGTCTTCAATCGCATTTGAAAGTAGCATCACATTTCGTATGATGGGAATAGTATTGCATACACTGATTTTAGCTGGTTAGAAATTTGAAGTAGACTTATACACTGTTAACTCTGGAATTGAGCAAATCCGGGACATTCTTCCTGAAAAGGAAACAACTTACGTACGTCCTAGCCAAAAGCTGGATCAATCGGTATTTGAAAATATTTCTACTAAATATTAAAAGCCTTTCTGTGCTTTTTTTTTCCCAAATCATTGAAGGTTTTAACTCCTTCAGTTATTTGTTGCTATTGCTCTTCATATCAAGGCTGATTTTGAGATGGAGCAATTGAATTTTGATTGGATGAGTAATGATAACACATTAATGGATACACTCGCTACTATCGCAAACAGTGGTCCTGAAGGAATTAATCCCGTTGTTGATACATCTACCAACGGCGTGGACTTGAAAGTTTTGGATTTTCTTAAACAAGGATCTGAAAACGGAACGAACAGTTCAAATATTACTACGAACAATGCATCAACACTAACTTCACAACATCAACCCACCATGCAACCTCTGTTTCAAGAAATTCCTTCTTCAAGTCCACCTCCATCACAAAGTGCTCCACCCAGTACTAAAGACATTAGCCCTTCCTATGGAAAGGTATCGACTGATTCAACCTCATACAAGCATGGTGTATCATACATTCAACATAACAATAAGTTTGTTATAGTAGCACCAAGCTTTAATTCTAACGTGAATAATAAGCCAGCACTGAAACGAACTAAATTTAAGGAACCGATATTTGTCACGGAATCGCCTCAAAGCTACAGAAACCGTATAAAGATCAACACTAACAGCAGTGGCGATGATAACTCGGATGACGAAGCGACCACAAACATGAATAGTTCGACTTCATCTACACTAAAATCAATGACACCCAAAGAGAGAAGACAGTGGAGAAACAAGATTTCAGCAAGAAATTTCAGAGTCAGAAGAAAGGGTAAATATTTCTACCATGGGGAAATGCGATTTTCTGTTTAGCATCTGGTCATTTAATTAACATAGGAACACCCTTTCCATAGAGTATCTGTCACAATTAGAAGAAAGAGTTGAAGAGCAGGATAAGATAATTGCGGATCTTAAGAAAGAGAATGACGATCTACGTAAAGTTAATGCAGAGTTATTAAAACAGTTGTTCATAAAACCTGTCTCTCCGCCAACATCCACAGGAGACGAAGCAATGTTGAGTTATACGTCTGTTTCCGGTTCAGAAAGTCAAGAGCAACAGTCGCCAAATTCTAATTCATCCGTTTCTCCATTTACACTTGACAACTTATATGATTTCACGCATCTTGAACAGCAACCGCCATCATTAGAGACACAAACGCAACAAGCGACCTTACCATCCGTGGCTCCCCAAATGACAAATCCGGAGAATTTATTCTTCCTTCATCATGCTGCTATGCCTGATTGGGATTTACCTCGTATTTTAGGCGACAAAGTCAACATAGTTGATAAAGAACAGCATGAGAGAGAGGTCGCTCAACGACTTATGCGCGACTATCCTCTTTTAGCACCTGCATTGATTTCTTTGGTGTTACATCACACTGTTTCAATGGAATATGTTGCTAACCTTGCCAAAGAGTTTTCTAACGGGTTGGAAACAGAAGTTTTCAGTAAAAGTGACGATGATCAGGATACTTTACTCGGGGATGATGTGGATGATTTGAAGAACAAACTGGACTCTTTACATATCATGGCAACAGAAAGGCAGACGTTCAGAAAAAATAGCCTGCAGAACGACACTAAAGCAAGTAAGAATATCAAGGCTGAGCAAACATCGACATTGGAAAAGAAAGATCCTTCAGACGAAGAATTGGTCCGTAAAATGTTGACAGAACACTTCCAATACTATGTGTTTTTACGAGCTACGGGCATGTCTCATGACGAAATCATGGAACGAAATAGACCCTGCCTTTTAGGCGACACATCCCATTGTAGGACGAAAATGAGCAAACTCAAGCTCGGGCTAAAACAGGAAAATAAGAAGAGCTTCCAAACTATACAGAGTTTTTCGCGTGTCGCAGGCGAGCTATTGAAAAATCCTCAACGTATGACTCATGTTCGGGCAATCCTTAGGAAAGAAGTGTGCTCTAAACAAACTAGACAAGCGGTACAAGCAATGGATGGTTCTAAAATACCGATCTCACCATCAAAAACCCTTCGCATCGCACATTAAGTACTCTTATTGTTGCATACTTATCGATTGTAAACTCATCATGTAAATATTATACCATCTGTTCATTTTAACTTATTATAATTTATTCTTCCGTTTTTGCTCTTCATTTGGTTTTTCATATTCTTCTCAATAAAATGTTCACTTCTTGTAAACAAAAAAGCTGGTTTTTTGAAAGGTTTAAGGTCACTGTTTATTGAGGTTTTTTGTATTGTTTTTTGTTAAGCTATAGGTAATTCAACTACTTGATCTGCTCCAGGAAAGTCTGGAACATCAAACTCGAACTTCTTAGCAATGGAGGTAGGGACAAAGCGACCACCTAAAAAGTGCTTTTGTCCTTTGAAATGTTTTACGCAAAGTTTAGGGGCGGTTAATGACACTAATAATTCCGGTTGAAATTTGACATGCTCCGTGGGGCCTGTTTCAACGTGCCAGCCAGACGGAATATCTACAGAAACGATAGGCTTTGATGTGCTTTCAAAGATTTGGACAATTTCCTTGTAAGGATCACGTACTTCTCCTTGGAAGCTGAAACCAAATAACGCATCTAAAAGGATATGCGATTGCTCAACAATATTTCCTGTCTGCTGTTCAAGTTCCTTGTACACTGGCACGTCCAAATTTTTGCATTGAAGCAGTAAGCGCTATCGACAAAAATATGTAAAGTAGCTTTTCAGTGTCACAATGTCAAAAAATTCTACAGTCCTTTGTATTATTTTTACCTGATACAGGTCCTTCTCCGGTTGCTTGGGGTAGTATAAACTAGGCTTAAAGCCAAAATGATGCAAATGTCGTGCAGCTACTAAGCCGTCTCCTCCGTTATTTCCTTGAAGTGAAGCAAAGTGGTCAATTGTTAAGCACCTGCATAGGGTGAACGTCTACGTAGTTTGCCGTTAATGCTTACCTGGACCAACGCAAATAAGGATATTAGGTGTCTTCTTATGGTCAAATGATTTCTGAACAGCTTGAGCTACGCTTAATCCAGCTTTTTTTTTTTTTCAAGTAAAAAGTACAACCCAATGAGTATTAAAGTGAAAGAAAAAATTGTACGTTTTAAAATTCTCGAGATCTACCTAATTCCATGAGTTGGTCAATGGAGAAACCACCAGAGCTGGACATGAGCTCTTGGTCAATTGCCTGAGCAACTTTTTGCGAAAGATACTAAAAGAACATTTAGGGCAAAAAGAAGACGCGTATCATTTTGAGCAGTATATCGTTACCTTGCAAGCCATCAGGTTGGGAATGATATGCTGAATATTCAGGATAAGATAAGAACTGGTCAATTCAAGTAATATTTAAACTGTTCAAACTAAGCAACGGGCGGCATGAATTTTTTACGGCCATACAATTTATGTTGGTTTAGATTTAGACAACTTTTGAATTGTTTAGACAAAAATAGATCTTTTTTATATGAAACATATGCAGCTTTTTTTCTAAAACCGTATTCGTCATTCTTTAGATTACGTTTTTTTCGGATAATCAAAAAAGGTGATTTTATAATGCTTAAGGCGTATCTTTCAGCACGTTTTCTCTTTTGATATGTCATCATTTGAAAATTCCATAGAGATATCTTCCTGAAAATTGTACGTAGGTAGTGGTGGATTGATTCGATGTGGTGAAGTCATTATGTTGGTGTTCTCCTCCCTCATTTAGGTACCTAGTGATGATGTCTCTAGGTATAATAGTAGTGCTGTAGATAGGGATAACGTCAGCCTTAACATGAAGTCGGTGGGCTGACGCTAGGAGGGTTTATTGGCTTGTCTGGGTTGATCAAGGTATATTCTAGTGGAGTGTCGAACACGTTGATGATGCAAGCCTTTTCGCAGGAAAGTTAGGTCGGGAGTCGTTTTGATAATCTTTCAGGGATTTCAACGCGAATGCCATAAGGTCTATATGTACGAAATGGAAAGGTTTTGAAGAATGTTGGTACGTATAAGGATTGAGTATTTTGTTAAAATTAAAAAAAAAAATACCTGTCTAATGTGTAGAGCGTAACAATTTGGCCATTTTGTAATTCAGGATTCAAAGCTTCTGATTTTCGTGTTTGAGAAGGGAAAAAGTAGCCAGTGACGATGATGTTCAAAGAGTAGTGTCCAAATATCAGTCATTTTATTAAGTATGTGTAAAGTAGTTAAAGTGTTTTTTTTTTCAAGAGAAAGAGTTACCTAAGAAATTAAAAAAGTCTCAGTGGGATTTGTTTTTATTGTTGTCTGATTTATATATGATTAGTGAGTTGATATGTATGTTGGATGAGAAGCAATATTTATTGTGAATTTGTTAATGGGCATATTTTTAGAGGAAAGTAGTCTTGTTTTTAATGAGAATTTTGATTGTGTGATTGTCTGTAATTTGAAATTATGAAAGTGATTGGATGGTGGAAAATAAAGGGGAAAGAACTGTAGAATTTCATTATTATTTTTCCCTTTGAAGATGGCAATTTGGAGGTTAATTTTGATTTTGTTTAAAAGGAATATAGATTGTCTTGAAAAAGGGTATAAGTTTCTTCTATATTTACATTCTACAAGGCAATTATATGTGAGTTTTATTGTAATATTGTATGTATTGGTGCTTATTGTACTGTGTTTTTTTTGAGAGATAATTTCTCGTGCTTTTGTTGCCAAAGTTAAATTATAATGAAGATATTCTTTTAAACAGGGAAAAGATCCTTTCGCATTTTTTTTGTAACTTTCAGCTCTATTCATGTGCAAGTTAAAGAAAAGGCATAAGAATCAGGTTTAAAAGAATTCATTTGGTCGCTCAGACACATTAGAAGCTTTGACACCGTCCGTGGCTGTAGTATCATTATTTACAAGTTTAGATATTATGTAACCACGATCTCAACGCTGCAAAAAAACATGATGGTATCAGCATTTCGATCTTAATCCTTTTTCTAATTATCGCCAGAACGAAACTGGCGCGATACAAGGAAAGGTCTCTATATTAGTGTAGTTAGGTCTGCAAACTTTAAGTCATAGGTCTAAAAAGTCTGGTTCGTTCCATATAGTTACATCGCAGGTTTGTCTCAAAGCTAAATAAAACTGTATAGTAAAATTTGGAACATCATCATACCATCATAGGCTCCCTCAGCACAAAATTGTAACTGCCATCATTGAGCTACAATCCATAAGCACAGAAAATTTTTCGTCGAACCTATCTTTCAATGTTTAAGTTATAATACGTCTATTTTATAATACTCTTTCGAATTTTCTTGATCATTTATGTAAATCAACTGTTACAGCTGATTGGAATCTACGTCGATTTTACGCTATTGACTATAATATTGTTTTTATTTTTATTTTACATTCTTATGGTTACTTAGTCGCAATAATCCGAGAGGTGTCGACAACAGTCGTATTTCCTGGGTCTGAAATGGAACGTAAATTGGGCACCATCCATTTATAACAAATCCTATGAAATGTTTGAAAAGAGTTTTGCAAATAAAGGTTTGCAGTTGTAACATGTTTATTGCCAAAGGCGTTTGTCGCTCAAAACTAATCGAAGAAAACATTTTTGTATTTGAGTACTAATTATGGTCGATATCTTCTAGAGCTCTGTTAGACGGTTATAAATTGTGTAAAAGCTATTGCTATAATGTATTCAGTACAAGTTGTAAATCGCAACAGAAGAGATAGCTGATAACTGATTTAGTGCTTCTTGTTGGCAGCCACTATAAGATATAGCATTTAAAGATGAAAATGTTTGAGATAAACGTTTTGCATTATTCAATTTCCATAAACTTACAAGCAGGGTTTCTGGGATCGTTTCTGTATTCATCGCCTAATAAATGAGAAAGGTGTAATGAGAATATGCTCGAACAGATTACCAAACAATGGAGGGACTTACTATTGATCATTGCAGATTGAGCCTTTGCAACCAAGTAAAAAACAACGACACCACCGGCGATGAAAGGAGCCATAGGACGAAGAACAGGGGTGTTGAACTTACGATAACCAAACATAGTTTATTTTCGAAGAGTGAAAAATGTGGAGAGGCTAGGTACAGGAAAAGCGTAATTCACCAAGCAAACATTCAGGTCTGATGTGGGGGTAGAACTCAACTTCCAATCAGAATAGCAGGGGCAACGGATTATTGCACACCAATATTGACTTACTAAAAGAAAACAAAAAAATTGGGAGGGAAAAAAAGTTGACGTCATGTCAAGAATGATGAGCGTTAATACTGAGAAAACACATAACATTCATTACCTTTGCGAACGTTAAGCTATAGAACTTACGAACATTTTTCCATCACCAGCTAACCATGTAAGTTAAAAATCAAGTATAATCTTTAGTCATTATCTAGTCTCAGAAAAGATCAATTCTAACAAATCTATATTTCAAGAGAAAAGTATGCTAATTTCCTACAAACTTTGAAAAGGTACTACTCAACTAACGGTAACGTGCAAATAAAATTCGATGAGTAAAACATTGCTCATGTTTGTGCTATTATGTTATAGAAATATTACAGAAGTCCAAATGCCAAATGTTTACAACTCAAGGAACACTTAAGTAAGTTTTAACATCATCATCAGAGTCAACAACTCGAAAGATAGAGACAGATCTCCCCTTCGTTGACTGGATTAACTGTTATTATGATAAGTTTTAAAATCTGAGGACACCAACCCTCTTTCCTCGTATTCATTTCTTGATTGAGCTCGAGACAGAAATGAATATCAAGTGAACGAGAGCAATCTCCAAGCATTTACTCTAGAAAGCTTTAAGGATAATACTATTAGAGTAGCTTCTTAAAAAACAGTAGCTATTCTATTATTAAGTATTCTGAGATGTCCCTTCTTTCCGGTCAAGGCAAAAAGTTGTATTGTTTAAAAAATGATAGACTTATATCATACCCTCTTTGAACGCATAAGAGTACAGTCAGGCATTCTCATATGTATATTCTTTTGAATGGTACATGCTTAATAGGTGTTGTTACTTGATTACAAATACCAACAGGAGCGTTGCACTATAGCTACGGTTGGTTTAAGCTTTATTTTTTTCTTTTTCTTTGGTTCAACATTCATGTGTCATTTGACTGTTTTTCATTGGAATTTCGATTCCTTCATTTCAACAGAGCCTAGTTTACAGCCTAACATCAAGTAGATGTAAACTACTATCAAGGCAAATGGACTTGGAGGTCACTATCTTTCCACTAGATGGGAGGAATCCTTTGGATCATAATGGAGTGCATGAAAAAAATCTAAAACCCAATGAGACAAGCTTCAACAAGCCACAGATTTTTAATACTTTTTTTTTTCTTATAATTTTTTGACATTGTGAGGTATTTGGGTAACCAAAACTTGATATCACATCTTTCCCTTTATAAACTCCTTCCTAAACAAAGAGTAAATATTCAAAGAAACTGTTCTTGTAGTATCTCTTACGTTTTCTTTTTTAACTCATAAGTCACTGTTTCGCTACTTTATTAGAGTTTAATATGGCTGACAACATTAAAGACCAATCACTTCCTAAGGACGAACAAAGTCCAAATGAAGTGAAGAAAGATCAATCTCAATCTCCTCAAAAGCAACAAGAGGAAAAGAAAGAACACATCAAGCAGACGATTCCAGCACCTATTCCTGAAAAGAATGCTTGGAATGTTGATGTGAAAGATAAGAAACCTTCAGAGCTCACTGAAGCCAGCGCAGGTAAGCAGTCAATCACTGATTGTCAGACAAGAAGAAAAAAAGAAGCTTTTTGAGATTAATTCTAAAAAATTTTGTAGACTGGCCAGAGCCAAAAGAAGCTGCTGCCGAAAGCAACGATGACAATAGTGAAAAAGAAAAGTTTGTTGCACCCAAGGTTAAGAATAAGGGACAATGGAAGCCGTATACACCTACTATCGTTCATGCCTCCTCTCGTTCACGCAAAAACAACCGTCGCAACAACACTCATAAAAAACCTATCAACGGTAACCGTAGAGGTTCGAAAGCAAAGGACGCTAATAAAGAAAACAAAGAAACCAAGGACACTAAAGAAAATACAGAATCAAAAGATACTGACAACAGCAAGACCGATAATACCACTAAGGACGGCAATAAAGATACTCCAGCTGCTACCAATAGTACTGAAACTAAAGAGAATAACACAAAACCTGAGGACAGAAAGTTCAAACCTCGCACTATCCGTCCGAAGAATTCCTTCCGCCCACATCAACGTAGAGCTCCAGCATTTGTTAAGGTTGACGCTGAAACGTTGAAGTTGTATATCATGCAGCAATTGTAAGTTTGACTGTCTTGATTGATTGTGTATGCGTATGTGTTGTGATAGTCCACTAACATGATCAAAAATTATTTTTTTCTTTTGCACCCATTTCCATCTTGCAGTGAATATTATTTCAGTATTGACAATTTATGTAAAGATTTATACTTGCGTAAGCAAATGGACTCCAATGGTTTTGTCGATTTGTCTCTTGTCGCAAACTTCAATCGAGTGAAGGGTTTGACCACTGATATGAATTTAATCCGCGAAGCTTTGCAAAATAGCCAAATCGTCGAGCTTAAAGGTGATAAGATCCGTAAAAGAGAAGGCTGGGAAACATGGCTTATGCCTGCTGTCATCCCTGGACCTTCCCCTGTTAACCCTCCTATTCCCAAAGTTACAACAACTGCAGCTGAAGTCGCCAAGAAAAATGCTCCTCCTAATCCCCAACCCACTCTGGCCTCATTAGCGGGTACTACTCTATTACCCTCCTCAGTTCCTAAATTAAACGGTGAACGTCGCAAATCCGTTGCCAAACCCGAACCCAAAGATGATGATGATCTGTTTGACTTTGATGATGATGAAGACTGGACAGATGGACGTCGCAACGATACTGTTAAGAAATACTATCTTTCTGATGAGGAAGATGAGGATGACGAACTTGACATGGATGATGAAACAGTTGCTCGTATCATGATTGTTACTCAGCGTAAGATGGATCGTACTCATACAAGCTACAATCGTGCAAAGATCAATGAGGATATTTCAGAAATGATCAACGAAGGCTTGCACGAGTATGAATCTGGACTTGGTGCTATCAAGCAAAACAACGTGAAGATCGGTTCTGTAGATAAGGATCAATTTGAACAAATGAAGCACCGTGAACATCATCATGGTGAGCAAGTCGGCGCTCAACTCTCCAGCACTACTATCACAACAGCCAAGCCTATCAATAAAAAGGCTACTCCTCGTTTCTATGCTGTTCGCCCTGAATCTCTTCCCAGTTCCGCTTTCCTTGGAAGCACTCCTACCAAGGGTAGTGACCAAGGCCATGTTGGTTGGATCTTGAGTGATCAGCCTTATCATTATAACCCTAATGATCTTTTATCAACAAGTTATGGCAAATCACCTGCTAATGAAAGCTTCCTTTCTACCTCCATGGATGCTGCTCGCTCTTTCGGCACATCATTCCAACATCCCAGTCATGAATTATTGCGTGAAAAGGGTTTTGTGCAACACAAGTACTACAAGTATCATGCTAAGGCTCTGAGAGAACGTAAGCAATTAGGTGTTGGACAATCTCAAGAAATGAACACTTTGTTCCGATTCTGGTCTCATTTCTTACGTGACCACTTCAATAAGCGTATGTACAATGAATTCAAGAGATTAGCTGTTGAAGACGCCAATCAAAACTATAGGTAAGCTTGTTTGTATGCTGAGTGACCCGTAGCCGTAAGAAATGTATTAACATGCGTCTTCTTTTCAGATATGGTTTGGAATGTCTTTTCAGATTCTATTCTTATGGCCTTGAAAAGCGTTACCGTAAAGAACTTTTTGAGGACTTCCAAGACTTGACCTTGGCGGATTATGAAAAGGGTCATCTCTATGGCCTTGAGAAATTCTGGGCATACACCTATTATCGCAAAGATAAGAATAAGAGAGAACTCAAGATCATGGAGCAGTTGAATCAGTTGTTGAACAAATACAAGACAATTGAAGACTTCCGAAACGCTAAGACACCCGCTAAAGAATCTGATGATTCTTACAGAGTACCCCACCATGGCGTAAGTTATTAGAACTGTCCTCTTTATAACGTTCGTGGCCTAGAGTGACTTATCTTTCATATCTTATTTGTCACATTATAGAAACCTAGAAAGAGTGTAAGCGGGCCATCTGGCGCCCCTGTTGCTCATGCCAACCCAACCACTGCTTAAAAACACCACCCTTGTATCCCTAACCGTGTATTTCAAAAATTATATATTGCAAGTAAAGCTCTGAAAACAAGCATTTTAAGAATGTATAAAAAAAAAAACACTTTATTTCCTTTCCTCTCTCCTTTCTTTATAGAAATCTGTATCTTGAACCTTTTTTAATTATCTCATTTTTTTTATACATATACTAATTTTTTATACATATTTTTTTTTTTTTATATTTTATGGAATTTGTTGTAACTGTAGAAAAAGAAATAAAACTTTGAACAATGTAACTTGCCTGTTTTGTTAATATACAGTCGTGCATGAACGACTATCAAAATAGTGGTTTACAACTGCAAATGCACTTTTCTATTCTGACGTCAAAAGTAGGAACCACTATGGACGTTCACTGTTGATAGTTTTCTAACGGCTGCATCCATCAGTATGAAGATATGAATAGGTTTGGGGGCACCATAAAAATGTATAAACGCTGTGGTAGAGTTGGACTTCATCTTCCTACATGAATGACATATACAATACGTAAACTTCTGGCTTTTCAATCTCCACTGAAGGCTTAAATACTGTCTTCAATCCAAGCCAAGCAAAGTTTATGCAAAGACTTCCATCTCTTATCCAAAAATCAGTCTTTACTCGTTCATATTACTCGAAAATGCCACACGCAGTGACGATCGCTAAACAAAAAGTTATCGTGAATGGCTGCACGAATGACGATGAGTTTAACAAAGTGATGTCATTCGAGCCATTTAAAGACTGGTTGTCCGCCTTCAATAAACAGCAAGAAGAGCGTGAAGAAGAGCTCAAACTAGAATCTATTGACATTCAAAATATTGATTACTTTAAATCTGACAAGATTGGATTTATCAAATTCAAAACCAATGCGGTATATAATGAAACCGGTAAAAGTGTGCCGGGTATCGTATTCATGGTAGTTATACGCAATTACATGATGATATGCAATAATAGGCGTAAACAGTAACAAAAGATTTATTGACAAAACATTGACTTACACTATTACAGAGAGGCGGGGCTGTGTCAATGATGATCATCCTTAGAACGAAAGAGGAAAAAGATAAACTTATCCTGACACTTCAACCGCGTATACCTGTGCCCCATCTAAGCTTTCCAGAATTGCCTGCTGGTATGCTGGATGGCTCAGGCAATTTCTCCGGAACTGCTGCTAAAGAGATTGAAGAGGAAACAGGTATTGCAATTTAATATACTTGGGGTGAGCTCGAACACTAACTTTACTGTGATGTCTTGAAGGCCTCCAAATCAAAGAGAACGAATTAGTCGACTTGACAGAATTAGCCTATGGTGACCAATGGAAGGGGGCTTACACGTCTGCGGGAGGTTCAGGTATAGATTTATCTCTTAACAAAGGCTCAAATGAGTAGATTTGTGTTGACCTCTTTTTTAAAACCTGTTTCAATTAGATGAGTTTTTAAGATTATTCGTCTGCATTAAGCAAATGGAAAAGTCTAAAGTCGAAAAACTGGAAGGTAAACTAACTGGACTTCGAGACCAAGGTGAAAGCATAACACTCAAGCTGGTTAATCTGGAGGATGCATGGAAACATTCACCAGATGTCAAGTTGCTGTCCAGTTTAGCATTATATAACGCTTTAAAATCAAAAATTGACCAATAAAGAAAAGCTAAAAAGGAAATTCTTTTTTGCGCTTGTTTACCTTACCATTTAAAGAAATACCACGAAATTGTTTATTGTCAAATTGTAAAAGTTGAAAGCGAGAAATATCCAAACAGGGAAGTATTCAAAGATGATATACATAACAACGCAACAGGACCGTACATCATTTTACACAGAAGGCGCACATTTTGAATGATACAGTGTACAATTTTAATGGTATACCCTATTTTAACAATTGTTTTTCTGTTTCTTCACTTTTTTTGTCTGAAGAATTATCTTGTTCAAGACTATCTTATTAGCAAATTCAATGATGCAGCCTTCTGTTACTAAGAAAAAGGGCACCTTATCTTCTAGCACCGATAGCAAAAGCTTTACAATTGAAACAGCTTCATCTCGACTGCCAGCACCGTTGGAAAGGCTGAGTGCCGTTTATGAAGAAAAAACAATTGTCAATGAATTACAAGAGTTGCTCAATATTGATGACGAGGACATTTTCGACGATATCGAGCAACAGTCAGATGAAAGTGATGATGAGGTTGTGCAAAATCAAATGCCTTCCATTCGAGCGAGCTCAAAAAGCCTACAAAGAGGAAATTCTAATTCTTCATCATTCAGTCGTATCGAATATGTTAATACAATACTTAAAGAACGCCCTTTACCTAAAATTCCTGATCGCAGCTCTTCAAAATCTATCCCTGCAGAGGTGAGCAAAGTTCTCGAGGATTCGCTTAAACAAAAGAGAATGTCAGCACAGCAGTTATTCGAAATATTCAAAAACTTGAGGCTAGAGGAAGATGAAAATATCGATAGCCGCTCGGATAGTTCGGACGATAGCATGTACAACGACCCCGATTATGATATAGAAGAAATAGATAATGAGCTAGACGAGTATGGAGGGGTCTATAATTCAAAGTTGGAGATGCCGTCGTCGACAATCCGTACAAAACAAGCACTTGATATTTATTACAGCGAATATGTCAGCACTCACAGAGAAATAACACCCGTTGAGGAAGTAGACGAAGAATGGAAGGAAGAGGAGGAAGAGGAGGAGGAGGACAACCCTCAACAGAATGTACAAAAAGACAAGGATAATGATATGAAGGAAATAGCAGAAACTGAAGAGATGAATACCTCAAAACCCCTTACAACAAAACAGGCTTCACAAGAATTACAATTTAATGCTTTTCAAGAAAAGCTTACAGTCGATGAAGATGGTGTACCAAATTATATTTTGATGCCAACAGATCAGAATGAGGCTACAACATCACGACGCGCTTCGCTTGTCTCCATGACTGCACCCAGCCTAGTGAGTGAGGATAGCCATACTTCCGCTAACAATTCCTTACAGTCCTTCAAATCACCTACTTTATTGCCAGTTCAAAACTCTCCTGAAAACATTCCATCATCCGATTTGAATACGAAAGAAAGTCATTACACAGATTCTACAGCGCAACAAAGCATGGATGAGAAGCGTTACGATACTGTTAACGATATTAGCTCACTTTATGCAACAGCTCCGGATGAATTCATCAATGATAAAGAGCAACAAGCCAGACTTCAAACACAAGGAGCTTTTTTGAAAGGCCAAGCATCTAAAACAAGAGGAGCATCTCTTTACTCTGATGTTCAGAGACTTTCACAGTTGAGAAAAGCGCTTTCAACATCAACACTACGCCAAGTTGAAACGCCCATTAACAGCTCGAAAGTGCCGTCTCATTTAGAAAAGCCTCTACCGCAGCCAACCATTGATAATAATCCCTATAAAAATATGTATCTGCGAAGAACACCAGTGACATCTTTGAGCTTAATTCATGATAAAAACTCACTGAAAGTTTATCGTCGCATGGCAACGAAAACAAATGATAGGAATATTCAGTATACGTATACTAAGTATTTAATGCAATTGGTGTCGTTTTATGCTGGTTGCAATCAGCGAGATATTGCACTTACTCAAACAAGAAACCGCCTTCAAGAAGAAGCAGAGTACTGGATCGATCGATTAGCCAAGTCAAACTATGGTGCAGCATTATATACGAAGGGTCAATGGCATCGTCACTGTGGAGACGTGAAAGCACGAGGCATCTTTGTTGGTACACAATACAAAAAAGCAAATCATGAGAAAGCTTTCAAATGCTTCCAATTGGCTGCTAAGTACGGTTCAATCGAAGCATATTACGAGCTAGCAGAATGCTGGATGGTGCGTAAAGACTACAAAAAAACACTTGCTTGTTATAAATATGCTGCTTCGAAAAATCATGTGTTATCCCTTTACGTAAGTGCTCCAACTGATTGTACACAAGAGGTCAAAAGCGTAGCTAACATTTTTGGACTATCTTTTAGAAATTAGCTAACATTCATCTTCGTGGTTTACTCAAGCAGCAGAAGGCCATTCGTAAGGGATTAATCTATTTGCGACAAGCTGCTGATGCAAACCAGCCAGATTGTGCTCGCCCAGCCTATGACTTTGCTTGTATTCTTCTGAATGATCTGAAAGCGATTGATTTAGAAAGGTGAGGTAGTTCTAAAGACTAGTCTTTCTCTGTGAAACATTACAGGACTGACGTACCAAACATTCATATACTATATTTCCATAGCGAGCCATCTATTACATCTTATTATATAGCACCTGATGTTCACCAAGCTGCTTATTACCTGCAAAAGGCGGATAAGTTTGGTTTGGTATCTGCGACTTTTCGTCTAGGGCAACTATTAATGAAGAGTAATCAAAAGTTCGCGCCGAATGAAGCGGAGGCTTTCAAATGCTTTGCTAAAGCTGCAAATCGGGGTCACGAGGATTCTATGATTAAATTATCTCAATTCTATAAAAGTGGTATACCTGGCCTTATTAGACCACATTTAATACTGGCCTTTCAGTGGTGCCAAAAAGCAGCAGAAAATGGCAACGAAGAAGCAGAGTATATACTCGGGTATGAAATAAAATTACTGAAAGTATATAACCGGTATAGTACTTAAAAAAAAGAATATAAATGTAGGACGTATTATGAAGACGGAACTGGTGTACACCCAGATGAGACTCTCGCGAAGGAATGGTTCAGTAAATCAGCCGTTAAAGGTTACGCTCCTGCATTGAAAAGGCTCTATCCTACTATGCAAGACAATTGCGAAGAGATATCTGAAGATAGTAGTACCCACAAAAAGTACTATCATGAAGAAAATTACAGATCCTCCTTATTAAAATCCCGGAAAACGCGAGCGTCAGATCCAAACTGTCGAGTCATGTAAAAATCCATCTGCGTCTTTCATTATCATACACAACGCCAATCGCTTTCTTCTATAACCTATAATTTGTCAGTCCACTATTTACGTCTTTTATATTATTTATTGCCATCTCAATATCATTTTAATAAATCTTAAACCAGCCTTTAAGAGCCGCTCTTCGTACCATACTGTCTGGTGTATGTTTATAGAAATGTCAAGGATAAACCTCCTTTCATGCTGACAGCTTATATCAAACCATCTTGCGTGTACCGTGCCTGAGATTTTTGGTTCTCCAACCGAATCGGTAAAAGAGCTACCCAACGTCAGAGTTTAAAATTTTATCAGTGTAGGATCACAGACTGGTTCTTGCTATTAGCCTAAGGCTTGTATATCAGAAAACCGAAATATTTTTTTTACATTGCGACTAGTAGTTCTCGACAAATAGCGACAAATCTTACGGTGGATATGCCGAAATTTTTTAAAAGGTCATTGTCGTTTTGTACTTAAATTCCCAATCATTTATTAACTGAAGTTACTTGTGATTTTCCCTGTGCAGAAGTTACTTCTTACGCGCGTTTAGAAAGCATTATGTAGGCTCCGATGCAGTCGTTAGCACTATGTATGGAATTTTTTCAGCCATTATGATATTCTATGGGTTAAAGCAACGGAAGCCAAAACCATTGCTGCGGAGCACAGCAATGAAAAGTGCAAAGCTGCCTTAGGACTCGATTGTAGCGTGTATATCAACGCAGGTGATGCTGACAGCATGGCTAGAGTGCAATAGTGAGATTGCACATATTCTTTGTATGGGTTCTAGCTTGACTTCGTAAGTCAAATAGTGCAAAGCAACTCTGCCCCTCAATTTTTATTTTTAAAAGCCAACCCCAGCTACAAGTCCAAGGGTTTTAAAAAAAGCTTAAAATGCGTCTCCACACCTTTTCTCCAGCAGTGGTATTGACCCACAACCTATAATTATAATTCTTACGCATACATAACAACACCTTATAATGTTGCATCGCCGATTTTTCTCCACTGGTTCTGCAGTAGCCGAAAACTATTATAAAATAACCTTAAAGCGATCGACCATTGGCACACCAAGTGATTTCCGAGCAGCAACAAAGACACTGGGCCTTTTCCGTTTACATCAGACAACATATAGACCTGTTAATGCAACAAATGCAGGCCTTATTCTCAAACTCAAAGAACTTGTCAATGTCGAAATTGTGGACCGAATTCCTGACAAGTCTGAATTAGCGGCCAAAAAACCGCCAAAAGGTTATACAGTTGTTGGCAACAAGCTCTAACGAAATCGACTTTATCATCCTACTTTTCGCTCTGTATTATATCACTTCTCTTAGTCTTCTCTTATGTAAGAGAGAGTATTTCTAAACGTAAGCCTATAGAACAGCAACTTGTCAATAAAATACTAGTAAAAAGGTTCTGTATTGCTGTATTGAAAAGCAAAAGAAAAAAGGATCAAATTGTTACAATTTACCTTTCCATTAGCAAATATGAGACCAGGTTTCTATCTTTATTTATTAGAGAGGCATTACATTATTTGATCGTGTGGTCCTTAAAGAGCGGGGGTGGGTGGGATTTTGACATGTCTTCCAAATAGATGTTATGCACTGAAAGGGAAACTGTCACGAGTCAGCTTTTTGATTTCGGTTTTTGTTCCTGACAGCTGTCTCCAGAGTATAAAATCGAGGCCAAATAAAAGTTGTTCTTAAAAATGGTTTCTTAAAAAAGACAATGGTAGATGATGATCAAGCACTAAGCAAGCTTGTACAAAAGCTCGTCAAAGCACCGGTAAGCCTAATCTTGTTGATTGTCAAGTTTTGATCTATTTAACATTTGGGATCGCTTTAGATCGGCTCGTCAAAATGGAGGAATGCGTACGACAAAGCTAAAAACATCATTCGGTTTGAGAAAGTTACGAGCATCAGTCAAAGTGAAGTGAATAGTCGATTCAATGGGTATGCAAACCTCTTTCATTACACTTGAAAGACTCAACTACCTGTCTACACATACATCTATCTAAGCGCTCTTGAAATACTATACAGATTAGTGGAGAAATTCAGTATCATAGGGAACCAACGGTTGTCAGAAAGTTTAGAAGAATACAAGGCTGAACTTTTCAAGACGTCCAGATCTTTGACTACAGATGAAGAACACGTAAATAGTTCAGTATGGACATGGAATTGCACCTATAACTAAATTAAATTGTTATGTAGAATACGAGTTTGAAATATGATATCCTACATCTGTTGTTGGCGTTATCATCATCTGAAAACCAAGACGATACAACTATACCAAAACTGAATGAGGTGGAATCGGAAACATACAGTAAAGATTTAACATGGGAAGATATTATTCAGGACGATCCATTGGAGGGTGATCACTGGAAAACCAGCCTTGAGATTTCGTCAAATGATGGATATATTACTGAAGAGGAGATCGAGTATGAATATGATTATGAAAGTAAACCAGACCAATGCTCAATTCAACAGGTATAACCAGTCAATTCTTGATACAAAATGTTGTTCATGTTTAATAATTTTTGAGATGGGGGGGATTGATAATTTATAGATAGCAGATGATATACAATTGGCATACCCGATTGATATGGATATTGACGAAAGAGCGGATCAAGAAGGATTGAACATGCTGGTTTCCCAACAATATTGGAGGCATGATTATCATTTAGAAGAAGATAGCTTTACGGAACCTAAACTGCTGCGAAACCCTTGTCAAACTTACAAAGCAGCAGAATGGTTTCGATATGGTAATACCGATGACAGGGAAAATCGAAAATTGGTGACAGAAGCAAGCATTCTGAGAGAAGTCCTATCTTTATTCAAAGGCTACGAAAGTGTTATATTTATTAAGCGAAACGATAAGCTGGTGGTAAGATAATTTTTAATGATTTACTAGCACCGAAGCAATCGACTCACTTCAGTTATTCTTAGTGCAATGAAGAATTTGCAACACAGCATATCAGTCAAGGTGCATTGAAAAATCTGTTGAAAAAGTTCTGCTCGGCAGGCAACATGTTACAAAAGCTAAGACAGCATAGCATGGAGAATATACATATTACTAGTTTCGGCAAAACTAACCAAGCATTTGCGAGAACAGTCTACAATTTACTCAATGATTTTGACAGAACCATCTCAAAATTAGAAGGAAGCACCAGCTTTATTACTGATGATGCATCAAAAGCAATATCCTTACTCAAGCTTCAATATGAATTAGAACCACATCTTCAATACTTTAAAGACCTTTATGATATTATTGAAGGCGCCCCTTACGAAAATGATGATTGCTGCGCTTTATCTGTGTATCTTATTTGTACATTGTATGAGCAAGCATTGACCTGTCAGTCTTTTCAGCAGCTGAAGACATTCAACGTCATAGTAGACGTGATGAAAGAAACAATTGCTGCATATAGTAGACTGATGGATGAATGGATATTCAATGGAACACTCGCAGAAGATGCGGTTGGAGAATTCTTCGTATCCAGAAATGCGGCTGTCCACATGGACAGCCCCGACTTCTGGTCAAAAGGGTATACGTTGAAAACGCTTCCTCAGAATTTTTCTACGCATTTTAAAAACCCTCTGTTCAGTGAGATATTTCTGAACCAAGTGTTTTTCACTGGTAAAGCTGTCAGTTTGCTTTTGAAGTTACACAAAATGGTAAGGCGAACGATTGTAATGTATAAAGTAGAAAATCAATGAATAACAATGGTTGAATGACAGGTGCCCGATAAAGTACAACCAACATACAGGCCCTTTAGTGAAATAATGTCCAAGGTTGTGGGAAACGGAAAACAAACATCAACCAGTCCTTTAGTACGCCATCAACAAACGTCGGAAAATCGTGACATATTCACTTTGTCTTTATTCCCGTTGGCTGATACTTCCCCAATCAAAACATATGACACTAAGTTATCTAACAGAGAAGAGACAGCGAGTGATTGTAGAGGGAGAATGATTGAACAAGAATTATCCAGATGTGTAAAAATGTACATAGAGAGCCCATATATGACTGCAGCCAACATGCTCAACGAAACGCTTCATAAGAAAGGTGGCCTTCAAAATCAAATGAAGCTTTTTGCTTCTATTTATTTCATGCTGGAAAACAATTTGATGCACTCTTTCTGCCAAACACTATTTGAACAGATGGATAATAATAATGAAGTATGGTTTGATCAGCGAATATTGAACCGAACATTTCGAGAGACCTGCGATCTGAATGGATATCAAGAAACAGCATTTCTTGAATTAAATCTTGGAGAAAGTAGCGATGATACCCTCAACAACCGAAATGGCTACAAATCAATGGCATCTAAGCTTGAACTCATTACGTTTCATGTGGAGGTATAATTAATGAATTGATTTATTCGCCATGTAAAACCACAGAGCGACTATTTGTATTGTTAATGCTGATTTCCTGACGCTTCATTTAGATACCATGGCCATTAAATAATTTTATACATGCAGATTGCTTACTCGACTATTCGAAGGTACAGAGATTTTTACTTAGGTTGAAACGCGCTAAATACGTACTGGAAAAAAAGACATTGTTCCGTGATATGAAGATCAAAAGTGACAAACAAGCTATGTACTTTTATTCCTTACGTATGAAAATGATTTGGCTTATTAATTCCTTCTGGCGATATATTATGACCACTGTAAGTTGATACAGTTAAGCCTTAAGTTCTTTTTTACGAATGTCACGAATCTAACAAATGTTGCAAAGATACTTCATGCGGAAACTATCGAGTACCGCAATCGATTATCCGTTTTAAAGGATGCCGACGAAATTACTGCATTGCACGACGCTTATGTACGTCGTATCGTTGATAGATGTTTGTTGAATGATAAAGTAAGTTAATTGACCCTTTTTTTTTTTCAAAAAAAAAATTTCCTCCTTGTATCAATACTAAGTATTATACATTAACGTTTATCAAGGCGACTGCTATTAGAAAGTCACTTGTCAGTATATTTGATTTAGCTGAACAGATGGCGATACTGTTCAAGGACTATTTAGAACACACAGATCCGAAGACACAAATTGACCCGAATCGCATTAAACAATTTGACTCAACAATAAAGAATATTGAAAAAAGCTTTAATCGTAGCAATGATTTCATAGCGACCAGCCTTACAATTATGGGAAGAAAGGCCAACATGCCTTGGTGTAAGTACCAAAGTTCTGTTCGATTGTAGTAATTTGAGTTTCCTGTTTGACCTACCCTCTTTTTTCTTTTGTTAATAAATCAATTAATTAGTCGAAGCTTTAGGTCTATCGCTATCATGTCAAGTTGATAAGCCTCTTCAATAAAGAAGAAGCACGATACCCAGTCTATTAGAATAATAATTTAGTATTTATGCGATAGAAACTTATTTATTATACAATTATGCATTGGTATATAAGGTATATAAGGTAGATGATAGTAAGCAAATCAAAAATTTGACAAGAATAAAAATGAAACTAAGTAAAGCATCCTTCCTCCCAGTTGGTGTTAAAGGGTAAACGGTGGTTTATGTTTTATGGTATCTGTTCAACAGATGGTTTCTCAGTCAATGAATCGTTTTCACGTTCAGATCTGGGAGAAGTGGTGGTGGAGGTGACGGCGGCTCCATCTGCAAACATAGCCTCTATTTCTTCCAAACTTTTACCCTTTGTTTCAACAAACCAGCGCCAGACAACAAATAGAGCAACGAGATTCCATGCAGCATAAAATATGTAAGTTGCCCAACCGATGGCTTCTAGTAAGGGAGGTGTAAATAATCCAACTGCGAAATTGGATAACTATAGGCGAGAATGAATGCATTCTTTCAACGTTAGGCATATGCAACGGGTGAAATTAGAGAAACAACTGTCATTGATGCGTCTTACCCAATTTGATGCTACGGCTAACGACATGCCTTTAGCTCTCGTACGGAAAGGAAAGATTTCTGCAGGGTCTAATAGCGTTAAGGTATGATATGAATATATATATTATAAGCATATTATGACTAAAGGAGAATGTAACCAACAAATGGAAAAGTGTGAACTTACATAACCAATCGACACAAGCCCATGTAATACCGAAGGTGCCTACATAAACCATGGTGAATGTAATGACAAGAATTGCAGAAGTTAAGCCCAGTGAGATCTTGTTAAAAACTGCCATGAGAACGAGCCATAAGATCATAAAGAAGCTTCCATACATGAATAATGGACGTCTACCGACACGATCTACCAAAAATGCAGCGATAATAGCACCTGAGAAGTAAACAAGTGCTGTAAATCCAGCAAAAAGAATGGTTTGGTTGCCTGGACCCAGAACCGCTTCATACATTTTTGGTGCGTAGTACTATAGAAAATGAAGAAGAGCCTCATATCAGACACTGTCTTTCTCTCGTCCACTGTTTTTCTAAGAATTCTTTCTAACGTTACCGTAACAATGTTTATACCCGACATTTGTCCTAACGCTTGAACAGCTATTCCGATCCAAGTTCTCTTTTTATAAGTTGTAAACATCTCTTTCCAAGTGGGTTGGCCGAGTGTTGCTTCCATTTGCAAAGTGGTTTTAATCTCATCATATTCTTCAGTGACGTCGGGGTGATCTTCATCCCTTCCATGCATATTGGCGAGCGTCGTTATGGCTAACACGTCCTTACTTTTTGAAACAAGATATCTCGGCGATTCTGGAAGCGCTGTGGTGCCAACGGCAAGAATAAGAGCGAATGCCACTTGCAATAATAATGGTCCGCGGAATGACCATTCACTGTCCACGTAAGTAAATCCATAATCAATGAACTCTAAAAGCAAACGGTTCATGGTTATGCTTTGGAGTTGTCGTCATTAGGTATGGTAGATGCATTTCTTGGTTTTACCTGATGCTGTGTAGCCTAACATATTGATACTCATGCCAAAAACGGTTACTTTGCCTCTCTATGTAGTACGAAATCATTGTCAAAAGTAAGGCTTCCTACTCGTACGCAAATCTGTCATCATCTAAAAGGGTTACTTACGTTGTGAGCTCTACTCAATTCGGCTGTATAGACAGGTAAACAGGTGCTCAAAAATCCAATGCCAAAACCTGCAATTAAACGTCCAAACATGATTTGTGTCAATGTCACCGCTGCTGTCTGAAGGACACCGCCAACGATAAAAACGGCAGAGCCTACCAAAATGGTCCACCGACGTCCGATCTTGTCCATACACCAACTGGCTAAAGAAGTAGTTGCCCAAGCACCTAGTTCAAATATAGCAACCACAAGGCCCTGCATCGTGGCATTTGGATAGCTCATTAGACTCAACCAGCGATCATTGACGAGAATACCAGACATGACTCCTTGATCATCTATATGACATTATTCGAAAGGGGAAAGTTTTAGATGTCATTGATGTGTAGACACTTTTATCTGATTGTTCTTTACGCCTTACAGCCGAATAGAAATTGTCCAAGTGATGCAAAGCCAGCAACAGAATAGAGTAAGGCATTTCCTCGTAAAAGTCTCTTCATCCTTTCAAGTTCTCTTTTTTTTGCGGATCAATCTTTAAAAGTTGGGCAAGAAAAACAAAAAAAAAAAAAAAACCAAAATAAGAGATGACGCTATTTGAGTCAAGGCCGTGGGTGGGCTTTATATGTCTCCTATTTTCGCTTGATGCCTCAGGGTTCTTCTGCATCGAGATACTGCTCGGTTTTTTTATGTCCCGGCTAATAAAAATTCACACACAAAATCACCATTGAACAAAGTTTGAAGGACGTGAACAAGACGAGTACAATCTATTTAGTTTTTAGTTTAAGCTTGTCTATAATCATTTCTCAGCTAATGAGAATCCGTAAACTGATGTCAGCTCAGTTGAACATTGCCAAAGCTGAAAAGAAATTTAGCGCACGTGTTTTTTATTCGAAACACTACGAAATTTACAAAACTTGCGGCTTTGATCTACTCTGAATCATACAAATACTGCTATACCACAACCCTTATCGAAATCAAGACTATTTGTTATTAGCTTCTAAAGTATTTTTGTATCACAGATCTCAGAACTTTTTTGCTAAGAAAGAGCATTTCCCCGCAATTTCTGTAACAATTCAAATCCAGCCAATGCAAACAAAGCAGCGGAAAGCTGGTTAAACAGAAAAAGAAACCCATTGACTAATACGATGTACACCCACTTCTGTTCAACATAAAACCCGAGCAACTCTATTGTAACAAACTGTGTTTTTCTTACGAGCGTAGTAACTCGACTGTAACATCGGTAACGAGCGAGCCTGGCATGCTACCGATCAAAAAAAAAAAAAAAAAAAAAAAAAAAAAAAATCCGATTCGCTGTTCAATGAACTTATCAGGATATGCATTTATCCATTACTTGTGCAACAAAATGAGGTTCCTTTTTCATGCTTTGGCCTTTTTTTTTTTTTCTCACAAAGCATTATTTTTACTTTCCCTGTATTTTTGGTTTTCTTTCTTTACATTCACCTCTGGTTTTTTTTTACTAGATTTTTTTTTTATCATGCTCTCGAAATCATCCGCGCAAAATGAAGGTCAAGAAATGACAGTTGCCAGCTGGCAAGAGATCGGTTCTATTCAATTATTGAATAAGCAAGTCCCTCTCTTGAAGCCTGGAGAAGTGCTTGTCAAAGTAGCGGCCTCTGGTATATGTGGTAAAGTGAATGAGAGTCACTAGAGTATCTGTAGAAAGGCGGGGGGAGGAGAAATAGGGGTTGGTGAGGGATTACTATCCTCCATCTCCTGTTTGAAAAAAAAAGAGGAACCCACTGACGTGTATGCATTTTTTATTGGGGAACTGCTAGGTACCGACCTGCACATATGTCATGGAGAAACACCTCATGCTACTCCAAAAGTCGTGATTGGCCACGAGTTCTCTGGCTATGTTCATTCTTTTCATCCTGAAACCAAAGCTTACAACCTTCAGGTAGGAGATTTGGTGGCTATTGATCCCAACATGCCGTGTAATCAATGTACTTTTTGTCGCAATCAAAAATACCATCTTTGCCCCCACTTATTTTGTATCGGCGTGACAGTGGATGGCGGTATGTCTCACTACGTGGCTGTGCCTGCGCGTGCGGCCATGCCCATTCCCAAAAAGACGAACGTCGATGGTTCGAGTGTGGCTGCCGTGACACCTGAAGTAGCTGCTTTAGCAGAGCCCTTGTCTTGTGTTGTGCATGCTATCGATCAAGGGCATATCAAAACAGGAGATCGCGTATTAGTGCTCGGTGCCGGCCCGATAGGATTGATGACGACTGCCCTGGCCTCTCTGAGTGGCGCTCACGTTACGGTGATCGAACCAAATGAAATGAGACGACAGACGGCAGTTCAATCTTTTGGTGCTGCTGAAGCAGTGGCTCCTGGCGTTTTGCCTGCTGTGAGAGGAGAACTGGGAGAAGGATACGATGTCGTGTTTGAATGTGTAGGTCGGCCCGCTACGTGTGCAGAGGCCGTCCGTTTTGCCAAGGCGGGTGGTATTGTGGTCTGGGTAGGCGTCACCAAGGTAGACGATCGTGTGCAAGTGGCTCCTTTTGAGATTTATCGTAAAGAATTAACGATTACATCGACCTATACCAACCCTTATGGAATCGAGAGAGCAGTCAACATCTTGGCACAAGGAAAAGTGGACTGGCAAGCATTGATTTCTCATCAATTCAAATTGTCTGAATTCAGTGATGCATGGGAAGTGTTTAAGGCTGGTACTGGATTGAAGGTCATCATTGCCCCTTAAATGTATTTCACGTTTTACTCTTTTAATGTTTCCGCAATCACTTTTAAGAGCATGTTCCACATGTTTGTCTTTTTTTTTTTTTTTTCTTTATTTTAGAGAAAAGCAAAAAAGAAAGGAACTGTATCCTTATTTATCCATAGCCTATAGTCAACATATTCAACAGTATGTGTATGTGTTTTACCTTAGTTTGTTAAAGGGGTTGTTCTACACGTGGAACGTGGAGACATGGAGCGACGACGTGGGTAAGGGTGATAATGAGAATGACGAGATGGTTTGTGTGTCAACGTGGGCTGTTGAAATGAAGGGGGACGAGTAGGACGGTGGCAGAAGCCAAGATTTGCCGTTTTTCTTGCCGCATCAGTAATATTATCTCGTGGTATTGTTACGGCTGCTGTTGTACCATGATAGGTTCGAGCATGAGCTGCATGGCTAGGATGAATAGGCGAAGGTATTTTTGTTGGCGATGGGATGGATGCATTTGCGGTTGTTGAGGAATCCAAGGCGGTTTTTGAAGCCTCACCAGTCAACACAGGCGTCATGGATTTGCCCATCTCTGTTCCTGAACGACCAGCAGCAGTATCATTGATTTTCTGAGCCGTCTTATCTTTATTCGGCCTCAAGATTTGTTTCTGCTGGTTATTTATTGCTGATGAGTAGGGTGATTGAAAACGGAAACGACGACTATCGTGGGATAGGAACGGTGTAGAAGTTGCAGCATGGCTTGCACGAATGGTTGTCACACCATTTTGACCTTGTTGTTGTATCGTCGACATAGCAGTCATTTTACGCTTGAGCTTTTCATACATGGCCTGTAAAAAGAGTTGGAAGAGTGTTTAACGCAAATCCACTAGGTAGAACACGAGTTGCGGGCTATAACCCGCGACGTCACCTACGAGTAGCTTTTGAAACTGCCTGCTTTTCTCTTCTAGTTTAAAATGTACTTGCTTTAATTTTGCTTTTTCCGACTCAAAGTCTTTCATCAGTGCTGTTGTAGTGTATGAGTAAGCTTACTTTGTCTTGACAGTTTTGATAGTTCCCTTTTTTTTTTGTTTTTTTTTTTTGTTTTTTTACCTGTCTGTTTGTCCTTTTCAGCTTCAAAGTGAAGTTATTTAATCTAATCGTTACTGATCCCCATCATCCAACGCGTAAAGTTTTACCTTTTACTATTTGGTTCGAGTCCCTTGTGTGCATGTTGAACTTGTGCTTAAGCGCTATATACTTTTCCTGAATATTCTTTTGCAGCAGTGTTTGGTAAAGCACTTCTTGGGATTGCTGGTAATCAAAAAACGCTATAGCTCTAGAAGTGATATCTAGAATGACTTCTGGTTTTAACCCTGCTAGAACAGACTTGATGGGGGGGGGTTTGTATGATTTTGAGGTCAGTTAGAAAAGGGGATTTGAATTAGCCAGACATCTCCATATCAACGTACAGATTTGTATTCTTCTGTAGGATTCAAATCCGTCAGTATTATATCGTCGCTACACGAAAGCATACATGAAAGAAATGTGGGTCATATGACTCAAAAGTGAACAATGCCATGAAGAGAAGCTTTTGTCCTCACTTTACGTTCCACTTAAGCTCGTATGACAAGCAGGACACAATAAAGCCTTTGAAAATGCAGCGCTTGAACATTGTACGCAAAAGATGTCTAAACTACATGTAAATCAGTTGCTGTCAAGAAAATAGCAGTCAATCACCACGCTTAGAAATGAAACGATTACGAGAGCATGAAGTAACACAGGCCTTGGAAGGAAGCCATTAGTAAGTGGGGGAGTGGAGAAGGCACATTTGCTCCGTTTTGCGTTCTTACCTGTTTTTCCAAGGCCAATGATCTTCTACATTGAACGACGTTGCAGCATATATCCACTTCCATCGATAAAAAACTGTCGAGTTTGAAAAGAGAAAGAATAAAATAATAGAAAAAGTAGAGAGCAATAGAATCATCTGGGAATTGTTGTCAATGAAAAAAGTGTGAATGATAATAGCCTTGGGTGTATAACATCCTACATGTTGAGCCTCCATTTCTTTATTTTACTGCGTAGGATGCTCCTCCTTTTTCATTGGATAATATAATTGTTGTGAATCTTATCACGGGGTTTCAATCTGTCGTACAATTGGATTTTTTTGGTTAATGCGACATTTAGAAACGACTGTGCGCGATTATATTAAACAAACGAATATAGCAACTGTGCGTTTGCATTGGGGGGAAATACTGTAGTCAACATTCCGAACAAACAAGCAATAGGTCATGCTTTTCTTTTTTTGTGTGTGTGTGTGTGTGTGCCAAGTGATGCGATCAAAAGAGCCATTTTTCCAAGTATGACAATCCCCATTTAGATAGAAAAAAGGAAAAAAGGCTTACATAATTTGTCTTTTGATTGTACGCTACTAAACCCTTTTGTTCAAAAACTTAAAAAGTTATCTGCATCTATAATGGGAACGCATCCTCTTAAAGTTCACGCTACTTCTTCTTCTCCCTTTGTCACTCGTATTTTGATCAGAAAAAGGGTTACGAATGTTTGACTTGACAAGTCATTATAACATCACCTTTTCATAAACCAGCCCGCGTCATTTTCGTGTAATTTTTAGACTTGTCACATGATTAAAATCTCTTGTGCCTACAAGAAAAGAAGAAAATTACGTTGTTTAAGGTTTCTAATGGAGGGTTTTTTGCATGTACCCTAAAACTGTTGTATCGTGCATTAGAAAAAAAAAGTTGCTTTATTATAGAAAGCTTGCTGTGCTCTTTTTTATTAGTGCGAAAAAAAAGAGACCTTCTTAATTTCTGAAACCTAGCCAAAATGAAGGGAGTTACCCGACTCTTTCATTTTTTGAACTCTTTCCTTTTCGTGGTGCTTCAGTTTTTTCAGGCACAGTTTTCATGACGGAATTTGAAATAACTTTATTTCGATAACAGCAGCCCAAAGGAGAAGAAGCCGACAGAAATAAAAAAAAGCAGCATAAAATATGCCTTAATGCAAAGGCTTTCCCTCTACTAAAAAAAGAGGAGATTTTTTTTTTTTTTTCTTCTTTCTTTCCTCTTTCATCCCTTTTTTTTTGTTTTTTTTTTTTCTTCCGTAATCGAATCACTTACCTTTTTATATAACGCACGTTTATTCTGAATAATCACAAGAAATAGTACTTGACTGCTTATAACGAAAATAACTATTGGAAATCAATAACGTACACAGAGCCTAAAATTCAGCATATTTGTATATTACAATGGCAGTTTTCAGTCAAATTAAAAATTTCATCAAAAGTGGAAAGAGTTACACTTCTTCTAGTCACTCTTCTTCTTCCCAGCAACATAAATACGAAACAGCACAACGCTTAGTAGAAGAGGAAAAAAGAGCCAGATCTACGATGCCAGCGTACGAAGGACTGGAGAACTATCAACTAAAGAGGAAACTGGGAGAGTAAAGTCTATTCTACGCTCATAACGTCTCATCCTTTTTTACTTATTGCTTTCTTTCTTTCATTTCTAGTGGAGCCTTTTCAAAGGTCTATGAAGCTGTCGATTTGACTTCTAACGAAAAAGTAGCCATTAAAATAGTTCGTAAATTAGAACTTAATAATCAACAAGTAAGTGACACATGCCTTGTATAATTTAAAATTTTCATCATTTTTTTGTTTTATTTACATATTTGAAAAAATTGTAACAGAAAGCAAGTGTTTTGAAAGAAGTACAAATTATGAAAACGCTGAATCACCCTTCCATCATCAAATTATACGAGTTTATTGAAACAAATGAGGTAAGAAGCCCTTATCCAATTTTTCCCAAGTCATGAAGTAGATGGAACAAACTGAAAATAACCATGATACCCAGCATTATTGCTTAGTGTTGGAGCTATGCGAAGGTGGTGAAATATTTCATCAGATTGTGCGCTTGACTTATTTTAGTGAGGATCTTTCACGTCATTGCATACGGCAAGTAGCTGAGGGCATCAAATATTTACATGAAGAAAGGGGCGTAGTTCACAGGTAAAAAATTCATTGTTATGCATGGGATCATCAACAAGTAATCCACTCATAAACTTACATCTGTGTCGTATGATTTTTTACCCCGCGTCCATAGAGACATCAAGCCTGAAAATCTTTTGTTTGTGCCCATCGAGTTTATGGAAAGAGATACACCTTTACCTCCTATGAATGAATTTGATGAACCCAAAGAAGATGAAGGTAAATTTGTCCCTGGTATCGGCGGTGGAGGCATAGGAGCCGTAAAAATTGCAGATTTTGGTTTGTCCAAGGTGGTGTGGGATCAACAAACCATGACACCTTGTGGTACGGTGGGCTACACTGCACCTGAAATCGTGAAAGATCAACGCTATTCAAAGTCAGTCGATATGTGGGCGTTGGGCTGTGTCTTGTATACCTTATTATGTGGCTTCCCTCCCTTCTACGATGAGTCAATCAAGGTGTTGACTGAGAAAGTCGCCAAGGGACAATATACCTTTTTAAGCCCCTGGTGGGATAATATCTCGGACGAAGCCAAGGATTTGATAGAACATCTGTTGGATGTAGATGCAGATAAACGATATACTATTTTAGAATTCCTTGATCATCCATGGATGCAAAATAAGGTAATACCCTTCATCTGATTGGTTTAAAAATAACATAAGCGTCGATGACTGATAGAGAGAGAGGGGGGGATTCCCTTTTTGCCCTTTTTCTTTACCGTTTGGGCTGGCTTTTTTTTTTAGAAAATGGATCACATTGATAAAGAGGGCATCCGTTCAAAAACTTCCGCCGTAGTGGATTTGACAACCATTCCCATGTTTACTGCTCAAGAAGAAGAAGAACACAACGCAGCTGCCATAGTGGGGGACGGCGCCGAGAGTAAAAAACACAGGGAAGAGCAAGAAACAGAAGCAGAAGCTTACAAACGAATGATTCAAGAACGCATTCGAGATGAAGAGGAATTAGAGGCTGCTGTTCCGACAATGGTACCCACTGAACAAGGCGGTAGATCAGCCGCTTCTGTCATTAACTCTCGTGCTAATTCACGTGCCAATTCTCGTGCACCCTCCATTCATGCATCGACAACGACCACAACAGCAACTGCCACGGTCGCTTCAGGAACCACCACGCCGCGAAGAGACTTGTTTTCAGGTGTGACCTCCATGAAGGAAATGTTTGATATTTCTTATGCTGTGCATCGTGTCGCTGAAGAAAAGAAGAGAAGAAAGCAGTTACAACAACAGCAACAACAGCAGCAACAGGCTGGAAATAATGACACTAGAGAGAACCGTCGCTCCTTGTTCATGAGCGCCATTAACGGAGACTTGGATGAGGTCACAGATGATGAAGCGGATATGATCACCGATGAAACCACCTCCTCCTCGTCTTCTTCGTCTTCTTTGAATAAAGATGACATGGAAGCCCACACCAAAACAGACGTGGACGAGAAACTAGCCAATTCCGTCAACGAAAAGCTAAATATTGTCACTATCGAGCACAAAGCTCCCTCTATGAAGAAGCCTCTATCAGCAACAACACCAGCAGATACTTTGCCTTCAAAGCGTAAGCTACATGGACATCGATCCAATAAACACGGTGCTAAAGTATTCGAGTTGAACATGGATAATGCTACACTACTGGGCAGGCGAAAGATACCCAGTGCCACGCAACCCATCGATGAGCTCTAATGACTTTTTTTGTGTTTCTTGATGCCAATCCATGCAAGATGTCAAGTAAAAAGGGCTGGTTCCTTAGTGAAAAAAGAATAAAAGATAATCACAAAACCTTTCTCATACCACGCCAATCGCCAGCATATCCCTCAGTGTTTTTTTAGTCGACTCTTACTATTTTGTGTATATATACATATATAACAATTCTTTTTTTTTTTTTTTTTCTCTCTTAATACAACATTTTGTTGACTGTCTCATTAATCTACTTATTTATCAACATAATAAAGCACAGTAATGGCTTTGAGCTAGTTTGATTATTAGCCTTTTTATACTTGACTTTCATTGTGTTTTCAAAAGGGATGGAGACAGTTCTTTTTTTTTTCATTTCTTCCAAAAATATGAATAGGACGTTCTTTTCTTTCTAATAGTGTAAATCAAGGGCAGACCACGATAACCCCCTTTCGCTAAAAGATCAAGAGACGGCTTTTGATGATCTAGCTTGAATAGCACTTATAAAAGCAGCATGAGACCATGTCAAATCTCTTGCACCTCTCATATAGCCTGTGTATCTATCAAACTGTTCAGACATGGAACCATTTCTATGTTGATGAAATTGGATGGTTGCCAAGAATTTATCGGCCGCTTCCTTGGTCTTATCTATAATGTCTTGCAAAGGCTGGCTATCTGGGGCCAAGTAATAGTTATAACCGTCGTCCGACTGTTGACAAAGGACATCCCATTGACTACTACAGCTGCTGCTCATGATGCGATCAAAAAAAGGCTTATTCACCGCAGTGATAACCAATCCATGTCTTTTCCATTCTTTGATGGCTAAATAGTAGAGCTCAGTATAAGCCGCGGTGGCAAGGAACCATGGATTTCCTATGGAAGTACCATAGCCATCGTAGATATCTTCGGGATATCGACCAATGGACGTGCCTAGATGGGTATCCGCATTGTTCTGGTTGAGAGGATACAACGATTGAAAGGCATTTTCAAGAGCTACAGCCGTGGCTAATATTTTATCAGAGCCAGGTGTAAAGAAACCTGGTATGTACACAGAATAAACATATTGTTTAGCCTAGCGCTCCTCTCTATCGCCATTTCCCACTTGACCTAGTTGGATCTTCTTACCATCGTCACGATAAGCCAAATAATTGGCAGCTAATAATGTCGATACATCTAATCCAGATTGTTTTGTCACACCATTTCGCGCATGATGGGTTGCCTTGATATAATTTTCACTCGATGACCAAAATAACGTTTCCAATTGTGTTTCAATCGCCTCCACCACTTGCACTGTAGGTTGATCTGTTTTATTCAAAAATTCCATAGCGTCCAACAAGGCTCGACGGATGACCATCAATGTATAAAAATGAACGCCGTCGACTTCTTCCCACAAGTCAAAGCAAGGTGTTTGCCACTGCTGTCTCAAATAGTCCATATCCGTTTGAATGGCCGGTTGGAGGACAGTATCAATATAAGCTGTCTCATCCGAAAATCGACGAGCAATAGCAATGAAAGCAATGATCCTTTCTGCAGGGCCATCGTTCTGAGGTCTAGATGAATATCGATAAAAGTGAAAAAACACTCTTGACATCCATGGTAGGGTAGTTCTTTTCTCTTTCCCTCACCCTCGCCGGTCTTTTTTTTTTTGGATATGTTACCTTCCCCATGAACCCATGAAACCCGTTCCATCTGGATTAAACTTGGGCTCGCCTAAACATTGACACACTGTAGACAAAGTCTCTTTTTGAACATGGACTTGGAAATCAACGTAATCCTTCAATACATTTGTGTCTGTATCTGGCAAGACAGACGCTAATACACGAGCCACCAAAGCGGCATCCCTCGTCCATGTATAGTAATAATCCGGCCATGAAGTCGATAGAGAAGCAGCGTAGAACCCTCTTCTCGTTCCTGGTGGATTGATGTTTTTTAGCATCATTTCAAGACTGGTTTTCTCTTGCTGAGCAATCCATGCATCAAGAGGCGCCTGCACTATAAAGACAGCTGCTGCGTCGTGTAGTTGCTGAGCACGAGCGCATAGAATGAAAATGATAACAACGCAATATGTCAAGAAAGTAAAAAGCATATTGCCCTTTTTTCAGTTATCCTAACGAAATACAATCTTGTGAATAAGCTTTCTTTTTTCAACAAAAAAAAAGAAAAAGAAAAAAAGAGATAAAATAAATATCTTTAAATACATCCTCAAGCATCTCCACAAGATAGAAAAGCATGAAACGTACTGTCTTTTTCTCACTGATTGTATGCTGTTTGGCAGGTGATGTCAATTTTTTATCATCGGAAAGAGAAAAGGATCGTTTGGCGAATGATCTGTAACACTTGACCCCTTTTTTCAAATTTATTCTCCGCCAATGAGAAGCATTTTATTTACTTTTTTTTTTTTTTTGCTGGATCAGTTTCGGCAAACAGGAAGCTTTGTGCAAAGCAGCTCGATACACTCACACAGCGAATGATTGTAGAATTCTGTTCCCTAAAAGTAGGGTTTATGCCAGAGAGTTTTTGTTCATGCCGATGAACTTGAAACAGTGACATTCCTTATCAGATAGCACTTTCTATTTTATTATTACTTGAATTCGTTTATATTAGCTTTCAACTACTCTAACATAAAAAAGAAAATCGTACTTATTACCATCACCATCATCCACAGCATCATAAAATTCGAAATCGGGCATTCTTGGAGAGAATCCCCTTTCTCCCAGAAGCCTCGTCTTGGATTGGCTGAAAAGCGGAGAGATTTCCCGCAAGCCACTTCCTGACAATCAAATTTCCCATTTCCTTTTTAACCCTTTTTTTTCACAATTGTTTTTAACGTATTTACCCTCGAATCGATCTGTCTTGTATAATGTCAAAAGCCAAACCGCTGTCGAAAGCCAATATCTCTTCTAATTGGAAAAAGTTGCTACCTGTAATAATTATTTCAATGACAATGGTATCTTTCTAACGCTTTGTTAACCAATGTCGAATATAAATTTTTCTTTTCTTTAGCAAGTTGCGCCTAAATCCTCCAGTACAAAGAAAAGAAAGAATGAAGAATTCGAAATAAGTCCCAACTACAAATGCTTCAACAAGAAGCAGAAAATACAGTAAGTTTTTTGACAATAGTTTAATGCTGCCGATTGGAACTGTTTAATTAAAGGAGATCTGGCCTTGTAGGAAGCTGAAATCCAATTTTGAAGCAACCAAATCAAAAACGACAACGACTACCAGTACGTCTACAGTGACAACCACCACCACAGAACAAGTGATACCCAATAAGGACGAATTATGGTTTGCAGAGGATGTCGATGAAGAAACTCTCAAACAAGTGTATACACCCAAAGAAACCGCCAAAGAACGTCAACAACGCAAAAAACAAATCCTTCATACCATGAACACTGTCTCTGGAGAGGCAGCTAAATTGGGCAAATATGTCGCTATTGATTGTGAAATGGTGGGTGTTGGACCAGACGGCGTTGATTCAGCTTTAGCTCGTGTCTCTATTGTCAACTACAACGGTGCTGTCGTTCTCGATTGTTACGTTCAACCAGTAGAGCCTGTGACGGATTATCGTACAGCCGTCAGTGGGATCGAGCCTCATCATTTACTCGCTTCGAACGGTGCCCTCACATTCAAAGAAGTGCAATTTAAAGTAGAAGAGATCATCCGCAATCGTATTTTGGTGGGTCATGCAGTGTATAATGATTTACAAGTGCTTATGTTATCGCATCCTACCCTGCTCATTCGGGACACCTCTCGTTATAAACCTTTCAGGAAACTAGCGAAAGGGCGTACGCCTGGTTTGAAAATGCTGGTCAAAGAGTTACTGGGTCTTACTATCCAACAAGGAAGTCACTCATCGGTAGAAGATGCACGATTCACGATGCAATTGTATAAACATGTAAAGCCTGAGTGGGAAAAATCATTCGGTGCACGATCAGGCTTGATCATTAAGAAGTTCCTGGCTAAAGAAGAAAAGATTGCAGAAAAGAAAAAGTTGAAAGAAGAAGAGAAGGCAAGCAGGAAGAACAAGAAGAAATCTGTATCCTTCAATGATGAAGATGACAGTCATAGTGATAGTGATGTTAGTGAGGAGGAGGAAGAAGAGAGCGATGATAATTCTGATAGCAGTGATGAAGAATAAAACTGTTTGATTTCGAATGGCTGCATAAAAAAAAAAAAAAAAAAAAAGCCCACAACTTTAAATTGAATCTCAACTATAAATTTAAAGTTTTCTATTTTTTTTTCTATTTTTTTTGGTTACCCCTTTTTTTTAATTCATTTGTGATCGGTAGTCCTGAAAACCCTCATTTGATTACCTTATCGACAACGACATCTCATTTTGTTACTATTGAAGCATGAGTCTATCTTTGGCTGATTTTTATGACGAATATCTAGAAAGTAAAACCTTTACTCGAGACGTAATTATTCTTTTCGTCATGCGGTGCTCATTTCACAAATGCATAAATTTAGGTCTACAGAATCTACCCTCTGAGATAGATCAGGATATGCATGAGTTGCGATGTCTAGATGAAGAATTTCACCGTAATTAGTTTGATACACAGCTCTGTTTCCATTTTCTAAAGAGGATCAAAGGCTTCCAATGTATTTAACTTTCCCCCTTTTCATTTGTGACATGGCATCGTTGCAGAACTTAGAGAAGGGTATAAGGATAAACGAAGGACTTACATGAAGCAACTAAAAGCAGATGGGGATAAGGCGCATTACGATGCATCCAGTATCGACCCCAATACTGCCAAAAATGATCCATCGTCCTTGCCTTTGCCGACATCTTTTTGTTCCTCCTCCACAACACCTATGAGCTATATACCCTATTCCATGATCCAGAAAACTTATAACGAAGCCATTGAAAAACAAGATCAAAAGCTCGAACTTGCTATGCGAATGTATGATCTTGTCTCCAAGCACATTGAGAAATTAGACAACGAAGTGATGAAGAGTGATTCAAATTGGATTATTCCAAAGCTTAAACAGCAACAGAAAAGGGCAGCAGCCGATAGAAGCTCCGGTTCATGTAAGAAAGGATGGCGTGGAAAGCTTTGACATCTGGAGCCCTAGTCAAACCCTTTTTATTTTATTTTTTTTCATTTTTTTTTTTTTGATTAGTACGAAAACGAAAACTCAGTCCTGCCAACTTTAACAATGCAAGAAAGAAGCGGCCTCTCCTCTACAAACATATGGCTAGTATAGATGGGAGGCATGGTATGACGAGCAACTCCTCTTCCGCCATTCTTGAGGGTTACGACATGAACGAACCTCTTTACTGTTATTGTAAGCAAGTGTCATTCGGTGACATGATAGCATGTGATGGGCCTAATGTAAGTACCCTGAAACGTTGTGTTTGTATGCATATAGAATCATCTTCAAACCTACTGTATTCTGTCGGTATAGTGTGACAGAGAATGGTTTCATTACACTTGTGTCGGACTCGTCGAACCACCCGAAGGCAAATGGTTCTGTGATGTGTGCAGTATAGATGATCAGACACAAGAAAGTTACTCATACGCAGACGATGCTGAAGCATAGAGAAAGAGTTTACTCGCATCAGTGTTCCCTCAGCAGATAATGTGATAAATCTGTTTATTTGTTTGTCATAGGTAATAAACCGTTCGCAAACCAGTGTTCTGATGGAGGATGTTTACGTTCAACACCTGATATGCTAAGTTCACATGTCTTTGCTATTCTACATAATAACGCTTCGTCCCACCACTTTGCCATAAATTGCATGCCAATCGGCATTCCATTCTCAGGATGGAAACCGACGGGAACATTGACGGCTGGAATACCCGTCAAATTTGCCAGCATACAATAGACCATAGACCGAATGGTTAACTTGGCATTGGACATACCATGCGAATAGGCTTTTGCAGGTATCTCGGGTGCTACCAAAGCGGTAGTAGGTGAAAGAATCAAGTCAATCTGTTGGTCTTCAAAAAGATGACGAAGGTGATTCATCATACGCGTTCGAACTTGTTGGGCTCTCACGTAATCCCGGCCATCCAATACACTAGCTGTAGCAGCCATTAAGCGAGTATGAGGAAGGAATTTTGTATGGTTATCGCTGAAACGTGAAGCATAACTAAACATTTCGCTGCAGATGGTAACAGTATGAGCTTGTTTTGTTTTTTTAATAAAAAAAAAAAGATAAGAACTTACGTTAATGACTGGGATAGCTATAACGTTTAAAGCAAAAGTTCTGTACTCACCTGTTTCGACAAGGTCAATATCTGGTATTTCAATCTCGGTAATGCGAGCGCCCAGTGTTAGCAATTGCTCTTTCAAGAGTTCATATCTGTCATGAATGGCGGGTTCCAGCATCTGCTGACCCCAGCCAGGGAAAACGCCAATGGTGATATCAGACAAATCTCGGTATCTATCGTAGTTTTGCAAGGAAACGGGAGGCTGTAGCCATGTGTTGACATCATTCTTGTCAGGACCAGAGATGATGGTATAGGCCAATGTCATATCATCTGCTGTAGCAGCTAATGGCCCATAGGACCCTAAACTAGGATCGAGGGTGGCACCGCCATGAGCCGAAACACGGCTGTGTGTAGTCTTTAATCCGTACAGTCCACAGAAAGCAGAAGGGATACGAACAGACCCACCTCCATCAGCGCCGATACTGACAGGAAACAAACCACCTGCCACGCAACCGCCCGAACCACCACTGGACCCACCACAAGAATGTGTGGGTTTATAAGGGTTTTTAGGGATACCCGTATTCGGATTGACAGAGAAGGTATCCCAGCCCAACTCGTTCATGACAGCCGAACCAACAATAATCACGCCTGCGTTTCTTAATTTTCGTACAAGAGTGGCGTCTTTTTCAGCAGGCCGGCCATCATTAATAAAACAAGTACCCACTTTTGTTTCTAAGCCCTGAATATCCACTTCTTCTTTGACAGACATGAAACAGCCATCCATTTGACTCCTGAATGCGTTTTGCTTGTAACGTTCAGTAGATTGTTTTGCTTGCTCCAAAATATCATCAGCGACAAATCGTACCCAGCTCATACGTTGGCTTTTTTTTAATTGCTCTAGTAATTTTTCAGCTACCTCTGTTGGCGTGGTGGTAAAGTTACAGTAAGCTTCGTGATAGTCCCAGAAGGATAAAAATGGAGATTGGCTTTTGTGTTCTGGATTGAGTCTTGGAATTTCCTAAATCAAATAAAGTAAGTTTAACTCCCCGTGTGTGTAGAATCCAATAATACGTAAATTTACTTACTGGATCAAATAAAGCATTTTTTGGTTCGTGAAAGCAATCGGATGGGATGGGTAAAGTGGTCGGATGCTCTTCAATATCATTTCGTTCTCTCAGTTTCAATAATAAAGCGTCTGATGCTATCTTCTGTTTAAGCATGGGAACGTATTCTATTGCATTTGCTGCCATCAGTAAAGGTAATCCGTACATTTCAGGTGCATTGATTGATTTTCCTACTGCGGCTGCGACTGCAGACACCTGCTTTTGAAATCAGAAAGTTGAAGCATGTGAGAAATCAAATCAGACCTCCTCTACTTTATGATATAGCTTTTCATTGAGGCCATAACACATGCATAAGATTTTGTCTCAATCATAGCGTACTAACATCTTTGCTGTCTGCTGTGTGTGTCTTTTGGATGGTATACATATTGTTGCTCATAGGATCAAAACTGTGAGAAGAGACTAGAAGAAAAAACAAAAAATGAAAGACAGATGAAAAATGCTGATAAAGTTTATTTTTAATTCTTTGTGGCTAAATTGTTTCTCCTTCAGACATACACACTTCTAGAAGCAAACAAATTTTTCTAATCGCGCACAGATATCGTAACACAGCACTTTATTTTTATCAGATTGCATCAAAATAAATGATTCATCCGTGACCACAGGCATGTGTATGTTAATTGCAATACCCAAAATGTCTTATATGCCACAATTTCCAAAATGCAAACACAGATTAACGTGATATAAGCTCAACATGCATATTATTAATTCTCATCCTTACTGAGACCAACAGAAAGAATTCAAGCGGTATTTTTTTGTAGTAAATTAATATTGATTTATCCAAGATTATTGTTAGTCCATACGACGGTAGATAGTTGATTCAATCATAAAGTTAACTATCTGGATATCACTCTATGATGTAGATGAATATGCTAGTATGACTCTACTAGTAACCATTATTAGACACAATACTCGGTCATAAACTTCAATATGAATTTTAACACTCGAAAGCATTATATAAATGCCACCCTCATGTGATTGTGAGAAGCAGCTTTTCTTCATTCTTCTTTTGTTGCTGTTACTTGTGCGCCGTGATTGCACAATTTAGAATGTGTTGCCATCGCGAAAAGAGAAATGTCAATTATTAATTAAGGTTATGTACTAGCCAATATAGCAAGTTTTCACTAGATTTCAATGGAAGTACCGTCAACGTTTGTCATCATTGTCGTTTCGGCTTAAACCTACCCGCAAATCGGAAAGTCATCATGCTTCAAGATCTTCGCAATCTGAAAATTAAAAACACGGAAAAAGTATATTTACTGAATAAACAAGTTTAGTATTGTCGTAAACAACCATCCGAGCATGACTTGGGCCGAAAGAGTGTAATGTTGTGCTTATTTTTTGGTGTGAATGATGTAGAGGAATTTATATTCCTTGTTCTCAACTAAAAGATTGCATGTGCGCACCATTTATCCCTCAGTAACTTTTTTTTTTTTGGAAAGCAATTGCAGAAATAATCGTTACCTTCCTTACTCAGTTTTGCAAGTTGAGGCAGATCTGTTTTTGTTGCCATTGCCTAAGGGAAAGAAGACCATGAACTGGGCACATTCAATCTCAGTTCTGTATACTGCTCGGCTATAACGGAATTTGATGCCTTTTGACCCGTGGAAAAATGAACTAGTCAAAAATTGTCCAAGTTAACATGATCAAAGTTCTACGCTTTTATTCATACGCAACTTACTGCAAACGGCCCTACTGTGCAATGATTTAACGGAGAGCGTCTCTTTTTTATATTTTGATTCAAAATCAATATGAAGTATAATTCAAAGGCTATAATTTTTAGTATCTTTTGATAATCCTATCCCTTTTTTCTTGATTTAATATACAAATTTATGATGACTTCAAGAGTTTTAACGATTGGAGGTATTGATCTAAAAGGGTAACCTAGCATACTATCGTTGCGATAATGACTTTCTATTATATGTGTAAAAGAAACATATGTTATCTCCTTATCACTAATAACATTCTGTCTTTTTAGAAAGATTGGTATTCTGGCGGATATCAAAGTACTCTCTGCCTTCCAAGTAGAAGCCTCATCCATAATTACATCCTCTTGCTCTTACAAACTACCATCAAGCATTATTAGCAAACAACTAAACCAACTCCTTACGGAAGGAAGAAGCTTGAAGCCCACTGTTATCAGAATCGGTATAATTCCGACTTCAAGGGACTTTATAACAGAAATTGCTGCTGCACTAAGAAATGCTACCGAGTACAAGCTTGTAGTCGATACTGCTACCATTTCTTTACCAAAGGCTGACCAAAATACTATCAAAATTTTCAGAAATTACCTGTTACCTATGGCAACTATACATATATCTACTGTAGACGAAGCTCAAAAATTACTAGGCAAAGCGTCTGACTCTATTAGGACGCAGACCGAACTACATGAATTAGCTAAGGGTATAGCAGAATTCGGTGCTAGATATGTGTTGGTTAAAGGAACCAACATGAACCCTGCAGCAATAACAGACGCAAATGTCAATGGTGTCGCAGTGCTGTATGATTCGATATCAGGCGACTGTTATGAATTTACTCATCATTATGCTAACAAAGAAACTATTCCAATTTTGTATAATGCTCTCTCTGCTGCAATAGCTGCAGGACTTGTTAAGACGACTTCTGGTAAGTAAAGCTTAAACAAAGATATAGGAAATCAGTGAAATGTTAACCTTGTCATTTCCTTTTTATTTCAATTGTCAGTTTACGATGCTTGCGAGGATGCCATGTACTACATCAATAAAGCTGTAAGAAAAAACACAGATATTGTCAACCTTCTACATCCATTGAAGACTCCTTGGAAGTAAGCTAGCGGAATGCTCCGACTATTTCCTTTTACATGCATCTGGCGTCATATTTAAAAACTATCTTTTCTATTCAGTGGACCATTACTCAAGGCTGTTAAAGCTAATCTTCCCATCGGCCTGTGGGACAAGTATGTCAATCATCCATTCGTTCGCGGTATGGCTAAGGGTACATTGGAAAAAGAAGCCTTTATTTATTTTCTCAAACAGGATTTTCTTTATCTGCAAAATGCCGCTCGTGCAGCCGCCTTAGCGGTCAATAAGTGTAAGTTGTCTACTTATTTAAAGAAATATAATGATGTTAAATATTATAAATTCTTACTGTTTGGATGGATCGGTTATAATCAGATGACTCAATGGACTCTATTCAAAAAGCCGTTCGAGGAATTTATTCTCTTACTGATGAGGTCCAATATGTTCATTTGCAATATTGTGCCAAATGGGGTATTTCGAAGGAGGAAGTTTTGAGTACTCAAGAAAGTGTATATAATATCGCCTATACTCGCTTTTTAATGGATAAAGCTGCTTCAGGTGACTTGTTAGATGCAAAAATGGCTTTTGCTCCTTGTATGCTTGGATATCATGAAATCGCTCTCCAACTGCTTAACGATCCCGCTACAAAGAGAGGTGGATTATCCCTTACGCAATTTTTTGAAGGCAAAGTAAAGTCAGTACTAACATGAGTTGTTTTTGAAATAGATGGCAATCCTTATTGGGACTGGATCTCTCAATATGCCTCAGACCAAAGTAAAAAGAGCTATGCTCAAGGTGTTGGTAAGTATTTTACTTGACATTATAATAGTGAACAGTTGACCATAGGCGTATGTACATGTTCTTATGCTACTATCGTATATACATTAGCTGAGCTCGAGGAGTTAGCTGAAAAGTATATCGGCTCTATCGAACGCTTCAATGAAGTTTGTAAAATATTCGAGCAGGCTACTAAGTTAGAAATCATGTTCTGGGAACAATACAATCATCGTGCGGAAGACGAACTATAGCTCATATCATTTTGGAAAGCTGATTTTAAATAAATGTATCTCTTTCTAGTAACTTCCCAACTATAGTGTAGGATGCATTTGTAGTATTAATTGTTAATTCTATGAATCAATGCAAACTATCAAAGGTGAACGAATCCAGAATAAACAGCTGGATTATTCTACCAATGAAGAGGTACGTCTTTTCATTCGTAAATATTAAAGAAGGCCCTTTGTATATATGAGCTACTCGTTAAACACGACATGGGCCTTTTTCTAAAAAAAAAATAAAAATAAAATACAACCACTATTTTCGTCTTTTTCCTTTTTTTTATTCCCGTTTGTATCAGATAAAATGTTTAAACGTAAAAAGAAATAAATTTAGAAAAGGACAAAGAGGAAACGCAATGCCTTGTATTACCATAACACAAAAAGAGAGATATAAAACCTAGTTAAATTTCATCGCTATCTATAACGAAATCAATTTCGTTACCATTCTCGTTGCTGGCGTCGGCTTCAATAATCTTGGTTGTATGAGTAATTCACCACAATTCATCAAAGCTCTTGCTTCATCGAGAGTATAACGATGAAGGATATCGGCCTCGTTATCTTGAAATTCACGAAAGATAATAACACGAAATCACCTGGATTAACCAAGGTTCTATTACGTAATTGGCCAGGAATATGTGCCATACGTTCAACACCATCAGAACAATGTGCCTTATAACGGCCATTACTTAACAACCTTGTAAATTGAGCATATTCTTGCCCTTCGTATTTGTAAATAAGCTCAGGCTTATTTTTTACAATATTGTTCTTTGGTTTACCACCTTTTTCCTTATTCTTGATCATTTCAAGTATATGGCATTCGATAAAATAAAAGGTTAAAAAAAAAAAGACAGAATAATCATTCATGGTGTTATATCTTTAAACATCACCTAGGCCAAATATACGCCAATAGTTTTCGTAAGCTACACTATGTGTATTTTCCTATCATGCAATTTCTCTAAACAAATCATACATTTGTAAAACTTTGAATGCTTCTCACCGTTAGAAGCACTTGCGGGATATGAATTGGAATAGTGGGGTTGTCCAATCAAACCATGTATGAATGACAAAAGTGAAAGCTTACTAATGCGCACACATTAGATAAGAGCAGGGCCACGAGTAAATGAAGGTGTTATCCTGCTCTTTTTTCCTAGAACAGAGTAATATCGTAAAAATGAACCCTAGTCGTACAATCGCTAATAAAGCACTGCGTCCAAGTAAGTACTCAATGCGCAGATGTTATGCATGTCAATTCTAGCAGATCAATCTAATTATGTATTGAACAAATATAGTTGCTCGGTCTTTCCACACTACTCATACTCGCTTGACAGGAAAGACAGTTGAGGCTACTACCTCAACTTTCGATTCACTCGTAACAAAAGCTGACCATCCAGTCATTGTAGACTTTTATGCAGAGTAAGAGAGCATACACTTGAGCCCTCAGTCCATCTTCTATAATACTTACAATTCTTATTTCGTCAAATTTTAGCTGGTGTGGTCCATGCAAAATGTTGGGGCCCCTCCTTACAAAAACAGTTGCTGCCAATCCCAAGGTGACACTTGTTAAAATCAATGTGGATGATCATCAGGAAGTTGCTGCTAAATATAAGATAGCAGCTTTACCTACTGTTTCGGCCTTTTATAATGGCAAAGTTGTTGACTCTTTTGTGGGCATGCGTAATGGACCAACAGTAGAGGAGTTCGTAAAAAAGCATGCTGAACTTGCTTAGTCCGTATCTTTGTATTTATATATCATCTATGCTTTGAATGTACAAATACCTGGATCTCTACTGTAATTTATGTTCTTTCCTAGTTTCTTATGTGTCTTTTTTACTTTAGTTTACTCAGTTTTGTAGACATACCTGAACAACGTTATTGTTTTTTACATCTTCTTTTCCATTCTCATCTCTATTTGCTTCTTTTCTGAAAGTTCGCGTTTCGCGATTCGTCCCTCGGCTGCAGGTGCATGATATTACTACTGGCAATGTATAATTAACATTGGTAAATATTAGTGATACTAAAGCATGGAATGAAGTAGTCTAGCACATACTCCTAAGTCTCGCATTCATTTTTACAGCAAGACGGCTGAATCATTCTGGCATGTTACAAAGGATATGTCAGAATTTCACGGCGTAATGAAAGGCTCAAAAAGGAAAGAGGGAAGGGAAGTGAATCTTGAACGCTACAGAAAGATTTAGTACTTCCTGTGCACAGGAACCAACAGTTCCAGTAATAATAAGAACCTTAATTTGATTTTCCATTAGTTACCTCTACTTATTCTGAACGGTTATAAATTAAACCATTTCTGTCTATTCAAAGCAAATGTATAATCAATGGCTTTCCCCTTAACCTACGGTTTTACTTGATTTTACCAATATATAAAATACAGTGAAAAACATATTTTGCTATGGAGGGCGAAGTAAGTGACTTGGTCGTAAATTTTCAGCGACATTTTAAATTCAAAAAAACTTCCATTCTCCATCTTTCTTACTGTCTTGAGCCTCTCCTGACCTTTTTAAAGCATTTTACAAGGTTAACCTTTGGAACGCTTTTCTTCAGCCTTTCTTTATCTTCTCATGTTTCAGTGATGTTGTTTTTCGTTGATGACAGCAATCACCCAGGGGAATTGATGACTGATAACTTTTTGAAAGCATGAAGTCAATGGCAGTTAGAACAGAAATCAGAGAAAACTTCATCACACAGTGAATCATGAAAGTTTGGAGATGAAGGAAGGTCGTATTTTGCTTAACCCTCTGCGTTTCCTTAATTAATTGCTTATATTAAGGAAAAGGGAGGCTTAAGATTCTTCGGGAATAATCGATGATTGTAAGGAAAGAGCTTTAGAGCTTTATCCATATCCTTTGTTTACTGTTGAAGATAAATTCGCACCCGGCTTGAAGTGATTCTATGTAAGCCAAAAATGTAGTTTTCAATCTGAAGTAAGTTTCTTCTCTCAAAAAATGGGAGAAGCAAAGGAGCTATGGATGAAGCATAAAGTTTGTTCACTTCCAAGTTCATCAGCGTTGTTTCCGAAATAAGCATATCTATATAGCAGATGATGAGTATCTAAAGGCGAATATGATTAGGCTATTGCACTATGATCTATTACTAAATGATATATCTGATGTTATATACATGGGTATGTTTAATTATTCGTCGTGGTAAAGATGTCTATTTACAAGAAGGATATGTACATGAAAGGTAAAAACAATAAAATTATATAGAAATTGAATCAAGTGCTAGGCGATTGATAATAAACTCCAAAGACCTTAGCGCGATCTTCACGCTTTACAATTGCTTTCTTCAACTGCAACAAAAAGTCTCTGCAGCTCTTACGCTTCGTGCATTTACTATCGTCTTCATCATCAGAACTCAGTATGATGACTGAGTTCTCATCAGATATGGTGGAGGACTGTGTAATGGTATATTGGCTAGTAAGTGTGAATTCTACCGACACTGGTTCCAATGCTTGCACTTCAGGCTGCTGTTCCTGCTGCTCATATTCTATAGTGGAAGCTTCATTATCGGCTTCTGATTGTTGCTGTTGCTGTTCCTGCTGTTGCTGCTGTTCGGTGGGGGACCCTGACAACGGAGGATGTGAGACGCTTTTTCTCAGCTTTCGTGTGTGTTTCTTTGCAACTTGTTTCGTCAATGCCGATGCTTCACCATTCGTGGAATCACTGAGAATTTCCGAAGAAGACGAAGACGTTGTTATGATTGCTCTTTGTTTTGATGGTAAAGTGAATTGGTTCTCTTCTTTATCTTCTCGATTTTGTTTCCTTTTCTTATTTGTAGATGAGACTGAGGAAGGTGGAGTTGTGGAATGAGTGGTTGTTTTTGCCAAGCTTTCATCTGGGCTCCATGTCTCAGGATCGCTTACTGTTCGTGATATTTGTTCATTAGACGTTGAAGTTACAGTCGTGGTTATTTCGGATGAATGTGTAACACTGTTGATTCGGCAGCCATACTTGTTCATTGTTAATCGAACTCTTTCAAATGCTTCATAGCCACCATGTGCTACACAGGGTGTGAACATGATGGGTTTCAGAAAACTCCAAAATGTAACAATCTCTGACAATGACGAATGAAAAGAAAACGGCAACAGCTGTTAAAATATCAAAAAAAAAAGGCATGCGTGAATCAATTTGGCATTTGGAAACATAGACTGAACAAAGAGGATGCTTACCACATGCTTTTGAAACTGAGAGGTGTACGGCAATGTTGATCTAAACAGCTCTTTACTTGACAATCCATCTGGAAGCTCCCTCATCTTTGTATCTCTTTTCTGAGAAGGATGGATGGCAATTGTACACTCTTCAATATCTTTACAACATTCGCTCCAAACGCACGAGTGAAAACGAGTATTCCTACTGTCCGTTGTTAAACACTCCTTATACCTCGGATTTGCAGTACAATACTGGTTGTATCTTCGCTGTGACACATGCACCTTTTCGTTAAAAGAATCCGCTATGTCGGCCCAAAGCTCTTCGTACCCAAATGTCCAACAGTCAATGTAGAATTTCTGTGCAGGGTGATGTGCTTTGATAAATTCTCTGAGTAGTCTAGCCGACTTTTTCTGAGAAAAAAAAAAAAAAAAGAAAGAAATATAGACATGAAAAACTTGATCTCGACAGGAGGAGTTAACCTTCCAAACAGGTTTTACCTTGGTGATAAATGTATCTCTGTCCTCATCACAGCAGGTTGTATCCATATATAAATTTTTTATTCGTACTCTTTTCAAAATGTCCAAATCGCATGTATAGAGATCAGAGTCAGCTCGAACATCACCTGTATAAAGAACAGCATTATTGCCGTTTGAACCCCGGATGAAGATCCTAATAGTAAGGTCAATAGGCATCAGACAAATGGGATGACATACAGAATGAACAGAGGACCTGCAGTTAATGAAGAATACCTACATTGATGATCCAATACAATGGTTGGCGGATAAGAGAACAACTTCTACTTCTCTATCCATGCTTTTCTCATCTTTATAGGGTAACTTAAAGGCCTCATTGTAGGGTACAGGAATAAGCTTATCCTTTAAATACTCGTATAGAGGCCGACCATGCCTGTTCACTATCAATGGTAATAGTCGAGCCGTTTCTTCTGAGCAGTAAATATTCTTGTTGAAAGATCCGTCATCAAGTCCTTTGAGATGATCTAACAAAATGGGGTATGATCGATCCACTTGATCAATTTTGGTACGAACTGCGAAATAAACTGTGCCCATTTACCTGAGTGTACATGGCTTAAAAAATAATACTTTGCTGTATCATTCTCCTTGAAATTGTCTATCCAAATGAAAGGATATTCCTTTATGCGACCCTCGAATGTACTCATGGGGGGGAGGGCTGCCGAAGGAATTTAGAATCAAGAAAGAAGGAAAAAGGCAGAACAGCGACATATGCGGTTTGTGAAACCTTCTTTAGCATTTTTGTGTAATTCCTGGGTTTTTTCTTCATTCTTTTCTTTATTTGGGTAGGTCAATTTAAAGGAACGCCGATAACAGACGAACTATGATTTTAGATGACTAACATTTTTATTCTAGACAAGTTTTCATTCCATTTTTAGATGAAATTCATTGTCATTTGATTACTGTTTGATCTTTTCACTCTTTTCTTTCCATCGTTCAGAAATGCCCCTCATGGCCCATTCCATGACGCCTTCCTTCCACACCAGATCATGAGCTTCCCCTTCGAGTATTTTGAGTCTTAGATCTGGTAGGCTATTGGCCAAACTATTGATGGCTCGTTGAGGTATTAAGGTATCCATGTCACCCCACACTGCGGATACGGGCACTTTGACGTCGGAATAACTAAAGCCGAACGAGTGGTATTTTTCCAGGGCGATCATAGCATCACAGAGCTGGCCCGCATTGTAATTCTCTGATGTACGCTGCTTATTCATCGCTAAATACAGGGACATATTCTTTGGTCGAACGAAATGACGAAGAGGCCGGTTGGTAGGAAAGTCGGTCGGTAAGTCCAATACTTCTTCGTCAAAGGAAGCCAATAACTCATCCTCTTCTAGAGCAACGACAGTAGTACGTCGTTGACGTTTTGGTTGTTCGAAACGAAGCCTCCTATTCGTATGTGGAGGCAGAGGATGGGATGAATAGCTGCTGTCATCATGGCTGCTGTGAGGGGGGATGTAGGCAAAGGAGCTATTGTATGTTGATGCCGAAGCATGACGAGGCCCGTCTTCACTGTGATGACTCCCATTCCTGTTCCATATCCCCATCACATCCAGCGCTAGAGAGATCAATTTATGAACAATGGGTGATGGTAATCGACGCGTCCATTTGAATGTATTGGCTGCTTGTGTTGAAACCCATGGGGAAATGAGATATACGGGGCCTAACACGCGCTCAGGATACTTGTAAGCTATAGCTAAGGCAAACACGGAGCCTACAGACTGTGCAAGAATGCAAAATTGCTTGATTTCCATTTCATTGGCTAGTTGTATGACTGTATCTGCCCAATCGAGCGCTTTGAAGCGTTGTGAGCTGTATTCATCACTGAGGCCATATCTACATCAAAGAATGGAAAGTGAAGGATGAGCTTTTCAGTAAAGTGGTTTGTTGAGTTTTTATTTTTTTTTTATTTCTCGCTTATTGCCCTATGTGTCAGCCATATCCATTACTTTTTGATTGTACTTTCATATTTTACCCTGGACGCTCAGGCCAAATCAGTTTCAACCCATAGCGTAACGCCAGTTCTTCAAACATGATGCCTACTAAACGTGTACATCCATAACCGCCAATGACGAAAACGGGTATTCCATCGTGGGATCCGTACACTGCATATCCCACTTTACAACTCTTGTTCCTGATGACGCTGTTGTTCAAATGAGTCGTTGTTCTGATGTGGAGCGTCTGATGTAATCGAGATTCACGTAAAACGTTCAATGGTTTGACTCCATTCAATTTTCTGTTGGGGGGTGCACCATGAACCGTTGGAGGAGATGTGGAAGCTGTTGTTGTTTCTGACGAGTAATATTGACTCCGTGCCATTTTATTGTCTGTGTCAAAGGGAGTGGGAAAATTTGGCGGTGTCGGAATCAGCGCTGGACGGGTAGTGAGTCCAGCAGGCGGCGAGATATTATTACATTGGCTTCTTGTCGATGTACAGGTATATGGAGTTGATTTTGATAACTGAGGCTGAATGATTTTATTCATATGCTTGAGATGAGGATGTTGTGGAACTGTTGTAAAGGTATTTTAAAGTAAGAAACGTTTGTGATTAAAAAACAAATAGGAAGAAAGAGGATCACAATGGGTTTCTTTGGTTACTTTTTTTTTTTTTTTTTTTTTGGTTTTTTTTGGTGTGTTGTTGAGGCTGAGCAACTTTACATGTATACAATCTTTCTTGACAAAAATAAACACACTTTATGATTTTTTTTTTTTGTGTCTTTTGGGAAGTGTACAGAAATTGCATATTACTCCCGTAAAAAAGGAAAAAATGGTTTTCTTTATTCAAGCATCAAATTAGTTTGTGCTGAACCCAATGCACTACCTTTTTCAGATGCTCATTAAGTCGCATGTTATCTTGTCCTTCTTTTTCTCGCTCTCCTTCTAGACACATCAAGTATTCTACATCGATGCTGAGGCTGGATAGCTTTACGTAATATTGTACAGGTTTCAGTATATCTGTGATTTGGTAAGCTAATGTCCAGGAAGATGGGTATTTCTGCTGCTGGTATCTTGTCAGGGCATTGCAGTTTTGTGCAACCTGCAACGTGTAACATCCTTTCTTTAGTGCTGTTTTCAATGGATAGCTTCCATAAAGTTTCGTAGGACAAGAGCAACGGTTGTCGGCACAAAGAGATACGTTGGTCTTTTTCTGATTCCGTGGTGGAGATGGGCGGATCGAATTTTTTGGTTGCCTAGCAACGAGTGAATGGATATTATTTTTCATCGGATGTGTTGGATCATCACAGAAAGAGAGAGTGGTATCAGCCGTGTTCTTCTTTGTCATGGCGTTGCGATCACTTTCTTTTTTGTCTTTAGTTGCTAAACGACGGACAGAGTGTTGGTGTCGATAGTTGTTGTGGATTGTGAGTGATCTAACGACGGGATTTGCTCTGTCAGCATAATATCTGCGCGGTAAAGTTTGGCATGACATGAAGAGGGCATGACCTGTCACTTGGCAGAACTGCATAAAGTTGAACAGCGGTGAAATGCGGCTTTTTCCTTCTTGCTCAATGGTGACGGAGAGAACGGTGGAGGGTAGTAATGCATGCTGGAGAGCATGATCGCACAAGCGGTACATTCTTTCTGATAGGCATCTCATACGCCTTAAGGTTGGAAAATCAATCACTGGTTGACAGAGGATTTGGATGATCAGTTCGTCGGGAAGTCGATCAAAAAGAAAAGAGGAGGATGAAGTAAGCTTAGGGTAGGCAGTCGCTTTCATCCTATCAAATTCACTGAGAAAGAAAGGAGCAACGGGGGAGAGATAGGAAGGGAGTGTATCGATGTATACGGGAAAGAGGGAAAAGAGTGTTATGTACAATGAAAGCTCGCCTTAAATAGACATCGAAATCTATTTGAATACCTGGAGGTATCCTGCTGTGTTCAGCACGAAAAAGCCCGAGCGTGTGCATTTCAGACTTTATAAAAAAAAACGTGAAAAGAACACTCTGTTTAAAAGTCCCCTTCTTAGAAAACGAATTTTGAAACGAATTCACTTTTCGTGTACGTAGCGGTCCTGTTTTATTTTGTAGTGGTAACTCATCTGGAAAAAAAAAAGCGGCAAAAAGAGCTTACAAGCGACACCCTTCTTTGTGGATCGGTGAAAACTGGATTTCCCCGAGAAAAAGAAGAAAAGAGTCGTAACCAACAAAGACATCAAGAGAGAGAGCATCATAGCGTGGGCCGCTATTTTATGGTTTTTTTGCTAAACTGTGTGGACAGTCATAATACTTGATTGTTGAAATACCTCTCTATCAAGGAAAAAGAGAAAAAATTCAGAATGACAGGAGTCTGAGCATAAAAAGTGCGTGCACTGCCCACATGCAGTTAAACTGCATTTGGAACTCAATAAATTAACACCATCAGAGGGGACACTCTAGAGTGAGGGAAAAGCAATAGTATAGGAATCGCAAAAATCGCTATCAGATCCGACTATCCGCTTTTCAGAAGAGAATGGCGTCTTCCTACAGTCTCATTTTCTATCCGAATAAATAGTTGTGATAAAAGTTTCATTGAAGCAAATGATGAAATAGGGGGATACATGAAAATGATGTGAATAAATAGGTTAAAAAGTAGATGGGAAAGATAGTGTCAGGACGATGAGGATGACCTTGGCTTGAAAAATAAAGCTCTTTTCTTTTTCTTTTGCTCTGTATCCTCTTCTCGATGATGACTATTGGAACGCTTTTGACTATGGCTGTGATTCGCAGTGGACGATACGAGCGATGAGTTTTGCCTTTCCTGTTCCATTATTTCTAGTGCAAAATGATAATCTGAGTGTTCCTGCACAGAATCGATAGATATCCGTTTCTGACATTTGTCACACATGAAGGTTGTCTCGTCTTCCTCTTCCTTCTCGACTTGTTTTTGATTGGACTGTACTTGACGGTGGTGGTGGTGGTGGTCGTCGTCGTCGTCAGAGGCAGATGGTTCTTTCTTTGCGAAAAACAGATCAAGGCCCTTTCTTTCCGGTGATATCGATTTTTTCAATGGGTTGTTGTTGTTGTTGTTGTTCGGCTCTCGTGGTGCAGAAGGCTTTGGCTTGCTGTCAGCGAGAAGATCAGTTGATTTCGTAAAGAATCGGTTGATCGTGTAGGATGTTGCTGATTCATCCGGAACAAGGCCGGTAGCACATAGATCAAGTCCAACGCATGGATAGGCATCTTCCAGCGAATGGAACGTGTTGGCAAATCTCTTAGCGAGGCTATCGGGTGTCTTCAATTCATTTCGGTGCAGTGAGCCCAAGCTTTTCGATCGGTAGGTCCGATTATTGACGGTGGCGTATTTTATCTAGCGAGAAAAGAGAGAACGCTTCAACATCCAGCCCGTGAAATGAAACAAAGCCCCATCATAAAAATCTGGGTGTATCTTACAGTGATATTACGAGGCCAAATCGCAAACTCTTCGAAATGATCCATAATTCTACGGTGTAATTCTGCAGCGAGGATGGAGAACCATTTTTGCATCTCTTCTCGACGCGTGATGGGCGTCGTGAAGGACTTTGCTGCCATCAGTGATTGTGGAGGTTTACTGGCAGTGACTGGGGGGGGGGAAAAGCAAGGCGCTTATGTGAGATCTCGATTCTCTGGAAAAAAATGATGGAGCTAGGTAATTACCTTCTTCATGATCTATTCCTCGACATATATTGTACAGGTAAACCCCTGTGGACTCTCCAAAACGTCGCTGAAGCTCTTCTAAGCTGTAACTCCTGATGCAACGAATGCATGCCATCAGTAATGAAAGCAAGGGGAAAAGCCGTTTGTTAGAGAAAGAAATGAGATTTCCATGCTAGCGTTTTGTAAAATATATACCATAATTCACTTGCATTATCAATATCCAGGTCGGAGCCTACTTCATTGCCCAACTTTCCTCCTAAATTTCTAATTTTGTTGAATGGGATCTCACGCATAAAGTCGAGTCTAGCCGTTTCTCTCAAAATGGTCTTTGAATGCAAGGGTAAGTTTGTTCTGCACACACATTGAGAGTAGAGGAAAAAAGGGTGTAAGGGCCATTTTTACCTGTTTATTTGGTTTGTTCCGACTAGAACACAGCTTTGCGACTACTTTATAATGTGCAATTCCTTTTTTTGAAAATAGAGAGAATACATGGCGTCTCTTTTCTGTTGGTTTTTTTTTTTTTTTTTTTTTTTTTTTTTTCTTCTACTCTTTTAAATGAATGGATCTTTACCTGCTGAGCAAAAGTAATGTAAAGTATCATACACTTCTTTTCTGATCTCTGCTGCTAATTCGGCACCTAAAGCAAGCTGCAGGTCCTTCCATGTGGTAGGAGACCAATAAGACTGTGACGAAGCGTCATCCGTCATGGCAGCAGCAGCCCGCCTAGCCTGTTCCTCCAAAGAGGTGACTGTATAACCCAAGTTATCCCAGTCAAGAGAGACACCACATTCTTCTTGATCGATGTTGTCCAGCAATTCGGGCATACGATCGATATACCGTTCGATTAACCGTTGATTCACGATTTTTGTGACGTCCATAAAACCTTCATCTGTTCCGATCTTTTGTATTTTATCACAGTATTTATTGAAAATTTTGAATATCTGTCGAGAGGCATTGCGGTAGGCATCGAGAGATACTTTATGCGTATTGCGGTCTGGATGGTCGTAATAGCGAGGTTCCGTGTCATTTTCAGCATACGTAGCCACATGGAGTAGTTGAATATCGGGACACAGTCGTTTGGCTTCTGTCACATTCGTCATTTTTTTGATGCCTGCTTTCCTAGCCGCGTAATTTACTTTTGAAAGGGGGTTGTTAGCCTTGTCCTTCTTTTTTCTCGCCTTCTGGACGTGCCCTCCCCACTGTGACATTGCATTGTTGTTGCCTATGTTTGTTTTTTACCTGCTATTAGACCATGCCACTGTTGTACAGCAGCTGGCACATCAAACGGAATACCTCGTTTGACTTGCTCTAAAAGCCAAGAAAGGGGACCCTCTTTCCCAGTCAGTCCATGTGCACTCAATACGGGAATAAGAAAAAAAGTGGAGCGATCCATCGATTCATTTACCCACTTGACAGTAAAAACAATCTGTCATGAAGAAAAGAAAACATTGAGTTCAAGGCTGATCTGATCTACTGATCCGATGAAAAGATGGTACCCAAATCGATATGTAAAATACACCGAGAATTCTTTAAAGAAGGCGGTAAGGTATTCATTCATACAAGTTCTGTGCAGCACGAAAAGAAGGGGGAGGGAAAAGATGTTTTCTGTGTGTGGAGCTCTATTTCGTGACGGTGAAGGAGAAGAAAAAGAGGTTGTTGATCTGAAACATGGCGTAACAATAAAAGTTCAAGTTCTTTTTCATCACCATCATGGTGGCTCATGAAGAATACAAAAAGCTCGCTACGCAATGGGTAGATGGTCATTGTGGGCTTTTTTTTTTTTTTTTTTTTTTTTTTTTTTCTCGGATGGCTCAAGTGATGTATTCTTGCAGATAAACCACATGCACTTGTAAGCCATTGTTCCGTCTTTTTTCGTAAACGGACTGTTATCAGGTCAAAATGGGGACAAATGACCCATTGAAGAATGAATAGAGTAAGAGAAGGCTTGGAGGGAGAGAGAAACACGCGCGCTATGCCACTGAATACAACACCGTCGATTTATGCAAAAATGAGACAATATTAGGATTTTATTTGTTTAAAATAGAAAAACCGCGTTTAAAGTAAATTTGAGTAGCAAAAAGAAAAAATAAAGGTAAATAATGGAATTGTTTGTTTGTGAGAATTCTTTCAATCGTTCATAGATTGGAATAGGTGGGATTTTTTAACAGGTGCAGGAAGAGCCGCATTGACAACCTATAGTTTTTTTTTTTTTCAGAAGCGTGAGTTTTTTTCCTATGAAGCCACTACTTGTGATAGAATTAAATGCGAGCGCTACCTTGGCCGGTTCCTTTGGGTCAGATAAAATAAAAATAAGGTTAATTTCCCATGGGTCAACGTGTACGATGATAATTTTCTGTTTTACCTTTGCAGGAGCATGTATCCTTATGCTTGGGTTGCTTGCAAGCGGGGCAAGTACAGTCGTTACCACATTTGCATTCACCAGAGCAGCTACCATCATTGAATGTCAGCTTTCAAAAAGTGGAAACACATGTGATAGAAAAGCACTACTTACGAGCACTTATCGTCTTTAACACAGGGGCAAGCCATTTTGAATAATAGAATAGTTTATAAAAGAGAAAACAAAAAAGTGCATTTTCCACGGGAGTTTTCCTCCTATTTATATAAAAATGATACAGCTGCTTGAAAAAGCCTGAGCGAAAAAAAAATAAATGAAACAAATGCGCTCATTTGCATGAATTTTTTCCTTTGCGTTGATAGAAAGCTTTTTTTAACCCAAGAGGGCATTATTTTTGATCAAGAAAAAAAGCGGGCACCCAACTTTTACTCTCCCACTGGAGAAAAAAATCAAAAAAAGCGTCTCCCCATCATGATGACATAAAATTTTCATAGCCCCCATTTTTTGTTTATTTCATTTCTGCGCAATTTGTGCCTACTCTTTTTTTTTTTTTTTTTTTTTTTTTTTCCCAAGCCCAATGGACGCGAGGGGGGGAGGGGGGTGTGTATCTATGTTTAGGAGGGTGGAGGATACATCATGGAACTGATTCTTTTGGATCGAGGAGGAGCTATCGAATCAGGGTGGGGGTGATAGGACGCCGTGCCATAGAAGGAGTGGGTTGGATCCAATGGCAGGTGGTTTTCGATACAATGTCGAGGAAAGACGCCCTTTTTACGATTGTCCTTTGTTACATTGATGCCCTGACACCAGCCATCATCGTATTCCAACAGTAATTCTACCTGGTCACCCAAATCCAACTGTAATTCGTCACTGAGCGTCGGTGTGTAAGTAGCAATGACGGTAAATAACCGTGGGTCTAAGGAGGCTGTGGTCACCGCATTCTGTTGTTGTTGCTGTTGCTGTTGCTGTTGCTGTTGTTGTTGTTGCTGTTGTTGTTGTTGTTGTTGTTGTTGTTGTTGTTGATATAAATAGATAGCTTCTTGATTAGCAGGTGAAATAGGCGTGACATTGTAATGATCAAACGTCGCTCTTGGTTGTGACAGCAATTCCTGTTGCTGTTGGTAAGCAGACATTGTACCCTTGTCGTTTCCTTTGGATCCTGTACCTGTACCTGTACCTGTGCCTCCTGAGAAGCCCATACCAAACGGATCAGGTTGGAAACTTTGGTGCAGCGAGAGCTGTTGCCGGTCCTTATTCTTTTTCTTTCTCTTTATCATGATGAAGGCTGTGATACCCACAATCACGACGATGACAGCCCCAATGACACTCCCCATCAAGGCAGCGGAGGAGGAGACAGCACGCGGTGCTGCTGCTGAAGGAGGAGGAGAAGAAGAGGCTGCAGGTAAAAGGGTGGGGTTGGCGGGGACGGCTGTGGCAGGAGGAGGGAGGGTGTTGGTGTTGTTGTTGTTGTTGGGAAGGGTGGGTAGCAGACGATGCACCGTCGTGCCTGGAGTGGCCGTCAAAGAAGGAGGCCCGCCCCTTGTTTGTGTACCATTCGTCGATAAGGCTGTGGAAGGATGAATCTGTCTGCCAAAGGGATGCAATGGCCATCGTACGGCGGCGGTGGTGGTGGTGGTGGTGGTGGTGGTGATGCCTCCTGGTATTTTGCGGCGTACGTCCACAGCATTGTCCTCCTCTTCTTCCTCGTCCTCTTCGTCTTCGTCTTCTTCTTCCATGTCTTCTTTTGCATTCCATCGATCGGTGGGTAAGGGCCGTGGCAGGTAGCGAGGGGGTGTGGGTGCAGCCACTCGCCTTGTAGGTATCGCTATTTTTGATGAGGGCGAAATGACTCTTTTGGCTGAGGAGGAAAAAATAGAAATTGGAATTGAGTGTCTCTCCCTCGTAGCATAGATAGCACGCACACCCTAGGTAACAGAGATTGGCTTTTCTCAAGATGGATTGTTTCTCCCTTCTCACCTCACTTACGTTGCGTTACTTTGGACGTGGGTTTCGCACGATTTGAATCCCCCTCCTCATAATAGATTCTTAATGATTGACTCTTTTGAACAAGACATACCAACAGAATCCATTCTATACAAGTCGACGATAATGACATGATGGAATTAGCTTGTGTGTTTGTTACTTATGAATAAAAGAAGAACGAGAATAAAAACCAAAAAAAAACAAATCTCAAAACATACTAGAATAACTTGAGTTCCTGAAAAAAAAAAAAAAGAACAAGTGGGATATGGATTGAGGATGACGATGATAGAGAGGCAATGTACCTAAAAGAATTATATCAACAGAAAAAAGAATTCAATTTAGTGTAACTATCATGTCAAAAGAAGCTTTTTATCAACCAGCATAAACGATGCCCTGGAGACACAAAAAAAAAAAATGATTTGCTGGATCGATTTTGATTTCAATGAAAACCAACCGTCGTTTTATTGTAAAAATTCGATATGAAAGAGTGCTGCTTTATGAATGAAGGTCAAATTCAAAATGATGATGACGGCTTCGATACGCTATCCCTATCCTTTATCACTTAGGGGACGATCAAATAAAAAAGAGAACCGCCATGATTCTGCATTATATTAAAGTATAAATGAACAAATGAGAATGGTTCTCTTACCCCCTCTCCTTTGAAATTACAATATTCACACTTTTTTTATGAATTCGTAGGTGACAAAGCGCCGACAGTGGGTGAATAAAGAAGAAACACAATTAGAAGAAAAAAAAAAAAAAAACCAGCGCGGTGTAAAAAAAAAAAAAAAAAGGGCAACTCATTAAGCATTTAGGATGCGTTTAAGGGGCTCTGTTCATAGAAAAAAAAAAAAAAAAAAAACCATAAGATATCCCCGATTTGACACGGCATAATTTACCGGCTTGACACAGGCAGCTTATGTTTGACCCTGAATATCTCTTATCTTTTGTCTCATTATTTAACCAAGAACAGCAGCCAAACAACCACTAAAAATCTCGATATCATGTGGTAGAGATAACTACGTGACTACGAATATAAGGTACCTTCTTGCCTTGTTTATGTCAAAACACGGATGTTAATAGGCCCAATTAACCGATGATAAAGATTCTTTTTTTTTAATTTAAAGGAAAAAAGTTTCACTTTTGAACCTAACTACGAGTCTGTTTTAGGTACTCGTCTTTTACTTTATATTACTATCTACACGTATATTTTTTTCTTTCTTTGCACCCTCTTTCCTACACAGAAAAAAAAAAAAAAAAAAAAAAAAACTTGTCGGTTAAAAGATCAAAAAAAAAAGACCTATTCCATCCCATAGAGTAGAACTTGAAGCGTGCTTTCATTTACGTAAGCATTCGCCACGTTCGCACCTCTCACTTTTTCCCAAGAGCAAAACAGTTGTTACTTTCTCATGTATCAAGAGGGATGATTCCTGTGTGGGCGACCTATAGGATGAAATCAAGTCTTCTAGAAGAAGATCTGGAAATAAAAAAATGAAACAGGTTCATTGTCTCGGATCGTTCTTTTTTTCATTTCCCGCCTTGCTCTCTTCTCCCTCTATAGCTCCCCGCAAATGCCTTAAACAGTATCCCATCCACTTGGGAAGCGTTAGATAAATAGGGTTTCAGATTCTTATTTTCCGTGCTGCGATCCCCTTTGCAAATGAAAGCATTTGACAAGAAGCGACTGCTTGTCTACTGGGATGCATGGACAAGGCAACGTCAACATGGAGTGGGCATTCAAAAAAGGTCAAGTCTATGTTTTCTCTGCCCATCAACAACCCAAAAAAAGTGTGCCATGTCTTCTTTGACAGACGCCAAATAAACAAAGTGTCACTTGTCAAATACGACCTTTTAAGAGTTGGTGAAATGATGTACCACCCTCATGGATTCTAGGCCATTGGTCAATTGTGTGTGTCCCTTTGTTTGGTGTCATTGAACCTGTGTGCAACACGAACCATTTTTTTTTTTTTTCAACAATGAGAAAAAGAACCTTTGTGGTTTATTGATGATTTTTTTTTAAAAAAAACAAAGGGAGAAGAAGAGAGAGGGAGGATATTAATAAATAGTATTTTTTTTTTAAAAGGTATGTAATGGAAACAATGGCGGGTAAACAAGATGATGTCTTTTTTTGAAAGGGAGAGTGGAAAGGGGTGTCAATGAAAGAGTTGGATGTGGACGAGCGGTAAAAAAAAAAAAAAGAGAGAGGTATGTACAAAAGGGAAACACTACAGAAAATAGTAAGTGGTGGTGGTGGTGAGATCAAACGTGTGTGTGTGTGCTTTAAAATAAAGAACTGCAAGAATTAAACATTAAATTAGAGGAAGCAGGATGAAGCATGGGAGATGAGAAAGTAGAGGATATAGAAGAGGCGGGAGAGGAAGTCACACTGGCACTAGGGGTGCTCAAGGGCGTCGTAGTCGAGTTGGAGAACAAAGAAGAGCTGAAAGAGGCCAATGTTTGATTCAATGCAGCCATATGAGAGTGTTCAATGTGATATTTTAGTCCGTTCAAGTTCTTGTATCGTTTACCACAATCACCAATCGTGCATTGATATGGTTTTGAAAGGATGCTATCACTGTCTTCTTCCATAAGATTACAATGGCCGTGTTGATTATGGTATTTCAATCCATTGGGATTCTTGTAAGCTTTATCACAACCATGCACAGGACATTTGTAAGGTTTATCGGCATTGGCATCCACATTAAAGACTATGAAGAAGAAGAAAAAAAAAAAAAAAAAGGGGAAATTTAGGGTGTGAAAAAGAGGGAAAAAAAAAAATAAATAAATAAATAAAATAGAAAACTTACTTGTGTTGGCAGAAGCTAATAAGGCACCTGCTTGAGCTAAAAGGTCTTCTTCAGTAAAAATGGGAGTAGGTAAATCACCATTCAAGGTAGCAATCTTTTTCGCAGCAGACTGAGTTAGCAGATCCAAGGCAGAAGGAGAAGAACCAGCGTATTGGCTGTAGGTTCTCTTTTTACCAGAGGCTGTGGATTTTTTATTTGTGTTTTGGGTTGTTTGTGGTTGCTGCTGCTGCTGTTGTTGTGGTTGTGGTTGTGATTGTGTTTGTGGTGGCTGCTGCTGCTGCTGCTGCTGCTGCTGCTGCTGCTCTTCGTTTGTTGAATGGCTTGTTTCCGAATCCTCTGTAGGACTTGTGCTGGTGGCACTATGACTACTAAAGCTACTTTGACTGCTGATACTGGATTGGCTGCCATGAAGTGAAGGTGTCAATGGTGAAACAGAAGTAGCTGTTGTGCAATTATAGAGATCAGAAAGGTAAGCAGCCGCCTTTTTCTTGATAGCGTCCAAATCACCAAGACTATCGACAACAGAAGAGGTGGTTGAACAATCATCCGCAATAGAACTCATGCTAGAAGCTTGAGAAGAAAGTGAGGAAAACGAGAGAGAAGGTGACCAGGCATCCGATTCATCGTCAAATAGGCTATTCTCATCTTCTTCTAAGCGAACATGACATTCTTCATAGTGCTGCAAAAGATCATGAAGATCGTTTAGAACAAGTCCACAACAAGCAAAATCACGACAAAATGAAGCCTCAAGATCTTTGGATTCAAAAGTATCTTTAATATCGTTCTGGGGTACACAAAGTTGAAAATCATATGTACTATTTGCGCGCGTTTTTTGTTATTTTTGAAGAGAGAGAGAAGAGCTTTTTAGAAAAAAAAAAACAAAAAAAAACAGGAAAGCTTAAAATAATATGGGAAATAGGAAAGAAAACTTACTCGAAATTGATATCTTGTTTAGGTACGTTAATTGTACTCATACGACGAACAGAGTTATATTCAACAGGAACGGGCATCTTTTTTTTTAATTTTATTCTAGACTTTGTTTCTCTCTTTTTTCTTTTTCTTCCTCTGATTTAGTACAAGAACGATTGATTGATTTTGCGTGAGTGGAGTGACTATAAGGGCCTTCCTTTTGGAGTGAAAATAAAGTATGAAGCGGGAAAAAAAAAAAAGAAAAAAAAAAAAGAGGAAATGCACCCAAGGGTAGACAAGAGAGAGTAGTATAAGAAGTTAGGAAGGAAGGAAAGTAGTCGATAATGAAGTTGACCTTTTTATATCAAAAAAAAAGCAAGTTTTTTTTTTTTTTTTTTCTATAATATGAAATCCCAGTTTGGTACCACCTTAAACAGAACAGCAAAAAAAAAAAAAAAAAAAAAAAGGATTTGTTTTTTAAACTTGCGACCGCTGAGACCAAAAAAAAACTTTAAAAGGAACTTTTCTTACTCCGTCTACTTTTTTTTTTACAACTGTCTGGCTTTTTTTTTGTCTTTTTGAACGGAATCAAATAAGCTACAAAATGGCCCACTTTGGTTGGTGGGTGGAAAAAAAAAAGAAAAAAAAAAAAAAAAGGACGACCTATGTCGTTTGAAGAGAAAGAGAACTGACAACATTTACATATCTACATCTTAACAATAAACAAGATCTTTATTTGTGTTGTCTTTATGAATTAGAATCATAATAATAATAATAATAATATTCGACTAAACAATGGTAACAAATTTCTTTTTAGAAATAAAATAAAGTTGGTTGAAAAGGAAGAAAGGGCTTCTTTTTTGGGTTGATTAGGGTAAGGGTAACACTATACTATATATATTGCCCTGGTAACCCTAATAAAACTCAAAAAAAAAATAAAAACCAACGACAGGCTTATATTTATTATATTTTGTCTGTCATGTCCGAGAAAGAAAATCAAAAAAAAAAAAAATGACACTAATCACCATGGTCTTGTCACTGTATCTCGTCAGTGAGCTCCTATTCCTATCCCGAAAGGTAAACATACATTTCTGAAATAAGTTATTTGTTAAACGCCCTTTGAATTAAAGGGACTCTATGTGGTTTTTTTATAACGTGTCTCTAACCCATCCTCTTTCATGACATCACTGAAGAAAGTCTATTCTATGTCAAGGGAAGGGGAAAAGGGGTCAGTGATAATGGCATGATTTTCTTTTTCATCACTCTCTCTCTCACACACACTCTCTCTCTGCACACCTTCATGAGAAACACTTCTTGAGTAGGCAGCTTCCTACCTCTGTACTATACCACCGAATATCCGAGGCTGGCAGTTACACCTGTCGTCTTTCCAACGATCGTACAACAGATCGAGTTTTATTTTTTTATAGAGAGCGCATTCTACCTTTTTGTGAGCGGCGTTTTTATTGCAGAATCCCCGTTTCCAGCCAAACAGAGACATCCCCTCCCTTTCCCAGTAAAAAAAAAAGAAAGAAAAGCTTAAACTTTTTCGAAAGAAATTGGAAAATCCTTCAATCAGATAAAGGACATCATCGAACCTCATAAACCCTTCCTTTCTTTAAGATTCCAGAATTTGACAGCACGGAGAGGGGGGGTGGGAGACGGATACTCGTCCGTTTCTAGCCAACAAGGAGAATGAAGGATAGCTCTCTTCCTTCCCCTTTTAACCGTCCATCTTGCCGAAACGAAATAGCTGTGATAGAAAACATTGGGATAGTTTTATGAAAGGAAAAGGGCCTTCACGAAAAAGACGATGGTCATTTTTTAGTCTGTTTTGCATCATGGGACAGACTTGACTTTTTTCGCATCCAAAAAGTGATCTAAAGATACGTTGGTCCACCCGCGCGCTTTCAGAGCGGTTGGAGTGGGAGTCAGTTGCCAAGTGATTCAAAATTGTATTTTTAAAGTTAATGCAACTTGACATAATATGTCATTTTTGAACATCACACAACAAAGAGACAGACACACACACACATGGATTACACATTAAGCCAAATAATGGCAATTAAGAATAAATAAGACCAGATGACTGGAGATCGGCATTACTGTATAAAGCAAATACAAGGACACTTTATCCTTCATTTTAACAATGGGAGGCCTTCCCAAAACGCGTAATGTGAAGTAAATTGGCGCCACTTTCTGTTCTTTTCACAGTGTATCTCACTTTTTGGTTTTTTTGGTTTTTTTCTTTTTTTTTTTTTGCACCATTGTAGTTGAAAAATCTCGATCATACCACCCAAACAATCATGATAAACACAGATTTTTGTTGTGCATGCAGATGAATCGTAGATTTGTTATATGTTGTCCAGACATCTCTGCCTAGCATGTATACCTCATGTCGTCCTTTTCTTTGTTTGTTTCAGAAAAAAAAAATAAGTACATCTGTTTTCTTTATGCCCCTTCTAACAAAATATGACATTTCCTTTACATAATTTTAATACATAACGTTGTACACTCGAAAGGCACACTAAACAAGTGCAACCCTTCCATGGTGAGGTAAAAAACTTGCTCCATGGTTCTTTTTCTTTTTTTCCCTTCTTCCTTTTTTTGGCTCTATCTCGCTTTTTAATGCAATCTTTTTTTTTTTTTTTTTTTGAATGGTATTATTACGATAAACTTTCTGAAACTGACTTTCCTTTTTAAGACCCACTTTTTTTTCGTTTAAAAGTCATCCACTTATCGAATAAAGAAGGCTCTATCAGAAAGAAGGAACGATAGTAATAAACTTAACCTTAAAGAGGGATGATGGAATCTATCAAAGAGAAAGGTTAAAATATACTTTTTTTTCTTTATTTTTTATTTTTTTTTTTCCATTTGACAAAGAAATGGGGGAAAAGAGGAAACCGGTAAAAGCGTGGAAAAAAAAAAAAAAAAAAAGAAAAAAAAAAAAACGTTTCTGGTGCTCTTTGCTCGCCTCTTCCCGAATGACTGTCACTGCGAATCATTGAAAAACTTGTTCTTTCTTTCACTCTTTGGTGTTTGTTGCATAATATAAATGTCTAATGTCGGATGCTGCTAAGGACGAATTAAGAGATCGCTATTTACAATTCTGGTTATTTGCCAGTCCATCGGCATCTGCTTGTACTTTCCACATGGGAAACGGATCAACCACAGCAACCATGGTCAAAGGAAAGTTACGTGCTACAGATAGCGAAAATAATCGTTTCAGAGTAGATCAGTTAGAAACACCTATGGGCGTTTATGACCGTGCCGTGTTACGAGGAAAAGATATTGACCTGATAGAAATCCCTCTCTGAGGAGAACCTCCCAGCCATCTCTCCGTAGGCCCCCACGCCAAAGGGTCCCCTCCCCCATGTGTGAATAAGCACTCCATGAGCAAAACGACTCGCATTGTATACCTTGATGAGAGGGAATGGCCATTTCTTTACATGAAACAAATGACGTCCATGCTACCCTCCCTTTTATTTATATCTCATATGACAATAAAGAGTACGTTCTCGTTGCAATCAAAAAGGGACAATGAGTCTCTTTCTTCTTGGGGTCTCAAAAAGGTGGAAACAGTGAGCGACTCACAAGGGGGAAAAAAAATAGTTTTCCCCCTGTCTCCCTGCAAAATGAGCTTTCCATTCTCAAACCTCCTCTTTTCAAGCTTTATCATAGAGAGAGGATGTCGCCTTGAAATAATTGTTACACAAACTTATTGACTGCCTTGGATAATATGGAGTTCTGTTGAACGTGTAACGTGGAACCCTGAAGACATTGTTGCACAAAATGCGATTCTCTCGCTTAGGATTGGACATTACATTCGTATGCGTTGCATGCTTGCGGGGTGAAAAAAGGTCCTTATCACCTTGGTGGATGGGCTGGCTTACTTGTCAGATTCCTCTCTTTTTTTTTGATTTTTTTCATTGTCCATGTTGATAAACTTCATTGTCACCGAAACAATGTCTAAAAAAAAAAAAAAAAAAAAAAAAGAAGAGTCGTCTTTTGAAAATCATAGAGAGCTATGGTATAGAACGATGGGTTATTATTTGTTTTTTCGAAAAAAAAAAAAACGGATGCCGGGCATTAAGAAGTATACATATGTATAGAGAGAGAGAGAGAGAGAGAGCATTAGACGGAAGGATTAGATTCAAAGGTAGTCATCAGATATAGAAAGGAACAAAGTTCCGTAGAGGGAATAGTTAAAAAAAAAAAAAAAATGCTTCCATAGTGAATGGAGCAAGACGGTTGTAGAAAAAAAGTACTTGTATTGTTTAGCTTGTGCACCAGGCAGTAAGTTTCGCAAGTTCCAAGGGCAAATCGATCAGATCACTCTTCTTTTTCTGCTCTATCTTGTGATGACGAGCAACCCTATTTAGATGAGGCTCTTCAAAGGAAAAGGCGGGTTTTTTATCCTCTGAAGCAGGAGTAGGTGTAGCAGCAGCCGTCTGTAGTAAAAAAAAAAAATGGTACAGAGAGTCAGTCAGGATCCATCGAGGGAGGGGGGGGAGGCGTTGTATCTTTCTTTGATCTACTTACGGAGATAGAATTGATAAAGTGCTTGAACTGGTATGTATTATTCTACATAAACAGCAGAGAAATAGTTGAGATAAACAGGAATGACCCATTCTTCTCCCATTCTTCTTACCCTCACAAAATCATTCAGATGGAGTGTCCAAGGTTCTTTGGTATTTTGTTCAATTGTACTGAAACTGGCCAGTGTCATCAAGCATTTCGCAATCAGTGTAAGGAGACGACCTACTTTTGTCGTAGGTTGATCTGGATGGATAAAAAAAAAACAGGTGAGAAAGACAGCCTTTCCATAAAGAAAAAGCCTATTCGCCTCTTACTCTGAACGAGTCCAAATTGCTTGGGAGAAATAATGGCTGGACAAATCCACCGTAGAAAGATAAAGCCGCTAACACAAGTATATTGTGCAATTTGATACTGTCGGCTTAATTTTCCATTGTGAAGGTCGAATTTCTTGATAATGGCTGTTTGTAAGTGATCAAACACTTGTCGTAATTCACTAAGGTGAAAAATCACGTCAGCTCTCTATCACACACACACACACACACTCTCTCTCTCTCTCTCTCTCATTCTCATAGCACAACCCACTCACATCGGGCATTTTGATTCTGCAGTTTGGATGCCTGTCCATACATCCTGTGCATCCTTGAATATCTCTGTACAATCTGCTAATGTCAGTTCCGTAGTGTTGGTCGATAAGCGAGACGTATCAAGCTATTACAAAACCGGAGGAGGGGGGAAAAAAAAAAAAAAAGTCAAACCGAGTACCTAGAAAAAAGCAACGAATCGTGACCATGGAGAATGCGCGTTGGAATACTTACTTCCACGGTTTGGCGGTATTGCTGACAAAGTCGTTGAAGAATGGGCTGAATAGCTTCCTCTAAAAAGTCTCTTCCGGTAGACTTTAAAAAGTTGTCAATCACTCTTGTAAAGAAAGAATTGCCTCTATAAAAAGCAAAAAAAAAACAAACAAATTCAATCATGTGCTGCTATCCGCGTGTGGAACGAATTCTATTTGATTCCATTCTATTCCATTCTTTCTTTCTTTCTGTGTATTTACCTAAAGAGAATATTCACATCGTCTGATCATCATTTGTGTAGAAAAAAAAAAAAGTAAAAAAAAAAAAAAAAAGAACCCCCCAAAGTGGCGTGAGTATATCCACTCTCTCGACAACATTTTTTTTTTCTCTCTTTTTTTACCAGAGGTCAAAGAAGCCACTTCAATGTCAATGAGGGATTTGATCCACGTCACAGAGTCTCCCATGCCTTCGTAGACCCTTAGCAAGTCCTTGGCTAACTGCTGGACATCCGTGGACTTTTTGGTCAGTTCGTACACCATCCTATGCTGTGGATCATAAAGATTTTTTGTCAAATCGTCCATCAAGGGACGGTAAGTCTGTAATGGAAACACCTGATATTCCTCCAACAAGGCACCGATGCGTAATTGGCCCACTATCGGTTGTTGATTATCTAACATCACATCGAACCACTCGTCTTGAATTCTTTTGGTTTGATTAATCAGTGTTGCTGGCACAAAGACAGACCCTGAATGGAACGAGAAAAGAAACAAAATCGATAGTTTACACCAACTTTTTTTTTTTTTTTTTTTCTTTTTTCCTTTCTTTCGAGATCTATTCAACGGAACCTACCATAAATAGCCTTCCGTGAACTGTGGGTGTTCTTTTCGCTTCTAGAATAAATGTTAATCACAATACCTTGTTCTATTTTAGGAATATCACTAAAAGGGAAAAAAAGTAAATGAGCGGAGGGGTTGCTTATAGCTGAATCAAAACATGTCCACCACTCTACCTGAATTGGAATTCTTCTCCCCAATACAATGTCGATGCTTTCTTCAAATAACCCGTCAACGCTCGCAATTGATGATCCACAACGACATCACAATAGAACTCGTTGGCAGTTTTAAGGTCTCTCCTGGAAGGCGAGGCTGTTGTCATGTGGCGGGCTTCCGTGATGCGTAGAGTGAGACTACACACACAATGTCCAGCAGTAGTACCAACTGCTGTCTGTCGAGATGCTTCTGTGGTATCACCGATGCAATTCTGTTTCAATCGAGTGAGCCATGCATCTCGCTCCATTTTACTGTTGGCCATCAAATGATAGATTTCGTTTGCTGATGGGCGGAGCGCGAGGCAATGTTTCAAGGAATCATTCGTATCAGGAAATGCGTAAATATCGCGTGAAGAAAGTCTAGACAAATGAATGGGTCGATGAAAATAAGAGGCACGTCCATCCTAAATTGCGTGATAATCCAACCCCCACCATAAGAAAGCAAAAAGAGATAGTTAGTTTTTTTGTTTTTTTTTAACTGATAAACCACAAAAAAAAAAAAAAAAAAAAGGTAGGATTGCTTTCTTTTCACGGGTTTTTACATTTTCTGTTTGTAAATGAAGCACATCATCGTTGAATAAAGAAATGTATAATGTTTGTAAATCCTCGTTTAAATAATGATCGGTGGATGAACAGATCGAATTGGCTATACAAGCTTCTACGAGATGCCAAAAAAGGAAATAAAAAAGATTCATTGTTGGTCAGCCCATTTTTTCAGGAACCAAATATTTTTTGTTCCCTTACTATATATTTTGAAAACGCCTGTCATCTCAGCAGTTTTAATTTGATCGTAGGGAGTTTCCGTCAAATTGCAACAATCAATAGGACACTCTGTCACAGGAATCGGATAACCCAGGACGAAATCCACTATTTCATTATTGTCGTTGGTCTTTCTTATGATCTCGTTACTATTTCTTCGCGTAAATTTGGTTGGACTTAATCTAAAATTTGTCTTGACAAAAAAAAAAAAAAAAAAAAAAAAAGAGTGAGAAAAAGATGATACACCATATGTTGATCAGATATCTTGAGTGTTTTCTTTTTTGTTTTACTGTGGAAAGTAGATCGAGACTTTTCTTCTTAAAGTTAGGTTCCATTTTCTGTTGTGAATGAATTTGCGTCGTTGTAGTCAAGGTGGGCTTTTTTGACGACAACAACGTCATCTAGTTGACATAATCGATCCGTTCAGACTAAATGAGCATTCTACACTGCTTACTTGGCTCAACTTACTGCAGAAGAAAGAGAAGAAATCCTTGTCGCTTCAAACGAAGAGCTTCTATTTGTCTTGACGGGAGGCGGCTGATTTAAGTTCCAAGATTTCAATGCTTGAACCCAATGGAAAAAATCAATGGCTGTTTCTGCTTGAAGCGTCACGCTGTAATGAGATCAGAAAAGTTAATAAAAGGGAAAAGAAAGGAATGAAAAAGGAAACGGACAAAAGAAAGCCAGATCAGTTCTTGAAAAAAGAAAACAAAAAAAAAAAAAACCAAGAAAAAAGATATAGGAGAATTGCGCGAGAAAAGAAAGAGGTAGAGAAAAAAAAAAAAAAAAAAAAAAAAAGGCGGCAAGTAATTAACTTACATTTGAAAGGGTTCTTGACAAACAATCTGCAAAACAAAATCGCTTTTTTCTGCCTCTTTTATATTCATACTGGCCGTCTTGAGATTGGCTATGATAATTGAAGTCTATTGTAGCCTATTAGCAATCACTATAGTGAAAATAACAGCATCCATATCACCGTTGCATTTTTTGTCAAGCTTACTACTGCATCATAGTACTGTCTTAGAAACCCATCTTCTTTAGAAATGAAAAAGTAATGTCTTTTTTTTTTTCAGCTTTTTTAGAAGCGATGATCAGCTTATATGTCAAAATCACTTTCAAGTCGTACCTTTCCCAACCTTCTTCCCTGTGCATTTGCTGTTCTTTCATCATCATTTCCGCTTTGTCACATTTAGTAGACCGCTTCAAGTATAAGTAACCTCTCGTCGTCATCTGAGAGCAGCCGATAGGTATGAAAGAGTTTGCCACTTTTGGTATCAGATGCAAAGGACCCAAGTTGTTGTTGTTGTTATCGTTATTTTGCTAATCATAGAAAAGCGTCGTTATGCGTATACATATGTGCATATATACATAGATTATATGTATATATGTATATGTGTGTGTGCGTGAAATAGGGAGTGTTAGTGACCATGAGACAAATAACAAATGCCCACCTCCTCGACGCCTGCCGTGCGTCCCCAAATCTATTACCATCAATTTTGACTTGCTCTTAAAAGCAAATAATGGATTTGGCATTGACGTACGGGCTTTTGTAAATTGTTGACCATCATGGACAGATTGATATGCTCTTAAACTGTCATAGTACGTAGCAAGTTTCTCTTGAATGTAAAATGAAATTTTATCGTTATTCATCTACGAATAAGCAATTAGAAAAGAAAATGCATCAAAACCAAGACACGATCAAAAGGCGGATGAATGGGTTTGGGTTACCTTTCGAAAATCATTCATGGAGCAGTACCCTGCCAGACTGGATAGGGAAGATTGCGAGTTCTTTGCCAAGCTGTTCAAACTAACTTTACTACAATTGGTAGACCCGCCATAAGTAGACGCACCCGATCTCACAGTCATCGCTTCAGATGCCATCGTCGTTTTGTGTAGAGTGTCATTCACTTCCGTTGTTACTTTATCCAAAGCCAACAAGTTCATCAGCTTCATCGACTTTAGTCCCGCAAACAGTGGTAGTAGCTACATGATGCGTTAGAAAAGGGTGATAAGCATATACCTTCATGGTAAGTCAGCGCCATCACAAACAAAAATATATCATCCTACTTACTTGCTCCGTCACCAACTCTTTTGTTGAATGGACTAGCATGGTCATAGTCTCTATGTATTCAAGGAAAGTCTTGCATAAAACCTTTTTCGATACATAAAGTGTGAGACTTAGATCCTAAAACAGATTCAACTTCGTTAAAAACCTCTTTCGATTCCTTAGTATTGTATGCTTGTGCAAGTAGTTTACATCGAGTCGCTTATGCCCATTTTGTGAATTCTTCAGCTTTCGTATCAATGTGCAATAGACGCTGAGTGTCTCGGTATACTTTGTTCTCGCTGTCGTCATGTCTTTCTTATATTTCTATCCGTGTAAATTGTACATAGTGTCAACATTTGATTTAGCATGATCCCCTAGCTTATATAGGTTCTTACTGTTAATGTTCCTTTGATTTCTCCGCTATGTCTTCTCAATAACGCTGCCATATCGAAAGAAAAAGAAAAAGTTATCATCATCCATCTCTTCTTCCACATTGTTTGAACTTGGGTTTTCCCTACATACATAGGATAGTTGAAAATGAAGCTTCCTTCTCCACGGCGTCTTCTATGTTTGCTGGACTTTTGGTGTCATCTACCGTTGCAGTCCATAGTGGACCGTTACATTCGTCGACCTTTTGATTGAGAAACGTTTCGGCCATGATCGTTTTTGTATGGTCATATAAAAAACCGATAGATTTACTGTAGGCTAAAATAGGAGGAGGCTTATGAATATCAACCCACATTGTAAGTTTTTTTTTTTTTTTTTTTTTTTTTTTCTTTCTCTCTCTCTTATCCCATATACAAACTCTACCGAGTTCCAGCTGCCTGCATTGCTCTATTTTTTGTACCCATGCTAAAAACTGGTATAAAGAAGACTCCAAATTCTGTAAATAACTATGGAAAGCTGGTGAATCTGTCCATAGGTCTTCGAAAAAGTCTTCTTCCTCTGTTTCTAGTGTAGACGTGCTCGTCGCAGCGGTACTGTTCGTCCTATCGTGGTAATGTTGAGCAGTTGTAAAGGCGTCCATGGTGGCTGTGCGTGACTTCGCCGCCACGGTGGCCAGGAACAATGGCTTTGTTTTCTTGCAACGTATGCCAATGCATATCTCATCCTCATCCTCCAGACTGCTGAGGCTGTTGCTGATGGATCCAATGTCATCGTCGTCACTTTCGCATATATCATGGCTACGGCTGCTACGACTTTGACTCCTACTCCTACTCCTACTACTACCGTCATCAAATGGAGTGTCCTGCTCGAAAATATCAAACTTAGTGGTACCGCTCTCTTCGGAAGACATTTCCTCGTTTTCTTCTTCTTCGTTATCATTCATGATAAAACGGTCATGCCAATAATCCTCTTCAGACAATTGTATGGAAGAAGTCGCAACTGGACTGAGTGTTGGATTATTGAGAGTGTCTGTGAAACTTGTTGATCTTAAGCGTCGATCCCAGTCATCTTCTTCGTCATCGCTCTCAATCAGAATGTCATTGTCCCACTGACTGACGTCTTCGCCTGGTGGCAATAGGAATGGTTCGCTATTCGAACGAGCTCGGTGCATTTTTTTTTTTTTTTTTTTAATCCCTACTGAGGATGGTAGTTGAAGGGTAAAAGGACAATGAAGAGGAAGGCAAAAGTGAATGATAATGTTAAAGGATTTAAGGAGGAAAGCTAATAAGGACATGATAATGAATTCTGGATTATCCTCGTTGTCATTGTTGTCGCTGTGGTTCTGATAACCCAAACGACTTTTGAGTTTGAGTGTCTTCTCTCTCTATCTCTCTCTTCGTATAGGAGAGGCTATACAATCCCAAAAATTCTCTCACCCTGGGAATCTGCGAACACTATCACCATGAGAAAGAACTTCTTCTGTTACCTGATCTATGAGCACCTGGGTTGGCCGTTTGACAATATACCAAACACTACGCATGAGCGGAATAAGCTTTTTTCTTCTTTTACCCTTGATGTGTCATGCACATGTGCTCAGACAATAATGCTTCATTGATGGAGCGTTCAATGTCCCTTTCTTGTCTTCTTCCCATGTGAGGCAAAAATTAGCAAGGATCAACATGATATTCTTCTCTATGGCCCAATCATTGACTTTTGCCCATCCCCTTCCCGATGTTCAACTCCCCCTTTAGTCTTTGTATAACTGTGTCTCCCCTTGATTTCTCACAGAGTCTTTCCAAAATAGCCTTCTTCCTCTCCTTAAAATCTTGGATGCCAACGCTGGTACTTTTTAAATGACAAACAGGTAAAGTAAAATCATTGCGCACTGTCACAACTATCATAAAGAGACGCAATAGGCATTTGAGAAAAATTGCCTTATTGACTGTGTCAAATCCATAAAGGACAAAAACATCCTTTTCCATCAATGACAAGACCCATCATCATCTATTGAATACGCAAAAAAAAAAAAAAAAAAAAAAAAAAAAAAAAAACCTGTCTACTTCCCAAACTAGTGACCTGAGTTATATTCATTTAGATTAGTATGTTAAGCCCCTTTTTTTTCTTATCCTCTCACTCTATTATTTCTGTAAATGTTATACTAAACACATTCGAAAACGAGGGATAATAATATTGACCTCTTATCCTGATTGTGATTGTTTTTTGTTTTTTTATTTCGGCCGTGTAAACCGTATCCGAGTCATCTGTCACTTCAGTCTTTGCACATCCTTTTCAGTGTCTTTTCACTTTCTTCCTTTTCGTTTCAAACATAACTCACCGTCTTTTTTTAAGAAAAAAAGCAGAATTGTACTTTATATAACAATTCAAAGGCTAAGTGTCTTGTAGTAACTCACTTTCAAGCCTTTTTTTTTTTTTTTTTTCTCTTCCTCTTTCTCTTTATTGTGCTGTATAAACGAAGAGCCTTTTCATCTCTTCATATACCCAACTGCTTTCCTTGTATTTTTTTTCCCTTGTAAATTCAGAGACTAGAATTGCCTTAAAGACTACGTTTAGCAATGTCAACAGAGAGCGCGATACAACTTCTCATGCAAAAAGCTTCAGCTCAACTGCAGTTTGGAAGTCTTCAGGTAGTTGAAATAGTCTTTCATGTGTATAAGACGAGACCATTGCCCTAAATGCTTATTGTGTTGGACTAAAAAGTTATCGTATGAATCGTACATAAAAGCACTCATTTGTGCTGTTGAAGAATTCCAGCGCCTTCAATTTAAGGATCAATGCAAGTATAGCTATTTATGGAATTTCAACATAAGAGTGTTTTGCAAGCCTTTAAATAACCCTACATTTATTTCATTAGGCCCTGTACATAACAACTTGACGACTATTTTTTATCTAGCTCTGTCATGTTTGAAACATGCTATGCGTATTTGCTCCAACAAAGCAGCAACTCAAAAAGCTTGTCGTTCTCCTCCAGTTCCACCAAAACCTCCTTGTTTATCTGTCGTTTCAAACCCGAAACCCAAGAGTCGTCTGCTTTCACCAGCTCATTCACCGCCAAAACTTGCTCGTAGTGAACCTAAACATCACTACCGTCCGCAAAACATCAAAAGAGCAAAATCAAAGCCTGAATTACTGCAGCAGCGGGAATACTCTAGCCATACTGATCTCATGTTCTTAACCCCCCTTGAAGCTTTACGCGATAGCCATAACGGTAATATTACACAAACGACAAGTAAGTAGAGATGGCTATTTTGTTTGTCTACAAACTGTTTTTTTTAATTTATCCTTCTATGTTTATCCTAAAATTAAAAAAATCCGCTTTTTCTCAGAAACACAACAGCAAGAAGCAAAGCTTCCTACTATTTCTACAAAACCTATTCCACTTCGTCCCAACATTGTACGCCGATCATCCACTTCCAATCTCCCCCATCCAGACTCCATATCCAATGTGTCTTCCACTACTACTATCAGTGCAATGAAACAGCTGTTCTCTTTGACTGGAGCAAATACAACAGCTCAGCCGTCCGATCATGAAAGAGGAAGAACATCCACTGCTTTCGCACTATCCGAAGCTGCTAGCCAGCTTGATTCGAACGAGCTATCTCAGCTTCTCAACAGAAGCATCGATCCAACCCATTTAGTACAAGTACAGCCATCAAAAAATGAGGAGGATCGAGCGAACAAAGCACCAGCGGCAACCACTTTATCTGTCAGTAAAAATATAAACTACTACAACAGCCACTATTCACCACACATACCAAAGGCGCCACTCCTTCTTGTCTGCGACCATCTTCAAAAAGAACAAAGAGAGTCGTTCTATTTGACCCAAAAAAAAACCTGTGTTCAAGCATCTCTCGATTTCATCCATCTTACAGTAGAGTCAGTAGCAGCCAACACGACGACCACGCTCCAGTTTCATTCGGTATTGATCGCTTACCAATTGACATTGATTGATGCGGCTATTTTTCGAAACATCCCAGTCGAGGCTCTCTTGACCCATACGCCCAAACACCCTCATCCAGCCATTGTGGCTTCAACCGACTTTTTTAACTATTTGACACGACTGATTGAATCTGACATTCTGTCTCAACCAGACGCGTCAGGAAGAGCACAGCTTATCAATCATTGGATAAAAGTAGCCAGCAAATGTCTGGAATGGCGAAACTATCAAACACTGAAAGCCATCGTTTCTGCCCTTGGCACTCCGCCGATTCAGCGATTGAAACGATCTTGGCAGTTCGTTCCGAAAAGAGCCATGGCGCTTTTCATAGATCATTTAAGAGAGCTTATGTCAGAAGCCTGTAATTATGGAAAGTATAGAGAAACACTGGGTCTTTGCCACCATGCCTACTATCGCCGTCATCCGACTTCCATTGCTACTGTGGACGATGAAGTCAAAGGACGACAGGATTATTCGTCCACGGCTGCCGGTGATCCTCCTGGTAAAGCGCCTACGGTGCCCTTTTTAGGTCTATTCATTCATGATATGACGTATCTTTCCGCTGCTCTACTGAAGCAAAAAGAACAGCTGCCACAGCAGCAGCAGCAGCATAACAGTCAATGGTCATCAGCGAGCAAAAATAAACGTCGTGGTGATGGTGCTGCTGACGAAGAGACCTTGGAAGCTTTTAAGAAGGACGCGCGAGTGGCCGAGCTGTTAGATTCTTTCCTAACATTACAAAAAAGCTGTTGCTACCCGAGTAAATTGCCGCCAGTTTACGCGAAAGAAGTACACAAAAGTCGAAAACGCAAACTGACATACGCTCTCACTCGACCCACTGCATTGATTAAAATGCCAACGAGTAACATTAACAGCATTGCCCACCATGATGCGGACCATGGCGATCTTAGTGTAGATATACAGCAAAGCCTCGTAATGCACTATATGGTAACCAAAGTCTCATAGAAAAAAGCCTCAGCAGTAAGCATTTTAACGTTTTTCCATTCTGATACAAACATTAGTTGACAAGGCAATGGGTCAGTGAAAGAGCAGTGGACGAGTTGAGTCTCAGGAGAGAACCTCCACCCACAAAAGGTGCAAAAAATTACGGCGTGGTGACTAGTGATACATCATCAGCACCAGCACAAAACAACCTTCCACAATTGACTCATCCTACTCCATCCTCTAACCATTCAACACTTGACGAAATTCTTCGCAGTAGTACTGGAAGTTCTACTAGCAGTATGACAGAGAGTGCAGGCTCTCTCAGCAGGCCTCTCAGCTTGGAATCCGATACAGAGAAGAAACAGCAACAAGATACTGCCATTATAGTCAGTACGGTGGACAATCGGAAACCCTCTCTGGGTAATTTGTGGCTGTTTGGTAGAAAAAGTGCTGATCAAGGGTTTTTAAAGTGCAGTCGTAGTCATGGTGCTGACCCTATCGATCCTGCCCCTACTTTGGAAGAAACGCATCCTACAAGTATAACTGCAGTATCCATCCACCGATCTCCGCGGCATTTTTCATTTGATCAAGTCAACAGTGCTACCATTTCAAGCTATTCCCATCTAGCTAATATGGATAGAAAACACTTTAAATATACTCCTCCTCTTTCAGTGAACGAAGACATATTTGGTACGCATCGTATTCAACGTGAAGGGTCGCAGCCATCTTTACCCTCCATCTTCCGTAAAGAGTTTTGGAACAACAAACCATCCCCACCCCCACCCCCGCCCCCTTCATCAATCATAGCAACAACAACAACAACCACCCCACAGCAACGTGCTCCATCAAGCAGCAATCATTTTCATAATACGTGTATAGATCGAAAGAATCTCTTTTCGTCAGACATTACGTTTTTGCCGTCAAGTGCCTTGTCCTCAAAGATAGAAATTGAAGATGGAGATGATCCTTCATTTCAGCTACAGCACAATGGCAAAGGTTTATCACATGTTTTATCGACACCACATCCTTTAGATACATTTTTTCAATGTCTATAAACGCAATAGCAGTGTTTGTCGATAGATAGGGCTTTGGACGTAATAGATATAGACGTTAGCAACTGCCTTGTTTATCGTTTACTGCCTAGAGGATATGTATATTTGATAAAAGAGGAAGAAAGCATTGTGGCATTTATAATAAAAATACATTACAAAGATTAACAGATTATAAAAGAGGGGAGAAAAAGCGGTTTAAACAAGATGCAGTAAGACAGGAGACAGGAGAGAAGATATGGAATCAAACAATATATATATATATATATATAAAAAAAAAAAAAAAAAAAAAAAAAGGAAGGCCCGTAGAAGCTATAGATATAATTGAGGGAAAAAGAAAGGAAATAATAAAAGGGTTTCAAGCAGGATAAATATACACACAATATATTTACATTAATACACAGCATTTTGAAGTAGCATTGTCGTTCGCATTGTCTATGCCGAACCTATCAAAGCCAGCACCTCCGCTATTTCGACCTCCACCTCCACTGCCGCCATAGCCTCCAGAGTTCGTATATCGATTACTATTCATTTCTTGCTCTTTGTTATAGCGTCGAATATCTCTCACAACTTCATAAAATGCTTCATCTACATTGATACGATGTTTGGCTGAGGCTTCTACAAAATGGCATCTATATTTCTTTGCTAGATCTCGTCCTTCCTGACTGGATACTTGACGGTCTGTTTCCAAGTCGCATTTATTGGCTATTAACACCATAGGAAAATAATCCCTGTCCTTCACTCGACAAATCTGTTGATGAAAAGTTTCTATCTCTTCAAATGACATTCTTGACGTAATTGAATAAACCAACAAAAATCCTTCTCCATTTCTCATGTATTGTTCACGCATAGCACTATAGATTGGTAATGGCTGTTTCTTTAGTTGTGATAATCCAATTTTTCCCTTATTCTTTAGACAAACGTTCATCAAGCCATCATTTACCTATATTCTTCCTGTCCTGCAGTATCTAAAACGTCCAGTAACGCGGTTTCTTCGTCAATAACACATTGTTTTCGGTAGGAATCTGAAGATGGTAATGAGTGGGTGGGTTAACAAACCGGATAATTTGTATACTACAGGCATTCTCCTTTCGCTTTAACATTTGCATTGCTACCTTCAATTGTAGGGTCATATTCGTCCACAAAATGCGATTGTATAAACTGAATTGTCAATGCTGACTTTCCGACACCTAAAAATAAAAAGGAAGCCAGGTTGAACAACCCAAGGAAGTAGGAGCACCAGGGGTTAGAGTTATTCAGCTTTATCATTGGCTTTTTGTTCCTTTGTACTACTCCTTTTGTTTTCTTTATTTTACCTCCACCTCCAACCATCACAAGCTTATATTCACGTACGACCCACGAGGCTGTTTTAGACATATTGTAATGATTTCCTTCACGATTGAAAATTGTATCAAAAAAAAGTGCTGTAATCGAACCGTAAAATACTTTATTTCAAGTGGAAGGGGAGACGAAGAAAGAGGGAAAAATGAAGAAAAAGAAGAAAAAAAAGGCAGAGAGAGAGAGAGAGAGAGAGGAGAGAAGAGATATACTATTTTAGGTCTGACCCCCACCAAGCATTTTCAGGCCATTGAAAAAAAAAAACGAAAAATGAAGGATGTGCACTTTTCCCGCGATTCGTCGTGGCTTATTTCAGAAGCAGCTATCCATGAGGAGACCAGTCAGAACCAAGAAACAGTTGTGGTTGTTGTGCAATGGTTGCTCTAAAGTCTATCAGGACTATCCTAAAGTTCCTCCGTGGTCCTTTCAGGACCTATAATGAACACACGGAACAGTGCATTGGCATGCTTTGGCATTATCCTAATCCAGGTGCTGTTCCTACTTGGGAAGCTTAATTGAAAGAGTCTGGAATCTTACTATATTCTGTATTGAACTCAGATTGCTATCAGTAATTAAGTGCAGCAACCGTCATGATAACAACATAAATTTGAGAAAGAAACCTTTCAGGTACGGTCCCCCATAGATTAGAATAAGATTGCTTATTAATGATTACGATTCTGCTCTAATTATTGTACTTTTATTCCTTATTTAGAGTTTACAACTGGCATCGACAGTTGCCCAAAAAACCGTTTTCAAATTCTAATTGCTTTCGTCGTTTTTTCTGTTCAGCTTCGGTTAACCTTACGATGCCTTCCTGTGCAGTTGTAACCACCAATGTACCGTCGCTACTGTAGATTTTGCCAAAGGCCACTCCCCGCCCATGATTCGTTCGGGGACTGTGTATATCATAAAGAAGCCAGTCGTCTGCTCTTGCTGGTGCATGAAACCACATTGTATGGTCGAGAGATGCCATCATGCCCATACTTTCTGAGTTGTAAGAAAGCCCATTTGCTGTGGCTGCAACATTTATTAGGCCGCTGTCCGAAGCGTATGCAATAATGCAAGCATGAAGTTTCATATCATCATTTAGAGCTCCTCTCGTTTTGAACCATCTTCGCTGTATAAATAATATCTTATGTTAGTTTTCGAAAAGCTAGCGAACCCGACCTTCTATTATCATTCTACTATTGTCACACGTACGCCATGAGCATCTGTTTTGACATTGCCTGTGATAATTTCTTCGTTTGAATATTGGTTGACTGCTCGATAATCAATAAGAGAATTCTATAAATTGTGTTATCCCAACTATTATAACTTTCTGTTTGTATGTTAAACATTAGCCTACGTCATTTATGTTCTTCTCGGCTCTTAACAAAAATTGTTTTGATTCGCTTTTGGTGCTTCTCAAGATTTTCTGGAATATATCCAAATCTCTTTACAAACGAACACGCATCCCGTAAATACTTCACATCAGCAAATATTTTTGCTATTAACTATAGAACCAAATGTATACACTTACGAAGGCAGACTCTCTGGGTTGGCTACGGTGGGCATTGTGACCTGCAATGGGTTGAATAAGGAACTGCCAGCCTTCCATTGCTCAACTGTTATATATTTCTTTAACGCTTACCTGATGGCTTAATGTAATGCCTTCCTCCAATGTTGAAAAACTGCAATTACATACAAAAATAGTCTTTCCTCTCTGTGATGCTTTTACCATACGAGTTGCATATGATTTTCCATCTCTCATACGTTCGACTGTGTAAATAATCGGTCTATCTACATTACCAGCCAGCAAGAAATATGCATGGAGTGACTGAAATACGATGTTTAAGTAAACTTCGGACATGGTTATGGTAGTCGAATATCAGCTAGTTTTACATGAACATAAAAACCTTCTTGAACTGTATCCCAGGCTGCCATAAGCGACTGTGCTACTATCTGCAAGCAACATTGTTCATTTTTGTAAGAAATGCATCTCTTAGTTGCATTGTTCTTGCTTGCTATAGTCCGTCATGGTGATATTGTTAACAATACCTGACCGCCAAAGGCCCCCCTTGCTCTATACGGCTGCCATAATTCTTTACTCTTGTAAATATTTGTATCTATTAGTTGAACTTCAATGGCATCCTTCATTCTCAATGCAAAATCTATCTCCTCCTCTTCTTCTATGTCTTTATCGGTGGCCATTTCAAGTAGTGATGCGTTGCTTATGTTGTCATCGTCCTTGCTGCTTCTAAAAATAGTTTTATCAGGGTAAGATACAACAGGCATTGTAACGAGGTTGTGGAGAAATAGAATGGACAAGGGCATATATATATATATTTATACTACAAATCGCATTTGTCAAATTCTATGTAATACCTTTGTGCTACTTTTAATCGCTTTTCAACAAGCGATGATTTCCATATTACATACATGGAGAAAGCTCATAAAACATGCAATTGCTAACTTGGAACCGGCGTAATCACTTTAAAATTTTTGCAAAAAAAAACCATGATATTAGAAACAAAAGACGCATTTGCTTTGCGAGCAACTGGAAAAGTGAGTTGTATTGCAGTTAAAAGAAAAAAGGAACGGCAATTTTTAGCCTTTAGCCATCTTAGCTCTGCTGAAGACTGTTTATCGAATAAAGAGTACTATCCAGTAATTGCATGAATAGATTTGACATATGAAAATGACACTTTCCATTTCATCATATTTGACTTGTCCTTGGTCTAAAAGAAAAACATAGACATGCTGATTTGTTCGAGTGACAGCTTCATTCTTCATAGCAGCCCATGCATAAGAAAAATGCCGATTGGGCCATTCTTGTTTTATTCCTCCTACTTTTGACAGCAAGCGGACGAGAATTCGTATATAGGGTCCCCTAAGACTCCCTTAAGCTGTCAGACAAGATAAAGATTTGCTTTACTACTTTTTTTTTTTCAAACCAACGAAAAAGTCAAATAAACATGAAATCTTCCACAATTGCATTCATAACAACAGCAATACTTGCTACTGTCGGAATTGGTTATTTGATTCATTTTGACAGAAAGCGTAGAAGTGATCCTCAATTTAGAAAATGTTTACGTTAGTACCTTCAAACTGAATTTTGGTAGGCTTTGGCAATATTACTCACTCAAAATGAAAACCACACAGAACGCGAACGAAAGAAGGCAGTAAAGGAGCTAAAAAAGCAAAAAGAAGAAAAGATTCAGACCATTTCAACTTTGATTGACGAGATATTGAAACAAGTAGAAAAAGAGATCTTACCAGAGTCAGCCGATGAAAAAGAAGCCTACTTCATTGAGAAAATAGCTGAAGGTGAACGCTTGATTAAAGAAGGAAAGATGGATGATAGTATACTCTACTTTTATGAAGCATTGAAGATTTACCCTGCACCTTTGGAATTGATCACAATTTATCAAAAAACCTTACCTGAAGAAGTATTTCGCATCATTGTCAACGTTATGGCCGTTGAGGTAACAAAAGAAGAATATAAAATAGTTTGGATATTATATAAATGTTTTGCTCTGTGCTGATCCATCTATATCCTCGATATAGCAACACAGACGTCAAACGAGATTTTATGACGAATTCCCACCAAAAGAGTTCAATGTTAGATTGGAGCCTATCCAAGAAGGAATTGATGATGGAAAAGATTATGCTTTAATAGCAAAGAAAGACTTTGTAGAAGGAGAAGTGTTATTTACAGATGAACCCTTTATAGCAGCTCTTTACCCAGATTTAGAGGTAAATTATCGCCGTAACAGGCATACTATTTTTTAAAAGACAACGGTAATCCATAAGGGTTACTGAATGATTCTTTCTTGATAGGGAACATACTGTAACTACTGCATGAAAAGGTTGGACGAAAGTAACAAAATAGAATGCACCAATTGTAAAGAGGTCGCATTCTGCAGTAAAGAATGCGAGGCGACGGCCACTCAACTTTATCACCAGTTCTTATGTACCAACAGCAAAATAGAGTCCAATAACAATGTAGTAGAATTCATAGCGTTTACTAGAGCGAATCATGTTATTTATCCACAAATGATCGCACAATTTCTGTCAAGTATTGTAGCAGAGGAGTTACAAAAGAAGAAGTTAGGCAAAGCAGCTTCAGACTATGGTGCTTGGGATTACATTGAAAGAATGAGTTCAGGAAATATGAAAGCATCCGAGGAACGAAACAATGAAATTTCATTAGTGAAGACTATGCTCGCCTCCAAGGTACCCGGTATTGAAGACTTTTTGACGGATGACAAATATCAGTTTCTGTTAGAAAAATTGTACCAAAACTCATATGAAGTTCCTACAACTGATGACATAGAATCTATTTTGGTATGCACAAATAATATACTATGAGCATATACGAACTACTTTTGATTATTTACATTGCTGTTTTTTAGGCTTCCAATGAACCAGGACGTAAATTGTTCCGTGATCAAAAGGGACTAGGCAGATCATTGTACAAGATAGCATCCTACATCAGCAATTCAACTTCAGAAGACGATGCTAATGTTGCTATACGATTCATTGATAACACCAACAACATCAGCGTGATTGCTTCGAAGGGCATAAAGAAAGGACAAGCGATTACTATTCATTACTGAGGTAGTTGCAATTGCTCTTTACATTGTTCTAAAAGTAAATTAAATAGTAGCTATTTGTTCCAAAAGCCCGAACTCAATAATAACAACCGAAGTTTTTGATGGCTTCTAATAGAAAATCACTCCAATAAGTCTAACGATCAAAACAAATGTTATAATTTTATTTATAAGCTTCCATTAAATTCATAATAATAGGGTGCCTTATCGTCCATGGTATAATCTCTTTTATCGATAGACAATGCTTACTTGCCAAATACTAGGAAATATTCAGGAAAAGAATCCTGGTAGTGCAAAAAGCTATAAAATTGTCTTCCGTGTCAAAAGTAAGAAGAGAGATACAGACATGAACTTTGTCGAAAATTCTGTATAACATTCTTTCTTTTCCACGAAGTATTCCAGCAGTATGGAAATATTGCATGCAGAACAAGAAGTTGACCGAAACTAAAATGGCTGATACATATAAATAATACTAGCTTCAAATGATCATTGACTAACTTGGAAGGGTTGTGTTACGTAATACTGGCCCTTAAAGGGATCAAAAACTGTGGAGATAATTTATGCATTTCTGTCTTTTTTCAAGAAATGGAAAATTCTGGTTTCGAGAAACTCTGAGAAGGCAATGAAGTCATTGCCATTGTAGCATTACATAGAACTTACTTTGATCTTAGATCAGAAAAAAGCAAAGTCATTTTTTATGGCTTAAGGGTTCGATTGGTATATATCTCAAACAAAGGCGATCGAAATACTAATAATATTTCTAAGGAATAAATTGGGCCTTTCACTTCAGAGTTTTTTTTTCACTTTTTTCTATACCACGTTTGCCGTTGATCCATCTATTCTAAAGCCAACGAAACTACTTCTATTTTCTAACAATTAAAAACACTTAACAACTGATAGCTCAATCGATAAAGTTGCATCAAATATATATTATATACCGTAAACCATCTTTTTTTTTTTTTTTGAAACATCCCCACAAAAAATGTAAACTTTCATTGACTTTCTTTTTACATTTATCCAAAAATGCATATATAAACATTGAAGGTAAATTCCTGGTAGATGTTATCTCATATTAAAGATTTATTTCAACACAGAAAAGAAAACCAACGAAAGAGAGCTCTTATTGATAATCTTAACAGAAACCAACATCGAGAGAACAATAAGGGGAACCAGCAAAAAGTTGTAAATCTACCGAACGCTGTTGCTGAACTAAACGACAACCACGACCATCCTCTACAATACAACAACCCTTTAGATATCAATAAAAATTCCTATAAAGATACTCAAATTACCATTAAAAAGTCAAATAAGATGCCCAAGAATCGAACGATCGCAACTGAACTAGCTAGTCGACTATTAGAAGCAGACAAGAAGAGAAGAAATTGCCTACCTAAATATCCAGGTCTAGAAAGATTCCAAATGGTCAGGAAACTCGGAGAGTAAGTGCGTTTAAGGTTAACTTGCATGTAGATGCTCTCATTAACTTCTTTTTATTCATTGGTCATTTGAATAGCGGTGCGTTTTCAAATGTATATGAAGCGCATGATCTAGTGACCGGCAAAAAGGTGGCTATCAAAGTAGCACAGAAATCAAGCTCTACAGAGAAGGTATAAGATACTTTGATGTTCTTCAGCAAACAATATCAATGATTTAAACTTATCTCATTCCTTTACCATTTAGAGTAATGGCAGACGTCACTTGCATTCAGACGTTATAAAAAAACCAAAAGCAACAGAGGTAAAAAAACCCATCTAGATCAACCAATAATAGATATGATATCATGGTGATATACTGAATGTTAAGCTTTTAAAATTCATTTCTTATTGGAAACTTACATCCCATCAATCAGCGTGCTAACATAATGAAGGAAGTGCAGATCATGCGTAATGTGAGACATAGCAATATAGTGCAGCTGATCCACTATATGGAATCGGATGAAAACTATTTTCTGACTATGGAACTTTGTGAAGGTGGCGAAATATTCCATCAAATTGTTAAATTAACCTATTTTAGTGAGGACTTATCAAGACACGTAATTGTTCAGATCGCTCAAGCAGTACGACACTTGCATGACGAATGTGGTGTTGTTCATCGCGATATTAAGCCCGAAAACATTCTTTTTGATCCTATCCCTATCAGGCCCTCCAGGTCTCGGAAGTTCCGGCCTAGTGATAATATTGAAACAAAAGCCGATGAAGGCGAATTTATTCCTGGTGTAGGTGGTGGTGGCATAGGAAGGGTGAAGTTAGCTGATTTTGGTCTTTCAAAGGTGATATGGAACGATTCTACCTTTACTCCATGTGGTACTGTCGGTTATACGGCTCCTGAAATTGTTTGTGATAGAACTTATTCCAAATCTGTTGACATGTGGGCCATCGGTTGCGTTTTGTATACCATGCTCTGTGGTTTTCCTCCGTTTTATGACGAGTCGGTGAGAGCATTAACGGAAAAAGTTGCGAAGGGACAGTTTACGTTCCTCAGCCCTTGGTGGGATACCATTTCAGCCTCTGTCAAAGATCTCATCTCGCACTTACTATGTGTTGATGTTAGAAAACGATATACTGTTGACCAGTTCTTAAACCATCCTTGGATACGGCAAGACCCCTCCCTTCAAACCAACACTTTTTATTCTGACTCAAATAGATATGCTCATCAAGCACAGATACTCACTGCTCCTTACAGTAACGATTATTCTCGAGATCACAAAAGACAGCTAGAAGTAGAGGAAATGATGCAGGAAGCCGCAAGAACTGATTTATTGACACCGCCTGAAATGGATCAAGATGAAGATCTGCTTATGGATGAGAATAGCAATGTCATGTATGCAACACCTGACCCTAACACTATGAAAGGCATACTTGATATCTCGTATGCAGTTCAACGAATGGGAGAAGAACAGTCACCAACATTTACAATCACAGAGCAAACGCAGCAGCCCACAAATGATTTCTCAAACAACTATCTTTTGCAAGTACCTAAAACACAACGAACGCAGCATTTAAATATTGCTCAGAAACTTGCTAAAAATAGTCGTGGTTTAGCGGATCCGCTGAACTACTGTAAAGACATTCCAGCAAAGCAACCTCCCATCTCCGCTAAGCAAGTACGACTATACCCTCAAGATGATGCTTTTAGACTCGACTTAAATAAGGCTACACTTCTAAACAACCGTAGAGGTCACAATAACTTTGGAATCAAAGTGTAATTCATTTATTCCCAAAAATAAAAGTTGAATTGTCTTAACAAATAGGAGCTTCCATAGCTGTTGTACAAACAAAAAATTTGCATAAATTTCCATTATTTCTTTTCGACTAAATCTCTTCCCTGCTTTAATAACTTTTAGTTTAGTACTATGAATAGTTATCTTGATATATATGCTCCAGGAGAGAAGGTCGACCTCAACTTAGCGAATAATGACGCTGACTCCTCGTAAAATATCGAAGACAGCATACTAATCTTTTTCTACTTTTTTTTTGGAGGGGGGGGGGGAGCTTAAGTATAAGATTTGAAATTGACATTTTCCAATTATTAGCGCGATGAATCCTACTTTACGTTATGAAGCACAACACTCGATACCACCAAAGTCTCAAAACACCTCTGCACAAAGGAGGAGGCGTGTGTCAACAGCTCATATAAGAGCGAGCAATGCTTTCAGCACGGCCCAAGCAAATTTTGATTATGACTTACTAGTATCGGATTGCGCTAATTTCCTCAACACTTCCATTGTGAATGACGCTGCCAAACGACTGGCAGATAATATTTTAGCAATAATGGGCTCGCCGACGGCCATGGATGCAGATGAAGTGAAAAGGCGTATCGAACAAATGTTACCAACCGATAAGACATTGAAATACCATCGCGGTATGTCTCTCTCTGACCAGGATTGTATGCATCTATGTAATTTAGCAGGTCGAATATTGGGTTCGCCTGCGTCCACTACCAATGTTACCATTGTTGATGAGTCAGATAGCGATAGTGATAAGCATAAAGATACATATTATAGTAGAGTAGCGGATGACGTTGAGTACATACGACATAATAACAAGGAAGGGAGAGAATTCACTCTTCCGAAACAGTTACCGAGTTTTATTGAGGCCAATAATCGAATCGAAGGAAAAGATACGACTCAATATGATATGGACGTCACTCCGTATGATAGTGAGGAAGATGATGCTCTCGTTCTTATGGTTCCATAACATTTCAAGCGGAGTGGCTTATTCAATGGACCTTTTATGCAGTTGGCTATGAAAAAAGTAATTTAAATAAAAATCGTCCCTTTTCCTTCCTCACTTTTATTTGAACATCTTTGCTTCCGATCTTCATGGGTAATAGCTGTATGAGTTGTGGGGGTTGCTTCACTGGGGCAGGATGTGTAAGTAGCAAGTCGATAATAAAAAACCATGCCGATGACAAAGCTCGATTCATCGCCCTATTAGAATCAGCGGCTGCACTCACTACACACCACGACAATCACATTATACCCACCATTTTGTCTGAATTATCAAAAAATGTTTTTCCCTCGCAAACAGTTCTAATTCAAGCCGTTGACGAACTTTCTCTAATGGATTTCCTGGATTTAGCACGGTTGCTCTATGACTACGGAATTGTAGGAAATCATATTGCTTGGGCCGGCGAATATTGTCACGGAGACGTTAATCACCTACACAAAATTTTGGGGAGTGACGATGAGAAGGAAGGAAAATTGCTTCTTTGTCGACATTGTAATGATCAAGCTGAAATGTTTGAACTGTTTAACCAGCTACCTTCAGGATCGGTCGGAAGAACTAGTCTAGGTGACTAATAATAGTCGAATAAACCATCTATTATAACATCGCAAGGACCTTCTGGGATATATAAGTCTTACCCGTTATTTCATCCTTAACGACAACAGATTAAGAATGGAAATGATTGATGAAGAGAATGCAACATTTGTGAACCTTCCGTTCGACTCAGTGAATAACGTTCTCATAGTAGGGAACGCTAAAGTACAAAATGAGTGAGGATGAACGATAGCGCAAAAACCACTCTATTGAAAATTAAATCATGGGATCTACCACAGTATTGTGAGGATGAACTAAGCTTATAGACAATGGTAAAGGACGAGGTTACAGCTAAATGAAAGATTAAATGGCAGCAATGCCATAAGAGTAGATATGAGTTTTGATTTTGCTATACACTAAATCATAGCTGGTGAATTATGTATTTATAGTCACTCTGATGCTATGAGATATAGTTGAGGTCATGTTGAAGTGAATTAAAACCCTTATCTATATGCCATCTAGTCTCGAAGTAGGCATTTCTCTTTCATATGTGGGGTATCATATTTTTGCTTTGTTGGCTTGTTTATGAAATGTGAATAAAGTCTCCTTAGTCCTTTTAATGTACGCCGAAAATTAGAGATAAGAGTGTTTGTAGTATATGTCAGGTTGTTATGTATAGTAATATGTTCCATGAGGTGTTGACCGCATTTACTCAGGTACATACAATCAGGCAGGATTAAACTTTGCCAAGGTCTATCTATATTGCAACTAATGTAAGTTACGTACAACATATAACAAGATAAAGACCCAAATATAATAATGTTACAGGAAGCAATTGAACCTGAAATTAGTGGCTAACCATAAACACATCCTCACAACACTGTAACCTCCATCAAACTTTATAGATGTATATAATCATTCTACTTCACTTGAAGAGTAATAAAGACACTAAGGTTAAAGTGACCGACTTCAACAGTTATAAATTTATCAGCTCACGCAAATATCTCGAGCGATGCCAATAATTGAGAAAGAGATAGGTAGTCAAGAGCAGCGATTCAATATGACCATGAGGACAACCAACAATAAAGTGTAAGATATTCTCCTCCGTAGAATTATGTGGTTTTTTTTGTTGATACAATACCAAATAACTACCTATTGTTTCGAGTGCAGGTATCTTTCTTTTGTTTAAATCAAGGCCACAATTTTATTATTCTAGATGAAGTCCAAGAAACATATAATGAATTAAGTGTTTAGATGTGAGAAAAGTAATAGATGAGATAATTTAGTTTGCAAGTGGTTCCAGAATATCCAGCAGGACTTATAGCCTGTATATTGCTGAGATAAAGATTCCGCATTTTCTAAAGTGATCCAAGACTAATCGAACACTGAAGCCGTTGTATGGAATTGTCCATAAACCAAGCCCCGGCCTCAATGATCGCGTTACCGATAATTTTTGCAAAGTCTTTCCAATATGTTGTTCATCAATTCTAGTGTATAGTCGGTAAAATCATTATCGGTTGGCAAAATCAGATTGAGCAAAGCATGTATTACTTCTCCAGAAGTCCGTAATATTAGTACGGTAACTTTTTATTTACGCTTATTTTAGTACATTGGTTTTTTGCTGCTAGATAAGACAATGCTTTAACGGAGACGACAAGCTGTATGTTCAGTTTCCGAGAGCCAAAAAATGGCGTTTTCACAGACCGGGCCTTAACGTTACGTATGATGGAATGGTCGTTATCGTCCTTGAATTCAACACGAACTTGGGGTGACACTACCATGGGAACCAGTACGGTTAGAACCTTGGATTCAAGCGAGTTTGACGGTAACTTTAAAGAATTTATTGTTTACATTTAAATAAGAAACTTGATACAGATAACTACAACTGGAGCTGTCATGCTATAACGGTGATTAAATGTTACTATAAATGATCATATACAAAAACTTAACTCTCTGGTAACTGAACAATTGTCTTTTTATTTTCCCTCTAAACCTTTGTGCTTATTCTAAAAAGTTTTTTTTTTTTTTTTTTGTTTAAATTCATGTTACATTTATTCAATAAAAAACAGACGGCAGAAGTAAAAGATTAGGAAGAATATATAGGTTTAAATAGGGAAGAAAGGCCTTGTTGATGGGTAAAAACTGATACTATAGACCTGCCACAGCTGGGAGGATCATCCTATGCCCGCCTGAGACAATGCATCGACGCTCTTAACAGTAATCTGTAAGGTGATCGATGATAATAGCCGTTGGTAAGCATTTTCAGTGGACCAAATTTCATGACTAATAACGGTAGACGACCAATGATACTTTCATAGAGTTTCCAGAAGGACACTCAACAACTCTAGCGTGTAGAGGTCCGTATAATTATCAGTATTGGGCAGTTGTAAATTGAGCAGTGTATGCAATTCTGCTGGGGTCCTTAGCACATTGGAAAGAGAAACGTGATCTAGGGCTTTTATTCAGTATCAGGGCAGCCAATTATAAAGCGATAGTCATCTTCGGTGGGTGCTGAACACAGCTTGCACGCTGCCGAAGGCCATCGTCGCGGTCTTATACGATGCAACGAAGCCTGAGTACTTAAATAGTTGCGAAGCAACCGCCACCAACAGGTAGTAACTTTATGTGGCAGTCTCAAAGACCAGAACATCTTCCAAAATCCGAGGATGGCAAAAGCCCGGTAAGACATATATAAGGAATCTGTGGGATGCCAAGCACTGGTAATGGCCCTGGTAATCTCTCATGAAAATAGCGCTGCGACCAGAACTGCCTCAGTTTACCAGGAGATAATTTAGCAAAAGGAAACGGTCTGATTGTCTCCAAGTTTAATAGTCCAGTGAGTACACGAAGGAGTCCAAACAGAAGCACAATGGTAATCATTTGTTGCGAACGCTGATCAGCATTCCGAAAACGTTTATCTGGCGGTGGAACATCGTTACGAACATGCGGAGCCATGAACTTTTTGATGCTACATCGCCATTATATGGGAGGAATGTCAGATGTTATCAAATCTAGTATCTCGCCTGCCTTAGTAAATTTCGGGCTATCTATCCGCAGAAAGTTGGTGAACATATTATACGGATATGACCAAGACACAGCGTTTGTTACCGTATAACACAAAGGTAGTTGAGTAAGATCGTATTGCTCATCAGCTGATATTGAGGCGACAGGAGCAATAGCAAATCTTAAAGGGGTATCCGCATACTAACAGCCTGGCCAAGTAGCATGAAACAGGAGTGCCGGATGTTCGGTAAGAAGTCTTTTAAGGACAGATAAAGTATGAGTTTTTTTTTTTGAACAGTGGCAAAAAGGTTTGTGCATGCTGCAATCATGGTACAAAGGAATGATGACCAGCACATAGTTATATACAGCAACCGATCAGTGGGGTAGTATAATCACTGTTGCTTTTCGGGTGAAGAATCCGTTGAATGTATATAAGCTGGAGGGCCAGATGCTGGTGATGTAAATCAATGACTCCTAGGCCACCAAGAGACTTTCGCAGACAGATGGCCAAGAAGGAGCCGGCCGAAAAGGTAAAACAAACTTACGAATGACGGTACGAATTTCATTCAACCACATCTTAGGCACTGGCACGACCCGCAACAAGTGCTATATCTTGCTGAGTATCTGTGAGTTGGCCAACAACGATAATACGCGGACGGAAAGACCTCGATCTTTCAGCTGACTGCAGTGCATTTTGATGATATTCGTTATACGATGGAGGTAAACATTCAATTGCTTGGCCGTTGAGTAGAGAGTGTGGTATTTGCTAGTTTTAACTATAAGATAAAAGGTAAAGAATAACACAAGAGAAAATAAACATGAAAGCTTAACGAAATCAAACCACCGTCTTTATTTCTCTTTCAATGACAAATTAAAAAAAAAAGAAAAGAAAACTAAGATTACTGCTATTAATACAGACTTATTGTGTTTGCTGTCTACGAAATGATTGTATCGAGATATATAGCTGACACTGATGTATTATGGTCAGATAATACTCTGTGAATCAGAGGTTTCCGTGAAAGAATAGCTTCCCTTTAAGTGGATAATTACTCGTCCATCCCAGAGCGGATTGATTTGTAATGTGCTATCTTGGCAGATGCAGGATAATCATACAGCTACATCTATAATCCAATATCTATCGGCCACCAGTTGTGTAGCTCATATACTGTGGGAATGATTATAGATGTTAGCTAGGAAGAGATATTCGTGCGTGGTGTTCTTTTGATTGCATGAACAAGTTGTTGTATTAATAAAGAGTGATTGAGCCTTTTTATCTCCAACGATACTTTATTTCTTGAGCAGGGAGCAGTACCGTGACCTACTTAGTTCTGGTTGTTGAATCAATATATCCTACGAGTGCATATACCAATCTTGCTATATACCTAAACGTCAGATAATCTATGTAAAATATATTTCATAAAGAGAACCTGTTCAGTTCTTATGTGAGGTAGCTAATCTCACAGAAGAATTAATCCTTAATCCATATTCTTTTTTTCTTTATTTGCTATACATTTGATCTAAGGTTCAAATGTATGCAATCGAACACACCGCTTACCAAACGGGAACGAAGATAAGAGCAGTACTCATATCTGAGATCTAAGTTTTATTTTACATTTCGTTAGACGTTTTGAGTGATTTACTCATATAATATATTGCCATCGTGCCTCAAATACGACAGAGAGGATAACTCAAATAAGAAACAATCGTTGCGTACCTGATAAGGATACAATGTTGGTCTTGTGAAGGCTAAATTTGGCATTTTCTAAAAAGTACTCGTGCTTTATCGTTTAGTGCAGCCCACATTAGCTACATTCACCACATAACATTTTTTTTAAAAATAAAGATGCGTGGTCGGGGAATCGAACCCCGGCCCTTCGCGTGGCAGGCGAAGATTATACCACTTAACCAACCACGCTTCGATATTATGTGAGATGTGGAATTTGGAGTTATCGAATAACAGCAAGGTCTTTCGGAGTTAAACTAATAGAATACACGTGATAAATCATTAGAAATTATTGTAAAGAAAATTATTATATAATGCAAGGAGCGATTTATAGATATCATAGTAGATCGGAAGTTAAATCGTATAACTTAGAAGTAGACGCGTGAGCTCTCTTCCTGACAAGAGAGAACTGAACTTTTAGTCTTATTATTATTATTTTCTATCCATCCGATTGGAAAGATACATCCATTACGTTTATTTGATTGCTTGTATAAAAAGAATCTACACGTTTAACCTCATTATATTTATTGAATTTGTCCCTGGATTTTTACAGTCGGTCTATTACAAATCTTGTCAATTGATATAGTTACTAGTATTTGCATAGTAGCAGGTTTACACACGTAATAATTAAATTGCTTTACAATAAAAATTGTAAGAATTTGCATTCCAAAATAATTAGTTCGAACCGGAGTAATCCAGAAGTCCGGCATAAAATCACGTATACTATTGAAGACAAACATTTAATACGTGACTTTAAATGTTACTTACATAACTACATACATCAATATACATATTAATTTTAGTATAAGTTCTATTCATAATATAAGAAGAACAAACCAGTAAAATTTCTTATATTCACTTTTGTTGATCTTCAAAGAATTAAGGTTGTTGTATTTGCTTATTTAAAAAATTGATAACAGTTGTAAGTCGATGACTATGAACTTAGGTGTCTTTATTATTCTTCAGATGAAGTAGAAGGATTATTTACTTTGTGAGGTTTAATGGGAATTATATTATTTGAGGACGCGTATGCTAGTCACTAATTTCAGGTTCAGATGCTTATTGGGTGATTATTATACTTAGGCCTACAGTGACTCACAAAAATGGCTCAATGTTTTGGGAATTTTGCATAATTTGTACTTCTTCTGCTCATACTGACAGTAATCTCTGTACTAATCTAGTAAAACGTTTACATATATGAAAAGAGCATCTTCCTAGCTTTCTAATAACACAATTTACATTAATTTGTGCATGACTTTTATATATGGTGGTAGACCGATAAAGCTGAGATATACCAAATTTTATTGAGTTTTCGTTCCTTTTATTTGCTATAAAAGAGAAACTATGTAAACTAGTACTTCGTCCAGCCCCCTCTAGCCTTAATAACGGCTTCGATTCTCTTTGGCATGCTTTCTATATGCCTCATGCATAATTCGGGGGTGACTTTGTTATACCAAACATCGGCTACACGCTCCCAAAGCTCACCTAGGTTCTTCGCTGCATTACCATACGAAGCAAGCTTGCATTTCAAATAGAACCATAAATTCTCGATTGGATTTAGGTCAGGCGAGTAGGAAGGCCAGTCAAGAACATTTACCTTATTTTTACGGAACCATTCTTTAGTCACTTTGGCCGTATGCTTGGGATCATTATCCTGTTGAAGGATAACGTCCTTCTTCTGTAGGCCATAATCCTCGAGGGTCTCCAAGAAATCACCTTTCAGGATATCGCAATACAATTTAGCGTCCATCCCGCCCTCTATCTTGGCAATGAAACCCGGGCCATGTTGAGTGAAGCAGCTCCACAACATCAAGCTTCCTCCACCTCCTTTGTAGGCATAGTTGACATTGTGGGCTTGGAGAGGTTCTCCCTTTTTGACCACGTCCATGTCTTTCCATCTGATCCAAGACGATTTATTTTTGTTTCGTCGCTGAAAACGACCTTCTTCCAGTCTTCAACCGTCCAATTTTTGTGAGCCTTTGCCCATTTCAACCGATTCTTGCGACGTTCATTAGTCAATGGCAATGCCGACTTTTTGATCTTCGAATCGAAATCGGCTGATTTGAGGAATCTGCGTATCGTTTGTGCAGATATTTCATATCCTTGTCCTCGAAGGTTCCGGGCAGCCTCAACCGCAGTAATAAATTGCCCAGTATAGAACGATCTTTCGACCGAGCAATGCGCTGATCTTTGCAGGTCTGCCCTTCTTGCCATTAGATGCACACGCAAGATCGGTAGCAATTCTGTCAACTGTTGCACGCGAAACGCCTAGAGACTTTGCAATATTTCTGTGAGAATCGTTTCCATTCAGTCTGGCAATAATATCCATTTTCTTGTCGTAAGGAATAGGTCTCATGTTGCAATTAGTGTTAATGTAGTTGAAATGTGTGGTAACGGTAATCGATGGAATCTAATGAGAGTTGTAATTGGAATTTCAGGGGAAAAAATGAAACATGGAGCTGCTTAATTATGTGAAATACAATATGCGAAACTGTCTGGCCCTCAAAATACATTTTTTTTTTGGTGTTTTTGGAAGTTCATTAGTGAATCGTGAATTTATGCAAAATGCCCGATTGTCGACATTGCAACAATTCATGTTCGTAATTGCAGATGAAGTGGTGCGATGTCAACGAAACTTATACCAATAGTACTTGTGGTATTGCTCTTTACTGTCGTATAGCTAAAATTAAGCTAAAAATACTCATTGTCCAGCTACAGTGAAATAACCGCAAAATGCAGAAACATTGAGCCATTTTTGTGAGTCACTGTATATCTTGTTCTATGTTGTACATAACTGTGATTTATGTCTTATAATAACAATCAAAGTAAAAAATAACGAGACTGCCAAAAAGGGTTCTGCTTTATTCATTCATTGAGGAGTAGGTCTTTTATATTTAAGTTAGTAAGACATGTGTTCCAGTGATAGTATGCTATTAACCATAAAACCCATGAGTGTATACAACCCTAGTTGTTTCTAAGTTGTTGTCTCATTATGCTAGACAGGGTTGTCTCAACAGATCATGACAATAACCTATATTAGATGCAATATAGATAGACCGTGGTAGAATGTATTCTCTACCTGGTTGTACGTACTCGAGTATTGTAGTTATTATCTCACCAAACACGTCAAAGGTTAATCAAAAGAGTTAGAATTCTGTGAGAACTTGTTATACTCTTTATTCATTGAAAATCGTACAAAAGAAAAACATATATAGATGAAAAATTTTCTATCTTTTAAAGGATGATGTGTTGGGCTGAGTAGAGCGGTTTAGTCGGTGTCATATAGACTGTTTAATCAAAGATACGGGTACCTTCACTATGGTTGAGCGCGGGTACTCACTCATCTGATGATCCTACAATTCTATATCTCTAACAATATTGCCAATATAATTGCTAGTTTCTCATTAGAATTAGATTTGTTATTACTGCTGAATAGAATTTTTATGTTATAATAGTATTCTACAATTTTTTTTTCAGTATAGTGTTTGAACATGATTTTAAATTCTTATGCAAACGCGTATCTTTGATTATGTAACTTCCGTCTATTCCCTGTATGGGCTTTCATAGACACAGACGTAGTATAATCTTTTGCTAATATAAGGTCGGAACAGTTGTCCAAACATACTGTATTCAGCAAGTATATCGAAAACCATTTTGATTATATTCAAGACAGTCTACTGGCATACGCTATATTCTTCGATTGTCTTTTACATTTGTTTAAACCATTTTCTTTAGCTATTTTTGAAGTTGCAATAAAAGTATAATTTCTATTTAGACTATTTTTAAATGGCTAATACATTCAATAAGCCAGGATGGATCTTTTAATTGACACTCAGATATCCAACCTGGTTTCTTCTTCACCTCCGGTGTCGTTATAACGATAGGCTTTTTAAGATCTATAGAGTCCTCTTTGTTATCATCTTTGTGCCCTAAATCTGCTGGCTTCTTCCTTAGAATCTTTCCTCCTCCTGCTTGTATCAGATTAACAAGGTCATTCTTTTTATGCTTTCCAGAAAAATCACCAAAGAGGAAGAACTTCATGTCGTAAAAAAATGGATCACTCTGAATATTATTGAGCGATATAATAAGTCAACATAATGTTACTTCTGAATTTATACAAAAACCAAGCAAACCTAAATACCTTTCTTTCTCTACCTATTTTTGGCGCCTCTGTTTTACCTGTTTTTTGATCACCATGAACTTCAAAAGCTGACTCAGGCTGCCATTTCTTCTCTTTTATGCTTTTGATCAGCCCTACCAACAATAATAGTTAGGATATTTACTTACAGAAGGTGTAAAATTCAGGTTTCAACTGGCTGTATAGAAACGACTGGCTTACAGCTAGGCTCGACCACCCACTTTCCTTCTAATAAACCTTGTAGATATTTTAGTGTTCTTTTGCAAAGCTTTTTGCTGTCAACGCTTGTAATAACGTGAGTGACTTCATCAAAATCTCTCATGTGGTAGTGGATTATTAATTTGAGTCGAGAAGAAGCGACTTCCTCTTTGATTTTGTTCAATTTTTTCTAAATGGTTTAAAGTAAGTAAATTCAGCAACTGACAATCCTCCATAAACTTTCATGCTTCTATATTTAATCTACCTCGTCTTCAGGTGTTAGACCTGTGTATATTACATGTGCTTCTGTAAGCTTACTCGTTTCTTCTGATCTCCTTCTCGTTGTAGGTGCTGTTAATATATCATTGCTTACTGTATTATTTTCACCAGGCACTGTTAACTTATAACCTTCCTTTTCTTTTCTTTTAACTGCTTTCGACGATTGTTTTTCTGTAGAAGGAGAACTCGTGTCTGGGTCTGTTTTGTCTTGAATTGGTAAAACTTCACCCTTACGATACCTAGAACATACTATACATGTTTGTATATATGGTTGATTCTGATAATGGCATTTGGTACATCTCCAAGTTTTCTCCTGGTCCTCCTAAAGAATTTATTTATCGTTAACATTTGAGATAAAGTAACAATACTTGTATAATAGAATAAATAATCTACTTTATCAACATCAAATACCGCAGGTACTAGTGTAGAGTCTTCTTCATCAATTACACTTGAAGTGGATAATTCTTTGGAGGCAGTCGTGTTTGTTGGTCCTGTTTGCAAAGATGCATCAGTGGTTAACGGTGTAAACGGGCCATTTTCGCTGGTGTTAAGCGGGATAGACTTAGGCGATGTTGTTACTGTGGGTGTAACTTTAGACCCAGGAGATGGAGTAATTCGATTAGCTTGACTCACTGTCGGTGTTGTACGATGGGTTGGTAAAGGGGATGGTGTTATCGTTACAGGGCTCAGGTCATTTGGTAAAATATCCTCCAACATCGCTTTCGGATCGAATAATTGCTGTTTATTCACTGGTTTTATTGGCAGCTTCGCTTTTTTACTCATTTGTATTGAATCGTAAGCTTCATTATCTTCCGTATCCTTCCCTAGTTGTCTCTTTTTGCCAGTAGCGGTAGAGGACGACATGCTGTCTGGGTCTTTGATATTATTGTTAAAATTCACATTGTCGATCTTTTGATTATTAACCATTTTCGTATCAACTTCGTCCTGTTTTCTCAACAAATCTCCGGATTTATTCTGCAGCGAAAGTTCTAAAGGTGTCAATGAATGAGGTAGTAACGCCTGCTTGAGTTGGCTAACGTACACCACTAAATTATCATGCATAGGATCCTTTCGCAAATTTCTAGCGTCGGCAGCTTTGTTGCAAATAGGACACGCAGCATTCTTTCGCAATCTTTGAGTAATGCAAGCCCTAATTAATATAATTACTGTAAGATAACGTCGTTTTCTTCCGCTGTTCTACTGCTATGAGACGTACTTGCAGAATCTGTGACCACATTCTGCAACAATTCGCGTTTGCCTCAGTGTGAGATGACTTTCAAAGTTGCTTTAGAACATCGAATCAGTAAACCTATCGAAAATAACTCAACATACCACAGTGAGCACTCAAGTAGCTCATCAATTTTGACTAAACCGTTGAACATGGGTAAATCAACCTTTCAGGTCTATTGTTGTTGATCGATCAGAAGATGGCGGGCTTATTTAGATGATTCAGTTTGAACAAAGAGGAAAAAAAAAAAAGGTTCTACTTAACTCCGTTTTTAATGCAGCTGCAACTATTCATTCTCCTAGCCTTAAAATTCTTAACTGCTTTGATTGCATCCTTCGTAAGTATTTTTGCCATCAAGGATATGTAGTTTAGCAACATATTTCCTTGTCACAACCATAATATGGATTGATCTAAGCTTTCTCAAAAATACTGTTTGAAACGTCATTGTTAATAACGTCATTCTCTGGTTTGAATAGTGTTATGGTTTCCCTTGCAAAATCACAGCACCGGTATGTTGATTAAAGACCATTGAAATGAGCCGGCTGGCATTTTTCTTATTGTTGAAATGCCTACTTAGATATAATATTCATTCTAATACCAGTACAAACAATAAAAATAGACTCACTTTGTTACCTGCCCTGTTTAGGGTGCAGTCGCCTTACTTTTTTGGTGATTTGGCTCCCACCCTCAATCAAAAGGACGAAAAATTATCTTTTGACTGAATTGTAAGAATGGTTTGATTGGAAGCTCATGATTACTCAAATACTGATGAAATCAGGATTTTTTTCCATTACCATTGTTCAGCTTTAAAATCATATCATTAGGATAACTTATACTTATTGAATCAACATCACCATGTTCCAGGCTCATTTCCTTCCCCTTTTTGGGAATCCTTTGATTTTTGCTCAAGCACAAAGATGCTACTATTGTTATGCAGGTTCTTCTTTGATTTTATTACGTACATAGCGATAAGATGGAGTTCAGAGAGCTTTCGACGTCTTACATTCACAATAACGAAAATCTTTGAGTGCCATTACCTTCGTTTGATATTCTTAGTCAATATCTAATTCGGCTTTAACGATTCAGTACAAACAAAATGAGTTTGCGTCAGGTTCTGTTATTTCCATAGAGGGGATGATAATTTTCATTGCTATTTTTTTACAAGGGATTTATTTGGTAAACGAGAACAGTAAAATAATGGGTTCAATCCTTTTGTTTCGAATCATTTTTGTGCATCGACTCTGTATCATAACTCCAAATAGTTGCCCTCATGCAATTGTACACATCGTTTGTCTAATAGAGAAAAGCGAATTGAGAACGATGAATTACATTAGTATAGATGGCATTCATTTATTGCTGAATAATGGTATACAAATATACACAGAGAATAAAAATTGGAGTATAACAATGGGTGGGAAGCAGTAATTATAAGCTGATAACTTTTCAGTCAATTATTGGCAGCTTTGCGGCTTGTTAATCCTTATTGTCTGCTTTCACACAGTTGTTAACTACAGTATCAAGCGAGTACAGGCATTATCCAGCGAAGAGAATGACAGAGAGGTAGGGATTCTCAAACTTTTTCTCGCTGTACCTAAAAGTCAAAAGGAAGATGCTAAATCACTGAGGAGGGCTAGACTGATCTTTCCAGTCAAAACAACAGTATTTATGCATACTTAAAGAAACTAAATTGTTACTCCTTCCTCTTTTTTTGAAGTCGAAAAAGTATGCCTTACACTAAAGAAAAAGCCTGCTGGATTTACCCATGGTCATTTCCACAAGCTACAAATAAACAAGTAGCTATTCTACGCATTTTGAATATACATAAAATGTACTATTAATGCTGCAATCTATATTTGGATCTGTCTGAAGTAGCTTACTCTTTTGAATTCTAAGCAATTGTCTTACTTTCTCCATAAACATGCTAGTATGCACTATTGACAATACTACTCAAAATGGCCGGTTTGGCAAGTACATTTATAATGTTGGAATTCATTAGTTTGTAGCACTCTGCTCTGTTAAGCGACGTGTACGTTAAAACTTATAAGTTTCTGAGTAGCGCGTGTATATTCAAAAGGTGTGGTCTAATTCTTGTTTATATGTTAATGGCCGTATAGAAAATACCACACTGTTCCTATCTCATATTTTTATCGAACGAACGATTTGTTCAAATTCCCGAAAGTGTTTGAACTAATGTATAAGAAAGATATACTACGAGAATCTAAGACGAATTAGTGGCGCTTTTACATACGACTAGCTGCCTTTTATACAAGCCTTGAATAGTTTATAATCATTTTTTTCTCTATAGTACTACGACTGGCTTTGCAAGTTTCTAATATGATCAGTACTTGTGCTTTAGGATAATTCGAACACATTGACGTATAGTAAGTACTAGGCGTAGCAGTATGTTCAATTTAAAATGGAAATATGCAAGAACCCTCATTCTCTAAAATATGAATACCTGTCGAGAGCAATTTCTAAATATAGCGTCTGAATACTCGTTCTGAGCTTAGATTTGTACATTCCTGCAGAGTAAGAGCTTCAGAATTGATACCCGATGGCCATTGTATTATACGTGTGGTTACATAATCACTACAGAGTAGCTGATGTACCGCATTACGAGCACTTGCTTTCGAGTGGACAAGAAGTACATAATTTGAAATTAGTCGAGCTAAATTTAGTAGTTCGAATAGAGTTGCTAGTCTGAAATAATCTTAAAAGACAGTACTTCATCTGTTGCGGACAAATACATGTAACTAAACAACTTGTCTAAATTGTTAACAAATACTCTATTCATTTGCGACAGACTGAAATTAGCAGAAATACTTTTAGGGACTAGCATTGATACGATCGTTAATTTCAATACATTGGCACGTTTCTAGCTGTTTGGTCCAATTTACTAAGGCCGGTTCAACTACTTCTTTTGGCTGTTAATTGCTTACAGCATCTGAGCCTAGAGTGTGTGAGTTTTCTTTTGATAGACAGAATCAACTAAAGTTATAGACCACCAATTGATAGAGAACGTGCCATTTGGAAATTTAAAGTTATTCCAATCGAATCTTATTGAAACGAAACGTGGATTTTTGGATACCACCGTTTGGTGAGGCCGTCAGTACTGTAAGCGGTTACAACTGTACTTGTTGTTAACTCACGTCAAGCTACTAACTAAGTATAATGTCGCCTTACCGTTATCACCACCAGTAGCTTTTTTTTTTTTTTTATTATTATTATTATTATTTCAGAAGAGAACTACAGAGGGTTATCTGATGGTTGTACTGGCTGTTTCTATTACTGCTACTGTTGGTTTTTATCTATTAGAGTTATCTTCAAACACATACAATTATAGAAGTGAACAATGACTGTCTGAGATTAAATTGATTTTTCTCTTTTTAGAGAGAATATTGATAGGCAACACCAACCTCATTTTTTTACAATTACTGAAAATCACATGCAGTGATCAGCACATTAAAGTTCTGTTTCTTGGCTTTGAAAGAGCTACTAAAGAAAAACTTTGCCAACATCAGCGAAAACTGGTTTTAGCCCTCAGGTATAGCTTGTGCTTTTATTCAACATGAAAGACTGCGAGACTACAAGAGAACTGGTAAAAGGATAACGACAGAGAGTCCATAAAGTCAATCAAACTATCTAAGCAGGTACGCACGCAAGGAACATGTTCCGTAATTCTAGGGGTTAATGTTGTACCTGTATGAACAAAAATAACCTTTAGTCTAAATTGGCTAAAAAAAAACGGAAGTCATTAGAAGAAACGATCGAATACGATCTACAATTAAATGAGGATTTGTTGAATAACTAACTTATCGAACAACTTGATCCATGTCAAAATAGCACAACTACAAGTCAATCTTTCTAAGACACTCTTGATTCTGTAGACACTTGCTTTTATGGCCTTTAAAGTGCATAGCTTGGATCGAATAAGTTGTTTCAGTTTTGTTTGTTTTTGTTCTGTTTTATGGTTTAGAAAGGCTGCACAAAAAGAGCTTTTTTTTTTTTTCTCCTGAATTGCTCCTGAAATTGGCTAAAGCGCTATTTGGGCTGAGGGAACCTTTTTTTTTTTTTCACTGAACTATTAAAACGAGCAATTTGTCTTTGTAAAAACAGTTCTCTTTCTTTATCACTTTTATATATTTTTTCCATAAGAATATTATATTGAATTGAATATTGAATACGAATACTGATAGTATGTACACCATGCAGGTAAGCGAAGACATACAATTAAATATATTATTATACGCTATTACTATTAGCACTATTGCTACGTTAAATGGCGCTAATGAACAATTGTTTTGTTTTTTGATCAGTTCTTGACATTAACTTCTTCGCAAGTTGTAAAGAAGTTGGAAGAATATAAAACTTTATTCAAGGAAAAAGACACCGATGACAACTGGAAAAAGAAAGATAGGGCCCTTTATGAATTGCGCCTTGCAGTCGAATCATTCGAAAATGCTGACACTTATGAGAGAGATGCTTCAAGAGAAGAAATTTTCGTGAAAGGCGTACGCGATCTTCTTCCAAACTTACTTGGCACTGTAAGTTCTCTTGCTCAAACTACACTCGATCTAAACATCATAATTAATGAACACATTTATGTAGCTTCTTAGTTTGAGAACTTCCCTTGCCATGGAGTGCCTTTTATTAATTGAGGCTGTTAGCAAGCACTTCGGTGGTCATCGTATTGGTCTCCACTTACTTGAACTGACTCTTTCCGGTCTATTGAAATGCAGCAGTAGCCGCCGCAAACTTACTGTAACCAAATGCTTTGAAGTCACTAAGGTCTTCTTGAAGAACGTAGGCTTTCAAGCAAGACTATTCCAAATGTTATACAAAGGGATGGACGACAAGAATCCCGACTTGCGAAAGCATATAGCAGCTTTCATTGGCGTAATAATAGAAACCTATGGTCCAAGGAAGATGATCAACCCTGAAGAAAAGCCAGAAGTTCATGTAGCTTTGCATTCCTGCTTCTATAAGAAAGGACTAACAGATGCTTCACCTACCGTTAGAGAAGAATGCAGAAAGACATTCGTAATCTACAGTTGCCTTTGGCCAGAAAAAGCAGACCACATACTGTCCAGTTTAGATTCGACACCTCAACGTCAACTCAAAAAATACATGTCAAAACCCGGTATCGCAGCATTGGTGGTGAAACGCAAGGAAGAGCTTCATTTGAAAACCTTGGAAAATAGTTCAGCTCGCGCTTCTAAACATGCTACACCAACGACATCGTCCTCCTCAACCATCGAAAAACTTGCAGTCTCATCAAGTAGTCAAAATGCTAACTCAAGTAATGACCCTGAGTCTTCGTGCCCGCCGGTGTCGGATACTAAGTCGGAAGTTCCACTTTCTTCAAACAATACCAAGAACCCTCTCAAAAGAGCAGCAACATCTTCATCATTGATGTTACCACCATCGAAGAGAAATCGCGTAAATGATTCAAGTAGTCAAGATTCCAATTCAAGTAATACCTCTGAGACTTCGTGCTCTCCTGTGTCAGCTACTGAGGTGAAGGCTCCACTTTCTTCAAACAATACCAAAAACCCTCTCAAAAGAGCATCATCATCATCAACGTTGTCGTTACCATCAGCCAAGAGAAATCGCGTTATGGGTCCCTCCAAAATACCAGTCTTGCGTACTGCAATATCTTCGAACGGTAAACCCCTTACTGTTCGGCAACAAGAACTGGCCCGTGCATGTGCTCTACCAAAAAGCTTAACGAGAGGTTCCCTACCTACAGCATCGTCGAATTCTGAAGATTGTAAAGACTTCATAAAAACTGAAGACGCATCTTTCATAAAAACTGAAGACTCATCTCCCATAAAACAGGAAGATGTTAGCAACAGCAGCAGCAGCAACAGTGACAACAGTGCCAATAATCCTCCTGATAGTCCTGAGGGTCCTCTATTAGAATCTATCTCAGCCATGGATTTGCCAGATTTACAGAAAATGACGCCAGAGTTAAAATTAGAAGAATTAACAACGCCAGAATTACAGACAATGACGCCAGAGTTGAAGATTGAAGAATTAACACCAACAAACAGTACGGCTATACCATCTTCAACAACACTTCCTACAACGCAACCTTTAGCAAATACTGCAAGTAATCAAGCCATCGAAGAGGTGATCAAGTCTGAGGTCTCGCTTCCTGTTGAAGGCGCTGTTGCAAAGCCATCCGATTATCTGACCACTGCGGACGGTGACATTGAAGATGAAGTCTATATCAAGATGGAAGACGAAGATGAAATTGTGGAGCATCACCAACAGATACCAAAAGTCGCTGATGCTCCCAATTTGTTACAAGAAGACCAGAAAATTGACGTAGCAAGTCTAGCGTTAGATACCAATGCACACCAAGTTCCCCAACCGCTCCTTCCGCATACTCTTCATCGTGATGATGTTCTCCAGCGTGTCTTAAACGCAATTAATTCGCCCAGCAACCTACCCAAAGCTGAAGACTTTGCTAGTTTCTTAACGCGAATCGTTAGAAGAGGTGAACTTTGAAAAAGCTTTGAAAAGTTAATCTTTCTTCCGTTAAAAAGTAGTATTTATTTTTAAATCTAAAAGATTTGTCATAAAAATTCATTTTAAATTTTAGCAGCTATAGTTCTCTATCTATTAACAAAAATTAGTAAAATAATAATAAAAAAAAAAAAAAAATAATAATAATAACAGACCATGACAAAAGAGAGTTGTAACGTGGGTCAATAAGAAGAGGTGTACCATATGTACACGCACAAAAATAGGCTGATCAGCTTATTGGAAGAGGTAGATGAGCCATTTTCCTCTATTATAAGATAGTGAACAAACGAGTCAATCTTATTTAAACCATCTGCTTATAATAGAAAAAGATAGTACATTTTGCAAAAGCGAGGAGACTGTTTCTATCAAATGAGCCGATCAAACTTGCTGTTCAAACGATGAGAGAATCTGGTTGTTGGGCTATAACAATTGAAGAATATATCAAAGTTATGAAAGTAATAGGTGTTTATAATAGTCATCTTGCCCGTAAGTGACAGTGGCGTTGATAGGCTAGTGCCGAGCTATGGGTAATAGTAATTCATCTTTTGAGCAAGCAGATGTTATTGGTGAGTGTTGTAGAAGTAAAAACGCAAGTATTTGCTGGGATAAGGAGTGCTAATTGTAGTGGGTTCAGCAGCTATATTGGATGAGCGGTTTTGGTAAATTGTACGAGCCTTTTTGACAGCTGTTATCCTCTTGGGTTTTATTGACCTGAGTATGGAACATCCATCTTGTCGTTGAGCAAAATTAGCACAAGCGTAGCACAGTATGCCGGTCATGGTTTTTATATAGATGTGTTTGGCGTGGCTTTCCCTCATAACAAAAATAGTTGGCGTGGAGTACATTATTCGGGAGTTGCTGGCAAACAAGGCCCTCAAAGTATACAGTTACCTTTATGATGTATTGAAGTAATTCTTAACAATCACATAAAATGAAGCGTTATTTAAGAGAATAAACTTAAGGATCGTTCTCTCAGTATACAGATCACTTACAGAAGAAGCAAAGCAATAGAAGTTCAACATTGTTTACTATCATCATAATGCTGTGTTTGTCAGGCGTGCATAGTATGTGCACTGGTCTTTCATACATTTCACTGTCATTATCTTATAAAAAATATTGCAGATGATTGAATACTTGACCAGGGCGGTATCACAATTACCAATGTCCTGTTGCTTTTCAACTGTAGGCCGTTCAAATGTGCGACTTAATTCCAAAGGGTATAGTTTCAAAAAAGGCTAAAACACAACTGGTAGCTTTTCCTCGTACAGAAGGTTAAGTGAGCCATGTCCATGGGGTTTGGTTCAAAGAATTAAATATACATAGTATTTCTAAAATGTTGGTGTCAGAGATAGATATATATACAATAGATAATCAAGGTATACTCAAGAAATTTAGTAAATGCAAAGCTCTAGCTTATTAGTACATTTTTGTCAACGTAAACAATCTTGATCTAGATTGATCAAAGCTGCCTTCCCATTGCCAGTGATTACTGATTCTTCCATAACCAACCTTGTCTGACGGTATAAACGCTCTAAAGAAGACGTTGGATTCTCTCCGAGGGATACTAAATATGGCAAGAGGACAAGTTAGTGCGTGACAATTAGCTCTATCCATAAATGCTCTTACTATGTACCTAAAATGGCTGAATATACTTCGGATGCAATGCGTTCGGTATATTGTGGTGAGTAAAGATGGGCTACTGCAGGATTTGATAGATCAGTATAAGCAAGTGCAGAGAATGAAGTCTACACGAAACAAAAATACACATCAGACGTGTACAATAATTTCAAGGAAGTATGTTTCCGCTTTACCATCAGTTCTGAATAGACTATTGGATCCACTGCCATTTTATCCTCGTACTCTTGTCTCAAACATATGCCGTAAGCTAGTGCGTCGTTTAAATGTCCTGTTCGTTTTGCGCTATCTTTGGTAACTTTCTGTTTCTTTTTTGTACGCCCAGATGGAATGCCATCCTCCCTCAGACCGCGTTTCTCACCCGTATTCTTTTCTTTGGCTGATATACGGAGGTTATCTGTTTGATATTCATCATAGTTGGTTGAAGTTCCTTGTATAGCATCTGATTGGGCTTTTTGTACCATATCCAAGAACTTTCGACATCTTAACTTGAGGAGAAGTAAAGGATTATCTTGCAAAACATTCGGATAGAACTTTGTAAACAATTGCATTGCTTTATCGGTATTTCCTGCTACTATCAATCTACATATTTCTATACCAACTTTCAGTGTCTCTACTTCTTCAGGTCACTGATTTCGCTTTTGTTTGTATGTCATTTCATGTTACCTTTATGCTTGGAGATTTGGTCGACTTCTTGCTTGGTATTGATCAATCTTCCCAATAAGCGAGCCGTTTCATCGTACCCACTATGACTTAGATATTCCATCACAATTTCGTCTGTCATATTTTTGAAATCAAAGCTACTCTTGATATCTGCTGTAAATACAGTTGTAGAGGATTCAGGGTACATAATTTTGTGTAAAAGCTCTGTCTTTCCGTTCGCAACGTATTCTTTAATATCAAATTTGAAAGGTTTATGTCCGAAATTTGCCTCGATTCGCTCCGCTGTCCTCATTCCAACAATAGGGTATAGATCAACATTCTTTATCTTTTGAAATGCTTTTCCTAGATAACGTCCATTTTTAGTATAAAACAATGACTTGTTTCTATAATCCACACCACATCCAATGATATCCCCTATTCAGCGATAAAATAAGAGTGGGTTAAAGGGTGCGTCCCTCTCCTACAAAAAATCTGTGATGTTTATACCTGATCCCCACTTCGGGCCATAACTTATTCCGAGACCTTGTCCAGCATATAGCTTGCCGTCCTCTCCATGATATCCCCAAGAGTCGGGTTCCCAACCTATGCATTTGAAAAGTATATTTATCGTTTTTAGCCCACGTAATGTATAATGAATCAAAAGTGATAGAAACTTACCTGGGAATCTATCGAAGTTATAAGCTTGCTTAGAGAAGCCAATCGCTATATCATTGTCAATCGATTTTGACAAGACCTCGATTTCAAAATAATATATTCCACATTGTCTTTTAATAGCACGGTTGCCTCGCACTGTTCCAATTTCGGTATCATCTTTACCGTTACCTGAAATAGATTGATTAAATTTAACATCAAAATTCAACAGTTTGTTCGTCTAAGCAAAAGTTGAAAAGGATTTGACTAGACAACTATTTATTTTTGCTTACCTCTGCAATAAATTTCCAAGCCATTCAAGCTGATATCCAAGTTTTTGTTTTTGACTTCTCGCCACCATCCAGTAGGCAGACGGAAGTCTTGTTTAATGAGAGCGATTGTGCTGGGATTATCTAAAACAAACTTTTTCAGTGCCTCATATTGTGAGTGGGAGGGTGCATATCGATCTTTTTTGCCTTGTTCGGCTTTTGTGGTGGTTTGTTCATCGTACTTTCCGTTGCTGTTCCGTCCACAGACAGGCTTCCATATATTATTCGTTTTGGATACTGTACTCTCTGGCAGATCGACAAGGTCTCTAGCTGAGGTGTAAATGTGATACTGTTTCTGCAAGAGCTGAGCAAATGCTGTATCCATCAAATAGGATGGGATAAATAGAGGATCTTCTGAATATCTTGCATAGAACTCAAAAAGATGCTCTTTAAGAGCTTTATGTTCGGATGTATTTCGTGCTGGAAACCGCTCCATAAAATTTCTAATTCCGTAGCCAGAAGGAAGATATATTTCTCTGCGTGAAGATGTCGCTGACATGAACAATCTACTAATGCTTCAATCGTCGAAAATAGTTGAAGAAACAGAAAATGAATGATTGGGGCCTGAAAAAAAGAGAGAAAAATACTCAATAATTTGCATTATGCCGTTTTGTTTTTTTTTAAACAACCCAAATGAGCGGTTTCAAATGGGGGTGTATCTATTTGTGACTTACTTTCGTTCGTCCATTGTATTGTTCCAGGTGATCTGGAGGAATCAGGTACGCAATCATTCAATTGTGGGGAAGATGAGAAAATTTCAATTACAGAGCATGGGCCTTTGCTTCTTATCTGAAAGAAGACGCAGGAATGATAAATTTATCGCGGTTTATATAGATTTCCAATCGAAGATCAATAGAGATAGATGATAAATTCTTCATGGTAGGTAGCATTCGAGAATAAATGTTGACAGATTGGATTTGCTTATAAAAGTAAAGCAGACATTTGATAATACCTTGACCGTGCTCGACAGTGCGAAACCCTTGACACGCTTATATCTGTTTTCTTTGATTGATCATACCAAATGCAGCATAGCAGGGCTATGTTCGTTACTGTCCTTTTATCAGAGTCGATCACAACAAATCTTTGATGAAAATCTTGAAAAACCACCCATTCTTAGTGTTACTTTATCTGAATAATGGTGATTTGGATGCCATCCTATTGTTTAGATTGGCCGTTCGTTAGCTCGGGTGCATTGCTCTGCTACTCTTGACTCATTTAACATGAATAGGCCTTGAATGATTCTACACCTTGAAACTTTGACAAACAAACAAAGCTCGTTTAAAAGTTGCTCAGTTTTCAATGTTACATGTATTCATTGTTTATCGGTAAAGCCAGATTAGGGAATATTCGATCTTGAATTGAAGCCCACATCTCACTAGTACTGCTATTGTCACACAGTAGCATACAAAAACTCGCCATTGTTGGCAAACAAAAAGACAGCAGTGAATTTGATTGCTTGAGTTTCAGTGGTTGTTAACCCATGGGTGCACATCTATGTCGTTTCCTGGAACGATTACTATACCAACTGTGGTAGTTTTATTAAAAGTTTTCCAAAAAATTTTCTCGATTTTTTCCAAGTAGCAGCCATTCTGCTGTTGTCATAGCATACGATAGGAAGCATTGCACTGCCCGCGAAATTATACTTAGTATAGATGTGTATGTTTGGGCAGCAACACACAAAGTTACATGTGACTCTTTTTAGGTACGAAGAAATTGCTTGTTTTGGATAGAATGGAAAAACAACGTCTGCTTTTTGGGATAAGATATTTGCTGTGCGAGAAAGGCCGAAGATCATTGAAGAACGGTAAACATATCTAATTTAAGCAGGTTTGTTGACCTTTCTTCTTTTGATTATTTTATATTGAATTGTGATTTATACTTACTTTCTGCTGAAACCTCACATTTCTTTCTTCTTCCACTGTTTTCACTTTTTTTTCATATTTTTCTGCAAGACGGCAGCATATTATCTTTTTACTTTTTTGTACGCGAAGCTTTACTGACTTTCACTCAAAATCGAACATTCAAAGAAACAAACTTAATAAAAAAAAAGCTGCTATCCATTTTGGGGAGTAACGCACCTCTTTTTAATTTTTCTTTGCAAATACAATAAATCAAATCAGTCTTGACACTTCTCACTCATAAACAAATCAAAATCGACCATTGCATTCCCAGAAACATCATTTACGGAATGGCGTATCCTCATCGTAACATGCACAATGACACCTTTGGCATTCCTGTAGCACCACCTCAGAACCAAGATGTCGAAATGGCAACTGTGTCCGATAGCAGCAATTCTTCTCCTTCAACAACAGCTATAGAATCAACAAGCGCCGCTATTTCGAAAGAGCGACGGCAATTTTTCCTTAGGAGATCAAATAAACGACATGGCGATAATCAAATGCATAAATCTAATAGATTACGCACCTCCCCAACGACGAGACGAGTTGTGCATTATCACAGTCTACCACCAGAAATTAACAAGCAAAGTAAAAGAATAGGTAAAAAAAAAAAAAAAAAATAAAAAAAAAAAGAGTCAATGTGTTAGAGAAACTGACCTGATTGTTCATTTTTTTTTTTTTTTTTTGATATAAAATAAAAAAAAGATTTTACACAGAAATTACCTGTCGAATTATGTACATATATCGTATCCTTACTTGATTTTGACACATTACTCGCTATTCCTAAAGTGAGCAGAACATGGGCCAGGCTTTTCTATATTGACGAAGTATGGAAATACAAAACAATGGAGAAACAATGGAGGCTGAAGATTCCTCAAGATATTCTATACTTGACTGAAGAAGAACAGACGTGGTATTATTGGTATAAGCAACGACATCAATTAGAGACACGGTGGAGGTTAGGAAAAGTGGCTTCTCACTACCTACTAGGACACCTGGATAGCGTCTATTGTCTACAATTTGACGACTATAAAATCATTACAGGGAGTCGAGACCGAACCATTAAGATCTGGGACATACAACAGTACCAGTGTATTCATACTTTGGAAGGCCATCAAGGAAGTGTTCTTTGTCTACAATATGACGATGAAATCATTGTATCTGGATCTTCAGACCATACAGTCATTGTATGGGATATGCGAACAAAACGTGTCCGAGGCCGACTTCATGTAAATGACATCCTGTCATGCTGTTTACGACAACCCGTTTATTAACGCATTTATTATCTTCATTCAGGGCCATACTGCTGGTGTGTCAGATGTATCCTTTGATAGCAGATATATCATCAGCTCTTCCAAAGATGGTACCATCCGAATTTGGAGCAGGAAAACGTTTCAACCTATACGGATGATTATGGGACACGAAGGACCCGTGAATGCTATACAATTAAAAGAGGACTTTCTTGTTTCCGCATCTAGCGACGCATTAATCAAATTATGGCAAATCTCAACAGGCAATCTGATTCGAGAATTTGCTGGCCATAAGCATGGCTTAGCTTGTGTTCAGTTTGATGGTAAAAGAATTGTCAGTGGTTCAAACGACCATACTATCCGAGTGTGGGATGCAGAGGTATGAAAATAAGAAAGAGAAGCAACAATGCACGAGCTTTTTTTTTTTTTTTTTTTTTTTTTTTTTTTTTTTTTCTGATTTGCTGTGTCCCTAACCCCATTTTTCTTTTCTGTGTTCTCTTAGACAGGATTATGCATTGGTATATTAGAAGGTCATACGGGTCTCGTAAGAAATCTTCGCCTACGTGGTAATAAGATCGTCAGTGCCAGCTACGATCAGACCATTCGTGTATGGGATATAAAGTAAAGAATTACACAGAAAAAAAAAAAAAAAAGGCCCCATGATTTTTTCTTCTAAATCTTAAAGCTTCCTTTTTTCTAGTTCAGGAGCCTGTCTTCTCAATTTCCAAAGTGGACACATGAGTTGGATCTTTGACGTGCATTTCGATAAAAAACGCATTATCAGGTAACTTTCAGCATCTCACAGTGGTATTATCAGACGCTTATTCTTAATGTACAGATCTCCTTTGGTTTTGTGTTTAGTGCGAGCCAAGACAGAAAAATACTCGTCATGGACTTTGCTCACGACTTGAACATCAAGTGTCTAGACTTGGACTGATTCTTTTGCTGTCAAAAACTTTTCCCGTCTGTTCATAATTCTTGTAAAAATATTCTTAGTAACTTAATTTATCCTCCTAATATCATATTGTAGTTTTCCCGTTTTACTAGTATTGTAACTTTTCTAGTTTTTAATATCATATGTATATAACTTGCGTATACCTCTCTGATTGTATTTCTATCCTTTTTTACCACACAAAAAAAAAAAAAAAAAAAAAAAAAAAAAAAAAAAAAAAACCATACTTAGCTTGTTCAAAAGACCATCAATAAAGGATTATTATGCCTAAATCAGTATTAGCAATAGATCAATTACTGCTTCAGACCCCATGATTCTCAAGTTGAAAGTTAGACAAATCAGCAGCTTTGAATGCAGTATCAGAAATAAATCGTTTGGCTTGCTATGACATAAATGACAGTAAAGAAGCATAAAGCCGCTAGATTACACTAGCTAATTCTGTCTCACAAAGCCTAGAGTATCGACTGCAAATATCGACCAACAAAAAGCAATGGAACTTGAAAAACAAAATACGACGGGGCCCGCCGACGGCTTGCAGCAGAAGGAAGGAAGTGCGGGAGCCTTTAGTTTGCGTCATAACTACCTAGAGATCCTCCTTAGTCAAAAGAAATAAATGAGATGAGGTACTAACTAACTTAACGACGAAAACTCTGGTCAGTAGTAAAAGACAAAATATTAACTATTTTACAAACGAGAACAATAAGATTGCAAACGATCATACATTGATCGTCCAACCATTCGAAAGACGCATGTACATTGTTACACAAAAACCTATTTCAGAGAACAAAAGAAAGGCCCTGTCGCCATCTCCTCTATTGTTCTCCCATTCTTAAGTTTTTTTTTGTCTGTGCTTTTTTGTCACACAATACAATAGTGAACTAGAAAAAGAAAAATAAAATAAAAAAGGATTCCAGATAAAACTGTGGTCTTGGTGTCGTAATCTAACAAGTCTTTTACTGTCTTCATGCTGCTACATTGGCAGTCTTTCATAAACGGATATGTAATTCAAATTCCATAAGATATGCAACGCTCAAAAACGCGTGTTCAAAGTCACCGCATTATCAGGGCACACACAAAAAACGCTAAAGTCATTCTTTGCATAAACCATTCTTGTTACAAGGCAATTACATGTCAAATTGACATGAGTGGTTGATGAAAAAGTAAGCCTAACCTTAATCGAAACTTACTGCATTGTGTGGTTTTTTTTTGGATTGTAATTTTATAACTTACACAAAAAAAAAAAAAAAAAAAAAAAAAAAAAAAAAAAAAAAATATAAGCATTTGATCAATTCATGCTGTCCTTCAATCAGAACCTTTCCTTTGGCAACTCTTTTTATTTAAAAGCATGTGCTTCACACGTTTGTTTTAGAATATATGTGTTGAGTGCCCAATGCTGAAGACGTCTTCACTTTAGATGGTTTAGAGTCTGATCAGATCGGAGGGAATCAATGATATTAGAGCGAGTAGAATATAGGTCAAATTCCTACAGAATGAAAAGATATACACTTCTCGATCAATTTTTCTCTACGTCTTCTTTGTATTTGTGTAAAGCAGAAAATAGCCGCTATTCTTTTTGTGTTTTCAGAGTTATATGTGTAACTTTTCACAACAAGATATTACCAAGATTAAAAATTGAGCCGCTCGATCATAAACACAATCGAAAGAGAGAGATACAGAAGTATAATAGGTTGCTATTCTTTCTTCCGAACCAATTCCCGCTTAGAGAAAGCTTACTATTGCTTCTATTTTTTCATACTAACCGTATGAGGGATCAAAGACCCTTTAAATTTGTAAACTTTCTACGTTAAGACAACCCGGCACAGATTCTAGATATGGGAACACTTATGTATACATGTATTTATATATTCCTTTAAAATGTTTTATTGAAGCTTTCTACTGAACCAGACTATAATAACATCTATGGCCAAAGCGCCAGACAGAAGCCCCTTAACCAGCACCAAGAGAAATATTTTTGTCTGTTTGTCAGCTTCGGCAATTTGACAGCCGTTTTTCTCGGCTACATATTTTATACTTTGCTATGAAGGCCCTTGTTGTACATCCAATTATACAACGCTGAAATAGTAAATCAAACCTATCATCGTTTACCTCCTCTCCCTTTACTTTCAGGTGACTCAGAAGTACACCTGGTACGAATGCACTTTATTGAACTGGAGAAAAAAAATGAGGATACCACGATTACAATCTCTTTCTAAATTCTCGTACTGCGTGTCCAAACATGCTAAAGTCACACTAGCAACCAGAAGTAGTAGCCGGCTTAATATTCTGTCCGAGTTGTGTAGTATAGTGTATATCTTTTGTTCTCTCTCACTCTCATTGTGTATGTGTGGGTATGTAACAGTGTACTTTTTCAACTTTGATTGAGAACAATATAAACTCTCTCTACGGCACAGAAAAAAAAATTCCCTTTTAAATTGGTCAAAGTTTATTGTAACCATCTCCAACTCTACTACTCGCACACGTAATGCAAATATAAAAAGGTCCTCTTGAAACTTTCCTAGACCCTATCTCTTCTCTCCTTCCCTTTCTTTTTCTGTTACATTTTCGCTTTTCTCCATTTCTTTCCATTAGGTTACATACATTTAGTAGTAATGGCTGCATATCCTACGTCTAATAATACGCGTAATAACACACAAGACAGCGTCTTCAACAGTTTCTCTTTGCAGTACAGTGATATACATTACAATCAAGCGTCACGATACCCATCACTCTACAAACAAAATCAGCCTTCCAATGTACCAAGTTCTTATTACAACGCTCGACTCATAGATGAATCTTCGCAGCAATTTATGATCACAGACTATGAAACCTATTTGTTTCCTTGTTCAAAGGCACCAGAACTCACGAATCCGGATTTGAATTGTAAAGTCGTTTTAAACAGTCATTGCTTTCATTCATACATTTTATACTAATATTGCAGTTTCGTTAAACATAGTTTTGTTCAATAGTTATAGCATGTTGAATCAGCAAAACGATCTTATGATGACTGATGATATAGTGAATAATAAGAGCATTAGTAGTAGCAGTAGTAGTAGTCCATCTACTCTAATATCCTCTTCTGACTCACCTGCAAGCACTGTTGCAGGGAGCACGAAGAGACAACTACAATTACATTCATTTGAGCAACAACAATATTCTCAGCAACAACATATGTATGAAAAAATTGAACAATTACCTCAACAATTAGCTCTCTTTAACAAACCTGACCAATGCTTTTTCAATGAGCAAGCAATATCAATACATCCTACCAGTCAGCGTCAAGTCAATACTCGCAGCGGATGTAATGACAATCGCCCCATACAAACATACAATAGAAAAGAGTCATCAGTAATAGCAATCAATGAGCTACCCCTTACTACAAATACTGGATATTTCAATAACACAACATCAATGACTTCCCTCATCAATAATCAGTACGGACCATCCATATCATCCACAACATTTGCTTCAACTGAAGCACAAAATCCTTATTTTCATCAACAATGTAGCAACAATAATCTTTTCTGTACGCCCACTTTTAGTGAACCCACATCGATGAGCTCAATAACAATACAACAACAACAACAACAACAAGCTTCTTCTTTTGCTACAGCAACACGTAAAAAATTAAGATCTATGCTCCAAGATTACCCTTTAAACATAACTGGTAATATTGCTCCTGCCACAATGGTGATGGATGTACAACCGACTCCTTATACTTTGGAAAAAGAAGATACACTGCCATTTTCCTCCTCTTATCAACATCCTTCCCCTCTTCATCATCAACAACAGCATCATCACCAGCAACAGCAACAGATCGAACTCAATGATCAAATGCTGGCTGCTATGCCTCGCCGCCAGAAAATTAGATACGAAAATGATTACTATACCCCCAAATGGGTACGGTACACGGGTCACCTGAAAGAAGGCTATTGTGATCTTTGTCAACCAGGCAAATGGCTCCAATTGAAAAATAGTGCTTACTGGTAAATTATCCCATGATGATCCTTTACCCTTTTCTTTAAGCCAAGAAAATTTTGGTTCTTACTCATCTCAAACCTTTGCCTCCTTCAACCTTTGTAGGTATCACAAACAATTTTATCACGGTATTTCCTCTGTGTCGGGTCAGCCTTTCCTGAAACCATTAAAACATCGCCTGGGTAAAGGAGATGTTATAGAAGGTCTTTGCCATCAATGTCATCGATACGTTTCAGCATGTAATGGCAAGAAAAAGAACAATTATATGCTCTGGTATAGGCATGCACACAAGGTAAAAGGGATTCTTGGTATATTTTACAGAAGAAGAGATCAAGGTTACTTACGATTATATTTTTTAATGTAATCTTCAGTGTCATATATATGATAAACCTAATTCAACAAAGACCAATATCAGAAAGTTATCGAATGATACTATATCTACAGTATCCTCTGTATCGACTATTGTTGACATCAACAGTAGTGATTTCAAAAGTTTTTAAAAATCTATGTTATAGTCACAGAATCTGCTCAAATGTAGTATCCATACATATCATTTTTCTTTCTTAATCTTGTACTTAATTATATGTACGTCTTTATTTTGTAATATCTAATAAACCCTCCCCTTAACAGATCATGTGTTCAAAGAAGGAAAGTTGCGTTTGCTGCTTCTTTCTTTTTCATGCCATACACTGTGTGATGTATGCACAAGCACAGTAAAACAGGGTCTTCGATCAAATACCCCAACCTCGTACGTACAACAGTTACATTATTTATTATAATTAACCTGATTTGGTGTTGTTATTTGAGGGTGCACTATTAACGTTGGTAGTAGTAGTAGTAGGAGGAGGAGGAGCAGCAGAATTAGTAGTAACAGTTCTTTTTCTATAGACATTACGTCTAGTTCTTTGTAACCGCGGTCTTGCTTCATCCCATGGTCCATGAATTTCACTAATAGAAGGATGAAGTGTTATCGTTATATCCCCAACTACTTGTCACAAAAATTTAATTGGACCAACTTACTTTTTGTACTTTTGGATAAATATCAGCCAATATGGACAAATGAAGGTTAGAAAGCTAAAGCCTAAAATGTAGATAAAGACAACCGCTTTGGAGATTTTGAGAAACATGAGAACACAAGTAAGTAGCATAGTGGCGGTGAGTCCGATTTGTATCCCTGGCTTCAGGTCTCTTAAATGTCTTCTAAATATAGGAAACAAGGAAAACCATTCGACTGCGAAAGAGAGCAATCCAAAAACGTCATAATTTGTATCTAATCTTGATGCAAGTAATACTGAGGCGAAAATGGCTGCATTTGTTGATAATGAACCGGGTATTCTGTTCAGTGAAGCAGTTTTGTAATGAAGGAAATTGTGAGCCAAGAATTCCCGTTTGCACCGCCCTCCTCTATTACGATCACTTACTTCATGGTATTGGTAGTGGATGTTTTGTAATCATGGAATAGGACGTTGATGAGAAAGCAGATCACTGTCAAGGCCCATATGGTATCATCGCTTATCTGGCTTGTCAGCGTTTTCAAAATTGGCGATAGACCAAGCAGTGTAATGAAGAAGAAAAATGCACTTTTTGCTACCCTTTTTCCTGATAAGCAGAAGAATGATAGAAGGTGTAAACTTTCTTTTCCTTCATCGCAATTTGTATCTCTTTTCTCCCTTACGTTTAAACTCATAATTGCTTCTCGTCTTCAACATAATAAGGTCCCAAAAAATATATCCAATTCCAGTAAGAAATGAACCAGTCCAAATGAGGTTGTATCCAGTTATTGAATGTAGTTGTAAATAGATAAATATAGCGATAAATATCACTACACTGCTTAGGTGTTGAGTAATCACACCCGACTCGTATACCATGGTCCAATAATCATAAGTGCGTACATTTACTGTGATAGTCAAAATGTTGGAAAAATGCCCCGCATCAGTTTATAATTAAGAATTCAACTCCTATAAGGATATGGTCTTACCATTCCTTTGTAACTCGTCCAAGAATGTACTGTCTACATAATTATCTGGATAATTTTGCTTTACCCACAATAGCTTTTGCCAGGGCGGGTTGTTCGGATTGTTATACTCTTGATTACGAAATGACCTTTCTATGATGGGCATCGCTGGACGAGGAGGAAAAGAAGAAGTGCTCATGCTTTAGAACACTGAATGGTGCAACACAACCGTAGTTCTTCCGTTTCTTCTTTGTCCACGTTCAATGTGAAGTAGCTAAATCCTATACAATATTCGACTATATATCTGTTTGTGTACGCGAGGAAACTGTCATCAGTTTCATCTATTGAAATAAGAATGACAGAAAACCAACCAAAGCTTAGAGCATAAATTGCTGGATTTCAATTTTAAGCTTGATACAAAGGCTCGCTTTTTATATTGAAATTCTTTATCCGAGCATTACCTGCATCATATTATACTTTTTGCTCACTCTTTCTAGCTGTCCAAACATTCAATAAATATACCATATAAACGATTGCATTCACTATTAAGTTTGGATTTCAACGGATCTAATCCATCAATTTAAGCCAACAGGAAATCTAGTATAATATCTCCCTTTGCAACATTTACAGGCAATCGTTTACTCGAATTGTTTGGAAGCCAGCACTTAATAGTGAAAATGATAATCGATTTGTAAGCTAACAAGTCTTCAGGCTAGCATTTACGTTTATACGGAAAGAATGAGTGTCGATAAAAGTACAAGTAGATGTAAACAACTGCTTTTATTTCTTAATTATTTTTATCAGTAGAAAGTACTACAATATTTTTGTTGAGAAGCCTGCTGTTTATTTCAGATGCCCTTTGAATTTCCCTTTTGATTAATGCGTTAGCACTTAAAATGAAAAACAATTGCTTATGTGCTAGAACTACTAAGTTTTTCGAGCTTATCTTTCGTCCTACTCTGCCTTCCAGAATATTATGCTTTTGAAAATGTGAAAGATCAATCACAGAATGGAAAGCATTCTGCGGACAATTTTCAAATACAAATGCTACTCTTGCTATGAGATACACACGATATATTTTGAAACGTGATTTGATTGACTCTGCGGTTGGTTGAGGTCTGTTCGATGATTATTCCTTTATGCCAATTATTAAGACTTCCTCTGCTTTGCTAGTGAAGATGGCGAAAGTGAAAACTATCGCTTATACTAAATTTGAAGCACAATGCTTTTGTGCAAAGAGTTTCCTTGTGTAATCTAGAATTTTTGCTTATTACTCTGCTGACTGGTTGGACAAACTATTGGACATATGTATCATATTCGTTTCTCCCAATTTGGCGAATTAATGTAAACATAAATGGTAATCAAGCTTGGCTCCCCATGGCCAGAATAATAAGGTAATAGCATTAAGTTCTTCGATGAGAAAAAGGTTTTTCTCTACTAACCTGAATCACCGCGTATACATCATGAAGAGCAAAGATTTTTTTGTAATCGCCATTTATGCGTTTCTTTGGGAGACGTGACAGTTCTAAGGTTTTCAAGTCTTTATGATTTGTCCTTGGTCTGTGCTTTTTGTTTATTTAATCAAAACATTGATGCTGCTTTTGCATACAGATACAAAAAAGGAACAGGTACAACGCCAAATATGATGTTATCCTTGGCTAAGTAACCTTAATCTTTTTGAAAGTCCTCTTTAATCTTTGATACCATAATGATATCAACTTCTAATTGTATTTCTAGACTTATACCAATAAGCTTATCATTAAATAGTGTATTGTTACTAAAGCGGAGAGATCATATTTGTATTTCGACGTTAGGTACAGCAACTAGAGTTAATGACTTTCTCATAACAGACATGTGCTCTTTTGAGTCATCTACGCATTTTCAACATATTATAAAGTACCCTTCAAAATATGAGAGTTGTGTACATATGCATGCATTATGCTCAATAGATCATTATTACGGAGCGCTGTGTAGAATGAAAGTTAAAATACTGTAACCCTTTAGCACTGTGTAGAATGAAAGTTAAAATACTGTAACCCTTTAGCACTGTGTTTGAAAGTTCAAGTCAGCTGTTGATGGTTGATTGCCTTTTTACGTAAACTTTTCCCTCTTCGATTGTGAATACACAATTCAAGATAAAAATAAAATTATACGTTGCAATTTAATATCTATATTTTCAAGGCGGCGGCAGACATTGCGATTAGCCATCTCTTTCTCTTTCATTTCTCTCTATTTTTTTTTTTTTTTACCTTCACTCAACTTCCCTATAAGGTTGTTAAACTTTATGAAATGGGAATTTTTGGACGGCTTTTTGGAGGAAAGTCGAAAAGCAGCGTCAAACGAACAGAGAAAGATATAAAACGACCGTTAACAACTAAAAATGAATCATCGACGCAAAATATCTCGACAATCCAAACATCTCCATCTTCATCATCAACAAAACAATCAAATTCACGCCTTAGTACTTCGCAACAAGTAACCGATCCTGACAGTACAATTGACACTGTTAAGTCCTCAAAGCTAGAATCTTCGTCACATTTACAGCAATGTGGACCCGAAAACCAACTGCAGATTTTGGATCTCGACAAGGAGGACACATCACAATACCCATTTTTGCTAGATACTGCAGATAATATGGTAGCAAATTTTGATGGTTTCATCAATACACACTCAAAGAGCAATGACATTCATCTGCATCTTAAAAACCTCTCTTATTTGGAAGACCATGTCTCGTATTTCCAACATACACAGTATTCACAAAACGAATTCCTCACTATTTCTTCTATCACATCAGAATCTGCTTCATCCTATGCCTCACTGAAGGATAGCCTATTCTCAAATATATCCTTATCCACCCAGTCAGACATATCATTCCAATGTTCAGATATTTCTATTCCTAAAATAGCAGTACGTACAGAACCGCAGCAGCATACTCATGCAGCCACCATAGCTGACCAGCGATCGCATTTCTCAGTTGCCGATACAATCGACGACTCAGAATATTTACCCATGATATTTGAAGAAGAAGAAGAGGCAGTCAATAAAACCACTATAATAGATTATGAACGTCATTTCTGTGAGCTCTATATTGAGGCTTTACGTTGGCTATCTTCTTCACAACAGACAAAACAAAGCCCTGCCCAAGCGTTTCGTCAATTTGAATGGATCGCTTACGAGGGATCACGTCTTTTCGAACAGCTCAGTAATCGTACAAAACAGTTAGTTTCATTTGCACAGTATCGAGTAGGTCGTATGCTCTGTGAATCATCTGCCAGGAATGGCGGGATGGAGCAAGGTTTAGTGTATCTGCTTGAATCCTCCAAAAATGGAAATGCTCGTTCCACGTTCATTCTAGGCTGCTATGCTGAGCGCCGCGGTGACCTTGATTATGCATGCTCACTTTATTATCAAGCTGCTAAGATTGGATTGCTCTCTGCTAAAGTATCCTTCGGTGTAGCTGTACTCTTCAAATTCAAAAACCAGCGAGAGCCTACTTATTCTATACAAGATGCACTATCAATTTTGACAGATGCTTCAAACCAGGTATTGTAGCTATGTTAGCTGTATATTTCTTTTTCATTTTGATTGAATTTTTCTATTGAGAAATACTTGAAGAATTTGAGTAGTTACACTAACGTAATTTCTTAATTTATCAAACTTTAGGGTCATGCTATTGCTTCTCTTTCTTTAGCACTGTATTACGAAAAACAAAATCAGTTAAGCAATGCCATCAAATTTTGTAGAGAATTCAACAATGTATCGCCGTCCAGTCCTATTTATACTATTGCACATTATCAAATCAGTATTATCTATTTAAAAGCTGGTCCTCAATATGCTGATGTTGCTTTTAACCATATGGCTAAAGCAGCAAATCTCAATAACGATTCAGTAATGAATACTCGCTTCCCGCCTGCTTTGCGCAAAATGGGTGCTTTTTTACTTAAAGGCGTAGGTACGACAAGGGACACATCAGCTGCTTTCCAATACATCCAAGAAGCAGCCAAACTAGGCGATGAACCAGCCAATATTATTTTAGGGCAACTTTACCAAACAGGCAATGGATGTGCTCACGGTATTGACTTATCACGTGCAATGCAGATCTTCTCTAACTACCCAGATAATATTGCGGCCAAGCTCTCGCGGGGATTGCTGATGATGAAAGAAAACCCCCATCATGCGTATCAAGAATTTCAAAGTGTTCTTCAACATGTATGTACAGAATTCGATGAAGAGCATTGGGATGCTGCTTCCATTCAAAATGAAGCCAAGCTACGTATCGCGATTTGGGAGTACAATGGGATTGGTGGAACAGAGAAGAATCCAAAAAGAGCATTCCACACATTAAAACAGCTTTCAGAAGAAGTGCATTACTCTCCTGCCAATTATTGGTTGGCTTGGGCATATCTGGAGGGCGTCACAATAGATGATGGTGATGGTAACAGCAATGCTACTGTGCTTGTGCCGAAAAATAAAGATTTGGCTTTCGCTTGCTTTTTAAAGGGAGCACAAGAAAATCAAGCTGATTGCCAATATCGTGTAGGGCTCATGCTGAAGGATGGTTATGCTAATGAGCAATACAACAAGGCCAATGCATTTTCTTTCTTTTTGAAGGCTGCTTCCCAGAACTTTCCTTTGGCTCTTACTCAAGTAGGAGCGTATTATTTTAGCGGTGGTGTTGGCCCAGAACATGGTCGTGATTTAGAAAAAGCCTTCCACTATTTTACAGCGGCAGCCAAACATAATGAGCCATTAGCTATACAATATCTGGCAGACTATTTGATAAAGAACAATGCTTCCGGACCTATAAATCCTGAGCATATTTATACGGAGCTTAGCCGAGCCGCTGGAATGAATCAAGACCCTATTGCTTATCGTATGTTAGCGCTTGTCGTAAATAGTGGTGCTATTGATCTTCGTATGACGTTTGAAGAGAAGTTGAATGCTCAATCGAAACATGTTATTTATGAAGATCTTTGTGACATTTACAACGCAGCAAAACAAGAAGCTGTCGTGGGATATGGAAATATTGTATATCGTTTCGCCTTACATTGTCTTTGGAAAGCGATTGAATTGAATGACCATAGTTCTGGCCAATTCCTTTGTCATCTTTACCCGAAAATGCAAGATGAGGATGTAGTCAAAACCCTTGAACTATTTGAAAAAGCCGAAGGTCGTGTCCCAAATAAGTGAGTGTTATCAATTTATTGTATAGGTTTCTCCTTCATAGGTATAGGCGAGAATTTGCTCACATTATTTTTTTCAATTTCCTTCACTCACTTCCTAGAATGAGTTTATCTTACGCCCATTTTCTGAAAACTACAAGGAATTATCCAACAGCTCTACTCAAGTATATCGAAGTTGCGTCCTATAACGCTATTAATGTTAGCATCGGGTGGAACTCACGTTTGGAAGCTGCTAAAATGATTGTAATGGGGAAGCAAGGGAAAGCTCGTAGCAAAGCGCTCGTATTTTCATGGCTTACCAACATGGTTAACTATAACGGAAAGAACTTGTTCTTACCTCTTGTATTTCTAGGTAAACTTTTCCCTCAATTTGATGCATTTTCTTCTGCGTCTTATTAACCTTCCTAACCACTTTTATTGATTAGCAAAATATCATGATGAAGAGATTTGTGCTAGTTGTAACAAAGAATTTGCTGTTTCCTACTATGAAAGGTGTCTTCAGTATAAAGCAAATGATTTGAATTTGGAGGTCTCTGCAAGAATGAGATTGATTGAACTCTACTACAACACATCGGAGGATGCCAAGCTCGTAGACCAATTGAAGAAGGCTGAAACATTACTGCAGTCATCAAATAATATTATCGAAAGAAAGTCTAAGTTAGCAAGCTTACTCTACTATAAAGGTAAGAGTTATATGGTACCGTACTGAAGATTGTGTATCTAACTACCATAATCTCATTTTTCAGGTGTTTTGGCACTTCATAACAGCACAATATCTAATTATCGAGAGAAGGCCCGGGAAAGCTTGTCTAAAGCAGAACAGCTTGGTCACATCCTAGCCTGTCTAGAACTGGGCTATCTCTACGGCACAATGGAGTCAAAAGAAGAAGCCGCAGATGAGTGCTTTCAAAAAGTAGAAAGCAGCGTCAAGACACCTATTTCCTTCAAGAATCGAATCATAGAGTCCATGGTTCTGATGCGTACCGAGAATATACACAATTCCAATGACTACTTAAACGAAATAAATAGAATGAAGCTGGCTGCCGGAGTGACCTATAGTTACTACAATATGGAACGCCAGGCTTTGGATTGGTTCAAAGAGATATCTGAATTACCTTTGGCGCAAATTATGATTCTCTATTACAATATGAAAGATCCGCAAAAGAGAACTTCTCAAACTATTCAACAAATGTCAGACCTAATAGCGGGATTCGAGGCCGCTTTGTCTCTTGACTACTATAGCCGTATGATCCTCAGTTACGGTCAATTTCGTTTAGGTCAATGTTACGAATATGGGCATGGCGTTGCTGTAGATAATGACAAAGTGCTGAATCTTTACAGAAAAGCATGTGCCTTCTTACAGAACAATATGACTTATGAACGCTTAGCAGGAGTGGTTGAAAAACATGATGCTGAATTCGATTTGTTTCCTACCCTCTATAATGCAGCACGTAATGATACGGCTGCTACGTATGAGTTGGGTCGGTATTATCACAAGAAGGAATTAGACAAAATGAAGGGCATGTCCTCAATGGTGGACATCGATGTGCCGTGCAAAAGAGCCGCAGATCAATACTTAAAGGCAGCGCAACAAATAAATCACCCTCAATCCTGCTATTACTATGCCAAATATCGTATCCACCAGCTGCAAAAATCAAACCAAATTAATGCGCTTACGCGGTCAAAGAAAGCAGTTCACTTCTTACGTATAGCCGCCAATAAGAACCATGGACCGTCCTATTACGAGCTCGGGAAACTTGAAATGGCGGCAGGTCTATTTGAAGAAGGTATTGAAGACTTGAAAGAAGCAGATTTTCTTCATTGTGGTGCAGCAAGTTATGAACTCGGTGAACTCCATCTAAAAGGATTCACAGGTGTTATTCTTGGAAAAGTAACCTATCGACTACAACAAGATGCAGCGAAAGCATTTAAATACTATCAGCGAGCGGTCGATTTTGACTACCCTCTTGCTATGATTAAAGTGGGCCACTTTTACGAAACTGGTGACATTGGTCATCAAGATCTTCAACTAGCCAGAAAATGGTATTTGCAAGCACTAGAAGCAGGTCGTTGTCCTACAGGAGCTGCGGAGTATGCTTTAGGTTGCTTAGAAGAAACGGTTGCTGAATTAGATTCTAGTACACAATTAAAACCACATCGAGAACAAGCCTTTCAGTGGTTTCAAAAAGCTGCAAAAGCCAACAATTTATCCGCCAATTTAAAAATAGGCATATATCTTCTGCATGGCTGGGTAATACAAACAACTCCAGAGAATGACCTCCAACAAGGTTTACACATACTGGAGAACGAGAATGCGAATGGAAATGTTTTGGCTATGAAAGAACTCGCTCACTATTACGAAGAAAAGGAGAATTTTCCCAAGGCATTGAGTTACTGGAGAAATGCGGAGGTGTTGAATGATGTAGAAGCATTGGAGTTCTTCGCAAATTGCTTTGAATTCGGGCTCATGGGTCACCACATTGATTTAGAAGCGTCACAAGAGTACAAAGCACGCGCTTTGGAAGCTCGTAAGTGTTCAGAAGACTATTTATTATCCCCCACCCCTCCATTATAAAGTGTTGTGCAACTGACCAAAGATACATTATCTTTTTAATATGCACATAGAGAAGCAAGCTTTGGAAACACAGCGTAGTACGATGGGCTTCAAATCCGACTATTCAGAAGAAAGAAGATAGCATTTCTTGCTAAGTTTTACTTTTCTGTATAAACCCTTATGTAATATATGTATACTTTTGAATTTTTTATGTATAAATTGTATTATTCCTCTCTTAATTCTAGCTTAACTTAATTATTATTATTTCACTATTTATGTTCTATTGTTATTATATGTATGTATCTTTAATGCCCTTGCTTTTTTCGTCCTAATCTCATCACAATCTTATGCAATCAATAAAACTCAAAAACAAGAGAACGACTTTAATGAATTTGTACTTATTTGTAACGATTCGTTCACAAGAATTATTAGCATATTAATATTAGTGTAAAATAAAAGAGAGGTGTATTATAAACTATAAAATACACCGATACGTGCGTATAATAAGTCTAGGAAGGGATAATATAAATAATTCCTCATCACTTACATATCGTAGCTTTTTATCTAATACGTGATACGCCTTCTTCATTACTAACGATGGGAATCGCTGAACCAATTTCATCTGGTTTATGAATATCTTGTGGCTGTTGGTGATAAAGAGGTGAAGTCATTGCATAACCTTGTTGCTGGTGAGGCATCACATTATGCATTGCAGGACTATGTTGTTGCATAGGTGGAACAGAAGAGTAAGCCGTTGATGTATTATTGTCATAATAGTACCCTCCATCACCATAATATTCTTGTTGCTGCTGGGTTGGGTAGTAATATCCCCCTTGATACTGCTGTTGTGCTGGCGCTATACCATAGTCAGCGTCCATATAGCCACTATTATAGTGTGGTCCTCTTCCTGTTCCAATAGCATAGCCTCCATCATCGGGATAATAGTTGCCTTGGTCATTTAATCTTGGAATAGTCGGTGAAACATGCTTGGTATTTGCCATACTAGAAGCAGAACCTATGCCAGCTCCCGCGTCAACAGCTGCTGCTGCACCATTTGATACAGGAGGACGATGATGAGGGAAATCACCTAAACCGTAATCCTCAAAATCAGTCTTCGTATCTCTTCGCTTTGTACATCCGCCTCTACGGTTTATACAAGCAAGGACACCGACAATCAATGCAATACCAACTACATGAGTATACACACAAAGTGATTGTTTAAAATGGATAGCATACAATAAGCTTATTGCTCTTCTGTCACTTACCTACGCCTCCTACAACACAGCCAACGATTATTGGTGTATTGTTTTTGTCATTGCTAGTCGATGGTTTCATGGTGGGAGAAATACTGGGAGTGGTGGAGGTAGTTGAAGAAACTGACCTGGTTGTGCTCGAAGTGGAAGTCGTTTCCGACGTAGTCGTTGGCTCAACAGAAGATGATGAAGAAGTTATACTAGGAGCAATGGGAGTCGTCGACTGGATAATTGAAGAGGATGGTATTATACTAGAAGTACTAGGGTTAAGTGTGGATAATGTAGTGGATGAGGGAGGAGGCGCTGCAGTACTGGTTGGTGGTGGTGGTTTTGCCGTCGTCGTCGGCGCTAGCGTTGTTGTTGGCTTAACATCTGAGGCTGTTGCTGGAGTTGTTAATGGTGGTGGATCTATTGTGCCTGAAGCATTAGAAGCTTGACCCTTGACCTCCAAGAACATATGGAGTAATAAAATAGTTAAAAAGAGCCACTGTGACTTGAGTATTTTCATAATAGTAACAATTCGCCAAAAGATCTTCTATATGTTTATTTACGTGTAGAAGTTAAATATCAAAAACTAGAAAGTGGAGATCAGAACAAAAAAAAAAAAAAAAGAAAAGAGTTTAGAATAAGTGAAAGAAAAAAACAGCTAAATTACCTTGAGTTTTTTTCTTTTCTGCGTGCTACCGATAATATCATTTGTACAACACTCGTCAGATCCACTATCATCTTAAAAAGAAATTTTAACTTACATCTGGATCACAGGCTAAGAAATTTACAGTAGGTGATTTTCCTTTCAATTAAGTGACACGCTCAAATTTTTAAGGGACGAGCTAGGATATATTTAGAGGTTCTTTTGATTACAATCGAAAAGACAACGTTGACAATACGCTTTATCATAGCAAAAATTCTCTCTTAGAACATCCATCCCAAAAAGATTGTCAGCGTCTAATATACTCTAGACAATCCACAGCTGTAACTGAAAGACAGGCTTGCTTAATTTTGAGAATTCAGCGTATCGTTGGATCCAAAGGATTCCTCGAATAATTTCTTGATCTTGGACTACCACTCTTCAACAGAGTTTAAATGTATGATGGCAAAAAAAGAGATGGGTGCCTAATTATATTGATTGCCTTCACAACAAGGTTAGAATGAGGCATAATGCCATTATCAGGACAATAAACATCCCTTTGTTAAGTTTGTCCTGAATATACCACAGACTCAGCAGCTTAACAGCATCCATGAAATACTACATGTGTTACAGGTAATGAAGGCAATTATCACAATACTCTGTTAAACTGGGCGATATTCTGCCTTGCTGGTAAAGAATTCTAAGAGAAGTTCATATCCTCAAATGCTCTCATTCAAGCATTTGAACGTTATATTAGTCATTAGCACACGCGTCCTCAATATAGTATAATTCCCATCCGACCTTACATAGTAATAATCTTTCTACTTCATCTGAAGAATACTAAAGACACTAAGTTCATAGTCATCGACTCATAACAGTTATCAATTATCTCAACTAAGCAAATATATTAAGATCTATGATAATTTAGCTAAATCGCTTATACAAGGAAGTTAGCGAGGAAGATATTGTTATCAAGATATTCTTAACTTAGATCTAGAAGCTCCCCAACCAAGAGCGTCTCTCTCATGTTGGAGAAATGGAGCTGATGAGATGCAAATTCTTCAGTTTTACAACCAGATGTGCTTATGATGGCAACACCGCAGAGGTCATCTAATGTAACATTGGGTACATTTGAGTCAAACATGATGCTTCCATGTCGAATTCTGAGTTTGCTTTTCTGAATTTAGTTCGCCTAGGAACCTTTGGCCGTACCCATATGCTCAGAAAACTCAACGAACAAGCAATTGCCGTATTGGATTCAATATAGTTTTTGATCTGATATAAAAGCAGAATAAAATCAGATTAATGGCAGCCATTTTGTCGACTTTCCAAGTGATATTACAGAGATTGGTGGCCTTTTGCAGAAAGTTGATGATTTTGCCATATGATCTGCTGAGACAATACATTCTTTCTGCAGTATTGCGTAATCTTATTGCTTTAAGAAGAGGACTTTTGAAGTGAACGTTGTGTCTCGCGTTTCTAATGTTAAAAGTAAGATAATCGAAACCAAGCATGGTTTCATTCTTTTTAAAATTTGGTTTCGCCCTTCTGTAAGCCTGCTCCACCTCTTTTACTGTTTGTATTACTGTTGAAAGGGCTTCAAAGACTGTAAAATTGAGGAAAATACCTTCGTTCGCCAGTTCAAGAAATGCCCGACTATCAAAAGCAGATTTTGGTAACGCGAACAGTTCGGCAAAGGGGAGAACTATAAAAGTAGTTGTGGGCGATTACTCAATGCTTATACGTACTAAATAAAAAGACGGGATACACTGATTTAAAAGGTTGATAATCATGCATTTACAATTAAAAAAAGTAACATTGATGCTGACATTCAGAAACTGCCAAAACAAAAACATACGATGACGAACCTCCGTTCAGAAGTAAATAATAGAAGCGCAGCATTAAGCACTAATGGTAGTAAAATAACTAGAGAACTGATCTTGAAGATAATTCAATCACCAAAAAATCAGAGGAAAATGAATACAATACACCAGTAACGTCTTAAGAAAACTGCACGACCATCTTTCATCATGCGAAAGACGAGGAACGACAGAAGAAGGAGCCAAACCTAATCTGACTATTCTTAAACACATGATTGGGCTATGGCATAGGTTGCTACAGTGAGTGCAAAGTTTACAGGATCTATTGTCTATTAAAATAACGAATCAAGAGTTTTGCACTATCAACCTGATAGATAATGAGAATACGGCAACAACTAGTAATGCAGGAATAGCAACAATGACAGTACTTTGAGAAGTAGAACAACTACTTTTGCTGTAATCAAGGACATCATAAAAGAATGTTAATAGCGGATACAGATTCCTTGTCTACTACGGAAGGTGATTCTAACAACTACAACCTCAAATTCACCAAAGCATACCATTACATTCACGTTAGTTTTTTAATGACCAAAAACTGATTCAATTAGATAGAGCAATAAGCTACCAGAAAGTTTTAGCTCAAGGACGACATGAATTCGGCCGAGACCGTCGGCAGCAAACGGTGAACAAATATCTTTGGTCGCGATCCACGGCCAAAGCGAATACTCAACTTCAAGTATTAATAACAATAACAGTATAACAAGCGCTTCTCAATTCAGAAGCAACTAATGAGAACATACGCTTCCAAAACATCGTTACTATTAAGGTATACTTTTATAAGTAGTGACCATTATGAATCAACAACAAAGACAGGTGAGATAACGAGCACATCATTAACTGCAGACCATAGCGACAACACTGAAATAGCATTGTTATAGATGATGCCTTTGTTACCGCTAATGGTTCGACTCAGACACCAACTTCGACTATAGCCTCCGAAAAAAAAAAGAAAAAAAAAGAACTCTACCATTACTGTATCGTGAATAAGCAGCATGATACAAATAATGCAGCTTACTGAATAACAGATTGTGGCAGCATCACGTGCAATTAGGAGTAATGCTAAAAGCAACTTCAAAAAATTTTTACAAAAAAAAAACCAATAATATCTCAAGTGCACGAGTGAAACTGTATTCCTCTTTTCTAAACATGCAATTGCAGCTTCGCATACTAGAGGCAGCCATAGCTCCAAAATATCACCCACATGCAACTCTTTGAGCTCGCTCAAAATCACTAGGCTAACAACCACAACATTCTTACCCAATAAAAACATATCTGCAGCTTCAAGTTCTGCACTGGTAGACAGTCAATCACCTCTACTATTACAACTGCGAGCCTACAAATCATACATCCTCGACCTCCTCTTTAAAGGGCTCTTAGTGCGTCACTACAAGCTCTAGTACTTTCAATGGTGCTTCACCTGTTACAATTTCTTGAACGTAGTTTTATATCAGCTAGTGCAACTAATTTTAACATACCTACAACAACAGCCTCAATACTGTTAAATCGTCTTTGAACATCATATTAACCACAACAAACCAACCGATGCGCAGCCTATTGTATACTTCACAGGCCTACTTTTTCAAACAGAACAAATACCTACTAAATATGGTGCAATGGCAATGGATAGTAGCACCAAGGTAACGGAGATAATATCTAGCAGTACATACCAGCTCACTAAATCATTCTTCAGCATTCAAGTTTACGAGTGTGAGCACTGGAAGCTTAAAGAGGAAGACATAAGATATATTATTGACTTGTACTTCGACTTCAACTCTTATTTCGACTCAGTTATCCAATGCAAGAAGTATTCCTTCAATTCGTTTTAATAGGTAGTGCCTCGCTATTACGAACCGTGTTCGCTAATAACTTCTCTAGTCCCACTCGATAATTACAAAAACCTCAGTGGATACCGATAGTAAGTCATATGCCAGCAGAAGACCACTCCGACCAACCAAGAATCTGCAACGTTATCTTCTACGAAACCGAAGAGTATTAGGGCTACTATCTCTACTGTAATACCCAGATTTACAGTTGGCAACAACCACGCCTGGCAAATAAACCTGGAGTGATGTTCTTCAGGCCATTCAACAGCTTTCATCACTCAAAAGTGGATCAACCAGAGACACAATGGATTCATTAAGTTTAAGTGATACATCCCCAACATTAACTAACTGCAATAAAAAAAAAAAAAAAATCTGTGAAGCATCGTCATTAACAACAGACGTTTATGAATCGTGCCACCGATATAACTCTCGAGAAGGAAAGAACTGTCCGGCTAATTGTTGGTGAATTTAAACTTTTCTTTTTGTTGTGACAAACCTCTTTTTTTCTTTATTGGTTTAATTGGACATTGGGTCTAGCGTTGATTTGAGCTTGGATCAAACACAAACTCTGCTAAATACAAATCCCTTTCGCGTACTTGATTTTGAATAAAATCGTCAGCGAAAGGATTTCATACGCCTTTGAAACAACAGTTAGTTATTCGATCTACAAGTATACATGGTGTGCATTTATTACCTCTATAAGCAACTGTTGGATGAACTTCTTTCATATATCTTCGGTACAAGTTCAAGCAGTAGTTTTTTTGAACAGCTGACAAAGTGTCGACTTCGCGTGAAAGTAGTATAGATCGAACAATATACACTATTTCAGTTTTGAGTTCATCTTCGACTTGTCGATCCATTAAAAGCAACAATAAGTAAAATCTAAATTTGATGGATGGCTGATCCCAGCAATACTGTCCAAAGCCTTTTATTTCAGAACTAGTCAAATCTCTTGCTTTTTCAGGTCCACCGCTGTATTGAAGTAACATTTGTCCACAGCTTTCGATACCGTTTGTAAGACTTTCATCTCCCAATACGGTATATGGTTCGTTTGGTACATCTTGATCATTATGAATGGCATCAAATACGTTGGATATAACTGGTTCATTGTCATCGTTAGAAAACTTGTCATCAGCATCATAATATACCGATTCATCTCCGTCAGAGTACTCGGAGGTACAATCATCAACTTGGGAGTCAAGCATTTCTTCTTCGTTATTGTCAACATCATCTTGAAGTTCAGTAGATGCTTGTAAATGTTGCTGTTGCAACTGAGCGAATATACCTTCATCTGCACTGAGATATGCTGCTGAATCGACGGTGTTACAATCATCATCTTGACAATCATGCATTTCTTCTTCTTTATTGTCAACATCACCTTGAAGTTCAGCAGATACTTGTAAATGTTGCTGTTGCAACTGAGCGGATGCAACATTTTCATCTGAATTGAGATATAATGCTGACGGAGGAGGACTGAGTTGAGGTGGTGGTGAATTGTCGACAGATGATGAACTACTATATCTTTTTTGTCGTTTAACTGTACAAATGTTTTCAAACGATGTGGGTGCTGCCCTCTTGCGTTCAATTTTGTCACTGTTGGTGCATACTGCGCTAACATGTTCTTCTACTACTGATTCATGTGTAGAGTCACTACTGTGTCTTCTTTGCCGTTTTAATGGGCGATGACTTTCCAGAGGTGCGGATGCTATTCTTTTGTTTTCAGCTTCAACATTGTCGTGATGGGCTTGGTGGTGTTTCATTAATGACTGGTGCGCATGCGATATATAATATTGGATAATCGTATCATAAATAACACTGCTGCCGTTCGTTTGTAAAAAGCCCTTCATATCAAACATGAATAAAGATGACGAGTTTCCATTATTATCTTTCTTTAAAGTCTTGAGCACCATCTCATAACATGTCTTCTTAGGGATGGAAAGACGAGAAACTTGTCGAAGTAAGGAAAATTTTGTACTGTTGTCAAAGCCAGCAGTCCAAATATCAAGGAAATAATGAGATGAATTTATTATGAGTAAGAACAAGTGTGTTCTATCCATACTAGATATCTTGCGAACCAAAGCAAAGTCAATTGCAACAATCTGATCAATCAATGGGTCGGTTGCAGATCCGTAAGCATTAGGTGATATGAGTCCTAAATTTTTCTTCAAGTTGTCAGCATAAACTTCTACGAGCCGAACATAAGACTTCCTATCGTCATGATTAGCATTATTTTCCATTTCGTTGCCACCATTCTGCGAGATAGTAACGAAGACCTTGAAGTTGTTGGATGTTCTAGTACAAGCTATATGATCAACAGGCTCTGTAAGAAAAAAATCGAAGAAAAAAATGATCGTATTACAATAATTAGTGATGATAAGTGAGGTATTCGAAAGGGATTCAAAGACTTTACGGTTTTTAAATTCAACAAATTCAGAGAGATCGACTGGATCTCTAACACGGGGAGCATTGTACGTGTAAACCTGAGTACGAACGCGGTACATCAAAAGATGTCCAGATGTAAAACCTAACAGAATTCTTGGATCAGAGTGGCTCTTTCGATTCGCTTCTTTGTTTGCTTCTAACATATGAACGGTTGAAACAACTGCTGATGACGGAATGGAGTTGTTTCTCAGTTGTTCTACTCTCTATATCATTGTTGCATGTGATTAGTTGATTAGGAAATTTACGTGACAGTATCATTCTATCCAACTAACTTGTGCTGTTAAGCAGCTATTCGCGTTATCGAAAGTCAATAGTGCTAGCTGCTCTGCAATATTGGTACAGATCACCAAGGCTAGTGTTTGCTTAACTTGGCTTGTGCCATATCGATCTTTATACACCTATAAAAAGCAAAATGATATGATGTGAGCATGTGAAGCAACGAACCTATCTAAGTGTATATTTTTACCATATTGAAAGGCGCTTCAGATATGGCTGCTTTGATGATATGGCCAGTAGGGGCGCGTTTAAAATGAACTGGTAGCGTATTGTTTCCAACAACGTAACAAAACGTAACCTTAATGTTACTGTCGTTGCTTGACATAACATTGGTAAGCGTTACCAAGACAGGACTGCTATTAATGCTGCAAGTCAGGTACTTTGTGTCATTTGTCTAGGTGCAAAGAAAACTTTCTTAGAACTGAAGCAGTTTAATTAAAGTAAAAAAATGGTTTACACAACGCGTACCTGCTGAGTCTCAGACAGGTCCATGATTCTAGTGGCGAGTTCACTGGTGACTGAATCAGGATATACAAATTCAGCTTCTTGACGATCATTATTGATAGTGCAAATGTAGTCCCAAGAAGAGTAGACGACTTGCTGGTTGTTTATAGTGGCTGCTTGCATTTTACGTTTTGAATAAATAAAATTGATTCTTATTACGCGTAAAGAAGTTGAAAAGATAAATTTATTGTAAAAAGAAAAGGAAAAACGAGCGTTCAGTCGTTCTTCCTTTTATAAATGCTCACTATGAACTTAAACTTTTGACTGGAAGGATTCTACTCCTTTTTTTTTTCTGTCCTACCTCTAGAGTTTATGACAAACTGGGACTCGATCCGACGAACTTGCATTCACATCAAGAGGCTAATACATATAAGTTATGACACACAGTTGTCCTCCATTTATTGCAATATAAGAGTTTCGTCAGATGGTATCATTGAACGCATATAAGTTCTTTAGCTCAACGAGGAACCTGAAAAATAACAAAGATACGTATTTATTTACAGCTCCTTTTGCTTGAAACAATGCTTAAGTACTTTTAAGCTTTCCTTGAAACACATATTGGCTGCTGATCACTTGAGCAGTCCAATATTTGCCTCAATCAGTGTAACCCAAAAAGGTTACATTGCAGTTTATTGCCTAGTACGCTTAACACTCGCCAGCCAAGTAATCGAGTAGCTTATTTCTACTTTGGACTTGACAATCCTTTCCAAGATTCTTACGTAAAAGCAATGAAGAGCATAGTTGGGAACTCTACAATCAGTTGGATTAATCCTTTTAACAAGGACGAAAATCGAAAACGCTGCTATCATGTATAAATTGTTTAATTTTCAAAAGTGGTATTTTTAGAATCAATAAGATTATTTGCGCTATTTTACATAACTTTGTGTTCTCTTTCTTATAAGCATGAAACTAACTTGCATGTGATTGTCTCGCTTAGTAGTTTATTTACTTATTTATTTTTCTTTCTGGGTAGTTTTCGTCCAAAACCAACCTATTAGCATTCTTATCTTTCGTCAAGTACTTCTTTGACTTGCTTTCTACTGCATGAAATTGTCGTTTCTGATGTTTGCAAATACATAGAGAATAATGTAGGTGGTTGGCATTTTTAAAAGAGCAAAACTCTTTTAACGTATCTCACCATAAGCATGCGTTACAAAAAGGGCGTATATCAGGACAAGTACACTTCTCAGGAGAACGTCTATTCAGGTAACCTTATCAACAACTCGTAATAAATTGAATTGAATGAGGTCACTTCTCATAGTAAATGGCCTAGAAATGTTCTGAAAAACCAATATTACAGCCGTTTTGAGCTGATCATGCGTGGTGGTGTAAAGAAAAAGATTAAAAGTCATCAGGAAACAGATCGGAGCAACGACAGAGACAATTCATGAACAGCTTACAGTCTCTCTGTGTATGTGTGAGCCATTGTTTATTTACTAATCCAGAGGATACTGTGTACTACCTGGCCCTTCTATTAGCGAAAGAAAATTGACAAAATGACACCCGTCAGCTGATATTTTCATGGTGTTTTATTGGTTTTTGAACAAATCAAATTTAGCAAGAAGCATGATCAACTTATTGAGCGTATGCATCTAGGCGCTTACAGAGATAAATGAACCAAGGGTACGATGATATACACTTTAGACTGCTGTAAGATATTGCAAAGTGTGAAAAAGGAAAGAATGCAATGCATAGAAGAAGTTTTTCATATATGGAAATGAATATAAAACATCAGAGATCGGAAACAAGAAAAAGACGGTGATAATGTGAAGATTCACATAATAGATACATTTACATATTGATAGAAAGAGAAAACCTTTTTAAAAAACTTCAAGACACCTTCAGCACCTTCAACAGTATCAATGGCTGAATTTTGAAGTCTTTCTCATTTACACCATCGTTAAAAAGCAGACTAGGTGTATCATCAGGAGTTTGTCAAGGGCATCCTTGATGTACTTGGAGAAACAGGTCCATTTTCTTGACTTTAAAAAGTAAGCAGCAAGCCTAGCTACATGAAGCCATGAAGGTACCAGAAATAGTATTGATGGCCCATCTGCTTCCTTTCCAAACAGATAAAGTGTTTAGTCCAGGAGTAAACACATCAACGCAAGGACCATAATTGGAAAAATAAGCTCTTTCATGGGCAATAATAAAGGCACCAATAGTGATGGCTACTTCTGCTGCTGCAGGTGAATAGTCACTATGATTGAGAATCAATCAGCTTACACGATGAGAGCTTTAGCTATAATTTTCAGTATAATTGATAAACTAACCAAGCATTACGGCTATCATTACCAGCGGCAACTGCTAACACAAGACCGGATTTAATTGCACGAAATTAGAAAGAGTTTAACAGAGAGTATGCTTAGACAGCTCTGAAGAATGTGGAAAGGATTCGGAATTAGTTGATCGATAAAGAGAAGCCAGGATGCTATTATTACCACCTTTTTACATTTGATACGACAAAATTAAAAACGCGGGCGCAAAAAATTATACCGATTTCAATCTATTAACCTGAGCAAATAGCACCCTTAACATTGCCCTCTATTGTGATATAGCATTGATCAGGTACAACTCCTCCGTGCCGACTGGGTTTATAGAAAATTGTGAAAAGGATATTGTGCAAGCAGTAGATCATGCATGGCTTACAAGCACAATTTTAGTTGAATATACTTTCGAAGACACCAGAAGCGGTATCAAAATATTTCCTAAGCACGTATAGGTACTTACACTGTTGTAAATTAAAAAAGCTGTCAAAGGAAGCGAAAAAAAAGTTAATTCGCAATCTATGTGCATCTGTTTGATGTTGCATTACAAGGAATTGAAACACAGAATAACAATGTCGCTCAAATGTCTGTGTTTTCTATTGTCTAGGATGTGAGGAGTGTCTCCGTAATATTTCTGGACCACAGCAAAGTTAAAATTGATGGACTGTACAGTTGCATCTTTACATAGTGCTCCAGCAGTAACGTACAAATAACCTCACTCTAATATTTTTATGTTAATGCAAACACAGTTAGGATGAGAAATCATCGCAGGAGATAGATTTAAACCAAAATGTGGGCTGATTTGATCACCAACAAATATATTCTGAGGTTTATCTGCTGTATTAATACCGAGTTCAGAAAGGAGAGCTTTTGGGTTTATCCAATGCTGTTCTGATTACAAAACATCCTTTTCTAGTTGACAGATTGTTATAGAAAGTTGAGGGGCTAGATAGTGTTTTATTAAATGCAGGGATTGCCTTTCAATGAGGGGTAAATGAAGAAGAGAAGCCCCGGACTTTTTACCATCCTTTACTATGGCCCGATTACTACTTCTATTTTAGATAACGGGAACAGTATATCCATTACGATCGTCTGTATCTCGTTACGAAGAATTTGAATGATTACTCACAGAAAATATTTGCTTTATTACAAAGATACTGATGTGATTACAGGTCTCTGGAGGCCTTCTTTCTCTTCCTTTTCTCCACTCCTTGATTTGCTTAATATATTACTGCGAGAACATTCTTTAATTCCCAACAAAAAGATCATAATTGAACTGAGGTTATTTAATAATTAAGACTGATATGGTATATCTTTTGTTTGATTTGAGCGATTTTACTTACTTGATTTGATATGTAAGGATTCCTTGAAATCCTGCAGGAGGCTTTCAATAACAAAGATTATAATTGCGTACATGCAAACTGTTAAAATGACACACATGTAACATCTCCCTTCATACTACAGTTTATCTTATAACGCAGTGGAAAACGATTTAATAGAAATTCTGCTTTTTCGTCTCTTTCATTTATCTTTATTTCCTTCAACGATCAAGCACTAAAATGGGATTTTTCAGTTTTCGTAAAAAGACGAAGAAAGGTGTTTACCGGCAATTAAAGCCTCAAATCGCCGTTGTCCGTGAAGAGACGAGCAATGATGTAGATTTAGTCAACCAAATTAAAGCGTTTAGTCCTGACGTTGACTTATTACTGAAGGACTACTCGTATTTTACTGACAGCATTTTTTCAGAGGATATTTTTGGTGGTCAGAGTCTATCGGATGACAATAAACTGTATTCAGTATGCTCATCCTCAGGTATGAAAGAGCTAACTTAACCCCAAGTTCTATAGAATAAGAGACATAATTGATTCTTCCTAAAGCTAGCGACATATCTTCCACTGCTGGTAAACGTACTCTATCCGGATCCTTCAATTATGATACACAATCTGATAGCACAAAGGTTTCAAAAGATGAACACATAACAATATGTCAAAATGGTTTTTCTTCTTCTGTCTCTATGGATAGTACCGGTGATAACTCTATGAATATTACAGACAAACAGAACATAATGCAGTACAATAACAATGGCAATATTGAAAAGGTGAACAAAATAGATACGCAACAACCTTGTATATTATCGACGCGAAGCACAAGTGTCAGCACTTTCAGCACGGATCCGTCACTTACAGTTTCGCAATCTCCGACCTCAAAACGAACTTTAAAAAGACTTTCGCTCGGTAATATAAGCGCTAAGTCTGTGATAGAAACAAAAAATAACGTTATCACTTCTGTGCCACGGAGTATTAATAAAAAGGACAGGCCTGACCTACCATTTGGTTCGGATAAAGATGGTAAGGATTGGTATGCACATACAATGGAAAGAATGAGAAAAAGACACCGTCAAGAGTATCGCGCATCTTCTCAGAGGATAATGAATGCAGTGGACGACACTGCTATTATACCTACATCTAGAACAGCTTCGCTTATTCATTATGCAGGAAATTCAACTATAAGTCGTAAATCACTTCACCTTCCGCCTTCACAAACTGATCGAAACATCCCTCAAGAAAAATATGCGCGGCAATCGTTTCAACAAGGATTCGATCCTTATAACTTCCATCAATGCACAGAATTTGACTACGGTCAACAACAATGCCGCAGTGCACTGGCTAATTTACATGGCCGATCAAGGCAGTCATATGTAGGTCATTATCCTATAAGAGACTCTTTACAACAATATACAGAGAACTTCAGAGGCAGCTTTTTGGACATGGAACCGGTGGATTTCCGAAAGTCAATGATCCAATATAAACAGCAATTGCATAATACACATCAGATCATGCGTAAAAGTATACTGAAGGAGGAATATACTAATTTGTTAGGAAAGCGATCGTCAAAATTCAAAGGTCCTAATGATTATTACTCAACTTACCATGGCAACCGCCAATATTTGAATGGTTCGAATTACCAGCACACCCACAAAAACGATCGTGTTTCTGATATTATTGCGTTATTTCCTGAGAGTATGAACAACCATGCAAAACCTAATGATGCTAACATGTATGACAAATATAACCAACAATACAGTACGGCTCCTAAGCAGCAAAATTGCTCAGCGCAGTTTAATAATCATCAAGTAGTCCAGCGAAACTCTATATCTTCGCCTGCCACTAGATCGTATCATAACGATACAAATACACAATATTTAGTACAAGGCCACAAACACATTTTTAGAAACCTTCCAGAGAAGACATCTTCATGTATGTCTGCTGCTGACTTGGAAAGCCCTCCGCTTGAGCTGACTTCTCAATGCTCGCATCACCGCCCCCATCATACAATGATCAATCGTCGTACTACAAGTTCTCATAGAAATAGCAGCAGAACCAACTATCCAGTTCGTACAGATAGTAACCGTCATAGTTATGGTACATCTATTAGCAATAGCAACGGCTTTTATTACCATCCAAATCACGACAAAACTGCCAGCTTAACACGTCGTGGTACCGCCATTAGCTGTAGTCATACTCATAACAAGCGGCGCAACTCTCGATGTAACTATCATACCCACCAGATTATTACTTAGTAAATTACCTTTTGAATCAAGGCATTGAGCTTTCATTATCTCTATTGCCGCATTATAGTCATATAATTTTTAATATTTTAATGTGTATGCATTTTTCCCAATAAGAAGGATAGTTTTTTACCGGGTTTTTTCTTTTTTTTTCATTTATTTTTGTTCTTTTTTGATATACAATCGCAAGACACAAGAATTGTATAAGCTATGCACTTCAATCCCTTCGTGTCAGTAAGATAGCAGAATCATGCATCCAACAGGACCATGCATCTACAATAGTGATTCAACTTCGATACGTTCCGAACTTGGTCTTTCACAAGGAAACGACTGGTTTAGATTACATATCATTCGTACATTAAACAAAGAACATGATTTGTCTGAAGCAGCCCATTCCAATTAATGTGAATTCTCATTTATTACGCCTGTATGCTTTGCTTGTTATCAGATAAACATTGAAAATGACACGTACTCGACATAGTTTTTAATAAGTGACCGAAAGTGAAAGATTCTACCAACGATTTTTTACAATTTTATGTTAAAACGCGGATTTTTGCACAATTCTTCTGGTTTTGATTACTCCTTTTTTTAACCTGTCACTGCTGAGTTTTCTACGAAAAATCGAAGGGAAGATCTTTTTTTAAAGTGCCAGTTTCAATTTCAACCCTTCTGCAGAACGTGCTGAAACAGTTTGTGAACCACTTCATAAAATAAAGCGAATAATGAAGGTGGCTCTAAGATACAAACCTTACACATTTACCATAACGGAGAGTATCTTCATCTGTAGTGTACAAATTATGGATCCAATTAACCATGCCTTACCAATTACGAAAAGGCCAAATATTAGGATGTTTCAAAATTGAACTTCCTGCTTCTATAAATAAATCTTCAATGGGTCTTTAACATTTTTGACAGATTTTAAACCTCATCCATTTCTCTTTTCCGTTGCTCTTTTTAAGTGTGTTGCATCAATTGAATAATCTTGCAACAAGTACTTTCTTGTTCAGCAGTTGATATAGTTCCTTCCTTTCAAAAAACAAAAAAAAAGTTTCACCTACATTTTGATTTATTTCAGTAACAACAACGAACCAACAATAATGCCGAGCAATCTTCAACGTGCCTTGTCAATAGAGGCAGTTGGAGATATCTCCTCTTTAGAAGAAATCAACGACAAGAAAGTAACAGACATCTTGCATTCAAAGTTCCTGAACTACAACGTATATACAGACATTGGAGCTTGTAATATCGTAGCTGTCAATCCCTTTAAGCAACTTGCACAAAATGACGCACAGACCAGCGAGGACTATGTAACATCGTACAAAGCCACTTTTCCCAAGAAACAAATACACAACAAACTCAACTCTCATATATTTGAACTTGTCAACCGTGCCTATCTACATATGCGAAGAACGGGAAATGATCAAGTTCTATTTTTATGGTAAGATTGTCAAAGTTCAAAAATTGAATGTTTCGTCATTTACACTTTGTTGGTTTTGTTGTGCAAAATAGTGGCGAATCGGGTAGTGGAAAGTCAGAACTTCATAACTTAGCACTGAAACACCTTATGCGACTCAGTGCCAGCAAAAGGAATTCTAAGGTACAAGCACAAATTCTCAACGGTCAGAAAATTTTAAGGGCATTCAGCACAGCCAAAACATCTTACAATGAGAAAGGAGCATCTCGCTGTGGGCTGTATACAGAAACACATTTCAACGAGCGTGGCAAACTAGTAGGTGGAAAAACGCTGCATTACTTTCTAGAAAAAACAAGAGTGACAAGTGGAAGACAAAATGAAGGCAATTTCAACGTATTTTATTGGCTTCTTGCCGGAAGCGAGCCTGACGAAAAGCAAGTGTTGCAAATAAAGGATGATCCCAAAGCCTACAATTATTTAGCTAAATATGGACGTTCGGTTACACAGATAGATTTGGAGGAGTATAAGGACTTCAAAGCAGTAATGCGTGGTGCTGGATTTAGACGAGAACACTACAGCCGTATCATTCAGCTTTTGGCCGCAATTCTTCATTTAGGTAATATCAGTTTCATTGATCCTGCAAGTGGAGTTGGAGCAGAAGAAGCTACCGCTATCCAAAATCCAGAAACGTTGGAATTGACTGCAGACCTTTTGGGTCTGGACCCACGAGCATTGGAGACGGTTTTGACATTCAAGACAACGATGATCGGAAAGGATGTAACAACCTTGATTTTGAATTCAGAACAAGCTGCAGCACATAGAGACGAGTTAGCACAAACATTATATACCCTATTGTTTTCTTGGATGGTGGAATACATCAATTCAAAAACGTATTCGGACACTTTTAACAGCTTCATCGGCATGCTCGACTTTCCGGGGACTCAACCGTCTGGATTTGGCACCGTTGGCTTTGAGCAATACTGTGTCGATTATGCAAATGAAAGAATACACAGTTTTATCACCCATCGTATGTTTGAAGCAGACAACGCAGAATTTATCTCTGAACTGATACAAGTACCAGAAATAACTTATAACAGCAATACAGCATGTGTTGCTTTATTAGAGCGCCCAACGAGGGGTATAAATGCCATTTTCAATAAAATGTCATCGAAGACTATCAGTGGAAAACGTGTATTTACAGATAACAATGCCGTCGACGCCGTTATGAAGTATAATCAAGAAAATCCTGCTTTAACATCCAAAATATCCAACACAGGCGCGCAACATTTTGCAATTAGACACTATGCTGGAGAAGTAACTTATGACCCTACGGGCTTTATTAACAGTAACAATAACCAGCTTCTGGTCGATTTTATCAGTCTTTTCCGGGGAAATGCTGATATGCCTGCTTCTTGGAACAACTTTGTGTTGAATTTATTTTCTGAAGATAATCTCGCAATAGAAAGTCATCCAATCAGTGCAGCAGAAGCTTTGGTAGCGGCACAGCAATCAGTGAAACCTACTCGAGCACCATCAATGCGGAAAAGTAAAAGAAATGCAGCATCAAATACAGTAACGGAAAAGTCAGGGACACCAAACGAAGACAGAGGCATTGCAACAGTATTGGCACAGATCCAGTCCGCATTAGACGAATTAATCAACTCTTTTCAAGAGGCAGCCTTATGGACTGTATATTGTATTAGACCTAATGCAACAGGAAGCACAACACAATTTGACAGTCTTGTTGTTCAGTCTCAAATCAGGAACTTCAATTTAGACTCATTAGCCAAAAAAATGAAATATTTTTATATGATGTCTCTACCTCATCAAAGTTTCCTGACGAGATATGCAGTACCGTTAACAAATGTGGGTTTGGTACATGATGGAACTGCTCAAGAACAGTGTGAGTCAGTCAAACACCTAAACGATTGGAGTGATAGTGATATGAATATAGGGTCAACAAAAGTATGTGCTTATTTAGGCTCCATAGCTTTCACATGTTGTAATAATACGAATGCTAAGTGGCTTTTTTTTTTTTTATTTATTTGTTACTATCTGGAATAGGTATTTCTCAGCTTCCAAAGTTGGCGTTTTCTCGAAGAAAAGCTTAGAGTTTTGGAAAAAGAGGAGCAAAAGAACTTGAAAATAATGAATAACAATATCGAGCTTCCAGCAATTCTAACAAGTGAGGATGGTATGGATATGCAAAAAAGGGATGTACCTGATGCTAATGATGATCAGCCATTGGGTTCTATTGCCAATACAGATCCACATCTGTTAACGGCGCCACCACCGCATGAATTTATAAGTGCTGGAGAATCCTATATTTCAGAAGATGATGAACACATGCCTCAACGTTTCTCACAAATGTCATACGCTAATAGTCAATATGGAAGTTCCCAGTTTGATGGTAATGAATCCTACTTGAACCAGAACAATTTCAGAACAGATGATTCTTTTACGGCTCCACCTGTAGCACCTCCTCCGATTGATATTGACGCTACTGAAGAAAAGCCTGATTCTATGACACCAGGAAGAAAGAGATGGCTCTGGTTTGTATATGCTATGACTTGCTGGGTACCGTCACTGTTCTTGATCAAATGTGGGCGTATGAATCGCAAAGATATTCGCGTTGCATGGCGTGAAAAATTAACTTTGTGTATGCTTATTACGCTTATGTGTGCCTTTGTCATTTGGTTTCTGGTCTTTTTCGGTGAAATTATTTGTCCACACCAGGATGTCTTCTCTGTGAGTGAACTAGCAGGACATAACTCTGATCAGGATGGGTATGTCGCTATTAGGGGTGAAGTATTTAATCTGGCGAAATTTGCACCGCATCACTTCCCCAACCTTGTTCCTACTTCTGTTGTACTTGACTACGCTGGCAAAGATGCTACTGAACTGTTCCCCGTTCAGGTATCTGATCTTTGTGAAAATGTGTCTCCATACATATCTCTGGATTATAAAAGAAACTATACTGATGATAACGCCCAATATCATGACTTTACGTACGCCTCAGGAAACTACCGCAAGAACTGGTACTACAGTATAATGACAATGCTAAGGCGGAATTATAAAGTGGGTGATATGGGTGTGGAATGGAAAGGTATCCGTGATCAAGCCAAAGGAGCCTATACCTTGAACGGACAAAAGATAAACCGCCAATGGGCAGTTATCAATAACTGCATTTACGATTTGACTGCCTACATTATGGGTGGTCGTTATACCAAAGCTCCACCTGGTGAAACAGTTCCTGATAATGTTGATACGAACTTTCTTAATCCCGCTGTTGTCCGATTATTTGAAGATAGCGCTGGAACAGACGTTACTGAACAATTCAACGCGTTGAACCTTAGCAATGATCAGAAATATCGTGAACTTGTTTGCATGAGAAACTTGTACTATGTTGGCATGGTAGATTATCGTAACTCAACGCAATGTCAGTTCTCAACATATTTTTTGTTGGTGGTCACTGTCTGTCTTTGTATTGTTGTTCTCTTCAAATTCTTGGCAGCTATTAGATTCGGATCCCCTCGTGTGCCCGAAGAGCTGGATAAATTTGTTATCTGTCAAGTTACCTGTTATACTGAAGATGAAGACTCGTTACGGAAAACAATCGATTCACTTGCTACTCTTCGTTATGACGACAAGAGAAAGCTTATTGTGGTTATTTGTGACGGTATGATTATTGGTAGTGGAAACGATAGGCCAACACCTCGTATTGTGCTAGACATATTCGGTGTTGATCCTCAAGTTGATCCTGAAGCTCTTTCGTTTATTTCTGTTGGCGAAGGAGTGAAGCAGCATAACCGTGCTAAAATATACTCTGGTTTGTATGAAATTGGTGGGCATGTTGTGCCATATTTGGTCATTGCTAAGGTTGGTGCGCCTACTGAGCGTCAAAAGCCGGGTAACCGTGGTAAGCGTGATTCGCAAATGGTTTTGATGAATTTCCTCAACCGTGTACATTATAATGCGCCTATGAATCCAATGCAACTAGAGATGTACCATCAAATGCGGAACGTGATCGGTGTCACACCTGAACTATATGAATATGTGCTAATGGTGGATGCTGATACTGAAGTCATGCCTGATGGCTTAAACTATTTGGTCTCAAGTATGGCTCATGACGCCAAAATTATTGGTCTCTGTGGAGAAACAACACTTGCCAACGAGAAAGATACATGGGTCACAATGATTCAAGTCTACGAATACTTTATTTCTCATCATATGATCAAGGCGTTCGAATCACTCTTCTCTACTGTCAGTTGTCTACCAGGTTGCTTTACCATGTATAGAATTCGTTCTGTCGATGGCAAGCGTCCCTTGTTCATTGCTAATGAAATTATTGATGATTACAAAGAAAATGTAGTGGATACGTTACACAAGAAAAATTTGCTCTATCTCGGCGAAGATCGTTATTTAACTACTCTACTACTGAAACACTTCCCCAACTACAAGACCAAGTTTAACCCAGATGCCCAATGTAAAACGAATGCACCAGACACTTGGAGTGTGTTGGTCTCACAACGTCGACGATGGATCAACTCAACTGTCCATAATTTGGGAGAACTGGTGTTCTTACCCAGCCTTTGTGGTTTTTGCTGTTTCTCGATGCGTTTCGTTGTTATTCTTGATCTGATAAGTACTTTGGTTCAACCTGCACTTCTAGCGTATTTAGGTTTCCTTATTTACAAACTGGTGGAAGCCAGGAATCAAGTTCCTATTATAACAATTATTACACTTGGTTGTACATATGGCTTGCAGATCGTTCTTTTCATCCTTAAACGGCGATGGGAGCATATTGCATGGTTCTTTTTGTCCATTTTAGCATTGCCCGTATTCTCATTGTATATTCCAATTTATGCTTACTGGCATTTTGATGACTTTTCTTGGGGTAACACTCGTATTGTGGTCGGTGAAAAGGGCAAGCAAGTGGCCGTAGGTGGTGACGACGGCGAATTTGATCCGAAATCTATACCCTTGATGACATGGGCACAATATGAGAAATTAATGTTGGCAACAGAAAGTAATAGCGATGGTTTATCCCAAAGCACTTATACCCCTGGAACTATGTCCTTTAACGGCAGTTATTCAGTGCATAATGGTGGTGGTCAAGCTTACTCGCAATACGGTGGGTTCACTTACAACAGTGGCTATTACCCTGTCAATACTGGTGGTTACTCGCTTCATGGAGGTTCTGTGACAGGCTCACGCCATTCAATGGCGGGAGACTATTTTTAGTCATTTGATCTTTCATTTCATCTGTAGAATATCGCATACAAAATTTTAATACCATATCGATGCTGCATACTATTATACTATCTATAAAGGTCAATTGTTACAAGGGAAAAAAATAGCATTGTTGCATAAGAATTTATTTAAAAGTGATAGTAATTTGCTATTATAAGTTAATGGAAATAAATTGCTTCATATCAAATTATAATACAATGATCGCAAAGTTTAAGTTTGATTAGACATGACTGAAGGGATATATATTAACGTGCACTACGCTAATAAGCGGCAGCTAAACCCATCTTCCGAGGGTCGCTGGCGGCTTCAACACTGCCATCAGACAAACGCCTAACAGCCTGAACCGCAGAAACTGAATATTCAGGAGAAATTCTTAAAGTGATGTGGTTTTTTAGCTCAAGTTCACGCTGTATATCCCTTGAATAACCATTTTCCAGTATGACTAAATTTGGTAGTAACTGATGATGAGCTCGCGGCGAGGCAATACTAGTGTAAAGGTCCTTTCCAAAATCTAGCAGGTTGAGCATTGCCTGTTATTTCGTAAATACAATGAGAAATCTCTACAATATCGAAGAGCATGCAAGAGGTACAACAACAAGATAGACTTACTGTTAATGTTGCCGTAGGAATCATAGATCCACCCGAACCACCGATTGCCATTTCGAAGTTAGCGTCCTTCTCAATAATAGTTGGAGTGATTGATGAAAGAGGCCTCTTACTCGGTCCTACGTACATTCAAAAGAAAATGTGAGACAGCTTAAAACTGAGAGCTGTCGATCTAACAAAGTATTTGTACCTGCATAATTGTTTGGACTTGGATACAAACCAAAATCATTGGGAATACTACTGTAACAATGAATAATCAATGGGAAACATATTAGAAACTTTCACGTAGTTTGATTCTTACCCTGGTATAGAAAAATCATCCATTTCATCATTAAGAACCACGCCTGTTTCGCCATCCATAATATGAGAGCCAAACACTAAATTAACTGTCGATGTCAATGCGACGGCTCCATCATTCTCATCCACGACGGATAAGTGCATTGTTCCATGTGATTCAATATGATCATATTTTGGTCCGTAATATAAAGGATCATGTGTTGTGTCGTCCTAAAGCAGTTCAATTACTCATGACAAGTAATGTCTCTCACACAGTTTGTTCGAGGAATACTTACTGTGATTCTTTGACGCACTTTTGATGCATAGTCTTTGGTAAGCATTTCTCTGATTCTGTTCTTGTTCTCTATGTAGTCAGGGTCAGCCATTTCCGTTCTGAATGCAAAACCGAATTTGAAAGCTTCAATAAGTCTATGAATAGTCAGATTTGTGAGATCCTCCGCTTTGAATTGATATCGTTCCAGCAAATTCAGGACACTTAGTAACATAGGGCCACTGGTAGGTTGTGAGCAAGTGGTTACTTTGCGACCATTATAATAAGTGCTCAACGTAGGTCTAATAACTGGCTGATATTCTTTAAGGTCCTTTAAAGTGATCATTCCGCCCGCGTTCTGTATGGTCCTGACAAGAGATTCGGCGATTTCCCCTTCATAGAATGCATCAGCTCCGTATATAGCAATTTGCTCAAGAGTATCAGCAAGCTGAGGCCTCTTAACTATGTCTCCTTCTTTAATAGCTGCACCTTTAGGTAAATAGACTTGCGACCACTCTGTGCTATTTGCCATCCAAGACTCCTCAGCCTATGGTGCCAGCGCAAATAACTGATGAAGATGCTGATGGCTTGTCATAAAACAAAGCTGAACTTACCTTGACGCGAACCTCCAGTAATTTCGTGGCGCTGAAACCTGAACGTGCTAGTTTTATAGAAGGCTCAAACAAGTCCTTCCATGCCAATCGTCCATGCCTATATGCAAAGCGGAACAATTTAAGGTTGGATTTAATTAGCAGTTTCAACAATATTTTTGATCTTGATACATAAAAATATGCAACGCACGGTTAATTTGTATTACCTTTTATGTGCCAACTCTAAACCTCTGATCTCACCCCTTTATTTTGCGGATTGATGATCGTTAGATCATGCTGTGCAACATTAATCTAACTGAAGGATGCACTTACGGGACAGCGATAGATAAGCCTCCAACTTTGGCCATGCGTGGATCTTTAACAAACATGTCCGGCGTGGCTGCTTCTGGAGCAGTTTCTCGAAAGTCAATACACTCGAATGTACCGTTGGGAGATCGGATAAGCATAAAGCCACCTCTACATAAATAATCGTGTACCAGATCAGAATCGAAAAGGACAGTTAGATACTTTCTGCTTACTAACTGAATACGGTGGTTTTACCCTCCGATGCCTGAAAAAAAGTATGACGTTTAACGAAAACTGACAAGAGCCCCTTTGTAAATCAGATTTACATGAATAAAGTGACATGCACATAATCAAATTTACCTGTAGCAAAACTGTCTATAACACCAATGCAAAGTGCAGACGCAATAGCTGCATCAGCAGCATTTCCGCCTTTTTTCAAGACTAAAAACAAAAGGTATTGATCATGATGCTGCCGAGAAGGTTATGTAGAGTATTCCTTATCGATTCTTACTTTCAACGCCAATATTGGAACATTCCTCTGCCTCAACAGCAACGGCGCCTTTGGTTCCTTTGATCAGACGGCCCTTATATTTAACTGGGCTATCCAAAGGCCCATCTATTGTGAAGATGAATTCTCAGAGCGAGAGAAAGATTTCAAAATTTCATGGGGTAGTATTGTACCTGATTTTGATACAAAGTATAAACATATGCAACTGGCCGATAAGAAAATGATGGCTATACCAATGACATTGCCATATTTTCTCATGAACCGCTTGTATCTACCCTTTTTAAAATCGTATAGTAAGGGAAACGACTCAACATCAACCATTGGGGTAGTATTGCAAGTTCCAAGTATGAATGAAAGAAGAAGAGAAGAATAGAAAGAAACTGACGAAACTGAAACTGTTCTCTGCACATACACGTAAGATAGGTTGTAAGACAATCATCGGGAAAGTAGTTGTGCCGTCGGTCAAATATATACTCCAATCACATCAGATCTAAATTTCTATTTCCTCGTACCTAGTACAATTGCTTAACCTTTGAAAGCTAAACAAACGGGTAGAGATAGGCAAGAAGGATCACTGAAGCATCAAATATTCTCATCAAGATGTTCGAACTGAGCGCTATAAATGTGAAGGTGTAGATATGCATCTCTCAAAATTGATTGGTATAATAACAGCGGCCTAGCAAATCCATAACTTTCGACTTTTTCTACGATTCTACAATTAACAAAAATTCGAAAGCCTTCTACTTTTAATGATGGAACGATTCTTCTCACGAAGCACGCATAAAACGGCTTTAAGCCAAGGTCTAGCGTAAATAACAGGCTGGATATAATCAGATACGACCGATGTCTTAAACAAACATGAATATATAAAGTGAGATACTTTATTGAAGTTGATCGGATTCGCGAAATCGATTTATTTTTCCTGCAATTCAAAAGAAAAAGAGATCAAAGTTAGTGACAGCACTTCTAAACGGATAAACAGCAGCAGCTTATTCAAAATACTTACGGGAATTTCAACTTCACCAGCATCAATGGCGGCACAAAGATCTTTAGGATTTTGACCGTCAACGGTACAACCGACAGAGAAAGCGGTACCGAGGATTTCCTTGACAGTACCAGAGAGTTCACGAGCCAAAGATTTGAAACGCATGGTACGGGCAATTTCAATAACATCTTCCAAGGAGATGTTACCGCTGTGCTTGATGTTCTTTTCCTTCTTACGATCACGGACGGGCTCCTTGAGAGCCTTGATGACCAAAGAAGAGGCAGAAGGAACAACGGAAACTTGAGCTTGACGGTTTTGGATCGTCAATTGAACAGTGACACGAAGGCCCTTCCAGTCCTTAGTACCCTTAGCAATATCTTCACCAACCTTCTTGGGAGACAAACCAAGGGGACCGATCTTGGGAGCTGATTATTCAATACAAGTGCATTAAAAAAAGAGTAGAAATGATTAATTCTGACTGTTGTGAAACAATTATCGTTTCCTCCATTGAATGTAGAATTTTACCAAGTGCTGAAGAGGCACCAACTTCACCACTATAATTAGCGGTAAAGAATTCAGATGAAGAGGTGTTAGCAATGGGATCGATGACGTTAAATTCGATAGTTTTACAATTGACTGAATGTTTGAAATTACAGAGTCGACTGACTCAAATATTTACCCAGTAGCACGGAGGTAGATGATCTTAACTTCGGAGGGATCGAACTTAGGAGGCATCTTAACTATAGCAAATGCATCGAATTAGATGGATGGATGGAGCAATTGCATGATATGTATATGGATGTCTTACGCTGTAAAGAGGGGGTTATGCCAGTTTAACACTGATTTGCGTTAAATTCGGGATAATTATTCCGTGCATGTCGCCTCGCCTCTGCCATGAATTGTACACTTTTTGCTGGCTATTGATTGGACAACGAGCACAATCAAAAGGGGGAATTAATTGCAGTGCAGAAACTTGCCCTCTTTGTTGTAGGGTATTGAGCTCAATGAGAATTACTCAAGTTTATTGGTGCCGTATAGCTAATAATATACAAAGAACAATTACGTCCTATTAAGCCTTTTAAAATTTTAAGAAGAAACAATTACAACATTTGAAACGAATATAATTTATAAGTGGGCAAATAATCAATCAAATAGACATAAAAGATATTGGCGGTCTTCCCTTTGAATGAAAGGATTATTTCCTAGAATTTTATTTAATTTTTCTATTATATTAATTATAAGATAAGCATTACTTGAAAGTTGGGGATTTTCAAATTTGTAGTTGCATCACAAATAACTTAACACGCGCGGTGTGTGTTTGCATTAATAGTCTATTCGTTGGAGGCAGTTTACACTAAAGAATGTCATTAAGGACATTTTTGATATACTAGATTGATATCATTGTTTGTAGAGAACCTTTATAGCTGATTTACTACTTTTCCTTTATTTGCCTTGTGTCGTACTATTCTATCGTGCTTTACTAGTTTAAACAGAGCTTTTCGTTACAATGTTGGGACAGGTCGGCGGCAATTCTCTCTGTTATGAACCAACAACAAGTATTTCTCTGTTGTGATTCGAACTTTCCCCTGAAATGTCTTACAGAAGACTAACATAAAGATAGTTCTTTGTAAAGAATGAAATAGCTCGAAAACAACCAGAATACTTAGTCTATTCGGTGGAGAGTAGTGAGCACCACGATATAAGGTAACGTACTCATCTAAAACAGATAATAAAGAGATAAAAGAACAGGGGAAAAAAAAAAGATGATATAGGATCAGAAGAAATGTTGTACCTATCAAAATGTAATTAATAAGATAGAGCAAACATCCAAGGTCAGATAAACGTGGGCAGTTGATAAGAGTCAGATACTAGTAAGTCAAGCATTTCCAAAGGTGCTGTCCTTTTCGTTGTTGGTAATGGTTGTAAAATATTCCGTTAGGCTTATTTCATGATTCAGATACTAAAAGATTCTAATCGTCGCAAACACTTGTCGACCAGTAATTTAATACGAGGTTGAGTGAAATGAAATATAGTTACATCTGTTAGACTATTGGCAAATAGCAAAAGAAAATTATGAAAGTAAAAAAGAAAAAATAATTCCTCAAGCGTGATTCGAACACGCAGCCTCTTCTTTACGAGAGAAGCGCTCTGCCGTTGGAGCTATTGAGGAATCACTTTGACTGTGACGGAGCGTGAAAAACTCAAAATTCCGCCCATGAAGCCAAGCCACGTGACCTACGTCACAGCTAGTGACGTCGACGTATGACGGTTGAAAAAGACATATAATAATTTTTTATAGAGAACATAGAAAGGAGGAGCTTTATTTGCTATACATAACTTTTAGTACCTTTGCTTATAAATATATATTTAGAGAGATAACTTGGACAGAGCCAACTAAAGAAATTTATTAAAGAGTATTATTATTTGAGCGATTAAGCATTGTATTGAAAGATCATTGTATCTGCATTATCCTTATTTGTATAATTAGTCTCGGGTTACATAAATACGAGAGACAGTAAAGTTCAAAGTATCTACGTCGTAAACTTCACGCAATAACACCGCAAACGTATCATGACAGAAAAAAAATTGTATAAATAAGTCAGACCAAAATATTTCAATGCTACGTGACAGAATTGTACTTTTGAATAAATTTCATGTCAGTTTAACGAAGAAGATAAGGATAAACCTGCTGTTTATTGTGTATATAGCAGCATTAGAGACTGATAGACTTTTATAAAAGTATCAGATCGGACCTTGTTTTTGATGATAAGTGTGTACTAGCTCCAGTTCGTTCATGGCATTGCATGTACAACGATGTAGGCATTGTATGATAACTTTATAAATCAGTTTCCAGAACTCATGGATAAAGGAGGTATGACTTTCTATAAGTACTCAGACTGTGCAAGTTGTAAAAAGTTATCAACGTAGCTGGAAAGAGTAGTGCTAAAGAGCCTTTGAAAGAACGTGTGCTGGAGTGGCTCAAAGACAAATCGGTGACGAAACAGAGGTTATTGGCCGGCTTTTTGCTCAACATTCTTTATTATTTTTTTTTTTTTTTCTGTATGATCAAGTATAGCCATTATTGTCAATAAAGTAACATGAAAAGGTACTGAAAAAATGGACCAGATGCTGCTAGACAAATTTGATAAAGTGCCAATGTCGTAGATCAACTAAAACAAAAAAAAATGTACAAAAAAGAAAGAGAATTCTTTTTTTCTTTTTGGAAGACAGCTGCATGTTTCAGCATTATTTTTGTAAAGATAACGAATTTGCAGAATGTGTAAATATACCATATGTTTAATTCTTGCTGCTTTGAGCATTCATACTTACAAAACCGTTTTTAATCAGAGAAGCAAGCATGAGCTATTTCTTGTTTTAAGATATATCCTTCTGTGAATATATTGTACGTCCATCTGAAGACTAATTCATTCTAAAAGGAAGCAGGGCGGACATTTACTTATGTCACCTACGCGTTTTTGTAACTGGAAAAATCTGTTGGTGAGCACTAGTGTAACTTTATGAGAGTTGTCGAATTCATTATTGGGTATTTAAAAATAAATAAAAGTGCATTATTGTCATTCTAAATGGAATAGTAGCTTTGTCATATCAAACCACAAAAAGTGTTACCGAGATTATAAATGTGTATCAATCTTTGTTTTCTATATAAAAATCCGAAAAGCAGATACATAGTGCGCTCTAGTAAAGCAATATGTTGAAGAAATTACCGGGTAAACAGTAAAGGAAAAGTACTAGTCGGAGTGATGGCAGAAATAGAGCTCATCACGTGCATATAGAACGAAATACAGCTCTGACAAATGAGAAGCCAGTGTCAATGGCTGATCTCTCACACGCAAAGATGTTATCAGGCTATTATTAATTATGATGTGAAATGATTAAAGTCAAACCTTTGCTAACTCAGTGATCAGTAAAGTGCGGTATGGTCATTGCTTTCTTTTTTTGGGATTCTCTTTTTTTACTGCGCTATTTACGTAAATTTCAGTAATTGGTAGGGTCAACCCAATTACACGCATCTATGAGAACTGTGGGTTGTTTGGCATGATGGTTTTCACATCGTATTTTGGTTGTAGTTAAAGCAGTGCTTGCATAGTAAAACCAAGGCATGAACTTTAGTATGTATATCTCACCCGTTTGGATGAATATTAGATTCTACCAAGTGTTTTCTTTTCGATCTGATGGTGCACCATTAACTGTAATCAGGACCCAATAAGGCACGAAGAAAAAAGTGGCGCGCTTTTTTAACACTTTGTTTTTGTCACACGGCAGTACTCATTGACGCAAGACAAGATCTGCTTACTCCCGGGACAGTACCTGTTATTATGCTCAAGATATTACATGATTCCAGATCCCCCCAAAAAAAAAGGGAAAAAAAATAATAGACAACCGTGCAACAGTTAAATCAGACAAAACCAAACCAAGGAGACAATTTTAGCCGAAAAAAAAAAACCACCAAAAAAACCATAACAGAAAAAGGCTTGGGTTCAGAAATAGACTGAACTGTTTAATTACCCTTTATCTCCAGTTATTTCCCCACCTTTTCAGTCAAGTCAAATTTACAAAATTTCTAGAGGAGAATCTAACTCGAAATTGTTTAATAACAAAGGCGGGCAAAACAGGCTCGTGAGACATCCAAGAATAGGCTTTTATCGTCATCGGTTGGAATGCACAGAATTCGCAAAAGAAAAGAAAAGAAAAGAAAAAAAAAAAAAAGAAACTAGCTATTTTGGATGATTTGCATTCAAAAAACAAAAAGTTTTGTTTCCCTTTATGGTTGTGCTTTGTATATAAAGAAAAAGAAAAACCAAAAACTTCCTGATCTGAGGTGACTACAAGAGGCTTTCATTCTATTGTGGAATGTTGCATCCCACCTTAAGGTAATCCAAACGAAGAACTAAAAGAAGGTGACAGGAACCGGATGTTTAATTAAAGCATGCTAGCTATAGTACAGTAAGTTGGCCGGACTATTATATTAACCGGCTTTGTACTGGTAAATGGGTTTATCGTTGTACCGTATTTTTACAATTTTTCAAAGCTGGGAATAGGGTTCACAATTGCTTAAAGGGGAAAATCCTATTTTTTTCATGCATTTACCTACGGATGAATTATATATTTCTCTGCACGGGGTCGCAGGGAAAGTTGGAAGGATAAAAAAGACACTGCTGGTGTTCTTCTTTTTTTTTTTCTCCATTTTTATTCTCATATATCTTTTTCATCCAATTTACGCTACGGCTTAATAATGAAAGAAAAAGTCAACCTATACCATCGCCATGCTAACGCAAGAATCGACACATACCAACGTTCTGCTTTACCGTATTTCACTATGAATATTAACAACCGACATGCTTTAACGAGGGATGATCGCGAAAGTCGTTTGAAAGCAGCTTACAGTGTCAATTGCAGCCAAGCTTGTCTACTGCTACAAGCGATCCAGATGAATGGCAGACGGCGCCTAAGTCCTGCTTGTATAAGTATGTCTCATTTTTTTTTTTCTTCCTTTTCCTCTCTTCCTTCCAATGAAGAAGCGAATCATTGATCTTTAGATATATCATAGTGCAACTGGCCACGTTCGTTGGAAAGGCTTGGGAATCAGACTGCAAACAAGAAAAAATTGATGAACTGGCGGCATTGATGACACATCTGTTGGATACGACTCAATTATGTCCTGAAAAATCCCTGGACGAAGCACTTAAACAATTCTGTCGTAACGATGTACCTGCTCACACTGTGTCACCAAGCATCACTTTACTGATCGCTATCGGTTATATCGAAAGGCTTAAATCAGTAAGTTGAAAGAGACACGATCGATTTTCTGTTTTACCTGCTATCTAGCCCCTATTGACAAATGAAGCCATTTTTTTTTTTATTTTTTTTTGTTTAACTCTCTTTTAGAAATACAATAACATCAAAGGCGCTAATGGTTGTGGCCGGCGATTGATTTTGATAGCTTACATGATGGCAGCCAAGTTTATGCACGTTAATTTGCGATCGGTCATCAATACAGCTCCATCAGCCAAGGAAGACACCTCTTTGACGTCCGACTCCTCCGTCTCAGCACCGGGCTCTTCGTCATCTTCTACACCCCCTTTGACGACTCACCCTCCAACGGCTTTTTCATCGCCTTTATCCATGGAACAACAGCCACAACACAAAAGCAATGATACCCTTCCTCTTCCCAGCTTAATACCACCAGCATCTTTACAAAAACATCAATTACCATCCCCTCCTACTTCACCTAAAAACTATTCTGACACAGACCCTTTGAAATACCATTACTTCCGCCCCAACCCAAGCAAACAACAAGTCCCTGCTCGTCGTTTGTCAACGCCAATGCCTTCTTCTACACATCATCCTTTGACCGACGCTGATCGTCATACGGCAAAGATTCCCGCAGCTCAGAGCGATCTTCCAGCTCAAGCCATGGAGGAGGAGAAAACCACTGAGCGTCAGTATCAAGTCAAGCGTATGGAAATAGAATTCTTGCACTTTTTGAATTATGATCTTACCTTAACCGATACACTCAGGCTGATTCATTGGGCTCAAAAGTTTGATGATGATCTCTTACCACCTATTCGTGCCACATCCACGGCAAAGAACAAGTAACACAGCTGTCAACCCAAGTAAAATCTCTTTCTTCCATCATCATTTTTTTGCCTGCTTTTTTTTTACTTATTTTGGCAAGAACCACTTTTTACCCTTTATCGTTATTTTCATTTTATTTTATTTTTTTGTTATGCTTTCGTAGAAATAATATTACCCGACTCTTTATAAATATACCTATACTTTTACTCTGTAGTCATGTTTGACACATGCATTCCTCTTAAAAAGTCTCGGTTCTACTGTGGTTTTACCCGCTTTTATTTTATTTTATTTTTTTTTTGTTTTCCTTGAATCCAATCACTTTACAAGCCAACGTCCCTGCCTAACCATCCATTGACGAAGCACAATGGAGCTTATGCTTGTTTCTTACAGTGCACGATCATAAATTAGGGACGAAAGGATTGCAAAGGGTTTACGAGTCTTTGCAAAGTTCTCTGATCCATCGGGTCTTGGCAAAATCAAATGGCAGTTTTCTAATTTGTTATTTACGAGCTAAAAGGGAAGAGTTTAATACAGAAAGAAGGGGATAACAGAAAAAGATACGCTTAAAAGGTATGCTATATGAAGTCATGAGAAAGGTATTTTGCTGATATAATAAGCGAACTTTGGGAGTGCATTGAACATATAGTGAGTTCATCACTTTAAGCTGTAGCTTGATTGATAAAATCAATCACGGCGGGACATTCTAGCCTAAATTCACCGTTTCTTAGCTCATTCGAGCGTGTCAACAGGTCTATGTAGAGAGTCTTGAGTACCATAAGATTCTAATTCAAGAAAGGTGGAGCAAAAAAAAAAAAAAAAAAAAATAGCATGCAAGGTGAGTCCTTTATCAAAAAAAAAAAAAAAAAAAAGGAGTGTGAGAGGGAGAGGGTTCACGGTCTTACTCTTTCATCTCTATATCCGTGACGTGCCATTTGATCTGTCCATTTACTGAGTTCAGTGACTTGAGGACCCAGTTGCAGCAGTGTCTTTCCTGTGTCATTCGCGTAATACTCGGCTATGAAGCGAATCATTTGTTTGTGAATCGAAGCGTCCCACCCAACAACACTTAATAAGAAAAAGACAATCGGCTTGAACTGTGTATCCAGGACACATTTCACCAAGTAATTCTTCTCGATCAACAGAGTGATCAATGTGTTGATAAAACTGAGATAGGTCTGTCGGTAGGTGACGCCGGATCGTTCTTCTGTGGCTGCGTCCTCCTCTGTATGGCCATGACCGCCGCCGCCGCCGCCGCCGCCCACATTGTCAGGCCAAGAATCAGCGATCAAGGCAAGATAGTTATTCAGCACGGCGCAATTGGGTTCTTGCACACGGTCTAATAAATATTGGACAAAGACTTTCCGAGCAATGTCACTCTTTTTCAGCATGTCAATCATGGCATGCGCAAGGTCGGCGTCGAAACTTTCTTCTCTGATGATTTTCATGAGGGCGACCCACAGGTGTTCTTTGATCTCTTTGTCGGTCTTGCTCACTTTGGTACCTGGAACAGCTGCTTTGGGGGCCTGTTCTGCCAAGTTGAGTAACTTTGCATTGTACTCGATCATTTTGTCGTAATCCATCATGAGGGCGATATCATGCTCGTCGGTCTCCATCCCCGCGGTGGAGGCCACGCTTATCTTTAACCATTTCACGATGGTAGCTGCTAAAAAGTTGGAGAACAAAGGATCCATCACGACCATAGCATAATCACTAAAGTAAAATGGGTAATCGCACAGGGTGAGATGGTAGGCCTATGAAAGTTTTTTACTAAACGCGCGATGCTTACGCATAGAGTTGAGAGCCGTTTTTGGCATTGTTGAAGCATTCTTTGATGTTGTTAATAATGTCTTCATCCATATTTTGATTGCGTACACAACTGTCGAGCGACCAGATCAAGCGATGACAAGGATCCACATGGGTAATCTATGATCAATAGAATGAACACGTCATATGAACCAGTGTTTGAGTATGTGTTTCTCTCAATGATAGAAGAATAACCCGTTTGTTTTTTGTTTTTTTTTTCTTTTTACTTTGTCTGCGTCCTGATCATGATAATTCATCAGCAAATCCACGCGCAAAGAACACAAGCTCGCATAAGGTGTATTTCGAAATACGATTCTGATCAATCGGACAAACATTTGATACATCTCTGGATCTCCATTGATATTCTTCATGATGTCACGCAGGATACTATGTGAACGTCTAAAAGCACCCAAATACATTTTATATATCCACATTGTTACATGTCTCCTCATTCAGTCCTTCTATTTTTTTACCTTTGATGAATCAAATCATTATAATCTCCTGGCTTTATATTCATGGCTAACTGTTGTAATTCTTCATTATGATGATATTCATTCAATAAAGAAACCATGGCTTGATGAAAAAAGTTTTCGTCTCCTTTCCATATACGCTGCTTAATATTCCATGGACAGTTCTTAAACACGTCGACATCTGCTTTCAATTTGTTCAGTATCTCATCATCAATATGGGGTTCGAATTTCTGCAACAAAGCCATAGGTATAGGTTGCATGTCTTCTATGTGAATATAAGGAAACAATTTATCAAACAAGTGTTGAAAGCTGAAAAGAGAAAAAGGGAAAGGGTGGGTTTAGACTGACGTGAATGGAGAAAAGTCGATTGAATAAGAAATGTCAATGGAACGAAGGTTGAAACTGTCCTTGCCTCTTTCACAAAAAAAAAAAAAAAAACAACCCAAAACAAAACAAAAACTTACTCTTCCATTTGAAATGCGGGACTCTCAATATAGGCAACCACTTTGTCATTCAATGCTTTCAGACAATACTGATGAATTTCAAGTCTACTGCAACCACACGCCTCTAGTAGGGGATAGATGTTTTCTATGCCAGGAAAGTTCAAACCATAATCTGTTTGAATCGATCGAATGGCTTCATAAGGACCGCCTGCCCCTGAAGAGGTCAATAAAGTTCGAATGTCTTCCGCTGCATTTCCAATGAGTATTTTGTTATTTGTCGACATTGTAAGAAAAAAGTGCGTGTTTTATTTCTATAGCAGTGAGGTATTTTTGTGTTTTCAAGTGCAATCAACAAAATGGTGAGAAGGATAAAGCATAAAAAGGCGGAAGGAGAAAAAAGAAAAGCGTTCCAGGCTCAGTCACAAAACGTGAAAAAAAAAAAAGTCAAGTGTTTCTATCATCCCATCTATATCGATGAGGGGAGGTCTATGATCTATCTATCATGGATTGGATGAATGTCAGGGTATCTGGAAGCAACATTCATTTGATCAATTTGAATTCCATGAAGCAACTTGCAATAGTCAGCGTTATTAGGTAGATCAGCTACAAAAAAAAAACAAAAAAAAAAAAGCTTTTGCTTAGCACAGTCGAATAGGCTGCTGCCTGAAACAAGGTAGAGTTGCTTACTGTAGCAGATTGTCTTGTCAGAAACGCCGTAAACGCGTTGTATATACCAAAGAGTCGTACTGTTGATCAATTCAAAATCTTTACCAAGGCTCAGTGTAGGGTCCAAGCTTCCGTCTGCACGGAACAATTTTTCATTCGATAGTACCCCGGGCACTTTGTTGGACTTTCCTAATCATGACAGTAGCAGTATGAGCAGTAGTTATAGAAATGCGGTTTGTGTGCCATCCACGGTTGTTTTACCTGAAATAAATTGGATCCATGCCAGGAACCATTGTCTATCGACGATATGTGTCGTTGCCTGTCTAAATTGACGTTGGTATAGTGCTAGTTCAATCATTCGCCTTGAATGGACCATCGACCCAGAGACTCCTTCTCCAGGCAGCAACAACGAGGTCGGCTGCATGAATGCCTGAAGTAGTCGGGTCATAAAATAGCGTTCACTGGTTAAACCTTCTTTGATAGTCGTACTGAAACCGTGAAAGCCGATCTAGAAAGAATGTCCCTATCAGTCATCCGTTCTATACAAAAAAGAAAAGAAGCTCCGTTGGTTACCGTTTTTAGACATAAAGTACACCAAAAATCCAATGGATGCGATGACGATAATCGTAATAGAACAGGATGTGAATGCCTTTGAGCGACATCGGTGTGTTTGTTGTTGTTGTTGTTGTTGTTGTTGATATCCCATTGTTCTGTTGATAGTAAAACAATAGAGGACGAGTCAGTAAAGCTCTCTTCAAAAACAACGACCCTCAATAGCATTACCAGAATGATAACAGGAAGGGTATAAGCATAGACAAAGTTCATCCTCCAGCCGAGAGGAGGGTGGTGGTAGTGGTGGTGGTTGTTGTTGCAGATACTTGGACATGGTTGTCCAAAGAAACTGTTGCTTTTTTTTCAGGTCTTTTGTTCCGGCTTGCAGACGGCTTACGATTGCATTTAAATGAGGACACATCTTTTGCATTTCGCCTGAACGTACAATATCTTTCCATGTAAAGTGAGGATGACGGTAGCCAATGTGATTGACTCGACAGATATCGAACCAAAAGGACGAGTCTTTCCGATAAAAAAGAGAGTACAGGGTAGGATGACATGACAAGACGGATAATAGATCTTGAAAAGTCAAATAAGCAAAAATCTCTACAAGTAGCTCATAAGGTAAATGTAACAATCCTTGCTGGCGCATATCACTGATAGTTTACGGGTGTTGATGAGCGCAAATCGCAAAAGAAAAGAGTCGACTTTTTATTTCGTCTTTCTTTCTTTCTTTCTTTTCTGCTACCTGTTTCTCCTGATAAGACATGGGCAATGAGGGGCAAGCTGTTCTTTGTGTCGAACCTGTGCGTTCATCAGGAACCTGAGGAAACAAGTACAATCTATGAATGTGAAAACACCTAAAAATGGCAAACTTCATACGCTAGGTTTTGAAACATTTGATCTGAGGTACAATTCGGGGTCTCTCCAGGTCTAAAATAGCAACAACACGCCACGCTGCGTAGATTGGAGGTCAACAAGAAAAAAGAGATGGAAGATGGACCTTATTACTGTCAACCCTTTAAAGATATTGGATGCAGCAAGTTCTCTTTTTACGCATAGGTTTTTATTTTCCCATGTTGTGCGTGGAGATGCGCAATAAGCCGAGAAAAAAAAAACAAAAAAAAAAAAAACGGTTGCTTAGGAAAAAGAATTTTCGATTACCAAGACAAAAATGTTTCAGATGCTTTCTCTTTGTCCCCATTCCCTTTTCTCAAATATTTCTAAGACACAGGTACAAAAACAAAAGAAGAAAAAAAAAAAAACAAAAAAAGGGGAAAACTTTTGATATATTGACAACTTTTTTTTCATTCTACATCAGGAAAAAAAAAAAAAAAAAAAAAAAAGATAAATGAAAAAAAAAAAACCCCCCATCTCTATAAAATATGTCAATTATTCTAACTTTTTTTGTCAGGGAAAAAAAAAAAAGAAAAAAAAGTTTTGCTATCGATTATTGCTCGAATTTTCGCAGATTCTTTTTTGCATTAAAGTTGTCACTTTGGGATACATTGGCCCTTTTTTTTTTAAAGTTTTTTGTTCAAAGAAAAGTGAAACTTTTTTTTAAATGAAAGGCCAGATAGACAGACAGGTTCAGCAAGTACAATAAAACACTTTATTATTTTTGTGACGTTTTTTCTTTGTCTTGGTTGATAGTAGAGAGTAAGAGAGGAAAAGAGAGAGAGAGAGATACAAGATGGTTAGACAGTTATCGTGGTGCATCACTAAAGACCTATAGATGTTTATAGATAAACCGGTTGTATTAGCAGGAAAAGAAGGATTTTGCCCATGATTTTCTGAAACCCGCGAATGGATGATGAGCGTTTGGGCTTTTCTTTCAGATTGTCAATTTCCGACCCAAAAAAAAAAAATAAATCCAAAACCTGTGTCAGTGAATAAGAGAGAAAAGAGAATCGTGTACCTTTTTTTTTTTTTTTTTTTTTTCCTTCTATCTGAATGCGTGAATGATCGAGGTGATAACACTTTCCGTCATAAATAGGTATAAGCTGTATTGGCATCAAATTCTTTTTAAGTCAATTTAGACACATCATCATTGGTTTTACAAAAAGGGTAAAGAATAGGAAAAAAGCCTAGGCTAAAGTCTGTGTATGTGTGTAATGAGATAATGTCATGATTTCCTAATCGTTCGTGTGCCTGAATATGGTGTTATGAATTCCCGCTCGCTCGCTCTCTCTTTCTCTGAGTTTCTTTTTTTTTTTTTTTTTTTTTTTTTTTTTTTTTTTTTTTTTTCTTCGAGCATCCGTTCGTCTCCTCTTTCTCCATTTGATTCATATTACAATCGAGGCCCTTGCTTTGCCCTTTTTCCATTTTTTGGACTCCACCAAAACACTGGGCAGTTTTTTGATTTAAAAAAGAAAAAGAAATTTTTTTGTCGCCCCTTTTTTTTTTTTTTTTTTTTTTTTTGTGTGTCTTTTTTGAGTAGCCCTATTTTTTTATTTTTATTTTTTTTTTGTTTCCTCATTCTATTCTTTTTTTTTCTTCCTCAATCAACACGTAGCGAAACTCACCATGCCTTCTACAGCCGTCACATCACCAGCACCCTCCTCCTCCACGACGCATAGCCCTGCAAATACAAATAGAACAGCTTCTTCCAGTACATCACCCACTGTCACCCGTGCTAGTGCTGCTACGGGCAATACAGCTTCCCATCATCCAAAAAAGACTCGCTCGACAAAGCCAAAGTTATTCCAATGTACAGGCTTTGGTGACTGTCATATGGTCTTTACTCGCTCAGAACATTTAGCAAGACATACTCGGTATGCAAACTGAAATAATAATTATATCATCATATTATATCATAAGTAACTAATTGACGGAAAACCTTAATTTTCTTTTATTTTTTCGTCATCTTTATAGTAAGCATACGGGAGAGGTAGTGTATTTTTTTATTTTGTTTTTCATATCTTTTGCTAGAAAACAAAGAAAAAACTAAATCATCTTTTTTTATGATTAGAAACCTTACTTGTGCATTGTACCTGGCTGTACGAGAAGATTCAGTCGTTTTGATAATATGATGCAACATACACAAACCCATAAAGCTACACGTAGTAAACGTAGTCAAGCAATCAACTATGATGGTGCTTATCACCCTTCTCATCCTACGAGTACAGCTTACACGACGCCAACAGCAACACCCACCACCACGACCACCCCAATAGCACCTTATATGTCATCTCCTTTATCTTCTGCATCTTCTGTAACCACTCGATATGACTTGGAGCCATCTCCTGAATTATACACTCTACCGTCCGATGAAGAAAGTAACAGTAGTTGTGGCAGTCATAAGATGGCTGTTCATCAACTGTGTGCTAGTGACCGTACCCCATCCGATTATTATTCATCACCGCAGCCGCAGCAGCAACAACAGCAGCAGCAGCAGCAGCAGCAACAACAACGACAACGACACCAGCTTCAACCCATCTTACCCGCCGACTATGCTCGTGAAGAACCTCAACAACCACCATTAAAAGAACTTCATTTAACACAAGCTGAATTTGAAGCATTACAAGGTTTTGGAAGATTCAAACATACACCTGTCTTTATTGACTCTTTTAGAGATTTGGCTTCTGTCGTCTACATTGAACCAAATCCTGTCCGTCCTTAGGCTCCTCTGCCCTTTTTTTTTTTTTTGTTTGGAAAAACAAATGGACCTAGTGGGACACTTCCCCCCCCCCACATATCATCCTATATATAGGATGTGTATATACATACATACCTATGTGTATACGCAACGCCACAACTTCATTACCTACGTTCGCAACCCTACCCAACACAACACAACACAACACAACACAACACAACCTATCTTTATAATTATTATTTACTCCAGTATATTTTTTTTTCTTAGTATCTATTATCATACGCTACACTCTAATATTCATTTATTATATATCACTCTTCTCTTTTCTTGTACACATATTTTTTGGTTTTTATCTCGTTTACTTTTTTTCTTTTCTTTTTTTTTTTTTTTTTTTCTTTTTTTTTTGGCAATCATACCTCTTTCCTTCCTACAATCAAAAAAGCAGACATAAAACAACCAGCTACACGTTTGTTCGTAATTTGTTAGTTTTCATAATAAAAGAATTTACAATTTTCAAGATACTGCTCTTTCTCGTGTCGTTCATTCAGGAACCCTTCTTTTTCGTTCATGGCTGGCCCTCAATCCCCCAAGACCGCTAAAATCTGGTTCCTTAAATAATAAATGTGTTTTTCAAACAATTTAAAAAAGAAAAGCTATTCACATGGGAAGAAAAGGAAAGGCCCCACGCCTTTTGCCACCCAAAATGAAGGAAGGAAAAGGCTCCTCTCTTTTTCCCTTGGTTTCTAACTCGTATTTTATAGAGGGTATCCAAAGAGCACTGTCAGTAACAAGGTCATTTCTGCTGCGCAACGCGAAAACGGTCCGTTCTTTTTTTTTTTTTTTTTTTTGACATATCGATAGCGACGATCATGATGCTTCTCAGTTTTAATTCTGCATCTACACAGACTTCCAGCCTAAATTATCCTACAGGAATTTGCTTTTGTAGGAACCCAGAAAACATAATAAACTAGCTATCAAGGTGAGTCTTTGATCTTTTTTTTTTTTTTATTTTACGTTTTATTGACGAAAGAAAAGAGGGGCTTGAATCTTTTCTTCTCTCTCTCTGATAGCAGAAAAAAGCTTAAATCAATCCGTTCTTTGTAAACGGGTGCATTCCTAGAAAAAAAAAAAAAATTTTTTTTTACCTGAAAATTCAGGTACCAGAAAAAAGAAAAAAAAAACTTTAATTTATGCAGATAGAATTGCCTTGTCCAAAAATATTTTATGCAACATTCTTCTCTACATTAAATATCGATGAAAAAATATGATGCTCAATGAGTGATAAGGAGTCATCTGCAGTTACATTTCTTTTTTTGTTCGATTCTTCCCGATGGACATAGAATGTCAATATAACCAAACGATATGCACCTCCACTTTTATGACAAGAAGCGTGCTGATGATACACACACACACACATACACACACCTACCTCGTCTTCCACTTGACATGATTGAAGGACGGAAATAGCGTCATCTATTTGAAACAAGGATTGTCACTCCCTCCTCTATCAAGTTCAAAATAGTAAAGGCTTTTGTTGCACGCAAAAATTTTGTTATGGAAAAAAGGAAAAAAGAGGCAAGAGGTGTTACATAATGATGGTATAGGCTCTGGTTAAAATCTTTTCAAGTGTCCACTGATAAAAAACTCTACTTTGAATGTCCCTATTCATAGTGTGCCATGATGCGGAAGGCTGTCTTGCTCCTTCTACGACAAAAGCAGACAAACCTCAACTTGTTTATGTTCACCAAAAGTGGCAATCAAACGAGACCCCCCCTCCCCATTGTCAGCTTCATTCTCCTCCACCAATGACCAAAGAGAGATACGAGCATTCTAACCTGCATGTCTACAAATGTCAAGTTGTCGTATCTTGTGTATCTGCAAAAAGTCTGTGTCACTGTCGACCCAGCGATGGTTGCTCAGTCCAATGAAAACGCACTGACTTTACACTTGCCTATCTCATTTAAATTGATGAAAGACTGCTCTTTTTTTTTTCTTTTCTTTTTTTTTGGGCCCTACTAAACAGCAGAATAAATGGGTCATAAGCCAATGCAACAAAGGCTGACGTAGGGAGGCTGCCTTTTCATCCATCTTTTGTTCATGTCTTTGATGTTGATGTGGATGTTGATTTGGATCGTCAAGTACAATAGCCATCTTTGTTTTACCCAAAGTGAGCAAAGATAGGCAAATTAACCGAAAAGAGAAAAAAAAAAAAAAAAAAAAAAAAAGAGCAAAGCGTCGGGCGTGCACTCTTTCTTTCCATTTGATTGGCAAATGGGGAGTGCGGTTGGTTACACCATTTACAAAAAGCTGGATCCGTATACAAACCTAGCGTGTTTCGTTACTGTCACCTTTCAAGTCATTGTTTCTCGCACAACCAACAATGCCCACATGTCTCTATTGATTGGCTAATTTTGAAAAAGTTCCAATGAAGGATGGATTGCCATATGCATAGGCTATTGTCGCGTGCGTGTGCGTGCACGCGTAAATGTAACTCTGTGGCACTGGATGATCATGCTTTCTATAAATACCCACAGTTTATCAAAGTGCAAGTCAAAAAAGCTTTTTTTTTTATTTTTCTTTGTTACATCTGCTCTATAAGAAAGGTTTTTCTTTCCTTTTGTTCGGCTTTCTGTTTTCAGACACATGTCCATGGACACAGAACATAAACCAATACAAATGGAGGACTCTGTCCTTCATGATCAGTACGCTTTGGAAATCTTGGAGCGTCGTAAAGTCGCCTTGGAAGAGGTGAGTCATCGATGCATCACCTTTACTACCTCTCTCCCCGTAGACTCAGAACAGCATTCTCTTTCTTTTAGATTGACAATGCTAAATTTGGCTGGTTCCATATTCGTGCATGCATTGTCTCTGGTATCGGCTTCTTCACAGATGCCTACGATATCTTTGCTATCAATTTGGTTTCTACCATGATCGGTTACGTTTATTTTCAAGACAACCACAACAAAACACCCTACAATGTAGATACCGCTATCAAGGTCTCATGTTCTGTCGGTACTGTCGTGGGTCAGTTGCTCTTTGGTTACCTTGCCGATCGCGTCGGTCGTAAGAGAATGTATGGTATTGAATTGATGATTATCATTATTGGTACAGTGGGTCAAACCCTCGCGGGTAACGGTCCTGCTGCCTCTTTCTGGGGTGTCATTACCTTTTGGCGTATCATTGTGGGCATTGGTATCGGTGGTGATTATCCTTTATCTTCTGTCATTACAGCTGAATTCGCCACCACAAAACGCAGAGGCGCCATGATGGCCGCCGTCTTTGCTATGCAAGGGTAAGTCGGGGGTGGGGGGAGAGAAAGGCCTAGCGGTTTTTTTTGCCCTCCCCTCTTTTGTCGTCGTCTTTTCTTCTTCTTTCTCAGAACACGATCGATTCATGCTGTCTTTCTCTTTCTCTTTCTCTCTTTCTCTCTCTCTCTATACATATACATACATTGTGGATGGTTGCTTTGATCATGTTCACAATCAGTATTGGGCAACTTTCGGCGGGTCTCGTAGGTCTTATCGCTACAGCTGCTTTTCAAAATGCCATCAAAGCCGATCAAACCCAACTCGACTATGTCTGGCGTATTGTGATTGGCATCGGTGCTCTTCCTGGTCTTATCGCCTTATACTACCGTCTTACCATTCCAGAAACCCCACGTTTCACCATCGATGTGGAGCAAAAAGTCGAAAAGGGCATCCGTGATGCCAAGGCTTTCCTTGACAAGGGCGCTGCCGCGGGTGACTACCCCGATAACGTCGCTGTGGCTCGTACAGACGCGTCGCCCAAAGCTTCCTGGTCGGATTTCTGCAGCCACTTTGCTACCTGGAAGAACGGCAAAGTCCTTCTGGGCACCGCTTACTCCTGGTTCGCTCTCGACGTGGCCTGGTACGGCTTGGGTCTCAATAACTCCATCATCCTGTCCAACATCGGCTTTGGCGGTGTCTCCGATCCTTACATGGCCGTCTTCCGCGTCTGTGTCGGCAACATCATCATCAACTTGTTGGGCTCGGTCCCTGGCTACTGGATCTCCGTCTTCACCATCGACGCACTCGGTCGCAAAACCATCCAAATCATGGGCTTCTCCATGCTGACCGTCATGTTTATCATTCTCGGCTTTGCCTATCACAAAATTCTCGAGGCCTCTCACGTCGCTTTCATCGTTCTCTACACCATCACTCAGCTCTTTTTCAACTTCGGTCCCAACACCACCACCTTTATCGTTCCCGGCGAATGCTTCCCCACCCGCTATCGATCCACGGCCCATGGTATCTCCGCCGCCTCTGGCAAAGTAGGTTCCATCATTGCCCAAGTAGGCTTTGGCTTATTGAAGGACATTGGCGGTAGCAATGCCTGGATCGACCATTTGCTAGAAATCTTTGCTTTATTCATGTTGACCGGTCTTGCTTCTTCTTTCTTGATCCCCGAAACAAAAGGAAAGAGTCTTGAAGAGTTGACCGGCGAGGTGTCTCCTTTAGATAAAGAACCTGAAACACGGAACACAAACAAAGTCGTTTATTAATGTCATCCCCCTCCCCCTCCCCCGCCATTCAATTGAACTTGTTCTCTTTTGTATCCTTCTATCTCATACCTCCATCCACTTTATTATTATAACCACCCCCCCCCAGCACTCGTCTCCTATGAAATGTATCTCCCTTTCTTTTTTACTGAAAGGACATGCAAACAAAAAAGAAACTGACCAAAGAAAAAACCCTCAAAAACGAAACAACAACGACTTGGTCAGCATGGATCGACTTGCCTTTTTTTCTTTTTTTTTCTTTTTTTATTGATAGAGAAAGATAAGAGATACCTGAACAGACGTTAGATACTAAAAGTAAAAAGTGATAGATAGAAAAATAGGATATTAAACTGTAATGGTGGGGCGGTTGTCGGCGTCAATGAAAGAGTTGAAAAAAAAGAGGATCAAGTAGTGGGGAGGGGTACGCACCTATGGCTATTGTCTACAACGATGCTGATAAACAAGTTACATGTCTTGTTTCTTTCCTGAAAGTCCTTTCCGAGCAGCACGTCTCGCTTGAACACCTTCTCTTAACCTATCCAAAGTAGCCACTGTATCTTCCCAGTGAATGCAGGCATCAGTGATTGATTTACCATATTCAAGACGATGGGGGCCTTCGCTCGGGATGTCTTGTCGGCCTATACCCAGAATGAAAAAAAAAAAAAAACCCAAACCGTCAGACACTCGGCTAAGACCCTTTAAAAGTAAAAAAAGTTATATTACCTTCTACAAGATTCGATTCAATCATCACACCCATGATATAGTCCCCGGTAACAGTAGGATCAGCTAATTGTTCAGCCTGAAGAAAAAAAAAGAAAAAAAAAGCATACGCATACATAGGCAGATGAGTTAAATGGAATCAACAATGGAATCATGTTTTCAGCAGGAGACTGGTCCAAAACGACTAAAATAGGGTGGCTCACTTACAATGGACTGGGCTACCACAGGTTGCCTCTTATGATCCTTGTTAGAGTTACCATGACTGCAATCAATCATAATGGACGTGTTCAGCTTGGCTTTTTGTAGTTCCTGAGCTGTTCTCTTGACTGATTCACGATCAAAGTTTGTGCCGCATTTACCCCCGCGAAGGATAACGTGGCAAGAATCGTTGCCTTTCGTTTGGGTAATAGCAGATAATCCTTGCTTGGTAACAGATAGATAATGGTGTCCTTTGCTCGCTGCTTTGATAGCGTCATACGCAACAGTATTCGTACCATCCGTACCTTTAAGGGCACAATAGAAAAGGTCAGTTTTCAGGGACCAATGTTGTCATGAAAGGATTTTTTTTTCTTTTTACCGTTTTTAAAACCGATAGGGCAGGATAAACCAGAAGCAAGTTCACGATGCAGCTGTGATTCTGTTGTTCTCGCACCAATAGCACCTATGAAATAGAATACATTTCATTATTTGTTTTGTCCATCGTCGCGGGCAGCTATCTCCTGAAGAGAGTGAAGAAGAAAGAAACGTTACCCCACGAGACAAGATCTCCAGTGTATTGTGGAGAAATCTGGCAAAAAAAAAAAAAAAACAAAAAAACTGTGAGTGTGGGTGCACTCAGCAAAGATGCACTTGATCTTTTCAGAGACTTACTGTATCTAAAAACTCACACCCAGCAGGTATGCCCATTTCATTCTATTGCAAAGCGTCTTGAGTATGTAAAAGTAACTTTAAATGTCTACACTCTCTTTTTAGTCTACTTACTATCTCCAGCAAAAGTTGTCTTGCAATACGCAAACCTTTGTTAATCTCATAGCTGTCAAGTCATTCGGTGTAAGTACAAAGTAAAAAAAAAAGTGCTTGGTCAGACGAGTAACCATGTTGTCCTGTGTACTTTACCTGCCATTTAAATAGGGATCATTAATCAATCCTTTCCATCCAACAGTAGTCCTTGGCTTTTCAAAGTAAACACGCATAATCAGTAAGAGGTCTTCTTTTGCCGTTTCATTGTATTTGATAAGCAGTCGAGCTACAAAAACAAAAGGTAATTTATGAATAGGCATCCTATTTTTAACATGACAAAAAAAAAAAAATTTTAGCAAACCAACTAACCATAGTCTTTGGCTGCCTGTACATCATGGATGGAGCATGGGCCTACAATCACCATCAAACGATCGTCGGCCCCTCTAATAACATTCTCAGCTGCCTTACGTCCCTCAATGATTGTTTGCGCTGCTCTCAAAGTCAGTGGGAGCTCTTCGATCAGGATTTGTGGTGGGATAAGAGGTTTAATATTCTCAATGCGCTTGTCTTCAATGGTTCGGATAGCTATATGACAATGGCATGGCATAAAATAGGCAGAATAGGAAACAAGTTAGTTGAGAACCCACCCATCAGTGACAGAAAAACAAGTGCATGTAATATTGAAAAGAATAGTAACCATTGGGGTTATCTGTTCCGCCTATACCTTCAGTAAGTGCGTTGCAAGAGTAAGGCATGATGTCAAATTTACTATGGTTGCTTTGGTTGCTTTGGTTGCTTTTTCTTTCGTCTTTTTCTTGAATAGTAAAGAGAAATAAACAATAAAAAGAAAAAATCAAAAATTGTCCTTGTTGATAACCGCCTTTATATACATATCCTACGTTAACAAACTGAAATCATTGAATGACTCTCTACTCAATTTTATAATGCATATGGTTGTGTGTATGTGTCAGATTTCATTCTAAAAAAGTAATTGTAGAATCTACAATAAGGTGTGTATGAACGAAATCGACACTGTAACCAGTTATGGTTACTATTTCGATCAAAACGCAAGCCCTTATTTTTTTTATTTTTGAAACTACTACAGATGGAGAGGCCCGTTTTTTTTTACAATACATAAATTGTCTCCCCATGCCAGTTCTATTGGCTCCCAAGAATAGTTTCATAAATAGAAATCACCAATATCTTATACCTGAAGACCGTGGCGCAGTGCATGTAGGCCTACATGCCTACATCCATGAAACATACAAGCTACAATTGTATGATCCATGAGCTTATCTGTCTGGTTAGCTGCGAAATAGTCGTAATACTACTTTCTTCCTTTCTATTTGGTAATTTCTGCTAGTTTTCAAAGGTAACATGACTTTGGCCCTTTCATAGACTTTGTATTTTTTTTGGTTTTGTTTTTTGTTATAGCTCGACATTGCAGATAGGCTCAATAGGATGAATATTTATAACCAAATATGGCTGACTTTATAACAGTAAACATTGACTTATATGCTATGTGCTGATCATATAGCTTAGGCATCCGTAAATTGTAAGCCTATTCGAATCAGAGTTAAAATTAGAAAACAATACACTACTGTGCTTGACGTCAGCGATAATTAGACGATACGAATTCATTCCTATTTGAAACACACATGATGATTGTATTTTATTTGACACTTCAGCAACTGCTTGTAATAAGAGTTACTTTTCTACTTTGCACTGTTTATAGCTACGTATATACATGAAGTAGTCCCACCCAAGGACAATGGACATTTACGGAATGTTCAAGCATGTTTGCTAATAGGAGAGACAGGGAGAAGAATCTAATTTCAATTTTGACGTTGAAAGGGTCTGTACAGCAATGTCCAAATCATCATGTTAAAAAACACCTTTCTTTTCTTATCTCTGAGCATAATTACGCAGTAGTCTTCTTCTTTTTCTTCCTTAACACCAGGCATCGATCCCATCCTTGACTATCTTTACAAATTTGGTATGGTTCCCAATCAAACCAAGTGGCAAGTACGCCTTTCATCATATCTTTCCCGCATTCTAGCACAACAAATCCGCTCTCTTTGACAAGCTCAGGCGCTACTGCATGCAAAACTTGATACCATTCATATCCCTTATTCTTTGCAAAAAGTGCAACTGCTGGCTCTTGCTCAAGAACTATCATCTGATCTTTCTTCTTACTTACTTTATCATAATCCAAATAAGGAGGGTTGCATACTAGCAAGTCATATGCGTTGCTATCAGACGTACCATCACCATGGCTGTGAAGAGATGTCATGTCCTGCACCCGCCATTCAACTCTACCACAGTTACTATTCGAATCTTTTGTATCGTCCTTTTCAACCAAGTCGCCTAATAGTCTCGCACTGTTCTCTTTAGCTACCGCAATAGCAGCTTCTGAAATATCGATGCCGACACCTGTAGCAAGGGGTAATTCTTTCAATATCGAGATTAAAATGTTACCGCAACCGGTACCGACGTCAATAATTTTGAAGGCTCCTTCTTTTCTTGTGGATGACGACAACTGTGTTGAAGGAGACGGATGCTCAGTGTCATGATGATTTCCAGTAGATGCTGTCATATTCGTGCGTAATGCATCGACCGCAGCCCGAACAAGTGTTTCTGAACTAGCGCGAGGAATTAAGCAATCTTTGGTTACTTTAAAAGTATGTCCACAGAATTCTTTTTGCCCGAGAAGATAAGCGAGGAGCTCGCCATCCTTTCGTCTCTCCAGATCGACGATTCCCGATTTCATTATCTCTTCTTCTTCTCGCTCTATTCTAGTCTTAAAGAACTTTGCTTCGCGATCACACATGATCCTGAACTTTGCAGGCTCCTCTTCGTGCAAGCTGATCATCTTCTTCGACGTAGGATGCGAGAACGATAGGGCTATAAGCGAAGCACATAATCCTTTGTCGCTTAATCTCAAAGGCTTTGTAAACTTTGAATTGCCAATAATGGGATGCTTCGAGTGAAAGTAAAACAGTTTCCTCAATGTGATGCTGGACAAAGGTGTGCATAAGTCTAGATCCAATCTTGATATGTACTGTGCGTTGTTAGAGGGCGTATGTGACACAACAGTAACCTGCTTCAAAACGTCTTTCAAATCGATCGGTTCAGCATCTGTTTCTTTTTTGTTTGCATCAGTGTCAAAAAGCACAGACATATCTGCGTTCGCTACAAATCCATGACATAACACTCGCATTATTACTTGAATCTTATTATTTCTATATTCTTCCATCAGTAGATCCCTTATTTCTTCTGTTTTAGAGACTAAGATCTAATAAAGATATACATCCATTTTCGTTTTTGATATTAGATGAAGGGTATGTACGGATAAGATCCCATGTTATACACACATAGATATATCAATCGTTTTACCAGACCGGACGCCGCTTTTTGAATTTCATTGATACACCAGATTTCTTTTCGCTGGCCATTGCTGTCTTTTATACCTGTGTTATATCGAATGGCCTTTGCAAAAGTACTGAAAGTCTATTGAAGAAACAAGTTTGAGTATGCCCATCACTATCATAGTTTTTTTCGAATACAAAAAAGAAAAAAAAAATGCAGAAAGAGTTAAGTTAAAGGACCTGTCCACTTGGTTTCCATACAACTGCCAGATTTTCATCCTCATAGCATATTTGAACTGGTATTGATCTGAGTTTTCCTTCTTCTTCATAAGTACAATCATATTTAAACACTATATTATCGTTTGTTTTCAACAGCCTTGTTTCCTCTACCGGAACCTCATTGACTGTAACTTCAAGCCGCTCAAAAGCGCGATGCAGCTGCTCTTTCGATTTAACAATGTGTTTACACTTTTGAGCCAAAAATTTTTTGATCCTTTTCCCGTTGTCAGATTCAGGTACGACGATCTCGAAAACTCTGATGGCTGCTGTGCTGCTCATTACGATCGTTCATATAAAAGAAACGATCTTCACTTTTAACTTCTGACTGAGTTCGTTCGGTCTTTTTTTTTTTTTTTTTTTTTTTATTCAGTCCTTCCGGATCAATAAATTCATGTTCGAAACTGTTACGTAAAAAGAATAATAAATAGGACAAAGTGTGTATAATACATAAAGAAAACAGTTATATATCTATATATAGTTTAGCTTACAATAATAAGGGAATAGTGGTTAATCGTTGTGTTCGGTTCAGTCTCCAAGAAGAGGCTCCCTTTGACTTTCATTTTCGTTGTCATCTTCATCAGAAGCAAGCGTATCTGCCTTCTTTCTTTTGATCTTCATACAGCAGATGAAATTCCAAGTGTCAATCAAAGCCTGTTTGATATCTTTGAGAAGGCTTGCTCTACCACTAATAATTTTTTCTGGACGTAGTCTGTGCTTACTGTCAATGACTACTCGAATACATGACTACAAAGTACAGTTTGCTCTCAAAGTTAGTAAATTTCAACTGTTGACTGTTCTGCCCCAAACATATTTTACTTACAACAACACAACTTAATACACCTAAAGCTGTACTTGCTGATATCAGAAACATAATAATTTGCTGATATTTCACGGCATTACTAACGGGTGCACCACCAAGAATTTGACCTGTCATCATACCGGGGATTGCAATTAAGCCGATAACTGACATTTGATTGATGGTTGGGAGCATAGACATACGAACCGCCTCAATGGCAATAGACTGACCCGCTTCCCAGCGGCTTGCACCAAATGCTAAATATGTCTCTATTTGTTCTTTTCGGTTGCTAACGCTTGATAAGCAACTACTTAGTGCGACGGCCATGCCACTCATGGCATTGCCTAAAAGCATACCCATGGTAGGTATGAAGATTTCAGGTATCCAGAAGGGCACTTGCTTCATAGCATATCGTGTACCTATAATACCAATGACAGTTGTTGCAACTCCAGATGATATTAGCACTGATATGAACTTGAAAAAAATAAGGTTTGAGTAGGCACAGACTCTATTGCAATTTTTTCCATGTTGTACTGTATGCTTTACCATGCCTTTATATGTTTGTTTTGACTTGTTGTAAACTGTTTCATAAGCTCCTAGAATAATTAAAACAACTGTAGACAACAAATTTGTGAGCCGTTTGTCACGAATCAGAGACACAATTTAATGAAAACGTACAAGTCATCAAAAGAACAAGGGCTGGGTGCCGAGTATTGAAGACATCTTCTAAAATGAAACCCTTTTTTTAACAGTCAGTTGAGTAGCTTTGTACTTGTCATCCATATGCTATTCAAAGCTGCTATTACCATAAGGGTCAGTTGTACTAGACAACGAATGGCTGCAATCACAAGTGTTTTCTCCAACTGCAATCCCAACGCAAATGAAATCAAACCTGCATGGAGCAAGATTTCAATAATTAACAATCACAAAAAATGCTTAAGAGTTTTAAAAAACCAAACCTCACTTTACAGTTGACTAATATGAAGGACGAAGCAACAGCCACATTAACCCAGCTTAACGTGGGCGCTGGATGCTGCTTTGGAGCGTCTCCAGAAAAAGTGGTAAGATTACCCAACGCATCAGATAATTCCACTATATCCATTTAAATCAACGTTTAGAAACGAAAGGGAGAGATAACAAATTAGAATCATTTTTATTTCATTTTTGTTCTTTTTTTCGTATTGTTTCATTTGGAAACTAAGACTATTTGATCTCAGACAACAAACAACTGCTTTTTGCCCATAAGATATTGTATGCAACGGTCTATATTCGTATTGAACAGAGTACTTTTATATGGCAAACAATATAGGAACCGCTAATAAAATGCAACTGCATAATTGACTTTCATTAATTCACTTTGAAAAAGTATGGCTATCGGGGCTTCGAGAAAAGCTTCTACTTACTTATGCCGACCTCAGTTTCCAGCGTTGTCTCCTCTCTTCTTCTTTTTTTTAGATCTAGATTGAAATGTCAGATCTCGAATTCGAAAATTACTTGACTTGGGTCAAAAATAATGGAGGATCTTTCAAAAATCTTAAGTTTGAACATGGTAGCCCTCTCTCTGTGACAACACATTCCTTTATTTAGATACATTAGCGCTTACAGACCAGAGCATGTTATAGGATCTGCGTATGCTACCAGTATTATAAAGCCTAATGAAAATTTTGCCTCTGTTCCTTTCAAGCTATGTATTACAGAAGATGTGGCACGGCAAGCCTTGCCAAACCTGGACAACTTCTCTAGTCGTTACGTTTTAACTCTGTTTCTTCTACTTCAAAAGCGACTTGGCGAAAAGTCATTCTATTGGCCATATATCAACATTTTACCAAAGAGTATCCAAACGCCTTTCTTTTTCGATGACATGGAATTAGCTTTTTTAAAGAATACAAACCTTGAGGCTGCCGTCAGGGAAAGAAGAAAGATGATCCAACAGAATTATTCTATGATCTTGGAAAATTTGCCTGCTAATGTTAAGAAAGAAGATGTGAAGTGGTAATTTTTATTGACCTGATGGATTACTGGATAAGTATCCTCACCTTATTAACATTAATTTATAGGGAAGAATTTCTTTATTGCTATTGTGTATATTCTTCAAGATCATTTCCTTACAAGTTGATTGATCCTTCTGCTAATGATTCTGAAGCGTTATTCCCACTAGTAGACGCTCTGAATCACAAACCACGGACCAAAATCACATGGTCTAGAGATGGTAATAATGAGAATGGATCTCTATCCTTTATTGCTGGTCAAGAATTCAAGCAAGGCGAGGAAGTTTTCAATAACTATGGGCCAAAAGTAAGTGGCAATAATTTTAATTTATGTTGTAACGATAATTAAAAATCATATCGCTTATTGATATTCAGTCTAACGAAGAATGTAAGTTATCAACTTGAGGAAAAAAAGGACATCAACCAAGCATCTTGTTAATGACTAAAATGGCTACACCATTCAAAATAGTACTACTGGGTTACGGATTCTGCTTTGAGGTTTGTGTCCACAGTTTTCTGCAGTATCAATATCAGCCAGTATTCACATTTATCAAAGTATAACGAATATGATCATGTAGCTTTGAAACCGAACTTTTCACAAGACCCCAACTTCGAAGTGAAGCGGCAAATTCTTCAACAAAACAATATTTCGTCTGGAAATGTCGACCCTTTAACATTCTACATCCATTGGAATAACATTCCTGCCGCATACTTCAAACTAATGCGCGTCTTAGTGATGAATTCTGTCGAAATGGAGCACTACAAGCAGTGTACAAATCCAAGGTTTATAGAGTTCATCGGTTACCGAAATGAGCTTTGCATGCTCTCTATGACACTCCAGGTACTTGAAACCAAGTTACGGGCGATCCAGTCTGTTGATCTGAAGAAAGACAATTTGCGTGATAGCCAAAAATTTGCGCTGATGTACAGAAAAGGTGATAAAAGAAGCTGTAATCACTTGTATGCTACTGTTACTTACCAATGCGGTTTATACAGGTCAAGAGGATATTTTAAGTACATCAATTACAATGGTTGAGGGACTGAAAACGAGTCTGGTACAAAAAATGTGTCAAGACTTAAGGGAAGGAAGGACTGCTCCCAAAGCTCCTTTCTTAAGCATTCTTAATCATGATTTTCAACAATCAGACATCGAAATAGATAACAGCAGCAACGCTCTAGTTACACTAAATGAAGTAATTATTACATCAAAGAAGTTGCTGAGAAGAGATCCAAAATTTGCCAAGATTATATTGGAAAACTTCGAAGATATGGATGAAGAAGCGGAAACAATCATGATATTAGCCTTGATCAGGGAAAGCAACAACTCAGACAGTGAATGGAAGCAGTTCTTCGAGAAGGCATCCCAAAGGTAAAGTAAACTCCTCAAAATAGTTATTTAACTCCACCTCCTTATCAATACTGTTCGTCTGCAAAATTTATGTAGTGAAATTATAGTGGATGAAGACCAAGTTGAAGAATTAAGGGAAATGTATGAATCAATTATACCTGCTTTCTGTGAAGCTTATCCAAATGTATTCAAGAATGAATTGTATACTTTTGAGTCTTTTATTTGGGCAGATAATATTCTGAATGCTTATTCAATCAATAATCCTTCCTTGGCCATTGTACCACTTTAAAAAACGTGGTCGCTTCCTTGAAACGCCGACAATTAAACATTGCTTTTCTTCAATGCAGAGGAAACTTTTGTCTTTTTTGCTACTACCATTTGTTCATCTCACTACGAGAATTGATTTGCTGTGTTGAAGAAGAATCGAAGATAAAAGAGGCTTAGCGAATGTAAATGCGATAGCAACAACATAATACTCAACTTTGCTGCTAACAGCTGCTTTGACTCGTAAAATGTCTTTCCTTGTCTAGTATATTAAGCTCAACCAATATTCAAAAATAAAAAGCATTTCGGCGGCAATGTCCTTGAGTATTACCCATTATGCTTGCTTTTTCATCGCTTTTTGGATAATACGATTCTGTGTTAGATCAGCACTTGCACTTCACTTTCATTTCCAGTTTGGGCGTATAGGATTCTTCTCAATCAGGGATATTCAATATCATCATCACAAATCTTCGGAAACCGCTTTATGGTCTTTGCAAATTGGGACATTGAAGCTTAGATTATCGAAGCGACCTACCATTTCTTCGCCTACCATATACATAATTATTTACATCGAGAATGTTCAATTCAAAGTGCATAGTTTGAAAGCAATTGTGAGCCAACATAAAAAGACAGCAGGCACCTTTGCAAACAGACGGCTGTCAAGAGTTAGCTCCACCTTGCAGACGCCTTGGTGGTATTCTTTATCCATTGTTAAACATTTGATCAAATACTCATCAGCACTTCCGGCTCAAATAATAATGACAGGTTTAGCGAACTATGTTGATCTGCAAATCGAGAACTTCCAGTTAAACTTGGAGGATCATTCTGTGCAGATTAAGTTGAAGAAAGCCAATTTCAGTTCAGTTTTATATGCAGACATCACTAATAACTCTGAAACTTTTGCCTCAACTACTACTGATTCTCAGTCTATACCCCTTTCACCGTCCTCAACTAACCATTTGGATCGGCTATACCATGACAATGTTTCTGAAACGGACTTTTCTTCACGGTATACGTATCAGCGTCATTCGCTAAAACGAGCACAACATCTTTTCAAAGAGAAGCTTTTTGAGGTTACTGTAAATATAGACACATTATCTGTTATGAGTGAAAGCCATATATCAGGAAAAAATAGAAATGAACAGATAGATATGTTGACATTGCCATCAGGTGGGCATATTGCTGTCTCCTGTCATTTATCCGCGGGATGTGTCACACTCAAAGATGTAGATGTCAATTCGAGAATCTATGCGCTAAGATTGAAATCAAACCCGCTTCTACAGCTGGCACAGGATATCAAACAAACCTTAAACTTGACGAAGAGTAATCATTTGGACAGTCAGCAATCAAAAAGAAATAATATTGCAAAAATATTTCGTTCAATAACCGTATCGATAGATAACACGATGGTAGAAACTCAGCATCAACAACTGTGCACAAGCCTGCTAACACTGCAGGATATCTACTTATCAGCAATCATCAAAGAACAGAACATTTCGAAAGAACCATACTATAAGCTGCAGTGCTTGATGGGTACAATAACATGGACAATGACTGATGGCTCGCTACCGGATACAGATTGTAAAGCGAAATGGATCAGCGTCACAGAAAGTAGGCTGATTGCCAACGTACCATATTCAACAAAGCACAATAATTCTCGATTAGATATCATTCCAAATGTAGACGCGTCGTATAAGGATGAGGAACTACGACCAAACAGAATACATTTTGATATGAATGTTAGCGTATCAGAGCCGATTATTCATATAGATCTTTCAAAGATAGCAATGTTGCGGAAGGTGAAGCCTCTGACAAGCACAGTAAAATCAGTGAAAGAGCGTGACGACCTTAATGAGATGATAAAGTTCACCTTTGAAGACTTACCACGGGTAAATGTAGCGATACACATTGATGATCCCAGTGTGCGTATCAAAAGTCCTTCAACAGAAAATATTGTAGTAATATCGACTGCAAACATTTGTATCGGATTTGATGCCGCCTATAGCGTTCAAAGTCATTACACCGCAATAAAAACTGCACCTTATGGAAAATTACCCACCGATAAAAGCGTTGAAAATCTAATTAAGCCGGAAATGATGAGCAGAACATTGAAACGAGCTACTACACGACCTAACTGGATCAATTTGTTTCGACGTCATCGAAAAGCCGATAGTTTCAACCATGCAGTAGGATCAGATTCCTATGACTGGCATTACAAGATAGCCTTAACATTCGCTGTTCAGCAATTCAAAATCGACATTGCAACGAAAATAGGGGATTCTACAATATCACATCAGTCGAATATATCAAAAGGGAAATATCTTTTGTCAATGCACAATTTCAGAAGCAACTTATATACCTGTCTCGATGTTACTTTCACAGAAGATATTCTCCAGCAACATTCCTGCCTGACATGGTGTCCTGAAAATCAGCACATCTCTTTAGTCACGACAGTGGACGATCCTGTTCTAGACATGTTCCCAAACAGACAAAAAAATGGAGATAACCAACTAGATTTCTGGATTGATGATATTGGCAGACAATTTAGAAGGAATTCTGTACAGCCAGACATTACACTGCAATCGTCTCAAAAATCTACTGTGAAAACAAAGGCTAGGACTCTTGCTTACGCTTCTGTGTTGGATGCTCATGTGAAAGTTACTGGTTTGATAGTATTGGTTGGAGGCACTGATGTCGGATTGAAAGGTAGAAGAAAAGTACCAGTAGGATTTTTAGATAACGCTCCTGAAGCCGACATCAGCAGCATCCTCAGTTTCCAAATTGAGTCTATTCAGTTTGATTATTCTGGAGTCAATATACACAGTAGTTCTGTTGATAACCACGCCAACTTGGCAGCAACTACTAAATCGCAGGATCAGACTAAAATAACCGATGATTCTCACTCACCAAAAAACACAAAAGAGAACCAATCCAGTGCAGTACAATTATGCATGCAAAATATTGTGTTGAAAAGAGTGTTCGAATCAAATAATCATGATAGCTTGAAAACGACTCAACAAGAGCAATTGAATGAAAATGCCATTTGTTGGATTTCTGAAATAAGAACAGATATTGAAACAATGGAGAGCATAGAGTCGAATAATATGCTCATTTCACCATTTATTATAGTACGGAAAATTGGTGTCAACTATTCCATCACGAACCACTATGCATGTTTAGTCACCATAACATTGTTACAGAAGAAGCTAAAACAAACTTTAGCAAGAAACTTCTTGTCCGATAAACCTATAAACAACAATTCAAATCCTTCCAAACGTCTTGATGTCCGTCATGTGAATTTCAAAATCAAACAAACTGATTTGCATGTTCTTCTACCCAACAGCACGCAATTGTACCTACGCATGAATGGGATGAAGAGTAAATGGATAAAACAATTGGATACGAAAGGCGAAGTACCAACAATTAACATTAATAATATAACTGCTTATGGCATTGCACCGGACCAGTTTGACAAATGGGAACAGTTGATTGATATTACTAGAATACGATTTTCTATTGAAAAAGATATTGATTTTGCAACTGGGCAGTTAACCAAGACAAAGCAATTCAACGTATCAAATTTGTACGTCAGGATTCCCTTCAACTACCACGTTAATAAGGTTTTAGACAATACAGTTACTTTGATCAAAGCGATCAAAGCCTTACATGCACGAATTGCGAATGATAATCCGTTTTTACTTTTTGGTCCGCACGAGAAGATAAAGCCGTTAGTGTTCCCTCATCTGCGTTTTGTTTGTCAGCTGATAACTGTGCAATTTGACGACGATCCTTTTGAAGCCAAATTACGAGTAATATACAGAACTGGTCTTACGGAGCAGTCTAACAGAGCAGCTATCGATCAAGCTTTTCATATAAAGGCACAAGCTCTGATGAAACAATCGTTTACCAATGACACACATAAAGGTTTGACGTTTGAGCGCTGATTTTTATGGACGTCGTGATCAACGTTATTGATGATTCATATTTTCTTTGCTATAGTAGACGATGAAGATGCAAATATTCAAGTTCATGAAGCTTGGCAAGGGTTACAAGAACACAAGTCAAAAGTGTGGAAAAAGCGTGTCGATACTGCTTTAGCAGAAGAGAGCACCGTCTACGAAAAAACCAATAGCTTTAATCAAAAGTTTTATTCACAAGAAGATGATCTTGAAACCAATGAAAAGCCTTTTTATCTCTCAAAACTATTTGAAATTGCTATTGTCAAGCTCCCGTTGTATCCGCCTTTGGCAAACTTCACGATCAAGCATAGTTGGCTTGATTTTCAGCCCCCAGCTTTTGATCTGAATGAAACGCGCCAATTTATATATAATGTAGGGAAGGGGCAGCCGGTTGATAAGCCTCTATCAACTCTAATTCCTTTCCATCTGAACTGGAAAGCTGGCGAAACCTGGGTACAGATTCGTGATTACCCTGTTCCATTTATACTAGTTCCACCTATGCCAGATAACAACCAACAAAAGAAGCCTTTCAATAACTGCATAGATGATGTTAATCCTGAACCAACCTGGACACTATCCGGTGATTATGTATTTGCTGATGATTTGGGTGACATGGATGCAACTAGACGTATTTCATTGCCAGTAGTTCACGAAAATAATATACAATACTCTATTGATTTTACTCGAACAAGTACACCATTGAAGACATTTTCTATCGTGGATATTCAAGTTCATAACCCGACTTTATCGCACATTTGTTGGTCTGTGTCTTATCAGCCGGCAATTCAAGATTTTACTCGTATTTTGGACACAATCACGAAACCGCCTGTGGATCCCTCAGAGAAAATTGGTTTCTGGGATAAGATTAGGCTTATTCTTCATACAAAGGTAAAGATATCATTTGTAAATGGTGGTGATCTTGCTATTGTAATGAAAGGTACTCGCGACCCCTATGATATGACTGAGAAAGGGTTTGGTCTCGCCAAGGTTTGGAGAAACGACGTTGTCTGGCTGATGGGATACACAAACCCTCAAAACGAATTCATGCAAATCATCAGTCGCGATTATGCATTTGGTGTCCCTGATCTTCTGCACGGCGGTTACACAGCGTCATATGTAAGTGGCGCTGTTTTTAAAAAGGATAGCAATGCAAATCAGCAGCAGACAATGCGATCATCTTCTTCCACGTCTAGCTTCAATTCATCTGTAATAGACACCGAAAGTGCTTCAAGATTCGTCAAGATAGCCTTAAAATTATCTGGTGGTATTCGTATGGGGTTTGGTTGTCAGTTGGAACGTAAATGTGATCCTCTTTGTGAGATATGCAGAAGTTCCAATGGGTGTGATGAGATTGATTCTGAAGTACGCGAAGAGCATAAACGAGAACTATTACAGTTTTTACCACATTACAAAGTAAAATTCAAGGCTCCCCAAAATGTTCATGAAGCAGTAAGTGTAATTTTATTCGACATGTGTAAAGTTTTCCTCTGACTAAAAGTATATCAGGATTATGATGCATATCGCGGATTTAGATCTGACTATATTCACTTCTCTATCAGTATCATCAAAACATCCGCGTATGAAACTGAAGCAGGGAAGAGTACCGTTATAGGCAACTCTATGCACTTGACACCTGGCTTCATTGAATACTATGTTTCCTGGTTTAGATTGTTCGGTGGTGCAATGAGTTATCCTTTGCGCTCCGGTTCACTCTTCCCTAGAGAAGACAAACGACGTGCTAAGAAATTTGGACGACATATGAGTACAATGAAGTATAAAGTGGTTGTTGACCCTTTGACTATAGGGTATTTTATAAAGGATGACATACTCAATACAGAGGAAGCTGGAATTGAAGAATTAGGTGATTCAGTCGGTTTGAAAGGTTTCGTAAGGCACTTCAGTATTGACATCCACCAAAGAAGAGAAATTGTAAATGTTGCGGATTATAAGTTAGACCAAAAACGCCTCAAAGCAAATTGGCCGATGACGGAAGCCGAAGTGCAACTTAAAGATGTTGATTTACGTGTCGTAAAGGCTTGCTATACTTCGTCAGAAGATGAGTCGCTCCCATTTATAGCAGCGGAGAATGTCAGTGTACCTGTCAACGGAGATTTTTACGCCTCAACTGATGATGCTTATCATCTTAATATGATGGAAGGCTTAAATTACAAATGCGCAAATGATTCAGACGCGACCGATTGGATTGACTTTGATGATTTTGTGGAGCTTGGCTATAATAATCCTTTGACTGCGCCAGTAATTCAGAACCTTCCCTTTGCGTTCACACCTTGTATTTATTATTTACGCCAAACAAATAGAGAAGACATACAAAAATACAAGTACCTACATGATACTCACGATTGTATTATTGGGACAGCCATAGGTAAACATCTTAAAAAAAGTGGGAAATTTTTACTTTGCTAAAAATGTTAAACTACATTAGGCACGCAGGAGCTGCAGATGTGCCTTTTACGCGACCGATGTAATAATATCGACGTCCAAATTCGCAAACATCAAGCACGTCTGCATACTATAGAATCAAAACGGTTGCAGCATGGCACAGATGAAAAATCCCTCGAAGAATTGGTAAGATACACGGTAATAATATATAGCCGTCTGGAAATTTGCTAACTTCACTTTTGTAAATCAAAGTCTGATTCTATTGTCGAAAAAACTAGAATCCTGTATGAAAAGCGAGAATTAATTCAAAAATATCTGAAGGAGTTATCAACTCAAAATATATTAGATGTTGCCCATACGGAGAAGCCATACCAAGAGTCTACCATTTTCGGTAAAGATCCTCTGGCCAAGTGGGAAGAAGTAATGGGCTATTTCAAAGTTCGTTATATTGCACACAATCCTCAAATCATTTGGAACAATTCTCTGAGAAATATACTATACCATGCATTGGACCTGCGAGACCATCGTCGAGTTTTGTCGTACTACATGACTTCGCGTACCATAAAATTTTTAAGGGACCTTATCGATACTACTGAGACGAGATACACACATAATTCAAGTCAAATTCTTTTAGGTGAAGACGACGAGGGAATGGATCCACGCACAGCGCAGAATCTGATTGACAGACTACTAGATGAACGAGAATCACACTTTTATGTGGAAAACGAAACTGAAGAAAGTAATCCAGTTACCGATAATGGCATACATGAAGTTGATATGTCTAAAAGCGAGAACGTCAACAACCCAGTGATGCAGTTAAGGACTGTTCCTGACGATTATGTAATGAAAAGTAGCTATCTCATAGATTTACTTAACCCGCAGATCAGTCTTCAAAGCGACTGTGATCCTGACAACATTGTGCTTGTTGCAAATGAAAGGACGCAAGTCAAGGGTCTCAATATTATCGATGAGAATGATCCAGACGTTGATATGGAACTTGTGAAGCATAGAACTGTGGTCAGTCTAAATAATGTTCAATTCTTCGTTGCAAAAAAGGAGCAATTTGACAGTGTTGATTTGTTGTTGGACAATCATTACGGTGCCAAAGAAAGCGATCATTGGCTTGCTTGGATTCCACCCGAAATGCTTATCAACTATGTCAAAACTTCTGATAAGTTTCAACGTATAGGCGAACGCATTGCAGCAACACTACAGTATGATAAATATAATCCACTTAGAATAAAGGCAACAACGAACCATAAATTCAGTCAGATTCATCCTTTCGAAGAACGTTGTGATTCTGTGCAACTCAATTTCCCATCTTTACAATTAACGGCAGATTCCTCACAGTACAATGCAGTTTATCAGGTTGCTACTGATTTGTTACTGTATAAAGAACCTGCCAAAAAGGAGCGATTGGCGAAACTACGTGAGACAATGCTACAATGTGATAGCCTCAGCTTGTCAGAAACGACAGAAAAAATTGCTGCTCTTCAGAATAGAGCCCGACAGTTATCAAAATTGCGCGAGCAACATCGTCATAGCGTCTACACTTTCAATGAAACACAAGTGGCCGATTTTAGAAGACTTCGAAAGGATCTTTATGACGCGCTAGAGGAACTGCACATAAATATGGAGGCTATTAAATTATCGCAAAGTACCCAAAAAAAAGACTACCATGAACCAAAGGCGAACCTTAAATTCGTAGTCTGTGCGAAGAATATGGAATGGAAAATGCTTACAAAAGATGAAGAACCTTTTTGCGAGAGTTCACTAACAAATTTCACTTTCAATTTCATGAGCAAGGAAGATCACTCCTCCACAAATCTTTTGGAAGTTGACATAATCAAGGTTAGAAACGTGTCACCATTACCTTTGTTTGTGGATGTTCTTGGTGCATATTATGATCCACGTAAACCTTATGATTTTTCACGACATAAAATGCTACGTTGTTATTTTGTTTCAATGGCTCCTGTAGGCGGCATTCCTGTGATACAGCATTTGGAAATCAATCTTCATCCTTTACGCGTTCAAATGACTTACAACTTTGGCAAACAATTAGCATATTACTTCTTTCCGCCTGAAAAGCCTCAAAAACAAATAGCGAACCCAATTAATATATCTTCAATTTCGACAACAACAGCAGGAACTAATAACTCCAACCTTAATTCTGAATTTGATACAGCTACAAATTATACCCTGTCAACGAATCCAGCAAACATAATACCCCAACCAAGCTTGAGTGACAGATCAGATACCTACTCCTCCAAGATAAACATCAGTAATAATGCCTCTGCGCCCCCTTCATTGAATATTACTACGCCAGAATCACAAAGAATGCCTTCCAACTCGATTATAAACAATAATGGCATATCCGTATCAAAAGATAATGTCCAATCTATTCCCGCTGATAATTTATCAATTTCCAATTCCCTACCTGCTGGATCGAGCCCTAGAAAGCAGCGAAAGCATAATCTGTCGAAACTAGCAAGAGTGAAGACGCCTGATGAATTAACGGTTATGAAAAAACGTGCTTCAAGCAATCGAACTTTCATTTTAGTAAAGATACCAGGAACTAAACATTGTTTGAGTTACCAGGTAATTTTTTTATTACGCGCAAATTTGTCTCGGCTTTTTCTAACTTGACATTCATCATGGTAGGGTCCAAAAGAGAAGAATTTGGAAGACTTACGAGATTTTACTTTTGAACAACCAACACTTGAATTCCGCAACGAAACATGGTCATGGTTTGAGTTAGCAACAAACATAAAAAAAGGTACAGCAAACTCATTTAAAACTGTTGTTGGTTGAACCTCGTCATCTGATTTTATTTTGACTAGATTTTATGAAAGCAGCATTGCTACATAATAGTAAAGCGCTTCTCAAGGAAAAGTTACTTCGCCGTCATCCTCGTGAGCATAGTCGTCCGAATGAATCAAGTGAATCAGTTCATAGTATACCTATCTTTGCCATAGATCACTCTGCAGAACCTGCGAGAGATAGAGATTTTTTTGATGACGTACATTCCAACTCTGAAAGTTCCCGAGATGATAACGAAGACTCTGATTTTATGGATACAAATTCTTTGCACTCTGCAATATCTCAAGATATATGGGATAACGAAGAAATTCAGCAGCCAAAAAAACCACTCTTGTGGATGTCGTAAGTATAGCTTGTAATTATAGTTGTCTTCATGAACCCTAATATAGTCGCTACTGTTTGAAATAGATTAAAGCATAAAAAGGCTGGCCACAAGTCCAGTAAGTCGTTGGGAGCGTCATCACAAGAAACGACTCTGACAGGTAGAACAAGTAAAGCCGATGTGAGTAGTTTTGAAAGCAAAGGAAATGAACATCCGCTTGTGCAGCCCAAATCTGTTTCCGCTGCAACGTGTCATTTAAGTGATAAAGATCAATTGGCAATCAAAGGAAAGTATCTACTCGGGAAAAACTACAATGGGCCAACACCTTGATTGAATTCCTCATTTTAAAAGGCAGAAGAGGATTTTAGACATTTTGTAAATTATTCATACTTGTTTGTAATAACACCATTATCAAAATACTTTTCCTACGTTAATCTCGGATCAACAATGCATAGCACTTGTAAACTGTCATGAATTATTAAAGTTTTAGAAATGCGACATATACATACTATGTTAATGCTGACGGTCAACATTGGACTACAATTGAGCCTATCTAATAACCAACGATAACTCTATCTCTATCAGCCAGATCTTTCCATATTGATATATTGTGCAAGCCTGCTTGTTGCATTGTTTGCATCAGAACTTTGACCTGATGCGCTCCCCCAATCTCCATGAAAACATACGGGGTATTCTCTGCGTATGGTTTACTATGTCTCGATAAATCAATAATTCGTTTGTGAATTGAAGTGCCTTGTTCATCAGCAACTAGCGCTCTTTTATCCTCCCAGTCTCTGACACAAGGTTCCAAGGTAGCATATTCATCATGAGTGACGTAAGGCGGATTTGATACAAACAACTGGTAAGGTTCTACGTCATGGCTGTCAAGCTGAAATATATCTTTTTGTTCGAATGTAACTGGATTGTTCAGTGACTCCTTATGCAGTGCAAAATTTTCCTTGGCTAGCGCTATAGCCGCTGCAGATATATCAATGCCTGTTATTTCAACTGTGTTCTTGGGTAATTTTTTTGCCAATGCAAGAGAGATACAGCCTGTACCAGTGCAAAGATCCAATATTCGAACTGGTTTGTTTGTCATGTGTGCTTGGAGAATCTTCGGTTTTATTATGTCAATCAATTTGTACGTCCATTCTTCTGTTTCCCATCTAAAGTATCGGATAGTCTGAATAAAATAGGTTCAAAATTGTTGACATGCTCCACTCCTTTACCTTGGTATTAAAGTAGGTGACCTGCTAATAATATCCAATTCGCAAAATGGTTGTGAACCTATGAACGAGGCGATCTGTAAGAATTATTGAGACAACGAAGCAAACATTGCTTTTGTTATATGATGCATCCTACCTAGTATATATTGTAATGGTTTCTGTTTCAACACACGCTGTTCAACAAATTCGTCAAGCTGCTTTTGTTCTTTCCGAGAAAGCGTGCCTACTGACTTCAGTTTATCACCACTATGCTTCAGGGTTACCGCCTCTTTCATCCATTGAAGCTCTCGTTTCGCAAGAGCAGTATCGCCATAGCAGACTGGTAGCAAGGCTTGTATCCACTTATTTGTCTGAACTTTCGGAACTTTGCTTCTCATTGAACCATACCGAAATGACGAAATCTTTAGTGAAGTAAAACGAGTTAAAATCATGTTAAAAGCCAGGTACTCATTTTATGCCGATTACGTTGAAAAGTCACTGAGGGTCGAAAAATAAAAAATAAAAAAAAAAGCCATCGGAGAAGCTTATTGTGCATTAAAACGGGATAAATTCTTCACTATTCTTGAGAACGACTGTCTATCCTCAGTGACTTCAACCGTGAAGTCAAAGATCTCTGCGAACAGTTGTTCATCCCAATAAACTAACGCTGAAATTGTTAGAATTGTACAGGAGCATATTGATAGCAACGAAAAATTCAATAGAATTGTTAATTTCAGCTATTATTGGGCGCTAGTTGACCTTTTGAAAACGATAAAATTGGAAAATGTACTGCAGAAGAGGCTTGCCGCAGTGTTGAATTCAATACGAAGATCATTGGCTTCTATATCGGAAGCTTAAATAAGTATCGTAAGTTAGCTCAGGGTTAATATGGGGCTTTAGTCGAGGATCGACACTTGGCTTTTAACTCAGAAAGTTTGCTTTACCGTTCAAGCAGACGCACAGAAGAGTATTGATCCTTCTACGGTGCTGTGGCGGAACATCATGAACGGACAGACTGTTCCTGAACATACGGTCGGTCATAGGCAAAAAAGGCTGTGAAACCCAAATCAAAAGTGGAAGGTTGTCAGGTACTACACTGTAGTAAAATAAAATTTGCGACCGGTGTATGCCTGAGATTTATAGAGATTGCATAAATTATTACTGTAGACATTGATGTGGATACGAGGCGTAATTTTATTCCATGAATGCAGTCTAAGATGAAGGTCCTGTTTCGGATTAAATTGCTATAGCTCGCGATAAAATCAGCAGACGCTCGACTTATTGTATCTCGATAATACTCCCTCTTCCATTACGAATCATATCACACAATCCATCACTGTTCTCTGATATGCCTTCTACAACATTAAATAGTACAGTCTTTGCATTATACTTAAATTGGATATACAATATGAAAGCCACATTAACGTGATATATTGAGTATACAGATATGCTTTTCTGCTTTTACAGTCGTTCCACTCTCAAATTCGAGGATTTTTTGAGCGGGGACTAACAGAAAAAAAATCAGAGGTTTAATTCATTGTTGATCACTGTTGGTCAAAATTCACAATGACATGTTAAAATCAGTCTTTTTAGCGGAAAATGGCCGCGGAAACATCTACGATGAGAGCGGTATGAAGCCATGGATATTATAGATGAACCAGCTGACCCATTTGCCATTAAGCAACTAGTCAGTCTTGATTCGTACCTGAAAAATTGTCCTACGCCTAAAGAAGTTCAGTATCAGCAGAATAACAATGAGAGGGAAACATCCGTGCGTAAGAGCTCTGAACCCTAAATATCGTGATTATAGTCTCTCCACCAGAGAGCTTTTCTTTAAAAACAAGATCGAAAAGCTGATGTCAGTCAGGGCTGCTGCACTTCAAGCAGGTGTTAAAGAAAGCACTGCGCGCACCTGGTGGAAAAATACCAAGAAAACCCTGAATCATTTGTTCTCGGCAAGAGCACCAACCGCCAGAACAGACCAAAAGCAAGCTTTAGGAAACGCATAAGGGATGCTTGAAGCAATTTTACGACGAGAATCCTAATGCTTATATCCAGGACGCTGTTGAAATGCTCACGAGCAAGTTTGAAGGCCTTGATATTAAAAAGTCTAGAGTGCATGAATACATGAAGAACGAATGTAACTTGGCCTTTAAGCAAACGACTCTCTGGTCTGAGGCAAGAATGAGTTCGAGCACAATTAAAAAACGCTACAATTGGGTTGTTTGAATGGAGTCAAACGGACATGGAATATTCTCAAAATTGCGTGTTTATTGATGAAGCCGGCTTTGACATTAACATGAGTCTAGCAGAGCATGGGCACCAAGGGCCCAGATGGCAGTAACCACTACATTTACGACAAAGCCCCCACCCATGCCATTCTTGGTGCTATTTCAGTAGTTGGTGTAATAAATTGGAGTATACGTGTTCCAAGACAGCCACCAAAAGTGAGAAAAATTCAAGGTGGTAAGGAAAGGAAGAATTCTAAAGCAGTCGCTCTTGTTAATGAGCCTAAAGAAGGAAACACCACCGAGCACCTGTTGTATTTGCTTAATTAAAGATTTATAACTGTTGTAAGTCGATGACTATGAACTTAAGTGTCTTTATTGTTCTTCAGATGAAGTAGAAGGATTATTTACTCTGTGAGGTTTAATGGGAATTATGTTATTTGAGGACGCATATGCTAGTCACTAATTTCAGGTTTAGATGCTTATTGTGTGATTATTATACTTAGGCCTGTATCTTGTTCTATGTTGTACATAACCTATATTAGATGCAATATAGTTAGACCGTGGTAGAATGTATTCTCTACCTGGTTGTACGTATTCGAGTATTGTAGTTATTATCTCACCAAACACGTCAGATGTGTTAATTATTGTGAATAGGTTATATAAATCAGGAAAAGGCCCCCTTTATTCAGATCAAAGTTTCTATTCCTTAATACTTTTCTATTCTAAATTACAACTTCCGCTATCTTCACTAAGTTACAGTATTTTAACTAATATTTTAGATGAAATACATTTTTTTTTGGACGATTAATATTTTCATTTTAGATGAGTTGCAATTGTGTTGTAGACCAAAATATAAACCGTTTAAACAATGATTCAAATTCCAAAAACTTGTTAGCAGTGCGAAACAAAAAAAAAAAAAAAGAAAAAAAAACCGTACTATTCCTCACCTGTAATGATCTAAATCCTTGAAATACAAGGAAAACCGTGTTTATTACGGCGATTATTTCTTCTTCTTCGCTGGCTTGAAAATGTCGGGTCTTCCCGCTCCAGACCAAACTGCTTGGGATATAGTCATCATGTTGATAGCGGCGTTAATGTCTCTCTGCCATAGCTTTAGACATTGCTTGCAATGAAGAACGCCGGTACCCTTGAATCCAGGGGTATTAACAATTTGCATATCATCATAGAAACAGAGGCTGCATGTTTTAGAGGTTTTGAATTCATCGATTGTGACAACAATCAATTGACCTTCAGCTTCACGTTTCTTCAGAGTTGCAAAAAGTTTACCGACAACACCACATCTTTGCCCTTTCAATTTTACTACATCTTTTCCAAACATTCCAGCACCAAAGACAATCAATGGTACCCTTCTAGGGAATCCTGAGTACTTATCAGCCTTCCACTTCTTGTCACTTCTAAAAATTATCAATCAGCGCGTAAGCTAAACGATGAACATGTAATTCATTGATACTCACTTGATTGGCGGCTGTTTGTCAACATTCTTTCCTTTCTTCTTCTTCTTCTGCTGTTTTTTCCTCTTCCTTGCCTTGCTTCTCTTTTTGCGATTGTACTTGGCCGTTCCATGAGTCAACTTGTTGGCCATAGTTTCGGGTGCTCTTTGCCTTCCTTGGTACAACGTAAACCGGTCCTTTGCTGTTTCATGTCCATAAAAACTAAAGAGAGCGTCTAAGTTATTGAGCATATAACTGGTGAACGCCTCATATACTCCTAGACGAGAGGTCTTTGACGAGGGGATTTGACTTTCTACTAGATCTATTCCTGTAACAGCTTTTATACTGTTCAATTTCTTACAATATTTCGTTGACCCTGCCATATGATAGTATTCGGATGTAGTGCATCTTCGCACTTGTCTGTTATATTCAAGGCCAATAGCAGCAGTAAAAACAGACTTTCTTCCGGGATCCAGGGTAATAGGTAAATAAGTATTGTCAACTTCATCCAGAGAGAAATCATCAAGAGTGAGGTCAAATTTTTGGAACGAGGCACCATGGCCAGATTGTTGTCTTTTATAAAAAAGAAAGTCAACTGAAAACCCATCCGTTCTGACAATATTACCAAAGAGCTCTTTGTTATCACCATTCGGTGTAAGTTCAGAGATACTACATGTGCCCAAGAAGTTAAACCTCATACATTATACTCGACTGCATACCGTATTAACTGTATGCTTACCTTTTGTACCTGAGTTTCTTGAAATCAAAGACATGGAAAAACAGCTCTAATTGGCTTTGGTAATTGCGGGGTAAAGAACGTTTCACAAAAGAAGACAGAGCGTTCACGCTCAAGGTAATGAACCTCCATTGAACGGAAACCTTTGGCAGTAAGGATAGCAATTTTGGAAGAGGACGTCGTCGTACGTCAAATGGTTTATGATCATCGTGTTCGCTCTCAAATTCTGCGTTCAAAGATAACAAAAAGGGTACGAAAGACCCAGGATCAGCAGATAATGTCTTCATGTTCACTTTCTTCCCCAGCTTCTTCTTCCAAGGTTCACAAAAGGTTTGGATCTTTGCTTTTATATCTTTGGTAAGGTAGTCATCAGTTGGCCATTTAGGTTTTCCTTGGCATATCTCTTGATAGCAGAAATCACTTGTGACCTTTTTGACAAGCTTCCAAGGCATACACTACGCAAGATGAGAGCTTTTTTTTAAAATTCATGTAAGACCCCAAGTAATATTGAGTTGCAACTTACCACAAATGCCGTTTGTATTTTATATATCAAAAAATAGAGAAGTTTCTCCTCAAAATTTTCCACTATACTGTTCGTATAGGAAGTAGCAATTTCGGTGCATGCTTCTGTAATGGCTTGACTAAGTCCAGGAAAGAGCTTGACAGGGAAGACAATCTTAGGGTAAGTCGTTTTAAAAGAATCAAACGAGCTCAGTAATTGTTGTGATATCAGCCTACTATTTGTTGGTCTTTGTCCATTCACTAGCTGTATCATAGAGTACCAGAAATTTTGTGTAAAGATAGATTTAATACACTTTGGCTCAGCAAGAGTGGCATTTTCCAAGACGTAATAATTCACAAAGAGCTTGGCTCTAAGAACCAAGTTTCGGATAACAGAACAAGCTTCAACAACTTTTGACTTGAATGTGTTGCGATAGTCACCAAAAACGCAGTTATCAAGAGGCAACCTTCTTGTAAACGCCTTGTAATTACTTCCCAAATGATGTTGAAAGACCTCTGCCTTTGATAATACATGTTGAGGACACAGAGGAGAACGCACCGATTTATGTCCTGGTTGCTTGCATTTGGTACAACAGGTATTGTCTTTATCCGGTTCTTCATTATTCTCTTTCCTTGCTTTCTTCTTTTCCTTCTTGATTTCAAAGTTCTGTTTGCGTTTTCTGCCTATCGAACCAACTATAGGTACAATGAGGTCGCTTACTAACGATGAATTTACCAACTTTTGAAGCCACATGAGGTGCTTACCTTAATCTGCAGTTTCTGTCTCATACAATTGACATTTAAAGTATTGTTGGGTGTAATGACCCCCTTTACCGCAATCAATACACGTTACATCTAACAGTACACGATGATTAATCTCTACGTATATATATGATCAGGTATATAGGCTTTCAAAAGGCAAGTTACCATTAACAGCACTTGATTTTTTCTTTTCAAAAATTTGCTTTTTCTTTTCATAAATTATTGTTTTGAACATGGGTCATAGTATGTATCTTAAAAACGTGAAATAAAAGTGAAAGAGACAACATTTGACTCTAAGAGAGCAATATATTTTATAGTGCTTATCTTTTGAAAGTCACCCATGAACGCATACAAAAACATTGACAACAGTTAATATAACCATCCCATTCCGCTATGGTATCTGTTATACTATGACCATCAGCCCTCTATCAATGGTTTGATGTCAATCAATTCAAAGTTAACTTTTTTTGGAATTCTTGTCCAAAAAAGGCACCAACGAATATCTTGTTGGTCTCGGAACACATCGTCATTTAGTAAAAAAGTTGTCAAGCTTTTTGTAGTTTGTCCTATTGCAAGATAACATCAATAAAACCATTATTGGCGACTTTCTTACTGATAGAGACTAATTTCTAGGGTTCGATTGTATGTCATCCTTAATGCTGCTTGAATATCACTGAATAATTGAGTATCCAAATATCCAAATACTATGGACTTTTCTAAAAATATTTTTTAATAAATCTAAAATTAAAATGTATATTGTTCATTAAAAATTGTAAATCGTCTAAAATATAAGGTAAAATACTGTATTGCACACCACCTTGGGTCGCTCAGTTTATATCATGTTTCTTATTTGTATTTTGTCCAATCATATTCACTTTTCTAATTCACGTGACTGAGTTTATACTCCATACGTCAATTATATTTTTTTAAATCAAAAAGAAAAGCTTCTATGGCGCAATTGGCTAGCGCGTCTGACTGTTAATCAGGAGGTTGGTGGTTCGAGCCCACCTAGGAGCGATTTTTTTTCGCTATCATCTTTTTTTCGTGAGGCGTTATCATTTTATTATACAAATCGTAGTTTCTAAACAATGGTCTACATATCTCTATCTTGTCGTGCCTCAAAATAGGTGATACTTTTAGTAACCTTATGTAACAATATAATAGTATAAAAGACAAGTATTATGAAATAAAGATAAAGGTCAAGCTTTTTCTCTCTCTTCAAAAAGGATTGTAGCAATAAAATAAGAAAATAAGAACTTAGTTAAAGAAGCTATCCTCGTAGGCACGATGTCGTGCACGAAGCAGTGAAATACACACAGTTATAATATCTTGTGAGTTTGAACAAAAAGATGTCTTTATTTTCTTTATTTTCTTTCAATTAATCTCTTACTTGAGTATTGCTCTTTGTTACATTAATATAATCTGTAAAACGACGCGCGACAACGACAATCTGATGTTCTACGGTCTCGAGATGATGTCCGGCATGTTTTCCTCCAGTTAAAGCTTCCAACAAATACATACACTGAGAATTACACCTCAGAATTAGTGGTAATATTTGGAAACCTATGGCAATCTCATTGGTATGTAGTCACCAACAATGAAGCGTGGACCTTGGCGAATGCATTACAGAGACTTCAGTCCTCTGTAACTTTAAGTATCACGTTACAGAATGTCGAAAAAGTGCCTCACCAGAAATAACTTAAACACTCTGATGAGGAATGTTCATAATGTACCGCTCATGTGTCTCTTCTAGCACCCCACCCCCCTTTCTTTTTCCTCCTCTTCTACCACTTGTCTTCACCTCTTATCATCTTCTGACTTTCTGTTGAAATAAATCGCACATGAAAATGAAAAAAGAAAACTATATAAAAAGATACAGAAGAAAAATGAAGTATCTGATCGTTTCTTACTTCAAAAATAAGACTCTGTATAAAAAGGCTGTTTCACGAAGCACGACAACCTCTTTTGGAAATTGGAGGAGATTGTGGGTTTTTTTTCTACGGAGATCAGTTGTTAGCTTATATCTTAGAAGAAATACTCCCATCCGATCAGACCGAATGGGATTGCTTTCTTGTTGGATTGAATGAATTGAAACAAACGCGATGGCAAATTCTTCCTTCTCTATTCTCATCGAAATAAAATGGCGCCACTTGCAAAGTACGTAGACTGATTACGTGATTGAAAGTAGCAAATAGAATAGTAACCGATTATAAGCCATTACATTAAGTAGCTTCTCAGCTTAAGTGCGAAGTATTGGATCGGCAAAGGAATCATAAAGGAGCCACATATAAAATAGTTTATTCTGCAATAAAAATGTTCTATGGGTAAATGGTATATGAAAAAGGTTAGTAGGATGAGGAAAGACAGCTTTAGTCGTTTGCAAGAAGATTACAGCAGAGGGTGGTTTTACAGTTGTAAACAGTCTCAATAAATCCAGACAATATTGAAGCCTTAGAAATTAAATACGACAATAGAAAATAAATTAGACATGACAAAGAATTTTCTTTTATTCACATGCTGAGAGTGGCCTTCTTGAATTTGGAAATAAAATATTAACTGATATGAAAATATTTGTACAGCCAAACTATGGTCGTTCAATATAGAGAGTAAGGTCATAGTAACATGCAGGTAGTGAAGTAAAAGTGCGCCAGGTCATGTTGTAGTTGGTTTGCTGTGGTGCTTTGTGAATATAGCAAGCCCCCCCCCCCACCCCAAACGCCTCAAATTTTCATGATTTTAGTCTTTTACCAAACGTAAGCCATTATTTTGGTTACTGAACAGGTTGATTCTAAATAGTGATTGCTCGTATAATTCAAGTAAGAACAGCCACCCTGAGAAACATATGCATCAACATATTCCGAGTGAAGAACAATTCATTGTGGAAAAGAGGGTTTATTTGAGCAATAAGCTTATAAACGTATGCTATCAGTATAAGGTAGAGAGCAACCAAGATACATTTTTAATATTTCTTGGCAGTCATTTCGCCGTTATTGCTTGACTTCCAACAGTTAGATAGATAATGTTCAGTAACATTTGTCGAAAGAAGCCCATCGATTACAGCAGCGAGCGAAGTCATCTCTTTCATCTGCTTTAATATTGTAACAGTGGGTAGTGCCATCAAAAGAGATTTTCCACCCCCAATCAGAGCAACAGTTTGTAGTGATGACAGCATTAGAACAACGGCAAGACCAAGCATCAGCAGAAGTGAATAAGACAGTGACTACAGCACCCAATAGAGCAGATTTGACGGACACCATTAGAATTATCGATTAATGTTGCAATTAGAAAGGAAGAGATGTGAAAGAAGATACATCTGGCACTCGATACACCAATATAAATATATTTGTTAATTGTGTTACCACTCATTTGCTGCATTTGCTGAGCGATTTCTATACAGTTGTTGTCACGAATGCGTATAATGGAGTTTAAAATCGTCCTGCAGAATTATCCCAAAAATTATTAAGTATTGTATGATGATCTACCGGCCGTTTGTCACATTCTCTATGAACTAGACCATTTGTATCATGGATTTGATCCACCTCCACCAGACCCCTTACTAGGTTTTGCCCTATTACAATGGTTGACCCTCAAGCCTCACACAACCACAACTGTTTAAATCCTTTTTTACCTTTGTTCCCAAAGGGTTTTTTTTAGCAATATATAGTTTGTAATATAGAAACTTTAGGATCTGCCCCGGGCAAATTTGGTGCTCATTGGGGTTTAAAATATTGCAATAAAAGAACTCTGTATAAACCTATGATAATCTGTCAATAACCCACCAAAAGTAAATGTTACTTTGCTCCTTAGTCCTGCAAAGGAATTGGTGTTAATGATGCATTGAATACATGGTCAAAACCAATAGATCGTTGTCTTACACGTTTATATTGCTTAGAAATTAGTAAAGATATTCAAGAAGTATTCAATTCTCATTTTAACTTCCCACAACTCCTCTTAGTCACTATAAATCAGAGCTGCTACAGCTCTGAACCGCGCTCTAAACCGCAGAAAACTCACTTTCTACGCCTATAACATCGCTATGGCGCTTACTAAGAATAGCAATTGACTTTTTACTTGATATATTGTGGAACTTATTTATTAACGTTATAATAGAAAAAATTATAGGGTAGGTATACTGGAATGAAATAGGTACATACTAGAAGTTTGCCTATCTGATTATGGTGGCGCGTTAAGCAAATCCTAAGTACACAGGGAGCAATAACCGAACAAAAATAATCTATCACAGTTCAGACTTATGTGTATTATATAATCTTTTTTTAAAGCTCACCACAATATATACTTCAATCAAACTAGTGATATACTTTTATAAAATTGGTGTATAACTTTATAAACCACAACTCACTTCGTTAATATTGAGTCGTTATACAATCATTTAACAGTCAAAAATAATCGAACAGAAATCACGCACGGCTGCGAATTTTTAATCCCCTGCGGCTTGCATGGGCCATAGGACCGAAAATAGATGAAAAATCTGGGGACAGCAAGTTAGACAGGAGGATGAGTTTAAAGGTCCCCTTTTCTGCAAAAATCCTACATCACTTAATACCGTCTTTTCTATACCATTTTTGACGTGGCTTTTTGTATTTATTTCTGTTGAAAAGCACGGATCGATAAATGCTAACGTCGTTCATTTCTAGATCGACCAAACAAAGCACAGTATGCGTAAGTATAATCTACCTCTGCCTCACCTGTCCAAGCTCATAGCTAAAAAAAAAACTAAATGCGTAGAAATGTCAATGGCGACTTGTACAGAACAAAACCATTACTGCCATTCTGTTAGAGGATTATCTGTACTCAAAGAAATGTCAGCGATTACTGACAACCAACGCACGCAAACATCAGCAACAACAGTCGAGAAATTTATCCAGGATACCACGCACACAACTGCGAGCTATATCAACGGAAACAGATTCAAAAGTAGAGAATATTCTCAAGCACCGAAACAATACGGAAGAGGTTTTATCTTTTGCGCTAGATCAGTCAAAAGTTCCCATTGCAGAATCGCTGGTTGAGAATACATTTTCACTGCTACGGAAGAACAAAACGGAGGCAGCTTGGGAGTGTTACCTTGACTTATCCCAACACAGACTACAAAGCTTTCTTTCAGCAGATCAATACAAAAGACTGATAAAGCTGTTTAATCATAAAAGTAGTCAAGAGAAAGGCTTACAATATGTCTTAACGCTAATAGAAGACATGAAAAGCCTGGGGTACAATATCGGCCGAAAAGAAAAAGTGCTCTTAATGCGATTGCTTAGTATCAATGGAAACTTACAAATTATGGAACAAATCTTTGAAAGCTTGAAATCAGAAAATCATTTGGCCTCACAAGACTTAACGCAAGCGCAAAAACCATTCCATATTGTACTTCAGGCATATCATGACCATGTGAGGAAAATAGGCTCACTTGAGGCAGCCAAAAAATCAATGTCAATTTACGAAGAGATGATTGAATACAAACTCCATCCTACTGAAAGCGCGACAAAATTATTGATGCAAAACCTGAGATATGCGAAGGTTGTAGATATTATGCTGGACGATATCTGGGCGTGGACATGGAAAAGAATAGAAATGAATAATATAGAAGTTCCCCCACAATTAGACCCACGTTTTTTTAGGGAAATGATTATTTATTTTTCTAGTGCAGGAAGAGCTGACTTAGCTTTACAAATTTACGACAGAATGATCGACATAAATATACCACCTACATTGCGTACGATGACAGCTCTGATACATAAAGTAGGAAGGTCAGGGAACATGGAGCGATCAATGGAGTTGTTTAATGATATGGTCGTGAAATACAATATTACTCCGAACCTTATCACTTTTAATGCCCTCATCGATATTCACGCACATAGAAAACCTCAACCCGATATTGATGGTGCTGAGCGTATGTATCAATCAATAGTAGACCTTCAATTGAAACCGAATGATATCACGTATAGCATCTTATTCGACATGTATGCTAAGGAGGCCGATGTTAAAAACGCAAGACGTATATTTAATGAAATGGTGCGGGTACATCGTATAAAGCCCACTCCTTACATATATTCATCCTGCATCGAACTTTTTATGGCATGCAACGATTACGATTCGGCGTATAAAGTGTTAGGCTTGTTGAAAAAAGTAGCTGATAGGCGAGCACCATCAGCACGTGTGGTTTACAATTTAATGTTTAAACAACTTGTTGAACACGATTGCATCAAAGAAGCATTACAATTGCTGGAAGTCATGATCAAAGAGAGGATGTCTTTGGAGACAAAAACGTTTAAGCCAATGTTATCACATTTTGCCAGACGCGGTGATGTAGCCGGAACCCATAAAGTTGCTAGTATGATGACACAAGCTAATTGCCGGCCGAATCGTTTTACATTCTATTCACTATTACAATCCTTTGCTCGGGCGGGTGATGTTTCTGGCGCAGAGGAGATGTTTGAAGTCTATAAGTCTAGGTATCCGTTGAACACGAGTATTTACAATGCAATGCTCTATGTTTATACAAAGCGGAGTGAAATGGATAAAGTATTGAATATCTACAAACGAATGACGAAAGCCTCTATTTCTCCCAATGAATTTACCTATGGTATTTTAATGAACTTTTACACCAAACGAAAAGAATTGGATGCCGTGGTCTCATTATTGGATACGATGCACACGAACAACGTAGAGCCAACTGTCGGGATTTGGACGATTCTAATGGATGCCTACTTTTTATGTGGCCAACCTCATGAAGGAAGACAAATCATAGAACAGATGATGAAAGCGGGTGTCCAACCATCTTCTATATCCTGGGCGGTGTTGATTAAAGGATGTGCTACTTCCAACATGTTAGATGTTGCTCAGGCTATATTGGATGAGAAAATCGATACATATAAGCGACAGTATGCAATGCAACAAAAATCACTACTCCGGGACAAAGAGATTCATGATAGCGAAACATATACAAAAGAAATTCCTGAAACTTTGGAAGACTTGCTATATGCAAAAAATGACTTCTCAGCAAAATATATGCTCTCACCGTATTTATTTACACCGGTTATAAACGCTCATTGTACTCTAGGAAATTATCAAGAAGCCAAGAAGTTATTCCATACTATGCGCGATTTATCTGTGGAAATCTCGATACCAACTTACACACTACTAATGAAAATATTTAAAGAAACCGAGCAATATGACGCTGTTGAGAAATTATGGCGTGGACTTTACCAACCAGAAAAGGATCAGACAGCTATATTTGATATCGACCCTCTCATACCCTCCGTTCCCCTACCAAAAACTACCTACAATTATCTGAATCTTCTAAGTTTAGATGCAGACTTAGAATCAGTCGAAGTTGTACCAAACAGGGTCACACCATTTGCATTATCGATATACTTAGACACTTTGATGGCACAGTCGCGCTTCTCTGATATCGACACCTTATGGGATGAACTTTCTCAAGACGCATATGGTTTTGATGAGCACAATTGGAACCGTTACATTTCCGCTTTGTTGCTGGAAGGAAAGTTAAAGAAGGCTTGCAGTGTTATACCAAAACAATTCTTGCAAGCCTCTTTAAAATCCGAAAGAGCAGACAATTCTAACGTAGAAATAGAGAAAATTACACGTAACAGCTCCTTTATGACCAGTGATGTTCAATTACACGCAAAGACATGCAAGCTTTTTGCTGATGCCTTTGATATACGTGGTGTTGAATATACACCTACCCCTCGACTACGTGCTACTATCATCAGAAGAATCAATGACTTTTTGGCTCAACAAAAAAAAACACTTGTATAAAAATCCTATAGATAAACTTTATTTATACATGTATCTGTAACTTGTTAATAGAATAGTATAACCAACAATGATAAAATGATTGATTTCGTGCACTTTGACTGGAAGCTCAAGCGGCCAAATGGTTCCTCCCAAACAATCTATGACTTACCATTAATATGTTCGCGTTACATGCCTAAGTATGGCAATAGCATTTGGGACCATTATATAAGCGTTGCTTGTCAAATGTCTCCACACCAAAAAATTCTATCCGGGTAATTTCTGTATTTACGACAATTGGGTACTTGTAATCATGTTAGCATTTTGAATCGGTACCATATTATAGAGTATACAATTGTATACAATCCCTTTTATTAAACTCATGTTTCGTTTCTACGTTTGATTGGTTCTGACGTAGTTAAAATGCTTTCAATAATGCTTGCTTTGACGTCCGCAGTATCTTTTCCTTCTGAACAACTAAACTGAAAATTAGGCAAAGTATCAACCAATGATCAATATGAAAAGAGCACTCTCTTAAAAGGTATATATCGAAAGCCTCGAGTCCCAGCGCAGTTTCACCCATAATTAGCATTCTCACTATTGTCCTTTTTGAACCTAGTGTTCTGCTCATTTCTTCCCCTAAACTAGATCTTGACAAGAAAAGATTGCATCATACTATAAGCTGTGAGTGCCTAAAGAGAACGGTGAAATTGTCTTATGAAAGAGAAACAAAAATCGACAGGCAGTTGACAAGAGGGTCACACGAGTAGTAATAATAGATCAATATAAAATTTTAAGTCAATATTTGGATCATTGTTCATCAGCAAAACCTTGATGTCGACTAAACTATGTTAGTAGAAGAGAACCATTATAGGAAACATTATTTACGAATTACTCTCTAAGTAGTAGATACCCGATTCAATGTTTTAAATTCGTGTTAGCTGACAACGTCGCTTCAAGGATCTTGATATTAATCGTATGGTTTTCCAAGCCCCTATGAAAGTCTTATTATTGCGAGCAAATAGTTCGGCAAACTTTACTTTCAGGTATTGTACAGGAGAGTTTAATGGTATACGTATCATCTTTATTTAGGAAATATACAAGCGGGGATTTCCAAGGTATCATTTTGCTCTAATTGGAATATAACTTGATAGCCTTCATTTTCGGGATCATCCATTGCAACGTGTACTGTGGTATGTTGGGTATTGGTACTGGTACAACAAATGTTCTGTCCTCTTATAATTTGCGCAAGTTCGCCCTAAAGTGATTATTATATAGACTGTTATACATCTGGTCGATATTGCATATAATGTTAATTATACTTACTGTATGAATATTTCTGATTTCAATAAAGTCAGGTTCAAATGCAAGAATGTACGGATGACACAAGGCAAAGGAATCAGGCGTACCTTCCCAGTCAATTCGATTACTGGAACGAATGAAACGGCCTCTTTGATCAACTAAGAAAGCAAATTCTATATTGAGAGGGATGATTAGCCTGCAATGCCGCTGAAACCATGACGCCGCTATTGCTGTTTTTCTCAGTCAAATCTTACCATTATAGCAAACGAGATATTCTGCGAATTGAATTCTGTAAATTGTCATTGGTCGAACATCCTGCCTATTGAAAGCAAACGCCAGCTCTTCATCTTCGGGGTCGAGCAAAGCTTGCACGCCAAATGTTTTCATATCAACCACACCAATTTCCATAGGAGAAGTAATGCACATTTTAGATTTCAGCAAGGTAATAGAGGACGCTTCGCTCGGTAAGTAGAGGTCTTTATACGCTTTCAGCCCAACGGACCTACTCTTCACCAGCTGCTTCAGTTTGAACAAGGATTTAGAACGTTTATTTTCGTCAATACTGACAGGTTCTAGCACGCGAATAATTGTTGCTGAAAGTGCATTGGATTTAACCACGCATAGCAGTGTTTTGCCTAAGCACTCGCCGATATAAAAAAACGAAGTGTTTGGACTGATCACTCTTCCTTTCCGTATTTGCGGTATTGACGTTGATGAAAGAACATCCGAAGGAAATGCCCACAATGTTTTGTCTGCCAGGACTAGTAATTGTGAACAGTCTGGTAAAAGTTCTACTTGAGTGACCCGTTCAATAGCAATAATACGCGTGATACCATAGCTTTCTGTCACTGCATCATAATATGATAAATAGACACCATGTTCTGCTCCAATAAGTAGTTGTTCTTTCTTCTCACCGTCTCTAAAAGTGTATGTACTGTTGACTCTGTTTGTTGGCCTGAAGAATTTCGTCATTAGTGGTTTCATCGAAAAGACAGCACGATTTTTAGATAGGTGTTCTTGCTGGTCCATGATTTTTCTTAACCAAGTTTGTTGCATAGAGATTGCGCCTGTATACAGTGTTATAGATGATGATGACCCTTTTCGACCGTGATGAAAGAAGGAAAGGGGAAATTGACTCGATTTATGGATGGTTGAGTATGCTTCAGGTGCTAGCGGTTTCGCAGAAACACTGTTAAGTGATGCTATGTTACTGGATTTGTTGTAAGGTAAAACGGAACTCTGACGCTTGGGTCGGACATGATGCGCTGAGGCGGTTACAGTCAATAATTGCAAAGGAATTGGCTAGCAAAGAATATGTGTCAATTGTCTTCAAATGAATATAATTTTGCGATTATATTCTCTTACTTTTTTATAAACTCTATATTTTTCAGAGTTGATTTCGGATTTCACCTTAGTGATAACCAAATAATGGTCTAAAAGAAATACTTGCATTTCTGTAGAGCCTGAAGACGAATTGCCTTTTTTTTTCATCCTTCCTTTCATAAGCATTTGCCGTTGGGGCTGCTCTAACTCCAAATTCTACGAAGAAAGATAGTAAATGAATAGAAAGAAAAAAAAAAAAAAGCAAGTTCATTAGCACGTTATAAACTAATGGGATTGATTATGGATACATACAATGTAGTCTAAGGGTGACTTGAACTCAAGCTTTTCTTTCAACTGTTGCAAATTGAAAAGATTTTCACTTTTGCCCGTCTCCGCATTAACGCGCTCTAGATAGCTTGTAATGATTTTCATAGTTTCTGGTATAAAAGTTCTATCTGAATTTCCTTCTGGTGTTCTCTTCAGAATTTCTCTTAACAAGAGGTTGTATCGCCCCAAACGAGTTGTTGGTTTTGTAAGGTAGCCATTCAATTCTAACCTGCGCGATTGAGGCCTTCTCTCTGTCTCCTCAACAAATTTCGCAAATACAGGATTTCTTTTCTTCTCAAGCTCATAGTAATATTTTCCTCTTATTTGATGGGCGCCGTACTCAACGAATGGCTCAAAGGCGCGAATATGTTGCAGCATAACATCGCCTATGAACGGAACCACATATTGCTCAGCTTGACGTATTTCTAATGCCTTCGCAAGATCTGAATTAACAGATCGAATGTCGGCAATATTATGAAATATGTCTTTAACGAACTTTTCACGTCTAGCTGGATTTATTATTTCCTTCGTGAGCAATGGTTCAACCCAAAACTATAAATTTTGGTTATTCATACTTTAGTTCTTATTTGTATATAATCGCCACATAGACCTTACTGACAGTTGCGTCTATACTCACATCGTGAAGGTACTGAAGATCTCGTACAAAGTCTTGTTCCGTATATATAAGCTCATAGATGCATTCTTGTCTTTTTCGCTCTTCTGTTGGAGTTGATTGGAAAATATGTTCTGGAACAGAATGTGACCATAATCTTCGATGTTCTTCCTAATTGATTTTTTAATGGCAAATCAGACACTATTTATTGTGTTATTGGTCCATTAAAATAATTTGAGTTATTTGTAAATCCATACCTTCATCTGATTCTGATTGCGTTTGAATTGCTTTGGTTTTGTGTAAAAAATACAAAGTTCAATTAGAGGAAACTATTACTCAACACACACACATACACACCTTGTCTCTTGCTTTAATACCTTTCTCTTTTGACAGGCCCAACTGTAACACGGACTATTGCCCTTGCACATTGGCGAATAGCAACTTGTAAACTCTGTATAAACTCCAGTAGGGATATTGGCACCAGTCGACACTATATCTACTTTACAATTTGATTAAGGATCGTCAGGTATACAACGTATGTCTGTCATCATTCAACAAAAAGATCGCTCTTAACCTTCTTTCGGGGTGTCAATTGATAAATCGTCTTCTTCTTCTGAAGATGATAGTACGCTTACGGTGTCTCTCAAAGTATATAGCTCGGTAGTTGAATCAATCAGAAATGGGGTCTCGTCATCCACACTATGGAGAAACTCTTGTTTCAGTAAGTTGTTGCCAATTTCAATTGCTTCCGTACGGTTGTTGGTACGAAGTACGGAGAGCAAGCAATCCTATAGAGCAGTATGTGTAAATAGATATCATATAAAAAGATTTTGTAATATGTCCATAAAGATAAATACCACGTACGATGGCTTCTTTTCCTGTAAAAGCATCATGCCATGTCATCTCATGCTTTATCATTTTTGAGAATACTGATATTCTTTGGGCAAACTCCTTTGCTATTTCAGACAAGAGAGCTGTGTAAATAAGGAGTGCCTCTGATCGGCTCGTATTACTCGATTCGTGTTGTTGATCGCGCTGTATGTTGTCCTTTTCTTGCAGTGTGGTGACTGAATTGTTGTTACTGTTAATATAGTTATCAGTGATTGTATTAGTTGCTGGTATAATCACATCGGATATGTCAGAAAATTCTGTATCTGTTGACCGTCGAACAGTATTTTGCTGCGGCGGTAATGGGAAAAGATGAGTTGAGCTATAATTATTTGTTGCAGATAATGGTGGTGTATCTTTGACGAATGACATTAGTTCCAAATAGCATAAACGGCCAATATTTTGCATGCTTAGTACCTTCTAATCTATCTTTGGACTCTACAGATTTCAGAGCAGCAATAAGAGGAGGGGAAGATTCATCAGATGAATCGCCTTCTCTATCCAAAAAAATACTATGTGCTGTAATCATATCATCATCGTCATATAAGTCTTCATCCAGACTATTTTCTTCGCCATCACTTGGGTTTACAGGTCGAATGCAAATAAGCGAAGAAGGAGGTCTATTAACGAAATTAAACTCTTCATCGGCATCATCACGGTCGATGTTATTGTCATTCTTATCGTTCAATGCATTACTGGCTCCCATGTCGATCTTTTCAATAGTATTATGGGTAAGATTAAAAGTTAGACGGTTCAGTGAGTTTTCATTAGATTTTGGCGAAGCAGTAATGATGATGTTAGATGTGGTTTCGTTCACTGCGTTGGGTAAATCTTTCTGAGTGGGACTAGCTATCAAATTAGGCGGCGAGGTACATCGTCGACGAGGCTTTGGTTTTCTCTTATCTCTCCTATAGCTCGCACTATTAGCAACAAGGCTTTGATTTCTGACGGGCAACTGCTGTTGGACATAATATTTTTTGATGACATCTGGTATTGGATTGCCTGAACTAGAGTCATATGTCACTGTCGGCGTTCTTTTCAGATACAAGATATCTTTTCTGTTAGCGTTAGGTTGTATTGAATTCATTTTTCTTCAAAACTCCATTAATGAGAGCAGCTTTCTTATTATTATTTTTTGCGTAAAATAATATTGATTAAATGGGAAAGAGAGAGCGAGTGTAAGTTAAAATGAAGCAAGAAGTAATTAAGTTATCATTTATGTCTTTGATAGCGGCGTTAATGATCGGAATAAGAATTTGAAAAAATCGAACTTTGCTAGCTGTTGTGGAACCTTTCACTTTTTATTTCACCCTTAAACTTTCTAAGCTTGACTTAAAAGCTTTCGGTTACTGTACAACCTTGACCGTTTTCTTCTTATTCCACAAATTTTGTGCAATTTTTTGCTGCTAAAAAACACTGTGAAAATGATTAGAAAGACAAAGGGCTTCGGTGCAGAATTGCAAAACTATATGCTATTTACTTAAATAAAACAGTTATATTGAAAGAAATAAGAAAAGCGTTCAAGTGGTTATATTAAATGCCCACAAAGAAGATTCAGTGCATTCTTTGTGTCCCTGCTGCCCTTTTTTAGACGTATAACATTTATTTGAGATGGACTCAGACGCGTCGCTAGCACCTTTTTGCGGACCTTCCTTCCATTGTTATTCTCCATAAATTATCTTGATCGTACTTATGGTCGAACTTGTATACCAGGTCCTTTTGCAATCGGGTTTTTATTCGTCATTTTGTTCATGTCGGTCCAATTGAGCATCAGCCAAAGAATTGGATTGACGCGTAAATTACTTTTTTTTTTTTTTTTTTTTAAGGTTTTTGTTCCTGAAAAAATAAATAAAAGATGAGATCCTGCACAAACAAGCTTAATCGGAGCAAACAAGTAGTTACTGAGTTGCTAGTGTTTTGTTGTATTGATTTCACCATTGTGTCCGTCTTTACACTGTCCCTTCTTTACTTTAATCGTTTCTTTCGCTTTTATTCTTTCTTTTATTTAGTTAACAATCAAATCTCTCTTAAATGCCTTCATATACTCGATTCCTCGAGGAAAAACAATTAGAAAATCTACGTCTATACAAATATGCAGCCATAGACAAATCACCTATTTCCAATTATATTTTGAAGCACTATTGGAACTTTGCTATTACTCTCTTTCCAAGAACAATAGCGTAAGTGGTTGAGGAAAAGAGATGAGCGATCTATTCTCCACATTCACAACTGATACATTTTTTTCTTCAAAACTATATAACACATCAGTCCGAATCTCATTACTCTGATCGGGTTGTTCTTCATGGTGGCCAATGTCATTATCATTGGCATCTATTCACCAGACTTAAGCACAGACGCACCCAACTGGATCAACTTTTGCTTTGCGGTTGGCCTTTGGCTTTACTCTACCTTTGATAATGTCGATGGCCGACAGGCACGACGTACAGGTACATCTTCACCATTAGGTGAATTATTTGATCACGGCTGTGACGCTATCAATTGCACCTATGTCGCTCTATTACAGACAGCTGCATTAGGTTTGGGACACTCTTACTCTGCTGCTATTTTACTTTTCACTACCATTGCTGGCTTTTACTTATCGACAGCCGAGGAATATTATACAGGTGTCCTCTATCTTGGCTATGTCAATGGGCCTACGGAGGGTATTATCGTTTCATGCTTGGCTTTTTTGTGGTCTGGTATATACGGTAAATACATTCCAAGCTCACAGCTGAACATAATGTTTAAAATCCATACTAACATTTCCTATTTGACCACACTAGGTGTTGCTTCATGGCACGTGAGGGTGGTTGAAGTCTCGTGGCTTCATTGGACAGACTCTTTCTTAACTGGTGGTACTACGTTTGCTGACCTATTTGTGTGGGGAATGGCATTACTCTTCTTGGTTACTCATCTCCCAGTTTGGTAAGAGCAAACACTCGTAATAGCTCCAAATTATCAGAATGCTTATCAACAACTCTATCGCCTAGTGTCTACTCAATTTCTTTAGCTTGTAAAGAGAAGGGACTTGATCAATTCGATGTTTTTCACGAAGTCTTCAGTCCAATTATCAAAGTCCTGATCTTTGCTTTTATCTGGCTAACATCGTCATCAACTATTATATTCAAAGAGAAGCATTTTATTCTATTCGCACTTTATGTGGGATTCTTGTTCGGTGAAATGGCTTCTGATATTATTCTTGCCCATTTAACAAAATCATCCTTCCCTCGATTTTTTAATATGACTTTCTCATTGGCTATGATGACGTTACTCGTCAGTCTCAATGGGTTTTTTAGCGTGAATGTGTAAGTTTAAACATTTTTAGAAGCGACTTTCCGACAGAAGGGAATTTCTCACCTAAAAATTGTCACACTAGTGTTGCTGAATACAATACACTATTCATTCTTTGCGGCATAACAGTCATTCACTTCATGGTGAGGGCTGTACGCGTGATCAATGCATTTTGTGAATTCTTGAATATTCGTTGTCTTACCATTCCAGCGTCATCATCAAAGCAAAGAGATAGAGCCCTTGTACCTAACTCTGAAGGTAGGTCAGAAGATACTTTTTGCCTAACGGAAAAGTTTTTAATGTATTCCTGATTCTGATAGCTGAACAAGAAGCAGAATCACTTTTAATCTCTCAAGAAGAAGGTTCCTCATCTTTGTCTTCTACTAGTCAACAACAATACCATACATTTTAATAGCTTTAATTTCCGTAATGAAAACTAATTCTTATTACTATTATTTACCGCTTAATATGTTTACGGAATACCCGCTTCCATATCAATTATACGTTATTAAACCATTATTTATTTATTGATCAATTTTTTCAGAAAAAAAAAATTGAAGAACAATAACAGTTAAAATAGGTGTAGAGGTAGAGAGAGCCATATAAAGATTTAATTGTATGTGTCATAATATGCTTTGTAAGTTGAAATGCAAAATGTGAGTGTGGATGAGTTGGTTGATGCTTAAATATGAGAGGAAAACAAATAAATAGGATGCAATAATAGAAAAAATTGAGATGTTGTTGTGAGGTAGCATATAAAATGTTGAGATTTAACGGTATCAAATTCTATTATACATTATTAAAGGGGGGTTTTTTTTTCTTTTCTTTTTTTTTTGTTTTTTTCTTCTTTTTTGGAGGTATTTGTTTCCATAATTGTGGTATTTGGACATGAGTAAAGAGTACGCGAGCCTTTTTTTTGTTAGATATTATTGGAAATTGTTGTAAAAACGTTGTGTATGTGTGTATGTAGATTAGCAGCCCACTGTTCCGGTAGTGGCAGATTGCCATGACATACCAACCATATTGGATAGAATATTATCATTTTCATTATTGGAAGATTGCTGCTTCTCTTGATTGTTGTTAGCAGTAGTAGTGGTGACTTTTTTTGGTTTTTGATAATGTTGTTTTCTACGACGATCTTCAACACGTTGGTGCGTCTTCATATGTTGCGATAAGTTATCGGATCGCGAAAAGGTTTTTTGACAATTAGGGAAGTTGCAAGCAAAAGGTCGTTCAAGGGTATGAATGCGCATATGGCGTTTCAAGTGTTCTAAGCGTTTAAAGCGACGCTGACATTGTGTGACGGGACAAGTATGGGATTTACAGTTATTGTTATTGTTGCCTCCGTTGTTTCCTTTACGGCTTCCTTTGATGGTTGTCGGAGCAGTGGTTGGAGCAGACGACCCTGAATCTGTACGTGGAGCAACGACGGCGGCAACAGCAGCAGTAATGGAGCTACTCTCACTATCGGAAGAGCTATGTTGCATAGGATAAGGGTGATAGCCATAAGTATCTCTAGGTGTGGTAACATAATGAGCAGTACCAGGTTGCTGGTGGTGATGCATCATAGGATTGTAGCTGGTAGGAGTCATAGGTGCAACTGAATAGCCAAATCGCTCATGTTCAGGTGAAGAGACGACCATATTATTCGTTGCAGGGCTATGCATTGTTGTAGCAGCAGCATAAAATGGCTGTTGATGATGTTGTTGGTGACCGTTATTGATCTCATGGTTAAGCAAAGATGGCACGCCAGTGTTGGGAAGTGCAGAAGTGTCTTGTAAATTATGAACACCCGAGTGGTTCAGACCAAAGTGACGCATGTATTGTTGATGTTGCTGCTGCTCATGCTGCTGATGCTGCTGCTGCTGTTGTTGTTGTTGCTGCTGATGCTGCTGATGCTGATGTTGTTGCTGGTTGTGATGAGGAGAGGGAGGTTGACCTTGATAAACATGAGTATTCTACAATATGAAAAAATTGTTTATGAGTATTAAATCTAAGGTCTTCTTATTATATTGACTGGCTTCGTACCTCAGTCATATAACCTCGAGCAGCATACATACTGTCATAAGAGGACAAATCAAACTGATGACTCGGTTGTTGCTTGACACAATAAGTGGATGAGTCGAACCTTGGTTGAGATACTTGAGAGCCTATCGACATAGCAGTGGCAGAATTAGACACATTCACAGTATTGGCCATGGGGATGTTGGCATGCATATTGGAAACGGCAGCATTCGCAGCTTGTCGGGACTTGATGGATGACTTTCGTCTAACTGTTGTGCCCAGGGTTAACCCTTGTTGTTGCTGCAACATATTGGCCTTCTTCGTATGAGTACGGTAATGAGCGTGAAAGTTATCAGATCGACTGAAACTTTTACCACAACCGGGATAATGGCAAACATGAGGTCTTTTACCAGTGTGAACAAGCATATGACGCTTGAGATGTTCATAGCGTTTGAAACTCCAAGAACAATAAGGATACTTACAAACATGCTTATGTTGAATAGCTGGACCAGTGAGTTGAGCCCTCGATCCTCTACGAGAAGCACTACCACCGTTAGGGGAACTAGCTTTGAAGTTGTTGGTGCTATTACCATGCCCGTCCATGCCATTGATGCCAGCCGCGGCAGCACCAAAGGCTGTTGCTGTTGTTGGAGATGATGTAGTTGTAGTCGTAGCAGCGGATGAAATAGGAGGCTCAAAGGATTGAAGACTACCGTTGTGCAAAAAGGAATAATCTGTTTGTGGTTGCTGACAGCGTGAGTTAACCATGGTAGTGGCAGCAGTTGAGTAACTGGGAGCTGCTTGCTGATCACAACTATCCATTGAAACTGCTGAACAAGAGCTTCGACGATAAGCTTCTTGCTGCATTTCTGTCAAGTGCGGATGCATTGCACTCGTTGTTGAACCGAAACCAAATGGTCCAACATCAACAGAAAACTTACGCTTATAGTTAATTGAGTCGTAGAGGATAGAAGAAGGAGATATAGCTGGTGTCAATGGAGGAGACAAATGTTGCTGCTGTTGATGTTGCTGTTGATACATCATATTGTAAGAGCTATTGTAACTATTACTGTTACTTGAGGCTGGATGCACATAACTTGTGGGAATTTGATTGTTGCTGAATTGCTGTATGGCAGCTGTAGGTGCGGTGGGTGAAGGTGTATTTTCCTCCAATTTGGGAAGCTTATCAATTCCCGGCAATTTTTCATTCATTAACAAAGGTGTGGTAGGCTGTTCACAATGAGGAATTAATGAGTCATTCATAACAGGAATACTTCAATTAGGTGTATCTTATGCAGAGTGTGTATTGTATATAAATCAAAACAAAAAAAGATTTAGAAAAAAAAAAAAAGAAAAGAAAGATACGATGAAATCTTTTATAAGGAAAGAGCGTATAACCTACACTACAAACCATTCTTTATATCATTTTCAATAAGGAAAGTAGACATAAAAAATAGATTGATCGACAATTAGTCTACAGGGAGTAAGACTGTATATCATTTTATTACTAAGTACAATTAAGAGCATACCTGCTAAACTTTTACTGCTACTGCGTTACAACATACTCGATACCAATACGATTGATTTCCTTACCTAAAAGGGCATAGGTGAATCTCCTTGTGACTAAAAGGAGTGACTGAAGAAAGGGGGTTGAAAAAGTCTAGAGTTCAGGAAAAGGGAGCCTTTCTTATATCTCAAATTCTTTATTAGAGATACAACATGACACTCCTTACTTTTATTTTTTTTCTGATAATGACCAACTTTGAAAGGTACTAGTTAGGGCCTATAATAAGCAATGTATTTTGGTAAAGTACCCACTTGTATATAGTAGGTTTAATTAAACAAATGCCTCATCCTTGTCTCTAATATTTTGAATGGAGTAGTAAGCTAGCAAGCAAACACCAGAATAACGTACATGACTGTGCAAACAATCAATATATCAACAGTGCATGGTTAAATCATTATAGAACAATATCGAGCCTATGTATAGATGTTCAACTTTTTAGGCTAATTTGGATAAAGTATTGGATCAACTTTTTTTTTTTTTTTTTTTTCTTCTTCTTTTTTTTGCTTGCTGGGTATCTATTAGCTTGATTATGCTACATTTAGAATTCGAACAGCTTGTTTTCGGATACATAGCATTCGGATTGCTGGATCATATTATCCAGTGTTGTATAAGAGCTCGGAGTTCATCCGCAATTAATGCCATTCATGCATTTTCTCTTCAGCTTCAAAAGAAGGGCAATTAGTCGTGGTAGTTACTCCTGTAAATACGATAAAGCATAACCCCGAGAAAAAAAAAAAAAAACCAAAAAAAAACCGCAAAACCTCGTGCTTTCCGGAAGACCATATTTCCCTATTTTTAGAGCATATGCGTTTACACATAGATGCCTCTTTTTATTCTCTCTCTCTATCTCTCTCTCTCTCATCTATCAACCATCTTAGTAAGCGCCTTCCATGACCAGAGAGCAATTTATCAGAAGCTTTTTCGCTAACTTTTCCAATGACGTCTTCTTGTCTTTGATACAACCAAACTTTATCATTGTTCATTGCATAAAAATTTCTTTGAACACTTTGGCTATCTGTTATATACATCTTTTTACCATTATTTCGGTAAAGAATACAGCTATTATTTGGGTCTTTCTGTAAATAGTGCTGATAATAGAACCTATCCCCCTTAATAGAAGCTTTTTCTAAATAGAACCAACATGATACTATTTATCTTTCTCTCCTTTCAATACCATATGATTTTCAGCTAACTTTAAAAGAAACTTTTTTCTCTTCAACATTTAAGAAAAATATAAAATTAGGCCTTCATGTACATAAGAAACATGTATACTGCTTGTATCCAGCTGAGTTATAGCTTTTGCTACATATTAAAAACAGCACTACTCCTGTGTGAGAATGATATGTACTATGAGAAGCGTGCAACGCGCGTTTTGTTGGACCTTCAGTGTCCCGTATACATTCCCTATTAGATATCAGATCCTTGTTGACCATACAAGTCAAATGTTCCTGCCGTGCACATCCATTCTTTAAAGATTATGTAATCTTCTTCTGCTTACATAAGAATTCAAAAGGGTCTTTCGTTTTTTTAGTCAATGAGATCCGACCATTAATGCATATGCCCAAACATTTCAGATCTAGTTAGAAACTTCTATTAGATCAGTTGTTGCAAGAAGATTCAAATGTATCAAATGTTTAGAGGAGAGAATGAAGCTTACTGTTCAGAAAGATATAGTTTTAATTTGAAAAGGTTTTTTTTCAGGAGACGGAACAAAACTTGCTTCCTTGCATGTAGACGCTAGTTTGTCTGGTTCAAAGGGATTATTCTGTAAACCATGCCAAGTGTTTGTAGCGCTCAGCGCGTAACTGTCAAACGTAGTTTACGCTACAAACGGGTAATATTTTTGCTGAGAAATAATGACCTACATTACTTTTAGTGTATTTGTAAAAGACTTGACATAAATAAAGGCCCATGGAAATTACACAAATAAGGCAAAATTAAACTTGCTTTTGAGAGATTTAGCAAGTTCTTATTGCTTATGTAATTAGTGAACCTCGGTCCCTGTATTTTTTGGTTTCGGATGAATTTTTAAGTCCCTCCCCGTTGTTACCCCAGGTAACGGGAAATAATGCAATGTCAATAACATTACTATGCGGTGTTTTAAGCGCCTCTAAACGTCGATATGCAGCCATGGCAATCGTCTTGCTTTCACTTACGTAAACATTTTTGGCATTTCCCGTCTGTTCCTGCTAAAGCATTAAGGTTAACATTTTGATTACATAACGTTCAACAGCTCTCTAAATTAAGGGAACGACTAAGCTAAAAATTGCTCTTCCACGGATGAGATAAGCATTAAGTTGGAACCTTGAACTTTCAGTAAATCGTATATAAAGGAGAAACTGAGGCAAAGGAAAATTTTCTTTAACTATTCGATTTTATTCTGAAGAAAAAATCATTAGACTATTAGCTGAACGGAACATGTTTAATAACAACGACGAAGATACTTTTGTTGGATGGACTTCTGTAGGCAAAGGTATAGTTTACATTCAGATTCATCGTCGATCTAAAGCAGATCAATGCACAGGATGTATGTTTGCTAACCTATGCCACATTGATACGGTATTTATTCCAGGGGCTCCTTTGCAGCAGATGGAATTGCCTTTGAAAGAATGGGAAGAAACCGACATAGAAATGGAAATTACACATTGTGGTGTTTGTGGTTCAGACATCCATACGTTAGATTCTGGTTGGGGCCCTACTGACTATCCTTGCGTCGTGGGTCACGAAATCGTAGGCATTTGTACACGTGTGGGTAGCCAAGTAAAGCATTTCCACATTGGTGACCGAGTGGGTGTGGGTGCTCAATGTGATTCCTGTGGTGAATGTGAAGAATGTCAACATGGAAATGAAAATATTTGTAAGGATGGTCTTCTTGGTCGTGGAGGAACTTATAACGGATTTTGGAAAACCGGCGACAAGACTTTTGGCGGATATGCCAATAAGTGGAGAGGCAATCATCGCTTCGTCTTCAAGATTCCTTGTAGCATGACGAATGAAATAGCAGCTAGCTTCTTTTGTGCTGGCGTTACTACTTATGCTCCCCTCAGAAAGGCCCATGTTCAAGCCGGTGATCGCGTCGGTGTCATTGGCATTGGTGGTTTAGGTCATTTTGCAATTCAGTGGGTTAAAGCCATGGGTGCTGAACCGGTAGCTATCTCTCACTCCAGTAGAAAGCGTGAGGATGCCAAAGAATTAGGCTGTGAAAAGTATATCGTTTCTGGTGATGTGCAGGAGATGAAGAACAACGCAAATACTCTGACGCATATCATCTGTACAAGCTTTGCTCAGCACTTTGACTGGCCTTCACATCTTAATTTACTACAGAACAATGGTCAATTCATTATGGTCGCCATTCCTGAAGTGCCACTAGCTGGTATTTCGCCTTTACTTTTGGCTGGCAAGCAAATCAGTTTATCCGGTTCTATCATTGGTTCTCCCCGTATGATTGAAGATATGTTGCGATTCGCAGCTATTCATAGCGAAGTCAAGCCCTGGATTAACAAATATTCACTGAAGAACTGTAATGCAGCTGTGCAAGCTCTCAGAGACGGGAAAGCCAGATACCGTATCGTACTGGAAAACGATGCTTAAGTCTGTGTCTCCTTTCACCTTTTTACTCGACCCACCCTCCCCAGCATTTTGTATTTATAGTGTAGTATAATGAACATATTATCTTAATTTGACGAGAAAAGTTAATCTTCTTTGTGTAATTCATACAGCCCAATCTGGTTTTCGTTTGCCAAAACTGTAGGTTCTTTTCCAATTCATGGACCTTGTGATTAAAACTTAATTTTACCATTCCCAAAATAGGAAAACATTGTCGTACTATTGTCATTCTTCTTATGCATTGAGTATATAAGTAAAGAAAACCGCTGTCTATTCATAGAGATAATAGACCGATCTGAAGAATAACAAGAAATCATAGGAACTAAGTTTTTTGGACAATAATGGCGGGTGAACAATGATCTATGCTGTCCATAAGCATTATTTCTACATTGACTACTATCAACAACGTAACGGTAGTGCGTGTGCAATCTTTACGGTTCTTTTTGTCAAATACAATCTGGCACGGGATTGAAACTAATAAGGGAATTTATTGTACATTTACCTACTTTTTACGTCGTTTAGGTCATTGTTACAAAGTGAGTAAAAGTTTAAGTATGACTGTTTTACATTCAACTTCAAGATAGAACAAATTATTTTCGTTATTGGGATAATAAATTAGCGAAATTGTATTATTATTATGAGCGGATATGAATAACGTTATATTGTAATAAAAAAAAAAAAAAAGACATAGTATTCAGTAAATCATACAGACAGTATTGTATTACTTTAAATTATCCAAGCCAACACTTTCTTCCAGCGAGGTATGTGTTTGTCCTCTTCATTGTCTTTTTCAATGTCTAAACGAGTAACACGACCTGTTTCAAAGTCTACAATTTAAAGAGATGAAAGAAAAAAGCAAAAAAGAGATAGATTAGAGATTGTGTGTTCTCTTTGAATCATCGTTTTTAAAACAAGCAGATAATAGCCATCTTTACCAACTTCTTCCAGTGGAACAACTTTGCTCTTGGTCCAAAGCTTGTGAATAACATAACATAACACAAATGGAACAATACCGATGTAATTGGTAACAAAAGTAATAGGCTTAAATTCAGGAGTGAAAGCCTTGTAACCTTGGCCAAGAATAATCAAAATACAAAGGATGCAGGCAAAAAGACCACTGAAAGGATAACCCATCGCTTTGTAGGGAAGCTCATCAATGCTCCTGCCTTGTCGAATATAGGCACGACGGAAACGTATATGAATACCAGCGATGCCGGCCCAGCTGATGAAACCGGTCACAGCAGTGATACTCAAAAACCAAATGAAGGCCTCTTCAGCACTATAAATAGATACAAAGACACAAGCAAAACCAGTGATGGACGAAAACAATACAGCCCTATCATTTGAAGTGCGAAAACAGGTGGGGTAAGCACAAGAACAACGCGTGAGAACTTTTCTAAGAAAAAACCAGCGCTCTCTTTTCAAGCTTACCAGAAAGGAGCACCGAACCGATTCACGCGACCCAGAAAAGCAGGAGCGTTGTTATCTCTCGACAAACCCAATAGAGTACGAGAAGTGGTATACATAGAAGAGTTACAAGCAGACAAAACACTGGTTAAAACCACAGCATTAATAACATGTGCACCCGCTTCAATTCCAGCCACTTTAAACACCAAAGTGAAAGAAGCAGTACCAGGTCCACCATCACCATTCTGCAAATCTTCATTGTTGAAAGGCAGACACATACCAATCAGAAAGATTGTAAGGACGTAGAAAATAAGGATACGCCAGAAAGTATTGCGAATAGCGCGAGGCACTGTCTTTGTGGGATTTTTGGCTTCACCAGCAGTGATACCAACTATAATTATTGTGATTCAAAAATTTAAAAAAAACCATTAGCCAAGAATTACAAATTATGTAAGCTCGATTCAATATTACCAATTTCCGTTCCTTGAAAAGAGAAACCAGCAGATAGAAGGACGCTCACTGTTCCAACAGCACCATTATTGAAAGCACCGGGGTTCTTCCAATATCTGAGGGGAAAAAAAAAACAATTTAGTAACAGCCATCATCCTGGATAGAATGTGTGTGTATGTCTGATTAGTAGTTGCTGTATTTAGTATTGTTGCAACTTACTCAAAACCAATTGTGTGGCCACCAATAGCACCCGCCGTAGCGAGAATAGCAATAATCACAAAGACAATGACAATAAGAATCTTGATTAAAGCAAACCAATACTCCATCTCACCATAAATTCTAACGCCCAAGAAGTTAATGGCAATCATGAGAACAAGGAAAATGATGGACCAGGCAGCATCAGGCATCACTTCCTTCCAATATTTGATAATCGTTGCAGCAGCGGCGAGTTCTGTTGAAATTGTCACAGCCTAATGTCCCAGGAATAAACGGAAAAAGAGAAAAAGAGCAGAGTCAGAGCCATTGGACACTCAAAGTTACGCAATAACAATGAAGGACGGGAACCTACCCACTATAATTCCAAGAGATTGATGAATAGTGATACGAAATACGTAAAGAGAAAAGAGAGAAGGATAAGTTTCAATAAGGTGATAGTCACTCTATGTACAAAAAAACTTGGGTCGAGTTGAATGAATTTGACTTACAGAAAACCTATGCTCAAAACAAATGATGAGTAAGAGCTTGCTTTTATGTAGAACAAACTAAATCTATTATAATGATATTTGCTTACCAGTAGTTCCAACCTAAAGCAAAACCTAATGAAGGATCAACAAATCGTGTAGCATAGTGGTTGAATGAGCCAGATACTGTGTTAATGTAGTGAGATAAACTAAATGAGAATAGGTGATAAAAAAGAGAGATGTGTGCCTAATTATTATATATACCGGGCATGAAAGTAGCCATTTCCCCAAGACATGTCATGATACAGTACACCTATATTGTCGAAACAGACGTCGTAATATTATTATACGGATAATCATATTTTCTGTAATTGTTGTTTGCATACCATGAAGCCAACTAGACAGTAAAAAATGATGTATGGTTGATATTAGTAAGTTAAGATAACAGTTTCTGATTTTTTCTATGTTTCATTTCTAATATTTACCAACACAATAGGCAATCAAAGCACCAGCAGGTCCAGCCTATTATAAGACAATAAGGGTTGATAATATCGTCAGTAAAAGCAAAGAGAGAAGTCAAGACAGTGTTGAGTGATCTTATTCCTTACTTCAGCAATATTACTGCCTGAATTCAAAAAGAGACCAGTACTTTTTTTTTGTTTTAATTGAAGGATAGACAGTGGCAGTTAGAAATGATGAATCTTATCGCTCATTTTGAACGAGCAATCATAAAAAAATAACTGAACATATACCCAATGGCACCACCCAAAGATATCATTTGAATATGTCTGGCAGTTAAGCCACGGACAGTGCCCGACTGAAGTTCATTAGCTTCTTCCTCATTTAAATTCTGAGAGATATAAGAAGGTGGGCTTGCTTTTTCATGATCTTGAATCTCTTGAGACTCGTGATAATAATTGCCAGCAGATTCTGGCTGCTGAAACTCTTTTGAAGCCTTATTTAGAAGCATTCAAATGATTGGCAATGGTGATTTTTGATCTGCCCGCTATTAGTATTAGTTGAGAACAATGGTCAAAGAACCAAAGAGAAATAAAAAAACAAAAAGAGAATGAAAGAGAAGAGAGTGTGATCATTTAACAAATATTTCCGTTTCTTCATAAAGCAGTTGGCGTAGGTAAATCAAAAAAAAAAAAGAAAACAAAAAAAAAACAACCTCAATTTAGCAAGCATTACACAGAGGGTGCTATGGAAGGAAAAGATAGGCGGGTTGCACAATTGTGCGAACCCAAACCGAGGCAAAAACGGTTATCTCTTCTTCTGATTGGAAAACAGTGCATTCATGGAAGCCAAGATTCTTTCTTGATTGGTTTCCATTATAAGGCCTTTTACAATGATCTCGTCGAGGAGCATGTGGACCTTTTCAAGGTTGAACACAAGATCGAGTTCCGTCTAACATTAGAAAATGAAGAAATGAAATACATCCATTTAGGTAAGATTCATATTGTGTGGTTGCCTTCCCGACACGTTGAACTACGCTTTTACCACATTATCAAAAAATTGATTCAAGCATTCTACAGCCAAACATAGTTTTGTTTCGAGATAACGATCAGTTTCTAATTGTTTCGAATATTCTCGATAATCCTTTTGTTCTCTTTACCTGTGAAGGTTTGGATGAGTTCAAGATAGGCAAACTCGTTCTAAAGAGAAAAAAAAAAAAAAAACCAAGAGAAATTTGTCAAATCAAAGAAGATTGTTGATCGCGCTATTTCCATTTACATCCTCAGAGTCGCAACTGATGATAAAATACAACGAAGCATAAGCACGGTAGACTATTTTAATGCTAGATCTCGTCAATCTTCCCTTCTTCGTAACTATCGCACCCCTATCTTTTCTTCAGTTTGCCCATTTTTACCTATTTTACTATCGTTCCAAGGAAAGAAAAGTGTCTGTTCTGTGCAAAGTTAGTCACACACACGCACACAAACACACACATACGCGCACACACACAAAAGAAGTACAGTGAAGATGATAACTTGATATTTCTTGTTCATCCTGCTATATACCTGATTCTGCTTTCTTATAATACACCGTCTGACGATATCGAGCTCATTAGCTGATCTATTTTCTTCATTATCGTTGTTGTAATATTTGGCAAATCTTGTTCTGCAAGATCGGTTCACGATGAGAAAAAAGTGAATCATGAAAAAAAAGAAAGATGCAGACAGAGAAAGAAAAAGGAGATAATTATGCGAGATAAAATTAGGCTGGTGAAAGGTACATGGGTAGAGATCATTCAGCCGATAGCACGTGATATAGTAGTCCTGCTTATTGAAGCCTATCGATAATGAGTGCCTTCCCTTTTTTGTGAATCTAAGGAATTAGTATTTTTTATTTGCAGGATAATTCTATTGATATGATTATCTATTAAAGTATATTTATTACTAAAGACTATATCAAGTCTTTCTTTTTTTTTTTTTTTTTTTTTTTTTTTTTTTTTTTTTAGGTGAGTTTTCTGCCGAAAAGACTATCTAAATTAAGAGGTACAATCTATATTGGTACAAAAGGAGGGATGTTGAGAAAGTATATACAATTGATTGAATCGTGATGAGGGTGATGATGAAGTTGGCAAGAATGTTGACGTCAACAAGGAGGACGATTTTTTTTAACAGACAAGGTTTGTAAGTAGCATATTTTCCAATGTCAGCGCATCAGCTGTTGAATATAAGCTATTTCTACACTCATTTTCACTGAATCCTAATGAGTACGTATCCCAGACAAGTATGGGATTCCGTCTATTGGGAGATACGGCAGATACGGCAGATACTGAGCTCTTGATGATATTGGCGAAGGCCAAACTACGTCCATAATTGGATGCGCCTGATTTAACGCTGGCATACTGCGTTGTTTTAACAATAATCGGCTGTGAAGGATAGATGGTATTTGCAATGTAGAATAAGAAGGCATAGTATGACTGTGCAAATTCTTCTGGATTCTGTCTAGCCATGGACAAATCTTCATTGCCTACGCCAATGACCACAATATCAGCCAATGGTAGTTCTCGAGCTTTGCCGATCATATCTCCAGCCCATTGTTGGAAAGATTGGGCTATTTGTGTATCGATACTTCCAAAATGGACAGCTGTGCTGTTTTGGTTCAAAAGGAATGGCGTATTCACATCGACGGTTGATATTGCTGCTCCTTCAAACAAATTTCCGTCGTTACAAGCATCATTCAGGTTACTGACGGTTGTATCGGCCATCAAGCTTTCCAAATTTCTGTTTGATAACTAACTGTTAGAAAAAAAAAGAGGTTCTCTATAGACATGGATATTCTTTTGTTTTCTTTCTTTTCTCACCTTTGCAAATGTTTATCGCCCCACATATGAATCGTCTTCTTCAATAAACAGTTCGCTCCTTCTTGATCGATTTTACAATTGGGAACAAACGTATAGTTACTGTTCGTCATAGAAAAGCTCTGTAACTTTTGAGCCGTCTTCCAATCGTACTGTTTCTTTCCTCTACTATTTATCCAAACACTACTTTCCAATGATGTTTGCTCGTTCGAAGCAACATTGTTACGGATGTTGCAAATTTCTTGCTTGCTATCACTGGCACCTTGTTGTGGTTTGCTTGTCTTTTTGTCTACAATCAACAGATTTTTAGATAGAAATTGTATAGGCGAGTAGGCGTGGAAGGAGGGCTGCTCCCAGAAATAAGATCGATATTCCAACTTTGCATTCAAATGATAGACGCCAGAATGCGTGAATCGAGCAGACGCAAAATAGATATTGCGCTCTTTCTCATGTGCTTTTAACGTGAGTGGCATTTTTACACCCTCAGTATCACTCTGCGCTGTCAAAATAATCGAATCAGCTGGAGCATAATGAACGACATGTTTGATCGCTCCTGCTGCTGGTATAGGTCCTGTCTGGGTTTCAAAAGGAGAAGGAGTTCATTCATGAGAATGGATTACTAAAACCGTATTTAGAGTGTAGATCTTTTTTTTTTTTTTCTTTTTTTTTTACCATAGCAACAACACAGACGGATTCGCCTTCTGTAATCTTGACATTTTTTCGAGTAAATTTTCCGTCTGTACGCATAAACATGACTTTGGATTCCCAGCCATCCCAAAATTGTCTGTCATTAATTCTGTTCAAATATAATTATATGCAACTGTAAATTTAATATAAAGATTATATTGCTCGGATGAACGTTTTTTCCTTTCATTCTCTTTTTTTTTTTTTTTTTTTTTTTTTTTTTGCCCATCTGTCTGTCCCTTTCACTCACTCTTGATTGTTTCTATAATACATACAACCAATGAAAATCTACGTTTTCACATGCTGGTGATATTTCCATTTCAAGAGCAGGTGGAATAGGCAACACTGATTTTTGCGGTAATTTGTCGGTGGCTGCCTCTTTCACAGTTTGCTGTATCATCGGTTCAAAATAGGGCTGCTGTTGCTGCGGGATGGTTGGTGTTGCTCTAAGAGACTGAATAAATTTGATTGCACCTAGTGTTCCTACAAGAAGGAGAATGATAGTCAAAGGCGATGGTGACCTTTTCCTAGGCGAGGCTGCGTACAGAACAGGTTCTCCTTTAGTCAGCATTTCTCTTTTATTAATCGAAAATCGTTTAAGAAAAGACGTTGAAATAAAGAAGAATAAATAAATAAATAAAAAAATAAAAAAATAAAAAATAAAAAAGAAAAAAGGGCTTGCAAACACAAAAGAAAAGACGATCCTTTTTTTCAAAAGGAGATAAGAAAGGAAAATTCAGGAGTTCAAAAAAAATTTCAAGAGTGATACGTTTGTAGAAACGTTGGATGTCAGTTATGGTTGCAAAAATTCGCTTTCCGTCAACTGAAAAACTGGGCAATTCGACATTTTTTTATTTTATTCATAAATTACGCTCTGATTTTATTGGCATTTCGTCTCCTATAGACCGTCACAAAATCGGACAAGATCCTGCGAACCTTGATCCAGTGCTGCCCATTGATTGCACTATCGTATAAAAGAAAATTCAAGGTTAAAGGCTGTTTTTCTTTTCTTTCTCTAGTCAAGCTTTCACTTTTACCTTGTATAATTGGCAAGGAAATCTGATTTGCTTTCTACGGAGAGATATTCTTCTGGAATGTTATTCACCACATTCATCATCCATTCTGCTGATTCCTTTGGTAAAAGTTCTGCTAGAGATTTGAATAAAGCTGCTACGTCAGGAATCGAATCTTGATAGTAAAAATCGACTAAACCATCAAAGAGAACTGCTGTAAAACTGGCGCCATATTGCTGAAAAAGTGCAGTAATGACAGGCAGTCTATCAGAAACTTGCAATAATTTACGGTGGAATGTTAATGTAGCACCTAGTGCATGCGGTTCTGTAATAGACAAGACTGCAATGCCTGCCTGAAATATGGTTGCCATTAAAGGGTCTTGTACAAGTGTAGCAGGCGCATTATCTAAGAACGCTGTAATCAGACGGAAATATTCTTCGACGACTAAAATTATAATAAATGCGTATCATTATTAATATCATCGTTATTGTTCGTCGGTTGTCCTTGTTTTGAATGGGACAACATATCACCCCAAACGTGCATGAGCAAAAAGTAAAAATAAAAGTAATCTTAACATACCATCAGGAATATCGTTGATTTGATTTTTCTGCAACACAGAAAACATAGACTGGCTCTGCCTTTTTACAAAGTCAAGACATGGTTGTTCACCATCGCACCTGGCAAATTCACTCACTAATTTCATTGAAACCCAAAGATAGGCACTTAAACCCGTGTTGGCGAACGCATTGACAAGGCGCTCCATTAATTGAGGAAGCAATGATACGAGATGGGCTCCGTAAGAGATAATGAAGCTATTGAAACATTTACAGAGTGGCTCGGAAACCGTAGGAAGCTCGCCAAAGTTCAATAGTGTCTCATCGAACATCGGCCATAATTCGCTAATGAAGGAAATACAAGGATGAGGCTGTCCTAGAGGAACTTGAGGTTTGATAATGTCAAAAAAGACACTTATTTGCTCCAAAAGATCTACGGAAATAGGTTAGAACAACGATAACTGATCATATTTGGCAAAACGGAGCGCGATCTTCAGTTACATTACCTCCAATTTTAACACATTCCTGTTCACTGACAACGTTCTTCCCTTTCGAAACAATGCCGTGCAGTTGTTGGGCAACGGGCAAGCAAAACATTTGTAACGCTTTCAAGACTTCATTTGGCGAGATCACAGCAATGACGTGTGAGACAGCTTCCGTAACTTCTAAAATATCTCTAAAAGGTAGGGATTTGACAACGTTCAAATAGAAGCTATGCAATTGAGCAATGAAGTCGACCATATGCTTCATAGACAGAAAAAATAAAATAGATTACTACATGCTTGTTGATTCATCCCTCATTGCTTTTCGCCCTCTTTACCTCACGACAATCTTTGCATAGATGTTTCAAAGCCAATGCACTAGCTGCTGCCACTTCTTCATTCTGAAAGCCCGCAGAAATAAAGTTAAGCTGGTAGGTGATGTATCGCGGATGGAGCTCTGTCCAAAAAGAATATCGTGAAATAACAAGCGTCGCAGCATAGCGAATTTTGGGATGATCCGGTAATTGCGATAAAAATTCCATAATATGAGGCATCACTTCTTCTTCGTTCTTGGGAACTTCCGAACCCATGACACGCAATGAAAAGATCGGCGCTTCTATTTGCTGCCATGTTGATGCCGGATTATTCAATAAGCTGGTTAATAGGTTCATAGGTTTGATAAGGCATCGCTGCGGTGTCAATATGCGACAGCAGTCTTTCAATGTATCGCCCATTTTATGTCGGAAATCGCGGAAATCGTCCCGTTCCTCTGCTGTCATTGATTCCAAATCGTCTGGATAACGTAAGTGCTCAATCATCACATCCACTAGCACATCATAATACTTCAAGAATTGAGGCGTAGACGCACGGTACGTCTCTGTTTCCAGTAAATTCGTAAGCTCGTACCAGAATTTGAATGTCATAGGGACTATATCTAAATTTTTATAAGCTGAGCATTTCAAAATGCCTTCCACCAAAGTAGAGAACATTTCTGGATGAGCACCTATCAGATTGATATAGGATTCGCCTGCTTCCACAAAAATCCGACAGTAGCCCCTTACGGTATCATCATCTTCCTCATCAATTAATTCCGGCAATTTCAATAATAAATTGCTGAAAAAAGGGTATATTTGTTCGATAATCGATCTACATTCAATGACATCTCTCGTTTCATAGATTATTTCAGAGACAACCTCGACTGCTGTATCAAATAATTCAGGTGATTCCAAAGCTTGGAAAGACAAATTCATGAGTGGTGTGTTGCTGAGTGCCTTGATATCCAACTCTCCAGTACGAATCCAGCTACATAAGCAACTGAATATTTTTTCTTGCATATCCACGTTATTTTCTACCACCCCCAACAACAAATGAAAGAAGAAATCATTAATTAAATAAATTTCGTTTTGTGATGTGCTAATGTGTTATAGTTTCGTTACCACTTGATTGCATATACATAAGTAATAAATTCAATACTTCTTGAGCGTTCTCACTGATTAATTCTTCTACTCTCGTTTTGTATTCAGCATCCTACAATCGCACAAGAGAATTAGCCTTCAAAAAAAAAACTATACCATTGGCAGGCTCTGTCCTATATTTACACTCAATGGCAATCGTGTATTTCCATTCATCTCTTCAGGTAGAATTTTTAACAGTTCAAGCAAACACAGTGGTGTCTTGCCAAACGAATCAACAAAATCTTTCACCACTGTCTTCCACTGCAATAATTGGATAGCTAGATCCACAACAGCTAGGCATAATTGTACTCGTACTGCTCCCGAAGTTGTCATTGATTTTTGCAAAGTCCCAATAAGTGAATCGCGTAGCTGTAAGCGTGCTTCCACATCCAATTCACGTAAATCATAAGTAATCTAGTGTACAAACAAGATAGTTACGGTGAATTCAAAACGTTCTTGAGCTGCCAAAGGTGGAGTATTTCGAAAAGGCCTAATAAAATCCATGTTGTATACCTTTTGCTTAAGGGTTTGAGCAGCAAACAGACGAGTCTCTGTATTCGACTCGGGCGCTCTCAAAAGATAATCAGCTACTGTCCAAGCTTCTGACTGGAGAAAATGTTCAAGATATCATTAGTACAACCGGGCAAAAAAAGTTTTGTCAAGTGCCACATGTTTTTCTAACCAAGAGGGTCGACAGGTACCTTTTTTTGAAAACTTTCCAACCAGCGTGATGCCTCTCTTGTAGCATCACGATTATTCGATCCATATAACGAAGACAATGCTTGAAGTACCAAGTTAACCGATTCTGAAGCCATGAATTGAATAACGATTTTTGATGAAAGAAGAATCGAAAGCTACCAAAAAAAAAAAAAAAATAAAAAAATGAAAAAAGTATATCTTGCTTTTCTCGTACTGAATAAAAGCTGCAACTCTACTTTTTTGAATAAGTCACTCTACTCTAAATTGTTATGCCGCTGCAACCTGCTTGAAAACTGTAAAGTCTCCGTTTGCTCTCAAACTCCTTGTATTTGAGAAAAAAAAAGACTGAAATCCGATCCTTAACAAAATGTCAAGTGAAAGCACCACGAAGGAAAAAACAGATATCGTCATGGAGAATGGTGTCTTAGAACCTGCTAAACGCCTTGAACTTGTCGAGATTGATGACGCTTTCGGTAGCTTGGAAATCAACCCCACTTTAAAAAAAATTGCAGAGACGAATAAAGTCGATGTATCTTGGGACCAACTACGACCCATACTCATTAACCATCTGACAAAGGTTTGTCGTACACAGAACGAATCACTTCTACGATTGAGATCTAATACTATCGCTTTTGTTGTACAGCAAAATGAACTTATGGAGGCTAAGATCGAAGACGAGAATCTGAAGATATTTGTTGATGACTCATTTTTAAGGATTGTACATAGTATAAGCGAGCATTTAGGGTAGGCTTTACTTGTACTCTTTCATAAATGGTATGTACTAGTAGTGCGCCTTTTCTAATGAGACCCTGTTCGATAGCTGTCCTTTCACAATACAGAGATTCTGCGAACTTGTCATACATCCTCAGAGATATTATAAAATGTACATAAAATATTTGCGAGCAGTAGAAAAGGTATACAGATATGTTGATCGTATCAAAATGATATGTCAGTGACACAAACCTCATTCTTTATTTTACTTTTTTTTTTTTTTTCTTTCTGAAAAGATATTACAAGTAACTTCTTACTGGGAAGACTACGATGACACATTTGAGAAGGACGTCGATACTACCATGGAGGAAGCGGATACTTCAACGACCACAGGCACAAGTGAAGGTTTACTATTTTCCATACCCAATGAAATAGAATTGACTCCCATTCCCTTTGAAAGTGGAGAACCAGAAGCAGAAGATCACGAAGGAGAGTCGCCTAGCACAATGGCGATGACTTCAAAAGACCAAAATCAAGGTGAAGAGACTATGGACGCTGTAACGGACGCTGAGAAAGCGAAGTTAGAGGATGACAACAATAAAAACACGGAGAAGGAGGAGGAGTCGAAAACAAGCGATTTGGAGGTAACCGATAGAAAAGAAACAGAAAATGTACAACAGAATAACAACGATAATCAAACGAAGGTTGAGACGAAGGATGCGTTGATTGCAGAAAACAATGACACCACCAATGAAAAAAGTATAATCACTGATATGTAATGAACTAACAAAATAGACGCCCATTTAATTGACCCCCGATTGTAGCTTAGTTATTTAATTACATCTTACACTTTCCGTATCGATCATCCTGTAAATAGAGCAAATGAGTTTAGATTGAACAGAACGTATATACACATACATCTAATAGATGAGAATGATCAAAACGTCACTCGAGCTCTTCCCATACTGAGCAGTTCAGAATTATCAATTTTGGCAATCATGAAGGGGAAAGCCTCAGATCATCAATTTTCTAAATAACAAATATTACAATTCCTGATGATAGTTTAATTTTGTATATAGCAGAGATGGAAACGCTCTTATACTACTAAGCTTTCTTTGCGCTTATTTGTGATGTAGGAAAAACTTTACACAGATCTCGTACTTGATCCATATTTTCGAACAACCTTTCGCCTCAAATGATTGAACAATCAGTTGTTTGGCTACGACATAGTGACAAATTGCAGGCAAGAAGGTATCACAAATGTTATCATTAAATATTTTACTGAGGCTCAAAAGGACAAACATAAGCAGGTTTGAAATAACTTAGCTGAAACTACAATAATGCTTCATCCATCTGCGGTAAAGAAGGCACATAACATTTAAGAGATAGAGCAAACATTTAGTGCAATAAGGAGCCATCGATAAACATAGAGCTTATACTTTCCTGTTCATAACACCCTATATACCAATGTTTATAAGTTGTAATCATTTAATGATTCCTTATTGATAGATCATCTTTACTGTACCTTTTGTCTATTATATACCATATATAAGTATTACTTCCTCGCTTACATTAATGTTATTTTGAGCTATTCGCAGGTGCATAATTATTGGTAAAATAAAAAAGAGTTTTCCGATCAGAACTCCATTCCTTCGGTATACCGTTCAGCAACTTGATGGATTATTTGGAGTTTATTACTGACCTTTCTTTCTCTTTTCTTTCCTTCTTTGGCCTTCACTGTAAAGTTAAGAAACGAGGGCTTATTTGTTTTTCTTTTCTTGTCAAGCATAGTTATTAGCAAAAGTCAGTATGTACATAAAAGTGATAAGGAAAAGCCAAGTATTAGTAGCTAACATAGTTCCTTTATTTCGCTAACAGAATCCGTTGTCACTTGTAATTAAAAATGGAATCAGCAAACATACCTTTGTACTACCGACACCCTTATTCTGGATATCGGTTCGAAGGTAACACCAACCCTTCATTTTACCCTGGAGCAATTTCTACCTTCCCATCTGAGGATACCTTTGACGATGATAATCAGATACCCAGTACCGAAGAGTTTCAAGCCATTATCGATGATTATTTGAGCAATCTTAGTCCTAAAAAAAGAGACAAAGCACTTGTTGATCAGCATCGTTACTATATGATACAACAAGTATTAAAGGATCCGAGAAATACGGCTATATCTACCGCGCAATTTCGTTTTTGGGTCAAAAAGATGTTTCAACTCCAGCCTGGGCCGAATGATGTTGTGTGCCACGATAACAAGCCTGTCGCAATGAAAGAGAATATTTATGACATACTTGTGAAAGCACACAGAGAGGCTCATCACGGCGGACGGGATAAGACTTCAGCATTGGTAAAACAACCTTTTTTTTTAAAAAAGTAACGATAGATGAATCATCAAAGACAAACGCTTACCCTTTATTATTTAGGTACGAAAGCGATATTCTTGGATACCAAAAGAACTGGTTGCCCGTTTCGTTCGTCACTGCCCTTACTGTATCACTCGTCGTAATAGTGGACATAGCCCTAACCTAGCAACATCTCCACATTCAGTACCACAGGCGAGGTACTCCAACAGAAGCAGCTACTGTTTTGATTCTGGCTCGTCCATCATCTACACGCCACCTGCCCTAAAAGAAGATGGCAGTGAACTGTCATCAGGCCCACCTTCTTCAGATGTGAGTTATGAAGTTAGTCCAAATTATGTATCTATATCAACTACCTCATCCCCGAAAGAGTCCTGCTATTATTCCATGCATACAAAAGAAGATGACAGTCAAGTTTTGATAGGCTGCCACAATGACCATTCATTTCAGTCTGCAGCATTTGATATGAATAATTCTACCATTTATTTAGAACTGCAGCAACATCAGCGACATGAACAACCTTATTCACTAAATATGCATCCAAACACAATACATCCATTAGGCCAACAAGGTCCACATTCTTATCCGCAAACACCCTTAGTCTATACCCCATCACAAAGGCACCTCTCTCATGGTTACCAAGACTATTACGCACCGGCAACAACAGCATCCGATTATTACTGTAACGGATTAGGTATCACTCATCATTATCATGGAAACTCATCCCTTTCGTCTTCTGAAACTACTTCTATTCATGCCAATACAGCACCGAATACAACTACCGTGCATCCTACCGGTCTAACAACAGACAATGTTGCCGCTGAAGTTGCCGCGGCTGCATTTATGCATTCCGCAACAAATATGGCAAATGCAGGCTTATTATCATCCAACTCTACCACATCCCATGACCGACCGTCTTATGTTACATCCAGCTTACCTTCCGCTACAACAACTTATCATTTCTATAATACGATCGATAACGTTCCTGATGCTGCCATAACTGACGAATTTGGAAGATATCATCATCCTTTAGACTCAAACTACACTAACTGAATAGTGCATCAGTGCACTTCGATAATGGCTATTCCTTTTACACAACTTTGACCATCCATATAAATTTATTATCAGTAAATTGACACTATCCAGCAAATGAAAAAAAAAAAGACTTACTGGAGTAATAGTAGTAGAACGACAAACTACAAAAAAAAAAAAAAAAATACCAATTTCAATCTTTACTTTATGCCGAAGATAACACTAATTTTACTTACTTTATAAGATGACGTAGCGAAATCACTAGTTTTCTTCTTCTTTGCTTTACAGCTATATGCTTTCTTCCTCACTCTTTTATTGTTTTCTTATTTACTTTTATTTTTTAAGTATGGTTATCCTTTGACATAACAATTTAAGCTATACTTTCCTTTACTCTTTATCTGGCACAAAATTTCAACTTATCAGCAGCGCAGTTGACAAAAGAAAAAAAAAAATAAAAAGAAAAGATTCAACCGAATAAAACCCAATTGACCTAACATTATACACTTGCACCATAGCACTGTCGAATGTACATTCTGAAACATTTAAGAACTATAAAATGATGTACATTATATACAGAGCTTTTAATTCTATAACTTTTAAGTATATTATCTACCACTTCGAGATGTTCTACATAGCCGTTTCAAACTGTTCCTGCTCAATACAGAAAGAACCGCTAACCGAGTCAATTCAAATGCAGTCATCAATACTATGATCCAAAAGATAAACCACCCGATAACGCTACTCTGCACCCGTAATATTTCAGGATGACAAAAAGTTCCTTGAAAGCTGTACATGCCCTTGTAATTATCATAAAACATACCAAAATAATCGCCTAGATACATCAAAGGCTCTAAGGCCTTGAATGAGGCTGGTGAGTCCACATAGGCACGAGGCCGCGTACCAGCTGGATCAAATAAGAAGGAAGTACGCCTGTTCCTAATTTCATTCAAAATGGCTGCTTTTGTCATAGAAGGCGTGTTGACGGTTAGCCAGACTTGAGCACCCACTGAGGGGTGATGTAGATCCATGCCTACCATTTGTATAAGATTGTGTTGCAGTGTCGCTTGATAAGATGCCAGATCGAATGTTTCTTGATTAATAACCTCGAAGCCGTCCACTCCCCAACTGATCAGCTGTTCAATGCTAGGATGGTTAGGCAAGCGAGGCAGCTGGTAGCCGGCTTCAGTAGTATTGCTCCATGGAATATGATTCACAATAACAAGACCGCCCAATTCGTGTACTTTATCAATCACATTTTGCAACTCTTCATCTGTAGGAAACGGACCTGTCGTTTTAATCGTTTGATTTATGCCAATCAAATTCATGTGGATCCTGCAGCAGCTGTGTTATAAAGGAGTGTTTCAGTGTTACAATTGAAAGAAAACTTAGCATGAACAGTTTGACAGTAATTTACGTATATTCCATGCCTGGAATGACCACAATGGTATCATTATATTCTCTGATTGCTAATTTTTCCGCCGCCAGTCCACCTTCGATTGTATTGTGGTCACTATATACATAATGTGATTGAAACCGTTTGAATAAATGAAACAAGAGATTGACAGTAAAGGGTGTTCTTTACTTACGTGACCATAACTGCATTATATCCATTTGCTTTACAATCAAATTTAAATAAGCAAGTTAAAAAATTCTCCTACTCTTTGAACAGAAAAACAAAAAAAAAAAAAAAAAAAAGAAATGGATAACTTTACCAATATGCCAATTTAAAAGTTGTCGCACATTCATTTTGCCGTCACTATAGGTCGAATGAGAATGTCCATCCAATAAGACATTGTATTCGAATGAAGCATTGTACGGCTTGAGGTAATCTCTGGGATTGATCTGCCAATCGAAAGTTAGATTAGAAAAGTCTTCAGGCTTCGGTAATCCGTCTGTATATCTCAGACCCAAGCCGATGGCAATAAGAACTCCAATAATGACGATAAGTGTGATAATACGGTATAATAATCCTCTAAAATAGTCAAAGTGCTTGCAAAAAAACAGTGATAGGCGTTGCCTGAATGGAAATCTGGTGGTCGTCCTATTATTGGTATGGCTAACATAGTTGCTATTATTGTTGAACAAGTTTCTTTGCTGTAGTGAGGATGTACTTGATTTATCGAGATTGGTTAGCGGCTCATAATGACTGTTTTTCATGTCTTCCTCTGCCGTTGCCTCTATTGACTCAGTTACTGGAAGAGAGGAAGTTCTTTCATTTTGGTTTTCCATGTATTTATGGAGAGTAATTTCTGAGATGAAAAATAAAAAACCCTACAACAAAGAAAGAGAGAAGCTCGCAAGATATGGCCAAACAGGATATTATTGTATGCTGAAAAGTTTAAATCTACGGAAGATAAAACAGTTTGACAAGTATTAGTGTAGAACTATACTTCGGCAAATAAGCCATGATTTGGAATCTGGTTGAAAAAGCATTTCTAACCATATTTCACATCTGCTTTTTAATGTAGCATCGCAGCCTACAGAGTAAGAAGCACTGTATCATCACTGAATGAGATGAAAAAGCTAGGAAAGGAAGAATATACATTCTAAGTGTGTGTAAGCTTGCAGTGCAATGATGGTTAGACTTTCTGGCAATTTTTAGGTACTACCATCCTTTTTAAGGCAAAAGATAAGGAATTAAAAAGATTACATAAAGAAGGATCTGATTAAATTGGAGATCGGCTCCAACGATTGGCTTTAGGTTAACATCCGCATTTAACCGTTGTGTTGTTTTGTGATGCGTGTGGGTGTGGGGGAGGAGACTCCAGCCCAAACTGACTCATAAATATACACGGGTATCATAGTCTATTTCTACCCCAGTTCTCACTCTTTCTTTCTGTTTACCACTTGTTAATTTTGAATTAATGCTAGCCTTTCAACCCATTGCACGTCAAGCAGCTGTTAACACTGGTCGTGCTAGTGCCTTTACTTTAGCTAATATCTCTACCAGAATGAAGGCTCAATACTCTACTCAGTCTCGCATTACAGTAGCCAATCCTGTCGTTGAACTCGATGGCGATGAAATGACTCGAGTCATTTGGGCCGACATTAAGTACAAACTCATTTTACCATATGTCGATTTGGATATAAAATATTTCGACTTGGGCATGGAACACCGTGATAAAGTAAAAATACAATTTTTTTCTGGGGAAAAGCTTCTATTAGCTGGACTAAATTTTGCTCAGTGAAGTCATTAATCTGGTTTTTTTTTTCCAATTTATAAGACGGATGATAATGTTACTGTGGAAGCTGCTGAGGCTATAAAGAAATATAACGTGGGCATTAAATGTGCAACCATCACACCAGATGAGGCTCGCGTCAAAGGTGAATAATAACAGATTGAAAAAAAAAAAAGAAAACTGAAGGGGTTTTTGCGTTATTAATAAGCTTGAAACCTACGCTGAATTAGAATTCAATCTCAAGCAAATGTGGAAATCTCCCAACGGCACTATTCGTAACATTTTGAATGGTACTGTCTTCCGTGAACCCATCATTTTGAATAACATTCCACGTATTGTACCTGGTTGGACAGAGCCTATTGTAATTGGACGTCATGCCTTTGGTGATCAGGTAAAGTATTTTGACAAATGATTTGACAGACTACAGAAAACCATTTGGATTAAAAACGAAACTTAAACTCTAATTTTCTCTGCATAGTATCGCTCTACTGATTTTGTTACTAACCAGGCGGGAAAATTTGAAATGGTTTTTACTCCTAAAGATGGCTCTGAAGCTCAGAAATGGACAGTTTTCGACTTTCCAGAGAATGGTGGTGTCGGTATGGCCATGTATAATACTAATGATTCTATTGAAGGATTCGCCCACAGCTGTTTCCAAATGGCTCTTACCAAAAAAATGCCTCTTTATCTAAGCACAAAGAACACAATTTTGAAGAAATATGATGGAAGATTTAAAGATATTTTCCAACAAATTTACGAAGCCACCTATCAGAAAGATTTTGAAGAGAAGGGCTTGTGGTATGAGCATCGATTGATTGATGACATGGTAGCTCAAGCCCTTAAATCAAAAGGTGGATTCGTATGGGCATGTAAGAATTATGACGGTGATGTTCAATCAGATATCGTAGCTCAAGGCTATGGCTCTTTGGGGCTGATGACTTCTGTTTTAATCACCCCTGATGGTAAAACAATGGAAGCAGAAGCAGCTCATGGTACAGTCACTAGACATTATCGTGAATATCAAAAGGTAAAGCTGTAGAACTCTTATCTCTTGTTTATCTAGCTAACCCTGCACTTGTGTGTAATTTTTGCGGTCTATTCTAGGGTAATCCCACATCTACAAACCCTATCGCATCTATTTTCGCTTGGACTAGAGGCTTAGGTCATCGTGCAGCTCTTGACGATAACAAACAGTTGAAGAAGTTTTCCTCTGATCTTGAAAGGGCTTGCATTGATGCTGTTCAGAGGGATAACGTAATGACGAAAGATCTAGCATTAGCTATTCATGGCAGAAAGTTAGTATTCAAGAAACATACCTAAGTATACAGTTAAATTGTATTCTTAACTTTTTCCTTTTTTTTTTGTTCAAATCTCTGTAGTCTAAAGCCTGAGCATTATGTTACTACTGGTGACTACATGAAGCGCGTTAAAGAAAACCTTGAACAATTGAGATCTGCTTAATTAATTGTATCCTGGAGGCACAATAGTTCACCTGTAAATCATTCTCTGAATTATACAAGATAAGAAATAAAAGCTTACGAGTTCCAACTTTGAAATGAAAATTTCGAATATATTGCCTCAATGAATCGCTACTTGTAGATGGTTACTACAGCAACAATAACAAGTATGCCTTTGAGCTCTTTTTTGACGTTTTTATTTTTTATATGTCATTTCCAAGACTGTCAGGCTTGAACTGATTAAATGCATATACTGCCTCTGGAAAATTTAAAAAATAGAGGAAGAGATCAGAGTAATGCTCAAATGCAAAAGACAGACTGATAAAGTTTAAGGTTGTTTAATTCTGAAGGTTGCAGCGAGAGATAGATAAAAAATTTACGTGATACATATTCTTTGACGCCTGCTTAGTGGTATACCAAGAGGAACTCATTTATAAATTAAAAATGGTTTTCTTAATTTCTTTCCTTTTTTTTCCTGATTTTCGGGTACATTCAAACCGATTTTCTTTGTACATTAGCACTTCTTCTTATACATGTCTTCTGCTCAAAGTTCATTTCCTAACACAGAACGAAGCTCCTTATTACATTTCGATCCACAAATCAATAGAAATTATCATACGTTGACAGATCAACAGCCACAAAAAAATGATTGTTCGGATGAAAATTATACAACAACTACTGTAGATGAAGGCTGTAATGATAATCCAACGCATTCAGCTAATGTATCTATCGCTTCAACCTTAAACGACGGCGGCAATCGACAATCTTCGAAACGGTTAGAAAGCATAGCACATTCTATATTTTCACATAATTTCTGGCAAGAAATGTTACAAAATTTACAAAAGTGCTCCACCTCCATCTATTTGGAAAATAAGGGCAGTGTGGCTAGGGATCATTTAGGTAATACAATTTATACAACAGGCATAAGTTAAGCATTTTATCAATCCCTGGAGTTATTGCTCAATATATTATGGTTATAACGTAATATATGAATAGCGAATGAACGAACTTATTTGGCCTGGGTACGTACAAGTTTATCCACCGTTTCTGTGGGAATAGGTAAATAAGATATAATAAGCACAAGTAACGGATAGATTATGGTTTGTAAATTCTAACTCTATATAATCTGTACCTTTTTTTTTTTCTTACTTTCAGGTCTCACACAATTATTTCGCCTTGAAAAATCAGCAACACCAGATTCAGATGAGCAACCGCTTCTGGTCACGGGTCAAATGATTGGGTTTCTCTTCATCATTATCAGTATGGTTTTCTTAATTTTCGCTTTTCTACGATTTTTTCATGCACAAGTAGCCATGATGAAAGGATTTTTCCCTGCGACCCGGTCTACAGTAATGGCAGCGTCATGCATACTCTTCCTAACCATGTTTGGTATGCTTATTATAGTTGTTAAACAATCATGTTAGGCTTTCATCCAGAGCTCCCCATACTTTTTCCAAGAGTATAAATTGTATACCCATTTTCTTGCTTTTCAAATGCTATTCTTCTCAATGAAAATATCTCACTTTACGTCATTATTTAACGACACTACATTATTTATTCAAACCATATTTTGAATACATATAGATTATTGACTTAACGTTTAATTTTGATGCTGTATATAAGAAATTGTAATACTTATACATTTTGTATCAAAATATTCGACAGCCTGCTTATACGATGTAAAATCAGAGAATGAATCTCTCCCAAAAGCGTAGAAAATTGCTAGTCTAAACTTGAAAAGTGATAGGTTTATCATAGAAGCTAACAAATCCTGCATATGTACTTTAGAATATCTGGTTTGGATATAAATGTGAAGTAAAAGGACATTTTTGAGGTTCCTACAAAGATATGATCCTTTTATCAACCTTTAACTCATCTTTTAGCTTTAACGTGCATCGTCATGAATTGTTACAGTAATATGCTTAAATAAACTTTAACGACATTTGACATTGTGTTCACTGGCTCTTTACCCTTTTTAAAGGAATCAGGCATAAAATTTCCTACATTCGTTAAGAAAATCTTGTAAAGTTACAAGATAAGTTCCATCGAGCAGCCTGATGGCTTTCATTGGTGAATAATGCTAACACTATCAAACCAAACGAAGGCAGTGAATATAATTTCGCAACTTAATTTTCAAGATCGATATCAGTTATTTCTTGATGACCGAATGAAGGCCTTATTTTATTCTCTGCTCGTTTGACCTAATCTTTGCTTCTGGTATATTTAATGCACTTGTTTCTTTAAATACAACACCGTGCAAATTCACTATATCGTAACTTTCTACTTCAAAGAAAGGACAGAAAATAAATAGAATGTTATTCAGACTCGAATAGCTACATCATTTATACGCCTGTCTATAAGAAACACAGAAGGATTGGTTTTCCATTTGCCGCAGTGTACTCACATGTAATTACTATTTGTACATAATGCTATCTGTAAAAATACTTATGCAACTATTAGAAAGGAGCGTTGCCTCCCTTTAACTTTCGTCCCAGTTAAAAAAAAAGAAAAAAGAAAAAAGGTTAAAAGATACAAATGCACACTTTCAAAACAACCTATTAATGCAAAATAGACGAGTCTTTTTAAAGCCTTACTTTGAGTCACAGACATGCATGCAAGTGGCATGCATTATCTGTGGCATATAGATAGTTTATATATATGGAAATACATACGCAAGTCCATTAGAAAATTATATATTAAAGAAACTATAAATTTGTATATGAGCAAAACAATTACATTAGAAGATAAGCATCATATAATAACTATTAAGAATAACCAATATCAATATATGTCAGCCCTATTCTGTTGGCTCTCTGATAGGTTCATCAGTAGGAGGTGTTGGTTGAGAGGAATCTCCGCCGCCATCAGCAGGTGGTGAGGGTTGAGAAGAATCTTCGCCGCCCTCAACTGGTGTATCATTGGTAGGTTCGGCACCGTTGTTTGTAGTAGTAGTGTTAGGTACAGCTTGATCTGTAGTTGTAGGCGTATTGGTGACAATGACAGTGGGAGCTGTTGCGTCAGTCGTAGGAGTTGGAGTTATTATGGTACTTGTTGGAATGTCACTGATTGTGGGAGTAATAGTACTTGTGGTGTTATTATTGTCAATAGGTATTGTAGCGTTCGTAGAATTAAGGGCAAGAGACGTCGCATACGCAGATGTTTGACATAAGAGAGTGAGCAGATCATCACCTTGATCTGTGATACCAGGGACATTGATGGTGAAGGGAGCATTCTTTTGTGTGTATACCATTTGATCTGTTGAAAATGCATTACCAACAACGACAGAAGCAGTTTGGCTAACGTTGTAATAATAATTGAAGTCGGCAAAAGTAGCAATCAACAAGGGCGCATTTTCAAAGTTGTTGATTAGAACTGGCAAAGGAGCAGTTTGAACAGTTTCCTTAGGGCCGATGGTAAGAGGTGGTGAAAGTTCATAATCAATAGTACCAACAACATAATCAGTGTTTTGATATTGACCAGCAACAGGACAGGTTAAATACTTTGATGTCGAGGCCTTAATATGCTTAATACTGAAAGGTGTATTGAGTGGATTATACAGAGTGATCACTGCATTCGCAGCGCCTGTGGTAAGCATAGCCATAGCGTCACCAGTAACATCAATCTGCTTGATTAGAGAGTCAGTAATTCCATTAATGCTTGTGGAAAGTTTCAATTCGGATAAGCCTTGTTGAATAGGAGCAATGGATGTAGATGAAGAAGAGCCAGAGATTGTCAAAGGTACAGGAGCACCGGTCAAATAATAGTAGAGCATCTTACCAACAGCTTCTATACTTGTAGCTCCTTCAGCTAAATGCATCTCAGAGTTGTAGTTTTGTGCACCGGGTAAGATAGTAAGATCCTTCATATAGGCTTTACCAACAACAGCGTTATATTCATTCATAATGACATCGAAATTGACGTCGCCAATGGAAATAGTGATATTAGAAGGATTATTCAATTGCACGACGAGACTAACAATAATATAACCAGCCGCTGCGCCTGTCACTTCAAGTGATTGGATTTGAGCAGTTCCACCGAAACTATTAAAGCCTGTATGGCGCAAAAGAAAGAAAATGTTTGAGTATTCGAACAGACAAAATGAAAGAGTCTCTAGTAAAACAATTTACCTGCTAACGTTGTATCAACATCGAAAGAGACACCAGGAAGGCTAAGAGTGCCTACAGCAGTATCAGCAATAGCATTAGAAGTACCTTTCAAGCCGAACGTTACCGATGGTGATAATGTCAAGAGCTTGTTGAAACCAGTGAACAATTCATGATTGGCAACCTTGAACGGTATATTAGAAAATGATGTAGTAACAAAACCAGAAGCATCTGTGGAAGCAGGTGAGGTGGGAACATCCAGTGTAGCAACAACACCACCTCCGTAAGTAGCACTGACATCCATATCTAGTTGAGAAACACCAAGAGGGAAACCGAAAGGATTTTTAAGTTGAGCTACAACCTTTGACGAGCTAGTAGATGGTGCCCATTGGTCCTTTGTAAAGTCTAGTGTGAGATCTTTCATTTCAATGGAAGGTATCAAAGTAGGAACGGTAGCAGGACCAGGTAGAATGACGTTTTCAATACTGATCGTCTTGAATGCAGCGCTTAACCAGCTAACAGCACCGTTACTTCCAGAACCAGATACACCTTTAACAGTGAGTGTTGTTGATTGTCCAGCAAGGTAATGACCAAAAACAGTAGTGATGGCTACAATTCCTTCTTTAGTTGTTTGAGGAATAAGACGGCCCTTCATGGTGATTGCAGATGAGCTTTGAGGTGCAAAGTTAGCAGCACCATTGGAAGCAAGCGGGCCAAGAAGGATGTCACCAAAGTAGGATTCGAAAGCCGCACCACCAAGATTGAAGCCAACTTGACCGGGATTGTTAATAATGGTATTTGCAATAAGTGTAATACCACCTGCAGGATCATTTGAAGGCAGATCAAAAGAGGTAATGGTGACAGCGTCCTTGAAACCATTAGAACCCTTCAAAGTGACATATTTGTGAAGCGATACTCCAGTGAAAGTGTAACCAAGAGCAGAGACGCTCACATCATTAGTTGTGATCTCCCATTCAAAAGACTCGTTGTTGATTAAATAAGCAGAGAATGCAGCCATATCATCGCCATTGGCAACAGTGAAGCTTCCTTCCACGGTAAATGTAGCACCAACATCAGCTTTAGAATTGATAGTAGCCATGGAGACAGTACCAAGCGTCTTTCCTTCCCAAGCAATAGTAAGAGGACTAGGGAAACTGATAGTAGCATCCATAGGGCCTGCATTGGCAATACTACCGGACATTTGTACTTTGAAAGATCCTTCAGTAACATCCGATAATACAATGGTGGAGAAACTCAGAACAGAACCGTCAACAATTTGCTGTACAATAGGTTGACCAACAATAGGAATTAATTGAGTAACAGTATCATCAGTAGTGACAACAACATTTGATTGGGAGAAAGCCAAGTCATTGACATATTGGCCAATAGTAATAGTCGAAGATAAAGATAGATCAACACTCAATGCCTTCATGGCATCCTGGACGTATTGAGAGATGTTGAAACCGGCGAAGAGACTAGAATCAGCCTGAACACTTTCTTGACCCTCAATACTAAGGCCACCCAATTGAAGAAGACCATCTAAGGCTCTGGTATCCATGTTTGAAGCGACAGCAAGGTTTCGAAGCAACAAAGCTACAGCAGCAGGGTCGATATTCATGCTCATAAGAAGTTTTTGAGAAGTTCCAAGAGCTTTTCCATTGATAACAAAAGGGTTACTGCTAATATCTTGATCAATATTACCGATAGGCATGCCTTGGAACGTAGCAGATGAAACCACTTTAGAAATACTCAAAGAAGCTGTGAAAGGGTTGCTTATGGTAACAGCGACACCGACCATACCCGTCTGGAGGGTATCAGGAAGAACAGACATGGAAGCACCTTGAATTAAAGCAGTGGTCAACCCAGGAAGGGTGGATGTCAAGCTCACAGCACTCAAAGCCTTGGCAAGTGAGGCAATGTCAGTTGACTCGGCATAGCCTCCGATATCAACAGTATTATCTGAGCCCATCACAAAAGTGCTAAGAATATTTTGACCGACATCCGAAGACTTCGGGTCAAATGAAGAGATAGCACTTACAGTGTTTGAACCGCGGTTCAGTGTTAACTTCGACAAAGTGACAAGACCTAGTTTTGTTCCGCTAGCACCCATCTCAAAGCTGACGTCGCCAGTAGTAATGCTGAAATCTGAAGGATTGTCCATAGTGACGTTGATAACAAGAGTTAAGCCAGCTTCAGTACCACCCGTAACGTCTAAAGAGTTGATAACTGTAGGAGTGCTATTCAAGAATTGTAAACCGTGCAATGTAGTAGGAACAGTAAAGTTGATACCGCCTAGCGTTATTGGGCCGATGGGAGTGTTAGCTTTGGTGGTAGCAAGGCCAGAGATCATAAAGGTATAGTTATTATTTGCAGTCAAGGCATAGGTATATTGATTATAAGTAGCTTCCTTTCCAGGGATACCGGCAATGGCAGTATTATTCAAACCAAATATAATAGTGCCGTCTTGCTGATTACTGACAGCATGAACAAATGGGGTCTGCATGACAGCAAAACTTTCAGTTTGCTCACCAGTGGTATTGATAGCGAGCGTAATATTTTGAGATACTTCCGTAACGTTTAATGAGAATCCAAACGGCATTTGGAAATTGGCAGTTACAGCGGGGGCATTGGCAATAGGTGAGTAAGGCGTTGCTGAATCAAACTTTAAATCAAGATAACCCATGCTAACGCCGTTAATGATCTTCAATGGAGCAGCTGCTTTTAAGCCAACGTTTAAATTCACAGTTTTAAAACCTTCAGAAAGCCAACTGATAGGATTAACGCCATCAGGAGCACAGGTCAGGCCCACAGCAGTTGTATTTGAGACTTTACCAGCAACATAATTAGAAAAGAGAGTGCCTATTTTTTCCAAAGATGCTGTATCATTTTGAGGAGCAAGTCTGCCCTTGAGGAGAATATTGTTTTCACCCTTGGCAAGGTTTACACCTGTACCAGATACGATACCTAGAGGTACACCATCATAGCCTATAGCCAAAGTTATGGTACCCAATTGAACACCGATAGGCGATGGACTTTCGAGAATAGTTCCTAATTCGACAGAGATACCACCAGCAGGGTCATCACCAGGAAGATTGAAGGAGCTGATTTTAACATTTGGGAAACCATTCATACCTAAATTTGGAAGGTATAACACAATTATTAGTAACGGTTTTGGAAAGCAGTTTTAAGCTGTAGGAGTAACCAATGGTCTTGCATTACTTACCATTTAAAACAATTTCTTTGTTCAGGTTAACTGTGGCAGTTCTATTTGAGTACAAAATTTATGTGAGAAAAAAAATTTCTGCGCGTGAAAATTAAAGTCTCCATATTTACCTAGTGAGGGCTGTAATGTCAAGCTGACCTTTGAGTGTCCATTTGAATTCATCGACAGCCAACATAGTTTTCGCAAAGGTAGCAAAAGCAGCCTGGTCTCTAATCAAGAATGGAGTGACAGCATTCAGGCTACCATGACCTCCAGCAACTTTGGTTTCATTGAAAATGAACATATCACCAAGATAAGTCTCGTTATAGTAAACTTGAACTGGATTATGAAACTTAATTTTTGCTGAGAATGGACCAGTATGTGACAAGGAGCTTTCCATGTTCATATAGAATGTAGAGTTCATATCGTCACCATCGCGTTTAGCATAAACAGTGTTTGTGAGGGAGTCAGGTTTGTTGAATGAGATTCCAGCAGCTGTGACATCAATTTTTGACTTGTTCATAATACTTTGAGCAACTTTGGGGAAAATGACATACAGAGCTAAGACCACTGCAACAACCGTAACGATGACTGTTATGATCGAGCAAATGATCCAATATCTCTTCTTTTTGTAAAATTTCTGCTTGGGTGGAGGTGCAGCTTTTTCTGTATACTCCTCTATTAGTTCATCACTTCGAAGGTTTTGATCGTCAGAGACATTATAATATTCATGGCTGCCAGACACTACTGCCTGGTGCTCATATGTTTGATGTACGCTTTCGGTCATCAATTATGAATTTGACGAGATTGAAATTGATAATTTGATGTATTTGACTTTTAAAAGAATGGAGAAGATACTAAAGTAAATTAAGGATTGTAATAGGTATCGCCTTTCAATAAAAAAGCAAACAGAAGAGATAGAAGAAGAAATGCAAACGATAAGCAACATTAGCTAATATTTATATGCTCACATTTACAAGAGATAATATGGAAGCTATGGTACATAGACAATACATTGAAAAAAGCTGAATTCTTGTAATACAGTTGCCCTACCAAATCAATCATGCAATTGTACAAATGCTTCAGTTTAGGATAAGAAAAGAAGTCTGTATTCAAGAAGTACAGATGGTGATGTACAAGGAAAGAACTGATGTGGATTAATCAGACATATGAAGGTCCAATCCATGTGAATTGCCCACAATTAGTTGCACCTACAGGCATCTATAAGTTATCCTTTTCAAAGAGAAGCCTCCTTTGAAAAAAGCGCTTCTTCCTGATTCAGGAACGAGTATCATCTGATGCAAAAAAAGGAAGAAAAACCAGAAAAAAAGAAAAGAGTGATATTCTGCTCTACCTACTTCGATTTGATACAACATTTGTTGCTTTCAGCGCTAAGTTTAATAAGAAGCATCCCTCTAACTATGAAAGTGGGAGTACAAATAAGCACATTGATTCGCAGCATTTGCTTTTTTCGTACAGATTCTTGAAGAGTGTTACCTTTATTGTTGGGTAGTATTACTGATCTCAAAGCGCGTTTACCAAACTGAACTTAACTTTGAGTGCGGAGAAAGAGAAAAAGTTGCTTATTAAGAAGGCCTGTTGAGTCGTACATACTCAACCCTAATGACACCTTGTACCTAACAGAAAAGTACGTATAAGCATTCATATACTATTGCCATTTATTACCTTTTTCAAAGTATACACTATGCTACTGAAAGTTCCACGAGTAGCCAGAGTGCTTTGTCTAGGTATGTCGTTGACCAATAAATTAAACTTACAATTTTACCTGTTCGACGATCAACGAGAATGCCGGAAAGTAGCTTTAATCTTAATTGTCGCCAATGGTTTCTGATCAGAACTAGACTTTTAACGGCTAAGCAGCGTTATTAAGTAGCTTTATAATACAGGGTTCTTGAACGGTAAGGTCACATTAACTCTTTTGCTTCAAAAAATTAAAGCAAAAAATAGCATACAGCTATAAAGTTAATCTTGTTCGTTGGAAGATCTTACAAAATAAACAAACAGTTACAATATGGCGGCGCGCTTAAGCTGAAGGCCTGGAAATTTGTTGAACTGATCGAATAAAAACCCTAACGTGTATCTGGATAGAAGCTGTATACCAGAATCTTAAAAAGACTAAAGGCTCGAGTGTCTTTACTAAATTTACAGTATTAGAGAAAGTTTCTCACGTACGACCTTCGTGATCACGAATACGAAAGAAGTACTACGAAATACCTAGCAAGCAGAATTATGAACTGATAGAACAGCTTATTGTCGTTGAAGTATCACTGCATGAATTTTACTTTCCTTCAAAGGAAGAGAAGCAGGGCATAATTGTTCACGTTAATTCTTGGACATACACTTTCATTGACTTGGTTTGCTTTTTCTTTATTTATGACGAGGGTGAATTTTTATTTTATCAAAAAACTATGTTATGCAGCGCAGAAAACATGCAGTCATTAGAAGAAGTATAACGTATTCCATTATGTATCGAATTCAGACTTCTAGAAAAGTAGTGGTGCCATTGTCTGTAACGACGCTGATTAACTTGCCATTTGAGAAGTGCGAAGCACCTGTCAGATATCCTTCTAATTGTCTATTGAGTAGAACCAGCATATAATTTGAGTAATTTCAATTTGGTACACAATGACTCTCTAGTCGAGTCCTCACACTTACTTTGCTATGTCCTCCGGAGGCGTCCATTTACTGTGATCAGCATTAGGCATGAATTTTCTATTCATCGGAGTATCAATTGTAACACTGCCATTTTGCAAGTGCACAACAGCGAATAAAGCAGTTAGGCCGCCGAAAGGATCCTCTCTTTGGTTGCGGTAAATAGTTACACTTACGGTAATATAGCATTCACTTTTACGCCTTCAGGAAGGCCACTTGATGGCTCAGCTAAATTCTTTACTAAATGATGTACTGCAGCTTTTGCTACACCGTATCCTATCATACCCGGAGTTGCTTCTAAGGCTGCTAAAGCGCCTGTCATTGTAAGCAAGCCACCACTATAGGAAAATACTGATTGTTAAGATAAAACATTGAACACCTTTTGTAAACTTCCTGTTCAATACATACGGTTTGAGATGGTTTGTGGCGAGTCGAGCAGCAATAAACGAGGAATTTACACTTTGATTCAACATCGTTTCAGATGATTTCAAGAAATCTATCAGTAGAAAACATCAAAGTTTGCAAGTCTGTCGTTAGACGGGTACATCTTGGATATATAATTTTTTCTCAAAAACAGTTCACCTTCACTTCCAGCATTGCCGCCTGCCCAACCGCCTGCTACACAAAAGATAGCGCATAACTTATTAGCAGCACCACCTAAAGCAGCTGAAACTGCTTCATCAATGGCTTGACCCTGTTGTACTAAGGTCTGCCCTTCTTTTGCCAAAGCATTAAAGTCTGCTTCTTTATTCTCAAAGAAATCGACATTGATTACAGCCTATGTATAAAAGATATATATTTGAGCTTTCTTTTCCCTTCTTCTTTCTGCGAATGGTTACTGATGAACTTTACATATCCTTTTGATTTGAAATGGCTTACAAGGCAACGACCTAAAGCACCAGCGCCTCCATAAACAAGAATTTTGCTCATGTTTAAATTATTTTTGTACAATAAAAGAGGAAGAAAGCAAAGAAGAAGGCACAGCATTGGACTGTATATAAGAAATAGATTTGAAAAAGTTGAATTCCTACATTGCCGCCGTGAGAAAATTTAGAACAAGTTGATTTGCCTATCAGTTAATCTCTTTTGCCACAATTTTAATAAACTATGCCATCATGCAAGCAGCCACATGGATATAATATTCGGGGGGAAGCAACTATTAGTTACACCTGGCTTATAAAGAATTGCCGTTATAACAATAATATCAGAGATCTTCGTTTTTTTTTGGTTTTTTTTTATTTTCAATCAATAGAATAAGTAAGCTTCCGCGGAAAAATCAATGAACGTTCTAACAGAAATTGTGCAGAAACTCTTGAACATGATTTACTTTCAGAGTTTTGATCATCGAGTATACGTGTAAATACTAGAATAAATATCAAGCCTCTATTTATTGATCGGAAAAAGGACCCGGAAGCCAAAGTTTGCGATTGGATGTCGAATATCACTGAGTTACAATGATGCTGGTTCAGGTGCACAAAAAGAGTAAAGGTTCAGATGGGCATTTTATTTTTCTGAATAAACTTTTCTTTAACAACAGAAAATGAGAAAAAAAAACCATGTTGTCTAATATACTCTTTTTTTCCAGCTTGAGGGTATACCATTTTCTATCGTCTTCTTTTCAATCATAAAGAGTTTACTGCTACAATTTCATTGATAATAAGCTAATGTTAGAAGTATTGACAACGGTGACAGGTTCTTCTCCTGCAGCTTCAGAAACCACTAACGTTTCTGCCAAGCATAACGATGTAAATATTGAAGAAGATACGCACAGCAATAAATTGGTGAATAATAGTATAACAAACACCACTGCTAATAAACGACGTCAACAGCACAATTCATTGCGTAAAGGGCTACTGCTCTCAAACTTTGATAAAACAATGATTGTTGAGAAAGCACGATTTGAACCAACCAGTTTAATTGACGATATACCTAAAATTGACATAACGCCTTCCTATCCTCCAATGAATACCCATATACCTACTACTACCACTATGGATAACATTGCAGGTGCCAATAATAACATCACTAGTATTAATTCACCGAACGATAACCGACAGCAGCTACAGCAACAACAGTTAACTGATATGCCAGCCATCAACCTCGAAGCCTCGGCAATCTCACCACAACAATCGACACACCAGCCAGTACAACAGCAGCCCTCAAATTTACTCACACCACAACAGCAGCAGCAACAGTATCAACATCCAATGCCATCTCATACATTATCATTACCTTTACATTCAAAAAGTTATGCTCCAACAACTTCACCTTCAGCGCCGGCTTTTAGCGCTACTTCTATGATGGCACATCAATCGCTGCCTCCAATAAATATGTCCAGTCAATTCGCTCATGACAGTAGTAATAAAAAGATGCGTCATACTCACGGAAGAAGTGAGGTATGCATAATCTTGTAATCGATAGGAAAGAGAAAGCACTGAGAATAATAGATCATGAGTAACTAAGAAAAAAATTCAATCTTGTACGTAGTGTGGTAGTGCAGGGATAGCACGTCAAAACAATAAAAAGTTGGCAAAGAAACAATCGAAATCTACACTGCATGGTAATGCTAGCCCAGCAGAAATATTCCATAAGAACCTTGTAGACGCCGTATCCAACGTAGAAGACTCTGACGAAAATGAACATTATGTTTACCCTTACGGCGTCGGGAATGAATCTGTCACCTCTATCAGTGCTAGCGCTTTGCAAAGACCTTTATCTACTAGATCAACTCCTGCTTTATTGCCTCAGCACCATCAAAATAGTAAGAAAAACTCTACTAATACTACTACTTCTTTATCAGCCACGAGCAAAGGTGGGTTTTTCAGTGATTTCTGGTTACGACAAACATTTTCTGGTCATAACAACAATGATAATACAGCAAGAGATGATGTTGTGGATGATGTGGATGAATATGGCTCCTCAGACTACGATTATCAACACAATAGAAGACCAAAGTTAAGAAGTTACGTCAAAGATCATCACTCGTCATCGTATTATCACTCTCAGCAACCACAGCAACCACAGAACAGTAGCAAATTGAGCTTATTTAATTTATGGCGGCAAACAGCAACTGCGTCTAGTAAAAAATTCTATCCTTATTACCAGAGCAGCAATCCATCGTACTTGAAACGATATCAGCAGCAACATATGCATTATGTAAACCATATCGGTGGCTATACAAGCGATGAGGAGGAAACACCACTATTGAGAGTCTCGCGCAGACAGCAAAAGAAGCATTACGCAACTAATAAGAAAAAGAAATCATGGTAAAAACGGAAAGGGCAATTGACTGGCTATACATCACCATAAAATCGTTAACATATAATTCATTAGTCAAAATAGGTTACTCGGGAAGGTCATCCTTGCACTCCTTCTCTTCATGATGACAGCAGTTATGACTATCATATACGTTGCTCAGCCTTTAACAGATATCACGGTTGACATGGGAAGGGTACTTGCTACGGATAAAGAACTGATTTTCGATTTGAAAGTACAGGCTGAAAATTGGAATTGGTGGACTATTCATGTTGCCGAAGCTGATATAAGTGTCTTTGCCTTCAGTAAAATCGTTCCAAGTCGAATCATTACCACGCTAAATGCTAATGAAAGCGAGGGTTCAGTGTACTTTAACGAAAGCCAGGTGAGGGGTGTTGATCCAGCAGAATATTTAGGTGGGTTAGATCATTTTGACGAGCCTTTATCCATATTATCGAATCATTTTTTCCCACCACCTGAAGAAGCTATTACGCAAATAAGGATCAAATCGCCTGGTGCAGATACAAGTGGAAATGAGAGGTGGTCGCGTATGATTCGTTATCCATATGGTTTAGTTGTTCGTGGAGTCTTGAAATACAAACCTATACCACCTTTTATTATAGGCACCTATCCTCAATCAGTAGCTATTTGTAATGTATCACAAGTGGATCCAACTTCTGGTATTGTATCTACGGATCCTGATAAGACGATATGCTCCACAAGTTCGCCTGATAGTGCTAATGATGATGATGGAAATAAAAGAACAATATTATTCTAAGATATAAGCATGAGCTCCCAATGAACGCAGTTGTTATTATGTTGAGTTAATGAGCCTGAGCGAGATTAAATCAATGCTTTTAAAGCAGTAATTATGAAGTTTTCGTTCAAAAATTAAGAAATACTAACAATATATTGAAAAGATGCGTTAGATAACATATAATGGAGGCCTTCTAGATTTATTATTTCAATGCTCAAGATGTGTGTATGTGTTTTTCTTTTTGGCATAGCTTTTTAAAATGTTTAAAGGCCTTATATACACAGTATGCACGCCACAGCTATTGTAGTTGCCTATATGAAAATTGTTGTTATTGGCTACTATCAGCAGCTCTGAGACGAAAAACTACTGTCTGCCGCTTGTACACTGAAATTGCAGAAAAGAAAGAAAGATATATTATGGATTGCGCCGACTGCAGTAAAATAATGAAAGACGCGCTTCTTGCTGTTATTACAAGAAACAAGTATACCGGGTTGACCCATACAGGAAGAAAAATTCAACAAATGGTAGAAACTTAATAATGATTCCAATTTGCAAGAGCTTTGAAAAAAATAACTGCGGGTTGTTGATAAAGCCATGTTTTCATTCTTTACTGGCAATGACAATAGTATGCATATCTGTTTACCTTTTGAGAGTTTTGATTCATGCGATCGAAGCGAGGCAAGACATTTCAATTATTAAATTTTTTTTAAAGTATTTGTGGATTGAATGCAATCAAACGCCTGTTTCTTTTCGTCAATATCCAAAATTGATAGACAACAGTCTCTTTTGCCGACAGAAATAAGAGCACATCGGACCATTTATTCTCGACATAAGGAAGGAACTTATAGACAAATGTCATAAAAAAGAAAACAAAAAAAAAATGAATGCTACTCTGCTTTTGCTGTTTTCGATCATGGCCAATGTTAAATCCAACTTGCTTTAGAAAGGTAGTTAAGAAAACATTTTTGTCCTAGCAAACTATAATAGAAACTGCTCAGAATTATCATAGCAAGAATGAAACCTTCATGAACAATTTATTGCAACAGCACCTATTACGCCCTGCACCTTCTGTTGTGGCTGCTGGTCAACACCCACTCTTCTGCTCTTCTCCCTCTCTTCTCTTGCAACAGTAACAAAAACCTCGGACAGCTTGTAAATGAGATCAATTCAAATTGAAATCCTATGAGGTATGCCATATCCATAAGGTATGTCGAGCTTCCAGAGGATTTAGGTCTGTCGAATAACAGGCAGGCTACAATGAACGGCTGGCTATTAAATTATTGCGGCTTGTGCCGTTAACGAAATCTCATCCAATCATTCCGGAAGGAAAAAATTTATGAAAGATTTTTTGAAGGGCAAATAAATTATTGATTTTCCCTGGCAGGCTAAGATTCATCCTCTCTTTTCGAATTTTTGACATTCCACAATGAAGCATCTCGCAGCCTACCTTCTCCTCGTTGCTGGTGGTAACACCACTCCCTCTTCCGACGATATCAAGAAAGTCTTGAGCTCCGTTGGTGTTGAAGTTGATGAATCTCGTGTCTCTTCTTTGATCAAGGCTATGGAAGGCAAGAACGTCGCTGAAGTATGTATCACCCCACAGTGAAGTAAAAGATGTGTATTCTATTCTTTGACTTAGTTTGACTAACCGGTTTCTCGTTTCTATCGTAATAGGTTATTGCTGAAGGTTCCTCCAAGCTCGCCACTGTCCCTGCTGGTGGTGCTGCCGTTGCTGGTGGCGTTGCTGCCGGTGGCGCTGCTGCCGGTGGTGATGCTCCCGCTGAAGAAGAAAAGGCTGAAGAAAAGGAAGAATCCGATGATGTAAGTTTCGTATATTGCTAGTTATATGTTTAAGTATTCTTTGTAACTGACAGTTGGTATTTTAGGACATGGGTTTCGGTCTTTTCGATTAAACGCTGCAATCTAAAGCATCCTTATTTCATAAACAATATTATTCATTGCAATATGTTAGTTGCTAGATTAATAAACGTTATTAAAACAGTGGACAATCCTTTACGATGCACGAAAAATAAAACAGAGATACACTTTCTGATGACAGTTAGGAATTGTTATAAAAGTGGCTTAGCGACTATTGCAATCCAAGTTGACTTGACATGGGAATATGGTTGCTTTGCATGGCTGTAACAGCCTATTTAGTTATGGTAGTGAGCAAACTTAGAACGTTTTTACGGAAGTAGCGACTGCAGGCTGTAAATAAGCTTTTGAATGACCTGCAAGAAAATGCTGCCACGACAGCTTGCTGTAACCGTTACGCAACTTTTACCTATGGTTAAATGCATGTAACTTTTCTAAAAATGAAAGCGTAGTGCTTTTAATTAATGGACGCCAAAGATAAACTTCGTTATCTTGGTATCCTTCCTTTTATCAAGCATGGGCATATTTTATGTAAATTCAAATATGGCTCCCTTTAATTGGATTGTTTCTTGATTACACCATACATAGACCTTCTTCAAACCGGATCAATAACAACTTTAACCGATTAATACGAACTTTATTAATATTGGTAAGAATGCCATCAACGTAAAATGATCTATAATTATCATGAAGTAAGAAAGTAGACGTTTTCTCAGTTGGTAATTCACGAGTAGTATTGTATGTATCGATTATCGTGGGAGATCTCAGAACTGGAATTTATTGATATAGACAGTAACCAGTATCAGGTACAATCAGTCTCTCGTGACTTTTCTATCTCCAGTACACTTGCAATATTGGCATCCTTTGAAAAGCAGGCTTAGGAACGTTGTGCGCTGTGCGCTCAGTTTATATATCGCTGGAGCCAAAGCGTTCCTCGCGGTACTTGCTAATAGTGTTATCCGCTGCAAGAAATTCACTTTTAGGTTGCTTAAAGGTAAAACTCCTTATGTTCAATTTCGAAGAATTCTAAAGGTTTTTTGGTTTGACTTATCGGCAAATTATATTATCTTGCCCATGCTTGATTTATGCAAGTTCCATCATCTCCCAAAGAAAGTGTAAACATGAGATTGACTGCTTCATAAGGTCGTTATTTAAGTTAGAGAAGGAAGATACGACAAAGCACTTACGATGGAGGGGAGGAGAAGAGTTTGCTGTATTAGAATTAAACGAAAATAGCACCAATCAAGTTTCCGCAAAAAAGTGCGATGCTTTGAAGTTGAATTTCTTTTAATTTTGAACATTTAGCAAAAGAACTTATTTTCCAACTTTCAACATAAATTATCGCATATGGCCGCCCGTGAAGAGCAAAATCTACTTGTAATAAGTGCTCTAAACATTTAATTATCAATATCGTGTTTTAACGAAGATTACTACCTGTTGACTTTAGGAAAAACCTTTAACTTTTAGTTCAGACGAAGAAGAAATGTCTGATCTGGAAGGCGATCAAGGTTCCGTAATTAACTGTAAATGTAGGAGTATATCAGAATCAGGTTATTAACGAAAATAACTATTCATCATACAGCTTCCGATAATGAAGAGTCCTACAATTTTGAACAGAACGAAAAAACCAAGGATACAAACGAGGAAAATCAAGACAACAACAATACACAACAAGCAGTAGAGACTACACCGTCAGAAATCAGCACTATTACAAAGCTTCCTTCGTTTAAAAAAAAACGTAGAGATATTGATGAGGAGGAGAGTGCACGTTTGGCAGAGGTGCGTCGTGAGCTATTGGAGCTAAAGAATTCCACTTCAACTCGTGGAGAAAATGATGCAGCTGACGAACCCACCGAGGATGAAATTATTGTCGACCCTCAACAAGGTGCATATCTTCGAAACAGTCGCCAAATTTTTCAGCCTTTTGAAAAGGTCTTAACCTCATCTTCTTTCCCCTTTTCTACGTATAGCTGTACGAGACGAAGTTGCTGAAACTTTCGAAAGAGCTTTAAAAGCTGGAAAAAAAAAGAGAAGAAGACAGGAAGGCGAAGATCTCGATAATAATTTGGACGAGGAGTTAACTAATTTAAGGGAACGTATGAAAACTGCTGCAGAGGAAGATGCAATGTCAAATGAACAAAGAAAAGCTGCGTTAGCAAAATTAAAAATGTTGGGAGAAGTGACGAATATGCTAACCAAGTAATATAAAATGATACTATAAAAGACTACACGATGTATGAAGTTGATTTTGACCATAATTGCGTTTTCATTCCTTAGTAAGCATTTGCAAGACTCTGTTTTGGATAATGGCTTGCTAGAATCAATTCGCTTATGGCTGGAGCCATTACCAGATCGATCTCTGCCTAGTTTGGATATACAAGTGGAAATGCTTGATATTCTTGATAAACTTCCCATTTCAGCAGATCATTTAAGAGAAAGTGGTGTCGGAAAAATTGTCTATTTTTATACAAAAGCAAAACAAGTCGAGACTCCTATCAGAAGAAAGGCAGATAACTTGGTAGCAAAATGGAGCCGCTTAATTATTAAACGAAGTGAAAATTATAGAGATCGTCGTCCAGCACTTCAAGAATACACTCAGGAACCAACGTGTGTATTTTACATTCTATTTTTACTTTTTTTTTTTCATTCATTTGCTTACAAAGTTGATTAAATGGCTAACTTGTCTTAAATCCATCCAGGTCACGACAAAGAAAACGATTCAGAAGACCCTCTGGTGAAGCAGGTGATGAAAGGTAGGTTTGCGAATTGGTATTATCGTTTGCCCATGGATGCTGATTCATAGTTACTGTAGCGAAACTCGACACTTTGTGCGTGTCCCGCAAGCTGTTGCTGCAGATTATGACATTGCACCCCAAAGTACAGTTAGAGCTGATAAATCTCGAACTCCTAAAGTAAGACTTGATCTAAAAACGATATCATCGACTGTAACTTTTATATTGATAAATATTTTTTTGACTTCTTATTAGGCTGATAGTACTTTTAGACGATTAAACAACACTATGCGTTCAATCAAAACAGGCCCCAAGAAAGTAGGGCCTAAAGTATCAATCGAAGGAAAGGGGATGAATTTCTAAATCAAGTACATGTATAAACTATTTAAACTTGAATCTGTCTTTTTGTTCTGTGATAGCTTTTTGTATCCAGTACTGTAAATAAGGATTATAATAAGATAAACAAGATCTATTAAGATGTATAAACCTCTGATATGTTCATAAAAGCTTTTTGAACAGGTTAACTCAAACCAACGAAAGATATTGGAAAGAGCAGGAAGAGAAAAGTACATTTTAACTATGCCTGCAGAAATAGTACAAATTGTAAGAGCATCCAGGCTGTCATTTTGAGAAATTGAAATATCCTACTGAACACAAAACTATTTACTGTCAAAGACCATCTTTTCCAGGTCTAATTTTGCTTGACTCTTCTTCTTGTAATCAAGCCTATAAGAGAATATACGGTTAAACTTCTTATTGAAAAAGGTGTATCCCTGTTCGTTCAACTAACGTACGCCACTTACGTTTGTAATCCCTTAAACACAAAGTCATCCTCATTTATGACATTAAAGAATCTTGGCTTAAATTGTTTTCTTTCTGCTTCTCTCTGCTTAACTGCCTCTCTTTGCTTATTTTCTATCGCAGTCTTTTCTGCAGTAGCTGTATCCATATCATTTCTTAGTATAGCATCAGTAACTTTTGACCATAGTCTGATATGATAGAAGAAGAGCCAAAAATATGTTACTCCAATTGTTTGCTAAATGATATGTAGTCAAAAGTATCGTAACTGACATACCTTCTGGACTCCATAGGGTCCTGATCAGCAATATCGTGAACAGTTTTTGGATGAATGTTCGCTGTTTTCACATCGAAAAACAATGTTTTGTTTGAAGCCTTCAAAAGAATGAATATCAACATGCCTAACATATTAGGTATCTATGTCAACGTACCTTTGCCATCTTTATGAATATCTCATTAGACCATTGGCCTGAAATCTCATACAGGATCTCCCCTGTAGATTCTTTTTTGACTTTACCACAAACTGAATTATACTGCCCTGAAAAGAAACCCTACGGTAAATGAAATACAGTCAATGATATTATTACTGGTTGTAATAATCCACACCAATGGATGATGCTACCTTTGTTTTGAAATCGAGTTCACATATCAAATCGCTTGTGCGGCAGCGTACTACGCAACTGTCACCTAATTCCATTACCATCTTCCCAACTTTATATGAGAGCCTCCATTAATGTGTCTGTTACTATGCAGATGTTTGTAATTAACTTTGTCTATATTTACATAATATTCCACGTGCGTACACATTCGGCATTGTGATATCATACTGTTCATTATGCAAATGTGTGAATACAATATGATTTTCTCCTTCCATTAGAGTTGCAGCACTATTTCCAAGAAAGCGGGATTTTGGTCGAAGATCACCATGTATATATACTCCATTTTCAGGACTACCGTAATAAAAAGCTGAGATAGGCGGATGATGTGAGACTTGTTCTGCGACATAAATAGCTTCTGAACCATCGTCATACGTATATTTGCATTTAAAAACCTCGCCCAAGACAGGGTTATAAGGTTTTTTAACTCCCTACTCCAAAGAGAATATGTTTAGTGTTCCGAGAAAGAAAGGCCGAAAAAAGAAAAGAAAAACTAGTGTAATAAGCAGAGCTTACCTTAGGTTTAATATGCCATCCTGAAAGGAAGTACTTGACTACATCTAAAAACCTTGCTAATGAATCTGTCTTTGTGCTAGCTCTACAAAATACACATTATAGTGAGTGAAACTGATAGGAGTTGTAAAAAAAAAGCTCTTTCTTCTTCTTTTGGAAAAGCTTCCTTTCTTTCAAACATTATGACATACTCCAATAGTAAGGTAGGATGACTCATGAAATCTGTCACTCTTTCTAGCATTGACCGTGGTTCCAAAACAAAGGTTGGTAGAGTGACTTTGCTTAAATCCATATTTTTACTAAGTTGGCTGATGATCCCCATAAGAATGCTTTTAGAGCTATCTTCTAGGACTTCTGTGCATTCAGGATCAGCGTCTGTACTATCATTATTACTACTCATTCGACCAAGCATAATCCAAAGGTATCAGTAAAAATAGGGTAATATCAATAGGTATATGTGTTAAAAAACAAACTAAAAAGATAACAGGGAAGAAAAATGGAATTAAAAAAAGAAAAAGATCTCCTTTGCTGCTGTTCTTATTTTTTTTTTATGTGCTGCTACTATGAGAGATTTGTGCGACAAGCTTTGTATGTGATTCCGCATACACAGTATCTCTTGGTTCTTTTTTCCTTTTTTGACGCTGTCCCAAGCATGGATCACAATAGGACGCTTTATGCTCGTTATTAAATTAGTAATTGTCTGGCAAGATGTTTGTTCAAAGACTCTTATTGTTGCTTTTCAGACATCAGATGTGTGATAAAAGCTGAGTTCCTGGATTTCATTCCGACGTGTGTGCCCCTGATTTTCGGCAAGTTTGGCTCTAACCGATAATGGGCCTCAGACAGCAGAAAGATCTCACACTATTGTTAGTACATCATCTTTCCTTTTGCTTTAAGATAAAGAGGACTTTCTCTGATTATACTTCTGTCTTAATTTCTAAAATACCCCCAATTTTGTGTACAATTTTTATTCCAAACAGTTTTTACGTTAAAACGGAAGAAAAGCATTATTTTTGTTAATAGCATATAGTTAGATGTTACAGAATTCTATGACGATCTGAGCTAGCATACTTGCCGTTCAAAGAATTGAGATTTTTGTGAAAGATAACGTAATGATGATAATGATGAGGCTATCAACATGGATGCACGGTTTTTTTGCTTCTGTTGAGCCTGTTGATGTTGTTGTGTCCGGTAACGACTCGTCGACTGGCTTTTGTTGGCTGCTGTTGGATACGCATTGGTAGCTTTTGGCATCTTATTGATTATTGGATCTTTTTCTACTCCGCTACGATTCATCTCGTACGGCCTGAGTAAGTTTTCAATACAACAGGTATTTGCATAAGCAGTGAAAAGGGGTGAAGAAATAACGGAATCAATAGTTGGCGAGGAGGGAAAAGAGGTCCTACTATCATCGTCCTCGGTAAGTTCTGATGTGGTTGAGTAGCTTTTCAATGAATACTGGTAAGTTTTTGTTTTCAATGGAATATTCGGTTGCGTAATATGTTGTGGTGCTTCTCTTGCAGTTTCATCATTAGAAGCTTTCGATCGTAGTTTTGTCAGAAAAATTGACGAAGAGTGAGACATGATTGTTTGGTCAGATTGTGTTTTCGACAATGTATTTGGCGCATTATCATTGGCATTGTTAACTTCCGTCGTCCATTTCTTACTACTATCCGGATTACCTACTGATTTCAACGCTCTATGTTTAGTTCTATTGCTGAAAATAGGCTGACTTTCCAATGTTGTATTTACAGGAACCACTCGAATACTACTTTTATCAATTATTTGTACTGACGGCAATATATCATTTCGACTGCTTTCATAGAATGAAAAACGATTTAGCAAGGCTTTTTTGCGTTGTTGACCACTGCTTCCTTTAGGATCAATTGATATATGTAAAGTATTTCTAGGCGCTTTCTGCATTTCACAGTAGTCGTACTTGGACTGGTTCTCATGCTTATATCTTGTCGATTTGATTGAATCGGTAGCTTTTTTTATCATCGTACTTATGGATGCTTTTACTGATGGTGTAATTGATTCTTTCTTAACAGCGTTTCTTTTTCGGTGCTTTTGTGGGGTTGGAGAAGAGACAGGAGTTGATGCTGCAACGCTTGCTGTGTATTTTGAATATTCCTTCTCCAAAAGAGCGAACGGTGGGCCTTTCTTTTTGAAAGCTTTTAACCATGCAGATAGTTCAGTGGTTGATTTCATACAGGCTGCGAATTTTGATTCGTATAGCTGTATTCGATGTTCAATAGTAGCATGGCCGGCATATACGTTGTCAGCCGTTAGTATATGACTATTACAGCTATGATTATCCTGACGAACGATCTCTTTGATTGCTACCGAATCAGATATATTCTTCTTTTCGGACACAGGACCATGCTGTCTACTATTTCGATACATTGTTTCCGTAAAAATAATCGAATTTCTATAATTTTCCAACATGACCAGCTACTATACAACAAATGTGAAGACTTGAAATAAAATTTGGATGAAAGGGATAAAAAAGCAGGTTCTTCCTTCAGAAAACAGCAATTAACCAACTCCGTAATACTACTGAAATAACTGATCGTGTTTTTTCTGACAGAAAATCAGATCAACTTTCGCAACTCCTGCATAATAATTTACACACTACACTTTATCAGTTGATGCTAAACGTTCTTCTTTTCTTTTTTTTTTATGAAAAAAAAAAAGGGAAATTGCAGGTTTAAGGATAATAAGTAGAGCTTGTCAATGAAGCAAAATGTGGCACAAACTGCAACAGCTATTTAGACAGTACCTGCATGAACGATAGCCTTGCATTCGGGTTTAAGCAGACATTATTTTTCTAATTCATAAGACTACCAACGATACAAATAAAAAATGAAACCATAGGCTCCTCGACCAAAATAAATAAAGCGTAGAAGGACCAGACAAAGCTGTTTTATGAAGTTTCTTCAAAATTTTGAAGACCACTTAAATCTGGAATTGCTTGTTATGTCTCTATTACTTTTTTGGCTAATGTATCTTCACGATTCCTTACAGTAGACCATGGCAGGCTCTCATTTAAACATTTATAGACATATTGCCTATACCATTATTATAAACTGCATTCATTTTTTGAATTCATGTAGTCAAATATGACGATGGCAAAAAAGCAAAAGCAAGTTGCTCTAAATGACCAAAATCAAGCAATGTCTCCGAATGTAAGTTCCCTACTCCCTACTGACTCAGTCAATTATAATTGCAGAGATGTGTTTCCATTGTTTTTTCTGGATCACAAAAGGAGAGTACATAATACCTGGTTTACCAGGGAGTGTCATTGCTTTATGGCTTTAGCTTCCATCTTGACGTAGTTTTTCATGACAAAAAGTGGTCATGGTCAACACTGCATTACATACATAACGCAGCCGTTGTTGTTTTTTTTATAGGAACAATTATAAGCATCATGCAAGAAGCAGGGAGATACATGCATGTATCAGGTATCAAAGCGCTGTGTGCCAATTAACTTGTCATTATAAGGTATAGTAAGATATGCGGGGACAAAGCAACAATAGGAGCCCTAAAAACAATTTTATATGTAGTCTTGGAGGCCTCCTTAGAGAATCCTTTCAACAAGTGATCGTCGTTGTATTTTGTAACTCTGTAAACCCGTCAATAAACCCCTGCCTGCAGCGATTCAAAGATTTTGTCTAAACTGCTGGGCTACCAGATGGAGGGTTCGTAATCGCTTCCTTGGTTTCCGTCACTGACTCCTCAAGGAGCTCCTCTTCCTCTGTTGTTTTTGAGTATTTTTGTTTCGCTCTTCTTGCTCGACGGGCCTTTTGTTTTGCTATTTTCGCAGCTTTTTTAGCTTTTTTACTCATATCACCATTGATCAATTCGTCTAATTTTTCGCGTAATAACTTCCTTGCAATCCCTCTGTTATCTGCCAACGATCTGGATTGTTGACACTATTTGTTATTGCGTTTTTACATCGTAAACAAAAACAGCTCAAATGAGAAAAAAAAAAAGGAAGCAAAATGTACCTGTACTCTGATTCCAGTTGGAATGTGTCGAAGATCGACACAAGTAGAACGTTTATTTATACATTGGCCACCAGGGCCAGAGCCTTTCACGAAGGTTTCGATCAAATCTTCGTCTTTCAAAACTATTTTCTGACGTTGTGTTAATGCTGCTGATGTTGCTTTTGTACTGAACAACTGTTTTAATGTAGGTCTAGTGAAAAGTTGCAATTGTGTTAACAGTTTCGAGGTATAGGACATTAATAACTTGGGTTTGTTGCTAGATAGTGAAGAAGGAAGATAGAAAATAACAAGAACGGGGGTTTTGTTGCTGCTGTTTTGGTAATAACTCTAAAATTCATGACTATGACTGTTGAAAGTTAAACTGGGTCTGTGAGGTCTACATACAGGAATTATACATAATTATACTATTCATCGTCCTCTTCGTCCTCAACAACATCGTATAGAACCCGTATCCTTAATGAACAGTTATTGCAACCAACAATGTCAACGCCCTTTTCTAGCATTTCTTCAGTGATGAAATAATACCCGGAACATCGACAAAGAAATGAATAAGAACCGTCTTCTTCATCGTACGCCATATCATCCAAATCAACGTCGGCACTGATCGCTAAAACCTTTTTATTTCGCTGATCTAAGAGATTTGACAAGCGATCAATAGAGCGATATCATTCTCCTTTTTTCAAATCAGTCTACCTACTTTGGAGTTCAACATCGTATTTCTTGCGGCTTTCAGGATCTCTTAATACCTCCCAAGCTTTCAATATTCTATGTGCTCGATCGTCATCGTCAATTTTGCCTGTGCGTTTGTCAGGATGATGCTAAAGAGGCTTGTCAGTTTTAAAATGAAAAATCAGTTGATTCATCGATCCGACAAAGCCACCTACCTTCATAATTAGCTGTTGAAAACGGTGTTTAATGTGATCGTGTGAGGCGGATTCGCTCACTTCCAGGACTTCATAATGTGTGGACATATTGGATTCGCAAAGTCAAGGAAGGCAACTACAAATATGTTTCAGGTTTATTAATAAGCAAAGGAACTTATGCTTGTACGGAAAGCGGGAAAGGGGGATAATGACATTTTTAAGGGACATTATTTTACTTGAGCCGCCGACGAATCTTTCCTTCCGTATCAGAACTTAGTCAATAGAGACGGCCCTTCGAGAAAGGAATTCTGTAACCTTTTCGCGGACACCCCATTTGTTTTTGTGCCTAGCGACAAACCAGTCTATAACCTCTTCCGTTCGCTCCAAACGCTGGCCCAAGCCAAATTCAGGGCTTACCCCATCCAACACGGATTTTATATCATCTCCAGATGGTAAAGCAAAACGCCAGTATGGATATTGTTTGATATCCATTGGAGAAGGCAAGCGTAACTCGTTCGGTGATGACCTCGTAAAATACAGTCGATCGATGTCATCCTCTGACACATCTGAAATATGAGGTGGCTGCCACAAAGGCTTTTTAGGTGCTTTATTATTGAATGTTGAATCAATTCCGATATGAAAATCACTTGTAACCAAGAATTTCTGAATAAGATCAAATTCCATTGTCAAACACTCGTTGAGCGGCATTCCCTTTGCTTTTCTGAGAACCTTCAACATGACTTTTGAGCTCGTTGGGGAAACAGCTAGTAGCTTTTGTATCGTTTCTCGAATCCATGGTGTTTCTCTTTCTTTTTCTAATGCATATATGATATCCTCGACGGTGTTAAAAGCGAAGCACCTTGTCATCAGATGATGTTGTCACATTTTAGTATTATAATGGAACATTCGGAAATGACCTAGTTATGGACATAAAATACCTTTCGATCATCTGTTTCATGTCTTGTGAAAGACTAATAACGCTGGGCTCTTTCCTTTCTACAAATTTCTCCAGTACCTGTTGTATGATCTCGTGCTCTATAGTCTCAAGGTCAATCAATTTATTTTCCAACGCTGGCAGTCTGGATGAAGAGATGTAATGGGTTGCTATACCACAGAGACTACGTAAGTAGTTAGTTATGATATATATTGATATAAATATCCAGTGAGGTTATAAAATTGCTCCAGTCACTCACAAAAGATCTATACCCTCTAAGCGATGTCCAGTCAAAGCCAGATAGGTACCCAGTTCGCCATCTAATCTTGATAAGAAAAAACTAGAACCGGCATTCAAGCATGCACCTAATTCCACCTCAGGTACAGCAAAGAGCGAATTTTCTGTTGCGATACGAAAGGGTCCGTGGGCAAATAATCCCAAACTACCACCCACTAAGGAATTTTAAATACTTAGCATTTCATTCATAACGCACCAACATGTAATGATAATGAGTGTTTGTTTTGTTGCACCTATTTACAAGCATAGCCATCTAATAAGGTTATATAAGGTGTCTTTAAATTTGCTATCATATGCACAAGAGCTGCCTTGTCTTGAAAAAAATGTAATGCATTTGGATTCTTTGCTTGAGCTTTCTTAGAAATGTCTGACCATTGCGCAGCCGATGAAGAATGATTAGCCTACCTTGTTAACTGCTTTAAAGTAGGAAATTACAGTGGATTTATACCTAATAAATCATCTCCTGTACAGAATTTCCCCCTCCCAACTCCTTTCAGGATAATGACTTTGGCTAGTGTTGAAACATCCCAAGCTTTCAACTGTGGTCCAATATTTCGAATCATGCTCAGATTCAAAGCATTTAGTTTATTAGGTCGATTCAATATAAACAGTCGTGCACTCGATGCTTTTCTATGCAAAACATGGATTTGCTATGTATCAAAAATTTGATGCCATCATTTCACGTTTTAGATAAAGCAAAACAGCGAACAAAGAAAATAGATGCCCCCCATGCAGTTTCTTGATATACTTTACCTGAGGTAGGCCGTCTTCAAAAAGTTGGCTTTGTTCAATTGCAACCTATGAGTAATAGTAATTTTATCATAGAATGGAGCGAATGATTGTGATTAACTTATTTCGTCTATTGGCAAAAAATTGCTTTCTTCTTTTTCCATAGCATACAAAATGAGCGCAGGTTTCGGTAGACACTTTATTACTTTTAAGAACCCAATTCAACCGAGGCGCTACAAAACGTAAACGACTCATCATTTTCAAACAATCCTAGAACAGCAACAAATTATGATGGAGAGGAAGGAAAGATAATACATTATTGTCCTACAATAATATCCAGTTTCGATCATGGAAGGCAAAAATATTCACATGCTCTTCCTATTACAGTTAATCCAATAGATTACATCGTCCGGACAGAACAAAATACCGCTCAAGAAAGAGCATAAATACCTCTGCGGTAAATGCACTTTAATTTACGAGATAGGACAGCAGTATCTATACCCAAAACGATCAATCAAAGCATAAACTTGTAAAAAATGTCGTTCCGGCTATCGACAGTTCTAATCTTGCTTTTAAAGCTTCTATTCATCATTCTTCTTATAAGAAGAACAAAGCCATTTAGAAAATCAACCGAAGACACCCAAAAAAAAAAAAGCCTACTGCCTCCAGGGAACAACGTTCCCTATCTTTTTGATGATTGAATTTTTTCGTTCGGACCGGACATAATTTATTGCATCAGCTGTTCAGAAACAATACGCAATAAACATATGATGCCCAGACGGCTTATGGCATGTATCTCGATTTCTCTTTACATGGAAGAAATGCAGGTACATGCAAGAGCTGCAGAATATCGATTGCATCAATACAAACCATTCCCGCACACTTTTTCATTTTTAAATTGGAATTTTTCAAACGTCCATAAAAGATCTGGTTCTTCAATAGAGCCTGGTTTAAAAGACCAGGCTTCTTTTTCATTTATCGTTTTTACATAATAAGGGATGGTTATAAATATAGACTAGTCTTCGAGTTCAATGACAGATAAATTAGCTGCACACCGAATAGATACGACCGTCCATTTGCTCTTATACTCAACAAAGGCAATACCTATCAAAAAATAGCCGAAGCTATTTTCAAAGATACAAACGCCCTTACAGAATATGTATTATTAAGATCGAATAAAGAAGAAAAAGAGGTAGCAATAACCATTTCAATTTTTATAGCGAAAGTTTGCAGTCGGTAAGTAAGGGTAACAGTCCTTTGTGACTCCGCATTCCAAAAAAATTTTTCTTTAGAGGTTCGAATGGCGCAAAAAGAATATAGATATCATGTAACCGCTTTTGTATTTTATTTTTTCTTCTTTTCCTTTACCTTTTTTTCAATCTTTTTGAGCGAAGAAGAGGTCAAGGAGAGAGGTGACAAGCTTATGTATACGGGCAAACATACTAAAAGATGCTTTTGTATTCTTTAATAACTTAACCCGTGGGAAGGTCTGAGAAAAGCCGTTGAACATCTTTGCTGGATAACCTGTGAAAATGGGGGCAGTGCTACCAGAAAATATATCTGATTAGACCGTTAGTACCTTTGAAGGCTCTTTTGCCTGATGGGTTGGTTTAATCTGTTTATTGTAATGGCCTGCGGGCGGTAATGCTATGAAGTGCAATACATGAGACCAGTCATTCACTGGTAACTCAATTCAGACTACTCTGTTTCCTCTCTCCCTTTCCTTTTTTATTTTATATTATCTTATTATAAAGTGAAACGAAAATGAAAAGTGATTGTATGTGTTTTAATGATATGTCTGTTTTGTAGTTTTGTTGGCCAGATGCAAAATTTCATTTGAGTGGAATAATCTTTCTGTCATTGAATTGAACATGGTTTTGATTGTCTATTTTTAACAGACAATTAATTAAGTAACTGTCTTCTTTTTCTTTTCAATAACTTATTATAGAGATATTATGTCAGTGTTAGAAACTATACCTGAAAAGTACATTGTACTCTTTGTTACCCTTTTTATTACATTTCTACAATTGACTGCCAACTTTTATATATTGGGTCCAGCTTTGGGTGGTTGGTTTTCCCTTAGAGCACAAAAAGTTCTTTCGCCATTGACTATATCACTCGTCAGCCTTTACGTCAATTATTATCTGGCTTGCAAAACCAGTCCAGGCTATGTTCCTGAAGGCTGGGTAAAATAAGGTTTTTAACTAAGCTTCATATTGACAGGATTCTCTGATCACTAAACCCATTTGTTACTCAACCGTGTTAACTAGGAACCACCAAAAGAACTTCTCGAATACGATGAAGAATTACCTGTAGGATATACAGGGCCAAGGTTTTGTAAAAAATGTGATAGCTACAAACCACCAAGAGCTCATCATTGTCGGCATTGCGGCCGCTGCATTTTAAGAATGGACCATCATTGTCCTTGGATTGGCAACTGTGTTGGCTTTGGCAACTATGCGTATTTTGTCCGCTTTGTATTTTCGGTTGAAATCAGTTGTACCTACGGCATTTACTTACTACTATGGCGGCTGCAAAGAATTTTAGAAGCTTGGAATAACATGTGGGTATGTTTATGCATTCTATGTTGATGGTGTTGAGGTTACTCATACGCTGGAATCCGTTCGTTATAGGTAGTGGTGAAACCTAGTCTAAGGGAAGCAATGCTCAGTATTTTTGTTATTGTTTGTGCTGGTATTGTTACTCTTGCGGTTGGAGTCTTAGCCATTTATCACACATATTGTTTGATCAAAGGACAAACCACAATTGAAGGTTCGGAAAGGACAAAAACGAAAAGGTTGATTCGCAGAGGAAAAATTTATCCTGTAAGTATTATCAAAAGACTAATTAATACATTCAGCGCAATTATGTATCTATATTGTAAATTAATACACTTTGTTCATGCTACTCAGGTTGTCTTCCCCTTTGATGTGGGATTTTATCAAAATATCTGTGATGTTTTGGGCAATAATCCTTTATTATGGTGGTGGCCATCGCCCTGTCCAGGCGATGGAATAAGCTACCATGTCAAGCCACATACAGGTAACAGAAACAAACTTGATAAGCAAATGTTGATTACTGATCATTACTGTGCTTTTTCCCAGACCCTTTACTTGTTTATAGTTGGCCACCAAGAGATCCAGCTTCTTTAGGGCAATTTACACAAGAGGACTTGAAGGAGGAAGAGAATTGGGAAGGATCGGAAATCGTTCGACGCGATTCGGAAGGATTCTTGGTGAAAGAGATAACTATGGAAGATAGAATGAGAATGCTATATGCGAGTCAAAACTTCGAGTCGGAGCATCCTGAGCATTATCAAGATGAGGAACTTACAGATATGGAGCAACCACATCTTCATCAAGAAACAGAAGTATTAAGTGAAGAAGAAGAAGAAGAAGCTATATTAGACGAGAACGATAAATTTTACTATGATTCCAACAGCGTGACAAGCAGTATGACAGATTACGATGGAAAGGACTAAATCCAACAAATCTGATGTGCATTTATTCAAAAAAAACAAACTCAAGCCTACACATTAGAAAGAATCTTCCACTTTTACTCAGATAGAATCATGGTTATTGTTTGCAAATTGTACAGATAAAAAGGTTGTTGTTTTCATTTTCTTTTATACATTTAGAAACATAGAAACACTTATAGCAGAGGGGAATAATAAACTACAATATATTACATACAATAAACAATTTTACAAGATTCGCTCAATCATACCAATATTCTCCTTTTCTAATAATTCCATGATAGGGTTGTTAATTTCGCTGGTCATGGGAGCGAGAACACCAGTAGCTGTTATTTTACCGTCCAAGACCAGTTGGGTGGCGATAGCGCAAGGAACACCGACAGTCGTCGCCATAGCAGAATAACCACCCACCTTACCGTACTCAACCAAAGTAGAGGTACGTGTTTGCTTAGAGCCATCCTTCAATTCAATTTCGAAACGATGTTGCAAGAAAACCAAATCACGTTCGTTTTCACCATATTGCATTTTATCCTCAAGAGTAGCACAGAAAGTATCGAGCAAGGTGCCACGGCGATGAACGTTTACATCAGAGAAGAAACCTAACCAGCGCATACCGTCCAAAATTTGTTGCTTGTGGTCGTTGTTTTCAAGGTCACATTTAGCAATAATAGCAGCTTGCAAAGTTTCAGCGGAAGTATCGTCTGTTCCCACGATCTTAGCAAGAACTTGACTCCATGTTATATCCTGAGCATCAGCGGCAAAGTGAGCTTCTTCTTCTTCACTCAAGAAACCAAGGATGACCAAAGCCTTGACAAATTGACAAAAGCCATCATAACGAATAGTACCACGAATGATGGTTTCGGCTTCGGGAATATTGTAACGTTTGTCATAAGGGGTAGAGTCACGATTGCCGTAACCAACGAATGCGAAACCGGGGTAACCGGTATTTAGCTTCTTGGCAGAATCCATAAGAGCAGTACCGGATACTTCAACAACTTGACCCTTCTCAAGATATCTTGCAGTATTTTTCAAGGCAAGTAAAACACCGCGAGCAGACCAAGAGAACTTGTAACCAAAGGGGTTATTTGAATCTTCAGGTGCAGGCAAACCGCCACAGAAAGAAATAAACTCCTTAATCTATTTGTTTTTTATCGAATAATCAATGTCAGTTTTCTCACTTTCTCGCGATGGTATTGCTCGTTTGTTTCATTATGTACCTTTCCACCTTCGTTATGAACTTCTTCAATTGTCTTGACAGCATAAAGATGATCAATTCCAGGATCAAGACCAATTTCATTCATAACAGTAATTCCAGCTTCCTTAGCACTAAAAATAAAAGCTTTCAGACAAAGCAGAGATGCAAATTACCGTAATAAACAACTATACTTTACGCTTGATCATGTTCCATCATGGCAGGAGAAACATAGGAAGTGGTGACAACGTGTTTCTTGTGTTTGATAGCAGCCTTAATAACTAAAGCATGGTAGATATAAGGAATCAAGCTAAACAACTTGTATAAGCCTCCAATATCACTTCAAACCTAGAAGGTGATTTTGTTTATAATTACCTGATAGCAACATCGTGTTCAGCCACTAACTTTTCAATTTCCTCAGCATTGTTGATATCACAAGAGACAGCAGTGGTACCCGGGAATTGCTTAGATAAAGCTTGTGCATTCGCAAGACGTCTACTGGCTGAATACCAACCTGTTCTCAGCACAATTGATCTAATCTTCACATCTCATGTTTCGTCGAACTTACCAATGGTAATTTTATTTTCAGGCTTGCGAGCAAGGTATTCAACGCAAGGAGCGGCAACAAAACCTGATCCAAGTAAGAGAATTTTCCTTTTGAAAAATATGGTTTACGCAATTATTAACACGTGCTTGGCGATATAGAAGCTACACATTGAGAACACATACTTGTCTGTCATTTTGGCTTGTTATGCTATACAAAATAAGTGAGGTCCTGAATAAGTAAAGAGAGGGAAGAGGCGAAAATTTTGATGGTCAAGAAGCATTAAATAGAAAAAAAAAAGTATCTAGATGTTTACTACCATAAAAAGAACTATCAAAGATGAATGTTTCTTATTGGACAATTTTACATGAAGCTTCAATATGAAAGACAGCAGAGGGGAGATTAAGTTCAGTAACTGAGAAAGGGAATTTACCTAATACACGATGAAAACTGAGAGAAACTCGTAAAGTTTGTCATTTTTGACAAGTCTTTTGTGCCCGTTCGCTCATTTATAATACGGACGATCATTACACAAAATAGTTGTTGAGACTGATAAGCCAAAGTAAAAAGGGCCAACTAAAGAAATGCAATAGTAAGGTATTTATAAACAGTTTTAAATCAATCGTTCTTCGTCAGCATAAGCATAACAATGATTTCTTGATGCCGCAGTCTTCCTTACAAGAAGTAAAATTGTGTATAGGTGCCGCATACATTAACTTCCATTTCACAACTTCAAGACGTCATCAATCGATTCTTTCTATTTTCCTTTTTCGTTCGTAAAAAATTTCCCCTGCCCAGTGGTCAATTTTGCCTCCGCCTATAGATATTTATTGTGCGATTGTGCATCTGCTACCCCACTTTTTTCTTGTTGTTGAAACTATAACACTATAATAATGATCACCAACGTTGTCGCCCGTTCCGCCATGCGTGCATCTACTCGTCAAATTGCACGATCTGATTTGTACCATTTCTCCAACGCCAATGGACAAGTAAGCAAATTGCAAGAACATGTGAAGAAAGAGTTTTGAAAAACATAGTCAAACTTATGCAAAACACCTTCTCTAGAATGTCCCCTTCAACACCAAAAACAAAGCTGGACTTGCTCTCAAGATGTCTTTATATCTTGGTCTTGGCTTTGGCGTGCCTTTCATCGGTAAGTTCGAACGGCATTCATTTTCGCTTTTTACCTGCAAAATGTCTAACATTAAAAATGTCTTGCCTCCGCTATCTTATTACATAGGTGCTTGGTGGCAATTGTAAGTTGAATTGTTTCGATAGGCCTTGCTTAAACTACAATCTAACCATTTTTGTTTCTTTTACAATTTCTTCAACTACCATTATTTAGCCACAAGGCTGGTTAAAATCAGCAATACGGACGCCCTTCACAAGATTCACTTTTTTTCAAAAGGAAAAAGCAAAGCTCAGAAATATTTTCAAAATAGATCCATTACTAAATTGCCAGTTGTTGGAGTGCTTTTTAAATACCAAACAATAATAAAACTCAAACACCCATTCGAATTTACAAGTTATAAATAAATTGTCAGTATCAACTATGGCTTATAAATGGACACCATTTCCTTCCAGTTTGATTGTACAGAACACAGAATTTTCGAATTTAGACCGATTTATCATTAATCATCTTGGTAGTTATCTTCTTCATTCCAAGTACAGCAAAGGGGCTATCATATAAGCAGGAAAGCAGTCGAACAAAAATTACTAACTTGCACTAATAAAAGCTAGGACGAGTATAGTGAAATTAGCATACATAGTTGGTAACAATGTTTATTGACGTCGCAACACATTGAGAGTCAAAAGCGCCTGCTTGATTTTCTTAATGGAATCGATACAAAGTTCCTTTTTAGGACTATGTTAATTCGTGCTGAATTAAGATTGAAAACTTTCAACTATAGCTCCGGTACATTCTATCTGTCAACTCAAATAAGCACGGATTAACCAGCAATTGATATTTTGCTAAAAACTTGACCAGACACTGAATTCATGCACAATACTTGTGCAACTTAGCAATACTCTGTATGCTATTCCATCGCTTAGCTTCACAACGTTCATTGATTTGCGAGATGTTGTACTATTGATTTGTATATAGCTGATTGATAACAAATAGAAAAAAAACATAATATAAATTGTTTACAATTGGACGATGTAACTCAATGAAGTTTTTAGACATCCTACCAAGCTATGAATGTAGTATAAAAGTGCCAGTTCATTCAGCTAAATATTGTATTTATGCGTCGAGCGCTTTCTACTTAACAATTTGAGATAACATCAAGGGATGCATAAAGCTTGGTGACTCTATAATTAGTTTATTGACTTGCCTACATTATGCATTGTAATTTCTAGAGAGCACCGATTATTGAGGCAAGATTTTATGGCTTTTACTCGTATTAAAACTACTTATGCATTGCGCATATACGAGCATATCGTCCAAAATGATTGTACCATATTTTGAGAAGTAGAAGTGCTACTAGTTTATCTCTTGAAAGGAAAACAATAAATTTGAACTGACGTATTCAGCGATGATACGGAACCTCAGCTCATGTTTGAAATTCGACGCAAATTGTTGCAGTTGCTATAACGCATGAATAGGTAATAATCGGTATACGTTTCACATAACATATCGATCACTTGCACACAATACTAGCTTACAGCATACACAAATGACTCTATCTTTATGACTGGGATGAATAGCACCTGTTAAAAGGTGCGGAATTTCCTAGATAACATGCGATGGTTAAATTCGTACTTTTAACGCAAAGCTTGAAGCAATCCGCATTTATGGCCAAAGCAGATAAAAGATGATCTACGATCTATTAAAGCTACAGCAATATCTCAAAATCTATAGATAAATTTGGCAATATTAAGTATTGTATTTACAAGTGCGAACCTGGACATCCATATTGCAATTTCCAATTATCTCCTTCCCCCACCTCTGAAGTAGCAGCAAATGCGTTCAATCAGGAAGCAGCAATCAAACTTGGATTAGAACTGTTATGGTGCAGCCGGGCTAATGATACTTCAAGTGTGAACATACCTTATGTATTGCAGTCACAGCTATTACCGTTGATCGGGGTATTTCCACGTAAGTAAAACATTCTGAAGTACTTAATGCTTTAGAGTAGTAACCATTCAACGAAAGAATATGCTAATAATAAACAGATAATTGTTTGAACAAATGAAAGGACTCAACCCTTCATGGATATAGACTTGTACATGCACATCTGGCAATTTGACAAGGATGAAAAGGCGCGTGAATAAACCAGCGAAAGTATCTAGCCAGTACTCCCCACCTTACGAAAATGAATCATAACGACATTATAACTGCAAAAATATTCGTATGGCTTTAAGGATCATTATCATCAAATTTCAAAGCTTGCTGATGACTTGCTAAGAACCTGTCAGTTTATGTAATTGTGATATGAAAAAAATCGCTTTTTTGCCCTGTTTTATGGCAAGAGATGACTCATTCTCAGTACACTGACTTTTTATGGTTCGTTGTAACTCCGCGGCTGGGAAGCACTGCCCTTAAAACTACCAATATGCTTTTTTTGATCTTCCCCCACACATTTGATAAAATTAAGTTTAACTACTTCATATTTATTCTATTTTTTTATTTTTTTACATTTCATCTTACCACTCTTCTCTTCTTCGTATTTCTTTCTAACGTCTGTGCTCTATTGATATGCTTTCATACGCTGAAAAGCGAACAATAGTGTGGGCCTCTTCTCATGTCCTGAAGCGATCCATCACCAGTCTATCGAAGCGACCTGCTATGTTAGCGTCTGCACACCAATTAAGTGCACGACATAGTTATAAAACCGATAGTAATAATGTCAAAGCAGAAAAGGTATGATGCAATCCTATTCTTTATAAGAAGGGATTAACAAGTAACGGTTATTCAGGTGTACTGATAAAATATCGTGTTAATTTGTTTCTGTCCCGCTTCCATACAACCTGTCAAATAGGAAACAATCACCAAGCTTCTTTACAACATTGGTTCTCGTAAGGAAGTAGAACAATACCTTCGACATTTCTCATCAGTTGAATCACAGAAGTTTGCCGTTATTAAGGTTGGTGGTGCCGTTTTAACGGATGAACTTGAGACCCTTGCTTCTGCTTTAACTTTCCTCAACAGAGTTGGGCTATATCCCATTGTTCTTCATGGTGGTGGTCCCCAACTGAATAAACTTTTAGAAGAAGCCGAAATTGTACCTGAATATGAAGAAGGTATTCGTATCACAAACTCGCAAACCATTGAAATTGCTCGTAAAGTATTCATGGCAGAAAATTTGAAACTTGTGGATGCTTTGGAACGACATGGAACACGAGCGAGACCCATAACAGGAGGTGTCTTTGTAGCCGATTACCTTGATAAAGAAAAGTATGGTTACGTTGGAAAGATTGTTGGCGTCAATAAAGAAGTGATTGAATCGTCGATTCGGGCTGGAGCACTTCCTATTTTGACATCTCTTGCTGAAACTCCTTCCGGCCAGATATTGAACGTCAATGCAGATGTAGCAGCTGCTGAATTGGCTACTGTTTTGGAACCATTAAAGATTGTCTTTTTGAATGAAAAGAACGGCCTATATCACGGTGTCACTGGAAAGAGAATTGAAACGATCAATTTGGATGAAGTAGGTTAATAGAAAGGGAGAAAGTAAACAAAAGATTTTGGTCGATGTATGTTTTCTAATTGCAGATGCAACTGGGCATAGGAATATGAGGATCTTTTAAAGGAACCTTGGGTGAAATATGGAACCAAACTAAAGATCAAACAATGTAAAGAACTGTTAGATGGCTTACCCCGATCTTCATCAGTTGCTATCATTTCAGCCGGTCATTTGCACAAGGAACTTTTCACAGATTCAGGTGCAGGTACACTGATCCGTCGTGGCCATAAATTATTCAAATACGAGAAACTCGACCAAGTCGATCCTGACAAGATTCGCCGTATTATGGAGGCTGAAGATATCTCTATCCAAACAGGCGAGAGTTCCGTTGCCAGCTATCTTCGCTCACTTCAACAAAAGAACGTTCATATATACACAGACGAGCCTGGTCAAGTACTAGGCATTGTTACCAAGGACCCACAAGATTCTAGTAAACCTGCTGTATTAGAGAAGCTTCTCACCACTAAGACAGCTGTCCTCAATAATGTGCCTGAAAATCTATGGACGGCCATCCGAAAGGACTTTGATAGCTTAACGTGGCGTGTGGATGCCAAAGCCAAAGACGGCAATCTCGACCCTTCTTGGCATTTTGAACGTGCTGATGGGTCCCTCAAAAGTCAGGATGGTTCCACTACATTTTTTTATGGAATTAACGATGCAGAAAAGATTAAACAAACATTCAAAAATGCCAGTGACAATAGCAGAAAAACTTTTTCAGCGAATATTGGAAGCGGCAATCGTTCTTATTCAACCTTTAAGGGATATCATATCAAATCTCAACGCAGTTACAGCACTTCACAACAACCAAAAAATGTGGGGTTAATTGGTGCTCGAGGATATACTGGTCGTGAGCTCATCAATTTGATCAACGCACATCCGCACTTGAACTTAACTCATGTCAGCTCCCGAGAATTGGAAGGAAAGCCACTTGAAGGATATACCAAAGCTAATCTTAACTATGTCAACTTGAAACCACACGACTTAAAGTCACACTCAGAAGTTGATGCATGGGTTTTAGCTTTGCCCAATGGTGTATGTACACCTTTCGTTAACCAACTTACTGAAGATGTCAAGAGGAAGGAGATTTCAGATAAGGTCCTCGTTGATCTCAGTGCTGATTATCGCTTTGATAGCAAATGGACTTATGGCTTACCTGAATTCAAACGTGCTGATTTGAAAGGTGCTACTCGTATAGCTAATCCTGGATGTTATGCCACAGGTGCACAAATGTCTTTAAAGCCTCTAGTTCCTCATCTAGACAAATTCTCTGCGCCCACCGTTTTTGGCGTCTCTGGTTATTCTGGTGCTGGAACAAAGCCTTCCCCTAAAAATGATCCTGCGTTTTTAAAAGATAACATCATCCCTTACAGCTTAACGAACCATATTCACGAACGTGAGGTATCTTATCAGTTAGGAACTACAGTAAACTTCATTCCTCATGTTGCTTCGTGGTTTCAAGGTATTGCTTTGACAGTAAATGTTCCATTAGCTAAACAGATGACAGCAAAGGAAGTCAAATCTTTGTTTGAGGAATTTTATAGTGGAGAAAAACTTGTGAAGGTCTTAGAAACAGGCGAACCGCTAGTACGTGATAATGCTGGAAAACATCATGTGAGTATTGGAGGGTTCAATGTTCATCCTGATGGCCGTCGGGTAGTTGTCACAACGACTATTGATAATCTTTTGAAAGGAGCTGCTACTCAAGCAATGCAGGTAATTAAAAAGCTAGAGAATCTTTTGATCTAAAGCAAACATTCAACTAAACTTTGCCTTTTTCCTATAGAATTTAAATTTAGCTTTGAACTTTGATGAATACGCCGGTATTCCTACCGATTGAAAATTTGAGGAACACCGCCGTAGCATCCTTCTGTAACTGTAAAAAATTAAACATTTTGATTTCATTCCCATCTTTCGTGTATAAAAGTAATGTATTCCTAGACAAGATAAAGAGCATTTATCAAGCAGTAAAAATGAGTTTCTGCCCAGAAATTATGACGTACATTTTGTGTCACCCACACTTTTTTAAGTCTATAAGACCCAAGGCTTTCCGTTTTATTTTTTCTTCATTTTTGACTGGTTTTTTGTTTATTCCAAAATGTTTTTTTGCTTCACCTGTAGGTATAGAAGAGTTATAGATTAGAATGTGTATACAGAGTCAATACTGATAAAAACTTCATTCAGTCGGGTTTGAAAACTTCAAGCGTAAATCTCATACTTCAGTTTATCAATGTCCAAATTGTCAAGCTCGAGATGTTTATCTTGTAAAAAATAATCGATGCTTTACGTTCTGTTTTGTGCCATTAATACCATGTGGATCTACCAAAAAGCTATATGAATGCCAAACGTGTGGTTGGGTCAATGTGCAGGCGCCTCCATATTAACCATGGCTATTCCAGAAATATACCCACCTTTTTTACACTTTACACTTTAATCTTACTATGATAATGTGCTTAATTAAGCCAGACGAATCTGGTACGGAGAATGATACTGTGAAGTATTTTGCGTCAGCAAAGACCGGTTTATGCAGCTCAAAACTTTTTTCCGTGACGCTGCCCCTTCCTTTTTTCTCCCTTTTCTTTTTCATTTTCCTTTCCTTTTTGATCGCACGCAATAAAAATGATACATATACCTTCTTCTTATATCATATCTTCACGGTTTTCTACACTTGAACCGAACGATATTTTAAAGATTATTCATTTAGCAGAGCAAAAATGGAATGAGCGAGAAATTCAGAAAAGACTCAAAATACCAGAAAAGCCTTTCATTGGCATTGGTATCACTAATCCGCAAGAATTGGATACAGTTATGAATAAGCAAAATATACCAATTATTCACATTCATTCAGATTGTAAATCACTGCAAGCGAATCAAAAGCACAAGCTGAAACGACAATACTATTGGCATCGATGCTTGTGGGCGTTAGAATCGACGTTGTGGGGTATTATTGGATCTTTTACTATTGTACCACTTTTTCGAGAAAGTAGTACTAGTGGTAGTAGCTTATTTGCAACAGTACTAAACCGTTCAGTAGAATGTAGATCAATGAGCAACCACAAATGGAATCTCCAAAACTGGGTCACTAGGACCGCTTTAGTAACTTTTTGCCTTTTTACCACTAAAAAACTCTTGTACCATCAGATACAAAAACGAGAATACCAATATATCGTAAATACTAGTACTGTTCTACTGTTAAGAAACGATATTGTGACCAGCAAATTCTACTATTTCTATTCAAACCTTATGCCTTCAATTTTGATGAGTACGACTATATTTTATTTACTGACTAAATATCATCATAGCAAAGCTTTTCACACCTAACTCTTTCACATAAAATGCCGTAACCCTGCTGTGTATGAATATAATCTTCATTGCAAGCGAAATTTTGGGTTCGTTCTCCGCATCTTCGTTTTTTCTTTTTGTAGGTTCGCCTACACAGAGAATTAGGGTTCTTCCATTTTTCGCTCTTTTTTTGTCTTGTGAAATTCTTCGAATTCTTTGTTCCTTTCTCTCTTTCTATCGATAATTGAAACAAAAGAGTATCGAAAGGGCTTCTAGATGGTCGGGATAAAAAGTAGTAGCGGAACCAGTAGCAAGAACAGAACACCTTCTATAGGCACTATTTCTACTATATCGTCGTCAGGTTCCTACACAATGGACCATAATATGCCTATGCCAGCTTCATCAATTACCAATAAGCCCTCCAACGGCACATCGATTTACCATACATGTCGCTCAGTGCTAGATAAACTGTTGCTTGTCGAAGGGATGAGCGTCTATTATTCAACTGTGGCAGATGGAAACGATCCTTTAACGAAATTATGGGAGTTATGCAGGAAGGGTTTACCGTTAGCCACATTATTCAATGCTTTAGAGCCCTTAGAACGCCTGACTACGAACATAAACTGCAATGATTTGACAACGAGTCAATGTAAAAAGATTATATACCATTTTATTGTTGCGTGCCGAAACCAACTATTATTTAAAGAAGAGGACCTATTCACACTATCTGATTTATACAAAGACAATACGAATGGATTTGTTAAAGTAAAGCACATTTACTTTTGTATAATAGACTCCTCAACTTCCATAAGCGAAAAAAAAAGCAGGGTCTAACTATAATGAAATTCACTTTTCCTTTTAGGTTATCAACACAATCAATATATTACTTAACCTGCTAGAAGAAAAAGGAGTTATCTGCCTAGACTTTGACAATGACAGCCAGAATAGCCTACCAAAAGATACTCGCGACAAAGTTGTTTTTGAACTATTAGAAACTGAAAGAAAATATGTACAAGATTTAGAAGTACTACAGGTAAAATAGACAGGTTAATTTGATATTTTCATCCTGTATATAATAAATTCATAAATTTATTACTAGGATTATATGCGCGAATTGCAAGTGCAACAAGTTCTAAACCCCGATACAATTCACTATGTATTTGGTAATCTAAATGATTTAGTGGATTTTCAACGTCGATTCTTAATTTACTTGGAAGAAATGGCTGAGAAAACACCTTCAGAACAGAATTTTGGATCTATCTTCCATCACACAGAAGACCAATTTGTTCTTTGTTACGAACCTTATTGTTCTAATTACTTTTCTGCTCAAGATATCGTGCAACAGGAAGCTACTAAATTAGAGAAATTAGCCAATATTTTAAACCCAGTTTATGAATTACCTTCCATGTTGATTAAGCCTGTTCAACGTATTTGTAAATACCCGCTCTTACTACAACAACTACTGAAATCAATGGATCCTAACTGGCCTTTTGTGGACGACTTGAAATTGGGCCTGATCTCTGTGAAACGTGTTACAGAAAAAATCAATGAGACCCAACGGAAGCACGAAAACTCAATTAAGTTGGAAGAGTTCAAGAGGAGAATCGATGATATGCGATCTGCACAAATTGCCCAATTCGGAGCATTATGCTTACACGAGCGAATAGTCGTAGATGAATCAGACAAAGAAATGTCGGTTTTCTTTTTTGAAAGGACCATCCTAATTTGTAAAGAGTCAAGAGACGCGTCCGGTAATAACAACGATGGTAACAATGGCCTTGCAGCTTTAAAGAAGAAGAGAAGAGGTAGTTTACAGCCAAAAGGCATGATTGTACTTTCACGTATCATATCAGTATATGACATCTCAAAAGGAGAGGGGTATTGGTGTCTGCGCATTAACTGGAAGGATAAAGAGGAAATGAACCACACCGTATTTAAGTTTAGAAACGAAGAACAAGTAAAACTTTGGGAAACAAACCTTAAAAAGAGAATGCCTGCTATGAAATCAGTTATACCAAATACCGAACTAGCATCAACTAAGAATACGGATGCAGACGAAGAGAAGAAGTCGATAAGGTCAAGCTTATTCAGTACATTCACGTCCTCATCGTCTCTATCCTTTACTTCAACAAACTCCTCTTCTACAACTTCCTCTTCTGCGTCTATATCAGGAAGACCACAGATACCGCGTTACATGACTGCAGACGATAATAGCAGTACAATGTCTACTACTAAACGCGGCCTCTTACCCAGATTTAACAGTGCAAACAATGCGCCCCAAGAACCCTACCATTACCCAGCTTCACCGCCTCCTTCCAATCCCTCATCTCCTACAGCATCCACTCATACTTCATCATCAACAGTGAGACCTATCATTGATATCGCAACCAAGTTTATGTCTCCGTCCTCGTTCTCATCCAATAACAGTAGCCACAGCAGCACTATACATGACTTTCCTTTACCACCACCACATATGACTTCTTTGCCTACAGAAAATAGCCATCGTTTGCATTCGCTAAGCAATCCCAAGCGTTGGGATATATACCATCAACAGCATATTTACTCTCAAACTCCATCATCTCCGCTCGATTCTCCCACTACTCTCAGCACATTATCGTCCTCGCCTACATCGTATTTTCACAGTCCTACAAGTACAACGGCAATGACGGCAGCAACCAATATCAAAATCAAATTGAACTTTAACCAGGGCATTTATGTTATCATGTGCTCTTCCCAGGCTACTTTTCAAGAGCTCTTTGAGAAAGTCGAGCGGAAAATACGACTTGTTACCAATATTCAGCCAAGACAGCATAAAAACAATGAAAATGATGGCCTCAAACTGAAATATCAGGATGAGGATGGCGATCTCATTACCATCAATTCTGATGAAGATGTTCAAATGGCTTTCGAGAGTCAGCAAAATAAGATATCATTATCCAATCTCAATACTACTACTCCTAGTAGTGGAGCTATTAATTTATTTATCAGTCTTTAAGATATTTATTTAGATTTATTATTTAACACATTCCACCCTATAAATATATCTCACATATATTATCATAATCTCTCCATCCTTTCCTTTTCTATAACTTATTTAAGCTTGCATCAATGGTTATTTTTCTAAATAAAGTTAAGGGTCATGCGTGTAGTACATTCCTTATACACATTATTCTGATCAAGTGACTTCTTACAGAGTTTAAGGCGAAACAGTCGTTGATTGATACATAATGTAATACAAACAAAGTTAAAATTAAGGCGCACATACCATCTTCTTCTGATGATGTCCCCTCCTTTCGAACAAAGCAGACTCGCACCTCCTGCAGAGCACGCCCATAACTAATTGCTTCAACTTTCATTTACCAGGACTGATTCTCTTCTCCTGTATTCCTACAATATGCCCTTTTATACCAAGGAAAAGAATCCATTTGCTTCTTTTGTTCGATTGAGTACTGTGAGACTGGAATTTACACCTCACCTCCCTATCGTATGGAACTTTCCAGCATATTGATTGTTAACAATCATTATCATTTTCATCTATTAAAACGACAAAGGATGATCTCTTAGCTTTTTTCCAAAGGTAGCCTACACAAAAAGTCGATATTTAGTGTCATTTCAAGTTTTAATACTGTTTCCAGATTGAGCATTTCGATATTAACTTGGAGTAGTAGAGAAACGAAATAGAACATCTGTTGAGTCATTTAACGAATGACGAAAATTCTTGTTCAAGTGCATTGTTCTCCTATAATTATTGCATTGCTTCGCATGAACAAAGGAACTATCATTAAACATTGCTTCGAAAAAGTGCATGGACATGTGCCGATTTTTAAAATAGTTACATCCATGTGTAATAAGATGCCATTGGAATGAAGCCGCGAAGTTTTTAAACCATTTAAAAGTTCCCGTTTTTTGGCGGTACATTCTTGGAGTTGACGAGGAGTTTAAGTCGATAGCTTTCAGATAGCCACATATATTGTCTTATTTAGTCATTAATTGAATGGCGATCTTTTCATATACATTAGTAGCGATCGTTTTCTGTTCTACGGAGAAAAAGAAGGTTAAAGCCAAGCACTCCCGCTTTAGTACCTTCCCCGTATTTACCAAAAATAACTAATGATAACTCTTTTGTGTACCAACTCTTTTCCCCAATGAAGAGATCGGGCCAAGTTAAGAGCTAAGAGCAATCGTTTGCAATACATTTATAATAATAGTGATTAACCAAATGGCAGACGCCAATTGCCATATAACTATATTTTCAGTTGATGCAAAGAAGCAAGGTATATAGCATGTTTGTAAGTCGACATAGGGAAGAAATGTTATGCCTCAATGATTACAGTCACACTATGATAGAGCTGTTACAGATTGTTTGCAATAAAGACATTGTCGCGTTTTACTTCTTCGGTGTGTGAATGATACAAAAACAGTAAATGTTCCTTTCTACTCTTCCACTTATAATTCCGATCGGTCTATCGTCTTAAAGCGTAAAGCAGATCACTTTTTTTTTTATTATGGATGTTGTGGATGCTACAAATGTCATCATACGCGACCGTTTGACGTGTATAATGCTAAGGTAGCAATAATTTTTTTTTTTTTTTTTTGAGCAAAGCATCGGTTTTTTAATCTTTTCTTACAATGCCTTATACATCAATTGAGTGTTAAATCAGGCATTTTATAAAAATGCGGGCATTGGTGGGGAAATCAACAAATTGCAAGCAAGCCAGATGTCCACGTGCGCCAAACCACTTCCACCATTTTTAACTATATTTTGACCTTTGAGTACCTTTGAAATCTTACAAATTCAAAAGTAGAATGGCATTCACTTATTTCATACTTAATCTGCAATGAAAATGGGAAAAAGGAAAGATTTATCTGCTAATTTCTTTTGCTTACCCTGTTAAAGCAAAGTAAACAAGGATGATTTCTGGTTGACAAGGTATTGTATTTCTTCTGCATTTTATTTCCATTCTTTCAGCAATAAAGTCTAGATCAATATTGTTCAATTGAAAAACGACCAATGCATTCTTGTCATGAAAAGATTTTAACATCTTCAAGAGTAAGTTGAAGATGTTACCTTGATAGTTTTGTTTCGTTTTCTGATCCATCGTTTTTTAAGTGTTTCTTAACGCGGAGTTGTTGAAAATGAAAAGACCACAGGTAGTTTTATTATTATTATTTTTTTTTTTTGGCAATCATTTATAGACAGATCCTGATCCCGAGCCATATCTTTCTTTACCATCTTCTCTTTTGTAATCACTTTTGAATATCGCTACTTTTTATTTTTCTCTATTTAAAAAATGCAAGAAAAAACAGAGGCAGTGATGGATCCTAATATGCTGGATAGTGAAGAGTTAAATGTCAACAATGCACTACCACAATATGATAAAGATATGACACAAGACAAATTAGCTGAAGTAGGTGTATTAGATGCGCCAGATGGTGGTAGGGCTGCTTGGAGTGTCATTTTTGGTTGCTTCTGTGTAAGTATATTCTATTGTTTTGAGCTCTATGCAACCTTGACTTAAAAAACCCTCTTTGTTCCTTTAGGGTATGTTCTCCATGTAATGTATCTGTCCATAGAAATCAAAAAGATAATCTAGATCATAACAATAAATTAGCCAAAGAAAGAAAAACGACTCTCCAACTCACCTCTCTTCCTTCGTGTTTGCTCAATTTAGATATGGCGTGAATTATTCTTGGGGCGTCTTTTTGAGAAACTATAATCAGAACGTATTTGTCGGCAGGATGAACGAACTTTCGTGGATTGGATCCATTTGTGTTGCACTATACTTCATTATAGGCCCTGTCAATGAAATGATTGTTCGTAAACTCGGTTACACCAAGATGTTAGCATTCGCAACCATCTTTTGCCCATTAGCCTTGATGTTAGCCAGTCTTAGTCATGAGGTACTGAGATTCATCTTATTGTATAGCCGCATCATTGGGCGAAAAATCATTTTAATACTCATCTCCATTGTCTCTTTTTTATTGATAATTTCATCCAGATATGGCATCTGTACTTGACACAAGGTGTCATGTTCGGTTTTGGTGCTTCCTTTGTATGGTTCCCATGCATCAGTGCTCCTCAAGAATGGTTCTCCACTCGACGTGGTTTAGCGGTTGGCATTGCTATGTGCGGTTCCGGTGTAGGCAGCCTCGTCATGGCTAACATTTCTCAAGCTGCCATGCAAACTTTAGGCTACCAATGGGCTCTCCGTATCGCAGGTTTTATTTGCTTTTTCTTCTTGATTCTGGCTACCATTTTTGTTAGACAATCTCCTGCTCATTTAGCTATTCAAAGCAAACAAGATCAAAAAAAGGAAGGTTTTAGAGAGATGTGGCAAAAGCAAAAGCAATTGATGAGAAGCGCTCAGTTCGATATGATGTTGATGGTTGGATTCATTACTACATTCGGTTATCTTACACCTTCTTTTCTTTTGCCCTGTAAGTGTCATAGTGTCTACATAAATGATTGGTCTGTATGTGAAATGAGGAATGTGTCTATGTTAATTTGCCATGCTTTATTGCTTAGCCTACGCTACCTTCTTAAAACTTAACCCTTGGGTCGGTACCAATTTATCTGCTATTACATCGGCCATCAACGCAGTATCCAAATTAGCCAATGGTTTCATGAGTGACCGTATTGGTCGCATTAACGGTTTGTTTCTATGTACATTCTTATCAGGGATCATGTGTCTGGCCATTTGGACAAATGCTAAAACTGAACCAGCTATCTGGGTGTTTGCTGTTCTTTATGGTTTCTTTGGAGGCGGTTATTTGACCCTGTTTCCTGCTTCTTTGCCACAAGTTGCCGGCTATGATAATATCACAGCAGCTAATGGTCTTCTGTATTTCTCTAATACCTTTGGTTATTTATTTGGTACACCTATTGCTTCTGCCATCATCAACCGGTCAACTCCCCCTAATTATTCTTATGCAGCTGTTTGGGGTGGTTTGATTATGGTTGTAGGTGGCTTATTCTGTCTGGCTCTACGTGTTATAAGAGCAGGCTGGAACCCTCTTGTTAAAGTATAAATCTTTATACCATTACTTATCTTGAACATCGATACACATTTATATGCAGTAACTTTTCAACTACAATATATCTCTTTACATATGTCTTTACACTGTACATTATTAGCATAATTCTTTAAAGAATCCAATACTCTATACATAGTAATAAACAAAAACAACTTTTACTTTGTTCAACGATTGCAAAAATGCTTTTTTTATTGTTCATAGGGTTGAAAAAAAAAAAAAAAAAACGACCAAAATATGTTAGATAAGACAGATGTAGGGTTACATATAAAATTGTACGGAGTGAAGGCTCTAATTTTTTTTAAAAGCTGATGATGTTTGTGGGAGAGCTTGTGTTGCCGAAGACAGACCTCTCAACAACTCCAATATACTATACAATGAGGAAGTGACGTATTGTTAGTTGATATACACATACTTCTGAGTGTACTCTCTCCTTTTTTTTGGGGGGCTTACCCTGGGTCATTTCTGATCGCTTGGTCAATATCAATTTGCTTTTTGGGCATAGGCGATGTAGTAGTATTGGGAGTAACAGGAGCAACGGCATTATAATTTTGTATTGGTCGCGCATTGGTATGAGGAATGTGATTAGTGACAGTTGTAAAGGGCGTGTTTGTCACGTTTTGTTGGTAGGTAACGGAGGGAATTGCATTATTGCTCATAGCCATTCCAAAAGAAGGGCCATTACGGGTATCTTTCATGTATCGTACTTGTTGCTGTTGCTGATTTAGTTGCTGCTGCTGCTGCTGCTGCTGCTGCTGCTGTGACTGTAATTGTTGAGCCATGGTTCCAGCCAAACTTTTCAATTGTTCGATTTCAGTTGCTGTTAACACAATCTCGGGCATACCACGACCGCTGCTTGGTTGCGATATATTCACTGGTGCTGCTGCTGCTGCTGATGATGATGATGATGATGATGGTGGGGGTGGAAGTGGAGGCTCTGTCATTACTACATCTGACATTGAATCTACGTCTTCCAAAGGGATGATAGGTACATTTATGCCATTAACATTCATAGGAGGCTCATCAGGTTCGGCTGGTGAAGGAGGAATATGATGTGGTTGAGTATAAATGACTTGCAAAACCTTGCTTTCTCTTTCCTGTTGCGCAGTGGATTCTGGTGTCGTGATACGATGTCGTAAAGGTACAGGATCCTTCATGACGATCTTGCAAGGACATCGCCACGTACTATTTCTAGGCACAATATCTATATCTTGTTCGATAGAATCCAAATGATTGAACTAGACAGAAGAAATCAAACATAATAAACGTGTAAAAAACTCAAAATCTAAGGAAATCTGGCATCGCGCATACACTAGCGCAAACAAAAATTTGAACCAGGGGAAGACTTACAAGAGCATTCCATTCATCCATATCACGTGTAAAGTACCTAACGTCAGTCAAGTTTGACTTAAATTGGACCCTTTTGGTCAATTTTCTGATTTTTTTGGGTTGTGTATCTTGATAAAGATTTGGATCGCTCAAATAATCGCTGTTTCTTTTAGATTGAAGAGATGTGGTATTGACGATATTTTTCCCTTTATTCTTCCCAGAAAGACTTTCTACCAAATTACCGATATCAAAAGAGCGTGTATCTGGACGCACAGTTGTTGTTGAATTACCGTTACTGTTATTGAATTTAACTGTGCTTGAGCCTGCAGCTTTATTTCCTGCCATAGATGAAAGAAAATTATAATCAACGATAGCACGAGGCTTTTTCGTAGCAGTTGAGGTAAACCCTGACTGTTGTAAAGGAGGAGGTTCCTTGGATATCGCTAAAGTGATTTTACTCGTTTCTGCTGTCGAAGGCGGTTCCTTTGAAATAACTAATGCGTTTGTATGAGAAGCTGTAGTAGATGGTTCTTTAAGAATAGTTGGTGTGGCTTCTGTGGGTGACGGTGCTGAATTAAAAGAAGCAAAGTTGAGTATGATGACGATGAAATAACAAATATCAGGTTTTTCATACTCACATTGGTCGTCTTCATTACTTCTGTTATGCATCATTTTCCAATCATGTATAAGACTCTTTACTGCAATTCCAAGCTCATCATTGTTATTCGCTTTGGCCATCCTCTTTATATCTCCTACGGCCTTTCTTAATTTTAGGTGTATCACTTTTTTGGTAGGTGCAATTTGACGAAGAGCCTATATTTTCGAGTGAGTACTGATGAAAAATGTAATTGTATCAATAAGACAACTCTAATTTTACCGCTATTATGTCTTTCAAAGCATTCGTATTGTTCGCGTGTAAAGCAGTGTAGATAGTCTTTTTGAGTATGTCACCGACAATTTCGGAATCCCTAATACTAAAGTTAGGAGAAGACAAACGAAAATAGAGGTTAAACCAGAACTCTGCTTTCAATTCAAATAGACAAAGCAATGATACAGACTGATTCAGTATATCTAACCCAGTAGTTTTCGACATAGGTTGCAAGACATTGGACTGTATTCTCTGCGAATCATCACCCGCACGATTAATTTTCAAAAAATCTTCAAAATCTTGTAAGGACTTGAGCCCATCTTTAAATCGACTTATTACTACATATCCGTAGAATATAATAAGACAAAAAAAGGGAATCAAGTTAGTGAACTATTAATCAGTTACGACATTCACGAAAAGAGAAACAATAAAATTTGTACCTTGATCTACTGCCAAAGCATTCTTCCCTATTACAAAAAAAATGAAGGTATAAATCAGTAATTGTAAACAGAATTTCTTGACACGCCATAAACGCGCTTCCGAGCCATCTCCTGCGCATTACTAACAATCACTATTTGATAGAAACACACCTTGCACGTCTGTTGTAGCAGAAGGAAGAGGTATTATATCTGTTTTAATCCAATAGAATAGAACTTTAATAAACAGTAAAACGGGGACTTTTCAGAACCGAATTTAAAACAATCAGATTCCTGATGCAGTACAAATTTTCCGTTTGTCCTGCTTCAAATTCTGTTCTATGTCCTCTTGCTCCTCCTTCTCTTTTTCTCTCTGCTTTTTTGGGTCTTTTGTTTTGCTCTACCGAATTGTGAAGAAAGCTATTGGGAAAAACATGCTTTTAAACATGGCTTCCGTTCCAAAAAAAATGAAGAAACAAAAGCCCTCCTCGTTTATCAACTTTATAAGTGGGCATATCGAACCAAAAAAAGTAAAAAAAAAGACCAATAATAAATATAAGCTTAACTATTAAAGCCCTTCAAATAGCAAATGTATGATATGGAATACTTCTTTGCAGGGCTTTAACCTAGAGGGGACGACCGTACAAAATCAAAGGAATGAGAAAAAGAAATCAAAGAGAGATAACAAAAGACACTTTCTTATCCATTTGAAGCAAGTTCTTTGCGACTCTCTTTTGACCATTCTCTTTCAATTTCATTTCTGTTGAACTGTACAACTTTCTTTTTGTTCAAGCTACGGTCAGAAATGATGACAGAAATAATTGTTATGTGAACTTGAGCAGTTCCAGATTCCCATATGCAACATTCCATATAGAAAATAACAATAATCGAGAAAAAGAGAGAGAGAAAGAGAGAGGACATACATAAACTGTTATAAGCAACATGTTAAAAATCTTACCACCAGTAACACCTCCACTAGACATTTGACAAAAAAATAAAAAGGCTTGTTTGAAAGGGTATAGGATAATGAAAACAAGTATCTTAGAGAAGACGTTATAAATAGAAATAGGCTTCGCTGGAAGTGAGAAAAATGGAAAAAAAGAGTTAAACGGCAACTTTCAACAACGAGGTTCTTTTTAAAGAATAGCAAAAAAAACTTAGCAAAATTATTTTATTAACCAATAGACAGCCGTCATGTGACCGCACAACCCCCCATTGTTTCAATATTCAGATAGTCCCGTCTTCTTCATATCTTTCATCTTTATAACAATCAACAATGTCTACCATTGCAACTGTTGACGAGCTTGACAGATACTTTTCGGAAACAGAAAAAAATCTCGAAATCGAGCGAGTTCTATCATGTTTTAAGCTGGACCCCTTTGCTATACTCGAACTGCCATATACCAAACCAGATCCAAAAGCAATCAAAAAAGCATACCGACAGAAGAGTTTAATGATCCACCCCGATAAAGTCAAGCATGAGAAAGCTCAGGATGCCTTTGCTCTTTTAAAAAAAGCTGAATCAGAGTTAGCAGATGAAGCACGTTTAAAATTCTTGCTGACTGTAATAGAAGAAGCTCGCGTGGAAGTTTTACGCAGCAACGGCTACAAAGTGAAAACTGAAGTGGTCTTCAATAACCAACTACCGACGATGCCAGCGGAAAGGAACGCTCCAGAAAGTGGTGCTGATGACGCATCAAAGTTGCGACCCAAGATTACAATTGAATCTAAAACGGTTGTCGATGATAAAGAATACCCTTACTTACATACACCTAACGGTCAAGCTCAAGTGAAAGATAAAATGAAGGAGATTTTGATTGAAATGGAATTACGTAGAAGACGCCAGTTGCAGAGAGAAATGGAAGCAGAAGGTGCAGAGAAAAGGAAAGCTGAAGAGAAGGTAAACGAAAGAAAGCGAAAAGCAGAGAACGAAAAGCAATGGGAAGAATCAAGGGATACCCGTGTTAATAGTTGGCGACAGTTTCAAAAGAAGGGTGGAAAAAAAGTAAAAAAGGTCAAGAAATCAGGACTGTAAGATATTATTCTTTTATTGATTTGTATACCCAGAATAAAAAAGCTACAGGCTCTATCGATATATTTCTTTTAATCGCAAATTCAGAGTGTTTAAATTGTATTTCAGACAGGTTTGTAACTATGTATATTACGCAATACAGCTAAGCATCAAGTTCCATACTATCCTCAGTTAATCAGTCAGATTCAGCTTCTATATCATCCTCTGTATCTATTTTATTCTCGTCATTGTTCGCTTGAGGCTTGTTAGTCAGATTTTCAAGGAACCAGTGTTGATATGTTTTGGCGTGGTGCATTGAAGACCTTTGAGCATGGCATTCCTTTCCATACTTGCATCTGGACCTCAAACGAAGGTATTCTATCAAAACAATATGTATCCTTGCATTAATGAATTTACAAGAAATAGCGACCATTATTAAGCACTTACGAGGTATATGGCCTGCACTATCGCTAATGCTCTCCATTCGTTTAACTAAAATCAATGATGTGATGTGGTTTGCGCATTTCTTGCATACGTGAGCATCAGTGGTTAAACCCAAAGGGACATCCCATCTTTCTTCTACTCAATAACAATAATAATCAGTGAAGCCTTCTCCTTCTTTCCGGTCCAGTTGAGATACTTACTGTAATATCCCATGTTAACAAAACTACCCAAGTCGTTATCAAAAACCTGCTTGATAGTCTTATTCGAATGAGTCAAGTATGCCTTCAATACTACCGCTTCAAACGCGTTAAACTCCTCAAATTTGTAGTCTTTTAATTCATGACTGTGAAGAGGACTCAAGGATTTACTGTCGTTGGAGCTTCCACAAAGATGACAGATATCGGACTTCTTCAGGATCAACAGGTACCGAATCTTCACTCTATCGGAAGTGTAGACGGCATATTCATTGTGATAAAGGTAAGGAATTCTTGGCTTGTTCTTTCCATTACCAGTGTCATCAGGTAGATACGGTACACATGGGCCTATAGGAATACACATCTGCAAAAAGTTTGGAACATTTAGTCTGGCTTTTTTTTTCCAGCAAAAAAGAACATAATTGTAAATCTAACACTTACGCCTGTTTGATCGTATATAGCGTTTCTGGGATCAGGAACATGTTTACCTTGTCCAAGAACAGAGTCATATTGCTCACAATTTTCGATACACTGATTGATATACAGCCCTTGCCGGCTGCCGAGTGCAACTTCACAAAGTAATAATATTCTATAGTCTGCATATCCACTTTTGCTACCACTATAATCAGTGGAGTAATTTAGTGATTTTGCGAATGTATCTGCAAAATAAACACCGTTGCCTAGCATAGCTCCCTGAATAGTAGAATAATTTTTTTTTTAAAAAAAGGACACGTCAATAAAGGTTGCAAATGCTTCCCAAAAGACGACAATTATTTTCAAAAATACCTACATTCGTGGTTGTTGTTGTCCTTGGACTGATACGAAGCCCTTGTTTGAGAATACCCATAAAATTACCAATGCATGAACCATGCCACAAAAGTTTACGATTTGCTTCACTCTCAAATGGTCGAAAACGCGCTTCTTCATCAGCACGATCGACTCCAAGAAGATGAATCAACTCGTAGTGGTCTGAAGCCGCTGTAGATTCCATGTAATATTTTACCATCTGATATTCAGCTTGCTCGTTGTTTATGTTTCGAACTGGTCTGAGGGCGCAATTCAAGGCGCGATACGCGTAGTCAAGAGGGTTGATGGTTTCCATACGATGTTTTGCTGCCAGAATAACATTTGCCGCAAAGCCAACGTAACTTATATCATCGATTCTAGAAAGTTGCGCTCGAATGCTTTGTCTCCTTTGGTCGTACAGTGATAATACATTACTGCCGTTGTTTATACCAGCATGTGGAATGAGTTGAGAATACTTAATACAATTTTGTGCTATTCTGAATGCATATTCTATTTATTTAGTGATGGTTAGCAAAACAAATTTTTATTGCCAATAATGATTTCCTCTTTACCTTTCGACAGGGAAATACTAGTCCTGTCACTATATTTGACGCGAGCAACTTCATACTTATCTATCAATTTGACAGTTTCTTGAAGAAGCTTACGCGCTTGCTCAATCCTAGCTTGAGGGATCTGTCCTAGAGGCATATCAACCTTTGTATCCAGATAAACCTCTGATAAATAACCGTAATTACAGATAAGTTTCATAAGGTTCAGTATTTCAATTGGCAACGACGTGGTGATGCCTGAAGTTAAAAAGTCAAAGTTTTCCAGTAATGTATCCTTTGGATAGTGGTAAGTTTTCAAGATTTCATAACGGCCAGGTTTGATTTCGAACGCTGTTTGATGATTTCCCCACGAATTACCGGTTTTGGATTTGAAGATGGCCTTGAACTCGCAAACAGCTTCTTCTTTCGTCAAATAAGGTGCTTTTTGATTTTGTCCTTCTTGACCAAATGGACCCCAGCGAGTCCATACGACATACACATCCAGTACAGTATTATAAATAATACTCAATTTATAAAACCTATAATTTATTGGCAATGAGTGAGTAGAGACCTTTATGAAGGGGCTCCGGTAGCATGAACTGTGCTTCTTCTTTTTTTATACTTACGTAGTATCTGTATAAGAGCCCCAAGAATTCAACTCAACTTTCATTAGCATAATATCATAAGGGCATTCATTCTCCTGATCCAAAAGCACAACACCCGCCACTTGTAAATTCGAGTAAGGGTCCACCTCTATCAATGTTGATTTTGCAGAATCTCCATTATAATGTTTTTTCTTTTTCTTCGTAACAATTTTTCTCAGTTTTTCCCGCTCATTATTAGCATCTTCATCTATTTGTGCACTGGTGATGAATCCAGTAGTAATTTCATTTTTCGCTTCAGGCGAGTGCGTTACAACATCATTATTCAGTTGTAAATCACGCAACTGTGGACGAATATCCACAAAGAACTTGTAAAACTTTTGATAATTGTATCGATATGCGTAGTCTAACGGACAGAGACCTATCAGCAAAATAACACTATTTTGTGAGTCTAACGTATAGCTAGTCTTAAAAGTATATCAACAAGGTACCATTTTGATTCTTCATCGTTAAGAGTATTCCCAGTATATCAAACGATATGTAATGCTGGACAATTGATGTCATCAAGTCCATGTTAATACGAGAATAACCAGATGTACCTCCAATCAAGTAGTAAATGACATTATTATTGTCTTCATCTTGCCACAGCCAGTTGATTGTTCTTTTTGATTTCTCGAGGACTAAAGTAATAATGTCCATATTGTTTTGCAGCAAAGCGTGCAGAAAAGCGGGCAATTCGTGTCCCAAAGGGTTGAAACCTGGATAAGCAATCAAACTGCAAGTAGTATGGCCAAAACTCTGAGCATTAACATCGGCACCATGTGAAAGTAAAAACTATATTTTTCAGGTAAGTATACAATTGAAAGTTTTCAAAAATTTTGTTTATTTCATATAGATCTACAGGGAATTTACCTCTGTCAGCAATCTATTTTCAGTTCGAATAGTGAACTCTAGCGGAGTCATTCCTGTCAGTTTATCGATATGGTTCACTTTCAAAGGTATACTGGACAATGAAGGATTTAATCGTAAAATTTTGGTAAAAACCTTGCTGTTGATTCTGAAGAGCCTGGCTTTGTGGTGAATGGGGGTTTGTGCAGCTGGTGGCTGCAGACTTCCGAATATGAACGTATACAGGATTGAACGGTCTGTGTTAACGTCAATGTCGTTAAGAGCTACACCATAATCCAATAATAGCTATTGTCGGAATAACAACCTTATCAAACCAATTCGAGAAACACTTATGATATCAAAACGCATACCTCTTGATTTTCCACGAAATCCAGCCTGGCATTGAAAATAAAACACGAGTCGCTATTTTCACGCTCTGCTTCGAGTCCGCGAACATTTGGATTAGCACCAGCTTCAAGTAAGGTCTAGATGTAATTATATCATTAGTTGCTGTCCGTAAAGGGAATGACAAGATGTAAGTATTATACCTTCAGAAAAAGTTGCTTTTCCCAAACCGTTGAAATGAAAATAGGATGAACTAAGGCCTGGTATTTTACACCGTTGTCATCTTTGCGCTCAATATAACTTGACGTATTGACATCACAACCAAATTTGATGAGCAGCTGAAGCATATCAATATTTTCTTTCAGACAAGCTACCATAACAGAATTTGACCATCCATTAAAACTATCTCCGTCATCCGATGCCGCTCCATGCTCAAGAAGCAGCCTCATAATACCTAATTGAGAGTCTTCAGCTGCTTTCAAAAGGGCCGATTTATGTTTGCCATTATTTTGCCTCGTAACAACAGCGCCAGCTTCCAAAAGTATCTATTACAGAATGTTAGTAGGCGATCAAATGTTATTTCAAGAAAAATTGCGCAAGCTATATACCTTGACACATTTCAAACTTCCCGATTCGACTGCGTACTCTAATTCAGTGAGATTATCTTCATCAACACTGTTAACATTTGTTCCCATGCTTAAAAGTTGTAGTAGCAGCGTATTTTGTCCATGCATTGCTGCATAGTGCACAGGAGTTCTTCCATAAACATCTTTGCTTACAGGTAGGGACGAGTCAGACATCAGTGGCATGATAGACTTGAGGTACTCATCCCAAACCTCGCTGTAATAAAGGAAAAATAACAATAAGTAACGTGGCATCTTTGCTTGTCAAAATTTTTAACCAGATTACCTATCAAAAGGTTTGAAATTAGCTAGAACATGCCAAAGGTTATGGTGCTTCTCTTTAATTAGCGCAGAAGAGAGGATTTGTCTATCAGCTGATTGTATAAGCGTTTCAGCCATGTGAAATTTTCCTGGAATAAAAGAAATGTGTCCTTGGGTGTTATACAATAAAGTCATTTTTCAGAGTTATATATATCTTACCATTAATCAACGCATCTTGCACAAATGCTACAGATGGAATATTAGATGGTATGATCAGGCATTCAATTTGCTCGTAGTATTTTAAAGACTTACGTAAAATGGGGTAAGCCTTATTCATGATCAAATAAGCAATGTTGACAATGGATCTCGATAGCGCAAAATCCAAAGTTGAAGTCTGTGAAAGATCTTTTAAGGTAATCTTATCGAATGCAGATGCACCATTGCTACAAAGCATCATGGAATAGTCCACATGGTTATTCAAAAGAGCCAATTGTAACGGTCCATTCTATAATTTTTGTTTTAGCAGCTCTCGAAATAAATATCAGACTAGCGTCAAGAATACTTACTTTGTCCTCGTCCAGCGTATTAATATTAATACCTTTCTGTATAAGTAGAGTGGTACAGCTGTAAGCACCAACGCATGCTGCATAATGTATAGGTGTTCTTCCAAAGATATCTTCAGCTTCATAATTAAGATCAATGCAGTTCAACAAATACTGTAGAATGTCTATGGGATCGAACCTCTGAAATGTATCATCTTCCTTCTCCCAGTAACAGTCGACATAATTTTTCAATAACTGATTTTCCTCTTTGTTAAGCATAACCTTGTTCACAGTCTGCATTTGTGTACCATCCTCACTTTTCAGATGCTCATTTATATGTTTTTTTGCCGCTTCAATAAGCCATGTGTCGGGTACATTTTCAGTATATATTTGATCATTCAAAGTGTATTTGGAGATGTAATTTTCCAGCATCTTTTTTTTGTTCTTTTCTAACTCTAGATCATTACGAAGCTGTTCGACTTTTGGAAGTAACAACACTGTCTTAGTTGTACGTGGAATATAGTTCTTCTTTATGAATGCATAGTGAAGAGGAGTGCGGCCTGCATATAAAATAGATGGAATAGGTTATTTAAAGCAGCTACTGGAAGTGTAAAAGTTTATAGTTAGACTTACCTAGGAAGTCAGCTGCATTTATGTTTGCGCCAGCATCAATCAGACTACGTTCAATGCGAAAAGACCGATTGTTTTGGTTCAGGGCTCTTTCGACAGTTAAATGTAATGCTGTTTGGCCTTTTATATTTGAGCGGTTGCAGTCAGCGGAATACTCCAGTAACGCATCAACCATTCGAAACTGATTATGCAATACAGAATGATGCAAAGATGTGTTTTCATCCAAATCAGTCAAAGTCACATCCGCTCCACATCTCAGTAGAGACTTAAGAATTTGTAACTTTCCACTCTTGACGGCTTCATTTAAAGGAACAGATTGAGGTTGGCAGAAGTTTGGATCAGCTCCCATAGATAATAATTGCTCAACGACGTCGGCATTTCCATGTTTACAAGCATAGGATAGTGGGGTGCTTCCATATTTATCGAAAATATTAGTATCAAACACAATAGATGCTGATTTCAAACCCTCAAGGTATGTTTTAAGGGTATCACGTTGATCAAAACGACAAGCCAACGTTAATGCCGTTTCGAGTTCTAGGTAATATAACGTTAAAAAGTGAATTCAGAATCGATGTTTTGATGAGTACTATAAACTATATCTCAGGTATTAGAAAGTACTTACCCCGATTTTGATAATTATGTTTGATATTGATAACTGATGTTCGAATTGCGGTTTTTATCAAATGATGGCAATTGAGCTTAATGAGTTTGAAAAAAACGGTATCTGTATTATTGTACTGCATGTTGACATCGGCTTCATTCTCTAAAAGCAGTTCAACGGTTGTCGTGTCTGCTTTAAAAGAGCTTTTAAACTTGACTTCAAATGCATCTACGGCGGCCATTAGAGCTGTGTGACCTAGATCATCTTGTGAATTAATACTCTCGTTCTGTAAAGGCTTGACATAACACATCTGTCGAAGAATATCCGTGTATAAGTTTGACGATGCTATCATCACCGGTGTTTTGCCTTTTTCACCGGTAGCATAAGGGGAAGCACCATAATCAAGAAGTATTTTGATAGTCCTGTTAAGAAGCATACAGAAATCAGGCTTGACGATATCAAACTTTTTGTTGATATACTCCAAAGTTTCTAATTTGTCATTTGGAAGCTCTTGTCTCTCATCTGTCTTTTGATGACAAGCCAAATTCATTGGTGTGTCACCTAATCGTCCTCTTATGTTGATCCTTGTATTTGCGTGTGCACCATACTTCAATAGAAGCTCTACTAATTCGGGGCATTGTGATTGACATGCTAGAAAAGTCAATAGGATTAATTTGTGCCATTGCATTTGAAGAATAAGATAAACGTACCCAAATGAAGCGCAGTGTATCCTGTATAGCGTGGATACTGCAGAATTTTTGAAACAACTTCCTTTTTTCTATCAAAGTCTTTCGGTAATATCACTTGAAGATCTGGATTTGGCTTGGTTAGCTTGATGAAGCTCTCCATTATCGAAATCTATTTAAAAATGTATGAGTGTTAGGTCTGTAATATATATATATGAATGCTAAGCTGAACCTCAACTTTTACTCACATAGAACTCAAATTGAAGAGTCAGATCCACTGTAAGCTGCTTCGTGTGCTTCAAAAAATTGTTGCTAACTACCCATGAGTCTGTTACACTTGATCTTGTGGAACCAAAAGCTGAAGTTTTTGTATTTTCCACTGCGGCGCATGAGATAAGCTTTTTTTCCTTAGTAACCGCCTTTTTCTGTAAATCAATTGCGGTTAATACTGAAAGCAGTAAAGGTGTGTAGCCATTGTCATTGACCGCATTAATCTGGTTTTAAAAGAGGTTCAAAAGGTTATACCGTGAGGGGTAAACAGTTTTCGCATCAGTCAAAAACACTTACATGGTCATTGCTGTCAAAATCGATGATCAATAGCGGAGGACTTAACGCATTTTCAATAGATCGCCATATCCTTTTAGTAACATCAATAAACCTCGTTTTTACAATGGAATCGAATTCCTGAGGAGCTCTTAGCGAGTTCACAAATGCAACCAACTTTCCAAAATAGTGATAAAAGTTATTGCCTTTTACATCGGTACTACTGTCCAAAAAATTGTAGCCTGCTTCTAGAAAAGTGGCCACCAACAAATGATGATTGTTCGCCATTGCACATATAAATGGTGTTTCATTCTGTCGATTTCTAAGATACATATCAGCCTTGGACTTCAGCAACATTTTGGCAATTTCTATTTGATATTCAATTCCGCAAATGTCATCGAGGGTCTTTACTGTGGCTTCTTGGCCGATATTTTGGTATCCTTCTAATTTTGTGGGATAAATAGAAAACCAGCCCTTGGGTTGCAGTAATACATAAGATTCATCCATAGCCAACAGATGTAGCGATGAGTTTCCTATTGTTTAACATAACTGAGTAAATTAAGCGACTTTAAAGTCAATGACACAATCACTTACCGTAGATGTCTTGGCTGTTGGCATCAGCATTCATTGATAACAACAATGCAGCTTTGTTAAGGTTAATAGCTATTTCAGACTCTGACCTTACTGATTCTTGAATACAATGTTGTAGCATTGTGCGCCCGTCTTGATCTTTGAAGTTGACATTAATAGGATGCTCTGATAAATTTAGAAGGTATCTAACTACTGCTACATGACCCTTCATATTTGCTACTGAGCAAGGCGTACTTCTCCAAACATTATTGACTGTGGGATCTGCTTGACCATAAGTCAAAAGTAGATGAAGAATTTCAATATATCCGAAGGCAGCAGCATAATGAGCTGGTCTATTAAGTGAGGTATCCCCCATATTTGCATCCACACCTTCTGCCAAGAGATAACGTACTACGTGTAATTGCCCATAAATGCATGCTAGATGTAGTGCGTTTCTCCCATACTTGTCACCTTTTTCTGGATCAGCTTTGCCTTCTTCAATAAGAACACGAACACAGTCAAGGTAACCGTTCCTTGAAGCATAATGAAGTGGCGTTTGCTTGTCTAACTTTTCGGCAATATCAATTGGCGCACCATAGTTAACTAATATTTTGCAAGTTTCTGCATGCCCGTAGTAAGCGCCGTAGTGTAAAGCGGTTCGTTTATTCCTTAAGAGCGTCTGGAATACTGATGATGATATTTCACTACCATCTTCAGTATTTTTTAAGTGTTTAATGATTAGCTCTACATTATGGCTACGTCCCATTCGAGCTGCTTGTATGAATGGGGTCATTTTGTATTTATCGTGCTGTTGGATATTGAAGTCGACAGAAATCAAATACTCCAAGCAGGCAGAATTCTCACTCACAGCGGCGTAAAAAGCAACGGTTCTGCCTATTGAATCGGTTTGTAAACGCTCAGCTGCATCTAGGGCTTCGTAAAATGTCTGCAAATGTATAGAAGATGGATGAATAGCAGAACAGTGATAGGGTGTAAGATTGCATGCATCAAAAGCCATTTTCAATATCTGCGAGCGTTTGTAACTACTTAATTCTTGGGCAATGTGGTTCTGAATTTTCAATGGTTTAAGTTTAACTGACATTGCTTATATGAGTGAACATATTAAAATCAATTCTCACAAACCTTCAAAAGCTCATTGTGTAAATGGTTAAAAGTTTGGCGACCTGTATTTTGCTGCATCTGCTCTAATATCTTTGTGGATAACAACCGATTACCCGAGCTCACCGCGAAGTACAGTGAAAGTGAATCACTTGTGATACAGTTCACATACAGGTCACTTACACCCATTACCTGAAATATATCTTTACTGATAACAGGCATAAAAGAGCGTAGTTTACATTTGTATAAAATATCCTCAACAACCATGTAGCTTCTGGAGTTTGCTGCTCCTTTGTAGAATGCTGAATTTCCCAACCTGTTGCCTCGCAGCTCTTGAACATTTCTAACAAGAATAAAAATATAGTGGCGTCAATACAAGAGAAGTACTATAAAAATACTTCAGCCGGATTTCGATGTATACCTAAAAGACCGATGCGAGTAAATACTTCCTCTATTGTTATGGCCTGTATTCTCTGTATAAGTCGTATATTTAGTTGGAACTAATGGTCGGCATGTCTTCGCTGCCTTTAAGTCTGATTTGGCCTGGCTGATAATCTCCACAAATTCTGGTTTGTTGAGAGTAATTGCATAGCTCACTAAGTCGAGCCCATTCGGGGCATCTTCATTTGTGTAGTGCGGGATACTGCTAATATTGTTAAAAGCGGTTTTAAAACCCTCTAAATCATCTCTTTCCAGACAGTTTCTGTATATGCCAGATGAACATGTAAGGCAGCAATCACTTTTATAGGTGTGATTTAGTTCGGTTAGAATATGATCTGCATTCAAAGTTGCTCGGTCCATTAATCTTTTTGCTTTCTTTTCAGCTTGTTCTTCATTATTTATCTGCTTTTTTGTTTTTTTTCTCACACCATTAGCACGCGTTCTGGTAGTAAGGTGCATAACAGTATCCTGTGATCTGCCTAGCTTCCGTTTTTTAGAATGTAGCTCATAAACATCCTCTGTCGCATTAACTGAGTCCTGCTGTTTCAGTGCTAATAGTGCTCTGATCTTGGCTAATCTGGTTAACTTAGGTCGGGATGTTGATGTCCCCAAACGCGGTTGTTCAGCTTGATTCCTCGTTTTATCCATTTGAATTATGGTGTAAGCTGAATCATTTTCAACATTTTCGTGATAATTGTTTAGAATATCCAAATTGTCGATTTCATCTTCAGACTCCCAGCTCTCAGTTTCTCTTCCTTCGCGTTGAACAAGATAAACAATCTTCCCCTATTATTCAAAACAAATTCTGTTTCTTAGCATTGATTTTCATTGTAACGTAAAAGAATCAATTAATCAACCAATTAGTTTGTACGTACAGGTAACTTTCTGAAGTTTCGAATGGCTATTATGTTTCCTGGCTGTTTTTTTGATATGTTATGTCTTTGAGAGTGTGGCCTCTTAGTGACCCTCTCGATTGAAGATTGATTTTCCAAACTTCTTGTCATATGCTTCTCATGATAAAGGAGAATTATATGTTTGATTAAGATGGTTAGTTGACGAGGTAAAGACTGTTATATACATACATTTTTGTTTCGTTTCAATGCAAAAGTTGAGTTAGTTATTCAATAGATGTGGATAGTCAATTTTTGTTTTCTTTTGACTTTGCTTTTTTATTGGTTTCTCTGCAAAAGTAGCTGAAAAAAAATGCGACCTTTTATACAAAATTCCTGTTCACAGATTTAATCCTATAAAATATAGCATGTTGTCTAGCTGCGGCATATTTTTATTGTGCATGGTGATACTAGTTGCCATAGAAACGGCATAAGATTGAGAAATTCCTTGAGGTGGAGTTAAGAAATTAAAAGGGGAATCAGGAGAGCGCTTATATGTGTAGTAGCTCGGTCCGCACCCGTAATAATATGTCGATGCAAAGCATACCGAAAGCCGATGGCTTTCAATCACAGGTATAATTTATAAATAGCAAGCTTCGGTAATGAGGGTATTTAAAAACGATAAAAGGAAAATGCTTAATCAATCAGCAGCATAATAATGTTAATGAAGGTAGAAAATAAATAAGAAGTAAGGCCGTATAAAATACAGCTACAACCATGCTTGTTTGGTATTAAGTTCTTCATTGCTGTTGCATTTCAGTCTATAATGACAGAAGAGGCTGAAGGTGCAGTTGTTTTTGGCTTCTTTTTCACATGGAAAGTATTTGAGCCTTTGGCTGCTGCCTATTAAAACAAGAAAGAGCCAATGCATATAAATTAACAGAAAAGTGGATGTATGCACAAGGTATTAACAGCTAACAAACTTACAACTTCATCCAATACGGATTTGATTTCATTCTTTTTACGTTTTAACCCAACTTGACATTCTTCAACTGAGACAGGCTATGAAAAACTTTTAATGTCTCATTTGATGGAATGGCAAATAGTAAAACGATCTTACTTGATACATGAGAATTCTTGTCCATATATCTTTGTTTGATTTCAAATGTTGTATAATCTCTTCTCTGACATCAGGATCCACTTTCGTATTATTGTTGTTCCTAACATTATTGTCGCTGGTGATTGATCCGCCGATGTTGATCAAATCAATGACTTCCTCTTCCTCCTCAGACTCTTCGACTTGAACTTGCTGTTGTTCAGAGCTTTGTTGAGTTTTTTTATAACGATTATCATCCGTAATACTATGACTACTACCGCCGGTATTATTACTTGTGCCCTCATTGTTTTTGTTTTTCTTGCTTATTTTGTTCATTTGCTTCATTTGGTGTAGCGTTTTAAATATCTTCTTCAATTCTTCAATCATTTTTGTTCGATTATTGCTCGTTTTGAAGCCATAGCTCTTCAATTTGGCTTTCAATTCTGGTGTCGATAAAATATCGTAATCAGGCAATTCTATAGTCGAAATGGCTCCTTCTTCTTCTGTCATTACTTTTTGTTCAATAACCACTTCCTCGTCAATGCTTGCTTCCGTTTCCTCTACCTCTATTTGTGATGAAGCTAAATCTTTTTGAGAAAAGAGCGATGTTGACGATGGTAGATTGGTTTGTGAACGTGAATGCTCAAATTGAGATGAAAAGAACGAACGCTGCTGTAGTTGTGACGACCGGAGTGGTGAATATGCAGAGTGCAACCCTAAACTCAAAATATGTGGATCAAAGCTACCGTTGCTCATAGGTCGATTATCCGCATCCGAGGAGGATAATATAACAATCTCATTATTAGCAGTGGCGTTTACTGAGGTAAATAGATTATTTGTTGTTCGATCCCCCTCCAAAGTGGACAGCAAATCATCCGCTGTTGGCTGTCGCGACTGTGAAAGGGAGGGTATATGTGACTATAAGAGTCCCAAAAAATGAATGAATAAAATTACTTTCGTCAGCCACTTAAAGAAAATCAACAAATTACCTCGTATATAATGCACAGTAAGGGTAGTAATCTGGCATATCGGACATCCGTGAATACAATCTTTTGTAGATCAATAGGTTTTTCTTGATTCACTTGACTCGAAATCATGTCAAACGTCTGTTTAGATACGTCATTTAAGCAAGCTGAAATAAACTTAAGCTCTCTGGGTAAATGTAAAGCCAAATTGCCATCATTGCTGCTTCCTTGTGTTTGCTGCAACTGTTGCTGTTCCCTCTGATTGGATATTGTTACTACTTCCTTCATGCCCTCTAAAGTATACTTAGCTAACAGACTATGTAAAGTATCAAGTATTTCCTCAGCTACACTTCGTTGTTCAGCTAATTGGGCTGCATATCCTACAAGTCGTTGAATCATTTCCTTATCATCCTTGCTGTAGCTGTTATTATCATTGCTCAATGCGTCGGGTAACAAAGTATCTTTCAAGACACTGTTACCTAGTATAACTGACAAACAGAAGTAAACATTGGGAGATACGTCTTGATTGACACATTTATCTTCTGAGGGTTTCTCCAGATCGGTGATACCACAAATAGGACAAAGGTCGTTATCAAAATCATAATCGCCATATAATTGCAAGCGATCGGGCGAAGAAGGTGCTGTTGTTGTTACTGCTGGTTCTGGTGGCTGTAAACCAAAAAGCTCCAACGCCTCTTGTTCAATCGTATTTTGACGTGTGTTTTCCAGTCTCTCAGGATTAAATAAAGGCAGAGGTCTCAAATTCATTTGAAAGCTAGATCTAAAGGGATCTCCCTCTGAATAGCGTTGAGAAAGTGCAGACAAATTTTGCTGCATTGGCGAAATGGTGCTATTTTTGAAATGGGCATGAAATTCGATCTCCTTCTCTCAGGAGGTGTTGATTCTTTGACGAATGGATTGTCAAACTATGTTCTTTAAAGTAGTCAGCTTTGCATAGTTCAATGTCTAAGTGGTGTCGAAGGTGCAAAACTGTAGCATAAGTATATATTTGATTGTTATGTTCTATCTTCTGATGCTTTTAATATTTAATAAAGCCTTCATTTGATGGCAATTATGCACGAAAAGCGGGACCTGTAAAAAATATAGAGCGGTGAATAAGTAAAAGATCAGTTTTGCAGACAGTTTCGCGTGAGTTAGAGCTCAAGTATATCCGTTCTTCCCTTTCACTTAGAGAATCTCTGCAAATCAATCTGCAAAATAGCAATGGAAATAACCAGACAAGAGTTTTTGCAAAAGCTGCCACAAGTTGAGAGAGCCATTAAAGAGTGTGACATAATCGCCATCGATACCGAATTATCAGGTAAACCGATTGAAAAGTCGTTCTCCCGTTCAAAATCGAACATTGTACATCAGCTTTATGCTTTTAAAGCTGACTATGCTTGGTAAAACGTGAGCTTTACAACGTGACTGAATGGTGTTGCCAATTTCACTATTTTAGGGCTCCATCGTCCTCCTACCCCTATTCGACTTTATTCTATGAAGGACCGCTATGAAGAATATAAAGAGGCTACAAAACGCTTTTTGATCATCCAGTTCGGTCTCTGTACTTTCACGTGGGATGCAGCGTCCAACCGCTATATCGCCAAACCTTTCAATTCCTATATCTTCCCAACTAGTATCACAGGTCAAATCAATTCCAATCGTGTTTTCATGACACAAGCACAAGCTTTTGATTTTCTAACAAAGCAAGCCTTTGACTTTAATAAGTGGGTCTATCAAGGTATACCTTATTTAAGCAAGGATGAAGAAAAAGTGTTGGTTGCTGAAGCGAGTAAGAAGCTGAGGGATGATATGCCGGATATTCAAATTGATGAAAAGGAAATGGAATTTGTTGAGAGCGTTAGACAGAGAGTACGAGCATTTTTAGAAGACAACGTACAAGATGACGACATGTCTGATTCTCCGGTAGCTACCGAAGAAAATAATAAGGATGACAGTAACAGTAACAATGTAAAAACGTCAGAAAATAAAAACGGTATCAATATAGTGACAAAAAATGCTTATCAACGGAGACTCGTATATCAAGAAGTGCGAAAGTAACAGCAAAAAGGATGAAAGAAAGTTCATAGTTATTTAATAGTTATGTTAACATGTCATGTCGTTACAGATATGAAGGACTGTCTCCAATCGGTAAACAGGGTTTTATTCGTGTCCTCAAATTAACCAAAGCGCAGGAAGCGAACAGAAAACGCGAAAAGTTGGAGAAATTTGAGAAAGACTGCACATACGCCGTTGGCTTCAGGAAAATTATTGATATGATCATTGAATCTCGCAAGCCATTGATTGGGCACAATATGCTGCTGGATATATGTCATATGATAGCCCAGTTCGTTGAACCATTACCTGATACCTTACATGACTTCAAAACTCTGGTTCACCGACTATTCCCAAAGTAATGCTTGCATAAGATATCTTATATATCCATTCTATTGAGCACACATGTAATAATTGAACATTTTTTAACAGTATGATAGATACCAAGTACATGTGCATGTCGCAACGCGAATTGAGAGTAAGTATGGTAACAAAGTCTTTCCTCAAAACCACAGAACCTTAATTTTTATTTGTTTTTTGCAGTCTATATTTGTAGATGGTACTGGAACAGGAACAATGCTAGAAACGCTTTTTTTCGAAACTAAAAAGGGTGCTTTTCAAAATCCGTATGTTGATGTTCACGCAGAGTTTCCACGCTACTTAACAGAAATGGCCCATGAGGCAGGTTATGATGCATATATGACAGGTTTTGTATTTTTAAAATTGTTGGGTTTTTTGGATAAAGCACGTCATCCGCGAAAATACGAAATACATGCAGCTGCTAAGAAGACTGAAGAGGAAAGAAGAGAGAAGGAGAGGTTAAAAGCCGCAGAGCAACGAGTAGATGCTGATGGCTGGGATATTAGTGATGAAGACAATGCAGACGATCATGGTTGGAATGAAGAAGAGGATAGCGACGTCTTTGATTACGGATCTGTCCGACTTAATCTAACCGATATATACAAAGATAGCATCCTGTCCGATATCACGAATAAGGCTGCTTTAGTCAGAACGGCATATGAATATTTCGATTTTGCTGGCTCAGAACACATATCCCCGAATGTCGATGCTCTGTACATTATCAAAAAGAAAGAAGGCGCGCCTTTCAATGAAGAAATATTATCGGCGCTTTTTTCAAAATATGGTAAACACATTATTGAAGTAAACGATCACAATTCAGCATTTGTTGTGTTTGAAAGATTACAAGACAAAATAGAAACCATTACAATACAAAGTGAAGATTTTACAATTACATCTTTGTCGACTTATCTGGCAACAATAAAAGATGCGAGTACCGACCAATAACGTTTTATACATTCATTCTCTTTGCAGTTCTAGAAATAAAGTACGATTTATAGTATATCAACACTTTCATTTTACATTATGTATGGGAGTAGTTGCTTTAAAAGAAATGCTATCCTACGTTCCAAAAATGTAGGTCTTAAAAACGCAGTATATTATGGGCATCTAAGATCATAACTATACCATAAGTGTGATAATCAATAACGAAAGGGCAACGAAAATAACTTGATTGATGTAGTGTAAATTATTGTTTACATATGCTTACAACTGGAAATGGGTGATTATTGTCCAGTTTTTTTTATTTCACTGGCTTCAAACAGGCCTATAAAATTGTATTAAGTCTGAAACTAAGCAGCTTTATAGTATACTGTAGTTTTGAATCGTGAGCATTATAAGCGGTAAAATATACAAAAAGTATGCTCACAAATATGGATACGAAAAGGGGAATACTGCAGAGCTTTATATGTTAATAGTAAAAGTAATACAGAGTATAAAATAAGAAATATGGGAATTTTTGCTCAACACCATCCAAATGGAAGACTTTTGAACCATTTTTACTCCTAATGCCCCCACTAATGTCATCACCACTAAATTACTATGTAAAACTATCACCATTTAGTGCCTGCTGTCGATTTTCTGATGTCATCATTGCAGAGCGAACAGCTTCGTCAGCACTCCAATGGAAAAAAGGGTATATGTCTTTGGGTAATGGTATTCCTTCTAAAGAAGTGATAGATGTTGCCGTTGATGGATATGGTGGATTTGGGCCTGCAGATATTTCAATAAGATTATCATGCTGCTTTTCGACTACTGACTGTTCATTTTCAACATGTTCAATATGGAACCTATTCTTATCTTTGCTGTCGTCATGACTACTGCCTCCATCGACGGGCGTCATTTGCGTTTCTATATCCTGATGCTGACGCTGATTTGCTGATAATTGTGGGCCATCTTTCGAAGCAGGTACCACCGGAAGCACTTCAGCACGGGTATCATCTCCTGGTCGTGGTTGTGTACCAAAGTTAGCGACAATCAAACAGCGTCGAATAGCAGGGTGCAAAATATTGACAAAATGGAACTCTACATGGTGGCCACTATAATTATTTAAAGCATTCTGTACATCAATAATTGCTTGTAAACCGCTGGAATCCATCCGATTCACACTGCTAAAATCAATAATTAGAGCATGTAGTAGAGGCAGTCTTTCTCGCGCTGCGATCACTTCTGAGGTAGCATCATCATTCCATGGTCTCTGCCCCTTTTTGATAGTTTGTCGATTGGCTGATGGGCGGCTTTGCTCTTTACAATAGCTGATGATCTTTTCCGATATAAAACTGGAGTTTGGATAGGTCAACGACTCATCAACACGGCACATAAGAATACCAGCAGGTAAAGGTTCAACAAATTTACCCAATGAAGGATGCTTTTCAGATACGTATAGATAATTTTGTATAATACTAGTAGTAAGGTTCGGCTGTGAGTTCTTCACTTTCGTCTGTTGATAATGCTCCTGTATATTCCTGATATTCTTATCGCAACTATAGTCGATGGAAGCGACGGTTGTGCTTAATGGTATACGACCCAAACTCCAAAAACGAGGACGAGCGATACGGAAAAGAAGAATAATAATTGACATAGCAACAGAAGCATAAATACCATACTCGACAGTGGTGAAGAAGGTGATGATAACTGTGACCCCAAAAATTAAGAGTTCCCATAAACTGACAGCCGCTAAGCGTTTAATGTAAGAAGGCCCAGAAACAAGCCCAGCCACAGCGTGGATAACAACAGCTGCCAGCACACTATCTGGAATGTAGTAAAATGCAGGTGTCAATGCATACAACGCCAATAGAACGACCAATGCAGAAAAAATACCAGCAATAGGAGTTTTGACACCGGACCTTGCTAAGATGGCGGTTCGTGAGAAAGAACCTGTAGATGGATATGCACCAAAAAATGAAGCAAGAATGTTTGTGATACCGATAGCAGTAATTTCTTGATTCGGATCAATTTTGTAGTCGTTAATTCTACCGAAAGACTTAGCAATGGCCACGTGCTCCAAGATAAGAATGATGACACCGGAGGGAAGCGAGCTACTGATACCTGAGATTACTGATGTACGGACAACAGGTACACCCATAGCAGTAAATCCAGGAGGCACCGTTTTCAGAATGCTAATCGGACTGGTAGATTTTCCAATATTGATTGAGAAGGCAATTAATGTTCCAAAAATAACGACAATACCATTTCTCATAATACTGATAAAGAACAAATGCATAATGTATTTCGGATACCGTTTTGTTAGCATTTGGCATGTGTAACGGACACCGTAGAGAAAGAATAAACTGATGAGTCCAAAAGCGACGTCAAGTTTCGTATGTGATAAATTTCTAAAGAAGTTGCCAAAAATCAAGTAGGAAGAGTCTTGAGTGTTAATGCCAGGAATACCAAAAAGTTTTGGCATTTGACCGATTGTAATAGTAATGGCAGAACCGCTCATAAAACCTGCTATTGCCGGAGCTGATTGATTTTTGTTTTTTTGTTATATTCATTTGTTCATATTAATATATAGATGTTATGTATTAGTTTATATAAGCTGACAAGAATACGTAAGGTTTTAAAAGTGTCATGCGGATTTTTAGCTTTTTGTTCTTTTCCTTCAGGATCTGTCTTACCTGGTATAAAATCAACAAGGATACCAAGTCGCACTAATCCGAGAAATGTAGTAATAGCACCGGTTAATAGTGAAAAAACAACAGCTATTTCCGGTCCTGTCATTGATAAGTCAGAAGAAACCATACGCGTAATCGTCTGACCCATTAGCAAGGACATAACAGCTACAAGTTTAAAGTGTGTCAATGATAAGTGGGGAGTTCAAATGACCTTACATTTCGATATCGTGCATTTGTACAGTAAATGCTTGTAATAACTTCATACAACGAACTGATCATTATTACCTGTAGGACCTATGCTAATATCTTTTGATGTCGCGAATAAGCAATATACGCATAAGCCAACAAATGCAGTACTATGAAAGCACTCAGTTATTTTTCTAAGGGAACGACTACAACGACTTTTAAAAGACACTTACTATAGTCCATATTCAGGAGGAAGTTCAGCAATTTTAGCATAACCCATACTTTGTGGGACAACAACAATACCAACAGTGATTCCAGCAATTAAATCGTGAAATAGCCACTATAAGATACAATTGCAATGAATCGATAGTTAGCAAAGTCTGTAAACTCATGTTTACGAGTAATCAAGTTATAATCTGATTAAATTATACCATCAAATTGTATCGATGTATCCAAGAAGCGATCGGAAATAGACTGAATAAATAATTCTTCGTATACGCGGGCAATTGGGAGAAAAAATAACGCAACTCGTCCTTATATGATACATTGTCATAATCTATAATGATTTCATTGCTATGCCAACCCTCATTAAAATGTAACTGGTCCTTATTTTCAATCATTTCTTTCCGAAATAATGTATGAGAAAAAAGGAAGCGAAAGGAAACGCAGTAATCAGTGCAATTAAATAAATGAAGAAATAAACATTAGTGTATGAGTGACAGAAAATTAAATTGACAGACCGGTTGCACAGTGATGTAAATGCATGCAACTAAACAATCAATTTCGTGAAAGCCAATGTGATAAACCTATATCTTAGCAGGTCGATGGCGCAATTCTCTTGCGTGCCAACAGAATAGCGTTATACGCGGAAGTTTGAAACACAGACAATAGGCATTCAGATGGTCTCCAGTTTTGATTATGGGCATAATAACATTCTAGTTATCATAACTTTTTTTCTTTTTTTTTGCGAGCATTACCAATAAGGTTGTCATTCTTATGAGCAAGATTAACGTTTCTCTGCTTAACTTTAATATCAACACTTTCACAATGTTCGTCAAAAAAGGTGATCAGATGATTTGTACATAAAATAAAGTACTGATCCTTATAATCATGCATCCACTTCTAATAAAACCCGTAATTTTAGATTACATGTAGAAATACATGACTTTCCTCTTGAAATAAAGCCGCCAACAAATCAGGCGTACATACAGGTATAAATCAAACAAGCTCCTGAGTTTATTACCAGCTCGTGTATCAAAGAATTCAATAGCTGTCACGACTGTGTGATCGCTTCCTGCTGCTATTTCTACTGCTGCTATTTCTACTGCTGCTATGTCTACTGCTACTACTCCTATCGCGACTTCTTTCCCGACTATTTTTATGTCTACTGTCGCTATGTCTATCGCTGTGTCTATCGCTGTGCCTGCTGCTACTTCTACTGCTGCTTTTTCTTTCTCGACTACGGCTGCGACTAGAACTGCGACGTTTTCTTTCATGGCTATGCTCTCTATCATCGTCGTCATATTCCTTCAATTTTCTTTTCGCAATTTTCTTGAATAAACTGGTATCCTTATATTCAAAGGCTGCACGTCTATTTTTTGCTTTTTCCCGTTCGCTTTTCGAATCTATTTGTTCAGGCTTTGCGCCTAAGCCCAGTAATGCTTCTCTTTGTTTGATTGTCACCGGTGGAGGTGCCCTAAGAGTAATATATTTATCGTTTAGTTGACATTGTTATCATGCATGCTATACACAATTTCAGACACTGGAAGGAGAAAACTTACGGTGAGTTCTTTCGGTTTCTTCCGATACCTTCGCCTTCTTTCCAGCCTAATCCTCTTAACAAAGCCGCTCCAAATTGATCTACGGGTATATTTTCGTAATCTTCCATTGTTGTTTCGTCCGGTCTATGTTGAACGTCATCTCTAAAGGCAATTGTCTCATATGAAGGGATCACTAGGTTAGACTGTTCCTCTGTTCCATTTGTTTCGCCTTTCGACTCTTTTATAATTGCTTCTATTGCTTTTTCCTCCATCGTTTTTTCTGTAACTTTCTCTATGTCATCTTCAAGATTCTTCTCAGTTGTGGTTGTGGTATTCATAGTGATAGTAGTAGTAGTGGTAGTAGTAGTTGTAGTTGTTGTTGTTTTTAGCATATCGTCTTCAGTTTTTACCTCTTTTTTTGGTAGCTGTAAACCAAAATTACTGGTGCCTTGTAGTAGCTCGGGTTGTGCAGCTACATGTTCGGAATCAGATACTTCTTGTTGCTGCGCCTTTCCAGGCAAGTAAAGTTGTTTTTTATGTTTTGCATTTGCTCGCCAGTCAACGTTGGGTAGAGCTTGTATCCTTAAGGGTTCATGTTCTTTTTTCGGCTCGGCTCTTTAGTTTATTAGGAAAAAAGAAAGGTGTCAATGAGTGAATTGTCTCTCTCTATGAGTAAAAAATAGACTTTCAAAATATTTACTCTTTAATCTTATTGTCTTCCAAACCGATCACACGCTCTTCTTGTATGCTTTCATCTTGTTCATCATCATTGTGAAATACAGCACCTTTGTTTTGAAATTTAGGTCTAAATGACTTAGTTTGTAGTGGTAAACGAGTTGTCATGCTGCTTTTTGTCCAAAATAAAGAACTTCTGAACTTTGAGGTTATCGATACAGAAAAAAAAAAAGTAAAGAACAGAAGATACTGGGCAGTCACCTGCGATTTTAATGCAGACATGTCTGAGACAGAAGGAATTCAGCTGCAAAAAGAGTGCCTGAAATTATCAGATTGTTGTACTTCCCTGCTTGAAGGTTTTCAATAATACGAATATTTCTGGGTCTTTTCCTTTCTGAATTTGCTAACAATAACGACTGCGTAATAAACGCTAGAGACGTGTTCAGTGCGACTACGATGCTTCAGTCAAACGCCCAGTGATAGCTTCAGAATTATACAACGAACCCTACCTCAAAACATAGTGGATGATATTAGCGGTTTCTAACAAATTGATTCAAATTATGATGGTGTTACATGATGGACAAATACTTTGAGCATGCTTTCTTTCTGTATTTTCTGACTTCTACTTTATTGCTTTAAGCCAGCGAAATGGCACTTTATCTGCTTTTGAATTTACAGCAAATTAAAAACACGACCTGAGTTCTTCAGTTTTGGCAAAAGTATACCTTTTTCTTCTCTTTTAAACACAAGATCGGCAGTAGTAATGGCAGTAATGAAGAATAGCAGCAAGGTGATCTTCACGTTCATCTTAACAATGGCAATTTCCACTTGTGTAGTCAAGGCTGCAGGAGACGAGGATATATTCGAATTGCAACCTGAAATCCACCACATGTTCAGACCGGCCGAAAAGATGCCACCTGCTGCCTTTTCACAACTTTTCACACTTCTGACACTTGCTCCATGGGCCATTCTTGCCTTAGGCGTAAGTATTACAACGAATGAATTTTTACTTATGGCAAAAGAACACATTTAGAATAACATTTTTCTTTTACAGTGGTTCAAGCTTGAATACACACCCAAAAAGATTATTTCAGAGTTGATAGCAGGCCCAATCACTCGTACAGCTTCAATTATCGTATTTTTAGCCTCTCTTATTTCAATTGAGGTTCTATTCTATCTTTATTGGACTCGCTTAAACCTATTTCAGACTTTACCGTATCTTGCAGGTTTAACCATCATCACGTTTTTTACTGGACAACGTGCACTCAGTGCGTTGCAAAACAGAAGACTAGCTAATTATAACGACAATTAAATCGACATTATATCGCTTATGTATTTATTATGACATGCATAGGAAAAGTAACCCAATAGGCAATTAAACAGTGATTATTTCAGAATTTGTCTTTATTTGTTCCATCTTTGATTTGGATCATCTATATTTTCATTCATCTATCCTTTACAACGTTGATAGGTCTATCGCTATATATGGTCAGTATGAATTCGGCCGCTATATTTTCATCATGCGTAGCAACAACAATTATATATCCACATTCATTCTGACTGAGGGCAACATCGCTTGTCGCTACTCCTTGGATAACATTTGTATATGGGCCTGAGGTGGCCATTTCTTTGCCAAGCAATTCATTGGGGTATCTTTCAAATATGGTAACATTCATTGATGGAACTGAATCACTAGAGTCAGTGCGTTTTCCTTGTAAACGGACTCTACGGTGGTTTTGAAGCGAACTATTAGTGACTAATGATATTTAACCGGCTGAATGTAATAGATAGAAACTCACTTAATTGTAGTTAATTCGCGTAATTTTAATAAGTATCGTGGGTTCTTATCGTAGTTTCCAAAACTTGGACAGCCCATAGCATTATATCCAACAACCCATTCGTTTTGAATAACTTTTTTAAACATACCCTAATACGAAATATTGTTGATGTAAGATGGCTTTTCTAGAGTGTAAATATATCTTAACTTACGGCTCCCTCTGCAGGAATCGGCTCAACGTTCACTTTAACCGAACTACTTAATGTTAGAATAAACTTGCCTAAAAGGTCAGGTTCAAATGTTGAGGCTACTACTGTATATTCACCAGCTAAAAGTCATAAATGGATAAGAAATTAGCACAGTTGCTAGCGATGCAAAATGGATAGAATGGCCATTAATATTTTACGTCTAATATCAGGTAATTCACAATAACAAAACCCATGTCTATAAGGCCCTGATTCGACCAAAATATCACGAACAGATACGCCTGACACTCTTTTGCCGCCTTCAACAAGCAATATATGAACGGCATAATCCTTTGGTGCTTCTAACTGGAGGAGTAGTCCCACTGGTGGATTCAGGTTAGGTATCGAGATTTTCCACTGTGGATTGTTGAGATAAGTGGCATTGCAAGCATTTCCTCCAGCTGTTTGGTCAGTCCATTGTCCTTGTATCTAAGGCGGAACAAAGATGCCTAGTATTAAAATTTTTGGTCATCTTTATGACTGATTTGGGTCGTACCTTTTGCTCGATCGAATAACGCATTGGAACTTCTCTCAATTCAAATGGAGCAAGTGAATACGCGCGTAAGGAAAAATAAAGAGAATGTTCTTTTTCATGCTGAGATACTACAATAGTATAATCACTCCATCCTGCAGGTGCATTGAAACGAACCAAAATATGAGGGCTGTTAACATAGGTCCCCTAAAAGAATGCATCCGTTATAAAAGATCATTAGATGTTTTTTCTTCAATGCTGCGTTATCATACAACACTGTACTTCTTTGAATGGTGTTCCAGGGTAAAAAACTCTTTTGCCATTTGTTTTACTATACACATGCAATGTGATATAGTCTGTGTTTTCTTCTTCGGTCTTCATAATATGCTTTGATAATAATAACCATATAGCCGCAGGCTTTTCTTCGGGTACATTGACTTTTAGGCTAAACTGTGGATTGTACCCCAGACTGTAAATATCTTTTTTGGGTCCTCTATGCTCGGGCCAAACTGAGTGCAGGACCCACCGATGTGTGAACAATTCAGGATTCCAATTCAAATGTATAGATGCAAAATTGGTACACACCGATTCAAAGTCAATCCAAAAAATGCCATCATCTTTTTGCTCTGCTGCTTCTGGATCAAAATCGAGTGCTCGTTTCAATTCATCTGTCCAAAAATTAGTATCAAGATGGCTGGATGGCCCGCGCCAACGGTTATGACTCCAGGGATTCTTTACTTGTAAAAGACGCTTTCGATCATATAGCAGTTTTATATCGATCACAGCGTAGGCATGAGTGGGAACCAGACCTAATCGTATTGCTTCATCTTCTGTCATATCACCTGTAGCAATTGTTACTAAACAATCACCATATTTGATACCATCGTAAATACGATCCCACACATTATCTGCAACAAAATGTTTGCTATCAAAGATTTAACGATACGATAAATAATTATTGCTCAAACATAAGGCGTTCTAAGTGTTTAAATTACTTACTCGTATATAAAAATATGCTCGGGAATCCATCCTGTTAGACAGCTATTGTATAGTAAAAGAAATGTAATATATTAGTTGAATTATTGATCTAATTGTTTTCTATTGATGCCTGATATTACTGTAAATCTATGCCTGAATTGCTATACATATCATCGAGAAGAGCGGTCAATTAGTTACAGGTATAAAAGGGGTCATATATGTACGTAAACAACTTACGAGCCAGGGAAGTCATAGCCGCCCATTAGTTTCATATACTGAATAGTTAATTGAGTAACCATCATTTTTTTAAATCTCATTCATATTGGTCACTTACAGCTTTTTCAATAATGCTTGCCCATAATTCATTTTTATTAGTCGAAAATGTACACATGAGAGTCCCATTTCTCGAAATAGGCAATAGATCATCTACAACGACCTTTCTAGCAATACCATTAAATACAAGTTTAATCACATATTTTCCATTTGGATTGTAGCAAGGCTGACCATGTTTGTTTTGAGGGTATATACAAGAGGTGATCAATTGCCTTTTAAATTTTTGTTCATAAGCAGCTGCCACACAAAGTGAGGCTACAAATGAACAATCTGTAACAATATCCTGAATGATACTGGTGCTATGCGATGCAAAAAGTCGTTTTAGTCATTTACCATCGAATTGCGTCTGGTTCGGAACGCAAGAGCATGCATGATAGATAAATAGACTCACCTTGAAATAAGACATATTAGTTGAGGAGATCTCATAATATCACCGGGTCTTTTCCATCCACCAAACTTCTCCAGCTGCTTTGACGACAGTCTCAAAGAGCCTTCAGGATCTAGGAATTTTGTTTGATAGGAAAATTGTTCCTTTAAATCGGTTTCATCTATCCACGGTAAGAATGTTTTGCCATTGACACAAGAGGTATATTTTAAAACTTCAATTTCGTTTACAGATAGCTTTTGAGTCATAATGTCATCATTCATAGGTGGTTGTTGCAAGGAACTATTGTTGAAACAATCAATCGATCCAACGGAGGGTATAGAACAGGAGCGACTGTGAAATCTTGTCAGTTCTGGTCGAATAGATACTGAAGAAGAAGACCGTGTTCGTAGTGTGGGTGACGATGCTGATTTCTCGTGCATATTTAACAATACTTGACTATTATTGCTGCCACTGTTGCCTTTGTTCGTCTTAGGTTGATGATTGGCAGAGACAATTTTCTTCAAAGACTCGGCCTTATTAAGTGCTTCTGAAAACTCTTTTTTCACTCGTGCCTTTTCTGCTGAAATATCATCGTATCCTTTAAATGCTCTCAGGAACAGTTCCGCTGCAGTAGAATAGTATTCCAAAGCTAAACTTATATTGCCCTGAATTTCATTCAATTCGCCCTGATCGAAAGCGAACTACCGTAGATATAATCATCAATGCACTGAATCCCTACTTATTATACTTTCATCTGGAAGTTTCACTATCTTACTTCTGCTTTCTCAGTGTATTCATCCTCTTCTGTCCGCGATATATCGGAATCATTTGAATCACGTCGTTGTTGATGAGGCGAGTTTTCGTTGATGTATAACGAAGACGGATTGATTTTAGTCAGTACTAACAAATGATTCAACTGTTCAACTCTTTGTCTATATTGATTCAATTTTTGTAACAGCTCATTGTGATCAATATCGAAAGTGCTATCTGCGTTAAAGTTAACAAACTGTACATCGACTCTTTTAATGACAGAAAATTGCTTTACCTCGAAGCAGCTCTGTAAAGTACTTTAAAATAGTACAAAAAACGTGCGTTAGTCGTCAATGAGATCAAACTAGTCTAGGAGTAAAGAAGGGGGAAGGCACATGCTGTACCTGTATGGTTTTTTGATAGGCTTGTCTAGCTTCTGTATATCGGCTAAGGGAATCTAGTTCAACAGCCGAACAAGCATACTTATACGCTTCAAGGTAAAGATGCCGAGTTTTGTCGCAGGTTGAAGATGATCTTAGTTTAACGATTGTATGCTTTTGTCTTATTTGGACAATACAATCTTCACTTAGAAAAGGTTGTTGCATGAAAATAGACACACATACATGCGAAAAGAAAATTTCAGAAGGAGGATAGAAGCGTTCAATTGAAAACCTTACTCAGTATAAACCCGCTCTTTTTTGAAGTTTTAAATTTGTGTGTCCAGCAAGCAGGTGTGTCAAAAAAAAAAAAAAAAAAAAAAAAAAACCAAAAAACACTTAAGAGATAAATTTACACAAAATTACAAAGAATTGAGCCAAGCTTTATTATCGATATGTTACAAAAGAAAAGAAAAAGGAGCGGGATATGGAAAAAGTTACTAAAAGCGTCTAATGTTCTTCAGCGGCTTCACAGTGAGCAGCATAAGCAGCTTCATCCATTAAACCTTCGAGTTCAGAGTTGTCACTGATCTCAATCTTTGCTAACCAACCTAAAAAAACGAGTAACAGATGCTGAGTCAGTCTCTTATATCATTTCATTGCAACATGTTATCTGTTAGAGAAGTTTTAATATTACCATCTTGTTCAGGGCTTGAGTTGATTAAAGAAGGTTCGTCACTTAATTGTTCGTTAACGTCGGTAATTTTACCAGAAACGGGAGAGTAAATATCGCTAGCAGCCTTTACAGATTCGATAGCACCGACTTGATCTATTTGAGAGAATAAAGATTTCATGAGTCACGTAAATTAACAATTGATATTGGGCACAGGGACACGTAAGTAGATGTTAACACACACACACACACACTCTCTCTCTCTCTCTTTTTTTTTTTCTTTAGTTTTTAACCTTACCTTCTTTCTTGACTTCATCACCAACAGCGGGTGTTTCAACAAAGACGACATCACCCAAAGCCTTTTGGGCAAAGTCAGTGATACCAAAGGTACCAACACCATTTTCGACAGAGATCCATTCATGATCGGCAGTATATTTCTTGGCTTTTAAAGAAGTATTAGCCATCATGATAATCTTTCGCAATACAGAGCCTTTTCCTTAAAAACACTTACTGGCATAACCACGGAAGACAGCCATAGTAGCTGACTTACGGAAGGCAGGCATGTAAGTTGCAGAAACAACGCGAGAAGTCAAGAGTCTGAGGGACATATTTGCTGTGTTTTTCGAGATGAGGTGAAGTTGAATGAGCTTGTTGAAGATGAGGAAAGAAAAAGTAGAAAATAAAATACAAAAAAGCAAGCGAAATAAAGGTTGCTTTGTCTGACTCGGTGGAATGAAAAAAAAAATAGATTTTCTCTATCTTCAAAGATTTTAAAAGAAATTATTTATTTCTTTCCATTAGAGGGTTGTGTTGCTCGAGTATAAAATCCTGGGGAAGGCCGTTAGTTATATTAAAACCCCGAAGTCAAGTAGTTTTTCCCTAAAAAAGGAACCGCTAAATCACCTCACCTTACTGTGTCTCCATGTTTCAAGCTCCATTTATCGCGCTTATCCACCACTACTCTTACTTCCATCAAAAGAAAAATGTATGATATAAATCATTTTAATAGGTCATAGCAGTTTTTGCTTAATCAAGATTTTGCTTGAAATGAACTGCATATATTCGATGAGGGTATGAGAATAGATATACAATATTTTATTGAGTTATTAGTTATACATTTAATAGCGCTTTGAACGAAGGGGGTCGAAAAAACTGCGGACAGCAGAAGGACCAGTCCATGTGCCTTTTAATAAACCATTCCAGTAAATGGAAGGAATGATTTCCTTGTTCAAATATTGTGCTAGTTTGCTGATGGCTCTTTGATCAACAGGGAATGTTTCCAAAGGTTTTCCAGTGTAACCAGAAAACTCAGCCAAGATGAGCTGATTTTGACCCACGATTAAAGGACAACTAGTATAACCATCATACTTAGCATCCTCTATCTTCTTCCCTTGTAAATCAGCGATCAGGTTTTTCTTCAAAACACCTGACTCAGCAGTAATAGCGGCTGCTGTCTTAGAGGTAGGAAGTGATGAACAATCACCTAAAGCGTACACATTTTTGTACTTATTATGACGAAGGGTTTCCTTATCAACATCTACCCAACCAGCTGCATCTGCTAATTTAGATTGTTTTATAAAGTTGGGAGGACCTTGAGGAGGTGCAACATGGATGAAGTCGTATGTATAAGTTTTGAGCTCTTGATTAGCATTGTTCTGAAAGATTGCTTCATGATTATTGGCATTGATTTCTACTAATTCATGCTGAAAATTGACGGTAATGTTACGTTCGTCCGCCAATTGTTGCAATACACGACCGTAGTGATCAACACCGAAAATCTTCGCAGCCGCTGTATTGTAAATAACGTTGGATTTGTCACGCACACCATTCAGACGGAAAGCCTCCTCAGCCAAAAAGGTAATTTTCGTAGGTGCACCGGGGCATTTCAAAGGTGTGTTAGGGAAGGTGAATAAAGCATTACCGCCCTTGAAATTTTTAATGAACTCGTATGTCTTTTGGACGCTATTGGCATCATAATTTGATGAAACACCGTCCTTACCAAGAGCATTTTTTAAGCCTTTAACAGCATTCCAGTTAATTTGAATGCCTGCTGCGACAACTAAATAGTCATATCCAACTGTTTGACCATCGGCAAGTTTGACTGTGTTGTTCTCTGGATCAAATTCTGTAACTTTATCTTGGATCCATTCAGCATTTGCGGGCATAACTTCACCCATTGCTTTGACAGACTCATCAAAGTTTTTCAGACCGCCACCTACATATGTCCAGAGAGGCTGATACTATTTTGGAAACAATTGAATACACCAACCTTTTATCATTACATTTGAATGAATAAGGACTTACATAATGCTTGTCAGAGGGTTCAATAACAGCTACTTGATTTTTACCCAATAATTCTGAGAGAGTTGAAGAGACTATATTTGATACACATTTTTATCATCAGTTCGAGCTGGCAATATTTATTATTTTAGTTGGGGTGACGTTGCATCTGTCACATTTCCTTAGTTACCTGAGAGACCACCAGGGCCGCCTCCTACGACAACAACTTTGAATTTTTGATCGATAGCCGTGGCTTTATGTACTTCAGTAGCTACAGTAGCTAATGTTCGTCTATTAAAGACCTTAGATGACAAACTTGTTCGTACGGCAAGCATTTTTATCCAGGAAAGTCTGACGGAAGAGTGGGGAAAGGAAAAAAGACAAGCTACAATTAGTTTGACATTGTCTCCACACAATATTCAACATTTCAAACTCAGTGTATTGCGCCATATTCATAAAAATTTGATAGGCAATCGTCATGACACTGATTGGTGTAATGAATTTTCGAACGAAAATATGTCCCTTGAAGTGTTGCAAAACCGGTATATATATCATTCGAAACTCAAGTTAAATTCAAATAAAAAAAACTACCACTTGTCGCGGCTTTTTACTAGATGCAGTACACAATGTTGGCCAAGATCTATGAAAGTATAAACTACGAGCTATAGTTCTGTATGTCTTTGACATGGATGGTTCATTACCTAACTTCTAGAGTCTCTTCAAAAATCTCAATGTGTTGTTTATGATTGAGAGACCCATAGAGCTTTTGATTTCGTTTTTTTTTTCTCAAAGAATTTCATCAACTCATTGCTTGTATCCGTGAAAACTTTGAACTAAGATGTAGGGTTTATAACCAACAATGCATGCTGGGTTCTAAAAGCTGCTCTGTAGGAGAACAAATGTAAAAGTTTATCTTGAGAGAGTCAATAGGTGCATTTAAAGTACAAATGTTATTGATTTGTATACAAAGTAATGATAAAAAACAATACAAGTATAAGATAGTTAGTGAGTAAAAATATACATAATGGAAAACAGAAACACCTAAATTTCTTTGGCTACAGAACGTTCAGCTCTACTTTCAGAATTGAATCCTTCCCTCAAAACATCCACCTTATGCTTGACCTTATCCAGTCCCCAAGCAACCTTACGAACAACTCTGTGCTTACTGATTTTACTCTTTTTCTTTTGATCGATTATATCAGCATGCATCTCTGTCTCGTCAATGTCAACAGGTAAATCTGCATCAGAATCATCTGTATCGTCATCTTCACCGTATTCTGAAGAAATACTACTAGAACGTCTTCTTCTACCATCAAAACCATTGTTACTGTTCGAATGCGTTTTATTTTTCTCCTCTTGAACAGCTGTTTGCAAGTCATAATCATTCTCAATATCGTCTTCTTCTTCGTTGCCTGTCTTTTCCTTCTTTTCATTCTGTTCTTTGATCCATTTCTGAGCCTTGACTTTTAGCGTTTCACCATAGAATGGGTCAGCACCAACCATATCTTTACGATAAGAGCGTAAATGAGTGTGAACTGCAGAGAATCCTGGAATTATTTTAATACGCAAGGTGACTTGACCATATCTACCCTCCTCACTCCATGCATCCTCGTTGCGGTTTGATAATTTGGAACTTAAACTGATATGATCATGAAGACCGATAGTAATATCTTGCCATTCATTATCGACAGTATGCTTCAACCAGCATCGGCCCGTTGCTTTATTGGTGCTCACAGTACCTTGAGACAACTGTACATAAAGTGCTGTACGATAGCGCATCATTAATGGGAAGTAAAGGTGTTGACCATACCAACCATAAGGGCCAGACTTCTCGACAATGTCAGGATCCACTTCTGTTTCATCAATTGGAGGTCTTTGGCCAATGTTTTTGGATTTTAGTCGCTTGATGATGGCTGGGTCGACATTAAGAGCAAGTGTAGCCTTTGTAGAATTAATGTCGTCCTGTGTAAATGGGTCTTTGAGGTTCGACAGGCTCAATCTCTCAACTACAAGTGTGCCAACATCTACATCAAATGGTATTGTTTTTAGTGCTAAATACGTATGGAATAAAACAAGTTAACTCATTAGGCAGGAAGCTTACCACAGCCTTGTAATTCTCGAGGCAAAGTCATCTTTACGGGCTTATATTTGATGGAAAGCAAAACTTTACCAAAACCGATACCGTTTGATAAGGGGATCCATTTTTGAACTTCCTTGAATTTATCTCCTTGGTCTTGGAAAAGATCTTTCAGTGAAAAACATTTTGTACCAAGGACTGGGTCACGCTCAAGCTCAACGGAGTTCTTGACAGAGATTCGAATGCTAGTGTTATTGATATCACGAACAAAATTTTCAGTGATAGCGTTCCAATGCTGTACAATAGAAGGAGGCGAGTCAATACTTTGGGTCACTTGCAGAATAATAAATCAGTTTATACTCACAGGACTAGGGTTTCTTAACTTGGTACGGGTTTGATAAACTTTCTTATCGTTAATATAGAAACAAGCGTAAGGACTCACAACAGAGTTAGGACTATATGGATGTTTGAATTCTTCGGTCGTCGGTAGAACTTCAGGATCACCGATCTCCAAATCAACTGCTTGGTGAATTGTAACAGACAAAATGCCGTTTGTGTGCAAAGGATCAAGTGGCTGGTTCAGTAAAGCGTCCATTTCTTTTTCCTCTTGTTTCCGTACGGCTTCAGGTTTCTCTTTCTTTGATATCATATCTCCAGAGAAAATTTCCATACCGGCTGTAGGATATTTAGGATGGAAACTCATCTTCATGTTGAGTTTGACCTTCGATTCCTCTTCATTTTTGCCGTCAATTGGCACCCAACTAGGTGATAGAACGAACATTATTTGATATTGGCTTCTTTTTCCGTTTATACAGATGTTGCTTACTTACCCATCATAAATGGTGCGCTCTTCCTGGCAGTAGCTTTCGACATTGCCAAGCTTGTCAAGTTTTCCTTGTACGATATCTTTTACAGAAACTGATACAGATCCCCACAAGTCATCAAATTTTACTTTATCAGCGTCCCAAACCTTGACGTCAACCTTGGTATCGGTTACAACATCATCTGGAATACAAAATTATACACTTGAGCAAAAATGGCTTTTGAAAAAAATCAGAAAGTTACGTTTTTACTATACCTTTATAAACGAGTACGTAAAGGTTTTCATCCCATCTCGGATCCTTATCATTGGTAAGGATACGAGTGCTGGAAGAACTCTTCTTCGGTTGAGTGCTTAATGATAAACTGGCGTAAGAATCTTCCATATCTATAACATTTCATGAGCACATTGAGTAAGATACCATCTTAAAGTAATGGATCACGGTATCAATAGATTTACCTTGTAAATTGAGAGAAGCATCTCTTGTTGCGCCTCTTACTTCAACTTTTACCACACCAATTGCATTGGTATCTTGATTAAATGCACCCATAAGGGCGCGGACATCAACTGTCATACTCTTGGGGTCTACTAAATCAGCAAATCCAAGCTTGATGCCTTCATTCACAAGCGTTTTGATGGTAGGTAGCTAAATGAGGATGTATTGGTTAACATTTGCTCCTTCAGCCGTTGAGAAATATAAAAATACGAAAAACTTACATTCATAATATTCAAATGCTTAGATAAGGGCATGACTCCAGTTTCAATCTTTGGTACACTGGTAAATGCAATTGTTACTTTCGAAATGAAAGGTATACCAGGTGCGGTCAAAATCTTGAAACGAATCTTTCCTGACAAAGCCGTGAGCTCAGCTTTTATGTCTATAGGTGCCTTAAGAGCAGTTTGAAATCGAATAGCTAAGCCAGGAGGTGTTGATTTTGGACCACGGTTGGTGACAAGTGAGGCAACAGGGTGGGCATGGAAACTGAATGCAGCTTCACCAAACTATGTTGAAATGACCGACTGTCAGTATAATAGAAAATAAAGATCGACGAATTATCATGTTTGAAACTTACAATGCTTTCTTCTGGTTGACCTGGTAACGGAGGAAACACACGAATCCTACAAAATCATTCATTTCCAAAATTAAAATTATAAGACGTTAATTTGATACTTTCCCAGCTTGAAATAATTAATCTCTTATTCTTTTCTTTCTTTTTTCTTCTTTGGAGAACTTACATTTGGACCCGCGGTGCCTGAACACCAAGATCAAAATCAGAAACCTTCACGGCTTGCTAAATTCGGATTAAACGGTAGATTTAGCAACTATGACAAGATAATTGTCTCAAATTTACATAGCAAATAGGTAATAGGTCTCGACACTTACAATAATCTTCGGTGCTACACTTTGTAATGTATCTTCCAATATATCCTCGACATCAGCGAAGATTTCTGGATCAACGCTACGCCAAATTTTTTCAACCATGTAGTTCAACCATTCAACTGATTCGCCTTCAGAGGTGTACAGCTATAGTTCATTACCTTTTGAATAAAGCGTTTTCTATATGTATACATATATATTTTTGATCCGTGAGATTCTTACTTACAGTTTTCAATCCTTCTTGCTTTTCTAATTGCCATTGTAAGCCTTCAGAACTTGTTCTGCCCAGATTCCAATAGGCCCAAGCACAGAAACAGATTAAAAGGAAACCAAAGATTATGCCATATTTCCAACGACCCACCAAGTAGCATACCACAGAAGCAACAATAATGTATTTAAGTGCTTTGATTTGCAAGTTCCAAACCAAATCCTCAGGCTGAACAGGTTCCAAGGGTGTGGAGTGATGCAATCTGGACTTTTTGCTTGTAATACTTGACTGATCAGACGTATCAAATATTGTTTTCAAGTCTGTCATTGTTCGATCCAACAAAGAAGATTGACTGCTTCGACGGCGTGGCGCTGCCATGTCCAAACTATTTTGTCGGCTGCTGCTTGCATTAGGAACATCCGAACTGTTTGCGATCGGTACATCCGAGCTGCTGCCATGCGACGCATCATTCATTCCTTGCGGCGGCTCATTCATTGTAGGTGCCCACTGCTTCGCGTATGGCTCGTCAGGGTTGTTTGACCATACATGCTGGTGATCAGCTTGTTCCGGTAAAATTGCATTACCTGTCTCTTTGTTCTTCTGCTGTTGTTCTTGTTTTAATTCTGTCTCCGACTGTGTATGCACATTGCCAGAAGCATCCAAAGTATTACCAGGATTTTTGTGCTCTTCTTGCTTCTCTTTTTGCTCTTCGCTTGTCGTCTGGTTTTTTTGTTGGATATTTTTGATTTCTTGCATGTTCTCTTGTTTTCTTTCTGTTTCCTCGTTAGGTGATTCATTCACCTGCAGAGCTGGCTCATTCTCGGAATGAAACTTGACTGTATCAGCCATTAATGCAATTATTCAAAATAGTTGATACAAGACGGTTTTGAAAAATACACAAAAATAAGTAAAAGAAACTGGCGCTGTCAATGGTCGATCAGTTGTTCGTGTTTAAATTCATGCGTTTTGGATTGCTTCCACCTAATAGGGAATTATTACGATGTATATACGTCATAGAAGTAGCTTTGATAGACATTAAAAACGGTCAAGTACAGGAATTGAAAGCCGTAAGATCTGTAAAGCATTTCAACGAACTTTTTTGTAATGTTTGTTTCAATTCTGGGGCAGATTGATTCGGACTCAGTTGACGTTACAACTGTGATAAACTGGTGCGTTTAATCTTACTTTTACCTATGATTGAACCTTACAAAATTTATCGATCACCTTTCATCATACTTATATTCCCATTGTAGCAAAGAATAAAAAAAAAACCAAAAAAAAAAAACCGTCTATCTTCATTAGATATCAAGTAAAAATAGACGAGTGCTTATTGAAAATCGACACGCTAGTATGAAACATTTAAGCAAGCTTTTTGCTATAAGAAAAGAATGTTCTGCTTGTCCAAGACATTTCCATTGATGCTTTTTTTTCCGACGAAAATTAACCATTTCTCCATTGGAAACATGTATTGAAGAATGAGAAGGCAAAAGAAGACTCAAAATTGCGACTTATTATTGACACTTTGATCGGGAAAACCTAATATGCTTTGGGATCTTGGAGTGCATTTTCCTTATCATACTAATGATGCTAGTTGAGCGGATTTGACAATATGACATATTGCTTCTGCACCTTCTATTCTGTTGTTACTGTGAAATGGCCTGCAACCACAAAGTCTGAATAAAACTTGAGAATATCAGTCCATGCATTTTCAATTGTTGATACTCTATAGCTTTATTCTTAAACTTGTTTGCTTTTCTTCAGCTGGACAGAAGAAAAAAGATACAGCTCAGGTTATCTTTGACAAAATGGAAAGAAAATGAAGCCGATGTCAACTATTTGCTTGAACATCAAAGCCTTGCGCGTCTTGTCATTAATCACCCATCCATTCGCATGAAGCACAATTCCTAAATCATCAATTTTCTTTAAACGAGTCATTAGCTTGCAAGCTTGCTGCACTTTTAGATGTCTAGCGTCATAGGAATCTTAACCGCTAATGTAACACATGCCTTTTTTGAGTAATCCTTGGTATCGCATTAAGCGATCGGTTTCTATAGCAGCTATCCCCTGAACATATCCAAACTTGGAGAATTCTAAAGCTCTTACACAACTTATACGCTCGTTTCTTCATAACGATATTACTATGACTTAATAACCGAACTCGCTATGATCAAGCAAAATTATTTGCTTGCCAAAGCCTGTCTATAGCTATAACAATTACTACGTTGACAATTTCAAAGATATCATTGCAAAATACTTCCTAATCAAATGAAGAGACCAACTTCCCTGAAGAACTTGACTGACATGGATCTAAGTATTTCATAGATGCTTATGGGACTAATCAGGAAAATCGTATAGAACTTATTGATTGTGTATTTCCTCGGTCTCTAGCGAAACATTTGATTCTCTTGAAGACTGCAACACATTCTAAACACAAAAATTGTCAGTTTTAGGGAATTATCTGATTATGGGATCGACCAAAGCAGCTACAGGAAGACCTCGAGCATGAATCTGTTATTTAGTGATGGCATGAAAATCTAATCTTGACGCCCACTCACGTCCAATTTCTTTTTAGGCATTGTCTGGACTTAAAATGGAAAGGCTATAGCCTACGACCCTGTTAAAAATTTATTTCTTAAAGTATGTTTTCATAGTTTTTCGGATTTTCTGTCGTACAATTTGAGTGAAAATGATGACTTCAATGCCATTTAATTTCCATCTTTCTTTTTTCTTAAGAATGCGATACTAAAGGTTATTGTACTTGACAAATAAGCCACAACATGTTAAAGAATTTTGCAAAGATATATACACCTTTAAAGCAGCAGAAGCTGTTGAGAAATAATCAAAGAATTCTATCTACTTTTCATCACTCAAGAAACATTCGAACGACCTCAGCGGTCTGTAACCAGCAACGTGAGCGAAACGAGACAGTAGCGAGTAAGGAATCTAACCATAAATATAAGTAGTAGGTTGTCTAACTATCATCGAATTTCAAAGATAGGTTATATACCGTTCGCCCCGTTACTTTCTGGATGGATAAAATACTTGAAAAGGAAAATAAAAAATCATTAGAAGAAACCGGCAGCCAGCATGAACGTATCACCATTGAAAAAACAATGTTAGATAGTTATATCGAGGAATATCTACCTTTTAAATCATCGCCGAGCTTGCTAGAGGAATATGTTAGTACAGGTGGTAGGGTACGGATTGGAAAGATCTTGGAGGATTTAGATGCTTTGGCAGGTGCAATTGCTTATAAGCACATAGATACTTTTGCAGCAAGTCCACCAACAACGGTTGTTACTGCAAGTGTTGATCGTATGGACCTATTAATGCCTAATACTGTTGAGGATTTCAAACTCTCAGGGCATGTTGCGCATGTGGGAAAGAGCAGTATGGAAGGTAGGATCTGAACATTAGCAATCGACAGCTATTAGTTAGACACGGACTTTAACTTTTCCCTGAATGATCCAGTGTTTATCAAGGTAGAGACTATACCAAAGTACGATCCGACGAAAGAAACGAGCTCCAAATCTCCACCGGACGACTTCCTCAGTCAGCCTACACCCAATACAGTTCTATTTTCTCGATTTACCATGGTGGCGATCGATTCCATTAGCGGAAAACCTATCCAAGTAAACTCTTTAAAAACCCGTGACGAACAGGAACGGAACTTATCCCTATATGCTCAGGACTGCAAAGCACGAAAAAAGTCATTAAGTCAGTCAGCACTCGACAGAACACCACCAACAGTAGATGAACGTTTAACACTACATGACCTGTATATGAAATATGCTCAAGTAAAAGACAGTGATTTGGACAAAAACTCTGTATGGATGGAGAATACCGAATTACAGAGTGTATTCTTAATGCAACCACAAGACCGTAATATTCATCATAAAATTTTTGGTGGGTATTTAATGCGACGAGCATATGAGCTTGCACATGCTACCGGCACCTTATTTGTGGGCTCCTCTGTAGGTTTTTTAGCATTGGATGAGATCGCATTTAAGAAGCCAGTGCCAGTAGGTTCTTTGTTAAAGTTAACGTCAAAAGTCATCTATGCTGAGGGTACGCCTCATCGATCTATTCAAGTCAGAGTGATTGCCGAAGTGATAAATCCAGAGATTCGATCCACAGATATCACGAATACATTTCATTTCACTTTGGCAGCTCCCGAGAATAAGCCTGTGTCTCGCGTTTTACCACGAACATATGCTGAAGGCATGCTATACCTTGAAGGTACAAACCTAGTATTCTTATACAAGTGGAATTTTCTTTTTATTGACATATACGACTTTTTTTAGGCAAACGAAGACGAGACCAAGGAGTGCAAGGACGAAAGCAGCTCCTAAGACTGATGTCTAATGTTGATAATAATACTGGGAATAACTAATAGATCAAACAAATTACTTTTCAGATATATTACGTTTTTTTTTTTCACATTGCTCAATAATAAAAGCTATATTAGATTGTAATAACATACGATTGCCTGCAGTTAACTCTGTCAAGTATATCAGGACTTACTTAAACTGTTTAATTCAACTACATTTGCCGGTCGAAGTAAAAACTTATAAGCCAAACCTTTGAGACACAAAGAATTGTGATAACAATATATAATGGCGTATTCATATTTATTAAAGTGACATAGAATGAGAAAGCATGAGATAAACGGGAAAAGAGCTACAATTGTTATGATTGAAGTTGAAGAAAAGTATAGTCCGTATATTTGGCGAATATAATGAAGGTTTACTTATCCGACTTTGCCATTTCAGAGCAATGTAAAAGAGTATTATCAAAGAAAATGATCAAAAGTCAATGATTACTTCATAATAAAGTTGTAAATGTGTAGGAAGCTTACTCTGCGAGTATACAGATGCAGCAGGTTGTACAGGTGTGGATGGTATCCTTCAATGTAGCAATTTACACCGAGGGCCCGAAGCATTTCCAAGAAAAATCTTAGCATTAATAGCTACCAACGGTCGAAGGGTGAGCGTTGTGTTCCAGATCTAAAAAGTGGATCTATTCATCTCACAATAAGACGGTATTGCGTATATTCTATGATTGTGGTATGATGATATTCGTACAGATAGAAAAGACTGAAATGAACCTGCTCGGAAGCAAAGGGGAATTGCAATAGGAGATCAGTTCATCAGTGAATTATCCACTTTTGCAATATTTATATATCTACAATAATCTATTGAATAAGTTTTTAGGCAAGCAGACAATTATATAATACCCACTCTTGCTTAAATACCTTCCAAAAATCAGATGTAAACGAATAAGAGACATTTTTCAAATGTACTTGACATAGCATTCCATGTTTGTGCCCGTCTGATTCTCTGGTCAAATATGAAATCATTCTGTTTTTCACGATGAATCTCAAAACTGCGACACGCGTTTCTATTGATACTCTTTGGAGTATAAATGCAAAACATTTGCAGGCTATACGATGTATTGTAAAGTGTACAATTGTATACTACATAGTATTGCAGGTCAGTAACGAAAAGAACTATGAACAACAAATAGCAAAGTAATGGAAGTTTTGGAAGACCCTAGAGTCGAAAAACTAAGTCTTATAGCATTGTAAGATGGAAGATTGTTTGGAAATTTACGTGACACAGTATCACAGATATTATTTAAAGCGAGTTTACAGTGATTTTGGAAACGAGACTATATATAATGGCATCTCTTTGCTTATTAATAGGAATCTCTAACTACTCTTCAAGGAGTTTACACCGTGTTTGTAGGAGCAATAGTTACTTTTATAAGGTTAAACTTCGACACTTTCCCTCTAGAAATTTCCTTATCATTCCAAACAACCACAAAGTTGTGTCTTTATTTTGTCGAGCAATGTTTTTATACCCTTTTATAGCAGTTTTGAAATCGATAAAGTTTCATAAGACCGATTACTTTGTATCAAAAGTATGTGCTAGCTTTCACTTAGTGAAACTATTACCAATATAATGCACAACCATTCCCGTTGCGCAGCTTCCCGTCACTGAACCAGCTTTAGCATAGCCTTATTGTATGATGCGAACAATAGGTATTTCTTGATATGTGAACTTTTGATAATCTTTCAGAAAATCAGTAGTGTCTAACTGAATCGGACTCCGTATAAGACTCATTTTGAGTTTCGATGGAACACAGAGTTCTGAAGAACTAAAACGTAGCGTAAAAATCCGAAGCCATCGAACATTTTTACAGGCAATGACACTATTATAGAAGAAACTGCATATGTTTATGGAATCTTTTTTTTTCTTTTTTCCTTTAGTAATTTTGTTGAGAAAAAGCCTAGGGGTCATTAGAAGTGGTTTGGATCGGAAATTCAAAGGCTTATTCGTTATTATCTTCGGGATGAAGTGCTTTTATGGAAACTTCGCTTATAGGAAACTGTTGCTCGTTCCAGGGATTGAATAAATTATTAACAGTTGGAACGCAACAGAGAAAAGAGATACATGAGAAAATGGTATTTTAGGTTCTGCTATTTGGTCTCTTATGAGCAGTTTTTGAATGACGCTTCTTAACAGCCTATTTACGTGTTTGAAGGGTTATTGCACGTAACATGTCTCAATAGAACTTTAAATGATGATCAAGTATTCCACTACTATTTAAAACTGTACGGTACGATATGCACTTAACAACGTTCCTTGCTTTTTTTTTTTTTTTTTTTGTAAATTCCTTGCAATTAAACTGATCAACAATGACATGGATGGATATAAAGTACGCAGATTGGGTCTCTCACCACGCTTGGCATCTGTTTATTCAAATACAAAATAGGTAAGCAATCAATAACGTACTATTAACTGACGTTTAACTGTGTTTTAAAATTGCACTTTGAAGTGTGCTTTATCAATCTTGAAATAATGTTGTTGAGCAAGACTCCAAAATTCACTTTTCTTTCTCTTTGTCAATCAAATTCCAAAAATTTATTCGACAATACAACATTAAAAGCAACTTCAAATTATGATAAGCTTTGCAAAAGTTGTTTCTCCAAGACAAATGGATCCCGTCGTTCATTTGGGAGAATCGACTCGCGATGTCAACAAATCGCAAAAACGATCTGGGAGTTTCGGTGCGATAAAGCTGCACAGCTGATTGCGTTTGGTAGTTTTCTCCTTTGGGCTCACGATAAGCGCCTTGTGTAAGCAATTTTCTTGGTGTTGTTCTGGCTGTACTCTGCGCGTTGCTATGCTATTCTCTGTCCTGCGTGCTTCTCCTGGGTTCTCTACTGGATCCAGGGTAATGAGGTTGGTCCCTCTGGAAAAGCGCGGAAGGGGCTTCTGTATCGGTTGGCGCCTTGATGGTTGGCTGCGTTCTGTCGGGCGGTTGTGGTAATATCTCTGATGACAGATCATCAATCGTGGAGGTGCCGCGACTTAAGACCGCCCGTTTGAAAAGCTAGTGGCTCAAACTAATTGTTCGTGCTTCTGCGTCTAGTGGCCCAAACTAATTTCCCGGGTCGACGTCTAGTGGCCCAAACTAATCGTCTGCTCGGGTGCTCTTATTATATTTGGAGTTCTTGGAAGGTTGAAAGGGTACGATCTGTAGCTGCAGTCTCGTTAATTTTCTACTTTGATTTCTAAAAGCACTCATTCTTGATAGGGTAACACGGTTGTTTCAACATTAATAGCTCCCTTATCCTTCCAACTACTTCCCTATAAAATTTCTAATAAAAGCAGTCTTGCAACCTTCAATTCAGTCATCTTAGCCATCAGAATTTGACCTAAGCATATTAATATGAAAAATCTTAAAAAATAAAAATAAAAATTCGTCTCAATGATTTTGCTTTATTATTTACAGTGATGTTTGTCTTGACATTGTGTTTCAAGTACGCTTATCAACCTGACTAAACCCTACACAAAATCGTTTTTGAACCTCATATCTCGTTTAAGAGAGGTTGTTCTGTCTGATGGTAGGGATTCTCTGCAGCTTTGTAATGATGCAACACTGATTATTTTCATCAAGAAGCCGGAGAAACCAGGTACGGGCTGGAGAATCAACTTGCTTTGAATCTCAGGTTATCTAATACCCCATTTTAAAGCAGCTCTAACAAAACGAAGAATTATCATTGGTTTTATTTCAGATCGAAAAATGAAAAATCATGCTGCTTTAAAACAGTAAATTAATGCAAAACTAATTGCTACCAATCCAGGAGAACAAAGGGATCGACAACGCGCAGGTGGCAAAGGCAGTTTTTCGTTGATTTCTCGCAGTTTTGTAACTTAGCAAAATAAAAAATCACTTTGCTGTTTGTTCTCTAATAAATTCTTGTGGAGCTTCAAATTCATTTCAATTGCAATTGAACATAATGCCATTTACCAGCCTCGGGTGTTGTGGAAAGGGAGTTTCTGAGATGAATTTCCACATTTTTCAAATTGGTCTTACATTAGCTGACGATTGATTTATAAAAAGTAAAAAAAGAAAAAAAAAAAAAAAGAACCATTCGCTCCTACTCGTTACGCATCCTTACTTATGAAGCTATTTATATTCTATGTACTTGCTCTTAAGCATTTTATCGTATTTACCATAAGTATGTCCATTTGCGTACTTAGAAGAAAGCGCTAAACTGCAATCAAGCACGCGGCTTTTGTTGAATTGAATGTATGCAATATAAATTTTTTAAACAATCGTTGCGATGGAGAATAAGGGTTTGAATTGGAGCTTATTGTAATTGAAATCGAGCTATTAACACACGCGTCCTACCTTTTTTTTGTTACACACGTTGAGTTTCTGTGATTGTTCCGATCTAGGGTTATGCGTTGTCGTACCACGTTCTACAGTAAACTTTCGAGACAATATCGCATCCACAGAATCAACATCACAGCTGACTATATTCAATTAATGTAAACATGTAACATGATTGTGATTAAAAGGGTATGTGCAATAAGCACTCATCCACACACGTAGCATGGCGGCAAGGTCTGCAAGAGGAAGATATGAGGCATAATCAGATTGAATTTATTATATTACAAATGTGTAGTTAAAATTAGATATCGGTATCACATGATAAAAGGAACATTTTGTGTAAAGCGACCACTTCACCATGACGCTTCAATGTTTGGCATATTACACTATATAAACTGTTATCACCTCTCAACAGATTATAAAGTGCAGGATGAAGCCAATTTCTGTTTAATTTGCTTAAGGTAGACGCAGACTCTACAAACGTAAGATAAATTGTTGGTTAAGGTTACTTAAGTTGTATAAAACCTTCTTCTAGTTACCTCGAAGAGCCTCCAATAAATTTGATGGAAGAGATGCAACACTATTCAAACTTTCCAAATCAAAATATAAACATAGTATGCTTGCATAAGTAGCCTTGAAAATGTTATTGCCAGCTGTAATACCGAAAGGTCCTTTGCGCATTAACTATTAGGATGATGGAGATAGTTTATATAAGCGATGTAATGCAAATCATAAATAGAGAAACTCATTATATACTTACAGTCACAGAATAGTTTTCAATTTGCTTCATGAATTTAACAAGCTGTTGCAATCTTTCAGCCGTTACATCAAAGCTAGTTTGAAGGGGTTCGGATTTTGTTGAAAGTATACTCAAATCCATATGGGCCAATTGTATGTCTACCAGATCTTCTTTGTAAATATTGGGATTTTCTTTCATAAATAACACTTTGGATTGAGACAGCTCTTGTTTCAGTGCAGTTTCTATTTTAAGTTGTTAGTATCACTAAGTTCGTGTATTGTTCATATGCCTGTGAAGCTCACCTAAACTAGCCTCATCTGCTAAATGTTTAGCACAAATAGCCTTAAGAAATTCAGAATCCGCAAAACGATTAGTAAGGTATTTGTGCACAACCTCCAAGGCACGTTCGTGATGAACAGGAGCTTCTAAACCAAGAGCTTTGGATACAATAAACGCAACATCATCACGAACATCTGCATCGTCGTCTTGAAGAAGTCGTATTATGGTCAAAAGTGCATTTATACGGGCGTTCGCAGCATTGCTGTCCTTAAAATCGTTTTCTTCTTCATTTCCGGCGAACAAATTGTCTGCAGAATATTGTAGCGATTTAACAACAGCCTCTCGCAAAGGTAAGGTAACGTGCGACTGACTATATTTTGCAATATATCCGCTCCACAATGTAAGACATGTTTTTACCCATGTTTGGTGCGTATTATAAGTGTGTAGTATCTGGAAGAAGAACAGATGCTATTAGTAAAACTCTCCAAAAGTCATAAAGTTGCAATACTTTACTTGAGTTAACAAAGCTCCTAATAAAGGAAGCACAGACTCAGTAACAGATAAGGCTGACTTTGATTCGAATTGCTCGACTAATCTGTCCCAATATTGTTCAAGTGTAAAGGGCAAATCCATATCAGACGGATAAGGTTCTTTGGAATTCAAATAAATCAGAAGATTGGCCGTAGCGACAAAACAATTGAGATTGTCTTCACCACTGTATATTCTCTGTAATAACGTAGCTTGCAAGTCTTTCTTTCTGTAGGTATATAAATTAAAAATTGAATATACGTTTCAAAAAGATTGCTTGAATATCCGGATAATACTATACCCAGTAATTTCAATTTCCTCACTAACATTATGCTGAATAAAAGCCGTCAGCCTTTGTACAGTTGTAAGACGAACTTCGTAATCCTTGTCTGCAAGTAAAAACAACATCGTGTCCAAGTTGACCTTTGTGTCATTCAGAGTGGTTGTAATGATGATGTTTGCAATACTTTCTCTAAAAAGATATGAACCGAAACCACTAATTTGATTGCTTCTGATAGCGTCTGTACAGAGCGCTTTAAGAGTGGCCCTTAAATCAATCAACACTGTGTCAGACAATTGTATCAATTCTAACAAAAAAAAAGAAAAGCAAAAATGAGAAAAAAGTGTGCGAATAAAAATGACATTGCTAACAATCCTACCTAGCTTGAGCTTATCATCTTCCTGTCCGCTATTGATCCACTCAGTTCCGAAAGCAAACTCGTTTAATATGTTCAGCAGCAATGCGCTATTCATATTGCAAAGGTACCCTCCTTTTAGACGGTTAATGATTTTTTCCACCATTACAGGCAATGCTTTCACAAATTGAATGAGCACGTTTATGCTGCTGTTACTCGTTGAAAAGTGACCGCGTAACAAGAATTGAACCTGAAGTAGGCGGCCATGGATCTCATTTTGAGTGCTTTGTTCTGGAATATCAAATAGTTTTTCAAGTGTAGGGGTAACATTAGACACCAATGGGACCAATGCTCTTGCAGCCATTTCACGGGTCTAAAAGCAAACGGAAATTTAGTATTTGTAACATAACTCTGGCTGTCTTATGAATTTTCTGGTTTACCTTATAAATAGCACTTGCTGCACAAGCTGAAACGAGCGGAATAAACGGATTGAGGACACTTTCTTCTTCTTCCAAGTCGAAAGAGGAGGGTTGCATTCGAGATAGCAAAGTCAAGATAGGATAAAGCCCAGGATGAACACTTGCAGCCAGCGAATTATTTAGTAGTTGTTCGACTGCAATTTCCAATTGCTTTATGAGATAAGGATGAAGGTCAGGGAATCGAACAAAAAATTCACGGCCAGTAAGTGTATTGACATGACTGTGTTCGTCTCTGATTTTCTTTGTACCAAATGTTCTTTGTAATAGTGTGGAGAATAACATAACTGAACAATTGCGGATAGCCCAACTATTTAACAAAATAAATTGTTCCACTGTTAGCCATATAATCCCTGTCGCTGTTTCCTTACTTCGACTCAATAAAAATTACAATACCTGCGAGAAGAAAAGCCACCAATGGCTAGCGAGAAACCTTTCGAAGCATATTCCAAAACATAAGAACCCAATTTCGAATCCATGAATATGGAGCGCATGATGTTATAAGCATGGACTTGCGGCAGATCGATTCTTTGATCTGCATTTTCTGGTGGGATTTCACGTGCCAACTGCATCAAATAATTCATTGCTCGATTTAACAACTCCCTTTTCACTGAAGATTCACTGCTAACAATAGCAAGAATGCACAGTGGAAGGCCTGCACTACGTCTAGTAATCGAAATGTTACTAGAAGTGAGGCTATCCAAGTTTTCTTGTAGCCATTGTGCAGGTAATTGAACCAAATCCGTATCTCCACATGTTAGTAAACGGGTATTCAAAGATACGTAAGCGGGATAAACAGCCGAGAATGCACCTCGATGTCTGATATTGGTTAACAAATGGCGTAAAAGATCACCACACTTGATGAGGTCGTCGTAAGTAAGGACGGCCACTCTACTGGCCTTTTCATTATATGCAGTCGTTGCGGGCGCTTTTGAAATAAAGACCTTCAGCAATGAGCTGACTTCCTTTACGGCTCTCCAGCAACAACTTAAAATGACTTGGTGTTTAGGTCCTTGTTTATCATCATCAGCTATATCAATCTCCTCATCCTCTTCATCGCCATCACCACGATAATCAGATGGTACATTGCCTTCAGGTGAAGCATCAGAAATAATAGGAACAGTTGTTTCGCAAGTGACATGCATTAATTCAAGAACTCTGGTATGAACCTTTCTCCAGGCGTTCAAGTTATTTCTTATGTGCTCATTTTCATAGTCTAGTTCTTGAAATACATATTGCAAAGCGAGTAGCGTACCATGAATAGGGTGCTGTTGAGCAGCTAATAACAGATTCGTCTTGGCAATAGTTACTTGCCTCTCAAGCAAATTTAAAAGACGTTCAGTAAAAATCAAGCAAGCTTTTGATACGTCTGAGTGAACCGTAGAGTTGACAACAGCAGCATGTTCTTCTGGATGCAAATCGAAACCTAACCCCATAACATATTTGTTGAAAATTAAGCGGAAGATGAGTGCGCCACTATCACTTTCACCAGCGCGGGTGCTGACTACTTTACTAAGCCCCCACCATAACAGATCTTGAACATCTCGCTTAGATTCAATACCACTTAATGGGCTTGGGAGCTGACATAGAATGTCGTATGCTTGCACGCGGTTGAAATCATAAGGGTTCAGCAATATATCAATAAGTAGTTTGACAATTTCTGGAGTAGCAATGTTCAGCTTGAAAGGAAAGTCAGGTTGCTGGTCTTTAAATCCTTCAATGGAAGGCAATTCAGACACACCGAATGTCTTGATAATAATGCTCACTAGACGAAGGGCAGTCGAAATGCGCTGGTAAGATGCTCCAGGATAGAGAGATTGAGACAGATGATCTAAAAGCCATTCAAGGAAGGATTTTGAGGCGTTAATGGAGGACATAATACGTTCCGCATCCTTTAAATCATGATCTCGTCTGCTGCTATCTGCTTGTTTGTCGGCATGGGACAAGAGTGCTTTATAGTTTCTATACTGAGAATACAAATTTGCTCGTAAGCGGGTCAACAGCTTCGTCATATAAGCGCCTAACTGCTGACGAAATTCTGGGATAGTGGAGTTCATATTGAGAGGTAAGAATAATCTTAACAGTTCAAACTCCAGATCACTTATTTCAGCAATCGCTTTCCGAGATTCGCAGAGAAGACCAAGTACATCCAACCGCACTTGTGGATCACTGTGATAAATAGCCAACTTTAACGTGTCTATAGATATTCTTCTACCAGCCACAGTACCGTATTGATAACTATGGCCATCTACGTAATCAAGGGTACGACCTGCTTTGAGAATAGCAATAAATGCGTTTAATCTGTAAACTGCATTGAGCTGTTGTTCTGTCCATATAGGATGCTTTGCATCTTCCAATATATGCACTGTACGCCAAAATGGTTGTGATCCGATTTTGAACAATGGTTGCAACAGAAAACGACTGACATTTTTTCTTAGCAATTCAGAAGATGCCATAAGACCCTCTAATACAGATGTTATCCACAAGTCGCTCCATTCATCAATGGCACTTTCCACATTTTTTTCGTTGATGTCTTTGAACTTGCCGTTATGGCCTTTAAATTTCGCATATCCGGGAATTTTATCTTGAATGCGTCGATACAAAAACTGAAGGATGAAAAATGTAATTTGAGGGCAAAGTACAAGACTGTCCATGGCTAATAAGCACTTTTGTATGATCTTTGGTTCCGCTTCTAAAAATCGGTCTGTTTCTGCCTTTTCTACAAGCATGTTTAGCAGTGAATACTTTGCTTTTCTATGCCAGTCGATAGCCAGCAGGTACTTTAACAAAACTGATATAAAGTTGTTGTAATCGGTAGACTGGTTGAAGAATTTCGTCTTTGTCTCATAAGCTGTGATCGACAATTCAAAGATCGAACGAACTTTATGCTGTATAGAATCGATAGGGTCTTCCCAGTGATCACAAACATATTGGACTAGAATCATAAGCTGGTTAAGTTGTAATTTATTAGAAACTGTGTTTATTGAACTTTCATCATCGCAGCTTCTCATAATCTCGATTGTCTGTTGTAACCATGTTGCCATGGCTTCGAATGCGATAACTTTACAAGTTGGATCCAGATCGGCTCTTCCACAAAAAAGGTCTATACTGTTGAATAGCAGATCGTGCAAGTTTTTGGCTCCTAAACTATAATCAAGTATTAGTAGCTAGAGAGTTTTGAAAAAGGACAGATAAATCGAACCTACTTTTGAATAAGGGCGACCAGCGACAATGTAGAAGGGCACTCTAACATTACAATGTCCTTTCGAAGACTGGAAACCAAACCTCGCAAAATAAAGATCATAGGAGCATCGCGAGTATTCCAGTTATTCTCGATATTGAACCTCTTATCTGTTGAAGAGTTTATATCAAATATGTTGTTCATCTGTTTTGTTGCTGCATTCGATTCCCCCGTCGTGAAGAACCAGCCTAAAATCCAATCACGAGTGAACTGAGGATTAGCAGCTAAGTTCATAATGGTTCCAATGACCATTCCAGCAACCTGATTGCATTCTTTGACATATTTATTGGTATCAACACAAATATCCAATAAATTGTTTATAATATCCTTCAACAAAATAGCGTCCTTGTCGTCCTTTTGATTCTGTTCGACTACTTTGAACAATTTAATTGCTACACTCATTTGTCGAGAAAATAACACAAGGAAACTCTTCAGGGTAAATTCGATATCGTTCATCACTTGGTTGGTATTTGCTATCATAGTTGAGCTTAGCTGTTGCTGAGCTTTTTGTAATCCCTTGAAAAAGAAAACAAGAGTTTTCTTGTAGTGCTGACTAACAGTTTCCTGTCCAAATGTAAACTTGAGTGTTGCGTAAACAGTCAAAGCTTTCTCTGACAAAGGTTTCGACTCAAAACTTGGTTCCATGGGTTCTTCTGATAAGTAGTCTAAGTATAATTTGTTAAACATTGTATTGTCATTCCCAATACATTTGATTACAGCGTCAATAACAGGTATAAAGTTGCGTCTGGATAAGTTTTCTGTTGCTGCAAAATATCCCAAAGAGACAATAGGTTCAACTAAGTACTTCAGCTGTTTTAATTCAGCAGGTTGTAGATTGTCCACTGACGAAGCTGTCTTCTGCATAAGCTTGGCTATTTTATAGCGAAACAAAAAAGAGTGAGTTTTTGCATGCATGGTGAGTCTTCCCATGAGTAATTACCAGTTTCCTTAATATAAGCAGCTTGGCGTTCATATGTAGCATCTTCAGATCGCAAGAGTTGTTTTAAAGATACAACTGCAGGAATGGGTTCCATATCTTGATTTGTCCTCTCATAGAGGTCAAATAATTTGTTCCAAGAGGAAAATAAGGCCTTTGGAAACTTTACGGGCTTTTGGCCCTTCTTTGAACCCTCCATTAGACCTCTTTTATGCTTAAAGTGCAAAAAAATCAAAAATGGATATTTTTGGATCTGCCAAATTTGACATTTCTGTGGAATTGTTTAAGATGCCTGTGGCTTGTCTGGGCACACAGTTGAATTTCGAGTTCTTGGAATCAGGCACATTTTCCGATAGCAGGTTAATTCCTCTTATATATAAATTCAAACAAAAGATATAGTTGCAATGATATATATGAAGGTGTAAAGTGTATGTATTATAAATGTTATATATTTGGTGAATCAGAGTTATTAAAAAAGAAAAAAGCGAAGCTATTTATGCATTCGACGGATCAGTTTCAGAAGTAGGGATATGTGCGCGAATGTAATCAGCAGTTTCTTGCGCAATAGCAGGATTATTTAGTCTGAGAGCGTAGCTGACTAACTTAGTTTCTGTAGTACCGTCTTCTTTCTTCTCTGTTTCGAAGCCTGCGAATCTCACAAACTTTTCCTGCATTAAGAATACCTTCATACCTTCGAAGAGTAACAAATTTAAAATCACTCTAAAAACGGACTCTGTACGCATGACAAGTCGTGTTTGAACCTTGCCACTTTGCTCATCTTCTCTCAAATTGATACGAAATGTACCGACGCCACGTTCTTTCCATGCGCTGTCTTGCAAAATAAATAATTTACCCTTCACTTGATAAATTGTATCTTCATCTTCTTCTCCCGTTTTAACTATACAATTATAAACATTGGCTTCATGAGCAACAGTGAACTTGAATCAAAAGTGGGTTCGTATATCACTTTACCCTCTGTTTCTTGGATACCCGGCACTTTAACTTTTGCCGATTCACCAAATGTATGCGGCTGGGTTGAGTCTTCTTCGTACTTTGATGCTTTGCCATCCGTGCCATTCCCTGTTTTTTTCTTCTGTTCATTATCAGGTGAATCTAAGGATGAAGGTGAATTGGAAGAAAGAGCATCTGTTGTTTTGGCGGCTGTAGCAAGTGCTGCTAAAGGTGATACAGTGGTTTTGTCAAAGGATCCGAAAGAAACAACAGGTGGTTTATCAATGCCATTATTTTTAGTATCCCTATCTGCAGTATTACTGGACGATGTTGCATTCAATTTGAATCCACCAAAAGCAGTGGTAGTTCCAAAACCTCCAAATGTTGGCTGTCATATAAGCAGTTGAAGAAAAAAGAATTTTGAATATCTTACTCTTGGATTGACTATTCTACTTAAATGACATACCTTTGTAGTTTTCACAGGGAAGGCTGGGCTTACGGAAGCCCAATTCTTGGTACCGAAACCAGATGAGGCACCAAATGTATACTTTTGCTTCTCCATATCTTTTTTATCATTGTCGTCTTTGGATGTAGTCTCCGTATCACCTTCATCGTCACTACCTGCAGCGAACTCACCCCAATCATCGTCGTCTTCATTTTTACCACCGAATTTACTGAATACGTCCTTCTTTTCATCAATGATGTCGGTATGGCTGTCGCTGACTTTTTCTCCTGTGGTTCGTTTCTCTTCTAAAATATCATCGCCATCATCATCCTTTTGCTTGACGTCTTGACTCTCTATCATGGCATCATTCTTCTGTTTCTCGTCGTCTTTGGTATCCTGGCCATGTATCATATCGTCATTCTCCTCGTCTATTTGGGAACCACTAGCACTTGTACTTTGGCTTTCAGTCGACAAAACTTTATCCTGTGTTGACATATCTTTCATATTTTTGCGAATTGTATTCACATTTTCGTCTTCAAGCTTACTATTGCGTTGGCAGAATGAGAGGGAAAGAAAATCTGGTGAGAATGCCAATTTACGTTCCTCAGCGCTTACTATCTGATAAAATTTTGTTGTTTAAAGAATATTACGTTTTTTTTGGAGCAGAAACTTCGGTTGATAAAGGGTTTTCATTTTTTGTAACCTAATAAAGAGCAAAAGAAATTCGTTAAGGAAGAGGCTTACTGATTTCACATAAAGTTTGCAAGGAGCTTACTACGTCGTCTGTTGACTGGGTTGATTCAGGATCCACTGATTGAGCTCTTCCTCTTTTCTTATTTAAGGTAGAATCGTCTTTAGGAATTATGTAAGCTTTTGTTACTAAAATGAGAGTTCAATATTATATACAACGCTAACTCACCAATGTCAGTTATAGAGTTGGTTGGGGAGGACATTTTGAAAGCTTGCTGTCCTTTGACACACAAAAAAAAAAAAAAAAAAAAAAAAAATTGAAGAAGGAACTAGATTTGAAAGTTCAAAACAAAGAGGAAAAGGAAAAATTGAAAGCTTGTTACACTTTTTCCGCGTACAAAATCAAAACTGATTTAGAACTTCGAAAATTAATAAAGGGTATTTTGTAGTATTAGTTAAATGACAAGTTATCAGTCTCATTGCATTTTTTGGGAGAGACTAAGTTTAAAGATACTGTATGATGAAAAATTAACCAATTATTGTTGATACAATGGATATCGATATATTTTCAGCTACAGGGTTTAATCGACGTGTCAAGGTAGACCGTAAATATGTGCGTCTTTCACTTTCACATAGCTACACCACGGTGACGGCTGAGATAAATTGAAATTAGGAGAAAATAGATTGTGCGTAAAGATTATTTACTTACACCAAAATAGACAGGCCATGCAAACATATCTTGCTCTGTGTCATAATTATATAATACATTCAAGGTGGCTTTTTCCAGATAGCCATTCATCCATAGGGTGAGTTTTTAGAAGTTAGGAGGAGGGGAAAGTAGAGTTATAGAAAACTTCAATTTCATGTCAAGCATGGCTTACAAGGCAAAGGGTAAGTACCAAATTTGTCTATTCAACCTTTTGCTGCTACTTATCCTTTATAAATAGTAGTTTGACCATAACTATGCACGAATGAAGCTCGAGTTATAGCTCTTATATGAAAATCAGGTTAGATACAGTTTACTATAGATGACGACGGAACTATCAGCAACTGCCCAACAAACAAAGGTTCCTCTTGAATCCCAGCGTTGAGTTGGAAAGAGATCAGTGATAACATTACACAAGTTTTTCAACACAGCTCATAATTGATCGTGAGCGACCCAGCTTGGATACTTGAATTGATCATCATTGCAATGTGCAGATCGCACCAGACTTGTCTCACACAAGTTTGCAGAATCAATAACACAAATTGCGATATTCGTCCCATTTTAGTCTGAGACATTAAAAAGGTGATGTCCTCCGCTTTCTGCGGAAATGCCGAAAATAAAAAATGCGTCTCGAAACAGTCAGTTTCAATCCGAATCAACTCCAATGTCAATTGAGTTCTGGCCGTTTGGCCGATTGCATATCATTACTGCCATCTCTTTCTCGTAAAAGTCTTTTCTTCATATGAGGCTTTTGAACAGCAAACTCACACCCTATGTCTTTTTGGTAATTGGGTTTACTCTTCTATGCTTCTCCATACAAACCTTCTGGAAGACTTCGACGTCGTCATCTCGATCATCCAATTCAAGATCTTTAGCATTAGCTGTTGCAAAAAAAACTAACGCCGACAGACCAGTAAAAGCTTGCTTCGTGGTTTTGGTCAGAAATAGCGAACTGGATGGTATAGTGTCGACTATGCTGCAACTTGAGAAAACATTCAACCATAAATTCAACTATCCCTACGTGTTCTTGAATGACGACGAATTCACAGACGAGTTTAAAGATCGTACAGCAGCTGTTACAAATTCCCCTACAAAATATGGAAAAGTAGACAGCCAGATGTGGGGCTATCCAAACCATATTAATCAAACTTATGCAGCTGAATCTCGAGCAGAAATGGCCAAACAGATGGTTCCCTATGCCGAGAGTGAATCATATAGACATATGTGCAGGTTGGTATTGCCTAATAGCAGATCATATTCAACTGTAACATACACGCAAACTATATTAACCTAAATTTATCGAATACTACATAGATTTCAAAGTGGTTTTTTTTTCAGACACCCTTTACTGGATGAGTACGATTATTACTGGAGGATTGAGCCTTTCGTAGATTACTACTGTGATATCGATTACGATGTATTCAAATTTATGCGAAACAACAACAAAAAATACGGTAATCAAAGCAACCATTTTATCCCGGACTTGATCTCTCGTAGATCTAATAGTATCTTCGGCATATTTTGTAGGTTTCAATATTGCATTCAGAGAATTCTTACAGACAGTACCAACCCTTTGGCAGACAGTGTTGAACTTCAAACGTGATAATCCTGAAGTAACAGCTCACTGGCCTGCTGAAAAGAATTCACTTTTAAAGTTTGTCACTAGTGACAATGGTGCTACCTACAATGGATGTCATTTTTGGACTAATTTTGAGATTGCGTCATTGGATTTATGGCGATCTAATGATTACTTGAAGTTCTTCCATTACCTGGACCAAGCGGGTGGATTTTTCTATGAACGATGGGGTGATGCGCCAGTACATTCTATTGCTGCTTCCTTAATGTTGAACAAGGATGAGTTTCATTTTTTCAACGATATAGGATACAAACACTCAGTATATACACACTGCCCATTGGAGCCAGAATACCGTGAAAAATGTTCCTGTGATCCCAATATCAGCTTAGGTAAGAATAAAGGAAGTGATAAGGAACGACATGATAGTATCAAGATTGCTAATCGTTTTTATCGTAGATTATACGGATTCAATGTCTTGCTTATCTGTGTATGAAGCTGCCTTTTAGGGTGAAATATACCTTATATTTATTAGCCTATGCTGTACTATATTTACTTGTAATGCATATATAAGTTTACTGTTAATCACTTTATAATACTTTTTTTTGTTATTGATTCCAATGTTCCTGCTCTGTACAAACATCACAGGTTAAGGAGTATTGGACTACAGTATCTGACCAATTTGCTCAATAAAATGGACGAGGATCCGGCTTAAAAAACCATGTCTGTTGTTGTACGAACGAAGAAGCAATATATCGCTACTGTAAATCTGAATTGAAAGTAAAACGCAAAACAAATCTTCATAAACACGGTAACCCCGCTGGTTTAACTAGCAGAAGTCCAAACGTCTCAACACAGATTTTAGTTTATGCGTTAATGAAACTATTTTAATCTTACATTTTCATCACAATACTTTCAGTAACTAACTTGGGATACATTTCATAGTTGTTGAGAGGATTTGGAGAGGAGTTCTCTCTTAAAAGCTCAAGAACAATAAAAATACTCCTTTAGGAAGTAATGCAAAATGAACCGCTGTAAGAATGACGTTGCTGCCATCGCTTGCTAGTGAATTGCACAGTCTTGTCTGTCATCCAAAGTAATTACTGATGGCAAAAATTATATTATTCTAACAATAAAACCGGAAAAAAGGGGACGGGAACGGTTGGGTTTGGAAAAAGCAAGAGTAACCTACTCTTGAAATCAGTCTATCAAGTCTATCATTGGGTGATTAAATGATGCCAAGCATCTATGAGATGGTGTTATTTGCAAGAGGCGCAACATTGGTCCATGTACTTCAAGTCTATTGAGGAGACCAGATATGAATCTTTAATAGAACGTTCCGTATTGATGGATGGTTTTTTGTTAAAGCCAAGAGTTACTTTACCTGTTCTGTTGCCCCACCATGACGGAAAAGGAAGGTTTACACCGCTCACCCCTCCATAAAGGGCCATAGCGATGATAAATACCATCAAAGAAGTACCTGAATCCAATGCGGTCGATATGAGATAGTTGTATTTCACAAACCAGTTTCTGTGATATCTTTTCATATAAAGTTGCGAGGTCAAGATAATGATAAACGAAACGGTAATCCAACTAGTAGCAGCACCTGGAACAATTGTGAGGCCAACAAGGATCATGGGTGTGTTGATATACTTGAATCCAACCTTTGGAAATTGGCGATGGAGAAGCCATCCAGGTATAGGTAGTAAGAAGCCAACCTATTTCAATTTTGGTCTTTTAAGTTACTCAAGTCACTTCATAAAATAGCATAACCGACGATAATAATTATTCACAGGTGTAGTATTGCTACATGCGATTTACCAGAAATGCCCAAAGAACAATAAAATATCTTGAGTTAGGTCCAAACATATTTAAAGGGCCAATTGCACCCCATGTAATAGCAGCCGAGTTGATGGTCTATCCGTAAAATCAGCAAGAGTTGATTGTTCAACTACGGCAATTGGCTTTTGGCACTTCATCACTGTTGTATATAGCTTACCTGCGGAGAGGAGCCGTTCCAAATATTATTTCCTATCGGATTGAGCAATACATCTCTTTGAGAATTGACCACACTCTATTGGAACAAAACACTGTTAATGGCGATGTTTTTTAAGTAGTAGCATTAGATCATGGATGGATAAAGCATCTTACGTGATTAACGATATAATTGAAAATGCATCCTATAAACGTGCCTAACATTTGATTCAAGAAAATGGCTCGCGGGGGCACTTTTAAATAATGACCGATCTTCAAATCACTTGCCATATTTCCGGCTTGGTTTAAAGTATTATAACCCAAGGTTTTGAAATACATGTTTGCAACTGAAAAAAAAAAAAAAAAGGAAAAAGCAAAGATTAGAAAGCATTCATTCAACTCATGACAAAGATTAACGTGCTTTACATACTTGGTAAGCCTGGAAGGACAAAACCGCAAATCATTTCTGCAAACACATTTAGACCGAATCCTGAGCCTGTGATTGCTGTAATCATATTCAAAGGTAATGATAATATAGTGGACATCACTATGGCAAGAACGACCGCCCACCAAGGCAATTGACTCTTATTAGCATAGGCAACAGCTATATTCATCCCAATGCCGCCAAAGTAAACTACATAATACCACCAGGTTGGTACCTAATTCAGCCATGTATCAATTCCTATGAAAAATACAGAAAACTATGTCCTAAAACCTTTCTATACCTCTTTATAAAATGACATCATTTGCATATGGGGATCCTCAGCTAAGTTGGCTGCTTCTGTGTTCTCGGTACTACTGCCACTATTTTGCAGGCGAATTTTCCGCTGTTGATATGCTTGTTTCACGTTCTGCCAAATATCCCTTCCATAAAAGAGAGCGATATGAGCAACCGATGCAGTTACAGCAAAGTTGATGAATATATATTGCAATGCTGTTACTGCAGGAAAATAAGGCATGCCTACTTCTTCCAATGCGGTCTGATTTAAAGCATTGTCTTTTCCCAACACATATTTCTGAGGGTATATAGTCGAGGTACCATTAGGCAGTAGCTGAAAGATAGAATTGGACAAAAACGGGAAACTCTGTGCCTGCCATACATCGTAATAATAGATTAAAGGAGCAATAATCCACAAAACAGCAATACCTACATAAATATTCATCTGCACCCACAACGGCAGTACTAACGGGCTTAGATTGGACAAATAATTCCAGTCGAAACTAAGCTGTAGCATGCCTAGCCCTTCATTGACTGAGAGCCCACCAAATAGACGTTGGATCCATACTGATTCAGGTTTAGCAAGGCAGAGGATGGAAATCCCTCCCAGCATGGGCATCATGTACTGCGGTATAAACTCGTAAATAAACGTAGCTGCAAATACTATAAAAAAGAAACGGGTTCTCCAGCGGGCTTCATCTTGTTTTGAGTTTAATGTTTGCAATAGTGATACAGTTGGCAAAGAAGTTGGCCAAATCATGTTGGCAGGATAGACGAGAAAGGTGCGTAATTGTCCTGCAATACCATATCCAACCATTTGTGTGGCTAGCAGAAGAAAAATTGAACCAACCGGCCCAGGAACGTCGTTATAATAGAGGCTTTGAGCTGCTAATATATGAGTTGCATAGGCAGACGCATTTGCTGAGGAGACAATCACATAAATACAGGTATGTTCTTTTACATTGAAAGTACCAGGATTAAGCCAGCCACCACTAGGTAAATACTTTGCCCATGCATTGCAAAATACATAAGCAATCATGAGCATAAATGTGTTTGTGAGCGGTATTCCTACAGGCTTAAATACCATCAGTTGATAAACTGAAGAACTTAATGAAGCTAGAGCCTGGGATAGTAGAACAAACATTAATCAAACCGGTCAATGTAATGGATCAGTCTTTGTTTCCTATAAATTTTACAAATATCTTTCCCATAAAAGCTGAATTAGGGTCTGATGATTACAAACATACAATTCCGGTTACGAACACTCGCAATGTAAAACAGGGTAATGTTCTATCGTCTTTGTTCAATGCTAACTCGTTCACGACTTGTATATCAATGTCTTCATCTTCATATGTGTTCACATTTTCAACAACTTCAAGTTGCTTTTCGTTTGCAGCACTGAAAGTTGAAAGATTGTCGCCATTTGTTATGTCTGTTTGTTTGTTGATTTTTGACCCTTCATTGCGGTATCCATCGCCTTCCGCTTGCATTTTTCTTTGAGAAAAAGGTAATAGCTGAAAGAGACAGTATAAAAGGAAAAGAAGAGAAAGAAAAATGTATACTGCTGAAGGGGTTGTTATGATGAAAAAAAAAGAAAGCCTGTGTGGCATTTTATGTCTGAAAAAGCTTAGGGGGAAGGGAGACCTTAGAATGCACGACAACTTCTGCTATTCTCGTTACTGTTGTTTGATTCAATATCAATTCAGTACCTTTCTACATATGATTGAGCTTTAGTTCAATTTATTTGCACAGTAGATTTTTTGAAAGACATAGAGTGCAAGCCCAGCCCTGACTTATGTATAAACCGTATAAAATGCAGCAATATCTGTATATAATGAAGTTCCTTGCATTTATTAATTCAATCCTGTTTGTTTGTTCCTCACGGGTTACTACGAGCTTGATTAGCGTCGCTACAAATTTGTATAATGTGTATCAATTAATGAGGGTGGGGGGGGAAATAGAAGGAACTGACTGCATACAGTGAAAAAATCCTTTAGCATGCAAACGTTTGAATTTTGGAAATATGTAATCACTGCCAAGAGAAGGCAGAAAAGCATAAGCATATGTGGGCCAGATCTGTTTTTCACTGTTGGAAAGACGACTGTTCATCTAAACCCAAGGCTGTGACCAATGGCAATCTTATATTAAACATGATATCTCTTAAGGTGAGACAACAGCGAATTATCAATTAAGTACTCTGTTCACTGTCAAGAAGTGTTAACTGGCTTGAATAGGTTGATAGCATTTTTAGCATTTGCGAATCCTTCTTCAGCATGAAGGACCGAGTCTAGATCAAATCTTGACTACAGTCACGGCACTTTTCATTGCACGGATGATATGTTTTTAAAAAGTTTCAACGTTGTCTATAAATTCCTGTGCTTCAAAACCTTAATTTCATCAAATTGCCCCTTTCCTTCCCCCCACCGTTCCCATCATCAAAGTTTTCTTTATTCTTTTCACTGTCTTCGCTGCTACACTTTCGCTTCTGTTTCATTTGACTAAGTAACTTCACTATAACGTCTCCATCTCTATCTAATGAGTGGTCAGAACTATATCGGTTCGAAAATATCGGTAACGTACCTTGTTTTTCTCTATCTTTCTAAATGTTGCATCTGCAAGATGACAACTTGCCATTAAGCCTTAAACTACTTGACACAATAAATAGCTCATCAGCTTGAGTGATATTCGATATGTTGGTATATTGCATAATATCAATCCCTCGGAGTCAACCGTTGCTTTACAGAATGGTAAAGTAATTGACCTGGGCAAAATGTCGAAATTCCCCCAAAGAATGCTAACCCACACTTTTCAATAAAAACTTGTTGATTTCTCAAGTTAAATCGTATGGCACTGAAGGCCGTAAAGCAAATCCTCTTGAAGAGATTGCAGCTTCGGATACAATTTTTGACTATGTAGTCTTTCGAGGTTCAGATATTAAGGACCTTCAAGTCTATGAGGCCCCTCCTGCTTTTCAGTCAGAATTGGCTACTGCACAGCATCAAGAACAACAAGCAGCTCCACCACCTCAAGCAGCACAGCCACAACAACCCATACGTCATCAGCAAACGCAAGCCCAGTTCAATCCTGTTATGAACACGGTAAGGAAGAATCTATGATGTTATTTATGCATCTCTTCTTTGAGAAATATGCAAAAGAGCCTCATGGCTAATGAATTCTTTAACATAAATATTACTGTCATAGATATCGCCGGCTAAGACAACTTATCGATCTCCTTATTATCCACCTTCGCAAATCTCATACAATAGTTACAGTCCATATGGCCTTAATAACAATGGCATCATGAGTGACAACACGAACGGTTATTGGCAGTCTAATGCGTTCTCGAACAATTTTGCCCCACTACAATCACAACAGCCGCAACCGTTCGCTTATCAAATGCCCATTCCTGAACCTTATCAACAGCCACCATCACAGCCACCCTCTTTTCCTCCACCCTCAGCAGCAGCAGCAGCTAATCTCACTTTGGGAACCATGGATGAGGGTGAATTAGCAGGTCTTTCGAAAAATAATCATGAGAATGACATGAAGATAAGTACTGCCGGGCACGATACAGATCTGCCTATTCCACATAACGCAACAACCGCCCTAATGAAAGCACCCTTAACGCAAGAAAAAGAAGAGATTTGCATTGGTGAAATGAGTCCTACTGCCACTCTTGATGTTGGCACCAATGAGAACACGGTGAATGACAGAGATGCTGAGCTATTAGCTGTTGAAACCTTGTCGAAACAGGTGTTAGACTTGGAGATTAAACATTTGCCAACAACTAATGAGAGTGCGAAGGCGATGGATAGCAGAACTGCTATACCCAAAACGGAGACAGATAATGAGCATTCATCTCCCAAAGTTGAGCAACAACAAACACAGCTGAAAACTACTCCTACGGAGGAAAAGGGTCGTAAGAAAAAACAATCAAATACCGATGATAAGATTAGAAAAAATGCCACAATGACAAAGAAAAGCCTAAGAGCTCCTTCTCAAACGGCTCCCATTCCCCGCTCAAATGATGGACGTACTGCACGTGAAGTTACCAATGGAGAGAATGATATCAGAAAGCGAAACGACAATGCTCGTCGTAACTCAAACCAAAGCCATCATCGAAATAATAAGAATGCAACCGCTGGCAATGGTAACAACTTTATGTTCTCCAAGACAGAATTCGACTTTGCATCCTCTAATGCAAAGTTCGACAAGAATGAACCCAACGAAAGTGAAACCATTGTTATTCCAGAGCCAGAACACTTTTATAATAAGGTGAGTTGATCAACCATGGTGACAATAGTCTTTTGATTCTTTTATTGACACCTTCATCTTAAATTGGCTAGAATAAGAGTTTTTTTGATGACATTTCATGCGAATCTAAAGAGTTTCAAGAAGGGTAAAATTGAGAGAAAGAATAAGCTTTCTATACAACGAAAAAATGCAACAAATAACCCTAGAGAAAAGACTAACAAACCACCTTTTCATTTCATCAGAACGCGTCCTAGCTTAAAGTATAGGGAAGAAGGCAAACTGAATATGGAAACGTTTGGGCAAGCCGGTACTGGAAATGTTGGTCTAATGGGTGAAAGAAGAGGCCGTGGAGGTCGTGGAAGAGGCGGCCGTCAACAGAGCCGTGGTGGCAGTCATCGCTTATCCAGAAAAAGAGATCAGACTTTGGGATGATTTCCGAACTGAGGAAACTTGAATTATAATAAAGAAGTGATGTCTTGTTATTCATACTTGTCATTTATCAGCATAATTCGGTAAGAAGAACAGCAGCTCAGGGAAAAGCTAGACATTGTTTTATGTCCATGGTGCTGTTTTAGAGTGATCTTTAGGTCATCATGCAAGTTTGCCCGGGGTTATTCTTTTTTTTTTTTTTTTTTTTTTCTACGATTTATATGTGTATATAGTTAATAGGATCAGGTAATTAGCATGCAGAGTAAATTGAGACAATATGTTCTCAATATAGCATTTTTTGATTTTTTGTTTTTAAGCAAAGGGTTATGTATGACCGAACGATCTAAACGACGGATGAATGAATTTGAACAGATAAACGCAACATATGCTACAGTTAGAGAGTATTATATAGAAGACAAAGATCACTGACTCGTCTTTGCATAAGTGGGACCTGATTCCTTGATGAGTTTTCCTTTCTTTTTTTTTTTTCTATTGTATGTACATATGTATTCTATAATGGATGTATGAAAACTTAGTAGCGCGGCACAGTACAGCTATCATTATAAGCTGTCTCACTATGTATTAATGCAAATGTGGTAATGATAAAAATAAAAGGATTTCTTTCTCTTTCTTTTTTACCAGGAGGTTGTACTATATGAGGGGAGAGTGAAAGTATTTTTACACGTAAGAACGTAGTTTACTTTGAAAAGTCTCCGTTGGCTTCTCTGATCTCGTCCATCAAAGCGTTATCAGGGTTCAAACTTTGGAATAGATTGTAGTCAAACTCGCCATTAGCCATCAATCGTGTTGCCATACGGTCAATAGCTATGACTGCCAAAACTGTTTGAATATAGGCGTCTATGAGATCGTCAATGCCCAGGCCCAACTGATTGAAGTCTTTTCTATCCATCAAAATCAATCTAGAAGAATCTGTAGTCCAGCCACCATCAGGCAGTTTGATGGACAGATTTGTACCAAGCATATCCCAAGTGTTGGCTATGTTGCAAAAGTTATGGTCAATTGTCTGTTAAGAGGAACCGAGCAATACCAATTGATTGCTTACCCTCTGGGTCAAGCTCTCCAGTGAGAGGTAATCTTGCTTTCCGTCCATAAATGCAAATAGGTCTAAATCCTTGATCACTGCCTAGATGAGAGATACGTAAAGACGATACGTGTTACGATCCTGTCTTTTTTTCCAACATTTCTGGCGGGGGAAAAAAACAAATTCGTCTTACCTGTCACCATCATACGTAGATCGCTTACAAATGTGTTACTCTTCTTATTCGGGATAGTACCAACATGATAAAATTTTCCGGCTGTAGTGACACTAGACCAGGAAGCGTTACCCACAAGAGACTGAACAATGAACTGTATCAAATTGTAGAAAAAGCGAGTTAGTCTAACGTGTGGTGACTTACAGTTTGAAGACAGTTTTTTTTTTTTTTTTTTTTTTTTTTTTTTTTTTTTTTTTTCCCTTGCCTTATCATAATGATGTTCTATGTTCATAAAGTCATCCAATTCCTTCTTGTTGGTAATTGTATAGACACCTTGGCCGGCGTTACTGTATGGAACTTTAAGCACAGCATGCCCACCCATTGAATTGATCCATAAAGGTATTTCACCCAAGGTAACGTTATTAATTGTCTCTGGTGTCTTGATACTAAGACCGGTGCAGACGATATCCTTGTTATAAAAATCGTACGCTCTGGCTGCCATCATCTTATTGCGACCACCGGCGAGGCAACTGATAATTTGGTTCATGACGATTGTTTTTGTCTTTAGCGGAAAGCGATTCCAAGGTTTTTGTGTCAAATAGCGAAAGCAGGCTCGAATGGGATGCCATTCTACAAAATGTTTTGGAGAGTTTGCAGAAAAATAAGTCAACGGGTCTCTTTCTAACATACATCAAGACAACCCATTACCTTTTTGTTGATCACGGACGTATAAGACACGGTCCACCCATTTGATATCTGGGTCGGGGTCATTTACATGCCATTCCACCAGCCAAACATGTTCTTTCGCTACGTCAGCCAACACGGCGGCATAACCGCTTGATTCCATCATATTCTTATCACAAACCACAGCCAAACCGCCTAAACTGGGATCTGCTTTTGAAAGCTGGTCTTTAAAGGCAGTTTCCATTACGACACGGTAACCACCCTGCTCATCCGTCTCCGACAACAATGGCATTGACTTTTGACCTGAAGGACAAGAGTTGGTTTCAATGACGATCATTTGACGATGACCAGAGGCTGTGGTGACATTAAACAAGTCAGAACCTGACGAAACATAAATGAGAGGGATGGGGGGCAGATAAGTAGGAATTCTTCTGTTGAGGACTCTATTTGTTTGTTATTTTTAATGTTTTACCTGCCCATTGAAAATGCTTGGGTGAATAAGAAAGAATATTCCTCAAATCTTCACTTTTGACAGAGGGATTCAGATGCGTATATCGAGCAATAATACGCTCGTTACCCAAGGTAAAGAATGATTGAACGAGGGGATGGATCTGAGCATTCAATACACGTGGATAAAAATGTTGTTCTGGCTCAAACTCTCCTTGACCGACAAGCCTTGATGCATATTCCGAAGAATTTGCTCTTTCACCTGGTGGAGTCTTTGGTGGAGTGGTTTGGGTCTTCTTATCTTCTGTTGGAGCGGCGGTATTTATAGCGGTGAGATCAGAGGAATTCTTATCCGTTGGTAATAGTGGAGGTGAGCGTAATAAGCTGTTTGCCATTGTATACATGCAAAAGAAAGACAAGAAGAGGAAGAAGAGAAGAGAAAAAAAGACGAGAGATAAGGAATTAGGGAATTATTTGTAGTCAAAAGGAAATAACAAAAACCAAAAAAAAAAGGCCAAGATTAAACAAAACCGTTTTATATGAGAGGGGCCACAACTGTGCTTAAATTGCTCTGTACGTTACTTTCGCTTCATTATCGAGCAGTTTTGCATAAAAACCAAAGGACAACCATTTCAGCATCAAGCCTGGAAGTGCATTCGAGATACACACGCACCTCAAAGGATTGGACATCAAAAGCTTTTCAAAAAGGGAACAGGCATAAAATTACTCTTTTGGGAATGAGAAGTTTAAAAAAAGAAAGTTTGAACCACTAAGATGATTGACTCGAATCCCGTCCTTAGAATACATACTGTATGTGGTCTGTGTATGTGTGCGTGCGTGCGTGCGTGTGTGTGTGTGTGTGTGTGTGTGTGTGTGTGTGTGTGTGTGTGTATGTATCGTCCACTCCTCCCCCTTTCAAACACCCTTTTTCCCTTGGAAGAAAAAAAAAAACCTGCGCATGGAAGGGAGGGCGTGATGATTTGCGAATACGTGCAAAGTAATTTGCAACATGTTATCCAATATGAATGCAAATTTATTTCCAGTAAAAATAACTTTGCACCTCCTTTAAAGAATATCAGCCTATGAAAATGGGCTTTTGCTTCATCATGAAGTAATCATGAATCGATCCCTTATCACTTTGGAGCTTGTCTATAGCATTCATTCTACATCACATTCCCGTCTTTGAGCGATAAGAATGAACATCAGTCGATAGTGCTGTGCAAATATCTGTATATCTCCTGGATGGATCTCGCTGAGGATATGCCCAAAAGATAATGAGGCTTTAGGCATAGTCCGTCATTTGAAACAGATAGTAAAAGAGTACCCCTCTAAAAATGGAATGATCAATTTTCTATCTTTTTTTTTAAATGCATAAATTACAAACTTGCTTTTGCCCTTCGCTATTTTCTTGCGACCGTCCTGCCCTAAAACTTTCGATCTCAACTGGTCCCGTATTCTATCAACACCTGTGTACACCTATTCAACGTGATATTACTATACCATACATAATCAAATACCGATCACTGGCATCAGACGCTTCGTCTTCCTTTTTCCATTGCTGGAAAAATACACTCCTAAATTGTGTCGTTATACCATCCTCCTTGGTTCCGCGTCGAGCTTTGTTTTCTCCGAAAAATGTTTGTCGGACTCGAGAGGAGGCAGCTGACTTGATGTTATGTGCGGAGTCCGTAATGTGATGGGGGAAGGGAAGGGAATAACAGCTGGCTGATTATTTCAATAATGATCAGCATTGTCAAATAGGAAATCCTTCTCTTTAATCCATTCCAAGTATTTACTATGGTAAGTGTCGACAGAAAACAAGATAAATGTCCATCAAGATGATTAGATTAATAAGTTTGTCATCCACTTTATAGGGTCGCGTTAGGTAAATAGATGGATTGATTCATTTTGATAATGGATGAAATAATGTATTTTTGGGATCCGGAGATGCAACCAAAAGATGTTATAAAAATGTTGGAAAGATGGATGGATCAACCGAGCATTCCCGAACCTACACTATTCTTTCATTACAAACTTCAACCCCATTATACATTACAAAAAAGAGTGAAATGTGTGATTGCTAAGACGATCGACTAAAAGAACAACTTTTTTATTCAAATCATCTTTATTATAGAACTAAGACTGTTAAGAAGGCTTCTCGTGTTCTTATCGAAAAGTATTATCCTCGTCTCACTCTTGACTTCCAAGTCAACAAGAAGATCCTCGATGAAGTTTCCATCATTCAGTCCAAGCGTCTCCGTAACAAGATTGCTGGTTTCACCACCCACTTGATGAAGCGTATCTCTCGTGGTCCTGTCCGTGGTATCTCCTTCAAGTTGCAAGAAGAAGAACGTGAACGTCGTGATAACTACGTTCCCGAATTCTCTGCCTTGGATACCTCTCTCATTGAAGTTGATCCTGATACCAAGGAACTCCTCAAGGCTATGAACATGGAAAACTTGCCCGGTGTTCAAGTCACCAACCCCATTGCTGCTCAAGCTGATGTTCGTCGCGGCCGTCGTGATAACCGTTCTCGCGCTCCTCGTGCCCAAGAATCTGCTTAAATATAAGTTATTTCTGATTCGCAAAAGTTATGTTCTCTTTTGTATGAATCTTCTTTTTTTGGATTCTATGCATTAGAGTGAATAAATTGCTTCCTTGTTTGTTCGATTATGAAAAGGGATCATTTTATTTTGGAGAATTTTGTAGCCATCAGCATTGTCTGAAATGAACATAGAATTGAAGGGGGGGGTGCCAAAAAAGTAGGCAGGAAAAAGGATGATGGTACGCATTGAATGATTTCAATGGGCGGGGGATGTATGCCTTTTTCGTTTATTCGCAAATATGTTATGCCCGTCATCATGATTGGGCATTTATCAATTTTTTTTTTATGAAAACAACAAAAAAACTGGTATCACAGGTCATTTCTACATCTAGTTGAGTTGCATGCCTTTTGCACGTAGATCGGTCTTGGCTTGTTGTATCTCCTATATTATGCGAACAGAGAATCAGCATTTGCAGTGGAGGCTAATTGAAATACTAACAAAATATTGCCATTACTTACACTCATGAGTTCGTGGTATGCTTCAGGACAATCGCGGAATGTAAATAAAGCGAAGCCAATAGTGAAAAGACAGTAGCAACCAAACGTAATCAAACCCCACCAAGGAAGCTATATCGTTTGTTCAAAAAGATGAATCAACAGAGGTGAATAGACATACTAGGTGAGAAAAAGCGTGTAATAAACTGCTATTGTATGTTTGAGTGACGTACAACTGGAATAATCTTGTCTTGCACAATATCAGGTAATGGCACAAAACCTAAATAAAGAATGATGTAGGTGGTGAATAAGATGACACCAATCGTGAAAGCTTCGGTCGCTCTTGTCATCTTGAGTAATGTTGCAGATTAAAGCAATGAAATTAAAGCAATGGTTAAAAAAAGGTATCAATAAAAGGGGGGAACTAACCAAATGGTGTTGACATATTTCCCTGTGACTGACCATTGTAAAAGGAAAATGCCTAATTTTAAGCATACCACTCATGCTTGTTCCGTCCTTTTTTCTTTCCGTTTTTCAACTGATTCAAACGAGACGAGATGGTGAGTTCACATACGAATATAAAGCCTTTCTTAAACGGCATGGTTTGATTTAATGAGGCTCTTTCATACTTCAATTAGGCCACTGATAAAGTTGCTGGTACGATATCCTTTTTCAGCATAGTATCTTTATTCACTTATTATTCCACTTGGGTACTGATCATGGTAAGCCCTTCAAAAATACTGTAACCATATGGACAAACACACACGTCAAACCTCCCCCCCACCCCGAGATTCTAATCCAAATAACTTCTATAGCCATTTGTGGACGAAGGTCATCCATCGCATAACTACTTTCCCCATTGGAAATACGCTGTCAAAGTCCCTTTATTGCTTATGATTTTCGGATTAACAATTATCTTTACGTTTCTTTCACTTGTCATGATCAAAAGCAAACGTTGAAAACAGATAGTACAGTCTTGTCTCTGTTTATTGGTTTTTCAACTTTGTGCTATCAGCAGCACGACCAACGCTCAATTGCTCAACTTGTGCATTCAGGACACGTCTCTTCTGAATGGCTTGACAACGTGGCTTTAACACAGTAAAGAAGACGGCAATCGCCAGAGCGGCAATGATAAGATGGCAATAATAAACCTCACGCCAAACGACCAAGATACGCGATATGTACAACAAATCGAAACAGGGCACCATCATATTCAAAAAACCGAGAGAGAGGAACCACGAGAAAAAGTCATAGATAGTTTTACGATATGTGATGGGCTGTTGTTCCTTTGCAGTGAAGCATAGAGGACGAAGGGTTCGACGTGCTTGTCGAGCCAACAATTGCATGCTAGACAATATCAAAAAGAAGACTATTTCGGAAATGAGACGACCTTCACTTCTCGGCGAATCAAAAACCCTTCCATACACACATAGACACGCACTCAACCGCCCTTCTTGACATAGCTCATAGTAAACTTACGATAGAATCCTGGTTGAAACCCATGCCACATAGCTGATATGATGTACGTTTTCCAAGTAGTACCAAGCATGGTAGATGACTTTTTGAACCTTAAATATACATAATTTCTCAACCAATGGTTGGCGCCTATATTCCAATTCTCTGTTAATTGTTTGTATGATTGAGCGAATTCAACGTCCAATTCATTCACGTTCGTCAACAGATTCCATTCTTTCCTTTCTGCATGGTAACCAAAACCAGACAAAATACAAGCACCTTCCGACAAATACCAAATGCAATAGTATTTGCCTCTTGTTAAAAAGCCGGATAATTGAATAAATCCCATCCTAAAAACAAAAAAAAAAAAAAAAAAAAAAAAAGAATGCGATAAGAAAGGAGAGAGAGAGGGAGCTTGAAGGGCGGTAGCGAGATAGCTAATTATTGGATAAGTTATAAACCTACTTGTACCAAAATGAACGTTGCTTCCATGCTGGTTTCAAGGCCTCAAAATAATTAAAAGTAGGGGCCAAATAAAGTAACAGGCCCATAAAAGCCAAACTTTTCAACAATCGCTTCCAAGCTGCATAACCCTTTCCTGGATGATCCACTGTTCGTAATTCGATGAATCGAAAATAATCCATGTAGTAGCAGGTAGGTCCCGTCAAAAATCCCCCAAAATAAAACACCCAGCCAAAATACTCTAGTAGAGTAGGATACTGGGCAATCTTCATCTCTTCCATGTGTTTTGTTCTTTCCGTTTTCTCGGTCACATTCGTACCGTCCATTACATTGAAACCAAAGGATGATAATTTGATAGTCAAGATCATCATGGCTCCTGAATAATCAAGTTTTGTATCACCTTCTAAACCTTTCCATTGACGACCAATATGACTATACCGTATCGATGAAACGAGAGAAAAAAAGGCAGGAGGTAGAGGAGATGACAGTGAGTCTTTACCATGTTTGCTTGTCAAATCGATAGACCACTGTTGCCATACTTTACCATACAGACATACTGAACATGACTAACGTAAAATTGACCCAAGCCAGCGTCGACGTTACTTGACGGGATCGAAGCAACAGATAGGAGGACATCGAGACAATCAATGTGTGTGTAAAGCCATCATACATTTTCAACACATAAAGCAAAATAAAACTAGTGTAAGCAATCGAAAATGCATGCCTTATATTGGATGATTTGAGATGTGTAAATAGAATAGCGCTTGGATAAGTAGAAAGGATAGAGACAGCGAGTTTGAGGTGGTCTGGCGCGATGCGGTCACCTAGTAAAGATGACGATAAATAATCAAAAAAGCTATCCATGCTGTTTGGCTTGCTTATAACTTCAAACAAAGAATCAAAAAGAAAAACAAAAAAGAAAAAAGTCTGTAGATCGTTTATGCCATAGCATTATATATTCTTCTTTCTGCTTTTTCAGGTACCATTTTCTTGAATGCGTTATTGATCTGCATGAGGTTGCTGGAATTTATGACCGGCAAATAATGAAAGTCAACTCCGAGATCAACTGCTTCTCCATTCAAAACATAATTTTTTGATTCATTCGTTCCTCGCCAAAAACACTTTCTCATCTTCTTGTTCGTTAGCTAATGTCGAAGCCTAATCCTTTCGACGACCCTTCCAATCCTTTTGAGGACCCATCAATAACACATGCTCTCAATTCATCCAGTCCAATTATCGTAGAAGAACCATCCAATGATAAGCAGTCAGAAGATATTTTCAGCGTGCCTCTTTACAGCTTTAACGACACCTCATCTCAACAAGCGCCTACGAATCACAGTCCATATAACGGACACTCTTCGTCGTCAACTGCAGCTTTCTTTGATACGAGTAAAGATAATCTGAGTACTCGAGAGGAAGCTTTGAAGCGGAAAGAGCAAGAATTAGCTGATAAGGAAAGACAATTAAACCAACAGCGGGAGCAACTGCAGCAACAGAGAACGAGAGGCGCCAACAACTTCCCGCCGTGCTTTCCTATCATGTATCTCGATATTGTTGCTGAAATACCCGATCAACACCAACAAACTGTTCTCTGGTTTTATAGAGAATGGCTTTTGTTTTTGGTCACTCTGGTATTGAATTTCTTCGCCTCTCTGTGGACGTTATTTTCACATCCTGAATCCGTGAGCAACAGCGCACCTACCAACATGGGCGTTGCACTAACAGAATTATTTACACATACATTGGCAAGCTTTTTCTTGTGGTATCGACCCATCTATAATGCTTATATGAAGGATAATTCTCTTTATTTCAGTAAAAGTCGGCCTCTCTTTTGTCAAGAGTTAGCATTATTACTGAACTCCTTTATCTTTTATTTCACGTAGCGTTATTCTTTCTGTTCAATGGATTTCATATTTTATATACCTTTTATATGGCAATCGGTATACCCTCAACGTACAGTTCATCAGCGTCTTATGCAAATCATCGTATAGAACGGAAACAAAGGGCTCACCCGTAACGTTTGGTTTTCAATATAGTGGCGGTGCCGGTTTGATCGTATTGGTGACTTTATTCCAGGAACATTACATTGGACCTGCTGTTCTGACTCTACTTGCTACTATTGGCTGGCTATCTATGGGAATTATGGCAGTCATCTTATACAGAAAGACATTTGTTCATTATAAGGCAGCAGGACATACCTTGAAGGAAGCCAAGACAGAAGCTTATACTCATATGGGACGCTCTTCAGTAGTGAGAGAAGCTGCTATGAATGCTGCATGGAAAACCGCTACATCATCAAGTGGTAATAGAACTTAAATGCTGAGAAAAAAAAAACTCACATGTGTTTTATATGATGAAGTGCTATTTAGGTACAGTGAACATTAAGCATAAAAGCAGTTGTGGCCCTATGACACAAAAAAAGGGGTTCTCTGGTCGTATCACATGATAGAAAATTTCATATGAAAAAGTTTCGCTTGCCTGCCCTTTCTTTTTTCTTTTCTTTTGATTTTACATTTTGTACCCTTCTGAATCTTTTATAAAAGCACTCTTTGCTTCATAAAGGGAACTTGTGATTAGTAACCATATTATTATGCAATTATTTTCTAAACCATTACCTACATGGTATGGTGGACAGAAGAAAGTGATCAATGCAACAGCGATACTTACATTAAGTGCTGTTACTTTATTACGTATTTATCGCAAACAACAACAGCGAGCTGGAGTGGAAAAGGACACTGCAAAAACAGCAGCAGCAGCCAACTCTCGCTTTTTTCCCATTGTGAGTAGTAATGCTAGTACAAGCTCAAATTCAAAGCAGACGTCAGTGGGTGTGAATAAAGAGTTTAGACGTCAATTATCAGCTATTGCAACCATCTTGTTCCCAAACTATTATACAAAAGAGGTCTTCATTCTATTTTTGCACTCTATCTTCCTTATTTTGAGAACCTATTTGAGTGTGGTGGTGGCTAGATTAGATGGTCGTATTGTTAAAGACTTGGTAAGACATTCGATATGTACACATCTACGCATATTGAATAATCACAATTCATCGTCCCATCTATCATGTAGGTGAATGGTCATGGCAAACGTTTTTTAATTGGACTCGGGTATTGGTTTGCTATCGCAGTACCTGCAACTTATACAAATAGCATGGTATACCACTTTCTTGATCTGCTACATCCAAATGTTATTGTCTGGAGAAACATAACACAAAATTCATGCTCTTTTTTTTTTTTGTGTGTGTGTGTGTGAACCCTTTTTTTTAGATCCGCTATTTGCAATCGAAATTAGCCATTGGATTTAGAACAAGGTTAACCAAATACATACATGACATGTATTTGGATAAACAAAAGACATTTTACAAAGCGATCAACTTAGACAACCAAATTCAAGGAGCCGATCAGTATGTGTTTGTTTTTTTGTTAAAGATTGGCACTGCAAACTGTCCGTTCTATGCTTAGTACTTATTTTATCATAATAGGTTCATCACAACTGATGTAGCTAAATTTTGCGATACCCTTTCCTCTTTGTACTCTAATCTTGCCAAGCCTATTCTAGATATGATTATTTTCAACTACCAACTTACAAAATCCATTGGTTTCGTGGGGATGCTTGGATTGTCGCTGAATTACGTGGTGACAGCAAGACTATTACGTGCCGTGACCCCATCCTTTGGAAAACTCGCAGCTGAGGAAGCCAAACTAGAGGTAGATATCCGGTGAAGATATGAACTACTGAAAGACATGTATTCTGAATAGAGCACTAATATCCTTTTGCTACGTAGGGAGACTTCAGAGCAACACACACACGTCTCATTACCAATGCAGAAGAGATTGCTTTCTACAATGGGGCCGAACTCGAGCACACCATCCTCAATAAAACTTATCTCAAACTCATCAAACACATCAATTCTATTTACAGATTACGTATTACCTATAACATGTTTGAAGATTTCTTAATTAAATATGCTTGGAGTGCTTTTGGACTGATTATGTGCGCCATCCCCGTCTTTACACCTCAGTTAATGTCAGCAGCATCAGCAACAGCAGCAATTATCACTAATGACAAAACTGCTAGCACCACCAGCCAAGTAGGATCTCGAACAAAAGGCTTCATAACAAATAAACGTCTCATGCTGTCATTAGCTGATGCAGGTGGCCGTATGATGTATTCTTACAAAGAATTGGCAGAATTAGCAGGTTATACCAGTCGTGTCTATACGCTGTTATCTGTTCTGCACGCATTGCATGAAGGCAGATACGATGGCCCGACCAACCCTACTCCTTATACCCTCACCCATATTCATGGCAAAGTGTTACTCGATGACAGTGGTAAAAGGCTGGTGTTTGAAAATGTGCCAATAGTGACTCCAGCATCAGGACAAACCCGCGTAGGTGAAAAGCTAGTGAATCCTTTGAATATACAAATTGGACCTGGTCAACATTTAATGATTACAGGGCCGAATGGAGTTGGAAAATCTGCTATTGCTCGTGTTATTGCCAATTTATGGCCAGTATTTGGTAAGAAAGTATACGAAAAATAATACAACTGGGTCGTTGTCACTTAACCATCTTCTATTAGAGGGTACTTTGACTAGACCTACTGAGGATAGCATTATTTTTATCCCACAAAAGCCATACCTTAGTCTCGGTACATTAAGAGATCAGTAAGTACTGTTGAAAGACGATTGATACAAATTATGATCGAAAAGCTGAATCTATACTATGCACAAACCATAGAATCATTTATCCTCATTCTAAACAAGACATGGTTGAAGCTGGTCGAACAGAAGAGGATCTGATGAAGATTCTAGAGATTGTCCATCTAGCCTATATACCAGACAGAGAAGGTGGCTGGGAGACCAAAAAGGAATGGAAAGATGTATTTTCAGGAGGAGAAAAACAAAGGGTAACTAGAGTGTAACTATGATCACTTAGAAGTCATACTCATGTACACACATACGCACATGGATGTAGATTGGTATGGCTCGTTTATTTTATCACCATCCAAAATTTGCAGTTTTAGACGAGTGTACCAGTGCTGTATCAACAGACGTCGAAGGGTTGATGTATTCTCATGCTAAAGAAATGGGCATCAGTAAGTTTTACACTATGAGTACTAGCCTATATCTACAATCTACTGATACTATGCTCTGTTGATTAGCACTTATCACAATATCGCATCGACCCGCCTTATTCAAATATCATCAATTTCTGTTACGTTTAACCGGTCAAAAAGAAGGTGAATGGGAATTTGAAACTATTGGTACCCAGGAACAGATACAAAAATCTGTCGAAAAGGAACTTAGTACTCTACACGCCAAATTGCAAGAAGAAGACCAACTTAGATCAAGATTAAGAGAGATTGACCAGGAACTCAGTTTGAAAAGTCTAAACGACTTGTAACAAAAAGGGAAGTCACAAAAAAATTGGCAATAAATTTTTTCCTATTGCTTTATAAAAGACTCGAAGAGTGTGCCTTTTACGTTTCATTATTTTCTTTTTCTTCATCTTTTTTCATATACATGAAAGTATAACGTAAGTATTTACCTATTTAACAAGAAAAGAATAGAAAGAGGAAGGTGTTGATGATAATCAATCCCAAATTGCTATAACACTTATTATTATGATTGACCGTTTTGGACAATCGGGTGTAATGTTAGCTTTACTTATAGTCATAGTTACACTGAGCCTTTTTGCTTCTATTCTTTTCTGATACTTAACAGTGTCCACGATAACTAACATCTATTACTTGTATATTATTGTAGATATCTGTTGCTCTGTCATCTGTATATATAGTTCTTTCTGTCAATAACGCTATAATATAATGATGAATAAAATCTGAAAAAAAAGTTGAAAAAAATTCCGCGTCCCTAAGTAGTGGCTTGTATCTCTCTAACTTAAATTACTTTTGCCTCCTTTGAGTCTTGTTCATTCCTTTTTCTGCTTTTAACTGTTATTTTCAAAGCATGTCTGAGGATAATCTGGAGGATTGGGAAGTGGCTGGAGATGTAGGTGAAAGGCCTTTGTTATTTTAAGAGTTTTGTTAAGACTACGTAATAATCATGGCTGAATATTTAGTTTGATGATCTTTCCAGAAAAAATAAGAATAAAGCGTCGAGTGCAAATGCCCCACAACAAAAAAAACCGTAAATGTTGAATATAAGGCTGATGTGCATATGGCAACTATTTCTGATTATTTATAATTACATCACTTGACAGTGCCAACACGGCAACTACACCTATCATTATTCACACGAACACTGAGGCTTCGTATACCCACTATAAGCCCGAGGTAATGGTAGCCAGCGGATACGTATGCATTTTCAGAACTACATGGTAACACCAGTATTGCTTTCAATGATAGATCAAGGTCCTAAAGCGCCCTGACCCTGGAAAGAATGGAAGTCAATCAGGACGAAATGAAAATAACAATAAAAAGCAGCCTATTTATAAGACTCTAGCAGAAAAAGAAAAAGCCTATGAAGAAGCGCGGCGAAGGATATTTAATACTTAAAATGAACAATAAATAAATAGCTTTCGATGGGTTGTGTCACAAATGTAAGAATTTTTATAAGCAATAGGGTTTCCTCTTGACCTTTATTCTTTTCCTTTCCATCTTGTTTTCGTTATACCCCTTGATTTCGGTAAATTTGCTTGCTCGCATTAACAACAGCATAGAAACAATAGATTATACAGCAACTCCTATTTATTGCATCTCTTCTTTACTTATCGTCTTTTTTTTTCCCTCTCGCTCTCCCACTCTTTCTATTACAACATGTCACTTGCTATCTCACAGCAAATGACGACTATGACACTACCCAAAATACGTATAACGACCAACTCGAAGGACGAATGGGATAATCTACTTTTAACTGCCAATAGTCTTCATAATCATACACAGACTGAAACGGAAAACACCCTAACTATACCCAATACTACCACTAGCAACCTTACAATTACTACTACTACTATTACTGAAGGAAAGCTAAGTCAAGCACATTCACTATCGAGAAGACTCAGTCAACAAAAGCAACAACAACAACAACGACAAGAGGACAATATTAAAACAGAAGTTATCAATATATCCACATCAAATCCTTCCCATTTATTCTGGTAAGGAAACGCCAGGCGAACAATAGAGGGGAGGAAGAACTTCAAGAGACCTCGAAACTAAAAATAAAAACCACAAAAAAACGATCTCTCTTGCGTTTGTTATATTATGAAAAACATGCACTTATATAGGGTACCTGCTTCTCAACATCCCGAAATAGCACCGGCAGAATTTGAAAAATATGTTAAACAACATGGATTAACTATTCGACAAAAAAGTACGCGGGAGAAACGACATTCTATTTTGTCTACTTCATTTACGCCCAACGATGTCATGGAAGAAGAGGAGCAGAAAGAGCACGAAAAGCGACCAATAGCAGAGAGCAACAGGAAGAGGAAGTCCATGTTAAGAAGAAGTATGAGTGTACAATTACCGAAAAAAGATTTAGATTACGCTGTATCAGCAAAGAATAATGCGGTTGTGCCTGATTTTTTGATTTTCGACCGAAATTCTTCGCCGTTCGATGACTCTAGAATTCTTGTACCAAAAGGAATCAATCGGCCTCTTTTGAGAAGAGGAGCGAGAACAAATTTTAACAGACGGAACTCTTCTTCATCGTCCACTACAACAGTGGACAATAATTCCAGCGAAAATGGATATTACGATAACAATAGAAATGGACAAATGATGAGGTCATCCTCAGCAGAAGGTGTTACTTTAACAGACGTCTCTTCTACACGAAAACAATTGATGACGCCCGTTGTAGAGGAAGTAGACGATGATGAGCAAAATGATGACAGTACAATATGTAGTCTAGCCATTGCCACTCCATTAGAGAAACATACAGAACCTTTATCCCTTCAAATGATGTCCTCACTACCGCCATCTTCGCCAACATCCATAAAAAAGGCCTCTAAAGAAGATAAAAAGGGTAATCCTTCAACTTCTTCTTCCCCACCCGAATCTCTCGTGATTACACGCTCAATTTCAACGTCATCAACAAATCCTACAAAATCGTCTAGCTCTCGTCATCATAAAAGTGGTTGGTCGTGGATATCATTATTTTCAGATAATAGCGCACAACAACATCAGCAACAGCAGCAACAGCAGCAGCAGCAGCAGCGGCAACGGCAAACTTCATCAGATACCTCTGGAAAATTCACTTTGTTGTCTACTCTTTTCTCTAGGAAATCAAAGTCTTCTTCTTCACAACGTGATAGTAATAACAGTAGTACCAAACAAATGGAATTGGCCACGTCCAATCTTTTAAATCAAACTATTTCAAAAAAAGACAATTTTGAGTTGAAAAATCCAATGCTACAACCACAACGTCTGCCATTGCATGTTGAACGTGCCATTTATAAACTTTCACATATCAAACTCGCCAATCCACGTCGACCTTTGCATGAGCAAGTTTTGATTTCAAATCAAATGTTTTGGTATCTATCTGTTGTAGTAGCTTCAAGTAGTAACAATGATACAGATGCTACGACTAATGCTATCACTGAAAACGAACGTCAGAAAAAGGCGATGGAAGCAATCAGGAAGAGGAAAACAAAGAAACGGCTCGTTAAGAAAACGGCCCAGCAACAACAAAAATCAGTTGCTTTATTACATCAGACGCATCAAAATACCACAACTGGCTTCGTCATTCCTAACAATTATTTAAATCCTCCCAATGCGCATAGGAATAATGCGAGACCGCAAGTAAAACATGTTCAAAGTAGTGATAGTGATAGTGATAGTAACAGTAGCAGCAGTAGTAGTAGCGATAACGATAGCACTGATTCCTCATCAGAAGAAGAGGACTCCGTTTCTGCTATTCAGAAAAACAACATCAAATCTATAAAAAAGAAATCAAAAGCTTACAAGGTCAAAAGACCCACTACCATAATGAATGAAGAAGATGATGATCTACCATTGGCTACCCGTCAAATTAGATATAAATAATACATATCTGACTATTGAAACAGCTTCACAGCAATGAACGCTATTGGCATGCATTTCCGCTTTTGCTGACAGGCTTACAAAATCTCTGTAACTTATTATTTTTCTAGAAATGGTTAGATATATTTCCTTGGTAAACATGTCCATATGTTCAGCTCGACCGAACTTTAACACTTATAAACCGTTATGAAAAGTAGTTCTCGTTTCTTATTCTATACTTATAGTGTCTTTAACTCTATCTATGTGACTTTATATGAACTATTTACCATTCATCATCACTATCGTCATTTGCAGCGGCTTGTTGTCTACGAGCACGTAACTACATATAGATACAATTTAACGTTAAGATGAATATGAGGGTATACTCTAATTCTCAATTGTAGCAACTTACTGCATCAGCTAAGGAAGCTGCTGTATTTGTATTACTCGAGCCTGGAACACGTGGGGGAGCACGAGGCACGGGTCTTGGTACTGGGGCAGCAGCAGGTGCACCGCCACCACCTATACTAGGTCGCACAGGGATGGTAGGCTTTTTTGGGGGAATAGCAGGCTTAGTGTTGGTAGCAGGTGGACGAGGTGGAGGAGGGGCTTTTCTAACTGCAGGTACAGGATCTGTTGCTCTAGGGTTAGCAACAGGAGCAGTAGCAATAGCCGCCATTGGTGGGGCTGGCGTTTTTCTTGCAGGTGGAGCAGGAGCGGCAGGAGGTAATGGAGGGGTCGAGGTAGCTATAATCTTCTCAAGATAATTACTGGGCACCCAGCCTTCTACACCGTTCTTCACTGTACGTGCTAGCCACCAGCCATTCTCATTCTTTTCAATAATATCCAATACATCGTCTTTTTCAAAAGCAATTTCACCAGGTTGTTGAGACTGGAAAGGGTATAATGCTTTAAATTGAGGTTCTTTGGTTGACATAGGAGGCGGAGGTGGAGGCGGAGGAGTTGACATAGGCGCTGCTGGAGGTGCTGGGGCGGGTCTTCTCGCATTGTTTCCGTTGCCTAAGGTACTATCGCTATTGTTAATAGATGGAAAAGGTCTATTATTGCTACCCATGGCCGGTTGGGCTTTCCGAGCAGGTGTCAAACTATTCTTTGATCGAACAGAGACTTGCGACTTGGAAGCACATGGAGGACGCGACTCTGTATGAGCGTTGTTGGAAAAAGATAAGGATTAGTTATGCCTCAGCTTTTTTCTTATTTACAGTATTGCTAACTATGCCTCAACTTACGGCTTCCAGCTGGCTCACCAGAGCAAATCTTAACGACATGGCTTTTGTATGTTCCGTCACCTTTGGCTGTTTCATCTTTCACAAATTTCATGGTAACTGATTTACCTCCCTTTTTCTTGTACTGGATTTCGGGGAGAACAGACACGCGAATACGTCCACCCGTTTGTTGCGATATGTGCGCCAATAATTCAGTTTTGAACATGCACTGCAATATTACATCACCATCAGGTGAAGAATCCAGGTGTAGTATAAGCCAATCATCTTGTAATGTAGAAACACTAATGCCATTGATGATATTCAGACTGATCACTTTTTCATCAACCATAGATAGCATTTTGCCATTCTTCGTTGTAACAATAATATGTAAATTTTGGTTTGTCTAGAGTATGAAAATTGTTAATAAACGTCATACATCACCTTGCCTATACATATGCATTGGATATTTTCAACTTTTTTGCATTGTTAACAAAAACTTACTAAAACTAATGTTCGAGGGCTTGGGACACTGGATCGCATTGCTCTCGGTACCAAAGTATTACCACGCATACTAAATACAACTTGCTCATTTCCTTTGAATTGTATAGCATTCCTGACCATCGCAGCTAATCCTGATCCTTGTTGGATATCCAGATAGTCACCTGTGAATTTTCTCATGCTTATCAAAGAGAAACGACGTCTTTCCTTTTGTCCACCCAATATCTGATGACCATACTCCCGCATTTGCAAATAGCCAATGTTATACTTGTTCTGTCTCCAGAACCGTTGAATTTTTTTGGCACACTCATTTTTATAACGTACATAATTTCTCCATGCTCTCTGAATACGTGTTGCCATATTGTGCCAGTATTTATCACGCAAATTCTCCAGAGCAAAAATCGTTTCTGGATGTCGGATGAAAACCTTTGTAGTACCCATTTGCCATTCCTCGGCAGGAATATTGTTGTACTTTAAAATTTCCAAGGCGCCACTTTGAGCATCTCGATTCCAAATATATTCACCAGCATAACCGGTGGAAGGACAAAGAAGATAAAATCGTTCAACAAATTTATCAAACGTAGTTCGATAAGCAAAACCAGCGCGACGCACACGAATATTTTCACACAGACCCAAATATTGGACCTGATGGAGAACACGCTTCTCGTCAAATTCAGAGGGACTACGGTTATCGTTAGACTTGATGGTACGGATATAACTCGGATGGCATTGCATCAATTTTGTGACCAAGGTGTTACATGATTGTTTGATCTTATCACCAGCTGTAGGCGGTCTACGTTTAGAGTTGGGGTCAATGCGTTCTGGGAACAAAGTCTTGGAAATGAACTGATTACTAGAGCTCGTAGCCAAATTGAGTAAATCTTTCAATAATTGATCTTTGTTTTTATCCGTCATGCCTTCTATATTATACAACACGTCACCAGCATAATGGCGAATCAAGAATTTAGATCCTCTGGATTCAAAATGGGGGTTGGAAGACAAAAAGCCTAATCTTTGGACAAATGAATTGTCTGCTGCGCTAGAATCGGCATGCGCAGTAGCACAGGCATCATTTAGGGCTGCAAAAATACCAGGTGGTCGCTTCTCCTCGATTAAATCACATACAATCTTATTGTTAAAGAATTTGATGGGTGTCCACTGAATTTGCTCTCGCACATATTCATCTTGTTCCGCTTTGAGAGTGAGTTCAATGAAGATTTGCTGTAATTTCTCGTTCACATAGTTAATACACATCTGCTCAAAACTGTTGTCTTTGAAAATTTCAAAACCGTAAATATCCAATACACCAATCGTGTAGTTGTGAGCGCTACGTGCCTGCAAAGAGACATTGACACGAGTAACAATCCATTCAAACAGGCGTTCGTATAATGCCTTAGCGAGGGCATCACGAACGGCAGTGGCTTGAACAATGTTCAGGGGCACTTCATAAACACTACCACGACGTCCGCCACGTTGAGTTTCCATGACACGGCTGGTTAAGGCCTTAGAAAGCGAATCTGCATCGACCATGAACAAATAGGCAATGAAGTTGGCAACTGTAAATGAAATGGATAGCAAAGTCAAAGCAGACGTTTGGTCAATCAAAGCTTTCTACATGTGGTTTTTTTTTTCGTACATTATTCTTACCGTCCATATCTGAGATAGCTGCAGTTCCATTATCGTCCTCTACAAATAGAATGTTGCCCAACCATAAAATGATAGCCAGAATTTTAAAGATCTCATCCTGTTCATGCTTTTGTAACCCAATCACATTCATAGCATTCTGTTTTCCAATAAAATTGGTTAGTTAGTCAAGGTTATGACTGCAAGCACTGGATCAAAGCTCCTTTCTAGCTACGAAAAAACTTACTATAGTTGCTTGAAAGTCCTGAACATCGTCAATGGCTGGGACGTCCAAGCATCCACTTTTACTCGTATATAAATAACTCTCGGGGCCTTGTAAGCCGAATGTCTCTAAGAACAGTCAAGAGGGGTTATGTCAAGTCAGCAATGGCGAAGTGAAAGCCCGTCCTTCTTCACATTTTTTCTATGGTATAAGCTTTAATACTTTACGTTGGTATTCTGCGGATGCTGCTTTTGTTAACTGGTAAAAAATATGAAAGTTTCTTTCATTCTCGATTTGACCAACAACACGATTCTTTTCCAACAAATAATTCGTAATAATAGCACCCACAGGTTCTCCTTGAGCATTGAATTGAATCTCAAGATATTTACCCTATTAAGCAAGGAAATTCATAAAATTTGAGATTATTTCGTATATATCATCATTCATTGTTTGTTGATTATTTACATGTCTACTAGAGTTGTCATTTCTTAAAGTCTTTGCACAACCGAAGCTTTCCAATAAAGGGTTTGTCGCCAAGACCATCTCTTTAATTTCTTTGATGGAAGAGTTTTGACCATCCCCAGATACTGCTGCAATATATTGCATAATTCTTTTTGCTGCTTCAGTTTTTCCTGCGCCTGATTCACCACTAATAATGATACATTGATTTTCCTTATAGCTGTTCATATGGTGATAAGAAGATTCCGCGATAGCAAAGACGTGAGGGGGCATCTAATACCATTTAGCCGATGTATGTACGTATGAGCAAGAAGAATACCTTGATTAGGAATAAATAGCTTACCTCTAACAAGTTTTTTCTTTCATAACTTTTTAATATTTCATCGGTATAGATACCCAAGTCTCGGAAAGGGTTGACACTAATTAGCACATGGCCAATGTAAGTGTAAATTTCGGCGTTTGACCATCGTTTATGTAAATTCTCGTTGATGGCTTCATTGGTAATCTTGGTTAATAAGGTCATATCAGACACACCGACTTGCTTTTTTTTGACACCTTCTTTCCAGTCTGCCCTGACTGGACGGTTGGCTTTGATAACCTTCTTTTCTCCAGCACCTTTTTTTCCTAACAGTTTCTGATATGAAACAAAATTTTAACAAAGTGGGGAAAAGTCAGCATGAATTTTTTATTGTCATGACGAAAAATAGAATAACCAAAGTTACCTTGGCCATAGTCGTAGCGATGGGTAGAAGAAAAGATAAAGGAAGAAAGGCAGACTTGAATATTAGAATGGAACCAGTAGTCAAAAGAAACTCTGTGGTACAAAAAATGAAATCATTTTGGTACAAGCTCGCCCCTTTTTTGGTCTGTTCTGTTAACAATCAATCACCATCAGAAAATTGGGCTTTTCGTCCTTTTTTTTTTTTTTATTTTTGTTCCAAGGTTTAGGGTTGTAACTCCGTACCTTATTTTTTGTCCGCTCTTGGTACTCTTGAAGCGCGTTTCTCTAAACACTTCCAAACTATTCACACCCAAGAAAAAGAAAAAAAAGTTTTTAATTTGGAACAAAAAAAAAGGAGACTCCTCCATCTCTTCAATTACTTCTTCAAATTGCTAATTGCTTCAATATAAACAAAATGGTAAGAAAAGATGGAACGAAGAATATGAAATTTTTTCGACTATGTGCCTGAAGAAAAAACCATGACGTTGTTTGGACAATAAAAAAATAAAATAAAAATACTTACCATAATTTAGGCTGATAGTGGACAAGATAAGAATTCTGGCAATACTCAAGATCTCAAGGATAAGGTTCCTACTTTATCACAATCTGCTCGATCAGGTCTCCAGGTAAATCTTACTTTTAACCTAAGCAAGCAACAATATATTTCTTCCTTTGTAATACTGACACAGACATTTTAGTTCCCTGTTGGCCGTATCCATCGTTATTTAAAAGCAAAGGGACATAATAATGCACGTGTAGGTGCTAAAGCTGCTGTCTACACTGCTGCAATCCTGGAATATCTTACAGCCGAAGTTCTCGAATTAGCTGGCAATGCCACAAAGGATTTAAAAGTGAAGCGTATTACACCCAGACATTTACAATTAGCTATTCGTGGTGATGAAGAATTAGACGCGCTTATCAAAGCTACCATTGCTGGTGGTGGTGTTCTCCCTCATATTCATAAATCTCTCATCACAAATGCAAAGACTGGCAACAAGAAGATGTAAAGGATTAGGATAATTATGGACAGCAGAAAAAAAAAGAGAAAAAGCCGGTAAATTATATTTAGTGTCCATAGCGTATATTTATTATATGTATGCTCTTACACACAAACACACACACATAAACATACACACATACACACGCACTATACGACGCAAAAAATCAATCAAGCATATACATATAATTTTGAGATACAATCATATTCATCTATGTGTTTACCTTTTTTTCCCTCATTTATGCAAGATTCAGCCCACATAAACAACTTTTTTCTAAAGGCTATATGCGTATTGAAAGCTTTGTCTCCTATTCTAATGGGAATCTTATACTTCTATGTGAGGCTATACACCTGTTATTTGCTTTCTGAACAATCAAGGTGCATTTCTCAACATCACATGAAAATGTGACAATCCAACGTTCTGACTCCTTTTAAAAGACGAACTCGCTCTCCTTGTCTAATTTACAAGAAGACGATGCATCGCCGTTCCGTTTTATTGTAACTCGTTGAATATGTCAAAGTTGACCAATGCAACCGGCTTCTTTCGCTTTGCCTTTTCTGCTATTAGTGGTTCATCGCTGTTGTCTTTCATTAACTGTTTTCCAATCCTTGACCTCTTCAGTGGTCGTTCTGGTCTGTCTTTTTGTACTTTCTCCAGTAGCTAAGGCAAGTGACAGAAATTAGCTTAGACTGATTTTCCTACTCGTGCGTGCTGTTATAACTTACCTTAGGGTCTTTTATGTCCTGTAACAGCACTGATGTTTTCCTCGTGGATGATATCGCTTCTTCAGGAGAAGTTGGTATATTACTTGTCTGCGGCAAGATGGAAGGAATTAAATTGTTTCTTAAAGGCTGATAATGTCGTAAGGGTGGCTGATTGTATTTGAAAGATTCGTAAACTTGAATCAACGGAGAGGATCTTTTAGGTGCTCTGATGATGGGTACTGAAATATTTTTGGCCGGTTCAAAAGAATGTTGCCTGTTATTGACTGCTTGAGAACCTGGCCGTTTTGCTGTGTAATATATGGACGTACTGGAACAAATCGAACAAAAAATTAGCCAAGTACATTAAACAACCTCTTATGGTGAAACTAAAACATTTACGCTTTTTCGGCTTGTTTCCTTGTTTGTTGCATCAATTTACTCATAGTTGATCGCCCTAAGTTAAAACAGAAGTTAAAACTATAAACAGGCATTCTTAACAACGTTGACATATTACTTTACTTGCAGCTTCATAAGTACGCTTGCTAGCAGGCACAACGCCACGAAGAACTTTTATTGATTTTTGCTCTTTTTCATTCTGTATTTTGCTGTATTGGCTTCTCACTTTTTCTCTGATAAGTTGTTTTTTTCTTTCATTCTCTGCATATCGATTCTAAAAGGAAATGGAATAAGTCTTTTATAATAATAGCAAAGTTAGAAGTGGTATCCATCAGCTCTTTACTTACTAAATAGAGATCCCGCCATTGCGTTGGATCTTGATGCTGCCCCTGATGGTACTCGTCACTTATATCTTTAAAGCTAAGACAGTGTCTCAACCAGAGTTCTGTTCTAAAGTTTGATTACTATTGCTGTTGACTGTTATCAAAAAGGAAAAAAACGTACCGTCAGATACTGCGGCGATTTCCTACAAAAATATGTAGCTGTCAGTTTACAATATAGTATGTGTCGTCAGGTTACCAGTAAATCAACTTACTGGATTGGCCTTTTCTATCCTATACAGTTGTTGAGGTGTTGCTAAGGCCAGTGAGGGCTTGAGTAGATTATACGGCACACAGCCAACGTCTGTCAGCACTATTCAATGTAAAAATAAAGTTACCATCGAAACTATGAATAATTATGTTATCAATAGATACCATCTAAATATTTTGCTAAAGTGTTTTGGCATGTGGTTTTCAAAGATTTAACAGATCTCGGCATCCTGGCCGTCAAAGGTTATGCCTTTACAATTATCATTCGAATTTTGAAGCAAAGACCGGCGATAAGAAAATGCAGAGCCAGTGCAAACGAACACCAAAAATAATTTGAACTCAGTTGTTTCATATTGTGTCAGACCATGAATAAAAATGTTTGCCCTATTGTGAACAAGTGGCAGTATCAAACTGGACACACAATCATAGTAATTAAAATAAATGTAGGTAAAGGATTGAAACACAAGCTGATAAATAGCTAATGTATTTTGTAAAGTGATATATTACGTTAGCAGTGCAATCATAATATTATACTGTATTGTATTTAAGCTAAAAAGCTTTCATGACATTAGAGAAAGTCATAAATTGCTCTAAAGTATTATCCATTGTGCTTGGTCATTTACTTTTATATCAGAGTCAATATGTATTGCCCGGTTAAGGGTACCACTCTATTCTTGTCAATACCATAATTCTTGTAGTAGTCGCCAAACAGAAGGGCTGGATTGCTTAATAACCCTATGTTTATAATAGAACCCGCGTAAGACAGCACAAATTAGAAACAGTAACTGTGGCATCAATATGGGTGATCTTCCCGAACCCTTTCCCGCACCGGTTGCCATTTTTCATTCTAGGGAATCTGTTAGTAATTCTCCATTCTATCATTATCGTTTACAAGCTTTAATTCACCATTCAACATATTTCGAAAGTTTGCCGTCAACAGTTTGGAATACTTCAGCTGCTTGACTAGGTTACTACAATCTGCATTGTGAATTCCCAATAGAGAGAAAGCCATGAATAACAACAACCATGGAGCATCAATAGCGACTCGAAATGATATCGTATCCATTTGCTTTTTTGATACAACGATAAAAGATATTCTATGCATGATGAATATACTTGTACATTACAAAAACATTTATTTAACATTACAAAATATCAATACAAACAATCATAGGGAATAAAGATGAACTCTTAAGGCCAATGAAGCTATTTTACAAAAACTCCTGAAAGGGTAATACATGAAAGTTTGTACGGGAAAACAATATCTTAGGCTTTGACTTTTGCAACAGACGGAACACCAACGATAGATCGCTTATTGATACCACCGGTAACAGGTAAATAAGTGTTGCCTGTCAAATATTGATCAACTTCACGAGCGCACATACGACCTTCATTGATTCCCCAAACAATCAAAGACTGACCACGACGACAATCTCCAGCAGCATAAACACCGGGCACAGAGGTGACATATTGGCCTCTGGAGGTTTCAATGTTGGAACGGCCATCTTGAGCCAATTCTAACTGTTTGATGATAGCGTTTTCAGGGCCTAAGAAACCCATCGACAAAAGTATGAGATCAGCTTCAAAGACGTGCGCGGAACCAGCAACTTCAGTCATGGACCAGCGACCCGTTTCATCTTTCGTCCACTCCACACGAACGGTCTTGATTCCCTTGACCCGGTTGTTTTCATCCACAACGAATTCCTTGGAAAGAACACAGTATTCCCGAGGATCGGTTCCAAAATGAGTCTTGACTTCTTCGTGACCGTAATCAACACGGAAAACACGTGCATATTGAGGCCATGGGTTATCGTCGGCTCTCGTGTCAGGAGGCTGAGGTAGTAATTCAAAATTGACAACCGATTTGCAGCCATGACGCATGGCTGTACCAATACAATCATTGCCTGTATCGCCACCACCAATGACAATCACCTTCTTATCTTTTGCTGACAAGTAATGGCCATCTTGAAGACGAGAATCAAGCAGACTTTTTGTTGTCGACTGAAGGAAATCCATAGCAAAGTGAATACCATCTGCTTGCCGGCCAGGAATCAAGAGATCCCGAGGCCAGGTTGCACCTGTGGCAATAATCATAGCGTCATGCTCTTGACGAATTGTATTGGCATTGATGTCTACGCCCACATGGGCGTTAGGAACAAATTCAATGCCTTCCGCCGCCAGAAGGTCGATTCGACGTTGAACCACTTTTTTGTCCAATTTCATGTTGGGAATACCGTACATAAGCAAGCCACCGATACGGTCATTTCGATCGTATACGGTAACAAGATGGCCGGCTTTATTGAGTTGATCAGCAGCAGCTAGACCAGCCGGGCCAGAGCCAATGATAGCCACTTTTTTACCCGTTCGCGAAGCAGGTGGGTTAGGCGCAATCCATCCTTCAGCAAAACCGCGATCAATAATGGCACACTCGATGCTCTTGATGGCAACAGGGAGTTCAGTGAGCGCTAAAGTACAGGATTGTTCACAAGGTGCTGGACTGTTGTTGATAAAAAGAGACAAAAAAAGGGAAACGCATGAGCAATTTTTGCATTCAACACAAGCTTTTTTCACACTTACCAAGCACGGCCAGTAAATTCTGGGAAATTGTTGGTCATCATCAGGCGATCAAGTGCGTCTTTCCAATTGTCTTTGTACACTAATTCGTTCCATTTTGGAATGATATTACCGATAGGACAGCCGGTATCCGATTGACAGAAAGGAACACCACAATCCATGCAACGAGCCGCTTGTTCATGAAGTTGGGAACGGCTGAGACGTACCGTTACTTCATCCCAATCTCCTAAACGCTTCTTCGTGTTGCGGTAAGGATCAGCTTTACGTTTATATTTCATAAATCCTCTCAGCTTGTCCAGCTTTTCGCGGCGTTTCAGGATCTCTTCCTCTGTCAAAACACTGTCTTCTACATCCTCTATCAGAGGTTCACCCTTCTTGAGTTGTTCAAGGCTTGCTCTGCGACCCACATCGTCGCACGATTTAGCATCGAAGTCCGGTTGAGCGAGAGCTTCATGCTCGCGTCTGAGTAACTCACCATATTCTCTGGGTAGCACCATGACAAACTTGGGAAGATACTCATGAAAGTTCTTCAAAATACGGTCGGCGACTGTAGAACCGGTATAATGACGGTGGTCTTCGATTAAATCACGCAATTCAGCGATACGCTCCTCGTCATTGACCGTTTCCAAATCAACCAGCTCTGTATTGACCCGATGGCGAAAGTCACCCCTCCTATCCAATACATAAGCAATACCACCGCTCATACCAGCTGCAAAGTTGCGTCCTACAGAGCCCAGGATCACCACCCGGCCACCTGTCATGTATTCACAGCCATGATCACCCACGCCTTCGCATACCGCCATGGCTCCCGAGTTACGGACACAGAAACGCTCCGCAGCGATACCTCTGAAGAACGCTTTGCCACTGGTGGCACCGTAAAGACACACATTGCCAACAATGATATTCTCTTCTGATTGGAATGGGCTCTTCTTGGGGGGATAAATAGCAATTTTACCGCCGGAAAGGCCTTTGCCGACGTAATCATTCGCGTCACCTTCCAAATCAAAGAAAATGCCCGGTGCCAAAAAGGCGCCCAAGGACTGACCTGCTGATCCTTGAAGCGACAGATGGATGGCATCGTCGGGGAGTCCTTTTTCGCCGAATGTCTTGGACACGTGATAAGCAAGGGTAGCACCTAAAGCACGATCTGTATTGACCACTTGCGTCTCAAAAGCGACGGCTTTGACAGAACCACTCAAGACCGGTTCCGCTTCTTCGATAAGGTAGTTATCCAAACGCGTGTGAAGTAGATGCTTTTGTTGGGTGACATGATGCGTGGCTACGCCAGGACGTAGTGTGGTGGCAGGGGTCAGAAGAGGAGACAAGTCTAAATTGGCCGTCTTGAAAGTACGCAATGCATCGTTCACCTTGAGAAGCTCCGCATGACCGACCATCTCTGGAATAGAACGGAAACCCAGCTTGGCCATGATGGAGCGAAGTTCTTCAGCTACATAATAGAAAAAGTTGACGACATGTTCGGGTTTACCTTGGAATTTCTTACGTAACTCAGGGTCTTGAGTGGCAATACCAACAGGGCAAGTATTCTATTCGTGAAGCAGAGGAGGGGGGAGGGGATGGGTGGGTGGATTAGTTTTTTTAAATTGTTTTTTTTTTTTTTTTTTTTTTCCCCCACTACATGTACGACATCTCTGACATCCTAACTCACCAAATGGCATTTTCTCATCATGATACAACCAAGGGCAATCAGTGGGGTGGTGGCAAAGCCCCATTCTTCGGCACCCAAAAGACATGCGATAGCGATATCACGGCCTGTCTTGATCTGACCATCCGTTTGGATGACGACGCGTCCTCTCAAATCGTTCAGGACCAATGTTTGGTGTGTTTCAGCGAGGCCTAATTCCCAGGGCAGACCTGCGTATTTGATACCGGTCCAGCGCGATGCGCCGGTACCACCATCATGGCCCGAGATAAGGATGTGATCTGCTTTTGCCTTGGCCACACCGGCAGCGACAATACCGACACCTACTTCAGAGACGAGCTTCACGGAGATGCGAGCACGAGGATTAGCCGACTTCAAGTCATAAATGAGCTGCTTCAAATCTTCAATGGAATAGATATCATGATGAGGGGGAGGAGAGATCAAACCGATACCTGGCGTCGTCTTACGCGTGGAGGCGATTTCATCGGACACCTTGGGACCGGCCAGCTCACCGCCTTCACCGGGCTTTGCCCCTTGCGCCATTTTGATTTGCAATTCATCGGCATCGCTCAGATAGAAGGAAGTCACACCGAAACGACCACTGGCCACTTGTTTGATCGCTGATCGGAGAGAGACACCGTCTTGCTGCAACCGCGAACGCTCGGGCTTTTCACCGCCTTCGCCGGTGTTGGATTGACCACCGAGTTGATTCATGGCCACGGCGAGTGCCGTGTGGGTTTCCCACGAGATCGAGCCGTACGACATGGCGCCGGTAGCGAAACGTTTGACAATGTCGGTCCATGGCTCTACTTGTTCCAGCGGGACAGGACGACGGCTTTCAAAATCAAAATCAAGCATACCACGAAGGGTGCATTTCTTGATGGCTTCATGAGAGGCTTTCGCATACGCCTCGTAAGCGCCTTGATGGTGGCGTCGGACGGCGTCCTGGAGATGAGCAATGGTCGAAGGCTCTGCAATATGAGGCTCGCCGCCATCACGCCAGTGGTATTCACCTGATTCAAGAAGGCCCGGCGGTTGCACCTTATTGCGCGACGACGGATAGCCATTTTCGTGCATGGTCAAGGCGTCCAGGGCAAAGACTTCCAAGGTGGCACCTTTGATACGTGACGCTGTCCCCGCAAAGCAGCGGCTGATGACGGTATCGTCGACACCCAAGGCTTCGAAAATCTGAGCCGCTTTATAGGAAGCTAAGGTGGAGATGCCCATCTTGGACATGACCTTCAGGATACCGTTATGGATCGCCTTGAGATAATTCTTGATCAGGGTGTCTACGGCATAGTCATCGCGGACGGCACGCTCACGATGCAGCTTCATGATGGCCTCCATCATCAGATAAGGACAGATCGCATCGGCACCGTAACCAAGAAGGACGCAGAAGTGATGCACCTCTCTTGCCTCGGCTGTTTCGACCATCAAAGCCACACGGCTACGTTTCTTGTGTCGGACGAGATGATGATGGACGCCTCCGACGGCGATCAGCGAAGAGAGAGCCACACGGTCTGCAGCTACAGCACGGTCAGAGAGGAGGATGACTTTATAGCCCTGGTCGATGGCGGCGGAGGACTCTTCGCAGATACGCTCCAGAGCGTCAAAGTAGCCTTGAATGCCATCGGCTCTGTTGAATGTGATGTCGACGGTGGCTATTTTCCACTCAGGATACATGGTTGTTGTCATTGCCTTGATCGCTGCCAGTTCTTCCATGGTCAAGATGGGCGAGGGTAAATTCAAACGATGACACTGCTCTTCATAGATATCCAGAAGATTGCCTTCGGGACCGACACAACACTCAAGGGTCATGACGATTTCTTCTCGAATCGGATCGATGGGAGGGTTGGTCACTTGTGCAAACAGTTGACGGAAATAATCATACAAGAGCCGAGGCTGTTCTGCCAAACAAGCCAACACAGTATCGTTCCCCATGGAACCCAACGGTTCTTTCCCGGCCGTCAACATGGGCAGCATGATCAAATTGAATTGCTCTAGCGTGTATCCAAAGGCCTTCAGGCGAGGGTCCGTGTTGATGGTGGTGTCATCCAGTGCTGGAGGAGGAGGCAGAGAATGTTTCTCAGCGGCGGCCAACAAGTCGCTTAGATGGATACGCTTGTGCTTGATCCAATCGACAAAGGGCTTCTTTCTAGCCGTTTCAAGTTTGAGCTGTGCATCGTCTACAATGACGCCTTTGATGGTATCTACTAAAAGCATACGTCCTGGTTGAAGACGGCCCTTTTGAATCACCGTTTCCGGATCGACCAAGACGGTGCCTACTTCCGAAGCGCAAATCATGATGTCGTTGGATGTGACATAATAGCGGCAAGGACGAAGACCGTTTCTGTCGAGCGAAGCACCACAGTAACGTCCATCCGCAAAAGTGAAAAGAGCCGGACCATCCCAAGGCTCCATCAAGGAGGCAGCCCATTGGTAGAATGCCTTTACTTCTTTATCCATGAGCGGGTTGTTTTGCCACGCTTCGGGTACCATCATCATCACAGCTTCTGGAAGAGACAACACACCATTGACCACTAACAATTCCAGCACATTGTCAAAGGCTGCTGAGTCTGAGCCTCCTTCTTCAATAATGGGATAAAGATATTCAAGTTCGTCTTTAAATTTGGCAGATGACATGACACCTTCACGGGAACGCATCCAATTCTTGTTACCACGTAAAGTATTGATTTCCCCTAAAAATGAATTGTTTACAAAATGGGGGATGAGCTGTGAGTCCGTACTGTTACATGTAAAAAGTGAAATAGAAAAAAAAAAAAAAAAAAAAAAAAAAAGAGGAGATGTTGATTCTATGGTTACCATTATGAGCACACCAACGCATGGGTTGAGCACGATCCCAGGAAGGAAATGTGTTGGTTGAAAAACGGGAATGGACCAAGGCAAAATGGGTCGTATAGTGTACGTTTAACAAATCGTAATAATAAGTATATACTTGTTTTGGCGTGAGCTGGCCTTTATAAACAATATTCTTGTTGGAAAGTGAGCAAATGTAAAACCATTTCTTCATGGTCAAGACATGAGTCGCGTGCTTTCGTAAGACATATAATTGACGCTCAAAATAACCTTCATCGAACTGCTCCTGATGCTGCGTGTTCAAGACGACGAAAGGCTGGTAAATAGCAGGTTCCTTTGATTTTGCAGCTGGGCCGATGATGGAAGAATCGACAGGGACAGGTCGCCAACCCAAAACTTTCAAATGCAAAGTGTCTGCTATCTGCTCAAATACCTTTTGACATTCTTCCACGTCCTTCATAAACACATTTCCTACCGCATAATGTCCTTCTTGTGGTAGGGTGATGCCAAGGTCTCTCGAAGTTTCATTGACAAAGAAGGTATGAGGTATGGCTGTCATGACACCTGCGCCATCACCATCACGGATATCAGCACCACTCGCACCACGATGTGTCATGTTGCAAAGTACTTCATTCGCGTCACTCAGAATCTTATGGGATCGAACACCTTTGACGTGGACGATAAAGCCCACGCCACATGCATCTTTTTCATATTCTGGACGGTAAAGACCTTGTGCTGGTGGGATTGCTTCTGCCCAGGTCTTATTCTCGACTGTTGCCATATAAGTAGTTAGTGATAGTATGAATAGTAGGAATTTTACTCTTTATTGCTTGCTTAAATACTGTTAATGTAAGGATGTGATTGTTTATCTTTGAACAAAGTATGCGTGAAAAAGAGAGTGGGGAGGGAGAAGGCGATGCGCTTTGATTTTCCAGAAAAATGAAAAAGAAAGCCAAAAGAGAGAAAAAAAAAAAAAAAAAAAAAGACACGTTTTTTTGGTTTCTTTTTTCTTTTTTTTTTTTGCATTAACAAACATTATGATTGTTTAAAAAATAAAAGACACCCCCCATACATTCGCCCACTACGTCAATGTCAAAGCAAAAAAAAAAAAAAAGCACGGAAAAGCCCTTTCTTAGGCAATGCTTGCTTTGTAGAAAATGAGGGTTTGACGTGATGGTAGTACAAAAATGCAAGGAAGTTGGGGGGGGGCACATGGCATTCATTTTTCTGAGGTGATTTACTGCTGTGAGCAAGGTACTCACAGTGAAATGAACGTTGTAAGTTTCTCGAACCAGCGGATCACCGCCGATAGACTAACGAAACGACCGAAACCCTTTAGAAAGTTTATTGTTGGCTTAGCCAATTGAATCTCGCCACCCCGTCCATTCATGGTTTTTTACATCAACCAATGAAGAGCCAGTCATCACAACCCAACTTTTTGGAAAACCATCTTTCGTCTAAAACTTTTTTCCATAAGCTAGCGACATGAAACAAAAACACATTTAAGAGTGTTTACTCTCTCAAGTCAAACGATACATATTAAGAGGCGTTTTAAAACGACAAGGAATACAGAGCCATATTTATGTACAAGCCCTGGTTCCACACTTGGGTGAGCCATTTGAAATTCAGCACCCATTTGAAATGGCTTTTCTATCATACTGGATGCCTCTAGGCGTTCCTCTATAACCTCTAGTGTAGTCCCAGAGAATAGTTTCATTGGTATGTTAACTGAAGATGTTCCATCCGTTCATAGTCATCACCCTGCATATATTGCAGCAGAACATGTGCTAGGGTTGCATCGTCTGCAATTAGAATTTCTACATTATTCCCTACGAAGGGACAATAGAATAAGATAGATTTTTTTTTTTTTTGTTTATCTACTTTCTGCGTGTTTCCTTGATTGTGTCACCCCTTTCATGTGTGCTCTCATTTGGGGTGTACAACATCTGTATGCATGCACAGTCAAATTCCGTACAGTAATGAAAAAATTAAAAAGTTTATTTTTAAAAAAAGAAAAATAACAAGACACAAAAAACCATATTTGCATGATTTTGACTTTAACTTTAATCATTAAAAAGCCATGTTATGTTCTATGATGATGCGTCCGTTCACAAGGAAGACAGACGTTCATAGAGAAAGATGGATGATAGAGGGGATAGATAGAGTCCATGAACGTATGTAATTGTAGACACTATCATCCTCAAGAAGCACGTGGCCAAACTCTAAGAGTGACAAGCATTCTTTTCGTTTGCCTATTCCATTAAGCATTGTAGAAAGAAGAAATTTCGGTAAGACTATCCAAATATGGCTAAAGTTTGCACCTTTATCGATGATCCACCCTTTTCTCTTTTTCTAGGCCCGTAGCCCCCTCTACAGAAAAAAATGGTCTAAGCTTACGATGCCCAATAAAGGAAGGACAGTTTTTCTCTCTTGTAGGATTCAAATTTGAAATTCTAACAAAACACTTGTTGGGGTGGTTGATCTGTCACTACAGCACCACAAACATTGATCACATTTGAAAAGGATGTAGAAAATAGTACACAGAAATGTCATGACACTCAGAAAAGCCGTCCATTGTACACAGTGTAAGATCGGCTCCCTCTCCCCTCCCCTCCCCCCCTTAATGTGCTAGTTGCATGGATATCACCGATACAGTTCTCCACCCTTCAAACAAAGGAGGAGACATATTTGTGACAGTTTTCTGTGAAAAATTAAAAAAAAAAAAAGAGAGACATCCCGTTGATGGTGAAAAATATACCCATTGCTAGCTGCTTTTAAAGAAGAGATAGATAAGCTACCACCCTACGCACAGTCATATAGAGCATTAAGATTCATCATCTAGGTGTACAGATGGAAGTTTTGACAAAGAACTCACTGTATACCTAATGTAGTCAGTATGATAGACTAAAGCAATCAAGTCGCTATGACGATGAAAGAAATGTGCTAGCCCTTGGAATTGAAAAAGTGGTGCTTTGTCTTTGTGGAAGCTTTATTGTCTTTGTGCGAATGAGAAAAAAGGCATTTTGAAAAGTTTATCGTACTGTAAACTCTAAAATTTATCGATTTTTACAAATATAGTAAGTCACTATTCTTTTTTCAGAGAAATGCTAAAAAACCGCAGTTGTCTGAGTGGGGCACGAGAAGGAAGAGAAGAAAAAAAAAAAAAAAAAAACTTTAAAAAAATGAAAGAGAGCCTAAAAAGAGCATGTGTTTTAAGGTTTTTTTATGATGTTGAAAGGGATCAATAACAATTTAGAAAGTAAAAAGGTGAAAACAAACAAAAAAAAGACGTCTTTTTTCATCTCTACATTTTCTCATTCTTTTGCTTCTTTTTAAACTCAGTAAGATGGTACTTTTAGCTACGAAGTATCCCACTTTGTCTAAGCCCAAGTTGACAAGCCCTATGATGTTGTACATGAGAAGCGAGAGAGATAGCTATCCACTCATCAGCCTTGACTAAGAGACGCTAAAAAGTTAGTTTCGTTTATACTTGCCATGATATAAAAAGTCATTTGTGAAACGTTGCTCCCCGCCAAAGAGAAAATTTTCTCTTTCTTTTTTGTGTGGGGAGAGGGGGGCCAGAGTCGCATCCTGTCTAAATCGGTAAATTCAAGCTTTACAGTCCAGAAAAAAAAAAAGATCGGATTTTTCCGGTTTACAAAACAGCGGTAAAACTAACTTTTTTTTTGCTTCTTTCTCGTTTCTTCCCCTTTTCTCTTTCCACCTTTTTTTTTTATTTTTTTTTTTTTTACCCTATTACCATTTCCCAATAAAGATTATCAGTCTTTTTTTACCTTTAGGTAAAAACAGTGAAAATTTTACAAAACTACTGATTTTCTTTATTTATTCAAGATATCAGAAAAAATACCAAAGAAAAAAGTATATCTTTTAACCGCCCCCTTTTTATCGAATTTGCCCTTTTTATTTCGGCTCTCCATGTAAAAAGAATAAACCATTGTAGTACCTTATGGATAAAAATCAAAAGCCTACATTTCAGCAGTCGCTTACAGATCAACGATCAAAGTTACAGCAGCAGCAACAGCAGCAGCAGCAGCAACAACAACAACAACAACAACAACAACAACCACTACAGCAACAGCAACAGCAACAGCAACAGCATCCTCCTGTTCATCATCATTATCATCATCATCATCGCTATCATCATTATCAACAACAGCAAACACAGATGCAACAACACGGAAAAGCTTTAAAGACAAACAATGAAAAAGAAAAGAGGAAACTGGCTAAATCGGCTCGGAAAAGATCTCTGTCCTCTTCTTCGACATCCTCTTCAGGCTCACCTTCTACTCATATCTTTTCAACCACAAGTTCCTCTGATTCAGGACTGTCATCCATGGCTTCCAATAAAAGCAGTAGTGCCAGTGCTGCAAAAAGAAAAAGACCCTTACCAACTACCATTCAACATACCCCTTCCTCCGATAAACCCTCGAGTAGTAGTTACGCCAATACAAGCACAACCACTAATACAGATACATCTTCGGGCGGCGATACCTCATCCTCTGCACCACTGCATTCCTCAATATCCTCTTATAAATCTTTCAGTTCTTCCGCATCGGGCATCCTTTCATCAAGAGTCACTGCACAAAGAAGTGTACCAGCATTCCTGAATAAATTATACAAGTAAAAAAAGAAAAAAAAAAAAAGAACACAAATGGATATATCCAGCTTTAAACGAAAAATGGGTGGATTTGTCAGACTAAAAAATTTTCAACCATTATGATATATTTAGTATGGTGGAAGATGTTACAACGAATGAATTGATTCGGTGGTCTAAAGATGGTACATCTTTCATAGGTAACGGACATACAAACATAAGTACATACATCAATTCACTCGAAAAAAGAAAGAAAAAAACTCACCGTGTTTTTTTTTAATATCTATTTTTTTTTTTATTTTTTTTTTTCTCCTCGTTTCTATGTATAAAAAGTTGAAAAGCATGAGGAATTTGCTAAAACAGTATTGCCACGCTTTTACAAACATAATACCTTTGCATCCTTTGTTCGTCAACTGAATATGTATGATTTTCACAAGGTACCACATCTTCAACAAGGTGTTTTAATTGCAGAAACTGAGCATGAGATATGGGAATTCAGTAACCCTCATTTTCAACGCGGTAGACCTGATCTCTTAGTTCTTGTTACCCGCAAAAAAAACAGAGATAAGGATGCAAATGATCACGAAAACATCAGCCTAGCCAGCCTTGTTCAAGATTTGCAAGCTATCCAGCAGCAGCAACACGCTATCGGTACCGAACTTAGAGATTTGCATCGTGACAATGAGATTCTCTGGCAAGAAACCTTGTCTGCACGAGAAAAATATCAACGACATCAAGAAGCCATCGAAAAAATTCTGCAGTTCCTCACTGTCATCTTTGCAAACAGCAATGGTAATAATAATAATAATACTTTTTTAACTCACCAAAATTTGGCAATTACAATGAGTAAGTGTCTTCTGCCGCTTCACTACCTTTGCACTGCGCTAAAACTCCTATCCTCTGCAAGTCGTATTCATTTTCTTTTCTTTCTTTTTTTTTATTTTTTGTTTTTTTCTCTCTTTTTTCTGTTCAGATAATGAAGCTTCTGTTCCTAAAGGTTTGATTGAAGAGGCAGCTTCTTTAGCCGGTGTAGCAACAATGACAAATAATATGAGTCATAATGCAATGGCAGCCAACAACAGCAAAGGTAAATCTGTCAATAACTTACCGCCCTCATCACTCACCTCAGCTGCATTATCCAATATTCTGTCTTCTGTTTTGCAACTCTATTCAACCAACTCAGTTTCAGGTGTAGACTTTCCCGCCATAAATCAATCGATGAACAATGCAAAGAATGCAAATCTTCCAACAGCAGCAGACTATGATTCCTTGACACGTTCACCTACCATAACAGCAGTACCCAATGCCAGCTCTTCCATCACCTGCGATGAGAACAAGAGCAATGATATTCAGGAGAATCCCACTACTGCTACAAGCAACAACCATCGCCGTAATATTGTTGATTTTTCAAAGACGATGAATTCAGCAACACGTTCAGCTCAATCGATCACTCAAGATATTGATATGCTTCAAGTTAATATTGAATCCTTAGCCAGCAATCTAGGGATCGACCCCAGTCAATTCGATGATGATTCAGAAGCGTTTACTACAGGTTTCCCATTACGGTCAGATTATAGCCATTCTGCCCTACCCACCGACGTTTCAAGATTGAACCTCATGAATCAGGGTTATGTCACTTACCATAGCACACAGCAAGAAGATATACGGCATCCCACTCTATTGAACTCTCAACCACAGCGTCCAACAGAGAGCCTGTTGTCCACCGCCGCCGCCACCGCCGCCGCCGCCGCCGCAGCAGCAGCAGTAGTAACATCGAAGGCAGTGGCACCATCATCGCCTCCATCACCACCGCCGCCCCCTCCTTCTTCTTCAGCAGCACTGCCGCCGCCCTCCACGTCCTCCACGCCCTCCACTTCCCCTTCCTCTCCCTCCGTGGATCGCTATGCTTTCCGGCTTCAGCAACCCCCTCGAGGTCGCTCTATGATGGACAGAAATCAGCACCAGCAACGGCCATTAAGAACTTCAACTCTACAGCCCCAAATACCTCCTCATCGTTACGGAGCACTTTCACCTACTCCCTCTCCTCTGTCCTTCCAACCACAACAACAATCACAACAACAGCAGCAGCAGCCGCCGCCCATGCCACCGCCACTGGATACAACGTTTGCACCTATGGCTCAACAAGATTTCATCACCACGGGCTCAGAAGAACCAGCATTGGGTCCAGCCCCAGCCCCCGTACCCTCACCACCTCCCTCTCAGCCTATAGCATCGGATGGATATAGGCAGTTTTTCAGTCCAAATACTGTTCATCCCATGACATATTCACTTCCTGGCTCTTATGGAGGCTATCCTCATTACTCAACAGGCACGGCACCACATGAACCGTCGCTCTATGGTCAGGAAATGGATCCTGCTGCTTGTGCTGCCGCTGCTGTGGCTGTAACGGCCGTAGATACTGCAAATCCTTCAGGACCCGTTACAGCGGGGATAGCAGGAACAGCACCAGCTACAGCATCCAATGCAAGGTTTACTACCTACTATTCTCCTCCTCATCCTCGTCAGGCAACCATGAACAGTGGTCATTATCCTACTCAGTTTTATGCTGAGAGGCCGGACTCCTCTTATCCCACGACGATCCCCCACAACAATACCATGAATGCAGATCTTACAAGCAATCATATGAGGACGACGCCTGCTAGAAGAAGAGATACAGGCACACGATAGATAACAACAACAAGCGTTACTCGTATGCTTTCTGTCTTCCCTACACTTGTTATTGCCCATATCTATGTTGGATAACCGGTAGTAGTATTAGTAGCAGTCCTTTATTCACCACCTAGCCATAAAAAAACCAGAATAACCCCCCCATCCTACATTATGCCCCTCCCTCTCTTCTCTTTCTCTATACAATCAGTAGCTATCACCATTCGTTTCAAGAAATGAAGAGAAAAGCCTTCTTACTGTATAATATAACCTATCTTTGTTCTGTACACTTCCTTCCATGTTCTATTTAAACCTTTTTTTTTTTTTTTCTCCAATTAAGAAAAAAACCTGTAAATAGATCTCTCCCTCCCCTTTCTATCATCTCTTTCCATGTAAATTCTCCTTTTCTATTTAAAAAAAGGAAACAAAATAAAAGGGTTTTTGCAGATCCGAAAAGCAAGGAAAAGAAAAAAAAAAAAAAAAATATTGTACAATGTCTTCCATCGCCATTATCATTTGGAACAACTTGCGGAAGTAGTTGGTTTAAGCAACAGATATGAAAATGATAAAATATCTTGGTAGTCGTTTGGATAGAGTCCCTGTAAACGACTTTTATCAAAACAAAAAGCATCCGTTGGTTTACCCAAATGCTCATCTGTTTTACGGGATAACATCCAATTCATGGCGGTTAGAGAAACACAGCTTATTTCGCGTCTCTCTCTCTCTCTCTGATGCACTATGAATCAAAAAGTGACCAAGTTTAGCCGCTTGGAACTCTTTCCTTCCTCTCTTCTTTTTACAATTAAAAAAATTAGTCATCAATAATTAGCTCATGGTGTTATTAGACGAAAGGATGGAAATCAGCGTCGTTGATCATTGGCTGTTATAGGTCTAATTTACAGATTACCTAATTCTAATTCTAAAAGCGGGGAGACACACAATGAGGAACAATGAAAAAATTTCAAATAACCATTTTTTAGCCATTTATAGGAACCATGCCAGTCCCGGAGGAATAATTTATCCGTTTCTCCAGCCTTTTTGACACTTTTATGCATTAGAAAGTCACTGAACACTTTTTCTATTTTTGTGTGCCTTTTCATATAAAATGTCTAATCATTTTTTTTAACAGTCATTGCATCACAACCAAAAGACGCTTATTGATATGTTAGAAACAGATAATACAACTTCTTTAATTGCTGTTCTCAAAGACTCTTCGAAAACTATTGAACAAGATGGACGCATTATACGCTTTGGTAACGGTGCTAACCTCAACACAGTCCGTGGACTTGTCGCCGATAAACTCAACATCGTCGCGGCTCCTCAAGATATTTGTTTCTTCACTCGAGAAGGAAAACTCTTGGAAAGCATCGATGACTTAAGGTCACAGCAAGTGGTCTACGTAGATTTAGAAGAACAAATCAAGGATGTTATTCCTGGCCCTCCACGTCTTCCGTTTGTCGGAAATTTATACGATATGCTGCCTGACATGTAAGGTTAAACCACCCTCTCCGTATTTGCCTTGGTGCAAGCACATGGGGGAACAGGATTGCTTATTCATCGCCATTTGCTTTTCATAGGACACTCGGGTTCATGCGACAATTTGAAAAGTATGGACCCCTTATTAAGGTGGCTCTCTTGCGTAGAGAAATGATTGTTACAAACGATCCCAAGTATGCAGAACTCCTTGTTAAGGAATCAGACTATTTCACAAAAAAGATCGGTGACTCTGGTTTAAGGGAAATCAAGGAATTTGCTGGTCAGGGCTTATTCACCACCGATACCGATGAAATGGATTGGAAGCTTGCTCATAAATTGTTGATGCCTGCATTCAGTCCGCGGGCCATTAAGGTAATACAATCTTTTGGATGGTAAGAAAAAGGTAGTGACAGTGAACGGTCGTCCGTCTATTTTGATCTATTTATTCATATGACTGTCCCCCCATCCTCTATTCAATGACAAACATTTCTCTAGACATACCAAAAGGAAATGGGCCTCATTACGCAACAAACTATCAAAGTGCTCGAAACCTTTGCACCTACAGAACCTGTCGAAATTCTTGAATGGACGACCAACCTTACCTTTGAAACCATCGGTAGGATAGGGTTTGGATATGAATTCAATCTATTGAACGGACGAGATCAAGAACCCAATGAATTCATCGAAGCCATGGGCTATTGTTTAAGACAATCACTTCAGCGCACTACACAAGCACAGTTCGTCAAGTATTTGCCCATCGAAGCCAACCGCAAATACGATAGATCCGTCAAGCTAATGCATGATATCGTCGATAAAGTAGTTGCTGAACGTAAAAGCAGTCCCGATGCAAACAATAAAGACAAAGATTTGCTGGGTTTCATGCTGACCGCTCGGGATGAACATGACCTGGGATTATCAGACGAGAATATTCGTGATCAAGTCGTGACATTCTTGATTGCTGGCCACGACACAACGGCCAACACGCTTGCTTGGGCTCTTTATGAGCTGTCTCGTCACCCCGATGTAAAGGCCAAGTTGCTGCAAGAAATCGCTGATTGCCATATTACTGCAGATACTTTACCCACCCCTGAACAAATCTCCTCTTTGAAGTATATGCATCAACTGTTTAAAGAAACCCTTCGCAAATACCCTCCCGTCCGTACCCTTTCCAAGTACTGCAAAAAAGACGTGATCGTTCCCGGTGGGTATCGAATCAAGACGGGTGCCAATTGCTTAGTGAACGTTTACTGTTTACATCACAATGAGTCGGTTTATCCCGACCATAATCGCTTCGATCCTGATCGCTGGACCCCCGAAGAGGAACAAAAACGCTCTCGTTACGCTTGGCTGCCTTTCAGTACAGGCCCTCGTGGCTGCATTGGAATGGCATTTGCTCTTCAAGAAGCAAAGACTGTCTTGGCCATGTTGCTGCATCGTTTTGACTTTGTCTATGAGGGCCCTGATGTCAACTATGACCCCAAGTCTCCCACAACAAAACCATTGGGTCTGCGCATGACCCTTCATCCGCGTAAAGATTTCCCAGACCCGAGAACGCCTTCTCCTCCGGGTCAGTCGCGCTCCACTGCCAATTCCGATTCGCATGCCCCTCAAACATCCACCGCGCCTGCGCCTCAACTCCCCACCGTTCGATCGAACGCCGATCCTCCTTCTGCTCATCTTCCTCCTGTTACCGTTTTATTCGGTACTCAAACGGGTACTGCCCAAGATTATGCAAACCAAATAGCATCTCAAGCCAAGAGTTTTGGCTTTACATCGGTTCACTTTTCTGCTATGGACCAATGGAAGGTGCTCACGGACGGTAAATTCTGCCCTGAAGATACAGCAAGCAAGCGTCCAGACAAAGAATTACTTGTTATCTGTACTGCAACGTATAACGGTCAGCCGCCTGATTCCGCTGAAAAGTTCAATAAATTCTTGGATGAGAAAATGAAAGAACCTGGCCATGAGCATCTCTTGAAGGGTCTTTCCTTTGCTGTCTTTGGCCTCGGTAACAAAAATTGGCGTACCTACCAGCAATTCCCTCGTAAAGTGTCCAACGGACTCGAAGAGCTCGGTGCAGAGCAATTTTTCCTCAACGGCGAGGGGGACGCTGATAAAGACATGGACGCTGCTTTCAACGAATGGTGTGCTCATTTCTGGATGGAAACCTTGAATAATTACGGTATTGCCGCTGCCTCGGAAAGCAAGCCCGTCGTCCCTACGGCTGTTTCCAGCTCAACACCTCAACCATCCTCTGTTAAAGTCAGGTTTATCCAGCCAAACGACAAAGATGCCTGGGAACAGGCGGTTAACAATCGCTACGGCGAATCCAACGCCGTCCTTCGTGTCAATCGTGAAATCCAAAAAGAAGGTTCTCCGCGTAGTACGCGCCATCTAGAAATCGATATCTCGAACGTTGCTCCGGCAGACGAAACCAAGCCTGGCCAACTCTACAGTCCTGGCGATCATTTAGAAGTAATGCCTGAAAATGACAGCAGGTTGGTGGAGGCGATCGCTTTACGTTTTGGTTGGATTTTGGATGCTGTTTTCGAGATAGATCCAGAATCTCTCCACGACGTTTCTCCTCGCTCACTAGCTGCTAATATCAAGGGCCCTTGTACTGTTCGTAACATGCTCACCTTTTATGCTGATCTCTTGTCGCCTCCTTCTCGAGCCGTTTTGGGTTGCTTTGCCAATCAACTGAAATCTGTCGCTCCTGATACAGCCGCCATTTTTGAAAAGTTGGTAATGCCTGACACTGAAAATAAAGACCCATATCCTGAATTCATCAAGAAGCACCGTACCTTGTTAGACCTACAAGAAGCTTTCCCTCAAGTGAACAAGTTGGATCCAGGTCAATTCTTGGCTTCTGTTCCTGTCATTCAACCTCGACGTTACTCTATTGCCTCTTCTCCTCTTCTCTTTCCTCATAGCGTTCATTTGACTGTCGGTGTGGTGGACGACGTCATCGAAGGTAAACATTATGATGGTCTGGCCTCCTCTTATTTAAAGCGAAGCGCTGAAGGAACTCTCATGCGTGCTCACTTGAAATCTTCCAAGAAGACCTTCAGTATGCCTTCAGATCCCAGCGTGCCCATCATTATGATTGCAGCCGGTACTGGCTTGGCTCCTTTCCGTGGCTTCCTCCAAGATCGCAAAGCTCAAAAATGTGCCGGCGAGGAAAATGTAGGTAACTGTGTCTTATTCTTTGGTTGTCGTCGCAGCGATCAAGACTATATCTACAACGAAGAATTAGAAGATTTTGTCAAGACAGGCGTTATTAGTCATCTCCACGTGGCTTTCTCTAGGAGTACGGATCGTTCTCCCAAAAAATACGTGCAACATCAGATTTTATCCAACGCGACTGAAGTGTGGAGCTTGATTTATCCCTCTGATCCGAATGCCAAGCCTGCAACTGTTTATGTTTGTGGTAGTGGTGCTATGAGTCGTGATGTCCGTCGTACATTCAGAAGTATGGCACTTGCGTTCGGTGCTGCCCGTGATGAAGAGGAAGCTGATAAGCTTATTGACAAGCTTGGGGATGAAGGCCGTTATTTGTGTGATGTGTGGGGCTAAATTCTCGAACCATTGTATAATTATTAATACACATATATATTTTAGTAGCATATAAACATTTGGATGCATCATTATTTAAGCTGTAGATTACTGTAGTTGTTTGTAAATAATAAAGCTGAATCTACTATTTATCAAGAAACAATGTGAATACGCTTGATAATTTTTCACTTTTCATAAATCAAGAAGCTGATGGTTTCATTCCCGCTTTGGCTTTTTTCCCAATTTCTTCTGGTTTTTTTTTCCCTCCCACATCCATCAACATTATAAAGAATTCACGCAACGTAAAATGTTGGTCAAAGAAGAGCAAAAACTCAATAACCTTCTAGTAAAACATACAAAGACGCACTTCTTACATCCAACGGCGACTGGACGTCAAGATGTATTAGCTTTGAAACAACAATTAGCAGATGCACTTGGAGAGAACGGACCTCTCTATTGGGATGCATTGAAAGAATTTGTCATGGGAAAACTCAATAGACAAGAGTTTGATTTCTATGCTAATTTATACTTGAGCAGACAAAATGGTATTTGTACTAGCACAGGAACCGTCTCTATTATAGTATTTGAAGGCCACATCAACTAACATGCTTTATTCTTCTTCGTTCAACAACCTTTCATTCCACTACAGCCTATTTACACAATGCATTCATTCTCAGTACAGTTCATAACGCACAAACAAATACACCGCCACCTTCTCGACATAGGCTTGTTGGTTGGGCAAAACGAAAAAGAGGCAGAGACGGTAGTTTAGCTGACGGTGAAATAGAGTTGGATCCAAAAAAACAGAAATTAAAATCAGATGTCATGGCTTTAAGTAAAGCCGAAAGAGAAAGACTAAAAGCATTGGTGAAGGTAACGTAGAAAGATATCCTATACAGTTATTTACAGTGTAATCGAAATTGACAGTTTTTTTTTCTGGTGAACTTGTGAATTTCAGGCGGGTGATAAAAATAAACTAAAGCCCTATGTTGATAAGTTCCTTGGTTCAACAAGAGTTAGCAAGCAACCGACTTTACCTATTTCTTTAGATCAATTACCACCAAGTAAAGAATTATTTTATCTCAGGGGATTCTCTGTTTTTTTACGATTCAACGTTTAACTGTTGTTCTTTTGTTTTATATAGCTTATAGCCAAGAATATTCCAAAGGCTTGTTGGCGCCATTATGCATAGATCTCAAAGAATTGCCGTCTCCGGAAACGCTACATTCTCGGATGACAAGCATAGCAATAGAAAATGGCTTGCTAGGTGGAATAGGAGAAGATGTGGTGAATGTCATGCTGTTTGCAGCAGAGGTAAGAAACACTTTATCATCCATATGTCTGAAAATAACGATGATTGAAAAAAAAGCACATTTCCTATCTAGAATTACATAAAGTCGTCAATTACTAGCGCAATTAGCAAGCGAAGAATTAATAGATGTATCGGTGCTCAATTAGTACATGAGAAGCAACAGGATGAAGATGATGAAATGCTAAAAGCCATGCCAGCAGCCGATATGAATGAAGAAAAGCAATCATCAATCACACTGGAAGATCTCGCTTTCACATACCACATCACACCCTACGTATTAGTTGAGAAACCACTCAATGCGGAAAAGCTAACAGCATTGATGGAAGACAGTGACGATGAAATGCTTGTGGACAATTTATCTGACAGTAGTCTGGAGGAAGACTATGACTTATAACCAAAGAAACAAGCAGCAGTCTTTTTAACTTATTTAAACATATACCAGTCCTTTTCTCCTTTAGATTTAATTATAAACGAAACTATTATACAGATTTTATTGTACGCGGTATATTCTCGGTTATTTGAGACGCCTTTTATCATTATCACTATTTTTCGTACTTTGCAAGAGGGAGTCGGAAAACGAAGCACTTAATGCAGCCGCCAACGTTGCTGTTATACCGAGCGTTGTATACGTTATTTGCTGTGACGAGGCATTCGCCATTAACTTTTCCAAAGTCTTCTTTAGATTATTTTCCACCGGCCCTCTCATAAATAAATATAATACAATCCAATATACCGCACCATTATAGGCAAACGATAGACGGAATAATTTTCTTGTTAGACGAGTCATTTTTTGCTCGGCTCTTCCAAACTGGTATCTTAGCGGTGAAATCATATATAAACTCTGGGGATGCTCCGCTGGTAGCATGTGAGGAAAGTGTATATGCCGTTGTTGCCGATGTTGGCTGTCAAGCAAATAAGCATTGCCTACATCCGTGTGAATATCAATATCTGTATCTATTTCAGTTATGTCACCTGTTTCCAATCGATGTTGACACTCCTCTGAACTCAACCATCGGTTCAGTCGATTTGTTAATTCATTACAGTCCAAAGCAACCTGATGTTGGGTGGACGAAGCCCCTCTAACTCTAATAAAAAATGACGTCAAAAAGGTATCTCCCGTGTGAAAACCTGTCAAGAAGTAGGTAGGCTCGAAGGTCTGACGATGTAGCACAACATGTTGCTGCTGTAGCCGTTGGTTTGTAAGTACGGATTCGATAGGCGTTAATGTGCCTGGTGTAGCATAAACACTTGAACAAGTTGATGTGAAAGCAGATCTGATAACGTTGAACTGTATACTTGCTGAGCTTCGTCTAGAAGTATATTCTGGTGCATCAAAAAACGTGGCACTATCGACACTCTCATCGGAGGATGTAGATGATATTGAAGACCTTCTACTTATATTTGATGATGATGAAGGTGACATTGTCTTATAACGATTGTCAGTAGCATAGAGATCGATGATCGGATCAGAGTTCAAACTCCAAATATATCCATCCGTTCCTCCTAATACTGTTCGTAGGAATGATGTGAGTAATGCCCATACAACAAAAGGGAAAGGATGGGCTATTCAGTTACCTTTGAGCAGATTATTTTCATCCATGACCTGAGAGATTTCATTTTTGGATACAAAGTTCACTCTTGCTTTGGCTTGTTCACTCAATACCAGCTTGATAACTTGCCAAATACCTTGGAACATCCAACCAAAGTTTAAAATGTAGACAGATCCGATGAATCCAGGGTATCTTGCATTAACGATATTCTTTAATGCAACCATCAGGTTTGAGTCAATAGGCACAAATGGGGCTTTTGCAACATCAATAATAATTGTGATCTGCGAGATCAGTATGGGTCTATCTGTTACTTGTTCCTTCTCATTTTTCCTTGTTAAATCTCTTGTCAATTGCCGTGCAATTTCCAACACCAAACAGGCAAAAGGTTCGATGTGTGCTGATAAAGGTATACCTTTTGATCTGAATTTCGGAAAGTGTCGCATTTGCACAATAGCAACAGGTCTACCCAGCAAGTCTTGCTTATGAAAAAAGGCAAATCCATTCTCGAAGAACTCAGGCGCAACTGAAGTATAAGTCATACGACCTATTTGTTCATTTTTTCGCCATTGTATTGTCTCCAACAGTCGAGCTATAGCTTTATTTTCATCAAAATTGGATTCCTTCAAAAACCTAAATAGTGTCACTTTTTTATTGCTGCTTAGTTCGGCTGCAAAATCATACCTGTTTATATAGATCAAGAACGCTTACCTTTGTCATTGATATAGTCTATGGTATCTTTTTTATCTTCAAAATTGAACCCTAGCAATTCAACGTCGTTTATCAACCGTTGCTGCACGTTGGCAATAAGTGGCTGGTATTTCAAATATTCGTCATTAATTAAGATACTGTTTTGTTTGGCCACTGATAGCATATGTCATATAGGATAAAATCAAGGAAAATGGGGCTAGCAAAAAGAAAGAAGACGGAAATGGAATGAGGTTTTTCAAAAAATAGAAATAGAATTGCGGTGAACCCCAGTTGTGTCCTAAATCTGATTGTTTGAAGCGGAACCTGATTGTAGCAAGTAATAATGGGGATTTGAGAGGTTTGCAGACTATCCTTTCCTTATATCACATTGCTAACAGTATTAGATATTTCTAATATAGACAATAGCTTTGTGATTTATCTCAGTTGTATAACATCAAGCATGCTATTTTGTTGCATTTTAACTTGAAGGAATTTGCCGCTCGTCTGCTGACCTATTTTCATCATAATGATATGCCTTTTATTTATACCCTCGCATACCGACTGAGGGGATTCATTTAGAGAAGATGCTTGCATTTGCATTTTGAGAGTGAAAGTTTAAGAAAACCATTCATTCATTTCCTATAGAACGCCAATGAATTAAACCACACTGTACCTTTTTATAAAGGTGCTGCTTTTTTTTTTGATCACCAAGCTTACATAAAGCAACCGTCACATAACAGTCCTATAAATACATCTGGTGCATTTGAAAAAAAATCAACTTCAGAAGAATTGAGAGGTTTAACCAGCGTAGAAAAAACGGTCGAAGATCATGGCAGCGAAGAAGTCAGCACAAAGAGGAGTGAAAGCGATTAGAAAAAACAGCCAAACGGACAATAACAAGAGCAACAACAATACTAAGAAGCTTAGTAAGAAAGTGAGTTTCCTGAGTTTGACAGTTTAATCGTTGTAAGTTTAGCTTTCTTACTGATGCTTAAATAGGACAAGATTCCAAAGTATGTTGATCTACCCAGCGATGAAGAAGACGATATTATTGTGTCCGATGAAGATCTTGAATTTTTTGCTCAGAATGAAGAGTTTGCAGATCTGTTGACAAATATGGATTCGAATGAATTCACAAAGTAGGCATCAGCGATTATAATCAAGCTTTCATTGATGCGTACTCATATTTATGCTTTTTCACGTTTTAAGAAACTTGACGTTGAAGGACGGAGAAGAGAACAAGCCCAAGAAAAAGCCTTCTCATGAATCTGACGAAGAAATGGAATATGAAGTGAAGCCAAGAAAAGTAGCCAATGAATGGACAAAAAAGGATTATCACACAAAGTTGCCCATCAAGTTACCAGGTGGTAAAATCCGTCAAATAAATGAAGAAGAACTATCAGAAAGGAATAGAGATCAAGGCATAGATAGTAAAGCAGAAACGGATAGTCACAAAGAAGTAGTTAAGACTGAGACGACTGATCTTCAGAAAGAGGCAGAGGAGGATGAAGACGAAGAGGAAGAGGAAGAAGAGGAGCCTCAGCTCACGAAGAAAGAATACATCATGAAGAAAAAAGAAGAATTAGCTGCCATTGCTTTAAATATTCAAGGAGATCCCGATGAGAATATCTCGCAATTAAAAGCACTTCGTGATATATACAGAGATGATAATCCTACTATCAGAAAACTGTCACTGCTCACTCAGTTAGCTGTATATAAAGATATTATTCCTGGCTATCGTATTCGTCCTCTCACTCAAGCTGAAGAAGAAACTAAAGTATCGAAGGAAGTCAAGAAACTCAGAGATTATGAAAAGACACTTTTGAGCAACTATGAAGCCTTCCTCAAAGATTTGAATGTTTTATTGTCGAGTATGTTATAAAGCATAAAGTAAAATAATATTGTCACGTTTCTTATACCCTTTCAAACTTTAGGAAAAAAGACAGAAGAAGATGCTTCCATGTCGTTAGTTGCTACCCGTTGTCTATGTGAACTTCTGATTGCAAAGACTCATTTTAACTTCCGTCTGGAAATTATGGTAGCCATTGTTACTCGTATGAGTACCGTTAAATGGAACGAAGCAGCTCAGCTGTGTGCTGAAACGTTGATCACAGTTTTTGAAAATGATGAATCGGGAAGATACTCCTTGGATGCTGTCAAAATGATCATTAGAATGATCAAATCCAAAGGCTTCGTTATCAGCGAGAAAGTTATCGATACATTTTTGCACTTGCGACTCAAGGATGAATTGGCGCCTGTTCATGGAAAGTCAGAAAATGAAGAGAAGGTCGGTAAGAAGAGAAAGAACAACAGCAAACCATTTTTGACAAAGAAGGCACGTAAAACTTTGAAGGAGACAAAGGAAATTGAAAAAGAATTTCAAGAAGCAGAAGCAGTAGTTAGTAAAGAAGAAAAGGATAAGAATGTAAGATAATTGAATTGGAATCTTGCTAAATGTTTTTACAGTTCTTTAACCTTTTTAACCTTTTTCACTTAATTGACTACTGAATTATAGCACACAGAAACGCTGAAATTAATATTCGCCTTGTATTTCAGAATCTTAAAAAAACAGACATCCTCGCCGCTTTTACCCGCTGTTTTAGAGGGCCTTTCCAAATTTGCACACTTGATCAGCATTGATTTCTTTGACGATTTATTAGCTGCGCTTCGTGATGTTATGCTTACTTTCGAAGACTCGAATGATATTTCTCGAACCAGCTCTGGTACACGCAAACGACTATTATGTATCATCACTGCTTTTCAACTTATGTCAGGACAAGGTGAAGTTCTGAATTACGATTTGAAAGACTTTTACACAGAACTCTATAAGATCTTATTTAAAGCTACTTATCATACCAAGATTGAGGAGAAGCCAGAGAGTCAAACTGAGAATGAAAGTGATATGATTATCAAATGCCTGGAACTCATGTTTTTGAAGAAACGTCAAATTCCTGTGAACAGAATGGCAGCCTTTATGAAACGATTCGCTCTTGTGGCATTGAATATGCCTAGCAAAACAGCTTCCCAATGTCTTGCTTTATCGATGAGACTGATGCAGGTAAAGTTTGAATAAGTCTTTTTAAGTAAATAGAATTGAAGTCTACCAACACTTACAATATCACATTGATAATTACAGAAAGACCATCGTTTAGACGCACTTTTACAGTCAGAGGACAGAGTTGCCACTGGAGTTTATTCTCCTTTATTAGACGATCCTGAACTTTGTAACCCATTTGGTACAAGTCTGTACGAATTGTTTCTTTATCAGGTATGTTTATGTGATCATCGCATGTGTGAATTTATTTTGGAGCTAACCAAATTTTTTATTACAGAACCATTATGACCCAAATGTCAGAAATTTGGCCAAATCGTTGCAAACGGCCAATTCCAGCTAAACCTATACGACCCTTGTAAATAAACATATTGCTTAGCATTTAAAAAAATTTTCGTCTTTGCCCATCAATTGGTGCATGTATGGCTACTGAAAATAAATGCGTTCTGAACGATATTAATCAAGCCTCCTTTATTACTCAAGTGATAAATTGTTTAGACGGTCTGCCTCACGTTTATCCCTAGAGCTTTCCGCGTAAAACTAGCATCTTCATTTCAAGCTTGAAACATATTCTTGATTGACGTGACAACCATGCCCCATGCATTCGATGGCTTTGGTAAATTAGCTACTGAGAGTCTAAAGCTCTATAGAAAATTGTCAATGTTGGGTCATCATTAATTTTTTCAAATATAATTCATATTCTATAATAATTAGTACTTATAAAAATTAAACTAGCTGTTTGCGACGTTTCATTCTAAATGTTGTCGAGGGCAACTATTGCGTCTTACTTACTAAACATGACATTTGGGTTAAAAAAAAAAGACTCAAGCGCTATTACAAGAGAAGAAACACGATAGAAAAGTATAAGGTCATACGGTAAGGGAAGAAAGGTAGAGAAAAATGTACTGTTTCAACAAAAGGGAGCATAAGAAGAGAGTATTAAGATTGAAATACATGCAAAAAGCAAACACGAATGGAAGATGCCAAAGCAGGTTGAAAAAAGCTATTATTATTTCGAATACTAACAATTTCTCTCCTCCGTACTTATTGGTGCGAGATACATACTGAAGAGATTGATGCGGTGGTTTTTACTTCTCATTGGCATCAACAACAATCCATTCATGATCATAGTATATATTTCTTGAGTGGACATCCTCTGCATGATATAAGATTTCGTACTGACCACGAGATAAGAAATATATCGGGAAAGAATGCGAAACGATTCCGTCAAAAGGAGGTATCTAAAATATATGTAAAAGAATGATTTACTATAAAGAGTCGCGAACATCTAAACTTGAATTTCAGCAGAACTACCTCTGGTAAAATGACTTGTTCTACGCCCTCTAGTAATAACTTATCGGTTAAATCATATTCTTTCACTCCATCATTATAACTCTGTACAGGCTGTATTCTAAGTATCAATTTCACAGGGTATGCTATTTCCCATTTAATTTTAGTACGTCAGTTCATAAAACCTAGAACAGATGTACAGCTTTTTTGAACTTACTGTATCTATTCCTGATTGATATTTTCATTTTTAAACGTTCGTTACAGACAGTTGCAAACCTTCGATAATTTATTTTGTCTGTATGTTCTCCTTCAAAATCAACCAAGAATTCAATGTCTTCCTTTTTCAGCACGCTTAATTGCATAGACGACAACCGCAGAGAAGGCCGAAGATTTAGCTCACCAAAACGATTTGTTGCTCTACAAGTCCAAGAAGCCTTAATACGTTCTAATAGCTTTTCTCGGTACCAAAACATTTGTAACCTAGCAAGTCGTTGTTCCTCAGAAATACCAGAATTCTGAGATACTACAAATTGCTTGTTAGGATCGAAAGAAGGAATTTCTTGCCTACAAACATCGGTAGGTAAGAACAGACGTTTAAATGGTAGAATAATCCTTGAAGTAGACCCTGGTTGAATAGTAATGCGAAATTTCTTCACGCTGCTTGATGTTTTCTCTTTTTCATTTTCATTATCAACAGTAAAATCGACGTCAAAAGGAACAGTCCAACGATTTCGAACATCTAGAGTGACCATGCAATATTCGTTTCTTTCCAAATCGTTCAATCTTATGTTTCTAGTTGCAGACAACAAATCTTCCAGCGATTGTTGCTGCACTGCCAGTACAGAGTCGCTCTCTCTATCGCAATTGATATTGTTCGAGGTTGCGTCTAATGCCTCCTTCAAGACTGGTGTACTGTACCTTAAATAAGCCACATCCCAATTAAACGGTTCTAGATTCTCATAAACCGTAATAAGAATATTCAGATATAGCTGTCGAGTGTAGAAGATAGTTGGTGAAGATTCATCTTCACCATCACGATTACACTCTATCGTGGTTTTTTTGCTTGTGATTTTCTCCACAGTGCGATCAAGGTACCCATAATCTATCTGAATTGTTCCCTGATGGCTTTTGATAGCAAAGAATTATATGGTTAGTTCAAAGCCGAGGTTATTACAGTAGTAGAACTCCTTATATTGCGTTGAAAGCCTTACCATTCTCTTTTACCATAAATATTCACCTTAATAATTGTTTTGTCCCCTTCAGATAACCATACTTTTTTGCCAACGAAGTCATGTGATTTACTTTCTGATGTACCTTCCCAAGAAAAAACACGGGTGCCCTTTGTGTATAGTTCTAATTCATATTGATCTTCAGGCGCTAGTTCCGGATTAATAAGAGTATTGGTTACCGTTGAATCTGTGAATGATAAAGTTACAAAGTCTACAGGAATGTTGCCAATATTCTCGAGTTCTATAGTAAGATGAGTGCTAGAAAAAAAATGATCAGCCGCAAAACAACGTTGTGAACGAAATGAATAACAGAGCATACCGTTCACCCTCATATAGCATAACAGCACCATGCAATAGAGACGTCGATCTGATCTTCAGTAGCGGCTGCTCATCAATGATCTGAAGTTCATAAAATTTGGTGCCGTCCGCTTCCTTAGCTTCGTCATCTAGAAAACATGGTACTGTTAGTGAAATGACAAACAACAACCCAAGCAAGTGTGCATACCTCTTTTTCTACTACATTTGATAGCTGCTAGCCCACTACAAGTATATCGACATAATAATGAATGACCGCCTTTGGTTTTTCAGCGAAAGGAAAGAAAATTTGATTATTTACCTTTGTTTAATTTTCTCAACATTATCTTTCATTGCATTTTCATGCACGTTAGTAGCACTTGTATCAATTAGAAATTCTTGCTCTGCGAAACCGACGATCTGGATCAAACAACCGCGAATAACAAGTGTACCCGTCCCCAATGGTGTGCCTGACAATGCTATGTCCATGGTTGCATTGGCAGGTATTGTTACAGCTGTTGAAGTCGCATTAAATGCAACACCAGATGTACTAACAGAGATGTTTGGCTTTAGAATGTATCTCCTGTTCGAGATATAAGCGACCAGAATAAATCATTTTTACCTGAGCATTATATTTTGTAACTCCAAGTCAAAACCGAATGGATTGGTTAATGTCACTTTGAATTCTGATAACTCATTCTTAACCAGAACTACCATATCCTAAATGTATAAAATTCCATCAGACTAATCCTATCAATAAACTATCCCGTAAGACTATAACTGGTTTTTTACAGCAATGTTTGCTTTTTTAGCAAATGGATTGTAAATGAACGGATCTCCTGTATCTTTGGATGCCTTTTTCTGTTTCTTTGCTGCGTCGACGACAGTATCACCTTTAATCGGGTGAGCATAGACGGCTTTTCTTGAAATAGGCTTTCTTGCTTCAATGCTGGTCACAATGTTAACTCCCCAATAATTGATGGACCCGGTAGATGACTTGACTTGATCTATTGACGGATTTCTTTCTCTTTTGGAACTGGCAACCATACCTTGTATGGTGGTTGCTAGTTTAATTTGTTCTGCTTTGGATATATGTTGATAAAGATTTTTCAGTAACACAGTAGTGTAGTAAAGTCGGGCGCTGTTGTCTGTAAGTGCATCTGCAACTGAAATACACTGCTTTAAAACATTGATCTGGAGTTGGGGCCATCCGAAATGGTTCTTAATCTTTGAGCTGTTAGATTTTGTAGAAGTGGTTGTGGTAGCGGAAGAGGGGCTGCTGCTTTCTCGTTCATCTTGATCTATCGCTTCCAATGCCCCTCCATCATAAACATTGCGTTCTCCAATCCCGTATATCTCACAAACACGTTTTAGAATTTCAAGCACCCCATAATCATGCATTATTGGAACTTTGGTCGCATCCTTTGATAACCCTGCTCTACGGTGCTGTATCAGTAGCGGTAACATTCTTTCTATACTTTCATGCATAAGCCAGGCTGCTTTTCTGTGATACCCAATCCATGAATATACTGTAGACATTCCTGTAGTAATGAAAACCTAGATTGAAGAGCACTATCAGTGTATTTGTTTTGAATTGTTCACTTTTTGCCTAACCTACCTGATCCAACAAAGTCAGTTGATTCAGCTTTATGTGCCAAACTTTGGTAACCCATTCGGCAATAGAATATCTGGCGATCTTGCTCTCCTTGTATTGTAGCATATCCTTTAGCGAAAAGAGGAGGCCGCTCTCATTCCTGTCCTGCGTGGAGCTCTTTCGCTGCTGTTTACAATCATCATAGTCACACAATTTACCTTGCACTAACAAATTCATGGTATGCTCATTCCATCCATTATTCAAAAATGCTGTTGTTAACAGTCGAGCTATCCTTAGACATGCCTCTGCATATACCAAATCCGGTGTTCCAAAATTAGCCGTCAAAGCAACCCTTGAATAATACTTGATTGCCAATCTATATTGTTCTAGAGCCACTGTTAAAGTCGACCGATTAATAGCAGTATCATTTTCTCCATCTTCAGCGTCAATCTCTTCTGCTGACGCAGACTCGGGCGGTGTTGCAGTGGGGTCAGCGGTCGATGCCATAGGTGTTCTGGAAACGATATGTCCAATATCTGCTTGTAAGTATTCTAATAAGATAGTCGCACACACCCAACCTTCTATTGCGCTGGCAAGCCATAGGAAATCTGATGTAATTTTTGACATTTCAATGGCCTGTTCATAACTTTCAGAAAAAAAAAGTGGAAAAGCAATAACAATGAGTCTTTTACCCCTTCAGATTGCGCACAATCAATATGTTGGAGAATAGAATGGTAATTTACTGGTTCATCGCGTCCGGTAATCGACCTGCTAAAAGATAGAAATCGCCTAACAGTTTCCTAACTCTGCCGGATGTTCTTTTCTTTGTACGATTTGCTTCACCACCGGGTGATGTAACTCCTGAGTTCGTACTAAACCGATGAAAAGGATGATGCTGCTTTTCATGCTGCTGTTGCTGTTGAGATTGTTGTTGTTGTTGTGATTGCTGATATTGATTGTATTGGAATGATGAACGCTTTGATGCTACGGTACTCGAGGATACTGATATTGAAATGGATGTAGGTGGCTGTGATGATCGATTTTGTTCCCTTCGGGAAGGAATATGTACGTTGGCTGGCATGGGTGATTCCAAAACCTCCAATTTTTGTATACGGCTTGCCTACACGCGTCAAATAGTAATAAATCAGAACGTTATTGAACAGTAGATGTTCTTTCACTGACAAATCCTACCAATATGGCAAATTGCTCAAGAATTTCACTTGCAAAATCACATATCATGGTGCTCATATAAAAAGACATGTTGCCCACGTTGGGTATCATGATGAGTCCTTTCGTATCATCTTCTTGTGTTTCCGATGGATCAAAAGCAAAACATCGAGTAGCAACAGCCGTTGGATACTAGTTTTACGTAAGAGTTAGGTGCATTAAGTTTACTGATAACATATAACTGTATTTCTAGTTTGTTTTTTTGTTTTTTTATCTTTTCGTTTCGGTTCATTACTTTATCTAAATCATTTGCAAATTTATGATATCCCTCGTTTAGATTTCTATCTTTCCATTCCTGACAATCCATGATACCTATCACCTACAGAAAAAGGGAAAGACAAGTCGATTGTGAGTTTTTTTTTTCCTACATTGAAGAGTCTTAGATGGAGATTTACACCAAAGATGCGACGATGAGGTTGGAAGTCTTCCAGTTCAGCATGTTCTCGTGTCCATTGTGTGATGAACTGAAAATGCATTTGTCCTTCCTGAAATACTTGGCTGCTAAACATAGCTTAATGCATAGTTGTAAGTTTACAGTCAGTCAGCCAGGTAAGACTGACGTAGGAGCTCATTTCTCTAATTTTGTTTTACCATTGGCACCTTTTTTCAGGTCAGGGGTAACGTCTCCAAGGCGAATTAAGCTGAAAGACTTGACAATCTGGACATATTTATAGAAAGTTGATTTCTTTATCGGTGATACTGGCACAAGTAATATACGCACTCTACAAGGTGAGCAGACATCGATTGCCAAATCCATCGAAAGGAAGTAGAGGAATGATTTGAGTAAGAGTACGAAATAGTTGGCTCAAACCGATAATTAAAAAATTGGCTGCATTTAGATTTCTTTCTCGGTATGACAGCATTGTTCCTAAAATAGATACAGTAATTTTGCGCTTAGAATTCAAATGATATTCACGGTTTTCATCTTAGCCAATCAAGAGATTTTATAGTGCATTGGAGTGGTCCATTAAGCAGGAAAGAAAGAGATGCTTTTCAACAGCAAAAGATATCATTATGCTTATATACTATTTTATATTGAAATATATAAAAGCTATAAGTGTGATATCACACTCTACAGTTTCCCACTGTAACTGTTTTCGCTGTATGATCAATGCGATTAGCTATAATTCCTTTTTTTATAAGGGACGCTTTGCGAGCTTCTTTTGAACTGTCTTCTCACCAGGATATTCCGTTCCTATCCCCGAGCCCAAGCCTGGTATTACCGATGACCGGCTGTTTGCCACATTCTTTCTGAACTTGACTACCTGCAACACCAGCAAGAGCCTTCCCTCTCCGCTACTAATCCAATCACTTCTTGACTGGTTACCCTCCTTTCCCTTAAATCCGCCATAGTTCACATTCCTTTTTTTACCCTTGAACCCAAAGGAGTTTCTAAAATAACTCTTCTACGTTTGGATCTGTCCTGAGTAATGTAAATAAGTTTTAGTACCTCTTGTTTATTGAGCTTTGAATATTTGTCATAAAAGCTTGTTTGAACGTATTAAATCTGTTCCATTAAAAGTTGGGGTAATGCACACAATTGAAAAAGAGCGGATATGGTAGCCTTTTTACCAACCAATGTCCCGAAATATTGATAATGCTCCTTCTGGATTGATATCATGCCAATCGTACCTATACTGGGAATATGGACTATATTCTATGCTATCAAAGCGAGCCCATGCTCAATAGCAATAATGAAAATGTCACGGATATTGATGCTTGCTCTGAATAATATGCTAACGCGGAAAACTGTTGACTAGACGCAATGAAGCAACTTTAACAGGTTTTGATGGAGGAAGTCATTATTGAGAACTTAACAGCTAAACCAAGCACTCTGCAACCATAAAAACGGACAAAGTACGGTGAGAATGCCTTCATCGGTTAATAAATGCTATTTGCGAGGGTAAAGGTCTTCATTAGATAAGCTTCATAACTTTGTGGTATAGCCCGAAGTAGCGTGTGTTCTGGGCGAGAGATACACCGAAAGCAAGGGCTTAGTCGTTCCAGAAATTGTTTGAACTGCTATCTACTCAAAATCATAGAGCTTTTTTGGGTCATACAACTTTCTTACCAAACTCTTCAATAAACAGCCTTCTACTACTGTGGTAATGGCACAGGGCGCACTCGCTAAGAATTTCGAAGGCCTAAAAGTCCTTATTCCTGGTTTATGGAAGCTCATCATTGGAAAATACACTTTGAGACTTCCGAACGCAAGTAAACATGTAATCGAGAAAGATGCACTAAGAACTTATCAACATCGTTTTAGCATCATTACTGTGTTGGGGGTCACAGGTGTGAAATTTCAAAATATTGCGTTTTCATCGGGAGCCGGTATCATATGCACGTAAGGAAACGCCGTAGTTGGTGCATTCCTGGTTTAAGGTAGCATTTTTAAAGTTTTATACTCAAATGTGTAAACCCTGAATCTTGGGTAGTTTCAATGCGTGCGGCTACCTTGGTATTTCAACTGTATTACTCATGAAGCATAGTAATTCATAATTAACTGGTAAGAAGTTTCGCCAGTAACAAGCTTTTCAGGAAAGACAGACTGCTAATGATGGGGCAAAGTCTAACATTGCAAAAAATACTACTGCAAATCACATCGTCAGACTCATAGAGGCTGTCATGAATACTATAGATAAACATGATTTGAAAAGGTTTTCATAGGATATACAACTGTAAAATCCATAAAAATAAATTTGTTACGGATGCAATCAAAAATCCTAACTAGGAATCTCTTCTGTGACAATATATCCGCCTTCCTGAATCCCATTGAGGAGAGCTGGCTAACCTAAGAGTAATAAAAGACGCAATCTTTTCAAGAAAGGCGATGAAGTGTCTGTCCGAATTAAAAAGCTTGCAAATAGTTGCCCTACGGGATTGCTCAGGATGGATAAAGCACACAGGAACTAATTTTGACAGATGGCTTAACAAAGAACTTGCTTTTAAATGATCTATGTGTTGTTCAATCATTAAGTAGAACATCTGTTTCGAAATTGTACATTATAAAAAAATAAAAAAAAAAGTGAGCCGATGTCGAAAGATACCACTTTTCTCTATTTTCCAATGTAGATTTGAATGGTCCAACATCATCGAAATAAGCTGGATTATCAATAGAAAACTTGTAAAGGTCGATTACCGGACTTAAAGTTCAACCGCGCTTGGCTTTGATGCAGAAGCCTTATCTTATCTTGTATCCCGTTTGTATGCAATATCCATGAAAGTCATCTTGATAACCGGCGGGTTTATAAGCTATCGAGCTGACAAATAACTATTAATTTGCCATAGCATTTTTTGTTCAATTCTAACTTTATATGTTAAAAGAATGAAAATGTGACAGGTCGACTCAAATGACGAAATTTTACAATCATGCAGAATGTTCTTCGTGAAACATAAATTTGACATGCCTACATAAAGTACAGTGATGGGCGCGAAACTAATTCAATTTATCTTATTCTTTTTATTCCAATTTTCTTACCTACATATACTATCAGCATGTCAAGTGCAGCAGAAGCACATAAACAACGTTATCATTTGCGTGATATTGCAGAGCAAGTTCAGAAGAAAATGTAGGATGCCGAAAGTTTACTTTATGATGTTGCGTCATAATATGAGTGCTTCTGCTCATTCCATGACCGTTTTACTCTTTGTCTTTAGTATTGCTGAGCATCAGTCTGAAGCTCATCGAACATTAAGAAGCTATCCTGGTAATGAAAATAAGGCAAAAGCCTCCAAAGAAAAGGGTGACATTCACGGCATCGAACATCCTGGTTCTACGGGTGTCATTTACGTCATGGATCGTGCTTCAAAGATGGGCTATACAGCAACAGACAAAGAGTGGTCAAACTTTGGACAAGGTGCTCCTGAAGGTAATCTTTGAAAAAAAATTTCCTGCTTTTTCTCTACCGCTGTAACCAGAAGGCACCTTTGAAAAACTAATCACAATCGATTTATTACTGATCAGTCGGTCCTGTTGAGGGATGTATGGAAAGACCCAAGACTATTCATCTCTCGGAAGATTCATTCGAATACGCCAATACCAGTGGTGTAAAAGAATTGAGGGAAACTGTTGCAAACCTTTACAACGAAATCTATCGAAAAGACAAAAAATCTAAATACACTTATGAAAATGTATGTATTGTTCCTGGCGGAAGGGCCGGTTTAACACGTGTTGCTTCAGCTATTGGTGATGTCAATGTTGGCTATTTCCTGCCCGAATACACAGCTTATGAGCAAATGCTTTCTGTTTTCAAACGTTTTGTTCCAATCCCTACTACCTTAGAAGAAGCTGCACGTTATCATATTAGCCCAGACACAATTCGTAAAGAGATTGCAGGTAGAGGTATCGGTGTAGTCGTTGCTTCCAATCCTCGTAATCCTACAGGTCAAGTTATTCAGGGTGAGGAGCTGGAAGAACTGGTGGCTATTGCTAAAGAAAGACACACAACTCTGGTTATGGACGAGTTTTATTCCGCTTATATATATGATGAAGAACCTGGTAAAACCGTTAGCATATCCAAGTATGTGGAGGATGTCGATGAGGATCCGGTTATTTTGATTGATGGTTTGACTAAGAATTTCCGTGTAAGAAGAATGACATGTATTATTTAATAACGATGACATAGTATCAGTATCCAACGAACTATATTTTTTTATTTCTGTTCAATCAGATGCCTGGTTGGCGTGTATGCTGGATCGTAGGACCAAAACCCGTTATTTCATCGATGGAAAGTGCTGGTTCATTTTTAGAGGGTGGCGCTAACCATCCTCTTCAGTTAGCAGCCATTTCTATGTTAGATCCTCAGAAGTTCAAGGATGAAGCCAAAGCTCTTCAACGTCATTTTAAAGGAAAACGAGATTATGTGCTTGAGCGTTTAGAACGAATGGGCTTGAAGGTCAAAGTTCCTCCGAATGCAACTTTTTATGTCTGGCTTGATTTATCTCAACTGCCTGAACCTATAAACAATGGACTTACCTTCTTCGAAGAGTGTTTAAAAGAGAAAGTGTAGGTTTTACGATTACGTGAGAAACCATATCAAAGCGACCACTTAGTTTAATAACTCTTTTTCATTTTGGCCACATAGCATCGTAGTTCCTGGCATCTTCTTCGATGTGAACGTTAGTACTCTTTTATAATTGAAGACCTGCTTTCAATATTTATCATCTAACGAATTTTTATTGTAGCCCTCTCATCGCCGTGAATTGTTTGAATCACCGTGCCACCACTTTGTAAGATTAAGTTTTGGACCACCTATGGATCATGTCAAGAAAGGTTTGGATAACATTGAAAGCCTCATCAAAAAGTTTAAACAAACCTAAGCAAGAATTGATTTTTATGGGAATTTCTCCATTGAAGACGTTAAACAAATACTTCAACATAGCAAGTTTAATATTGTTTTTTTGTTGTTTGTTTTTTTTTTCTTGCGGCTCTTCTATGTTAACAATAAACGCTTATGGAGGAGATACTTGTTGCTCCTTGTTGCATGCATTGAATGATTTATTGAAGTATTACAAGATTGCTCTTTGATGACAAGATAATGTGACGCGAAAGATGTAAGAGCTGACAAGGAGATGGCAAGAATACTTTGAAACAGGGATCTAAGGGACCTAATTTCTCTATGTATAGGGAGCGTCGTGCGTCTCTGATCCATATTAATTTATCATTACTTGTCAAAATATATCAAAAAATGAAGCTTCGACTGAAAACTTAGTTAAAAAAGAACAATTTATATACAGGACGATTGAAAGGCTCTTAAGACAGAAGTGTCTGAAGTTAGTCGAATGCTAAATCAAACTAATCATACCATAAAGGTAGGTTGTTTGGTCATGACAGGCCTTAACAATAAAGTCTTTAACAGAAGTTCAATTCAAGCCGTTCTGTATAGTCAAGGTTAAATGGCTATAAAGCATAGCTGTTTTAAAGTAAGAAGAGGTCGAATTCCAATTGAAGAGGATATATACCATCTTCTTCCGAAAGATGATGCATATATGTTGTAGAAAAGACCCAGAGTTAAAACAAACGCACTGTCAGTTTTTCAGCTTCCATTTGAAAGACAATCATTGTCCAAACTAGTTGTGTTTATCTTCCGTTCTTTGATATAATTAAGGTTCACACACTTTTCCAGTCAATTAGAGTAATACAATTCATCGTTCCTGCTCCTGTTCTGTAAGGTGTACTCAACTCAAAACATAAACATACAGTACTTTGACAGTAACCACAAAAATTGAAACTATTACAATTTTCTGTTTAACTTAGTGTTTAGTAAAGGGTAGACTACTCAAGTTCACAGAAGAGTTTTATATACCATTCATTTACGTGTATTCAGGTTTTTAATTATTCGAAGTCGTACTTGAAATTTTATATATACTGTACTTGTTTTGTCTGTACCGGACGACCCGTATCGATAAGGGTCTCTAACAATTAACAATGATAATTGACACCTAAACATGTCTAGGATTTAGATGCGCTTGTTAAGAGCGAAAGGTTCTTTAGAGAGAGGTAGTGGAAGACATGAAAACTTGCCTCAAAACGAGATTGTACATGTTTATTGTACTCCTGCATCTATTGTTTCCCAGAAATCAAAGGCCATAGTGTAACCAGACAATCATGCTTAACTTGAAACGAACTTTGAATGAATTGTTGTTTATGAGTTTCTAAACGCTTTATCAATTTGGTCAAACAAGCTTCCCCTTCTCCCACAGAACGAAACTTAAATATTCCTTCTTCATTTTCTTGTTTCTTTTCTCTTTTCTTTTCTTTCAAACATTCTTACACTGAAGACTCTGTGAACACTCCCCCCCTCCCTGCTCTTTCTATAACAAAAAATGTCGCTTGCCAAGCAGAACTTTGCCAGTCAATCCGAAGAAGCCTTGAATCAACAAGTGAACACTGAGTTGCAAGCTTCTCAAGTGTACCTGTCCATGTCCGCTTGGGCTCAACACTCTTCTGTTGCTCTACCAGGTATAACATACCACCAAATTTATGCTCAACGAGGATTTAATTGACACTTCTGCCATAAACCATTAGGTCTTGAAAAATATTTCCGCGAATCTGCTGAAGAGGTAATTGAGAGTTGGGTGTTTCAGTGGTTAGTAACAAACGTTTCAAGAATTGACTTCTCCATTTTGTATTTTGGTGTTTTTCTCAACGTAGGAAAGAGAACATGCTCAGAAACTGATTGGTATAGTATCTTCTGACAACAAGAACATTTCAATCTATATTCAGCTGCTTAATAACCTGCTCTTTACCTGTTAGACTATATCAATACTCGTGGAGGAAGGGTGATTTTACGCGCTTTACAAGCCCCTGAGGTAAGAGAGAAAAGTGATACAGCTTTTACAAATCAAATAACTAGAGCATCACTTCTGTTATCATAGTCTGACTGGAAGAGTGCTAAGAACGCTGTTGAATCCGCTCTTCAACTTGAGAAAGGTATGTGTAGTTGATAAAATTGTTGTCGCAATAATGTTATACATACACATGTTTAAATATTACATTTGCACCTGACACGCTAATTTGCGCCTTTCTATGCAGATGTCAATAAGTCACTCTTAAACTTGCATAAGATTGCTGATGGTCAAAATGACCCTCAAATGTGTGATTTTATTGAAAGTACTTATTTGGCTGAACAAGTTGAAGCCATCAAAAAGTTAGCTGACATGGTCACTCAATTGAATCGTGTTGGCGAAGGCCTTGGTGTCTATTTGTGGGATCAGCAGCTCTACAGAGATGGTACTGGTGCTGGTAGTCGTGCTACAGGCGGTCCTCATGCTTAAAAGAGTCTGCTTCAATTCTTTTCACTTATAATCTATTCCATTCAAGGGCACAAAATGATCAAAATTGTTCTTGCTTGCGTTTCATTTTTACTTTCATTATCATTACATTAACCGTAAATATGAATAAAAGACATTAAGAACACGTCCATACTTGCAATTTCGATAGTAATAATTGTTCTAGGAACACCTCAATCAATAGGATACACTCCGACATAAAAATTCGTCTACTATCAGGATTTGACACACCTGGAACCCAAAGGTTTATAAGGGCACTTGAAAAAAGAAAGCAGATCACATTCTTTAAAACAACCTGAAACATTATCAAATCACTGTTAGTCGTATGATTGACCAAAAAAAAAAAAAAAAAAAAAAAGTCCGCGGAAAAGGAAGTACCTGAAATTCTAGCCTTGAGTCTTCTTTTGACTGAAGAAGCGACATAGTAATCTGTACTGTTAATATCGACAAACGTATCAAAATATGTAGGATAGCAGCAGGAATCAGTATAGCCAAAAACCTTTGTGCTCAGACATACTTACTAACTTTGACTTTCACTTTAAAAACATTCCACTGTTATCATTCATTTGTTTAAGAAAAAATTTTTCTCCCTTCTGACAGTTTCTGTTTGAGACGTTAAATTTAAAGAAGGGTATTGGATTGGCACTTATATGGTCATTTTTTCGTTTTATTATTTATCTTTCCTTTTTCCCTTTTCCTTATTGCTCAAAAGAAAAGAAACTATGTCCAAATTTTCAGATGATGCATTTGAATACATAGCGCCAATCATTTGTATTGGATCCATTGTTCTTATGCCTTTGGGCCCACTCTTCTTTCCGCGTATTTGGATTTTATCATTGGCTTTTTATTTTGCTATTTTCCTGTCAACCCAGTGTAACCATCTTCTAACATTTCACAAGACAGCTCAGAGGATTAAAGAAACGATCGTACAACATAGGAAAAGAGCGGCTTTGTATAACGATACCAATGGCCTTACGAACAAAGAGATCTATACCGTTACTGTACCAGACGAAGGCTTGAAAGATATGGAAGAAGCCTCCATGATGACAGACGCTGAGAGCGAGAACGATTATTTGATTCATGCCTTTGTTATACCCAATTATTCAGAACCTGAGGTGTTAATCAAAGATACTATTAGACGTATTGCATTACATAAGTAAAGTTGTCAACAGCCATATACCTTCATGAAGCGAAAACAATATTCTCATCATTTTCCTTTATCTCACAGAAACGCACGTACCAACTATGCCATCATTTTAGCCATGGAAGCTTCTGAAGTCAACCATAGATCCAAAGCTGAAAACTTGAAAGAATACTTCAAAGAACAATTTTTCCGCTTCATTGTTACCAATCATCCTTCTGATCTCCCTGGTGAGGCAAGAGGCAAAGGTTCAAATATCAGTTATGCTGCACGTAAAGGTTGTGCTGAACTTATGGAAAGTGGAATTAAAAAGGATAGAATTTTGATTACCATTGCTGATTCCGATTCACATATTCCAGAACTTTATGTTTCAGAGGTAAAGTCCCTTTCATACAATCTTATGCGCCAAAGCAAATATGATTCAATCCTTTCATAAAAACTAAATGTACTGTGCTCTTTTTTTTTTCATTCTTTATAATCATGGATAATCTTCCTTCACCCTCTCCTAATTGGTTTCGCATAGGTGACTAAAGCCTTCAATCGCTCAGAGGATCCTTATTATCAAGTTTATGCACCACCAATTTTTTTTGGCCGAAATTGCTTTAATGTCCCTGCCGCTGTCAGAGTAACTGATATCACTTGGTCTGCTATGATCATGTCCAATCTTAGCGGTGGACGTGGCATTGGTTTCCCTTGTTCTACTTATACAGTCAGCTGCAAACTAGCCGATCAAGTAGGCTATTGGGACACAGATGCCGATGCTGTTGGAGAAGACATGCATATGTTTTTGAAATGTATCTTCAAAACCAAAGGACGCACCCGTTTAACACCCATTTTCGTCCCTATCAACTTAACCGATGTAGAAACACCAGCAGAAGAAGGCTATTTCGCTAATTTGATGGCTCGATTTGTTCAAGCGAAACGTCACTATAATGGCGTTGCAGATGTTGCCTACACGTTGCGTCTGGCTTTGGGATTACCCACCTTTTGTGTTGATGCCAATAGCAGTCGCATAACTTCGTCAACTATCACAACCATCACTAGCGCCAATGATTCGAAAGACAAACATTTAGAAGGAGAATTTACTTCTGTCAACAACAGTCAGAATGCTGGTAGCAGTAGGAGTAACATTGTAGGAGGACGTAGTTCATCATCGTGGTTGATAGATAAAATTATCATTGTTCTGAAAGTATTAGAAACTCATTTCATTCCGGTAACGTCTGGCTGGCTTATGTTCCTTGGTGTGCCTATTATGCAATTCATTTTATTTCCTCCTCGAGAATACGGCATAGGACCTTTTGTTGATGACGCTGCGAATCCAATTCTTTACTCTAGCTTTTACTCTCACCTTTGGGATTCACTAAAAATTACCACTATCTTACTTCCCTTCCCTCTTTTCGGTACTCTTTATGTTTATGAAAAATTGCATCGATTTGTCGATATAGAATTCTTAGGAAAGACCAAGAATGAAACCCGTACTTGGAAGAATTATTTTGATTACGTTAGTATGCCTATGGCAGCATGGATGTTCATGACATTACCCTCTAATATTGCTTCTGTGAAACGTCTCTTCAAGGCACGGGACCAATATGTCGTGGCGGAAAAATCGTTTATGGAAACACGGGTGTAGTGACAGATAACCATGTCTCATCCTGTTATCATGTTATCTCCAGTACTAATTAGATAAACCTTAAAATGTCATTATGTACTTCTCAGTCTACTACTCTCTATCTTATCTTACTACCTTTACTCATTATTACAATTAATTTTAATCATCCATTCCTCTCATCTTTGTCAATTTCAATACTAGTACATTAATAAATGAATTGCATCTTATGGATATTGTACCTCTATTACGACTATGGTTATGATTGTTCAGCTTTTAACGTGCTCTTTCCTCCATACTTGTCGATCCCAGCCTCTTTTCTTATCTGATTTGAACTGAAATGGAAAATAAATGAAACAGTGAGCATTTGAACAGAAGCAATAGACCTATGATCGCGTTCAAAAAAAAATCTTACTTCAATTCCAAATAACGCAGCTTGAAAATATTATGTAATATTAATAATATCACATAATCAAAAGCTTTTCCTCATCGAAATATTCAGACATGGCTCAAAGCAGATGAAGACACAAAATATGAGATAGCAAGTACAAAAAAAAAAAAAAATAGTATTACATAAGTTGTAAAATTATATAGATGTATAAAAATTGAAAAAAAGAGCTGGGCAAAAGAGGAGTTATAACATATATGAATATTCGTTAAAAAGTTTGATTGGAAGAATTTAGGTAATATTTATATAAGAAAGAAACATTATTGTAGTTGAATCGGTAAGAAATTACCAACAATCACGGTCTATTCAATAATTAAGGTTGATTTAGTTGCCCCTGAGGCCTTTTAAATCTTCTCTATGAAAAAAAGATCACTATACTTACAGGTATGTTATATTTGTCACGTCTAATTGTAAAAGAAAAGCAACATGAAATCACGCTAGTATTCTCAGGATTGGGGCTTCTCAGTAAACAAGAAGTCAACACTGCCTTTTGTCCTGGATCAAATGCAATATTTCCATATTTCTATAATAGGTTTAAAAAGTCAATATCTCTTTGCAGCACTCAAGATATTACACAAAAAACGCTCTATTACCTCCCAATAGTTGACAGCAGATTCTTCTGCCATAAGTTCATAAATACAAAGTCTGCCTTCCCTTAAATTCTCGATCGGCACATCAACTAAAGCAGCAAATTCTTTGTTGCCCTTATAGATTTCGCCTGTTCTTCTCCACAGACATGCTGGTATTCCCATTGAACTGAATACTCGGTCATAATCCAGAAGTAATCGCTCAAATGCTTCTTCGACCAATATTAAATCTATATCTGTCAGTGACTGAGCAACAGATCTAAATGCAGGTCTAAAGGTACCCATCACATTCAAAATTCTTTGTCTACTAGACGCTGACATACTAAATTATTGAAATTACAGTGAGTCATTGAGTAACACGGTACAAATTTTTTGTTTCTTTTTTGTAAACTTCTCCACATTACTTGCTGTCCATATATTTTTGTAATCTGGCATAACCATTCACATAATTATAGGGCTTCAAAAACCCTGCTTCGTATTTAGCATTTATAACTTCTGTTAACCGATCTTCTAATTTTCCATCCGAAGGATCTGCTGCTGTTAAAAAGAACCTTTCTGTCGTATTCACGCTTGTATTTGGCGGCGCGTTTGTGTTATTAGTGGTGTTATTAGCATTATTAGTATTACTGTTGTTATTGTTGGTCGTAGTATAGATGCCTTGCACGTCTCCACTCGCCCCAAGCGAGTCAAGAAAATCACTAATAACAGATATTTCATTGCCCATTTGTTCACTAGCGAACGTGAGTTGTCCTGTACCCATTTGACCATAAAATTGTAATGGGAGCCCTCCCAATGTACTGTTTGATCCGAAAGGTGCTGCTATCATCCCCCAGAAGATATAACGCTGTTAGTCTTTTACAACTACAGTCACTACTCTTTCTATGGATTATTACCATTATTAACAGAAGATAATGCTTGATAATTCCCAGCTAAGCCTTGCTGACCTAACCCATCCTGTCTACTACTATTCATTTGTTGTGGCTGTTGGTGTTGTTGCTGCTGTTGTTGGTGTTGTTGTTGTTGGTGTTGTTGTTGGGATGCAGCGTTAGAGCCATTATTAGGTGTTTTTACTTCGTCATGACACAAGTGTCCAATGCTACGTTTGATACAACGCTGACAGGGCCGCCCTAACAGATGCAGGAAACGTTTAAGTTTGAAAAAAAGGCCTCAAGAAAATCTACACAGTTAACAAAAGAACCATTTACCTTCATCGCAAGTCATATGTGAACGTCTACAATATACACAAGCTTTTATTGTTGTAAAAGTCAGCCAGAAAAACAAAAGTTAGATCAGAATATTCAAGTATAGCAGATCAAAGTTTGTTCATTGTAAATTTAAATTTACCATGGGTAACCTTTCTTCTTTTTGGTCCTGTACGTTTCTTTTTAGAATCTTGTTGTTGATTTTGGTTACTGTTTGGCTTGTCCTCTTTCGAATCTTGCTGCTGCTGTTGCTGCTGCTGATCCACAGTGGTCGGATTTTGGTCTGCCATTTTTTTTTAGTTATAATAATCTGTGTTATATGGAAGTTGTTACTTTCTGTTCAGTAAGAGTTGGTTGGAACTTGAGTTCATGACAACTATGACAATGAAAGCTAATTCAACTTTGAATGAAAAGCTGTTGGTTAAGCTGATAATTCTCGCTAGAAAAAACGGTGTGAATAGTCAGTGATGAGCGAAAAGTGCAATTTTATGCTCAGAAAAGCAATGATAATGGATTAAAATGTGGACCTATAAAATTGCGCGGGGATGCTGCAACTCTTAAACAGTAACGATCAAATCAAATATATCACCTGCTAAAACCTAGAGGATCTCGACTTTTCCTCACGTAGAGTAGGGGAGCAGAAAAGTGAGTGCTTACAATAAACCGCGAAATTTCCTGGAATATGAGCGCCTTTATACAAATTGAAGAACTTGCTCGCAATTCTGAATTAACTTACAGCGAATGCTTATGAAGTGAACAGCGAAATCGCCGCTGAACAGATAGAAGTTGACTGTATATGTATCTGCAAGCTCGGTAAAGTACAAATGGTTGAAGATATGAATGATTTGCTCATATGAACTGAGAGCGAAGTATTCATTTATAATCGTTACTAATAAGTGTTTATGTACAAATTATTGTGTTGATGCCTTTGAAACGCTCTATTAAGGTAAAGGGCCAAGGAGCAAGCTTAGACATTACAGTAATCTGCTACAGTTTGATTCATTATAAGATATAATTTTATTTATTTAAAAAAAACTGCTATATCTGAAAAGCGTTTTCATAAAATTGAATTAGCGTTTTGTACATAACTCCCACTTCAGTGAAGTGATATTCTTATGCCCCATGTCTGGCTACTAAAACTAAGAAACAGGTATATTCACATAATAATTGTTAATTATAACTTTGAAAAAGTTACAAGCAATGATGTTAAAGAAATTAGAGGGAAGAGTTAATCCTATCTAATAATTTCTTAACGATAACCCATTTGTTACTTGCGAAAGTTATCCTTTGCGTTACACTGTTGTTCATCGAAGAAGAAAAAAGCCATATAAAGAACTTAGTGCTAGCGTTGCATACGAATTTAAGGGTTCAGTTATACGTAAGGATTAATTATAGGTGCTTAATAACTATTGAGCAATACGGGCTAGTCTTTTTCTGTGTTCGGGAAATCACTAAAATAGGATACGAAATGAGATCAAGTATATAAATAATTTGGGTCCTGTATTTTCTAGCAATCATAAGATAATGCAGGAAAGTTTAGTACGTTAGTGATATGTAATGCAAGTAGCAGATTATAAAATGAAAGTTATCTAACCATCAAATATTATTGGTCTGATGCAGTCAAGCCGCTGAGGCAGAAGTGCGTCAATGCTTAAATTGTGCACTCCAGTATAGTTTGACAATATTCCTTCAAAACGTTATCAGCAATCAAAACCGAGTTATCGTATATCTCCATTGAAGAACATAAGGCACACAGTCTAGGTAAGATCTTCGACTTTCAGCCTTGAGATTTAAAGCCAATAGTTTCATTTATAAGTAATAGTGCTATTGTCATGTTAAATAGATAATATGTTAACATGATTAAACTTCTCGTTTGCATGAAATTATGGAACAAGATAAAACGATAATTCCTCTTATTGCGATGAAAAACCACCTACGCCGAAATTTTCTACAGTTAGTAATATTATGGCGCGAATGTTGCGTTCACATTTTGCATTTGTATCATTTGTAGAGCAACTTTAACAACAGTGTAAACCCAGCCATTTGAAATCTGAAAAGAAGCAGATATATTTGTATTATGCAAGCTTAATTATGAAATGCAAGTTAAGAGAAGACAGAAACTGCAATTAACGTAGAGTCAGGAAACAAAATTACATACGGGATGAAAAGATAACTATCATTGATGAATAGAGTTTAAAAAAATGGAAGGCATATTAGGTTACCTATATGCTGAATGCAGTTAATATGCTAAAACATTGAAAAAATAATGCTCTACTTGTTTATTACCAAGTAGTAGCATTGTCACTTTCTCCGTTGCATTTGCTGCTTTTGCCACTGTTCCAATATTCTGGACTTATTTATTCGTATAGAGTGTATAATGTCATGTGCTCTTCGATGCAGTGTATCAATAGGCGCTTGTTCAATATCGCTCTCTATTTTTATGAAGTTTTGTTGCTGTTGTTCTTGCTGTTGTTCTTGCTGCTGTTGTTGCTCCTGATGTCGTACTAATAACCGCTCTATGTAAAAAATTACAGGATTGTTATAAATACTTCTGGCTTGTTGTAAAATACGCTGAGTTCGCAGTAAGTTAATGTGACACAGTGTTTTGATTTCAGGCAGGTCCACATTTGCGGTATCAATGATGAGATAAGTATAAGCGGTGACCAACATGCCATAAACGGGGCTGTGAAAACAGCCCATATTGTCGACGAGTGCAAGGGCTTCCAGAATAAGGGTATAATCATTGGTGACATTTAAGATGTCTATAAGGCAGCGGAACTCAACTTCAGCACTGTGCTCTGTAGGTGGTAAAGAAGATGATAAGCTGCAATTGAGATATTGTGAAGGCCGCGTATTTATAAAATCAGTGAGGCGAGACGAGTCAGAAGAATCTGGGTCAGGTGAAGAAGTTGAAAATGGTATGCGCAGGTTTAATTGTCGACAGATATCCTTTAAATCATTGATACTTGCTTTATCCTCTTTTCTCGAAAATATGTCAAAATATCTTTTTGGCAAAAATGGCAGTTGAGCGAAAAGCTGGGTATGACAATAAAGTTCGTGTAAAAGAAGTGGTTCCAGGTAAGATTTGTTATTCCACGCTTGATTGAGGTTGTCTAGGTTCAGTTTAAAGGTATCGGGTGTGTTGAAAAATGTTTCGAAGAGGTGCAAATTTGACTTGTTATCGTCATCTAACGTTTGAGCAAAAGAATGGAGGGTATATAAATAAGCTGACTTGAATAGGTCCATTTTACGAATAGTGATGACGCGGCAATATTGGGAGAAGAATTCAACGCGTCGTGCGAAGGTCTCATTAGGCAGAGGTTGAGGAAAATTAACATGCCATTGGGAGACATCAATAAAACCGGTATGCCCTGATACATTCCACTGAGCATAATAGTCAGCGCACAATAACATCCATGCCAATCGCCTTAATTTTTCCTTTTGATCTGATTCTTTTGAATTCTGTATATCTAATTTATGCAAATCCATTGCTAAAGCCATTCTTATTGCCATATTCAATAAAGTTGATGGGAATTTAGTGGGTGAGAATAGCTGCGTATGTTCTTCATGAAAGATGGATAACAAATACATAGATTGCAGCACGGATATGTGTTGAACATCGAATAAATCTTGTAATAAATGATGCGCCTGCGTGTAATAAGAAAACATAAGAATATTCGCTACTGACATATCTCCTCGGTGGTGAAGAGTAGTATGGCGGATCATAATGGTGCAAATACTCAAAATCAGTAATGTCTCCACTGTATGCTCCCTCGCTGCGCCAGGTTGGCTTAAAATCATTTCTGTGTCAGCGACTAAGCTCGGCAGGTCCAAAAAAAAAGAGTAACTACAATCAATGAAACTCTGTACACAATGTCTCATCAATTGCACAGTGTTGTACTGCGCAGCATGCTGCTGTTCTGCTATGGGAATACTGCACTTTGCTGACAATTGTAATACGGACGCAACAATTTGACGAAGATAGGGTATATCATACGAACTCGAAATGTTTAACAACCGGCTTTTGCTAACATCCTCCGGTTTAGACGGCCTTGGGCTGACATTCGTTCGTATTAGTTCGAGTACTTTTTCAAGATCTGACACGGTAAGTATACTGGTATCCAAGGTCATCATACTCGGCGTCAGATTTAGTTGCCAAACAATAGCATCGTCGTCATTGTCATTGTTGCCAACGTCACTGTCATTTGTGTTATTCTTACTGTCTTTTGATGTATTATTGTCATTGTCAGATTCTGACTGTGGTGTATCGGGTACGTTTTTTTGCTTTATAGGAAGGGCTTTGTCAACTTGCCCCAAGATTTGTACGGCCTCCTGTAAAAACTGATCGATGAGAACAGAAATGCCATTGATTGCTGTACTGTCTTTCTTCCAAGAGGAAGGAGATATGCTTTGCCCTTGCAACACCATTTACTGAGTTATGTTGCAAAGTTATATTTTCGATGTTTCGATTGTTTTCAAGGTTTATTTTGCAGAAAGAGTTTAAAATCGACACGATTTACAGGTATAAAAGAAATTGAAACTGAGAAATTCTTATAAAAGAGTACCTGTAAGCAGTAAGGCATTGTCTGATTATCAATAAATTAAAATTCGAAGTAGATTCGTCCAGTCTACAGTTTTATTTTACAATTGTTTTGAAGATATGAATATGCTTTTAATTACAAAAGATTAATTTTTATCAATGGTATTATAGCAGAAATCAATTACTTTCTTTGTCTCCCTTTCATTTTCATAACACAGTTGTTACAATACCATTTTCCTTTTGGTACTGTTTTAAGATCAACACAAGCCAAGTGAAACCATTCAATCTCGCACTATGAACAATAAAGGCATGACGTCAGCATTGAAGCCTCATTAATTGAGAACACTGAAACAAAACAATTACCTCGGTATTATCACAAGCTACCATTTCACCGTAAGAAACCTGGTTACAGTAACAGTACAATGGCTCGTTTGGATCAATGGGTAGATCAGGAGGGATAACACTGTAAAAATGCCGTAAAAAAATATGGTTACTGTTTTGAATGAACAAATTGAGCAGGAATAAATACGTACGTTTTTAGCTTTCCATTACTATTCTTTGAGTTGTTATATCCATTCTTAGTTTTTTCCTTGTCGACATTTTTTATATACTTTGTTTCTTTCAAGGTCTGAGTACGAAGCGACCCAGGCGGTGAACCATTTCCGTTATTAACATTATCTTTCGTTGCCTTCCGTTCTAATTGTAGCGAAGACGAGAAATGAGTATATATGCATCAATCGAATAAATTTCAATAGAGACAAATAACTTACTTTTGGTAACTATGGACACGTTATTATTGGGTAAAAGAATGACATATTAGCATTTAACAATTACCAGAAACAATTTTAATGCGCGACATCCGTCGCGGAGTGACAAAAATTTCAACTTACTTTTTCTTTCCCCTTTCGCTTCCTTTCGGTCACCAGCTCTTTCTGCTCGTTTAGCAGCCCTTTCCCTGACGTCCGCACCGTCTTTAAGTGTACGTGCCGAAGGTTCTAAACCTGGTAATGATGTTATTCGATTATCTCCCACTGCTTGGTCTTCCTCAAACTTCACAAGATCTGCATCTAAGCGGTTACAATGGCGGTCTACCTGCAATTTATGAGAAAAACAAAATAGTACTTTTTAGAGCTATATACTTGTTTTTAAAAATTGAAGCTACATATAAGCTCTCCATTTACGGCATCGTAAGTTGACTTTGCTAAGGCTACTTTTTCTTCTCCTCTTTTTAAGGTTTCTGTCAGTATGTTGGTCAAGTGTTTCAGTTTGTCCAAACGGGCATTAGGGTCCATGTTCTTTATATTGTCAATGAGTTCAATGGCATCTCTTGACACTGTATCCATCAAATCTAAATCACGAACAAAATACTGTATGAGTTGTTATAGCTGAAATAATATCGTTAGTTGCTTTCCAAATTCTGACCTTGAGCATAACCATCCAATTCCTTCATAAGGGTAAAGTTTCTTTGCAAGTCGAGTGGAACAGCTTCTATGGCTAAGTACACAAGAATAGAAAAATAGTCCTTATCAGCTGTGTATGGTGACGTGTAAAGAGATTGACAAATTTACGTACTATCTATGTAGTCATCCAGATATACTAGGTTATCAAAGTGCTTAATCATATTATTAGACGGCCTCATGCTTCTCTTTTTTTTTTTTTTTTTTTTAATATTTTTGTTGAATGTTCAGAAATGAAATGCGAGTAGCAGTTTAGATTTTTTGTGATTTACCAAAATAGTGAATGATTTCAATTACAGATTCAAGTCACAATATCCAAACAGTCTTCAATCAATCACATTTAACCGAGTTGTATTAAAAATAATTGTTTATCTTGTGTGAGACCTAATGAGGTTATCTCTTTTTCATTTTTACATGCCCATAAAACCGTAGAAAAAAACCGGAAAAAAAAAAGAGAGAGAAGATACTATGCAGAGGGCTTCTTATTTATTTTTATCTTTATTTATCATCTTAAACTATTTAACTTGTCGCAGTTTTGCTTCTGAAGGGGATGATCAGCCTGCCTTCAATCACTGTGTTGATGAATGTGTGCAACTATCCTGTCCGGTAGAATTAGACTTTTTTCTGAAATTACTGAAATGGAGCTGTAAGGTTACACATCCATGCATCAAACTGTTGCTAATCAAAGAGTAAAGAAAATACTAGGTCTAACTCTTCTTATTCTATTCTTTGATTCCCGTGTAGGTTCGGATAATTGTAAATATACATGTATGCAATCTCTCACAGACAAAGCACTTCAAGAAGGAACGCCTGTGTATCAATATTACGGCAAATGGCCGTTTTATCGGTTTCTCGGCATACAGGAGCCAGCCTCTGTTATATTTTCCATTGGCAACGGTCTTGTTAATCTATATTACTTTCAGCTTATCCGCAAAAAAGCGCCTTCAACTTCTCATTTGAGAGGATTCTTGATCCTTTACACCCTTCTAGGTATGAACGCTTGGTTATGGAGCACTATTTTCCATACTCGCGATCGTAAATTTACAGAGCTCATGGATTATTTTTCAGCCGGTCTGCTTGTCCTTTACTCTCTGTTCTATGCCATCATTCGAGTATGCCGTGTACGCAATTCCTTGGCAATTAAATGGCTGGGCACGGTTTTTGTTTGTCTGTATGTTGCACACGTCGGTAAGCTGACGATTGTCTCCTTTGACTATACCTATAACATGTATGCGAATGTCATTGTCGGAGCATGTCAAATTTTGGTCTGGTCTGGATGGTATATAGTGCAAATGCTGAAAAAGGGCAACAATAAGTCCATGTCCTATGCCCGTTTGGGGATCATTTCGGGCCTCGGAGTTTCTCTGGCCGCGTCCCTTGAACTGTTTGACTTCCCGCCGATTTGGAGGACGTTCGATGCTCATAGTTTATGGCATTTATCAACCATCCCTTTAACAGCGCTTTGGTATATGTTTTTAATGGAAGATCTATGGCATGAGGCCAATCATGAAAACACTTTTACATCCTACAAGCTTCTACCTTAATTTTTTAGAATTTGATTGTGCATTTTTTAAAGCTAGAGTTCTAGTTTTACCGGCTATTTTCAACGGCATAATTCATTTCTTTTCATAAATGATAATAACAGACAAACTAGACAAAATGACATTTACAGCTATTTAAACGACTTCAGTTTCATTACTTATTTATTTAAATCAAACAATATTGTATATTCAAGAAATAAAATGTAAAATTATTCAAAGGAGTGCCTCTTCCCTCTTCTCAAAAGGATAACATATTTAACAATAGCAAGTGGCAATCTTATCCACAGTCAATTATTCGAAATATTGATCTATAGTATCTCTTCCATATTAGGTTGTGCAGCGATGATGCGCTTGATTCATGAGTGTATAAGCTATGTAATCAGTAATACTCGTACCAAACGATGCGATATCCACCGGATTTTTCCAGAGGTACTTAAATTTCTTGACACTAACAGCAGCAGTAACAGATACAGTAGCGTACTTATTATTCTGCTTCTACAACCTGGAAGGGCTACGATCCATAACAGTGCTGTACAAAACAGAAAAACTTCGCATATATATGTCGGAAGTATGTATGTTATCAAACATTAAGTCGAGCTGCTGTACTATTATAAGGCAAGTCCATGCTAAACTGCTCTAAATACTGCACCAGCAGCTTAGATGTTCGATTGATAAATTAAGGTAGCATGCATTGCAGGTCAGTCAAATTGATATTAATACTGTTGACACCACTAACAATCTACCTAGTGCTATGCCTAGCCTCCTTAATTGCAGTTGCTCTTTATTCATCTATCGTTACTGCTCAGCATTTTTTGTAAAGTTGAAGCCAACTAATTTTCTTGTAATGTGATGGCGTTTTCAAAAACAATATGATCGTAAGTTTTCTGCCGACAAGTTCATTTGAAATGCCATGATTTAATTATTCTTTGAGTGCAATATTTAACTAGTATTCGATGTGATGGTGATGGTGGTGGTCACCATAACAGTTAAAGTAGAAGCGACACACCGGCTATCTATCATTTAACTGAATCTTAGGATAGTGTCAACTGCCCACTTCTTGTACACTCTAACAGAAGTTGTATGTAATTAAAGTACCAGGTAGCAGACAATAGACGTGTGATTAGTAATTTTTGTTTGACAAACATTGGATAACACAAATGGCTTCAGCAAAGTTGATGAAATGAGAATAACATTGGACAGAAGAATGAGTGTTTGGTACTATAATCTCAAAGAACAACTGTGATATTATACCATTTGAAGAAAACGCTTCTGATAACGTACTATGTAACCCGAAATTTATGTACTAATTATGACACTGCCCATGGACTGTTAGAGATTCATTCACAAAAAAACTGCTCTCGGAACTGATAAATATTTATAGATGGCTACTGCGTTGAGCTTTCTTTCTATAAAAAGAAGGCTAAATGCTGACTGTTATAGATCTTCAGTGTGAGACGAAGCTGCCAATTTTGCCATATTAAGTAACTGTAAGTATTTACTGCCCGTAGAATGATTTATGAACAAGAAATATACATTGAGGCAAGTCGGCTGAAAAATTCGAATGACGTAAAGGAATGGATAAACAACAAAGGGTCAATTGCAGAAGCAAGAGAGATGATGGTTACTAATGATCAGTTAATAATTCTATTCAGGCGTGATGCATCTACTGCTACAAGTTTGAATATGAAAGACGGAACAAAATTCTCGGAAAGCATATACGGTAAACGCTACCGTAATAATCTGATCTGATGTCAAACGGTAATCAAGGCGACGCTACACATTTTATCAGATGCTCATATTGTGCTAACTATTGTAATAGAGAAAACTCAAAAGAACAGTTCCACAAAATAAAGGATCTATTATGAGAACACGAAAAATGCCATGAACATCTGCAGAACTGACAGCTTTTTCTTCTTATTTTTTTTTTTTTTTTTTCAGTTAAAAGCAAAAAGCGATTAATTCTTTTTTATTTGCAAGAAATTATTTGTAAAGAAAAAAAAGAAAACTAACTGTGAAATAATAAGTATTCGAGTATTACTTCAGAAACGAAAAGGGATTTAATATCACCTATAGTTTGTTGCATGTGTACCAGAAATTTGATATTTGTTCAAAAAATTGAAAATAACATTTTTTTTCAGGGCTATGAAAGCAATAAGTATAACAGAAATTTGTGTATGTGGTTTACGATCATACGATTCGTGGGGGGCATAGTAATATATGATAATAATATGATATAGAGTTGTGGGTATGTACTGTTCCTGGCTTCTTCCTCTTGGTATTGTTTCAATGAAACGACAAACTTGTTCTGCGGTAAAAAATTGCAACTTATACACACTGCGCGAATTATCGCGCAAAACTACTACTTGTCTGTACACTCGATGTTTATTTGAAAGATGAAGAACCTGATGACATGGATCTCCTTCTGGCACCTTCGAATGCATTTTGGATAGAGAGTGCAGTAGGCATGAAGAAGCTATTGGTTACAGGAACAGAGCTTGACAATTCACGCTGTTGTTGTTTACGTCCATCCATCATTGTTGCAGAATCAGCAGTGGGCGAGCCTAAAGATGATGTGGCTGACGTAGGCGAAAGAGTAGTAAATAATCCTCTAGGAAGAGAGCTTGTATTCAACATAGGTATTCTCTGTGGTGAGCGACTTGGGATTGACGTACTGTTGTTATTATTAGCAGAGGATAGTTGAGTTGTATCTGACATGCGCCGATGATGAAAAGGAGCACAAGATGATGTATGCGTAGCAAAAGTATCTGTCTTTTCAAATGTTCTTCCACATTTGCAACGGAAAGGCATTTCAAGGTTTTTGATAGGAAAAAGATCAAAGAGAGAAAAAAAAAAAAAAGGTAAAAGAATAGGAAAAAACGGTTTCAAAGGATCTTAAAAAGAAAGGGGGTGGGTGCGTTTGGCAGAAATTAAAGATAACAGTTTTTTATGCAATTTCTTTAAAATGTGTGCATCGAAAAGAATGTCGGTTTATCACGTCGTTGGTGCGTGTATGCGCTTCTGTGTGCGTGTATGTGTGTGTGTGAGTGTGTCGGTGTGTGTGTGTGTGTGTGAAAATTGTCCTTAACAGTTTGATTTGTGCGCACACAAAATTACGTATTCATAAACAGCAAACGGTGATTCCATATAAAGCATAACTAATCTTTCTTATCATTTTATCCAATTACATCTTCTCGTACCACACAATTAAAGCACAGTGTGTTTTATTTCTCTTAAGTTAGAAATTGCCTTCTTGCATTAAGATGGTATCTCCCAGTGAAGCCTTCCAAAACTAAGGGGAAAAATTTCAATCTCGTATCTAAACGGAAAATTGCTCGTTGAATAGTAAGCTCTGTAAATTCGCATGTATGTTCCTTGCCACTCTCTTCATTGCACTGCAACCACAGAGTTCGTTTTGCTAAAATGTTGGAGCTAAAAACTGATACTGCTTGGTCAACGCCATCGATTCTAAACACACATTCTGGAAGAACCCTCAATTCTATCTCTTTGCCTAAATCAGTTTTGAAAGTATCTGCTATAGCGCGTAGTTTTTTCTTATCCGCTTCATTCGAAACTATAAGTTTATAATGGAAATCATTTTCGTCGGACCGGTGATGAATTTGTATTTCTACGCCTGTTAGTTGTATCAATAACCTGTGTGACGTTTCTCCTTCAACATTTCGATGATATTGTAGGTCGGCTGATTCCTCGAGTTTCTGAGGATCTGGCTTTATCAAATTCGAAGGACGTATATCACTCAATTTCATCAATATTTCTGGTGTACTTCCATATATACCACAGTTGCATGTCTCCGCGGACAACCCGGAATCGCTGTAGCCTGGAAGAGCTGTTCCAGGCATGACTGTCAACAATTTATCATACAATTGTCGAAATACGTAATACTGCGCATCTCTTAACAGATTTTTTCGATGCTCTTCGTCCCTTATATGGATGGTATACCCTCGCAAATGGTGGATAATGTTTTGAAATATATCCGGATCACGATCAATATAAAGCGGCGACACGTTTCGTTCTCCTTTAGGTGGTGTATGTAAAGAATGTCGCAAAGGACCGGTAAAAAAGTTATGTCTTCCATCTCTCGAGAATAAATCCCACGAAACACGGAAGAGACGTCCTCCAACATTGACAAATAGATACTCCAGAAGTGATTTACGTAGATGTGCCAATCCATAATAAAGGGAATCGCACAGTAAAGCTTGATACTCCACATCGTCTTTTGGCCGGATATAGTAGCCACGTAGGTGACGAACTACTTGTTCAAACAGATCAGGATCTCTGTCGATATGCATGATGCGCTTTTTGTTACTATTCGAACGTTGTTGTTGATTAGCTGTTGATGTTGAGGATGATGCGATCTTTCTGAAATACTCAATAAAAAAGTTGGTTGGTGATGCATCACTCTTCAAAGACTCCCAGCTCAACCGAAATGCCCTTCCACCTACTACAATAGTATGTACTGATTGATCAGGTGGATCTAAGGGTGCTCTTCTGTCAAAATCTTCTTGCACCATACTTCGAATATCATTATCGCTATCGTGTGATGTATAAGTCGTTTTATTTGTCTGCTGCTGTTGCATCCTTAGTTGCGGGGATAGCATTGGCCTGTTTACGATTTGCTCTCTATCTGCTGGCTTGGATGCTGTACTAATTGGGGACGTGATGGAGCGTGGAGAGGAGGTAATGAGGTTATTATTGTTGTTGAAGATCTCAGGAGTATTCTCTGTTATGTTATTTACTGCAATCGCACCGGCTTGTATACTGCTTCTCCGATCGTTATCATTATTAGTAACGAAAGTAAAGAGATCATCAGGTAATACTCCTGCTGTATCTAAATTTAGGTGATTGAACAGATGACTATTGTTGTTATTCCCATCATTCACGAAGGATAAAGGAATGTTGAAAAGATCCAAACTATTCGATTGTTGCTGCTGGTCAGGCTGCTGGCTCTGCGTATCTGTCTGCTGTTCTAGCCTCCTCCTTTTATTACTTTCAGTAGCGTCATAGCTCTTATTGCGTTGATTTTTAGGACTTGAGTCTGTTTCCTCATTCATGTTACGGAAATCTCGCTTAGAGGGAGGGAAAAAAGTAAAAAAAAAATTTGGAAAGTAGTGTAATAAAGAAGCAGCAGCCTTCAATGCAACAGGAAATTAAATGTCAAATCTTACACGGACGAAATCAGAATATCTCGTAGACACGAAAACGAAAATGCTTCGCTCGGCAATATGTTGGACGATAACTTATTTTTCTGAATGAGCGCGCTCACAGCTTGAACCATAACATTCATCATGACCAGGCCGTAACTTGAGTTTCTTGATATACGTGCATGTAACAAATCGGCTATGAGATCTGCGAGGACATACGTTTAGGCACAATACAGCAACTGATACTGTATGGACAATTTGTCAGTATACTCATTACAAATTGGAGAATAGGATAACGTTCTGAAAGCTTAAAAGCAATAAATCAAGTTTTTCCGCTGTGAATGATAAAATATCTGACAACCATGTTGCATGAACAGAATGGCTTGGCTATAGACAGCTTTGGGAATTACAGAATTAAAAACAAAAACAATAGAAGGCTCGCAGCGCCACCAATTCGTATAAACAGAGTAATTCTCCCTTGGACATAAAAAATGGGAATCCTTTGAACTTTTTACAGATGAAAAAGTAAGGATTTACTAAGTAACATAACATTGGAACAGTCGTTCCGTGAACTACGTGCATTATTATGCATAGCCTATGTTTTGAAAACGTCGATGTTCAACAAAGAACTTCCTAGGTTATCGGTTCCATCAATACGTATTGCACTCGAAAGGGCAGTTATGTTTCGGAGAGTAGACACTATAGTCGAACATCATCATTTTAATGACAACCTTTCAGTATTGCTAAGTTTCGCGTCCCAGTAGTTGTGAATAGCCACAAGAATGACTAGAAGGATGCCCCTTTCTGCACTCTTTTTTGCTTACTGGCTTCTTTTAGCTGTTTATGACTGGAACACTATAAAACATAATCCATGTTAAACTCAGGTTCCAAAAGTTTAGTTCGGCAGATCATGACTGTATTTGAGGTCCACTCATTCGATATATAGAGACTTTGTAAGAGCACTTTATTTTATTATTGTAATTCATCGAAAGATGATTTTCTACACATGGGCTAAACCGAAATATCCCTTTCCTTTTTTTTTTACCGCACAAAGAATTGCATGATTCTAGCAAATTCCATAAGCTGGATCAGAAATAACAAAGCCCAATGGTTTCTTTTGTCAGTGACTTTTTCCCAAAACAATATTTCAATTTTAAAATTTTTAGAACAGAAATTAACGATCAAAAACAAACTCACTGTACCAAACCATTCGAGTGACAAAACCCTCTTTCTTTTTACTTTTTTTATTTTTATTTTTTCAATCTTACATTGCGTGTGCGTGCGTTAGTCTGTGGGTTTTGTACAGTTCCTTTATCTATTACTATATATAATGACTACCAATGAATCAGCTCCTATGGATGTAGATCCTAGTACTCCTGCTGCCACAGCTACTTCGCAGCCGTAAGTATTTTTTGATCCATTTTTATCGAAAAGGTTACAAGCAAAGTCTTAATGTATTTTTATACTATGCACCAGTAATCCTGAAGAGATCAAAAACCAAGCTAACGAGCAATACAAACAAGGACAATATGCAGAAGCTGTCAAGCTATATTCTCAGGCTATTGGTAGATACCGATTTACTTGATCAGTATTATATTGTTTATTTTAAAAGCAGGATTATTGATTAGATAAATGGGCTATTCTATATAATAACAGATATATCACCCAAGACTGCTACTTATTACAATAATCGAGCTGCTGCTCTTGTCATGTTGAAGAAATATAAAGAAGCAGCGAATGATTGTCGTACTGCCACCGAGCTTGATCCACAGAATGTCAAAGCCTTTTTACGTGGTGGTAAATGCCACTTAAATATGGGTAATTTGGAAGAAGCCTCTCGATTATACAACTACGCATTGCAATTGGACTCGTCGATAGCCACGTCCAGCGCCGCCACACAACGAGAATTCTACAACCTACAGCAAGTCAGTCAATACATGGCGCAAGCACAGACATTCATAGCCAATCAACAGTGGGGCCTTGCTCGCAATAGTCTTGATCGCGCTATTTCATTTGTAGACGCAGATGTAGTTCCTTACCATTGGAAAGTGATGCAAGCCGAATGCGCTTTAGGCGAAAAGAACTACTCTGAAGCCAGCCGTATTGCCAATTCACTGGTGCGCTTGAACAATCAAAATCCTGACGCACTCTATCTTAGAGCCCGTGTCTTCTATAGTCAAGGCGATAATCAGAAGACCATTGCCCATTGTCAAGAGGCACTTCGCTGTGATCCTGACTTTAGAAAAGCGCGTGATTTACTCAAGATGGCAAAGACAATCGAAAAACAGAAGGAGGAAGGCAATACAGCATTCAAGGCCGGACAATTAGATCAGGCTTTTGAAGCTTATACCAGTGCTTTAGAAATCGACCCAGCGAATGCTCATATGAATGCTCGACTTTATTCCAACCGTGCTGCTGTTCTGCAAAAGCAAAAGAAATTTGAAGAAGCTCTCGTGGACTGCGATAAAGCGATTCAATTAGACGATGGATTCTACAAGGCTTATAGTAGACGTGCTGCTTGCTATATGGAAACTGAGCAATACGAGGAAGCGGTGAAAGATTATAGAAAGTTAGTTGAAGTGGATGCATCCAATAGAGGTAATTTGATTGAATGGTCCTGACATTTTCGTCACGATGGAATTCCTCGTTGCTAATTTTTTATCCTACAGAATATCAAAACCTGTTGCGTAAAGCAGAACTTGAGCTGAAAAAATCACAACGCAAGGATTATTACAAGATTCTAGGCTTAAGCAAATCGGCCACCGATTCCGAAATTAAAAAAGCCTATCGTAAATTAGCTCTTCAATATCATCCTGATAAGAATGATGGTGATGCTAAGGCAGAAGCCAGATTCAAGGAAGTGGGTGAAGCTTACGCTATTTTGAGTGATCCAGAAAAGAAGGCTAGATACGATTCAGGTGCTGATTTAGAAGGCGGTATGGGCATGGGAGGTGGCGCAGGCTTCCCAGGCGGTGTGGACGTGAATGATATCTTTGCTCAAATGTTTGGTGGTATGGCCGGCGGTGGTATGGGAGGGATGGGAGGTATGGGAGGAGGAGGCTTCCCTGGAGCACAATTTGGTGGAGGAGGTAGAAGAGGCCATCCAGGTTTTAGCTTCCATTTCGGTTAAAGCAAGATCAATAGACGTTATTTATACAACCCGTTCTGTCATATACTGTATTGTATCTTTACCGCTATATTTATGTGTATATAAACTACATATACTTCTCTTACGTAATATTCGATATGTCAAGTACATATACGCACACACACTCTATCCACTACGACATACTATTCCTCATCTATAACTTTCTTTGTTTCTCCTCTCATCCTCCTTTGCTTTTGAAATAGAACAACCTCATTTTGTTACCTTGGTCTTTTTTTTTTTTATACAGAACAATAATGTATACTTCTACTTTTACATATACGATTTTAGCCATTTTAACCATCGTCCTCGCTAAATTATAGAATTCCTCTTATGTAAGGATCTTTTCTCGTCGCCAAATCCATATATAGAATCCGAGAAAAATCAGGAAAATCTGGGTTAAGATGAGATGGACTCTGCAGAAAATTATACATTACTCGATAAGAACAAAAACAGCCATTTTTTTTTTTTGTCATATCGTCAGAAGCACATGATATTTTTAATTGATTATCACAACAAAATACAACACAGTGAAAGGCAGGTGAAAAGGAAGATAAAGAGCACTGGTTGTACATAAATATTTCCTAATGCGTGCATTTTCAAAATCGACAGAAGCGCCCTCTATCCTTTTGCTATAAAAAATCAGGTTCATGTCCACTATTGCTCTTCCTTCTTTCTTTCATTCACCGTCATCCATCATTGAAGACTTGCACTTCTATATGTCAACACTGCAAAATAAAGAAGAACTCGTTAACGCTGCTTGCCTCTGCCTTATTTGTGGCTCACGGGTACATCAAACTAGGGTAAAGTCTTTTGTCATCACTGCTATTGAGAAAGGCCTCCTTGGAAGTCTAAATTGTTCTTTTTCACACTTAGAATTGTCCTGTCTCTGCGCGAAAGTAATACATGAGAGATTGAAATACATGCTACTCAAGCTTTCTTTTTCAATTCGTTGCAAGAACGTCCCCGAAGCCGAAAACAACTCGTTAACTTATTAGATACCCCTTCCCCTACCATTAGTACTTTCTTTGCTTATAGACCTTTTGCTGCCTAAAAACATTACCTTGACATTAGAAATCACAAAAAAAAAGAAAAGGACAGCTACGAAAAATTAATCAAAATTGAATAAAATTTACCTTTGATCTTTTCTCAAAAAAAGTTTTGCCTTAAGCTTCAAGGCTCTCTATCACAGTTTACTTTGTAACTATAACTTCTCCTCCTCCATATCTGAATTACTTTATTTGGATTCTTTTGTTTTTTATAAACCTAAAATATTAGAGATCCTGTTACAGGCAAAAAACGTGAGATTTAAAATTTTGTGTTCATATTATACATTTGGATTACATTGTATCTTACAAAAACACTTAATCAACGTCATGAGTTCATTAAAATCTTATTAACTATGACCCGATGCATCCCTTTTTTTTTTTTTTTGTTAAGCACAATAGGTATACTGACTGACTGACTGAAAGAGGCAAGAGATTCAGATGAACTACAGATACTGTAATTATCTGACTTATATTCCTTTCTGTACTGAAGGGGTTACCTTTATTGTACTCCCAATACCATGCAACCTTTATTTTAAAGCTGAGGGAAGCCCTATACTGATAAGGATGCCCTGGTCGCATAAATTTTTGTTTTTTAAATTTTTCATATAGGACTCAAAGTTAAGGTAACATTCAAATGGTGATCGTGACAGTGTCAGAAATAACAGCGAATCGTTTCAAATAGATGACATTCTTTTAAAGTAAATTTGTTAATAAAAGCACTGTAAAGAATGTGCAAGGTGTTCAAAGATAAATTATTTGAATCCATTCCTTAGATTCGTAAGCTTTTAAAATGCGTGTGTCTGTGTGCACCAAAGGCAGTTGATCGTATTCTGCAAGTATCTGAGAGCATCAGAAATTCCTTGTAGTAAGTTGTAAATTTAATCAATTTTTTCTTATCATTCTAAATCTACTTATTGACTATAGGTGCATAGAGCAGTTACTTACAATAAGCTACTTCAACAGAATGAAAAAAAAAGAGAGTTAAACCCACTTATTGACAGTAACACGACAGTACATCAATGTTGTACATCAAAAAGTAATTTGGATAAATGACAAAATGAAAAGTAATTGTAACACATATTAAAATGCTTGCTACATTGCAATGTCTATTAACACAGAAATTTGCTTATATAAACTTTTTGAGTGTTAGGTATATCGTATGATATTATGTCAGACTTTGTCATGATTGAAGCTTTTAGAAACTTCACAGTACGTGAGAACCCGATATCCTCAAAGTAAGACCTGACATCCATGCAAAAAAGGAATTGTAGTCTTTGTAAATCTTGGTCGATCACTCGTGAATTCTATGTGTTATATGTGTTCATTAAAGGGTGTTAGACGAGGTTTCTGATATGGAGCAAGAATATTCATGTGACTCTGCTCGATTCAACACCTGAAAACATATCAGGAATCTGAGATTCAAGCATATTCCTGTTTTGCAAAAGTACTTTATACTTGATAGCTACAAAGTCAACTTTTCTACTGTTATCTTCTCTCATCCTTTCACTCTCACTATCCTCATCCTCTATTTTTCCGCACGCTCATGATCTGGGACGGAATCCCACGTGTGTCTCTCCAGGTTCATTTATCTCATAGGGTTGCTAAATTATGAAATCAGTGATCAGTTTATCCTCTTGATAATGCCCACCCGTTGTTATCGATGGTGATACCCTGACACGACAAGCTTACCTTTATAGTTATCTCATGTAACTCAGATTTCTACGTTTTTTGTCAAAAAGAATATTTCACAACAATTGTGAAAATGGCAACAAATGCTTACAGTACTCAGCATATCAATAATAGACTATAGAATTGGTATAGGATTCATGATTCTCCAATATCTGTGCGCAACTTGGCTTCATGTTTGTGTAAACGGATTAGCTGGAGATGTATAAATGCGTATTGTACGAAGGATATTTTGGCCAATCATTAGACTTAAAATTTAGGATTTGGGGGTTTGTTATTATTTCTTTGTTCCAATCCTTCAGTAAGCACTTTTATATTCTTTATCTATATCTTCAGAAAGTATTTTCAATGAAAATTAACTATGTAGAACATCTGGCTTGGTACGAATGCTCAGTCAAGCCTTACATTACAACACCACATCATTATCCGACGCGCTGCTGGTACGCAGCGAAATACAGACCATCACGAACGCTGAATGATTTTCGACAACAGCACCAACGTCAGCAGCAAACTTCTCGAAATAATGGTAGCAGTGGGTTCACATTATCACGTCGTCTATTGATTGACGTAGATCTTAACTTTCCTTTATTACTACTATATGGGCTTTTTTACTCTTAGAAATTAATCCTAGAAAGAGACCAAGGATTGAAGCAGATACTGAAGAAGACATTGACAACGAAGAAGTAGACGGGAGACCAAATAAGAAAAAGATCAATCTCAGTCTCAGCGACAACAGCAATGATTATAACAACCCACCCTTTGTTATGACAATGGATGCGGATTCACCTGATTGGCCTCATTTCACTTCTGATGAAGACGATTGGAATGGAGAACATAGTGCATTAACAGAAATAGACAACAAAGCTCTGGCCCAAAGCACGACAGGTTATACTGAGGATCGTACTGGTGATATCTTGTTCGCTACTGATGATTGTATACTCAGCTTAAATACTGAAAATCTGCCGACCAGGTAAGATATGAATGGCAGTTCTTATTGTATATGCCAGCAGCACTTATGTATAACAATGACCATCCTGTAGTTCAAAGTCTATTTCCAGAACGATAAGTGAGAACACAATATATTATGATGCTGAGAGCTGTGTGCATGATATGGACGAGGAACTTATCAATAATTCGATTGAAGAAATGGAGCTTTGTGACGTTGAGCAGAACGAGGGAAGAATCAACAACCACAAACACCAAAAGCAAAAATATGCAATCTTAAATGTGCTCAGATCAAACTTTTACGCCGATTCCTTGATTCCCAACCAATTGGAGTCTATATTAGCAGCTATGAATGGAAGTGACATATTGCTAGTGATGCCTTCTGGCGAGCCAAGAAAACTTTGCTATTTATTGCCCGCTTCATTAAACTACCAGCAGCAGCATAAAGCGCAAATGAAACAGGCGAATCAAATGACGATTGTAATCACACCCTCCTTAAATTACTTATTGGAACAAGATAACGATCTCCTACAGTCATACAAGATTCAAGCTTGCTTATTTGTTACCAATTCACAACATGAGGAAAACGGAAAACCAAGGAATCAGCTTCAACAATTGCTGTCCTATTTTGTCAATGATAATAGTAATGGTAAATTCTCAATACCGCAAATACTCTACATAACACATCACGACTTTTGTGATTCTATTCATGTCTTGGAGGATCTGTATCACAAAAATGCGATCGCAAGGTTCATTATCGAAGAAGCGCATTGTATATCTCAATGGGGTGTAGAAGCCTCAAATTATTTCATATTCGGTTACTTACGCTTAGCCGATATACTGCGGAAGACCTTTCGCACCATACCTATTACCGCTTTAACAGCTATACCCAATGAAAGAATTCATTTAGATATCCTCCAATGTTTGCATATTGATCCTGAACAATGTAAGGTTTTCAAAAAGAGTATTTTACTAAGCTATTGAAATAAACCCTAAGGAGACTGTCAGTGTTTTATTCGATTCTCCAAACATATATATTTAGTATTCTAAGTCTCCTTTGTGAGGTTTGTTTCACGGCTCATCACCTCCATCATCACCTGATTACATAACTTTGCGTAAGGGTTTTCATTAACGGCAATATTTCTTGCGATGGGGTTACCTAACCTTGCACCCGCTTGAAAATCCTCTTTTGACCCTACTAGATCACCTTGTTGCCGTTTAATTATTGCTCTTTGAGTATATGCTTGTCTTAACACTTTAGGTTGCCCTTCGCCAATATCACTGATAACATAATCTAAATCTGCGAGCGCTTTTCCTAGCTGTTCTTGTAGTCGATAAACTTGTGCTCTATAAAGGAATAGTTTTGATATGTGGAAAATATCACCATTAGTTTGACATCACTTGGTAACTGCTATATTTCGTTTATCTCCCCTATACCTATTATTATAAGCTGAGGCATATTTGTCTTCCATTGATATACACTCATTAAGTAATTCCAAAGCTTTTCCGCTATCTGTTTCGGCAATTTTGACAGCTTCTTTTTCTAGTGTTTGCAATTGTGCTAATTTTTCAGCGGGTATATTGTATTCTACCAAAACAGAACATCAGCCTACTGTTATACTCTCTATTTTTCCAGAATAAGCAATTATTTTACTTGGTTTCTCATCTACAGTATTGGCAATGGCATCTAGAGATAATCCTTGACTCTCTAAGACATGTCATAGATAAAAGCTTAATGGACATCTTATACCTAAAAGTTGTGTCAATTGGTTGTTGTTACCTGGATTGAACATAAATTCTAAAACAGCCTCGTCTGATATCGCCATGGTGTATGTGGGTTAATTTTTTACACTTGAGAAATGATTAAAGCGGGTAAAAAAGAATGAAAGATGTACAATGGCCTTGATAACTCTTTATTCAATTTATGCCGTGGAATCAATATGCGTGAGAAAAATAAGGTAAACCGGAAGTAAGCGGTTTTTTTTTTTTAACTTACAATTGCTTTTGTGTACGTAAAATGTCATTTTTTTGTTGTATTAAATGAATATCAGTGCTGCCGCCGCTTCCACAACTATTTTTAAGCAAAAGCTCTTTTGCTGTTGTAAGAACGAGCCTTACGAATAGCCATTAGCAAAATTACAAGTGCTAATAGCCCGCAGACAATGCAAATTTGAAAAGTAGCTTTGAAACAACTTGTTCCATAGCACATATTATTTTCGCTCTTTTGCGCTTTGGACTTATCATCATAGCTGTATCCGAACAAAATATTAAATATTTGGCTGCCAAAAGCTGGTGCGAACAGCAAATATCCCCAATTTTTCACAAAGGCCTATGATACATTGATAGAAATAACGTGAGCTAGCGTACTTCAAGTATAGTTTCAAAATTTATAGTACCTTCGTCCCCCCAAACTCCGTCGTGGCTGCTGGTGCAACTCCAAACACAATACCATAAGCAGAGGCCATTGACAAGGTACAAAGCTTCAATGTGCTGGCGGAAATAGTTTCGTACGAAATCAGAAACGTCGCGGTCGTCAACATAAGCACGGTTGCTACGACGAAAATCCATAATCGATGAAGCCTTACTTTCTGTGTCATAAGATCGCTCACTGCACCAAAAATGGCTCGTGAACCGCAATTGCCCAAACTGAAAAGTGCAACATGCAAATTTATTAAATGCTGCTGTAGCTCTTGTGTTGAACCATTAAGACTGATGCTGCTATAAATGATCTTGCCAATATTCGCAAGATAGATATAGCCTAGTCCCAGAACAGTAAATAAGGTACAAAACAGACTGAAGCCGAAAGAATGCTTAAAGAATGCTGCAGTTGTTGCAACACTTTCATTGTCTTTCTGAATGCATAATTGTGACTCACAATCAGAGGCTATATGTACTGTCGATAGTTGATCGCCATCATTCTCTTGCGTTGTATTCTTTAAAAGCATCAATGATAAATCATTTTCACTGCAGTTGCCACTATTTTTAATCCGCGAAGAGTTTGCTTCAAATTCCAGTGTCGATTCATCGCTTTGCAAGGCCTGATAGATGTACTTATCGTTGTCATTAAGTGAATGGATGGGTCCCAGAAAAAAAGATCCAAGAAATTTACACAGACACATTGTACAGGCAATAAAATAAAGGTAATGATAAACACTATCATTGTACAAACTGTCATCCAGAACGTCGCTGCTGTTCTTTGCTGTTGTGGAAAAGAAGTTATCATTTATCTTGGAAAATACAATGCCAGAAATACCAACAGCAGCAGTTGTTAAACCCATACTCAACCCTCGATTTTGTTGAAAGTTATATGACTGTTCATCGTCAGCATTCATCTTTCAAATGTGGATAAACAGTATTGCAAATAACAACTCACCTGTGAGTCAAGAGCACATAAATAAGCAGCTGCACCTGCAAAGCCAGTAACTATCAAATAAACCGTACAAAGAGACGCATAACCAGGAAGCCTACCAACGTAAGTCTCTGCCACGAAGGACAGACCGGAAAAAGCTAGAAGAGCAGAAATACGCAGTGTCCTAACATATTGATTGTGTGTTAATAAAGCTGGCGAATATAAAATCCTTGAAATTGACGTAGTATTCAAAAGCAAGCAACTGGGAGATAAAATCAGAAACCTTTTACCATGGTATTCCTGATTTCGCAATCATCCAAGAACTGAGAGGCCCTGAAAATGATACGCCTATAAAGCATGCTGTACTGACAAAACTGCACTCTAACGGCGTCCATTGGAAGCGATCATTTAGCGCTCCACCAAACGTAGGGTATATATATTGTGGGCCTGATACGATAGCTACTAATTGGGCTGATAAGAAAGATAGCGTCAACAGAAATTTATTGGATGATGAGTGCAGCATCATCATTTAGTTGTGTTATGTCTAAACTTGTTGTGTTAAAGGCAGAGAAGAACTGTTTTTAGCAACATAAAATGTAAAGTATGTAACAAGGAAGTAATAAAGGGGTAGGGACAATCAGATTACTCTTATTAAGGATACACAAAATTAGGGTGCCACTACAGTTATCCTTTATTTGGAAAAAGCTTAATGTTCTACGTCTTTATACAGATGTCTGTCGTTCTTTGACAATGCGTAATCCTCTCATAGTACTACAGTGTTTTGATGAAAAAGTGTATGACCAAGCATTACTTGACTATCGTCAATATTGAATGGGCCGTTGTAGTTCTCTTGACGATCATCTCGCCAGTTGATAATGCTGGGTTTAATACATTACATAATAATTCAAAGACAGCTTTAATCGGGTGCCGGAATTCTGATTGGCCGATGGGTGTTGGTTTATTTTGAGGTTAAGCGCCCAAAGCCCGTGTCAATTCATATATGAAAAGTGTATGCAAGCAGTGATCTCTCCCTTTCTTAACTGAACGTTGTCACTAATTAGGTACATATTACATACTATAGCCCATCAACTCAAAGAATCAACAAAGCAGAAATGCATTATTGATGGATGAATAGGATTGATGAATTATTGATACAAAATGGATGATGGATTGAAAACTGACATATATTTTCTCTTTTTTTCTTTCGCCATTTTCAACCATTTCGATTTGATTACCTCACCTATCATCGACCAATTATAAAATTACATTAACAACAACCAAAAGAATGGCTCAGAGACTTACTTACCGTCGCCGTTGCTCCTACAACACCCGTTCCAACCGCTGGAGAGCTGTTAAGACTCCTGGTAAGATTAACGTTCCGCTAACAACAGTTATGTATAAATGATCGAATGCACGGAGAAACTTACATTATTGCCGTTTCTTTATCAATAACCTAGGTGGAAAGCTCGCTCTCCAATACGTCAAGAAGCCTGTCAAGGCCCCTCGTTGTGGTGACTGTGGTGAAACTCTTGCTGGTGTAAGTTATCCCGCTAAAAGTATTTGACAGATCGTATGAGGAACAGGGAATTCAACGTATTAATGTTGCTTTTCACAAACATTTCGCAATGTTATAGATTAAGGCTCTCCGTCCTCGTGAATTCGCCACCGTTTCCAAGACTAACAAGCACGTCAGCCGTGCCTATGGTGGTTCTCGTTGTGCTCAATGTGTCAGAAACCGTATTGTCCGTGCTTTCTTGATTGAAGAACAAAAGATTGTTAAGAGAGTTCTCAAGGCTCAAAAATAAATGATAATGTACACACACTATCGAGATATACACACATATACAACAAACAACTGATATGATGTAGGAGACTTTCATCTTACTTTATATATATTACAGCAATTGTAGATATGTATAATTGTTCTATAATCACTTTTGTCTCACAAGATTAAAAGAAAATTAACAAAAAGAAAGAAAGGAAGAGACACTGAACAGTTTAGCGACATATTCTTAGAACAGTAGCCAGTAGTAGTGAGGATCGAACAAACGGTTTTTTTTAGTGTTGATAGTTGTTCTTGACAGATCGGGTTCAGTAACTGTTGTTGGAAGGATTGAAATTGTATTCTCATTGCGGTCGCTGTTTTTATACTGAGGGAGGATATTTCTGTCCACGTTTGGTTTAATGTCAATCTAAGAGAACCCTAGCAATTAGATATAAGTCATGTAGCACACCTAGAGGTCATTCGATCACCTCTCTTTCCACTAACAACAGACAAAAATAAGTACCGACAGAAAAGCATTTATTGAACTAATATCATAGCATAATAGACGTTCTTGACGATCCTGGGAAATAATGGAGCGCTCAAGCGTCACTGATTATACGAACATCCTAAGGCGTATCGTCGGTAGATGTGTTGGGTTTTCTTGGGGTTACTATTAGGTTTACAACAGTTGACAAATGTCTAACTTGACCTCGGTTACTGAAATGGATTGATAAAGGTTACATGGGCCTAAAAAAGACATTTGTGCTTTGGCGCAGGAAGAATTCAAGCGTTTAGTACGCTCTGAAAGCCATTTGCAAAGTTGTTACAAAGGAGGAAACGCAGATGACTTATGGCGAGTGTTTATGGCCATGACATTCTTGGAGGTTTCGGCCGCAATAGCAATTTTTGTGATAATCTGTGTTTTTCTGCATTTTCATGCTTTGAGTCTTTATCTAGTCGCTCAAGCTATAACTTTTGCTATAGTTACCTTATGGCCATGACATTCTTGGAGGTTTCGGCCGCAATAGCAATTTTTGTGATAATCTGTGTTTTTCTGCATTTTCATGCTTTGAGTCTTTATCTAGTCGCTCAAGCTATAACTTTTGCTATAGTTACCTCTTGAAGATGTAGAAATGTTTTCCAAAAGGCGCTTTCCATTCATATAAAATCTCGAGTCATTCCTGCAACTTTATATGTACGGTTAATTTCTGCTTGCCAATTGTTAACTATGTATCTTCAGCAACGGCCTGAAGGTCGAATAAGTATAGCTTGCGGAGCGTTGGTGTCGGGTTAAAGGCACATCCCTAAAATTTATAATCGCTTAGACAAGAATAAAATTGCCAGTAATATAACGATTTACCAGGAAGCAACTAATTTATCATGACATCAAAAGCAGCACTAACAACCGAGACTACCTATTTGATTTTGAAGTCGTTCTCCATATTTTTCAATTGTTCGGGTTCTACATAGTGTCGGTAGCTATAATCGCAAATATCGTTTTCTTTGCAGTTGACAAAAGAGCTACAATTTAACATAAAGCAAGAATGGTTCACGACCCAACGCTCCAAATATTGTACAGAAAGAATATTTTATCTGGTATTAAGCGAAGAGATAGTATTAATGCACTCAATTTTGGTTGGTGAAAATAAGCATACCCTTTGTGTGGAATTCAATAGCCTATGAATATTAATCGACTTTTAGCGTATTGTCTATTCTTCATGCAATATATGAGTTACGCCAATGAACTTGTTTATCATACTGTTAGCATCATTTTTCAATGCGTCAGACAAATAACGGCTATTATTGACGCTGTCTATAAAAGTAATACCAGATATTCTCCTAAAGAATTGCATATCTCTACCAACTTGGCAGGGGCGCGGTTATTAGTAACTTGTTCTTACAATATCTCACCCATTGGTAAAGTGTTTGTCACATATGTTTGACCGGAGAAATCTTACTCAAAAATTGATGAATTCATCGAAGCCAGTGATATAAGCGAGGATTAGACCATCGTCTTTTCCGAAGTGTCGTGTTCGTATTTGCATGTTCCTTCAGAGCTTCTTATAAGAGAAAGGTTTATAAGAAATGTTAAAAAAATGTTACTCAGGAGTAATCTAACCTAACACAGTTGGAGTTTGACCAAACTATTAACAGTTCCTTCAGATGTTACTGATGATGTTGTTCTCCGTTTTATTATTTATTTTTTTCAGTTTCTTCTTCTTCCTCTCTTGTCATTTCCTCGCCTTTTTTCCTGTGTCTTGTTCGTTCCTTGAAACAAATGCGTGCGTAAGTCGTCTTTATTTGAAAGGGGCTTTTCTTCGCGGCATTTCTGACTTTTGACTATTGAGATAACAACTACAATATTCGAGTACGTACAATCAATTAGGAAACACATTTTACACGATGACCTGGCTGAAGTAGCTGTTGATGATAGTATCTAGATTGCCCCCAGTTTCTTACTTCGCCTGATCAGTACACCTTCATTAATCCTTGATGTTAATGCTTCTTTGGATTCACGTGAAATTACTGCGCCTGCTCTTAAAAATTCTAATATCATTTCCTGCTTCATATTAATTGTAGGTACAAGGGAGGAGATTTATCACTTGCTAACCGAAGAAAAGGGACGGCCATGCCACTCAGTGTTTCCTGTATGTTTATGGCTAACCGATTGATGCTTTGTGGTAACGCCAACCAACGTAACAAAATGGGCGGGTCGCCTGTTAAGGCAATTCTACCATACCTGTTTTGATAATCGATTGTGCCTAGTCTGCGACGAACAGTCTCCTATCAATCATGACGAATACATTTAAGTTGTCAAAACTGGTAACATTATTCCTCCCAATGCTTGCTTCTTGCAGTCTCTACATTATATTTTTCATCGCCTCAAGCTTATATATAAGCTTAGGTCCTTGGGAAATCAGTTCTGTTACTAAACCTCTGGTAGGAACATAGGATGGATGTACTTTATAATATGTATAAAGGTAAAAAGAACACCAAGAAACAAAAAAAAAAAAAAAAAAAAAAAAATAAAAAAATAAAAATACAATGATAAACTGTCCCTTAGTCTCGTATAGATCAGTATTCTAACTTTGCAAATAGTCCTTGCAGTTGATCTACTTTTGTTTATAGTGACGTAAGGTTCTTTGGTCTTTACAATCCTAACTCTTGTGGTCTAGCAGCTCGAAATAGAGATATATTATTGAATCCATCCGCTTCAGTATAATAACAAAATATTCGAAAGCATAATAAGTTGTGTTGCAAGGATCTTTATTCATCATAGTGCGTAACTTCAAATACGCCGGTTCGATATCTACAAAATTAAGTGGGCAAAGGACAAAGGGCAAACGAAACTGATAGTAAGAATTAAGATGGAAATGATAATATAAATATTGAATACTGCTGTTGTCATATCTGCTTTCTATTTTAGTCGTCCTGAATACCGTATTTACTATGAAACCGAGTAATTTTAAATAGATCAATTCTGAATTAGTGGGAGGATTCTTTTGAATAATATACAGATTCTTGCTTCTCGAATATTAGATACTTACGCCTTCATTTCTCGTAACTCCTCTTCCTTCTTCTGTAAATTCATCTTTTTCGTCACTTTATTTTGCTGATAGTATAAAACGATCAAATAACGTCCGAGAATATTGAAACCTTGCAAATGTTCACATGCATTTTTTGCATCGAAAATATCTTCATATACTACAAATGCTGTTCCTCGAGTATCTGCTGCGTTACCACTGAATGAAGTAAAGAATAACGAGATTCGTGAAAACGTTAGTCAAGAAAATCTGAAAAGTGAAGCTAAAGCATAACGTACACTCGAATTTGTCGGATAGGCCCATATTTGCCAAAGACCTCATATATTTCTTCTGTTGTGATCTTGAAAGGTAAGTTTCTGATATAAAATCGGTACGTGAGTATATTTTCCGTGGTTTTATTATCAAAAATAAATTGACATAGTCTCATACCTCACAAATAGCACTCTATTAACTTCTGGTGGTAAACGGATCTATAACAAAGCCGAACAAACGTTCAAGATGAATGAGTATACTTAAAGCAACTGATCCGCATACAATCCTTCTTTATTGATAAGACTTAGATTAACTATGCTTACACTGCTACGATTTGTTGACATTGAAAACTACGCAAATTGAATTGAATGAAAGAAAAGGGCGTCATGTCAACTTGTGCTGTATTTTTGCAGTAGTACTTCTGCATGTCTGTGCTTGAAAGGCAAATAAGGCGTAAGAGATCCTAGCGGAGAAAAGTCACAAGGCGGTTCCGTTTTTTCGCCTTAAAATTCTCGCATCTCTGCTATCAATGTTCCACACCCTCAAGGAACCCTGTTTTAAATTTCTTTTCTTTTCTTTTTTCCCTTTACTGCACTTTTGAACGTTTTGTGAAGGCCTCATAACAAATTATAACGTACAATGCTTCCCGTTTCAACTTTTCGTCAAGCTGCTGTTATATCTACTCGACGTACAGCTATTGCTATGAGCATGCCAAGAGCTGTAGCCAATCCTATCGCTTTTCATCTTCGTCGTACATATGCTACAAATGATAATAATGATTCATCAAAAGATGCTGAAGGGGTCAAGAAAGCAGAAGAGGAAGTGAAGCAAGAACAACAACAAAACACAGAAGCTACGGCAGGAACTACTGAGGAATTATCTGAGGAAGTGAAAAAGATGTTGGCTGAAAAGGATAAGCAAATTGCAGAAATGAAGGTAAGGAGATATCCATACTAATGAATCCACGGTGATTAATGAGCGGTGACGGAGTATATGCATTATAAGTCTATTCTTCACTTGTAAACTAATCCATTGGTATCATTTAATATAGAATGCTTATATTCGTTGTCTTGCTGACCAAGAAAATCTTCGTGAACGTAGTCGTAAAGAATTAGAGACTACAAAGGAATACGCCATTCAAAAGTTTGCAAAGGATTTATTAGATACAGTCGATATTTTGAATATGGCTTTAACAGCTGTGCCAAAAGAATTATTGAATGAAAAGAACTGCGGAACATCATCATCATCATCGTCAGAAATCGTAAAGGATGCTGAAAAGCTTTTGGATCAATTGAATAACTTATATACCGGTGTCTCTATGACAGAGGCGGAATTGATCAAGGCTTTGAAGCGTCATGGTGTAGAACGTGACAATCCTGACGGTCAAACTTTCGATCCCAATAAGCATCAAGCGTTATTCCAAGCACCCATGGCCGACAAAGAACCAGGTACCATTTTCGCTGTTCAAAAGATGGGTTATACATTGAAAGGTCGCGTACTGCGCCCTGCTCAAGTTGGTGTTGTTGCTGAATCACAGTAAAATCAGTGCTATTGGGAAACCATATGTACAAAATTCATAGCTGACTAATATAGTAGCAGCTGAACTAGATATTTCTCGCTCTGCCAGTCTTTTTCTTAAAAAAAAACCAATCAAAACTTATCTTATTCCATTATAGTTTTTTAAATATAGATGAACCATCATAATGTATCATAGTATAAATATTCTGCTAAAGTAGAGTCCTTATTTCTACTTCTACCTGAAAATGGCCAAAGTAAAACTTCCTTCATTACGTATTACAATTTGGCTAAAATCAAAAGCAGTCGAATACAATAAAATTAGAACTTTAGCTATCCGAACCAATAAAGAATACCTGGCTCATGGGTAGTGTTCCTTACTAGTTATCGTATTCTAGGTTAATAGTAGGATATTTAGTCGTAGTGGTAGAATCTTGTTCTTGGGTATGGTTGAGCTTAATGGCCGTATGTGCTATTGATGATATCAATGCTGCTGAATCAGGTTTAGCAATGCCTCGAGCTATTTGCAAAAGAAAAGACTATTCTTAGCGGGTGCTAGTATCAAGTTGCTTCTCTTGCTAAATTACCTCCTAAACAGAAGCCTTTATCATCAGTTAACAAGACACCTTTTACACCTGATTTACTTGCACTTTGATTCCAGTCATAAACGTAAAGTTAGAATTAGTGAAAGTCTAACATTAAGACTAAGTTATGCCGAATTACATGTTGTTTAATGTGGCAATAAGCTCTGATTCCATTGTAATTAAAGAGAAAACTGAGAATTGGAAGAAAAGCAGATTAGGATTTCTTTTGTCGATAGTTTTTCATGCTGCTTCAATCGGCTATGAAAGATGCGGAGTTGATTTACCGTATGTAGATACGAAGAAGATCAAACAGGCAAAGAGTAGCTTTTCCCCTCTGTCACATTGTAGTCTTTTACAGTCCACAGTACTTATTTCTTTAATAATTTACTCCATTCAACAATAAAATTACATTTTTTATTACTATGGCGAATGCAGTAACAGGCAACCTTACTGATAATAATGATAGGTTTAAACCGAATTTCGATCGGTTAAAAAGTACGAAAATTTGATGTCGCTGATCAAAGACTTTTGATTTAACAGAAATACACAAACTGATCTATTGAATTAGCTATGACTGAAGAACAATTCTTTAGGAACCTAAAACAAGTTGTGTCAGGGAATGAAATCGAAGCCGGATATCGTGAAATGTTTGATCGGGCAATACAAGACTATGAACGTTTGAAAACCAAGAGTGTCGATCAGCAAAGGGATGTGTACACTGTTTATGAACGATATAAGATTTTAGAAGAGATGTATATTAAAGAGCATGAACGTGTCTTGGAAGCGGAGGACAAGCGATGGATATTGGATAACAAATTGAAAGAACAAGAAAAAACAATTAATGAGTTAAAAGAAGAAGTAGAGAAATATAAGAACTTATATAAAACGAGCCGAGAGGAGTATACTTTAGTTACCACTAAACAAGCATTAGGGCGCAAAAATATTGAGCAACATCTTATGCATAAAGCGATAGAACTAGCAGAAGTTAAAAAAAAGGCGGATGAAAAAGAAAATGAAGTGGTCAATTTGTCAAAGCAATTAGAAGCGACAATGAAGGAGACGGAAAGTCTCAAGGAAGTTGTGAGCTACCTTCAAAATGTGTTAGGGTCACAGCTGACAGCTGGAGCCCGTTCTAATGGATTGTAAAAGACTCAATATCTTTCCACAGAACAGTTACAGTTGCTTATTTATGTATATCAAATCTTTACAACCCGTTTACATCACATTCCTTTATGAATCACTTATAATTGGCGGCAAAAGACATTTTGCAATAAAAGCGAGCGCAATATATGCCCAACTCTTGAATTGCAAGAGTTTAAATTACGCGCACTTCTACAGTAAGGAAGATTTGTTTGATAATGTATAACTGTATTTATGTAATGTATAAAAGCATTTACTTTGAATAGGTATGTCAATAAATAAAATAATATGTGTAATCTACGTGTATGGATTGTCCAGAAATAATGATGATGAAAATGATAGGTATTGCAAACGTAGTTGATGCTGTACAACAATGTGCTTAAAAAATTTCTATTATTTCGATCTGAATAATGAGCTTGCTTTTTGTATAAAAGAGGACTGGCTATTGGATCTACTGCTTATAGAAATGAAACTTCTTCTTTTGCTGATGGTTGGCTTATTCATAGTAGCTTGAGCGCTATTAACGCTATTGACTACTATATTAGGTGCTGAGGATGCCGTCATAGTAGGAAAACTGGTGTCCGTACTCGCTGAAACATAGGAGCTACTAGTACCGCTGTAACTCTTTCTCTTCTCATACTTGGTGCTCTTTCTCTGTTGCTTTTTTTTGTTATCATTAAACGGTTGCAATCTTTGAAGAGCTCTTTTTTCACCGTGCTCAGCCGCTTTTTGGTACCAAACCATAGCAGCGTCAACGTCTTTTGTAGGTACACCGATACCCATTTCCAAGAAATAACCGACAGCATATTCAGCCTTGGGCAATTCCATTTGAGCAGCACGCAATGCCCAGAAATACGCTTGGCCGTCGGAGGGCAATAACACTTTGGGTATACCTACCAAATGCCACGCAGTGAGAGCAAAACAAGCTTCAGGATGCTGTTGCTCAGCAGCCAAACTATAATAATGAATGGACAAAACCGGATCGATGGTACAACCTAATTTGCCAAATTCATAACAGCATCCGAGACGGTAAGCGGAAGGTGCATATCCCAGAACAGCCGCTTCATGATAGAGTGTAAGAGCATATTTATGGTCCTGAAAAATGACGGATTCTAACCCTTTTTCATGCAGAAGAGCAAGTTCGTGAATAGCATGAGGATATTGTGCAGTAGCGGCTTCAGCAGATCGTTTCAACCATTTATGGCCATCTCGGACATTTCTTGATAAACTTAATTCACCTTTCATCTCTGCTAAACCGAGACGATACATAGCACCTGGATGGTTTAAAGTGGCAGCTTTCCTATTTATACACAATTTACTGATCTCAGCTCTATATCGATAAGTTTAAAGTATCATTCATTACCTGTAATATTGAAATGCTTTAGCTTTATCTTTTCTTGTTCCCAGACCATCTTCATAACATTTTGCAGTTCTAAAATAAATTTTTCCAATAGAATAGGTAAATAAATATGTGATATGCACCTATCATTTCATCATTGATAGTAAATCCTAGTGGATCCTTTTAACCCTTTTCCTCAATACATGCTTCCCCTCATTACTTAAAATTTTATCTTTCACAAATTATTTGCGGGTAGTAACTATTGATCCCTTATCACTCTCTAACTTAACCGTGTGCCCTTCGCAAACCATGCGCATAATTTAATCACTCTAGCTTACAAAATTGATATCTTACCTGTAAGCTGCATCTGGATGATGTTTTTTTGCTGACTGGACGAATAATGGAAAGGCTTTATCGAAATCGCCAACATGTTGATTATTGTTATTGATTTTCAACAGGCCTGCTGCATACATATTGGCTAGATAATATTGACCTTCACTATGACCTCTCATGGCTACTTGCTTTAACAATTTCTCAGCTTCCACAATATACTTATGAATGGTGACTCTTTTATCATCATTCCTACTAATGCTGCTTCTATTGCTGCCTTCCATAGAATGATTTCCCAGGATGGGTTCCTCTTGTTGACGTTTAGCTGCTTCTACTAAAAAGATAGCAAAATCGCATTGAATGTTCAAGTCGTTGGTCTTTTTGACATTTTCTCGATACATATGAATGGTTTTATCATAAGATAACAAAGACGCATTTTGACCAGGTTTTAAATGTGAATGGTCCAAGAGCTTTTCATTGACGTCTTTGAACATGATGAGTGTATGGAGACTGGGTTGAGACGTAGAGGCTAAGGAAGATGGTGTACTGGGTGTGTTGGGTGTCGTGGGAGTACTTGAGCTGCTACTTGTATGTGTGGTTGTGGTTGCAGTTGAAAAAGATTGATCACGTAATGGAGGGACTTGATGATGATGTTGAGTGCTCACAGAAGATAAAGGTATAGAAGGTGATGTACACGTCAATGGGCTGGAAGCTCTACGGTTTAAAACCGGTGTGGTTGATGGTGTTGTTGAGGAAATTGTCGCCAATGGATCATTCATTGACGCGCTATTTGAAATAGTAGCAGTGTTGATATTTGATAGCTTTTTAGGATGATTGTAATAGCTCATGGTATTCTTATCGTGGTGGAAGTTTATGTTGTACAAGTCGGTGGGCGTAATTGGAGTTGCGTCTTTTGGTGTTGCAATGGGCATCAAAGGAACATCGAATGTTTTGCCAGCTGGCGTGCTCTTTCTCGAAGTAGCAGTGGCAGTAGTAGTAGGGATGGCCGATGATAGAGGAAAATAAGATGCATTGAATGGCTCAATTCTGAATGTATCAGCTTTGATTTGATAGGTGCTTTTTTCATTAATTGTATGCATCATACTAGCCGGTGACGTTGCGGTAGCACTAGTGTTAGTGCCAAAAGCTGGCATGACTGTAGATTGTTCGAGAATAGGGGAGTGGATCATCATTAATGTTGTAATTAAAAGGAAGAGGAGGAAGAAGACTTTTATTGACAAAAAAGTTTAAAAAATACGAAAGAAAAGTTTCAAAACTTAGAAACTGAAAATAAAAGGAAAAGTAGAAGAACAGTGAAGAAGTGATATAATGAGGTGGGGTTTAAGAAATACAAAAAACTGAATTGAGACAACCCACAAAGCCTTAAACTCTAATTTCTTTGACGAGGCTTTACTTTTTTTCTTATTTGTTTGTATACATTAGCACTAAGCTTTTTTAAGGGCGCCTGGACCACTGTACATAATCCAATCACTATAAGGTATATGTCACTACCTTTCTATAATTGGGTATGATATCGTGAAATGTTTTCGAAAATACCAAGGCAAAAGCGCAGAGATAAAGATATGAAGAAGCCATATGTATGAGCATTAGAAGGGGGAGAATTTGATGCATAATAAATATAGACCTCAACAAAAAGATATCGACAGTTTTTTTTTTCGTCTGCACAAATTAGAGAGATTACATACTAGCAGGGCTCCTTAGTTAAATTTCATATTATGTATAATAAACACTCCTAAAACTACTTTTATGTATACAGAATACCGTTATTCGATCCGCTTACCTCATGTCTATTGTAAATAGAGTTTCCAATGCGAACTAATTGAGTCAAACTAAATCATGTTCAAGACCCTTTTGAAACAAATAGATCCGATACAATATAAAAAATGTCAATCCTATATGTTAAATTTAGACCTGTTTACACAAAAATAGAATGTGTAACAGACCGTCATATTTCTTTAACCTAAAAGAAGGGTTAAACTTAAATATAAAACGATTTGGGATATCTTGATTCGCTTAAGAAGCTAAGAAGGCGCTTAAGTACATCTTTATTCGAAACATTGTAGCTTTTCAAAAAAAAAAAAAAAAAAAAAATAAATAAATATTGATTGATATGCCATGTTGTTTAAGAAGAATATATCGCTTCGTTTTGCCAATTATGCCGTACCATGCAGAAAAAATAAATATACACGGGAATAGATAAAACTTCATCCGTAACTAGTCATAGAACTTAGTAGCTTAGCTTACATTGAAAGGGAGACAACGGTGGTGCCAACAACTATAATGGAAGAATGTTGGCATCATTTGTGAGTTTTCATTTTGGAATAAGTTGAAATTCTTTCGATAATGATTCGAAGGAGGAATAGTCCTAACCTTTATGCAACAGTAACCAGCGTAGTGTCACAGCTTAGTTAATCTTTGATCTTAAAAATTTAGCTTGTTTACAAAGTAGATGATTTTTAATTCTAATAGATACGTCTATTTCGTACTTTTTCAGCTTAAAACATGAGCTAATTTACCACTATTTTCTGGTGTTTAAAGGCACCATTATCACGGCCACAACTATTAGCCCTTCCTTCACGGCGAATATTAGAGAACGAGTGCTAAATTGATGGGGATGATAATGGAGGGCATGTTCAAGCAGGCATCAATAGCAATAAACTATAAACTTTTCACAATCAGTGCAGCCATAGTTTCTGTTCAGTTTTGATTTGTACATCTCGGAAGGCTAAAAATTGGAACATAATATTGACTTTGCGCCCTATACGGGCGTGTATTTTTATGCGTTTTACCATCGATATTGAGGGACACTTTGCCCAAAGATGACAAGCCATCCTAGTTTAAGACACGCCGATTAAATACACCTCGTAACCTACTTTTTCCAGCAATGACAAGATTTTCAAGATGAAGTTTAAAAGCAAGTCTTATTGTGAAGCTACTGAACATTTATATCTTCAGTTGTATATATAAATCAAGTTATGATCTTGTAGTTGGTGATCAAAGTTTCCAACAATTTTTGCTTGATCTTTTTATATTACAATTGAATTAAAGCTCCAATAATTTTATTGTTTTCCTCCTAGGTTAAGGCATTCCTTGGATTCATACACTGTAAACCAAATAAACACAGGAGTGAATCTAAGTTTTGATGCTTATATTGAACAAGAAACACTGATTTTTGTTTGTTTTTTCTACGAAACGGGTGCCTACGGAAACAAGCACATGAACTTCAGAAGAAAGAAGAAAGCCATGCCTTGAGTTATCGGTCTCGTTGTTGTGAAGTTGGCTATCGGTCGTAATAGATCCATAATTGTGTCTGAGCTGGCTTTCTGTATGATAGCCCCTTCTTTATGTAAGAAGTGAAGACTAACATACAATACGTACTATAAAATAACTGTAAAATCAAGATTTCGAATGTTTGAGGCAGCATTACGGAATCAACACTGTTTAGTCAGAATCTCGGATAGTCAGATGTGGATAGAAAAGACAACATATTGGAAATCTCTTACTCTATAAGGAAATCAAATCTATAATGCCTGTGAGGTCCTGCTGTATAAATTAGTTTATAGATACCGAAACGAATATCAAGTCTCTTACACGCTTATTGAGCAGTGACTCTTTTAAAGTCACAACAGTTTTATTATTGTTTTTGTTAACTTCTTCAAAATTTCATTTCATAGTTTCACTGATAGCAGAGCGATTGAGAAAATGTGAAAAAGCACGTCTATTGTTATGAACTCCCGGAACAAAATAGTACAAAAAGAACTTTTCAGTCAAACAGAAGGTGAAAATGAGACGAAACAGTTTGATTCTTTTCCTTTCTTGAATGATATTTGCCGATAAATGTTCGAAGGAAACCATGTTCAGTACGGCGATTTAAGTATTATCGAATCATTGTCTGGTGTTTGAACTGGAAGATTTTCTCATTGTCAACAACGAATTGTTAGATAGTATGGCATAGTTTTTATCAGCATTATACATTATATTGTCATAGTATACTTGCTTGCCCTAAGTTGTGGTATGCTATGACAGTGAATAATGCTTCAATGAGATTTTTGTGAAGACAATCTTGACAATTTTTTGACCTTCCACCTGAGCGAAATCTTACTAAGCCTTCCATTTCGAACGTAGTAACCAGCAACTTTTTCCTTGATTATGAGAACAATAATCTGTGAAAAAAACGAGATACCACTTGCTAAGAGTGGTAGTTGTACGTGAAGTTAGGCTAGTATCAGTGATGTTATTGTTTGCATATTTGGCATTGATGGTTCTTGAACATTGAAATGAACGCTAAAGCTCTAATACAGTAAATTCATGCGTATAAATTAACAACAAGACAGCCGGTCGTCTGGGCTTGAAGGTATATAAAAAATGTAGAACTTCAATTTGTAAACAAAACGATCAGAGTTTACATAATTGTATGGATTGTTAACATTGTGGGTTTTATGGAATATGCTCGAAATAGCATTAGCACAGTATGGTCTGAAAGGTCCGAAACCTACAATAGGCAACACTGTTCGAAGACAGTGCTGCGACTTTCAAACATCAGGCAGCTTTATATTATATACTTCATGTTACTTACTTGCAGAAAAATTAGGTCTTTTCGGGCCAAATTACACAGCTGCAGTTTTTCGCATTTAACGTCTCTTAATTTGATTTAACCTGTTTTTAATGTTGTTCAATTTTCAAGATTGGCTCGTACAGAGGTACAGTATAATTCAAAGACAGGCAATTTAGTCATTTCTATTATTATGCGATTTTGTATGCAGGATGTAATATAAATCACGAGCAAATGTACATCGATGCACATGCCTCCTAGCAATATATAATAGTTAACTTTGTCTTCACATCGAGCAGTAGGTTGCTGTTAACAGCATCTATCTAGTAGTTTTATCGTGATGTTAGCTTCTTGGATATCATCGCAATCATTCGATTACCCAAGACGGTACTTTCAGCAAACTGGTCCTTGAAAAACAGTGCTGTTTCTTCAAACCTCTTTTGGTAGCCTTCCATGCTTCCCAAAGCTACTGCTTCAGCCCAACCTCTTGCACATGTGACAAATTCCATATCATCAGGTCTAATATCTTTTCGATAAAGAGCTGCCTGAATCGCTTCATCTAACATAATTGGATTTCTAAAAAGATATTCAGTGATACCCCTATGTTTGATCCATACAAATGAGCAAGGACAAGGTCAGGCAAAAGTGATTCTGAGCAACAAATATATCTTTTTTTGTTACCAAACTTACATCCACAATCGAAACAATGGGGTTTGGCATACCATGTGTTCATATGGATTCAAGCCTAGCTTATACCAGCAATCCACCATAGCCAATAACGATAAATGTGAATTAGGCGTACGCTCCTCTTTTGGTAGTTTAGATAAAGAAAATTCATCCAGTATTTCATCACTCAACAAAATTGGAATATGATCCTTTTGTAAACCACCGAATACAAAATCGCCAGCTTCTTTGATACGTTGACGGAATTCTATTTCCTTTTCCTGAATCATCAGTTTGAAAAGATCAGCTACACTAAGAGCGTACTGAGCAATTTGGTCTTTGGCAATAGGGTTCATTATTGCCAACCCAGCATAAACGTGCCATTTATTACTGTAAATACGTAAAGCCACATTGACCTTAACATTCTCAATACCGCCTACAAAGTGAGGTATCAACCACTACACTCACGTAAAGGAGCTTATTGAGTTATACTCAACTGTAAAACAGTACAAGAATCAATACTAACTTACAGGAAATTGATCATTGGCTTTCCATGCACTACCCATCGTTAGAAAGGCAGCATGGGTCACTGCTTGTGTATCCGCCGTAATTCGATCATGCTCCTCTGCACTTAAATGAGCTATTTCCGAATTGAAGCATGATAGAATCTTCTCTACAAGCTCCAGTTTCTCGTCTGTAGCACGGTGGCGTATAATAATCAAAGGTTGGCCTTTCGGATCCACGCCCGGTCCATGCATAGAGTGGCAAGATATGATATGGACATCATCTGGTAGATATCTTTCGAATGCATCTACCTCGGGCTTTTTAACCGATGTCTAATAGAATGTAAAAGATCATCTTTTGTTAACAGCTTACATTTCTTTTTTTTCTATTTTTTTTTGGGTTTTTTTTTTTTTTTTTTTGGTACCTGACCGCCAACAATGGCTCCCATTTTTGTGGCTGCATGTTATGTGGAAGAGACAATTAAAACCCCACGTATGAATATCACGGCACATGTTGACTCATAATGACTTTTTTTTTCAAATTGATGGAAACGGAAGACATACATACCAGGGCCATACTGTTTAACTACAGCATCTATATATTCGGCTTCAACTGCATACATGATCCAATCGCAACGTCTTGAAATATGGTACCCATCTGGTAAAACATTAATTGACGTATCTAAAACAGACAGTGTCAATTTTTAAGACACAATTCGCATTGAAACGCATCAAAGCTGTTGGAAAATAACCTGCAAAATCTTTTTGAAGACTTTCATATTTGTGTGGTAAATCACATACATTGACTCTGTTAAAGTATGATTATCATGAGTTCTACTAGGCAACCAGCAAATATAACAAGTTGACAAATATATTTACTTCTTCCAGCCAGCATTAGATAGCGTTTTCGCATAGAAACGCCCCATACCACCAGCTCCAATAATACCCAATTCTACAGTCTCCTTTTCTTTTTCGTACATTAATCTTATCAAATAGTGGTAGTTGTAGGAAAATAAAGAGCGAAGGAACAGAAATATCAGTTTTTAATGCATTTTTACATGGACATTGAAATTTGAAAAAGTTCAGCAGTCTCGAAAAAATGAGCGCAAAAAAGCTACACTTAACCTTCTTTACTAAACCAGTAAATTGACTTGTTGCGATGCAGTCGATCCAAGCTCTACAACCCTCTGGTCAAAGGAACAAAGCTATACCGCCTGACCCGAAAAAAATCAAACTCAAGTTTGATTATATACCTAGTCCAGATGGCATTGATTTAAATCTACTCGTTTTATTACACGGTTTAGGTACTATGACTTGAAGCGATTCTTGATTAGAAAGGGATAGCACAACTGACACAATAAAGGTTAGCGTAGGTGATTCAAAAACACCCTTTACAAAGCTTGGTCAACAGTTGAAATACCCGCAAACAGCCATTTTATCAATTCAAGCGCCTGAGCCAGTACCTTACATGGAAGAATGTAACCAATGGTTTCCCAGCTTTGATATAATGACTGGGTATTGTAAAGTAACAGTATTGGTCATTCGGTGTTGATGTTAGACTACGTATTAATGAGTTTATGTATATTATTGTTATTATAGTATTGCCAGCAGGAAACCCTATGCGGATGAAGGGATTGAAACGGACACGTGCACTAATGGAAGAATTAATAGATCATCTTATCCATCATAGTGGATTCAACTCTTCCAACATCTTTTTCTTTGGCTTTTCACAAGGAGGCACAGTTGCTTTGGATACATTGCTATTCAGTAGACATAAGGGTTTGGGAGGTGTTGTTAGTATTAGCGGATATTTATTAGAAGAGCAAGAAGAGCACACAGAAAAAGAAAAGTATGGAGGGTATATACTGATCACCCAAGGTGAAAAAGATCAAACGATAGGCGACAAGTCTACAGCAGAGAAAAGAGTAAGTAAAATAATCAATTGTATGATTAGTAACAACAGTTGTAACAGGGCAAACAATAATTTTCCTTTACGATATAGTTTAAAGCTGTTGAAAAATTCTGTAAGCCTTCAGCTAAAGTATCTCAAGTTTTCATCACAAACAAGGATCACATAATGCCAAAATCAGAAAGTGAATGGAGAGTGATCCATACTTTCTTTGGAAAATATATGCCTAGAAGAAACCTACAATTGGAAAATATGTCGGATGTTTATCTAGTGGATAATTCTTAGTGTAGTCAATCATGCAGAAAAAAGCAATAAGCATGGGAACTGTTTGGACATGAAAGCTGACGTCGACTGGCGTAAGCTCATCTTACTGCAAAGTGTAGTGGCGTCCCTCTCATTCCTGACTAAAAGTTGCACAACCCTTTGAATGCTGTAACTAATATTGTCTTGTTTGAGTACTGCAGCTCCTTATTAAGCACTGTATTATCTATAACAATAAAGAGCAAAGTTTTATGAATTATGAAAGACATAGAATGGAAAGTGGACGAGAAGAAACACGCCTAAAGTATAAGGGAAAAGACAGCGAAGTTGCACCATCATCGTTTTGTATGAAGAGGAATGCAGTCAGTATATTTGATTGGTCTACTGCAGGTTTGATTCATGCCCACTTATTCGTGTCATAAAAACAATCTAGAAAGTATAGTAGAACAGAAAGTCACAATTGGTTTTTAAAAGACATGAGGCCTATTTATTGCTTAAGTACTCCTTTATGTATTCAGTTTTGCCTTTAAGAATTTATATACTCAGCGTATATTTCTAATAATGTTGTTTGACAAATGACAGCAATACATTATGGATTATGTGAATATGCTTTGCGATATGCAGTAGTATGGAATTTACTATGAGCCCACATAAAATGACTAAAACACTTTAAAACAGAGAAGCATCGTGTCTTTTTAAGATAGAGTCTTTGGTTTATATGAATTATAATTGAGTAGCACAAACACTGACAGAGTGGTTTTAAACACTCTTTTTAAAATAATCAAAAAGAAATTACAATATGTATTGGACTGTCCTGTGTTAACAAGGTACAGTGTGCGTTGCATTTTTAGGTTTGGTATTTGAATCCATTTTGCTTCAATTAGGTTATGTTGAGACAGTGATTTTCTTGAAACTGCATTAGTACATGGCTTCCTACTTTGAAACATGCTTTAGTTTTCTCAAAACACTGCTTCTAAATCTGTTTGTAAGTAAATATGAGAAATTCGCTATAACGGATGACTTTGATATAAAATGCATACTAGCTTTCGCTTTAAAGAAGCTAATATAGGACAACACATAACTATTTCGGTCTGTTCGAAAAGTTTGTACCACGTGGAAATGTACAGTTGACTCAATAAGTTGTATTTGAGGCACTGGGTAAAATAAAGGAAAGGGCAGTTTGCATCTGCTAAAATTGCATTTACAATTAAGTATTACAGAAAATCGGTAGGACATGGTTTAATTTCGATAGAAGCATGCATTTTTTAGCTACCGAAGCGGTACATTGTAGCAAACAATATCGTGTTGTACAACATGAGATGAAATTCCTATTCAGTTGCAAACGAGCTGGTGATGATTCATCTATCTAAAAGTGGAAGACTTTTTTCTTCCTGTTGTTGCATTTTCGTTACATCCACTCAAGCAATATACGACCGCCTTTCCTTCTTATATTATTAGATATGTCTTTTGCTTGAATGTTCCAACCCCCAGTAAAACAACTTCAATCATCGTTGCGCAACGTTTTTACGAACGCCCAAGAATACTTCGCAGACGTTTATATAGAATATACAACCGAAAAAGCGAATCAGCCAAGAAAAACAATATGGGCACATAAAGGTACTTAACTGGCTCTTTCGGGGGAAAACAACAACTGTTAGCTGAATAGTCACTTATTTGCATTAGCCATGTTGTTGGTAAGAGTACCAACAATTTTTCAAAAGCAATATATGCCCGAACTTCAAGAAAAGCATGGCCTCAGAAATGATATGAAGCCATCAATGACTCAACTGAATGCTATAACCTGTATAATACCATATCAATTATGCAAAGCTTTATTTCTGTATTGGTACACCGGAGATATGCTATCTGAAGAGGTCGAAAGAGAGCTGTTAGTATTAGAAAAAGCACTTAATACAGATCTCGGAATAAACACTACTGATCAAAGAAAGGAACAATTGGAATATGGATTACAACGGTTATTGGATGAAGCAATTCTAACGGATGCTAACATCAGCATACATGATTCACAGTTACAACAATCGGACAATAATAATATTTTTGCCATCCATCGCTTTATGCTAGCCGGTCAAGCTAAATATTTCTACTCTGTGTTTTGTAGCAATTTTAGTAAAACAGCAACTTCCACCTTCTATCTACCTGCAGATATCTTCTCCGAAGCCCTTTTGAAGATTATCATTACCTATTTTTATACAGAAAAGATTATTTTACCAAGCCCTCCAGCTACTGTTATTATTCATTCTCAGAGGACGCAGCAACAATTAAACGAAAAGAAATATGAATTACGATTGTTACAGAAGGCATTGTTAGCTGCAGATTTTTTGAATTTGCAAGACACGTTGGGCAAAACTCTTCTATCAAAAATGGCTATTATATGTCACCAATTTTGTTGCACATGCTCTGAATGTGCAGCCCTCTTACCATCTATGCTGTTATTCTTCGGTGTCAAGCACCAAAATTACATGCCTCAACTAAACGATAAACTGATACAGTTATATTCTGATCCAGTGGATTCACTTGCACCCCTATGGTCACAAAAGCCTTTCGCCATTCTTATCTTATCCTTGGTTAATCACTCGGTTAGTGAAACAACAACAGCAAAGATAAAGATCAACGAGGACAGAAACGAAGAAAGCTCTCTCGAAGATTTATCAAGCATCTTTATTCGACAAAAAATCAGTGATGACAAGCAGGAGGAACTTGTTCATGAAATAGAAACACGTACACTGTCCAATATCACAAAACAAAATGCAATCCGTGCATTACACTCTTTATATCTCTGTCTGTCTCAATTACGTGGGGCTGATCCATTATCAACATGGTCTCAGGCAGTTCTCAAAATGTTGAATAGTCTCTTACTTTCCACTGTAGTTTTAGTGGCTGATAATTTTGACTATTACTGTGTTGAATACCCTGTTCTATTATCATGTGTGGACGGCATTGGTTTTGGATTTTCAGTTGATTTTTTAGAATTCGTTTTAAGTCATGTTTTGAAAGAGGGTATTAACGATAAAAACGCAGTAATATTATATCAAGGTATTATACGCGACCTGGGTGGCAGACAAGAGTTAATCAAGAATATCGCTGTGGATGGCGTTCTGTGTGAAGCGAGGAGTAAATGTGTTCAGTATTTATCGAAACGTTGGCCGACTATAAAAGCAGAAGGAGGATTCAATCATATGGATAAAGAAATTTTGAAAAAGATTGCAGAAGGTATAGAAAATAAAAAGGATATTTACAAGTATCCATTACAACTTATACAACTGCTGTCAATATAGATATTGACGTATCCATACGTTCCCTTACAAAGCCTGCCGAAAACGACTTTTCAAGCATTTTCAACTTTAAACCAAAGAAATTGCTGTCCAGTAGCGTGGATAATAGTACAAAACTGCCTTTAAACCCACCATTACCCAAAGGCGATGCTTCTCTTCCTTCCTCAACATCGCACGGGAAAGACATCGCACGAGGCCCCTTTCCTTCATTGAAACGCTTATCATTAGGTGCCACACCTAATAGTACAACTACAGCTTCATGTAGCGAAGATTTACCGATAGCTGCAACCAGAGCAAGATCTTTATCCGAATCAACGGTTTTTAGGCCCGAAGAATCTGTAATCTTAAATGAAGATATAAAGCCTAAGGTTAAAAAGTCAACTGCTCCGGAAATAGAAGCTCCTTGGCTCGCAGATCCTCACAATAAAAACAGACAGGGTTCCATCAGCTCCTTGTCTGATGCACTACTACCATTAGAAGGTACTAGTGGCACCATTGGTGATACTGTAGGTAAAGCACCTAGAGCAACTAAGCTAAGGTTTGCATTACCAGATACACCAACAAGAATTAAAGCAAGTCAGTATGGTACCAGTAGTCAACTACGAAAGCAAAATAGCGACAGCAGTAGCAAATACAAAAATAAGAATAAGAAAAAGAGAGCTAAATCACCTAGCAATGGTAGATGGAGCCTGGTTGGCGGCTATAGTTCTGGTACAACGAGTGATAGTAGTGATGATGAAGTTAGTAATCCAAAACCTGCTATTGGACAAAAAGTAGAGTTATTGAGAAGACCTTTGCCTACATTGGGAACGATCAAATATATCGGGCCCGTTGATTTTGCTAAAGGTATCTGGGTTGGAGTTGAACTTGAGTCGAGAGGTAATATACGCGTAGAATTGAATATCATCTACAACAATAATGAGAACTAATTTTCCTTCATCTTTACTTTTAGTGGGTAATAATGATGGTTCAATAGAAGGAAAACGCTACTTTCAAACGTTTCCGCAAAGAGGTGTTTTTGTTAAAATTGATGACTTCAAAGTAATATCAAACAACCATCGCATAGCTGACAAAAAATGATACTATATGAGGTAGTTACGATTTATAATTTATGATGATGTGAATTTGTTCGTATGTGTTTGTCCGTGCTGTATAGATACCCCAACTGCATTGCTTTCTCCCTTCCCAGTTTGCAGTAATTATTGAACTTCATTCATGCCATGGAAAATAATTTTATGACTGTTTTATGAGCAATTATGTCAAATGTGCAGCCTGTGTTTTTAAAATTGCCCAATTTTTCGTCCGCCATCAGATCTTTTGACTTCCTCTTTTTCTCTTCCAACTCAAAAGTTTACTGATGGAGAAGTATTCAAAATGGAGAGTAAGATCGTGCACTGATGATTACCTCTTGTGTCATGTGTTTATTGTATATATTAATCTTATACTTTTTTCTGTATGTCTCACAGGATCCAGGGACTGGTATCCAACCCTTCCTACCGCCAGTGGTAAGCGATAGAACCGACAATGATAATATTATATTTCGAATTTCTTACTAAACAAAATAAATGCGATACGCACAACAAAGTATAGACACCGCGTGTAGACTCTAATTTCCTTGCTATATCAAGAAGAGGCATTCGTCTAGTTGTTGGATCTATGCAAGGAATTGTCAGAATATCACTTATTGCTATGGTTACTTTGTTATACATTCTATTAGTACCAATCTCTGGATCTGCACTTGTAAGAAAAAATGAATAGTGATAATGTTATATTTAGCAATTTATCTTTGAACAAATGCAAACCAGAATTACTGCTTTTCCGCCCTATAGACAATTATACCACCTCTCAAACGATATTGGAATAATGTATGGACAGGTTTATTGTTACGTCTTGCATTGTTTTTGATGGGATTCTTTCATATCAAAACGGAGACTTTATCCATACGAAAAAGGTATATTTATCCAAAAAGAAATCCAAACAAGTAAATGCTTACATATGCATTGCTTCATTATGTTCTAGTCGCGAATCAAACCATGCCGAAAAGCCCAAGGTTCAACATGGTGATATTATAATCGCGAACTGGACTTCTTACATAGACATTTTATACCTTGCCTATAAGTAATATGCGCATACAATATAGAGAATAGAATAACCTAAACAGAAGGAATAACCAGAGACGTTATAGGTACAATCCTATTTTTACTCAAGTTTTCATGGACTCTGATAAAGTTAAAGTTATCGGCCTTTGGGAAGCCATACAATTAACAGGTAAGATGCCCGTGTCGAAGCCGTCAACTGTCGAAAGATCGTACACCGTGAAAGAACTGTCGGATAAGGCGAAAAGAGGTAAATGGGGCCCAGTCGTCGTATTCCCCGAGGTAAAAGGAATGATATAACAGGTACAGGGTACAAGGAACCAAAAAAGACTCCTAATACACTCTATTACTTACTCTTAAAGGGTACGACCGCCAACGGTAGAGCTTTATTGAAGTTTGCACCTTTATTCCAAGATTACTCGATGGATCAGAATGATGAGTGCTTCAAAATTATGTCGTTTAAGTAAGCTACTACAAAGAGTTCACGATACCTTTTTAGTGAATAACTTTTCAAACGCTGTGCTTAGATATGAATACAGTAATATGTCACCGACGTTTACAGTTGGTAACCAATTTGCTCACTTCTTCAAATTATGCACCCAGGTGAAGCAGTACTTTGGGAAATGTGTGGAAACATTATATTGCGTACTGACTATTGTTAATTCAGTTTCATAATACCCTATTAGTAAAAACTCTTGCAAAGGGAGAGGCACCTTGTGCTTCACAAGCCAAGGCTTCTTCAACGACAATAATTTCACAGCAATCAGTCGGGAATGCATTAAATACAACTTTAGGAAATCTAGCCAAACTTAGGAAAACAAATCTAAGCATGTCTGATAAATGCGATTTTCTGGTTTACTATAAGTCTCGCAACATTAAACAGTAGAAGCAGCAGCAGGCCAAACAAAAAACAAGCATAACAACTAAAACTAACTAATAATTGATAGTCTTGATTGAACCATTTTTAGTTATTAATAAACTACAATGCAAAAAAACTGGTCAAAAATATAGTCTAAAACTCTGTTAATCCTTCCAACGCTAAAGCATCCAGTGTTCTACTAATCGGCTCAAGATAATTTTCTCTGCTTCCAACACCATTAGGACCCTCTGTAAAAGTATCATCATCTCTATCTCCTACTATGCCGTTATTCATAGCTGCTATTTTATTCATATATTCTACTTGATCCAATCCATCCATCATAACGCCATCTACATCAACATCCACATCTACTAAGTACTTTTCTTTCCCATCCATTTCCATATTGTCATTTAATATGTCGTTGTTTAATTTTTGTGTCGCTGCCGACGTCGAGATATTACTTATGCTGCTATTACTAAGATTGACATTCTGGCTATTATTGCCAGTCGTTGCTCTGTGTTGATATTGATGATGATGGTGGTGGTGGTGGTGATGATGATGCTGATGATGCTGATGATGTCTAGCTACCACTGCTGCTGCTGTTGGACTATTAGTCGGGTCAAATAGGTTGTCCAATAGATCTACATAATTGGTTCTTAGTTAGTTACGAAACTTTTCTCTCTTCGTCGTATTATCCTTCATTTACCATTCTTTCTTCTTTTATAATAGTCCTCTTTTTCTTTCTCCTTCTTCTCTTTCAAATCTTTCAATTCCCTTTCTTCCTCTGTCATCATCTCCGAGTTTTGAAATTTGAGACGCAAGCAACTATGCTTTCTAAAGTTTACTGCACCTCCCCATAGCCATTTAGGAATAGACATGGGAATGGATATCTCAAAATTCTTGAAATTCTCAACAAATTCAAATTCTTCACTGGAAATCACGTTTGTCTGCAAGTGTCGGCTGAATTCTTCCATAGCGCTTGAAACACCCCACATTTGAAGCTTTCGAAGGCAGGCTACAACAAGCCCGGTCACATCCGCTCCATCCAAACAATGTACATACAACGGAAGATTATTAGGGTCTATCATAATCTATAACAACATCAGTCTTCCCTTTTTTTTAAAATTCTCTCCTTCGTAATAAAGTGAGCCATGGTTTTCGTTTACCTGCAAAGCCAGTAAAGTTTTATTATAGGTTAGGGGTATATTATCTTCTTTCATCTTATCCACGGTCAAGTGAAATATGTTTATGTTGTTTTCTTCGCAAAATTCTTGTATTTCTGGAGTGAGTTTATCAGGTATCAGTGATAAGATTGTCTTCAGTCTCAATCTAGCCATAAATGACAATCACCCATAAAAAAAAAGGAAAGGCACGGCAACTTTAGCTGATTTACTCTCATTCTATGTCTATTACAAAAGGGCAAATTTGTATATCCCACCTTTTTAAGAATCTTTCATTTCTCGGTTTCGGATACCCACCACGATATAGATTCTCTTCAACCAAAGTAAATCGAAATGGTGGTATTAGATTAGGTAAATGTACAGTCATTTTTGATGCAAGATTTATTTTCTATAAGTATGGTTTCTTGTATGTTAAGTATTAGTACACAAGGTGATAAGAAGAAGTTTGAGGATAGAAGCATTTGATAGGAAGAGAGAGCAAGTTAGACGGGAAGAATATAAAAGGATTTTACGCAATTCAATCTCACACGCACCACTGTATTTGAAATTAAGGACAACGATAACAAACTACAAATACGATCTTATTAAAAATTAAGGTAAGGTTTATGAGTAGCATTATAGCTATCAAGAGCATCCCAGAATTGTGTTACAGTGGCTCTGTTCATGTGCGGTTTGGATAAATGAATCTATAATATCGTATTATTTTTGTTAAAGTGTGTGTGTCTATTGAAAAATCATCGTTCGACTTACGTTTAGTTCTGTTACTGCCCAATCTGCTGCAGGACCAGTGACCTTATCTGAGTTCCATTTGGGATAGATACCTTTGACTATTATTATACATAATCGAATTAATACCAAATACTCAACATAACTAGTTTTTGTATCTTACCATTGCTGAATAAATCTATCGGTTTTTCCCACTTCCAGCCTTTGAATTGCCATAACTGTCCACCAACAAATACACAGCTTACACGATCCCTATTGTTGTTTGACGAAAAGAATGTAAGCTTTACTGAATGCCTTCCTAATGGATTATAAACCTCTTACCAATCATTTTGTTTAAAATCATTTACGGAGTCGACAACATGATATGGAACTGTCTGACCATTCAACTTCTTACGCTCTACTATAACTCTTTCAGGTTTCTTTAAACCTTCTTGTCTTAGCTTTTGGGAATCCACAAATCTATATAAGAACCTCATTTAGCTTTACATGTTTTACAGTCAGTGGACGTTGCAACCTTTTGACAAGACTTACTTTTGATCTTCCAAAAATTGTTTGATATTATACAAGTTGAGCTTTGCTGTAGGAGCTGCTGGTACAATTATGATCGGTATCTTGTCTTTACTCGATAGTTTTTTGACTTTTTCAGCTGCGGCTGCTTTCGCATGAATAGCGCTTGTAATTGGTTTAGTAGCAGCAGCAGCAGCAGCAGCAGTAGAAGGAGGAAGTTTGTTATTAGATGGTCCTATAATAAGAAATATGATCAACGTTGGATCACAGCAATAGTTTAGCATTGGTACATTAAATCTTGAAAATCTTACCTGTCTTACTACCAACATTGGTCGTTGCAGTGTCTTTACCAAACATCAATTGTTTAGTAAGAGTGATCGCAAAATTGAAATTCTTCGAACTCTTCAATATAGAAGTTCTTGTTGCTATTTGGCGTTCACGAGTCATGACTCCTTTAACAATTTGTAGGGTATCATCTGATTGAAGTGGTGCTAATTTAGTTTTCTTTGCTACAGTTTCTGTTCCTATTGATCCGTCAAGAGCTCGTTTGCCTTTATATTATTTGTGTTTGATATTGAAGAGCAGGATAAAATAGAGCAGGTAAGTAACATTCTATTTCTCTTTTAGTTAAAGAATTATTAGAATCTGCCTCAGTATACCTAGAGTCTGCGTGAAAACAACATTTGGTGAATGATCTACTTTGCCAGTAAGGTAGTCCACAATCTTTCTACGATCTACAACAGAAACATGTTCTACACCACGAGCACGACATTCTTTTATATAGGCTGACAGATCCAGTTGAGCGTTTTGCAAGCAGAAAATTAGCGTGTCTAAGCTGTACGTCTCGTCTTCAGTGGTAGCATTAGTTTTTTTGAAGGCAGTCGGTGCATTTCGAGGAAAAACAGCATCTTGGCTGAACTGAATCCGTTTTGCATCAGATATGTTTGTAACTCTCTCTCCTGCCTCGTTTAAAAATGTAACCGGCGTATTTTGTCGCGTTGACTGACGAAGCAATGATAATGGATCGACTGTTGTTGTAGACATGTGTAGAGTTGACTTTGTGGGTTAGAAAGAAAGAAATACATATGGCAACCCAATTTCAGCAACTTTTTTCTTTGCCTATTTTGACTTCCCGCTCAGTGCATGTTCTCCAATCGGTCTACCACGACACGGCAGATATGGCTGAAGCTAATCACAGGTAGCCTTACCCTGTCCATCTTATCTTTATTAGCATATTTAAAAATGCTGATTGGATGATCTTAATCGCAGGTTCTATTGTAAGTATTTTCATGATTGATACTAGGTCACTCAGTGCACAATAGCCCCGTTTTTCTTTTAAGAAATGTCCTAGCCCGAAACTGTGAATATTTCCTTAAGCCTGCGAAAATATTACTAATAATGCTCTCTCCTAATCTTTATCACATACAACCGATACAGTCATTTAACTTTTCTTCGATTGATTGCTATGCTTGACCCGATTGTATTTGCTACAATCATACATCAGAATAGACATGATGTGTTCCAAATGATACAACGAAATATAACTTTTTCATTTGATCCGTTTGTGAGCGACCCGACAATGAGTTTTAATTTTTCCCCTGGTCCAGAGAAAATGCCGCTTTTAAACACTCTCCCCCCATTCTGCCTGCTTTTTCTAACAACACACGATTCACCAAGTTACGATGTCATTAAGAGCAGCTAAATCAACTAGAGAGATTTTAAACTTATTATCAAATGGTTCAGGAGCCGCAAAACTACCTTCGAATATCTCTAAAATACAGTTAACATTGGCCTTCAAAGGCAAGAATGAAAGTGCTGGCGCAAGGTAAACTAATAGAGTTTCTGCGAACAAGAAGAATTAAATAGTAGCTCTAATGATAATCGTCTTGCTGATCCTAGACATTTTCTGAAAGAGAATTTACCACGCATTCAGTATAATAACCCAACAGTGAAATACGAGGTATTCAAAAAAGCAGATCCTACAACCAAACCAACAATTTCCATACACTTCAGTGAGTGCCAATAGAATTGAAAACGATGTTTACTTTGAAAGAAACCGAAACTAAAAGAGTATCTATTTGACAGCGAATGGAGGGTCAAAAACTATTGAAATACCCCGTGTTTATTCGGAAACTATTGTTGATCAAGTATTTAACGCTACGCCGTAAATAAAGGGATCTATGGGGATCTTTTTTCTTTCATTTTTACATTACATTGGATATAACTTGAGAAATACCAATAATGAAGATTAGAATACAAATATCATGTATAAATGTTGTCCAGATCAATTTATAGCGAAATATTATATTGATAATACTGCTGAAAGGAGGCGGCAATTGATTAGCCAATGTTGCAATAGTAGATGTAGGTGGCACTCTGCCTTTTTGATAAAATAAACGCGCTGTTTGTAAGCATAATTCTATAGTGACAAAGTACCAAAATAATGGCTTCATTTGGAGAAATTAGTACGTATTGTGTTTTAGACAATAGCTTTGTATATATCCCTTACCATATTTAAATTTAATGAGTAGTTCGATTTGTAAGGTTGTGTTAATAATGAGGCGTATTGTGATGCTCCAAAGAAACTCCACTCTTTGTAAACGGCAAATAAGCTTAATGTAATCATTATCAATAGATGAAGTAAGTTCCAATACTTTCGACTCTGATTTACTTCCTGCTGCTGTTGTTGTAATTGCTCTGGTGTTAAAGTACTATTGGTAGTGCCACTATTACCGTTCATCATCATCATTTGTGCTAGCATATTAGCAGGATTTAATCCTGTATTGTTATTGCTACTGTTTGCCGAAGCGAACAATTGCTCTAAAGGATCTCTATCAAAACCAACAGGCCTGATGCTGTCGGGTTCGGCACTACTACTACTACCGAACATGCTAGCCATTTGCTGTTGAAGTAAATTTGCCATAGCGTCAGTATTAGTGCCGTTGTTCAATGGTGCAGGCGCGCCTAACTCATCACTGGGATCGTCACTATGACTAAATCTACGTTGACTCGTCTTTGAAGGTAATGGTGTATCTGTCTTTGAAGATATGGAAGGAGAAGGTACAGGAGAGGGACTTGCACGGTGAGCTTTTTTCATGACCACAATAATCATATATGGAAGCAAATTAGTGGGTATTACTCTTCGCAGACAAATTTACGATTTTGAACTTAATATGGCCAAAAACTTACGAAAAGCTGTACCAGTGATTTTACTGAGACGATCCTCACTCGAGTTCAAAATGCGTTGTTGACGTTTTTGTCTACGTCTTTCACGTTTTTCAGCCTCTGTTAAATCACCCATTTAACAATCAGTCAATATGTACAAGTTTCGAGTGAAAAGCGGGAAAAAACAGATAAAAAAAGAATTGAGTGCCCCGAAAAATTTGTTCGGGGCAAATGTAGTGTACAGAAGCTGGAGCAAATCATGCTCCCTAGAAATAGATGCTATATTTGAATGCTAGTTATAATGATTTGCGATTAATGTAACTCTAATAAAAAGCAATGTTATTTATTCAGTTATGGGGGGTATATGTATATGATGATTCATGATTTTGCGAGTTATGGTGGAGAAAAGATGGTTTGCTGATTTGCTACCCATTCGTTTGCCATTTTTGTAATAATGGCAGCTGTATGATCAGGTATATCACACATAGCTACGCTGCATAGTATATTTTCGATAAAAACATTCTCATCTATTTCCTCGAGGCGACTACAACTGTCGCTGTAATCATCAAAATTGCTATTCGAAAAGCTATTGTTGCTGCTATCATAGCTCATGGCTGAAGAATTGGTCCCTGGAGGTATGTATGGATTAAATCGTGTAGCACTTTGTAATGGATACAACTGATGTGAAGGGCTGTTCGGAACGGTGGCTAACATTGGTAAATGATGTACTGGGTTTGAAGATAATTGTTGTTGTTGTTGTTCTTCGTGGTGATGATGGAAGTTTTGAGGGGGATTATGTTGCTGTAGATGGGATTGTTGTTGCCCTTCGTGGTGTTGATGCTGGAAGCTTTGAGGGGGATTATGTTGCTGTAGATGGGATTGTTGTTGCCCTTCGTGATGTTGATGCTGGAAGCTTTGCGGGGGATTATGTTGCTGTAGACGTGATTGTCGCTGTTGCGGTGGCGATTGTTTTTCTGTGTCAAATGGTGACTGAGGCCAGCATAAATCCATTGTCATTTTCTCATACGAAACTAACATGTCAGGGTATATGTAAGGAATTGTTTTTCTTGATAATTGTGTGAAATGAAATTGCATGTCTTTAGCAAACGGTAATAAACCGGATAAAACCATGCCAGGCTTAATAGGTAAGTTGCGCATACATTCAGTGATTATTAAGGTTCTACACCAATCTGGAATACGTCCTCTGACTAAGATATCTCTGATACCATGATACGGATGGGTATAGCGAACACCAATAGTATAAGTAAAGGGTATAAAATCAATAGTAGTGGAATCAGTGGTGCTGTTGTTGTAACTGGTAAAGGACGCTGGACCTTTTGGACCTTCTTTTGAACCCAGCATGTTTTGAAAAAGACTTTCAAATGTAAAAGTATCAATTGTAGTTAAATCATTCTCGTCTCTCAGAAGGAAATCGAAATAAGGATCGGCTAATAAACAGTTATGGTCGTCATTAATGTTATTATTATGGACAGTATCATTATTATAGCCTCTGTTTGTACTAGCATAGTAATAGGGTTCCTGTTGCTGTTGCTGTTGGTTAATAGACGAATGCGGCGGTTCGATATACTCATACTGCTGTACTAGGAATCTTCCTTTTGCCAATCTTACAATCGTTTGACTAATACGTTTGCTCAAGTGTATCTGATCAGCAAGTCGAATCAAAAGGTGCTCGGACCGTAATGCTCTGTAATCAAGCATGTCTTTCGCGGCCAATGGGTCTGAATTAAAATTATGGAAATAGGGGCCCAAAATTTCACTGTTTTCGAAGTTTCTCTTCACTTTAGCAGCATGAACAGGATCATTCTTGAATCTTGTTTCATATTGTAATAAGAAATAGGCAGGTGATGGCAGAGATACAGTGGTACTATGATAAACACTTTTTCTGATTTGCTTTAAAGTGAATGCCCAATGGTCGACGTCAGCTTGACAAGCTGGATCATGCTCATCGTGTTTATGATCTGAGGCGACACAAATTGGTAAGTGAACATTAATTGGGTAAGCGTCTGCAGTAGCTTTTGGTGTGGTAGTCGTAGGCGAAGGAGAGGAAGAGGCAGGGTGACCTGTAAAATTATTATACATTATGTTCAGAAGAGTACAAGCACATGAAGCAAAGAAATAAAGAACAATGCAAAAAAAAAAAAAAAAAAAAAAAAAAATTTTTTTTATTCTCTTATCTTCAAACATATTTGCTTTAATTGAAGGATAATTTCCCGACGATATCTGAATTTTACCACAAATTTTTTTTTAAGTCTGCAGTAGCTGGTAAGATATTTAGGGCTTACTATGTCTACATAGATAAGAGCATAAACCTTTAATGGGCATGCTAAGTCAAAAAATTCATCTAAGTTAACGGCATTTTATTGTTCATAGGGTGTAGTCATGAATTTTAAAAGTTCTTGTCCCAAACCCATGCCAGTTCATAATCAGATTGTTGATTGATAATGTAATAAAAAGCTGTCTGTCATGTATTACATAGCATATATCGTATATAATACCTATCCACGTTTTGGCAATTACATGAACTTGATTAAAGAAGATGGTGCATTGATAGAGAACATTATTAAATCATTAATAAGTTATAATAACTTACCAGATTAACGCATGCACTTTACACTAAAAAGCATGAGATGTTGTTAAATGAACGCTGTATTATGGGAACACTTTCTATTTTATCATAGTCAATTTTTTTGATAGATAAATAATATAATTTTATTGCCAGTGTGAACTACTGTTCAAGTTTTCCTCCCTACTGGAAACAATTTACGACGGACTTCATCGAGCCTTAACTTGCTTTTCTAACAATGAACAATAGCATTATCAATAAGTGATACTTTAGGAGCCGTGAATAAAAAGTGCACAAAATGGAACGCCGCCAGAATGCTGGCCGCTGGGTGGTAATTTTTTTGTTTTGCTTTCATTTTTCTCCTTTTATTTTTTGAGTTTCACTATTCGTTATCATACAACCAGCAAAAGAGAAAAAAGTAGATTAACAAACGAATGATAATATAACGTAAAGACTTCTGAAGCAAGTATTGAAAACTCACATAATAGATCTCTGCTGTTTAGGAAATGGAGGAAAGTGGACGGCAAAAAGTACAAAATAGCAATAATAAACAGCAATCCACGTCACCTGCGAACACTTCTACAGCAACAGCCAGCAATGCCACAGCAGGAAGTGTACATCAGAAAAAGTCTATGAAATCTCTTGTTGGTCAGCTAATCAAGATTAAAACCATTTTAAATGACGATATTGAGGGCGTTATTTATACCTACGATCCAATTACAAATTGTATTGCAATTGATATCCTTTTTTTTTCTTGCGATTATCTGCATACGAGCTTCATTGAATGAAAAACGCTATTCTTTAAAACTAACACTTGTTGTCCTTAACACTTTTGTTCTCTATCCTTTGTATTGCGCAATACATCAGACAGCCAACTCCAGTCGCAAAAACTGTTCTTTCCGTATTGTCAAGATAGCGAATATAAAAGAGATTATATCCCTTAGAAATACTACAACAGCAACATCCACAGTACCGACGATAAAGCGCAGTCCCTCAATTCAACCACTATTGATCGAACAGCTGGAACAGCGAGAGGCAAACACAACTCGAAATGTCAGGAACGAAGTATCAAAGATCGGTATTGGAGTTACAAAAGAAGCACAAGACATATTTAATGCATTAAGTAAAACGTGAGTGGAAAATTCAAACATCTGTTATATTGAAAGAAGCCAATGATTGAGTCCACTATATTTATCCATTTTTTTAGGCTGCCTTGCCGATGGTCCAAAGATACAATTATCGTACTTGATGAGATTTTAATTCCTGCGCCCTATACACCCGAAAGTTGTAAAGCAAACGCATCTTCAGCAAATCTATTAGCAAGAGTAAAGAAAGTGGTAAGATTCAAACGACACAGTATTCTTATTAGCTTGGTCAAAGGATGCTAATTGGATACAATCCATCTTTAAACGTGTACACAAATATAGCTTGAGGGTGAAAGAAAGAGACTTGCGAAAACCACTACCGTTAAAGGATAGGAAATAAACAAGAAACAAAAATTCACTCTTAAGTCAGGTGTTATTCATCATCTTTTAGAAGGAAGGGGAAAAAGACATACGACCAATGTTATTGTTGTTAGGAAGGGGTGGGGAGGGGGTTCTTTTTTTTATTTTTCTGCTGTACAAACTCTGTGGAATCATGAATACAGAGCGAACTCACTCACCCGCGATATCGTTGGTTTACTGAGTTCCACTAATGTTAGGCAATATAACAGTTCCCAATAAGAGCAACGAGTAAAATCGATAATAAAATCAAGCGTATGATCTCATGAACAGCCCTTTATTCCGTTTTACTACAGTTGGCATTATACAACTTGAGTTAAACAGGTATATCGAGAGGAATCTATTTAACGCAAGATGGACTTGAGTTTCAGTAACATTAGGGAAGTATTAGATTGTGGTACTTACACTATCATCATACCACCATATTTTCAGAGTTTGGTCATCGCTACAACTTGCCAACATGCCCTGCTTTGCATTCCAAGTTGCATCATAAACAACCCCATTGTGACCACGTAATTTTTGCAACACTTCCCCAGTATCCTGATCCCAAATATATACAATACCATCTTCACTGCCGCCTACAATCAAGTTATTATTAGCGAAGTTGGCACGGACAAAATTCTTGGATGTATTTTGATGTCCTTTCAGCTTTCTCAACGGTCGCACCATACGCACATCCCACAGGCGATTCGAATTATCCTTAGAGCTGCTAAGCAATAGAGTGCCACTAGAATTCATATTGACCGAGGTAACTTCGCCTAAATGTGACGAAATAGTGCGAATACATAGCCCAGATACAATATCCCAGAATTTGATCGTATTGTCTTTTGACCTGCATTTCAATAGTTAGTTGACTTTAGTATTGTTCCCTTCCACAAGTGCAAATATTTACAAGAAACTGATTCGCTTACCCACTAATCACAAGATTACCCAAGGGATTAAATATTGTACTGGTAACAGCCAACTGATGTCCAGGGAACGTTTTGACTATTGCTCCTGTATTAACATCAAATAATCTTACTGTTTTGTCATAACCGCCTGTCACCAAGTGACTTTCACTTGGATGGTATTGTACGGAATATACGTCGCCAGCATGTCCTGTTAATGTCATACAACAGTTCGCTTTTTGATGATGATGCAATGGCGCTGAACCGCCCGTCAATCCCATTTCTGTGGACATTGCATTGCTTGCAGCTGCTGTATTCTTTAGGTTCCAAATTTTTACCGTTGAATCACCACTGGCACTCGCAATAAACTCTCCTTGAACCGTCGTTGAGAGATCCCACACCCTTGACCGGTGTTCTTTCAAGATATCTATGCATTCCGCTGTTTCTGTATCCCAAATACGAAGTGTGTTATCACTTGATCCCGAAACGACTTGTTTACCTTCCACCCCAAGGAATTGCAAGCATTTTATATTTCCTTTATGCCCTGTAAGGGTGGCTCCTACTGCATTGGGTATCACAAAACTTGTATAATCTTCTAGTAATGTACTCACAGTAGGAGCAATTTTAGGATGGTATCGTGAGAATTCGATTTGATAAGCGACAGCTTGCCGTAAGAGAGTTAACAAACGGTCCGGTGGTATATGCCGACTGTGCTGTTGATTTGTACGGTCGGCAGTTTCGAATTCTAGCATACTTTGTAATTGATCCACAAGGGCTTCACGGGAGGCCATAATCCCTTCCCACTGTTTAAAACTAGGCGCTTCATGGATAGATTTTGCAGTTAATAAGTAACACATGTCTTTGAATTCATTCGGTTTGGTCTGAAAGTGTTCTAGTGGTTTTAATCTCTTATTCAAAAACGTGAATGCCTAACAACCCAGCAAATGATGATGATAAATTATCTCTCCTTTTTGTAGTGGAATAATAATAGTGAAAGATGAAAAGATGTTTGGAAAAAGGCGTTCTATGAACTTACTTTTTGTATTTCGCGCTTTTCTAAATATTCCAGATATTGCTGTTTATATACAGAGTATAGAAAGGCTCGATGGTTTTTTACAAGCGGCTTATTACACAATTTCTCAACTTCTGACCAATCTCCATCTAAAATAGCCTTTTTTAACCTTTTGATTTCTAGAGTACGTTCTTCTCTTTCTTTCCATTTGACGTTCGTTTCATCATATAAAACTGAATGGGAAGCATAATATCCTTCTTCTTGTAGGTATTGCATTACCATAGCAATGATATCCTCTTTTATACGTGGGTCACTTGAGTTGAATATATCCTCAGTAGGTTGAATATGGGAGGTTTTCATACCAATATGTTGGTTATAAGTAGCTAGACTTTTAATAATAGAGTCATATACAGATACAAGTCAGTATTACGTCTGAATTAAGGTGTTGAAATTGATGTGCGTGGAAGGGTAAGCTACCTTCTCTGTTGCTTTGCTCGAGAACTGGTAGAGACACTATTACTGTTTCTGATATTACGCGTATAAGCTGCTTCAGCTGCAGGCGTACTCAGATTCGCTTGGTCAGCAACGTGCTGATCACTGTCGTCAGTAGAGATGTCAAGTTGTGCTAGATCGTTGGCTAATTCGGTTTTCTTGTGGTCAATTTGTTTCGACATGTAGTTGTTAATGACGTAGAAGTCAATGGTTCTCTTCGAAACTAGAAATTCAATTTTTCTAAAAAATTGATAACTTTTTGTTCCAATAAGGTAAGAGATCAGCCGCGCATTTTAAGTGGTTGCGGAATGAAGACGCATAAAACACTGTTTTCTAACAATTCAGAGAAACTGAGCGTTTTAATACTATAAAGTTCTACCTCAAGCTTTCATAACATAGTGTGCGCTGCTGTTGTGGCTCCGTAGATAGTTGTGTATTTTTTTATGCTGTTTTGAAGAACCAGTCTCGAGGTTAGCGTTTATTCTGAGATCAAAGCAAGGAAAGGAAAAATGCTTTAACCAGACTCGTTCTTATTCAACTCACGATCAATCGTATCAGGAAAAATAGCGTTTCCGTCTTTTTCTCTTTTTTTACTTTTATGTTTTTGTCTTCTTCTACTTTCCTGCTTCCAAACCTTCATTACGTTTACCTCAATTGTTGTGAATGACAAGTGAACTACATAATACAGCTGGTTCTAGTAAGTGTCAGTTAGGTGTGATTATAACACCCCTCGAAGTCTGACTAATTTATCTTTGACTGTTATTAATATTGCAGCAGCCGATAAATTATACAAAGTTGTGTTCGACTATGAAACCGATAAAGACGACGAGCTATGCTTAAAGGCTGGTGAGATAGTTCGTATATTGAACGGAGAAAGTAGTCCCGATTGGTGGCTAGCGGAAAGAGCTGACAATAGTAAAGAAGCAGGATTGATACCTAGTAATGTAAGACAGTCAATCATTATTAGGAAAATAACTGAAATAGTATGTCCCTTTGACTCAAAATTCAATTAGTTTATCGAAAAGATACCTTTTCAAAGTATCGCTTCTGGTACAAAAGCAGCTGATGGTCAGAATGAAGGTACTAAGAAAATGGATAGTAAAATTTTAAAACAATATATCCTGACCTTATCATACTCTTTGTTTTACGGAAAAGATAAACCAGCGCGATTAGCTATCGTTATCGAAGATTATATAGCTACTAGCTCAGAAAAACTGAATTTGGAAAAGAACAAAGTGATCACAGTCCTTGATCAAAATGTAGCTGAAGGGTGGTGGAAAGGTGATTTGAACGGCAAAATAGGTCTTTTCCCGGCTGATGTATGTATCTGAGCATCAAAAGGAAATTGCCATTTCATCGTATAACTTAGAGTACATGCTGACCTCCTCCCCTTCCTATTTCTACTTTTTGTAACAGCATGTTGAGCTTGTAGGAAACGAGCAAGATATTCACGAGACTCCGACTACAACAATTGCAACTGAGCAAGAGAAAAAACCAAAAAGTAGCCTTTACATGAAAGTCGATCCCATGAATGCAAAAGGATATCTAACAATTATAACTTTGTTCTATAGAAGAAAATACATTCAAATTGGCGTCGTACGGTGTCAAGCAAGGTGGTATCGGCAGTATTTTAGCCGGAGGATTTGGTGGTCTGAAGCGGCAATCTCATAATAAAACAAACTCTCATGAAAATGGTTCAATTGATGCCATTATCAACAACAATGATGATATAGATATGGTATCATCTCTTCATCAGAGACCACGTTCTTCTTTGTCAAAGGATAATTCTAATCAATCTAATGGAGGCAATCGAAACACAGCAGGAGATGATAACGCAACAGCCATACATACAACTACAAAAGCCATTGTTCTGCATTCCTATCATCCTGAAAGTGATGGTAAGAAAGGGTTGATGACTTATCTATAAATAGAGAGTGTTCGTTCTACTAAGTTCTCAATTACCCTATGATTTTATCTAAATAGATGAGATACAGCTTATAAGAGGAGAATATATAACGATCGTTGACTCACAGAATCAGAGTAAAGGCTGGTGGAAAGGTACCAATGAAAAAGGAGCCACAGGCATTTTCCCAGCCAATTTTGTCGAGTTGATTAAAGACGAAACACCGCCTTCCAGACCCGCTCGTCTTAGGCCACCCACTGTCAAGACAGAACAGCAACAGAGTGCAACATCTACAACAGCCACTGGAAGTATGGCTCAACCTCCGCCCGTGCCTATAAAGACACGTCCTACATCTTTATTAACGAACCGGGAAAGTATCAATCAAAAACGCTCCACTCAGAAATCAAATACTTCTGCCTTACCATCTCCAGCTCCAGCTCCACGTCCATTGACCACACCACCTATTCCCTCAACAACATTGCCAGCATCTCTCCGTCCTTTAACTGTATCTGAAGGTGCTACATCCACTTTTAATACAGGCGCAGATAACCCGCCAATACCTGCACGCCGCACTCGTTCTGTATTCTCTCCCCGACCCATTGAGACTACAAACTCATCTACCTCGCAATCGATGATAGGTCAACAGCGCATCCCATCAATTCCATTAAGATCTCCAGATTTGCCACCTATTTCACCTGGTGGAATTCTCTCACCACGCCATGGACCTATCCCTCGAAGAGAATCCACTAACGAAGATCAAGGCTTAACTGAAACTCCCTTAATTCAATCTAAATTGAAGTCAGTTTCTGGCTCATCTGCGGAACCTGTCTCACCCACAACCATTAATACATCCATGCTGGCCAAACCACCAAAGCTTACTCCTGGTAGCAGCTTCTTGTCATCTAGTACAGATAAGCATACCGCCGGCATTATCAACAATAACTCAGAACAAGATCAATCTACGTCTGGGAACTGTCCGCCTGTGCCAAAACGATCCGTACCACCTGTTCCTGCTGCACCTGGCATTACTACATCTGGTAACAGTTATACTACGGATAACGACAATATAGCTGCATTGCAGCCAGAACGATCCACTGCTTTCCCTTTTCCAGCAAATCAACAACAGCGACAACTGGAAACACCCAATCTTGCTCCATTTAATACGACAAACGCATTGAACGAAGGAAAGTCAGACGACAATACATATGATGAAATGGAGAAGAAAATACGCGACATTGTACGCTTAGAAACTGATAAGTTACGTAAAGAATTTGAACAAAAATTGCAGGAAGAGGTACAAAAACTTCGCCTGGAGCTTGAGGCTGCTAGAAAATTTTAAGCCTAGACAGATAGTACAATAACAAATGAAAGAGGTTCATAAGATAAAAAGCTGCAATCAACAACTGACCATATTAAAGTCATTCTTTAATAAACTCAACTGTACTTGATATTCTGTTCGTATACGGTAGTTTCTTCTAACAAGCCTTCTAGACGTTTTAATAGATGAAACTCGTAAAAAACGGATGGTAGATCAATCTTAACTTTTGGATTAAGAATAATTTTGTTTATGAAAATTCATTTTAAACGTCGGAAAAAACTAACGTAGAAAGCAGCCCAAATAGGCGGTTTGCGGTTTGCATGGTTCTCAGCCTTATTATAACTTACATATAGGAGACGTGGTTTTGTGGGAAGCGGACGAAGGTAATTTGTTGAGAATCGTTATAAGGCGGTTAAGGAATTGAAGGTATTGAATTCGGCTTTTATCACTATGGCAATACCTAAGGTACAAAGAAGAATCGTCAACGGAATTAAATAGAGGATGAGAGAAGAGAAGATTTTTCATGGATGATATGGTCGTGATGCCAAACTGGTAACCTCTGTTGGAAAAAAGGATGACAGTAAGTTAATGGTTTAAGCCATAGTAAATTTGCGAGGTCATTCCACGCTACGTTTAGAAGGTGAGGGATGATGGTGCTGTGTTGCCTCAAATATATCTCACTGATCAATTGAATTGTATCAATCAAGATCACGTCTGTCTGTCAATTTGTCTTTATTTGAAGCAAAAAGATGGTAATAAAAAAGCTCACAGAACAACTGATTAAAAGATTTTTTTACCCTTGTTCCCAAAGGGGTTTTTAGCAATATATATTTTATACTAGAAACATTAGGATCTGACCCAGGCAATTTCTGGTGCTCATTGGGTTTTAAATATTGTAATAAAAGATTTATTTAAACGTAATAAAAAAGCTACTGTGGAAGCATCGAGTCCATTGGTCTTGAAGACACAGAAAGTGTAGCCAACTAAATTTCTTCTATATGAACAGAACAACTCTGAATCTTCATATTAGTTTACATACATTAATCCCTATTGGTCTATATATTTTATTGGAAACACAAAGTGATCAAAAATTAAACATTTTTATGCTTTCAAATTCTTCTGCAAACCATGTACCGGAGCCGCTTATTACAATGTATAACTTAATCAAAAGTCGTTCGGTTATTAATGGTATCAGTGATAAAGACCCCGTACAATGGACTGTAAGTCTCTTTCGACTTATTTTGTTACAGGAACACTATTATTGGTGTTACCGATGGCATCTTCAACCTTTTCATTTCAGTGTTAGCCATTTACCGACTAGCTCCTTCATATTATGACAATATTTCTTCTCTTCTTCATTCCAGAAATTTATCGATAGATTGCTGTTCGCTGAAATTTCTAGTGATATATCACGTATCAACTGACGAGATTCATTATTGAATTCTATCCCATTTACAGACATTTCTTCCACCAAATCCAATATACCATACACATCTCTCCACATATTCCACTTTAGTTTCAGAATACAATTGTAGACTTTTGTAGTGCATCCTAGGATATAGCTGGTCATGCTACGATGTTTGGCTTGTTCAAAAATTGTCAAAGCTAAATAAGGGTCTTGCAAATGTTGAGAAATTGCATGCTCAATTGCTTTCTCTAACAAAGTTGGATAATAAGGTGGATAGGATTGCTCTTTTGAGAAACTACTAGCATTTATCTCTTTCATTATACAAGCCAATAGCTGCGTAGGAGTACGTGACTCCAAAATGGACTGTACAATTTTCAACTCATGATCTTTCAATTTACAGCGTTCGTACTCACTTATACTAATATCGGATGCACTACCATTGGATGCCGTATTAACCTTCGTTGTTGCCCCTGCTGTCCCGTTGAGAAGTAAAAAATCAAATAAAGATTCTTCTTCGCGTTGTTTTTGAAGAGATTTGATATGATCAGCTGAATTACTTCTGAAAGGTTCTTGATAATTCCTTGGTAATGGAGCTTTGGGACGGTAGGGTTTATGCTTACGCAAAATAATATCCAGTAATCTTTTCTCAGCAACAGATTGTCCATAATTTTTAGGCAGATTCATGTGCCCTAAAGAGGGGGCGGCAGCTGTTCCAGTTGAATTCACTGACGATGCTGATAGATTATGAACAGGTTTGACTTCAAACAAACTGTCTAACAAATTTCTGAAATCCTTTGTCTCTTGCGCCATAGGTTCAGAGTTCACTCTTGTTTTCGGCTTTTTTGTTTGAGCTTTCACTTCCCAAAAATGGCTAAAACTTTTATTGTTGGTTTCCTCACGTAATAATCGGTCGGCTAGAGTTGATTCAGGGCTATTCATAGCGTTTGATTGATCTGCACTTTCAGTTTTACTCGGACAACTGTGTATGGAAGTCGTCATGAAAGGACGGAATGCATGACAATGGTTTGAAAATGAGTTCTTAGCTACATTAACACGGTCTATATAAACAGTTCAGTTGGAGTTCGAAGACTTCCTCAAAGTAGCGATCATAATATTTACCAATCGTAACTAACAACCTTTTGTGCAAGCGAGAATTCATTTTTTCGCTTTTATACAGTAACAGTTCAAATTGATAATGTATTAGACAGAGAAGTGAATTTTCTTTTTGAACATGGGGATTCTGATCAGAAAGTTGCGAGTCACAAAATTTCAGGTATGGGCAGCAAGTGCTTTTGATCGCATTGTTTCAAAGCAATATAACATGTCCTTGGCTGATAATCTCTCAGTATAATCGTAATTGAGCCCTCTCTTAATAATAGGAATCACTTTTTCGAAAGTGGAATAGTCTAGCTCTTGCTCATCAAGGACAACCTTTTCTGATTCCGCATCTATCTCAAACAAATCCTTAGCTTGACTCTCTGGTTTCTGTACCAATTTCAATAAAATACAGGATGCTAAAAACACATCTGTTTCCTTCAAATAGTTCGTTTTCAATTTTTCATACTCTATATAAGTAACACCTGGTTAAATCAAAGTGATTAGTCGATTATAAGAGTCAAGTTAAATTGAGTTACCTGGGCACTTGATAGTGGCAGGATTTATCCATGAATAATAACAATCACTGCTATCCTTTGTACTAGTGCTACTATGGACACTACTTTCATGAAGGAATAAACACGATCGATAGCCACTGAAATATATTCCCCCATCTGTTGCCACATAGAGGCTATCTAAGGAAATGTCAACGAGTCCAATATTCAAGGTGTGAGCATCGGCAAGCATTGAGAATAGACAAATAGCCATTTGGAGAAAATAAAACGGCTCGATTCTCAAGTCTACATTGAAAATAAAATGGTTAGCACCTCATAATTTTCTTCTTATATGTTTTTAAACTTACAGTTCAACCTTCTATCCCTCAAATATTCGCCTAAGGTTCCATTTTGATATCCTTTCATAACATACAGTTGCAATGGAGGCTTTTCTACGGTATCCTCACCGACTTCGGTACCATAATACAGCTCTCTAGAGCTTAACCCCAGTTCACTAGCGTAAGCCTTTAGACCGCCTAATAGACTTACCATGTATCGACAGGGCGACAATTCTTCCGACATAAACCATATGTGTTCATTTTGCTTGACTGTGAGGATATTTGAATTTCGTGCAATAGAAGCTGTACATATCACATCCATGTCTTTATATCTGGCTGGTATAGTATACGAGACTAATCCTCTATCATTGACAAAAATTGACCCGGCAGGTAACGATAGTTTGATGTCTTTACGTTTGATAATTAGAGGAAAAACAGTGGGTATCATTTCATATATAGGTACATCGGAAGTATAGCTGTTGCTTTCTGTCATAACTGTCCCACCGTGAAAAAGGTTACCTAACCTTTCAGAGCTACTGCTGCTAATACTACTATTATTGCCAGGATTATCTGTTATATCCATATTACTGTCCTTCCCTACTACCTTGTCAATATATTGGCTTAAGCCGTTCCGTCTAATCAGTTGTTACAACAAATGTTCTTACCTTCTTTAGTATATTCAGCGTTTGTACTCTCCGGTTTACTAACAACTAGCGTAACCTTTGTAGGTCTCCCTGCTTCCGGTCTTTTTTTTCTATTAGTACTCATACGAGAACTTCTCTTCACTGCTGGTTTATTGCTGACCGTCATCCAACCCTTAGTTTGATTTCTGTTTTCCTTTGCTTCCTTTCTCGCAGTTGAAAGGCTGTAAAAAGCCTCTGATTATACGTATTTCTTGGAAAGGAAAAAAGCTCGTTCACCAACTAAACAATGAAAAGCATAAATTTAGCGAGCACCTGCGGACTTTGTAAGCAAATGTACTCTTTCGAGTTAAAGGTGGCTTATCGTCGATAACAGCAAATTTTATAGAAACAACAGTTATCACCTTTTCACAATTTACTTTCTAGGTCCAACTCATTACTTTAGTTAAATATGTCATTGACTTTTGATTTTCTGCTTCCCTCTTGTCCTGCAACCTGCAAGGTTGACCAAGGTTTTGAAGCTTCCGCTTCTTTGACTGGTACTTGTTGAAATTTGTTTGTCATTTTGGCTTGCATTCACTCACAATATTTCTCTGTAGCCACTTCTGAACGCCTTCTCGAGCCAGTTGGTCGTCACTTCCTCGCTCATGCTCGTAGAAAGACACAAAATCGTACTTTCTCCGAAGATGAACGTCATCAAGCCGAAGAAAAGGCTAATCAAGTGGAAAAAGAAGAAAAGGATGAATTTGAATATGAAGATGTCGATATTGACATGGTTAACCAAGATCCTACTCAATGGAAAACTCAGGATAATTATGCTATCCTCGGCTTGACCAAATTACGTTATAAAGCTACTGAAGACCAAATCAAGAAGGCTCATCGCCGTATGGTCTTATTACATCACCCCGATAAGAAGGCGGATAAGAATGATGACGCTTTCTTCAAGTGTATTGCTAAGGCCTATGACACTTTGATGAATCCTGAAAGCCGTCGACAATATGACTCTGTTGATTTTGGTATTGCTCACTGGGACGACGAAGTACCTAGTGCGAAGGATACAGGTGACTTCTACGAAATGTGGCGTCATGTCTTTGAACGTGAAGCTCGCTTTTCTAACAAACAGCCTGTTCCTGGTTTGGGTGATGAGAACTCTACTAAAGAAGAAGTTGAAGGCTTTTACGATTTCTGGTATAACTTTGATTCTTGGAGAACCTTTGAATGGTTAGACAAGGAAGGTGTTGAAGGTTCTGATAATCGTGACGACAAGCGTTATCAAGAAAAGAAGAACCGTGCTCAACGTGCTCAATTGAAGAAGGAGGATAATGCTCGTTTACGTAAACTTGTCGATGTCTGCTTGGGTATGGATCCTCGAATTGCCAAATTCAAGGCAGAGGAGAAAAAGAGAAGAAACGCCAAGAAGGACGCTAGAGCCGCTGCTGAAAAGGCTGCAGCAGAAGAAAAGGCTAGAAAGGAAGAAGAGGCAAGATTGGCTGCTGAAAAGGCTGAAGCTGAAGCTAAGGCTGCTGCTGCAGAAAGCAAGAAAGCCAAGGAAATGGCTAAGCGTGCCATTAAGAAGGAGAAGAAAACCATTAAAGCCATTGTCAAGGACAATAATTATGCTTTAGCTGCTGATGCTCCAGAAGCTACTCCAGAACAAATTGATTCTCAATTGTTCAAGTTGGACGATATCCTTGCAAAGAATAAGACTGTCGAACAACTTGAGGCTCTTCGTCAATCATTCGAAAAAGCTGTTGCTGACAAGAATCTTGCCGATGTATTCAACGCTGCTCTTTAGTGGTGTAACACTTTAATATCGTTTTATCCGCTATTATCTTCTCAAATAAATGAAAACTGTTTCGCATTTTTTCCATAGGAATATTGAAAGATGCTATTTTGGTATGAATCTGGATCTTATCTATTGTCTTGTAAGGTTAAGGAAACTGCTACGTAAATAAGGACGTAACTGGGTAATATTAAATTGTTTCCCTTTGTAATTTTGTTATGCTTGTGTGAAATGAGCAGGTATTTTATCTGTACAAATTTACATGCTGCCATGTTTCAATTGAATCGACCGTGTTCGACATCAGTATCTTCAACATCCATAAAATTGTCCTCTAATCCATTTTCTCTATCCAAGGCTGTAAATTCTAATGAAGGATTACGTTCTTCAATATCCGGTATATCATCGAAATCGATGCGTGTTGATCTTGCATTCAAGGAATACTGATTTCTATGTCACATTTAGACCGTCAACGTTATCTTTCCTAGTCTATAAATAGTAGATGTAGACATAGGTGAACTTACTTTCGAAGCATCATGAACAGCCGCACTAATTGAAAGCCATTACGTATAACTAACAGAACAGTATCAAAAATCGCCTCATTTCGTTCACTGACCGAACACCCTGTCGTTAATACAATTAGCGTAATGGCACACAATCCAACCAATATAATATCAATAATATTCCACAATGATTTCCAGTATCTCTAATTTGAGGGACAGACGCATCGCTTAAGTGTTGTGAAATGGAACACATTCTAAACTTTTACCATATTTACTTTGCCTAATGCCAGCAGCCGGATAATGACTTCCATAATCATTGCAAAGTTGATAATTGCTTCAAATACAATGAATAAAGCCGTAGGGCTGCAGTGCAAAAGAAGGTGAATATGTTTATCATTAAATTTCTTTGTTATACTGCCTAACCGCTATCACTTTACTGACCAAGTTTCCTTCAAAGACTGCCAGATGATTTAGAATTTAAAACTTTGAGCATTAGTATCTAAGGCTTATTTGTAGCTAAAGTCGTTCATCATGAATATATCTACCATGATAATTGTGATGAAACTAAGCATTGCCAGTGATAAATAAAGGCCAATATAGAACTTGGAGTACATAAATCTGTTCGCCATTCCGCTGACGATCTCTGATTTTGTTAAACTATGCTGTGTTCTCAAGGCGGTAGTATTTATAATGGATGATAACAAAGTGATTCTGTATTGGTTCGTATACATTGATATGCAGTTTACATTAATATAGAGATTGCCATAACCTCCGACTTGATTTTATCATTAAGCTACATTATCCTTACCCTGAAGGTTCATTAGATGCGGGCAACATGTGAGCTCTCTCATCATCAGCATTTGAAGACATGCTGCTATTTCCAAAGAATCCAAAATAGGTAACTGGAGGAGAAAGAAACCTTTACCTCAAAAAAAAAAAAAAGAAAAAAAAAATTGCTAAAAAACGAAAAGTTTCAGACAAGTTTTCCAAAAACCATTCTGCCAGCCCTTCACACCGTACTTGTTACATAATTACAGAACTTGCTGATGTTATAGATTATTATTGACATAGGTAGTAATGTTATAAATTTGATGAAGGAGCGGTCTGCAACAAATGACACACGTTATGGCTTGCATTACTTATCGTTGTATATAGAGTACTAACGAACTGCTATTTTTTATAAGGCAACGTTAATATTAACTCATTGACGAACCTTTTGACAAATAGTATTTCAGGCACCATCTTGTTCTGACAAAAAGATGAAGTGAATTTCATACCCTTAAAGCCCTTCTTAAACAGGAAAAAAAGTGTATGGAATATCGTAATGTTGCTGCAAGAAAATTTGATAATTCTTTTAGTTAATAATGATAGGCCCAGTAGTTGCGTTGTACAAAATTTTTGGTTGGAAAAACTGAAAAGTTTTTTCACAAAACGTCAGAGTGTATTATAGATCTGAACAGTATCTGTGATGTTTCAATCTGTAAATGCATACTATAGCGTTTCGTCAACTTTTTTATCGCAGTGCTTGGAAATATCTCCGGGTAAATCAACCGCAGAGCCAGAAAAGTGACCTACTGCATTTGAGAAGTGTGCGCACCAATATGATGGGATTAATTGCTGGTCATGCCATGGACAGCAGCATAGGAGGTGTCTGTGAAATTAGCAAGGGGTGGTTTAAAATTGCTCGATAAATATTGCTGTTGATGGCAGAATTATCAAAGGGATTAGGCCTCCAATAAGTTCGCTATATAATGAGTCTGACATTCCATGCTTTTGAACATAGCCAATTTTTAATCCCCTGTGTAGCAGTCTTAGATTCCTATCTTCCCTTTCTCTCTTGTTCTAGTACCATCCTTTGCTGTCACGGTACTTTTAAATTAAAACCATAACAGGAATGAATGCGATGTCATTTAGTCAATGGTATCTTTCCCGAGATATACCAAGGAGAGAACCGAAGTTTACGGATCATCTTAAAAATAAGATTAGCAAGCAGCAATAAGGAGATAGGAGTAGAGAAGTACATTAAGTTTGTCAACTAGAGGCTCGCTCGTGCATTTCATGGCAGAGGTTTTGGCTAGATGGCACATAATCGTTGTATAAAAAGTTGTTGAGTCTCCAAGATCATCAAGAAGGCGTTTGAGATAAGACTTGGAGGCTTGAACCTCAGCTTATCGGCGTGAAGGAGACCAATTAACTGAGCTTAGTAGGTGGTATGAAGGGAGGGTTAAAGTGAAAAGGCACTCTCAGCGAGTAATGGTGTTATTTATATAGTGTATGGTTTTTTTCCTTTTTTAAGCAGTTATAAATATTGCATATTTTGTTGGCTTCTATCGATATCCTAATTAAAAGCCATGATTCTTACATAAATTCAATATTAGAGACAACTGATCGCTCGGGATAGATTGAAATTGTATTATAAAAGACAGTTAAGTGCTATTGTATGAGTGTGCTATATAGCTGTGGATAGTGTTGGTAGGGATCAACTTCGGTTGGCGATTATTGACATAGTGTGAATACAAAAATGAGGAAAATGTCAACGTTATGAACCGCTTGTTAAGAAGTTAAAATGATAGTATTAGCAAATAAATTTTTATTTGAATACACATATGTAAAAGATATTTAACACTGATTATGAATATAAAGGGAGATGTGGTTGTTAACTTTCTAGACTATGACATTTGTACGTGAGCTGATTTGTTTCCAAAAAAGGAGATTGCAGGCTGCATATAAAATCAGAAGCGGAGAATAAATGCGTGATTTAAAAATTGGTTGTTGAAATCGGCCCTAAGCTTTATCAAGGGGTGAAGTTTCATTTGATAAACAATCAAGCAATGTTCAATATGTCAGGGAACATGGCGATAAGACTAAGGTTTTGATTTTTAAAGTCATACATATGAGATGAGCATCTTCTCAGCTTAGTAACTAATTGAATCTACGGTAAATAACCACGAGAGCCAAAGAAATCAAAATAGATACATGTAGTGAGAAATGTGTGCTTTCATGTGTCATTGTAGGAACCTTCACTTTGACTCTTTCAGTTTAAACGACCGAACCAGGTCGCTTGACTTTTGAAGGCTAAAATGCAAATATTGCTTCATATTTCCCTATGCTAAATATGTCAAGCTTGCTACCATTGGTATTTGCTGCTTTGACAACTGCTTTCTGTGAAATAGCAGAAGTTAAACTGAGCTTTGTGTAACTATATAGACTTTATGCGTTACAGTCCGCTGGTAGATATTGTCAAGACAAAAAAAATTGGCGGTTTGTCGATTGCAGAAATATATATGTATAATTGGGCGGTTAAAAGACTATCTTTATCAATAACCAAGCTTTTCCGAGTGTGCTAGTTCTATAAATAAGGAAAGATGTTGACGAGACTTCTACCTGATAATTTATAATAATGTAACTGACGAGGAGCCAATAAGTAATGTATGATAGGACCCAGCAAACCATCCTAGTACATGTACGATTAGGTAAACATATCTGGTCTCAGCCAACTATCGTACGGGCAAAAGCTTGGCGGTCTCAAACTTTCCTCATGCAATACAATGCGCAGTACGTATTCTTTGTGGTCTGTTTCTTTGACATGTTAAGTCTCACAATTAAGAGTAACTGTCAACTGATTGTTATAATAAAGTTGTGTTACAGCACACAAGGAAGGAACAGGTAGTTTATTTTGCGCAAGATAAGATTTACAAAAAAAAGCGTGCTCTTTGTTCATCAAGACAGGGTTTCCTTAATTTGTGGATACAATTCATAATCTGCTCCAGATCATCGTTTTCGACAGTCTGCGGATTGCACTCTGGTAAGAATTCTGCATCCTGATTGTCAAGTCGAAAGCTCTCAAGACTATGCACCTTTTCAAATAGTCCGTACATAAACGATTGTCGGTCTTCGATATCATTTACACTAAAGCGCTGTGATTGGTAGAGACATGCTCTGTTCTCCAAAGACTTGATCAACAAGTCTGTGGTTTTTGTAAGATCTCGAATTAAACACAGCTCTTCATTCTGCTCTGCCTTCTCCTTTTTGCTGATGAAATCTTGATTGGTATGCCTTCCTCTATCCAACCGACTGAATGTGTGGTGGATAGAGGCAAAATCCAACTTTTTTTGAAAGTGTGACGTTAATGCAATCCTTTGTCGCTGGAATAGATGGGATGAAGTTGACCTTAGAGCAAGCTGCTGTATCTGTAGTATGAGGCCCTCCAATGAAGGAGATACAAATCTTCCATTCTTGCCGACTGCCGCTTTTTGTTGTTGTACACTGGGTAAACCAGCTCTCTGGTTCTCCAGTCTTGGAGCAATGTCCGATAGTTTTTCTATGGCTTTCAACAAGAAGCTAAAGTCTTCTTGAAAATTTATGTTTTTTTGGTTTGACTGTTTGCCAGCCAAATGTTGATAACTTGATGGCGAGGAATCAAGTTGAAGAGATTCATATGTTGGGGGTGCCTTTTGTACCCCAGGAAAGTCGCATTCTTGATAAGCGGGAGGCTCACTTAAAGGCTGTTGCTCTTGTTGTTGTTGTGTCACCAAAGTACATATATCTGATATCAAGCTATCCATTTCATGCCATAATGTGATAAGTTTTTGATTATTTTTACTAACTGGGGATGTGTAGGCAGTATTCTTTCTCTGTTGTAAATGTGATACTTTATCACATAATTCTTGTAAAGGCGGCGCATCATGATGATAATACGAGTCCTCTCCTTTCAAATCACCCTCTTCTGTATCTTTCTGACGAGCTATTTCCATGATGCAATATATATTATTTAACAAGGCTGCGACTGAACAACAAAGGGTATAATAAGGTAGCTGATAATAAATCATCTGCCTCGAATTCAGAATATTGTGTACGTTGAACACAATGCTTGACTTGGAAGGAGTTGAGTTACTTCTTTTCAAAGGTACTCTTCTGGTGGAGGTGGGAGTCTGTAATTGTAGTAGCTGGGTATTATGGGTAATTGAGGTGAGAATACTACTGTTGCTTTGTGTCAAATTTGGAACACTGGGATCAGATAATCTTCTAGTTTGCTTAGATTGAACAGGTAGAATTTCCTTTACAATTTGCAGTAAAAGCATGTCCAATACCACTAAGCATACATGCTTAACAGATTGGAGCAATTCCATCAATTCATCGGATAAAGTAAAGTCATGGAGCTCCTCCTGACTATATTCCATTGGTTCTTTTGCGACACTTTCTAATAGAGGATCGGACGTTATATCGTTCTCTTCCTCTTCTTTTGCTTCTGGATACAGCTATATGTATCAATGTGTGCACAGTCAGGGACGGAAGAAATGGCAAAATTAACATTAAATGGAATTTTGCGTTTGTCCTACATTTGTATCAGTTTCGTTCATCGAGGTTGTGCTGATAATTAGCGATTTCTTCCTTTTCACCACTGTGGCCATATTGCATCAAAAATATTATTTGCAAGAATAAAAAGTGTTCAAAGTTTTAAGAAAGGAAAAAGAGTGCGTTCAAGAGAAATCAAAAGGACAAAAATAAAAAGTGAAGAAAAGTGCACACAGGAGACAACTGTATTCAAAACTCCTTACTGTATGTAACCTTACCCTTGTTTTCTTTAACAAATCATGCGGATTCCAATAGGTTATCTGAATTATCGTTCGATAAATCGCTGAGAAACTGTGATTCTGCTCTCCCTCTTGTACTTTCTCCCTAATTTGTTATGCGATCTTCTCAACCTTTTCTTGGCCTGCTGATCTTTGTGAAGCGACTGATTATACTTTACTGCGTCTTCAAAATATTGCATAGACTGTCCTCCTTTCTGAGAGTTTGAAACAGTGAAAGCATCAACTCCTTGTTTCTTACTTCATGCTGAGCTTAACCAATAGTATACATGCTAAAGAATATAAACCTTTATTGATGAAGAATACAATGATTTATTAGCTCAATCAGACGCATATCATGATCTCTATATGAAAATATTTCAAACGCTAGCTTAAAACTTGGCTTACTCTATAAAATTGTGATAAATTATTATTCATCACACATTATTTGCGAGCAGTATCTAACGAATGTCTGAAATTATACATCGTTTCCTTTCCTGCAATAACCATGTCAATCATTGTTCTACTCATTACAATCTTATCGCTTTTCGCTTCGATAACACATTGTTTCTTGAGAACTGCCGGAAAAGGCATCAAGAAGGATGACATTGGTGAGTATATTCGAAAGCAATACATTTTTCAATTGATTTCATTATTGATTGAGAGGTTTAAGTTTCTGTTTCCAACATTGAGGCAAACAGTAATGCTACGGAAAGCAGCTACGGTAGGGAGGAAATTATGGTTGATCATGGATTAAGTATGTGAGTTAGCCATTAGATCCTTTTTTTGGAGTCTTGAAAGATTAAATTATATCCATAGATTTGTACAAACAGCTCCAGCGACAGCAGTCTGATTGCTTTAAAAAGGTTACCTTACGACTTTTTCAGGGATGTCAATCTTTAAAAAGCATGAACAGTATGCGTAATATGGAATGTATTGTCTAGGTTGTCACTTTCAATTGACTATAACTGCAAAGGGACGAGGTTTAACTGTGGCTTTAAACATGTCTTGACTTAGTTGCCTTGTTATTGACGATCTGTGAGTTGTCTTTTACAAACTTGACTATACCCTCCGACTGTCAAAAGTTACAGGAATTACACGAACAAGAACACTATGAGGACAGCGATCATAATTTGAAAGCACAAGAATTGGTAAAAAAATGTGTGAAGTATGCATTAATAACAAAGGATCGAATTGTTTCCCTATTTGTACGAAATTAAGTCTTTCCTAATCAATAGTAACTTATCAAAATCAACACAGACATGGACTTCATACAGTGGTAAGAATTAAGCTTAACTCAGCCTTTTGATTGCAACGAGTTCACTGAAAATGTTGGTTTGAAGGCTACTTTCGGGAAGTAGGTAAAATATGAGACTATTTGTGTCGAAAGGAAATCTCTCATCTAATGTTGGTTTTAAAGTTCTTATATGTTTTGCCTTGAGATACCCGCTGGAAAAAGGTATGTCTTATTAAGAAATTGCTTCACCAGTACATGTAATAGATTGATGTACTATACATTGATCTGAATCTATTTCGGCATTTTGTATACAAACAGAGATATTGGAGCAATTACATTTAAATATTACAATGAATCAAGCCAAAAATTTTGAATTATTGGCTCAACAGCAGGAATACCTGGCTACATGGCGTACAGAAGAAATAGACTCATTAAAAGCGTTACAACATTCCCAATCCCACCTTTCAAGTCAACTTGACTATATTAGGAATGTTCAGTTACGAGGAACTAACGACCAATTAAAGTCTATCCTGAATACCACCCTATCTTTACAAGACGAAACAGAAGCAGTAATGCTACAATATCAGCACGCAATTCAGATAGCAACATACAACATACAGAATCAATTAGCCAGCTTATTAGAGCAACAAAAGGATGGTATACAAATGTTCATTAGAGACTCTATATACACACAGTTGGAAGTGATTCACAAACGACTGTCCGATCACCAACAAGACTTACTGATTGATCTGAATAAGACAAAGGTTTTGTAGTTGGTGTTTTCAATTGAGAAACGAATACGGCCGAACCTTAATTAACACTCCTTGACGGTATGCTTTGTTTTTAGCATGCTTATCTCCAAGATTTAACAGCATGGAGAGATACACTTGACTCTCTGAATTCAAGCTTATCTGATATTATTCATTACGATTTGAAAAAACTGCAACTGGAGCTACTAACCATTCAGAATCAAGTCTCCGCGATCTTGATACCCTTTTTTTGGATGAATAAAGTCTGCCAAGAATTCTCAACGAGTAAGAATAAGAAAAAGCCAAACCGTTTGAGCGTTAAAATCGACCTCATTAGCTTAAAATATAAAATTATCGCTTGAATCTCTGTACGATCAAGATGCACAGCTGCTGCTGTTAGATTCAATCATTTACACGGTCTTCATGTACCATGTGTACCTGTGTGCAACAGGAACTGTGATTCGGAAAACAGTGTGCTTCATTTTAGCAACAACAGGTATAATAAGTTGTATATACTATGAAAGCAAGATAAGGTCGAGCTGATAATCTCTCGTTTCTAGTTTATGTGTACGTCTACATTCATATTGATTGGTTTGTCACACCTGAGGTTATTACGTTGACTGACAAACGGTATAAAAAAATATTGATTATATTCCTACAGGTACCTTACCTGAAAGCCAAAAATATAAAGTATATTACTCAAATAGTTGTTGAATTGTTATATCCTTATAGTGTCTACTGAAACAGTATAAACAGCTTCTGCAATCGAACTTGTCAATTTCCACTCTGAGAACAATGATGCTTAAACTTGCTAAGAAATGGTATAAGAGTAATAGTGGTATCAACAACGATTGTGGTAGCACCAAGTTGATACAAGAAGATGAACTGCATTTTCACCAACAACAAGAGCAACTCAGGCAAGACTATAGGTACAACGATACCAATACAGAAGTTGCAGCTGATTTCACTAACTTTTCACCAGCTGGGCAACATATATTTGTCAGGAAGGTTGTCCAATCATGTTTTGATGAGCAGGTTACAGAGAAGCTTCTTTTAGTTGATCTTGACGAAAATTATGACGCTGAACCTTACTTCTCTTCGTCATCGCCGACACACTGCCACTTTCATAGGTATTATAACTATGAAAATGGTGATTCTTGTTGAAGCACTCGTCGTGTAAACGGCGAGTCCTTAAAAAGTTAATAAAACACTTGCGAGAATTAAAAATATTGATTATCTATTGCATTGGGTGCATTCCTTCCTTCAGCCTTCGTAAAATATCGTTACGATCATGTCTTTGATCTCTTGTAAGAGCCTTTTAAACATTCGCATATTTCTTGAAAAATACTGATAGCTTAAAAGGGTAGCCACTGCTCTTTGTAGAAATTGCGTTGAAGAAGAATTCTGAGGAGCAAAGAGAACATTTGAATTTTTGACAGCAGGCTAAAATTCGCTGGCAGGGAAAAGGGCAGTCTAATTTTCTCATTTGCTTGCCTTATTTTCCTCGTTTGTTATTTCTTCTTACTACGTAATGCCCTCAACATCTACAACAAAATCCGACGGCAAGAATACCACATCTGCCAATGCAAAGAAGCAGCGTCAGAAAAGTGCAACGTCTACTACCACGGAAGAGACGAAAAAGCCAAATAAAAAACGAGTTACCAAAAAGAAAGTAAAAAGACACAGTCGTAGCAAGAAGCCAGTTTTGAAAACGAAGGTAGTAGTTCGACGTTTGCCACCTAATTTACCGGAAGAGATTTTTATGAATTCCGTCAAACCGTGGATCAGTGATGAGAAAGTGGATTACTCCATTTATATTCCTGGAAAATTAAGCAAAAGGTTGGAACAATGTCTTGCCTTGAGGATGATGAGTGATTGCTGTTAAAAGATGACCCAGACTCACCCTTTGCCCGCTTTCCTTTAGCAAAGCGAAGGAAAATGTATTTTCCCGTGCTTATTTTCATTTCAAATCCATGGAAGATGTCGTTACTTTTCATCAAGGTTTTGATGGCCACTTATTTATTGATTCGCGTGGTAACGAGTACCGAGCAGTTGTTGAATTTGCACCATATCAGAAAATACCTAAAGAGCTCAAATCAGTTGATGCCCGTCAGGGAACGATTGAGGAAGATCCCGATTATTTGGAGTTCTTAAAATCTTTAGAGGTTGGAAAAGTCGAAAATGATGAAAAGGAAGGAGGAGTAGATGGAGAAACCAGAACTACAACTGATGATTCAGGTCAGCAGCAACGACAAGTAGAAGGAAGCAACGAACTGGAAAAGCTGGAAAATAGAATAGCTATGGTAACTGCTCAGATGTTGGCAGAACAGCAAGCAAAAAAACCAAAGACGACGCCTCTTCTGGAACATATTCGCGCACAAAAGGCTGCTCAAGCAGCTGCAAAAGCAAAAGCTCAACAGAAGAAGCTAGCAAAAAAGGAAGCAGATAAGATGAAGAAAGAAGCAGAGAAGGCAAAGAAAGAGGCAGAATTAGCCCGAAAGCGATACCAGTTGGCTGTTGTAGCAGCGGAAGAACAGCAAAAGACTCAAAATCAACAACAACTACAACAATCTCAACCTACTGTTAATTTACCAGCCTCCAAGAAGAAGGCGGCAAATACTAACAGTACTGATAATAGCAGTAATGATGGAAGAAAGCAACAGCAACAAAAGAAAAAAGAGAAGAGTAGTAGTAGCGCAGGCAGTAATCGAAGAAAGAAAAAGGAATCAAAGGATAAAGCAAAGAAAGACGATACAGGTGCAACCACTGGAAGCTCTGGTAAGCCCAGTACAACTGCAACTTCCGCTAATGCAAACAAGGCAGCCAAAAAAGCATCCGTATCAGGTGAAAGAGCTCAACAAGAGCGAAAGCCCTCATCTGCACCGCGCGACTCAAAATCATCACCTAATAATGGCACTGGCAAAACTACGCGAAGATCTAACAACAGTGGTAATCCAAAAAAATCAACCAGTCAACAACAGCAGCAGCAACAACAACAACAAGAAGCACAATCAGCTCCCACCATTAAGATACTTAACCGCCAGCAGCAAGGCCAGCTTTAAACAATGAATGACTGTAAATAAGCGACTATTCCGCGTTGAGAAATTGGCCCAAATGAACAACCTGAACGGTTTTATTTTCAAGGCAAAACCGTGACTATTTTGTAGGCAATTTACCTTTGAAGCTGGGTATTGGAAAGATTGCAAACGACGATGGTTTAACGAAACAATCGTTTATTAGTTACGGACGTATTTTTTGTCCTTTCGCTTATATACAGTCTTGCTTGTCTTTCTGTTCATCAATCAGCTTCCCTTTGTTCAATTTTACAGTTAGGAAAGTTCAGACGCCGATAAATAAAAGTGAACTGCAGGCTCCTTCAATGCATGGTTGGGGAGTTTCGTGCATAAAGCTATAAATCACACTAGAAATGTATTCTTTTGGACTTGCATGAACTGTTTCTTGTCTTTTTTATCAGCACATTCTTTTATTATGAGTCATTAGAGTAGCTGGACTTTGAATTGGCTGAATAAACGACTCAAAATTTGTCCAGCAATTCAGTAATGTCTTTCTGTTTTTTCCAAGCAATTACCGTACGACCCTTTTCAGTACGGCCTAGTCTGCAGGATTCTTTGATTGGAAATAAGCAAAAAGTCCAAAGGAGCAATTGCGAACGGCGCACTGGGTTGAATCATATAAAGAAGGAAGTAACATAATCAATCGGACTAAAGAGATGAGTACTATAACGAATCAACAATGTCTTTTGAACTTGAAGTTGACAGCCATTTAATAAAAAATATGCAGTTTCCCAGAATGAACATTTTGAAAGTTTGATATACAAAGAAAAGGAAAAAAATATACAATGACTAGGAGGCAGCATGAATGACAAGAATGATATCAATTACGATACGCCTACTTTTGAGCTGCTTTAAACTCTTCTATAATTGCACCTGAGGACGAGGAGCCAATACGAGTTGCGCCTAACTCAATGTACTTTAGTACTTGCTCTAATGTTTTAATACCACCTGATGCTTTAACGCCCATTGTATTTGGTACAGTCTTTCTCATCAATTCAATATGTTCATAAGTAGCTCCACCAGGACCAAATCCAGTCGAAGTCTTGACGTAATCGACACCAGATGCCATGCATAACTCACAAGTCTTTACAATTTCATCATTCGTTAAATAGGCCGTTTCAAAAATTACCTTGATGCAAACATCTTGCTTTTTCTCCTTAGATAGGTCAACAATCTTTTTCAGCTCTTGTTGTACCTTTTCATATAGACCAGACTTCACAAATCCGATATTTATGACCACATCTAACTCGACAGCACCGTCTTGAATGGCTTGTAAGCTTTCAGCTACCTTGGCCTCAGTAGTAGAGTTACCATGAGGAAATGATATAACTGTGCCAACATCAACATCCGTGTCTTCTAATAGTTTACAAGCCTGGCTTACGTCGCAAGGCTTTACGCAAACGGAGGCAAGGTTGTACTTTTTGGCAACTTCGCATCCTTTAATCACATCTTCTGTTGTTTGATCTGGTCGAAGAACAGCATGATCAAAGTATTTACCGAGCTTTTGGGCAGTTAAAGTAGTTTGAATAGTCATGAGTATTTGAAATAAGAAACAAAGAAAAAAGAAAAGGTACAAAAAGTAAGGGCTTGTATCGAGATATTCGTTGGCGGTCTTCTCACGATTCGAAAAGCTTAAGGTTTTTATATTTGTGCTTCCAGGGTCCAGTTGGTGAAACATAAAAATGCCAGCTTTTATTGGGTTGTCACACATCAGGTCGGATAATTTGCTTTATGCGCATTGCAAATAACAATGCGAATGAGATGTTAGCGTTATTGTTCATCTATTCGGCTTGTTGGATGAAGTGAAAAGGCGCGAATGACAGCTACCATTTAACATGACAATAAAATAAATAGTATGGACCGTCCTTTAAGGGCTTTTTTGTGTAATTCAAACTGGCCAAATATTAGCGACTTCTTTGGAATAATTGTCACTGTAATATCTCAGATATGAGTTGACGTCCCTTCTCTTTTCAGCTATTTACAGACTTCCCAGATTGATGTGATTTCTTTACTTCCGCATCCCTGGCTGACCTGAGTATAGTGTGCTACTTAATGATCAAAGGGCGCAACCATGCAACCAAGCAGCTGTCAGCCATGTTTTCTCGTAGACATTTATTAACACGACAGCTTCCTAAAGCTTTAATTAGTAAGAAAAAGGCTATCTCCTGTTTCCTTCACATATATGAAAATAAAAGTAAATCTGTTCTATTCAAAAATAGTTACTTTGCACTTTTTATCATTGATATTTTTCGACATGGCTTCTTGCAATCAGAAATTTCTCATTATCTTTTCTTGATAAAATGTGATAAGTACTTTACATTTTAGTTCGAATGCAAATTACAGCTCAGTGTTGAAGGTGGAGTGCCTCAACTCAAATGTAGATTTGACTTATCAATTAAACAGTCATTCTATTCAAACTGACGCAAACTATTATCAATTCAATTTCAAGCAATGTAAATTTAAGAATCCAGCGGTTACTCTGCTTATATTCTTTAAAAGTTCTACAGCAGTTCGACTATCATATACTATGCATTTCAGACGAAGCAACCCTCAACTATTCCCTGGAGCATCTGTAGACAATGAACAATCCTTAAAAGCCAAGTCCGTTCAAAGCAATCATTAGCCAATCTGCTGCCGTGCTCAGATTTAAAACATACCTTTCTATCTTTGTGAACATTTATATTTGATCCGCTAGTTTTTGTCGACCTATGACAAGCAAATTCGACCTGATTTTTTGTTTGTGCAATCCTAGGTGTCTAGTTACCAACGCAGCGTTGCATTTATAAAAGCAATATACTCACTGTAACGGCATTATGAGTCATCCCCCTCATCGTGTGGCCTCTTACCTTGACTTTGTTATCTGAAACATATCGTGGTTTCCCATTTGTACACAGCGAGCTCACAATGGATAGAAGAAAAAAAAATTTTTTTTTTTTTAAATCTCTTTTGAGATCAGTCAGAGCAGTTAAAAGGAATTTGAGGTTCGTGTTTTATTTATGCAGAAATGGTTCCTAAATGATGATGATGCGTTGATTTGTATATGTCGAATTGTCTATATGTGATGATATACATGCGATGAGAGGATGAGGTGCAGGATCATGTTTCATACATTGTTGCTATGTTGTTGGTAGTGTCATTGGTATTATTGTGTAATCTAAAGAGTCTTGTTGAAAATAGCATTGATTGAATCCCAGACAGCTTCAGGTGATTGAGCGGCGTCAACACCATACCAAATACCTTGTTTCTTATAATAGTTGGAAACGGGAGCAGTTTGTTCATGGAAAGCAACGAGACGTTTCTTGAGAGCTTCTTCATTGTCATCAGAGCGTTGAATCAAAGGTTCACCGGTAATATCGTCAGTCATGGGGACCTTAGGAGGACTAATATACATAAGATTAAGAGTTAGTATAAACAAGCTTTCGCTTTACTATCCACTCATATAACCTTTTCAAACGTTACTTGAAAACTTTGTGATAGGATCTACCGGAAGCAGGGTGGATGAGTCGACCACAGATACGGTCAACAAGAAGTTTATCGTCAACAACCAACTCAATGACGCTGTTCAAAGGCTTGTCCATAGCCTTGAGCATAGCATCCAATTTTTCGGCTTGAGCACAGTTACGAGGGAAACCATCGAGAATGAAACTAATGTGAAGGAAAAGGAGCGCGTTAACGAATGCATTGATTTTGCCTTCACATTAGAGAGTAAATAAAAGTATGCTACTTACCCATTCTGACAAAGAGGGTTGGTCTTCAAATTCTCTTCAATCAAACCAACAACGATTTCATCAGGAACAAGTTCACCAGCATCCATAAGTTTCTTGGCTTCAACACCATAAGAGGTCTTGGCAGCAACAGCAGCTCTAAGCATATCACCAGTAGAGAGATGGGCAGCATTGAACTTCTTTTGGATAGCAGGAGCTTGAGTACCCTTACCAGCACCTGGAGGGCCCATAATGATCATACGAAGCTGCTTATCGTCAGACATGATTATCTATATAACCTGATAAGATAGTGGAAGAAAGTTATAATAAAGAAAAAAGAAAAAGGCGCAAAGAAAGGAAATGAGAGCTGTCAAATTTAACTTTTTTTGCACGGAAATGGAAACTGATTTTTTAAAAAAAAGGAATTTTCTGAATCCTAAACCTGCCACATTGATCGAGTTTGACAGATCTCGCTAGATAACGACAATCTACCGAAAAAGGAAATGGTATCCTCACGTTGCCTTCAGCAATTTGTTTTTTGCACTAACGTCAAAGTACAATTGGAAAAGGTTAGCACAGCAGACATAGAGCCGTGCATCTGAAGATATAACCCAAGTTTGGGAAAAGCCTTGGCTTCCAATGTCGATCCTACGATTAGACTCGACAGTGGCATCATTGGTAAAGCGGGTAAACATAATACCCATACTAAACACACTTGAACAAAAGCAAATTAAAAAAGCGCTTGTGTGCTTATACTTCATGAAAGCAAGGTACGCTTATGACAGTAGGCAGATGAGATAGAGGGTGTAATATATTGTCTGCAGCATTATAGAAGCCTCTTTTCTCACAACTATTCTACTATTTCAGATAATATTTTCGTGGAGTTCATCTTCTTCAAACATGCGCTTACAAGCTATATGGACTAGCATACTATTCAGCAAGATCTGCCAGCTTGTCTAAAGACAGGATTCCCAGTCCACGATGTTGCGTTAGGCACCTTATTATTGACCAAATCTCAAAATCACAGTGATGCTAGAGAAAAGTGGATAGCATGACAATATGATTTACTTTATCTTGAACTGTACTTATAAGATCGACAATCCTCTAGATATTCAGGGAAATGAAAATGAAACTGCACTTTTACTATGCACTGATGATACCAATCACAGCTTTCCCCCCCCTCCTTATTCTGTAAAAGCATGTGGTTTGGCTTTATGACGTTTATAGTTGAGAATAAATATTCTGTTATATTTGTATTGGCTATCAAGCTACTAAAGTCTTTCAAAAGAAAGCCTACCGAATAACTTTTACAATGTGGAGAGACTTATATCAAACTGGGTCAAAAATTTTGTAATTTCCGTTTCCAAAATATTATATTTTTCCAACGCGCACCTGTGCTGACAGTTTCTTTTTTTTTTCACCCCAATTGGAACTACGAACATACCTAGTATGTCCCTGACGTCCATCGTTATCGCTGCCAAAGCAAAACAAACAGCAACTGTATTATGGATGCATGGTCTCGGTGATTCCGGTGCTGGCTGGTCATTTTTAGCACAAGAACTTCAAACAACGTTTCCTTATGTAAAGTGGATCTTACCTAATGCGTATGTTTAAAGGAAAAAGTCAGTCAATCTTGTTTGTGTCGATCCCATTAACGCTAATGACATACAAATAGTCCAATCAAACCAGTCACTCTGAATAATGGATACCCTATGCCTGGTAAGTATATGGCAAATCCAATAGTTCTTATTAAAAGTGAGTTCTATCAGCTGAACAATATGTGTCCATTTCGTGCTAGCTTGGTTTGATATCGCCAGTCTTGAAAGATCGGAAGTAACCGTAGAAGATGAACAAGGCATGCTATCTTCAGTCGCCTCAGGTATTCTTATATTATAATGCATCACCCGTATCCACCCTACTCTATCTTAGTAAGCAATATTCGATTTTTATTTTAGTTAGCCGCATCATTCGGGACGAGGTAGATAATGGTATTCCTGCAAATCGTATTGTCGTTGGTGGTTTCTCTCAGGGTTGTGTTCTTTCTCTGCTGACAGGTTTAACATCAGAATACAAATTAGCAGGAATCATCGGTTGCAGTGGATGGCTTGGTTTGGCCAGCAAATTTCCTGCTGTAAGTGCTCATAAGAAAGCCGGCGAAGGGTAGTGACCGTTCTGATCTAATGATTTTCTTTTTCCTATTAGATGGCGGCGGATGCTAATAAAAAGACGCCTATTCTTATGTGCCATGGTGACTTGGATAATGTTGTTAAACCTGAATATAGTAAGGAATCAGCAGAGAAGCTTCAATCATTGGGTTATGATATTACAAGAAAAACATATCCCGGCCTCCAACATTCAGCAAATGAAAAAGAATTGTTAGATATAAGGGATTTCCTTAAGAAGGTGATCCCTGCTGTTTGAAATCCATTCAAATAAATTGGGTCAAAATGTGCCTTGATTTTCTTGTAGCCAACTCTACTAAAAAACCGTCCTTGGCTTATAACCTGTATTGTTCTTTAATAAAATGATCAATCATTGACAAGCCATTACAATAAAAAAGGCAGAATCACTGTCTGAATATAGCTCTTGTCATGCAAATCTGGATGTTCATACTGTTGACAGAATTTATTCGCTCGTAATCATATTTGTATATTTTAAAGGTTGATATAATTATTAAACCGGCTGTTTTACAATTCAACTTCATGAATACCATCCTTATCAACCAACTGAACCTTGAATTTTGGCATATTGACGATGAATCTTGTCTTCAATTCTTGTATACACATAGACATCAGCTTCTTTGCTTCTTCAACGGTCATATTTTCTTTATAATATCTATCCATAAGTGATGTACAGAAATAGGCACCATAACCCTGTGCGCAATAGGGTAATGATGCCATAGCTCCAAGATAATCGATCCAGAAGAGCTCTGGCTTTTCTTTTTTCACATCATAACCACCAATTATCAAGTTGACTGAGTACGGATGCTAAGCAAAATCAATAGTGCGTAACAATGTCAATAATGTGTTATAGTTTTTCAACGGAGTGTTGATTTCAGAAATCGTCACCTAAAAATACTTACTCTGCTTCTGAGTGATTCAGCCAACTTGCCACGAGTAAATGTGGCGGCAGCTTTTGGACTGAGTGAAATACCGTTCTTGATACCATAAAGCTTAATGTTGCGTTGGATGAACTCTGCGAAATTAACAGTATCACCAGGTTCACCACTGTAAAGCATCAGTGTATGCGCGTTCAACTCACGAGATTTATCTTCTGTTCCTTTCATTACGACGATGCTACGAGCACTAGTAGTGTCAGCTGCAAGTAGTGTAAATCCATTTCCTGTAATTCCAAAAAGGCACTCCATTTCTTTGTATTTTAAAGTATAAGTAAACTGAGTAAAGAAAAACGAATAAAAGTAACAGCTATTAGCTATAGCCAAAGAAATTCCACTTTAAAAAAAAAAATCAAAAAATACGTAATCAATTCAACAACGCGCAATGCTACTGACTCTTTTGAAAAGCGGAGCTGGATAACGTTTTCTTTCGGCTCGAATTTACCCCTGAACGCCATTGCAAGATTTTACTGTACTTGTTTGTATGATGGTTGTGGTTCAAAGCAAAAAAAGCCATTAGACCTATGTAGATTGTTCAAACCTATTTGGCAAGGTCTAGACAAGTGCAGAAAAGGTGGATGCGGGTAAAGAAGATGTATGCTCAGTTGCATTTTTTTTATCAGAACCAACACATAAGGATCAAATAAACAAAGCCAACAAGACATAAAAAGCACATGAAACGTACAAAAACATATTTTGACAAATGTATAGGATGGGAGCATTGCGGGTCGCTTTTCATATCTCTCCCTTTCGGTAGAAAACCGCTGTCCTCTATAGCCCTTTATTAGACAGACTAATTATGTGAATACACTGCTTGTCTTGTATTTACTAGCAATATCGGTATCGGCATGGCTTGAATAAATCTTGATTTTATAACTTCTTTCCGCAGTCGAAAACTGTTCTCAATACCCTTTTTTATTCATGTTCTTGACGTCAACTGATAGAATTCATAGTGTACCCTTCCTTTGGCTCTAGGGCCGTTTTCAGTTACGTTTTCATACCTTTAAACACAACACCTTCAGTTGCCGCAAAGACCGGTGTGTGTATTTATTATGGTGAGAGGCATTGCTGAAGAAGTCTTGGATTTCGTCTGTTATATAAGGGAAATGCTAAGTTGTGGGGCAATTTATTAACTTGATATTAAACTTATACGAAAGGAAACTACATGATATAAGAAAAGAAATAAATGTATATATTACATAATTGAATGGTATTAGGAATGGTTGATCAAATGTATGTGTTCAACTGTCATCTTGCAGCACACATTGCACATTTGCATAAATAAAGTACAGTTAATTTTGGAAGGAGGGGGTTCTTTAAGGACAGTTCTCTAACAAGCCTTCTATACAAGAGCCCGTGAAAGGATAGGGTGCTACGTTTGTTAACTTGAAGACGGCTTGAAGAATAGCGGAAATACCCTGACCAGCAATCATACCTCCTGCGGTACTGTACATGTAATTATCATAAGCTGTACCATCGATACGTTTCCAGACTTTACCAGCGACCCAACCAACAAACATGGAAAGTGGGACTTCGGGACTAGTGTTGATCATGGCAATACCAATGGCTGAAACAGATGGGAAGTAGCGATGATACTTCTGGGGCACCAAAAATTCACGAATGAAGGGGGCAACCACACCTACAGCAGCAGCAACAGCCGTGACAATAATGCCAGCCTTGGTTAAAGGCTCGCCACCGCCTGTGAGTAACAGAGTAACATTATACCAAGCTTTGACAGCCACCAAGCCAAATTCACACTCAGCATTGAGGTCAGTGCTGACCACACAAGGATAAGCTTCTGCAAAGAGAATGAATAAACCAACGGCAATGCCAATAGCGAAGAAGGAAGCAACAAACTGAGCCCAGAATTGAGATCGAGGTGAAGCGCCTACAAGTTGACCTGTCTTCAAATCACCCACCATGTCGACGGCTTGAGCAGCAGCGGAAGCAGAAATATTACCGGCCATCAAATTGTTTTTACGAAGCTGCTTAATGTCGCTGTCGGGCATACCAGCGAAGATAAGTTGAGACATTTTACCAATGGATCCAGTGGGATTGATATCTAAAGAATGAGGTCGTACAAAAGGAGATGAGAGAACATGAGGATTTGACATGGGGGTTAACAAAAGGATGGATAGTATGCAAACTTACCAGTTTCACCAGCAGCTTGGACACCTACAAAGGACAAAATAAAACCAAGAATGACGGCCACAATGGATTGGTACACAGGCATACCAAAATACTCGCCCATAATGGCACACGTGAAAATAATAGAAATGAAGACACCTACAACCCACCACCAAGCCGGCACTAATTCACTCTCTGCAAAAATTTCATCTGCGTCCAATTCAGGGTTCATACGTCTTAGTTCGGCTTCTGACAATTGCTTTCTGAGCAGGTGAGACTTAATCCAAGAATAGCCATTGCGGCATACATTATAAAGACCGATGGCACCACCTTTGACACCACGCCAGAGAGACTCGTAGCGTACAAAAAGTTCAGCAAAAGATGACAAGACCATTAAGGCGATACCTGGCCACAAGAAGAAGGATTGTGTCGTAGGGCCTTTGGAAGTGATACCGTAGGCAGCGACGAAATAGCCGTTGACCACAAGACAGGGGCCAATGACACCAAACAGTAGCAAGGAAGAAATGAAAAAAGACAACACGGTAGAGCCGGGTGTCATCAAACCTGCTCCAAAGAAGGGGAAATCCCAACGGAAACTCCAGCCCCAAGTAGCGTCGGCACTCATGAGAGGAATGTAGCCAGCGTCATGACCAATCCACCATAGAATGTGAATGGTGTCAAAGAAGGGGACCCAGTAAGAAATTAAAGTCCAAATGAAGGAAATAAGAAACCAGATTCCCATCCACATGGCCTTTCGCATGGCTTCCTTTTCTCCTTCGACAGTGTCATGCAGAGATAGAATGGTAGTAGCAGCAGCACGAGGGGTTGGAAATGTCAAATCCTGCTTGACCACGAAATGCTGACGAAGAGGGACGGCGAAGAAAAGGCCATAGAAAGCAGCTGAAATGGTAAACAGAACGAGTGCAGCAGCATCGTCTTTTGGTGTCGTCATTAAACCTAGTTTATACATGGCAGGAATACCAGAGACAAAGCCAGCGGAAAGACCGCCAGCGGTTGTAGCAGCAGATTGTGCAGTACAATTCTCTTTAGGTCCGAAATAACCACCACCCCATCGAGGTGGCAGAATACGAGAAATAGGTTTAATGATCGCAAAGGAAAAGATGGCACCGAAAAGAGAAGCACCAAAAGTCCAGCCTATTTTGAGCCCCAGATATGTATTTGAGGCAGCTGTAATGGATAGCAGTATGTAAGTTTATGATTTGTGATCTTCTTAATGCATAAAGAAAGTATATAAAAGAGACATTACCAACCAAACAACCCAAGAGTGAGCCGATGATGGACGCACGCCAAGTAAACTGATATTCTTCTATGTGATGTTCTTGATTTTTGTATTCATCTTCCACAATTATCTCCTCATTGTGCACAGATTGCAGATCATACTCTATCTTTTTGTCTTCGTAGTCAGGAGGGTTGTTGCTATTTTGCAATTCTGACATAACTCTTTATATTAGTAGTAGCGTTTATATGGTGAAATGTTTGGACGCTTTTTGATAGTTTAAAATTATAGAGTGGCGAATAGATGGATACTGAAAGACAAGAAGAAAGACGTTACTGTAATGCAAACACAATCTATTAAATAGGCCTTTTTTTGTCTGATTTGATGTTTGATAGAAAATAAGCAGACAATAGATAGAGTGAGCGGGGAAAGTAAGTTAACATTTTAAACCAATGGAAAGCATTATAAGTAAACAGAGATACTCGATAGAGATCCAATCAAAAAGATAAAGTTTGCTCTTGAGTATAAGTATGGTTTTCGCACGATCAAAGGACAAAAAAAAGTTAAAAGTCAATCTTGAAGCGTCTCCCTATAAGGAAATTCAGTCCATTTTTGGTATTTTCGTTTTTTGACGGTAACAAGAAACATTCCATTTGTCATTTTGACTATCAAATTCTGCAAAAAAGAAATAACTGTATTTATTTTCTTGAAAAGGACATATTTGTCATTTTTGTCACGTTTTGGCCGTGGAAACTGTGGCTGACAGAAATGATCGTTGAGTAGCTTTTAACATGTGTTTCAACATACAGAATTTATCATCCTATCTTTTTATCAACAAACCACAAATTTCTTTTTTTTTTCCAAGCTGTTCAATTACCAATTCTATACCGTCAGTAACAATCCTTTCTTGTTTGCCACATGACTCATATTTCTTTGGTTTGTCCAAAAACTGCAAAAGAGAGAATGCCCGGTTTATGATTTGATGTCGGAGATTCAAGAATTTCTCTTTGGTTTCCTCTGTTGCACCCACCGTTTTACACTGGTATCACGTATTAAGGAAGTAGAGCATTCGAACGGCTAATCGTAAAATAAGAGCGGTCTCACGTATGATTTGTTCGTACTGTTGTTTGGTGCATGAACTTTAGCACTCGAGCCATCGCTTGAAGCCGCTTAAAAGGTTCGTATTGGAATTGGCTGTACCAAAATAATAGTTTGACTGTAGTTATAGGGATCGTACACTGCCCAGAGTGGTTCCAAAAAAGCAGTGCTGACGGTTGATACCGTCTCTCATATCAACCTACTCTGCTTTGGCTTTTTGCTCAATACATTGTTTGTGTAATCTCGTGTAACTTGCACACGAACGAATATTAATGTATATAATCGTGAAAGTTGAAGGTTTGGATCTTGATTTCCATTCCGTTAGTCTGTATTGGTTGAAGCATTCTCAACTCGGCATACACCACAATTATCAACGCTTTATTCTGACACAACGCGGAACGGATCGTTGTTTCATGATATTCGTGGCCATTGCGTGCAGATAGGGGAGAAAGAAGATTCTGTCCTTTTATGCTCCCCTGAAGGTATCTCATACTTTGACCTATCAGAAAAAGGTCGACTCTCTTTTTTTCCCTTTTTATTTTACTCCTGAATTTCAGGTTTACTCTTCTCCATATGTAAAAAGTTTGCTTTTTTTTTTTAAATCTCCTTCATTCCCATCGACATGAGATCTGTGTTTACCCATTATACCCATTGGTTAAGTTTAAGGCTGAGGAATAGCCGTTGTATCAGCAATATGACAACGAAGCACAATAGAAACCAATGGGATTCAAACACTTGGTCCAGACGCCACGGTTATCAGCTGCCAATTGATCAATACCTTATTGCTCAATGGATATGTCTATTGTTGATTGATACAAGCTTTTTTTGCTTCTTGATTCATTTTCTTGGAAACCCTCCGTCAATAGCAGATAAGCAGCTTCATCAAGCCACAGAGGGAAGTCTAGAACGAACAACCTCCTCACCATCGTCACCGTCATTGTCAACACCATTCCCTTCAAACAACACTATTTTTGGTTCGGCAACCATCATTTTAAGCAACTGGAAAATATCCTTTTTTTTTTTTATATAAATATACTGCTTGTGTAGAATGTTGAAAGGTCTATTGAACTTATTTAAGCTCCTTAACTCGACGTAACCCTCTTTTTACATCATGATTCTGATCAGTCTACTAGTGAAAATACTTAGCATAACCGTGTCTACCATTGAAACAGAAGATCCTGCAGTGATCGGACAACGAGGGCAGACGGCACGCAGTCAAACTTACGTTAGAAGGCTCGGTATACCAGTCATAGACAGCTATACTGGTATTTGTAATATATGCCGGGTAAAAGTGTAAATAGAACATCTGGAAAACGTATCTTCGACTGAGGAAAACGATTCGAGCAAGAAAACTCACCCTCCTCTCATTACTTTGTCGATGTTGCGTGATATCGTATTACAGTGACAAAAGCACTCGGCATTGTAAACTATGCAATAAATGTGTAGAAAAGATGGATCACCACTGCAAATGGTTAAATTGCTGTATAGGAAAACGTAACTACAAGTAAAGTAATAGCCATCCATTGCAAGAATGAGAGTAAAGCTCTCACTTTTTTTTTTTTTTTTTGCCCGACCTTCAAAAAAAAAAAGGGCTTTTCTAGCATTGATCACCACAGCATTCTTTTCCTTGATATGGTATACGTCAATTGCATTGTATGTCGTCTATTTATCCATGTATTATAAGGACCAGTTTGTTGTATATGGTAAGTACATCATGTTTATATTCTTCATGGTGTAAAGCGCTCATTTTAATCATTACCGCAATGCACACAGCATTACAGGTCTTTTACTCATCGGACGAGCAAACGTCTACAATAACACAAAAGCATCTTGATAGCATATACTACATAGGTGTGGTTTTGGCCGTATTAATAGCAATTTTGGCGCTTGTATCGACTGTCTCAATCACACGATTGTTATTCTTTCATGTTCAGTTAGGTAAATTTTTTATGGTATTTTCGTAACAAGGAGCATCAGAAAAATCTAACAAATGTACCTTCATGAAAAACTGGCTCTATCATTTCAGCAAAGGCAAACATAACAACGATAGAATATTTGAATAGTTATCAATACGCTGCGTACGAATCTGACGACGATGACGATGACGACGATGAGATAGATGATACTGACTACTGCGAATATAATTGTCGACAATATTCAGCAACAGCCACAGAAAAGAGAAACACTGAGACTAATAATAAAAGATGGGTAATCACTCGACCTTGTCAGAAGATTCATCGGATATTGAGACGCAAATCGCGGCGTACTTGGGTTTCTATCGTCAAAAAGGTATATTGCTCACGTCATATGCGGAAGAGACACTCCTTCGCTTTCTCATCCACTTCGACCATGGCGGGCTTATATTGCTGCCGCTTTTGTTCTTCGACTACCTTAAAAAAGCCTCATCTTCTACCATATACCACTCAACGCACCTTCCGCCATTATTCGACCGACGAATCGCTTGCTGTAAATGATGATAAACGAATTGATATGGAAGAATTTCTGGAAATAAGACCTATCCGGCAAAACATGAGTTTCGCTCAGGTGAGTAAGGTTGTTGAAACTGAACAAGAAGGACAGGAAGGCCCCAGTTATGAGGATGATATGGGCTTGGATTTCTCGATTCTGGACTACAGCAGTGAATCAGAAGCAGACATTAACACTACAACTGCAGTGGAAAGTTTACAACTAAAAAAAAAGGGCAGCAGTAGTAAAATCGCCAGATTGCTAGATATTTCAGAAGAAGACACGAAAGCATTATTAACACAATAGCAGGAGGCAGATGTTTGAAAATGGTACATAAACTGCAGCGAAAGGTTGATCTTGTTTTACTTTGGATATTTATTTATGTATATATATCTCTCGACCAGTCTCCATATTTTATTTCCAAAAGCGACGATACGCGCCAGTTCATATCGTTCAGTATTGCATTGAGCTCATACTTCATACTCCTTGAATAATTCATATTACATGTTCTATACTTAATTTATACCCGTCGTACTTTTTAAAATTTTTTTCAAGGAATTTACAAGAATGTCACCGTTTACTGAATAAAACAGATGCTTGCGAGCTTCACGTGCAATACCTTAGGGCACTGACGGAAGCGCAGAGTGAGGATATATTATAAATAAAAAAAATAAAAAAACTTGTTTGGAATAGGTCTGTCACTATTATGTCTCTTGTGAAAAATCCCCTTAGTGGCATAAACTATCTCGCATCACAGAAAGAAAATCACAATAAATAGCTCATCTTCCAACTTAAAATTGTTTCGACCTATCTTCAAAACAAAAGCTTATTTTCTTTTTATTTTTATTTTATATATATATATTTCTTTCGTTTGTCTCGTTACTCTTCATCTGTACTTTTATACATTACATTCTTGTCTACTTACTGTTGCCTTTTTTTAATCTTTTAATTCTTCAAATTCTGTTTTCTTGTTATCCTAAACTGTAAAATTTGCGAAATCGTGTGTATATATAGCCCTCAGCCACACAACTTTGTATAATACGTACAACATCTTCAACACGCATAGACATTTAATATGAATCATATCAGTTCTTACAATGCTTCCATTAAATTGGGTCGAGATTCATTCCCGCTGTACATGGATAAGCCTGATTCGTCTGTATTTGGTATGCTTGAATTAACAGGAACATCGCCACTAGTACCACCCGCTTTAGAGCTATACACACCACGCATCCTACTACAATTAATTGGCAAAGAGCATATGGACACAAAAATATTGAGGACCGTCATAGACAACACCTATACTATACCATCAAATGAATGGCAAATGGTAGAAGTGGAGAATCGTCATAACTATCAGCTACGTTTCGCGATCAATATACCTAGTAAGGTGTTACCAAGTTCGTTTCAGATGTTGCTCGAACGGGAATCAGTTGCAATAGGGGTAGACTATCTGCTGAAGGTATCTGTCGTGTTTCATGAAAATGACGATAAACTTGGGGAAGATTGGAAAAAACTAAGCAACGCCGTCGATGACGATATCTGTAAGACAAATGAAAGGCAAGAAGGGAAGGAGCTAGTGATCGTCCATCCAGTCTATTTTCACCGAGCATACAATCATCGTAAGAGCAGTAATAGTAGCTTCAGCCCTCTGTTGCCCGTACCTTCAGTCATACAACACCAACGGCAACAACAACAACGATGGCCAAGTAGAGTTCATTGGGGAGCCATATTCAATCAGAAGCAACAGCAAGCATGGCAGTACGAAGTTGAATATCCAAACCTATTCGAGCTTGATGACGATGCAGATGGCACTACAGGATACATTAGTATACGTCTAAAACCGACCACCCCTCGCTCACTGCAGCGAATAGGAAATAGTAGCCGTGAGTTTTGGCAGAAATACCCTGTCCATAGTGACAGCAGCATTCCCAGAGGATTTTGCTTAGTCGGTTATCAAGTGTTACAAATAGTTGAGATAGATGGGTAAATTAATTTGCGGACAAATCGTCTATGGCTAGAGAAAGCTTCCACACTAACAATATATTATATCTTACATCATTCTATTGGTCTATTTCTCAACTTCCGTACAGGTTTCAAATTTATTATCAAGTGCTTTCAGCATCTACAGAATGTATGAAACTAGCACCTTTTGATAACCACCAAGGTTGGATACAGTTGTGTGACATCAACTTTGATTTGGTGCATCCAAAACAATTTTATGATCATGAGAGAAGGGAGAATAGTCATAACGAGGACAAAGGTTATTTCACATTGCCAACAGTACCAAGATCAAAGTACCAAAGTCTAGCGGTGAATCATTGCATCAAGTTAACAATTGCACTTGATGATATGAGTACAGTGGAGATGACATTCCCAATATCGATCATTGGTTACTCTACATTATCAGTACTGAGAAAACTACCTTTCGCTGCTGCTTCCACCAATAAAATCGATATCATCAACAATAAACCGCTCGATTGTCCCAGCAGTAGTAGTGTATACAGCGTAGAAGGAAATACAAGTCAAGACAGTGCTATTGATGTGGATTCTTACCGATCCTCTACCAGCTCAGCAAGTGAGAAAACGATCACCATGAGCACTACAAAAAAACCGAGTTGCTCGAATACAGTAACAACAACCATAATAGTATGAATTCAGCATACAAAAGAAAAACGTAGTTTAAACATACATGCAGTCCATTGTTTAATCTTCTTTTTTTTGTCTTGCAGAGACGTAAGTGGAAGTGAAAAAATTATAGTCATGTATTGTAAATCTTAAACCACCAATGCTGTACCTTTTTTGGGGCTTTTTTTTTCTGCATATTAAAAATCCTAAAATTATGCACAAAGGTGATGCTCCACGTACTTCGATCGATGACATACATGCATATACATCGTATTGGACAAACCATATTCACAAGCATGTGATACATTCTATTGTGTTGAGACAATCAACCATATCTGTTTTTTTAAATGTTATCTAAGTCTCAAACATAAAGTGTGTAAAAGTCAAAGGAGCTCTGACTAGTTACAGTTGCTAAAGTCTACGAGAAGAATCAACATTGTAACTGTTAATTAAGGGACCGCAGTGGAGCCACAAACATGGCTATCATGAGTTGTGACGGAATATGGCCAATATTTTCTTCTCCATTGCTCCTCTTAAAGGGAAGTGGTGGCCATAAAAGTACAATTATATCATGCAGCAGTTGTTTACAATCAAGGATACACAAGCCTCCCAAACTTCTGGTGACTTATTACATTGATCATTCTCCCTTTTTTTGCCTTTTGTTTGTTTATTATTAATATTTTGCTCGTAACCCAAGATTGATCGATAATCATTGTTCAATCGATTTAAATATGATGATGAAGCAAGAACGATTTGTCTATTCTACAAGTCAGAAAAGCCGTACATTTTCAAATTCAAACATTTCAATCAAATACATCAGATCTTTTTTTTTTAAATTTATACAGAGAAGGCGTGATATTGACATAAAGGTAGTAAATAAAACAGAACATAAATAAGTGTGAGTAGATTGACAGGCAAAAAAATAGACAAAATTGAAGGGAATATGGAAATCAAAAGAGGGATTCAGGAAGCCAGTCTCCTAATTGTAATCAATTATTTTGTATGGCTTTCCTGTTTTTTCCAAAAGGGCATTCCAATAGGACTCCAAATCATATTCAAAGTTATACTCTCCTCCAAAATCAGATTCTAATTGATCAGGCTCAATATAATCCTTCAAATGCACCCAGTCGTTACCTATACTCTTCTCTTTCTTCCCCTCTTGTCCGTCATAAACGAACTTAATCTTATTCTTCGTGACAGGATCCATGAAAGGTGAGATAACTTTGAAAGTAGCAAAGAAAAACCAAGGCGCTACACATAATGAGATGAATTTCGTGAGTGTGAGAGAACACAAGTGATAGCTCGTACTGTATATACTATGTGCTTACATTTAACTACAAATGCAATACCCAATCTTTCAGGATAATGGTTGCCCAAAATATCCAAAAATTTTTTACAAGTGGACACACTTGGATTATGTGAAGCTGAAGAGTCCTTGAAATCTACAATAATCGCTAAATTTTCGACTAGCTCAGGCATCAAACGAATACCACGTTCCAAACAATAGACAATATGTTTAACTTGACGTTCTGCGTCTTTTGAATTCTGCAATCGGGGTCTCATAATCCAAACTGGGCGACCACATTTATCGAAGCCATTGTAATACATTTTGCCAGTTTCAGCCTAAAATTCCATAAAGCAAAAGCAGGGTCAATGACAACCGTTAAGGCAGAAGAGTGTTAAACCGCACACCACTCTATGAGGCCTTTTAACCCACCCACCCCACTCCCATCAATAGAAAAGAGCCAATAATAGAAACACATACTCTTGGTTAGCTGGCTTTCCCTTTCCAAAGCAGACCAATTGCATTTTTTATAAAGCTTTTGTCATCGTTCCTATATCCATCTTTTTTTACTACTCTCTCTTTCACCTATTCCTAAAGCCGAAAGCGCTGGCAGCAGCGAAATCAAACCAATACTTTACCTCTGGCTTGATATAATCCGGGTCAAGCTGATCAGGACGATAGTCTCTTCTCCAACGGACTGAATTCTCTAACATGATTTTTGCTTGCTAAAAAAGATGTCCATGGAGCGGCATGTTAATGTTTAGTCATCCAAACTCTGAAACCTCATTAAAAATCCTTTACCTCGAAATCCCACTTTCTAGCGCGCATGTATCGTTTAATAGTAGCCTCAGTGACAAATCCCCTTTCATTTGGGTAGTATTCATGTGTCTCTGGTAGCATTATTGACTCAATATAAGACTTCAATTTATTGACTTTTTCCTCTTGTTCGGCAGTCAAAGGTTGTTGTGTTGGTGGAGTGTAGTTAGGAGGAGGTGTTAACTTTGGATCATGAAAGACAGGTCCCAATTTCTCGTTTACGTTGTTATCAGCAGCAGACTTCTTAAATCTATTAAAAACGTTCATTTTCTAAAGGGTATTGTATTTTTCTTGATTAGAGAAAAGAAAAGGCAAAAGAAGAAAAAGAACAATAACTTTTTTTTTTTTTTTTTTTTTTATTCATGATGACGATCTCCGTTAGATCCATATCCACGGAGAATCCCTGTTTTCTTTAACAATAAGCAGAACTCAAGGCTACTATTGGTTGTAGTTGAGCTTAAATCCAAATGCCGGTTGTAGTTTATCCGCTTCTTCATCTTCATCGTACTCTAAATTCATTTGGTTGTCTTAAGAGCAACCTTTAATTGACTATTAATGGTACAAAATTGGCTCAAATAACTGAGCTGTATTAACGAGTATAGTCAGTCTGTAAGGGAGAGACAAACTACATGATATTTGCCCTTGGGAATGATTCTGAAACAATAATTTTTTTTTTCTTACTGACTTCACCAACAATGAAAGCTTTTTTTTTTCTCGTCAGATTCTTTCTCAGTCTACAATCTGATTTTGTTTCCAGTTCAATATCTTCAGTTAAACCACGAATAAGGTATCAAAATAAAGCAAGTAGTTGAGTATATTCTCATGTCTTTGTAAACTCATCTGTACTGTACCTTTGCGTACCGACCGTATATAAAGCTTTTCTTATTTATTCAATAAGAGCATACTTTCGTCTCTATCCGTTTAACCAAAAAGGTCTCGGACTTGCCTTTAAAGCCTATCTAAGAGACATTCGGTTTTCGATTTATTCATTTAAAAACATAATGAGTTGAAGCTTTTACAGGTGTGGACAATTCGTATTGCTTCAAAACTAATCATCGTTTGAATAATAGTTAGCATCCAGAAGCTCTTACTACGACTACTAACGATGATGTAAGATCTACATAAGGTTTTTTTTTTGTCCTTCTCTATTTAAAAAACTAACCAAAGGGCTGCTGTTCCGGACCTCATACCCAACTTGAGAGCTTATCAAATGTAGAACAGTTTAAAGAGAATAGCATCCTATCTAACCGCTGACGCGCCTTTAAAGAAGAAATTGGACGATTCTCTCTCACATTATTCTGCCTCTTCTGCGTCTGAACAACACATTTTTTTCGCTTTTTGACTATTGTCGCTAGTACATTGCTTCTGCTTTCTACAGATAAAAACTCATAGTATAGGGTCATTTCTGCTGTATGCATTGGCATCTTGGAATAGATGTTTTGACAGCATCAGGATTTCACCAAACTGGACCTATTTAGACACAATATACAAAAAAGAGAGGGAACCCTTGAAAGACATTGTTTTGCACTTTCTTTGAACTTATCAAAAGAGTAAAGGATGCTTAGAACAAAATGAGCAGAAATTTATATTACGCTTGGGTCTCATGAATTCTCGTGATTGACTGTTAAATATTCGATGAAATGGTAGTAGTCGTCATTGATAGTAAAACTTTGCATCGTTGATCTACTTCGCTAAGCAGCGTTAAAATGCGCCATTTTTAATTGAGAACACTGTTTGTTACTTCCTGGATATATAGAATCGCCGTGATTCCTAAACTTCTTCCGCGACTTTTTAAAGCAGCCATTTGAAACAAAAGTAAAACTTTTTCATACTATTGCATTATTATAAAGCAAATGGAGATGCGTTTTTCTTCCTCTTTTGAGTTGATTTCTCTTTTTCCGCTATCGATTGCACTTATTAGAACAAATGTCAACTTTTGGAATAGCATTAAGGGATCTCATATTGAATCTTTTTACCATTGCCGCAAACTGCATTTGTTTGCCTTTTGCGGTTTGGTCGTGTATTAAATCCTTCTTCGCAGCGTTTAAACCCACACGGCCATTAAAACCAAGAGTAGTAGCCATTACTGGCGCCAAGTAACGTGTCGCACGAACAAAACAATATATTTTGGAATCACACTCATCTCACTGTCATGGTTTTTTATAGTTCTGGTATCGGTGAAGGCATTGCCTATGCTTATGCTAAGGATAAAGCTTCTCTAATACTATTAGCGCGTAATATGGGTAAGATAACGCATGATATTTTCGCCATTCCAAACATTATGAATAACCTAATCCTCTAATGAACATTGTAGAACGTTTGGAGAAAGTAGCCAAAGCGTGTCGTGATTTAGGCTCACCCGATGTTAAGGTCGTGCAGATGGATGTATCGGATACCAAATCTGTTGCTGCCTTTTTTGATGAGAAAACCATTGAGTATGGCATTGATCTTTTTATTGCCAATGCTGGTATTGCTACTGTGCCGAATACGGGTGTGCTCAATCAAGCAGAACAAATTCTACAAATCAATACGATGGGTGCTATTGCTGGTATCAATAGTGTTTTCAAAGCTATGAAAAAGAGAGGTAAAGGAGGTCAAATTGCTGCGGTTTCTTCTGTCTGTGGATTTTTCAACCCGCCGCTTTTGCTCAGTTATGGAGCCTCCAAGGCGGCTGTTATGAGCTATTGCCGTGATTTACGCGTGTTAGGCAAAGAAAATGGTATTACAGTGAATACGATTGCTCCAGGTTATATCGCAACCACCATGACGGCTGGTTGGTCCAGGAACAACAAGTTCTTCTTTTTAACTCCTGATTATTTTGGAGAAAGAGTCAAAGAACAGTTGGCTAGAGATGTACCTCTAATATCTCAACCTTTTCATCAGTACTTTGCGTTTGCATTGATTTCAAGCTTGCCACCAGCAGCGAAGCTATGGGTCTCTGAATTTTTGCACAAGTATGTGGACCGTGCACTAAAATCAGGAAGGCAAATGACTGAAGAGGTCAAGAAGGGACAATGATCGCAATTATGAAAACTTATTTACACATACCTTATACTAAAATGAAACGCACTTTACTTTTTATGTATTGCTTGGCCTTTTTTTCAAATGGAGAAAGGCAAATCAGCTGACAGTATGTATTTATTTACAGAGAAGATTTTTGCTTTGTGTAACGAATTCAGGAAACTGTGAGAGTGAGTAAGTGTATGTGTGAGTGATATTGATGTGTGAATAGTAAGGTAATAGACATTTGGAAAAGGTATATTTTATAAATGTGATGATCTCAAGTTGGAGGATGATTAGAGTGTGTTTTCGGATGGGCACTTTTACAGAGAAGGATAAGCAGATGAAGCATGAAAGCCGAGAATAAGACATAAACCCGACTTGCAGAGAGAGAGAGAGGAGGGGGGGGGAGAGAAATATATCGATTAGTGAAAGGCTCAAGTTAATATACATGATAGAGTAAAAGCGATAGTCTATAAGAACAAAAGAAATACAGCATAGCCTTGGTTTATAATGGAGGTGATACACGAGCAGAGCTTGAAGCGGAGTTTATCGGGGTTCCTGAATTGCTCATCCCCATTGCAGTAGAAGCAGAATTACCATTTGATTGCCTCTTACCCTTCAGCATATTCTTAAGCGCACGTAGAGCATAAACTGTCAAGCCTATACCAGCCCAGTCTTCATCGTGAAGATCACGAAGATCGCCTACTGTCATTATATCTTGATCCTTTAATTTGTTAGCCCATTCATAAGCTTTTTCCGCATTGCGATGACTAGCAACAGCACAATCCTTCACAAACAATTCGATATCAGTATCGTCGGTATACTCTGTACAAAACGAAGGCAGCCAAAGATATTAGTGAATGAATGAAGCCAAAAAAAAAATTATATCGTGCTAACAGCAGGCTAACCTTCGAGTATTCTAGACACAAGAGCTTCATGAGTACTTGAACCGGCGGTCAACGGTGGTGAAGGCGAGTCATACGCGCTAGTATCTGCTTGTGTTCTCCTCATATTTGTATTTGCATTCCCTTCCTTATTGATCTCTCTATTACTTCCATTACTACCTGTTGAAACAGAACTCAATGGTGCTTCATACATGGATCGCTTTATCAGGCGAGAAGTATCAATCTTTAAATCATGAGTTAGATGATGGTGATGATCATTGTTACTTCTCTTCTTTAACAAATATTCAAGTTGTTCGTCGGAAATGGCTGGCGAGGACGCGATTGATGTAGGTGTTGATGTTAATTGATGTGTTTCTCTTAAATCTTTGAGACTACGTAGAGCATCAAAATACTTCTTCTCTGCAACACGAGCACGACTTTCAAAACCGTCACATTTCGATTCCACTTCCAATACATGTTCTGTTGTCCTTGCTAGTTCTTGTCGGGTTCTTTGAAGCTCAGATCTGATATCGTTTTCCCTTCTCCAAATAGAGGAAGCGGAACGATCGTCATCTTCTTCAACACTGTTGCTACTATTACTGTTGTTAGGCTTATCGATGTCTCTTAAAATTCTATTAATTTCTTTAGTTATATGATGCTGGTATCTCTCTGGCAGAACTTGTTCCTCGATCTAATGATTGACAGAAGAAATCAAAAAGAAAACTCAGATTTAAAGTTTTTTCAAACGTCAGACAAAGATAAATTATGTCTTATTGAATACCATTTCACGAACTACTTGCTCCGCTGTATCAGTCTCTACGTTAAAATCAAACTTGACTGACAATTTATCCATTCCTTTGAACACAACCTGGAGTGTCAAATGAATATGCGCTGGGTCTGCTGCCAGTAGAATCACATCTGGCTCGACAGCAAAAAATGTATGCTCGAGTATTTGCTGCGCAGTCATTCTTTCATCTTCGTTTTCCAAACAATTCTCAATTATTTTACGGACTTCATCATTTTGCACTTCCATTAGACTAGCAGGTTTGACTCCCTACGATAGGTTAAGCAGGGTGTAAAACATTTTAAACGGAGAAGTGACTTTTCTCAAGTTGGTATGCTTACCGATGACACCTTCTTATAGATTTGAGCAGCATTCTTACATTCACCATAGGGATATTCGCCTGTCACCATTTCTAGTAAACACATTCCAAACGCATAAATATCTACCTTTTCATTGTATCCGTGCTCTTCATACATTTCTGGTGCCATAAACTCTGGTGTACCAATAATTGTGTATTTCTTTCCCATCTTCATTTCCGCCGTACCCATATCTCCAATTTTCACTTCACCATGAGCACCGTTTATGAAAATGTTGTCGCACTTGATATCACGATGGATAATGGAAGGGTTGTGTCCATGTAAATAAGCGAGCCCTTTCAAAATTTGTCGAGACCAGCGTTTGACAATTTTGATATTGGGCAAGTTGAGTTTACGAATATACTCTCGTAATGTTCCCGAAGTCATCAATTCCGTGATGAAGACAAACTCATTTTTTTGGTACCAAGCGTCATGGAAAGCGATGATATTAGGATGACGCACAGACTTTAGAATACTGATTTCATGTTCCATTTCCTTATGGTCGATTGAGCGAGTGGCTTGAATAGCATTCCAAGCAACTTCATATCCTTCCTCACGGTCAATGGCTTTATAGACCACTTTATATGCACCTTTACCTAACAGAGTATTTAAACGAAAATAGCGCTCATTTGGTGACATATCGGCTACTTGCTCGGTATCATGGGAACGAGACTGATCAATAATTTCATTACTACTGATATATGCTATAGGAATGCCACCACCAGCAGTTGCGGTCCCAGGACGGTGTTGCTGTTGCTGCTGCAAGAAACTACCAGTATTGTGTTGTTGTTGTTGCATAGGATGATTATACAGCGTACTGCTATTACTATCTTCTAATTCTCTTCTACTTCTACAGTCCAGCGGATCATCGTCGTAGTTGACAATGTCATCTTCACAACCGAACGATGGAGAACCTGACATTTGAGTCAAACAAGGTGTAAAGAAATAAATAAATAAATAAAATAAAAATAGCTGAATATCCTCTTCTGAATAGAAACGGCTGAAGTTCTGTTCGACAGTGCTGATATGTCTAAATGTAGAGGTGTGTGAGATATCCGCTGATATTAAAAGTTTGAAAAGGAAAGAGGGTGGGTTTAATTTGTGTGTATGTGTGTGTATGTGCTCGTGGCTGGCACAAAAAATAGCTTGAGATTTTTCTACGTACACAAAGTGATAATATCTTTGTTTAGCTAAGGCACTAAATACTAGCACCGTCCTACTGCCTTTTTTTAACTACAAGTTGTTGGAATAAATGATGAATGATCACTATCACGGTGAAGGGCAAGATGAAAGATGAGGTTATTTTACGGCAGCAAAGAGAAGAAAGAAATCAACGGAAACTGCCTTTATATCTTCCCTTCTTCCCAGCCTTGAAAAAAAAAAAAAAAAAAAAAAAAAAAAAAAAAAACTGGAGTGATACCCTTTTTCTGTTTCGATTTCAGATTGGCGGGAGTTCACTTTTTAGAAATTTATGGGAACTCTGAAATAACCTCAGCGTATTCAAACACATTTTACATGCCTTTCCATTTGTATCAAGTTACGATGTATTTTTATTCGATCCTGATACTAAAAGAGCAGTTTTCAAACAAAAATTCTTCACACAGGACAATAATGAGTTAAATCGCAAATGCGAGTAGAATATTATGATTGTTGAAAGACTTTTCTCTCTTCTCTGCTCACTTTTTCTTATATAAATCATGCTGAAAATGAAAAAGTAATACATATACAAAATAGCAGTATTACAATATTTTATAATAGATCGACATATTTGTTTAGATTGTTGCAATGTAGCTGGACACTTCCGGAGAAATGAAAATTGTCAACCAAACACCAGTCAGTTACTATCAAGTATTATTCTATTAAATCAAGGAGAGCAGCATGCTCAACAAGACAAGAACTGATAAATAACTGCTCAATGTCGGGACGAAGTACAAAAAGACAAGAAGGCAGAAGAAAAGGACTGCTAATAAACAGATCAGATACTCTTATTGAAAGTTAAAGGGAGCAGAGTATCATTGATTGGTATACGTTTCTCAATTGTATTTGCAGCAGGTCGCCATCCGCTTGCAAACACAGGATGTATAGGATCTTTTAGCAATTTCAAAAGAATTTAGATGTACAAACAATAACGAACTAGTTTTGTCTGAATGCTTCAGCATTTTCAATGCTGTCGGGCATTTGAAAATAATTTGTCGTATTTGAGAGATAATCATATAACGGTTAAAAAAATTAGACTATTTTTTTTTGGAAAAATCCTGCACCTTTATTTGGAGCTCTCTATTTTTCCAATGTCTATCAACGAATGAAGAAAATTTTGTAAGAGACGAACGAAATGAAAGAATGGGTTAAAGGTTTTTTTCTTTGGATATTGTGAGGACTATATCCAAAAATTGTTTGTTTATTGATGAGGCTGATTTTTTATGCTAAGCTGAAACGAACCCAAGGTTAGATATACAGGGGAGAAAAAGTACAGGCAAATTGGGTCGACAGCAAGAGCGTTAATATTTTGCTCCTGTGTAAAATTGTCACTTTGGTTTGATTCATATCTTTTCTACAATAATGACCAAAGGTATAATAGAGGGCTGTCGCAAACCATTAATTTCGATTTTGTCATAAAGTTCAAAGGTTGCAATGTTAACTCATTAGCAGTGATGCACGCACCGCCCTCACTATAGACTTACGAGTTAATGAAATTATTGCAAAGCCTCTTCGCTCCTCCAATTTAAATTCAAATGAACATTGCTGGTCCATTCTGAAAAGGAGTCCTCAAGGTTTACGTGTCACTTAGAGGGGCGACTTGATGAGTGTTTCCAGATCTACTGCCCATTTAAATAAAACGTCCGTACGATATGATAATTCTCTCGACATATTAAATTGATGCAGTGGGAACAACGTTTTTGGAAGAAATTGGCATTAAAAGCGAATTTGTAAGTGTAGGCTTACAGTTTATTATTCGTTCAAATTTTGAACATGACGTTAAGTTTTCAGTTGTCTGCCAATATACCTCATTTTTTACTGTGTCTGTTCCTTAAAAAATGACAGCAACCTTAACCGCTCATATGGGACACCAAAGGATCATCTGTTTCCTTTTTGAGCAGTAAACTTTTGGATTTCTGTGATACAAAGCTATGATTATATGCATTGTAGCATACAAATTGCCTTCACCCGTTGCAGTAATGTCTCTCTCTAGAACTCGGTATTTATGGTTCAAGTGAAACAAACTCAAGGTGCTCAGCTCTTGAAACTATTGCTCCAGATGCTCACATCTTTCAACTTATGCTACCATGGTGTTATTTTAATCTTTTTTATATCGTTTCAAACTACTAAAGAAAAGAAGGATTACACGTTGAAATGGAACGATGGTTTAAGAAATGATACTGAAAGTCAGTCAAAACTGCAAAATAAAGAATATGATTACATTTGATTGATTTGTTATCTCGTCTAGGTTGCTTTGAATAAAGTCGCATGAAAGTAAATAGACTGAGGTAAGTTTGTTCCTCAAGTTCACCATATATGGTAACCCTTTTCTTTCAAACTGATCACATGTCTTTAAACTGACTTTATAGGAAATCCGTACTGAAAAGCACACAAAATGCACACAATACAAAAATATGGCTCACAAAGCGAGGATTGGTTCATACTACTTTAAAAAACAGTAAGATATCAGGCTGATCTGTTCTCTTTCTTCTCTTTTGTTGCTCCTTTAGCCTTTTTTCGCAGGTCCTCTTTTTTTAAGGCAACTGGAAGACCAGGATATTGAACTTTTGAATTGATCATTACCATTAGATACAACACCGATTCTTTTTTTTTTTTTTTTGGATCTAAATCACTACATAAAGCTATAAAAACCTTTTTCTCTCGGGTGCATGAAAAATGCCAACAACAGCTTCACGTTTAGATACAGCGGCGATAATTACGTTAAACATCATTCCAGACAGTGATACTATTCATACTTTCAGTAACGATGACTCAACATTACCAAACGAGTCTTACATTTTGACAGGGAAAGTAGAAGTTAGTTTGGCTCGAAGTATTCAAATTCGACAGCTATCAATTAAGTTTAAAGGCACCGTCGACAGCGTTATAACTGGTACCGATTTTTTTAATGAACATTATCGTCATAACAAATACAGAGATGAGATTCCAATAGCGAAATGGGATACAGTAGGCGTCAACAATAGCTTTGTCAATAAGTTCGCAAGAAAGGCTTTGGGGCATGGGAATGCTACTTTGACCGTTATCAACGAGCAACTTGACCTTTTTACACAACCCCAGGTGTTAAGAGTAGGCACAACAGTGTATCCCTTCTCATTGAATATCAAAAACGTACATCTTCTACCGCCGTCTTTATTATCACCACACCATATTATAAAATATATTCTCTCTGCTCGTATAAGGCTGAATTCAATAGGAGAGCGAGTAAAATTATCCTATTGGAACGCACGCTCAACATTTGTGAGCAATAGTAACCATGTTAATACCAGGTTAGTAATTAGTAAAGCGGATGGAAAGAAAAGCAATGCATTTTGGCTCACTACTATATGGTTTCTACTATATCTTATTTCAATTGATTACCACGCATACATACATATTATTCTTCGTGATGAATGAGCAGTTCTGTGTCATCATACTCGTCAACCAATCCCATAGTCGCACAGCTTCATTATTTTTCTTATTCAGCGAATATGGGAAGTAGATCGCTTGCATCCTGCGAAGAAGATTTCCAGGTCGATAATTATGGGGCGGCAGCATCCGCTTGTCCAACAACTCCTTCAACCATACCTATATCAAAATGGAATCAATTGCAAGAAACGAGCATTAAGTACAAACGGCAATTACTCGGTGTTTCGACACCCATTCAATTATGCCGACATTCCTATCCTAATATCTACTCCTTATCAACTTCAGTCGCGCAAATAAGATACCGTGGTGCAAGAGAAGGCCGTATCACTTACGAGATATGTATGTCAAAATTCACCTGTCTGCAAAAAAGGTCGTTTCCGTTCATTTGCAAGTTTAACTCATTATGTGAAGAGTCTAAGATTGAGTACATGGAATATTATTTGGAGCAGACAGAATCTTATCCGTAAAGCTTTATTCACTTCCAACACTGAATTGTTTTGATACATCACATATAGAAACTCCTTACAAATTTTTTTTTTTATTTTTAAGCAGAATCAGAACATGCAATTTTGGTTTGAATGAGGGATCCTTCTCTATCTCAACTGTACCTAGGCGTCGTAAACTTTGCCGTAAGATCACAAATTTCATTATTCTTTTATTTGCTAAAACTTAAGGTTCTGCCCCATTATAGGTACTAAACATAATATGATGAACTATCAAAACAACAATGAATTGAGTAAGTTCCTACTGAGCTGAATTACAAAAGCAGCAAATCTTAACTGACAAATTTTACTTTTGTTTAACCTTTAACACAAAAAAAGAGCTATATCTGAGAATAGATTTGCCACATATATCACCCAACGTTGATACACGAATACTGCAGATAACCCATAGATTACGTTTAATTCTGACCTTCAAAGATAGCAAAATAGAAAGGAATATGTCATTAAGTTTTCCTTTGGTTGTTGGAACTGTCCCTGTTTATGTTAATAGCAGCAGTGGAGGAGCAGCCTCACCAGATCAACACCTATTGTCGTGGCCTACTACAATATTTGACTATCGTGAACTTAACGGTAGTGGAGGGACACATAGAAGACGAGAGTTAGATGAATGGCTTTTGACGCCAACAGATCAAAACTACAGCTTTAATGACACTGATAATGACTGGAATAAATTGCCAAGCTATCCTGATGTTCTAAAAGAAGGCAACCCTCCTTCTCCTTTTCTTGAGGATATTATTTAAAGCAACAGGTAACAGAAATACCTTACGTAGAACAACTGCTATAATTTTCTCGGATTAATAAAAGAATTATGTATCAGAAAGAAAGCATTATCGAAATGTGATTGTATAACCAGTACAAATGATGTTTACAGCTAAAGAAAAGCCATTTTTTTTTGGATCATTGTAGCGATTTTTATAATAGAACGCCCTTTGTTCTACATTCAACATAATAAAAAGCATGGAGATACCGTAGTAGTAAGCACATTTATCCGTGGCTTAGATGCTTTGGTCATGAAAGCCAGTTCAAGCTTTACAAGCAATGAATATAGTAAGGAGAGGAAGAGGATTTTTTTAGGTGGACCACCGAATAATCCACTCAAGACTATGCATTGAACCTTCACAGTAACGATGGAAATTCCCTTGTGCAAAGATATCTACCTCTTTCGCCCGCATATTTATGTGGAGTCTATCAATCCGCGTCAGAAGTGTATATTGATATCGGTCTCAAATATGAAAATGCAGATCTCCAGTCAGTTCTTACATCTATCAGTCAGCCATATTGAAAGTTGTTTCTATGCTGTTGAAGTACTTTTGAATTTCTACAGATGTATTTGTTCAAGCTTCTGAAAATTAAAGATTGTACAATTATCCAAGTGATTCCGAGGAAGCTTATGGACAGGATATCAAAAAATGCGTCAAGTAAAGCATTATAATTACGGCGTTTACATTAGGTTAGCAAAGCAAACACAAACGATTCGTTATATTGCTTCCTTGAACTACAAAAACTCTACTTCATATATTCTCTAATGGTAGCGAAAGCACTGCTAATCTCCTTCCTTTAAGCAGGTCTTATAGCAAGGTCAGCCATGGACGCTTCTTTGCTTGCACGCACATCTTTGAAAACGTAATCGAGAAAAAAAAAGACTGTTTGCTCTAAAGAGTGGTTCCCTTTTCGTTATCTTTTTATTGAGATCTTCCTCAACTCGAAGTACTACAGAGATTAGTTATGCAGTGATACTCTAAATGAAATCAAAACTGTTTTCTCCATCTTGTTTTCATGAGACTAGTCACCATTACCTTCCAAGCTGATTATAATCTGGTGTTTATCATGCAGCAACTGCTGGTTTGTCCTTTCCTGGCTGTCAGTAACATCCCTCCATTTCTTTCGATATTGAGCAATTGTAACTGCTGCCACAAAATTCAGCTATTACATATGGATAACACAAATTTTCAGGAAATACGACAATGTTCGGAATTATATAGAAGCATTTATTTATGAAAAATGGGAGTGAGGTTCACAATTGTTGCGAAAAATGCAATAGTCGTATGACTCATTTTTGAATATGGATATAAAAACCAATGAGAAGTGTTAAGCACAATCAATTGTCGATCATGCTTTTTTTTTCTCTTGCAAATAGAGATTTTTCATTAAAGGGGCCCTTTTTGTTACGTTTAAAGAGTTTTATTCCTTTTACATATACAGAGCTTCCCCGGGCAATTTTGATAATTGCTTATCTGCGTGCTCACTAGAGATTATATTTGGAATAAAACTCTTCCTTTTTATTCTATATTTTTTTACTCTTCTCTCTTCACCCAATCTATCAAATATATCTTGTCCATACATACACAGCATGAAAAACTCCCACCGATTCTATGGAACCGCAACAATAATTAGTGCTACATCAAGTCAAAATAGTGTTGCTGGCAATATTGATTCATTGACAAAAGCCGATTTGGATTTATTACAATCAGAACGGCCGGGATATGGCACAAGGTCGAAAATAGAAAGTGCTTTCAATTTAGTGAATAGTACTGTTGGTGCCGGCATTATTGGGTTACCCTATGCTGTCTATCTTGCTGGCTTCTATAATGCCATTTTTCTCTCCATATTAGTTTCAATCATATCTCAGTTGGGTCTCCATATGTTAGTTGTTTCCGGTCAGCGGGTAAAAGCCTATAAATTTGCAGATTTGTTAGAGGCAGTCTTCGGAAGATCAGGTTATTACTTTTTAAATGCCCTGATAATATTGCAAGCCGGTGGCTCATGCGTGAGTTATTACATATGTAAGTTCATAAATACTACTCTTCTTAGCAACATCAGTGTTCAGTAAGTATATCCAATTTATTTCTATTTCTGAAATCATTTGTCTCTCCTGATTCAGTACTTGGAGACACTATACCCGTGCTATTACAGCTATACTTCCCTCAGTACCCACGTATGACCGATAGATCACTTGTTATATCACTCATTGCTATTTTTTTTGTAAGTTTGCAGAAACTATTACACAAACATTCTGTGAATGAATTTTCTTTACTTTATGCAGCCCAACTAGTCATTGCTGCTCCCCACCTTCCCTTTTTTCCTCTTCCGCTGTGATTAACTGTTTTCGTCAACGATAGATACTCCCACTCAACTTATCGCGATCAGTAGGCTCTGTAGCCAGATGGTCCATCCTGTCTGTTCTATGCCTTCCTCTCATCGTTCTTACATTACTCATCCGTGCCCCTGCTTATTCGAAATCACATGAAGCTCCTCTATCATGGCAGGGACCCGATCTGTTCGGTGCCCTCGGTATCTTGGCATTTGCCTTTGCATGTTCTCATGTTTGTTTTAATGTTTTTCTCAGTCTGAAAGATCAGCGGATCAAATCTTGGACCATCACTACGACATTTGCTTCAGTCATGAGTTGGATCGCGTCTATCTCATTTGCTGTTGTCGGATACATCAGTTTTGGTCAGGATGTTCAAGCCAATCTATTCTTGAATTTCCCTAATAATGATAACATTGTTAACGTTGGTCGATTCGCCTTAGGCTTCAGTATGATCTTGACAGTTCCGTAAGTACCTGCTTCTAAGTGAGCCCCCGCTTCTTCTCAACCAAATAGCGCTTTGATTCTTATTTGTCCTTCTGCTTGCTTGTTTTATGTAGCATGGGTTTCTATCCAACAAGAGAAGCCGTACAAAAACTATTGCAATTAGAAACAGCGACACGTCAACCGAGCAACTTGGAGCACTTTTCTGTTACTGTTATATTGTTTACTCTTATTACTCTATTAGGCATCAAAATACGATCATTGGGCAAAGTATATGCTCTTATTGGTGGTTTCGCTGCAACATTTTTAGCATACATTTTACCCGCTGCGGCTTGTCTTGTCACGCGACGTCGCCCTGTCGTTATTGCTGCCAATAGTAACTGTAGTCTATTCAATAAGAGACATGTAATTCATGCAAGCTCATCCGAAGCGATGGCAACAGCAGGTGAACATGAGCCTTTAGTGACTCCATCAACTTTAGTAGATATTGCAGTTTCGGCAACTGATTTGGCTTTGATGCCATCTACTATTTCTTCCGAGTCAGAATCATCTGCTGGTACGACTGTGAAAAAGAATGACGATTTTGATGAAGTTCATATAACATTAATTGAGTCAGTGGTGTTAGAGGAAGAGCAAGTGGAAGACGATGTTATTAGAGACGAAGTAGAAGAAGAAATCCCTAAATTTGGTTGGCTGGATGCCTCTGCAATATTTTTGATAGTATGGGGTTTTATAGTAATGGTGTTCGCAACGGGTGGAGCGTTCAAATAGAGATAGTTGGTAGACACATAGATTAACTACATCACACATTATTATTTACTATTATTATAATCATTTTCATTTTTTCCGTCTTACATCTTACATTCATTTACTAGTTGATTGTCTTTTTACACTTTTGTTTAGAATTTTGCATGTCTTTACAATAAACTTCTATCCCTTCGAATGGGACACAGCAGCATATATTATTAAACTTAAATCAAAATCCATGAGAAATAAGCCTTGATGAAGGTTATATTCTAAGGTTTAGCCTTACTTTATGGCCATAAAAAAAACAATACACTTTGTTATATTATAATAAAGAGAGAAATGCTCACCCTCAGCTATTCTTTATTACAGCTCTCCGCAATCAATAATTGTAACACGCTTGCTTGGCTTTCCACCAGATGATCCGCAATTCTCCATTTCACGTACTACATTTAGACCCGATGTGATTTGACCGAATACAACATGCTTTCCATCTAGCCAAGTGGTTTTTTCCGTACAAATAAAGAATTGACTTCCATTTGTATTGGGGCCAGCATTTGCCATAGACAATATACCCTATTACAAGCGAATTGATGTTATTACAAAATGGCCATCCTTCCTTTCTCACTTTTTCTTCTCGCGCTATGTGTAGCAAAGATAACTTACAGGGCTAGTATGCTTTAAAGTGAAGTTTTCATCTGCAAATCTTCCACCATAAATGGATTTACCACCTGTACCATTACCGTTTGTTATATCGCCACCTTGACACATGAATTGTGGAATGATGCGATGAAACACAGAACCTTTATATCCAAACCCTTTTTCGCCTGTACATAGCGCCCGAAAGTTTTCTGCTGTTTTTGGTACTACATCCCCTCTCAATTCGATTTCAATTCGTCCAGCTAATGATCCACCAATTTGTATATCCAAATACACGCGTGACCTTTTACCTACTGATTTGCCAACGGCGCCTCTGCTTTGTTTTGATGTCGTTCGTTCGGTGTCGCTCTCATTGTCATTATTATTATCTTCTATATGAGTGCCTTCTCCATCATTGTTATTATTCTTATCTATATTTTCTGGATTAGCATATTTTTGCAACCATGCTTCTTCCGTCCAAACTACATGACAAGGAATTCAAATAGGAAGAAAGAAAGAGATTGTACTTAATATAATAGAAACAATATACAGCACACATTATGAACTCTTTTCCTCATTGTGTGCTATTATCAGCCTTTTTCACTTACCTGCACGATGCGATGTTGCTGTAATATTTTGTGGTTTCGCTAGCTGTACTTTTATCACTTTACCGAATAGTTCCGCTAAATGCATATTATCCATGGCTGCTTCACAGTCCTCAATCGTTTCAAATTCAACAAAGCCGTAACCTTTATGTCGATTTCCTCCACCGTTTATGTCTATAAAAGGATGGTTTTCGAATGCACGTTAAACAGTTGCATTCAACATTCAATTGAGTGCATTAAGCCATACTTCTAGAAATGTCGAGTGGTATTTGAACAGCAACTATTTCACCGAAAGGGATAAAAGCAGCATGCAGTGTTTGTTCTGTTACTTGTTGATCAAGACCATCTATTTAAGCAAAAGCCAGAGGGTTATCATGAGTTTTCAAACTGACCACGATTTCAGCCAGTACTTTATCATTGAGAAAGAATCCCCTCTTTACTTATATAAAGTGTTGTTTTATTATCCTTCGAAATATTGACTGTAGTCATTTTGAAGTAGAAGGTAGAATGCTTCAGAAACAGTGATCAAATCGGAAGAGGTCCCTTTTCTGTGGATTTGGGTAAGGCATAATCTCAAGAATTGAATGTAAAACTGTTGGACTTTTTTCAGTCACAATTTTATTTCAGACGCTGGGCTTCTTTTTTCTCTAAATTTCCAGAAATAAGGCATGAGAAAATAACTACCTTTCTCCTTTCCGTTCTTAGTTGCTTCTTCACACTTATACACAGTTAATGCCAAGGTCACCTTCGTACGACAGATACTCTATCAGGCAACGCGATAGAGAATATCGTGAGTTAGAACGTGAAGTTGATTATGAGGATTTGGATCGGCCATCACGCTCAAGATCTCGGTCTTATTCTCCTCGAAGACGAAGCAGAAGTAGTCGCAGAAGAAGAGACGATAGCGGTAGTCGAGACAGGAGACGGCGAAGAGACGATTACCATGATAGAAGTCGACGCCATAAACTTAAAAGTGATGATAGTTTAGATAGAGAGTATAGACGCTCACGGTATGAAAGTCGATCCCCTTCTCCAAGAAGAGGTAGACGTAGAGACAGAAGCAGAGGTAAGAATATCGATACTCTGTTTGTTTACTATATGTTTTAATGCAGCCCTTCCTCCTGACATGCATTTCATTTTAATTATTTTATGTATTAAGAGCAAAGTCGATATAGAAGCCGTAGTCGTGATTTTTCATCGCCTCGTCGCCGACATTCGGATGCTAGAGATAGGTCTAAAAGTAAAGAACGACAGAAAGAGCCAATGGATGTTGTAAACGAGGATGATGATGAGGAAACAAAAATGATGAAGTTAATGGGATTCACTGGTTTTGACACAACAAAAGAAAAAAAAGTGCCTGGAACGGATGTATCTGGAGCGAAAGTGCATAAGCCTTTAAAATATAGACAGTATATGAATCGCAGAGGTGGTTTCAACAGGTATTATATGATAAAAAGACATATTGTGCTGTGGTTTTACCGAATTGTTTGAATTTATCTGAAATACCTCTATGAATAGGCCACTCGAAGGCTGATAGATCTTTATCCTTCGTTCTATACCTTTTGGAGTTTTGTCGCTCTATATCTCACGTCACCATTAAGAAATTGACATTCACTTGCGGTGTGTTATCAATCGCCTTAATGCCATACTTAAAGCAGCTGAAGCATGAAGCACAAAAAACTAGACATCTTTATTTATCAAGATTTAATCGCGCATATCTAACATTTTCACATATCGTAAGTCAATAAAAGTAATTTCGCCTCCAAGAGTTTTTTTGACATCCTATTTTGCGCATATAAGCACGACTAGCTGGGTACCTAAATTAGCTTGACTTTCACAAAGGCAGGGTAAATAAATGTAAATGTATATCCGCACAGAACCTGATTATTACAGTGCTAGATAACATTACGCCTTGCTATATATCAGCCTACGCTTGCTTTGGTGTACAACATTAATGTAACAAATACGACCAGGCTATCTTGCGAAAGCGCATTAATGAGAACAGCATGAAAAAGGAACATGAGCAGTTGTGAAAGTGACGATCATTAGCAGTACAATCACCTTCATCATGCGGGGCGGATGTACACATCATGCCACAAAATCAGCGGTTTTCACAACTAAGCAATACCTTCTACCTAGACATGCTGATCTACTATCTAGCAATGGTACGTTGAGGTTGTCCCAATGACTTTTGCTATCCGTCGGCTTACGATTTCGGAGTCAAAATCAGGCAGAAAAAGAAATGAATATCCTTCATAGAAACCGACAGCTTTCAACGCTTCATAAAATCCGTTAAATTCTGATTTACGAACAAAAATTCATATTTGCATGATAATCAGAAGTGCTCTACTGTGGTAATTTTTGTTGATGGCTCGCAAACAACAAAGGTATCTCCTTGTCTTTGCTGCTTTCCTTCCTGTACTTAGTAGGCATTCTTGCCATTTTCATTGCTCTCTAGCTTTTTCAATAATTTTACCTTTTTCTATAACTCCTTTTCACTTCTAGGTGTTGATTCAAATCAACTCAGAACCAAATATGTGATTTTGTAAATCCCTTTTCTATAACAAAAATGTAATTGAAAAGAAAGATAGTACGGTAACAGATCTGCTCGTTTTGTTGGAGAAGTTTCAAATTATCGCCAAAAGAGCATATTATTCTTCGAATATTACGCCGCTGGGACACGAACATTTGAAATATTACTTATTGGACTGGCATTGAATAAAATAAAGCGGCAAGAAATAATTGTGGCAGTTTTAAATTGGATGAAAATTGGTACCTAACAGTGCCTTGAAAGCTTTCTTTTCAAATCAGCTCTACCAGTAGAAGATGAATGGCGGGCTGCTTTATACTTTCCTAAACTGCAGCATCACGTTCGAGCCATGCTTCACGTTCTTTTACGCAAAGAATATCAATTAGAAGCATAGAGATGTAAACCATACACTTTCTTTTGAAAACAGCATGTTCTTGTTTCTGTTGGCATTCGGCAGTGATATTTTCCCCTTTTTCCGTCTTTATATATTCTTACTTTCATCAAAATCATTTATATTTTTATAAATAGTAATGAAACCTGAGTCTTGTTTTTTCATTAACAACTGAATAGGTAGCACCCAACCCCAAAACGCGTTATGCCAATAGAATGGTGGATTCTCTGCCCAACTGGTAGTAACAAAATAAAAAAAAAAGTTCGTTTTTCAAATCCCGTTGGGCGATGCTTGTAATTTTTTTATTTCGCTGCAGTAAAACTCTTTTTCCCTTTTTCCTTTTCTTTTCTTTTTCATTCTACATATCCATAGTCCTTCTCTCTTTACCCGAAATAACTATTCCATTAGAAGCAAGATGTCCATTGAATTGAATATAGGCGAATATCTCGAGTTTGAACGTAAGTTTCTTTTAGATGTAAAAAGTTTCTACATCGATTAAAAAGAAGAAATGAAAATCACCCTTTATTGGGAGTGTGACACTGTTACCAAAGAATATGTATCTCATATGAATTTCTTTCTTGCCGTATATTTAGGTCCTCTAACACGTGTTGTTAAGCGAGATATTCGTATTAGCAACCCTAATAATGAACCTATTGCTTTTAAAGTCAAGACCACTGCCCCCAGATTATACTGTGTACGTCCTAATTCTGACATCGTACCTGCCAATAGTTATGTCGATGTTCAAAGTAAGTTAAATGCAAAGATAGAAGAAGTGAGACAGTGCTTATAATTACTGAGGCAGACAGAAGCTAACGATTCGCCTATCATTATTTTGTTTAGTTATGCTTCAAGCCTTCAAAGAGGAGCCTCCTATGGATGCAAAATGCAGAGACAAGTTTTTAATTCTGAGCACCTTTTTGAATGATACTATCAAAGATATGACCTTACCAGACCTTGTAAGTTTCTATTTAGTAGGATGTAGCGGAAAACATGAGAAACTATCTCTTTTACTTAAGTATACATTCCTGATATATCTTAGTGGACTTACGTTGAAGCCAATGAAAAGCAAAATATTCGCCAACACAAATTACGTTGTGTCTTTGTTCCAGCCAAAGATACTGAACAAACAGCAGCTCCTGCTTCTCCTGCTCATAATGTTGATACTACACATTATACTGTAAGTTGAGCAAAAAAGCGAACAAAACACCGGAAAAGAAACCATCAAACATAGGTTTATTAAGCTAACTTTTTTTGAGGGGTTTATATAGCAATCTACTTCACCTAGTAACATCGCCATTTCCGACATCAATAGCAGTAATGCCACCTCCACCACAAACATGGATGATTCATCGAACAATAACAGATTAATTTCTGATACTGAAGTGTCAGATAAGATGAAGAAGGTTGAGGCTGAATTAAACGATGTGAAGAGAGATGTAAACGCTTTGAGCTCAGCAGAAGCTACAAAGGTTGCTGAAAGAGCTCAACAAACTGTCAATGCTGCTTCTCAGCAACAAGCGGCTGGCGGCCTTCCTTTAGGCATGTTGATTTTGATTGCGCTTATTGTCGCAGCAATTGCTTACTTTTACCAATCCAAGAATTAATTAGCTTACTTTACTAAAACCTACATATTAGTACAGTTATTTTGTAACAAACCTCTTCTCCTCTCCTTAATCCAGCATATCATATATAAAACTTCATGATCATTTTTTAGAAAGGTTTTTAGTTGTGATATTTGTACCATTCCTTACAGAAATAAACTGAAAAAATACATTCATATTTTTATAAAAAGAGAGTCTATAATAGATTGCTTAAGGCGCTTGTCAACGAACTCCCATTCTGTTATATTGAATAATGATAATGTTTATGATCAAGCCCCAACTCCTGGTTTAGACGGACATCTAACGTGAATCTAATTAGCACGTGCTATAAGAAGGCTCCTTTGAATCTCTATGATGATCAGATGCTTCTTCGCACATGGTTGTTTCGACGGGAAACGCATCATGAACATCATAACCAAGACTTTGCACTAGAATTTATCAATTAAACTGAAAAAGAGTCAAGCGCCCTTGACAAATACTCTAACTGGAAGCACTGTTCTCCGGCTTTTCAAGATGGAAGATTGCGGTCTTTTAGTAGTAGGTTGCTCACCTAGCAACACTGTGATTGTTCATATTATTAACTTATTTCTAAAAATTGTAACCAAAATGCGGTGAGTCATTGTTCCAACGCAGTGTTTTTGCATTGTTATCTGATATGGGCATTCATGCAGGGCGATTTTATTTGTATATGCATGCAGCGTACTGGATGGTCAAGGCAACACTTTTTCATGCTACATGCTATCTGATTCTTAGGCAACAACTTCAATTTCCCCCAAAAAAAAGAAAAAATGCAACACTACCCTAAGTTGCTATAATATTTTTTAAGTATGGGACTGTCCACTATGTGGTTATTCAACATACAACAGAAGGTATTTTACAAATCTATCAATTTGACAATGCTCCCTTCTCTTAACACTGCAAAAAAGGTGGTAGACGCGGTTTAAATCTCCGCTTGTTTCAGTATGAAAGCCCAAAAAAAGCTTACTTTACCCACTCCACATTTTCCCTCTCTTACTTCATAAACTCTACCCTTTTGTTATATGTCTTTATCATCTGGAGCCTTTCTCGTATAATATCATGCCTGGAGATAGCAAAATAACATCAACAGGAGAAGGCAAAACCTATATTACATTACAATATCTATCCCGACTTGTCTTATGGATTTATTTTCGAAACATTAAAGTAATATGTAAAGGCTCGATACCAGCAGAGGGCCCATTACTAGTAGCAGCCAACCATTCAAATATGGTGTTAGATCCCATCATACTCATTGCAACATTTCCACATTCCCGACCATGTCATTTCTGGGCGTTGGCAAGATTCTTTCGTATACCATTTGTGGGGAAAATATTAAAAGCAGCAGGTGTGTTACCAGTGGATACAAAAACACATAGCAATGCCAAGCTATTCGAGCATACGATTCAAGCATTGGATAAAGGAAGTGTTGTGGCTTTATTTCCTGAAGGTGAATTTTTATTTATTATTTTTAAAAAAAAAAAGCTTTTCATTTAATTATCATCATGTACGATAGGTACCTCATATACAGCACCAAATCACTTACCTTTTAAGGATGGCATCTCTTGGGTTACCTTTGAGTACCTTACACAGTTAGCTGAAAAAGCAAAAAATCAACCACAAGAACAACCCCAAAGCATATCCATTATACCAGTGGGAATCACCTATAGTATAAAGAATAGATGGAGGAGTGATGTCATAGTTGAGTAAGTATACTTAAATATATATTGAGCAGATACACCAGTTTATGTTTTTGCTTTTTTGTTATGTTCTGCTTTGTTCAAACGATATCTTTTTCCATAGGTATAGCGCCCCTATTGTTAAATCCACATATGATCTGGAAGAGTTTTACGAAGAGCCCAAAAAATCTGTCAAAAATTTGACGGAGTTTATTGCAAAGGGTGTCGAATGTAGTACGATCAATGGCCCGGATTGGTAAATAAGAAATAATGCAGATCAGATATGAATGTTTCCCATTATTAATTAACATGTCTTTCGCGCAGGGATACTACAAATGTAGCGAGTGCAGCACGATTCATTTTGTTCGGAAAGGTCAGCCTGGACAAATACGTTCGTGTAACTCAAAGTCTCATCGCGATTCTCAACAACGAGGACAACGAAAAAAAGCTCTACATCAAAGAACGTTTTGAATTGAAGGAAAGGCTACTACTCTTCTCAAATCAACTCAAAAGCCTTCGATTGGGTCCTGGAGATATCAATCTTTATGAAAATAAGGCTATTACGCTCACGCGAGCCTCATTAAGACTCATTTCAGCGTGGATGTCCTTAGCGATACAGATACCCCTTTTTTTACCTGGACTCATTATCAATTCACCATTTTACATTATGGGCCGTGTCATCGATTCCTACGAGCCTTATACAGAATCCGTATCTCAAGATAAAGTCGTATTCAGTGTTATTCTAGCTGTACCTGTGTATGGCTCTTTAATCTTTGTACTATGGAAGTCAACAGGTTATGCATTATCCAGTCTCTGCTGCGTATTACTTTTATTACCACTCTTCACTTGGTACCATATGGCGCTGATCGATAAGAATTATGACATGTTGAAACAAGTTATTGCATCGTGGCGAATTTTCATAGCCGTTTTGACTGGAACAAGGATGAAATTGGCACATTTTGTCATGAAGAGTGACAGGACAGAAAGCAGAGCAGCCTTGGAGAATTGCGTTCATCTACGTCGATATTGCCGAGAACATTTAAAGCAGCTTATACTTAAACTAGTTGAAGAAGGCGATAGTAATGCGATTTATTTGATGGAATATGATACCTCTTTGAATCAATCCTCACAAAATTCTGCGAAGTAAAACGGACAAATTTCAAAGAAAGCCGATAGACCCATTATTAGCAGGTCAACTTGGGTATTAGAGTAAAAATAAATTGTGGCGATACAGTCGAAATGGGGCTAAGTTGGTGTGTCTAAGAATTACAATTCTAATACATCGATAGAATAATGGTCATTATGAGAATACTAATAAGTGATATTCTCCATTGTAAGCGTCATGCTCGTTTCATAATTCTTAGAAATCATTCTAATCAAAAGCTTTATAAATTACTAAGTTGTCCTTTTCTACCTTAAAGCCTGTAGTACTGTGTAATTCCTCCGTTAATAACTGTGTTAAGCATGCTTTAGTCTGACAGATTTGTTTGATGCGTAAAATATCCCAAAGATCGGATATAGGAATAATTATAGGTCTGGACGTATGTTCAAGAGCGTCTTCTGACTTTTTTGATTGTGTAGGGGCTGTAGTATCAAATGCGTTTGGGATATAGTTGGCTATATTGAAAGTGACCCAGTTGATCGGCTCGTCGAAGGAAATCATGTCTAACTCATTCTTGCCTGCAGTTAAAGAGGGACCACTTTTCCTTAGCTTCTCTCTCTCCTTTCTCAATTGAAGTTCGGCTCGACACAACACCTCAATATAATGCTCGACTTCCTCTTTCACTTTATCCCTCGACAGTTGTGGTTCATTGTAATACGGAAAGTCAAAATGCTTCAACAATCGATGCGGTTGCCCATGCTCAACAACTATGCTGTTTGATTTGTCATGGTTGAGATTGATGAATACACATGCTTGGGTACAGTGTCCATTTTGTAACTCATTTTCCTTTCCCTGTAATAACCCAATTCCATGATATTCTACTTCATATCCATATTTCTTTGCCCCCATGTCACACCAGTCTCGAAATTCCTGTCGTGTCCATTCGAACTTATGATCATCGTGACGAAAGATAGCCCCTGCTGTTCCATAATGCAACTCCGGAAAATAGACGTTATATTCAGCATTAGGTGTAGTAACAATCAATATTTTCGGCTTATAGATATCCAATGTCAATTTGAAAAAGTTGTTTAACACATCCGGAGAGACATGCTCTATTACTTCAGTACAAATGATAGCTTCAAATCCTTTAAACCGATCATCCGGGATATCAATAGAACCTTGAAGTTAAACAAAATTGGTTAGTCTTTATTCAGAAAGAATTTTCATGTTCTCTCACATAAGCGTACATAAGTACATAGATTTTACCTTTATAAATATCAACGGTTAATGAAAGAAGTCGTAAATTCTTATAGTCATCTTCCCAAGGCTGACAATTTTCAATAGCACTTTGCAGAGCTTCATTGTCAATATCGATGCCTGCCAAATGGGTGATTCTTCTTTCATTCGGGGTTATCAAAAATGAAAGTACTGCCGCTTCACCACATCCATAATCCAAAACCTGTCAAATGTTAAGCGATCGGTAAATAGCGGTTAAATAAGAAAAGGGGGGACTTTACACTTTCGACTTCGAATCGTCGAAGAATGTCTTCTATGAAATTTCTTCTTTGTTTCCAAAGTGGTGGATCAAATTTTTCGGGAGAGCCATAACCATCGTGTTTATAGTAAGAATTGGGCTTCATATAGCATACTTTGTTAATGATCAAGAAAAAATAATAAACTGAACTTCTTTCATTTTTGGCTTTTTTAAAAAGAAAAAAATGATTTTCATGCCTGGTACTCAGGAACCATTGAAGAATTTATTATTATTATTTTCTTTTTGGCAGTTGTATGTACTCTACAGGAAAGACAGAAAATGTGTATTTGCTCCAATAAAAAGCAGCTCATGACAGTTAACCATACTTTTTATCATGTTTAATGCTACTTAAAGATAAAAATAATACATTCTATTCAATAAATGCTTATGCTTCGAACAATAAAATGAGACTCTGTTAACCTAAAGTTGCCCATTGTTTCGATGTATTAAAAAAGGTAAATATCATCACCACGAGACCGAATCCGACTAATACAACATCGATGAGGCGTTTCGCTCCTTTTGCAGAGGGTAAAGCCAAGTGGAATAACGGTGGAAAGATCAAGCTTAGAGGACCTATTTTAAGATATCAGTATCAATAAATATTGACTTTCGCTGCCAATGGGTGGTTGAAACGTTATAAAAAAAAAACTCACAGCAGCAGACAGAACCAATTAAGCTGATAAACTTGTCCAGATCGTTCGCACCTATATATGCAATCATGGTGCCAACTACCACAACAATAATACGCAATGTATTCTTCTGCCATTTAATATACAGGCTGTGCTTTCCAGTTCGTTCACCAAACATGGTTTGTTCGATAATACGGATAGTAGGGAATAAAGTCAGTGCATTGGATAATAGAACAGCAGTTGCATACCCTAACTGAATTGTACTCGGCAGGAGACCAGGGGGCAAGTTCAAAAGGGCCACAGTTTGTACATTTTCACCAAAAGCTAGGTAGCCTAGTGTACCAACGGTACATAAAGTTGATGCCACAAGTATCATGACAATGGTCAATACAGCAGAGAACTTTTCTGGCTGCTGCATAGAATCTCTGATAGGAATAATTAGACCTAAACATATGCAACATAAAGAATATGGTTTGAACTGGCAGCTATAATCATTTGGTTTTTTTTTTCTTGCTCTTCAATATAACTCTACCAATCCCTTCAAATGAATAGACAGCTGTTCCAATGAATACAGAGTAATGCGCTGAGTTAAACAGCCATTGAATACCAGGACCTGCCGTGGGCTGTGTGAAGCCATCTTCAAAGATTTCGACGAAATCGAAAACTAATAAAGCCAATAAGCCGCCAATGATCAATACGTCGGATATCAAAGCAGTAAGTGATAGCTTGGAGATATTACGGACTAAAACCAAGGGCATTGTAAGAAGAGCCAGCATGATGAAAACAGCGGCATCGTTCAAATGGATTGTATTATCGCTCAACGAACGAACAGCTTCTACAATATTTTGTACAATAAAAATAGCGCCCCCGCACATGAATCCTAACTATTTTGTGCATACACAAATTAGACATTAGTACACCACAGCAAGCACAAGTACTTCACATCGTTAACGAATTTACCTGCGAAATCGCAATTGAAAATAGCACAATGGCACGCATATACGGTCCATAAAGTTCTCCGCCAATATCGCCGTACGAGCCGGTAACGTAATTCTTACAATCTAATAATAATAGGAAGCAATAAAGAGAGACACCACCCATAAGCCACATAATGAAAATAGAAAAGACGAGACCGCCATTAGAAAAGGCTTTAGGCAAGAAAAGAATACCGCTACCGATAAATGCCTTGAATAACAGAAAAAACGTTTTCGTAACATCGGCTTTGTTTTCCGCCTTTTGTTGTTCCTTTTTGAAAGATTGATGTCGTTTGACACTGATTCGTTTGTTTGGTAATAATTCCGTTCGTTCTGTAATTTGTTGTTCCAAATCACCTTCTTCTTCGTCTTCTTCGTCCTCTTCGGTGTCTGACAGGTTTTCGCCAGCAAACTGATTGAAATATGATGTGATGGCAAGATATTCTAAGAAATGACGAGTCATCTGCTGCTGAGGGTGAAAATGAGGAGATGAATGAACATAAGATGCAGAAGAGGAGGATGCGTTATTATTGTTACTATTTGGTATATCTACATGAATTAATCCTGGTGTGTACATTTGTCTTGACTCTAACGAAATCAATGAATCAGGTCGAAACAACTCAGTGAATGCCGGGTTCGCTTCCGATTCAGGTATCTGGTCTTCTCCTGCCTCTTCTAGATGTTGTTTATGTAATAACTTATGCTGTTGGTGAATGTGAAATCGTCTAAAGCCACCGGGTTTATCAAGGTTTTCAAATGCTTCATTTGCATCATCACACACGCTTGTGGTATTTGAGGACCCTCCAGCATCTTCCTCCTCCTGTATAAGGAGCGAACTCGCTTTCTGTTTGATATCACCTACCGATCGAGATCTCGTCATGCACTGCGAGGACTGCAGAAGGCTATTTGCGTGTGTATAAATATCATGAGTAATAGCTGCACCTGGCAAATGGTACGGGACAGGTGTACCACTTTTCACTGGGGAAGATGATAGAATGCCATTATTTTCCGCACTTGCGGTTATTGAAGGTGGTGCATTATCTGGGTCTGGTATGGAAATGGTAGCATCAGTATTATTGGATCCAGAACGATCGCTTGAATTATCCTGAACTAGATGTTGTTGGACAAGGTCAATAATTGCTTTATCCGTCAAATTATCCATGCTTTATCACATATAAATCAGAAAAAAATTAAAAAAATAAAAGAGAAAAAGGTGTTGAAAATGTGGATACAAAAAAAAAAGGGGTTAAACAAGATACGGATGTCAAATTGTTGCATAGATTTGGAAATGTCCGCTTGTTATACTTAATTTAAGCCGTTTTGTGTGTGGAGTTTCTGACGGAAATCCCTCTTTTAAGCCCTTACCAAAGCCTTAAAACGCTGCATTAAAGCCGGATAAATCAGTGTCTGCTTCTTTTTTTTTTCGGCTTTTTGATTTGCTTGTATAATTTGACGTATAAAAACGTTTTTTCAAACTGTTGAAGCTCCTGTTTTATGCATATGTTATTCTGCAAACGTAACGGGTGTAACAAAAATTAGACTGAGAAATTTTTGATCTAAAATATGCTTACTTTCATATCCAGCTTGCACTAACACAAAGTTCATCTACGTATACACAATCCGTAATCTTTGAGAAACGGAAATCAGAGAAGGACACACGAAAAGCATGATATTTGTTCATTAGGCTCTGCTACCCATTTAATTTCGCTATTATAATGAAAAAAAAGAAGAATTTTAACCAAACATACCGCAGAATAAGCTATAGTCGCACAGAAAATTTCGTTGAATGTCTACAAACGTAAACCAGCAATAATGTGATAATATAACCTGTCTGTAACAGCGAATAACTCATATGAACGCTGAAAAAAATATCTTTACCAAATGATGGGTAACAACCGGTTGAATATCTTGTTAAGTAGAAAAGAAGCCAATGCGGCTACCTAAGCAGAAAAAAAAAAAAAAAATAAAAAGAAGAAAAATCCTTCTGGTCAGCATGGGAGATCAGAACGCTTTAGAAGGAATGAAGAATCAGTAGACCATCTGGTTTATCTATCTGAACAGAATCACCTTTGGCTGCCTCGAATGTCCTGGTCACAGCTTATGTTACAGCAGCAAAATTCAGTAACGGACGCGCATTAAAGAAAGACTGTACTTGCTTAACATATTATTTTGTCACTGCCAAAAGAAACAGTTTTGCTAGTAACCAATCATCCACTAATCATTGACCATTTTGTTTCGACTAACTTCGTGTTGCAGGCATAATATAAGGAAGTTTTGAACAAGTTTCATTGATTTATGGTAAAAAATAGTGGCCTGCATAATAAACCGCGAAGAACGCCGTAGTTCTAATTTACTGCCCTCTCCAATGTCAAAGTAGAGTAACTGCGCCTGCATTTAAAGGGCACATTCAACTGAGGTTTCTAGTAAAGGATAAGTTGATCTGAGCTACACAACTGGTGGCCGATAGATATTGAACTAATTGATGTAGCTGCATGATCACACTGGATCTGTCAGGATAGCACATTACAAATCAGTCCGCTCTGGGATGGACGAGTAGTTATCCACTTAAAACGAAGACCTATTCTTTTACGGAAACCTCTGATTCACTAAGTATTATCTGACCATAATACATCAGTGTCAGCTATAAATCCCGATACAATTATTTCGTAGACAGCAAACACAATAAGTCTTTATTAATAGCAGTAATATTAGTTTTCTTTTCTCTTAAGTTTGTTTTGGAAAGAGAAATAAAGACCGTGGTTCGATTTCGTTAAGCTTTCGTGTTTATTTTCTCTTGTGTTATTCTTTACCTTTTATCTTATAGTTAAACTAGCGAATACCACAGAATCATAATATCACTTGTACACGTCATCTTGTATTTCTAAATATGCGCATATACTGTATAATGCTGCAGTACTACTGGTTGGGAAACTAAGGAACGAGGACTTTTTTTATTTTTAAAAACATACATTCAGTTTGCTGTGAACGCTCCCCTCTCTGATTTTCAGTGTATAATAAAAGGACTAAAGGAGACGGACTCATTTCACCTTGCAGTTTTTATCAATTATAAGTCGCGTTCACAACTACAAATAACCACAAATACCACAATCGTGACTGACGTGTTTGATGAGATAATAACTACAATACTCGAGCACGTACAACCAGGTAGAGAATACATTCTACCTCGGTCTATCTATATTGCATCTAATATAGGTTATGTACAACATAGAATAAGATACAGGCCTAAGTATAATAATCACCCAATAAGCATCTGAACCTGAAATTAGTGACTAGCATACGCGTCCTCAAATAATATAATTCCCATTAAACCTCACAGAGTAAATAATCCTTCTGCTTCATCTGAAGAACAATAAAGACACCTAAATTCATAGTCATCGACTTACAACAGTTATTAATTTTAAATAAGCAAATACAACAGTGACCTTCAAGAAAACAGATTACAGTCCAAAGCTGATATGCGTCAACGAGCTTAAAAAGACAAAAAAGAGCTCGGGGATAATCAATTGAAGGATTAAACAGTACAAAAGTTCAAGTATGGTGACTATGTTCTTTACAGCATGAAACCAAGAAAGGCCTTAAATTTAACTGGATGCGTCCTTATGAAATTGTTAATGTAAGTTATGAATTCAATATATATTAAATAAGAGAAAATGAAGGCAAAGCATATGGATCTTTAGTGCATACATATCGGCTTTTATGTGCATCTTATGATGGAGGTAAAGTGGATAAATCTTGGTATGTTCCAAGACGTGCGCGGGCTCAAATGGTTGATCAAAAAAAAAAAAAAAAAAAAAAAACCAAAAAAAACCACAACTTCTTTTATGTCTTTGTTTGTTCCCTTGGATTTCCTGCGTGGTTCTGTTAGTTGCTCCATAGCATTTTTTTGGAAGGGGGGGTAATGTCGTGTTATAACGGTGATTGAATATATATACTGTCGAATATAGAAAAGGAATATACAGTAACTCTCTGAATAGAATAAAGAATCATCTTTTTTCTCTTCTCTAAAACTTTGTGTTTAGTGTAAGAGTACCCTTCTTTTATCGTTAGTTCAGTGCGCGACAAATAGACGAAAGATAGCCCCAACGTTCGCGACAAGCTTCCGAAGCAAAATATTACACGCACTACATAAACGAAAGTGACTAAAGAAATCCGGCCTTCCGGATTCGAACCAGAGACCTAAAGATGACAATTTAACTACAGTCTTCCGCTCTACCAACTGAGCTAAGGCCGGATGTACGGAATCGATGTGATCGTAAATAATTGTCGTGGAAATAATTTGAACTCCGTCACGTGATCGGAAATAGCTCATGGTGTGGTCGGATAGCTCAAGAGATCGGAGCTGGTAGAAAGCATATGGTGTGCAATTAATTTAAGGAAGTGTATATAAAGAATAATTTGATCTAAAGAATAAATGGGGCCTTTCTCCATCAATAAACCTTGTACTATAAAGTGTGTCAGAAGCTTTATAAACACCTATACACGATATAAGCATATCAGTATGACATGGAGTGTGAAGGATTGTCAGCCCAACCAATAGAATTAGAGCACGTGAGGTCCGGCTCGGTGGTCGGTAGAATGAATGTGCGGAAGAAGAATAGTTTAAATAGATAGATGAGAAATATACTTTAATAAATGAGCTTTCTTTCATATAACAATCTTATATCTAAGTTAAGAAACAGTACAACAAAATCTATACTGGAAAACCAACCATAGTTATTTCACGGACTACTACTCCTAACGTGTCAGGTATGATACGGAGTATGAAAGTCGAGAATTGTCCTGGTTCAAACCGCAACATGTGACTTACCGGGTTGTGCCGGACTATGACCGATATAATAATTTCGTACCCAGAACAATTAACCTAGTGTTATCTATAAAAGACAAACCCCACACCTTAACTAAGAGAGACTCATCATCTTTTTGATCAAGTTTAGTTTTATTTTCTTCGGTTAAAGGTCATAGTTTTAGTTGATCACTTTCTTTTATTATTATTTTCTTTATATTGATATTGATTAGGATAAGAGATCCTTATAGTTTACTTCATTTTATTTTATTCATTTAGTAAAGATTCATATTTCGGTTGCCTTTATTTTTTTTTGGTTTACATCAACTCTTTCACGAGAAGACACCGCGAACGTATTAGGTATGTTACGATAGTATAATAAATTTGGCTCGCATCCCAATAAAATATGGAACTCAGCAGTGTCCGGGCTGGTAGCCGGACAGCACGTGCAGGGAGCAGCTAGCCTTGGTAAATAGTAGAGACTTAGAATAATCAGCGGCTTAGAAACTGTCGTATTTGAGGCACGATGGCAATATTATATGAGTAAATTACTCAAAACGTCTAACGAAATGTAAAATAAAACTTGATCTCAGATATGAGTACTGCTCATATCTTCGTTCCCGTTTGGTAAGCGGTGTGTTCGATTGCATACATTTGAACCTTAGATCAAATGTATAACAAATAAAGATAAGATAAGAAAAGAATATGGATTAAGGATAATTCTTATGTGAGATTAGCTACCTCACATAAGACTTGAACAGGTTATCTTTATGAAATATATTTGACTTAGATTATCTATGGCTATATGACATTTAGGTATATAGCAGGATTGGTATATGTACTCGTAGGATAAATTGATTCAACAACCAGAACATAGTAGGTCGTGGTACTGCTCCCTGTTCCGGAAATAAAGTATGGTTGGAGATAAAAAAGGCTCAATGTTGTATACGATAAGATCAAAGTATAAGAAAAAGAAAACAAAAGGAAATCAGTGAAGACCAAGTTATCTTCTTTTATTAGATAGAATATTCTGATAAAGAACTCAAATAAGAATGAAGACAAAAACCATGTAGGAAAAAAGTACTTCTATTTATATTTGTGGATATTGTAAAAAACTTTTTCTATCGAGACTCTTAGGTACAAGATGCCTTGATGATAAAAGAAAAGACATACCCAATTGTTACTGCACGGTTCATCATGCTATAGCGGTGCCTTGACCGATTGGATCGGTGACAGGAGGTAAGTGGGTTGATCTAACTAAAGGTTCCTTTGACCCGTACTTCAGCAGTTTCATTATAACTAACGTGACGGACAGGATAAACTATTCCTTAATTCTGCCGACGTCTACGTTTCAGTCT